GGCTCATCGCGTCTACGCAAGCCTAGCAGAATCGGCGTCAAGACGGTCGAAAAGAAGCCAACGTCCACAAAACCGGCAGCCACTGAGGCTAAAGAAAAGGTCTCAGCGGAAACTCCCAAACAGGAAGGAACAGAATCCCCCGTAGACCCATCTGCACAACCTTTGCAAGCGCCATCGGAAACGCCGTCTGCAGAGTCATCCGCAGAGCCATCTATTGAATCCTCCGCTGAACCATCAGCAGAGCCATCGACGGCCGCTTCTACGGAGGAAAGATCAGAAGAAGAGGTGGATGAACCGTCGGATCAATCCGAGCAACCAGGTTCCATTGGGAGCAGTACTTCGAATCAACGAGTTAGCTGGACTCCTGTCGAGGAACAAGTGAACCATGAAACGACCGCCGAAAATGTTAATGGCTATATTCAGATCACAGAGGATAATGTGGGTGAACAGGATGCCGAAGTGGCGGCTGTGACCCAGTTGGAGGTAAAGGGATCGAATGACTCGGTGGGCCTTCAGTCGACGGCGTCCATGTCATCCTCACGACCGCACACGCCTGAAGTGAATCAGATTCGAAACAAGTTTGAGACATTAACGCCCGATGTTCACACGGAAACCAGTCAGAGCAGCCAGCGGGCCGCTTCTGCTTCCAAGGAAATCGCTCGTTCCAAATCGCCCAACCATGTCAAGGATTTGATCAGCAAATTCGCCGGATAAAAACCCCTATGGTTACCAAGAAATAGGGCTGCACAATTAAAAAAGCTTTACTACAAACAGACAGCTGAGCAGCCCACATTGCATTATTTCTTTTTCTTTTTCTTTTTCCTTTTTGCCTTGCAAAAACATTCTCATTATAATTTTTCTCTTTTTTTTTTACTATAATCTTCACGTTCTTTCATTTTTGTATTTTCCCCCCGAAAGATCGCTTATTTTGCTTTTGAAAAATTGTAGTGCAATTAATAAAATTCGTCATTGAAAAAAAAAAAAAAAGTTAAAATCACCATGGCTTGCTGGATTGATTGCTGCATCTATTGCTACGCTGATGATGGTTCATTTGTTGCTAATCATTGAATCATTGCATATGATGGCGTGGAGATTGATTAAAATTTTTGATTGGAATACCCATACCGGAACCGAGTCAATGATGAGCTTATCAAGCGAAAGATTGTCGCGATTGACACATTATGCATGTCCTTATTTGGCCATGATAAGTGCTGTGTTCGAACCTTGTTTGCCTTGCCCATCCGCGGCTGTATTATTTCGTATGTTGTAAGCCTTGTTAGCTATTCATGCCCAGCATGCAGTGATCAAGTTGGGAGTTGGGAGCGTTTTTGATTATCGATGCGGACTACGCGATCCTTGATAGAAAGGCGACTTCGGCATATGGGATTTCCCTTTTTTTTTCTCTCTTGATGATGAGGATGCCATGTTTTTTAAGATTTTCCATCTGATAAATTGATCGGCATTCATTAAAAAAGAATCCGACTTTTCTATCATCAGCGATAGTATCTTATTCATATCTGCTAACGGAAAAAGATCACCGTGGTTACATTTTGCGTCATACTGCTTCCTTCTCTAATATATCTTTAACACTTGGTCAACTTTATAACTTTAAAGTGAATCAATTTTTGTCTTGAAATAGTATTTTATATCGGTCGTCGATACTGCAATGAGAGGTGTAGTATGGTGATTCTGCAGGACGCAATATTCACATATTTTGGTTTTCTTGATTTCTGCTTTCCAAAATTTTTTAATAAAAGTAAATATATACCGTATCTGGATTATCGCAGCAGAGATAGCAATTCTGCCTGCAACCTAATTTATGCGATCGCGTACTGATTATGCTACTCAGGACATCGCTGAAAAAAAGGACGTGAAAGGTAACAAAATAGCCTCGTTTATGAACGACTCTATATGGACGTTTCATCATGACTTTTTTTGGGGGGAGGGGTTCACCTCTGGATTTTGACTTAAAGATCTCCAAATGGGTGGGTGTGAATGAATGAAAGTATGCTATTAAACAGAGATGATCCAATTTAAGCTATTATTAACGCATGACCTCCCGCGTCAAAAGCGATTTTACGGATTTTTCACGCTTTGCCAAACTGGTTTCATAGTGTTACACATATTCATACAGTGTGGTTGGCATGTTCCAAGCGAGTGGTCAGAACAAGTGTGGAAGCAAGAAAAAAAGCGTCGCGATCATCTCCACGTGGTGGTTGAAACCACGCTGAAGGTGGGATTCTTTTTTATTTTATTGTTGACAGGTGGTCGGGACATGCGGGGTTGTCCATTTTCGACTTTTTGAAGCGGAGAGAGGACGGATGACGCTGAGAAGGACCATGGACCTGCTGGGGAATTTTTTTTTTTTTTTTTTTTTTTTGGATCGATGGCAGCGAGTGATCTACAATAGTTTTCTTGGTTTTTTTTTTCGCGGAGATAAGCTTGAGCGGATCTCTTGATTACAGAATACAGCTTTTCTTTTTTATGACTATTTTTTTTTCTACTCCATGTAAATAATGTACTCCGCGTCGTTGTGATTCAAGTTTGAAAACAACCGGATTCCTTGCAAGGTCATGGTGTAGCGATGAGTAATATTCGAGTTAGTCTGTTACTGTCTCACGTTTTTTCATCCACCTGAAATATAGCGTGAAGCTAATACAAAGGTAGTATTTTCATATTAGTCAGTTCTAACCAAAAATGTTTTGGGTAGCACTTTCTTTGTTCCACATTTAAAATTAATGGTAGCTATCATCTGCTTGAGCTTGTATTGAATAGGTAGGATAGTGATGATCCCACTAGACATTTGTAACCACTTTGTAAGTTCACAGCAATAAATTGATTTGCATCAATGATAAAAAAAAAAAGCCGTTTCACATCGTAAAAACGTGAAAACGGATGCTTCAGCCAATTAAATGTCATGATCATCTTTTTAGTCTAAATGATAACCTAGACGGTCGATCCCGAAAAAAATAAACTTCAGAAGGACCGCTGTTCAAAAGTTAAAAAAAACCCCAGCTTCGCTATTCTTATTCTTCGCATCTGCGGTCTGCGGTCTATGGTTTTATGTATGTACTGTTGAGTATAGTATGGGTGATGATTTGCATGTTTATGTAAATGCGAACCCAAATTGAGTTCCACAGGTATAGGTGTGTCGGACCGTAAATTAGGCAATGCATTGGTGGATGGGGATGGGAGGAGACGAGAAAAAACTGGAACTTGGTGTAAGCAACACTTGTATCCTTCTTTACGTTGCACTATGCATAACCATTTCAAAATGGCTTGTGCGCGCGCAGGTACAAAGGATTTGAGATTGGAAGCGATGAGGACCCATCACCTTTTTTTTTTTGTCACCTGATTTTCCCAAGATTCCCCATTGTCACCACTCATTCTTTGCGGCCCACAACAGATAAGTCCGGCTGCACATTCAACCTGGAGTCGCACATCAATTTTGGCGCACTTTGGATTCATGAATGCGCACGTTTTTTTTTGAGGCTATCAAAAAAAAGACCCCCCTTATTTCTCCGCATTGATTTTTGTGACAACTGTGATTGGCATCCTTGGCGATTTTTGCTTTTCGCTCACTTTCATATATTTTTTTCCCTTGTACACCCATGTTTCTTTCCCACTCTGCAGACCGCTCAACTGTTCGATGATCCGTCCTCCAGATTACTAATGAGCTGACTAACTTTTTTTTTATTTTCTTAAACTATAAAAAAATGCACACAACATTCAAGCAGAACAACAAGCGGGCTGTGCTTGAATCCAGGGGTAAAAAAAGTGTTCGTCATCAGGGGGCCAAGTGAGGGAGGGAGATAAACAGGATGAGAAACTGAAAAATCCAATCAGTAAACAGCGCTTCTTGAAATCCAATTTCTACTAACCTTACTTTGACAGACAAAGCAGAGTTTGTGAGGCAGGTGCGGATTCAAAAAAAAGCCAAAGCAGTTCGTCAGGCATCAAAGCAAACGTTGATATAATCTTACCGTAATTTGAAGCCGTTTTTCATACGGCGCATGCTGGAAAATCAGTGACCGCCCCTCGTCTGAAGCGATGATGGATTTCATATGAAGCACTTAACCCAAACCATCCTTAAAGGATGCGGAAGACCAAAGTCCAGACAGTATCAGATCAAAGCTATCAATTTATCAAAACCATTCGTGCATTTGCCAGAAAGCATAATTATTGTTTTCATCCCACGAAAAAAGACATGTTCCGGTTTGACATCAGTATGAAATGGATTTACTCTCTTTCTCCCTTTTTTCTTTCTATCACCTTACCTCAATAATGCATATCACCGATCCGTCATCGAGCAAGCGATACCAGGGCTTAACAGCGCAACAGATCATCTTATTCAAGAAAAAGAAACGTTTTGCGCGAACAATCTGAAAGACAGGACCAAGGTACGTAATATGATACCTTAGATGCTTACGTGCTGCGTAATGGTAGGTTGCAACAAATGTAAAGGTCGCCGCCACCAGAGTCCGCAGCACGCTTCAAAAGCACAAAATACCAGGGCACCGGAAGCTGGGGAGCTATCAGAGGCGGTTTGCTCGGCATCTCGGGGAGGTATCGATCAGTCTTAAAAAAAGCCAAAAACCAATGCCTGCTCATTGTTGTCCCTATACACGAAGCATACACTTCATAAGTAAGTTTGTTTTACTCATCCAGAATGCCATACAACTAACTTAAACCTGTTTCAAAGGTTTGCAACAACTGCCAAAGAGAAACGCTGTAGCCTGTTTGTGACGATGACGGAACGGAACTGCATTCCATCTTGGTCTGCACAGAGACAATATGCAAGACAACGTGGAATGATGTCGTTGCTAGTAAGAATATTTACGAAATTGCCGCCAGCATCGCTTCAGGCTAAGGGCGGCCAGTCATATTCCAACATGCGCCATAGTAAATACGGCTGTTCTTTACGGTGAGACCATATTCCATGTTTGCTCTCATGTCTGATAAACTGATTTGTCTTTTTATTGAATCCACACCTGCCCTCAAATAACTCTGTTCTGTCTGTCAAAGTAAGTTTAGTAAAAATTGAATTTCAAGAAGCGCTGTTTACTGATTGGATTTTTTAGTTGGTGAACATTACGCAAAATTAGGGAAAAAACCCGTAAAGCCCGCCTACGGATTTTCAAGGTTGGGATGACAACTCCGCATATTTGGCCTGGGTACTGTGTGTTGTGCTCTATTCCCATCGATTTGAACATGTCAGGACAGACACCATGGTGAAATCCAGGCACAGCCAATTTGAACTCAACCTAAAATAAAATAAAATTTATCACGATACCATAAAGTGGAGATTCCGCTCCAAAAAAATACACAAAACGATCATCTTTGGAACTTCTCTAACATACAGGGTTGGAACAAAAAATAAAAAAAGGGCACCAAGAATGAAAACGGAGACGATGATAATGGGACAGAAAGTTTTGCAGTGAGAGATATGGATGCTCTGGACGATAGTAAAAAGGGAAAAAAATATCCAACTAAGCGATGATCCAGAAGCCATATCCGATGGCTACACAAAACGGTCTGTTTCACCACTAAAAGGACGAAAAAAAAAAAAGCACCAAAGCAATACCAAATTAAACCCACATTGCGTCTGCTGGAAACTTATTCTTTCTCTCTCGTCCTGTCTTTTTGCTTCCCCTTTTTTCTTCTTCCTTTTTCCTACTTTTTTTTGTTTTTTCTTGGCTCTCTTCTCTCAATTTTCCTTTTTCTTACTCATCTTTTCTTGCCTGCCTGATTTTCTTGTCCTTGTTTTCTCTTCTTGCACCTTGCTTCTTTTTCTTTTTTGCTCGTCTCCTCTTCTCCTCCTAACTTTCGCGAATAATGACTGCGATGGCATTAAAGCGAAGAACCCCTTCGCTGGGTCTTTTGCCGACAGTGCCCAACGTCAGTGTGATCGATACTCCACTACCAACAGCCAACAATCCTTTTATGATGAATAAGCCCGCTATTCAGTGTGGTTCGCTTTATCATACTTGCCGTTCCGTCCTCGATAAACTGGCCGCCGTCGAAGGAATGACAGAATACCTCGAAGCCGATTCCTTGCCGACCATGCAGCAGGGAAGTCCTTCCATCTCATCCGTTTCATCATCCGAACCATCCACACCGACATTGACGAGCGGAGATCCTTTATCCAAGCTTTGGACCATTTGCCGTCAGGGTTCGTCCCTCTGTACGCTTTACAACGCTCTTCAACCCAACCAGCCTCTCAGTGTCAATAGCGATCCCAACTTGAATCAAATCAACACTTGCAAAGCGAGCGTCTATCACTTTATCGTCGCTTGCCGTAACGAACTCAAGTTTCCTGAAGAAGATATGTTCACTATTTCTGATCTTTATCAGGATGATACCAACGGTTTTGTCAAGGTAACGTTCATTTTGCCATGACGAAATCTTTTTTATTATTTCATGCATTCCTATTTTCTTTTGATGAGTCATGTTCATCAGACACTTGAAAGTATCCCATTATTATTACTATTTTTTTTTTATCACGTTTCAAAAAAATGGGATATTTCAATATCAATATTCTTTTTTTCTTGTATCGGATTTTGACTTTTTTTTTTTTAACAATCATTCTTTCATGTCCATTTTTTCCTTCTCCTCCTCTTTTTTTTTCTGTACTACTCTGAAGAGGAACGGTTTCCATTTTCGCTCCATGGTCCTTTTTTTCTTTGTCTTTCTTTGTTCTTGTCTGTCTTCAAACAGGCACGTTTCACGTAGTGCTACTTTTTTATATTTCTTTTTTGTTATTCTTTTTTTCTGTTTTCTTTTTTGATGACGTGGTGTGTGGGTGTGTCGTGTATAGATAAAGCTAAATATAGTTCTTTTTTTTTGATTTAGGTTGTCAACACGATCAGCAAAATTCTCCAACTCTTGGAAGATCGTGGAGTGATTTCTGTACGATCGTCCAATCGAAATTCCGATCCCAATGCGCCCAAAAATATGCGTGATCAAGTGGTTCTGGAACTTTTATCTACTGAACGTAAATACGTCGAAGATATGCAAACCCTTCAGGTAAGCACTAAACGCACATATTATTGAGGGGGGTGATGGGTTGAGATGGGATGGGACCGAAAATATTAAATAGGCCAATTTTTTTAGAACTACATGCGGGAACTGCAGGCTCAAAAAATTGTGTCGCCTGATACGATCCATTATTTATTTGGCAATCTCAATGCATTGATGGATTTCCAGCGCCGATTTCTTATTCAGATGGAAGATATTGCAGAAAAGCCAGCAGAAGAACAACGTTTTGGTCACTTGTTTGTCCAAATGGAAGAAGCGTTTGCCGTTTACGAACCTTATTGCTCCAATTACTATTCCGCTCAAGATCTTGTTGTGCAAGAAACGCCCAAATTGCAACAACTGGCCAATATTCTGAATCCTACTTATGAGCTCCCTTCCTTGCTTATCAAGCCCATTCAACGTATCTGTAAATACCCATTGTTACAGAGTCAGTTGATCAAAAGCACCAACTGTGACTGGCCCTATTATGCCGAAATGGAAGAAGGTCTCGAGGCCATCAAACGTGTGGCGGGAAAAGTCAACGAAACTCAACGTCAACATGAAAATATCCAAGCCGTCGAAGAACTCAAAAAGCGCGTCGATAACTGGAAGGTAATGAAAAGAGAAAGAAAAAAAATCATGAGCTTTTCTTTTCTCCCGACTTGAACCATCGCTGATCATTCTTTTTCCGTTCATCAGGGTCATACCATCGAAGGTTACGGTAATCTTTTGGTGCAGGACAAATTGTTGATGTCCAGTAACGACAGCGAACGAGAACTCCATGTCTTCCTTTTCGAAAAAGCACTCTTGATCTGCAAAGAAAGCAAAGATTCGTCTCGCAATCGATTGACCAAGAATAACACGCTGTCCATGAAGAAAAAGCGACGAGGCAGTCTTCAACCGAAGGCCATGATTCTCACCAGCCGCATCCTCACCGTGCATAACAAGTCAAACAATGGTAACCTCTCCTTCCATCGTCATCATGGTTTTTTTTTCTTTGAAAGGGGTTCTTTGTTTAACTGACGGGTGGTTGCATTAGGCATGTGGGTATTGCAGGTCGAATTCCGAGATCGCGAAATTGAACAATTCACGCTCAAATTCCGCAATGAGGAGAAACTCAAACTCTGGGAGACGACGTTGAACAAGATCAAATCACACAACAAGTCAAACGTACCCAATACCCATTTGACGTCCATGTCGCTCCCTGGCACGCCCACTCAATCGGTAATGAATAGAGATGAAGGTTATTACTTGGAGGAAGACGATGATGATGAGGAGGATGATTACTACGACGATGAGGAAGACGATTACTACCAAGCCCGTGCCAACGGTAATGGGGTGTTGCCACTGAATCGACCCAGAGTAGGGTCCACACAGTACGATCCCAGTTGGAAATCCGGGTCCATCTCTTCCCAGGGCGGTCGTCCTTTCCATAACATGCCAGGTATGAATCTGTCTCCTCTGCCCCGAAGCAGTTCCAGTGTCAGTACCAGTGCCAGTTCGTCGCCTCCCATCAACTACGGAGCGTATCCCGCCTCTCCTCCACCTTCCAACCCTTCATCGCCAACCACCTCACGCGTGTCCACAGGCAATTCGAGTCCCGTCTGGCCCCGTCGTGAAGATGGCAGTTTCCCGCTCGCCAACATCGCCTCCAAGTTTATGAACGGTGGAGATCTGAGCGACGACCATCGTCAGCATCCTTTACCGATTGGTCGCAGTCATTCACAATCAGCGGCCGCAACCGGTCCGGGTGGCATTCCTTTGGGAGCATACCCTCAACCGCCTTTGCCTGCAAGTCAAACACGTTTACGATCGCAGAGCAGTCCCAATATTCACAAAAACTCGCATGGCCATTGGGATGAATTACCTCAAATTCCCATCAGTTCACGCACACTGTATCAGCACGCCGATACCGGTTCACCTGGATTGTCGCCTCGTCTAGCCGACGCCGCCACCTCTCAGTCATTGCAATCTCAGATCGATCGCGTTGTCAATGCTGTGCCCAGTTCGCCCGGGACCGTCAAAGTGAAACTCAGCTATAATGATGGCATTTACGTGATTGTGATCCCGCAAGAAGTCACCTTCTACGAGCTGATGGAGAAAGTGGAAAAAAAGATTCGTTTCGTGGCCAATTTGCGATCCGACGATATTCTGCGCTTGAAATATCAAGACGAGGATGGAGATTTTATCACCATCAATTCAGACGAAGATGTTCAAATGGCTTTCGAAAGTCGCGGAGTCAACAACACCGTCAATCTGTTCGTTTGTCTTTGAAGAGCAGCTTAAACTCCTCCAAACCTCGTTATTTTTATTTCACCGTGACGAATCACCTTTTCAGATTATCTTACTCAACCTTCCAATCGTTTGTACCTCTATCCAACACCCTTTCCTCTCCCTTTGATCATGTTTCGCGAATATCATTTGTCGATATTCATACCATTCTAACTCTCCATTTCCCGACTATAACCATGCCATTCATACCTCCCGCTTTCACACCCTTATTGTAACCAAAGGAGTCTGTTATTTCGCTCTATGGACTTTTTTTTCGGTTATGATTCTTTTTTTTTGTGTTATTCATTTTGTATTCTCACTGTATGTTTTTTTGTTTTTCTTCTTATGTCCCCCCTCAGTTTTGTAAAGATGTGGTACACATCTTTAGATTCCTTTGTATTTTTTCTTGTGTTCTATCTATTCTCCCCTCCCCCCTTTTTGTTGAAGAAAAGAAGCTTTCCGCTCGTTTTCCCCTTTTGATTCGTCTTTTACTTTTTATTCTATTCTACACTTGTTCTTCCATTTTTTCTTGTAAATAGAGATTTTTTGATTTGTTATACTATCCCCTTCCTTATTTATTCACCCTAAACAGCAGTATCACTCACCTTCGTTTTTTCTTTCCAAAAAAGAACCTAAAATAAACAGAAAAGAAATGAAGCGTTTTAAAAAAAAAAAAAAAAAAATCTACTGTTTTCGGTGATTCCGGTTTTCGTTTTGGCGCTGGTTTGGGGATGGTCTTTTGCAAACATATTAATGATTCGGCGGTCGTAGAATTTCATATGCTTTTGGATTCGCCCTCGTGAATGGCCAATGAAAACGTTCGGTGTATCACCGTTAGAGCGTCTGAAAAGGTAAGATTTTCATCGGAACGAACCATGAATGAATAAAGGTTTTTACTAGCTCATGAACAGCGTGGTCCGATCGTCGTATCGGAAAAAGGATTTATCGGGGAAAAAGTATTTCCATTGGGACGGGGTATAATTTTTTCTGATTCTAACTTAGCCAAGGCACGGTCTTTTACTTTTTGATTTGTTTCAATATATCGTATCGTGTATATTATATAAGTCTTGACTTGTTGTACATTGTACTCTGTATAAAACGCTGTAGACCCTGCTTGCAACTGGAAGCAAAAAAAGAAAGAGACGATGGAGAAAGCTACGCGCCAATTGACGAATCAATCGAGTAAAAGTTATGTAGAAGAATTAGTGACAACCTTGGATAACGGCGGACCGATGATCGGACCCTCCATGGACACGATGCAAATGGATATGGAAGAAAATTACGACCGCCAAGATACACTGGATCAATGTGAAAAGGGGTCCTCCGCTTCCACCGTCTATAATACCGAGCAATATCCCGAGGCCGCGACTGTACCATCTGAAAAGGCCACCGCCACCGTTGCCACCGCCGCCACCAAGCATCATCCTTGGTGGTCATTGAAACGCAATGATCAAGATACCGATCCTCGAACTTATTCATCATTAAAGAAACATACCATTTTATTTATTGTGGCCATTGCTGGCGCCATGTAAGTTGCAATTGACGGCGAGATCAACGTGGAAATCATATTAAATTCGATGACACAAAATAATAGGTCCCCGCTCGCTTCCACCATTTACGTAAGTGACCCATTTTGGATAATGAATCATCGCATGAAGGGAGTCTTGGTAACCAAAAAATAATTACTAGTTTCCTGCCATTGTTACCATGCAATATGCATTCAATACCACCGATACTGCCATGAACGCTTCCTGTAAGTGCATAAAACCGGGTTTCAGATCAAAAAAATTTGCATTGCAACATTGTCTAATCCCACTGGTCCTTCATAGTATCTATTTTTACATTTTTCACAGCATTTTTCGTGAGTCAGCTTTTATCGTCTGGCATAACCGTGTGGAAATCTAATGTTGGTTGTATTCTAGCCATTACTGTGGGCTACCTTTGGCGATATATTTGGTGCGTTATCGATGAATGATCATCCCCCCTCTCGACTTGTGGCTAACAAGAAAGCAAACCAATAGGACGTCGTCGTATTTACTTGATATCCTTCTTAATTTCTGTGGTTGGCAGCATTTGCTGTGCACTGTCGGTGAATGCGTCCATGTTTATCGTGTTCCGTGGCTTTAGCGCCATTGGTTCCTCTTCGGTAAGCAAATGCTCATTGAATTCGGGATCATGGCGTATCATTGACTGACATTCCGGATCCAAAAAGGTCATGTCCATGGGCGCAGGTACCCTCGCCGATATCTTTGAACCTCACGAACGTGGAAGAGCGTTTGCATGGTATACGTGTGGGCCTTTGTTAGGTCCGGCGCTCGGGTGAGTGCATCTCGGTGTTGCGTTTCATCAAAGACTAAATCTGACCCCCGTTTTTTTCTCATTCTCTTCGGATGATGAAGGCCTATTATTGGCGGTTATCTCAACCAAGGTCTGGGTTGGCGAAGCAATTTCTGGTTCTTGGCCATTTTTGCTTTCTGCCTTTGGTTGGCCATTCTTTTTTTCTTGCCTGAAACGCTCCGCCCAGAAGCTTTGGGTCCGCAAAAGCCGCCTTCCGTCAAGGAAAAGCAAGGCAAACGCTGGCCTTGGATCAATCCCATTGCCGCATTGAACTTGCTGCGTTTTCCTAATATTGCCTTGACAGTTACTTTTGTCGGCATGCTGTAAGTGGTTACCTGTTGATTAAAAAAAAATCGGAACAAAAGTTTGGCTCATATGGTTGATCACAGGTTCATGGTGTTTTATCTTGACAATACCACCTTTACTCGTACTTATACCAATCAATATGGTCTCGATTCCGGTACAGTGGGCCTGTGCTATTTACCTCTGGCTGTGGGTTCCATGATCGGTGGTATTGCCGGTGGTCGAATGTCCGATCGTGTTTACAATAAGCGAGTTGCTCAAGCCGAAGGAGGTGTCATCCACCCTGAAATGCGCATCAGTGGCGTGCTATTTGCTCTGGCATTAATCCTTCAGCTGTGTGCTTTTGTCGCCTATGGATGGTGCGTTCAAGAAAATGTGCACTTTGCTTTCGGCCTGATCTGCCAGTTTTTCCGTAAGTGGTTTGACCGAAATGATATACACGGCCAAAGGATGCTCATTTTTTTTTTGTGTATTTTAGTGGGTATGGCGCTAATGTTACCCAACGTCACGCTGTCAGCGTATATGGTTGACTGCTTCCGAAAGAAGGGAGCATCGGTGACAGCTTGCAATAATTTCGCAAGATATATTATGGCCGGTATTGGTTCTCTGGTGGCTTCCGATTTGGAACATGCCATGGGTGACGGTCCCTTGTTCACGGTATGTGGTGTGGCCATGATAGTCGTATCAGTCAACCTGATCATCGTGAAACGAAAAGCCAAGGAATGGGGTGAACTGCGCAAATCAGTTGCAGATTCCTAAAGAAAAAAAAAGCCATATTTATTCACATTTCATCAGTGCCTTCTTTTGCATAGTAACAATCTTATTCCCCCGTGCATGCTTCATCAATAAACAGTCACATACGGCATTAATCTTTCTCGTTCTCCAAAAGTTCAATGTGCCCTATTCATATTCTAGACAGTATTCCTCTTCAGTCATGGCCTTGTATGAATGCAGTCTTCAAGGACTTGTCGCAGACAATGATTTAAAAACAGCCGTGGTTCAACGCCTCGTCGGTATCTGCGGCGTAGACTCGATGGTGGATCTTTTCGAACACGACATTGTTTTTACCCCCACAGGTACCATTCCAGCGTACATGTCATAAAAATGTCGCCAGTATTGACTTGCAATTCTTTTAATGCACGTCAAAAAAAAAGTACAAACTCCAGTAGGTCCAGCGAGGAATGATGATGTTGTCCTTCGTCTTCAGTCGAGAATTACAACCGAACAAGATAAAAGCCTAAAACATCGCCAATGGTAATCACCTCTTGACGTGAATGTCTGCCATATGGCCTGCTGCTGTGCTCACAGGAGGGTCGGCTATTCCTTCCATGATTCTTTTTTGACTTAATTCGATAGATAGGTATCTATCCATGCAAGGCCATCCTGAACCCCAGCGCGGAAGGAATGTTACTGTGCGACCCAATACCCGTGTACAGCTAGGAGGCGACGCTTTTCGATTCATGAAATCTTTAGGATACAGGTATAACGTAACGATAGTACTACTAGAGAGTCAAACTTACTCAACCCATACCAGCTATTCTTTTGAAGTTGTACGGAAAGGTCATTTGCTAGCTTATGAAAAGATTCTGAGAATCACAGTGACTCAACTGTACAAGGTGAATATCTAATACAGACGACGCGGAATACGGAGAGCTTTTTGGACTAAAATCACTACGTTTATTTAGGTGAAAACCAAAGTCGACATATCTACGATCGTTCCCGTGCACGACGAAAACATGTGGGTTGTGGAAGTGACATCGATTCCAGTACCACAAGAACAAGTGAACCAGATGGCGGAACAATTAAGTAAATTCAAAGCACTATTGAACGGGTAAAAATTACTTGCAAGATGGAAAAAAAAGTACACGCACGCACGACTAGGTCTAACTTACTTTTTTTTTCATGGAATGTAGCATCGTCGATTTGGAATACGTGGATACAAGAGCATTACAAAATAGAATCAATTACACATGAGCAGTCATTAAAAAAAAAAGAGAAAAAAAAAGGAAGAAAAAATATGTACAAGGCGCGTATGATGAGCAATGTAGTGGTCATTTATTGAAGACTTTCCTTACAAAAGAAAAAGAGTTCGAACAAAGAAAGACTCAAAGGTTTCTCTTTAGTTGCTGGGAGCGGCTTCGGGGGGATTCATATCGGTCAAGTTACCACGCAATTCTTGCTCCATTTCGAGGGATTCGAAAAGACTCTTGAAATTGCCGGCGCCGAAACCGTTGTGGTTGTTACGCTGGATGATTTCCACAAAGACGGTGGGACGGTCTTCCAGGGGTCGTGTGAAAATTTGCAACAGGTAGCCATTTTCGTCATAGTCCACCATGATTTTGAGTTTCTGCAAGACATCCAAATCTTCGGTAATGGGTCGCTTGGCCGTCTTGTTGTGCACGGCCAGGGCCTTTCGCAGTTTCTCATAATACGTGTCAGGGATGGTCAAGAAATCACATCCACGCTTGCGCATATTGATAATACATGTAATGATGTCGGGCGTGTTGATAGCAATGTGTTGCACACCAGCACCACCTGTAACAAAAAAAAGGGTGAGACATGGCTCTGGCGTTTTTTGGCCGTTTTTTTTTTTTTTTTTTTTTTTGGCTTACCATAGAAATCGACAAACTCTTGAATCTGGGACTTCTTCTTTCCAACGGCAGGTTCGTTGATGGGAACCTTGATTCTCTCTTCGGGATCAGCCATCACGACGGAGCGCAAAGCGCTGTATTCGGTGTAGACCTGCTTATCATCGACGGACCAGAAGCGATGAAAGTCAAACACCTTTTCATAGAAATCGGCAATAGGGTTCATCATGTCATCAGGCTGATTACCAACGACATGGTCAATAAAGCCAAGTGGCACAGGAGGGCTAAATGAACAAAAAAAAGGAAGTTAGTTTAAATCATCTGGTTTTGCTTTTTTTTCCCACGATCCATTACACCATTTTAGCTGTGGCACATGTGGCCCAAAAACAAAAACGAAGAAGCCAAACACTTACAGCATTTCCTCCAAGGGGTCATGGTACCGTAAAGCTTCCGATGAATTCTTGTAGCCAGGCAAAAAGATGCCCTTGTAGTTGTGGCGTTCAACCAATGTATGCTGAACATCACCATACTATATGATCATCCACACAAAGTGCATTAATAAGTCGAAAATTCTCCTACTATTTTTTTCTTTTTTTTTTTTGCCTATTCTAAAGGCAAAAGAGTGCACTTACGGTAGCTAAGGTGGCCATGATGACGGTGCCGTCTTCATCGGTGAACTCTTGAGGTTCCGAGATCGACTTTGCACCACGAGCAATAGCTTTCTATAGAAGGAATGGACAAAATGGGAATCATTGGTGAGCGAGCGTGAGAAAAATCAAACCTTGTATTCTGTTGTTTCTTTGAACAAGGGTTTTTTTTTTCTTTTGAAGCTTACCTCATAAGTGGCCCTGCAGTCCTTTACAGTAAAAGCAATATCCTTGACGCCATCACCTCGACGAGCGATTTCGGCGGCCATTTCGGTCATCTCATGGGGCTGGATGGGGCTTTCAAAGACAAAGGTAGTGTCATTTTGACGGACAACATGGGAAGCGACATTGCGGCAACCGGTTTCGAGACCACGATAGGCGACATGCTTGAATCCAAGACGGGTAGTATAATAAGAGGCGGCTTGCTTAGCGTTGGTGACGGTAAATTTTAGATGATCAAATCCAGAAAAAGGGTTAACAGCTGTAATGTTCGTTGGGGTGTTTGTCTATTATGGTTTTTTATTAGTATGATGGGGAGCAGCTGGAACCGATCAACAACAGAGGTGAGATCGGGATTTCTTCTTGCTTACCATAGTCACTCAGACCAGGCTAGTTTTAAAAAGAGACACAAAAGAATATGTGAATTTAGGGTAGAGAGGGGGATTGGTTTATAGAAAGAGCCAAAAAAATTGCAATTGAGAAATAGCAATGATGTCCAAAAGGTCGTCTTCCAACTTGAACGAGTGAGAAAAAAGGTAGGTTTAAATAGTTTTGCGTGGGAAAAGAAAAATAGTTCTCACGCCTGCCAAATCACTCACCTGCATTGGGTTCAGGTGAGTTGACGTAGCTTCTTAATTTCCTTATTTCTTATTTTGACCCTTTTGCTTCGTTTTCGTCTTCCCCATCCAATCCCTGAAAAGCCGGTTTCTCCCCCCTCCCCTCCCCCAACCAAAAAAGGACCAACGCATCTTCTTATTGTCACATCCATTATCGCCCCGCCCATTTTCTCACGATGGGCTTCCCACCCTCTGTATCACAAACTCGTCCCTTTTCCGGATACTTTTAACCCATCTCACATTACCCTTTGCCACTTGAGCTAAGAAAAAGAAAAAAGAAAGACAATCATTGCAGAAACGTGCTACCAATCTGCAAAGACATCAATATCTCCTTTGCTTGTAGAGAGCCTTTGAAGAGGTGAACAAAAAGAATATAAACAAGATACATTAAACGTGGTGAAAATGGGACTAACAATACACATAGAAGCAAGAAGCAAAAAAGAAAAAAAAAAGACTGTTGAGCTGCATATGCTTCCTGTGATGCAACCATTATCGTTTTTCCAATGTGATTCTTCATGAGCAGCAGGATTTATTGGTTTACGATTCATTTTCAATGACCAAATTGATCTATCATGCTCACTGTAAGCAAGTGCTTATTAGTCCAACCCACAAGCTGTAGGGAAGACTCTTGCATTTACGGCAGAACAGAGATGCAAATAGAACTTTATGGAAGGTTCCAAGCTTTTTGTCCCCACAATGTCTTATATAAAAGGACATGCCTAGTAAACTCTATATGTACGTCTGATACAAAAAAAAAAAAAGACTATTGCTGATTGCTGTAACCCAGTCGGCAATTTTCCCGCTTCACGGCCCTGAGACGGCTCCACAAGAAAAAAAAATTAGGACCACAATGATGCGAACGGCACAGTTCAGGAATTACTGAGGAGGGAGTTTCTTGATGGTCGCCTGTCGGAAATCCATAATAATACCGCATTCCTTTGTCGTTTGGATGACAGTGCATTTGACCATAATGTTTTGTATCGGTAGAGTAGCCATCGATGTTAAAAAGGATTTGACGCAGAAAATTCTTTGATGATGGTGATTATATTTTGGATTATCTTGATATCATTGGATATAAAGTATTAACACGTTGTAAATCAATGTCAGATTTGAGCTTGTGATCAAAAATGCCGATCGCTCATCCTTTTATCTCACATTGCTGGATTGACTATAGCCCATCACTCATCAAATGATAACGCAAACCATTTCTTGTCATTTTAGGGTATATAGCCAGATTATTCTCTTGATGGAGAAAAATGAATACTAGTCATAAGCAGGCTTGTTTAAAATGCACAGAGGCGACACGAAATCAAAAAATAAATTCTCATATCCGAGCCTTTATCTCATCCATCATACGTAGGTTTTCATTTTCGTGTTTACACTTTTGATAAAATAAAAGCTGTATTGTACAATGAGATTTTTACATGCAACTATACTTAGATCGCATGAATCCTTGCTGGTCTTTACCAGAAAAATTGATGAACTTGGGGGAAAAACTAGGATCCGTAAATGATCAGGAATCATATGAAAGGTTGGGATCATTCCATCGAAGCAATACAGGCATACGACTTGGGGCTGTTGCAAGTGATGGTTAACACGACTCACTCGTGCCAAGATGGAAGCGGTGCAGCGTCTTTATGTATAAGGCACGTAAGAGAGTCAAGTTCGGAGCTTAGAAAAGAAAGCAATCAAGACAAAAATGGCATTGAAAGCTGCCTGACAATACCTGCAGCAGTAAGCACAGAGATTTGATGCCACGTTATCACCTTAATTCTATGTGGTTTTGTTTGTAAGAAATTTGCCCGACCAAGCGTCGAGATATGTTATTTGTGGGACAAGATAAACACTGTTGGCCGTGTGTTATTACTCTCTGTCGTCATGCAACTTCAGGCTGGGAAAAAAAAAAAGGAAACCTGCTTTTGTTGATGTTTCAAAAGAAACACAAGGTCAGAGGCAGCTCACAGCGCGAGGAAGCCAGAGACAAATGGAGAAAAGGAGTCTTTGATACCATAGCCATTGGATTTGCCGGGCGATCCGTTATAAGGTCTCCTTTAAACTTGTGGACTGATGAAAAAAAAAAGTTTCCTTCACATTTAACGATAATAAATGATGTCGAGCGCGTGATTGAAATCACTGCTGATAGTTTCCATTTTTCTCATTGATAAGATGCATCGAGATAGGTAATAAACCCGCCACCGCTTATCTCTGTATATCTTGTCCGGCACTTGACAAAGGCTTTAAATTGGATGCCTTGGCATTTGGAGCACACCACGTCGTCATGGGTGGTGCCGTCTTTGGTTTGTTTTAGGGAAATGACTTGGTGGTTGCAAAAAAGTGGGTGCTTAATTTTTTTCATTGACAAACAAATAGTGCGATTGGTTTACTTTAACTCAGTTTGATTTTTAAGCCAATCAAATTGGTTTGATTTCGATAACCGAAATAGCATATGATTATTATTTTTTTGTGTCCCAAAACGTCATATGAAAAAATTGTCGCGATTGCCGTATCCGATTTGGGTCAGCCCAATCTTATCGTGGATTTGCAGCATTTTGATTGGATAATGAGATCCTTATCTTTTCAAGGAGATAACCGGAACCCACGTTTGCATGATTGGATCAGAATGGCTTATCAACGGGCCAATGTGTCTCCCTTTTTCCGATTTTTTTTTTTATTCAACGCTTTTGGCCTAATTTTCTAAAGGAAGGGCTCTCTTTTTTTTTCGCTTTTTCCATTTTTTTTTTCTTCATCTTTTCATCCTCCTTCTCTTCCATTTCTCTTTATTATTTTTTCTATATTCAGTTATCACCCCATCAAGTAGTATTATGAACCATTGCTCCTCACGCCGCAACGACAACACGACAATCAAACCTAATAACGCTCTCCGCATTGATACCGATCCTCTTGGGATCTCTTACCAACCCGATAATGATCATGATGAACAATACTACTCTGAACTATTTCGACAACTCCATCATCATCATCATCATCATGAAGACCCACAAAATCCAACATACACTGACAACGTGTCATCTCATTTAACCGTTCATCATCGCCCGTCTACGGAGGCGACCGCGCCGTTACCTTCATTATCATTGACCTCGTCTCCTTCATCCTCCCGATCCTCCTCCGTCACCACGTCTCCCATCCTTCAAAGTGAAAATGCCACAGCACCTCCCGTATGTATCCCACGACGGGATGTCACTCACCGAAGTAAATGTCAACTGACTCGCCGTTCGACTCTCACATCTCCCGCCCCCAACAGTAGTGGTGTGTCGTCCAAATCATGGAATCACATCAAATCACCTGCAGCGACGTTTCTCGCGAGTTTCGCTTCTCCCGTGCAGACCAGTCCGACTCAGGAAGAAGACGGCGATGAAATAGATGATTATGTCCTGGGCAAGGTCATTGGTCACGGAGGATTTTCCGTGGTCCGAGAAGGCTATTGTATTTCCGATGGTCACAAGGTCGCTGTCAAGGTAATTGCAAAGTCCCAGTTGGACGATACCGAGCAAATGCGTCTTGATCGTGAATTGGCCATCTGGAAATCGCTTGATCATCCGTCGATTGTTGTTGTTGAGAAAGTGTTAGAAACCGATTATGCGGTGTATGTCATTTGCGATTACTGTCCGCACGGCAGTCTGCTGAATCGTTTGAAAGAGGGACCACTGTCGGAGCAAGAGAGTCGACGCATCTTTATCGAACTGTGTCAAGCTCTGCAATACCTGCATCACCACTGTAAGGTATGCCACAAGGATATTAAATTGGATAACGTTCTTTTGGACCGATCCGGTCACGTCAAACTATGTGATTTTGGTCTGGCCGTTTATCAGACCCCCACGACAGCCATGTCTTCTCCCTCAGGTATGCCTATGACGCCTTCACCGGAACCGGATCCTGCCGGCGGTTCGCTGGCCTACATGGCTCCCGAACAACTGAAAGCCAATACAGTGCTGGCGTGTCCAAAGACCGACATTTGGTCTTTGGGCGTTGTGCTCTATGCACTAGTGACAGGCCGACTTCCATTTGCTGATGACTATGAATTGCGTTTGCAACAAAAGGTGATGGCCGGTCAATTTGACTTGCCCGATCATCTTTCCACCGAATTAAAATCTCTCATTCAACGATGTCTGCAAACCGATCCTCAAGACCGCTTATCCGTGGAAGAGGTATTAAACATGCCATGGTGTCAGCAGCACTAATATCTTTTCTTTGTTGATGATCCCCCCCAACCCTCTATCTGTCTTTCTCACTTTTTCTGTCACTCCTCTTTTATCCAGATCCATATCTGCATCCATTTTTTTTCTCCAATTGTCTCTCATTCTGTAAATATTATCTCATGTTGTTAATCATTCCTCTCGTTTTTATATTTTCCTCCAATGTATGTATGTAATGTATCCCTGATCACCCTTTGTTAGCGTTTTTTTATATCGTATTGTATGAATTTTAATTCCCAAAAAAAATTGCTAATAAAAAAATATTTTCTGGTTCAGACCGTTTGTGTTACTTCAGTCCTGTCGTTACTTGAATCTTCAAAAAAGATACAAAAAAAAAGAGGGTGAGCGAGAAACTCAGCCATCATTGACCAAGGAATCATAGCCATCTGCCAAAAAAAAGTTATAATGAATCAGCCACAACTCCATTTGAATCACGTAGTTTGATGGCAAAATGACTTACAAGCACAGATGCCTTCCATGTAACAAGCCAAGACGATACCGGCGGCGACCTGTGATACCGGATGTGTGAATCTGCATTAACAGGGTGGTAAGTCTAAGCGGTACGAGTTATGTTGATCTACACTGAGAAATAGGATCTTTACCTGGTAAAGAACGCTAACATGTAAAATATTTGCCAATGATGCAGGTGGATGTTGATCCGACTGGTGTATGGATTATAAGGTCCTGTCAATAGTTGAGTCTCCGACTCGGGTTGCGGTGTAGGTGGTTGTTCGGGTGTGGCAGATCGGGTGGACGCACCTTCTAGATCGTCCGGCTTGGTTGCTCCGTAATGAATTGAGGAAGGCTTTGGTTGTTGTCGGAATCGGAACAAAAAAGTACGGGTCCAGTTCGTGTTGACTTCTTTTTGAATCGCAAAAGAAGCGGCGAGGAAGAAGCTGGGCACTAAAAGTCCGCAAACGTAATAAATGACAAACGGTAACGGTTGTTCCACTGCAAGGTAAATGTGAAAAGCAGCAAATGCCAAAATAACACTATGCCCGAAAGAAAAAGAAAAAAGGTTTTTTTTGGGGGTTCCACGTTAACACTAATTTTCATTCTCCGATGTAACCATGGAATAAGTGGATCAACGTTACCCTACAGCGGTCAAAAAGACGACCCACATGCCCGTCGGCCAATGTTTAATATTAGGTAACGAGGTCTTGGTAAAAGGTAATTCCGCTATTAAGGCATAGCCAAACAATGAAGGGTAAAAAGCAACCACTGTAATCCAGCTATTTTTTTTTTTTTTTTCATCGGTCAAATGAAAAAAAAAAGGCGAGGAGATCAGGACATCGATCCGCAAAGGTAAACATGGTAACACGGTTACTTCGCGTTCTGTAACCAGTTTGTTTTGGTTTTTTACCTGAATGCTCTGGTATAATTGCCAAACACGAATAGAATGACACCGTAGGATAACCCATGGAAAATGTCGCTCCAATGCCTGGCGCACGTTTTGGTATTAGTTTCCCATTTGTAACGATGGGCGATCCAGCGATAGATCGGGTATGGAACGAGCAAAAAGACAATTATAAAATATAAAAAAACTAGAGGATGGAATGAAGCCAACGCTGTTTCCGCCACTGTCCGTGGATCGGGGAAGTTGAGAACAGGGTCCGAAGGTGCCTCCATAGGGAAAAAAGGATTGCCACACGCGTATGGAAACAAAGAAAAATGGCAAGTTGGGTGAACGGAGGAGACAAAGGGGAAGAACAAGAAAGAGAATGTGCTTGGGTGGGTGGGTGGGTGAGAGAGAGGAGAAATAGAAGGAGTAAGAAAGAGATAGAATCCAAGATAGAATCAGAGAGAGGAAGAGAGAGAGAGGGAAAAAAACGAGGAGCTGAGGGATCGGAAGCGAAAAGGAGACAACCCAGAGGACGAGCGGAGCCTCATTCGTTTTTGGATCCTGGCTTTCCATTTGTTATTTTGCATATGGGTTTTCTCAACTCAGCCGAAAGGGGCGTGGGGGTTTTAGAGAGGAGAATACAGTTGGGGGCAACACTACTTTTTCATCGTATGTGCTCATGCTTATTTTGAGCATCAACAGCTAATTTGCGCATTTTATATATACAGAACATAAAGAAAATAAACCCAAACAAAAAGAAAATGAAACAAAAGAAATAAAAAAAAACCGTAAACAACAGTAACACCAGCAGTGAATGAATGCCATAAAAAACACGTTTAAAAAAAGGGTGGTGGGAGGAAAATTGAAGCGATATATGCAATAATGAGAAATAAAAATAAAAAAAAAGTCGGTAAAAGACCAACCAATGGTATCATAAGGAAAACAATCACCAAAAAAAAAAGGACAAAAAAACAACAGAGAAGACCAGGACTAGACCATAGTAGTGTGATGAAGCATGACCAGCAGATTGGCGGCGTCTTCATCATCGGATGACATGGAATCGTAACTGAGTGGCGAGTAGGCAGGACGAGGTGAAGTGCTCCGCTGAGCGGAATAGGGTACCTGAATCTGCGTCGGACTGCATGACGATTTACTTTTGTGGATCTTATTGCGTAGCGGCGGAGTAGGGTAGTAACGATGCTGCGGTTGTGGAAAAGCCGACACGGCCCTTGCCCTTTTATTCATCAAACTTTTCATGGTCGGTCGCAGTAACAGATTCAACTCGAGCGTATTTAAATCGCACCGTTCGTAACCGTGTTGTCGTTTGAAATTCGCCAATGCCAACCGTGTTTTCAGACGATAGATCATCTATTGAAATTGCAATGAGTTTCGTGCCGCGTACAAACGGGGGGGGGGTGGGGAGAAGATGGGATCATTTTTTTTTCTTGGTGAATGATCGTTGATACATTACCTCTGATATATCATTCGAACGATGATGCGATGTCGAGGATTGTATCATGGTAAGTAAAAAAGAAAAGTTTGCAGGAAATAGAGAGAGAGTGAGAGATAGAGACAGAGAATATTCTTGTTGATGAAAATAAAGCCGAAAAAGTACAAAGTCAGTATGAGTCCCGATAACCGAAGAGGCAATCGTATATATAGAAAACCGATAAAAAAAATCAATCGGGGAAAGGATAATGGTTCTCGTCCCTTTATAGATGTAGAAAATAAGAAATCGGAAAAAGGAAAGAGGGATGGAAAAAGCCTGGTGGGCAAGTGAAAATGCGAACAAAACCGGGCCATTGGCGGATATAGACTCCAAAACGAGGACGAATACTCTTGGCCTCTCCTCGAGTACTTGCCTTATTCAGCCTTAAAAACGGGTCATTGGCATTGATGCCCTGCCACCTTCAAACTCCGCATTTCCATCGCGAACGAATCGTAACCCGTCTTGTCCCGCACCTGACCAATGCTTGTGAGCAACCTTGGAAACTATGATATCATCAGCACAATTCGAAATCCAGACTTTGCACTTTATCCATTTTTTTTTCCCTTTGACCATGGTCTCCCATTACTACAGTGCGTTATTGATTTCCACTCGACAAAATGCATCACTTATATTTATCTCTAAACACAATGAATTAATAAGAGAGAACATGACTGTAGCCAACGGCTGGGTCCTGAAACGTCTGAATATAGTATATACCATAGCCACTGCCTGTGTCAGATCACTGATACAAACTCAGCGGCTTCGCGTCGGTTGCGCAGCTTCCCAAAACGACAAGAAAAAAATTTTCAACGCGTCGCAGTCAACTGCGTTTTCGCATTGAAAAAAAAAAGTGACGAGAATGCTTGTGTCTGGATGAAATTAGCCGGCCAAGTAGACTGAAATTGCAATTATTCAGCCAAGTTGCAGCCATGGGGGGAGGTCAACTGAGGCATTTTTTTTGGGGCTCAGGATGGCTGGCATTGTTCGTCATGTTATATGATCGGTTGACGTAAACGGCCCTTTCGCGACGTATGACAACAAGTTGGCAAATGACGTACTGTAATCTGTTGTCTTTTTTTTTTCGATCCACATGCTGTGTTGACCAAGAGAGTGGGGGGGGGGCGCGCTGGGAGGTTGACTAAGCAATATAAAAATCATTGTAAAAGGACCCTACTGTGGTTTTATCATGGTTATTCATTGATCAGCTTGTGCCTTTTTTTTCAGATCATGGGATCATCAGCTGTACGCATATTTTTTTTCAATTACTGTAGATGGTTTTTTTTCCCAAGGATCATTTTTATACACTATGGCACCACTTAATTACCAAAAACCGGATCAAACCATACGATGGAAGACTAGCGAGCCAAACTCGTTATCGTTACATGTGAAATTAAGAAAGACCATCATATCGAACACAGGCATCTAGCATTTTCTATGTTGCGACTCAGATGGTGGGTTGATACTTGCAAGTCAAATACACCGTCTAAGCATCACCTAAAAAAGTATGAGGATGAGATTTGTCGACTATATGGATAACGGCATGCGATGACGCGTGCCTAGACTATAGAATAATGATCGCAAGATCCGCTTTTTATCAAATTGTATAGGTTACGAAACACACAAAAAAAAAAGATCGTCCATGACCGCCTCGGTCCAATCATGAGCGCATATTTGAGTTTCCACGTTGCATTACTCAATGTCATTTCACATCTTGAATGGACATAGTTCAATGCAAGATTATGTTGAGGAGAAACTTATCTTTTCAAGAGCGACATGTTCACAATGAGGCACTGGCTCATTGACAAAAGAAAAATATAATGGCATCCTACTTTTTCAAGAAAGACTTAAATGTTCGCGTCAGTGAATGCATGCTCCGACTAGCTCGTAAGCCATATGGACAATGCAACGACGAAAGATTTTTGTACTAACCAGTGAAAAAGTGCTTGGGAAAAGTACAAGAGCCAGTGTCCCACCGGCAAAAATGTTGTCGGTTGGGATAGTTACCTTTGTCTGATTCTTTTGCTATCCTTTTTGTGTTTCAATAACATGCTATTTCGCTTCTTCGATATTTCAGGATTCAAAAAATAATGACGATCATTAAGTTATTTTGTTGGAATGATTAAAAAAGCACAGGATCGCTTTCATGCTACAAGAAAAAAATCAAAGAAATTTCGGGCAAATTATAAAGTGGGGGTATTCAGGCAAATCATCGCCCAATGTTAAAGGACAGTGGCCGTTGAACGTTTTCCGTTTCTGTAAAAAATAGCATCAGGCGATAGAGGCTTCTCCAGTTTCGAAACGTGATGTTTGCCGTTGCAACACATTCTCACGTCTTCGAGTGACCCGCTTTCACTTGTTTCGTCGTCATCGCGGCGTGGACCACCGCGTCCCTGAAGTTGGTGGAGCACCGAGCGTACCGAAGCAAACGAATCCAGAGACGTTAATCGACTGCTGACCGAATTCGTTTGTCGTGAACGTTGAAGACCCGGCGACGGTCCAAGCTGTCGATGACTCGTCATTGACCCTGTCACGCGCTTCATGCTTGAACTCCTTGGATCACTGGCCGGCTCGTCCTCTGATCGATCTACCAGATACGACAAAGACTACACGTGGATCATTTTTCAACATACATCAGCTACAATAACTGTTATCAACAATATTTTGCAATCACTCATTTACCTCCAACCAGATGCGGTGGCTGGCCATATTGGGTGCGGTCACTTTGATAGCTCGATTATGTGTTTTGATAAGCAGGCTCACTTTAGGTAACCCAGGAGGACCCGGGGTATAATCGGCGATCTCTACTGCGCTCTGAATAAATGCTAAATTCTCGAAAAAACAATGATGAGTACACGATCCTCGTGAATACGGCACGCACTGCAAGTTACCGCTTTTAGCTTTAGCTTCATCGTGCGTAGTGCCAGGAGCTCGAGTACTCCAATAGAGGACACGCGTGTAAGGGTGGATCCAGAAGTAGCGTTGGTGACGGTAGTCGGAAAAGTTTTGGCCAATCGGCTTTCGGGTATATTTCCACAACCATCCACCAATCATGGTCTCGGTCACCGTGGAGATGGCTTTGGAGTACGAGGCATTGGTTTCGGGGACTCGTGAAATTGTCGAACGGGCTGAAGTGACCGAACTGCATCGATCTGTTGCCGTCGTGGTGGAAGCTTGGTATGGCGGTTGAGGAGCATCGGGCGGTTTGGACGGGTAGATGATATCGCGCGGATGCACATACGCTACACCGTACTGGTCAGATGAGGACGATTCACCAGTGTCATCTGTAGCGGGCGCTTTGCCCTTGTCACGCTTGCTTTGATTAGAGTCGATACTTCTAGTTCGGGCGAGCCGCGCTTTGGAAAGTAGAGACGGTGGCGGAGGACTTTCTGGACGAGGAGGTGGCGTACCGAGTCTCGTACGGGCCGCGGTTTCGTCCTTGGTGGCGTTACGATACGCTAGATCGGCCAAACTGGGGGAACCTCGGATCCCGCGTGTGGAATTCTTGGGTGAAATGCTTCTTTGCGAACAAGTATCAGGCTGGGTCAAATTTGTGCTCATATCACACGTATGTCGCTTGGTATCCGAGGTATAACCATCGTTTTGCCCTTCTTTCTTGGTTGACTGAGCCTCTTTTTGCACTTCGGTCTTTTGCATGTCAGCTATCGCTGCTGCCACCGCCGCTGCCACCGCCGCCTTTACCATGGCATTGGCTTCATCTATCGAGATCATTTCCGAAGGGTCCCTGGGTCCATCAGGCGCTGGAGAGGATATCGAATTCTTTGGAGCATCCTTGCCAGTTTCATCATTGGTCGATGATGGATCTTCCTTGTTATCGCCGTGCTTGGGTATATCGTCATGCAAAGTGCTCTCTTTTGCATCATTAGCGCCGCAGGCGGGGGAAGGTTTCGCTGTCATTCCCTCGTCTGTAGCCGGAGTTGAAACGATGGATGAATTATTGCCAATTTCTTTGGAACCATATGGGTCGAGAGCAGCGGTTGGCGAAGAATTCTCGTGGTCAATTGGTTCAGAAGGATGGTCCCTTGTAGGAGAGTCAGTGATTTGAACTGGAGGTAATAAAGGTGGTATGGTATGATCTTGGAGGTCTAATCTATCTGTTTGGGTGGCGATATCGATTGCAGAAGCGGATCCGTCGGTAATAATATCCGTCATGGTGCATTGAACGGATCGATCATGACGGCTGCTGTCCAAACTTCCTCCAGACAGCTCCGGTCCGATGGGCGGACTCTGGGATGACGGCCGTTCACTACTTGAATAAATCAAAGGTGAGATATCAAAAGATGGAATATGATATATTTGTAGAACAGGTGATGGAGACGGTGGTGGGTTAGGTGAAGTGATTGCATCGGAGTTGTTGGGTTGTTTTGGGATGGTTGGACTGGGATCTCCTGCAGCTTTTTCGTCTTGCACCGATGTACATGATGGAGCTGTATGGGTTGCTGCGGCTGCATCTGGACTTTCATGAACGGAAAACGCCGAATGAAGTTCATCTCCGAGAGAACGGAAAGATTCCGTAAGTGGATCATTGTCTTTATCTTTGTCGTCGTTGTCCTCATCATCATCGTTATAGATCACAATCGCAGGAATACTGGTCACATTGACGGGATCGGTGTTTACTTGTGCATCGACTCCAGTCAATGATTTAATTTGACTTTGCGACAATTCTGAAGACAGCGAAGTAAATCCCAAAGAGGCCGACGATCCAATCTTTCTCAAAGGCGTGGATCGTGGCTTTTCCATTTCCACGTCTGTTTGCGTGTCGCTTTCGTCATCGGAGCTGCTCAAGGAGTAAAAATCTGCGTGGTGATCATCCACGGCTTTGACACTGTCGTCGACACCGGGAAGACTGTCAATGGTCCCTTGACTGGTGCGTCGTCGATTGGATACGCGGGGCGGTTTACCGCGAGTTAGCGTACGTGGTTTCGACTTGCGTGATCGTCGCGAGGAAGTGGATGTGCTGTTTTGGACGTTGCCCACCGTGCATCGACTGTGACGTGCATCGACCCACATTTCCGGATCGTTCTGCAACTGTTCAATGTGTTCCTGGGAATCGGCCAACAGTTTCTTCAATTCAAACTTTTCTTGCTTTTCCCTGTGGAGATTGGAACGCAAGTTCGAAACCATTCGATGAGCATGGGCCAGGCTCGTCTTTAACGTTTCGACTTCCAACGCTTGATTGCGTGCTGGCGTCTGTTTCGGCGAAGGCGGCGGGGTGGTGCCGGGTGAATTGCCTTCTTTGACCGAGATCGCTGCATCTTGATTTTGTTCATCCGAGGTTTCCGCACTCAACGATGGTTTGAGATCCGAGTGGCTATACCTTGCAATACGGGATTGCGCTTTAGCAATGGCCAACTCGGAATTCAGCGCTTCAATTTGTTTTTCCAAATCGGTCTTTTCCCGTTGAAGTCCGGCGGAATGGCGCCGAATCACCGACATATCATGCTCATGACGCGTCTTCATATTATCCATCGTGGCAGCCAGTTTCTCTTCCCGATCCTTGAGCTGTTCAATATCGTACGTTAAACGATTCAGTTGTCTTTCCAGTTTATGCTGCTCGATATTGGATTTATCAAGACTCTGCTGCAAATTAGAGACTGTTACGCTTAATTCCTGATTCGCCAGTTCAAGGTTCCACGTATCTTCTTTGAGTCTCTCTAAGCAATATGGACTGTTTCAATAAATGCATGTACTAAAAGGAAGGACCACTTCTTTCTCTTTTTCTTGTGGAATGTACCTTCATTTTCTTCTTTTAGTCGCAATTGTTTGGCCATGGCTTCTGCTGCGCGCTCGAGGTCGGCCTTTTGAATCTCGATGGCTCTCAAATGTTCTTCCTTTTCTTGCAGCAAGGCGTGCATTTTGCGTACTTCAATTAGCAGGCCCTGGCCAATCTCCGTGGCAAATTCAATATCGGTGTTACGACGATCGGTATTGGGCACTTTGGACCGTCGCTTGGTGGGTGTGGATCCGGTGGGGGGCGGTGGTAACGGTAACAATGACGTGGATGTATCATTTCCGGTCTCCATGTACGTAGAAGACGTTGGACTGGGCACCTGGTCGACACCATTGGGTCGTTGACCAAGCAGCTAAAAAAGCAATGCATTAATTGAAAAAATCTTTTAAAAAAAAGAAGCGGATAAAAAAAAATTGTGATCGAGTTTCTATGAAAGGATCCAAGTTTGGGTTCTTCTTGTCCCCAAGGAAAATAAAAAAAAGGGTTTTTCGTACCTTTTCTTTGCGTAACCCTGGAATATTCGATGACAGTGAATTGCCTCTGTAAGCGGTCAGATCGCGTTCCAAATTGCGCAGTTTTTCCGAAGTGACCGATGATACCGAATCTGAAGATTTTTGCGGCGACACCGGTGCTGGCGTGTCCCGCAACTTTCCTTGAAGTTGACTGATTTGTCTGACAAGCACGTTTTTTTCAATCCCGCTGCGTGATTCCTGCAGCTGGTTTTCCTTTTCAGCCAGTTGTTGCTCGAGTTCAAGTCTGAGTTGCGATGGCGACATGGCGGATGGCATTGGAGACGATGCAGACCCACCAGATGACGGCGACTTGTCCATGGCCACCATGCCCCCTGTCGGTTGCGGTGGTGATGTCAAACTCATATGAATAGAGTCGCTGTCTCAGATTAGTAACTACAATGAACCACTCAAAAAAAAAAGAAATAGAATCACTGCTGAGGTAGACACAGAAAAAGATATCAAGTGAGAAATAAATATGAAAAAAAGGGACCAAGTGCGAGTGAGCTGCGTGTGCAAATTACAAAAAAAAAAAATTAATAAATAAATAAAAAAAGAAAAAGAAAATAGTTTCCTATGTGCTGACACACATACGCACATGCAGAACGACAGGCGTGTTCACCCATTCACCGCTTGAAATGACTGAGTTTTTTAGGACGCATCAAAGAAGAAAAGAAAAAAGGGGGTGGGGGAAGATCCCTCCGCTTCCGTGACGGCTCGGATACTCAATATTTTCTCTAGATGTGTGATAAAAGGGACGATCCATCAAGACCAATTTCTTGCTTTTTTCTTGCGGACACTCATCATGTTATCCAAATGAGGCCCTACTTTTTTATTTTCGTTACAAAAGAGAAAGTTCCCCATCATCCGTAGTTCAGCACGCGAGTATCATGCTTTTTTCATTGCTCTTTCAAGAGCGCGCCAATCTTCTCATCTGAGGAGAAGTCTGAGGCCCTTCCTTGGGAGTCTTTTTTTACAAGAGGGAGACATCACTGAGTTGACATATTCAGTATAAACACAGCAACTCTCATCCTGCAAATTACACAACGTACGCTTTCCGCGAAAAAAACCAAATATTGTAGCTGTAATCAAGGGGGAACTTAATGAAATAAGTATTTCCATTGCTTCATAAAAAGCCCTGGTTTTGAGGAAACTCTCGGATAAGCGTTAATTGGCTCTATTACATTCAATGCCAAATGTGGTTTTTTATACGAAAAAAGATCCATCGATTTCTTGAAAACGTGGACAAGGAGATTGAAGGGAGAAAGCTTCTTGTTGAGCCTTGTATAAACTGTAAAGCACATGCATGGAAACTGTGCATTTTCTTTTATGTTGGCAAAAAAAAAGTTTTAGTGCTTTTTTTACGTCGCTTGGCAACGCGGGCGTGTGCAACCCAGGAATCATTTTGTTCATGCATTGAGGTGATTCTCTTGTATGTCTGAAACCCTGGCCAACGATGATCAGCGATCATTGATAAATTTGTGCCCCGCTGTATGAAAGGATCTTTTTGGCCTGGCAAACATACCCTTTCCGCTTTAACCTTTTCATGCATGGGATTGGCATGGCAGCTTTGCTTTGGTCTTGTCATGGATAATTGAGCCGAGAAGATGATCAGGCGAAAACGTTCAATGATAAATAAAAACTTGCGCAGCATTTGGATTTCCGCTGCGGAACAGAAAAGACCAGCGAACTGGAATGATTGATCTATGATGCCCTTGTCTTTCATCGGCTTTTCAAAAACCAATGGTCCGGTTATCAGACTATTTAAGACGCTATTTTGCTGAAATAGTTGGTCGTCGCGACACGAGAATTATTTTACACTATCATCACTATCATGTCTTGCGGAACCGTTTTTGAGCTGTAAGTCAATTGGTTTCCTATTTTAATTATAAAGTGATATTACACAGAGCACTCATATCATTCAATGCAGCAATACTGGCGCCAAGATTCCTGCCGTGGGTCTTGGTACATATCGTTCCAAGCCTGAAGAAGTCTATGACGCCGTCCTCAAGGCTATCAAGACCGGGTAAGTGTTGCGGCAATGAAAAAAAAATATTCCATCCCAATGCTCGCCAAAAAAAAACTCATTGTGCGCGCAGATACCGACATATTGACGCTGCCTACATCTGTATGTGTTGTTGTATGTTTTGCGATTGCGGAATGAGTATGGGGTTAATGCTAGCATTGTTTAGATGGCAATGAAAAGGAAGTGGGTAAAGCTATCCGCGACAGCGGTGTGCCACGTGAAGAACTGTTTGTGACCACCAAATTGTGGAATACATTCCATCGTCCTGAAGATGTGCAAGCCGGTCTTCAAGCTTCCTTGGATAATTTGCAAATTGACTATCTCGACTTGTGGTTGATGCACTGGTAAGATCAAAATCTCCCCAAAAAATGAGGTTATCGGGAGCTAAAATTCATCATGTCCTATAGGCCCATCGCCTTTGTTCCCGGCGACAGCTCGATTAAACCCGACCAAGTTCAATTGGATGATACGGATTTTGTCGATACCTACAAGGTATTAAAACGTTAAGAGTTTTCCTCAGAGTGTGCGTTATATGAAAAAAAAAACAATCTCACCAAGGCATTGACAGGCTATGGAAAAGTTGGTGGGACCCAAAGTGCGAGCCATTGGTGTCAGCAACTTTAGCGTGCCCAAACTTGAAAAACTTCTTGCAGAAACAACGGTGGTGCCTGCAGCGAATCAGGTAGGATGATTTATGAGGCGCAGCACTCGAAAAAAAGAAGATACTAAGCTTTTGATATCAGGTGGAATTGCATCCTTATCTTCCCCAGCGAAAATTGCTGGATTTTTGTCGCGAAAAGGGCATTCACGGTAATTGTTTTTTCCAGCTACAACATTTTAAGCAACGATTTTTGACCCGAATCTTTTCTTTTTTCCATCGCGGCAGTCACGGCATACTGTCCCCTTGGCAGCGTCGATTCTCCTCTTATGAAGGACCAGAAACTTGTGAGTAATTGATTTGGAGTTCATTTCATGATGCCTGCATATTGAATATGAAGTTCTTGTGTAGCTTGACCTGGCCAAGAAGTATAACGCGTCACCCGCTCAAATGCTCATTTCATGGGGTGTGAAGCGAGGCACGTCCGTGATTCCAAAGTCCGTCACGCCTTCGCGTATTGAAAAGAACTTCCATGTTGTCCCGCTTAGAGACGAGGATTTCAACACCTTGGACAGCCTCGTTAGCGATGAGAATCCTCGACGCATCGTCGATCCCATCAACTTTTGGGGAGTCAGCATCTTTTAAAACATATGAGATAATTACAATAAATCAGAAATATTTGAGATCGTCTACTGTGCAAAAAGATTGACGTTCCGTCCACCGGAAGGTTGTTTGACTCATGAAATAGACGCGTTCGGAGAAACAAGGATTAATTAAATAACGGTGTGATACGGGAAAGTGGACCCTCGTCATGATATCTGTTTGTTGTATAATGGTCGGTTCTTTTTTTTTTTTCTTTTTCGAATTGGACATCAGAGTATCTGCGGCACGTCTGACTGATGCATTGATTAATCGGCTATGATATGGAAAATTGCCGACCGATCATAGCAGCCAACTTGGAGCGGTCGTTCCAGGTGCCGAATCTGTGGCTACAGAGTGCGACCATGCTGCCAATCGTTGGCTATTGCTATAGGCCAAGTTTTTAGTTCATGGTTAAAACGGCGACACCCAATTATTTCATCATAAGTGAACAGGTTTTGGCCACTTTGCATGATCGCTGTTCCGTCACCCTATGAGTTGTACTTTACCAATCAAAAAATCCACAAGGTACTTAACTCTATGATCGTTTTCCATTAAGGCACCTTATCATTTTCTTCTGAAATTTGGAAAAAGAAAAGAATGGGCGATAGGTGTCAAATCGTCATACCAATCTTCGGCAGAAAAGTTTAGGCAGTGTGATCTGAGTTTTGTCGGTTCCGCAGTAAAGAAAAAAAGATCAGCGACCGGCGCGTGGTCCGTTGAAACAAGAATCAATTGATCTTAAATACATATAAAAAAACAGATAAAATAAGTTTTTCTTTTATTCAGTGAACTCACGACACTCGGAAAAACTCGACCAACTATCATGTCTTTGCCAACAGCCTTTACACTGTAAATATCGACAGCTGTGACCATAGGAATTACAGGCAGACTTGTTAACCTTAATTATTTGCTCGCTGTTATAGTAACAACGGTGCCAAAGTGCCTGCTATGGGTCTGGGCACTTGGTTATCAGAAGCCAACAACGCTTACAAGGCGGTATTGGCCGCTCTTAAAGCCGGGTAAGTCTGACGTGAGATAGTAGTAAGTTGCGAAACCAACTTGCTCCAGTGCGCTAACCTTTCCAATTGCCGATGACAGATACCGACACATCGACACTGCCTGGATTTGTAAGCTTCTTACTATTTTTTTTTAGCTTTCAATTTCTATGAATGAATTTGCTAAACTGTCATTCATAGATGGCAATGAAAAGGAAGTCGGTCAAGCTATTCGCGATAGCGGTGTGCCAAGAGAAGAATTATTCGTTACAACCAAGTTGTGGAATAACATGCATCGACCTGAAAACGTCGAGAAAGCGTTGCAAGAATCCTTGAATAATTTGCAGATCGGTTACATTGATCTGTATTTAATGCATTGGTAACCGATATATCCGAATTTTCAATTCCGATGGCCAAGCTTTTTCACAAGTTCTAACTGCCTTTCTCATTTTTTCATTAGGCCTTTTGGTTTCCCTCCTGACAAGGGCTTGGTCATGCCCGTCGATGAAAACGGTCGCGCTATCGTAGACGATGTCGACTTTGTCGATACATTCAAGGTAAGAACAGGATTTGTTTTAGCATGCGTGTATGAATTGGTTAAAATTTTTTATTTTTCGTCAGGCTATGGAAAAGTTGGTGGGACCTAAGCTTCGTGCAGTCGGTGTCAGCAATTACACAGTGAAGCATCTGGAGAAGCTTCTCGCAGCCGGATGTTCGCCTGCTGCCAATGAGGTAAAAAAAAAAAAATAATACTTGTATTACAGATTTCAAAAATAGGGTCCGCTAAAAATCAAATATCAAGGTTGAATTGCATCCTCTTTTGCCGCAAGAAGAACTCGTCAAATACTGCCAAGAAAAGAATATCCTAGGCAAGTTCAGTTCATGAATATCTGAACATGGTAGCATGATTCTCATATTTGAATATACGTATGTAGTGATCGCCTATTCTCCGCTTGGTAGCAGTCCGAACCCCTACACCGAATATGTCGCTCTGGTGGACAATGAAAAAGTGGTACGTATATGCGAGCCGTTTCTAAAACCAACTAAAAATAAAATCAATGTGGACTTACACGTATTGGCTGTAGAAACAAATTGCCGAAAAGTACAACAAGACACCTGCTCAGATCTTGTTGTCATGGGGTATTCAGCGAGGCACCGCGGTGATTCCAAAGTCTGTGACTCCTGCTCGCATTGAGGAAAATTTTGAGACCGTCAAACTGCAAGACAGCGACTTTGACGCCTTGACCAATCTCTCGGGTGGCAACTTCTACCGTGTCGTGGATCCTCAAAATTTTTGGAAGATCCCCAATTTTTAATAGGGCTGCAGAGAAATCCGTCGCATCAAAGCTGGTGCAATAAATCACTCTTGCGCCATTTTTGATGAGTGGCATTTGATGAATCCATCGGTTCTCCTTTTTTTTTTTTGTTGCCTGTGACTCTTCGTGTGTGTTTGAGGTTCCCTACTTTTAAAGTTCAATTGTTTGAAAGCTCCATCAGGAACGACGAATCGTTTGACAGTTGCCAAAAACATTATGAATTTCCCACGGTAATTCAGAAAGCGCAGCTTGGATCACTTGCAGCTGTTGCACGGTTTTGGCATGGTATCGGCCAATCAGAATTTTCCCGTAACGAGAGTGTGAAAAAAAAGGCTTTTGTCGGGGATAAAAGTTGGTGACCGGTCCAATGCTGGGGCACGGATAGCCTTGCTCAACCAAGGCAATGACCCTGAACCACCAAAGCGGGAATCACTATGTGTCAGCAGCATTCACAGAAACGTGACTCGTACTAAAATTGAATGAGGTACGCATGTGTATGATGCGAGATTGTACTGTACCTAGATAGAGCGTCGATAGTTGTCATACAGGTTTCCTTGGATGCGTGTTTGTTTGATTTTCCATTTTTCTATGACAGATCTCCGAAAAAGCGATTTCATTTTTTGATTACGGGGTAAAAAAAACGATGACGATAGATTGGATAGATGATAGGATGGGACGAAGGGATTTTTTTTTCTTTTTGCATGGGGAGCGTTAGAGGGGGGAACATTGGGAAAAACAATGAGTCGATGGTTACACTTGAGTGAATGTCTTCCATTCATTTCCCAGCGCCCCAAAATCTTTCAAACCATGGCTGGCTTTCTTTTTGAGACTCCACCGTTCGTTTTTTTTTTCTTCTTCTTTTAGCTGATTTCTCTTGCTGCTCCTTGTCTCTCCCTACTCTTTTTTACTTTCCTTGCCCACCATGTCTGTCTTCCGTTTGGCTACACAACCACTTCGCTCTAGTCGAAAATTATACAGTACCGCAACGTCCACGCGTTTGGCTTCCGTGGCTTCCCCTCAACAGCCGACCGCTGCCGCGGCCACCAAGGCAGCTGCCGGTAGTCTGTCAGCAGCAGCGATACACGCCAGTGGCCCTCTCAGAAACGACTGGACACGTGAAGAAATTCAAGCCATCTATGACTCGCCATTCATGGATCTCATGTATTATGGTGTAAGTGTCTTGAACCTGACCAATGACTCCCTTGTACCGATGGCTTAGGTTCCTTTTTTTTTTTTTTCTTCATCAGGCCAAAGTGCATCGTGAGAATTTCAATGGACGTGAAGTGCAACAGTGTACACTTCTTTCCATCAAGACAGGTGGATGTACAGAAGACTGCAAATACTGCCCCCAGTCATCACGCTACAAGACCAGCGTTCACGCTCAAAAGATGCTCGACTCGGGCGCCATTCTGGAAGCTGCCGTTCGTGCCAAAGAAGCAGGCAGCACAAGGTAAAGAAACAAAAATACTTGGCATGGCTCATTTGAATTCCTACTGAAAACGAAATGTCAACAGATTCTGTATGGGAGCAGCTTGGAGAGATTTGGCAGGTCGCAAATCCAACTTTAACAAGATTTTATCTTACGTGAAAGCGGTTCGGTAAGCAGAAAAACTAATCCATTTCGAAACCAAGTTCAGTGGGTCTGATTGAGATATGTATCGATGTAGAGGCATGGGCATGGAAGTGTGCTGTACCTTGGGTATGCTGAACGAAACTCAAGCCAAACAGCTCAAAGATGCCGGTTTGACAGCTTACAATCACAATCTCGATACATCTCGTGAATTCTACCCAAAGGTGAGTGACTTGATCTCTTTTGCGTGGGCATGGGCGGAGAATGGGAGAGCGGAAAATTAACTTTTTTTTTTTTTCCCTCTGTGCGTTTTATGAATAGATCATTACGACTCGCAGTTACGATGAACGATTGGAAACGATTGGTCATGCTCAAAACGCCGGTATTTCTGTATGTTCCGGTGGTATCATTGGCTTGGGTGAACAAGAAGAAGATCGAGTGGGATTACTCTATACTTTATCCACATTGCCACAACATCCCGAAAGTGTGCCTGTGAATGCTTTGTTGGCCGTTCCCGGTACCCCTCTCGAGAAGCAAGAGGTAAATAGTCTAACAAAAACCAACAAGTAAAAATCAACAAATGACTAAATCCGTTTTACGTTGTATAGCCCGTCTCTGTTTTTGAAATGGTGCGTATGATTGCTACTGCACGCATTGTGATGCCTAAATCCATGGTGCGTCTTTCCGCGGGTCGTGTCCGATTCTCCATTGCCGAGGTAAACATGAGAACCCAAAACAAAATAATTCTCACGTGTTGTTAATGTGCATCGTTGGGACTCATTGAAATTTGTTTTACCGTTTTTTAGCAAGCCATGTGCTTTATGGCGGGCGCTAACTCGATTTTCACGGGTGATAAACTGCTTACCACACCCAACAATGAAGTGTCGGATGACAAGAAGATGTTTGACCTTTTGGGTAAGTGAAGAGAAATTTGGCGTATTTTTGGAGATGGCGCATATTTTTTTTTATTTGGGAACATGATACAAATGTGATTCATTTTTGGGTCATTTCTTTTTATAGGTCTGGTTCCCAAACCTCCCAATTTTGAACAAGGATCTGAAAATCCTGATCAGCCAATGTACAACGATGGCATCAAGATTAAAGCAGAGGTTCCCGTGTAAAAAAAAAAAAGAAAAAAATTGTGTACAATTAAAAAAAAAAAAGCCCACTGGGTCTTTTTTTATTCAATTGATTTGGTTCCATGACCCCTGACATTGAACGTTGCATAGAAACTAAAAATGGGATCGACATTTCAATGAATATGCTTGCAGAAAAAAAAAGCTATAATGTTCAATGTTGCCTGAAGATCATCTTGTCAGGAGAAAGAAAGAGCGGGTAATCATATGATATGATGGACGATGCGCTATTCATTTGGCAAAAATCGGCCAATGAATCCGAAAAGTAGGATTCCAATGCGCGGAAAAAAGAACAAGGTCATTTGTTATCCCAATAAACATTCAATAGAAAAAAAAATGAATGTTAAGGAGACAACCCTAATCCCCCACAAAGGTTCCAGGACAAATTAGGCATCTCTGATAAATCTCAAACCAATTTTTCAGTTTTCGTGACCAACGTTTAGGAATATAACAAACCTTTACTTGCTGTGAAGAGGTTTATAGTCATGGAAGTGGCAGAGATGGCTATCGCAATGGCAACTCGGCCGTTTTCCCGTTTCGGTATTGCAGCTTTTTTTTTTAACTTAATGAGAACAATGAACACTAGGTGGAACCTCGAAAGCTGGTTGGACATCCACGCAGACTTATTGAGAGTTGGTGATCAGGTAGTTGACAGGATGTGTAAAAAAAAACAACATGACGAGCAACCTTGAGGGATACCACGAAACAAGCAGCCGATAAAACGTGTCCGAGTCGACAACTCGGTATGCCATCATTTCACGCGACGAAAAAGCCGCATTTTCTTCTTGCCTACAGTACTCTGAGTTTAATATATGGCATTTGCACGATGTCAGTAGTCATCTTTCTGTTTTATCGTTGAGGTAAATAGAGAAGATGTCTTCATCTATCGTATCAAGAAGAACACTTTCAAACAGTTTTACATGTCTATAAATACGACATCAAAAGATATAATGTATTGTGTTCAAGTACCTTGGACTTTGAATGATGCGGCACCCCAAGGTATCTGATCTATGGTTTTAAAAATCTACAAAAGCCCATACCGTGTTGGTGCAAAGTGGCGGCCCCCGCAGTGTGGTGAAAACAGAGAGGAGAGCGAGCCTTCTCTCCACATCGACACGTCCTCCTCCACTTGGGCGCTTCCCGGAATTCTCATTATTTGTACTCAGAATTTTCAATAAAACTGTACAAATTCGGAGGTGACACTTGTCCTTTTTACTGCTTTTTATTTTTATTTATTGGCTAGCCTTGTTTCTATTTCTTGCCCTTTTTTCCTAATCTTTCATCTTCATCTTTGCTTGCTCCATTCCCTGGTGCTCGTTCATTTCTTCCTCTTGGCTTGTTCATTCGCTGTTGTCCATCCACGGTCGTTTTTGTCTGATTTGAACCAGCAACTCCGACCCCGTTCTTGTCTTCCAGCATCAGCAACTCGTTCATATAAAACGTTGTAACGCCTTCACTCCATCCAGCTTATTGCGTCTCCCCCTTCCTCTCATTTTCTCAATTCACTCAACCTAAAAAAGGGTTCTATTTACGCTCGTGCGAACCATTTTGTTTGGTATACTAAATGAAAAAAAATGTAAAAAAGAAGAAATAACCTTTGTTAATGATCCATGTTTGTTAGTTGGACAACGTTCAAAATTAAATTCACCATTTTCATAGCCCACCGCAACATTGGCTATCGAAAATCAAAAAGAACATGGGTCAATTATTATCGAGCTTGAACCTTCGTGGCGGTGATGTGACGGTTCGAGAACTCGGGTTCGATATTGAAAGTAAGTCTACCCTTGGGCACAAAAAACCAGAGCCGATCCGTGAGGTGATCGTTTAAGGAGGAGAGGCTCCCCAGAGAATGGGAGACCTCTTTTTATTTTTGACTTTCTATACATGTGAAATGGATTGAATGTGGTGTGATCAAAAACTAACGCATCAATTCTCGATATTTAGATGCCACGCCATCTTCGGAAGAGTTGGAATTGTACAATCAACTTTCAGCTCTGCTTGTTGAACCTAGCGGCAAACTATTGAACATGCTCCGAAACTATTCACCGGCATCGGCTTTTGTGCGTGAAGCCATTGCTTCGCCAACCCCGGAGCACGAGAACAAAGCTTGGGAAGCCGTCTTGCCTTCCGTCGAAATGCTTCGTGAATTCTATGACTATGCTTCCGAACTCAGTAAGCGTTAATATGGATGATCGGTTGGATGCGATTTCGAAAGACTCATTCCCGTATTTCAGAGGAAGGCATTCCGCGACTGCTTAACGTCTTGTGCCAGGAAAATGGTGCAACTATGCAGAAACACCAAGGCTTGACCAAACTTTTTGCCGACATTCTCGATTTTGTGTTTGAATTTGATCAACTCAAAGTAAGATCAGCCCGTATGATGATGAATCGCGCTTCTTTTTTTCATTCGTGGTATTTATCCCAAAAATTATATTGAACAACCCTGAAATTAGATGCGAAGTCCAACATTGCAAAATGACTTTTCGTACTATCGTCGTATGCTTCAGCGCGGACGATACAGTTCAACGGGTAAAGCACCGTCCGTAAGTGGCGAAACGGTATCGGATCTTCGTAGTGCCATGATCGAGGACGACCAAGCGAATCACATGTCACTTTTCATTGCGTATCCTACACCTATGCTGAAATGTGTTATTGACACCATCACCGAGTATGTCACTCAACACCGTCTGCAGAAAAGCATGGGCGACCGTCTCGCTGCTTTGTGGTCGACCTGTTTTCAAACCGTAAACAAGAGAAGGTAGAGTTCTTGACCGATTTCGTTAGATCCATCGACTTATCGTTGTTTACATTTACGGGAATTGTAGAAGCCAACGATCCGAGGTCTCCACGTTTTGTCTCAAAGTGATGGTGGTTTCCATTATCCTCTACGATCACATTGACCCTCACGGCGCGTTCTCCAAACATTCCCCCATTAATGTAAGTGGCAATGGCAATGATCTTGTTTTTATGCTTTGATATGTGGAAATTCATAAAAGGGTGGCCTCTCAATGATTGGTAGATCAAAAACTCTGTAAAAATAATCCAAACCGTTCCCAATATTCCCGCGGAATCCAGTTCATCTAATCTCATATCAGCATTACGTTACAATTCGAAACATCTCAATGACGAAACGACTCCAAAAGGCGTGAAAAATATGGTCATGGCCGCTTAAAACGGTTCGTCTCGTATGCTGGCTTGCAATCTACATTACCTCTTATTACTCTTTCTTGTTCGAACTATTCAACCATATGATTATGATACCCTTTTTGGTTTTGTTTCCTTTCTTGCTCGTAATTTAATTCTTTTTTCTTTTTTTTTTTTCTTTTTTATTCGCATTGTTTGTTGGTGGATGAATTTTGGACATCATCAATAACTGTTTTGTAATATCTTTACGCTTTCAACCCATATCAAATAATGAGCCGGGATGAATCAAACATCATTTTTTTATGACATGTTTGTTTGCTTGAAAAATTGCGCTTTTTGACTAGGTTTGTTTTTTTTTTGTGTTTGTTTTGATCGCACTTAAAATGTCTCCATGGGATATTCTGTATCTCACCGCTTTGTTCCCTTTTTTGTGAATCTCATGGTGACAGTAAAGTAAAGAAAAAGTAGAGACAGCTTGGATCTAATTGCAGCAACTAACAGGAGAGTATGACTAGGGAGGAGAAAGAGCCTTATAGTTCACCATGGCATAAAATCCGTGCCGCTCGGCTTTATGTTTCACGGTCATGCATGCAGAGACTCTCATTAGGGTTTGCCATTGTGGTACAGTCATATACCAAAATCTTTTTTTTCGCTTGGATTCACACTGATCCGACTTCTGTTTATAGATTCTGTTGGATGGCATGACGTTTTTAATAGGATTGCTGATAACCTTATCCAAAGGTGCGTTCAACAGGAATTACCGACTCTTTAATATTGTAACACTAACACACGTATCCCGATTCGCAAAAAAAAAAAAAAAAAGGATATGACCACGCCGAAGTGATTATGGTCTCCAACAAAGATATACTCATTGGTACAGTGATGGAACAAGATTTTTGTCTCTTGTCTTGTAGCGTTTTTGTTCGTGACGGATGTCATTGTATTGACTTTGCAACATTTTTTTGTTCAGCCGCATTTTTGAATGCCTTGTTTTGTATTGGTGCCGGCGTCGTTGGGTCGATAGCCTACTGGCGTAGTTATCGTCATCGGCATATCATGATGGTCGTGTACACCTTTTTATTGTGGCTGTGCTTGGCCATGATCACAACCATAGGTTACCTGGCCTACAACAACACGGCGTTGAATCTAAAGACCAAACTGGGGATGAAATGGCGATACGACCTCACCGCTGAACAACACATGGTTTTACAGACAAATGTAAGCGATCCTCTTTTCTCTGTCTTTTTCTTTTCTGTTCCGCATAGGATGAACATTCATTTCTTTTTTGCCTTTATAGTTGCGTTGCTGTGGATTTGAGAATCCGGCTGACCATGCGACCTACTCTGCACATTGTTGGCCTGAATCGTTGCTGCCTGGTTGTCAAAATAGGCTTTACAACTTCCAGTATAATTTTCTGGTCAAGACCTACACCATGTGTTTTGCTCTTCTCCCTGTCCATGTACTCGCTACCTTATCAGCATTGTACGTTTTTCACGACAGCAAGGTTGAAGAACCGTCATATCCTCCGGACATGACAGACGAGGATCCAACCAAAGTAGACACACCAGCTATAAACTTTGAACATCCGGCTTGTCCAGCTTGTAAAAACTGGACCTTTTAAGCAGACAAAAAAAAATCCATAAAGTGCTTGTCAATAAAATGAATCACTGTCAAGTTTGTTGTAGTCCTCATGTTTTCACGTCAACGGTTTATCAGTGCACCGCATCGGTGACAGTGAGGGGGGATTGGCTTCCAGTTGAGTGTAACTGGAGTTGAAATCAATGGATCATCTAACGATCATCGCAGGAATCCATGTCCCACGTTACACACGTCCACAAACCGAGGCATTCACCTTACCCGGCATCTTAGGAAAATCAGCTTTTTTTTTCAGTTCCGGCTTTTGACTTTACATTGCCCTGGCAATTTTTTTGTAATCCCGATAAATTTGTTGACTTCCTAATGTCTTTTTCCGTCTTTCAGTTCATTATTCTCGGGAATGAAGAAATAGTAATAAAATAAATTGCAAGGAAGCAAAAATCATGACTTGATCCTTTATTGGCGGGGAGTGAGGTGGATCTTCTCATATTACTTTGGCCTTGCAGAATACCTGCGTAATCCTGATGGGGAAATCCGCTGAAACTGACGACTTTGTTCATCAACGAGAAGAGGCCATCTTCATGAGGATGATTTCTATTTCAATAAAATGTATAAACGGGTTGAAGGATAGTTTACCAAAGTTACGTCCACCTGTGTATCCGATCAGCCACCATAAGAACACTTGAATAAAGACATCCCGATCTCTCTCTCTCTAACATTATCTGAGACCTACTTCATGCAGCTATTTCATGCGATGAGGCCACACTCTCTTATCAATGGGTAAATATGACGTGAAGCGATGAGCGCGTCTTTTCCTGTTTCATTATTGGGCAATAAAGGTTTTCAGCTACAGTACGAGGGATCGCCTCTTTTTTCATGTCTATAAAAGACGACGCATCTTCCATTCATTTTATTTCTTCATCGTCATCTATTTTCTTTTTTCTTGCGCAAAACCATCCATTTTTTTATTGCTCAAATCACCCATCCTGTACGTATACTCAGGATGACCACAACTGTGATATCAAAGCGACTGAACCTCTACATACAGCTTGCGCGCCGAAAAGCTTTTTTTTTTGTCGACAACAAAGAAACTTTTTTTTTTGAAAGGTAATGTATTTGTGCTCAAGTACCTTCCTTACTTTTTGAAAGTTATGCCGAATCACTTACTTGTTGTGTGTGCTTCTATACTTTAAAAACTCGAACAAAACCCATGACTTGGCGGTGTGCGGTGGCGGTGGCGGCTCCTGCAATGCGATGAAAACAGTTTTTTTATAAGTAAAAACAAAAGAAGAGTAGGTGTGGCTTGTCTAATGCATCCATCTTTTTTTTTTTTTGTATGTCCTTGTCCTTTGGTTTTCTCTCTTATTTGCTAACTTTAACTTAACTACGTTACCTCGTCTCTTTTTATAATTTGATTTGTAAATATTTTTACCCAGATTTTTTCACTTAAACTGTACAGAAACCCGGACTTACTGCTATTATCATATTTTTTACGCAAACCCCAAGTCACCGACAGCCAAGAAATTTCGCCTCTTCATTGCTTGCTCGCTTGCTTCACCTTTTTTTTTTCCTTAGGCGAGCTTTGTGAAAAAAAAAAGGTACTACCGAACAATGGCTAACCTATCCTCTGGTACCACAGTCGAAGCCCGAATTGGATCTGTAATAAAATGAGCGCCAAAAAAGTGATGGCAGTTTACTGTTTTTGTGCCATTCCCGAGACACAGTGCATATTTTCGAGTCACGGTTCTCGTCTCTTTTCACCCCGGTTTTCTAGATGCTTGCCCAACGTTCTCTTTCTGCTTCATTTTTGTTGTTATTTTTCTTTTCCTGCCAACACCAAAAAAAAGCGGTGCCATTTTTTTGAGAAAAAAGAAAGTGAGTATGCTTTTTTTTTTTCTGCAATTTGGCATGCGTAAAAGGGAGAGAGAAATCTTTAGTCTCCACAGCAAGATAAACAAAAAAAAAAAGAAAAAAATCGCTCAAGTATTATTTCTTTCTCTGTTATAACAAGGCAATATATAAAGTATTTAACCGTATGACTTAAACATTGTGTGTAGAACGCATTGATATTCTGGCTAATATGACTTGTGTCTAGACATAGTTTGGTTATTTGCCTGCGTAAAAAGAGAATGCACGCTTTTGTGAAGATCTTTTGAGTCTTTTTTTTTTTTTTTTTTTTTGCCCCTTCGACATCTCTTCCTATTCCGCGCATCAAGTGAAATTCTAAAGCGTGATGTATTAAAAAAGTTTGTGGTCTCTTTTTAATTTTCCTAGTCTCCTTTCGTTTGATTTCCCGGCAAAGATGATGCTTTATAAATTAGTCGTCCTGGGAGACGGTGGTGTAGGAAAGGTAAGAAGACCGAGAATTGATTTTTTTTTTTTTCACACAATGTCGCACAGCAGGTTGCAATGACCTTTCTTATCGCTCACTTCGTATATTTCTATAACTAGACCGCCTTGACAATACAGGTAGGACAAGCCAAAGCACCACTGATGTAAAAGATAGTCAATTCATTCTTCTTTTTCTCTGTGCAATCAAGCTGTGTTTGAATCACTTTGTCGGTAACTTTTGGTCGTCCCTTTTTTTTCATATGCCAATGCCATGCATTTCTGACGCTTCTCTTATTTTTCTCTAGAGGTTAGATTCATAGACGAAAGAAAAAAGAATGATTCGTCTAACCGCTGATTCAGACCTATGACCCTACTATAGAAGATTCTTACCGAAAGCAAGTCGTCATTGACGATCACCCCTGCGTACTAGAAGTCCTGGATACAGCAGGTCAAGGTAACAACAGACAGGATCACGACGCCTGGATGGAAACAGCATTAAATTAAACAATGTTTTATTTGCGCTTATTAGAGGAATATGCAGCCTTAAGAGATCAGTGGATCAGGTGAGAAAAATCGTTATGCTGATGACACCTTTTTATAATGACACCTTTTTTCGCTCTCGAAAAGAGATGGTGAAGGGTTCCTGTTAGTCTATGCGATCAATTCTCGATCGACTTTTGAACGCATTGAACGATTCCGCGAGCAAATTTTCCGAGTCAAAGATAGCACGGATGTGCCTCTGATGTTGGTAGGCAACAAATGCGACAAAGTGACGGAACGACAAGTGACGCGCGACGAAGGCTGGGCCATGGCCCGACGCATGGCTTGCGATTTCATCGAAACGTCGGCGAAAACGTGTGTCAATGTCGAACGATCGTTCTATCAGGTTGTGAAAGCCATTCGAATGCAACGTCAAGGAACCATCGCTGTCAATAAGACCAATGCCAAAAAAGACAAAAAGTTCAAATGTCGGATCCTGTGAACACTTTTTTGACAAAGTAAAAAATCACACTGACACTCATTTGCTTAGCAACAGTTAATACGTTTCTTTTTGGTTTTTTCCAATGCATTATCACTTTGTTAGATTACTTATAAATCAATCTCGTCATTGTATTCGCAGCCTACAGCATAAAGATTGCAAAACGATTTAGGTACACACCATATCCTCATGTAAGATGTTGGGTCGGAAAAGAGAAAAAGAAATCTTGGAAGGCTTAGTGTGCAGGTATGATGTTGCCAATCATCTGCATGATCAACAGAAGGAGGTAATCCTGTCTGTGTGTGTTTATTGCAGAAAGTCGGTATTGGGAAGCTCACCCTGGAAGTTTCGGAACGCCCGAGGCTTCTACTCGACGGTTGAGAAGATCATCTGCGGTAGGTTACGAAGAACCGTAGAAGATTTAAAATAGACGATGATTTCTAAAATTGGATAAGTGATCATCCATTCATCGTGTTAACGCTAACAAGGAAGTTCCAAGTATTCATTGCAGAATTTTCCTCTTTTCCATGACCGTTCTGTGCAACTGAGCACTTGTTTGTTTCTCAACACACCAGTCCATCCATCCTGAGAAAAAAGAAGATTGATGCAGAGAAAACCAAGTTTTTTCTGACATGATTAGGTCGATTCAATTATTCAGTCATGATATTTAAACCACTCGTTTTTTCTTTTGTCTTTCTATTTGGTCCATCCTTACAATACAACTTTCGAGAAAACAATCATATACCAAATACTCTGAAAGCTCTTTTTTCACTGACGACAGCATGGGTAAAGCACACAGCAAACTTACTCCCGAACAGCTCGATGAGCTCCAACAGAATACCTATTGTAAGTGATAACGTTGGGTTTTTTTTTTGATTTTGGTTGTGTTCATCTTTAAATTTTCTTCCAACCCTAGTTGACGAGAAAGAATTGCAGCAATGGTAAACATGTCAATGTTTGATTATGAATATTTTTTGTGTGGAACTATTATATCTATGCAATATATGCGGTAGACTCATTGCGAATGATCATGACTTTTAACTTTTTCCGATCGCCATGATGACTTAGGTATAAAGGTTTTCGAAAAGACTGTCCTTCAGGAGCACTGAACAAGTCGGCGTTCCAAAAAATGTATAAGCAATTTTTTCCTTTTGGAGATCCATCGAAATTTGCAGAATATGTCTTCAATGTCTTTGACGGCGACAAGAACGGTACAATCGACTTTAACGAATTTATCTGTGCATTGTCCATTACGAGCCGAGGGCGGATTGATGAAAAGTTATATTGTAAGTGTCACATACAGGGTTGGCCGGTGTCAGCAAAGAAGAAAACATTGACTGATGTGGCATGCAATATTACATAGGGGCATTTCAGGTATCCATCTTTTTTTTTTTGTTTTTGTTTTTTTTTTTGTTTTGGTAGGCGTAACACATGATGTCTTACCGGTTGACAATCTTTATTGCTAGCTATATGATATTGACAATGACGGAGTGATCACTCAAACCGAAATGCTGCTGATCTTGCAGGCCATCCATACAATGATAGGCAATGTTTTGAGTGTATCAGAGGACCTGGCACCCGAGGTGCGAGTACGAAAGATCTTTGAGCTAATGGATATTGTAAGTGGTCATGGCGAACTCGGTCTATATATGTGGGACTGCATTGTCTAAAACCATATTTTCCATATCAGAATAAGGATGGCCAGTTGACAATAGAAGAATTTAAAGAAGGTTCCAAGAAGGATCCAACCATCCTTCAAGCGCTGAGTCTGTACGATGGTCTCGTGTAACTCCGCTTTACATGCCAAGTTTCCCTTCTCTATATTACAAGTACTCTATTAATTTCACCGCATTACCTCTGTACAGAAAAAAAAAAAAAATCAACACCTACCTTTATAACAATAAAAGATACAACATTATAAGCACATAAGCACATATGTATGCCAGTAATATCACCATTTGTATAAATATCATTTTTAATCTTTTATATTGTCCAACAAAATCCTAAACCAACATGGATCGGCTTTTCCCCAACAAGTTGATCTAGAGAAGAGAAATTCCTTTTTTTTTTTTTTGGTTCTCGAGACGATTAAAGTCACAAAGATGGTGGAATGATACATAGTGTATATAATGAATATTTTTGTCCCTTTCGAAGTATTCGAATTTGGACGATGCTGTAGTCTATTTTCTTTTTGTACAAGAGGCGCTGTAGGCAGATCATGGCCAAAGTTAGAATCAAAGATTTTTGCTCATAGTTAACAAAGACTTTTTCAACGTTATTGCATGTATAATTATGATGAATTTTTTATATATCAATATAAAGCAGTGTGAAGCACCCAAGTGGATTTCAGATTGATGACTGTCGTCAATTTTCTTGGCGACGCGCTGCAGAGTGACCTTTTTTTTTTTTTGGCCTGACGGGTCCAGAAATTAAAAAAAAAAGGGAACAATAAGTGTCACTGGTGGAATCCTTCAAGTTTCACGGAGTCATGGCCACCGTGATCAGCTTTTCGGACGAAGAGGACGAGGACGCCTTTTACTACGAAGTTGAAACCATCTTGGACCAACGTGTCATTAATAATAGCAAGTTTTACTTGATCAAATGGAAGAATTACGACGAGAGGTGGTAAGTTGCTTGAAATCTCTGCGCGAAGAAATGGACTTCTAACGTACCCTGTTTTGAAATTGAAAAAGAAACATTATAGAACAATAGCATAGCCAGTGCAACGACTCATGTCTTCTCTATAGCCACAATACCTGGGAACCTGAAGAGAATCTCAATTGTCCCAGCTTATTAAACGAATTTCTCGCTAAAAGACAACACGGCAGGTCTTCTTCTGCCTCTGCTACCAGTTCGCAAAAGCTGATACTAAGCCACGATCGCCCCTCCACACCCTCAGACACTACGCGATCAACTAATGCAAAGAATCATACCGGTTCCGTAGAATCGTCATCATCAACCAAACGACCCATACAAACCTCCAAATCCAAACAGTTTGGCGCACTCAAACGGCTCAAGCGCCCTGAAGGTAAAAGTCAAACCAGTAATCGGGCAAGGAAAAGGGTCTATTAATCAAATCTTCTTGTTCTTTTTTTTTTATTTTTATTTTGGCGGGAATCATAGTGGTGCCGAAACCTGTGCAGGGATTGGACGATCTCGTGAATGTGATTAAAGGTACACCGCAGCAGAAATTCGGAGTCGGATCCGATGCTTCTCGTTACAGCAGCAAACCCTCCGTTGCGGAAAGAATATCAGAGAAATCGCGCATATCGACTTTGTCCTTCAAATCGTCCAGGATATCAAGTCCAAAGTCGATCACCGAATCCGATAGTGATGGGTCTTCCACATCATCCAAGCCAGGGATCGAGGCGTCGTCTTCGTCGAAATTACCGTCCACCTCTCCTGCCATAAATTCCTCTTCCATTGAACCGACAACTTTGTCCGAATCATCTCATACAAAATATCCACTGGAAGCACAGCCTATCAAACGTCAATATTCTGCATCGCGCGATCCTAGAATCATCATGAAGAAGCAGCGCGTGTCCAATTCTCCTACGTTATTATCGCCCACCATCCCTTCGGCTCCTACTACACAACTCGGATCAACCCATCTACCTTCTGCATCACCCATCTTATCTCCCTCTCACATCCCAAATGCATCTGATCGCAGCCCTTCCGTAACAGAACAACAACCTTTCAAATGGGAAGGCGTGCTACTTCGGAAATCCAATGTCATTGCTAATATCACGGTCACTTCGGTCAAAGATCACTGTCGAGATGTCATGGCCATAAGGTAGAAGGAGAAAAAAAATACGATTGTTTACAAGAACCATGTCATACTCACCGCAGTTGTTACAGTGACGTTTTTGCTTTCAGTGACCGCATCCCTGAGCTCAAAGCACGTTTGACCGTATCTTCATGCATTTCCACCAAATTTCTGGAATATGTGTGTGTCAACAAAACACCTAGCCTCTTAGAAATCGATGCATCGGGCCAAAACCAAATGATTGCTTTTAGCAAATTTCGAAGATCGTTACTCGTGAACGAAGCGGTAAGTCCCTCACTTTTTTATTGTAGATGTCCTGTGAGGTCGGATCTAATTATTGGAATCAATTACAAGGCGGCTATTGTTCGGTTACCACGATCGTCCACGGAAGCTTTAGCGATTGTGCCGGGAGAGGTGGTCGGACGATTTATCACTGTACCTGGTCATTCAAGGACAAAGATGTATGCGATTTACCTGCATCGATTGCCAAATGATCGTATTTCAGTCAAACTGAAGGATTTCCCCGAAATCTACGATCGAGAACTGGGATCTCGCGGTTGCGCAGCGTTGCATTGGCAAACTTTGGTGGTCCTGTTTCGGTTTCCTCCCCAAGTAAGTTTTGCATAACAGTATCTTCTTTGTGCTACAAGATCACTTAATTTGGCAATGAATGATGTATTTTCCAGCTGATCGCCAGTATCACGTCAGAGACGTATTTGCAAATCTTTGGAAGTTCTCGGTGGGCGACTCTGTTAAGAAATGCGTATCGAACTTCCTTTGATACTGAACCGGAGAGAGTTATCAAGAACCGGGTCATGGTGGTAAGAACAGAGCAAACATTGGGGTTTGGACCATCGCTGATCTCACATTTTTTCTTTTTATGGTCAAGTTTGATCGGTATGATGATTGCTTATTCCAACGTCAATTGCGGAAATACAAAGTCACCAATGATGTGCGACTGTGGCAATTCGGAGTCGATGATATCAATTGTGCCTTCTTTCCGCCCACCACTGAAGCGTTTCCCAAATATTCAGGTAAAACAAAAAATCACTCGTATTCCCATTGATTGGTGTGCTGAATTTTTTCTTTTTGGGCATCAGGCGGCTTTATCACAACCAATGTAAATAATATGATGGCTGACCCAGAACTGTTTTCACGTCTCGTTGAAACTGTACGCAAAGTAAGTGGCTTACATGTACCCAATGCAGGAAAAGTGAGAAAAGAAGATGATGGACTCAACTTTTTTATTGACTTTTAGTTAAATACATTACACTTTACGGGGGAATGGAAACTGATACTTCATCATGATATTCTGAGGAAATTGAAGCTGGCTGTTTCTGACTCCTCTTCAGCAGAGCGGTAAGGGCGCGGGTCTTGGTTGTTCAAAAAAGGCATGAAAGACAGCGAGGACTCATCAAGAGGGAATATCATTTAGGATACAACAAGTCATTGCCACGCTGTGTGTGCTTCTCAGCAACAACGACATTCATATTCTGCAAGATTGGGCAGAAGAGGTAAAATTTCTTTTTTCTGTAATCTGCAAATTTTTCAAACTAAGCCTATTTTAGGAAAATGCAGTTTCTGACCTGGCGCAAGAAAGTGTGGTTACTGCTGAATGGCTGACCAAAGTAGCCAAAGCATATCATGAAACACATCAGCATTTCATTTTGATAGACGAGAACAATTCGGCCCCATCCAATCAGGAGTATCCTGCTATAGATATTGTACCATCGGATCAGCTCTTGCCCATGTTTGCCTGAGCAAGGAATTCGTTCCAACGGGAGAATTTTTTTTTTTTTTTCACATCATACTCGTTATGAACCAAATCCTCCGTCCGTTCCTGAATATGACGTGACGTGTAAAGTTTAGTGCGGTTTTTTTAGCACCGATGTATAAAGTTAGGCTCTTAATCCTGTTTTTCACTTTTTCTTCATTTCTTTTTTTTCTTTCTTTCCGCCGCCTGTCCTTTTTCTTTCATTTTCCCAAGTACCATGACTGTAGATGAATCGCAAGTTGAACAAAATATCGAAATTTGGAAGATGAAGAGACTCATCAAGAGTCTTGAAGCCGCTCGAGGGTGAGTTGAATCGCCGCGCTTGAAATTCTGTATTTTTTTTTCTTTTTGGCATGATTTTCTCAACGTGAACAATTCTTGTGTAATTTTGCAGAAATGGCACTTCAATGATTTCTTTGGTGATTCGTAAGTATAAGAAAAAATCATAATCATTAAAATTGTAAAGACAATTGGACTAAATGATTCGGTGTCGTCTCTGTTACAGCGCCTAAATCGCAGATATCCCAATCCACCAAAATGCTTGCGGAAGAATATGGTACAGCAAGCAACATCAAATCTCGTGTGAATCGACTGTCAGTACAGAGTGCCATCACATCCACCCAACAACGTCTCAAATTGTATAACCGAGGTATACGTCGGATCGTAGGAGATGGAAAAAATAATAAGCTTATCACTAAAATTTTTTTTGGATTACTTTTTTTATAGTACCTCGCAATGGTTTGGTGGTATACTGCGGTACAATTATTACGGATGAGGGCAAAGAAAAAAAGGTGAACATTGATTTCGAACCTCACAAACCAATCAATACGTCATTGTACTTGTGTGATAACAAATTTCACACTGAAGCCTTGTCGGACTTGTTGGAAGCCGATGCCAAGTTTGGCTTTATCGTGATGGATGGTAATGGTACGCTTTTTGGTACCTTGGCCGGTAATACTCGCGATGTCGTACACAAATTCCAGGTGGATCTGCCCAAAAAGCACGGTCGTGGTGGTCAATCAGCCCTACGTTTCTCCCGTCTCCGTGATGAAAAACGTCACAATTACGTTCGAAAAGTCGCAGAATTGGCCACTCAATTTTTCATCACTAATGACAAGGTAAACTCTTTTCACTGGATTCCACATGGATTGTATGCTGGAGATCAAAGGGACAGGCAAAGACTTATATTTTTTTCTGTGACTGAATTGGTGTAGGTGAATGTGTCTGGACTTGTGTTGGCTGGTTCCGCGGACTTCAAAACCGAATTATCTCAATCGGAATTGTTCGATCCTCGTCTGCAGAGCAAGGTCGTTAAAGTGGTCGATGTATCTTATGGTGGCGAGAATGGGTTCAATCAAGCCATTGAACTGTCGGCAGAATCCTTGTCCAATGTCAAGTTTGTCCAGGAAAAGAAGTTAATTCAGCGTTACTTTGATGAAATATCCCAAGATACCGGCAAATTCTGTTACGGGATTGACGACACCCTCAAGGCACTTGAACTGGGCGCAGTGGAACGTCTTATCGTTTGGGAGAATCTGGATTTAACACGTTATGTACTACGAGACAGCGAGAACAATGAAAAGCTGATCCATGCTACCAAAGCAGATGAGCAGTCTCGCGACATCTTCAAGGACCCAACTTCTCCTACGGCAGCCGAAATGGAAGTGGCCAATTCGCAGCCTGTCCTTGAATGGTTCACTGAAAGCTACAAGGACTTTGGCGCTTCGTTGGAATTCGTGACCAATCGATCTCAGGAAGGTTCTCAATTCGTGAAAGGCTTCGGTGGTGTAGGTGGTTTATTGCGCTACAAGGTCAACTTTGACCAACTGGCTTACGATACAGATGACGAATTCTTTTCGGACTCGGACTGATCCACCTTCACCCGCTAATGCCAGTCTTCTCGATCGGCGGCTCACCATGGGCAGCTTTCTCTCTTCCGCTTTCATTATCCTTCCTGACTTGTAATTTTTTCTTTTTGTTTTCTTTCTGCATGTTGACAACCTTCCTTTCCCATCATCATTTTCTTTTTCTTTTCTTTTTTCCATTGTATTTTTGCATGTAGAAACAAGCGATCGTCATCGGAAAGTTATGGCTCCTGAGAGAGAGAAGCATCGCCTCTATTTTTACCGTAACAAATCCAACAATAGAATACACATTCATTTTTTCTTTCATGCATCAGGAACGGCATGTCGAAAAAATATAACCCTTGAATTTTCTGCAGTGCGCGTTTAAATAACCAAGCTTTATGATTTGGATTTCGCGTTGGATAACTTTAGTCGCTTTTCTAATTTTTGTAGAATTAATGATTCTCGCTGTTTTTTCACAATCGCTAACCGAAGGGCATATCGCATTCTTCGTTTATCTTGTTTTGCTTTGATGGCTTCAAACTCGGCTTGCCGAGCCATGTAAGCGGCCTGTTTGGCGGCATAACGGGCCAGCTTGACCGATGTTCTGGTTCGCCGGCTGTTCGGATGGATCAGATCAAGTCAGGATGGAATTGGATGAAATGCCGATTTATTTCCCTTCCCACTTACCTGTACACAGTGGTTGACTGCGGAAGATAGGGCAAACCTGCGGATACGGAGGGTAGATCGATGGAGGGGGCGCGGGAGGATACCGTGGGACCAGAGGGATCGGAAAAATGGAGAGGGTTGGGAACTGGAGTGGAATCCGTGTTGATCGGGACGGTTTCCAATGGCAGAGTAGACTGAGGACGAGAGGGAGCAGAAGGTAAAAATGGAGAGTCGTCGACGGATTCGGCAGGGAGAACTTCAGGCACTCTTCGACGGACGCCGGCACCGGACATTGTGACGCCGGATTCTACTGACTGATTGCCTTGATCCGCTGGCTCTTGTTCTTGCGGCTGAGAATGCGTAGATGAGTTGACATCAAAAACGCGACGACAGGCTTCGTGAAACCGATTACTTCGTCTTGCGAGGAGATCCATAGCTTTATCTGGCCGGTTCTCTTTGACCAGGCGCAGACGTTCGTTTTCGGCTTCCCAGTATATCTTTTCTAAACCGTACACCTTCATGTTGAGCGCGATGCCCCGTTCCGGCCCGCTGTCGCCAAACAGTCGAACAGCCAGATCTTGACATGTGCGTCGTTTGTTGGCTAAAAATTTGCTGCGAGTGGCCGGTTCAGCTAAAGCTTCCAGAATCCTTTCAATGTCCTGATCGCTCCATCGACGAAGAGAGGAGTGTTCCGCACTGTTGCTCTGTGTCTCAGCAGATCGAATATGGGTACCGGTGTTCATGAATCTCTGTGCCACACAAAAACTAGCTAATCAAAAAAGCAATCAATGGATTGGATTCAAGATGCAGCAAGTGGAAGTGATTTAACAAAAACCTAGCAAAGTTGGAATAAATTCATGGTTTTTTCTTTTTTTTTTTTTGTTTTTTGGTATAAGCGCGATTTATTTTCAACTTCCGCGCATCGTTCCACTGAATGCCGACTGGAAAACCAGCGACCATGTTCCTGCAAGAAAGATCAACTCATTACCCTCGCCACACACCTCATGGACTTTTCATACTGCTTAACAAAAGACGTTCACTTGCCTGTATATATTCGAATGTATGATTGACTTGTCGCCTCCCACAAAAACACAGCGCCCTCACTTATTCCTCGATTCTAGATCCACCTTGGAAGGAAATCATCACCCACCAACGTAAAAATGCTGACGACTTGCGGAGGAAACCCATTGTCACTTTTACTCATTGAGCTTGAATAGAGATAACACCGACTATTATGTTTCTGTACAAGTGTACGGTGATAACAAACCTTTGACAGTTCCAGTACGAACGAGTTACAAGGCGTTCAAGAATCATTGGAGGTAATGCTGCTTCACGCTTATTTGTCTATCTGTCTGTCATTCTCATATTGGCTGCTTTGGGGTTCTCTCTATAAATATATCAAACAAAGCTGGAACGAATGGTTAACGCTGCCAATACGATATTGCGATTTGCCCGCCACAGCTCAATGCGCTATCACTATCTGGGATACGGCCGAACCACGCAAAGTGGTCCCCATTGGTGGAACCACCGTAGCTCTCTTTGGCAAATATCTGTAAGTGATCGAAAGTAGGCGCATCGTTTGCCTGTTTATTGAGGAGTCAAGTCCTGAATTTTCGATTTCAGCACGTTGCAGAAAGGCAAACACAAGCTTCATGTATGGCCCGGCCGCGAAGCGGACGGTAGCCTCGATACCAAAACGCCGAGTGAGGTTGAAACAGACGATGATATGGATAAACTGGAAAAGGTAAAAAACGCCAGGGAAAGTCTGTTGACAGTTTGTTATTCATATAATGACATGTATTGAAAAGTTAGTGAAACGTTATGATTGTGGCGAAATTCGACCCGTGGAATGGCTAGACAATTTGGCCTTTCGTCGCATTGAACAGATTCATAAAGTACGTTTTGAAAAATAGGAGAAGTCAACGGCGTCATCATCGAACGCAACAAATAGAATGCTTATATTTTGATTTATTATTGCATGATAGAAAGCGTCCCAGTCGTCGTCCCAGTTGGCTTTATACATTGATCTTCCCAAATTCGATTTTCCGGTTGTGTTTGGTGAAATGGTACTTTATACACGGCTTTTATCTTTATCAAAATAACGGGGCCTAATTATTGTTGCTCTGCAGGAATATACCCTTCCGGATGCAAATGCACCTGCTTCTGGGCAAGCACCGTATCATCCCGTCAATACTGCAACCACTGTCACCTCCACACCGATGGATACAGGCGACGAGCTTTCTCAAGGTCGTTCGCATCCAATGCAAGCCGCCACAGGCTATTCAGCCATTATCGATCTCGATATTCTTCGAGAAAATCCCGTGGAAGCAAAGCACCGAAGATTGGTGCGAAGTCACCGTAACGGGCCTTTGGATCGAGACTTGAAGCCGAATCCCAAGATTCGTGACGAACTCAATGTAAGGAGTTTTAGCACAACTGACATGAGATTTTGTTGGGCAGGTATTCATGCTGCGGAAATAGGAAATCATGGGATACCCTCCTTCGCGCATACTCACTGTCGCAGAAAAGGATTTGGTTTGGAAGTTCAGATTTTACCTGACTCGAGACAAACGGGTAGGCACCCTTTTGTGTTCTGTCAAATTCTGACACATTTTTTTCTGTTGAATTTTTTTTTTTTTTTTTTTTTTTTTTTTTGTGTGCTTTGGCTCAATTTTTCGATTAGGCATTGACCAAATTCTTAAAATGTGTTGTGTGGACGGATCCCACCGAAGTACGACAAGCGGTCGATATGTTACCGTTATGGGCCGACATTGATGTTGATGATGCGTTGGGACTGTTAGCAAAAGAATTTGACAATCGAGCGATACGATCCTACGCTGTCAATCAGTTGCGAAAGGCCGACGATGATGTATAGTGTTTCATGGTTTTTTTTTTGGTGCGTTTAATGCCGGGTCACTGATCATCCGGTCATAGGATTTGCTTCTTTATCTGTTACAACTCGTCCAAGCTCTCAAGTTTGAACATATCAATGACCGCGGTCCCACCTCTTACGATTCATCCCTCGTGCAGTTCCTGATAGATCGAGCCGTGAGGAATCCCATTCTTGGCAACTATTTCCACTGGTACGTCCTGAAAAAAGAAGCAGAAAAGAGACCATGAGGTTCATTGCGTGAATTGAAAAAAAAAGGTATTTGATGGTCGAATGCGAAGACAAAATTGTTGGGAAAATGTATGCCAAGGTGGCATATCACTACTTTAAGGCTTTACTCGAGGTGAGAACGTCAGATTTGTGAACTGGAAGAATACAAAATGATTCATTGGCTGGCGATTTTTTCTTTCCTCAGGCGCCCAATGGTCACGAACGTCGTGATACACTTCGACAGCAAGGTGAACTAATTCAAACCTTGTCAAACTTATCAAAGAATATTCGAACGATGAAAGATCCTCGCGCGAAAAAGGTAATAGCTTGTCAACCATGATTTTAACCCTCGAATTTTAAGTATCATAAAATATACAGATCGATAAACTGAGAGCCATCATTGCTGATCCTGACAACGGCTTGCGTGCCATTCCGTCTCTGCCCTTGCCCTTGGATCCTGCTCATGAAGTGTGCGATATTCTTCCCGGTAAGTGGAAAAAGGCCTATTTTAGTCTGGTTACCTTGTTGACTCATCACTGGTTCTTTCCCACCCAGAGAAATCAAGTATATTTAACAGCAATATGCAACCGCTTCGCTTAACATTTATGTGCACGGATGGCATTGAATATCCTGTAAGCTTTAGGGATGAGTGTTTTGAAATCAATGATATTCATCATCTGGTTTCGTTACAGATTATTTTCAAAACAGGCGATGATCTTCGCCAAGACCAACTGGTGATCCAGATCATCACGCTCATGGATAAACTGTTACGAAAAGAAAATCTGGATCTGCGACTCACACCATATCGAGTATTGGCGACGGGGCCCGAACAAGGCTTAATGCAGTTCGTGCCTTCGAAATCGCTGGCTGCTGTTTTAAATGATCATCAAAACAACGTTCTCAGCTTTTTCAGAGAACATCATCCTCAGACAGGAGAGAACAGTATTTTTGGTATCGATCCGCAAGTTATGGAAACATACATTCGAAGTTGTGGTAAGTTATTCTTTTAGCGTCTGAAATAAATCGAGGGCTAACGTCGCCATGTTTTTGCTCCAATGCAGCGGGCTATTGCGTGATCACGTACTTGCTGGGCGTGGGCGATCGCCATCTTGACAATCTGTTGCTGTCTACAGAAGGTACGTTCCTGTTGTTCTTTTCTAAGATTCCAGTTGTTGATTGTTCATATTTTGCAAAAAGGCCATTTGTTCCATGTCGACTTTGGATTCATCCTTGGTCGCGATCCAAAGCCGTTTCCACCACCGATGAAACTGTGCAAGGAGATGATTGAAGCCATGGGAGGAGCTGATTCGCCGCAGTACGACAAATTCCGCCAGTATTGCTATACAGCATTTACCACCCTGCGACGGAACGCCAACCTGATTCTCAATTTATTTGCGCTAATGGTGGATGCCAATGTGCCCGATATCAAAATTGATCCCGATCGAGCAGTGATCAAGGTGGGTGACTATGTAGTAACTAGCCGACGGTTGACCAGTTGGACTGACTATTATTTCTTAACAGGTGCAAGAGAAATTCCGCCTCGATCTTACCGAAGAATTGGCCATCTCGTACTTCCAGGGACTCATTTCAGAATCCGTCAATGCTCTCTTTCCGCAGATTATGGAAACAGTACATAAATGGGCCCAATATTGGCGTCGCTAGCTGGCTATTTGCTGCAATAAATCAATGAATGGAACCTTTTTATCCAAGCATCCTTCTTGTTTGGGATCGACTTGTATAATTCCTGAACTGAATTGCATAATTTTTATATCTGTATTAAATGATGCAATTTTTTCCATCATGTGTATTGGGTTCAACATTCGGCGCAGTCGTTATTGTTTGCCCGCCTACAAGGCATCGAACCCAACGTTGCTGGAAACTTTATAGTGAGACGGCTTGCTTTGACATTCACCTTGGATGTCGCAAAGGTCAGTGACTATGTCTTTTCTGCATTAAGCATGGCTGTTGGGTGGGGTTTGAGTCTATATGTTTCTTGATCCATATCCCAATTATCAAACAATGTCCCCCTTAACCATCGAGATATTGTCAAATTACAGACACACACACAGAGCCAGACGTACGTGCAAGTTTGTATGGGGGCACCGCGTGGCAGTTGCGTAGTGTGAGAAATAAGAGTGGCTGATTGGCTTCATTTTGGGGTCCAAGACGAACGAATCAAAGGCATGCCAATCTGGCGGACATTGAACATTTCGGAAACGTCATCAATTTTTTTGCTGCGCTTCCGTCGCCCAACGGCAGGTTTTTTTTTTTGCCTTTTTTTGAGCGCTGTTCTCTTGACATAAAGAAAAAGGGAGCTCTTTTCTACTTTCATTGGACATTATGGCTGATGGTAATTATTACTGGAAATTTGTGCGAATCATAAAAGACTCGGTAGACTCACCTATTCTTATGCTAGATATCGAGAATGAAATCAAGGCTACTCAAGCCAAGCGTGCTCAAATTACCGACAAGGACATCAGTGCTGCGGTCCTCGACAACGAGAAGCATGCAAGTTTAAGCAGTGTTTCTTATGATACCGATATTTACACCAAAGATAAATACGAGGGCTACGCTACTTCGATTCCAGTCGGCGATGAGGAAGAAGAAGACGACGAATTGTATCAAAACACCAAACGCAAATTGAATTCTTACACGGTTTCCAAAGATGCCGTCAACGATGCCTTGCAAGACGCCGATGCTCATGATCCTTTTGCCGAATCAATGAAAGAACGCCGCATCACGGGAAGAGAAGACGAGTATAAACAACGACGATTCAATCGCATGTTATCACCTTCCCGTAAAGATGCGTTTTCCGAATCCGACGATAAAGCTGAGGAATCACGATCTTATGCTGAAGTGATTCGTCAAGCCGAACTCGAAAAAGAAGAACAACGTGTATATGCGGCCATTGCCAAGAAGAAGAAGGAAGAAGAAGAAAGCGGTCAAGCTCAAGAGGCAGCACAGCCGGCGAAAAAGAAACGAAGATGGGACGTTGCTACACCGGCTCATGATGTGTCAGCCACTCCTCGAAGTGACGCCGGCAAGCGATCCAGATGGGACGCTACACCTGTACATACCGATCCTGGTGCCACTCCCCGTTCAGAATGGGACGCTACACCAAGAGGCACAACGACCAAGCGATCTCGTTGGGACGCCACTCCCGTGGGCGTAACAGCGACTCCCGTGGGCGGTCTCGGTATGATGACACCTACACCGAGTCAGAACTTTATCCCGGCAACACCGGAAGCCATGAGCAACTTGCGTTGGGAACGAGAACTGGATGTCCGTAACCGACCATTGTCCGATGAAGAACTGGATGCCATGTTCCCTACCACCGGTTACAAGATCTTGGAACCGCCCGCAGCGTATCAACCTATCCGTACACCGGGACGCAAATTGATGGCTACTCCTACCCCGATGGGTGAGCATGGTTTCATGATGCAAGAAGAAGTGCGCGCTCAAGTCATGGAAATGCCTCAGGAAATCCCGGGTGTCGGTAGTCTTCCGTTCTTCAAGGATGAGGATATGCAGCATTTCGGTAAATTGCTCGAATCGAGAGACGAAACGGACATGTCCGTGGAGGAATTGAAGGAACGTAAAATTATGCGTTTGTTGCTTCGTATCAAGAACGGTACGCCCCCCATGCGTAAGACGGCACTGCGACAGATCACCGACAAAGCGCGCGATTTCGGTCCGGGACCTTTGTTCAATCAAATTCTGCCCTTGTTGATGTCACCGACCCTGGAGGATCAAGAACGTCACTTGTTGGTCAAGGTAATTGATCGTATCCTGTACAAGCTGGATGATCTGGTGCGTCCCTTTGTCCACAAAATCCTTGTGGTCATTGAACCCTTATTGATCGACGAAGATTACTATGCTCGTGTCGAAGGTCGTGAAATCATCAGTAACTTGTCCAAAGCGGCAGGTCTGCCTACCATGATTACAACGATGCGTCCGGACATTGATCATCCAGATGAATATGTGCGTAACACGACGGCACGTGCCTTTTCCGTGGTCGCTTCGGCCCTTGGTATCCCGGCGTTGCTCCCTTTCTTGAAAGCCGTGTGTCGATCCAAAAAGTCATGGCAAGCCCGTCATACGGGTATTAAAATTGTGCAGCAAATCGCCATTTTGCTCGGTTGTGCCGTGTTGCCGCATTTGAAGAATCTCGTTGAAGCCATCGGTCACGGTTTGGAAGACGAACAACAAAAGGTGCGTACGATTACGGCTTTAGCCATTGCCGCTTTGGCGGAAGCGGCTGCACCGTACGGTATTGAATCGTTTGACTCGGTGCTGAAACCCTTGTGGACGGGCATTCGTAAACATCGCGGCAAGGGCCTGGCGGCGTTCTTGAAGGCCATCGGTTACATTATCCCGTTGATGGATGACGAATACGCCAACTATTACACCAAAGAAGTCATGATTATCCTTATCCGTGAATTCCAGTCACCCGACGAAGAGATGAAGAAGATCGTTTTAAAGGTGGTGAAACAGTGTGCGGCCACGGATGGTGTGCAACCGCAGTACATCAAGGAAGAAATCTTGGCAGAGTTTTTCAAGCATTTCTGGGTGCGTCGCATGGCTTTGGATCGTCGTAATTACAAACAAGTGGTAGAGACGACTGTCGAATTGGCCAACAAAGTCGGCGTGGCCGAAATCGTTGGACGCATCGTGGAAGGATTGAAAGACGAAAGTGAACCATACCGTAAGATGGTGATGGAAACCATTGAGAATGTGGTGTCTCAATTGGGCGCGGCGGACATCGACCCTCGATTGGAAGAATTGTTGATCGATGGTATTCTTTACGCATTCCAGGAACAGACGGTGGAAGATGTGATTATGTTGAACGGTTTCGGCACCGTGGTGAATGCGTTGGGTATGCGTATCAAGCCCTATCTGCAACAGATTTGTTATACCATTCTTTGGCGATTGAACAACAAGTCGGCCAAGGTGCGACAGCAAGCGGCCGACCTTATCTCTCGAATCGCGATTGTGATGAAGACGTGTGGCGAAGAAAAGCTGATGAGTCAGTTGGGTCAAATTCTGTACGAATATCTCGGTGAAGAATATCCAGAGGTCTTGGGTTCCATTCTTGGCGCTTTGAAGAGTATTGTGAATGTTATTGGTATGGCGAGTATGACGCCTCCTATCAAGGATCTGTTACCGCGTTTGACTCCCATCTTGAGAAACCGACATGAAAAGGTGCAAGAAAACTGTATCGATTTGGTGGGTCGTATTGCCGATCGTGGTGCTGAGTATGTGTCTGCCAGAGAATGGATGCGTGTTTGTTTCGAACTGCTGGATCTTTTGAAAGCACATAAGAAGGGTATTCGTCGTGCGTCGGTGAATACCTTTGGTTACATTGCCAAAGCCATTGGTCCTCAGGATGTGCTTGCTACGTTGCTCAACAATCTCAAGGTTCAAGAACGTCAAAACCGTGTGTGTACGACGGTGGCCATTGCTATTGTTGCCGAAACGTGTGCTCCATTCACCGTCTTGCCTGCCTTGATGAACGAGTATCGCGTGCCCGAACTCAACGTTCAAAACGGTGTTTTGAAATCCTTGTCCTTTATTTTCGAATACGTTGGAGGTAAGTTTTGCATTTGGAAGATCTCAAATGTTATCAAGATTCTGATGGTTCCTCTATTTTTATCACAGAAATGGGCAAAGATTATATTGATGCCGTGACACCGCTGTTGGAAGACGCTTTAATGGACCGTGATCTTGTGCATCGACAGACGGCGTGTGCTACGATTAAACACATGGCGCTTGGCGTGGTCGGTTTAGGTTGCGAACAACCTCTGCGTCACTTGCTGAATTACATTTGGCCCAACATTTTCGAAACAAGGTACGCTATTTCTTTCCTTTTTCTTCAAGAGAGTTTCTTGCATATTAACTGATGCGATTTGTTTTTTCCTAGTCCTCACGTTATTAATGCGGTAATGGAATCCATCGAGGGTATGCGTGTGGCACTTGGACCGGCCACTATTCTCCAATACGTTTTGCAAGGTCTTTTCCACCCTGCTCGTAAGGTGCGCGAAGTGTATTGGAAGATTTATAATTCCTTGTATATCGGCAGTCAAGACGCCTTGGTACCATACTATCCTCGCATTGAAGACGATGCCGTTAACAGATATCAGCGGTACGAATTGGATTATGTACTCTAAGCACCTTTTGGCACTCAAAACACAAATCACCTTGTTCACGTTCCTTTTTTTTTCTTTCTTCCCTGAATTCATCATATCCATGTTTTTCTTTGTTTTCTATGCAACTTTTTCAAAAAAACTGTTACTTGTCTCAATAAATCCAGTCCTCGAACCAAAAAAAAAAAAAAAGGCTCTTAGAATTCATGATCATTCTTGTTGCGAGTTTTCTAACCCCGTCGTTTGTGCACTAAATCACACAAGTAAACCATGTTCCTTTCCTTGCAAATACGATAACCTTCACTGTGAATGACGCGTGCGTAAAAAAGAGGATGAAGATCTAATGACAACTGCTCTTTTGTTTTTCATTTTTATTTTTTTAAAAAAGTTATACAGGGGGATCTATTCACTGTTTTGTTATGAAAATTTATCGGTCGACTTCACCAAACACAATATCCATGGTACCAATGAGGGTGACCATGTCAGGAAGCAAGTGACCACGGGACATGAAGTCGGAACCTTGCAAATGTGCGAAACCAGGAGCCTTGATCTTGCATCGATAGGGTCGGTTGGAACCGTCAGAGACGAGGAAGACACCGAATTCACCCTTGGGGGCTTCAATGACGGTGTAGGTTTCGCCAGCAGGAACCGAGTAACCTTCAGAGTATAACTTGAAGTGATGAATCAAAGCTTCCATGTTTTCCTTCATGGCAGCACGTGGGGGAGGAGCAATCTATTCACAACAAAATATCGTTAGAATCCAATAAGCGATGCAATGCGTTCATTCTCGTTTTCTTTTTTACCTTCCAGTCGTCAACCTTGACGGGACCTTCAGGCATTTTGTTCACACACTGATGGATGATACGGAGCGATTGACGCATTTCTTCGATACGGCACAAGTAACGATCGTAACAATCACCGTTTTGACCGACGGGGACATCGAATTCCATATCACCGTAAGCATCATAGGGAGCTTGCTTACGGATATCCCACTTCAAACCCGAACCACGAACCATGACACCGGAGAAACCCCAGTCAAGAGCTTCCTTTACTGTAACGACACCGACGTTTTCGGTACGGATTTTCCAGATACGGTTAGCAGTCAACAATTCTTCGACTTCATCGATACGATCGGCGAACTGTTCGGCCCACATTTGGACATCGTCCAACAAGCCAATGGGAATATCCAAAGACACACCACCGGGACGTACGTAAGCCGAATGCAAACGAGCACCAGAGACACGTTCGTAGAATTCCATCAACTTTTCACGTTCTTCGAACATCCACAAGAAAGGAGTCAATGCACCAACATCCATGGCGTGAGACATGACGGCCATGATGTGATTGAGAATACGAGTAATTTCGCCAAACATGGTACGAATGTATTTGCCACGTGCAGGGACTTCAATGTTGAGCAATTTCTCCACGGCGAGCGAGTAGGCTTGTTCGTTGGTCATCATGGAGACGTAATCGAGACGATCAAAGTAAGGCAAAGCCTGCAAGTACGTCTTGTACTCGATCAACTTTTCCGTACCACGGTGAAGCAAACCGACGTGAGGATCGGCGCGCACAATTTCTTCACCGTTCAATTCAAGAATCAAACGCAACACACCGTGAGCAGCAGGATGCTGAGGTCCAAAGTTCACCGTGAAATTACGCATTTTGCTCTCGTCTTCATCCTGGACACCTAAAATTACACAGTGATAAAAAGAAGAGAGGTCAAAGTCAATAGGTGTACAGCAGCTACATGTTTGTGATTTGATTCGATCGTGTGGCGTTTGTGGGGTAAAAAACAGGACCATGCGCAAAAAGGGGGGTAGGTCAAAGAATACTTACTGCCGAATTCCTTGTCTTCAGTGATTGTGGTGACGGGAATATCGGCCACGGTCTGCTGACTGGCAGCGGTCGCCATGGTGCGCCAATGAAGGGGTTGCGTGGCTACTCGCTTATTGACGGTGGCGAACATGGAAGGACGAGCGGTCGTGGTGGCCAGTCGACGCGCCCATAATCTTGCGGCAAACGACATTGCTAAGAAAAAAAAAAAAAGAGTAGGGGAAAAAAAAGAGAAGAGATGGAGAGTCTAGAAAGGAAGATACAAGAATCTACGTCAGCACTCTAGCCAAACAATCGAGCCTCTTTTCTTGCAAGATCGGCGAACCTCTTTAGAGCAGCACAATTAAAATATGATAATTTTCTTGCACCCACACAAAATTTTGTGTTTTCTCGGCCCCACAGCAAGGGCAAAAAAAAAAACTGACGTCACCCTTTTGGCGGAAATCGAAAAATTTCTCTTCATATTTGTTGTTTTAATTCTTCCATCCTTTTTGGGCGTTGGTTCCTTTCGGGAAATGTTGAGCCACAAAGATGCGCAGGGCCACACGCCCTTGAGTTGCCAAGTTTTCGTTATTTTGATTAGCATTTATCAATGGATAGAAAGTTGACATGGTTGGGGATATATCCTTATTTTGCCAGAAATGGAAATCAGTTTTTTTGACACCAAGGGAACGACCCCGTTACGATGGCAATGAAAGTCGATGATTTTTCGAGCAGTGGGATAAGATCCATCAGCACGACCCACAAGTTGCTGATATATTGAATCTCTAGTTTGAGCCGACGCCGCTTTGGAACTGCGATGAAAATTTGAGTTACGCGTTCTATGTCAAATTCCAGGTTTCACTCCTTTATTTTCTTTCGTGCGATTCCTGAGCCGTTTGATACGCCAGACAAAGTTGCTTTTTTTGACTGTCCAAGCACCCATTCTTCTTGCGCACCCTTTTTTTCAACGCGCTTGAGGAGGGTCGGTGAGTCCTAGATCTACCTTTTCTTGTTATTCAATGTATTCAAAAAGGAATGAAAAAAAAGAAGATTTTGGAACATGGGAAAAAACCCGAAAATCCAGGTTGCCCATTTTCCTATCTTGGCATGGAACGTCGTGAATGAATCATTCAAAATATGAGGGGCTATACTGAATGATCCTATTTGTTTATCATATTATTTGATCATTTTTCAAAACCAAAGGATTGATAGACGTAGGTCATGCAATTCAAAATTGATGGAAAAAGAAAAAAAAAATGCAGTAATGTGATGAGATTGGGGTTGGGGAAGGAAGGGGCGGGGGGGGGGGAGGACAAGGCGGGCATACCGGCTTGCTTCACGTTCGGGTGAAATCATGGCATTTGGTAAGCAGCATGTCTCCGGCTGAAACTTTTTTGCATCTCAGGTGCTGGCTTTCAAAAAATTGCATATGGACATTTTCTTAAAATCGTGTGTCTTGTCTTTTTCTTTACGTGTTGCTTCTGCTTTTGCTTTTTGTTCTCATTACTGAACAAAAAAAACATTCATGCCTCCATTTATACCACCTTCATTTGAATCAATTGAAGCAAAAGCATGGGCCTGCAATACCGTCGATAGTCTGCTGTCAACCCCGGCTCCCATCACGTTCGAACCATATCCTATCAGCGACATTCCTCAGACATCCTTGAACGATGAACAGCCCACCACCACGGTATTTACCCCGCCTGAACGTAAAAAAGAAGCGATGCGTCGATCCTTTTCACTGTTGGAAAGCCGGTTGTTCCGTTCGTCGCGCAACAATTCATTTTACACCAACGATGAAAAGTATGAAGTCAATCTTCGTCATCGTACAACGGTTCACAGCTCATGTCACCTCCGCCAACATGGCCTAAGCATGCTAGAAGAATCCAATTCGGAACCTATTATACCGACTAATTGCCAATCTCGATCGTCGTTCTCCCGCCTTCGTCGTCCTTGGACATTCGACGCTCATATTGTCAAACATTTGTTTTCGTCTCCTGCAGCGTTTGATCGGCGACAAAATAAAAAGGAACGCGAGGGTGTCGAAATTTGGATGCGTACCTATAAATCTTATTTATTGGAACCTTGTACAGTCATGGTATGTGGTTGGGCCGTGGTTTTGACCACTGCATACATCATTTTTTACCGAGTCAATGATCCGATGGGTTTCTAACCATAACGTCCTCCTTTTCATTTTTCTCTGCCTCAAAAAATAGCCTGTACCGTTTTCGACTCGGTCTGCTCAATTGGCACGGTTCGTGGTAGCCGAGTTGATCACCACCGAAGAAACCTACCTCAATCACCTTACCAATTTAAAAAATGTAAGACATTGATAGACAATTGTTTCTCATGACGACCTATTTGTCTTGGCAATGACCGCTGATCTTCGATGGAAACGGTTGAAACTCAACGCTTGTTGTAGGTATTTATCGATCCATTGCTTGAAGCTGCAGACACTCGGCATCACCCACCGCTCGTGAATATGCGTGATGTACAAACCATCTTTGCGTATGTACCACAGTTAATGGTACTTTCCAGTATGCTTGTTCAACGCCTGCATGACGGCATTCGTGTAACCGAAGATGCACCGAGTTTGGTCGGTCGAATTTTCTGTGACTTGGAAAAAGCTTTTGAAGTGTATATTTGTTATGCGGCCAACTATCGTCAATCACAAAAATGCCTCTTGAAAGCCGGCCGTAATGTGGTATACCGACAATTTATCCAGGTAAGAGATAAAGTTTTTAGAAAAAAGGGGGGAGAGGGAAGATGCATGGTTTGAGAAACCTGCAAATATTTCGAGGATCACACTAACAAAAAAAAAAAAAAAAAAAACTTTGTGAAATGGTGCATTAGGATTCGTTACGTAAAAAGGAGAATCATCGGATGGGATTAGCCGATTACCTAATTGCTCCTATTCAACGTATCACACGCTACTGCCTACTGTTAAAAGGTGCGCCTCTCTGTTTCAATTGACATACTAATCGACCGAAAAAACTGACTGATCGCCTCTTTTCATTTTCTTTTTTTCTAGACCTGATAAAGAACTCCAATCCGAGCCACTCGGATTATCCTTGCATTGAAAAAGCCCTGAAATCACTTACCGCTCTTGCACTGGCAATGAACAATATCCAATAATTCCCTTTTTTTGTTTCCGCGAAAGTTTCCACCAGGTTTTCCTCTGGAGGAATCCATTTTGGTTGTACCCTCATCTTCAATGTATTATAGATCACTCAAATTCTCTTATTATAAACTTGCTTTTTGTACATGCGCTTTTCATCAAGTATTGACTTCTCTTGCATCGCTTAATCGCTTATTGTCTGTTTCTAAGTGGAGCGCCCTTTTTTTGAGGCAACACAATCTCCCCAATTTAGTAGACTGCTCACTCTATTTTCAGAGCCAAAAAAATAAAAATAAAAAATATGTAAAAAACAAAGAGGAACCGAGGGTTCGTCGACCAGTTTTCTTTTTGTCCATTTTTTATGTTTTATGGATACGTCAAGGCGTCAAACCGTCGTGGTGAATCATTATGCTACAACCAAGCCATTACTGAGTATTGAACTGGATGAACCGCAACGTGTATGGTTCCCCGGACAAGTTATCCACGGTAAACTGGAACGGGTTGCATAACGAAAAACATCAATTGTATTAAACAGAAGACTCCCCCACCCCCCCCTTGTTTTGAAACCTTCCATGGCGTCGGTCTCTTAGGCACGGTTCGACTCAGTTCGCTTGCAGCGAGTCTCAGCTCCACCACCACATGTATCCAACTTCACTTGACGTGCGTTTTCCAACTTGGCGATGGTTCTCGAAAGATTCTTCTCCTCAAGGTCATCGTTCCATCCCAACCATGTCACGGGCAAACCCAACTGCCATTCAACATTGCCATCCCAACTTCCGTTCCTTCCACTGTCGATGATAAGGTACACACACCATTGTATTCCGGGTTGTGATGTGATGTGATGTGATGGAGACATCGAAATAACCTTTTTCATTTATTCAAGACTATCGCAGCCAAAGTACAATATAAAATTAAAGCCGTGTATCAGATACCGGGATTGCCCACCACCTTATATCCAAAAACATCAATCCCCGTTCACATCAAAAGTTGGATTTCAGCCAACGATATTGCCTATTCGGCCGGTCTAAAGAGCGAAAAGGATGCCACGATTATCATTCCTCGAGATATCATCATGAGTGCTGTGCGCTTGCGCAAAGATGAGGAACGGAAAATATCTGCCACGTTGTCCATTCCTCGTTCCTGCTATCTACCTGGTAAAAACTGAAACACATAATTTATAGGGTTTAGGATGACGATAGATGATAACCCCCTATTGTTTCTTGTGTTTTCATCATGATTAAGACCAATCGATTTCCTTCAGTCTCAAAATCCAGCATGTGGCGCCTATCAAACAGATGCAGGGTGTCCATGTGCATCTGGAGCGCGTGACACACATTGTGCTGGATGGTATGACATCCATCGATACCGTTTCCGTAGCCGAAATGACCCTGCCACTGATATGCGATACCAAAGACTTTACCGCTACCATCACCAGTGGGGCCTTGAAAGTGCCTTTGAACATTTCATCCACCATCGACAATACCATAAGTCCTCTGAATATCTTTTATCGAATAAGGGTCACCTTGAATATGGACATGACTATTCTTCTCGATGAACCGCATTCAAGAAAACGTGACCGTGCATACAGTGTGGTGACGAGAATGATGAGCTGGAATGACGACCTAAAGTCGCCACGCAACAATACCACCCTGTCGCTGGATTTGCCCGTCGTCATCGGCACCACCGACGCTTCTAAGGAGACGATGCCCATAGCGCCGCTCAAAGACCCTGCACTTTCCCTGGACCAGATATATTTCCAGCACCTGCAATCTAACCGTTTCTCCAATTATGACACCGGTGACAAAAAATTTCCACCGCGTACAGATTCGTTGCCGACCCATGTGCCTGACATTATTACCACGCCTCCAGATTATTACGCCCACACGACTTTTAGCAGCCCCATCTTGATGAAACCTACATTTTACACGCAAATTCCTCGTCAGCCTTCAGCACCACATCTTCAAGATATCGAACTGTCTCCGATCTATGGAACCGAACCGTGCACCGCAACGGAGAAGCCGCCGTTGCGTCCATCCCATCGCTATTCAAAGTCATGGTCACTGCCGGTTTTACCTCACAATATACCACCATCATCAATACAATCTCCACATACCATTTCAAAATCATCTACCTCTTGATCATCTGTGAATTATTATCAGGAAGCGCAAAAAAGGTATGTCGAATGACTCTAAAAAAGTTGTCCTTACTTGTCTCGGACGGCTGCCAATTTTACTTACAAGCCTACCTCATCAAATTGGTGTTCTTTTCTTCAATTCATTTGCAATAAATAGCATGCTTCTTTATTTTTTTCTCTGTATCCATAGCTCCAAAACATCATGACAATGGGCAAAAAGTTTGCCTCGCAGCAGTAACATGGTCACAAATTACTTTGATGTAAACCTCATTGTAGTAGTGATTTTGACCCTTGCACAATATAAACGCTGGAAAATACTACTATGTAAGGGATGGAATCGTGGCAATACTTATAAAGTTGGTGTAATGATGCCACAATTCCTGACGTATTTCATATGCTGTGGCCAGTTAAAGTGGCACTGTCGAATCATACGATAAACAAGGTGCCATTGGGGTTATTGGCTGATTATTGGGCTCCGAGTCTTTTCATACAGTAGGTATTTTTATTGGTAACTGCTCAAGAAATGCTATTAAAAAAAGATATATGTATTTACGGTGAATGGTGCTGGTTAAGGTATTCTAATGTAGTATTTTCAATACAATGATGGATAAACGCTTGGATTGTTTCATCTTGCTCAATTCGCTGACCGAATCGTTTGAATAAATGATCTTTGACCTCGGATCGTGTCGTCAAATCCAAGTTGACTTGTTGCAAGTACTGTCGAATTTCTTTCCTTACCGCTTCGCGAAACTCGTGAACATTTAGTATTGCATTCTCCCTGGATCTTTTTATTGACAATCCCAACGGTTTGGAAGCTGAGGCTGAGGCTGAGGGTGACGGCACGGGCGGTGGGGCGGGCGGGGCGGCTCGATGGTATGCTAGCCGATGCGGTAGTCCTGAGGCCATGGCTCCGTCCCGCACGCTCACGTTGGAAAGGTTCGCATGATGCGGAATTTTCAAACCGACATTTCCATGGCACGCGGTACGACGACCTTCATCCTGTTCATGTCCCCACGCTTGATCTTGGCCTATGAATGATGAGCCGTGGCTTTTTTCCAAGGACGCTTCGGGATCAATACTGAGACTCGAACTGGCCAATGACATGGTTTGTGAAATAACAGAGAACAGTGATGCTCGGTCATTGATGGCACTATCCTGATTCATCACACTGTCGGCGGAAAACGATCGCGCATGCCCGAGATCGGTCTCTCTTCCACCCGTCCGACTGTTCGTTGTTGCGTAAGGCGAGATATCCATGTTCCGACGGTGGACCGTGTCCTCGCGGCTGCTGTAGGATTGATGCGTGAAATAAGAAGATTGCGAATGGTTCGAACGATGGCCTCCGCGGGCCCGTCGAGATGTGCCTTGTTGTTGTGTCGCGTTCTGAAACTGTGACCCTTGACGTCGCAAGGAGATGGCGTAATTGTCATCAAACGGATTATCCATCACGACATGCAACGGATCGGCAAACGGGTTATCGGGTAATACAGATAGCGAACCGGCTCTGTCTGCTTGAGCAGGCGTCATCATCCGATTGTCCTTGTTTACCGAATTGAATCGATGTCGGCTGCGCGTCGTTTCGATGTTGATTGACGTGCTGTACATATCTGCGGGGACTTTGAGGTTGTTGGACGACAGGTTGTCGCGTAGCTGAGCTGGAGGGAACGAGGAGATCATGGCGTTGGTGGCATCACCCGCTGGTCCAAAGCCTGTGGGTTGCGTCGACATCGTGGAGTAGAAACTGTCCCGAGCATTACCAAAGCTGGTGAAGCCGGTAAATTTGGAATCGAGAGCGACTTCGGCAGCGCGGTAAGAACGATGGGCTTCGGCGGCTTCATATTCACCGAGGCGCATGCGTGGTACACTGTCCTCGTCCACCGTATCCGTGTCGAACTCTTCCTTTTCGGATGCGTGGTGCGATTCCTCGTGGTCGTAAAAGGCGCCGTGGGGTCGCGAACCGCTGGCGTGGTTACTTGCCCACACATCGTACCAATTCGTGGCTTGATCGCTCCGCCACAAGGCCAGGATTGGGAACCAAACCATGAACAATGGCACCGACAGCAAGCAATACAGGATAAACCACATGACATACTTGAATTGACGACGGAGAAGGAAATACACAATGTGCAGTGCAAAGAGGATCATGAAGCTTCCAGCAATGATAGCGTACGATAACCAGTAGGTTAACAGAAATCGGATATACACTGTGTAAAGGTACGCAATGACGGAGGGTAAAAAGATGGTATTGACAATTTCGGTCGCTGATAATAACCAGTAACGGAATCCGAGGTGTCTCGAGACGCGATGCATCTCCAGTTGGTTGTGAAAAACGGCACTGATGTTGCGCACCTGCAGGCCTTGCAATGCGGAAAACGTAGTAGGTAGTGTGGCGTACCCGATCGCTTCGGCTTCAAACCCGAGATGATGACGAGGATGCGATTGCAAAAGAACAGTTGCAAGATACCGATCTTCCCCTTGCAAAAGGACATTTTGCATATGCATGGTATCGGCCTGGGGCGTTGCGAAACCTCGTAGGACGGTGGGATGGATACAGCAAGGTCTTTTTTCGGGATCCAGTGACAGCGAAAGCCGTGAGTCGAGGCCGGAGGTCGTGGTGGAAGCTCGATCGTTTTGTAGGCTCGGTTGCGTGTTTCTCAAGGAAGACGGATTGGAATCGATAATCTCGTCACTAACTTTGGGCCATTTCGAATGCCAGATGGCACGTTGTGAGGTGGTGTCACTGCTGGTGGGTTTGAACCACCAACGAAACGCTGGTTTCTCGTTGCTCTCGAGGGCTGGCGGGAGGTTTTCTGTCCATATTTTGTACATGACAAGACTGCCATTGATCGTCATTAAGCTGCGCAGGCATGTTTCGTAAGCTAATCCGGAGAAAAAGGTCCAATGAAGTGGGAAGATTTGTAGCATGGTAATGAGATTTTCCTCGGGATTGGCTGGTCGAACATGGCCACTAATCGCCAGCATTTTGCGATCGTTCTCCAGCCGACACACCAGTTTTTGTAGTACATCGCCTTGTACTTGGGTATCGGCATCTGTCATGAGTAGATACTTGAATTCGCGTGGATCGATGCCCAAAACGCTGTAACAATGATTGAATAGTTCGTATTCCAGTGGGGTCATCCGGTTGTTGGCCAGATTCATGCATCGTTCAAGAAATCCAAAAATCATGACCATGGAATCGCGTTTGCCGCGATTGCCTGGAGCATGTCCCCTTTGCGCGATTTCATTGACATGACCAATCTTGACTACCACGAGATAAGGGACACGATTGCCTCCCGTTTCGTAATAGCCTGAATAGATCTTGGCCCGGTTCACTTTGAGCGGTCCGTGACCGAGGGAGACGTACAACTGCGGCAACGCTTCTTCGGTGCCACTGTGACCGAGCGATTCCAAAATACAAGCATACGTCGGCTTGGTTTCGTTCTGACTCTGGGTCACTCCATCACACACAAACACCAAGAGTTTTTTGGTATCGTCGTAACTGGTTCGTGCTAGTGGGTCGAATGTCTGCTTGATGATGTGGGCCGGTTCTGCGTAGCAAGGAATCATGAAGATGGTATAGGGCCATTGGTTGCGGTTGTTGCATGGACGATGCGTGAAGGATGGAGACAAGTACCGTCGAAAAAACGAGATACGTGATAAATTGGCGAGATTCATTTTGATCAGGAAATACAACAGACCAAGTCCCAAGGTGGCGAAAAGAGCGGGATTGACTCGATAACATCCTCTTTCGGGAGGATCGTCGGTGGTGATGCCTTGGAAGAACAAGGTGCGAAGGCAGGGTAGATACAGGTCGGGATCGGACGTGTTGCCTCGAAAGTAGTCCGTGATATCGTTGCCTAGGTTGATATAAAGGAGGATGGAAAGATCTAAAGGGAGGAACATGCGATCCAGCGCAAATGCTCGAGAGGTCATGGAAGCCGAAATATTCACCACATTGGTCGCGGCTTCCAAATAATCGGTCACATCAAGAACTTCTTGATTGAGAATGACATAGCCTCGTTTGGTGCGGTTTTTGGGAGAAGGCAACATATTGAATTCTTCCCGGATCAATTTGGGACTGTACAGAATATCTGTTGGTCGGAGAAAGAAAGCAAGGTCAATATGTTTCAGCGCGACACTCTTTTTTGCATCAATGAGCATAATAAAGAAAAAACTTCACTACGGACCTGCTCCTATACTTTCAAAGTTGAAAGGATTGTCGGCCCGGGAAACACAACGGACACCGGGGATGGTCGGGTCATCCGGCAGAGGGCACATGAGATGGCCATTTTCATACGCATATCCCGGATCTTGTCCAATACGATATGCTAACCAGTTATCAGCCTGCTGGGTCCGGCCCTGACCAGCAATACATCGTTCGAGAATGCCGCTGTAATAAGGCGAGTGCGGAGATGAGCGTTGGAGCATCATAAACGTGGGAAACATGGAGGATAAGTCGTGATGAGGGTATTGACTGACTTGAGCTGCTACCCAGGAAGAATCGGCAGCAAACGAAAGATTGACGGCTTTCCCGTTAATGGCGGCGTATTTGGAATCGGGGGCAAAGACATCACTGTATTTGTAAAGAACTTCGACGTCGCAGAATAAAGTGGAGATGTACTCTAGCCAAAAGCACAGTAAAGCTGAGAGTGAAAGAAAGATTACGCACATGGCGATCTTTTCACGCCAAGCATGACGAGCAGCTAATCAATGGATGTTTTAGTGACTGAAAGAAAAAGGGTGGTTTTCTGTGTGTGTGGGGGGGGGCGGGGAGAGGCTTACTCGAAGTTTGCAAATCACCGACATATTTCAATACAATGTCGGGAAAGATCAAAGTACACAGCCGGGCAAAGGCTACCCATACGATTCGACGAGACGTAGGCTTACGCATATATGAGTAGTTTTCCGCGACTCTCATGGACAGCTTTGCACCATGCCACCCATCAACCAAAGTGCAGGTCCGAAGTGTTCAGGCACTCCAACCGCTGAAAATAAGGTTTTTCAAAGACAGCCACCTGCAAAAAAAAACACCAAAAAATATCCAACGCAACAAAGGAAGTCTTGTTACGTCATGTGCCCATTCTGGAACTTCTTTTATGCTTGCTCCGTTGATCCGACATAAAATAAAATAAAAACAAGAGTATTCAACCTTGGATAACGCAACTTGGAAAGTCTGGGTCATGTCTTTTTTGTTTGACTGTAGACTGTATAAAAAAGACGTGTAAAGTCCGATCCTCAGCAAGTATTCGATACGGGCAGCCACCAATGAGTGAATGTTTGGTAGCGTTTCATCAATATAATCATATATCGCTGACCTTGCATATCTTGGTTTCATGTTTATGTGTAATTCGTATGCATTTCTTCATGCAGAGGCGAGGTTACTTCATAAACGATGAAAGCCGACCAAGGAACAATTTGTATGCAAAGATGATGCCATTCCGTAACACAGTAAACCAGACTAGACATAACCGTTTCCCTGTGAAATGTATGTATAAATGATGTATGTTGAAGATGATTATCCACTTTACAGCTTTAGCCCATCAGGAAAGAGGCACTCCACTTGGAAAAAAGTGATAAATTAGACAAATTACTTCTATCCAAAAAAACAAAAACAAAAAACAAAAAACACACATTTCTTTTGTATGCAATTGGGATTTCCAACGGTATTTTGCTTTGGTTTTACAGGGCTTGAACATTCTACAGTCATTGAATAAAAGTTTAGCCTCTTGGGAGATGGGACTTGTACAGATACAGAAGTTCCGTTCGGGATAGGGTTGGCATGAGTAACGTGTTCCAACACAAGCAAGACCGATCTGTATGGCATCGTTCATGACATCGATCACCAATATTTTCAGTAACAGCGCATTGCGGAAGGCAGCATAAGACGGAGCTTTGCATTCTTTTTAATTTATTTTAAAAAAGATATCGTAAACTCCCATCAAGAGAGGTATACATACATACATACATACATTAAAGCTATCAATCTTCAAAGACATATTTTCCATAATGGTCAATAGCATACTGTCTTCCCTTTGGGGTGAGCCAACCGCAACGTTTGGCAAGCAAATCCTCCACTCTGCTCTCATCCACCAGCATACGTATGCCAAAATCTGTGACCTTGGTATCGGAAATATTCAGGTACGTCAAATATTTCAATTTGACGACTTCTTCTATTACGTAATCGTTCACACCGTGCACATCTGACATGTATAGCCATTCTAGAAAGGGCATTTTTTGAGAAAGGCACAGAGATTGTCATCAAAAATCGCAGAGTCGGTTAGAGTTACTTCGCGTAACATGGGCCATGGATATCGGCTCAGATACTCAGCGACTCGACTCTCGCAATCCAAATCGTATAGAGAAAGAACTTCCAAAGTCCATTGCTGGTCATCAAGTATTACTATAATACATTCATCGGGTGTTTCGTTCAGACCAAGTAATGCGATTTCACGTAATCCCGGTTGCGAGGATGTGTTTTGCCATTCCTTATCTTCGTAAGAGGAAGTGTAAGACGCATAAACCCTGTTATAGATCTCTAAGCATCGCAACTGCGGAGCGTGTGCTTTGAGTGTTTCGAGGGGCATAGACAGATCGGTAGAAAGATAACTAATAAAAATGTACTCAAGTTCGGGACATGACGTGACCAGCAAGCGTAAATTAGTTTCAGAGTTGGTGTTGCATTTGAGGGATAGACTTAACGAGCGCAGATTCAGTTTGGAAGGGACTGTCAAAGGTTCGCTTCGAGAAAGGAGCTGGGGGGAGACCGAGAAACGCTAAATGTATTAAAGTGTCCTGCTTGTGCTGAATTACTTGCAACAATGTTTTCGGGTCAGCACTGCTGCCGTCCAATCGCAAGTGGGTGATGTTGCTGCCGATAAGACCAAATGTTTTCAGAAAAAGAGGACGTGAAAATTGGGATTTTTGCATAGGATTTGTTTTTGAAGTTTAGGTCCATAATTCAACTTCTAGGTAGTTTCTTCGAATTCTGGAACAACACTGGTTTTTCTGGCTCCTTTTTGATTTTTTTTTAACAGGTAATAGGCAGATTGGTTCGTAAAGTTTTCGAGAACACGAATTGCAAAACTGTGTCGACCTTTCGAGAAGTAGGCGTAAGAGGTACAGCTATTCAGATCGATCCCATCATGGATAAAGCAATTTAAGTGGAACTGTTTCCACAGACATCGCCATCATAAAGAAGATTGCTTACGATTTTTTTTTACTGCAATAAGCAAAGACAGTTCCGTATAAACATAGTATAACACATTCGGAGATTGCGGTTGTACCGATATCGGTTTCTTTTTTCTATTATAAAAATTCTAAATCCTTGGTAGGATTGTATGTGACATGTGTATAGTGTGCTGGGAAACCATCAATACTCCATTTATCCTCGTATATGACTTGCGATTCTCCAAGAATATCTTGAGCGTACCGAATGACCTCAGGCTCCAACGAAGGGCAATCAATCATCACCAGTACTCTCAACGCCCGGCGTTGATCCAGCAGCATACGTACACCGTTGGGTGTGACGGAGGTATTTGAAACGTTCAGCTCCTCCAAATGCTTCAATTTCCTCGTTACTTCCAGTACGCGATCGCTCATATGCAATATATGTGACAGATCAATGACTTTTAACAAAGGGGCTTTTTCGAGAAACGCACTTAGATGGGTTTCCTCAAATACCGGAGAACCTTGTAGCGATACGTAACGTAATCGGGGCCACGCAAAATAGCTCATATAATTGGGAATTACACTTGTTTCCCTGAAATATTCCAAACAGAGAATTTGTAAAGTTTCTTGCTGATCGTCAAGTGTCGCTCTGATGTCTTCATCTGGTATTTCCTTCAAGCGCTGTATCGTAAAACTGCATAATCCTGGTCGCGATGTTCCCTTTTGCAACTGAGAGTAATTGTGAGTTGGGGTACACCGTATGATGTTGTAGTTGGCATCAATATCAATACTCTGTAAGTGCGGGCAATGTGCTTTGAGTGCATGAAATATACCAGAGGCGTTGCTGTCTCCCTCCTTTAAATGAATGTGCTGAAGATCGGGACACGCGGCGATCAGTAATCGCAAATCTGATGCAACAATGGTCTGGCCTTCGTAGAACATGCTCAGAGTTAAGGAGCGAAGTTTGAGTTTTGAAGGAAATGTCGAAGGGAAGGTCCAAGGTTGATTTCTTGTATCGACTGATTCGCAATGAACCATGGCTAACCTTACTAAAGTACTTTGCGTGTATTGGATTACTTGAAACATTGTCTCTATGTCTATCGCGCACTCAACCAGCGACAAGTGCGTAATCTGATTGCCAATACAAGAAAGCGCTCGGAGAAAGACAGAACCTGGCACTTGACAAGAGTGCAGCCCTACGAAAGATTTGGTCAACTTGTAATTTCTTTCTGCCATTTGTCTGTCAAATCGGGTATTGTTTACATGCCTAGTTTTCGGATTGTGTCGCTCTTCCTGTTGATGAGTATTTGCAGGAGTTTTCCCAACTTCTCGCCATTGTAATAGCACATATAGAAACCAGAAAGGCACTGTAAATTTGCGTAACGCAGGCATCGGGAAATGTAAGGATCTTCAGAATCATCACAACAAAGGTCGACTTCTTTCCACAGGGGACCCCAGTTCATAATAAAACCGCGCCAGCTTTTGGATACTTTGGAGGATTCAGGAATCAATTGATAAAAGTATAAGTGCGAAAAGATGTTGCCTACTATTTCAGGAGGCAACAACGACACAAAGTTCTGGAAGTTTATTTTGCATTTGGCGGTTGGTTTTGGTGAAAGGAGCAGTGATTGTGTTGGCTTGGACATAGTAAGGCAGAAGGAGACAGATGACAATAAAAATGAAATATGCGATTGCTTCGTTATTGTGCGAAAGGGTTTAGATAGTCACAAGAGTTGAAGTTCCACTTCTCTATTGTGCTCGTGTCGCATACAGGCGCATGCGTTGAGTATTGTAAGTCTCAAAAAAACTTGACCATCAGTCGGAGTATTAGTCCAGAGGCGCAGTACTCCGTTCTCAAAAGCTTTGAAGCGGGGGAAAGCAAACAAGACAGATATGAACAGTCAGATGGACAAAGAATGGAATGACAGAGCATACGACATAGTCAAGCGGAAGAGAGTAAGTCAAATCAGCTTGACAGGGTTGTATATTTGTTAATTGTACCTGTAATCCTTAGACGGGCCTCTGTTGCCCAGCGGAACATGCGAGTGAGGTGGACGCACTACGCAGCATTATCATTATTTAGCATGGTCAGCATAGTAAGCATACGCCGGAACACAGTTGGTCGGTAGTATATCTTTTCTCAATATCAAATATGGAATAACGAATATGCGAATTATTCTTCGACCTCTTGATTATTTGAGCTCACCTCTGTTCTAATCAAAAAGAGGCATTAAAATTCTGGGAAGGGATTTCAGGAAAGGAAACGCTCTAATAGGTTCGATGCTTATTCATTTCTACATCCATATCAGACCACCAATAAAGCGCTTGTTTTCGAGAATTCTCGCGAGACTCATCAAGATCGGCTGTGATGCGCAGTAAAAAAAAAAAAAAAAAAGCGAAAAAAAATGGCGGTGATACAGCAGAAACACAAAGACTTTTTGACATCTTACAACCGAATGAAAAAGCATCGTGAAAGCAAAGATTGTGATACAAGAAGCAACCAAGAACTTCCTTCGTCTAGCATCTGAGTACGAAGGTCCAAAGCCATCAGCAGTAGAGATAAAGGCGAATATCATAATGCAAAACGCATACAGCTAGCTGGAACGTTTTTTTTTCTTCTGTGAATTAGGAAGTTCCTTTTGCAATCGTAAATGAAAACTTCGCGTGTTTGGCAGGAAAAGCACAATTCAGAACTGATTAGCTATTGCGCTCAACTGGACGTATTACAAGAGGTGTCACAGAGGGGTATATCTGTATTTCAATGAACTCGAGTTCATCAGTGCCCATTGATAATTTTGTGATCCTATGCGTTCACACTGGCACTTTCTTGATGATAGATCAGGCAGGGAATATGAAACATTTTAAGGGAATGCCTCCAAAAATCCTTTTTTATGAAGTTGTCCTTCTGTCACGGAAAACTCTGGAAAACTTTAAATTGAGAGGAAAAGCTGCGTGTTTAGGGAGTTGAGAAGCTATTTGATGCCATACTCATTGAAGATCAGACGTAAGCTTTATCCTCGAGAATGTATGAATGATGTTTATTGAAGAAATGAAGGAAAAAGGTATCTAACTTTATTTTTTTCTTTATTCCTGGCAAAGAAGTGGATGATGTATACACAGTGAATGAAAAAATGTAATGCAGAAAAAAACATGATAAAGTACACAGTCCAATTTTTTCGAGAGATGTTCCATTTCTTTTTCCGTCTGCAAACATCCAAATGTTCTTTATCTCTTTTTTTGTGTTGTGCATGACAGGAGATATCGAAGGAGTATATGTTACAGGAAGAATCGGTGGTCGATATCGTGAGCGAAATCATATAAGACAATCTTGCTTGTGTTTGAACAGCATACAATTCTTGCATAATCAAATGCAAGATTTAGGATCCTGTAAGAGAAGCATGCTGTCAATGTCGGATTCCCAGTTGGTGGATGATATGGTTCACACTTACCGTCCAGTAATGGCGCGATCCAAGGTTCTTTGCAGCTGTCCTTTGGATATACTCCAGATCATGATATTACCGTCGTAACTTCCGCTGACAATACGATCCATGGTTACATCCATCTGCAATGTTCGCACAAGAGAAGAGTGTCCTTGAAGTGTATACATCATTTCGCCCGTCTTGGCATTCCATAGCCGAATCGTATGGTCGCTGGAACCGCTCGCAATGTAGGTACCATCAAAGTCGACGCAGGCTATACCACGGGTGTGGCCCTCGAACATGCGCAGGCATTCCCCGGAATTCTAGAATGTAGTTCCCCATCATCAGTCTATTGGTTTCCATCAATTGGAGTACAAACAAGTTGTAAACCCTTACCATGTCCCATAGCCGGATACTTCGATCGCCAGAACCCGACACCGCTTGATCGCCGTACATTTGACACGCATTGACAGCCGCCCGATGACCAAGCAACACCTTTGTACACACGCCTTGCGCCAAATCCCATACTCTCAAAGTACGGTCCTTGGAGCAGCTCAACAGCCGATTGCCAACAAATCGTAACCTTAGAACACTATCACTGTGTCCACGCAAGGTATGTATGACTTGTCCCGTCTTGACACACGATTGGATAATGAGTGCATCGCTACTGCCGCTCAAAATCCACCGATCGTCGTATTGCAGACAGAGCACACTTGTGTCGTGGTAATTTAAAGTTTTCCGCCAATGGCCGGTACGTGTATCCCAGATCTTGATGGTCGTGTCCCGACTGCCACTCACAATTTTATCATTATCGAACTGAATGCAATATATCGCCTGCGAGTGCATATGATGGTGTTCGAGAATGTCGAGTGGGATAGGTTTAATCACATAATCGCCAAACTGCCACCGTTGCTCGATTAGACGCCGATTCTTGTATAGTTGTCTCCAGTTGAGAGACCCGTTGTCCAGTTGCAGGTTCGATGAACGAGGTACTGCACCGGCAGAAGATCGCTTGACGGATGGGACAACGGCCGATTCGGCGGTGGGTGACGTTTGGTCACTGGGTGGTTCCATCATGGGCGTGTCAGGATCCGCATCTTGGTTGTTGTCGACCTCTCTCGAAGTTAAAGTTTCCGATCGCCTTTCGCGCAGACGCATGGATAGATAGTTTCGTTGTCCAGAAGCTCGAGAAGAGGGTAAATGGTTATAATAGAGTGGGGTACGGGTACGTTGGATAGGGACGGATTGGAGTGGTAGGTCACGGTCCAATTGCTTTGAGCATAAAAGACGGTATTTACGAACAGGCGGTGACTTAAATGGGTCGTCGCCTGTGGTCAGAAAATACGTCATCGCACTAGCATCGTACGTCCATCCATGCGATTCGAACAATAATCGCCACAGCATTTGTTCTTTACATAGTTGGTGCCATTTTCGAGAAACTTGGCTGGCTTGGATGAGGGTCGAAAGCTCCGTAACGTAACTTAGAATGCGGATCGCCAGCTCGTAAGGCAGCAACTAAGTGGATCCCGTCAGTTGGGGGCGGTTTTACAGAATTTCCCGACGTGGCACTTACACCAACAATATCTCGATATAAAAAAGGTTGCAGGCGATCCATTACTTTCATTTTTTGCACCGTCGGCACAGAATGGAGTAAACGGTAAGCGAATTCTACATTCGTCAAAAGTCAGCCACACTCCAATAGAAATACGACATGACTCGCCGCGAATTGTACCTGCTTTTCTATCGTCGTCCCAAGTATCAGTGAAATGGAGTGATTCAAAGGGTTGTTGTTCAGCAATTAAAGCGTGAATGTTTTCGTTGTCGTCATCAAGGCTTTTATTGTCGGTTCCCGAAGCTAAAACCGACATGCAGGATACGTTGAGTCTATTGGTCACTCTCTCCGATCACGTCCACAGCGGAAAACTTTACCTGTAACAGAAGCAGCATTTGCGGGATGGCCATTGTCAACGGGTTGTTGCATCAAGCCAGTGGAAGGGTCTTTTTCTAGAACAGCTCGCTGTCGTTGATCGGAAAAGGAAAAAAGAACTTTGTGTCGGGGTTTCTATAAAAGGCAAAAAATGAATCCAAGGTGAAAGGTTGTAATGAAAGGAAAAATAACAACATGAACTTTTTTAATTTTATTTTTGCTGTTCCTTTTTTGATTCACTTGGGCAAGTGGGGTGAGGTATACAGAAAATGTACATGAAAAATGACAAGATTGAAAGGGAATAACAACGGAAAATAGGGCTCTGTGACAAGAGTCGCCGTGGAATTCTTTCTAGATGGATGCTTTTTGGGAAAATGATGAAATAGTAATAATAATAAAAAAAAAACTTGTAAAGATTTGATGAAGGTGTCCTTTTTGTCTTGTTTTCTGATTAGGTGTGGTTTCTGTTGCTGGCACGCGGGAATTAGAGAGAGAGAGAGAGAATTATTGCTTGTGTTCGTTGGGACGCATGAGGGATTTGAGCGTTTCATAAGTAGGGAAGAAGATGCCGCAGATACCGAACCACCAGAAACTTCTGGGAATGGCGCCGGCGAAGAAAGTACTGTAAACTTGTACAGATTTTTGCATAGGGTTTGCATGGGTGGACATGACTCGATCCAACATGCCTTTAGCCACTTGTACTACTGACAGTTGACGCTGGCGTACAGATGTTTTCTGGGTAATCATACGTGTACGCAGAACATCCATGGGGGTGGTAAAATAACCGGCCAAGAATCCACTGATGCCGCCATACATGATACTCTTAAAGGTGGGAATATCGGCTTCGAGTTCCTCAAATGCAGCTCCGGCAACGACCTGCTGTTCGTGATGCGATCGCGTTTTCATCTTCTTGAGCAAATCTTCGCGTACGGACCGATGATGGAATGCTTTGAAATTTTCATAGGATACCAGCAAGATAATCATGAAAGGAGAATCTCTCGCAGCAATGGCCCAGAATCCTTTGAACAGACCCCGTGGACCTTCCTCAAGAAGGGTTTGACGCACTACAAAACCAGCTGTAGCACGTCCATTGGAAGTCATGGATGAATAATAATCGGTTTGCAACCTAAAAAAGAACGGCCTCATTTAGTTCATCGGCTCCGTTACGACCGTGGAGGGGATGACTCACTTTGCAGTGACTACTTCGCGAGGGACCTTGATGACGCTGGATGCCAGGTCACCGACTACTGCTGACAGAGCTGTAGCGGGAATGGTGCCGATCCATGGCTTTTTTCGTTGGCCGTCGGTGGTTTCTAGCATTTGACTCTTGCAGAATTCGTAAGTACTGAATCGTGCACCACCCTATACAGATAATAAATCAGTACACTATATTCTTGACGAAAACATCGTGAAGAGATCGTACCTGACCGGCCGCTCCCATAGCGGAAACGAAGAAGCCTTTTCCCAGACTACGTGCGGTTTCTCGTGAAAAAATCGCTCGCCATCCTCCCGCGATATCGGCTTGTATACGTGTTTTGATGGTGTCGAGAGGATGCATACATGAATATGACAGAGAAAGGCCAATGGCACCAGCGATGAAGTGTTCTAATTAAGGATTGCAGAAGATATCATCAAGAAGAAGAGAGTAATGCATCGATTAGATCTCCGTAGTATATTTCGACAGTGTGTAACGGATATTTACGTTTGAAAAGTTGTACCTGAGAAGGTGTACGAACGTCCTTTACTGATGACATGGTGTGTCGATGTGATAGAATACGTGAAGAAAGAATGAGAAAGGAAATACAAAAGTATTAGAGATAAATCCCTTTTTTTAATCCCCTTAGTTTTTAGAACTATCTCTTTTTTTTTTTTTTGGGTCCCTAAAAAGTCATTAGCCATTCATATGCTGTGAGTCAGTGTGACAGCCAATCAAAGTGCAGAATTTCTAAAGGACATCTTCCAGTCGATGGAACGTCAATGTTGCTCATCCAATTCTTGAATATGATTGGCCACTCATGCAAAATCCGTTTAAGGAAAGGGGAGATGGTCCCGTAATTGGGAAGATGTTCTGAGCAACATAAACCTTTGCTTTTTGGTATTCAGCGGGCGCTATCTCTGGCGTCATTGATAGATAAAAACATGTCATCCACACATGGCATGAACCACCGTCAAGACAATTCACTGTGAAAGAGAGCCGTCTCATTAATTTTATATAATGCATTTCTGCGCGCCGTCGTTTTGTCCTATCGATATGATAATCTATCTACAATGCATAAATAAGCTGCAGATAAGAGAAAGCAGAATTACAGATTTGACTAAATCGGTAAGAAAAATCTTTGGGCTTGTTGATATTGCGTGATGAATTTTCCCTGCATCCACATGATAAACCAAAAATTCAAGCCGGAAATCAACAAGTGCTGGTACAAAACAATTGCGCATACAGTAAAAAACCAACTTGTTGTCAATGCGGCATTGATGATAGAAACCACCGTGCTCAGTTCTGGCTCTATTTACAGCTGATGGCAAGAACACCATAATTCGATAATAGGATAATCACCCAGCACTTGTTCGCATTACGCATATAGTATACAAGTAACCAGATGCTACAGAATACGAGGACATTGTAACTTGCGTCCGGTAGAGTCGAATCCACGGATACAGAGACATCTGAAATCATGGAGCAACCGTTCGGCGCGGACCACATCATCGTCGTTCTTTGAATATGGTTGCTTCTGCAGTAGGAAGCAATCAAATCTTGACCATGCTATTAAAATGTTCCATCTATTTTAAACCTTATCCGTTTTCCTCTTCGGTTGTCGGCTTTGATTCCAAATTCACCGATATCGGGGACAGTTGGAATTGTCATGCATCTTCCGCCGGCAATTTGTCAGTCACAAACCTTCAATGCTTTAGATGGCTGGTTTCCTTTTGCACCGTCTTTACGCGATTGCGGAATGCTGGATTGTTAATGTAAAATGCCACCGATACGTGTTAACCCATTACCAACCGATGAGTATTCAAAGCGGGTAGAACACGCGCACGAGATAGGTTTGAGCGGTCTGACGATCCTCACCGCCGAATGGGCCATTCTGCAGGAGTGGGTATATCTTGATTCTTTATGGTCAGATCCTTCTGACATTTTTTACTGATTCGAGTGTAGACCAGATGTAGCACGGTACTTTTCGGAAAAATCGACAGTGACCGTCACCTTAGGCGTGGATACACCTGGGACGGTAGAGCTACCGATGCTTGAAGCCATATCTTTAGGTAAGGGGTTTACATCGTAAAAAATACAGCTTGATGATATAACCTAGAAAGCAAATAGAAAGCACAATGAAGAACAAAAGGGGATTTGTCTTCCATACGGGTGGATCCGTGCGAGGGCTCGATTTTGTCCCCAAACCGTCAGATACCGATTTTGAATACCTTGCTGTGGGAGGTTATAACGAGAAAAACGAACGTCATTTTCTTCACGAAAAGCAGGAACCGGGATCATATCACAACTGTATTCAGATATGGCGCGCCGATCTGCAACTTGAAAGCGAAAGATCAGCAATAATGCTGGATATGTGTATATTGCATGATTTTGGTGTCGTACAAGACTTAAAGTGGTGCCTATTTGGTGGTTATCGCGAGGTACCCTTGGCCACTCATTATGTCACAGCAAGAAATTAAGCCTACTTCACTTAGAACGACCCCATTTCCAATGAATGTTCAGTCTTGGGCGTGCTTGCTGCGATCTGTGGTGATGGAAGCATCCGAATCTTTGTTATCCCTCATCCATCCTCTTTCCGGCAACGGCATCAACTTGATGAAAATCAGTGCCTTTATTGTAAGCTAGCAGCAACGACTCGCTCCTAACTTTGCTTACTGAAAATTGCGTACAGTGCGATCACTCAAACCGCGGCGCGTCCTCTCCTTACCTCGCACATTATTTACATGTATAGCATGGAACCATGAAACCCAGCTGGCCTGTGGAACTTCTGAAGGTAAGCTCAGTGCATCCAAGCAACGGAAATTTTAATGGATGGCTCACATTAGCATCCGCTAGGGCATGTGCTCGTATGGGACCTGCAAGCGACGTTTGATCCGGATGTCCATCATCGACCGCATATCATATTTAATCAGAAAGTGAATACGCATACGCGTACTGTGTGTTGGCATGGTAAATTCGACACGCGGTATATTCTTTCCGGGGGTGATGACGGCAGTGTCGTCATTACCGATGTATATGATATAGCGATTCCTATCCGCATGACCCGCATACGAGGTAAGCCAAAATTGGGAGAATGGCAACAGCACGATTGACCTATATCTTTGCATAATCATGGTTGCATCAAAATTTAGACTTTATCTATGCAGTAGCATGGCCTGGTCAAGAGGATGTGTTGATGTACGGAGACATTGATTATACTATAAGAGCTTTATCTGCGGCGGATGCACGAGAACTCAATGTCACTTTACGATACGGGGTGCATAATGGTGTTATCTGGTGTATAGCTGCTAGCGATCATCATCTCTATATCGCAAGTACATCATCCGACGGAGCTGTCAAAATTGCAGAGAATACTACCCGGCATAAAAGAAGACAGGTATTATTGAAGGATGAAACATGATCCATAAATAGGTGACTCACGCTTTTCTTTTTCCTTGGCAGCCGCGACACCAAACTGTTTATGAATTAAAACTTGAAGCAAACGGAAGTTTCCGTTACATGGATGGCTTCCCGGTGCAAGTAAGTAATTTGTTACCGCAAAATTCACTCTGTTTGGTTTGCTGACACCGACTTGGTCATAGTATGCGACGTCGGAGAAAGATATCTCCCTTTCTCTCTCTCTCGTCAATCCCCTTCAATCAATTCACAAGGTACGTTGTTGTATTTCAAAATTACAAGAGACGTAAAACAAAAAGGGATGAAGAAAACGCATATTAATGCCGATTTGATCCTGTAGGCTGCATGGAATCCCAATCTCAAGGCGGCTGGGTGGCTCGTTACAGGTGGCCCTGCTGGGTTGTGTCGCCTTGAATTCATTGGTTGCGGCCCCACACTAGACAATAAATAATCGGCTTCTCATTGGGCCCCCCAGGTTAATACCAGTTACTCATCCGTTTCTCTGATAATTTGTTTGTCCGATATGCATGAAACTAGTCTGTCGAACCATTGCAGTGAAGAAACAGTGAGGAATGAAGAAACCATCAGCATGGCTCAGCACGGTCCGCATGCTGAAATGGTGGTTAATTTAGAAGACGACATTGCGTCGTCTCCTGAGGAAGAAAAGCTGAAAGTAGAAGAGAACAGTTTGTCTATTGTCACCAAGTTACGGAATTCACCCGACTGGAGTGAAGTCGTTGCCTATGGACACTTGTCGGAATCCGCCCGGCAGCATTCTTTAACTGCAACGACATTGCGTGGACAAGGCAGAATCGGGCGTCGCCCACTCAAGTTTTTCAACACGGACAAAACTGAATGTATCATGATTGCCCATCTTGGAGGAAATATGTAAGTCATGGATAAAACGATGCTTCAGAAGCACCGAGAATTACTGTTGTAAACCCATTTTTGCAGATTTGTTGACTTGTGAATGTTTTTTTTTGGGTTTTTTTTTCATTTCTTTTTTTAAAGTTGCGGACATGACGGCATAATCCACGGAGGATTATTGGCTACCTTGCTGGATGAGCAGTTGGCTTATGTGGTAAGACGATGCAAGATTTCCCGGAATAGAAGGTTGAGTAATGATTAAAACATTCATGCACGTTGTGCATGTTGTCATGTAGACTTTACCACACCTCCCCAACTACACCGGGTTTACGGCCAATCTGAATGTAGACTATCGGTTGCCGGTGATCGCTGACCAATGGGTCATGATCCGCGGTAAACTCGATCGTGTAGAAAATCGTAAAGCGTGGGCGAACGCCTGGATCCACACCATTGATGGGGAAAAGTTGTTAACAGAGGGCAAGGCATTATACATTAGCCCGAGAAATCGATAAAGAAAAAATAAGCTGCGTCTCATATGAAATTTTGACCGTGTTCATGTCCCCTCATCCTAACCCAAACTCTGGGGGTCTGAGTTTGACGACCCACAGGGTCAGAAACCCGTTTTCAAAACTCCACTATCAAATTTTTTTTTTTCTACTTGGTCCGAGAAAAAAATAAATTATATAGTCGAACCCTAATTCCTCATCGGTTTTCTTCCCTTGTTTATCTTTTTTTTTTCTTTTTACCCTTGGTCTATCAATGGCGGCCTTTGTTGCAGAAGCTGATAAGCTTACCTATATTCCAGGTGTCCCATTTCCCGAGTATTATGAGGCGCTTCTGAACTGGAAGACTCCCGTGGTGATCGGAGCAGTGTATGCCACCACAGTGCACATGTTGAATCCTTCCGCTACCACTGCCAAGTTATCGCGGGTCGAGGCCAAGAACCGTGGCGAGCACAACAAGGCGACTAAATCTAACAACAAGCTGATGACTCTGTTTGTCTTCCTTCACAACACGGCTCTCGCTCTGTATTCCGGTATCACGTTCTATAACATGGTCATCAGTATGCACAAACTGTTCAACCGTGGCAATTCCATTCACGATGCTGTAAGTACAATGGATGATTATCTAAGACCGAAATTTAGCCCAGTTTTATCTCATGCGGATGAGGTGGAAGGGCGGATCGGCGAGTGCGGATCAGAAATTAACTGGATTTTCTTTTTGGTTCTGTTAGTATTGTGATAAGGATGGATTTTTGTGGAACGATTCGCTGGGTTATTGGGGTTATCTCTTTTATCTTTCAAAGTTCTACGAAGTCATTGATACTGCCATCATTCTTCTCAAGGGTCGCCGTTCTTCCTTGTTGCAAACCTATCATCATGCCGGCGCCATGATCACCATGTGGGCCGGTATCCGTTTCCGATCTCCTCCCATCTGGATCTTTGTTGTTTTCAACTCGTTGATCCACTCCATTATGTACACCTACTATGCCATGACCTCCATCGGTCTTCATCCCCCGGGAAAGCGTTATTTGACTTCCATGCAAATTAGCCAGTTCCTTGTCGGCATGTCTTGCGCCCTCAGCTACCTGTTCCTGCCCAACTGTCTTGCCACCCCCGGTCAAAAATTTGCCGTCATTCTCAACGTCTTGTACTTGCTTCCTTTGACCTATCTTTTCGTTGATTTTGCCCGCAAGACTTACGGCAAACGTGTGGCTGCCGCGGCCGCTTCGGTTGCCAAGAAAGCCCAGTAAAATTGCTCAATGTCATCCCGAACCATAGGGAGGCCAATATCAGAGAATCCTCCCTTCTCAGTTACCCTCCGTCTACGTTTATTTAAGGCTGAACCCATAGTCTATTGTATTCTTTTCTTCTCCAGTTTTTTGTCGTATTCGCAACCTCATTTTTTTTCTTCTTTTATTTTCGCATTTCATTATCAAGTCAATAGACCACATATTGTACACTATCTATTTAATCACCCGGTTTTTAGTCCTTTGTTGATTGATGAAATCGAGTTGCTCATTTCGCAACGCGTATTTACTCGCATAATCCTGTAATATTTGCCGCAATGGTGAGGCTACAAATACATAAAGTGATATTCAGGATTCGTGTGCATGGTGTGTGACAAGGGTCGATTGGCCACTTACCGAATTCCTCTGCATCGCTCGGGACTTTGAGCTGTTTCAGAAACTTATCTTCCTGTTCCATCATGGCTATCTGTTCTACCAGTTCTTGACAACGATATACTTGTTTCTGGTTAGTTTTGACTCGATCCTTGAGCATCATGGACACCTGCAAAGGTTGACGAAACCCTCGAACCCTCAGGAATGGGACACCTAAGGCGGTTCGAGTTCGCATGAGCACTTGATATGGTTTGCGTGCTTTGACAAGGCATCGCTTTTTCTTGTAAATCATCGCCAAATACTCGCGCTTGGCCTTCTTAGTTAATGGCAACGGCTGTCGAATTCTTGCCAGGTCACACAAATCGGTAGGCAGAACCAGTCCGCGGGATGGACTGCGACCGCGTGATGCATGGGAACGGATATCGGTGGCGACAAGCGCACGTTTTAAGGTCTGTGCGGCAACCATTCTCAATACCAGTCATTTGATCTAGACCTATGTAATTCCCTTAAACTTACATGGGGTATTTTTTTCATCTATCCATACGAGGGCGTGAGTTATAATTCTCAGTGTTAAATTCACTCTTACCGCAGTACCTTTTGCACAACGTGGGCCAGTGGACCTATTTGCGCTGATGCCATGGCATCAATTTGTGCCATGTAATGGTCATTGCCCGATTGCGCTTCCTGCATGAGCTGCAAAGCCTAAACGACCGTTTGAACCTGGCAACGGCAAATCACACCATAAATGATTGTCGTGCTTACTTTATCGCCCTCGGCTAACAAACGAAGAACAAGTGGACGTGACGTTTCATGCTGGTGGAAATGAAAGCGCTCTCGAATCGTGTCTTGCAGAAACCTTCTGTGGCTCGGTTTGTTAAACTGCCTTGCTGTGCACAGTAGAGAGCGATACAATCCAACAGTCTATGAAAAAGAATAAATGACTGACCACAAATCATCGTTTCATTTGGACACCAATTTACAGCTTGATGCGTCCGTAAAGATAACAATCGATCGGTCGACTGAAATGCTACCGCGATTCTTCTTGTCATGAGTTATCAAAGAACCAATACACATTGCTGAAAAAAAGTCAATTGTGACTTGGGACCTCTGAACTTTTTATTCTGTTTTTTAATCTTCACAGTTTCTTGGCTTCAGCTTCCAAGACTTTTTTGGCGGCATAAGAATGGGATAGCCCAAAAGCAGCTTCGGAAAGAAAAAAGTATCCCAGGTAGATTTGCTTCGCAAAGAGTACTATGAGACGAGGTACTATGAGTTCAATGTTTTTTTTATTGATGTATTGGTGCCATAGATCAGGTTTCGTGATTCTGTATTGTAAGCATAGTCGATGGGTACTTTGCATATTTTCTAATTGGTGCCTGAAGCAGTAAAACTGGAATATGAACCACTGATAGGCTGTCTCTGCGAACCTGCTTTTGGTGTGCTTGCCCGATCAAGTTCCATATCAAGCAAAGCCAATCTTGTCTGGTCTTCAATTGTTTCGGATGACCAATGACAGCCGTAAATCGACGTGTGACTGCGACTTAATAACTGAAAGATTCGATGGTCATCCAGCATTGCTCCTGCAACTTTTTTGCCTTCTTCCACTTCTGAACGCCATGGGAAACGACGGAGGATCCATTCCTAGACGCATTGAGCTTGTCAAAGAAAAGCAAAAAGACATTCGTCTAAATCCCGATCTTGAACGATTAGCTGCTTGGTTTCACTGCGCCCTGTCAAAGGTAGGATTCATTAACTCTCTCCCTTTTACTGCACATGCACTAATTCGGTGGTTTTCACGATACAGCAACCTTTGGAACCACCCATTGTGGCCGATGCATTAGGGAAATTGTATAATCAAGATGCTGTCATTGAATACCTATTGGATAAATCGGCTTACGGTGATGCCGACAAGATCTGTTCTCACATTCACTCCATGAAAGACACCACCAAACTGAATCTCACACCTAATCCGGCCTATTCGGAAGCAGCTACTGGTGCAGCCACCATGGGCAATCTCGAACAAGACATCAAAGCTCGATTCATTTGCCCCATCTCCATGAAAGAAATGAACGGCAAACATCGTTTCGTCTATTTCGATACCTGTGGATGTGTCATTGCCGAGCAGTCATTGAAGGAAATTCCTAGCAAAGAATGCGTCACTGTAAGTCTTTTAGTACTGAAAGGACGCCTCCAATAGCAGAGACTAATGTGGAATGTTTTGCTTTTAGTGTGGCAAGCCCTTTGAAAACGAAAATGTAATTGTGATTAATCCGCAAAAGGAAGAATTGGAAGGAATGAAGGCGGCGATGGAAGCCAAGAAGGCTAAAGCTAAAGCTGCAAAGGTAAGCTACGCTTGTACTAGGGCGCTGACAGATTTGTGGTTAAAACTAATCAACCTGAAATTTTAACAGAAAGCCAAAAAGGCTGCTAAAGCTGCCATGCCGGAAAGCGATACTTCTGGCGCTGTGTCCCCTCCAAAGGATAAAAAGAGAAAGCATCACTCTGAATCGCCCGAAGGTCCAGGTACTCCGAAAAAGCTAAACACCAGCGGTATTTCGTCGTCTTCAGCAGCGGTGGTTATGAGCAAAGTAGCCCAGGAGTTGGCTGAAAAGCACAAGAAGCAAGAATTATCCAGTGCGGTGAAAAGCATTTACGCCAAGAAGGATGTCAAGGGCAATTACCTCACCATGGGTACATTTAACCGATACGCATAAATATTTTCCTTGGTCCTCTACCGTTTTGCTCTTCCTCCTTTTACCAAAAAGTAATATCCCCGAATTTCGTCAAGCCCAACCATTCATGGCCTCGAGTAATGTTCCTTTCCCCTCTTGTAATTGGCATCTAGTTTTTCCGTCATATACTTTTTATCTATTTTCGCATAGTTTGCATGCTATATACAATAAACTTTTTTTTGCATTCGAAGCTTAGTTAATGAACTCTCCTTTTACATTGGCCGTTGGTCATGTTCATCCTTTTTTTGGACGCAAAGTAGGCCAGACCGAATAATTGAGTCGCGATAGTCTCCGTTGGTCATATCAACTTGAAGTGGCCAGTGGCGAGTACTGTCGATACGAATCGATTTGATTTGACTATAGCTGGGAACCACCGTAGGCGCAATGATGCGATAGTCTTGCAGTCGTCGGCGACCTGAAGGTGGCACTGGGTCTTCATACATGGATAACCACAACGGGATGCTGCACGGTCGACGATCTTTTATGTCAAACGGTATAAGCCATCGTGCATCCACAGCAAACGTCCAGAAATGTCGAAACGCTTGCAGATGGTATCGATTATCCATGGGCGAAGTTGGATAGAAAGGATAGAAAGCCAGCAACAATCCTGCGATCGCTTCATTGTCCGTCTTTAGCGTGTAGCCACCCAGACCGGCAAATAATAACCCCATCGCCATGTGAGTAGACATATGATTGCCGTAACTGACGTCCTTGCTGATGCGATTTCGTAGAACAAGAAGCCGATCCAATAGTTCTCGATTGCCCGTTCCTGCCATCACCATTGCGGCAGCCGTCGTCGTCACATCAACACACGCCTTCACGGCACTTTTAGTGATATTCTGCTGAAATGAAATGGCTAATGTGATAGGCGTAAATAAAAATAATAGCGTTGAGTGAGTATCGAAATGAACATACCTGTGATATTGGATAGTCGCATAAATTCGTCCAAGTGGGACAAGAGACAATTGAATGCTTGTTCGTCCTTTGTTCCAGCATAGCGTAAACCGATGCATAGACACGCACCGGCAATGATGTTGTATTTTGCTTGTTTGCCCATTTCGTAATCCCAATCGCTTGGATCACTGGTATCGCTTCGAAGAAAAGCAGGCAGATGGCTGTAGATATATTCGTCGGCAGGCTGAATACTGCCCCACATAATCAAACTCTTTGCCACCACGCGCAATAGTAACAAATCGGGTCGGATGAAATTGAGGTAAGGACGGGAGGGTAACAGATCGATTTGTTCCGCAACGCGCGCATTTTCAGTCTTCAAATATATGAGTGCCAAAGCCATGGTAGCTCCTGGAGCGGTGACATCCAGATTCACTATCCCGTCTTGGATGAATGTGCTTTTTTGACGTTCTATAGGTACTGCTGAGACTCCGTTCATCAAATAGTAGAGTTTCTCCCTGATTTTCAGATCCGCTAAGCTTGTCGCCGTGTCTCCTTTGCCCAGAGCAATGAGTCCGAGACCATACCCGGCCGCAAGAGCGCAACCTTCGAAATCGGGACTGGCCTCCGACGAATCCGTACTGGCATAACTCTTCAGCTCGTCCATCATGATACCGGCCATATATCGATCACATGTTTCGTAGTAAAGAAGCCCCATACCAACTAATGCTGCCGCTTCCGAGTTTTTGGTTAATCCACGATGCTTGCCGTGGCTAGAAGGAAGAATCGACCGAATGTAGACGGAAAGAAGCTTCACAGCGGGCTGGTTTTTCGAGCCTCGATAGGCCGTGGCTAGTCCGAGAATAAATCCTACGAGCACCAAAGAATTGGACTGCGTCATATAGCGAAACCAACTAACCACTGGCAGTCGTCGAAGGAAACCGTTGAGTCCCAAAGCGAGCAGAAAACCGCCGTGATGGGCTTCGGAATCGTCCGGGCAACAGTAAAGGATCCAGGAAGCATCGATCTGACTGCTAGGTGATATCGCCAAACCAGCAGCCACGCCGTTATGGAACCGACTCCAAACGAAATAATTAGGATTGAAAGACCGTTCATCTAACGTCACGACTGTGCGTAAAGGTAGCAATTTTCCAGATAAACTGATGGGCTCCAAAGGAATTCCTTTGGTCACGTCCGCCTTCAAAGACCCATACGCAAATATCCCTCGACCCATGGCCAACGCTAGCGTTCTTTGCACCAGATTTTCGACGTGGGCCTGATGTTCCGCCGATTGTTGAGCATCACTATCCATTGGATCATCAATAATCCATGATTATATCGACAACTACACCTACTTACTCCAATTCGAGGTTCATAGGAATGGTGTACTCGGGTGTAAAAGAAGCATCCAGACTTTTTCGTACGGTTCCAATGACATTCGTGAACCCAAAGCGCAACTTTTCAGTGTCTACATTGAGAGGAACTGTCTGATCTGAATGATAACTCTTGTGGCGTCGCGATTTGGTGGAACGACATCGGCCCATGAGCTGATGCATATCCAATTTCTTGTCACTCTTAGGAACATGGCGAAAAGTGAATATAGCAACACATATAAAATAGTCATAAAATTTGCTTACCGTTCCCGTTGAAAATCTGAACTTGTTGGTATTCGGATCGCGCACGGTGTCGACCAAATTCAACTGTTCAGCAATATCCTCACGACCTAAGGGGTCTTTTTTTTAATAGCTGATACTTTACAGACAATGAATTACTCTTACCTATGAGCAAGTAGGCAGACTTTGACCAATGCATTGGAGGATTCCATTTAAAATGGTCCAACACCTCAAGCAACGGAGCAGCAATGGTGGATTTCAAATTGTCAAGGTCATCGCGCGTGTATCCAGTCAGAAGCATGTAACGGATCACTTGACCCGGATCGCTGGCATATTTAGCATAGTGCTCGTACAGTTGCCACACCATCTTTACAGTGCGACCGTAGGTGTGGTATCCTATACCCTTGGACGGTTCGGTGTGCTCCATTGCGAATACATTGTCCAGCTGGGGACGAACCTCCGCTTCAGGTGAGATATATTGCAGCCACACTTCGATATTGTATAATAAGACCTTTGACTTTTCATCGACTACCCCGCTCTCTGCATGTGGGTAGTTGATAATTCCATAATCTAAGCACAGCCTAGGGTATTAGAACATTCGTCATCGTGGGCGAGAAAATAAGCCCTATGAAGCTTACATGGTGATGATTCATCCAACTGAATCCCGTGCGATCGATAGTACGACAACCGCGTCATTTGTTGTGTCATGCACGATAATCCTGCCAAAAGACGCCCAATCGATAGCATGTAATGGTGTTTCAATGAACAAATGCGGCAATCTTCGAAAAGGAGGTGCAAGCATCGAATCACGGAATCTATTTGAGACGGTTGCCAATCCTGTCCTCGTTGTTCTGTCTGCCTCAAAGCAAGCGCTTGCTGAATCCATGTGGTGAAATTGATATCGTGGGATGATGGCATTTGTGCGTTGTGTGTTCTTCTGTGTAATTGCTGCGGCAACTTTGTCTGGGAAGTGCAATTGGAGATTAAATTTTCATAAGCTGTTCGCGGGGATCTTGCTTGGGTTAGCTGGATTGGTAGAAAGGAGAGCAAAGTGACAGCGAAAGAGTTCCATTCGACATTATATCGCGACTTGTTGGCTAGCCGGGGCCAGGAATGCTGGTAGCAGAAACGGGTGAAGCGAGACTTCAATGCGTGGAACGCGTTTGGGTCTAAAACACAGGTTAAACCAGCTAGACAGTCTCGTACAAGGATGGTGCGAGGTCGAAAATCGGCTGTGAATCGAAAGGTGGCGTTTGGCGCGAATACGATATTGACCTTGTCGAAAACAGGATCTTTCAATAGAATAATGGTGTTTTCTCGAAGAGGATAAACCGATGTTGTAGCAGAAGAAGATGATGATGTAGATGATGAATGCGCAGTTGAGAATGATGAAGATAGCAATGGATATGTAAAAGGTGATGCGGGAAGATGAATGTCAATAGGAGCATGTTTCAGATCGATATATAAGCTCAGGCGGTGACTGTCTTGTAAAACGAGGATATCGGCATGATCTTGACGAGTGGCAAAGAGAGGCACAGCAGCTTTCGCTGGTATCGTCTCCGAGATCGATCTTCTCTTTCCCTGAGCCAAACCTCCGCGTCCTGGAGCTGTCAAGACGTGTAAATCCACGCACGTCAAGGTATTTCGCATATAATTCATGAGGTAGAGCTTTTCGTGGCCTTCATGATCGTGTGCAATGAAAGAAAACGATTGCTTAAATTCGGTTGACTGCGTGGTGATCCTGTACAGTTGCATTGCATTAAAAAACAGTAACGATTGTCCCTGGACGGTGACCTAACTTACTTGGGTGGATTTTCTCGCCACAGTAATTGTAAGATCAACTTGGTTTCGAGAACTTCTTCTTTTTGGTCGTCTTCTGTCTCATCCCGCGAAGGTACGCCAGCTGATGAACCTTTCTCCAGAATGTGAGCGAGTGAATTTCGTCGTGCTACAGGCGATCGGGATGATGAGGATTTACTGGAGGTAGGACGTGTTTGTTCGGCATGTTCCCGTCGATTGTGATCCGATCTTGAAAGAGGGGATGCTGCGGTTTGACGTGTTTTTCTGGGCGGGGACAGAGATAACCCTGTGGTTTTGCTAGGGTTTTTGGTCGTGGACTGAGGGACAAGTTCCTGAATGGTGAAATATTTCCACAAGGAGTGGGTGTGATCCGCGCGGTTGTAGGTGACAATCAGCGTGATTTGATCGCCCTTTGCAGGAGTGACACCAGCATAGACCAGTTGATGTTCTGAATTAGAGTCATGCAGCTCACTGTTCTTTTCCCGGTCGAAAAACTTCACTTCTTCTATGGGGTGGTCGATGATAGCAAAGGCGGGCGAAGAGAACGACGAAGAGTGGATATTTTCACTGTTATCACGATATTTCTTTTCGAGGATGATTCCGACGTTCATTGCACACGCACGTTGAACTGCAAACGGCAGATTGACAGCGTAAAAGGTACCGTCCATAAAATGAATTTTCATAAAATCCTGAAAAATGATGCACAACGCTTTGCGCAGCAAAGGTTCCCTTGATTGCCCTTCTGACACGTGCTCTGTCAGAGGATCGATCCCTGAAGTTGAACTTTCCCACCATAATTCTTCCTCGTCTTGGGGATGTTTTCGTTTACGGGATTCTCCTGCTCCCAATGCCGTCGACGAGTTTGAAGCAGGGTTGCTGGATGGATTGCCTGATTTGTTCTCGGAATTCGTGGGCTGTTGTTCACTACCGTCGGCTTTGTGACTGAAAGAAGGAAACCAGGCGAACAATGCTAGCTGAACCGGCTGTTTTGTATCTTGGTATTGGAATGCTTTAACGAAGTGGCCTTCTCGACTCCATACTACAGTGGATCCCATCACATAAAGTTCATCTTCAAGGGCCGCGGTAGATGTTTCAACCGACTGATGTCGTGGTATAGCTGCTGCATGAGACACTGGACGTTCGTCGATCCGTTGCGTTATATTCGTCATCGACCGAGTATCTGTCGGAATCAGCACATAATCTGCTGACATGGTCTCGTCGACGAAGCGCGATGGTTCGTGAATCACACCATGGCTTAATCGTTGAAAGTCCAAAACTTCAGAATTGCCGAGACTGACACGCTGATCGTTCCTGCCAATGTACACCTGACCAAATGGCACGAACTTTCGCAGACACGACAGCATGGCGGATCAGAGAAACGAAGAATCTGCAGGAATGCGCAATTCCCAAAAGAACAAAATTTGTGAAAACAAGAGCGGTCACTTTGAATGCTCAATTGCCGCGTCATATGACCGCCGTTGTCTGGCCAACACCGGCATACCGGCATCACTGCGGTCGTCTTTGTTTTCTTGTCATTTGTTACCTTCCTTCCCTTGAGCAAGCTATAAATGCTGCTATAGATCATCATATTGACGGCTATTATCCTGGCTTGGAAAATAGACGACTTATTGCGGTCGCAATACCCTGTTACTGAATGAATGATGCAAATCTGAGCGCGCATATCTGCATTATCGATAACCTCTTTTTTTACTGCTCTTTCGGAAAATGCTTTTACTACACCTTGCAAGATTGAAAGATATAGTGGGTGCAGCACAAAAAAAATCGCGGCACAGCTTGTTTCACGAAACTCGGTTCACAAACAGCAATGTTCTCGGAATAATTGATGCATTATTTTTCAGAATACGCGTCTCTTCCAGAAAGGTTCTCACTCCATTCCTTCTCACTCAATCACACCACGTGTCGATAAATGTTTTCAATTGCACCTATTACAGCAGCACACCTTGGCGATGAACAGATCGGATTAATGGAGTGCATGATGCTGAACAAAAAATTGCGGTAGTCGAGAATAGTTTTACTTCTAAAGAATATGTATTTTGTTCTTTTTCTCCTTTCTCGCTTTTTTTGTGAAAGCCAAAAAGTAGATAACAATCAGAAAAGAATGAAAAAGAAAATAAGTTGGACGAGTATATAATTTACTTGGGAGGGCTAAAAGGAAAATCAAACGTAATCATTAGAAATCATTCGTACAAGTTTTGATTTTTTTTTTTCAATACTTACTTGTAGACGATCTTTCTTGTCTTGATGGGAGCCCACTTGAAGCGCTTGAGCCAGACAGACAACAGTGTCATACCGGTCAAGATGATAGTGGCCTTCATACCCATCTTCTTACGATCATCATGTTCGGGTTCAGCAGCCCAGGACAGGAAAGTTGCGACATCCTTTGCCATCTGGGAGGTAGTAGCAGGAGTACCATCTTCGTATTCAACAAGATCATCGAATAATACACGAGCCATGGCAATAGCACCACCAGGGAAGTAGGGGTTATAGTTCAAACCTTCACGAACTTCAACACCGCCTGGGGGATCCATGTAACCGGTCAAAAGACTGAACACGTAATCCTATAAAAATGTCCCGTCCGTATCAGCGAACAAATCCATTTAAATTATCATCCTCCACCCTCCTTTTTTTTTCCTTTGCTGTATCCGGAATCACAAATACTTACAGCACCACCGTGACGAGCCTTGGTCATAAGGGACAAATCCGGGGGCAAAGCACCAGCGTTACCGGCACGAGCTTGTTCCTCATTAGCATAAGGCTTGGGCATGTAGTCGGAAGGCTAAATCGCATCCACAATAATCTCGTTAACGTCGCGTTCTACCACTGCTCTCCACTTGATCAAAGTTTTTACCTTGCCGGGTCTGTCAAACATGTCACCGTTCTCATCGGGACCATCTTGGTACTCGAATTCTTCGGCCATAGCCTTGACTTCGTCCTCAGTGTGAGAAACACCGATCAAGTTTCTCCAAGCGATACGGTCGAGCGAATGGCAAGCGGAGCAAACTTCTCGGTACACTTGATAACCACGACGAATGCTGCAAGGAAAAAAAATGGCATGGTTAAGTTCAGTGTCAGCCACCGAAAAACATAGGCATCAATTTTTGTGTGACGGTAAGATACGTACGAAGCGTGATCGTAAGTGCTCATAGGGCCACTATGAGGCCATGGGTACTCCGGAGGGTGGAGACCTTCATCGGCCATGTTGGCAGAGACACTGCTATCGACGTACGCATAAGCCAATCCAGTAGCACCAACAATACCAGCGGTCACAGCAGCAATTTGCTTGGAGTTCTACAAAAAAAAAAAAAAACAAAAACATCAATGTCAGCCCAAGAGCAACATTTCGACATGCTACGAGTTTGTCAATTGAGGTCGAAGCTAAACAATACATACAGCAGCAGCAACGGGCTTTGTTGACGCGAAGCGAGCCTAAAAGTCAAAGAAACAACAGGAACATCGTGTATCAGTTGGGTGTTGCAATATGGAAAAAACAATTAAAGAAAACAACGAAAGGTTTCATGACAGGTGGACAATGGGTCGAAATTGAGCAAGTGCAAAATATTGTTGACGAAACTGAATAGTGGAAACCACATGCAGGAAGTGTGCTAAGGTTGGCGAGATGTCCCGCATGTTGACGGCCCTGTCACATCGGTCGAGACGCAAGAAGAAGAAAAAGCGCAATGCGTCTGAAATTTACCTGAACAGCAGGTTTGGCAAGCTGGTTGGCCGTGCGTCTAGTGGCTTGGGAAGCAATCCTAGCGAACATGAGCAGAAGAGTAGGGAGGAGTAGGGGTAATGTTCAGAAAGCAAAAAGAGAGGGAAAGCAGCAGCCGGATTTGTAGCGCGGGCTGAAAAAAAAAAGTTTTGTTGACCAACGTCGGGTGTTTCCAAAGCCCAAATAACATGGATGGCAGGCCTCTTTCTAAAGCCCGACTGATGACGTAGAAAGCCACCACTTGCAAAACAAAGAAAGCCGGCTCGATCTGTTCATTCAAACACAGTTTGCAGATGATGGAAAAACTAGTCAACTCAACTGAGCGGCACCAAAGATAGAAAAAAAAAGAAACTTACTTTATCCGTATTGGCCTTCGGCCTATGTTTGCGAGTTCATGACTAGTGTTTTGATTGGACCGCTGGTATCCTGGCAACGGCTGTCCAGCGACTTGAGGATGGCAGTGGAAAAACGTTGTTGATGAATGTTAGCCTCACAACCGTACGCCATATAATCCACAATCGCGCCGGGCAATGCGAATTTCGGCAATGGAAAATACCTTTGACACGCAGGAACCTGCCGTTTCTGTATCAAGCACTTCGTCTTTTAAATCTTGCACTCGGTCAAGATTATATCCAAAAGTGTTACGATTCAGCAACTCGTAGGATCACAAGTCACTTTCTTTACATGCTCACCCAAGGTGTTTCATGCGTATGAGAAAAAAAAAGAGCAACCCCCCCCCCTATTATTTGTACACTTTTATCATGCGATTGAACGAAAAAGCATCTTGCTGCCATGGTTTTCCACTTTGAAAGAAAAGAGTTGACCATTCATGCTGAGCTTCAGGAACAGAGCAGATTTCATAGGGGTTACTAGGTAGCTGCATCTGCTTCTAATGTTTCCATGGTATAGTGGCAAATAGCTTTCAAAAACTTATTTACCGAGGCTTATCTCGTGTGTTTGACTATCTTTCAGTTGTTTACGTGGCTTCTCAGCTCCATGAGTCTATGCCAAAGATTACGACCTATTACCTCCATACAAACTTGCGAACCGGTCGATATGCCTTCACCGACAAAATGGATGGAGACCAACACCATGTTTTCTGGAGGAGTGCTGTAGCACTTTGTGAAGGATCATATCCATTTTTTCATTATGCTGCTACTTTGTTAAGTTTGCTGTAGTTTGATGTGTACATAATGTTTTATTGCTTGTATGATACATACACATCGAGGATGCAAATTCAGCCCCAAATGACTCGTTTGTTATATCTGGGTAATCGCCAGAAAGATGGTCAATCAGGATCAAAATCATCTGCTCGATTCTATGTAATACATTAACTTTTTCGTCCTCAGACTCTAACTTTATCATGAAATTAAAACAAAAAATCACCCCGTACCTTTGTTTTGTAGCAGGCAACAACAGCTTTTCTCCAGAAATTCATTGGTCAGTTTTTTAATTTTTAAATAAAAAAAAAAATTTGAATCAATTCCGCAGCAAACTGACCCACCACTGCGACAGCCGAGTGCCACGGCGATAACCAATAAGATTAAAAGATTGATGGAAATCCATTTTTGAGGGCCCGTCCCATTCACATGGAACTGCAACGGTTCTTTCGCAAAGACAGTTCACCATGGCTTTCTCCTCGGCATTGTTGTTGACCGATCTCAACGATTACATTGCTCCTTCGCAAGCATGCATTAAACCAGTTGAAATTGAAAAGAAAGAGTTCAATGAACATGTACGTATTTTTCTCTTGCACAAAAATTGGGACGGATCAAAAAAATCAAGGAATCATTATTAATCACGCATTGGCCCCGCATCAACAGACTGAAATCAAAGTCGATACCGACGGTACTTACTATGAAATCTCCCAAGACGGCGGGGGTTCCAAACTAGAAAAGGCTTCAATCACCCTCAACGATTGTTTGGCTTGCAGGTAACACCCATCGATCTTCCACATGTAAGTTCACTTCTAACCGATTGATCTAGCGGTTGTGTCACATCGGCCGAAAGCGTTCTTGTGTCTATGCAATCGAAAGAAGAAGTTTACGACGTTTTAAACGCGAACAAACTGGCTGCTCAAGAGAACCGCATTAACGATCAGCGTATGGTGGTTGTTTCTATCAGCCCACAATCACGAGCTTCTCTAGCCGCCAAGTACAATTTAACGCCTCTGCAGGTGCATCGACGCTTAATTTATTTCTTCAAGCATCATCTGGGCGTTCACCGGGTGTTTGATATTGCTTTTACTCAAGATCTATCATTGGTCGAATCAGCACGTGAGTTTCTGGACCGGTTCCGGCAGTACATGGCCAATGGCGGAGACAAAATGGAGGCGGCCATGCAACAGCAGGATGCGGAAAAGGCGGCCGAGGAAGCAGCAGCGGATGACACAAAACCAAGAGCAAGAGCACGAAGAAGACGGGCTGGTAAACCGGAAAATGGTGATGGAAATGCGACGCAAAGCTTCATGCCCATGCTGGCCTCATCTTGTCCCGGCTGGGTATGCTATGCCGAAAAGACCCACGGTGAAGTCTTGCCACACATTACAGCCGCCAAGAGTCCGCAACAAATGATGGGATCCCTTGTCAAGGATTACTTTGCCGGAAAAATGAATTTGTTGTAAGTAACTATTGGAACAGAGAAGGCCTATTGGATGGACAATTAACATTAAGTTTTGCCTTCTGATAGACCCAATCAAATATATCATGTATCGATCATGCCCTGTTTCGATAAAAAGCTGGAAGCCAGTCGGCCTGATTTTCACCTTGAGCAATATAATACCCGTGAAGTTGACTGCGTGCTAACTACTGGCGAAGTGGATGCCATGATTCAAGAACAGAATGTCGATTTTCGATCATTGCCGGAAGCATCCGTCGACGACATGTAAATGTGGATCTCATCTCGTGGTGGTTCGACGAAAAATGCTCACATTAGTATATTTTAGGTTCAACAAGGTTATGGCGGACCCTGCTACCCAGTTGGAAACAGCCTATGGAATGCCTGGGTCGTCCTCTGGCGGAGCCCTTGAATACATTCTAGGAAGAGCAGCGAGTGAGCTTTTCGGGATCCATGATGTACCGGCCGATCCTTCGGTATCCCCAGGTCGCATCATTGTAAAAACAGGGAAAAATGCGGATGTGCGGGAATACATGCTGCAAGGAGATGATGGTCGTGTTTTACTTCGATTTGCCACAGCTTACGGTTTTCGAAATATCCAAAATATTGTACGAAAAATTAAGACCGGCAAGTGTCAATATCATTACGTTGAAGTCATGGCCTGTCCCGGCGGCTGTGTCAACGGCGGAGGACAATTGCCGCCTCCATCAGGCGTCGAGACTGAAACTATTATCAACGCAAAGGACTGGGTCGCTCATGTGGAGTCCATTTATCGATCCGTTCAAGGCGTGCAACCGGAAGAGAATGAAACGATTAAATCACTATACAAGTATGTTATGAGAAACCATGGACACGCCTGGATAACCCTATTAACTTGCTTGCCTTTTAGTGAATGGATCGGCGATCCTTCAACTCCTCGAGCTACACAATTGTTACGAACACAATATCATGCGGTTACCCAAAATTTGGTCAATCCACTGGCGACCAAATGGTAAAATGTTAACCATTTCATCTCAGTTCCTCACCAAGTCACCGGTTCTCTTCTACTACCTCCAAGAATTCAAGCATCCTTCATAGAATTTCCTTTTGTAATATGTATTTATCTCGTATACTCATCCCCATCAGGCTTGTCTCGGCTTTAAGAATAAATCCTAATCTTGGTGTTGTTGTTCTCAATTGATCAAATTCTATGCACAACTATGATGTTCTTTGATTTTTCAAGTTGGTTGACCAGTTCGGGAGGATCCCTCAATAAGGGACGCTAACAGCAGAAGCTCAATAATATTTACTGTACTCTAAGCGGGTAATCACGTTTCCACCATGACTGAATAATTTTCACAGAGTGGTGCCACCCATGAACACACGCCTTCCAGGCCCCTCTCTTATCGAATTACTATGATACTGTAATGAACCAAAAAAAATTATGCATGGACTTGGCCAGTTCGTTCCCATGGCTTCTTTAAACTTGACTTTTTTTTTCACCCGTCGTTTTCCTTGACGACAACTGTGTATGATTTCCGAGTTTTCTGTGTCATTTTTAGAAAAAGGTTGGTTGCCCGAGGGACCGAGTATCCAGATCAAAAAAAAAAAAAAGTACGGTAAACAAACAGGGATGGGCGTTATCGCCTGATGCCGATAATGATTCGGATCCAGGGAAATGAATGAAACGAAACTTTTAGGTCATATAGCCAATCTAGAATTGGTAATTTGCCGGATGGTTTGACAGCATGACAGGATATTGCCAACACTTTTTTGGAATGTCCGCCCATCAATCCAAGAATTTTTTTGGGGGGGGGGGCATGGATTCGATTAATCCATTTTCATGGCTTCCGCAAATCTGAAATTTTACTTTTTTCGCACCGTTTTTTCCTTTGCCCAGAATAATGGTGGGTTCTCCACTTTCCGCGTCTTTTTTCATCGAGATGGAAGCTTTTTAGAAAAGGTTGGTTTTGCTAGACGTGCCCTTTTTTGGAATCGAGGACCCAGATCAAATAATACGGTAGCCAAATTTGGCCCATTCGTCGTAGACTGAGAAATGGACGTTGTCGACTGTCAATAGAGGGTTCGGATCCAATGAAAATGAATGAAATTAATTGAACCAAACTTTATGCGAAAAAGTTTTTTTCAAATGATGAAAGAATGAATGATAAAACGAAAAAGGGCACCTTCTTTTTTTTCCTCTTTCTTTTTATTTTTACTCTTTTTATCCTACTTCTTTGACTCTCTTACCGCTCGTTTACCAAGTTACTAATATCATCTCTTGCCTTTTATTATTAGCTGGGCACTTGTGGGATGATGGATGACAAGCACTGATAGCACTTTTTATTGCTACATCGGCTGCGGAGCATCATTTTTCCTGATTTGATCTTTCATTGTTTTTACTGTAGGTCTCCTAGTTCTTCTTCGCAGTATCGTTGTTACAGCAACGCCAGGCAGCACGATGTGAAGTAAGTGAAGTAAGGTAGGTGAAATGGGTGGGTTCAAAAAAAAAGACACTGCAGAAAAAAGGCGGAAAAGGAAAAAAAAAAAAAAAAAAACCATGAAAACAGACTGCAGTAAAAAAAAAAAAAAAAAAGACCGCTAGGGAAAAAAAAGTTGGCCGACGAAGGAAGAGGAAAGTCGAAAAATGGCAATGGGAAAAATGAAGGTGGGATGAGGTGAGGTGAGAGGGGAAGGTTGGGGTGGGGTAGGCTGACCTTTTTGTAGACAGACGAATTCGAGCCGGTTGCTGTCAAAAGGGTGAGTTGTCTATTTTTTCGCTTGTTGTTTTGCTTGTCATCCATCATCCTCTGCCGTTGTCTGCCTCCCGCCTTTGCTATGGTTTCTTCTCTCTGGTTGCCTAGATATCACTGGTTCAAGTCTCTTTCTGCTCAGTGCTCTAGCATTAGCTTATAGTAGTAGTGACCTATTTGTACTTGGTTGTCTTTCGTAAATTGACCATCAATTGAAAATAAAGCTTTATTTTTATTCTACAGTGCCTTCATTCATTTGCACGGTTTTAATTTGATAAATAATATTCTTTGGGTTGAGGTTTTATGGTAAAAATCAGCATGTTAATATCATTTTAAAGTGGACCCACCAGTTGCAGTGACGAGAGCTTGACTCGAAAGACATTTATCTTGGAATTTGGATACTGTATACGGATATTGTGATTGCTCTGTTTATCCATAACGTTCACGTCAAGCGGACGTGGGATTCTCTGCATATACGAATGAGAGGGAATAAATAATAATGGATATAAAATTTATTATTATATAGAATGGTAAGTTTATGTAAAGATGATCATGGGTGTCACAGTTTCAAGCAGATTACCGCCCACCATGTTTTCATCTTTGAGGTAATCATGGGGGAATTGGACAAGATGTCCGCGTATGCTTTCCAGTTTTTCGCGAATTTCCAAAGTAGAAAGTTCGGTATTGGCGACGTGTCCCTGGGGTATTTTACTAGGATCAGGAACGAATTTGCGGTGCTGTTCGTAGGTGTGCACTGTATCATCAGGGACGCATCGGAAGATTTCTCGGTAGGTCAAGGTATTGTATTCGGCGGTCTTGCGCCACACATGGTTATAAAAATGATCCGACAATGGATCCAGTGCCGCCGTATCCCCTCGCCGGCTCACATGCGGTACCGCTCTAAAGGTATCGTAAAAACTGCGTGTTCGACTTGCTCGATCGATCATGCGTACAGGTTCTTCATTCTCACATCGACGAATATCCTCCTCGTTGGAAACGCTAATGGGACGTAAATGATCTCCCATTGACTGGCTAATATAGCTATTGATCACAGACTCTTCGCTGGCATAACTGTGTCTAGCAGGTAGCAACTCGGACCAGTCTTCAAAATTTAAGAGGCCAAGATGCTCTTTCCACAATTGCATTCGTAAGGTGTAAGCAAATTTGGCCACTTTGCACTAGAAATCCACAATGTAAGTCAAGGTTGGCAGCCTAGGAAAAAAGTTCAAGTTCACCTCTTTTCCGTCTATCAGGGATGGAATCATTTCCGTATCTTCCACTAGCATGGCAATTTCTGAATCGCGATTACCTAATTGTGAACTAAAGCAACCAAGTATGGTTAAATTATGCATGGTAAGCTGTACAGTAGAAAGATTTACCGATCATTGATATTCGCTGTGAAGTGTCCATGTTAGTACTGTTGCAATTTTACAGCATAATTCGGTTGAGTGTTTGCTGCTTACCTGATCCCATCAGCACGATTCGATCGTCCACAATCATCAATTTATCGTGAATATACAAAATTTCGCTCACAAAATTATCTCGTTCATCATTGGTGTTAAAGGTTGGATCGGTAGATTTTCGAGATTCCTCAGACACTTCGTTGGCGTCAACGGAAGCATCCGACAACGAAGCCAGATCTTCTGCGGCTCGAGCTTCATCATCAAAAGGAGACTGTTGCTGGGGGTCCTCGTCTTTGGTTTGCGTAGCACTGTCACGTCTGCGCGGAGGGACCAACTTGCCCCAGTTTCGCAGACTGTACCAGCTGATGTAATCGGACGGCTCAATACCCGCTTCTCGTAATTTTTCCATGATCGAATTGCCTCCGCGTGAAATAGAGATGTATTGGAAATGCATGACCGCTCTAGAGGTCGCCACAGATTAAATCGTGCCAAATTGTTTCATCATTTCCATGCCTACCTTGCCGATGACGATTCGCTCGAGGCCAGATCACCTTCAAATGCGGGAATCAAGGGGATTAGAATAAAGATGCGGAACTTTTCGCCTTTTTCATGAGCGCGCTTAATACGTTCGACCATGGCTTGGGCAATCTTATTACGAAGAACTTTGTCCTGATTCGTCGCGCTGACTGAGAACAGTTGCCGTTAAACGTCTGTATACCATCAGTCATGCCGTACACGAATACTTACTGAAGAATTGGTTTTCAATATAGACATAATGTTTCGCCTGTGTGATACATTCCATGTAAGCATTGTAGATAGAATGCTGCCAAACTTGGATGAGTATCATAACCAAAAACAAGTCATTCACCGATCGTCTTTCTGCCTACCTCTCGCTCGATACCCGAACTCCATTGGGCTGAACTTCGTAGTAACTGGACGCGACAGGTTCCCATGAACTTGCTTTCATCTCTGGCCGCAACATATTCCCCCTTTGGCATTAAAAACGGAACAGACGATCGATGCATACTCTTGCTTGATTTTAGGAAGTTCCAGCGCTGAATAAAGTGGCGCGAAATATCTCGAGCAATAGGACCGACCTTCAAACGTAAACATATTTGTTTAAGCCAAATGCGAACCCGACATGCATGGTGCTGTTACTTACCACTGCCAACGTCACATCATGCCACGGCATGCGCGGTATGACAGTACGATCGACCAGAGTAAGATCGTACTTGGCCACTGGAACCATTCGATGAGGATGACATTTCAATACCGAATACGTCTTTTGTTCTTACCGTCTACAAAATCTTTGGCACGAGGGTTGGAATAGTCTTGACCGGGGAAAATTTCCTTTTCATGGCCAACAGCAGGGTAGTCTGTGAGGGAGTGGGCATGTGTATCATATCGACTAAAGGCTGCATTAAAATACCGTTCCAAGGAATTGGAAACAGAAACATTTACCCAAAGCATAGATCAAGGCCACCAATGAATGCCAGACGGTTATCCACCACCACAATTTTCTAGAATTGCTTGTCAGCACTTTTAGATGCTGTTGTTCGTATTTCAGGGCAGTTACCTCGTGATGGGACCAAAAAAGCACAGTATTGTCAATGGATCGATGGTCAGGATGACGTTGCACTAGAGTAAAGATAAGCATGAAGGCCAGGTTTGGATATGAGGTTCTGCATGTGACATGTACCAATAATGTTGGGATGAAGGTTTTGTAGCCAGGATTTTGTGTGTGCGGAATTGATGGTCAGAGCCAGAGCCATTTCTTTGTACACAACGATATAAATCATGACGCCTTCTCGCGCTTTTCGTTGCAAGAGACGATCTAGCCGAAAATCTTCATTTTCTTCTGGTGGTCGACGCAGATACTGAACCAGATACGTGAGTGGTGGTATACCGGTATCTACATCTCTTGTATGAACTTACCAATTCTGGTGACAGCCACCAATCTGCAATGTAAATCTCTGATTTGGCGGCAAGAATGGCTTCAGCAACAGCATTGAAATGGTCTGTTAGGAGGAAAATATAAGAACTAATTATAATGAAGGCTACAGAGACATTCCAAGACATACTTTCTGCATCGACAAACCATTTAACCTTGCTGTGGTGACGTATAGGAGCAAACGATCCGAATCGATGGTTCTTGACCCACGGACTTTCGCTTTGTACCTTTTTAAGACCTTCTAGCCATTCATCCATTTCGCGCTTTCCGCCTTTGATTTCGATGCGACGGAACTGGTTTGAACAGGTAAGATGGTAAGTGCCTAGGAGACTAGGCTCGGTGGTCGTGATACTGAATCCTTTATCAAAGAGCATCACATCGGTTGGTGCGGTGGATGCGATATCTTGACAAAAAGCAATATAACTTGCAAAAAAAAAAAGACAATCAAACAGCATAAGAAACAAAATGTGGTTGGTTGTCAGTCGACCGAGACTTACGAGTCGCGAAGGATGATCCATTCGGTGTTCCAACGATGAGAGCTCCAAAATCCGCAAAATCGAGGGACGAGATAATTTGTACGATGCTGCAAAAATCCTTCTTTGCCTTTCCAACCCATGTCCTGAGCCATACTGATTGCCGAAAGTTCCAAAAACTCGCAAACGTCGTAACTAATCATCATGTGAGCGCGCTGTAATAACTCTCGGAGGTAGTTTGTCAATGCCAAGCGGCGTTTCAGCACGGTTTCCTTCTTTTCTCCATCCGATTCATAGGTTTCCTCTTCTTCTCGATCTAAACCAATGGTTGTTTTGGCAGAACTGATCAAACTTTGAAGTTGGTTTGGGAAACTCGGCGGGGCAGGCGCGTAATCTGACAGGCTGGATTTAAATTTGAGGGTATAATGCAGCGCCACGAAATCGGCAATGGTACGTCGAATCACCCATTTGACATCGCCATACTGCAGTTCAATCCGAAACACCCATTGGTTGACACCATTGGTCAGGAACTCGGAATCGGTGACAGAGACCTAATGGTTGTATATCCATCAGCGAAAAATGCCATGTATGATTTTCCTTTTTCTCACTTACAGAAAGACATTGCAAGAGAATAGGCGGCTACGAATTGGAACATACAAGAGCACATCAGGTCAAATAATTGTTGATTGTACCACGTTCGAAGGTTATTGGTTCATCTTACCAATTTACGCCCATATTCGTCCGAAGAAAGGGCAATAAATATGGGTTCGAAAGCAGGAGGGTAGTAAGGCGCCAGAGCATTGGTGTTTGCTGGTGGGATATCGCGAGGAGACTGAGGAAATGATTGTATGTTGGAAATTAAACGGATCTTATCCAGTGTTTTAGTCCATTGACGCCGGGCCTGCTTATCAATGTTTGGTTCACTGGATGCTTCATGTGGTTGGCTAGACGATGGCGGAGCATCGGCGTATCGAATGGTTTCCAGGGCGGTTCGTGGTGATGCGCTCGGTCGACGGGCCGGAAATGGATGTGCAAAGTAATTTTCGTCTGCACTTTCATTGGAGCTATCGGGATCCTGGTTCATGTCAGCCGCAGAAGGTAACCGCTCGTCGTCGTCATCATAATCATAGGCAGCGTGCGTATTGTAAAATCGAGCTCGGAGCCGATTCTCTCGAGCCGCACTACGCATCAATTCAAAGGTATCATGGTCAACGGTATCTGCTTCTTCGTCGGAAAAATCGTCACTATACAAGGAATCTTCGCGGGTGGGCGGTTCGGGAGCCAGGAACGACAATCGACTGACCACGCGGTTCCACTGAGCACGAGGATCAAAGAGCGAGTCATCTCGCCGAGGCGTTACGGTAGGCAATGAACGTGCATCTTGGGCGGCGGATGCAGATGAAGATATGGCGTGATGATGGTCGGCACCCGATCCGAAGTCAGGGTCAAGATGAGCTCTAGGATGACCGCATGCTGAAGATCTCGGATGGATAGCGGAGTGCCTCAGCTGAGCTTTTTTCTGAGCAAAGTATTCAGCAGTATCTACTATTGGGTTCGACATGAAGCAGCTGGACGGTAAAACGGACGCAAAAAAAAAGAAGGGAAAAAAATTGAAAGAAAAGGAGAGTGAAGCCCAAATTTGGTCAAACGTCCTATTTTGTTTTATTTTTCTAAAAAAAGGATCCAGTGGCCCACGGATTGTTACTTGAATTATTCGCCGTAGGGAATCCAGGCACGGCCGCAAAATTACTATTAAAACCCGCCGCAGGACTGTGAGACGCAGGCTGAGGGGAATGGAATGGGTATGCTTGCTGAGCCGGCGGTGGTGCTTGCGATCCCATAGCAGGAGAATAGGAGGCACCGGTGTGTAATGGCTGTGAAGTGAACGAAAAGGGAGACGAAGATAATGGCTGTTGTTGTGATGGTGGCGGTACCTGTTGCTGTGGCAAGGATGTCAACGGTTGGGATGCTGCGTGGAACGGTGACGAGGTGAATAGATTGGCCGCTGCCGGGGCCGAGACAGTGGGCGTCAACTGCGAGAACGGGTTGGAACCAGTGACATGAATTGTTGGTTGAAGGTTGTACAAAGGCTGAACGCCTGTGAATTGCGGCTGAAGGCTGAGCGAAGATGAATTGGGTGGATTGTTGAAAAATCCAGACATTGGTTGCTGCGTTAATGGCTGTGCTTGAAATTGAGGTGGATTGGGTTGCATCGAAGTGAACGGATTAGCAGGGGACAGCCCATTGCCCGATGACGGTGCAGCATAAAACGACGTTTGAGGACCACCTGCCGGTGGTGTATCCACATCCAAGAGGTTGGCCGTTTTAGCGCCTGCTAAAACAGCCGATTGCCGTTCGGAGATTGTCTGAGCTCGGCCAGCAAGCTCTCGTGAAGGGGGAGCAGGAGCAGCAACAGAAAACATGTTCTCCGCAGACCCAGTGATGGCAGGCTTTTTCTGCGCATCCTGTAAGAGACTGGCAGCCACTTCGACATTACCGGCTGAACGACGAAGCGCATCACGAATCGACGCGATATCTGAAAATCCCATGCCACACAAGTGGGCCATTTTCTGCTCATCTGTTAAATGCTCGGCTGAGTTTGTCCGATTTGTTGTGGAGGTGCGTGACAACACTTGCACGGCCGCGGCCACATCGCCTTGGGTTTGCATCAACACTTGCTGGTTGCGCTCGGTGTCTACGAAACCCATTTCTCGAAGCTTGCTCAAACCGTCGGCATAGCCACGGTCTTTGTCTCGAAAAATCACAGGAACGGACGACGATCGTTTGGGGATATCATGGACATTGCTTCGCACTTCCAAAGTATTCGATCTTGGCGGCTATGAGTATGATAATGATCATCATCAGCTCTCTTATTTTTTGCTGCATGTATCTATTCTTTCACTTACAAGCGCCGGTTCTTCCATGAATAAACGTTTCTCCCATTTACTGCGAATATACTTTTCCATGCTACTATTGACCAGACGATGATGGGATTAGATGATGATGGTCACTTCATCACGATTGAACTGATATAGAAACTTACTGTTCTCCTTCGTCGGCGAATGGCAAAGGATGCTTTTCGGGATGCGGATTCACTTTGCTGTTGACCTGATTGTTCCCACCTGCCTTGCGTAGCATCTAGAATGGATCGGGAAGTGTGAGTGAGTTGCAGCCATGAGGACTCTATATGAAGAAAAGAAGTCATCTTACCTCGATTTGATCGGCAGTCCAGGTGTCCATGGTCATGGATTTCACTCGGGAGATGTGGGTGCCCATCTTTCGATGAATCCCCGCGCATCGAATACAAAGAAAGATGCCCAAAGTATATGATATCCATCGAGGATCTATACAATGTCGAATAGCGGAGGGTTGGTTACAAGTTACAGTAGAAGACAAGCCGAACACTCACTTTTAGCTCGACAATCGGCACAGAACTCATTGCCCGGTAGTTTCGACAATTCGTTGAGCATGCGCTCATGACGAACTTGGAGTGCCTTGCTTTGTCTTTCAGCCATGACGAGGAGAAAAGAAGGGGAAACGTTTTTTTTTCCTCGTTAATTGGGTTTCAGTTGCACAAATTAAGCCGACAAACGACTGTCACGAGTCCACACATCAAAAAGATCTCTCGTCCACATCGGACCATTTTGCATTGTTTCCTTTTTATTTTTTCTCTCTTTCCATATGACACAAGTACCATTGGCAGGAATTGTTGTGTTTGAACTAGCAGGTTTAGCTCCCTGTCCCTTTGCAGGCATGATTCTATCTGACTTTGGCGCCAACGTTATCCGTGTCGATCGTCCACACACACACAGCACTGATATCTTGGCACGGTAATCTTTCATCTTTGTTGCCATAGATATTTCCAGAAATATTGAATACAATCATCACAGTAATAAACGGTCCATTGCCTTGGACCTGAAGAAACCTGCCGCTGTAGAGATACTTCGTGCCATGCTGCTCCAAGCTGATGTGTTGCTGGACCCTTTCCGCCCCGGTGTCATGGAGAAACTGGGTTTGGGGCCTACTGACCTCTTAAAGAAAAATCCGCGTCTTGTGTATGCGCGGCTCAGCGGATTTGGACAGCAAGGGTCTGCATCAGCAGCTGCAGGTCATGATATCAACTATCTCGCCATTGCCGGTGTCCTGAGTGTAAGAGCTTTCGCGAAAGATGATGAAAAAAGGAGTCTCACACCGTTCTTCATCAACAGATGATGGGCAGACACGATCAGCCACCTTTTTTCCCCATGAATGTCCTTGGTATTAAAAAAAATGAAACAGCAGTGATTAATGACTGTAATTCTCATACTATATTTTCACAGCGGATTTCGCCGGAGGTGGTCTGATGTGTGCATTGGGTGTACTGATGGCGCTTTTCAGCCGTACCAAAACGGGCAAAGGACAAGTCCTGGACGCGAATCTCGTAAGCTTGTAACACATTTGCATGTGACCATAAAAAGGACTGAACCCCATCCAAAAAAAAAAAAAAAAAAAAAAACTAAAGACAGCAGGCACCGCTTATCTCACGACGTTTCCGTACCTGATGCAGAAACATGGGCTGTTGTGGGAAGGACCACGTGGCTCTAACATGTTGGATGGAGGCGCTCATTTTTATGAAGTATACAAGACAAAGGATGGAGAATACATGGCAGTGTAGGTGTTTTTTATCTTTTTAATTGGCGGTCGTAAAACAATTATGCATCAATGTTTTACCGCAGCAGAACAACGCTAAGTTTTTTAATTCTATGTAGGGGTGCCATTGAGCCACCATTCTACGCTGCGTTGTTAAAGGGACTAGGATTGGATCCCGAATCGCTCCCGCACCAAATGGATAGTGATGAATGGCCCAAAATGAAAAAGACTTTGGCCGCAGTGTTCGCATCCAAAACACAGGCAGAATGGACCCGGGTTTTTGATGGTACCGATGCTTGCGTTACACCGGTTATTCACTTCAATAAACGCGTTGCCGATGATGAGACCAACGACCTGCCTAGACACCATTGGCCACGTCAAGCAGCACCTCCCTCTCCGGCGCCTATACTGTCCAGGACGCCCGCGCGACCGGTGCAACTAGACGACACATCATCCCCATTCCTCACTTCCGGTCAACATACGATTGAGATCTTGTCAGAATTTGGATACAAGGGCAGCGCCATCAATGACCTTTTATCGTCCAAGACCGTGTTCGATGCTTCTCAAGACCAAGGATCTCGGTTATAGGTAGCTTAGATCTTGATCGGTTTTCCACCAATAGTCGGTTAAGAAATTTTCATATAGTCACCGTCATCATCAGGATGCGTTGGAGGAGAATGGGGCGTAATCCTTGAGACAACCTTCATAGACTTCACGAACAATGGCTTCGGCCGCGGACCCACAGTGTTGTTGCGTCGAACGTATAGCGTCTCTGAGAATACACTCCCGTTTTTTATCTTTTGACTTGATATTGACACATTGAGCAAGCGCACTTGCCCGGACTTCGCCACAGGCAATCAAATGACATATGCTGTTAAATTTGCCCTTCCGAGTCGCATCAAAAGCATGAACGAGTTCGTGTATGACCGTTTCTTCCAAATCTTCCCGAGACCGGATATTCTCACAACAGATAACCACCCTTTTTTTTCATCAATGTTAGTTTGTCAATGGCATTGGTCCGCATGTGGCAATCCATTTTACCTTTTGTAGTTGCCATCGTAATAACCCATCCGGGTCTATTCAAATATGATAAGCGCACTACTCTCGTACCAGTTGAACTATCGACTTGCCTGTTGTTGAGTTCCAGCGCATGAGCGGCAAGTAATACCTCGACGCAAAGCTCCCTTGTTAAGAGCAGCAATACTATTCAGTAATATGGCAATTCTTGGTGAGGTTTCCAATAGTCGAGCTAATTCGGTCGTGCATTCACGTTCACCAAGTCTAATTAAAATACTTGTAAGAGAATGCATGCTTCCATGATACAACAGAGCGTCCTAATTTTGCTTACGGTGGTCTCGTGGGAAGCTCGTATAACCGCATTGGAAAGTAGGGAAGTCTAAAGCAGAATGAAATTAGTCGGACCCTGCAATCGATTCTTATGCTCAGGCAGAGGAGCTCTCGTGTGACTGATTTCCTGGATTTTTTCCAGTGTGTCTCTTTTGAGCGCTTCTTTCAAATTTCACATAGAACGCACAAAATCATGGTGAGTTCTACTCTTTGCATGTACCTCATTGAAAAAAGAAGTTTGACAATTCAATAGTCAGAGCAGTTGAAAACCGAAAAATTACGGGAATTGTCTCAGCCAGGTAACCGATCGCTATGAACCGTTCACCTTTCGGGAGTGTTCTGACCTTGATCTTGCAGATGCCATTCTGGAGCAGAATATCTATGTCGATGCGCTTTCAGAATATTTGCGTCTAGGTGGAACGCCCATGGACGCTGTCAGTGCCTTGTCCGAATCGTACATTGGTCTGCCTTCCATGTGCAATATCACCGCTCAAGCCGCCAACTCCATCGGTCTTCAGAGTCAAACGATCATGCGAGACGCTATTAGAGAAATGCTCAAAGAACGATTCGATCCTAAACGCTGCGACGCTCTTTTTATGAATTCAGAAGTACGCCTTTCTTTTTTCAGCTCGAGTGAATCGAGAAGCCCTTTGTGTCTTATTGTTCTCTAATCAATTTTGTCGTGCATAATTTAGAATCAGGTTGCACCTGAATGGTTGGACACGATTATCCAGGACCCTCATTGGCGACAAACCATTTATGAACTTATTGAGCAATATCCTCGCTGCTCGTTCCTCAACTTTGCTGTTTTGGTAAGTCCATTATCAATGAATGTTTTGGCGTTGGATTTGCATGTCGAACTGATCGATGTCCCGTTCACAGCGCATTGTGGAGGCAGGTTATTCCGACGAAATTGCAAACTTAAAGACGGCATCTACCTACATTAAAATATATAACATCATTCTGGGCGATACACTGTCCAAGTTGGTGCAGCAAGATGATCTTACATTCGATGAACAATTGCCTGATCTAGTGGTACAGCCTATTACCCGAATATTACGTGTTAATGGAGTGGTTCTAACCGTTTCGAATAGAGAATCTGCTGCGAACGAGAAGAAACATACTTATACGCCCAGATCCTGATTCAAAAGATTCGTGAAAATTATCAAGGTTTACCATTGATGAGATTGTCAAAGGAACTGGAAAAAGCAGCGATCCGAAGAGGCCAGTAAGTCATCTATCCCTGCAGGGCAAGATAATTAAAGAAAAAATGGCACTTCGATGATTAATTTTTTTTTTCGCGTCTTTGTAGAAATGCGTTTGTAGAGATACTACGCGTATATACGATGAACGCCCCCTTGCAGTTGTCAGGTTCATTGAAAGCTATTCATGGTACTCGGCAAGTAACACCGGGAGATATTATGACGGTAAGATCAAATGAAACAGATCATGCACTGGGACAACCTTGCTGACGTGATTCGATTTTGTTAGCTTTATAAATTGTACACATCCCCTAATCCTCCGCCCGCCCACTTTATCTGTGATTTCGACCTTATCTGTAAGAGCGGTCTTCATCGTACTGTATATAGTGTAATTAACTGTCACTAATTATCCTATTACTGTAGATATCCTTCTGAAGGCGGTTTACATTCCAAATTCGGGCCCTATACTCAAGCCCGACATCGTTGAGAAAACCATATTCCTTATCGCCTACGCCGTCTGCGTCAAAGATGCCAGTCCCAGCGAGGTAGGCTCATTAATGAAAAAGAAATATGTTGGAATTGGGGACTTAGGAAATCTGTAGCATCAAAATGCCGAAGTCTCTCGTGTTAGCAATATATTGAAAGAGTTGCACAAAGCACTCAAAGATGATAATACGAAGGGAGCCAATTTTACGGGTGCTATGAGTACCATTCTCAGCGCAATTAGGTTAGTAAATGCGGGCTCGCTTGTATCAGTGACATGTCGAAAATGCTGAATAGTTGATGATAGGTTACCTATTGCTTCCATGGTCATCTTGCTGTGGATCGAACATATTGCTATTCACACACAATATTTCGAAACCTACTTTCGAACCAGTGAGACGCCCATCCCCCATCTTTTACTAGACGAAATTGCCCATCGCCACCCGTTGCAGCAATCATTCGTGTTCGAGACCATCAAAAATTGCTTATCACACCAATATCAAAATTTCGCACCCGAAATTCATGTAGGCACAATGGAGGAAATTAAGTGGCAGCTGGCGAAAAACTAAACTCAGCGGTTGGCTAGATGGCGTTGCAAAAATCATGGATCGACCGATTGCTGTATCTCGTGCAGCTTCATTATACAAAACCGGTTATGAACTTTATGAAAGGCGTAGGTCGCGAATTAGATGACAGCTTGATTGTTCATTTCGTGAATAAGGTCAGTTTTTTTCTTGTGCGATGGGGGTGGGGTCGATCTTTTTTTTTTTTTTTTTTTTTTTTTTCAAAATGGCAAGCTCACGCTATAGATGAAAAAAATTGTAGGTGTTACGAATGGCCCAACCTCCTTACTCGATAGAGTTTGTGGAAGATATGGTGGATGTTATTACGCCTATTGTCGATGTACTGAATCTTATGAAACCCGTCCAACAAGCGATTGATCAATTTTTCGGTAAGCTGGCCTGATCAGAAGATGCTTCACGAGCCCATTGTCATGACCGTGATTCTTATTGTGTTGCATTAGATGAAGCAAGCACCAGTTCCGAACCCATGAATGAAGGCTTGGAAGCAAAGATCGATTTTATCCGAAGGAAAAATAAGCAAAAAACATCCATGAAGTAGTTATTTTAGTATACTGAAAGGTGGGATGGCCATGCGCTCGCTTACTTGATCAAGAGGAAAAGGGAAAGGGTCCATGGGATGATGCGTTAACGGGATTTAAAAAAGTGGACATTTTTCTCCGACTTTTTTTTTTCTCTCTCTCTCTCTCCAGTGTCTCTATAATCTTTGTGCCCTTCTCCCTTGGGATAATTGCATATAAAGGATTTCTTGATTTCTTTTCGTTTCCCTTTACTTCTTCTTATTTTTCCTTGTTTCCTTTTTCCCTCTCTGTTCTTTGTACTTATAAAAGAGATACGTCCTAATTTTTCACCGCTGTTATTTTAACCCATGAGCATGCTGAACGAAGATGATCCTTTGTCGAGCTCCATTTTCGACGTCGGAAATCACACCTCTTCCATTTTGAATACCACTCGACCTATCGATTCGTCCATGTATGCATCTCAGTATGAGGAAGATCCGTGGGGAAGTTTGGGCGCAGCGGATCCTTTGGCTGAGATGGAACGAACTTTTAACTCGCCCAATATTACTCGAACCGCCCACACCGTGACCATGAGCGACGACGCCAGTGATTACCTCACAGCAGCCAATACTCTGAGTAAGCTCACTTGACACGATATAAATAGTGATAACAGACCGATTGTTTATTGATTCTTCTGCTTGTTGCGATAGACGGGGTACGGTTGCCAGATAGTTACAGCAGTTTATTTTCTTCCAGCCAGCGCTCGGGCCGCGTGTCGTTAGCATCCCTGCATAAAACGCTGAACAAAGGCCGTCTTTCAGCTATTGACGTGGAAAAGGTAGTTTGTCAATTAAGCACACGAGGTCACGCGAAAATGCTGCCAAGTCGGTTTTTTATTCAATCATGATGTAGATTATGCAACTTGTGGTGCCCAACAGTGCGTCTGATGTAACACGGCCCGAATTTTATGGAGCGCTGGCACTAATGGCATGCGCTCAGCAAAATATACGTAAGTCAGAACCATCAGCTTGAAAAGCCACATCCTGAATTGTTCAACTCATTCTTTTCTCCAGCAATTTCCTTGCCTTATCTCTACAAACATCGAGACTGTAAGTGTGAAATTAAAAAAAAAAAGTCCAACCAACCCTTTACTTTTCGAAACGCTTTTTGTATTTATACCAAGGATCGTTTTCCATTTGTAGCGATTAATTTAGAACCGACTTTTTACGATACCGAAAAACCCACAGTATTGACAGATCATGCCAAATTATCTCGACGACAAGCACCGGATCCGCATCCAGCCGTGACGTCTCCCGTCTCGCCTTTACATGATACCAAACCCAATGGCATCGATGCAAATACTGGAATGACAAAGAAACACACTGCACCTGTCACTGAACAACATGATAAAAAACGTCTGGACACGCGCAACTGGTTCAAACAGCTTGAAGAAATCAAAGTCACCATTGCTCCCGAGAGAGAAGGATTCATATTCAAGCATGTTAATTACATCGTAGAAAGCCAAAAGCGATCCTCCATTGTTTTACGGCGATTCAGCGATTTCTGGTGGCTTCAGGAAGTCCTTCTGCGCCGATATCCGCTTCGATCTTTGGCTAATTTGCCGCCTAAAAAGTTGGGAGGACGTATGTCAAGAAGTGGACTTTTTGAAATGATCCATGTCATTGCGCAGAATGTCTGATGTCATATATTTGTGTAGGAGATGCGGCCTTTTTGGAAAAACGACGTAAGGGGCTATCCCGGTTCATCAATGCCATTGTTCGTCATCCCGTTCTACGCAAAGATGAGGTTGTAGCAAAATTTCTGTCTGAACCATCGGTAGGTGTTTTTGTTGGAGATCAGCCCGTTTTTCCCCCAAGGGGTTCACAGAGAGAAGAACAAAGAAGCTCATGAAGGTTAGGAATTGGCAGCGTGGCGAAAACAGAATCCGCCCTCTTTAGACGACGAATTTCGACGAGGACATCACAACATCGAGGAACTGGCTCGCTTAACCCCCGAGAACCTGGATGACCTGATAGAGAAAGCGCGGAAGAGAGCGTCAGCTGCCATCGATCATTACATCAATTTGTGCCTGATTATGGAACGTATGATACGTCGGATGCATGGCCAAGCAACCGATTTTGTCCGTTTCAGTATATCCTTAAAGTAAGATGGCGTCATGGCGCGTCAGGCTATCGTATGCATTATTGACGTGAGAGCTCTAGTTCTTTAGCAGAAGCCGAACATCGATACCACGCCTCGGAATGTGGCAACTGCCAACAGATCGTCAAGGGATACGAAAAGGTGGCCAAGCACATGCAGCGTGAAAGCAATATCTTGGATAATCAGGTGAACATTGCGGCGGATGGCGTATTGGAGAATCTGAAGCGATTTCGTGATCTGCTGGTATCGTTCAGAGTAAGTTGAAGAGCGGGATATATTTTGCATGCATTGGCGGTGGGAGTTCTCACATTCCATCGCAGGATATGGATGAACGTCGCAGTAGTCTATCAGGAGATCAAATTGAGTCGTTGTCCAAACGTATCACCAAACATCGCACAAGAATCAACCAAATCAAAGGCGTACCAGGGATGGAGGCCGAAGTGAATAAGCTCGAAGAAGCGGTTCAGATGGTAAGTGAGATGTTGGCAGAAAATCCAGTTGTCACTGTAAACATTGATATGTATACGTGTACAGGATGAACGGGAAATGAAGGAACAACGTGAACGGCGTGTGTTTCAACGATTTTGTACATGGTCGGAAATCATCTACGTGCACAAACAGCAAGCGTTTATATCATCGATTTATCGAGATTATGTGAAGGATATGATGAACTTTTCCCTCAAGAGCAACGAAAACTGGCGAGAATTAGAAACGCCGGTGCTTGAAATGCCGGTTGACCTGGACATGTTCGATTAAATCGTAGAGGGAAGTAGGAAAAACAAAATTTCATGTCCGGTGACGAGAATACCTGGCCGATGTCCTCCCGCCAGAACAGACAGCATACGGGAAACTGTACAACAACCCCCCATCATCAACCCAAAATATCAAAAACACGAAAAGTGCATTGGGCAATAAACGCGTTCAATTTTTTTTATGATTAATGGCGACCATCACGGATCGGTTGAACTTTATCTTGTCTATTGTCGGTTGGATGATGTGGGGAAACGGACACAGATAAAATGAACAAACACAGCAGAGGTTGCAGGCTTTCGTTGATTGGTCATACTTGCCACCGCAACACTGGCATCATCAACCATGACTAAATAGTTTGTAACTTTTGGTGTTTTTTCATTCTCATGTCTCTGGATGTTGATCCTTGTTATTTACATGTTTACTTTCGGTTTCATCGGGATCGGGTTCATTGAAGACTGACTTTGAAAAAGGGTTCTTCCATGGATAGGTTGAGTGCACCAACTGTGAGTCATTCTCGAAACAAACTAGAAATTGAATCCCCGCGAGTCTACTTATAATGACAGGTGCTATCGAACGCTGCTATCTTTTTTTTTTCTCTCCTTCATCTTTTTTCCTTTTTCATCTCCATTACTATATCAAGCATGAGTGCAGGTCCTAAGAAACTCTGGGGTGGTCGATTCACTGGTGCGGTGGATCCTCTGATGGATGCTTTCAACGCTTCGATTCACTTTGACAAGCGCATGTATGCTGCTGATCTTATTGGCAGTATGGCTTACAGCAAGGCTTTGGCCAAGAACGGTATCATTTCTGAACAAGAGCGCGATGAACTGGTCGCCGGTTTGGAGAACGTGATGAAGGAATGGGAAGCCGGCGCTTTTGAACTGAAGCCGGGTGATGAAGATATCCACACCGCCAATGAACGTCGTTTGGGCGAATTGATCGGTCCCTTGGCTGGCAAACTCCACACAGGTCGTTCCCGTAATGATCAGGTCGCTACAGACATGCGTATCTGGCTTCGTGAAGAAGCATCCAAGATCTTGGCCCATCTCAAAGAATTGATTGCCGTCATCACGGCCCGCGCGGAGAAGGAAATCGATGTCCTCATTCCTGGCTACACACATCTTCAGGTAGACTAGGACGAGATGGAGGGAAAGGAGAGGGGCAAAAAAATATAAGCAGCTGGTGCAGTCATACTGATGACATTCTATTTCCAAATAGAGAGCACAACCTATCCGATGGTCTCACTTTTTGATGTCTTACGCATGGTTATGGCAAGCGGATGCTGAACGTTTGAGCCAATTGATTGAACGTATTAACGTATTACCTCTCGGTTCCGGTGCACTGGCTGGCCATGCATTCAACATTGATCGCGATTTCTTGGCTCAGGAACTCGGTTTCCGTGGCATTATTCACAACTCGCTTTACGCCGTCAGCGATCGTGACTTCGTGGCTGAATTCTTATTCTGGGCCAGTTTGACCATGACCCATATTTCTCGTATTGCTGAAGATCTCATCATCTACTCGAGCGGTGAATTCGGTTTCGTGAAATTGGCTGATGCTTACAGTACCGGTTCCAGTCTCATGCCTCAGAAGAAGAATCCTGACAGCTTGGAGTTATTACGTGGCAAATGCGGTCGTGTCTTTGGCAATGTAAGCTTGATCATGAAATCCACCTCACTCTGTTGGATCTGTGATTGACCTTTTTTTTTCGGCTGGTAGATGTCTGGCTTCATGATGACTTACAAGGGTATTCCCAGTACATACAACAAGGATTTGCAGGAAGATAAGGAGCCCATGTTTGATGCCGTGGATACTTTATCCGGTTCGCTCCAAATCACAGCCGGTGTCCTAAGCACCATGAATATTTTCCCCGAAAAGATGCGCGCTAGCTTGAGTGCTGACATGCTTGCAACGGATCTGGCCGAATACCTCGTGCGCAAAGGTGTGCCCTTCCGTGAAACTCATCACATCTCGGGTGCGGCCGTCAAGATGGCCGAAGATCGCAATGTGTCTATGCACGAACTGAGTATCGACGACTTCAAGTCGCTGCATCCTTCGTTTGGTGATGATGTGGCTAGCGTGTGGAGTTTCGAAACCAGCATTGAAAACCGTAATGCCCCTGGTGGTACCGCGCGTTGCTCTGTGTTGGATCAAATCAACAAGATGCAAGTATGGTTGGGTGAAGGAAAGACTTTGTAAATAAATTTGATAGTAGTGGTAGTAGTAACTTGCATAAAAAATTTTCCGATCATCATTCCTCACAATATCATCCTCTATTTTTCTTTATATGAATTCATACTTTTTTATTTTCTGTATGATCTTGTTTTTATTTTTGTTTTTGTTGTTGTTGTGATAATGATGATAAAGAGGTCAACAGGCTCGGGATGATTGTGTTTGGCGTCAGTTCTCTGTGATTTCCATTCCGGCTGTTTGTATACTTATTGTATTTTCTGCCAACAGAGAAAAAAAAAATAGAGAGAACAAAATTTCAGGTGGTGATTGATGATTTCACCTTTTTTTCTTTTTATCCTACAATGACCATTGACCATGCCTATAAACCCGGCAGTAAGAAGAATCGTTTTACAAGCTTACATGCAACGGATTATTTGAAAGTACCAGCCACGCTTGATAAGCCTGCACCTGCATGTATTTTGTCCTGCCGATCCGCCTCGTCCTTGTCGAGTTCGATAGCTTCCTCGACGGAATTGTCGGCGGCAGCTCTTTTGTCTCCTCATTTGGAATCGCAGTTAACCGCTCAAGCCGTCGAGATTCGCACACTCAAACAAGATCTCGCTATTCTCAATAAAAAGTGCCTGCGACACATCGAGCGATTGGCGGCCGCTGAACATGCCAAAGCCCAGATTGAACATGAATTGGAGGATTTGTCACGGCAACTGTTTGAGCGAGCCAACGAAATGGTGAAAAAGGAACGACGAATTCGCATGGAAACCGAATCAAGGTTGGAAAAGTTGCGGAAAGCATTTGTGGGTGTTCAACAGGAACTGGCCGATGAACGAGAACAGCTGGCAGAAATTCGAGATCGATTCGCTTCCTTGTCGTTAGATCAACAAGTCAGCGACGTGCCCACTCAAAAACTGCAGATCGATAAAAGGGCATTGGCTTTGTTTCAAGACTTTCTCGCCAATGCATCCGAAGTGTCACTGTCACAACTTCATCGACTGCCTTTTCTCAAGCTCTGTTACGATCAGGATATTGAACCCTGCCTTAGAGGCTTTTCGCACTGGTCCTTGCGACGAATCGTTGATGCTCTTCTCCACCGGCCTTGTCCCATTGAACCGATTCCTCTGACGTCTGTACCAGGGAACGAACCACTGAGGAAAATGGCATCGTCCGAAGAAGGTCCCAGTCGCTGGTCTCTTTTACGTCGTCACGCTTCCAGTTCAATATCGGACCAATGCTATCTGTGTGCAAGTCTATTGACAGATCAAACTTACCGGTGTCGTTTACGTGAACAAGATCAGGATTGGCACATGATTGATCGGGCTTGCCGTGATCGTCTGGTAGCTGTTTGCAATTTTTATGCGTTTGTGCGTCATGTGCGACTGGGCCTTTATACACCCAGTTCGGTCACCAGTCTGTTTCAAGAATGTCTACGGTTACGACTAGGTATGTTTTGGGCTCGATCGGGTTTACACCTGAATCCGTCTTTTTTATCGGACTATCGATTGTTTGCTTCATGGCCCTGTGACCCGGCGTCTGTTGGTTGAGCAACTGAAAATAAAAATTGGACAGTTCGATAGTTTCTTTATTGGCTTCTCTTTTGTCACCAACAACATATTACGTATAAAAAGAATACGAACAAGAAAAAAGTGTAGATTACATTGGATGAGGAGATGCTGGATCGTGTTTCTTACGCCGTCCAAAGGTCGTTAGCCTTCTGACAAAGTTACTTTGAGAGCTGTGGAATCGCTCGTGGGTATGGTTGCTGTCGGATGAACTCAAGGAACTCTCAGAGTAGCCCGAGTGGTGCACTGCGTAATTCACATTACCCTTCTGAACATTGGTTTCAGATTTGCTGAGAGTGACCGCTCGACGCAAATCCGGTTCCTCCGTCTTCTTTTTGCGATGTTTCGACCGCAAGCTGCCGATGCGAATAAAAGCCGACTTGGATCTTGACAACGCCGCCGATGAAGGCTGCGATGGTGTGGAAGTAGTCGTATCGCCGTTTTGAGCTTGTGCCTGAACTGCATGTCGCCTCAGTGAATCTTTTCGTCGTGGCGGTTCAATGGTCGGTGGCGCGGTGGCGAGTTCGAGCTGTTGAAGATGTTCCTGCATACTTTTCCGTTGACGGCTCTTGCGGCGTGATTGAGTGGTTTCCATGAGCGATCGGCGCTTGCGACGTGAAGGACGATGACCGGTAGATCGCGAACGACGCAGATCTTGTGCATCAATGACGGTAGGCCGGATTAACATGTAGCTGCGCCGTTTCGGGTTTTCAGAAGCACCAATGGAAACATTGGATACCATTGGGGGTATATCGAGCACTACGAGTGGCTGTTGCTCGTATGGATTGGTGGCCTTTGTTGCTACTTTGAATTCCGAAACTGAAGACCACGCTGAAGACACACTGGAAGTAAGCGATTGTCGAGATGGGGCTTTGGTCATCAGCTCTTCCAATGACCTTTGCGGCTTGGGCGGTTCAAAGGATGGATTCGCCGCAGCATCCGGCGAAAGTGTCTGTAGATCAAGTTTGGGTGGATATTCAGGTAATGGTTTATCTTGCAGGTTGATAGGAGGAACGGCCGGTCGTGACATGGCTTTTCGAGAAGCGTTGCTCACAAATGAAGCCAATCGACGTAAAGACGTCTTTTTCTTCAAGGCTGGTACATTGTCGTTGATGTGCTTGTCTTTTGGAAGAGGAGGAGGGCATGATTCATTCCTGTCGGTATATTTAGCAGCTGGATCGAATTTTCGACGCTGCTTAAGCGAAGAAGATCGCGTGGGAGGTGAAACGATGTGGTCTGGATCGCCAGGGACACTCACTGAACGGCTACGATTCACGGGATTAGGTGGAGGTGCCGCTGGCGGAGGAGGAAACGTCATCTTTCGGGGCCTTGCTTTGGGATTCTGTACGATACTCTCAAATGCGTCGCCCGACATGTCGTAATTTTCGAATCGAGGGATCAGCGCCGCCAACGAATCGACCGACACACGCTGGGATCGGCGTTTGGAGAAGGTCAATTCTGGTAATTTGGGAGCCGTGCTCAACTGAATATCAATTGAAAACTCCATATCGAACAAACTCATCATTTCACTGGCAAGATGCTCAGCGACCGCACTGGAAGTAACACCCGTGTCACTGGTCCAGCTCAACCGATTACGTTGCGCTAGACTCTTTCTACGTCCCTGAGGCAACCCAATATCTTCAATCAAACTACTTCGACGTCGACTCACGACCTCGTCTCCTCCTGAGCCGGTCATGGTGACGCTTTTCCGACGGTGCGATTGCTGGGTTGTTGACCTGGTAACTTCCTCTGTCAAACTACGGCTCTTTCGACGTTGCTCCAGCTTGGATGCTTCCTCCGACGGTGACCCATCTGGTAACGCTGCCATGGCCGATGTGCGATGATTGATTTGCGTCGCGGCGCCAGCTTGAATCAGAGCGAGCGATTCGCCCGATATGGATGCGTGGGGATGTGAATAGAATGAGGACGACGAGTCGGCCAGTGAACTCTGGTCGGTATGTTCAATGCAGTCGGACCATACTTCGTCATCATCCTCTTGATCTTGTTCATCGTCGTCATCGCTGTCCCGAAGACGAATAGGCTGAAATGCTTCAATTGTTTGAACATATTGTGCAAAGATGATTTCCAGATCTTCTTGTGTCTTGTCACCTAACGATCTACGTCACAAAGTTGGGATATCTATTATTTTAGGTTTCCATTTCTTGTCAATGCCCGATCCATCCCCAATCAATTACTCTGGTGTAAAGAATTCCCAGCGAGTCATGGATTCCAGCCATTCCACGGGGGTGTCTCTGTAAAGTATGTCGAGCATATTCTTGATGATGGCGGTCTTGCGTAATGAGTGAAAGTCGGGAGGAGCAAATGTCAATTGAGCCAATTTATAATTGGAAATGGCTGCCAGTTGGATCGGATTGTCCATACTTAGGAGTTGACCAAAAGATGAGCTCGAAGTTAACGTGGCACTAGGTTTGGGGGGTGGGGGAAGCCCAGCGTCCTTGGTAAGAGGACTGTCGTCCTCCATATTTAACAAGGAACCAAATCGAAATGAATGTGAAGGGAGCGTACAGACAAAAAGAATAAAAGAAAGCAAAAAGGAAAGAATCACGGGTGTATCAGGGAACGAGCAAAAGCGAAAAGAAAGAAAGAAAGAAAAAAAAAACGTGGCTACCAACAACCAGCATCATGTCACTGTAATTAATGTATGTTTTATTTTCGGTGCTACCTTGGAGATGATCACTGCCATTGCTCTAGCATTCGGGATTGTCCAGACCGTGTGTAACGTTTATATCTGTTCAAAGCATCAGAAAATAGTACATCAAGGTAGACACTCCGATGTAAAGCAGCATAAAATTGTATTCGCAGCAGCATAGACAAGGGTTGCATGATAGTTGTGAGGATCAGGTGCTGTGGAAAAATGATCTGGTTACTGTGCCTTGAGGTTTCAGGAACCTGTCTGCACTCCAATGAAAATTTTGGATTGCCACAATTGCATACGCGGACTACAGTTTATTCAACTTTTGAAGTCACAAAAAAAAATCGGTGCCAAAAAAATGGAAAAGCAACCAATGAGAAATCAGATTGAACAAAACAAATTGGGGAAAAGAACCATGTGTCAAAAATGTGCTCAGACGGATGATGGAAGAGCAAGTCAGTATGGCAGTATAGCAAAAGATGTTTAATGTAGTTGGCTTACCTGTAAACATCCACAGGCCTTCGTTGCCCGGAAAAACCAACCGAAGTGGGCCAGGACGGACTACGCAGTACTGTTCAGCGCTTGTCGAACGTGGAGAGCACGCGCCGGAACCGTCGATGGTCGGCCAGTTGAATAAACTATTATAGGAAAATCATATTTAGAATCACAAATTTCTATTCTTAAAGTCAACAGCCTTGAGCTCACCTTCAGTTCAATGCAAAAAAAAAAGACAACCTCGGAGAAAAAGATGACCTTGAAAGGTAGAATGGAGGTTCGGGAAAAAGAAAGAACTTTGGCAGACGCGGTGGGATGGCCATTTTATAGTCTTTTTTGATGGACTGCTGTTGAATCAGTTGCTTTTGGGAAATCTCGTGAGAAATTTCATTGCATCAGCTGATGTACAGAAAAAAAAAGGGGGGGGGGGATAATAGAGCAGAATTCGAAGTAGCCAACAAAAACTTTTCATGTCTTCAAACCAAATGTAAACCTAGACTCGGTACCACAAGAAGCTTTTGTCGTCTCTTGCATCCGAACAAGGAGGCCTCAAAACATCAGCTGCAATGCACAGTAAACAAAAAAAGAGAGAGAGAGAACAGTGTTCCACGGAATGGCAGGAAGCAATCAAGAATCGTGATACTATTCTTTAGGATAAATCGAAGTACAGGAAAAATAGGGACCGAGTGATATCAGAAGTAAAAGGTGGCATAATCCATGATCGAGAGCTTTTGTTCACTTGCCTTTACTATTTGACTGAAGAGTTATATTGTTCATTTACGCTGCATGCAGTTATGAATGGAAATGTAATATTTGAACACTTGCCACTACATTTGTTTACCGCCATGTATCAACTCCATTCTAAAAATATCAGTGTAAATACGGATGAGCACGCAAAAGTTGCCACTTCTCAACATGTGCAAGAATTAAAATCGCACATGCACCACCGTCATTTTTGGCACATTTAACGACCACAAGTGAGGTTTATTCTCCACACAGATGGAACGCTATATCACGGCGGCACAACCAATGAATCTTGTTGAGGATAACACTCTGCCTATGTTTTAAACCACGAATTAGCACGGACAGTGTTCATTTCATACCGTCAATACGGCACTGATTTTGCACCCCAAAATGAATCCTATTACAGTCAAGGATTAACTATTGGCTTACAGGGCACTACGACAAAAAAGCTACTTGCTCTTTTAAACTGTGATTCGTCTCCAGATACATCATAAGATAGATTGAGCTGTCAGTAATAATGGGCGAACCCTTTTTACTACAGTACTATGCATATTCCACTCTCTGTTAGGACGAGAGTTCGAGACAAATCATATATCCGTTTCACGGAATCAATGTGAGAAGACCAACAGAGTACTTATTATACTTTACACGCTTGACTAATATTGAGGGCTAGGGTTTACAGTATATCGATGCAAATTCTAAGATTTTTAATGCACAGTAATATCCTTATCTACAACCGAGTTTAAGTTCAATAAGGACACGTAGCATATGGACCATTAAGATAGTTTTAACCCAACTATCTTGCCCAGTGAATTTGAGCACAAGTAGAGCTGGTTTTTTTTTTTTTTTTTTTTTTTTTTTTTTTGGTTGTTCAAAGAGACCACATTGTAGTTGCTTGGCTCAAACGCTGTGATTCCAATAAATATGTGATGTAACAAAAGATATAATAAAGAGCTTGAATTTTGGTAACGTCTTGATTCACCGCGTATGATAGCTCAATTCAACGCACGTTTCAACAATGTGAATAACCCACATGCAGCAAAACAAACAATATACTTTTCTTGTATACTGCTGTTGTTGTACGTTTGTGAAACTTACCGTTGCCATAGAGTGAAATAGTTCAGGGGTCAAAGATCCGGATGGTCAGTGACGGCAGTCAGAGATAAACAAATCCACATGATTGCAAAACTCCGCAGACACGAGAAAGCGACTGTGACTAGCTATTGACAGCCACTGCTGGGTTCTTCAAAAGCGGACAAAATATTCAAACAGCGCTTTGCACCAAAAAAAAAAAAAAAGAGCAAGGAAAAGCGTGCTTACCATTCTTCAGATATACTTTAATACATATACCATGTGGAGGTCGTTGGCTAGACCTGTGTGCAACTGTTCAAGTCTGCTTGTTCGTTCATACAACACCAAAGTCAAGACGAAGCCATTACCATCTTTCCGATTACCCTCGTCACGATCAACATTTGCACCGTTAGGAGTTAAATCCGTGGGCAGACCCGGCCCACCACCGACACAAGCACAAACACAATCATCAGGATCAGGGTCAGCACCCGCACCGAAGGACCGTGCTCGACGTGATGAAGAGATTACAGCTGCATATATTACATTTGTGGATGAAAATGGTGAATTGCACCGGAATGTGCGATTAGAGAATGCACTGCAGCAGTTTGATCGGTCGCGGTATTTTTTGATAGAAGTCGATCCTACGGCGCGCCATCCGGTATGTCGCCTGTTTGATAAGAAGGCTTTGTTTGAAAAGGCGAAACAGTCGAAAAAGAAGAAAACCACCACCCCGGAATCGGTGGTCAAGGAGATCGTGTTTGGCTGGAATGTGAGTCCTCATGACATGGGCCACAAACTGAATAAAGCAAGGCAGTTTCTGGACAAGGGGAACAAAGTCAAGGTCGAAATCGTTAGCAAAAAAGGTCAAGCCTCCGTCACGCGAAGTGATCAGCAAGAAACCATGGCCAAGGTCGTGGCTGAAATGGAAGAATACAAATTGTCCAAACCACCCAAGCTCGCTGGCAGTAGCTGCTTCATGCAGTTCGAGCGTAAATAAAATAAAACATTTGCATTTAGATTCTGTACATTCACACATTGTCAATCTTTAATATAGCATATCATTATATGTATAAACCGCTGTTACGTGATCAATCTAACATATCGCACCAGTGGTAAAATAGGAAATGAAGAAAATGAAGATGCAAATAGAAACGGGCGAGAGGGAAAAAGGAAAATACAATAATTAAGGATGGGGACGAGCTGCATTATATGACTTCTGAATAGAAATCAATGAATAAGTAAAGGGGAATAAGAAGAAACGAGGGTAATTTTTAAGCCAACATTTGCTTAAGGTCCTCGATGGTCTTGACAACGCCCGACTGGATGACAGTCTTTCCTTTGACAATTTCCAACCCTTCTCCGGCGTAAGATACCAAGGGGGAGATTTCAATCGAAACACCATCCTTGACGTGACCGCCCGCTTCAATGATGAATTGTGCATGTTGTTGCAAAATATCGGCACGCGAAGTTTCGGGACAATCGACGCCGGCGCCTGAACCATTCTTGAGAGGCGAGAATTCCAAGGCACGACCAACTTCCAAGACGGAAAAGGCATGCGAGTGACCAAACACGTCAAACACGAAACGTTCCAATTTCACTCCGTTGTTCTTGGTAGGTTTGATAAACTGGCCATTGGTAAGATCGGTATAAGGAATCTTCTTGTGTGCAACGTGGTAAGCAAGGGTATGGGCAAAAGAAGGTACACGTTCCAGGAATTCGGTAGAGAAGAAATGATTGGCAATGTTGGCCGCTCCAAACGCCAAAGTACCGTCCTCTTGACGCTTGAAAGCCAGCTCTTTGGAAATTTCCGAATACTCCACCACACCATACTTGTCGTCACATTTGCAAACGACACCGACAGGCTCTTCCGGGTGGCTCTTGGGCACCACCTTGATACCACAGTCCGTGGACTTGGACGCACAGTAACCAATAAACACAGGATCCGCCACACGAGCCAAGCTGTTATCGACACAGTAGCAGTGCGAATACAACACACCACGCTTCTTCAACGAAGCAATAATCCCTTCTCTGTGCAACGCACTATAAATACCACCGTTGCCATCGGGAGCAATAGCAAGCTAAGAGAAAAAGAACATGTCAATCATCATGATTCCCCATCATGCAAATGGTACAACGAAATGACTTACTTTGCCCTTTTCTTGAAGCATCAACTTGCCATCTTCGGTGAAGCAAGGCATCACACCTATAAGACCGGAGAATTCATAGTCAGTGATTCTGTGTTTTGTCTTCTTATCCTGGCAAAACAACTCGACTTTACCTTGTTTGAAAAAGATGACATTATCACGGGAAAGGCCGAAATAGTTGTGCTTTTCAAAGAATTCGCAGGTAGGTTCATGGGTAGGACCGGACGTCATGATATACCATGGGATGATGGATTCTTCTTCTCGATCACCTCGGGCCAAAGCTTGCAATCGCAAGATACGTTCCGCTTGAAGTTGGAACAGGGATTTGTGTGACGGTAACCCAATATCGTAGCAACCCTTGGGAGCATCTGAACCTAATCGAGTGCCTTGACCACCGGCCATCAAAATGACGGCCACTTTGTTCTGGCGAATCAAATCCATGCCAAGCTTTTTCCATCCTTCTTTTCTATCGGCCGATGCGGAACAGACTTTATCGGTGACATTGCGTGGCAAGGGTTCAAGGCAGGCTTGTTGCTTCACTGCTGGTTGTTTTGATTCTCCCATTGCCTTCAGAGCAATCTTTGACAATTCCTCGGGATCAAACATCTTCAATTGGTCAAGGAAGGCTTCTTGTTCTTGCGCAGACAAGTCGTTGTAAAAGGTGAAAACATGGCCTTGACCGGCCGCTTCATACTGTGCTTTCAGTGCAGGATAATCGTTGGTCAGAGTCATTATTTTGGTATCAAAGCTCACAGTAATGTAGCCGGTTAATACAACGTAAAAGAAATATAAAAAGAAGAGAATTAAAAAATGTAAAAAAGAGGAGCTTCGATATCCAACTCGACACAATATATAGTGGCTCTGTGATATTAAAAATAGTAAAAAAAAAAAAAAAAGAGACCGGCCATCCAATTATTCAACTGCCGCCATGACAGATCCGGTTTAAAAAACCAAAAGTACGCATCATGACGCGCAAGGTTTCAAATCTCAGACCGTTTGCTGGATTTTTGGTTTTGATAAGAGAAAAACCAGCAGTGGTTGAAAATAGGGGGAAAGGAATATCATGTTTCACATGCCAAAAGATCAACGTAATGGGATTAATATACACGCCAAGCGCGAATATGCATCAATTGGAAAGGGACGCGGACAACGTGAGTAACAAGGCGGGCAAGGGGATGAGCTTTCTCCTTACGTCACGCTTCGGAATGGTGCTTAAAGTTGGGGTTCCTTTCGTTACCGCCGTAATGGAAACTTATTTTCAGCAATAAAACCGGTTTTAAAATAGTACACTGCATAGTAACGCTTTTTCACGGGTAAACCGTAACCTCCGACAAACGTGTTATACCTCGCAATATCATAGATAAAGAAAAAGTTTAGGCGGTGATGAACTGGCATGGTGCTTGCACAAGGCCAGTGATAACCGCCACAGCAAATGTCAAATTTATTTTTGGCAGAAAACTTTACTCGATCATAAACATAAAACTCGTCCATAAAAGGAATGTCCTGATTTTAGCTGATATCTATGGTTTTGACAAGACACCAAGGCAACATGTTCAATTGTTCATGGAATTGTCAAAGACGAAATGCATCATTGCCCCGTAATACAAAAAACCTGCTTGTTAATTGAGAAGTGTTTACAATGTACTTTCATTCTTGGCGATGTTCATTTCAAAAAGATCAGGAACAAAGTTGTCTTAGTCATCATGCTTCGTGAAGGAAAAGCTCCAGCTCATTTTGCCGAGCACTGTAGCGTGAAATCTTACTCCTATCTGTCATGATTGAATTCTTTATCTGTCAGAATATCAAGACCCCAGCATGCAACTCTTTATTAAACAGTGTTCACAGGTGTATTTTGCCTCCGAGTCTCGCAAATCAAGGTTCAATAAATTTCTTATGAGCTGAATGTTTTACCCGCTGAATGTTTTTAATGAATGTGTAATGCGCTTAATAATGTTAATTGACTCTTTCCTTGTGTTTCTAGCATGGGCTATCTTGCTTTTTGCTATCCCTGTCGCGCTTTCTTGACTCGTCTCCGCAATTCCAGAATAGAATACAGCAGAAAGCGGGCTGTTCTGTCCATCCGAAACCGGAAATTCATTCATTGCTAACCCGCCATTTGCTGGCGCCCTTTAATATATTTATAGTGTCGATAAACTAAGGCTTGACCGCTAGAACTGGCGGATATTTCAATGCTGCATCGGTCGTTGTAACAAAAAAAAAATGAAGCGCTAAATTTGTCATTCATTATCACGCCCCGACAGGAAACCACGGATGGGTTCCCCTGGTCTATCTTGAGCTGCACCCGTTTCACCTACATCGGATTCACATGACACCGTTTGAACCACTGGACCATCGTTTCCATCTTGTCCCAGTCAATCGGTCTCTGTTGTTTGGGATGATACGCGTCAGTCAACGTCATGTTGTTTTGCAATCCAGTGTTAACATTAAAAATCATTCAGAGAGAATGGAAGAGAAAAAAAGAAGGCCCTGTGGGCAATCAAACGTCCGCGGCATCTTTCTCCAATAAGATTTGGCTTTATAATATAGCACTAGAAGTACTGCGAAATGAAACATGTTTATTATTACTATTCATCAGGGGGTCTGATTAGTGAGCTCTCAAGCGTTCGGAGGCTTGAACGATGCAATCACCCGCTCTTGCTTCAACGCGGCGCATGGCTTCAAAATCACGAGCGTCCACGGCTTCGACAATGGCAGGAAAGACCTGGGATGAGTAGCCGGTCCATAAACCTGGAGCATATACCACATGCTTGAACCATTCACGGCCGGGCAATCCCTCAGAGTCGAGGAAACCGCGTTCAAAGTACATTAATCGCTGGTTGGCCTTGTTCACGCGTTTGGCCAACACACTGGGCAGATCTTCGTGGTTGCCATAGTCTTGTACATTGTGCATCAAGGCACTTAAACGTTGCTCAAAACGACCGGCTCGCTTGGCCAACTTGTCGGCGGCTTCTTCCAACAGAGGGAAGGTGTGAGGTGAGGCATAGATTCCTAAACCATCAATGTATTTTCTGACTTCCACCGCGTAATCCATGGGATGCATCGGTAAGATAAGATCATCGGCCAATCGGACTGCCAATGTGCTCATAATCTTGGCCATGGTCTGATGGTAGTCAAATCCTGGATCGCCAAACTTTTCCATCCAGTGGAAACTATCCCATGGGTTGTTATTGTCAACGTCCTTCTCCTCTTCCTCCCCTATTTCTTACTTTAAGCAACCAACATACCTGTCATAATTGCTGTGATAAACACCATAATCGCCTGAGAAGCCCATATCGATACTAGCAATGCCCAAATGGTCCAAGAAGGCCACAAAGTCGGAACCGGAACCGAGTTGACCGATGAGTGGTTTGGGACTGAGATGCTGAGTTCGGTTGGAAAACTCGCCCCACGCTTCATACAGCGACTTGCCGGTGCGAGGATCGGGGATGCCTTGCGTCACTTCGTACAGCAGACGGTTGAGTGAAGGCGAAGCGGAAGCGGTGAAGTGACTACCGGAGACAGCCACATCCACATTGATATATACGGCGGCTTCTTTGCTTAACCATTCACTGTGATCTTCGGCCCATTCTGTGGATCCAATTAAACCATACTCTTCACCATCCCAAGAGGCCAGAATAATGGTACGACGAGGGCGCCACCCTTCTTTGTAAAGAGAACCGAGCAAACGGGCGACTTCCATCATGGACGCCGAGCCCGACGAAGGATCCACAGCACCATACACCCACGCATCACGATGGTTACCAAGAATAATGGCGCGATCGGCTTCTTCAGTACCTTCAATGCGTGCTATGACATTCCAGATGGGGGTCACTTTGTTCTCTACTTCATTGACAAGCACCACGTTGCCTTCGGTGGGACCACTGTAATAATCGACTTCGGTCAGGCCGCCACTCCAATCTTCCGACTTGCGAATACCACGATTCTGGGTGGCCTTGAGTAAAGGAAGCGCGTCTTCCCAAGAAAGAGGCAATGAAGGAATTTTGGCCAAACCCACAGCGTCTTCAGGTTTAATACGGGTGGCATTCTCGGTGGCAGCGTAGCCGGGAGTCAATGGATCACCCGATGCCAATGAAAGATACAGCACCGATCCACGCTGAGCCGAGCTGGGCGAACGCCATGGGCCCTCGGGATAAGATTCACTCGGGTTCTCGTGAGGGTAGCCATCCTTGTTCAATGGACCATCATCGATAGGATCGGAATATACCAAAGCGCCAATGCAGCCAAATTGTTCGGCTGCACGCACTTTCAAACCACGGAACGAACCGCCGTAACGCATCAAAGCAATGGTGCCCTTGAGCTCAATACCTTGATCGGCAAGGTACTGAAAATCTTCGAGACGACCGTAATTGGCATATACAACCGGTCCCACTGCCGTGCCATTCTTGGAATAGCCTTAAAAACCCCAACCAAAAGCACATTAGACAACATGTTGTCAGGTTTCCAAATGCTTGGCAACACTTACCGTGGAAGGTAGGGATAACGTCAGGATTATGGCTGGTTTCATCTTCATCAACCACGTCCTCTCGGAGTGACGCCTCATAACGCAACTCCTCGGGTCCGGAAACGAGAGCTAAGCGACGCTTGAGGGGATAGTTGAGCATGGGCCAGTAAGTTTCAATGGTGGCATTAAGTCCGAATTCGTTGAATTGGTCCCTGGTCCATTCCGCCGAGCGTTTATCATTTTCGGTGCCCGCCAAGTGGGCCTGCGAAGTGTAAGTCTTGAGATAATCACGAACGGTTTCCTTGGAAGCATTCTCCAGGATGAATTTCTGAGCGTAATCCTTGGGGGCTACAAGCTGGGTTAGTTTTTTCCCGACCACTGTGCATTTCAGCTCCCGGTTTTGCACATACTGTATCTGGGGTTTTTGTCACTGTCGTTCAACCAGAAGCCGAACGTAATGCCGAGCACAATGACGGCAATGACCAATAGGACAGTGGTTGTAATAATCTTAAATTTGGTTTTGCGAGGAGGTTCTAATGTGCCTCGTTCACGATCGATAAGCGGTGCATACTCCGTTTGACCTCCCCATTGACGACGAAACCAATGACGAACACGGTTGACAGTAGAATTGTCTTGTTCTTGGGCTTGAGCCCTCGCCGCCCTCGCCGCTTCAGGATCTGTACTAGCTACCGCAGCGTAGCTTTGAGCCATTGCAGAAAGAATAAAGTCACAAAGCTATCAAAGAGCAATTGAAAAAAAAAAAAAAGAAAAAAAAAATGATAGATAACAGAAAACCAAAAAAAAGAGATTATGCGATTCCAAACGGGTGTCTGTACGACGTAAAGATTGAAACAGTGAATAAGGAATGGTAATTTCATCCAAGATGGGAGTCCGACAAGTGTGACGTTGTGACAGTTTGATCAGCATCCATTTTGCAGTGGGAATTGCCCATGGCGCCATTCCCATCGTACATGTTGTCATCCCGATATCATAAATCACTATACAGCAAAGTGAACTGGGAAACCATCTCCATCTGCATCATATGGAAAGATAGAAGAAAATATTTGTAATTATTTTCAACGAGGAGCGGAAGGCATATTGAAAGGTTTCACACGATCCTCTGATCGGTGCCATCATCTCTTGTTCGGGTGAATCTTCTTTTTTAGAAAACAAAAAAATTAAAAAATGGCAGCGGAGATGACAATGGTCTAGCTGACCAGGCCGTTCTTACTTCGTTGAGCTTAACGCAAGAGGCAATGGTAGTATCCATTTATTATTTACTTGCATTTGTCCATTATGAAGAAAAATAGACTCATTATGGCGTACATTTCTGCTGTGATGGGAAAATGCCGTCATGACATCAACAGGCATTCGCACACCGTGTGTAGTGCAAGTATGACATTGAATAAAGAGCCATGCAGTGACAGGGTGTACAGGTGACCGCGATGGGTTACTGAAAATGCATCCGAACCTCCCTCATTGACATTTGTATTATCTTGTCAGAATTTTCCTACTAAATTCTTAACAAATTCGTCGCGTCACTCTGTCGTCATTATCATGCAGATGACTGCCGTTACCATGCACTTCTTACCAATGGCATTATTCTCAGACCGTATCTTGAACTCAATAGACCGATCTTGAGGACCTCGTATCATATTTAAGCTTTGCAAGAATTCTAAACTGTCCGTAAATGCGGAACTTTTTTTTCACTGAAGCGTTGCTTAGTGTTTTAAGAAAAGACCCACTTAATAGTGATATGCACCGTCCATACTTTAACAAAAACAAACGAAGCCGTGATGGATTTGTGATGAAGAAAAGAAAAAACATAGTATTTGAATTCAACTTGTCGCTCGGTCACAGTGGTGATCTGAAGAACAAATAAACGCGTCCACGAATAGCTTCCTGTATTGTATTAAGCGAACCGCTGGCACACAAAAAAGCGCCAATGACATTGCAAACTTTGCCACCAGAGCTTCTGCATCAAGACAAGGAAGAATGATGGGATTGATACTGTAGAAGAATGAGGCGTCGTTCCTTAATATCGGACAGCACCCGAAATGCACTGGTGAAACGAACCAAAAAAGTGTTTTCGCATGGATTTAAGAACTTGTATAGTATATCATTTACAGTGACCCACCCAAAAGAAAAAGTATAACAGGAAAAAAAACAAAGTGACTTTTGTATTTGTGCTTGTCAGATAAATCCTTATGTTTTTTGAAATGAAGAAGCGATAAAGAGGCTTCCGATCTTTCGTGCGACAACATTTAAAACGATCGCTGCGGCGTTTGAATGGTTACGAGGAAATTGATCGATCCGGCTCTAGTTCTTTGCGATCCATGTTTGGATCTTGGAGCAATATTCAAGTAGAATTGGTGAGTTTTGTTTTCGCGTATACCAATATTCAGTATTTTCAGTATTCGCTTGTAAACGATCCAGCCCAAAGATTTTTCTTAGGCTTGTAACGACATATGATTACATCAGTAGGTATATTTTCCCGTCCTGGAACAACGTTTGCAAGATGCAACTACTGATTCGCATGAATGTTATGGTACCATTGATGTAATATCAGCTTTTAAAATAAGATCGCAACAGCATGGTTGATGCGAGCTTCTTAATCCACTCTTCCAGCCATGCAACTTGGTCATGTGTCTGTTTTCTAAATACACACATCGAGGTGACTAGTATTCTACTGAACGGTCGCTTATTTTTTGGTATGCGATGATCGCTCTCATACGTTGAATTTGACTGTGAATGATATCTACCATGTACTAGTACCTGTAGAACTGTTTCTTGGGGAGGAGTGTCAAGCAAATGATGAAAATCCAAGATGTAAAGCGGCGTACTACTGTAGGTACGAGTATACTGTATCAAAGTCTGTATTTTTTTTAATCAGGACGATAAACAACAGAAATACAAAAAGGTATAAAATAATGGCAACAAGAATAGGATATGTAACAGTGTCTATATAAGTACAAGCAAAAACGGGGAATCATACAAATGAGATACGCAAAATATGCAAAGGGATGAATATGTGAAACCGAGGTTTTTCATTTCATTTCTACCACCTCGTAGTTACCGTGACTAGAGTCGTGGTGGCGACGGCGGCTGAAACAGGAGTAGCAACTCAAATGTTGAATTTTACTGGCGAGTTTGACGACCGAAGCGGATCGGATAATAGGCTTATTGTCCAGAATTCGATCGTCTCGTAAAATTTGTTGCTTATCCACCAAAATCATCATACAAGCCTAACATTACTGTGTAAGTTTATCCGTTGTTGGTGTGTATATCTTCCCCTATCCCAAACTTGATACTTACAACCACTGCCATCACCACACCAAATACACTGCTGGCCGCGACCATGAACATGATAACTTGCTGATAAATGACGGCTTGCATCATGGGCGTGCCGGCCATAAGTTGACCCGTCATCATACCGGGAATGTTGATCATGCCCATCACACTGAGTTGGGTGATAATAGGTAGCAACGACATGCGGATAGAGTCCACAGCCAGGGGCAGCGTCGCCTCGTACCGCGTAGCACCGTACGCTAACCGGGTTTCTAAAAGAGGAGCATGGGTACTATCCAAAAGAAACAGGTCCGTGAGCATTGAACTCTCATGTTCAAAATAGCCAAAATAACTAGAAAAGGGATCGCATGGATTCCCCGGTTTGGTTTTTTTTTTCAACGGTACCTCACATGATCAAGGCAAGTCTCGGTGGCCATGGCAATGCTGCTCATGGAATTGCCTAAAAGCATACCGATAATCGGAATAAATTTCACGGGCGTCCAAAACGGTTTTTCCATCAACGCAAAAGCTGAGCCTAGATAACCCACAAAACAATTGCTAATGAACAGAATGACAAACATCAAGGGGAACTAGAGAACAAGAAGAAAAAAAAAAAAAAGAAAGCACCCAGATGAGCGTGGTTATCTCGATTAATCAATTGTTGACCCAATCGGCTACTTGCTTGTGAACAAGAAAACCTTGCTTACCATGCCCTTGAAGGTCTTTTTGGTTCGGTTAAACACCATTTCATACGTGCCCAAGACAACCAGCACCACTACATACACACGGAGGGCCATTCGGTGAATGGTTCAGTCAATATTTCACTTGATGTTCCCCACTTACGCGTCATTAACATCACCACCCCCACATTGTCGGCCTGCAAAACATCGTCCAATACATATCCCTAAACATGATTCTGCCGTTAAATTACATCGGGCAAAAGTGTCGTGCATAACTTTTTTTTTCTTTCACGCTACCATCAACGATAATTGCACTACGCATCGTAAACCAGAGATGATTAGAGAAAGTTCGATTCGCATCCCGAGCATCATGCTGATAGCCGCTGTCATCAACAAACAAAGTGCGGATTAGAATAAACGTCCTTGTCGGTGTGGATTCGAGTCTTATATCGGTGTGAATTCGAATGTTGGCGGTACCTGCAATGAATACGAATGTCGACGCTTCCAAGACATGCCACCAACTTAGCACTGCTTGCTCCATGATATGTGATCGACCGCTATCGACGCCTTGGATACCCGAGATATGAAAAGATGGAAAACCAACCCAAAGAGATTTTAGGATGAAATAAAAAAAAAAAGTAACAAACACCAGCAAAATTAAAGAATCTGAGGTGGAAAAAAAAACACAGCCAGCAAACTAAAAAAAATTAGAAGGAAAAAGATGAATTGAGATACAGAAGCGAAAGAAAAAGGAAAAAAAAGGCCTGATTTCCAACCGTTGAATTCAGTATCAGATCTTTTGAAGATCCGGCTTGCTCACTGAACTTTTGCTCTTTTTCATCACGTGGATTCAAGAGAGAACCGATCCGGGGCCTCCATGGATCGACTTTTTTTATTTTTCACCTTAATCAGGTCATTTAGCCTAACTGAAGAGCCCCCACGGTCATCATTGTTGTTGTCTGTATTCAGTGATGATTGTGCATTTGCCCATTTTTCCAGCCTCAGCGGCAAATTGGATCTCCGCTTTATCAGTTGCAGGAAGGTCAGGAAACAATCGAAACAAAAAGGCCCAGGATCAGATAACGTTTTAAAGTTGGGTCACGCACCACAGCCAAAAATTCATAAAGAGAGAAAAAAATGCAAGGGATCTCTTGTGGTTACACTGCAGATGATGACGCTAAAATACGATCGTTCCATCCGCAAGTCACCGTCACGAACGATCGTGATCTAAAACCTTCCATCGACCACGTTGATCAAGTCGTCACTTGAACCGTGTTCTCGAAATCAGCCACTGCCTTTGTGAATTTATTTTCCCAATATCGCTGTTGGTTGTCATAACGATGAGGCGGCAATGTGTAGCCTTGTTGATCCCCAATGTGTGAACGGCGTCTCAAAAAAAAAGACCCGCGGATCTGCAAAAAAAAAAGTGGGGCTCGGGCAACGAAAATACAAGTTCATTGGCACCAGCGATCCGCCCACTTGTAACCGCTTCTTTTCCTTTTTGGTCCAAGCCTACCTGTATCTAAAAGTTTACGCCTAATCATTTTTGCCCCATGTTCGCGTGAGAAGACATGGTCCTGTCTGTTTATCTGAAAGAGAGTACCAATACGTGACATTGTATACAGTTGGATACCGGCCTTTTGTGCTATGGGTCTCGGAGTGAAAGATCCAATCGTTCATGAAGATGACCGAAACGATGGATTATCCTTTCCTTTTTTTTTTTGTTGTTCAAAACAAAACTAGCTCAGTTACCGACAAAGAGAAGAAGATAAAAGGTCCACCTTTTACCCGATCGTCATGTTTTCTAGCTGTACTTGGCTGCAATCGAGATGATCTGCAGTTTTAGAAAATGAAAACCGTTCACGTGGTGCACGACCGGTTCACAGCCACCACACGTCCATTTAAAAAAGCTTAAAATAACTGATTGAGTAATCTCTCTGCTTTTTGTTCCCAAGGAACAATTAAACGCCATACTGCAGCAACATACGCCGATATGCTGTATCAATCATCTCGTTTCCACCAAAAAGATAACAACAGACACACATATTCCCGCCATTGTTAAGATTCCTTTGGAGTTTGCACTTCAGGCACCATTAATGTCTTACAAGTTTCACCACCGTGTCACATGTTTCTTCGTTGCTGAAACTGCCAAAGGAACAATGAAAACAAGAGGGTGGACTGGATCCTTATATTATACTAAAGTCGGCCAATATCCATTGACTGAAACTCGAATATCTCGAAGAGTGACTGCGACCGCTCCAGGTATCACACGCATGTCGGCCTGCAAATTTCGCAATGGCAGGTTTCCGTAAGCCACAATGCGCTCGACGATGGCTGTGACAATGAGTCATCATTGCCAACATTCAAACTGCTCTGGCACGCCAGTTTACATGAAGCCAATAATTTGACAGATATGAAGATTCTTGCACGCTTGAAGTGATGGAAAGAGTCAAGTTTTCCTATGACTTTGCATCCTTCATATAACCTATGTCTCATCGATTCACTTGTGCTGAAGTGGAAGGGCAATAGAAGGATTCCTAATCCACGTGACAGCTTATGCTGTGAGTTATTTGCATTGTATAGCCAATCATGCCGGAATCAGCAGGATGCTGCAAGCAAGAAAGTGATTGGTGCTCGATACTTATCTTGAAAGCATGTGGCCTCTTTGCAAACGAATAATAGGATCATGCACTGGTCCTTGACGAACAGTTATGGGGTAGTCTATGAATCCTACTAGGAAATTATCACAGCCCAAATTGACCAACCAGTTTTTTGAGGAAGCATTGACCCCTGAAGGGTTTCAAATAAATGGATCACGTAATGGGTGCCTGGAAAATCCAGCAGTGCTTCACTGTGTCCGGGAGCTTACTCCATCGATTGACTGCTTACTTCCGTTTTTCCTGTATCCAACTCACCCTGTTTATTTCCGTGTAGTAAAGGAAAAACAGGGTCTGCATGCAGGGGAATGGGTCGTCATCGACAGCGGAGGGGGATAATTCAAAAATCAGGTTACAGGCTACGCTACTTGCTACTGTGTCTCTCAAAATGAAAGCAAAACGAGCCATGGAAAAGTGCATCAGAATATGCTCACTTCTTTTGTATTCCCTGTGGCACATATGCTGTCAAAGTAATAGCAATGTCAAGCTTCGATGACAATGGGTTTAGCAACTAGGTTGAGCTGTTATACGTGGAGTAGCAGTCAATGTTCAATGCAAACCAGCCTTTCGCCGCAAACCAGCTTTTAACCTTGGAGTATAAGCACAAAGGCACAGCCGATAGGTGAGAACACACAAGAACCCAATCGCTCTCAATGATCTCGAATTTTCCGTTCTCAAAGCAAAAATTTTTATGTAATTATGTGGAAAAAGAAAACTAAAGCAAACAAGAATAAGACTGTAGGGGTGCAAGTGAATTATTTGAACGGATGACAATCCCCAGTAGAATGTAAGGTGATAGGTTGGGCTTGTGCATGCGTTTGGCCTGCGTCGCCTGCGTAAGGATCGCGGGTTGTCTTGAAGTATGTGCCGAGGCGAGACAGAATTAAGCTAAGCAAAAAAAAAAAAAAAAAAAAACCAAAAAAAAAACATTATGTGGGAAAAGAAACAAGGTGTGTAAGACTGTGCATGGTTGCCTAGACAACAACAAAATAAAAATCCAAAAAGAAAAAGCAAACTCAGAGAAAAGTGCAACTATGAACAAAAATAAGGAAAAGAAAAACAGTGCGGGTACGAGTGCGTGAAGGGATGTTGGAAACTCTTTTTTTAATCGGTTGCCGAGGTTTCGGCGGTGTAAGCTTTGATGCGTGCGATCAAGCCATTGACTTCACCTCGGCATCGGGTCACTGCAAACTGGAAATTATCGGTTTGCCTTGTCGATTGGTCCACATCGTCAAGAAGGGCTTGCAGTTCGGCCCGAATTCGATCGAGGAAGGTTTGCGTATTGTTTTCCATTTGCCGTCGTACCAAGGTAAGTTGGGTCATGAGTTGTTGCCGGGTCAATGCTCGCTGACTGACCTTGGTTTCCATTAGTTTCACCATGGTTTGACTTTTTTCCGTCATCGTCTGTATTTGCATATGCACGAGCGATAAATCTTGCTTCAAGCTCACGACTTCACGATCGAAGCGGGATTTTAACATGTCGACGGATTGCTTCAGGACATGTTGCTGGCGTACTACCAGGTCCCGTTCCGCCACCGCCACATTACGGTCGCGTTCCAGGACTTGCTCTTTTCGACGCAGATCCTCCAGCTGCTTGCGAGAAGCAAGGGCTTCGTCCTTGAATTTCTTCACTTTGGATTCCAAATCCGTCGACGATCGCTTTGTATCATTTAACCGATGTTGCTTGGTTTCCAAAATGTGCATTAATTCCTGAATCGATTTCCGATATTCCGCATTACACTCAATGTAGCTCTGTGCTTCGAGCTCATACTGACGCTTGGTCTGTCGTATCGTTTCAAGCTACAAGATGTTAAGTTTACAAGCTTAAAATCAATTCCCAGGAAATTCATGCAAAAAAAAAAGAGGCAAATTCAAAAAATTTACTTGTGATTTAGTGGCCATGACTTCCTTCTGAATACTGTCCAAGGTCGCTTGCAACTGTTCAATGACTCGTGTGGATCGTGATGAGGTCGAAAGGGAGGGCTGAGGATGCACCACGGGTGATGGGGCCAGGAGAGGCGACAGCATAAAACTTCCACTGTGCGGAATGGATTCTTGAACATGAAGCATGATAAACTGGCTAGACCCGTCTTGAAAATAGAAGCAGAGATGAAATAGAACAGAAAAAGTAGGTCGACCAGAGAAATGGAAAGAAAAAACAAGTGTTTATAAAAGGTCAGTGACCAATGAATTAGGATTGAGGGAATAAGAAGAGAGAGAGAGATTGAGAGAGAGAGAATCCCAGAGAATAAAAAATAAAAAATGTACCAAGGTTCTGCTCGATCCCCACGAAGAACAACGGAGCAGAGAAAACAAACACGAGCGCAAGTTGCAGAAAAGGGGGGTCTTTTTTTCACCAAAAGGGCCTTCAAAAAAAAAGAGGAGAATATTCTTGAGCAAAAAAAAAAAAAGTATACTGCGATAATAACTTGAATTGGACAAAGATGTCAATCATGCATTCTTTTTTATATACATATATAAACAAAACCGAACAGCTACTCAGCGTCCGATCAACACAACAACGGTTGCTATATTTGGATGGTGTGTCTCCAATGGACTAATTCAGGGCTTCAAAATCGTACAAGATAAGTAAAGTCGGTTCAGCCAATGGATGGCAAGAAAAAAAAGGCAGATTAGCAGGGGTTCAACATCAAGCGAATAACCTTCTTTTACTGTAACTCCTGCAGTGGATTTTGAATCTGCCCCTTCATCATCCTCAAAGACCCTCATATGAAAGACGCTCTTGGTCTTGCTCGTTATGGAATACTACCATTGGGCATATCCCTCGACTGCTCTACGAATCCCGTCTCCCCTTTTGCTACACATCCACCCATATAATAGGTATCGATGTTTATATATATAAAAAAGCAGAATATCCTTGATCGCCACCCATAAGCTGCATGCAAATGCCGACCATGGTTGTCTTTTTATATAGGTTTATTTCATGCATGTCAAAGCTGATCGGTTTGCTGAGTGGCAGTGATGACGTATAGACCGTCATGAAATTTCGGGGTAAATGCCCATTCCCAAAAAAGGCTCAAAATCAGGTTCAACTTGAATCACGTCCAATATTCCACCATGGGAGACATAACGCCGTCTACTAAGCGTATCAAGCTCTCATTGGAGCCTTCGCTTGAACACAAAGCCGTCGATATCACGGATACCGGTGAAGAAATCCTGAAAGAGTGAGCTTGGGGGACCAATGACTTGTGTTTTGCATGCTACACGATTATTGATCACTCTCCATTCGTATAGTCAAGTTCCCTTGCAGGAGAAATTGATGCAAAATGTCGATCGCATTTGGTTTGAACGCGGTGATTGGCGTGACATTTCCGAATCTAAACTTGAAACTGCCATTGACACGACCGATGACACTGAATCGCCGGTCCAAGCAGACACCACCGAAACACCACGTCCCAACGATCCACTATCGAATGCCATGGCCCCACCCCCAGGACTTGATATCATTCGTTTGCGTGAATCTGTTATCAATAAGCTCTTGTAAGCCAAGAGATGAATCCTATTGCATTGACGTTCTTGGGTTGCTTATTCCGGATGCAAATGGTCTTTTTTTTTTTTAGTCATGCCAAGAGTGAAATCGATGTTGCTTTAGATGTCATCAACATTTTGGCGGCGGGCAATCGACCTACCAGTGCACCCAAAGATCTCGTTCTACCTTCCGAGTCGCTTCATGCCACTTATGTTTCCAAACCAAAACCCACCACAAAAGCCCAACTGGAAGCGGCTCAGCTCACGCTAGGTCTGAAGCGCAAGGTACAGTCATCAGTTTGCGAACGTGAAAATGAGCCGCTGATATACGAATTATAATTGCTGTAGCAACAAAAAACGGCAGCCGAGTTTTTGAAGACACGCGCAGCCGCGCTTCGCACTCTTGTTGATAAGGAACATGCTTTTTGGGAAGAGGCTATGAACCTGCGTGGCAACAACTGGTTAATGCAAGCTTCCGGCACGGGCAGCTCGTCTTTTCTCATTCAGTACGGATTCTCGGATGGTAAAAAGATATTTTGATTGGATGGTTGTATGACAAAATGTTTATTTGGCATGGAATCTTTTGTGTGGTCGTGATAGTGGGGTCCGAGTTCAAGGAGACCTCGGTCGGAGAAATGGCACGCATGGATGACGACGATACCAATGGCGACGCCAGTTCGGATGTTCGATTGACTTTACCGCATAATGTACCACAAAAAACATCGGTCAAGATTCATCATGACCCATCCAACGGGTTTGGACTTTACTATCCGCAAACAGACAGTGATCGGATGTACGAACCAACTCCCGCCATGCAGAATAACAAGGATTTACAAGGTACATTGCACGACATTCCCAGTGATTTAAGGTACTTGACCATGAATGACTGACCGACCGGTTCTCTGATGTTACCAGTTTTCCATCTTCACACGGCATCCGGCACTGACGTACAACGTCAGTTACAAGATGCACAAGCAACCGTGTTTGATGCAGAATTGTTTGCAGAGGTAAACAAAGAAAAAAAAACCGGTTCGTTTGCATTTTACAGTCAATTTCTCATGGATGAGGCCATGATTTGGTTTTTCTTTGGTAGATTTTGGCGGAAGCTCAAACATTGAGTAGTAACGTTCGCTTTGGTGATAATGAGATTACCATCAACATCGATGGGCAGATGGATTTATCCATTCAAAAACGGGACATTCAACGATCCGAAACGGACAACTTACCGTCTAATTCATCCATGATGCCGGTAGATAACTTGGCGGGCAGTACAGTGAATATTGCCTTACGGCTACTCCTCATCCAACGGCATCGATTCAATATATGGAAAACGCGAGCACGTCTGTTACCAACCAATCGAAAAGCACGACAGCTGCTAGCGGCAATCGGAGAACCAGGAACTACTGGATCGTTGACAGGTGGAGCCACGACAGGCAATGGGGCAAATCAGTCGCCTGCGATGAAAAATGTACGACCGCTAACGATGCAACGGTCGTTGCCTCTGCAAGATAATCCAGCATTTCCTCATGAAGTGTCAGCGGCTGTGCCTGTATTGACACCGGCGTTATCCATGACTCGATTTTGGGCATTTTTCAATCGGATACGCCGTATTGTGTACGACGCCATTGATCCGCTGTGCGGTGAAGGTGGAGTCGCGCTGTCTGTCCATTACAAGCTGCATGATCTTTACTCAGTGCCAGATCAATCCCTCCATGATGCATACCCTAGTTACGGCGAACTCGCTGTGACTCTGAGTATCAGCGTTTATCAAGGGTAATTTTGCCATCCCATACAAGTTTCCTCTTCGATGTTTACTCAAACCTCCACATCATTCTTGGTTCTTTTTTTTTTATTTCTAGACCTTCCATCCACTTTATCTTGGGTCAGTCAGGCACCATCACTGCTTCATTGCCTCAAACAACAGTGACATTGACCGGCATCTCGGAATTTGAGGCCTTGTTGTTGCGTGAAATTAACTTGATCTGTCTGAGAATGGCGTGCAAAGAAGCCAATGATGTGATTCAAACCTCGTCTCTGTATCAAATGGCCACAGACAGCGAGAAATCAAGATTCTTGTGGAAGGTTGACCAGATTGAAGAGTGTGTCCATGGCTCCATTTGCATATCTCCATCCAACGACTCCACCACCCCATCCAAACAGATATGGAAATCCACGTAAGTTCGCAATAGTTTTGGAACTCAATCTAATTCAAGCTCGATTGACTGATCCTTCTTTTTTGCATGTATTGTAGCAAGGTGCAGCTTTTAAGAACACGCGTTCCGTGTTATGATACCTCGTCATCGCTCACTACTCAAGCCGCTTATGAATTACAATTCCAGATCGGTGACGACGTTCACCCTTTGTTGATCGCCAAAAGTTACACAAAAGAGGAACGATTAGGCGACGGTTTCAATTTCCAGGAACGGGTCCGATTGACCATGGAGAAATTACTAGCCAATCACACACATGTCAAGTCATGAGAAACGTTTTGAAAGCATAAAAAAAGAGTCTATTGCATTTGTGTAATATAATGTCATGTATGAGAAGAAAAAAAAAACGAAATAAACAACAGAAATACTGTAAAAAGCAAATAAATGGATAATACAAGGGAAAACATGGAATAATAGACAAGGAAAAAAGAAAAAAAGAAAGAATGCAGCAAAACGATAAGATAGACGCTTGTCGATATGGCGATTTAGTGATCGTCCAAAAGGGAGATGACTTGGTTATTGTATAAGAGTGTATTTTTTCCTCCAAACATGGGCATCAAGTCGACAATGCATTGTGACATCTCGGAAGCGTCGGGACCGGTGGCGCGTTGAGTGGGCAAACGGGTTACGGGCGCATTGACAAAGAGCGGTCGCGTGGCCGAGGTACCGCTGGCCATCATGTTGATGGCAATCTCGGTACAATCCGGATGCTTATCAAGGTATTGATGGATTTGTTCGGGTAACAGACAGGTATACGCATACAGATAATCGGTCTTTAGGAACATGGACTGGGTACGGATCATACTGTACTGCGACGGTTGGCTTCCATCGGATGCAATGTACTGAATCTTTGACTTGGCCGTGCCTTGATGGGAACTGATAAAATGGCCGACAATCGCATCCTTTTGATCGGCCCACGTCTCAAACAAGAAATCAATGCTGCGAACAGAATCCGGTAAAACCTATCACCAAACAATTTGCAGTCATAGTGAGTCTATGGATACACGCTTCCCGATGTAGGTTTTGTATGGCTTACGTTATCGTCGGCAATCAATACTGCTTCGGTTTGCAGGCTGGCGGGTGGGATGAATCGGTTATTGGGAGAGTTATAGCCGGAGGCAATGGTTTCCACTGGTGTCTTGATATTGAGACTTTCGATCCAAAGGGGATCCACGAGCAATCGATCCTTGTCCTTCAAATCAGCGATAATATAAATGCGGTGCACCTTTTTGGATCGACTGTAAGTGCGTAGTAAATTCGCAAAGTCATTGATGCGGATGGAGGGAGACGTCAGATAAATGAGAACAGAGAATCGATCAGCGTAACGATAGCGACGTCCAAAGTCTTTTTTTAATTGTACGTCGCAAATGTCAGTCACACGATTAGCATTGTCCCAATCGGCATCAAGGTCATCGGACCAGAGTCGACCTACAAGCCACACAACATGCGTGAGCTATCATCGGCTACAGAAAAACACCGCTGTTGTTGCTCACCTTCTTGCAGTGACGCTCGCATGTGGCGGAAATTGCGTTTCCAAGCGCCAAACAGGTATCCTTCATAGTTCTCTTTCCACTCACGATGATGAAGATAGAAAAAGTTCCACGGTTTGGTTTCGCTGGTATAATGCAGAATTTTGGCGGTATTCTTGTCGAGATAGCCCCTTACCAAAGCTGAGAAATGCTGTAGAACAAAGGAAAAAGTAACATTTTAGAACAATAATAATCGGCGGTGTCTTGGCTTGTTCCTTACAGCAAATTTGATCATCAGGTTGTAGTTTCCAGGAAGTGGATGGACCGACGAAGCGAAATACCAATTCAAAAATCCTTGATCGCCGCGGTTGTAACTGGGGGCTTTGGCATACACTTTCATGATTTCGTCGTACGTTTCCTTGGACGGTTCCGCCACAAACACGCCGGTATTGATGGCGCCACCCACATCAATGGCAGCACTGAATTGTGGGCGCTCAAATAAATCGTCAATGGACTAGACATCATCATTGGTGGCACAAAAAGAAAAGAAAAAAGCCGTGAGGTTAGACAAGAGACGGTTCACGTTGCACTATTTTTTTTTTACTGTTTGTCACCATGATTTTTTTACCTGTACTACCATGGTATCGGCATCAAGAAAAACCACCTGAACGGAAGAAGAAAAAAATTATATTCGATTGGCGTCATTGGCAGAAATATTGGAAGTGCTCCAATTTTTTTGGTCTCGGCTTTTTACCTTGCGATAATCCGTCAAGTTCCATAAATTCAACTTGGAGTATCGACACGCTTTATTGTATCCTTTGCGTCTGGCGGCACTGGAATCCCAAGGATATTTGACTTGATCGATTTCCATCACTCGTGCTCCCAGAAACTCAAACCGCTGTCGAACAGGGGCCGACACTGGAGGAAGAACGAGAACCACAATGTCATGTTTCGTTTTAGTTTCGATGAGCGAGTAAACAAGTACCAGCGCCGAATCCGCCTATGATTCAATGCAATTTTAGCCCTGCAGCCATTTGAATTAACCCACACGAACGGTTGTCGTACCATCACATCGTCGCATAAAAACGTGACAAAAGCGTAACGATCGTTGGCAGGGTCGGCGTTGGGACGTTCCTGTATCGTAGGATTGGCAGGCGAGTCGGCTGCCATGACTTCGTTGTTATTCGGTGGATGGTCGACAAAGGGAGACGTGGCAGACGAGGCGGGCGAGACGGGATTCTCGTTCTTGTCGACCGAAACGATGCGTGGGTAGTTGAAAGAGGGAAGGAACAAAAAGGCCATAAAGGCCAACACAGTGAGCGCGGCAAGAAGTCGCCAGCTCTTTTTATTCAACACCGTGAACATGCAAAACAAGCCTTTGCCGGAAATAAATTAGTAGAAAAGAGAGAGAAAAACAAAAAAAGAAAAAAAAAATAGATGCCACAATGATCAAATGAAAAAGAAAAAAATACCAGAGGCATCGCGTCGATCTTTTTTCGACTCTGAAACCCGCTAAACCATTTCTGGGATACTCAGTGATGGGGCGAGGACAATGATAAAAATATTTCCAAAAAGTGAAAACCCACGAGCAATAATTCCACTCGAGCCCACCCAATAAAAAGCTGCATTTTTAGTGTTCTGTGTCGCCAAAAGGGTCACTTTATTGCTCCAGCATCCTGTAACATCCGTGGCTCCTCCTGCTGAATCCGTTTGCGGATCTTCAAAATATACCAAAGGGAGAAAAGGGTGAGGAGCACACCAATGGCGGACAGGGTGGAGTTGCTAAGCACCACAATGGTATCGAGATCAAATGTAAAGATGTAGAACAGTTTCAATCCAAATTCAAACTCGAGAAACACAATATCAATGACTGTCAAGGTGCGAATGTGGCGTCGGCAATAGGCGGAATGCTGCCAGTAGAAGAGCATGCGTTTCTGTGGTGGCTTGTCGGGGTTCGTAAAATAGACGGGCCGTAAGGGAATGAGGTCATTGGCAATATAATACAGAATAGGTTTGAGTTGGAACGATCGAATGCGTATTGGAATCAGCGTGATAGAACAAGCAACACCAATACCCGCCGTGCTGTACAAATAAACATAGATCCCATCCGTCAGCAACAACTATTTCCTTTTTCTCTCGTCGCTTCCCATGTTTTGCTTACACAAACGATTCACGCATTAGCAATAATTTCGGATCGCCGTTGATGACCGCCAGAATGACCGACAGAGTGAAACCTAAAGAGAAAACGGAGATAAGCACGGCGCCGACCCAAATAAAAAAAGAAAGAATTTCATTAACGATGCCCTGTTTCTTACCAACAATCACAGCAATACCAATGGTATCAATTCGGCGTACAAAGATGACTTGTAAAATGACAGAGATAATGGTCGGTGTACTGGATAAGATCAGAGCCCACACAGGCGCAATATGAGGTTTGAGGATATAATAGAGCGCAATAGGCAGCGCAGCGTTCATGATGATAATATAGGCGATTTTTCGAATCATGAGCATGCGTCGTTTTTTTCTAGAAAATAAGGATTCTTGATCCGTTTCTTCATCTTCGTCATGGTCCTGTTTCTCATTCTCCGCTAGGGTACATGTATTGGTATCGTTGTCCGTCATCGATGGTGGCAGGTGCGATTGGGAGGGGGTTGAGGAAGGCGATCGTTTGACGAAGTGAAAACATGGCGATGATGGTTTGGCAGATGAAGAATGCAATGATATGCAGGTTATGGATACATGAGAATCAATGATGGAAGGTGGACTTGTGGAAGAGGTGTCTGGAAGAAGCGACGGCGCACTTTTCGTCGATGAAATACGCTGCGGAAGTGGAGCCTTGGGAGCAGATAATCTCCTGTGGGCACCCAACGTATCCAATGCGGTCATCGGATGGGAGCCTGGCTGATAAGTGGGGCAAGGTGTTGATATCTCGCTGTCATCGGCCTGCGACGGTTGATCGATTGCAATGGATCCTCCTTTATCGTCGTCAGTATCACCGGAATGATTGGATACTGACATACAATGTATGTTGGAAATATACAGGCTTCAAAGACGTCAACGAAATGGTGAATAAGGAAAAAGGGAACCCTCGGAGAAGGTGGGCAACAGAGATAAACAGAGGAATGTTGGGTCATCCTGCATCAGCTCGAAACACAATTCTGTAAATTCACAGCGCGCGGGCTTTCTCCCACCCAAATTCAGTCTTTACTGCATTTGTCCAACAACTTTTTTCCGCTTTCATCAGTCCTTCCTCTTCTTAGACCTGATTTGTCCACACCAAATCATCTATCACAGAAGAATTTTGTGTTAGGCAATAACATCAATTTTAGGAAAAATTAGCCCATAAGAATATATAAATGGGTCATTTTAGTGTAACTGATCCTTCATCACAGGTCATGCAACAAAGACAACCCGGAAAACGTCGGCTCGGCAATGGCTGGTAATCAGTTTATCCATGCCACCCTCATGAATTCACTCCGTCGCATAAACTAATAGGCCAGTCGCGGTCCTGGAATTAGCCGCACTATGCGGACTATGGAACTATCCATCAACGGTACGGTTCAGCACTTTATCACTCTCAACTTCATTCTTGCTGGTTTTCCCTTTGTCACCGAGTCTTTGGTACTGTAGAAATGAATTCAGTTTGTTGCACAATATTTATTACTTTTTGGAAATTGTATACCCTAAATCTATTCATTGATTAAAAGCGAGAAATATCTCGTCCAAACATCCAAGTCAAGAACCTGAACATTGGGTTGAGAGAATTAAAAAAGATGGGTCAATCAAATCCAGTACTTTTTGCACTTACCAGTACATCGGAATGAGCATCTTGTTACGCATGCTCACGCTCATACTAAGATACGCCGATCTACAAAATCATGTGTGAATGAGATCATAAATAATCAAAACCTGAAGCCTCGCTTACCTCCAAAACAACCAAGCCATGTGGCCACCCTCGGTAGCTTTTTGATGGACAGGTGTCATATCCACCACAGCCTCCCACTTGCCAATGTAAGCCTACAAAAAGATCATTGGTTGTTATCAGTAAAGCTATACGTAAACGACAGAATGGAGGCTCGTGTTCTCGATTTTTTTTGTTTTTTGTTTTTTGTTTTTTTTTTTACCATGGATCCTCGATTATCAAAGCTGAACCCCTTTTCGGTAATCTCCTTTCCTCGCGCTTCACGGTTAAAAACTACATAACTAGTCAGCTATTTTCTTCATCCAAGCTTGTCCTGGTTGACGCAAACCTTTGCTTAAGTAGTTGGCTTTCTGATTCGCGACTAGACAATAACGTTTAGAGATGCATAATTCTAGTCCCATTTTCGCCAATCAATTTATACCTTGGGCAGTGGCTGGAAGATCATACTCTTGAATGGTGGCGCAGTCTCCCATGGCATAACTGATATGATTCCATGTATGAACTTTCCTCGTTTCAATATGTCTGGATAATGGCACTTACACACTTGGAATCGGTATTTGGGAGTCTTTGTCGAGTACACGTAAATGACGATCGGTTATAATACTAACCCACTTTAATGAGTAAACCAATTTCATGTCGAAAGATGTGTTACCAGGCGTTGTCATTACCGCTGACTCTTGGGCTCCTTTGCAACCTGCGTCATGGATTCCACCAAGGGATTATGCATCAATCCAGTAGACCAAATCAGCATACCGAAAGGAACTAACAACATGATTTATTCCACTTATCGATGTTTCCACAAAAGACCATTTCATTCTTACCTTCTCCTTCTTCCTTTAGACAAAGCGAGTCTTTCTTCACTTCAAGGACATGCGTTCCCGTCTAATCAACAAGGTTAGCTTGGCATCTTTTTACGCTCAGAGTGTCGCTGTTGGTGCCCTACCTTGATTTGGATACCACGACGTTTGAATTTGCTGGTGGCGTAATTGGACAAATTCTTGTCAAAGTTACCGAGAATTTTGGGAGCTACATCGTAAACCGTCATACGTGTATAATCCATCAATTGCGGATACAATCGAGAAAGGTCCTCTGTAATGAAATCGTACAATTCGGCCGAGAATTCCACTCCCTATCGATGGTCAATTCATATTAGCACAGGGTCAGTCAAAGACGGTGGGTGTACTCACCGTTGGACCTCCGCCAACAACGGCGAAGTGCAATTTGCGTGACTTTTCCTCTTCACTTAATCCCGGCTGTGCAGCGTATTCGAAACCTTTTGTTTTTATCAGTTTCAATAGTAAGCGAGAACCCCTACTCTTGATTTAGACTCCACATTGTCGACACTTACATTCAAGCACACGAGCACGAATGCGACGTGCGTCATTGATATCCTTCAAGAAAATACCGTGCTCCTTTACACCGGGTGTGTTGAAGGTATTGGAATACGCACCTACGCTAATCACCAATTTATCATAATCCAGCGTAAACTTTTCGTCCTTGTCTAAAAAAACGACAAGTTAGTCGAGTCGGCCTTCAAGAGCATTAAAATAGGCTATCTTACTGTCATCGAGGTTGGATGAACAATGAATCAGTTGGTTGTCGAAATCTGTAGTCCAAAAAATCTCGGATCAGTCGGTGTGATCGATAAGAGATCCAATATCTGATCGCAAGCCATACCTATTTTGTTACACCAAGCTTCATGATAATCCACATCTTTAGAATAGCCTCGCACGGGCTCTGTAATACATCGGAATTCAAGCGTGCCGACGGATGTGCTGGATTTCAACATCGGATGCATATGAGTCAAATCAATTTTTCTCCATCCGAAGCGGAAATATCCGTTTACCTCGCAAGCAAGGGCGTAAATACAAAGTAATTTCTAAAATCAATAATAGCTCTGTCAGTGAATCATGGTGGATGTTTCTTGGACAATTCATCACATGATCAGCACAGACCTTGGTGATACTACTGTCACGTCATAGTTCTTCTTGTCCAGCTGGCGCATAAGTCCGAAACCTGCATGGTTTTTTTTTTAGCCTCCATCAACTTTGCCACACTAAAAAAGCTTTTTTCTTTTTTCATTCTATTGTTTTGTTCATTACCAGCCCATCCGGATCCTAAAAGCCGAATTTGCCGTTGACGCTAGATTCATTAGTATGATGCAAGTCAGAATTCCATAAAAGTGCATGACTTGCCAAGGATGACCACTTTGCCTGCAAGATAAAGGGTGCGGTTAATACGATACAGATCATGTATATTTCTAAGGCGAGCTATTACCTTGCGATTTGGCTAAGGTTCTTGTACGACTGCTCGTTTTGGCGAACGCCTCTGTGATGAATGATATTAGTGATCCACGATCACAAGGTGTAGGCGAGCTTTTATTATACCGACTTTGGGTAATCGATCGTCGAAGCAGAACCACGCATGATGGATTTTGGGCCGATCGGCTGATGGCTTTATACGATAGAACAAAGGAAACTGTGAGTGGTTGTTTCTTAAAAGGAATACGCATGAAGCATGCTTAACTGGTTGCAAAGAGAAACATTGGTAAAGATAATGAAAAAAAGGGAAAGAGAGAGGAAACGTCTGAGACCCGGGAAACCTCCAGGCGATTTTAACCCTCGAAATCAACCAATCAAAATGCTGACCGGTAAAATTTCACTATCTGAGTCGAATGCTCATTGCATCACTCACAGTTAACCGACCTTGGATTATGTAACGAGAAGAATATTGGCTAGTGCACCTGTAGGTAAATCATCCGGACGGCGGGCCATGTCATATTAACATCCCATATTCAAAGGCCATGAAAAAAATTCCAATTGCCGATCCATAGTAGAAAAGAGCAAATAACAGCGTTGTGTGTAATCTATTCACTGAACATTGGCCTCAAATTTTGAGGGATGGGACGAAATCATAACAGAAGAGATGAGCCATGATCCTGTCATTTTCTGTTTCTCGACCAGTCAGTCAAATTTAAATGATCAGAAAATGGAATTCATAGATATCAGGATGAGTGGCTTTTTTTGTTGTCAATAAACAATAAGAAAGATATTGAAAGAATGTTTGATCGTCAAGCAAACCAACATTTATTGTGGACATTTTTCTTTTGGCCCAACTTTTTTAAGTCTACATTACAGAAATGTAACCCTAAAATGCCTGCAGCCAGATTTACTTTTTCTACCATCATGATTGATGCTTTGAGTTGCACTGGTGAGCATCACAGAATCGTCTTGCATGTAACAACAAATAGGGTGGGATCCCTATCATGTCAGGGCAGCCTGTAAACATCGGAGTCGAGAATTGAAAAAAAAAATGTCAAACGCCATGCGAAATTTCCTTTTTCAGAACCGACTTGACTCATTTCTATTACAAAGAGGGAAAAGAAGAGATGGAGGATGGCTATGGTATCATTCAACATGTTGCCCCACATTGGCTATTCCTTATACATGTAAGAGTTGTTGTTTTTTGGTGGACGAGTTTGGAAACTGAAACACACCAGTGAACCAAACCATGGAGTGATACGCGTGGAAAACAATATAGTTTCGCCATGTGCTTCGCCTTCTTTCTTTACGCGTGCTTAACCGTATGTTAACGATGACTCCGCTGTCAATCAAACATGGTATAAATGCTGATCCGTTTCATCAAGCCATCCAAGCCAACAAAAAGTGCCTTGGTTTTTTTGGATCAGCTTCCATTTATCGCCTCATCTACCTATCTTACTGCAATGCCTCCAGACAGAATCCCCAGAAAAAATCCGTTGCCGCGTCCTTATCCACTGCCACCCACAACCAATCCCATTACCTTGGTCGCTATTGATCATGCTGCGCAAGTACCGAGACCGTCATTGAATGATCCCGAACCATCGCAGGCTCCGCCGTCCAAATAATAAAATAAGGGCCCATTTAACGGTTATACCTTTTTTTTTGTGCTCCAACCAACTCAGCAGCAAATGGCTTGATGTCGCACGCAATAACTGCCGGCGTTCCGATTACGGAAAATAAGCCGGACCATTTTTTTCCTTTTCCTTTCCGGCGCTCAGCACACAAAGCGGTGACCAAGCCCATTGCTCAGTCAGCTTCTTTGGTAATGCAATTTTTTTTCCTCTCCCCCCGAAAAGCCCCTCTTCCGCGGTTTTTCCTTTGTATACCTTTCTCTTCCCCTCCCCCCAATCCGGGGAAACATCCCCTTAATTGTCAGATTGGTTCCTCTCTTTTTTTTTTTTTTTTTTTTTTTTTGGTCGCTAATAAATAAATTCATGGCCCAAAACTTTTTTTTTTTGTTGTTGCTGCATTCGATTTTGCCTCCTTCTCTTTTGCTTTTTTTGCTTTTTTAAACATGCCGACTCATTTACACTCTTCAGCGTATCATCACTATCCTCATCATCCAACCACGATCTCACCCAAAGATGCGGATATCGATAAGGCCATCTATCAACTGCTGTCGGTGTATTTAACCGACCATCACTCACGCGCGGATGTTTACAAACTGAAAAACAAAAGCCGCCCTCCTACCTCGTACCGTCCACAACTACATTCAGCGGATACACAGACTTCAAAGAAACCTAAAGGGAAAAAGTACAGCTCATCAGGAGCACACAGGCACTGGCTAGGTGAAGAAACCCATCCAACAAAAAGATCGCCTCGCACCGCGGTGAAACAACATACAAACACGTTATATCACAACACCTCTGTAAATAGCCTTATCGCACCACTACCAACCGATGACGCGGCAGCCACCGTGAAATGGCGAGATGCCAACGAGAAGACGGTGTCGTTTGCCAATATCATTACTGTCATCACCCATTTAAATGAAGTCAGGAGAGAGAACTGGAAAGATCAAGGACAATGAGCATGTAATTCATAAAATTACCCTCCGTCAATCGAGCTCCTGTTTCGATCTTCTTTTTTTTATTTGTTTTCTTGATACGGCATTTGTTCATACACATTGTCAACAATCACCCGATCTCCTCGCTATTACAACCTGCCGCATTCTTCCCATCGATAGCTACAATATACCAAGCTTACGCAAGACTGTATCTCATCCTTTTTCAACCCTGAGATGGTGTCAATGCACTGGGGGGGTCACAAGCTTAAATATAGAACCAAACGAAAACGAACGATGATCTATTTCCAGATGATCCCGTCCGCAGCAGCCTCGTCTCTACAAGCTTTCGTTCTCCCTTCCAGTATCTGCCCATGTATCCCCATGAAACCATTTTTTGTTGTTCCCTGTCATCCCAATAAAGTAGCCTCCCATAGTTCATGTATTACAATAATGATATCATGCTGTCATTCCAAACGCTCAGGATGGCGTGTTCAACAACCAAGGCGACAAAACGAAGCCCAGCGGGGTTTTCGGAGTTTCAGAATGCGACACCAAACTGTAACCATGACTTTCAGCACACACCATCATTAAAGTATCACGACGTTTTTATTTTCGGGTGATTTCTTGTCTTTTTTTTTTCACACTTCTTCACTTTTTTCTTTTTGAACTGCACCATGACGGAATACCAAGTCAAGCTTGACAAAGGTGTCGTTCCTACTAAAGACACCAAAATTATCTTGGCCAACACCATTAAAGTACCTCCGATTGGTATGTGCTGCTTTTAAGGAAGCCATAAAAATAACGGGAGAGGAAAAAAAAATGCCAAGCAACGAAATATGATGGATAGATTGACATTTTTTTTCTGTTTTACAGCTATCGGTTGTTGGCAATGGGGCGATACGCGAGGTAAGTGGGACGTTATTTAGTCACTCTGTGACACTTGCAGGCTGCGCATTTATCTAATTGTGCTTCCCTTGATTATGCATGCAGTGTGGGATTGGAAGCCCGAACAAGAAGAAGACGCCAAGCAAGCTTTTGATAAGGCGTTTGAGCTTGGCATCCCTTTCTACGATACCGCTGAAGTTTACGGCGATGGCGAATCGGAGCGAGAAATCAAACGTTTCCGTGAACGTTATTCAGAGACTGACCGAGAACAACAAGTCGTCGCTACGAAGTATTTCCCACACAAAGAACGAGTGGACTTCCCTCGCGTCTTGATGTCAGCTTTGAAGGACTCGTTGGATCGTCTGGGCATGCGTCACACTGACTTGTACCAAATTCACGCGCCTATTCATCCTGCCTCTATCGAAGTGGTTGGTAAGTAAATCAGAACTTTGAGAAAACGGACCTTGCGAGACCCCTGTCGTCACTCACTCACCACACCCTCGTTCATCAATTGTGCAGCGGATGCATTGGCGGATGCTTATGAGGCTGGACTGGTGAAAACAGTCGGTGTGAGCAATTATGGTACGGAAGAAATCGAACGCATGCATACGGCCCTTAAAAAGCGCGGCGTTCAGCTGGCTTCCAATCAAATCTGCTACAGTTTGATGCGTCGCATTCCAGAAACCTCGGGCCTTATCAAACTATGTCAAGAACGCGGCGTCGCCATTTTGGCTTATTCTCGTAAGTTTAACTTCAAAACACTATACACAGGGATACACGTCAATGGATGGCTGAGTGATATCTTTTCTTTTTTTTCCCACGATCACCGTTAGCTTTGTACATGGGTATGCTTACCGGCAAATACCCTGTGGACGGCCCTTTCCCTGAAGGCCGAAAGAGACGATTCGAAAGCTTCGATAAGGAACGTTTGTCCAACTTGTTGACTGCTCTGAAAAAGCTGGCGGACAAGTACAAAAAGCCACAAAGTGCTATTGCTCTGAACTGGGTGATGGCCAAAGGCGCCATTCCTATTGCTGGTGCCCGCACCGCCAGCCACGTGGAGCAGAACTACACCGCCTTGGACTTTTTGATCAGCGAGGACGAAGTCGCCGAATTGGATAAATGGTCCTTTGAAGGTGAAAACAACAAGGAATGGCAGCATGGCTAAATGCTTTTCTGTTTTTATGGAGACTCAAAACAATTTTGAACAATCTTGAATAATAAAGGAAATGAGGAATGGAGAATGACAAATAAATACTGTGTTCTATCCATTGAAAATCTTTGTCAGAGGGATTCACTGAGTGAAATGGCGAAAAGACTTGGGAAATAATCAAGCGGTGCCAAAAACGGTAGAGCAACGTCTTGAAAATTTGCCACTGATATTCAGGAAACTGCATGCATGAGCCTAGCATGAACTTTCCCTGCCGGCTCTTTTCAGTTCATACAGTAATATGAATCAGCAGAATGCCATGCAGATCCTGCATCAAACTAGCACTTTAAATTGGTCATTATGCTTCTTATTCCGAATGCACACAACGTCGTATCTTGTCAATTTTTCTTCGCCGCTGACGTTCGTGCTACTTATTTCATGTCACAATGCACAACTGCTGTGAAGTTCAACAGTGCATATACCGTCGAGATCCTACATACAAAATTGCATCATCTCTTGGCTGAAAAGCGTCACGTATTCGGGTTTCCATTCAGGAAATCTACCCAAGGATTATCATATAGTTTCCAAGGACAATGTATCTGTGTAGTTAATATGAACGACAGCTATGAGGTCATCGTTTTTATATTAGCAATATCGGCAATTCGTGGAGGGTATAGGAGAGAACCACAATGAAAAGGGAAGATTGAGTATGGCCGCCATAGCGATAAATTGAGAAGAGACTGTCATTTTGTGTAGGAATGCCGCCTTTTGCTCATTGGGATAAAAAAGTTGATGTTATGTCCTCAGGAAGAAGAAGCCTCTTAATTTTATGGCCGGCAGGCACTAGTCACACCAGCCCGATCAGTCGTTGGCAGAGGTTCTGCGCATGAAGGTTTTTTGTGGCGTAAAATAGAGGTTTGCCTCGCTGCCTTTATACCCCTTTCTCTCCCTGTTCGTACACACTGTCTGTGTTGCATGCCTCTCTTCTTTTTGGCACCATTCAGTGATATTAACGTGTGTCTTCAGCGTCTGCATTTCGCATTTAAAAAGTAAAGCAGCTCGAGTATAGGGTATATCGTTCTCATTATTACATTAAAAGTCAAGGAGATATCGTCAATCAATCAATCAAACCAGTGACTTGGATCAACACGAGCGTTCTTGTCTTGTTCGTTCAACCGCTTTGGTGCAAATGAACAGATCCAAAGGGGAAAACTTAGCACCCAAACGGCTGAAAAACACAAGAGGCTAAAGGTTCGCTGTTAGAGCTTGAAGGCTGCTTGCTAGTTAAAGATGCACCAGAAAATGATATGATTCAGTAAGCTAAATCTCGGTCAATAATCGTTATAGCTCGAGAAGCATTTTATCAAGGCTCTTTTTGTTTCTATTCGTTGCAGAAAAAGGGCATCGGCCGAGGATCAACTCGTCGGCTTGAAAATCTCAAATAGGCTTCTTGACACACGATTGGCGATTTCTTCAACTTTTTCATAGAATCTCACAAATTTGCGGAAAACAGTGCACAATCGGGTAGTATGTGGTATCCTCAATTGTAATTCTTACATAGGGTTCCAATTTATGATGCAACGAAACTGTGCAAGCTTTGCCTAGCTGGTGCAATTGCGGACATTCTTACCATCAACTTCAAGCCATAGTAGTGCCATGAGGAAATTTCCGAGGCTGCACGGGTTACTCTTCTAAAAAACAATTTTCTCGTGGGAAAATGTGTTTTCGGTTTTGTTCAAAGTTTCGATGATACAGCATCCACATCTACCCCTCTGCCCATTTAATAAGGTAGGGATCAAGGAATGTATTGATTTCTTTCGGCTTTAATCGATGGCGAAGCATTGCCTTGACAGGTATAATCATAATCGTAAAGTGAAAGTATTCAGGAACCCGGATTGACATCCACATCGAATGGGTATGGTTCAAAAACATTCAATCGGACAGGACAAACTCTCAGCTTATGCTACCGATTGGGCTAAATGTTGTGGGGATACAAATTTATCAAAGACTTACCGTGAAGGCGATGATAGAATGCTCTGAGCGTCAGATCCTTTGATGAAGCGAAACTGCAGTTGATAAAATGTTTCGTGTTACAATACAGAAACTTTTCAAGCTCGACCGTTATTGCCACTTGACGGCACAACAGATAATTGATCACAAATTGAAAAAAAAAAAAAATACCAGTTGTCGATTTATACATAGAATGCTTCCAATTCATTGGCCGATGCCCGCCATGAAGCAATAGAAAGAAGCCTGCAATCAACTGCGGAACAAAGTCATAATTGGTCCATATACTATGTATTGTCCGTTTTGAGTACAGGAACAGAACATTAATCGGTTGTCCTGTGCAAGATAAAAAGTAAAAAGAGAATTACTCTGGTACAAACTGGGCGACATATGAAAAAGAAAAAAGATTTTTTATTTCCATTATTGTGAAACTCGTGTTATTCAAACAAACCAGATGGTATGAAAGAGCAAAGAAATGAGGGTGCATAAGAATCACAAAAGAAGAAAAAAGTTGGAATCTCAACCTTATTAAAATGTTTGCCTCTGAGTTGCCATATTTGGATATATTTCACCGTCACATTTGTTTGCCGACGAAAGACCGCTGATGATTGGGTAGTTTCAAACTCAATGAACGTTGATTGGATAAAATTGTTGTAATCACATGATTTACGATAAGATCTGAGCGGATGTTGAATTATGGCGCATGATTTGTGCTTCCTTTTGTGAATAGATAGACCATGATACATACACGGATGCAAGAGATCGTGTTGCTTTGCATTATCCAGGCCTGTTCCTTTCTTCTTTCTTATTCTTCCTCTGTAAAACTAATTCAATGTCATCTTCAAACGTTTATTGTGTTTCTTGCAGTTTGCCAGGACATGCTCACTCCACCAACCGCAACTGCCCCAACAACCCCCGACGTGCCCAACAAAGTAGAATTACTACAACCCAAGGACCAAGCGAAGTCCGTTGCGGAGCTTGCCCACAACTGGGTCACCAGCGTTCCAACCATTTCGCTTGCCCGTTGAATCCAGCAAGACTGGCTATGAGGGTAGCTGGAGAAAATGACACTACGGAACGTATTCGTACTTTACCTGCGCCCGTTGCCCAAGCAGATTTCGACCATCATGCTTATACGCTGTCAAGTGAACAATCAGGAACGCTCAACAGTGGCCGAAATGACGAGTGGGAACTTCCAGAGAGACATACCTTGGGACGCATGGATGGCGAGTGCAATTTCTGCCAGGCACACATGTGGCTCAAAGAACGTATGTCTGGATCCATCGCTAATCCACAGTTCCAGGTCTGCTGTGCTCAAGGTTCCATTATGCTTCCGCCTTTGGAGCCTACACCTCCAACAATCGCGCGTCTCCTTCGCAGCAACACTGAAGAAGGAAGAGATTTCCATGAACACATCCGCAGCCACAACACGAATCTCAGTTTCACTTCCCTAGGTGCTCAAATTGACGAGTCAGTGGCCAACAATCGCAGTGGAGCTTACTGCTATCGCATCCAAGGAGGCATCTATCATCGGATCGGTGGCCTGCTTCCGCCAACGGACAACCATACTCCTGCATTTGCTCAACTGTATATTTACGACTCTGACACCCAGTTGGCACACCGAAACGCTGTGACGCCCTATTTACAAAATGCAACACTGCTAATTCTCCAAGATCTGCTGATGGAAATTAACCCGTTTGTTCCACTGTTGCTGTCGATGGCCCATGTTTTACGTGAGTCGGATGGAGCTGTAGACGTGCGATTGCTGATATGCGCGGAAAACACTCCCGATGCCCGCCGATACAACGCACCCACCGCAAGTGAAATTGGAGTAATTTTGGTCGATAGCACCATTACGCCTGATAGTAGCCGCGACATTGTCATCCAGTCGAGAAGCCATGGACTTCAACGTATCAGCGAGATGAATCAGCACTATGATGCTCTCCAGTACGTCTTGATGTTTCCACATGGTGACCTCGGTTGGAATATCCACGCACGCTCCCCTGGCGGTCGCAGTATCACGGTTATGCAATGGTACAGCTACCGTTTGATGGTGCGAAGTAACGGTCACGATCTGCATTTGTTCGGACGCCTGTTCCAGCCGTACATAGTTGATATGTACGCCAAAATGGAGCAGAATCGGCTGACGTATTTACGGCTCAATCAGACGAACCTGCGAACGAATCTGTACCGAGGTGTCGTAGATGCAGTAGAGCTGGGTGACAACGACTTTCAGAGCGTCGGGCAACGAGTGATCTTGCTGTCCACCTTCATAGGAAGTCCCAGACACATGCGGCAACTCTATCATGACTCCATGAATATTGTACGCCGATGCGGACAGCCCGATCTTTTCATCACTTTCACTTGCAATCCTCAGTGGAAGGAAATACAGGACGAGCTGGCTCCTCTCCAAACCCCTGTTGATCGGCCCGATCTTTGTGCGCGAGTCTTCAATATGAAGCGTAAAGCTCTGATGGAAGATCTAACGAAGAAGCATGTTTTGGGAAGAGTCGTTACCCATGTACACACAGTGGAGTTTCAGAAGCGAGGCTTACCGCATCTTCATTTACTTTTGGTGCTACATCCGGACGAAGCTACAATGATGAGCCGATACGTTTTCGAAGCCGTTAGCCGTACATTGCAAGACTTGATGGCAACCAGAGATCCCGCTCTGCAGCATGTTCCACTCGGAGGAAAGACTGTCGTTTTTGGTGGCGATTTTCGTCAGGTTCTTCCGGTCATTCCGAGGGCAACGCGTCCACAAACTGTCGAGCAGTGCTTGAACAAAGCTTCTTTTTGGTCTTCGGTCGAAATCCTACGCTTAAACACCAACATGCGCGTTCAACAGGCACGCTTGGTCAATAACGAGGATGCAGAGATTCTAGAGAACTTTGCCACATACCTTCTGCGCATTGGCAACGGACTGGAACCGAATCATGGAAACAGGGGCATCCAAATCCCAACAGAAATGTTATTGCCATCCTCCGATTCGAGCGACCTCATCAGTGCAATATACGGCGCCAGCATTCGAAACGTTCCGGCAGCCGAATTCTTAATTGAACGAGCTATCTTGACACCAAAAATTCAGACGCAGCTTTTCTGAACGAAAAAGTTATCGAGAGGTTTCCAGGTGAAGTGCGTATCTATCGAAGTGCCGACAGCATGGACTCTGAAGAAGAGCAATTATTTCACCAAGTGGAAATTCTGAACTCCATGAGTCCGGCGAGCCTACCACCCCATCGATTGATCCTCAAAGTCGGTTGTCCTATCATGTTGCTACGCAATATCGATGTCACAAAAGGGCTCTGCAACGGAACCCGATTGATTTGCCGTTCATTCCATTCCCATGTCATCGAAGCAGAAATCGCAACTGGCGTGAATGTTGGAAATCGCGTGTTCATCCCTCGAGTCACTTTGACCAACGAATCGGACGAAAATGGAATTCATTTCAAGCGGCGCCAATTTCCCATCCGCGTCGCGTTTGCAATGACAATAAACAAGGCACAAGGACAAACGTTCGATGCTATCGGACTATTCCTACCAGTTCCGGTGTTTGCCCATGGGCAGCTATATGTTGCTATGTCACGCGTACGTAGACCATCAGCGATAAAAATCTTGATCGTTCGGGATGCAAACGATCGATCTACAGAAGTATGCACCAAGAACATTGTCTACCGCGAAGTGTTTGACAGCCAACAGCTGGATCGTTAAGTCCTTGAATCACGCACTGCATTATGGTCCTATTTTGTATCCTCATTTATGTATTTTATGTTTCTTTATGCCTTTTATTTTGTGTTTTTCATTGTTTCAGTACGTTTTATTGTATGCTTTTTTTGCCTCATGTTCCTTTACTTTTATCCTTATGTCTGTTTTTTCTTCAAATTATCCTTATCCCTATGTTGTGTTTCTATGTATGCTTTTTGTCCTTATGTTCCTTTTGATTTTATCCTTATGCTATGTTTTTCCCAAGTAATGATTTTTCTGTTATCTATTTTTGTCTCTTCCATTTAATATTATATGATGTCTGACTATTTCCGTTCCTGACTTTGCATACATATTGTTGTTCCTCTGTCGTGGATGAAGAACATGATCGTTATGTGGCGGTAGGTCAGGGAGGGCAAGCCCCCCGGGAAAAAGGAAAAGAGACTGAGCTTCATTGAATGTGCAAAGATTTATGAGTACATCAACTAAATCTCACCGAAAACTCAACCCGAATGGAGGCTTATTGACAAAAGATTAGAGTTAAGAGAACACCATCAAGCGGGACCTTTGGATACACAAATTCGAGTGCGGAGTTTTGAGTATTGCAAATGGAATATCCCATTCCAAACACATCTTTAATCAGCTACTATTCCCACTTCCCTAAGAGCAACATCCCTACTACACATCCAACGAACCAAACTTTGTGATCTTCAAGATCACACGCGCAACTAGTCTACTGTTCCTCTCCTTTGGATTGCTTCTCATCATATGGTATTCGAGATGTCTTCCCGATTATTGTATTTTTAGTTTATAGTTTGTATTTTGTATTTTATATTTTATATTTCATGTACATATTCTTTTCGCAGTCTTTTCCTCTTTTTTTCCCACAGGGTTTTTTATGAGGTTTTTACTGACGCGACCATTGTTTTTTTTTTATCATCATGTACTTTATTTGTTTTTCTTTCTTTTCATTCGGGGGACTCTCGATATCTGGAATCCAACTCGAAATTACCGTCACTTCTGGCCACGTCAATATTTTTTACCTGCTCAAGCTGACACCACCGATCCATCGCTTAACTGTCCCTGGAAGCAATTTTATTTTCCGCATCGAAGAAGAAGCTTACCTGGCGGTCCGTATTCATCGTTTTTTTTTTTTCCGGTACACCATTTGGTTCAAAGGCAAGTCCAATTTCTTTTCCTTTGCTATGATGTATAAGGAACATATACTAATTCAAAAATCAAAGTCATATAAACCAACTCATGTCAAGCGATCAATGGCTATTGCAAGCTCAAATAACAAAGGTAAAATATCTTGACGAAAATTGAATCAATCAAAGAGCTTACCTACTCATTTTTTTAAATACCCAACATACCCACACAGCTTTCTAGATCTATCATAACCTTGGGCGGGACGGGACTGAGGGGGTCAATCAGTGCTGCTTTGCGCGTGTTCAGAAACAACTCACGTTGCATGGTATTGCCATAAGGTTGTCATTAATATACCGAAGTTCCGTCAAGAGTTCTCGCCCAGGTTATGCCGTGTATGCGTTAGGCTTTTTGTCTGACGAAAGTCGCTCAATGTAAGAGGGCGACCTCCGGTGGCAGGCGGCATCCATTGCACAGCGGGTGTACGGCTTGTTAGAAATACAGACACCACCTAGAACCTTGTTCTCGTGCTGACACCCGCGGTTTGTGCGACCCGAAAACCGCAAGATAAAAAAAAATGGGTCAAGAAAAAAAAATTAGTCTTTTTAGTGTTTTTTTTTTTTTTTGAGTTTCCTTATGTTGCGTGCGTGGTTTAAGAATGATGTAGTTGATAATCGCCATGGAAAAAAAACACCCTCACCCATAAGCAACGACACTGGAAACGTATTCAAGCTAACTTTGTCAAAAAACTGACAGCCTCAATTAATCGATTGCTGATATCATCATTATCAGCCAAAAGATAAAAAAGATAACCCAATCAGAGAGGAGCCGTGATTAGCCAGTGATGACAAAAAAGTTCATAAACAAAAAAGAATCGATGATGAAAAACAATTAAAAGGGGGGAAAAGAAAAAGAAAGAAAAAAAGCCCGTAGAGTGTGGGAAAAATTGATCTGATGACGGCTTTTGATTGGCTACCAATTAAAAGATCAGCTTTATCTTTTTTTTTTTTATTTTTTTTCAGAATGTCGACGAACTCATTGATGTTCCATTTATTTTCTTTTCCCTTTTTTCCCTTTCTTTCACCCCCTTTATTTTTTTTCCCTCTCTTTTTTTGTTGTTTTTTTTGGCTGATTTCCTTAGTGGATTGAATTGTTCTGTTGTATTGTGTGCTTGTTTAGAGTATATCAATGGCTCATCCTCCCCTCAGTATTGCACAGGAGCCCATGAAATCACGGAAACGGTCTTGGACACGGTGCGTTAAATGCCATGTCAATTTCCGACCATTACTGTGGGGTCATGAAAACGGCCAAGGCCCGGTATGCGATAATTGTGACGAAGTCGATAATCTAAAGGTAGTACGACCCCGTGATCCCACCTCCAACGATGAGTCACCGGACTTGGTGGATGATAACAAATCACTGGAAACATCCAACCTCGCTTCTTGCTCGCTCATCAAAGGTACCGCTGCGACGAATACGCACGATGATGGAACTGTATGTGCCAATTGTCACACCACTACCACGCCATTGTGGCGTCGAGATGCGGCGGGAAAAACCATTTGCAACGCTTGTGGTCTTTATTACAAACTGCACCGTATCCATCGTCCGGCCACCATGATGCGTACAGTAATCAAACGTCGCAAACGTTGTTCCTCCTCTGATAAGACGAAACTCGATGAAAAACGATCAAAACCGTCAAGGACCTCGCCATTTATCGAAAGACGTATCAATTTCGATGACTCATGCAGTGTTATCAGCAGTGGAAGCGAAACCCAAAGCGAAGTCTTGGCTGATCCACCGTGTTCTCCTCTTGTCGCCGGTTTTCGGCATTCTTCACCTACCATGACATCGACCAAGCCAAGCTACCCTTCCCTACCTTCCTTCCGCGAAAACCTTACCTTACCTCCCATCCACACGTATCAGCACCCTATCTATAGTAGTCATGAACACCCGATTCACGCTTGTTCCAATACCATGGCAGCGCTACGTACGCAACGCAACGAACTTCAGCGTGAAGTGACCCGATTAACGTCTTTATTATCGGATACCGTAAATTTATTATCGAAAATTGATGCGGCTATGGCCAATCCGAATCCTCACAGTAATGATGGCGAATGTGGCCTGTGCCCTCCCTCACCACCTACAGATCAACAGCAAGAGCATCAGGTCGCACGATCCCTTCTTTCACTCGCTTCTTCCCCACCGCATCAATCTCCTTCAGTTCAAGATCATCGTCGTTTACCGCCCATCTCTGTCTCCCTTGGATCCCAACACCATCCATCATCGTCGACTTCGTCTACATCGATGGTCTTACCTTTCCGTCATTAAGCTCGTGCCGGTACCTTATTCACTCCTTATTTTTTTCTTCTTTTTTAGTGACTCCTCCCTCCTATACCTGCATCCTCTGCATTGCTTAATTTTTTTTTGTCTTCTTTGTTTGCCTTTTTTTCCCACATCATTATACATTTCTTTCATATACAGAATAATGAATTAGTCTTCTGAGCATCTTTACTAAAGAAAATAGCATTTGATCCATTTCATCATCTTTTTTAATGGTTTACCATGATGAGGAAACAATGAAACTATTGCATGGCAAGTGACCGACCGGAATTGAGGGAAAAAATCAGTAGTTTTCAGAGAATCTCAAACGGAGCGCGAACCAGGAGGTGGAGACTCCGCTTAGTGTTGTTCGGTCCTTTCGTGTGGTTACGAGATCGGAAAAACTACGCATCTTTCATCTGTCACACATGGAACCATCAAAACCTAAAAAAAAAAAAAAAAAAAAAAAAAAAAAAGTTCCATCATTCTCCGTTGGGCAGATGCACTGACAAAAATCAATGATATGTACCGGCTTTTGGCATGCTTCAGCTTGGATTGATAGTAAGTGTTACAATGGTGGAACGACTGATCTATCTTCTTTTTTTTCGTAGTAGGGAACCAGCGTTCAAAATTTTATTTTCGACTGATCTTGCAACAGTGCTTCCAACAACAATCAAGATGGATGTTCCTGGTCAATCAAAGCCGTTTTGTATTTTTAAAAATGGAAGTCGTATTTTTGAAAACCATATTGCTTTGCTTCAAAGGATGTCGTGTCTCTCCAGACGCGTATGAGTATCTTTTCTTTTCTTTTTGACCACCATCAACTTGACTAACGTCTCTAACATTACTGCTGCGGTTGAAGCTTTCAAACGCTCTTGTGCAAGTGAATGAAAAACGGTGTATTTAACCGACGTGAATATCATCCGACGCTGTTGCCGAATACGAACGGGAATTCAATATCGTACTCAGTGTCGAACGATTCGGCGACCGTGTAACCTGGCTCATATGCAAGCACTACAGTGAATGTAGAATCTGTAAGGGTGTTGCCGACGATGAAACCGTCGAGGACGAAGAAGCTACAGGCCAGCGTTGTATCACGGGCAAATCAAGACAAAAAACTGGATGCCAATTTCACACTAGCCTGATTTAGAGTTCCATTCTGGAGTGTACCAAGTGTTGGCCTTTGTAAAAAGCAATGGCAAAATCAAGACGAGCCTCAGTGCGTGCTTGCAACTGCGAAAAGCAAACCTCTCCGAGATTAACATGTTTGTCAGCAAGAGCGTCGATACAGCTGCTCCAGTGACAAATGCTGCACTCAAAAATATTGAACAGGTGACGATTACCGAACTGGAAGGTAATATCTGATATTTTGTTGAGAATCATAGTCACTGCGCATGTCTAAGTACTTGTCTTTTGAAAAGCTCGCCGCAACTGTGATGCCATCGCGATGACAAGCCAAGGAAACTCCTCGTCCTCATATCCAACGTTCATTGAATCCTATTGTAATTTATCAATGGGACCGTTACTTGGATAAGATACTGCTTGCCCTAAGAACATTGAAGATAGAAGCGACCGGACAGATTCCTGCTTTCCTCCTATTTGGATATAAAATGAAGACTCCTGCGACTTGGTCGACGCCGATACAAAGATATGTCGCAGGTGACTACGAAGAAGACGTGGCCAAGAGGATAGAATTCATTCCCGCCGATACTTTTCGTGGCCAAAAAGAACGGAGAAATACGAATCTGCGACGACTGTCGAAAGCTCAACAAGATGACCATCAAAGATAATCTTTCCGTTACCGCATATCGACGATTAAATTGATTCTGTTGCCGGTGCCCAATATTCCAGCACTCTGGATGCCGCATCTGGTTTTTGGCAAATACCGATGGCCGAGGATTCAATCCCAAAAACCGGTTTAACAAAGTACGGACCCTTCGAATTTTTAGTCATGCCGTTTCGTTTGACTAGCGCGCCTGCCACATTCGATAAAGATTTGAGAAGAATACGAGAAGAAGCAAGACAAAAGTCCAATGCAAAGTTAATGGCGAAGAAGTACTATGATCAAACGGCAAGATCTCCTTTCCAGATTGGTGACTACGTTTGGATGAAGGATATGACGTCTCACAGACAGATGAATCGGTCCATTCGTGGTGGTGAAAGTGAATGCTCGAAGCGGTACGCATCATTTAGAAGGTGCAAGGAATCAACAGCGATTGAAGGGTGCGGTAAACGGTGACGTTTTGTTGCCTTACCACGGATCGACAAGAATGATACTAGAGGTCCAACCCGCCTACGCACGGTTTAAAGCCTGGGTATCTCAACGAAGTCCGCATATGGCCGCGGCTTGGCGGGGGTATTTATGAATGCCAAAGTTATACAAGCCTAGGCCAACTGGGATTTTCGTATTTTGGTGCCTGAATACGTTGGTATTTATCTCGCGACGTTGGCATGCTTGGGTGACAAGACATCGATGAATTTGTCTTTTCCTTCTTTTTCGGCGTCGAAGTGCGAATCCTGAGTCCCGTTATTTTATTACGAGGTCCGACTGATGGTTATTCATGGGTGTCATAACGGCTGCTCATTCCCTTTTGAAGGTGTCAGGGGATGTTCAGCCCTATTCAATGTGCCATGTGACCCGTTCCGCAGCAGATGAACTTAGACGCGCTCTTTGATCACCGCTACAACAGTGACCATGATCACAGTAATGAGCTCGATGAAAACGAAACGTCTTTCCTCAGCGACGATCATCGCACTACGCGTCGATTTATCTGCACTCTCAAGAACATGGGACTGTGATATCAACGGGCATTGTGAATCCATGGGCAGTCGGCGATACGGACGTAACTGGGGTGCTGAGTCGATGAAGGGTGGATCGGTTGACGATCTTTCGGATTTGCGCATCTTGACCCTACATTTCATCTTTTGCTTCTCGTTGGAAAAGAGCTCCTCCTGCACCTGGTGGCTGACGCCGCCACACACCAGGCAATAATGAATGATCTATACCCTCTCTTGACGACCTGCATTCCAGAGATCACGCCTGAGATCGCGACGTGGGCCATGGATCTGTCGTCGATAAAAACATGTCGTTCTTTTTAGAAGAAGAAAGCCTGCACGAACATCCTCAATAAATCTCTGACCATGGACGATGATATGACTATCTCGCTGCCACCGTAATATTTGACTGGTTTCCGCATCTTCCACTTTACCCGTCGACCGAACCTACCTGTGCCGTTGAAGATATATTTATTCACACACATCTCGACGCGTTACTCTCCAACGTCTTTGCTACTGATCCCATTTTCAAGCAGGAATGGTCGAACGGAGCATTGGGATCCTCAAGAGGAGTTGTCGATCTTATCAAGCCGGATTGGATGGCGTTCGTCCGTCCATGGTTCACACGATCCGACCTCGTTGTGTGCGAGGTGAAGCCAGAGGGAAAGCATAACTCGGGGCCGTCTCTGCCACGGTCAAATTGGGCATTGAAATGCAGGCGATGTTCAACGCACTAATTGCTGAAGGCCTGGACGATCCATGTGTTTATGGAATATTGGTGAAAGGATATACCATGGAAATTTATGTCATGGGTTTTTCCCGTTTATCGCAATTTGTTGCTCGTGTCCTAGGAAATAGTCAATGTGGTTGTCTTTTGATCTGTCCTTTTTATGACCACCCCCGTCATTCCTCATTCCCCGACACCGAACATGCTATTTACAAATTATCATTTTCCTATAACCCTTCCTCCGTTCCTTCCTATTGATCGTTGCCTGTCTTTTGCAAGATCTTGGTCGGCTCACTGGAAGTTTATTTTCGATGCGGTGCCTTTCCACTATGAAAACATCTGCTGCGCTATACATCTTTTGGTCGCTTGAGAACATTCTCTGAATATGTGTATATAATTTAGTTTTCTACCCCGCTTCATCGCTGATCTTGGGCGAGCCGCTCACCAGATGTTTGTTTCAAATAAAAATTTGGACCGCTGGTCCCCTACTAAAAAAAAAAAAAAAGGAACAGTCTTCTCCCTGGCACAAAAAGAAAATGAATCATGGGATCTGCACCTCCCTCTTGCTGTATTAGGTAGGTCATTACATTGTCGTTTGATACTCACTCTCCTTTATGCAGCTGCAATCTCAAACCTTCTAAATGCTTACAAAAGGGGAACGGACTGACCGCTTTGTTGTTTTGGCGCGCAAAGGAGAAAAAGGAAAAAAAATCCAGGGATCATGTGAGTCTGGAGGATAATTGTTCCAATGAAGAAGATCCCTGACTTGAACAATGAATTCTATTATGCGAATCGATGAATGAGAATAATATTTTTGCGCAGACAGTCGTCACTCGATTAAGGAATACTCATTTAAGAATCACTTTTTGGAATTCCCAAATTTGTTATTCATTGTCTGGTGCATATGAGTTATTAACTCGATTTAAAAATAATTCGACTTAGGAATCATTTTTCATGGCTCCCGGGCTGATTTTTAAATCGAGTGGCGACTGGATATATTTATTAATCTTTGTTTATGCGAGAATGGAAATGGATCAGCATTGAGAGAACAAAAGTACAATGGCCGGACTTTGATCGTCCTTGGTGCGCTGAGGATACTGTATTGCGTAGAAGATGAAGATTTACAGTACTCTTGTTGTGATTCTACATTGCCTGGCTTTACTTTTCAAAGAGGCTATAAGCATATAACATTGGACCATATTAAACATATAGGAGACAAGAAGATGTATTTTTATTCTTTTCAAGTGATCCGTTAATGAACCAGCATTGGATGATGAAAGCATTATAGAGAGATAAAAAGGTATAAAAAGAAATAGTTTTGATGGTTTCTATGACTACTTGGGGCAGAAAGTGACCTTGTAACCAGAAGCTTGACACATGAACATACTGGTGGCATCGTCATAGGCAAAACTGTAAGCATGAGGACAGGCAGACTTGAAGATCTTGGAATAGGAAGAAGGAGCGCAAATGCCTTCACCAAATTCACCCAAGCAACAGTGTTCATCACCGCCAAATTGGCTACAGGCGCTCTTGCAGCCGAGCACCTTACCGTCCTTGATAATCTGAAGTTCCTTAGGGCAGTCAGGAACACCCATACAACTGGGACTGCCACATCGATAGAAATCGCCTTCAGCCGGGTTGCGAGGTTGGATAGGATCGATCTTCAGAGGCAAGTTGTAACCGTCGACAAGAGAAATGTCGTAAAAGTCTTTGCCTTCGCCATCCTTGAACAAGAATTCGGCCAAAGATGCAGGAGACCCGATACCGGCATAAGTGCAGTCGTCATCACAGACCTCACGACCCCAGATACGGCCTTTCCAGTGCGGTTTCAAAGTAAAGGTATGCGAACTGTGAGGCGCTACGTTGGCAGAGGTACCATACCAATGGCCATTCTCTGATTCGCCAGCAATGATCGAATGGTCGCAGTCGTTCTGCACAACAATATAAGGCACACCATTGGACATGGGTGCCGAGGCAACCAAACCAGTGGTCGCAGCAAGAGTCAGGGCAACGTTGGTAATAATATTGGACAATCGCATTGTCAAGTATAGATAAGAAATAAAGTAAGAAAAGATTAGCTTCACCGGTAAAAGATCGTCGTCCCTTTTATAGATGTATTTGCCATGTCTCAGATCCATCTATGTCTTGAAGCCCTTGATTAATCGTGTTACAAAGTTTAAACCAATAAGCATGTGTCCTGTCAAAAGAAAGATGAATCTGAGACAAGGGTTTCCCCACCATTGGATCGGTCTAACATCAAAGAAAGACCGGACCCCGGGACGAGCTTCTTTTTCGCCCTATCGAAAAGAAGTATGGATCTGATGATCTGCAATGGAAAAAAGCGGGACAAGTGGGTCTTATTTCTTTTTTCTTGGCATACTTCAAAAAGAAAGAAAAATCACCTATGAAACCGTAACCAATCCAGGGCCACCCATATACAGAATATACACCGCTCACGCTTTCCGCTCAATCGTTCCAAGACCTGAGACAGAGCTCTATTCATGGGCATCTTTAGCAATAACATGATATTATTGAAAACATCACAACATGTTACTCTTATTCTTGATCCGTTTTGTTTAAAAAAAAGGTCTCTTTTTTTTCATATGCATGAGCGATATTTTGAATCTTAAAGAAATAGGAGCAATAATATGAATTTAAAGAGACACCCGAAATCTTTACGTTAATGACATTGATACCATGGATGATTAAATGATTTGGATTATGGTCTTTGGGTTTTGAGCTTTGTTATGTTGGGACAATCACCTGGAATTCCTGAAATGATTCTTGCAATTTTTTTTTCTTTTGAACGCAAATGAGGGTGGCTGAGCTCGAAATTTCGAGAGGGATAAACGACGTCACGCCCAAAATCTGGCTGGAGCGGCCAGGATGAAAAAACAAAAAAGAAAGGCAGCCCAAACTTGGCTCTTTAAACTAGACTCGTAAGTGCATATTTATCATTCATCATTGAAAACGTATTGGACTTACTGTTTGGGTTTTTCTTGTATTTTACTTCTATTACTTTGTATCGCCTTGCCATTGACGTTGCATCGACTAATCACCATTACACACACTTCGACCTATTGTGACGACATTCGTGTACCTACTCCATTCACTGTCTGACTTATTGTTGACCCGTCATACCTTCCAACAGCAATGCCCGTTAAAGAATTCAACACCCCCTACCCTGTCATCGATACCGATCCTCACTTTGGTCGCGTCGTTCGCTACTTTAGAACTTCCGATTACGCCACATGGGCCGGTCTGACTGCCGCTGGTCCCGCCATTTTGCTCGGCATGGGTAGGCTATTTGTTTAATGGTTTCTGTCAATAATCGGCGAAAACTGATCCCAATGGCTTGTAGAAAAAATGAATCCTGTTGCTGGCGGTCGTCATTTGCGTATTCCTCTTCGAATTGCCACTGCTGTCACCGCTTTTGGTGGTTTCTTGTATGCCTATCAACGAAGCAGCTGTAAGTATCATCAAAACCACGGAAAAAAATAATTCACAAGTGTAAGCAGTTGAAGAACAAAAAAGCTAATTAGTGTGTGTTGCATAATGATAGTCCGTTTCTACGGTTGGGAAGAAAATGCCGCAGAAGTTGAGAAGGATAAGGCTGAGATGAGCCAACGCCTCAAGGAGGGCAAATCTTTATACGGCGACAGCTTGATGCCTGAACACACTTTGAACGACTCGGCCAGAAACTCTCGATTCGCGCAATTGAAGTTTGGTAAGCTTAATGCACACGTCGCGTTTGTCACAGAGTTTATGGCTAAATACATTTTCCTATTTTCGCAGCTGCCATTCCTTGGTTCAACTTTGCCAACCATAACAACCATGGTGTTGATACCTCCAAATACTCAGAGTCGTCTTAAACGCGAAACACTGCATAATAAAACTGGTAAAAAATTATACAATTTTGTGACATAGAAACAAACTGGTTTTTTTTATTGCCCGTCCGTGCTTCAACAAACTGGCCAAATGGTTTTGATTGAGTGTGAGATGAATAAAAGGGTCGGCAAACAGATAGGTGGTACCGTGACAAGTAAAGCGGGGAGCTTTGCCGATTCGTGTTGTTTGAGTAAGATCATGGAAACGAATGATTATCGCGAGATCTGCGCTTTCAGATTTTAATTCATCATGTTTTGATGCCCATTGTCGCAGAGCCAAGAAATTTCTGGAATATCTATTGTCCCTTTCGTCATTTGTGATGTATGAAAAAACTTTGAAGGAGTGGTTTTTCATTAGTTCATAATTGATATGTTTTATCCTCTTACAATAATGGATTATCATAATACATATCCAATAGGAACCTTTTTTTTTTTTTTTTTTTTTTTCTTGGCAACAAAGGATTGACACGGAAAAATGTCAAAGTGAGTTTTTGAGATCGGTCGATCAAAATAAGAAGACCTACATTCAAGATCTGTGGGAGCATCTAAGTAAAGGTATCTGAGTTTAACAGGGCTTTTTTTTTGGACTCGCTGCCTTGGTTTTCTTTCATTTTCCGCGGTTCCTTTTTTTTTTTTTTTGCCTTCAATGACCTCCGTCGAGCAGATTCCTGTTGGCGATTTGCACTGCCAACGCGATACTTACTGTCGCGAATTTACCACCCGATGCGTTGACTGTTCTGAAAAGCCGAATAAAAAGGGGCTGTACGAAGTCAAGCTTCATGATACCAGTAAGGGTTTTCCCGAGCAATGACCCAAGGTGGCCTACCTTTCTTCTTTTAATAATTTCGCCCATAGTCTTATTCCCAGAGGGAGGCGGTCAACCTTCCGATACGGGTTTCATCGATGATGTTCCCGTTGTCGATGTTCAACGCAGACAGCTGCAACATGTTCACTTCACTAAACAACCGATTCAGGTCAGCAAGGAAGTCACTGTCAAACTTGACTGGCAACGCCGCTGGTATGTTAGCCTTAAACTCGGTCTATACAAACCCGTCTAATAACATTTTCGATGCAGGGATCATGTACAGCAACACAGTGGTCAGCATTTATTAAGTGCAGTGCTGGAACAAGAACCATACAACTTGGAAACTGTGGGCTGGTATGCATCGAGCCGGGGGGTTGCTGCGCCATTGATGGTTAAGATACTGATTTTTGATCTGCAACAGGAACCTCGGTGAAAAGCGTAGCTATGTGGAATTGGGAACCGCCAAGGGTGGCCAGAAACCACCGAGCCAGGAAATTCTCGATCAAGTCGAGCGCAGGGTGAACGATCTTATTTTGCAAGAAATTCCAGTCATTCGTCACGTTCAAGTGAACGCCGATGATGGCGAGCGTCCCGACAGTTTGCCAGCCGATTACATCGGGGGTGGATTGATTCGAACTATTGAAATTCAAGACTTTGACAAAAATCCATGCTGTGGCACCCATGTTCGCCACCTTGGTCACTTGCAGTGTCTGAAGATCCTGAACACGGAAAAGGTGCGAGGTGGAAACACTCGGGTGTTCTTCCTATTCGGTCAGCGCGTATTAGACACATTGAATGCAAATTACAAAGTTGAGCGTCAGTTGACGAGTTTGTTGTCCTGTCCTCTAGAATCTTTTGTCGATAGTGTCACCAAGATTCAGCAGCAGAGCCGACAACACATGAAACAAGCCAAACGTCTTTTGGCGGATTTGGCCGAACATACCGTAACTGAACTGGAAACGACACTGGCTACTCAACCGTTTGCGGTGAGTTACCGTGATGATGCCGATATGGAGTATGTGTCGATGATTGCCACTTTGTTGAAAAACAAAAAGACGTTGGACGGTCAGGACAAAGTGGTGATTCTCGCTGCGGGCGAAAAACAGGTTGGCGGTCCCATCATTGTGGTGGGTGGCAACGACGATGTGGTGCAAAAGGCGAGTAAGACCGTCACCCAGACGATCGAAGGTGTTAAGGGCGGTGGCAAAGGTCGTTGGCAAGGCAAAGCCAAGTCCTGGCAAGGCATCGAGAAATTGGAAGAAGCATTGAATGCTTTATTTATTTAGACCCAAACAATAGATCAATAATAAAAGAAATCGGATACTGTTCTTCACTCGGGGCACTCTTTATTGTGATTGTGCAATGTTTCTCCGAATTGAAGGCGTTTGCAAACATGAGTTGTTTCCTGTTGCGTCGAATGGTCAAGTTATTTTGCACAAAGGACAACAAAACCAAGGACCAAATTTTATTGGATGATTTTGCGACTCAGTTCGTGGTGGCACATGTAGCAGCAAACCGCAGGTGTGTGTGTGTGTGTTAGAGAGCGTGTGTGACGGGCGACCAACTTTGCCCGCTTCTACTCCTCCCTTCCCTCATGTCAAATAAGCATCTCTGTCATCTATTTTTGCCTTCGCTTGGGCCTCTAACAAACGCACAACGCAAGTATATTGCCAATGTCGTGCAACGGTCCCTAGATACAGAGCTGGTTATTGCGGTGCAGTGTCCCATGATTCAATCCACCACCAACATTGACTCCATTTGGCACGCCTTGCAATCTACACTGGGCAGCATCTACGTCGCGCAGCTAAAAGCATCATTTTCGGCCGACCGCCCGCTGTTCAACGCTAATGTTGTTTTTGAAGATGTATGCGGATATCCTCTCAGTATCGGTTCCTTCACCACCGCTTATGTAATCTCAACAGGTGAATCTTGTTACAAAGTGAATTCTTCATCCTGACACAACGATACTAACAAAGTTGGACTGTTCAGATAAACCGCATGTAGATGCCTGGAACGAGGAACGGGTCCGCGCTGGGCTTGCCGAATTGTCCATTGTATCCCTAGACTTAGAAGCCTCTGCCACAACAGATACCCATCATCATCCACCTCAGGATGAACCGCACCCTCCGAAGAATTTTCATCATGTTGCAGCCGGAGGCACTTTTGATCACATTCACGCCGGCCATAAGATTTTGCTAACCATGACCGCATTATTAGCTGATAAGCGTGTTGTTATCGGCGTCACAGGTAAAAGTTTATATCTTGAAACCTTTTTGAGTCAAGTTTTTATTTTTTAATTGAATGAGTCGATGCATAGATGATTCCATGTTGAAAAGCAAAAAATACCGAGAGCTTATTGCGCCAATTGATGAACGAATTAAAGCCGTTCATCAGTATCTTCAAAGTGTGCGCAGTAACCTGGTGTATGATGTGCGTTGAACCGACGATGATGGGATTGCATGAATAATGGGCTCACGCAATTTTTGATTCGTTAGGTGGTACCAATTTCTGATCCGTTTGGTCCTACCGTAACCGATGCGTCCATCGATGGCTTGGTCTGCTCGCAAGAAACAATCAAAGGCGGTCATGCGGGTAAGCACGAATGTACCTTATTATAAATCCTAGGCATTAAGTATTCACACATTTATCGACAGTGAACGAAGAAAGGCAGAAAAAGGAGTTCCAACCGCTTGATCTTCGTGTGATCGATGTTATATCGTCTGATAATGCGGCCGTAGAAGGTGATGACATGAATGTCTTGAAAATCAGCTCTACATGGATTCGGCAATATGTGTCCGAGCACCAAAATCGATAGACACACTTGAGTCTAGCTTTCCATCGAGTAATTTAATATTATACTTGTCCCTCTATCCAATATACAATAGATCCTATCAGTCGACCACGAAAACAGTATTCATGAGAAATGTCGACATTGTGAGTTTTTCTCACCCTTATTTGCCTGGTTTTTTTTTTCAGTTACAAAGGATACTTGGTTTGTCCATGATCCGACGTACCAAAAAGCCGTGAGTTTTTGGCAAGCTGCTTCCCTTTCTTGATCCAAGCATGCTTCAAGAAAGCGGGCTTTTTACACCAGGGCGATGCAGAATTCTTCTGACGGTGACTTTGGACACTTTGATAAGAACACATTGGGCAATTTTCTTGCAGATGGCTCGTCCTCTTCTTATTTCCCTAAGAACGTTTCTTTTCCAAGCCAACATCACTGCCTCAGCTTGTTGATCCATCGTTCAACAGTACCTATGGGCCACCGCAGCTTCATCTCTAATGCCAGCGTTACTGAAACCCGCTTCAAGTACTGCCTCAGCACATATTTGATCGTCTTTAGGATATATAGGTCGTAATATGAAAATAAAACCATGTCAAGCGTACATAGCAGTTACTGTGTTGAATTTTAATTGGACGGCCATCTTTTGGTCAGAGTGCATTTCAAGGAGGCTCTCCCACTTGTACTCAAAAATCCTTCACTCTCATATGCGCAATATATATCAGCACATGCAATATTGGATCGGTGCACAGTTATTGACGACAAGGTAAGCGACTAGGATGAAGATGTCATCGCAGAAATTGCTCTAGAATAATTACTTTTTTTTTTGCAGATGAATGATATGAGTGGTAAAAAAAAAACGGCATTCATGGAGTGTGGACAACCGATTAATCTTCATCGGCGGTCTCTGCATGATGTTTACCGCGAAAATCACGTTTACAAAGAGGACATTTATAATTAAGAGCGAGCCATTCTTGCACACAATCTTTGTGAAAATGATGCCCGCACCTGTATTGATTGAGACTTGAGTAAGAGACCTGGAATTGCCTTACACTTGCCAAAATGCAGATCAGCTTACCATAATTTACACACGAGATGGCCGTTTTCATACTCCGACAAACAGATTGAACAAACAGCATCATCAGCCGGTATACCCGTTAGTTCCTCGAAGGATTGCTGTCGTTGCGATTCCTGGTCATTCTTGAACTGGTGTCGTTGCAAAAATCGGTGCATCAACCCCGTCTTTTTTTTCGTCATGGTCTCTGCCACAGCTGGATCCGGAGGCGTATCGGAGGATGCAGCGGACTTGTAGCGATAAACAGGCACTTTATCGATCTCGTCTTTGGTAGCTCCCACCATTCCCGTGGCGACATCAATATGCATCGCACGCATGGCCACTACAGATTGGAACAACAATGACGCATACAATTTATCAGAATCCATGGTTTCACGACGTTTGTTCATTCGTCCTGTGAATATGACTTACCGAGAACGCAAGGCAAGCAGAAAATCACAGCGGCGCAAAGAAGAAGAGGGATGAAGATGAGCAGATAGCTCATGGATGTCCAAACAAGAGTCGTATAGAATAACATTGGAGCATCACGTGGACAAGTTTCGGACGTAAACAGAAAGTAGTTTCCAATGATAAACCACAGTATCGCGAACAGATCCAAAAACGATTTACCGCTATAAATTCCTTCATTCAGCAAATGATAAGCTAACATGGGTTCAAACATTGAGAGAGCGTTACCGAGGGGCCCATCCAGTTAATGAAAGATTTTGCTGAGGTGGGTTGGAAGGTGATGCAGGTGTGGAGGTGGGTAAAGTATCGGAGGCGGCTGAGGCGTTGGAGGACAAGTTACGATCTTGTACCGATACATTGGTTGAACCTTGTGACCAGGTGAGTGGATTTTCTGTGGAAGGGGAAGAAGATGAGGACGAAGGAGCTGGATCTGGACGTCGTCGTCGTGAAGGGCGAAGCTGCTGGTAGAATAAGAAGGGGAAAGCGACTACGAGTCGTACAGCGTAAACGATCAAATACAGACTGAGCGGTTTGTCGCATTGTTCATGTTGCCCTACGATCAACACAACTACCGTTGTTACAAGCTACCAAACATCCATTATAAAAAAAGGTGAACTCCTTTCGCCAACCCAAATACATATTTGTATAAATTGTATATCAAAAGGAATATACACTCTATACACCCGTTTTTTCCTTCTTTTGTTTTTTTTATGCGAAACTTTACTTGGATAAAAACAAGCGAACTGGAGATGATAAGAAGAACTTTGCTACTACGAGATATCCGTTGCCAAGAGTCTCTTAGGAAACGAAGCCAGTTGGACCGTACCGTTCGCGACGACGGCGGAGCTACGTTATGTCGACTGGTTGGACGTTCCGTCATAACAGGTAATGGCGTCGACATTGCATTTCCTTGATCATAATCGTTCATGTCATGGACATGCAAAGACATGAAGGTGGAAAAAAAAAGAGCTAAAGAAAGGTCAAAGTAAAAAAGGAAACAAACATATAAAAAAAAATAACTTCAAAATGAGCCAACCCAATCCCAAAAAAAAATAATGATCCCATATCATTGCCTAAAACGGCAAAACGTAGTTTTTTCTTTCCACACGATATCCGCTTTGATTTAACCCTTATTATCGGTGATAATGATTTCTCCTCTCCTTGAGATGGCGACCATGAATGTCGTGAAACAATGGGGAAAGAGGCCATCGTTCAGTTCGCTTACAACGATCTCCGCTTTAGGAAATCTCCGCGTTCTTGCCTTTTGGGTCACTATCAGATGAGCCGTGAGTTCCAGTCATTTTCTGGTTATCTTGACACAACAGACAGGAAAAGTCCAGTGGCCAAAATGATTTGACACGGAAGCAATGAAACAATGATATCAGAAACAGGAAAACAGGTCAGCGGATTGGACAGTGACATGCATCTCAAGAAAAGTTTATGCATGACCATGCCACCAAAAAAAAAAAAACCAAGATTTCTGCAACACACTGTCGGGTGCGAATGACACTCAAGCAAAAGATGATGATAATCTGGGGGTTTTCCTATGTTTATTATTTAAATTGATTGTATTTACATAAATTCAAAGGCGGTCCAGGCCAGGACGCCGGTGATGGCGATATCAACAAGTTGGGCAATCACATAAAGGCTGCATAGTTTACCCAGACTCCGAATATTGCGCTTCATCTCATTAAGATGAAGTCCCAGGCCGATGCTCACAAAAGAAAGCGTCGAAAACCATTCAGACACGTAGAAGCAGAAATTGTTCACATCGATTCTCTTCTGAGCATCGCTGGCAATGACGGTATTGAACAGTACGGCTGTGATGAGAAAGCCTAGAACAAACTTGGGGAAGCGTTTCCACAGTAGTTCTAAAGCCGTTTCTCGCCGTGCCGAGGATGGCTGGCGTGACCGAGATTTGCGACTGTGATCGATGTCTGTCATTGGGACGTCGGTGCTGCCTGTTTCTGCGTCTTCAACATGGCCTGCATGTCGTAGTAATTCTTCTTCCTTTTTGTAAGCGGCTTGAAGTTCATATCGTGACCATGCCCAGGCCATGGCCACGGACAACGGTCCTATGAGTACATTCTGCATCATCTTTACCACAGCCGAAGTATTGACGGCGTCTTTATCGCCGTAGATACTCGCCGAGGCAATCACTGCTCCGGTGGAATCCACACAGCCTCCGAACCAGGCTCCGCTGACCGTGGCGGACAAACCCAATCGTTTGGCCACGTACGGTAGCGCGATAATACTTGGAATGGTGAATATGGAGATGATCGCAATAGGCATTTCCGTTTTATGGGGTACGCCCATACTGGCACCCAATGCGATGGCAGCGGAAGAGCCGCAAATAAATGTGGCACCGGACATGATGATGGCGGTTTGTCTGTCAATGCGTAAGAAGCGCCAGCCAAACAGAGCGACAATCATAAACAGGGAAGGGGTATCAATCCAGCTAATAAACAAAGCTCGCGGAGCCAGCGGTCGCAGTACGTGGATGTCAATGCATAACAAGACAAGACTCGTGGCAATATAAAATTCGGTCTGCTGCGCGACTTTTAAGAACGACGGCATGGGTGCATTTTGGTTTCTCAGCGAAATAAGGTTGCGAAGCGTGCATCCAAAAATAATGGCCCAAATGGAATCCCCAATGCTTGCCTTGTGAAGTGTCACTTAACCAAATGAAAAAAGAAATAGCATGAATTGTCCCTGTTTTTCTTGACAAAAGCACGGTAAAAAAATTCTTACCATTTGCTGCCAATATTTTGCTGACCAAAGCGACGAAGAAGAGGATGGCATAGCCGAGGGGAAAGATTCGCCAGGCTGGGGTACGTACGGCGGCCAAGGCCAGCCATAGCAACAGTCCCACAGCAAAGAAAAGAACGATAATGCCATAGTTGCCTGGTGTGGCAAAAGTTGAAAAAGGATTGACTTTCCAAGGCAGAAATTCTGGTTGTGGTACGCCGTGACTAACCGCGGTGGTAATGCAACCAAAGAACAAGAGACCGATCCAGCAAGGCCACCATTCATCCGTGTTCCACCACATCAACCAGGCTCTATAGTTTGGCGTCGTGGGCGACTCGGATGATGCTAGTGATGGTGTGTCTCGAGACTTTCGAGGGGGTGAAGTGTAGGCTTCTATTGCCGTGGTATCGTTGTCCATGATGTTGTGAACCGAGACAAATGGACAGCAACGGTGTCAATATATAAAAAAAGATGGCGAAAAAAGATTGATGCAAGATAGCCAACTCGTGATTGGCTTCTGACGCCAAATGAGTAACGGCGGAAGTCGGGGTTAAAAAAGAGGGCACTTCCTCATCTTCTTTGTGAGTTGCGTTTGAAGGAAACAAAAGGGAAAAGAGCTGTCACAGGTCCTCCTTTTAGTTGTTGAAAAGAAAAATACATACAAAGAGGAGAACGTCGTCCTATATAAATAAATGGGTTTAATAATGAAGTGTCTGGTGAAAAGTGATTTCAAGCTACCCAAATGGCAGCGACGACTAAAGGGAAGGGAGTTATTGCCCGAAACTGTTCCTCATACACGAAGACATCTTCTCGATTGTCCAACGATTTATGATAAAGATGCCATGCCTCTTCTCTCATCGCGTTGTGCCATATTATTTATAGACTGCGGTACCATGGCATGAAACAATCGTATAAAAGAGGTGTCAGGTACGTTGGAAGATCGATCGGGTTATGTCTGTCTAACTATGCAGGTGTGGTTTCCTGTCATAGACTGAAACTATCTGTCGCCTTGACACACAGATGCAGGAATGTAGACATAGCGACACGTAGGAAGTTCACGCAAAGAGTGGGTCACCACAATAATAACTCGGCATCAGAAAAAAAGGGTCGATTCTTTATCCCGAATTCGGATAATGTAGAAATCAAAGAGAAATGACCCTCATTACGGTAATGACTCGTACAGGTGTGGTTTCCTGTTGTTATTTTGACTGTTTATAGTATGCGATGCAGTACGATAAAGTTCTTAATAGTCGACATGGTTGAAAACTTTGCAACATAGAGTTACTGTCGCATAAGGAAATTCATAAATGATGCTTTTTTAAAAAATCGGAATTTTTTATCCAAGGGGACTGTGCAAGATGGAGTGTGGGGAATTTCTGCATTCAAAAGGAAAACCCAAAGAGCCTATTTTTTCAGTCACAACTTGGACGATGAGGCACCCAAAAACTTGACCAAAAAAAAAAAAATTGCTTACTTTGACCTCTTTACAACCGACAAAGAACTGGTTTTCGTTTGCTCTTTTTTCCCTTTTTTTCTTTTTTCTTACTGGTACTTCTTCCACCGACCTTTTTTTTTCTTTTTTTACCTCTTTTTATTCTCCGTTCCCTGTGTGTGTGTGTGTGTGTGTGTGTGTGCGTGTGTGCGAAAAAAAATAACTTGTTACAAGAATGGACTTAGTACACAAGCCGTCTCAAGACGACATTGGCCGTACTGATCCATGCGTGGATACTGCTGATCCGACATCAACCCTACACAGTCCAGCAAGTACCAATATACCGAAATCAAGAGAAGATCTTGTTCGTGAGGATTCTGTTGACCAGGTACAAATGAACAAAGGTGAAAAGAAGACGGTGCAATATGATCAACATTTTGATGACTTTGGTTTTAGGAACCGTCCAAGGAAACCAGTAGCGAATCGAAAGTGATGGAAGGAAAATCACCTCTGAACAAACCTAAATCGATGGGCCACCGCCGACAAGCATCCATCGGTCTAGGGATTATTACCAACCTCGGTTCGACCAATAAACGATCAGAGACCGATGCACCATTATCACCTCTAACAAAGAATGATGCCTTTTTCCACGCGTCTACCATCCCTACCCCACGACCACCCTCGCTCTTGTCACGCAGTCAATCCAGAACAAAGAAAGACCGTCCTGAAAGAGAGGAAGACACTCGGCAAACCTATGCCAGTCGTATACGAAACTTGACCCTGCTTGGTAAAACCACCGCGGATGGACCTGCTCCTTCACCGATTCCCAATTATCTGAATGCGACCGCTCGTTCTCCTACCATGACCAACCCAGTTGAACCATCCTCATACGACGAAATATCCTCCACGGCTGTGGGTCGTCACACGCGCTCCTATACAGACGATGAGATTATGCCACTACCCAGTCCCTGTCCTGCTGGGGCGTCCACGTCCACTCATTCCATTTCCACACCTTACTACATTTTTCCAAAAGGGAACACCACCGCTTCATTGTCCTCCCCTCCTTTCCCAGTGACGCCGGATGAACATGAACCTTCACCGACTCCTTCCAGTAGTATACCCATCCTTGCTATTTCACCCTCATTTTATCCTCACAAAACGAACAAAATTCCGTCTCTTTCCGAAGTTCCGATGTTGGGGGATGAGGATGACCCAACATATGATCATCGGAAACACGCCTTCGATATACCGATGGTACGGGAACACAATTTCCGGTCCTCCTCCCCACTTCGTTACAATGAAGAAGATCTGATTGGCAAACAAATTGGCTCCTTTCACATTCAACGACTACTGGGCGTAGGCGCTTTTTCCAAAGTGTATCTTGCCGAACACATCCAAGAAGGCGGCAAGTACGCTATCAAAACCATCCACAAAGGTCGCATTCTACGTCACCCACGCGTTCAATCCAGTATCGAACGAGAAATTGGTGTATTAAAGGTATATACACCCTCACTCTCCTTTTTTTTTTTTTTTTTGATGGGACCATGTAAAAAGGGAGGGGCAAAAAAAAAAAAAAGAAACGGCTTGTATGACAATTTTCTTCAGTGATATTGACCACCCGCGTATCTTGCTTTTTTTTCTTTTAACTGCCATTGACCTCTTTTTTTTTCTGTCCGGTCCGAATTACTTTTTATCCATCGTTCGTTCGATCGATATTTCTTCCTCGGATAATCGACGTTGCATCAGTTCATTGATCATCCCAACATTGTTCGGCTCGAAGCGACGATGGAGACAGAACATATGTTGTGTATTGTATTGGAGTATGCAAAAGGGGGCGAATTGTTCGATTTCGTCCAAAACATGCATCATGATTTGCACAAGACCCATCGCAAAGTGGATGAAACATTGGTGAAGCGCATATTTCTGCAACTGGTGAAAGTGGTACAATGGATGCATCGTCACAACATTGTTCATCGGGACCTGAAACTTGAAAGTGGGTAAACCACCTTTGTTTACCACAGAAAAAAATGTGTAAAATTCACCGCTCTTCTTGTGTAGATATTCTTATTCACATGGAAAATGACCAACCACATCTCAAAGTGACCGATTTTGGATTGGCGCGGGTAGTCGATCCGGCATCGCCCATGTTACAAACGCGATGCGGTAGTGAAGAATATGCCGCACCGGAAATTGTGCAAAATCTGGGGTACGATGGCCGTTTAACGGATACATGGGCGTTGGGGATTATACTGTATGCTTTGCTGGTTGGGTATTTACCTTTTCGGTATAATCCCAATCGAGGCGAGCGCGTGTCGCAGTTGTTTTATCGCATTGTGAGAGCGGACGTGAAATGGCCATCTGAGTGGACCAAGAATCCTTCCTTGGCGCCAAGCGAACAAGCTAGACATGTTGTCGAGCAATTACTTATACCGAAGCCCCAAAAGCGACTTCGCATTGACGACATCGAAGCTCAGCCTTGGTGTAGTCAATCTTAAATAACCATGTCATGACTTCTTATTCTTCATTCTTTTTCTAGTAATGGCAATTTACCAAAAAATACTCATAGTTAACAGCTTATCTTCTTTTGTACATTTTTGTTTTTTTCTGTCCAGTAATAAAACTAAGGCCTATACGTGCCCCCGAGATTGCCTCTTGGTCGGCATCGAATCATAAAATGCATCAGTTCCATCCACCACGCATGAAAATCGGGAAATCGGAAGTCTAACCCAGTTTCATCGCTTTTTAATTAGGCGAACGTCTTGGCCAAGAATAACCGTTGGCCACAGATCTTTTTTTTTCTTCTTCTTAGCGTGTTGCAGCCATTCAAAATGGATGTGCAATTTTTATGGAAATGACCAAGGACAGTTTGTTGGTTAGAACGGAATGTGGCCTATGGATTTTGTTGTTGACTCCCTATGTTATGAGTGACAGAAAGTTTAGCAGAAAGCTTTGCAGATCTTGATGCTTTTCGTAGCCTTGCTTATAATTTCATTACACAACCTACTTATAACCACTGCTCGATTTTGGCACCATTTCGGAAAGCATGAAAAAGGGATGCCGAAATCAAAGTTGGTTTGGCAAACAACATATCACAATAGTGATAATTGAAAATTCTGGGAAGGGTTTTTAAAATCGAGCGGCAACATTTGCTTTGTTAAGATCCATTTGGATCAAACGCACAAACGGCAGCATTTTGTTCGATCACACGCGGCCCAACCTGTTATCGTGCAGAGAAGCGGAGAAGGGGAATTCAATTTTCAAGTGGAGATGGCACCGGTCCTGCAGATCAAATTAGTTTATGCGAAAATATCGCAGATCGAGTTGAGAAACCAAGCTACAGGTGCTGTCACTGTGCTGATACGTGTGTCAATTGCTTAAATATCTACGGTATAAGAGCTTCATTGACATAATTCAGAATATTTCTTTTTGCGGACATTGTTCCCATGTGCTCACATCGGCCTTCATCAGTTGCGCTTTCTTTGTTCTGTCGCCATTGCAACATGGTTTACTGAGACTGACACCCTGGACTCGTGGAGTAATACGTGAGCGTTTATTTTCATACCAATATTAAATACATGGTTTCAAAATACAAAACTGATACAAAGGGGCAGGGCAAAGGTAGGGAAACTTTCTATCTTACAACAAGATAAAAGAGAGTGCGCAAAGTCTGAAGCACGTCGCGTCAGCAATCAACCTTAGATTATAATGCACGTTGTAAAGTAATTGTAGTGGACATTTGTTGCTGATGGCAGCATGAATGAGGTGGCGCAGTCCTTCTTTGCATCGCTTACGCGAAAGAAAAGAAAAGGCGGCGGAGTATGCGAGTTTTGTTGCGGGAATTGAGCCAATGAGGTGTTTTCGCAGTCCAAACAGGGTCACAATCGAAGCTTATCGAGCCAATGAGGTGTCTTCGCAGCCAAAAACAGGGTCACAATCGAAGCTCCGCAATTTTTTGACAAAGATATAAAAGAAGGGCGTTTTTACCCATCGTTTGAATTTTTTTTTCTTTAAATCGTCTCGTTCGGAACGATCAGACATAGTCTGGTTGCGAAGACGTCTGGTTTTTGACCGTATTCAGATCTGAGGCTTGGAAAATCGCAAAACCATCCTCGAGGCAGCTGCCAATGAAGGGGTTGTTTTCGTTTCGCGGCTCCGGCTGCTTTTCTTTTTAATTGCCCAAAAAACGTAAATGAAAAAATAAAAATAAAAAGGCTTTGCCTTTACTATTCTTTTCTCAACCTTTTATTGGTTGAATAAATATAAAATGTAGGCTGCTGTCCTGTGGACGACTATACCACTCCATATAAAAAATAAATGAAAAACGCTTTGGTTCCTTCAGATTATGGTCATTTTCACTTTTGATGCCCAAGCGATTTCAAAAATGGTCTGTTACGTCAAAAAGTTGAGCCTGCCAAACAAAAATAGGCGACCACAAAGATACATGAAGACAAAATCACTAGCTTAGCTTAGAAGACATAGAATATGATCGTTAATCGGTCCCTCTGTTCAATAAAGAGTTCCAAAGATCCCTCTTCGTTTTCGGAGTCATGGTCCACGTTCATTTCGTTCTGGTTTTCAGCGTTGCTGGATGAGGTATCCGGCTCGCTGAAAAAATTAGTGGCGTTGGTGGGGACAGTCGACTTGGCGGGATTACGGCGTTCATCAAAATACTTCGTTACTCTGGCGGGATCAAGACGGAGTGAGGAAGTAGTGTTTCCGAAAAAGGCGGCAATGCTATTGCCGAGCATAGGAGGAAGGCGAGTGCAACCCAAAAACTGCCATATTCATATGTTCTGCCTGTCGCAGCTCGCATCCGCTTGTTTCAATTAACGTCAAAGTAGCCTATAGCTTTTAGTTCCACTGAGGGAGGCCACTCGTGGCATCAAAATCGTCAAGATTGTGAACCTGCAAAGGCGACGAGCAATGAGGTACTGTGTCAGCGACCTGAGATCAATAAAGCTACCTGGGTGTTTATTTTTATAGGTGTGTTTTGCTAAAACTGTAAAATGCATAAAGATAAGGAAGTAGGAGGAGGGAGTTCAGGCTCAGGAAGGGAAAGTGATGTCCCTTTTAGGAGCTTCGATCAGCCATGACTTGTTCCAAACTTTGCAACATGGCGGTGGGTACTTCCAGCATGGAGGCCACATAGGACACGTCGCGTTGCAATTCGTGATGAGATTCGCGATAGCACAGGGCGAACACGGCGACAAACGCGGCAGGAGTCACAGTGAAAGCATGGCTTACTACTCTTCGCGGTTGGAAAGAACCCTTTAGAACTTGCAACTGAGCCTAAAATTGATGAGCCTTAATGATCGTTTATATTTCCCGTTCTGCCAGACGTTTATGATAAATACCTCAGTAAATAAGGTATAACGCCAATCCTTCCGAAATGAACGTGAACCTTATTCTCCGTTTTTTATTTAAAAAACATATGAATGTGGATGATGAAAGTCCCGCTGCCATTCTGAGATGCGCTGCGCAATGTACCGGATAAGCGAATTCCTAGACAGAGGCAGCCATTTTGCTTGCAGCTTTTTGTTGCCTTCCTCACCTCACAATAAACTTGACATCCTCCACAGTATACGACCATACAGCGACCAAAGGATCACGAGCAGCAGTAGCATAGCAAGCTTGACAACGTGTGTTATTGTTCTGGAAAAAAGCGGTGATTAAATGCATGGGCTTTTCAGGATGCACGGCCGCTTTCTGTCCTGCTGAAGGTTTCTTTGGAGAGGGTTGGCGAGGAGATAGTTGGTGATCCGGCGACATTAACATCAACACACCACTCGTCAAAGGCATCCAGTATCGTGAGCATGGTCGGGAGTCGTGTGATCAATGCAGGCAGTTCTTTGAGGCTGCGCGGGATACTTAGATCGCCTATTTTCAGCATGGTATATATAGTGGGGGCAGGCTGCAGAAGGATGTAGAAATGGACAGAGAAGCCGATGACCTGTATCGCCAAGATCCTGTGCGAGCGTTGTGTTTCGGTAGCATTTCTGCAAAAGATTCCTATACGATACAGATCCATACAGATGTAATAAATGTTGTATCGTTGATCGGCTGCCTTTGCTTCCCCGTATCCATGGTTCGAAACGGGCTGGAGGCCACAATATCGCTTGATGGCGAAGTCTGGTCGACCTTGGTGAAGGTCACTATCTTGAAGGGCTTTCATTGTGGTACAGCTCGTTCACCGATAGGTAATACCGCTGTCGGGATCATCGAAAAGGCCGTGCAAGAGGGGATCTGCAAAGTTTGTGGACGTTTCGATTTCATGCAAATCTTCCGTCCAAAGGACTGATGGGAGATTTTCTGCCTATTTGGCAACGTAAAATTAGTAAATGCAACAACCGAAAAAATGTTGGTGGGTATGCTCGGTTCAAAGATTATATTGTTATTATGGAGACGACGATGTCGATATTTACCGTTATGGCGTACTCCGGAAACAGTGGCCAGAGAAAACTAAAAAGCCCCAGGAGACCAAAAGGGACAAAAAGGAAAAAAAGAAAGGGAAGCAAACGCTAATAAACAGTTAGCTGTCTGGAAGTTCCACTCAGCAGCTGCGCTCAAAGTCGTGGCAGTGTGAGGGAGCGAACCAGAAGCAGTGTCACTATCATTCACGAGGAGAAGGGGAATGTTCATGCCAGTAGGCAACAGGATCGTCAGGTTTTGTGTAATCCCCATCGGGATTACACAAGGTTTCAATATGCCAAAGGAGTGTGATGAGGTCTGACCAGAAAGAAGGACAAGGAGCGGTCACCGAAGTTGGTAGGGAGGATAGAGCGGCATCAATAGGATGGGAGGTGGGTGAGTAAGAGGGAAGTGACTCCCATAGTTGAGGGGGGATCGCGTGACAGAAACAAGGTGGCGACGAGAAGTATGGTCTTGCATACAATTGCAAGGGCGTGGTTTACCAGGTAGCCAGCCCATACGCCAGCGTATTAGGTGGGTATGCTCGGGCCAGCCACCAACTCACCCAGCATATATTCAGATAGCCAAATGGTTATGCTGGCCAAAATCACCACCAGCGAATTCAGCATTGCCAAATGGTCATGCTGACCAATCACCATTGTCGGGTAGGCATGAGAATTGCAGGGGTATGCTGAATTTTCTGGATGCTGATTGGTCAGCATACCCATTTGGCTATGTTGAATATGATGGGTGGTGATTGGCCAGCATACCCATTTGGCTATGCTGAAATATTGCTGGGTGGTGATTGGCCAGCATAGCCAAATGGGTATGCTGGAATTGATGGGTGGTGATTGGCCAGCCTACCCATTTGGCTATGCTGAATTCGCTGGTGGTGATTTTGGCCAGCATAACCATTTGGCTATGCTGAATATGCTGGATGAGTTGGTGGCTGGCCCGAGCATACCCACCAACATTTTTTCGGTTGTTGCATTTACTAATTTTACGTTGCCTAATAGGCAGAAAATCTCCCATCAGTCCTTTGGACGGAAGATTTGCATGAAATCGAAACGTCCACAAACTTTGCAGATCCCCTCTTGCACGGCCTTTTCGATGATCCCGACAGCGGTATTACCTATCGGTGAACGAGCTGTACCACAATGAAAGCCCTTCAAGATAGTGACCTTCACCAAGGTCGACCAGACTTCGCCATCAAGCGATATTGTGGCCTCCAGCCCGTTTCGAACCATGGATACGGGGAAGCAAAGGCAGCCGATCAACGATACAACATTTATTACATCTGTATGGATCTGTATCGTATAGGAATCTTTTGCAGAAATGCTACCGAAACACAACGCTCGCACAGGATCTTGGCGATACAGGTCATCGGCTTCTCTGTCCATTTCTACATCCTTCTGCAGCCTGCCCCCACTATATATACCATGCTGAAAATAGGCGATCTAAGTATCCCGCGCAGCCTCAAAGAACTGCCTGCATTGATCACACGACTCCCGACCATGCTCACGATACTGGATGCCTTTGACGAGTGGTGTGTTGATGTTAATGTCGCCGGATCACCAACTATCTCCTCGCCAACCCTCTCCAAAGAAACCTTCAGCAGGACAGAAAGCGGCCGTGCATCCTGAAAAGCCCATGCATTTAATCACCGCTTTTTTCCAGAACAATAACACACGTTGTCAAGCTTGCTATGCTACTGCTGCTCGTGATCCTTTGGTCGCTGTATGGTCGTATACTGTGGAGGATGTCAAGTTTATTGTGAGGTGAGGAAGGCAACAAAAAGCTGCAAGCAAAATGGCTGCCTCTGTCTAGGAATTCGCTTATCCGGTACATTGCGCAGCGCATCTCAGAATGGCAGCGGGACTTTCATCATCCACATTCATATGTTTTTTAAATAAAAAACGGAGAATAAGGTTCACGTTCATTTCGGAAGGATTGGCGTTATACCTTATTTACTGAGGTATTTATCATAAACGTCTGGCAGAACGGGAAATATAAACGATCATTAAGGCTCATCAATTTTAGGCTCAGTTGCAAGTTCTAAAGGGTTCTTTCCAACCGCGAAGAGTAGTAAGCCATGCTTTCACTGTGACTCCTGCCGCGTTTGTCGCCGTGTTCGCCCTGTGCTATCGCGAATCTCATCACGAATTGCAACGCGACGTGTCCTATGTGGCCTCCATGCTGGAAGTACCCACCGCCATGTTGCAAAGTTTGGAACAAGTCATGGCTGATCGAAGCTCCTAAAAGGGACATCACTTTCCCTTCCTGAGCCTGAACTCCCTCCTCCTACTTCCTTATCTTTATGCATTTTACAGTTTTAGCAAAACACACCTATAAAAATAAACACCCAGGTAGCTTTATTGATCTCAGGTCGCTGACACAGTACCTCATTGCTCGTCGCCTTTGCAGGTTCACAATCTTGACGATTTTGATGCCACGAGTGGCCTCCCTCAGTGGAACTAAAAGCTATAGGCTACTTTGACGTTAATTGAAACAAGCGGATGCGAGCTGCGACAGGCAGAACATATGAATATGGCAGTTTTTGGGTTGCACTCGCCTTCCTCCTATGCTCGGCAATAGCATTGCCGCCTTTTTCGGAAACACTACTTCCTCACTCCGTCTTGATCCCGCCAGAGTAACGAAGTATTTTGATGAACGCCGTAATCCCGCCAAGTCGACTGTCCCCACCAACGCCACTAATTTTTTCAGCGAGCCGGATACCTCATCCAGCAACGCTGAAAACCAGAACGAAATGAACGTGGACCATGACTCCGAAAACGAAGAGGGATCTTTGGAACTCTTTATTGAACAGAGGGACCGATTAACGATCATATTCTATGTCTTCTAAGCTAAGCTAGTGATTTTGTCTTCATGTATCTTTGTGGTCGCCTATTTTTGTTTGGCAGGCTCAACTTTTTGACGTAACAGACCATTTTTGAAATCGCTTGGGCATCAAAAGTGAAAATGACCATAATCTGAAGGAACCAAAGCGTTTTTCATTTATTTTTTATATGGAGTGGTATAGTCGTCCACAGGACAGCAGCCTACATTTTATATTTATTCAACCAATAAAAGGTTGAGAAAAGAATAGTAAAGGCAAAGCCTTTTTATTTTTATTTTTTCATTTACGTTTTTTGGGCAATTAAAAAGAAAAGCAGCCGGAGCCGCGAAACGAAAACAACCCCTTCATTGGCAGCTGCCTCGAGGATGGTTTTGCGATTTTCCAAGCCTCAGATCTGAATACGGTCAAAAACCAGACGTCTTCGCAACCAGACTATGTCTGATCGTTCCGAACGAGACGATTTAAAGAAAAAAAAATTCAAACGATGGGTAAAAACGCCCTTCTTTTATATCTTTGTCAAAAAATTGCGGAGCTTCGATTGTGACCCTGTTTTTGGCTGCGAAGACACCTCATTGGCTCGATAAGCTTCGATTGTGACCCTGTTTGGACTGCGAAAACACCTCATTGGCTCAATTCCCGCAACAAAACTCGCATACTCCGCCGCCTTTTCTTTTCTTTCGCGTAAGCGATGCAAAGAAGGACTGCGCCACCTCATTCATGCTGCCATCAGCAACAAATGTCCACTACAATTACTTTACAACGTGCATTATAATCTAAGGTTGATTGCTGACGCGACGTGCTTCAGACTTTGCGCACTCTCTTTTATCTTGTTGTAAGATAGAAAGTTTCCCTACCTTTGCCCTGCCCCTTTGTATCAGTTTTGTATTTTGAAACCATGTATTTAATATTGGTATGAAAATAAACGCTCACGTATTACTCCACGAGTCCAGGGTGTCAGTCTCAGTAAACCATGTTGCAATGGCGACAGAACAAAGAAAGCGCAACTGATGAAGGCCGATGTGAGCACATGGGAACAATGTCCGCAAAAAGAAATATTCTGAATTATGTCAATGAAGCTCTTATACCGTAGATATTTAAGCAATTGACACACGTATCAGCACAGTGACAGCACCTGTAGCTTGGTTTCTCAACTCGATCTGCGATATTTTCGCATAAACTAATTTGATCTGCAGGACCGGTGCCATCTCCACTTGAAAATTGAATTCCCCTTCTCCGCTTCTCTGCACGATAACAGGTTGGGCCGCGTGTGATCGAACAAAATGCTGCCGTTTGTGCGTTTGATCCAAATGGATCTTAACAAAGCAAATGTTGCCGCTCGATTTTAAAAACCCTTCCCAGAATTTTCAATTATCACTATTGTGATATGTTGTTTGCCAAACCAACTTTGATTTCGGCATCCCTTTTTCATGCTTTCCGAAATGGTGCCAAAATCGAGCAGTGGTTATAAGTAGGTTGTGTAATGAAATTATAAGCAAGGCTACGAAAAGCATCAAGATCTGCAAAGCTTTCTGCTAAACTTTCTGTCACTCATAACATAGGGAGTCAACAACAAAATCCATAGGCCACATTCCGTTCTAACCAACAAACTGTCCTTGGTCATTTCCATAAAAATTGCACATCCATTTTGAATGGCTGCAACACGCTAAGAAGAAGAAAAAAAAAGATCTGTGGCCAACGGTTATTCTTGGCCAAGACGTTCGCCTAATTAAAAAGCGATGAAACTGGGTTAGACTTCCGATTTCCCGATTTTCATGCGTGGTGGATGGAACTGATGCATTTTATGATTCGATGCCGACCAAGAGGCAATCTCGGGGGCACGTATAGGCCTTAGTTTTATTACTGGACAGAAAAAAACAAAAATGTACAAAAGAAGATAAGCTGTTAACTATGAGTATTTTTTGGTAAATTGCCATTACTAGAAAAAGAATGAAGAATAAGAAGTCATGACATGGTTATTTAAGATTGACTACACCAAGGCTGAGCTTCGATGTCGTCAATGCGAAGTCGCTTTTGGGGCTTCGGTATAAGTAATTGCTCGACAACATGTCTAGCTTGTTCGCTTGGCGCCAAGGAAGGATTCTTGGTCCACTCAGATGGCCATTTCACGTCCGCTCTCACAATGCGATAAAACAACTGCGACACGCGCTCGCCTCGATTGGGATTATACCGAAAAGGTAAATACCCAACCAGCAAAGCATACAGTATAATCCCCAACGCCCATGTATCCGTTAAACGGCCATCGTACCCCAGATTTTGCACAATTTCCGGTGCGGCATATTCTTCACTACCGCATCGCGTTTGTAACATGGGCGATGCCGGATCGACTACCCGCGCCAATCCAAAATCGGTCACTTTGAGATGTGGTTGGTCATTTTCCATGTGAATAAGAATATCTACACAAGACCAGACTTCGCCATCAAGCGATATTGTGGCCTCCAGCCCGTTTCGAACCATGGATACGGGAAGCAGCCGATCAATTGATACAACATTTATTACATCTGTATGGATCTGTATCGCATAGAAATCTTTTGCAGAAATGCTACCGAAACACAACGTTCGCACAGGATCTTGGCCATACAGGTCATCGGCTTCTCTGTCCATTCTACATCCTTCTGCAGCCTGCCCCCACTATATATACCATGCTGAAAATAGGCGAGCTAAGTATCCCGCGCAGCCTCAAAGAACTGCCTGCATTGATCACACGACTCCCGACCATGCTCACGATACTGGATGCCTTTGACGAGTGGTGTGTTGATGTAAATGTCGCCGGATCACCAACTATCTCCTCACCAACTCTCTCCAAAGAAACCTTCAGCAGGACAGAAAGCGGCCGTGCATCCTGAAAAGCCCATGCATTTAATCACCGCTTTTTTCCAACAATTATTTCCTGGTTCGTGTCACGGAATCTGTTTTAGCCTTTCTTTGCCGCCATGCCAAGACTAACAAGCGCACACTACGTCATAGGCCTATGCTCTGACCGTTTGCGGAAAAAACAGAATTGTGTCACCTTGGCACCGAGGAGCTTAATATAAAGAGTTTCATCAACCGGGGATTGCAAGTTTCAACATTTACCAAACTCTCATTCTCAACTTTTACATTATGTTTAATCAATTTAAAGAACAAGCAGCCAAAGCAGCACAAGGTAAGTTGCTTCGACAAAGACTTTGCTTGTTTTACTGAGAACTAACGAGTTTTCGCCTCTACTAGGTGCAACCTCTTTTGGACAACAAGCGGGTCGTTCTATCAATGACTTTACACAGAAAAGCGGTAAGAAGCACCTCTATTTCAGCCTGAGAAACACTCGTACTAAACCTAAAGTCGCAGGCGCTGGCAAGATCAATAGTCCAGTTCTGGGCACCTTGTCCGATGAGTGCCACAAGGCTGCTGGAATCTTGGGCGAGTTTATCAGTAAGTCGGGCGTTTTATTCGATATGTGTCAGTCGGTTAACACTTGAATTCGTCATTCACAGAGAAAGAAGAAATTGAAAATGGCTTCGATACGATTATTCCAGTTTCTGTCATCAAAAACGCCAAAGGACTAGCTATTTTCACCGTGGTGAAAGCCGGATTCTTGTGGAGCGGACGTGCAGGTAGTGGCATTGTCGTGGCAAGGTAAAGATGCATACAAACCCTTTTATCCGATGCTTTTGCTAAGATACATTGTTTGCGATAGATTACCTGATGGACGTAAGTGGGACGAGATAGGGAAAGAGGAAAAGGGAACAGTGATATTCACATGCGCCTTACAGGATGGAGTGCACCCACAGCAATTGCCACCGGAGGCATCGGATTTGGAGCGCAAGTGGGAGCGGACATTACCGATTTCGTTCTGATCCTCAACAGCGACGAAGCCGTTAAAGCTTTCAGCAAAGGAGGTAATGTCACCTTGGGTGGCAACCTAAGCGTGAGCGCTGGACCGATCGGCGCCGGCGGTGAGGCTTCTATTGCTGGTGACATCAAAGCCGGCAAAGTCGCTCCCATGTTCTCATACAGTCGTTCCAAGGGTCTGTTTGCAGGTAAGCTTGTGGATTGGATCAGAGATAGATAAAAGGAAAAGTCACTTATCGGGGACCAATACGTAGGAATGAGCATTGAAGGAACCGCACTTGTTGAACTGTCCAAATCCAACACGAAATTTTATGGTCGAGCTATCAAAGCGGAGCAGATTCTCAAAGGTGAAGTAGCACCTCCAGAAGAAGCTGCCGTATTATACGATACAATCAAACGCGCCGAGGAACGTGATCCTTATTAGTGAATTTTGACTGGGATCGTATGACTTTGTAATTCGAAAATACCCGCAGATCAAGAACGTAAAGTCTCGTATTGTACATAATATAGTAAACTGCACAAAAAAATATAGTCGTTTTCAGATTTTCTCTAAAGATCCCCTTCTCTCATGAGCTTCTTTACAGCGAATGGTGCGGAATAACCGGCCAATGATTTGCTATGCTCTCTTAAAAACGTTGCATTGCTTGTGCGGAGGGGCCGTGAGGCACAGCCTCGTTGGTGTGGCCCTGTCGGACCTTTAAAAAGTTTTGTGTGGTGTTGAATTTCACTGTCACAGTTGGTGAAATTCTTGGATGAGATTTTCATGCTTCGGGCGAGCATCTCCAACTAATCTCGGACTCTTTAAACGTCATGGATCTTTTTCATTTGCTTGGTAGTGGGGCTTCATTTGACAAGAAGCGTTTCAAAGGAGACATTGAGCTGTTCGATGTAAGTCACTCTTTTTCTGTTCTCCCGAGTCGGTTCGTTTACTGATCGCTCCTTCTTGGCCACCAGGCTCGGCAAGCCGCTGCAGAGAAAAAGAACGCCGCCGCTACAGATCCACAACTTCGATCCCAACTTTTAGATGAATTGGATTTTTTCAAAACGACGCATACTGTGGTTGGTGAAACGAAAAAGTCGAAACGCACAGACGCCGACAGCGCCACCACCGAGGAGCCAGCCTCCAAGAAGCCTAAATCATCCACCATTGTCACCATCAACACCCTGGAAGAGGCAAAGCAATTCCGAAAAGAACAAAAGATTCGAGTCTATGGATCAGACATTCCATTGCCATTCACCTCATTCGAAGATTTAGCCACTGGATCGTACGGTCTGGACTCATTATTGTACAAGAACTTGAAAAACAACAAGTACGATCAGCCCACGCCCATTCAGATGCAGTCCATTCCCATCATGCTAAAGGTATGTTTTCTCCAAACAATGGGCGACTGGAAGTCTCGGTTTGGCTAATAAGGTTCATCTTTATGTTTGCAGGGTCGAGATCTGATGTCCTGTGCACCTACGGGTTCCGGTAAAACATTGGCGTATTTGTTGCCTATTGTGGAGGATTTGAAGAAACCGGAAAAGGCTGGATATCGAGCATTGATCATTGCCCCCACTCGCGAACTCGCCCATCAGATTGATCGCGAACTTCAGAAATTAGCGGTGGGCACTAAACTGCGAACCAATGTGTTGACAAAGACAACTGCAGCTGACAAAGCGCAAGATCCTCAATCACGGAAGAAGTTTGACATTTTGATCACAACTCCCTTACGACTTGTGTATGCCATCAAAGAAGATAAAGTCGATCTGAGCCACGTTCGACATTTGGTTCTGGATGAAGCCGACAAACTGCTGGATGGTGGATTCCTGGAACAGACCGATGAAATCTTTGCAGCCTGCAGTGCTCCAACTGTGCGTAAATCGCTGTTCAGTGCCACCTTTTCATCCACTGTCGAAGAGTTGGCCAAGAGTGTTATGAAAGATCCTATTCGTGTGGTCATTGGTTCAAAGTGAGTAGGATGACCAGGAGCCGGATTCTCGAGTACTAATGATAACTCATTCATTTTTTGTAGGAATGCTGCCACAGATACAATCGACCAAAAATTATTGTTTACCGGAACGGAGGCAGGCAAAAAGGTGGCCTTGCGTCAATATATCCAAGGAGGCATCAAGCCGCCTGTATTGATTTTTGTTGAATCGATCGAACGCGCCAAGCAACTGTTTCACGAACTCGTCTACGATGGCATCAATGTCGAGGTCATCCATTCCGAGCGAACCAAAGCACAGGTATATCTATTAAATCCTGAGAGAGTAGCAAAAACAGAGAGAAAGGGGAAACTTACGGGACGCTTGTCTTTATCTTTTAGCGTGATCGTATTATTGATCAATTTCGCCTGGGCAAAATCTGGGTGCTTATTGCCACTGATCTGATGGCTCGTGGTCTGGATTTCAAAGCGGTCAATTTAGTTATCAACTATGACTTTCCTCAAAGCGTTGCAAGCTATATTCATCGAATCGGTAAGATCAACCTTGAATTCAAGGGTTTATGTGCTTGATAAAGATGTTAATATGCTTGCGGATGTATCACAGGTCGTACCGGTCGTGCCGGACGCACAGGTGAGGCCGTCACCTATTACAGCAAAGAAGATTTACCCTATTTAAGAAAGTAAGCAAACGAATGTTGCGATGGAATTTGTGCCCTGGTGCTGATCTTTTACTCTTTATCATTAGAATTGTCAACGTGATGAAGGAATCAGGCTGTGAAGTGCCCGATTGGATGTTGACATTGAAGAAAGAAAAGCTGAAAAGACCAAAGAAGCAGACCAATAAGAAGGATGATAAGAACAAATCCAAAGACGGCAAAACCGATAAGAAGCCATCGGGCAAAAAGCCAAAACTCAGTGAAGACAACGAAACGGCATCAGCATAGAATAAAAAAAAATAGCATCCTGTATTTTTTGCATTTTCCATTATATTACCTTTTTTTTCATGTATTTATGACCATTCACTATTCTGCTTTCAAATGAAGAGATAAAAAAGACATGGCATTGCACATAGATCAAGTTATAAATCTACAACTGCGCCAAAAGTCTCAAGCATCGGCTGGGACATGGCTTTTTTACATTACATTAAAATATCAATAGGAAATGGACGACAAGTGCATTGTGAATTCGTTATTCAAAAATGTCAACGTTTATCGTAGCCATTTTGTAATAACATGGTGGTATCGTCTCGATTAAAATGAGTGCTATTGCTGGATTGGAAGCTTAGATCGTCAGTGGCTCCAGATCCGTGTCGTTGATCACGAGACACGGAAGGGTGCAAGCTGTAGTTATCCCCACTGCTCAATGGTGCTTCGTAAGGTTGATTGGTTGATCCGGCTACGCGACTGTCAGTAAATGGATCAGTGGCTTCGCCTCTCTCAAAATCATTGGCTTGAAGCTCCACGGGACCGATGCGTACGGCAAATGGATGATGGCAAGTAGCGTGGGCTAACGAAGGATGGTACTGTCGATACGCAAAATAGGCTGCGGATGTACCCAGTAAGGCTCCGATAAATACATCATGCCAGTGGTGACGATAGTCTCGGGTGCGAGAAATGGCGACGAGTAATGCCCCTATTAATGGGAAAGCAAATAGGAACCCTTTATATGTATGCTATCATGTGTCTTAGCCTTCGTTCAACCCAGCCAACGGTCATGTTAATCCAAACTTACTCCGCGCTCATCGAACATGCGCATCTTGCCGGCCAGATAAAAGGCAAGATATCCCAATCCAGAAAATGAAACTAAACATGGAAAATTGGGTTAGCAAAAAAAGAAATTTGAAAAAGTCATGAGATGGATCGATGTGCGATGTGTGTATGTGTGTGCTTGTGTTTGGGATTGTGTCTGTGTAGGAGGGTATCGACTCACATGAGGAATGTCCGCTTGGGAAGCTTTTAAACCCGTCCTTCATGATATGTGTATTGAAAGGGGTAGCGCAAATGGTGTAATTGCTCAGTCCCAGAGGAGGATCGACGGAGCCAGCAACAGGCTGACATCGACTTAGAAAATCCGGTCTTGGTCTGCCGGCCGTGATCTGATACATGAGGGCATATGTTTAATTAAGTATCTTAATTTTATACTGCATGCATTGTCGGATCCTTCAATTAATTTTTTCTTGTCTTACCTTGATAACATCTGTCATCATAATGGTGATGGAAAGGCCCAAACAAAGACCTAAAATGCCGCTGTGAAAATCATGGACACTCCTTCGAAGTCCCAGAGATACACCAGCAATCACCAATATTGGACCGAAAAAACAGATAACCTTTCCATAGACTCTTTCAGTACTTTGGCAGTAAAGGTTTTTTTTCAGCAGGGTTCTATATGACTGCTTACCACCAGCAACCACACAGGGACAGATTCTTGGTGTGCATAAGGGAACATGATCGTCTTATCTGTCAATGAAAACTCGCGGCGAAAAGGAGGTATCACATCGATGGCAAAGAAAACGGCCGTCATAATGACGACCAGTAACCAATCGTATAGATAGGAAAGTACAATACGTCGTTGACGAGGATTCTTCCAGTCGGTTCCCAGCATTGAGTATAAAAGATGAATAAAAAAAAACCACGAGCCAAAAAACCAGGGCTATAAGGAGAAGAATAGCAGAACTAGAAACCGACTTTTTCAAGTCACGATCAAGGAGAATGGAACCGCCAAGACCCATTGTTGCTTACGTCGGTCTTTCTATTTTTACCAATGATGGTTGTGCAACCTTGGTTACCGTAACCCAGGAATATCCAGAACGAACGGAAACCAAATGATCGACTTCCGACTTGATCAACTGCATAAACCGCAATTTGCTTTTTATTTACATATCGGTTGACGACGGCAAACTAGCAACATTTTAAAAACGCATGCAATCTGTCATCTACGGTAAGTTTCTCAATATCGTTCAAGATTTTTGTACGCTGTTCTTTGTTATTCCAAACCGATCGTTGCTGAAGGCTTTCCTGGAGATCAGCTTTTTTACGATCCATGGCTCGGATGCGCGTCTCAAACTCGTAGAACAATTCTTCGGCCCGTTCCAAAGTACGCTCCAATGGGATGTGGCCTGTGAGATCGTTGATATACTAAAATAAAAAACGCAAGTTTTCCATAGTAATTTTGAATTAGTAACATTCTTGGCAATACAAAGTTTGGGCCCGTTTACCCTTAGCAACTCGTCAAATTGTTTTAAATCGTCGATAATCGTTTGTCGATGCTGATCCAATACGGCCAGAGCGACAAATAACAAAAAGTGAGGCGACAGATAGTTGGTCCACAATGTTTCCCACAACCGGATGACGTCTTGCCATTCAAATTCTCGTTTGAACCATACAAGAATCCAGCGAAAACAGAAGAACAGGTTCGATGTTTCTGTTGCCCGAAAATGCTCATAGAGAGGCGGATCCATGAAACGAATGAGAGCGTCCAGGTTTTTGAGTTGATTATGCATGCCTGATTGGTCGGTGAAGAAGTTGGATTGCTGTAGGAGGAAAATAGGAAAGTGTGAGTAACCTGGGTTATTTCTTCTTGTGTAATTTGTATTACCAATTGATCCATGAATCTGACAAAGCCCCAGAACGCCATGGCTTCATCTCCCATGGCGACAAAGAGCGGCGCCAAAAGATCCGACATGCCTTGCACATAGCCAAGATCGGTGTTGTAAAAGTTGTAGGTCACCAAAATATCCTTCATGATTTCCAGATTGGCGTTTGTCCCCACTGTCATGTCAGGATCCGGGTTGGGCATATCTTCACCAGCAAAAAAATCGATGGAGCGATCAGTGCGGTGAACATCCTTATCTACTTGTGAAGCATGCATCAGCGACATATGTTTCTTTGTAGCCCGTTTCTGTTGTTTCCCATACCGATGCGATGTTTTTCATCAGTGAATTCTTTTGTATTACGCGTCTCCATATCATTGAACCACCGCGCTTTGATCCGGAAATACTCCTCTCTGTTTAGAAAATGCAGTTAGACGACGAAATACATCAACCGAGGCGGTTTAACGTGATGAACGTACGTTTTACTTTGGCGAATAGCCTCACGTTCGTCAAATGTACTATCCCAAGGATAAATTTCCAGCAGAAACTTCCACGCCTCGATGCGAATGTCAGCATCCAAACCGCCTTGGAAGATCAGTTGATACATATGCGCTTGAGTCACTTTCAGCTGGCCGTCGTCATTGAAGCAGTGAATCCATTCCTCAGGCGATACAGGCGACCTTCGGGTGTGCTTTCGACGGGGCTATACACCCATCCAAAAAAAAGTCAGACCAGGCTCATTATCCACTAAATGGCACCACAGTAACTCACCTGCTGTAACTCGGGTGCATCGGCCAGTAACCCTTCGGGATCTTGCAAACGCCAGGATTCAGTGGCTGTGGGCTGATTTGGATGGTCAGGAATCCTAATTATTTTGAACTGTCATTCGCATGTTCAATATGGCAAGGTTATACATTAGGGGCCAATCCCTACCAGCGTGCCAAGTATTGCTGCGCTACGTCATATTCGTTCAATGTCCTTCGAACCATAGCGTGGCTAGTAAGTGCATTTACAGACGGTGTGATTAAAGGTATCAGGGATTGTGCCAAAGAGTTTTCCACCAGTTGAGCTACGGTCGACAGATATGAGCTAGCTGACCATTTTTGTAAATACAATAAACGATAATGTACCTGCTGTACTGCGGGAAATTTTGGTGATCTGTGACAAGCGTTCCATAACATTCCAATGAACCTCGTTTAGCGTTGATTGTAGTGATGGCTGCAGTGGTGGCTGCAATGGTGGCTGCAGTGGTGGATCATGGTTATTGTTAGTCATTGTTGCGCTTTCTGTATCCGTTATGTCTTTCGAGGGAGGGTTCACTCCCATCAATATGTGGACATGTTCATCTTTCAACGATCTTGCATGATGTAAGTTTATGCTGTCCCTCTCATTTACCGTTGTCCTACGCATGCAAACATCTACCTTTCTAATCGGACAAATGCCCCCAGAATATCTAGCACATCAAAGCCGGGCCATACTGAGGATGACGGGGTAGCAGACATGGGATACCACAAGGGTTGAAGTTTTTCTCCTTCTTGGGTGGTGATAACGAGATGTGGTTTTTCCCCAATTTTGAGTGGGCTTACGAAAAGCGAATAGACTTTGGTCAATGGGATCACCATTGTCTCGCAGTCACCCATATTCAGTTGCACTGTTGGAAAGTCTAAAAACATTGCAAGTTGAATAAAAGCCCTATTCATTCGTCGAATTTATTTTTCAATGCTGGATTCAAAGCTATTTACCTTGATCGGAGGCTAATATACCATCCAGTGCCAGGAATTGATCCAGATCTTTGGGTTCAATCAGATATTCCGGGATCCATGCCAACAGGATGTCAACGCCCACCTAATAAAAATATAAGCATCAGTATATGGCAACCTAAAAGTATTTTTGCTATATACCGTTTTCCCGGACAGGATTGCAAAAAATCCATGAAGTGAACTTGCGTCGCCTGATTCCAAGTAGAAACCGGACTTGGTGTATATCAAGCGTACGGTGTGTGCCTGAGTTCGGGGCACAGTATGCGAAGAGGAGCTACAAGGACTACGACTGTTCATAGTCAAGGGTAAAGAGAGATCTGGTGGTAGAACGGCATAAGCGTCAGGATCATAAGTGGGGTAAAGTGATGCATGCTGTGTACAGTTATGACATGTTGAAGCATAAAAATGTCAGACAGATCGTCGTGTTTCATGTCAAAATCAGCCACTTACGTATTGTTCGTATCGAGAGGAAGAAGGAAGAGAAGTGGAAGGACAGGGAGGAGGAGGAGAAGAAGAAGGGGTTGTTGCTGGATACATGGTATGGCAAAGAAGCAATGTTAACGATGAATGGAGTGAAGCTGATTGAAGCGAAAATAAAGTATTCCTTGGATTGGCGCCAAGCTTTCATTACAAAAAAGTAGAATTGGGTTCCCGCGAGATGGTCAGTGATCTGTGTGATTGGACGCTTGGCGCATTGACTTTTTTTATCTGTTTTTGGACATTGAGACCAACCCATTTTTGGGGCAAGAAAAAAATAGAATGGCCGGTTCGGACTAATGCGATGAAAAAAAAAAGTGGCACAGAATCCAGGGCTCAGTTGCAGATGCACATGGACAAATGCCCGAATTTCTAGACATTTTCGGCCCCAGCGACTTTGTCCCCTTTTTGCTTTCAATTTTTTTTGGCGCTGTCCCTCTTTCTCTCTTCTTCTTTACAGCCAAACCCTGAACTAGCATTTTAACACGTTTTTTCCGTCCCCAGTGCCACAGCGCTAAAGAGCAAACTTAGATATCCGCATAAAACTCCTACGTCTCTTCTGTTTATTATAAATATCAACCCTTCTCGCGGTCCATCATGGGCTCCAAAGTCTCTCGACAACGCAAACGACAATCCAATTCGCCTTCCAAGAAAATGGACGCCAAAAAGGTCATACCCTCCTCGCCCGTGAACTCTACCGCAAGCGAGAAATACCATACCGTTTCGTCGTCCTCGTACTGGTTGGCAAAAGATAATGAAGAACAGGATCGTTTGATGGGCGTAAGTCTATACACAGTAGCAAATCATGCATGAAACAACCCTGGTGACACTGACCTTCAATTAGCAACACTTTGCTGTGAAGGAAGGATTTGGAGGGTATGTCAACTGCCAAGCAACGCACATAACACCCTTTTTTTTTTCAAAAAGGAAAAAAAAAAAAAAAAAAAAAACCCAATTAAGAATATAAGAAAAAAAAACGAATCATTTAACGATTGACGACCCGAAAAGAAACATATTCACTCATCGGTCGTTTGGATAGAAATGTTTTGCCAAAGGTGCTGGAGGTGGTGCGGTTCGATGCCGGTACGAAATGTTTGGATGTGGGTTGTGGTCCAGGCACCTGGTGTTTGGATATGGCTACGGAATATCCCGAATGTCAAATCTACGGTGTTGATATGAGTGACATTTTTCCCGAAGCCATTCGTCCGCCCAATACCCATTTCATGCAAGCCAATGTCCTGGAAGGTTTGCCCTTTGAAGATAATACCTTTGATTTCGTTCAAGCTCGACTTCTTGTCGCTGCCCTGAAGGTCGAACAGTGGCCACTCGTCATCAAGGAATATCTTCGCGTTCTGAAACCTGGTGGCATCCTGCAAATGCTTGAACCTGATTACAAGGTAACTTTTTCTTTCTTCTGGAGAACCTGACCCGCTGAAAAGATAGAAATGATCGCCACTGGCCAGAGTGGCCCGTTCGTTTGTGTTTGCTGACAGGTAAATTTCACTAGGAAACCGGTGGTGGAGCTTCCTTGAAACTGGTTCAGACAGTGATCAAGCTGTGTCATATGAGGGGCCAGAATCCTCACATTGGAGCTGATCTAGCTCGCTTGATGGAAGAAGCTGGCTTGACGATACTTGAGAACCGTTATTCGACTATCGACCATAGCGAGGACACCAAACTGGCGGCGGAATGGATCTGGGACTGGTGCTATTTTGCAAAGGTGACTTGCGAAGTCATTGGACCCGTGGTGGGCGTTTCCCAAGAAGACTACCCTCAATTCCTGAAAGATATTGAATCATCCATGAAGGAGTATCACTTTACAACTCACGGTTACTGTGTGGTTGGACAAAAATCATCGTAATTTTACTAAAAAGCTAGAATAAACAAACATTTTGCATTTTTCGCTTTTTTCGTTTTTGCATAAATTCAATACTTTCTATACATGTTTATTGTAACAGCTTCTTTACGGCATCACTCACGGCTTTCTTATCAGCTTTGGCAGCGTCCACTGTCCATGCCTTCATCACTTTACCCATATCACGCAGGGTGGTGGCTCCCACTTGTTCAATCAATGCTTTGACCTGCTTTTCAATCTCTTCCACAGACATTTGTTCAGGCAAATAGCTTTGCAACACCTTCATTTCATTTTTCTCTTGCTCGGCTAATTCCGGTCGACCACCCGCTTCATATTGAGCCACTGAGTCCTGTCGTCGCTTGATCGATTTCTGAATAACCGATAAAACCGCAGCATCCTCGCTTTGTCCAGGCACAGCATTAGGCGATTTGATGTAGTACGTGTAATCGCTCAACACGCCCTTGAGCACATTCAGATCAGGCTGCTTCTTGGAACGCATCAACGTTTTGCGGTCTTCTTTGAGACGGGCCAACAAGGATCCTTCGCCACAGTGACAGCCAGTGTTAGCCAAAGCCCTAATACAAAGCCATGTGGTATTTCTGCTGTACCTTCAACATTGGCGCTGTAAAAACGGAGGGTAGCGTACACACCCGTTCGGAGAGATAAAGAACACCGGCTAAGAAGTGACATGGAGGGTAATTCGAAGGTTTAGGAAGTGAGCTTCTGCCCGAGACCACCCATCTCTCCGCCTCCCTTGTTGGGATGCGTTCTAAGCCACTTGATTCTCACTTCATTTGGATGGGGTTTAAAGCCCGCAATACCCGATGTTAATGCCACACAGGGCGTCAAGACACGTCTGTCATATGTGTTGGGATTCGTGGGGGATGCTATTGAACCAAATTGTGCACTGGTATGGACTCCATTCGCATTAATTAACGTGACTAATGGTATTTATTTTTTGCGGAAAGCCAACAGTACCATGTGCGAATAAAGACGGATATCCAAACCTTCGGCTGTAAGACATTGCAACTTTTTGAAAATAACCCCCATCAAACGTGCATCGTCGCCGAGTATCACTACTTGACTGTATTCGTCAATCAACCCGTGTACCACCTTCCAATGCTAAAATGTTTTTCCTTTATTCATGGTCAATCATTCCTGTATCCTCTCGGAGACGGATTTTCCGCATCACATACCAATTGAATTGTCAAAAACCATGTGTAACCCCCATATCCAGTCATCGTTCTTATTAAAGAGGAAAGAGGAAGTATGCATCTTTTACTGTACAAAGGGCGGAAACTAAAAGATATAAAAGAAAGAAAAAAAGGTTCAAAGAAAATAGAGAGAGAAAAGAAAGACGGAAAAAGAAAGAATATTTCAAGTAGAATTATTGTTGCAATTGTTGCTGGTAAGCAGCTTCCTGACCTTCCAACACAGGTCCAGTCAGGGGAGTACCAAGATATTGAGAACCATCCACGTTATCGACATTATGGAAATCTAAAATTTCGGAATACATCATCACTGTAAATCCGCGTGATTAGTTTCATGTTTTCTGTTTCGGCTCTTATTTTGGGTCCCATCGATCATTTTACCTTTCCATGTATCCACGGGCAAATCAGCTTCGTTGAAGGACCAATCGAACTTTTCAACTGCAGCAGGCTCGTCCGAAGGATCGTGATAAGGAGCGAGGTAAGGGTGTGCAAGTGCTTCTTCGGCAGTGATACGTTTGCGAGGATCAAAGGTCAACATCTTTTCCAACAAGTCTATCGCTTGGAGATCCTGACCAGCGAATCGCTGGCTGAATGGAATAGGTTCTCGCTTTGGCAGATTCTTCACGAAGCGAAGCGTCTAATCATCAGGAGTCAGTCAAACGTTAGGCAACGCACTCAATTGTGTGAATCAATCATGAAATTGTGCTTACGTTTTCGCTGCAAATGGTGGCCACAACATCGTCAGGGGGAGTACCCAATAATTCAGTGATGATCGAGAATTGATGGACGTCTGAAAAAAAAAACGCGTTAATTTTTTTAATTTCTGATGAATGATGAAACGAAACGCGCAACAGAATACTTACGATCTTTTCCGGGGAAAAGAGGCTTGCCCTCAAGCATTTCAGCAAAGATACAACCAGCACTCCAAATATCAACTAAGAATAAACATCATGGTGTCAGGTTCGATTTCCAAACTGACAACGAAGAACCATGCTTCTACTTTTATAGGCATACTTACCAGCCACGTCGTATTTTTGCCAAGTCAACATAATTTCGGGAGCACGGTAGTATCTGGTAGACACGTAACCAGTCATTTGAGGATCCTGGATACGAGCCAAACCGAAATCGCAAATCTTCAAGTCACAGTTTTCGTTGATCAAGATATTGCTAGGTTTCTGCGGGGAAGAAAGGAAAAAAAAAAGAGGACGTGACACGGTTACACAAATGTGGAAAACTTTCATCAACGTTGTCGCATGGAAATTTACCAAGTCACGATGGATAACGCCGGCGGAGTGAACGTACTTGAGGCCTCTCTATTCGCGTCAACAAGTCGGTCAGTTGAACCATTGCGTGTACAAAATGACATCATTTTCAGGATACGAACGAGAATCTGATATAAAAAGTACTGAATGAACTGCTTTTCCAAAGGTCGTGATTGCAAGAGACGGTGAAGATCGGTGCCGAGAAGTTCAGTGACGAAATAGCTAGGAATGGGGGATTTTTTCCCAGTATGAGAACAGTGACCTTTCCTAATGATGAACCTTTTGCCTCTACAAGACAATACACTTACATATCCTCCAATGGAGAAATAAAGATATCACTCAAACTGATGATCTACAAAATACAGAGAAAAAAAAAAGGATGTCTGTCAGGCCATGCACGGTTTGGGAGTCACTGATTGTCATGTGTTACGTTTTCGTGTTTCAATGCTTTCAATAACTTGAGTTCACGGTATGTACGTTTAGCCAACACAGGTGCGGAAAATGGCTTCATGATCTTCTTGATAGCCACGTTCATACCCGTCAACTGATCTTTTGCAGAGCTATATTTCATACACAGTACCCCAATGTCAGTTTTTCCTCCATTCCCACCGTTCCTTTACGCATGCGTTTTTTGCAACATACCAAACAAGACCGAAAGCACCCATACCAACGGGCTGCAAATCGACATATCTATTCAAAAATAGCAGACCCCGTGAGAAACTTTTATTGACCAAAGTATCCACTGTATGCGTTTACCTTGTGGTGACTTCAAAAACGGTACCGAAAATAGAAAGCTTCACGAATTCGGCCATTATGTTGTTGCTAGTGATTTACCAAGGGAAGCGATTGAGTTTAGAAAAATGAATGTGAGCTGACGATCAGCAAAGCAATGAGTCAACTCACCAGCAAAAGGATGAATGCGGAAAGGAAAAGGGAAATAAGAGAAAAAGGAAACAAGAAGCGGTCAAAAAAAATAACAGCAAGTTGACCGAAGTGGTGGGTTGATCGGCTTTTCCGCAATGTGTTAGGGGCCCAGAACCTTCATTTATGGAAAATGATGTCATTTTCTTACTATTTTCAGCGTTTTAAACCTGCTTAATATTTTTCCTGGCCTCTTTTATTCGTTGATTCGTCCCTCTGCGACTCGAGTGATGAAGCGAAACAGGCCAATTAAAGCGGAGGCTGAGTCATGAAACAAAGAAATAGCATCTCTTGTGTGCCTGAGCTCACTGCATGCCTTCGTTCTTCTGCCCCACCGGAAGCTCTGTTGTTCATCCAGCATGCAACTGGCGGGCGACACCGTCTTCCCGAAGTGAGCTAAACAGATGCACTGGGGAACACAAAACTGACATCAAGATGCCTTTTAAGGAAATCTAGACGACATGAGATGTTTTTTTTCGAAATTGCTGATACGACCCGTCAACTGTATGAAAACGGCAGGTGCGCAAAAACGTCTTGCGATTATCATTCTCAGCCCCAGGTTCCACTTACATGATATGATCCTGCTATGTATCGTTTATTACTTTTGAAACGTCATACCACGACAATCCTTGACCGAATCAACGCCTACGCGGTCTGATGTGTACTTTAACATGGCGCCATGTTGCCAGATAATACACTTTTCCGCTACCGAATAATATAGAAGTTATGATCAACATCCATGTCTGTGTTCCAAATCAAAGATACACACGTCATTCTGTTCTACAAAGATTTGTCGCAGTTCATTTATTACTTCCTTGGCTACGGCCAGGCCCTTCTCAATATCAGAATAAATTCGATCATCCAAAACATATTCAGCCAAGCTAGGCACTCCGTTTTGTATTAACGGTGTGCTCCGTAAGGCATAGGATCCACGAGGAAACTCGATCTGTCTGTGTCTGATTTAAAAAGGCGAAAGCAGAAAAAACCAGATCATTGTCAACCCGCCACTTTCGTCCCACCGTTTTTCAAACTCCCAGAAACAAAACAAATTGAAAATTCAAAATCGAGCATTCACAAATGTCATTTGTCAGTTTGGACGCGAGAAAAGATATTTTTCTTTTGGTCATGTTGTGTGTTGCAATATCTGTACGATAAACAACTCAGGGTGACTGAGCACGGCCAAAATACACTCGTGGTCTATCGATTAAGAGTTCAACTCGTGTGGCGTTTATGAGCTCATTCTTGCATCGTCTGAAAAAGCGAACACGTACTCCGTTGTTTCATGAAGAACAGACTCCTCCCCAAAGACAATAACAACTCTTCCCATTTCAAATATCATAACAAGGTCTGTCTATAATACGTCCCGAAATATTAAAACGCGTCTTAATGCAGAATTCCTTGCCGCATACCCCCCCCCCCACAACAGATTGATGAAGCAGAATATTATATGCGCAACCAAAAGACGGGTTTATCAGACGCAACGCTTGTATTGCATAGGTACTGTACCGTTTTCAATGCATTCCTTTTTTAATGCTCCACCTTATAAGGAGCAGTAAAGTTGCTGCAAGTTAAGATAAGCCCGGAGTGAATCATACAAGCTTGTTTATGCAAACCGATCTGTTGCTTTTCATGGGTTTTCTGTCTTCCCAAATTCTAAATTTCTGCTGTCTTGAGCAAGACGCGCTGATTGATTTCTTTCTTTCTCCCATTTCAGCGAATAATGAGGTTCGATTGCGCAGAATATTGTCCCAACTCAATCCACTTGGCGCGTTCAACGCTATACTACTGTCCATCGCCTACTGTGAAAAGTCTCCTGCATCAGTACGTACTTTTGCTCCTTTAACGAATGCACTGATTTAGCAGAAAAGAAAAGGACATGGAGTCTCATCTGTAGGAGTTCTCTGAGGGACTCTAGATACTCTGTAAAACGGTAGAGCTTAGCTTCTTTATTGAGGATATTGCTAACAGAGCTCCTTTGATGTTGCTCGTAAAGAGTATGATAGGCTTGATGAGCCTGTACCTACAAAAGATATGATATCGCTGCAAAATGATTGTGGTTATGATGAAATAGAAATGAGCGGCTAATCGATCGTACCTCAATTTACAGAGATTCCCTGTTCATTTTATTGATTTGAATTCTGCAATGTTTGTTACCATTGCAATGCCGTCTTTCTTCTGTTATACCCTCTAGCAAAGGCTTCCAATGAGATTTCACGTCACGTTACCATATAGTTTAAAACTTTCATTTATGCATGGTTGTATGTGAGATGAGTTGTACTCAAGCTTAAAGTGGAAGCTCAGGGATAGAGAAAAAAAAACCTGGACTGGTCATCCCTGAAATATATGAGATGGCATTACGGTATTGGCCAATTTCATTATTACTTGACGGTTCAGCCATATCGAAATATTGAACTATCAAAATCGCTTGAAATCACCGGACTCAATTTTCGCCTTGAACCCACGATGACTCGAAGTTTGATTAATTTCTAGTGAATTGCAGAAATGGGTACGGACAATTTTTTCATGTGTTTTTATAGTCATATGTATTTTGTTTATATATTCATTGCAATTTGTTTCTATATGCCTATCATAAAATGAAAATAAAATGGAAACCTTAAAGGGAATTTTACAGAGCAAAAACCGCCAAGCATAAATAACATAGTTGACATGATGAAAACAAAAATATTTACATCGTCGATGGTTCCCGTGAACGAAGAAATAGGTCGCTATCGATAGGATGACGGATGTAAATTGACAACGAGATGCATAAATTCATGATGTGCTTGCTAAAAGAGTAGGTAAGCAAGATATAATGAATATTCACATGAGAAGAATCTACCGACTTGCAACTTACAGCGAAATGGGAATCCAGCCATTTATACACAAAGCATCCATAGATCCGCACGAGTAAAGGTTTGGAACAGATAGGACATGATCGATAAGAAAAGTGGCCTTGTTTCTTATTCTCAATCTTCTTCGTTGAGCGAGATGATGACGGTGACGACGATGTATGGTTTTTGCTCTGTGACATAGCTTGCTTTCCAATAGGTTGCATATAGGGTATAAACAAAAATAAGAGAAACCCGACCATATTTATAGCTTGTAGTGTCATTAGAATGTAAGGAGAAATAGAAAATTGCGCGGGCAACTACAAGAATTTTGGCGGGCTGTTGCCTTTGAAGGGATTTTTTTAATGATGGCAAGTATCCGATATATTTAAGGGGGGAAACTTGGGTTGCTTAAAACAAAGTAGATTATATAAAAAGAAAAAGGGAGCAAAATCATCCAGAGAATGATGGCATCAACGAGATGTATACTACGAATACTGTAAAGAGTGTGCTTTTTTTCTTTGGAGATGGTCCTCTCCTAAGATTTGCACGTTCACTATCCTTGGTAAGGGAAGAAGGGGACTCATGTACATATGAATCCCTTCCATCCCTGATGACTGAACGAGAAAATGCAAGAAAAAAGAAAAAAGCAAGCTTAGATATTAGCAAGTCCATTTTTTCCTTGTCGAAGGTTATAGAAATATCCCTCAGTACATTTCCACTCTTCCATCTGTTTTACCTCGTATGCGTTGTTTTGGCAGCCGGAAAAAGTCCAAGAAGAAGCAACTGCAAGAACAAATTGCTCAGCTTCACCAAGAATACAATGAATTGAAACTCAAGGTAAAAAGAGAAAAAAAAAAGAAAAACTTTCTCAGGTATGTCATTTAGCTCATCATCCTATACTAACCAAACGTTTCCATTAGAATAATGAATATATCGAGGAAATTGCTCGCCAGAAATCCGAAATCAAAGCCATACAAACTTCATTAATTTCGTCTCCCCCAGCAACAAGCGATGTTACCCACTTGGAGGATAAGCTACGGGAAACCAACCATCGCATTCAAGCCAAGGATCAAGAGATTGACAAGTTGCAAAATGACTGGAAGAGCCGAACAGTAAATCAATCTGAAACGATCCATCAGCTACTAAAGGAAAAGGACCAGTTGCTATGCGATAAGGAGAACCAAGCGACAGCACTTCAACAGCAATGGGAAGCTAAATGCACTGCCATCATAAAAGCAGCAAAAGAAAAAGCAGTTCAAGAACTCCAAACATGGCGTCAACAGGTGAACACATCTTGCATCTGAAACTTTCCAACGAGAATCATGAACTAACATAGATCCCTCTACCCTTGATAACGTTGTCCGTGGGAATCTGGTGTCATTTTTCTATAGAACGATGAGACCCAAAATCGAGTACATGAAAAAGATAAAGAAATAGAAATACTACGAAATCAACTGAACCAGCCGGTCATTGAGTTTGAAGACGAGGAGTTGGACAAAGAAACGGCGTCCATGGTCAACGAGGATCTGCAATCAAATCCGGATAAGGTGATTCTTTGCAATCAAATACAAGATATGCAACGCCAATTAGAGGTAATAAAAAAAAGGAGTTGACGCCAACTGCTTCATGGTCTGATATATGTCCTGCCGTAGGCGGCCACGGAATCTCTGGATATGATGGTTTCAACACATCAAACGGAATTAGCTGCCAAAGAAAAGGCACTTTTAGAATGTCAGCAAACTATCAACCATGTTCAAACCGAAAATAATCGAGCCATGGAAACCCTTGAGAAAAAGTTTGAGTGCAACGTTCAGGATCATGAACAACGATTCAGAACCGAATTGAATGCTCTCACGCAGGCAATTCAGCGAGCAGAGAAGCAAGCCAAGTCCAAGGTGCATGATGATGTCGAAAAATTACTTTGGGAGTTTGAGCAGACCGAGCATGATGATCGACGTACATTTAGCAATCCATGCACACCGTCCGTCAGTATCACCCAACGCGAAGTGTCACCACAACCTTCTAAAAGCTCAACGTTGGCTCTGAGTCCTGCTGTGTTCCGATCCACCTCCAGCAATCTGCTCAAATGGTCCGCTCTGCAACAGCAGAATAAAGTGGCCGAAGTAATCCCTAAAGACCCGAAAGAGATCCACGTTTATATTTCGAGTGTGACAGGCAATGCCGCCATTCGTCGCGACCAAGAAGCCATGCAGACAAGTTTGACGAAACTAAATATTCCCTTCCGCACCATGGACGTTGCCCAAAGCGACTCAGCCCTCCAACACATGCGTCGTCAATGTAAAGGCAATAAGCAACTGCCCTTGTTATTCGTTGGTGGTCATTATTGCGGGGTATTTATCGTTCGACATGCTCACATAAACTACGATGTTCCATTTCTGACTTGTTTTATTGCAGCAATTGAAGGACCTAGATACAGCCATTCAAATGGGCACGACCTTTGATTTACTACAGCCCCGTTCCTCCACCTCTTTGCAGCCAACCCCCGAATTATCGTATTCATCTTCTTTCTGTTCTCCAGCTCGACCCAACAACGCACCTTCAAAAACGGTCTCCAAACACTGGAACGAGGATGATGAGGCCTTGCTTAAAGAAGTTGAAAAAGAGCTCAACTCGTGGGACTTGTCAAAGATCGATGTTGTAACTTTAATATGACCTAAATGAATTCATCAGCCTAATTTACGATAACCTATCCAATCTTTTTTTTCTCTGTTGTATGGTCACGCACAGAGTATCTCCTATCCTTGATCGGATCCTTGGAATGCTTGAAAGATAGGGGAATTCAAACTTTACTCGTAAACCAGGCCTACTAGCCATTACAAATAGTTTCTTAAACAGCACAAAAATGCCTGGTTTCAAAGAACGGTAAATCACTACCCGTCCCTATACAATAAGCATAATCTTATCGGGGCAAATCATCGTCAACTTGCAAAATCAAAATGACAGGCAGTGGGAGGATCGAGTCCAAGATATCAATAAGCTTTGGCATCCGCTCCTAAAAGGGGAGCCGAAGCTGGACCTCCCGCTCTCTGCCCGGCACGTGAAAAACCGTGCTCGTCATGTATCAAACCTGAGAACCCTGAAATCATTTGCATAAGGATCATCTCACGAATTAAAGTGTTGATAAAAAAAGCAAGAATGCTCTCCCAGATCGAACCAGCATGATGTTTTTCTGTCATTAGCAGCAGCACTTATCACGCCATAAGCTGTCCGGATATAATACGACCAAACTAGCAGAATCTAACCTTTCTTAATTATGCTCATACTTGAGGAATTCATGGCAAAATTTCACCACCTCCACAATTAATTTTCCATATTTCCAATCCTTGGCCTGTCGTAATACTTTGAACATGGGTAGGCATGATGCATCAACTACCATTGACCAGTCGCTTCCACAATCCCACAGGGTCATTTACGCATTGAATTTACACAGGGTTGCATCTCACAATGATTTCTTTATTGACGCCAGAAAGACCGTAACGTAACAACCTGGTTAAAATCGATTGCAGTGACTTTTTTTTCGTTGTGTTGGTTGCTTTGGAAATGAACTGTACATCTGCCTCCTACATTTAAGCAGTCTTCTTTTGGAAGCGGAATCTTGGTGGAGGAGCACGGTTGCGACGATCGACAACGGAACGAACGCGAACAACTCTGGCGTGAATGGCGCAAGAGACGCAGTAGTGAAGCTTCACGTACAACTTGGGGATGGCGTATTCTATCCAAGGCAAAAAATAAAAAGTAAAAGAGAATACAGGTTAACGACAGGAACAGGATAAATGACAGTTTTTGTCACTGATGCCTACCCTCGTAGATGGAAGCTTCCTGCAAATCACGGACGGCAGCGGCTTCGACCATGTTACGGATGGTGAAACGCTTGATAGCCTTATCCTTGGGCACACAACGGTAACAGTTGATGCAACGAACAAACTTGTTGTGACCACGGCCGTGCTTGTTGCGTCCGTTATTTCTTCTCTTGCAAGTCTATGCACCCAATTCAAAACAAAAAGTAAACAAAATGAGTACAAGGGCTCTTCTCGTTTTTCATTTGGGGTCAACGCAAAGGGCAGTTCTCCGTATCGAGCTATTCATCATTTTTTTGTTGATGCATCGACAGCCCATCTGCGAATACGGTTCATGGACGGGGGTTGGAGAGCGGATGCAAAAATGAATTCAAGCTTCGATGGTGGAGGAAGAGATAATGGTGGATTATTGAATAGATGGCTTCGATACTTTACCATGATGGATGGATGTCCTGCGTAAAAGTATGAAGGGAGGGATTTTTACGCTTGCCTCCAGCATCCTCATCTTGAGCGTTGCGGCCAAAGGATCCACGACCCGGCAAGAGCTGTGACTGCTAATTTTCATCGAATCGAAAGAGTTCAAAAAAAAGGAAACGCCAACACATAGTACGGTTGCCCATAACAAAATACGTTATGCCAGAATTTTTGTCTATCTATTGTATGGATAAAACTTTTTTCTTTCTTTAAACTAGTAGGGTTATTGTTGACACGGTTGATTTAGTCCAAATTTTCTTGGGGAAGGAACACATCGGCTTCTTGACTACTGGCGGCCGGATCGGCTCGTTGGGATTTATAAAAATCTTGCACCCCAAGAGGTCGAAGTTCGACTTTCTGTGAAGCAAATAATACCAGTAGGCAAGTTCATTAGGCAACATGTCAACAATAGTTGGTGGCCCCACAACCTATTTACTTACCGAGCCCCTCAAATTTTCCAAATCTTCGCTCGCTTTACTGCCTTTGGATAACTGCCCTGAAGAGCGAATGTATTCGCGGATAGGCACCATAGCTGCGTTGCGGCAAAGTTCTTTTAGATCGCTACCAGAGCATCCAGCGGTCCGTTGAACAAGTTCACGCATATCAAAGTCGGGAGCGAGTTGTGTATCTTTAAGAAGCTAAAGAATGCATCTTGCATCAATTTACGGTTCTCCAGAATAGTAAGAGCGGCAATCAGACTGATAGACTTACAATTTCCAAAATTGCTCTTCTTTGAGACGCGCTGGGTAGTTTCACAGCATATCGTTTTGGCATTCTCCGTAAAATAGCGGTATCGATATCGTGAGGTCGATTAGTGGCCCCCAAGAGAACAATGCGTGGATTTTTATGCGTAGCCAACCCATCCCATAGTGTCATGAAGCCGGTTTTGATCATGTTGGTGGCATCATGATCCGAATCTCGACGCTCGCGAAACAATGCATCAATTTCGTCAATGAAAATGATACATGGCTCCACCTTCTTTGCCAGAGAAAATACCGCATCGACCAATTTATTCGATTCACCGTAATACTTGTCGGTCAAAGACGAGATACGCAGGTTGATAAACGTCGCTCCGCTCTCTTTGGCTAAAGCTTTTGCCAGCATGGTTTTGCCGCAGCCAGGAGGACCATATAAAAGTACGCCACCAGGTGCACCCAGCAGATCAGACGATTCAGCGTAAAGTTCAGGGTAACACAGTGGGTAGATCACGGCCTCTCTCAGGTCCTCAGCAATGTCATCCAGCCCACCAATTTCTAACCATTCAAGCAACATGTTAAGGGATGACCTTCCAGATGCCAAGTCATCATCACGCAAAAATGGATCGCAACAAGTGCTTACCACTAAAAGATACTGAGATATCATCGCTGTGAATGATTTCGCCTGCAATAATTCGTTCATGTGGTGTGAGTCGTAAGTGGGAAAGCTACGATTCGGCAATCCAATGATATATGTTACTGATGAATGTAATTCAGACAAGCTGACATTTTCACTTACGCCTAATTTTCCCAATGCTTTGATCCCCTTGCTTTTTGCGTCTTTTCTAGCAGGGTCTTGAGGCATGATCAACCAGTGGACCAAGAGGATACCGGTGACTTGAACGGCCGTATAGAATAGTACTACAAGTTTTCAACGATGAGCTTTTTCCAAACATCAAAGTCTACTAGTCATTCTTTGCATCGCTTTGAAACCTTCGCCAATGTACTTCTTATTGGATGGTCTTCTGAAGAAATCGACAACGGCATCCATCATGCAGTAAAAAGAAGATCTGGTAGATTGGGCAAAAGTTATCAAAAAAAAAAAAAAAAAAAAAAGAGACAAGCTCAAAGCATGAAGATGAAATTTGGGGGGAAATCGCAAATTCACGTGATTGGTGATAAAGAGTCAGTGCTCAAAAAGTTCTTCCACAAAGCATAAATATGACAGAACCTTTGCAGCATGCTAAAAAACAATTACCGTGACCCACGACATCCGTACACGTCTTTACTGATACCTCGTCCGTCATTATCAATAACTATTTCCCTGTTACCATTACTCAACGTCGCTGTAATTTTTTGTTGGATAAACGACGACCCACACACAATTCTCCGCTACAATATCTTGCCCATCATAGTTTGTATTAGCAAACGTGTATTTTGCTCGATGAGATGCACTGTACTTGGTGATACTATTATAATGCTAATGATATCAAGCGCATCAATTGCCTTAAAAGTCATGGGTCACTTGGAAGAGTTGAGCAGCAAGAGTCCACCGTGCGTAAGCTGCGGCCTAATTTGGAAAGTGGCAAAATCAGTGACCAAATAAATTGTCTCATGCTGATCTCTCGATCGATGTGAGTACGCCAAACTAGCCAATAAATAAAAAGCCGCAATAGTCGAGTCGTTTTGTTTCCATTGAATTCTCGGTTTTTCCTTTTACGATCATTGGACCTCATGGCATCCACCCATGCCCATGCCGTCAATGACGCTGTGCCGGCTAACAACTGGGAAGATCCCGGTTCCGCAACCGAACGCCCCACGATACACTTTACGTTCCCAGCTAAACCACCCGTTCTCAATAAAACTGCGGGTCAACACCAGACCTCTGAACCATGGATGGATTCGGACGAAGAGGAAGACCTCCTCACTTGCTGTATCCAGCTCCCGTCACGTTCTCGATATACTCGCCGCGATCCACACAAGCTCGAACAACCCAAGCGATTGGCGGAGATTCCATTCTTTATCGCCGCTTTTGGCAGCATTTATAGCACATTGATGTTGGTGAGAGCTCTAGGTAAACGTCACTTCTTCCATACGATTGTAACTCTGGTGCATGAAACGTATTGTCTCACATAACGTACCATGACAGCCGTAAGAGGATGGCTCGTAGATCATCGTCACTGGGATGGCACAGGTCACGATTTCGATAAAAGCCCCATGAAGAATATTCCTTTACTCGAACACGTATTCGTATCTCTCGGATTGTGTTGCGGTGTGGCAATCATCTTGTGCCTTATTGCGAGAACAAGGTTCAGATTTTATGGAGCTTCCTGTTGTTGTCAGTGGCTGGCTTACATACAAGGTAGATTCATCGTTGTATGGCGTATACAGGGATACCAAGATCTTGTTGTTCTCTTTAGCGATTCTCTGCGTGTCTTCAGTTTACCATTTTCATTGTCAAGTCAATAATGTTTCCAGCCTTTTCGCTTATTCTCGTGGTTTTTGGAGCTGCTTTGTCTCTAGCACTTTGGCGATGGTTGCAGGCGTAGGGTTTACCTTGGACTGGTTTCTGGATTACCCTTCATCCAGTCTGTCGGTTGTTCTTAAAGGCACCGTGCTCCCAACGACCATGGCTTGTGCGACGGTAGCCATAGGTGCTCTCGTCTACATGCGTCTAGAAAACTGGAGCTATAATGAAGCATTCATTTTTTGCTCCACCGCATTGACGACCATAGGTAAAAACTAGCCAATTTATGTACAATGAAGATTCTAATCCTGATGTGATAGGCTACGGGGATGTAGCTCCTGTAACGAAGAATGGACGTGTGTTTTTCATGATCTACGGCATTTTTGGTGTGAGTGTGGTCGCATATTTTCTGCTGTCTATTCGAGCGGTGATAGCGGGAACTTCGCCCAACATCATGACCGTCAAGCTGATGCGAGCCGAATCGCTTAGTGAATACACGCAAAAACAACGACAGAAATGGCTCCACCAGCAGCAAACGACACCTTTGCGAAGCAATGACGTCGATATCCGATGCGTCGAACGATCTCAAGATTCGCACCATTGTCGATCGTTGTCCAACATGTCCGCCTTTAGTAATTTTACGTTCAGTGGCATGCTTCGCGACAAAAGCCGGGAAGTATTGATCCAAGTCATGACACGATCAGGGGTAATTCGCATGTTCATCATCTTTACAGTGTCTTGGTTCGGTGGAGCGGCCATCTTTTGCTACTTGGAGGACCACTGGTCATACATGGACGCTCTCTATTTCGTGTTGACTACTCAACTCACGATCGGATTCGGTGATTTGGTCCCCGAAACGGCTGTAAGCGTTTGGGGAATGAAGCGAAAAAATGGGACGAAATTATTTTCTACTCACCTTTTTTCCATTAACTTGCATAGTTGGCTCAGGAATTCTGGTTTATCTATATCATTCTGGCCATTGCCATTGCAGCTTATTTCATAAGCCTATTTGGTGATCTTCTCACGGAGAAACTTCAACTGCAGGATGAGGATGACGATGATAATGAAGGAGATGGATCCAATGACGACCATGATCCGGAACTGGGTAACAATAAGCATTCTATCCCCAGTTATATTGAGCTAGCTCATGCATTGTCAAAAGATGAAAATAACGAAGCCGAATATCGCATGCAGCTGTGGACTTGGCATCAGCCCCTCCAGTTTTCGCGTCATCCCTCCATTGTATCACCTGCCACGCCATGCCTGTCCAGTTCGCCAGATGAAATCAAACCTCTCAGTGACTCTCCAAACGCATCAAGCCCACAGTTGGGAAATACCCCAGCATTGTCAGCGACGCATCCTCCTTCTACCTTGGCAACCAGGTCTTACAAACCGACGTCTATCATGAATCCCTTGCTACGTACTTCTTCTCAGCCCTCTTATGGAGCCTTGGCAAGTTCGCTGACTTGGTCTTTGCCGGAACGGGAAACGCAAAACAACCGATTTAAAGACCTGGTGTCTCTTTCCAATAGACCAGATCCCATTCAGGTGACAAAAGCGCTCCTATGTTGCCAGAGAAAAAAGTGGATCTGAATCGCATTTTTACATAGATTCAAACACATAAGCAATATCATGGTAACAGCGCTGTAAAGAATAATATGGTCAGCAAAGAACGGGCCAAAGAAACAATCCCAGTGTACTCGGCTCGATCGACCCATCATCTACATCACAAGTTGCCGCCAATTGCGGTCACTCATTGTTATCACAGTAAATAATAAAAAATGGTAATAACAATTGGTCAAGCACGTCAAACAAGGCCGTTCGGTGGTTATACTCTTTGAAGATGTTGATTTATAATGTTTATTATCTACCGAATTGATTCAATATTAGAGGAACATGATATACCACGGAACATGCTGCTCCTACCTATTCATCATAATAGCCTAGTAAAAAACGGGTAATATAGGTCGAGCATCAAATGTCCAGTTTACTGGCTTGTTGGTGCACACAGGAAACCAATGACATAACAACAGTCAACAAGCATTTAGGCATCACCATCCCTTGATTTGCCCGATGTAAGCTCATGATGTACCTCCTTTAAGTACAGCTATTTGTCATTCGGTACAATGGACACAGGGTGGAGGGTAAGGCATTCCAGTTTAGGAATTTCTCAGCTAAAAAAATTGAGCTTTGACGTTTCCAATGAAGGCGTTAAGCCGAACCAATCTTATTGCACGCAATTTGAAAATAATTCATACGCTGGAAATACATATAATGTCCCGACGAGGAAAAACGATGAAACGGAATCAGACTCTGAATTGTAAAAAACAATGGAATGATGATGGATAAAACATATAATGAAGAAAAGGAAACACCGGGAAGAAAGAGAAGCAATAAGGAATGCTGAATTAAGGTTGTGGATGGCGGCAATCTGTTGCTGAATTACATGAGGGTTCTTTGTCTTTTAAGACGGCCTATGAAGAAGGAGAAAGTGATTAATTATTTGTAACCCAAACAACCAATTTCCTTACTTACGTGGAGGTCGATTTTTATGTTTGGACGTTTGGTCCGGAGGTTCTTCTTTCACGTCTGGGGCTTCAGAGCCATTGTGTGCCAGTGGTTCACGAGGATCTTCAACCTTTCGTTTCCTGTTTCCTGTTGTTTGGTTACTGGCATCTAGGAGTATTCCCTTTGCTGATGAAACTTCTGATTGCTCGGTTTCATTGATGGTAGTGATGGGGGCGTCGCAATGGAGCACTTGGTTCTCTGTACGATCAATTTTGCTCACGACAGCTTCTTGATTTTCATATTGATCCTGGCTGGAATCGATGCCCTTCAGCTTTTGAAGTTCTTCGACCTGCATTCGAAGCTGTAATCGTTGAGCATCCATTTCGGTTTCGAGGTCCTGCACGTATGTCTTGTGATATTTTTGGTTGACTTGAATCGTGCGTTTTAGACTGTCCATTTCCTTCTTATCCTCCTCGATCGTTCGTTCACGTTCCCCAATGACTTCAATCAGAAATGCCGCTTGATGGGCGTTATCGGTGTACATGCGCTTGATTTCGTCTTTCTTGTTCTCAATCGTTTTTTCACGTTTCGCCACCGTTTCTTTCAGTTGCGCAATTTCTTCACCCTTTCTTTTGGTGATGAGGGCGACGTCATCGTCGTGTTCCTTGGCGAGCTGTTCATACTTGGTGACCCTTTCATTCAGCTGCGCGATTTCTTCATCTTTAGCTTCGGTAATGAGGGTAATTTTCTTGTCGTATTCCTGGATGACCAGCTCATACTTCGTCATCTTGTCCTTCAGATAGGCGATTTGCTCCTCTTTTCCTTGAATGGTGCTACTCAGTGTAGCCATCATCTTGCGGGAATTTAAGATTTCGTGCTCCAACATCTCACTTTGCTGTTGCATTTCCAACGTTAATTTCGCCACTTGTGCTTCCTTCTCGCGCCTCTTTTCGGTATAGCTCAATACTTGATTCACAAGAGCATCAGCACCATCGTCATCGGGTTGACTTGACAACGGTTTCAATTGCGCTTGCTGTTTTTCTTCATATGCTTGTCCTTTGTATTTCTCCAGTTCGTGGGCGCTTTGTTGGCATGACTCCCTCAAATGATGTAATTGATGTTCCCAAGCATAGAACAATTCTTTGGACATGCTAACTTGATCTGTTTCTTCATTATACTACAATGGCAATGATTAATACATTGCCGAAGAGAGAGCTCTTAAAATAAATGATGATGAATTTAATTACCTTGACTTCTGCATTGAGCGTTTTGTCAGAGTCTTGTAAAGCGCCGACGTGATGATGACAATAGATAGGCGCATTAGTTCGCGGGAAATTGATAATATGTCTGGCGAGAATGGCGCTCTTCAAAGTGGCCAATGTGTCATTGTGATGAGCCTCGGCGGTGGAGGCAGTGGCCAGAATGCATGTTTGGGTATGTCCACCCAATGAATCTTTGAGTAACCATGTGAGCATGTCACATCTACAAACAAGCCACAGATATTATACACATTGCGTTAGATATATTATCACCAAGTATAGAAAAAGTATTGGGGAAAATTACCTGTGGGAGTTGGTAGGTTCTGAGTTGGCAAGTTCCTGGATGACAGTTTGAAGGGTCAATAAGCCCTTATTGACAGAGGCAGCTTCGTGTTGGAAAATAGGACGGAAATGGCCTTCGTGATCTATTTCAGAACCAGCAAGGTCGACAAAGGTCAGTTTGCCGCTCCGAATGATCGCCTTATCGCCGACAATGTCTTGAATATTGACTTTAACAGTCAAAAAGCAGTGGCCACGGCTACGAATAAAAAAAAGAAATCAATTTTTGCTTCACGTGAAAACGGGACCCAATCGAGTTATTCCTGCTTACTTTGAAGTATTATGCGAGCGCGTGGCGCCGATGGTTCGCAATCTCATGCCATGACAAAGAATGACAAGACCTTCATCAGCAGAATGAATCAATGGTTCGTTGCATCCCTGGATCGTCGCACCGGAAGTAGTGGGATCGAACTGAATTTCCGGATTCAAGTTGTCGTCATGAACTCTGAGCAAATCGTAAAGACGATCATCGTACAGCTCGACAGCAGAAATTTGGACAGAAGCATTATATTTGAAGAGTCGCAAGTTTTCAAAGAGTCTGTAGAGGGTTCGAGGCACCATGCCTGCGTCGATAGGACAGTTTTTGGAAAATTCCTCCATATTTCCTTGCATGGTGAAACTAACGTAACGAAAAACGTGGGGATTAAAAATAGTCAGTTAAGGTTATCGGATGTGGTATCGGCCAATCATAAACTGTTAGACCACTTACGATTTGCCAGAGCCGCTTTGTCCGCAGGCGATCACGGCGCAGTTATAACTATGAAGGAAAATAAAAATCAGTAACCACTGAAACGCATAAAGTGCACGGTCATTCAATTTATTACTTACCCGTTCATGATTTGTTCAATCATAGGTTCAGCCACCTCGTGGAAAATGGATTCTTGAGAGGAAGATTGATCAAAGACATGATCAAAGGCATAGCATTCTTGCTCATTGCCGAACAAGACTTCTTTTTCAGGAGAAGACGGGTTGGCCTTCAAAGTAACGGGAGAAACCTCATTGTCGTCACCATGGAGATCACTAGAAACCAAGACAATGAGATCAAAGTGAAACGGGCAATGGGCGCAAATGGCATGGTAGCAAATTTACCGATAACGCAGGACGACTTGGATATTCTTGGCCTGTTCAACCACCTGGTTGGGCAGAGGCACAGAAGCAGAGAGCCACGAGGGTAAAGTCACGTGTTGGAACGCGTTGAAAATACGGGTGGTGAAGGATTCGCAGTTGGAGCTTTCGCAGTTGGAGGTAAAAGGGTGCTTAAAAGACCACATGATAACGACAAAGAACACGAAAAGTATGAAGAAGTGGGCGATTTGGGCGTTTCTTTGCTGTATCGAAAAAAAAAAAGGTGACTCGGAAAACGGTGTCGTCATTGTCTCCTAATCACCTTTTTCCTTGACAGTTTCATCACGAAAAGTGAGCATCGGCGGAGAATCACATAATGAGGGTGCATTATTTCTGTCGGTCCTAAAAAATTATGATCCATATGCTGTGGCGTGCGAGTAATGCCAACAAAAAAAGCTCACAAATTGAGTTTACTCGCAGTTAAGCTTATTCTATTTCCTCAATTGACAATTACAACATATCACCTCATACTAATAGTAAATACAAGATTAAGCGGTGTCGCCTGTGTTGTATCTCATTGAGCTGGTCCTCCATGCCACCTTCCAATGCGTGATCCGAAGTGCACGCAGCAAAAGAATGAGAGAAACGACACGATCACCCACATATATCACCCATTTTCTGTAACTCATAGTAATTTCGTTGTACAGTATATCACGATACATCATGACAAAATGTATGCTGCTGTGTTCAATAAAGAAAGAAATATCCTAATCAATGGACAAAATTGTATAGGATTCACTATTTACGAGTGGGTTTTTATAAAGTATCAGCTTTATCGATGCGATATTATAGTCGACTTTTTCATCGTTCGACCCTATTCCGCTACCAATGGCAACTCATTAATAGCCGACAACTGAGCCATGGCAAACAAGATGCAAAAATTTATAATCCAAATGGTCATCAATTGATGGAACAGCGAGGCGGATACAGTTTTATTGACGAGATTGAGGAATTTTTCGCAAGATGGATTAAAAGCATAAGATATAAGCGAGATACAAATACTGTGAGATATGATGAAATATTTACAGCAATTTCGAAAGATGGGTTAAGATAGCATAATATATAAGTGAGATACAAACGTTGTGAGAAATGACGATGAAATAATTTAGATGGATGAATAAAAAAGCATTAGTTTGATACATGCTGAAAAAAGTAAAACCCAGATCGAAGAAATATGAATTGACGGGATGCTAGGCATTGGGCCCGGGGGGGGGGTTCTACATGGGATGCACACCAAACTGTTCGCCACCGCATACGATCCCAGCCCACTTTCCTCATTTACTACGCCGGGGAACTCGCCGCACATCACCCACCTTGCTTCCGTTCCCTGTTACAGCCTGTATCGCATACGATCCGCCATTATTGCAGACGCTCACCTGGCGTATCTTCTCTTTGACATGCACACGATCAAGATTCACCGGGGAGCGGGGCTCAATGGACGGATGCTTGGCTTCGGCCAAGCATCTCTACATAAAAAGTTCTCGGCCTAGCTAGTCAATCTGCTGCAAACATTGTTCCCTTGATTGCCATTCCGGTATTTACTTTTTCTAACATATAGTGAGCGCCTTGGGATCGTGTCATGTCTCATGCAAACTGGATCGGAATCGCGCAGTGGAATTTGGCATGGTGAACCTCGCTCGGCGAGATCCGTACAAGGAGAACCCGCGTAAATGTATCGGTCGTGTAACAGGGATCGCTGCGACTACTAAGCCCAGTATGCACCCTTCCTTTTTTTTCCCCCTTTTCTTTTCTTTTTCTTTTCTTTTTCTTTTTTTTTCTCTTTTTTGCCTAACATATGAGGATCCCGTCAGTAAAAAAATTCAAAAACAAAAGAAAGAAGGAAAGAAAGAAAAAAGGTCACAGTATACTGGTATGCGGTATGCCTCGCTGTTCGGAAACATGCTTCAGCAGAAGAAGCTTCTTGAATGTGGTTGAGATGACTGATAGGGGATATTCCGTCCTCCTATCAATCTTTTTTCGAGTGGTCGCTATGCCTACAAGAGGTTAAACAGAGACAAATAAGCAAAGAGAATGACATTAGGCCGCAATCAGTAAAGTACGTACCAGCTCGATGGCAATTGCGACCGACTATCGGGCGGAGGTTTTTGCAGCCAACCAATTTGGCTGCATGTCCACGACAGACGAAGCTTGGACGGAAAAGTCTGTGGTGGAGGCTGCGATTTCGGCACCAATGTCATTGTTGATGGCTCGTTTATCGTTTCTATCTGTGGTTTTGAGAGAAGTCAGGACACTATTCCTTTGACAGAAATTTGTGCAATTACCTTGTTCTCGCGTTATTTGTTATCCGGTCGACAGACCGGATGGACGTCACTGGATGGATCCTTCCTCGCAACCGATCCATTCGACCAGTTTGTCTTGGCGGTCAACGTCCACCCAGTCTACAAGTTCATCTTCGGAGTTTATCTGCATCGGATCATTGACGTATACAGCTTCCTCTTCTGCTTGGTGATCATTGCCACCGAAGAAGCTTTCTTGTTCGTCGCCACCTTGTTGGAAGCGGCTTTCTTCCATGGCTGAGATCAGTAGCGGGTAAGATGAGAATGTTACTAGATTACTTGGACCTTTGAATCGTGATTCAGGGTAATCACTTCATGACCAAATCACAGCTTTTCTTTTGCTTACAGTGGGATTGAGGGACATTCAAAGACGTCTGGCGTTTTTTTTTACATGGCTGCTGTTGACGCAATCCCGCGTTGTTGATATTGACGCGCAATACAGCTGATGCATGTCTTCCTCAGTATTTTCTGAAAATATCTCCCTTCCAAATCCGTAAATAAAGCGACAAGGTCATTGCCATACCTTTATACTAACCTTATATATATATATATATATATATATTTAAAGCTCAAAGCGCTATTCTTAACAACATGGAACGTTTAAACAAACTTACTTTGTAAGTTGCTGATCCATTTCGGTTGGGGTTCACGGTTTGCTAACTAATGAGTAGAAATATAGAGTGTGCCGATGATGCCATGGTTGAGGCCGCTCCCACTTTTATGAAAACGGTTGACAATGTCATCTCGTTTCTCAAGCGCAACGCCATGAGCCGTATCGAAAGCCGTGATTACGTGCGCAAACTTACTCTCTTGAAGATCACTGTTCAAGAGAAGGTTGACGCGGCCACTTTGAACGTTGACGCTCCGTTCGTGGCTTACTCCGTCCCTTCCTCTGCCTCTTCTGTGTCCTTGGCCGCTGCCCTCTCCCGTGCCCTTTCTCCTGTCCCTTATTCCGTCCCTTTGCCTGGTGTCCCTTTGGCCAGTGCTCCTTCTTCTGTCCCTTCTTTTGTCCCGCCATCTTTTGCGTTTGCTGGTGTTCCTTCGGCTGGCGTGTCCTCTGTGGCTGGTGCCACTACTTGTGCTCCGTTCGATGTGCCGGCTTCGGTTTCTTCTGTTGACGCCGCTTCTCCTGGTGTGTGTTTGGCTGGTGCCACTTCGTCTGCTCCTTTCGTTGCGCCTCCGCCCTTCCCTTTCGTTGCTGTGTCCTCGGCCGATTCTGGCCCATTTGACCCACAAATGACAGTCATTGGCGTTTGTCTCTCGGGAAGACCAGCCTATCTTTGAATTGCTCATTATCAGCCTCTTTTTTATTAAGTGACCTTGGGAGCTTTTGTTACAATCGCCTTGACAAACATAGGCGTCACCCAGCAACTCCTTAAAACGCGCATTGACCCCTCTCATGAACCCTTCATCTATGCCACACAGTGGAACATCACCCAGACATATTGGTGGCCCCGCATTTGCGAAACCAGTCTTCTATCGAGGTATCCGGCAGTTTGTGATTTTTGATCCATGTTGCTGCTGCATCGATCAATTTACTGCCTGCACAACTACGAATGACTTTCAACGTGTGCCTGAGTGATGAGTATTATGTGGAGTTGCATGAAGTCTAGCTCTCCGATACCAATCTCCGTCTAAAGTTGATTGCAAAAACAATCGATCGTGGTTCACTGTTCATTGATATTTGTTGGAAACCCAAGCAGAACAACTGCTTATGGAATATCATCGAGCTTATGCATATTCATCGAAAAAGTTGTACAAGTCTTTCTTTGACTACATGATCAAGAAGTTTACTTGCTTTCGTACTGAGTATGAATGGATGCGCAGGGTTGCCAGTAGCTCAAAAGCAGTAATCAAGATACGAAATAAAAACAGAACCTTACTGGATCAAATTGATTAACAATCACAAAATATCAATAATGCTATTCTAATAAAAGTTCGACGGTATCTTTGGCCCTGTGTTCCCTATCCACATATTTATGCATCCGTAAATATGTACCTTTCATGTCCACCCAGGATCCAGCTTGTTCTTCGTAGCTGGCTGAGGAAGTCACAGCTTTTCTTCTTGCTATTTAGCTGCGGAATCTTTCTTATTCGGTATATCATGTTAAGACGCGATGCTATCTAGGTATAGTACGGCTGTTGCTAAATCATACGACAGGGTCTACACATACGACGCCGATCCTTCCAAACCCAGATTAGCCGTCTCGACCTTATCCTAAGCATTGATGTTATTTTGATCGTATTTTGCGAGTGTAACTTTGAGTTTCTATTCTGTCCATTGTGGTTCGCTTCAGGAGAGTGAGCGCTTGCTCGACCGTGGTCATAAAATTAGGAGCCGCTTCCGACATTGCTTCATCGGCGCACTCTTCATCCTTACTTAAATGATCAGCAAAACCTTGTGATCACAAAACAAAATCATTCACCAAATTAGTGCAGGTGTTAAGCTTTTTTCATATTGTTGAGAATGGCGAATTAAAGATTTGCCTGAAAAAGACATCAGATATGAAGCCACAGCGATGACGATATCGCTTTACTGGCGTCTTGCGAAACCACCTAACAACGACACTCCTATCCATTGGCGCCGACCTTCCATAGTTTGTACTACAGTGCATCAAACAACGCGAAATCTCACAAGATACATTGGTTTACTGCTTACATGGAAAGACTATGTGCATGCGCCGATTTCTCTTGTTTCGAGCGCATAAAGCCCATTTCTCCGACATTGTCTCCGCAGGAACATTAAAAGCGGAATTACAGTCGACGGTGTGTAAAATATTTCCCTGCTTATTATCGTTTCGAGGCCTGCAACTGTAACGTGCTATCATTGTGAATAAACATATTGATCATGTATCTTGGATGAGGTACCGTTCGTTTATTTAATTTAAACCTTTCATTTCTTGTTTTCTTGTTCCACTGGGGTGTTGAAAAATCGAAATTGCGGGGAAACCACTAATTACAATATTCCTCACACCAAGCCCGTCTCTCGGCTTTAGCGTAGTAAATCTTTCATTCTGTCAAAAAGAGTATCCTGCTTTACTCATATCACAGTCATCTGTCACTGTGAGAGAAAGAATTCCTATACGGACGGGTATCAAAGACCGGGATGAATATTTCCCAGGGGCTGGTAATTGTATAAATGCGTCATGGTTGTCTAATACAGCGATGAACTTGTACACATTACTGCTGGCATTCAGCTTTTGCTTCGATGTGATAAAACGTAATCCCCATGAAGGGTAACGTTTTGTGTGTCAAAAAGTTTGCTCCGAGGATGCAATTATTTGATAAACGGCGCATGAATTGGCCAAAGTCTCTTATTCTTTTATCCGTTATTGTATGAATGGTCCAGACGATGATCGAGTAAAATGACTGAGCTCGGCAAAAAAAAGATCTAATGTGTGACAGCACCATGATAACAAAGAAGAGAACTCCCTCACCGTCACCCCTACGTTGAATGAAGATGACGTTTTTATCTGTACTTCCCTGTCTAAATTAGTAGGCTCACTTCCAAAAAAGAGTCAAGTGACCAAAAGCGTTGGTTGAACGCAAGAAGTATAGGTAAGACCGGAGCGGAATCCGCACCACGAGATTATTCCAGACGGTCGGATAAAAGTACTTTTTGCATAGACACTGGAAGAGGTGGGGAGTTATATGTCCGCCATGACAACGTATATCACTATTGATACGAATGACTCAGGTACGGACAGGTTGCTCGTCAATGTCTGTCAACCGCCGGTTATCATTGGTGTGGATTCAAAAGTTGGAGCAAAAAAGTACGCGATAGAAAATTATACTCGAAAAGAGACATTTTCTTTTTATTGCCGTGGATCACTTTGAAACGGACCAATCGGATTATGAATTTTGGCCTCAGCAACCATTCTCCTCAGTTGGGACTAATCCGTGAGGTTCCGCTCGACTGAGATTTAACTGCCTGTCAGAGTAAGATTGTTTGCCAATGTCATCCTGCAAACGTTTGAAAAGTAGTAACAATGACCATAAATCTGGACAGCTTGGTTATTTGGAATTTTCAATGGGCTCCTGATATAAAGCAAATTGTATTCATCGACGATGATGCATGATGTTCCTGTCATCGAAACTCCACCGCAAACTGGGGAAATACGCTAGCGCGAAAAATGCAAACTCAGCGAATAGAAGATTAACCTAAATGCTGAAAAATGATGCAATAACTTGCGCTTCTTCGGGCATTCATTCTTAATCGCCTTATAAGCATTGAAGAAAAAAAATTAGACCGAAAAATACCAGAACTGAAATTATTGATTTGTGGTGTCCGCTTTACATACTAGGTCATGTTAACAAAGACCTTGCAGACTTCCATTCATTTATTGGAACCCGTCCTTTACCTTGAAAGCAGTCAAGACACGCCTACCGTTTTACGTGGAGTGGTGAACCTGGACCTCAAGAAATCACGAGCCATAGAATCGCTTGACGTGTACTTCGATGGTCAACTAGAAACACAATGGATTGGCAGTAAGTATTTTTCCCAAGGCTCACTTGAGCTGGCGATATCGGTTTTGTTTAGTTACACCTTTTTCTTTTTTCTTTCCTTCTAGGTGATTCGAAATGTGAACAACGTCGTACGAACATCGCACACCAACGCATTGATCTTCTTCGCGATACACCGGGATCGGCTTCTGCTCTTGTATTGAATTCGGGAAAGACTCGCTTCGGATTCGAGATGGAGCTACCCGAAGGACTGCCAGAAACCGTCGAATGTCCAAACATACGAGTGCATTACCAAGTATCGGCCGTGGTCACCTTTGTCAATAACCGTCGCATTTTGCAAACTGGAAAAGCACCGGTAAAAAAGACCGTGCAGCGATCCAAGACATTTGTAAGGCTTGCGCGGCTGCCCTTTGAAGACATTCTGCTTGGCGAAAACTACCGTGCGCTCATCGATTCTCGAAAGCATCTGTCAAAATGGTTCCAGTACCATATTATCATCGATAAGAAGGCTGTTGCCCTCGGTACCTGGCTCCCCGTCACAGTGGGTCTGGCACCCACAGTTCCCGGATTACGGATAATGCATTTCTGTTTACAAGTGATTGAACGTCGAAGCGTGTGCCCTGACAAATGGCATACCATTCAGACTTGCCACATGCTGCAACGAGCTTGCAGCACTGATCCACAAATCCCTAACTGCGATTTGGACGAGCCATGGCAAGGCACCATCCACTACAAGGTCCCCGATGATCGAAGCTTAGCTCACTCCACGCAACGTTACTCCGGCTTCCGTGTTAGCCACATGCTACTCATATCCATCATGATCTCTTTTCCCGAAAAAGGCGCTCTCAGCTTGACCAAACGAGGTCAGCGCACCATCACTTTTCAGACCGACATCGACCTGCTGGACCGTTCGGTGGGCGTGCTCGAAAGGAACAATGCCATCATTTTACCTTCTTACGATGGACCCTCGCCTTTCACAGTGCGAGACATGCTGTTCGGTAATCCTGATACAAGTGGCATTTTTCCCCCTGCGTATCATGAAATTGCGTGAAAACTATGAGCTTCCTTGTCAGCTACCGTGACCCTTCATCATCCCTTTATAAGAACCATGTAGTTGGTTCGACAAATTTCACATTTGTAAATAACCATGATATTTATACCGGTAAATAAAACATACGTTCTATTGCTAATGCATCACAAAACAAAAGAACAAGAGATGGTTATGTCCTCATTTTGAATTCGAAAATCCAATACTCTTCGGCATATCTTGACATCGATTTTCTTCCGTAACTTTTTCTTCTTTTCATATAATTTATTCGTCCATTGCCCGTCATTGACGAAAGTGATAGTATGGCGTAAGTGGAAGTGATGGAAAGTCCATAGTATCTGCCACCGAGAATGAAGAACACGAACAGAAGCTTCTTGGCTTTCTATCAAACCCGATCATATAAAGACCTGACCTTATTAAAGAAGAGATGGAAGTTGTCCAACATAAACAGGCTTAAATGTATCATTAATGTGCAACGTGAGAAGCGTGTGAACATTTGCACCAAATGTGGCCTTGGAGGCCAAAAAGATGAAAAATCAAAGAAATGCCCTGAAAATGCCAGGAGCAAAAAAAAAAAAAAAAAAAAGTCGAACGGTAAATAGCTCTTTAGCTGCGATCACTTATATTGCTAAGCTATTGTGCTATCATTGTTTAGAGAGGAAAAAAAAAAAAGGCACGCAAACTGCCATAGCTGCAATGTTCGTTGCATCATTATTGGATTTGGTTGTGAGAGTGTTTCAATGCGCTCTTGTGCCCAGTTGATCCGGGTCACCCAGACGATGCAGTACCTGATTCGTACACAAAGAAAATGACATCCTTTTTTTTGTACTCCTTCTCCCCAAAACCTACTCGTACAAAACTTCTCCTTCTACTGCTTTCTGAATTATATTCACTTTAACACCTACCGACAACATCTAGACGATGAAAAAGCGAGACTCCAGTCCAAGGACATTATGGAGAAAGCTAAAATCTCCAGAGCGGCATCTACCTAAAGCATAGAAGAGGTCGATGAGCGTGGCAACTTTGAGCGCCAACCAGCCTCTGGAAGGCCAGAAAAGCTGACGAGTCGTGACAAGGGTCACCTTAAGCAATAAGCACTGAAGAACCGGCGAGTTCCCCTTCGTGAAATCACCCAAAATGTCGCAGGTCATGCCCATGATAACATCGTGCGCCATACTCTGCATGGAATGGGTTAATTTTCGCGAGTGGCCCACAAGAAACCTCACCTGACACAACTGCACAGATTATAGAAGAGTGTCCATCAATTTTGCGCGTCAGATAGACCTCAACCCAACCATCCGTCACACAGAAGTCCGCTGCTCTTCTTGCCAGCAACTAGGGCATCAGCGAAGCAGCCTTTTGGCATGCCCATTCAACCCAAGAAGACTGATTATGAGGGAAGCGAACGAAAACGACACTGCAGAACGCATCCGTAGATTACGTGGATCCGCTGATAATACGGAACTGCCCGGTCGACATACCCTGGGACGCATGGAGGTTGTGTAGTTTTGCCAGGCACACATGCGGGCTCAAAGGGAGCATGTGTGGATCGATCTCCAGTCCGCATTTCCAGTTTTGTTGTGGCGAAGATACGATGGTTCTTCCGCCTTTGGAGCCTGCGCATCCAGCTATTGTCCGTCTCCTTCGCAGCAACACCGAAGAAGCAAGAGATTTCCGTGAGCAGATTCGCGCCTACAATACGAATCTGAGCTTTACTTCGGTGGGTGCTCACATCACCATGCTCCGACCACCGTCAATGACCAAGCACAATCCCCGAAGACGATTGCAAGACTCGGTATCCTGTAGCGAGTAGTCTAGGTGACCTAAAGACAATCATAGGTTACTTGTTAAGATATGCCAGCTGATGGAAAAAAGTCGAGATTCGGCATGAGCAGACTCTCCCTGTCTTAACGTTGGGAAATGCCGCGTTTTCAATGACCCAAAGGGGAAAGGTTAGCGGCATTTCCCATAAATCCGCTACATTACTGAAAGCCGAGAGAAATGGCAAGCTAGTGGTTCTCGGCATTGATGAGTATAACACATCCAAAGTACGTAAAAGAAAAAAAGAGTATCTGAAAAAGGAACTAAAGAAGAATTCCTTTAGGTTTGCTCACATTGCGGCACCAAAACACTCAAACAGATCAGAAGCCGCCAAACAAACACTTCGCTGTTCAAGGTTCTTCAATGCAGTTCATGTCACAAGATTTGGGATCGAGACATCAATGCTAGCAGAAACATACTGTTCCTCGCTCTTGCTGGCATCTTTGGAAACGAAAGACCAGCTGTATTCATCCGAAGCAATGACGATGAAGAATAGTAAAAACAATTTACCCCTTGTGCCTAATATTGTTTCGTGTTTGCTGATGCCAAGCAGGTGCCCATTTATCCTTTTTTTTATTTTTTTAACCAATACGTAGATTATTTTTCTCTACGTTTTTTTTTACCTATTTTCCTTTCTTACAATTTTTACGCCTCCTGAAAAAAAGGAAGGCGATAAGCATTTTAACATAAATGTTAACTATAAAAGAAATCTCTCAACTTAAAATCAGGTGGCAGATACAGGTAATGTAATTCATCTCAGCAATTTCCATTTTTCGACCATTGGTTTCCTTTTTGCTTGGAAAAAAGACGCCGAAATAGTGGAAACATTGCACTTGGCAGTTGAATTGAAATCACCAGGTGGAAGGCTATTGGACAGGTTTTAGTGTCAAAATGAGGAAATCCAAGAAATTGCAGAAAATGGAAAAGGGTTCCATGCAAGTTTGATACAGTAAATACCGGAAAGCCTCACAAAGCATATTTTATCGATTGTAGATGTATAATGCGGATTATTTTCATGTTATATGTCTCTGGGAGGGATAGCCATTATATGTATACTCTTTCTTAGCAATAAATTAAGTTGCAGTAGTTGACTAGAAAGCGACCATCTGTGAAAATTTTCATGCAGAAAAATTCACACGTAAGGATTTAGGCTCAGCAGGTGGCGCCTCTATAAAAATGTTTCCCCAACTTGTTGCAAACGAACCAACCAAAAAAAACCTATGCAAATACAGCCTTCTCCCTCTTCATTTGCTTGTAATCACCATGAACTCTTCAACAGCCGAACATGCTGGACTACGCTCCAACTCCATCACATCGACAGAGAGCAAGCATTCGCCATTGCGTAAACTGGACATGTGCTCTCGTTCAGAATTGTGCGAAATGCGAGATAGAAACGAACAATTGCTCAACGATCGGTAGGGAATTCAAAAAATTTTGCAGGGTCAACCAGTGACAACGATAAGCTGATACAATACGTATATAGGTCCGTAGTCAATACGTTACCTGACAAAGGTGACCGACTTCGACAAACAAACGCCCATATTGATGAATTACTGATGGAAAAAAATGACGACGAAATTCTATCGGAAAATCATAACTCTCAGTTGACGAGGCAACTACAAGATATGAGTATCTTGACCCCCCGGCAAAATGCCAGAAAGCGTTCAGTGGATCTGGCAAACGCACAAGCACGATCGAATGATTATGTCTCTGACAGTCTCTTACGTCGATCATCCAGACTGCACAACTCACCACCTACAGCCGCAGTATTCATGAATTCTTCACCGCCTGAAAAGGTAATTAAGTGTGGCTGTCAAAAGTATTGGTAGAGTTAAATTGACACGTTTGAAAAACAAATGCTTTCCTTAGGCCAAAGTCCGCATGATGACATTAGCTGAAGCGATAGATTTGGAAAAGCAGCAGAATCACCATTTACAGGTAAGGAATGCAAAATCAACTGGGAAGCGCCTTGCATGTTCTTGGACATCTAAAGAGGTATATTTTGCCCAAAATTCCAATAGAGAGACGATGCACCAAGAAATACCCGACGAGCACCTCGTAGTCTCGCCCAGTCATTAAGGTAGTTTGCCCTTGCAATCTTGTGATACTTGTTGCTTCATTAGCACTGCTTTTACTTACTTGAAATTTTATTAGTTCAACGATGACCGAGATGCAGTTGGATCCTGAAAGCCATCCGTTAGAACGACAAGACGACGAAGAATATCTTAGCGACGATATAGAGGAGATGCGAGTGTCCAATTCTTTCTTTGATGATGAATTTGACAATGATCCTGAAGTGACCCAAGCCTATCTGTAGCGATATACTCCTCTCCCACATTTGTTTGTAAATACATCTACGAGAAAAAAAAAAAAAAAAAGAAATGGCAGATGTTTTTTTCTTCATGAAAACGCTGCACCATCATAGTAATAAGGATGAGAACATGGTTAATTAGGCACAGCTTATTAATTCCAACCATGGGAACCCGAGAACCAAAAAATGGTATTGCCCAACTGACTATAGCTCGTATATTTCGTTATCATTCAGAAGCAATGATAAGTCAGAAAATGTCCGCATGTGTGACAGCCGAAATGGAATCGGGGTTCCAACTTTCATGTAAACAACAGGCGTTGTTGTTGCCCCTATTGATTGACTGAAATTTTTCACCACAGCTCTACCACTTGGTTGGAATTAATTACATACAAACATGTTTGGTGTTATTCGAGCCTTGCCCCGATCTGCGAAACGAATGCCCTTGAATGCCAAGCGAGGACATAACTACTACAAAGGTACGCTCTTTGTAATACATGATTTTATGTGATCCAAGCAAGCTGATTCTTGTGGCTCTGTATCTTAGGTACTGGTTCCGGTGCCATGGGTCGACATACCAAACGAGGCGGCTATGTCATTGACTGGAGCAAGGTCAGAACTTTTGTTGTACCCGATCTGGAAGGATTTAAGGTAAGGATTTTGATTGCAAGAAGAAAAAAAGAATACACACTTGAATTTGTCAGTAACCAATGTCAAAACCCTACACTCACTTTCTCACAGCTCGGACCTTACGTTTCTCGCAAAACCAACTTGGAACGAAAGTAAACGACGCATGCGCATTGTCCGATTCAAAAGGAAAAAACCAAAGCATTCAACTATCACCCTCATCGATATAGAAATCTCTCAACTTATACATAACGCTATCTTCCCTCACTAGAGTTCGGTTTCAACGTCTTTATTTTCAATACAATCAGTTTCTGGAAGCCAGTGTCTAATTTTTGAAATACATACTTGATACAAGGATGTTCCGGACAAAAATCACGGATAATTGAAATATGGAACGTAAATGCCGCCATAGAAAGAAGCAGCGCAATCAATGTCTGACAAGTAGGATGCAAATGTTTCTGTAACCCAATTTTTTACGCATGAAGCAACACTGCTGTGATACACTATATGTTAATCAAGGTGACTGGAGACGGCAAAATAAAAAGAATAGCACACGCACGGGGAGCACAGAAAAATACATAGAAATGAAAGTTTTATCCAATTTTTTATTTCGGCAAGGGAAATACCTTTCTTTATGATTTTATTTCAAGTGGGCATGTTACTGTAAGCTTTGATGTTTGGAATTATAAGTACCAGGGAAAATTTTAGTCGTAGCGAGCACGTCTGGGCGATCGTGAGCGCGAACGCTGCGGCATATCTCGAGATCGGCGGCTGTAACTTTCGACTTCACGACTCCATTCATCTTCAGGACGTCGGTCACGACTGTCCCGACTACGACGACGATCATCTCTTCCTCTATAGCCTCGCTCGCGATCCGAGTAACGACGGTAATCTCTATCCCTACCTCCGTCTCGACGATCTCGGTAATCGTACCGTGCGCGTGAGTAATCACGGTTATCACGACCGTTCCATCGGCGGTTCTAATATCATTTCAATTCAATGTTCAATTTCTTCGTGGTGGTTTTGCTTTTTTTTTCCAACTTACCTTCCATTCATCGAGTGTTTCACGAATTTTCAGATATCCTTGATGTTGCTTACCCTGATAGTGCGCTTCCAAACGATCGGACGAGTCGTTAGTAACCAGGAAAGCTCCACAGACTGAGCAAACCTCCATGCGTTTTTCGGATTTTTCGGAATCGTCACCCTACACCACGGTATCGTCAATCATCATCATCATCATGATTACAATCCTCATTTCGTCCACTTACCTCTTTCAGGCCAGCCAGTTCTTTCTCGAGTTCTTCCACTTGATTTGTAAGTTCTGTAGCTTCTTGAACTCGACCTTCTTCACCAGCTTCCTCAATCTTTCATAGAGCAACAAAAAAACAAGAAACAAGAGCAAACAAATCACAAGCAAGGCATGAATGAGCAAAACAAAAAAAAGGACCCATAAACCCAGAAAAACCATCCAGAGTGACCACACTTACCTTTTGTAGCAGCTCCTTGATCTTTACATCCAGCAAGACCATTTTTTCTTGCTTCTCCTCTTTACGTTCCTCTGAGTTCTGTACAAAATGACAGTCAATATAACCATCTACGATTAGGGGATGTGCTGTACCAGAAACTTACATGTTCGCCCAGCTGAATATGCAAGCGGCCTTTGCCCTGATTAATCTTTCGGCCTAGGTCTCTAATGAGCTTGTTCAGGTAATCGTAAAAGTCTGCTTCAAATGGGTATTTGTGCTTATCGGGCGAATTTTGATAACGCTCTTTCAGTCGATCGTTGTGCAATTTATCGCAAGGTCCTGTGGGGATTCCATCGCGGCATGAGTACTTTACTGATCGCTCGTTATATGAACAAACACAACACACTTACCAAGATCAGATTTGGTGTTTGTAAAAAGCTGGGAAGGACAGAAAGCCACAAGATAGTGTTTACATACCTATGCAAAAAGAGAAAGTTTTGAGTACAAAAGCCAAGCAAACCAATGCTAACATCCAGCTTCACGATTATACTTACGCTTTCGTCCCAGAAATCTTTGTTATCCACGTCAACATATTGAGACATGAGCTCAGCGAGCATTGCTTTCTGGTAATCTGCCATTGATTTAGTCTATTTGTATTTTTTTAAACGGCTTTTTACAGGTATACATACCCATGGTGATTTTAATTAAAAGTTAAAGGAACAAGCTTTGAATGACACCTATTCTTTTCAGGTGGTGGCTGAGCTTAGAATTGGTATCACGTGATATAACCAATGAACAGTCGAGAAATTCCACCAGTTCGCGGGCGCGTGTGGATTTTGAAACACTTACCCAATCTGAAAACGTTATTATCCCAGTTGCAGAGACGCCAAATGAGAAAGCAGTACCCAATGGGGCGTACGACGAACTGTAACTGAGTTAAGCAACATTATTTTCAGCTTTCCCGAACCAGGAGCAAATTTTTTTTGAGAATTGGGTCTTGTGAAGTGCGATGCTAAAGTTCCCATTTTATTTTTTCTTTCTCTATATCAAAACTGGATAAAGGAGCGAGGAAAAAGATGGCAATCCATGTAAGGAGGATACCACACCAGAACGCCATCCAATCAAAGTTTTCAATCACGTATTTCATCATCGAGCCATCGATGGCATAAATAAACGTCGTTGAGCACCATCCAAATATTGTATCTAGCCCGCTTGGCATGCTGTTGCCTGATACGTCTGTCAGGTTGGTCCGTAGTGTTTCCGTTGGGCACGGTTGATAGGCGGCCAGGTCCCCAAAATACGTCAGAAGAATCCTCCATAATTCGATCCACAGCATATTATCACTGGTAGCTACACAAGAAGCCATCTTTTTGCGAATCAGCACGGCAGGACGGGACTGATGCATTCCTTTTTTTTTCACTCCCTTATAAATAACATTAGCCACGCGGGAGCAATTACAAGTAAAATACTCCTTTAAAACATGATTCTTAACAATCCTTCAGGCCCTCCTTTTTTTTTTTTTTTACTTTTGTATCGCTACGGGATATTGTTCCCAAGTAATGATATTGATCAACTTTAGCCATATAGATATGAAACCGGTATGAACGTGATGATTGTTTCCGGTGATACGATGGGAACGGAGAATAAAATAAAGTTCTATGTGCCGTATTTCTGCTGACATGATTGCGAATATGATACTTCGCGTTTCTCTTTTTTTACAATGAGCACTGAACCTAATCAAAGAAAATATGATATCAGTACGTGTAGCATCCTACAATGCAGATGATCCTGTATTGAATGTCTTGTGTTTGTCGCAGTTGTTTTTGGCGCTACTGGATTCACCGGCGAGCTGACGTGCGAGTACCTCGTCGAAATCAATGATAAAGTAGGTCTGACAACAGAAACAGTGACAGAAAGAAAAGCCCCGGCTCCTCGTTATTGAAACGGGATATACAATAAAGGAACTCCGATGGGCTATTGCAGGCCGTAGTCGAGCCAAACTTCAAAAGACGAGAGAACGGTTGGCGGCTATCGATGAGTCGTGTCAATCGTTGGATTTGCTGATTGCTGATTCGGGGGATTTGGAGTCTTTGGAGAATGCCGTTCGACAAGCACGCGTCGTTATTAGTACAGTGGGCCCATTTATGAAATACGGCACCCTGTTGGTGGAGGCTTGCGTGCGGCAGAAAACGCATTACGTGGATATCACTGGCGAATATCCTTGGGTGTCACAAATGATTGATCGATTCCATGGTGAAGCCGTAAAAAATAATGTCATGATTGTACCCTGCTGTGGATTTGATTCGGTGCCGAGTGATATGGGAACATTTATGTAAGCAGATAGGGTGGTTGGATTTGAAATTCATCATGCATTGATCATCTCTGATTTACTCTCTTTTTTTTCTTCAAAGGGTGTGTGATTACATGCAATCACGTCACAATTTAAGCACGGCCGATGTGAAAATGTCGCTTACAAATATCGTGGGTGGATTCTCCGGAGGTACGATTCAGTCAGCAGTAGGCATGTTGGCCGACAAGTCGCTCAGTGCATCCAAATCAACGGATCCATACCTACTCAGTCCGATTCGCGGCCCCGATCAAAAGAAATTGCCTTGGATGAACCGTGATCCTGATTTTGGCCGTCGATGGCAAGGATGTTTCTTGATGTCCGTGGTCAATGAGAAGGTGGTCAGAAGATCTTGGGGTCTCTATACTGAACGCGGTCACAGCTATGGTCAAGCTTTTAAATATCGGTCAGTCTTCTTCTATCATGATACCAAAGCCTCTCCGACAAACTGACATGATATACATAGGGAGACCTGGACATTGTCTTTTATTCCAGCGCTTATAATGACGATGGCTATGCTAACCGTCGCTCCTCTGGCGGCGGTTGCTCTCAAAATTCCGGCTATTGCAAGCCTGGCTTCTCGTTTGTTACCTGGTTCAGGAGCAGGCCCTGATAGGGAACAGCGCATGAAAGGACGTTTTGAAATGCAGTTTGTGGCCACTGCAGAAACGGAACCCTATGATGAACCAGTTCGCGTTCGTGGCGTTGTCAAAGGTGAATCTTAAAAAAAAAATATTGCTTTGGGCCGACGAAATTAACCGGCGCTTTTTTGGCTCTGGTCATTGTAGGTTTCCGAGATCCTGGTTATGGTGACACATGCCTCATGGTTGCTGAATCGGCTTTATGTATTGTCAAGAGTTTGGATGAGCTTCCTGGCAAAGAAGGAGGTATTCTGACGCCAGCTTCAGCTTTTGGGCATACTTTATTGAATCGCCTCCGTGCCAATAACCGCATGGTTTTCGAAGTCAAAGACATGTAATAATTCAATATCCGCTCAATAAAAAGAAAAAATGAATGTTGCTTCCCTGTCATGTCCCAACCGATTGACTGGGGTGAATTGTTTGGATCGGATGAGGACCAAGAAACACCATCCCATAATGAGGGCGATATTCTCCAAAGCTGGCATAGCATTCCGGGTTTACAGTTAGCGCAACACAGTCTTACACACGATGAGCAAATGCAACTCACCAATGATATTATTCGTCACGGTTACTTTGACGATGCCGCAGGCGTTAATCAAGCCATGTGCTTTGGTACGCTGCCTTCTCACTTTCAGTGGCTATGTGAATGGGTACGTCAACAGCCTGAGCTTTTACCGCCAAATTTACGCGATCGAGAGCCGTTATTCGATCAAGCCATTCTCAATTTTTACCACAAAGGTGCGACTATTTCCTCGGTCCTATCAGGATAATTCCCAATTCAGCTCACTAGAAAATGTTAGGCCAAGGTATCATAAGCCATGTTGATCTTGAGAGGTGGGTGTTAGAATAATTGGCAAGACTCTCTGTTTGCTTATCTGTGCTTTATTAGATTTGAGGATGGTATCGTTATCGTTTCGCTACTGTCATCTTGTGTTATGACGATGCGTCCTGCGGACAAAAGCAAAGTGGGCTACAGTGCGTCTAAAAGCGGGGAACCAAGTGGCAAAGTGGAAGTTCCTGTATTATTGTCACCAGGATCTGTTATGGCCATGTCTGGATCAGCACGATATGACTGGGAGCATGGTATTAAGGAACAGTTGGTGGATACGTACGGCAATATTACTATCCAAAGAGGAACACGGATTAGCGTTACATTACGCAAACTCAAACCAGGACAGTCATTATCAGAAGAAGCAACACAACGTAGGAGACCAAGATGAAGTCATTACATGTAGAATGCTATAATATTATACCATCATCACACTACACTTTTAAATAAGAAAATGATTTATGGAACAGATTATCATCATCATAAATTTTTGATTGCGATTTGCTTTGGTGGGTGAGTGCTGCGCTGTTTAAAATTTAGTACGCTGAGTGGTGTGATCTTGCGCGTGCCGGATGAACAGGACAAACTTTGCAGCTTGTTCCAGTGGTTGAATGTGGACTTTATGTCAGACGATCCGCAGTATGCCAGTCTGTTTTTGCAATCCGAATCGGACGATCTAATCATTTCGGAAGATGTGCGTCATGGATCCTCCGACAGCACCACCGATCCGTCCAATGATGTCGAAGACTTTCTCCCCTTGGACCGTTCAGACGGTGTAGAGGAAGGAGACGAGGATGACGAAGGGCAGGTCGAAGAAGATAGCGCTCACGAAGCCACCACCCTTCGCATTTACGAATCGACCCATCCAGGGCACATTCAAAAACAACAAGGCGCTCGAGAAATAGGCGAACAAGATGCAGTGTGGTTCGTGTCAACATTCCGTATGAACTGGGGACTGGCCAAAATGCGCGATGACAATCCATTGACTTACTGGCAGTAAGTGATCCGCATGTATTACCGATCTTGCTTACAAAGTGTGGGTATTCATAACGCACGGCGTTCCTAGATCCGATTCTCCCAATCCCAAAGAACCACATACTATTGACTTATTCTTTCACCGCGCCACATTCATCAAGGTATGTGGGTACGGGTGATGAAGAAGATGCGCTTTCTGACGATAAACACTGTAGCAAGTGTCCTTCTTTATGGATTATTTCCAGGATGACAGTTACACGCCGAAAACAGTATCGATTCGAGGCGGCACTACCTACCGTGACTTGCATGTAAGACCAAAGAAAGAAGAAGAGAAAAACGAAAGATGACTGCAGTACCTGATGAGAGCGGCTGAAACTTTGCCTCTTGTAGGAGATTGTACAAATAGAATGCGAAGAGACCGTGGGATGGAAAAACGTGGATTTGAGCGAAATCGCAGGGTGAGTACACAGGCATAAATGCTTTTCCACCGGTAAAACGAGATTGAGGAACTCACAATGGAGGTCGTTTATTAGGGAGCCTGTGCGTGTTTTTCACCTCCAAATTGCCATTCTAAGTACGCACTTGAACGGAAGAGATACCCATATTCGACAATTGAAGATCTACGCTGTGCCATCGTAAGCTCACAAGTAACATTGATACTAGAGGTTAAAGTACTAATACAATAACTCCAGGCCCGCCTCAGACGAAGCGTCCTATGTGGACACAGATATCCCTTTCAGCCGATCCAAGCGCGAAAAAACGATGCGATGAAAAATAATCACATAATATTGCATTTATCTCCATCATTACTCTCTATTGCATATGACAGTTTATCAAAGCTTCAGAATTCAAAACAGCACGCGTATGGCACTTTATTTGTCATCAAGATTTGTTTACCGACACTGAACCATATTCTCTACGCATGAATAAAGTCGACTTCTGATGAGCAAAGATTTATCGATCATGCATTGTGGCAAAATTAAAAGTCAGCAACGGCAACCGTCCTAACAGCCCAAAGAACAGCTTTGGGAAGGGAGAAGAAACAAAAAGCAGAGTCTAAATCAGGTGGTACCGGCAAACCCATTCAATCCAGCATGTTAATTGTCTTATTCAAGAAGTTGACGACTGCCTGGCCCCGCCGAATGGAGAACGGAGCGGCCAGAAGTATTACAGTATGTCTCAAAGGTCACCGACTCAAAGAAAGCTGCTTTGGAAACTGACCCTGTCTGCTTATGCTTATTATTGGATATACAAATCAAAAATGTAAACATGATCAACCTATCGGGAACAACTCATTTCCTGCTAATTTGGCTGGCGACGAACAGCTCATAGGCGGGCAACCCACTTCCTTCTAAATGGCTGGCGGTGAGCCACCCGTTCATTGTTTCCTTGGTGAATGCACGGGCGGGGCAACCGAAAGGCGAAACAGCCGACTTCGTGCTAATTTGGATTGGCGGCGAAACAACCACGGGCGGCTCGGTTCCTACGCAATCTGCGAGATCTAATGGCAGTACTTAAACTTGGCCATATTCTGTTTGGTCACCGAGAGAGGAACGCCAGATCAGTTAATTTCCAAAGGCAATCGATCAAGTCAGGGTCGTCGCTGTCCCAACTTTAGTATGCCCAAGGGGTAAGCTAATTACATCTTTTCAAAAAAGTTGGCGCAGGATGATCACTCATGTTTTGATTTCTTTCGTCATATGCAATACATTAGTAAACAAAAAGAAATATGATTCAATCTTTTTTCCCCTTTTTTCTCTTTCTCTTGTTTTCTCCCCTCATCGAACCTGCATTTTTTAATCTCCTTTGTGTTGTAATGATATCTGTTATTAAAGCACCCATCACTGATCAGAAATTCCTAATTTTGGATGCTCCCACGTCTGATACACTTCCCAAATACATTGATGTTTTGCGCAAAGAGAATGTTGCCCACCTCGTGCGAATATGTCATCGCCAAACTCATGACGGTCGAACCCACGAATACGATGCGGACGATTTGCACAAAGAGACTGGGATACAGGTGATTGACGATATTAAATTCGAAGACGGCGGTGTGCCTAGCCCCGAAGCTGTTCAACGTTGGCTGCACCTGGCAGAAGACGCACGGCGACATGGTACGACTTTGGGTGTGCATTGTGTTGCTGGAATTGGAAGAGCGCCTGTAAGTAATAAGATCACCTACAAAGGGTAATTTGTTTTGCCCACGTACACACAGATGCTAATTCTCATGTGGCATATTCCATTGCCGGAATTGATATAGGTGATGGTAACTCTTTCTTTGGTGGAAAGTGGAATGGATCCTTTGGTATGATAATTGAAACGACCGCCAAATGCGGGGAAGAAAAAGAGAAAAAAAGGAAGAACTAAAAATTCAAAGTCATTCATTTGCTTATTATTGTTCGTGATGTTTTTAATTATTTTTTTCAACAGGATGCTATTCTGTACATTCGACAGCACAGGAGAGGAGCTCTCAATAAGACGCAGCTGCGGTTTATTGAAGCATACAATGCGAGATCGAGTCGAAGAAAGTCATGGCTCGGTTGGCTCAGAAAAACCACAAAGGCAAAACGAAAAAGAGAAGAAAAAAAAATTTAGAAACACAACCATTTGTCGTGACTCATACTTAAACTTTTTTACTTTCTCCTCAATTGTCATATAAAAACTCCACCCCAAAATAAAACACACATAGAAGATTTGTTACAGTGTTTTATCTCATTGCAGATTCTTTCAATGGACGATCAGCTTTTCAATCGTGAATTGTGGTCTCAAATATTCGGATACTTGAGCATTGCGTGTTGGATCGTCGTCTTTACACCGTGAGTGATGATAATATGCATCCCTGCAATATGAAAAAAAAAAAAAATGGTGATATTGTTGCTAAGCAGTGGCGGTTCTGATATTAGACAATTGAAAGAAAACTACATCCGGAAAAATACCGATGGTGTGTCCATTTCATTCCTACTGTTCTGGATCTTTGGTGATATATTCAACTTGCTTGGTATCATCCTTGAGAATCTGTTATTGACAATGGTGAGTGCCAAAAGATGAGCTGCGTCGATCAAAAGTTTTTTATTCATTGTCTCACTTTTGAAATCCCTGATTAGCTGCTTCTTGCATTGTACTATTTATTTGCGGATGTGTTATTGATGGGTCAAGTTGTTTATTACCGTACTCATTACCGTCGTCAAAAAGTGGATGAGATCGTGGTAGCGTCCGATGCGTCCATCTCTGAGCCAACATTGGCCTATACCTCTCATACTGTGATACCCCCTTCTTCTCGTCGATCCAGCCACTCCAGCCACTCCAGTTCCAGTAGTTCATCTTCCAGCAGCAGCGACGACAGCCATTGTGTGGTTGCACTGGAAAGAACTCCGCTGATTCAAAAGACCCTCAGTCGCGAGAGCTCTTACACCCTGCTTGCCACTACCTCGCGAGAAATGTCCCCCAGAACGCGTCGGCTCGTTCGATACTTTACGTTCATCAGTGTTCTCCTGTGGTTGGGACTCGCGATAGGCAGTGTGGTGTTCTTCTTTTTCCCCAGTGATCCAAAAGACAAGGTTGATCTCAGTCACTGGCGTCTCGTTCCCCAATTGCTAGGCTGGGCAAGTGCCATTCTGTATTGCACCAGTCGTATTCCTCAGATCATGCAAAACTTTCGAAACGAGAGCGTGGAAGGTTTGAGCTTGTCCATGTTTTTGTTCAGTGTCATGGGCAATTTGACCTTTTGTTTTGTAAGTATATGACTCACTTTGTCATTTGGTGTTTGGTTGCTTGTTTCTGATTTTTTTTTGGTCATGCTATCCTATCCAGTCCATTTTCCTTCAATCCATGGATCGCACGTATTTATTGGTCAACTATCCATGGCTCCTCGGCAGTGGTGGTACCTTGTTCTTTGATTTTACGGTAAATGGTTCGCCTCGCATGATATTAGATTCTTTTTTTTACTTATCTATCACACGTCTGGTTTAGATCTTTTTCCAATTCTATACCTACCATAAGAGCGGGCATGATAAGGATGAATTGGCCAAACTTGCTGGTCGAGCATCATCATTGGAGAATTGAGAATGAATACAAACAACGTTCATATTTTTTTTCTTATGCCAACTTGGAATTGGTCTTCATGTTTGGTGACGATTCTCGGAACATTGTCCGAGCTTCTTGTATTGAATTAAGGTTTGCAAACTGTCTCACCAAGAAACGTTACTCCAACCAACCGTGTTTCGTCAAGTAAACAAATCCATCCCATCTTGACGTAAGATAACTATAAACAAAACAAAGAAAAAAAAACCCCCAAGGGCCAAGAACCATGGCAACCGGATACCACACTTCCGTGATGGCGATGAATTTTATCTATGACAAGCGATCAGTGTTTATTTGATGATCAAATCAGTTTCACGGCAGCAAATCGATATCATGGCGAAAACTATCAGGCATATGTAACCCCAACGCCGCTTGCAAGCCAGAAGTAACAAGTAAGAATAATAGAAGCGTAGGAAGATGCTTTTTCTTTGGCGTTTCAAACGTCCATTTGACAGAAGATGGGAAAAAAGCCACCGGTATGTCTGTGCGCTTCTGAGGCGCTTTCTCATCTCAGAAGTGTTTGGAAATACAAACGAACGTTATGGAAGAATCATATGATGTAACGAGATCCATCGATCACCTTGTACGATGTTTCTGCCTTCCGGTTGTCGCTCTCTTTCCAATGATATAGATGCTCCTCTTTTTAGCCCATCCGTCTTCTGTGTTGGTCCCCCAAACTGGTTGGTGATTTCCTCTTCTCTTCCCCCCAATTCCCCCCCCCCCTCTTTCTTTTATTTCCCCTAAAAGTTGTACACGATAAACCAAACAAATCCACAAGTCTTATTCAAACAAAAACAAAAAGCAAGCAAGACTGGGTGCGTACATATGTATGTGTGTACTCACATATGCATAGCAACATGTATACATGTAAGTCGGGTCAGCCTTCATCAATATTGATCGACCACATGTTTATGATTTGTTTAATTTGCTTGGACTCTTTTTTTTTCTTTCTTTACGCTTATATATTCATACTTTTCGCCCACGAACTCTTTTCCCCCTTTTTTTATTCACAGATAAAACAAACCTTTTTTTTTTCTCTGCGATCCAAGAAAACTTTAAAAATAAAGAGACAACCATAAGCACGCACTATGGAAACAGCTGATGTCAAGATTCAACCCATTGTTCTTCCTTCGTTGCGATGTATGTTCGGCGACATTCCATTGAGTTCGGCTCGTACAGGTACGTCGTTGGTAAAAATGAATGAAAGGAAGAAACAGTTTCTCACCCCAATCAGCAGATAAGCACCCTCCTTCTTTGCCCTTTGGTTCTGGTTGGCGCAAGTTGGAAAGAGCTTTACCAAAGGAGCCACCGGTAGATCTGTCAGCCGTGGAACCGGTGGTTTCGCCTCAACGGCAGTCAACAACAACAACAGTGACCGCCCCTTCGACGTTGGCAACCCGCACCAAGATGCAATCTCAACCTGCTACAGATATAACCAATTCAGCTGCATTTACATCGCGTCCCTTGTATCCTGTACCTTATCCGCATGTGTCATCGGCGAAGCGCCACATCACTGAAGCCCCGTCCATGCAGCCCGATGTTTACTGCTGTTGTTGTCCTCCTCCATTATCAGGCATGGCAAGTTACAGAAACTCATACCCTTCCTCCCCAGCCCCAGCGCCATCCACCATCAACAGGGATATGCGTCTTCATCGTCGTGCCGTCAGTGCCAACATAACACTGGACGGTCCTAATCAACCCAATGGCCGGTCTGCTCCTAATTGTTGTTACAGCCAGCCCCATTCCCCCTTGCTGACACCTATTTCGGATGGATGTCCGCCGGCTCGTCAAGCATGGCCCACAGCGCGACCTCCACGGACACGAGCTCACACCACACCTGGCTACCTTTCCACGGCAATGATGACTCATTCATCCCCTCTGCTGATACCCAAAGATGCCTCTGATCCTCCATTTTCTGACCATCCCATGTCAATGTCGCTTCGTTATCACTGTGTTCATTGCCGTAAAACGTTTTCACGCCCATCGTCGTTACGCATACATACCTACTCGCATACAGGCGAAAAACCGCATGGTTGCCCTCATCCAGGCTGTGATCGACGTTTCAGTGTTCAGAGCAATATGCGTCGTCATCTAAGAGTTCATTACACGCCCGATCCATCTCCTTATGATTATTTTAGAGTTTTGACACGTTCGTCATACTCGCGTAACCACCACTACCCATCCACAGCTGCGCCGCCCCATCTGGGATAAACGAGCTTCTGCAGCGCCAGCGAGAATGTACCAACTGTGTGATGCTGGTTTCATCTCATTCATATACATTCATCCAAACATACACTTACGCATATACACGCCTCATCTACTCCGTCATTTTACATATACGAAAAAAAAAATCCAATAAATCTGAGCTGCTTTGTTATTCTTTTAATCTGCCTGGTTCCTCACATTGTATGCCAACCAATGTATCGTACATAAAGTGAATGACGAAACACAAGACATATTTGTATCTCATCAGTGTTTATTTTTTGTGTATTCGGGCTACAAATGAGAAACCTGATTATTGACAAAACATCTCTTTAATCATTTTATTCATCAGTTGTCATACCTTCCTTTTTTAAAACCAGTATTTGTAACATCGTTTCCAACTGGAAAATCCGTTGTCTATCATGATTTGTCTCACTACAGAATTTTGTTTTCCGTATCCAGAATGGGTCCTTCTCCGTTTTTACTTGCAAAAAACAGAACCAAGAAATTATTGTTCTCTTTGCAAACTCGAAGAATGCCTCGGCCTTCAATACCCCGTATTATGATGAAACAATACACAAATATAAAACGGATAACTTTATCTGCAAAAGGCTGCATGCAGCTATGCCACTTGCTCAATGTCGGATCATTTGTTTATTAAAGTTTTTTTGTTTATGTTTGGCCACTGTTGTTGCTGTTGTAGTTGTTGTTTTCAGCAGATCTGTAATTGCGTATGGCAATTGTACAACGAATCAGAAGTTCTCGATGTCCACAAACATGGAATAATGTGCAAGCGCAGCTCGAAAAGATTACCAACGGACCACACTTCTACGTTCTTCTACAATGAGGATAGATAAAATAAAAGTAAAAAATTTGGACATGACTAATCGATCCACTTATCATTAGTGATTAGAAGCTGGAATTTTTTATTTTGTAGATGATGTGATAAAATCGACAAAATACAACAGCCAATGGCTTTGTTGAAAACCTGTAAAAGGCGAACTGGCATCTGACTTTTATGCATGCAGTATGCGCTTTGTCGGAAGCGCTTTTCTTTTTTTGTTTTTTTTTGTTCTTTTGTTTGCTGTGGAAGAGAGAAAGAAAAAGAACCAGTCTTTGACGGAGATCAGAACCGTCGTCCACCAAGCTACATAGCTTCATAAACATTTGAAATCCCAAACAATAAGGATGTATTCTTCCAATACATTATGCTGTAACACATCATCACATAATTGCAGTGTTTACAAAATTCCAGCTACCGTCGAAGCCCATTCACTACTTTACAGCTTTGGAAAGAAAAGAAAATGATGAAGCATCTGTATCGTGAATTCATTATCGGCTTTTGTTGTCTTTTTAATGTCAAAGTTTCTAAAAAATTACGCACTTATGAAAGTTGGAAATGAGAAATAGACAAGCGAGATTGCAGTTTATGGAAACGAGTCATTCTAAATTATCATGGCTGCCTGGAAAAATGGCAAAAGCGAATCAAAATTTCATATGAAATTGCGCACATGTTAACGTAGTGTCGACATTCTGGCACGAACTTTGAGTTCTCTTTCACCATTGCCTTTTGTAAATGTTTTCATTCATCAATTTAAGAGCTATCGAATAGGTACACACGCACAATCTGCGTGGAAATAAAGACTCTTCGTTTTGTCATTTTGAGATTTGAAGCAAAGATTTAACTTTCAATGCCGACCATGGCTGATCTTGCTGTGCATAATATCACCCTATGGTAACGCATATCTTTCAAATGGAAGGTCTGCATAATATCGTCTCTTATCTGTTGCTGATAAGTCACGGTCAGAATTGCAGCTAAACGTGTCCTTTATACGTTCATCCTTTCATTCTTCTGAAAATGAAAACCGCATACATGTATGGCTATCTTTCATAAGCTCAGAGATTTGAGTGTCGCATTTCATGCAATATCCGTGATCCTGCATCATTTCCAGACAACATTATCTAAACTCGAACTTTTCATCCATCATTTTTCATCGAACACAGCATACCCACTCGCGTTGATGATAGCCAGGCAGAAGTCCTGTCATGATGAACCAGCAGCGAAGCAAATAAAATAAAACAAATAAAAACCCAAGTCGTATGGAGTACATAAAGAGTTTGCAGATTCAATTCATTAAGAGGTGGATATCGTTATTCCATGATAAAGATATGAAGAAATAAGTAGAAAAAGAGGACAGACAACGAATTGAGAGGGAAAAAAAAAGCAGGGAAGAAACTTCAATGTGCGCGTACAGTGTAAATGTTGAGATAGAAAATAAATGTAGAAGTTTGTAATGTTGGTGCGTATGACAGGCATTGCGGGGATGTTGAGCATAGAGTGACTGGATCGAGATGGAAGAGATAAGAAGGAGGATAAAAAAAGCCGGTATGATGGGGAAAAAAAGGCGGAAAAATAAATGTTTTTAACCGTACAAGGGAATCGTTAATCTATTTCGTAAGGGACTTTGCCGATGCCGAACACTCGCACTCGATGCATAATGGGCAGTTTGGCCACCAGCACCACCAACAAAGCAGTAAAATTGATACCGAATAAGAAAAAGTCGTAATGCGTGTAGTGAGTGCTCAAAAGGAACCTACAACAATACGTTCACAAAAAGCCAAAAAAAAAAATTAACATCACTTTTCCAAGCCTTTCAACTCATAGAGCGTATTACATAAAAGAGAAACTTACAAAGCGATCGGCACCGCAGTCAAGAACTTGCGAGTTGCTGTGAATTGGACTCCACCATCGATTTGTTCCCATAAAGTCAATCCATCATAAGCGCCTTGATTGTTCTCGAACGGAATACCCTGAACCCAATGAAACATAATATAATGGCCCTATACAAATATAAACAAACCCCAACCCCCCAATGCGTACTCGGTTAGCCTAACTCACGAATTGACAATACCGATGCTTGTACATACGCAGTTAAACGTCAGATTGGTCAATGTCCAACTTGCTTCGGGACTGATGAAGGGAATGACAGTGAATAATGCTTTCAACGCGACGACCACAAATAAAGTGGTGAACCAGGCTCCTAAAATAAACGCAGGACTTGTTTTAACTACCACAGCAAGTGCTTGTTATTTTCGTACTTCATCCAAACCTACCTTTGTAATTGACCCAAGATGAATTAAAGTTTGGCATGGAACTCTGATCCAGTGTCATGTATGCTTTCTTTTCTTTCACACTTGACATGGTTGCTTTTTGTTTATGAAAAGGAAGGTAATTGAAGCGAGTGAGCCTTTTTTTTTCTTTTATTGGAACAGGAAGAAAAGAATGGGAAAAAACTTATTTTCAAGCGGCACGCCCTTAATTTCAAGTGCACGTCATCAAAATTACTAAATTTACTTCTTTCTTTTTTCAAGCACAGCTTCCCTGGCATGCGATCACCTACTCAACAAGGAGCTTGTTGGCGATACTCTCTGGTCGCCAGATCGCCGAGCGCAGGTTGTGCGCGTTGGGATCTTTGCAGAGACACGAGATGGGATTTTGAGTCGATAGCTTTGATTCAACGTAGGCTTGGAGGAGGTGCGTCTCATGTTCACTCTTGTTCCCTGCTCCAGATGTAGTTTCCAAAGTTTGAGTCATCCTTGCTGTACTCCGTATATCGTTCATCTTACCAAAGCTTGGAAGCATCATTTGCGGAAACATGATTTTTGGTATCGGATAAACAAGACTCAACTGTCTCAACCTGAGTTTTACTGTCAGATAAATACACTAAACCGATGATACCGATACTGCTTACCAGGTCATCTCTCTCCGCAGTCAGAACTATATCCAATCATGTCATTATTTACATCAAGACACCTTGTCCTTAATCCTTTGGCGACTTCCCGCACTCTCTTCTTTTTCTTTCCTAAGATATCAACATGTAAATGTGGATGTTTATATCTACCGGGCTTTGGTATAGCAACTGCTGCAGCCTTTGCTCATCTTGTACTCATCAACACAACGTACAAGAGTTTTTTTGCGAAATTGGCGAAACTTCCTGTATGCTCATCATAAGCAATTTGCTCGTACAGAGTGCATTATCGTTCTACTATCTCGCGGGACCATTGCCTTTGAGGGAAATGCAGTTCGGTTCTCGCGGAAGGAGATTAAACTCTTTCTTCTGATGGTGGGTAAGGCATTATCATTTACAGTTGTAAAAATAAACTATGTGCGGCCATGTGCAGCATTAGCCTAAGCACGCTTCTTATCGTTACAATGCTGGTCCATGAGCTCATCTCTATGCTTGTCCTCATATCTATCTCTATCATTATCGTTTTCCCTTTTGTATGTCCATGCTTTGCCTCATGTTGCAGGTCTACATTTCATTTATTTATTTCATTTTTATCTTTATCAATACTATTATACAAATTATTTTTATTTTTTTCAATAAATTTCATAACTTCATTAACATTCTGTTTGTTCCGTTTCGTATCATCTCATATAACTACCCTATTAGTCATAAAGAAATAAACCTGTGTACTTCTTATCGTAGTCTCTGGTTCTTTTGGTTCTCTTCTGACTCCGACTTGTCCTTACCTTGTCTTGCCTTGTCTTGTCTTGCGAAAACACCTAACACCACCCTTTTGCCCAGTCGCGCTGACCTTCCGTAGCCTTCGTATAACAGCTTTACACCTTAGTTTCGGTAGGAACGATGTGCCCATTTCTTCCAGGAAATAGTAGAAGCAATCTTTGCATATAGGGAGGTATCCTGGAAATCCATGTCAATAAGGAAAATAGATGGCTTACACTTTTGGATACATACCAATTTGATGGGATGCCAGAGACAGAATTGACCATGTACGTTCATTGTAAAGCTTGATTTACGCAGTAACCATGCCGAAAATCGAACCAATGAAGCAGCCTGTGATGTGCCTGCGAGGGCTTCGATCGCGTTCTAATGATAATATTTCTTATATTTTTGGATATTCGAATGATCTTCTCCATCATTTACGCTTGGTATGTGGGTCTCAGTATGGTGGAGAGTTTGATTTTCCGGCAAGTGGCGGAGTGATCTCCCATTAACGTCTAAAGTGTCTGGCGCATCGCTGTCATGATCGCCACATTCTGCTTTGCGTGTCAGAGCGTTTTTCATATCCTTAATGATTAAACCGACCAACTGGCGTCCTGTTGCAGCACTCTCCATAGCAATCATTAGCAGCATGCGAAATCGAAATTGAATAGAGAAAAGCAGATAAATGAGAGCTCGGGAGAGAGGTAATCAGAACGATAAGTACAAAGCAGTAGGGTTTAACAATCAAAAGAGATTATAATGGATAAGGGAGGTGTGGGAAAATAAAAAGACAAAGAAAACGGGAATGGGAGCAAGAAGCACTTGGATAAAATTGCAGAGATTATGCCTTTTATTTGTACGCGCGTCACAAATTAGGTTTTAATGACTTGACTTGTGACATTTTAGGTTGACATTGTTCTACTGTCAACAGGCCGAGATGCCGAGACGCAGACTGAAATTTTCATTGGTTGGAAACTGTAGATGAGAAGGCGTCACTTGCAGAATGTTGGCACCACCATTCCCACCACGACTCGGTATCGTATAATCAGCGATCGTGGCGGGCAGTGCGGGTTTCGGCAATGGGCGGTTACCTTTAAAGCGCATGAGAAAAAGATTGACGAGGAAGAAGAATGATTCCAACGCTTATTCTCGGGGGACTGTGAGGGTTGAAGCAGGTTCGCCCGTATAAAGAAAGAGATAACGAAAAATAAAATCACTTGGGCTGCTGAGAACAGTGCTTGGTCGAATACGGCGAAGATATGCACAAAAGAATTAGATTATCGAGAGATAGCAACTCAAGACCTACTCACTACTAAATCGAACCATCAAGCGCAATTATGCATGCTACTCTAGAATGGAAATAAAACAACAACAACGGATATATATTTTGCCACATGAGTATTTCATGTTCAGTACGGCTCCAATCGCTTGCTTATCAACTTTAGGCCAACAAAAGCGTTACGCACAGACAGATACAGGCAATTCCGTAAGGCGTTTCAAGCTGCATAGAACGCTAAAAATGACATGTCAAACGGATCTAACACAAAGAAAAAGTAAGAGAAATTTATGTACAATGATATGGAGTAGGATGACGTCTTATGACGCAGGAGAGAATGACCCTTTGTGTGCTTTTTTCATTCGTTTTTTTGATGAGGTGGAGCCATCGCCTTCGTCTTTCGCAGGGAAAACGTCCGCGTCATCGTATGGTAAGGATGGCAAGTAAAACACTTCTTCTTCTCCTCCTTCTTCATCATCCAAATCCAGGAACGCTTGAATCTTGTCACACGTGGTCACATCCACAACAATGTCTTCATCATCATTTTTTCGTTTTGAAACCGTCTCCTCTGATACCACATCGAATTCGTCTTCCTGTTCCTCGTATTCCAAGTTCTCTTCCAGTTCGGTGAAATCAGGTGCAAATGCGCTCCAGTTTTCTTCGTGTTTCGCGGTCCAGATATAGATGTTACCATAACTGCTCACGGAAGCAATGATCGGCCTTACAGGGTGCCACTACGCAATCAGCATATAAATTTTCATCATCCCTTGGCTTTTTTAGTCCATTGTATCCTCTTACTGCTAAATCATCCAATGGTTCTTTGGGACCTTCCAAAATCTTGACCAGATTCCCGATGTTTTTATCCCAAATATAGATGTTATGTTCCGCTTTGTGGGCTGATCCTAAAACCAAAGGGTCTCGTATCGATGTTGCACAGGATTGGCTACTATCTAAACCCACTAACCTGCAATCACAAATTCCCCATCAGCGCTGAAGCAAGCCTGACTCCACTGAACTCGGTTAACAAGATCTTGAAACTTGACTTGAAATGTGGGAATGCCGTCCAGATCTTCAAGTCGATAATATCGGATAATGCGATCATTCGCATTGATCAATATATCACTATGACAATACGGTCAGAGTCTTTCCTTGATGTGTGCGATCATGCGGCTAAGATACTCACCGTCCGTTGCGACTCCATTGGATAGACTTGATTGTGGTACTAGCCACACGCATCGAATGAATGATCTTGTTTCACAAATCTTGGTTAGTATGACAAGTTAAAGCAAATGATATGATTCGCCATTACCTTTAAGCTTTCCGCGTCAATGATATTGACATAACCCTTGGAAGAGCCGGTATATATCCGGTGACCTGTCTTGTTCCAAGTCGCGAACGTGACATAAGATGTTCTATCATTTCCAATTTAATATCGAATGATATAATTTAGGATGAAAAATCTTACGTGTTTTCATTCTCTTCTCCCGTCGGCAGAGCAATCTTTTGTGCTGAGCCATTCGATAGATCAAGGATGACGGGTTTTTCTTGAAATAAAGCGGCCACGAATCGGAAACTGAATGGAAAGGTCAAAAAAAAAAAGGAAACATCAGACGATGAGCTGAGTTGGTCATCCATACGTTTTGCTTTGTGCCAGAACATCAGGTTACTTTTTCTTTGGATGCATTTGCGCCATCATCAGCGGTGTGTCAAATCGAATTTTGGTGTGTTTGGCGCCAGTTATCAGATCCCACAATATGCACGTCCAATCCTTGGAGGCTGACAGCAGATACCTTCCGTTCCGTGACCAACTAAAATACAGTAACAACATTGTCGCGCCAATATCAAAATGAAGGGCCAGAATGGCATAATAAGCAATGGATCCAAAAGTAGTAGAATGCCGCACTATCGGTAAACTGGGAACTCACCTAATACTTGCCACTGGTTTGACATGACCAGTAAGATTGCGGGCTACGCCTTTGGTATCAAAATCCCACACCACGCATCGACCGTCTAAGCATCCTGCAGCAAGCAGTGTGCCCCGTCTGTTGAATTTAGAATGGAGTATATAGCCATCTTCTAATGTTTCTTCGATGACTTGAGGGTATTCCTGCTCCCACGGATCTAAATGTCTATTTTTTAGCCAGGGTCATTCAATGCAAAACAACCCGCCACTGAATGTCAGGTACCTAGTAATTCCAGATTCATGTCCTAAGCCGAGAGCTTGATAGGATTGAAAGAAGGAAAAAAGTGGTACTGAAAGTGAAAAAAAAAAAGAAAAAAGAAAAGGAAAGATGGCGATCATCATACAGTAACGAAACGTAGTCACTTTTAATGAGATGCAATGTCCCTTCTTTCCATGAGTTCACATGCTCATCGTCATCATCTCCACAGCCGATTTTTCTTTTCAGAGGGAAAAAGTTATTTTCTTTCTTTGATAGGTGTGTAATTCGCCTTGATTATTCAGGGGATATCTGTGTCGCATATCAAGAGTAACATGTACTTTTAGAATTAAGAATCTTATGGTGAAGAATGCTCAAGCTGTATTGAACTCACTTCCATGCTCAGAATAATAGCATGAACCAAAGGAATGTTTTACCGATAATACGCTGATGCCGTCCAGCATCATTTTTGTTCTTTTTGGAAATCTCTGACGGTGTGCAGAGAGGTGGCGATAAACACTGAGGAGATAAGGTGGGAAATGGCGTAATTTTACATGTTCAAAGGTGCTGTTGTGTCTGCGAAAACTTTTCATGCGCTACCAACATTGATTTTATTTGAAGCCCTATCAATGTGGCTAATAACATAACCATTCTTACAACCATATGATCAAATATCAAGTAAAAAAGATGAGATGATATTTTAATTAAAATAGATCCGGGGACTAATAGGTGTGAGTTAAGATCAGAGTGGCGTAAAGAAAGATCTATGTGGATGGTTTAGTGGTGTGAGTTATGACGAATCCCAAGTCGCTAGGATAGAAATAAAAAATCCGCCAAAGTAGATAATCTTGTCAAGGTGGACAAATCCAGATGGTGAGATGGATAGATGTTGCATGGTTCAGAAAGCGTCATCTTGCCTTTCCAATGTATTTGGTGTCACAATCCGTCAAGCCAATCGGATACTGGAAAACAGTTCTCACGGGGGATGACTTACGCCGTCTCCGAACTGGGGGGCAGGGAAAAAAAATATTTTCAGTCGGTCGGCTTGGTGCGGTAAGTCTAATGTTAACCAATCATGACCCTGAATAGATTAAGGATCAGAAAAAAGCGCTCCTTGGACCCGATAGGACGAGCTGGATTTGGTACTGCTCGTCTACTTGTGTGGTCATCAGAATCAGCAATATAGCAAGCGGCCCAATGATTTAGTTAAATGTTATGCAAGATGATTTTGATACATCCTCCAATAAAGGTCGTAGGCATCAGGATTAGGGAAATGGCGATATCCATTTTGGTGTGTCAATTTCCAAAACAGGAATGTGTCCCAAGTTGAGCTGTACAAACGGTGACTCATTAGTTCAAGTCCGCTGCTGAGAAAAAAAAAAGATTTCTTGGTACCTCAGTATATAAACATAATGAATTACCCATCAGTGTTTGGAGTTAATCCCTCTCTCTTTCTACTTCTTTCTTTTTTTTTTTCTTCACTTTTCCCTTGTTTTTTGTTTTTATTTACCACGATGATTTCCGTTATTATTCTGTTGTAAATGCTCCATCGTGAGCTCGACGGAAAAAATCACGATAATAGAACTCGTTTTGGTTTTTCGAAAATGACAAACACTTCTACGACGACGGCTGCTGCTGCGGTTGAGCAGTGCGACAACAACGCCTTGGTTAAATTCTTATTGAATCACGCTGGAGCCTTGAATCTTAAACCACTCTTGCAACTGGAATACCAGCACAAAAAGCAGCAAGAGCAACAACGTTTCTATGTCAATACCCTTGTTGGTAAGCATCGCGTGCAACCATGGAGACAAAAGAAAAAAAAGAGGGACATTTGAGGAGTGAATGGTGTGAAATAAATGGAAAGACCTTCTTTTTTCTTAACCGGCGTATACTTTTTCTTTTTCCCAACAGAGGTGACCGTGCAAGCTATCACTTCTATATGGCCAAACTCTGCAAGTAATCCGTCTTCCAAACCTATTGCCAATTTGAACGTTTTCTTGCATCATATCCTAAAGCATTCCCGTACCACCCACTCCACGCTTCAGTTGGCGATTTTTTACCTATTCCGTATTCGCCCCCGTATTCAGGAACATTCGACGGATGATGTGTATGTTTCCTGCGGTCGACGTATGTTCTTGGCTGCCCTTATTTGTGCCCACAAGTTTTTGCAAGACAAGACTTACAAGAACTCGGCCTGGTCCAAAGTCAGCGGTCTGAATGTCGCGGAAATCAACCATGCTGAAAAAGTCATGTTGCAATTGCTCAATTACCAGCTGTTTGTACGAAAAGAAACTTATGATCAGTGGATTAATATCCTTCAGTGCCATCTGAAATTACCGTCTCAGAAGCACGCCACTAATCTTTACGAACAACAAATACCCGTTTCTCCTCTGCGAAATTCCACGGTTTCCCAAGCCCCCGAACCTCGTCCGACTTCGGTCTTCAGAACTCTGGCACCTTTTGGTATGCTGTCGCCACCAGAAGAAGGACGTAAACGTCGCAACTCCCTTGAAGAAGAACAAGAACCTCTTCATCCGTCTAAACACCGTCGTCTGTGATAACCCCCTTTCCTCAATAATTCCAAAGAAAAAGTTTTCATGATCCCCTCATCATTCTATTCTCCTCCCTCCTTGACCGTTTGTGTATATTGCTCTTCCCTTTTTGTCGCTCACTTCGCTCACCCGCACTCTCTTTATTCTTGCACTTTTTTTTTATTCTTTGTATTTGTAGTCGTTTTTTATTTTCTTTTTTTCTTATATAAATAAATATTTCAAAACTGTTACAAGAACCGCTGGTTTGCATGAAATCAACATCACTGTTTGTTTGCCCTTGCAACATCACCAAAAAAATATTTTTTTTTTTTTGTAACCTGACAATGAACAAAAAAAAAATTTTCATATTTTTTTGAAACAAACACCTATCTGTCGTGGTTCCATTGGATGAATCCATTCGTCAGCTGACATAACCTTCCCGTTACTCCGCGCCAGAACCCTGGCGAATCTTTTTTTTCAGGACGTGTGTTTTTATGACCACGGACATCCACATCATCAAAACATTGAAGCCGCCGCTGAGTTTGTAGAAATACATCAGAAAGTGTAGCACGGACTGCCTATCAAAAAAGATTCAAGAAGATAAGCTATGTCTTGCATGCTCATATTATCTTGCAGACATACTCGCCTCTACATGGCTATACAATCTTAGTTACATGTATCAATGCTACTGAAACTGATGATAAAGGTGTAAACAGGATGGAGCATGTTTCGTCGTGGTCTGACGATTCGCTGTTAGATATTCAGATTTTTATGATTCCATAAAAGCTTTTGAGATACACTATTGGGATTATGATGATTTGAAACAAAAAAGATCTCATAAGATGAGTCACGCCAACTACTAGCCGATGGATTTAACCCGCACTGGGTTCTGCCATGCTCAAGAAAAAGATTGATTCAATATAGAATGCATACAACATTTTGATAGACAACCTATACAGACGATATCATGTTACGAGAAATATCAACCATTTATTAAAAGCTTGAAGTAGTTGATTGCATAGTAGGCATTATTGACACTTTGTGGTGAAAAGCGCGAACAACTATTTTTAATTTCCGCTCACAGCAACAGAGACATCTCATCGATGCAGATGCGTTCTTGTAAGATATACAAAACCGATGACAGCAGAAAATAATTGGAAATTTACTGCCGGAAAGTTTTTGCCATGTTATTACCAAAATACGCGAAAATGCTTGATCAAATCATCATCTATCTATTCTGCAAGCCCACTATCATGTGAATTATTTCTGGAGACTGTTTGTGTCATTGTGCGTGACCGACTTCGAAATGGTGGCTTTAAGCATAAGCACGTGGGGAAACCATCAGCTAAATGATTTCCAATCTGTTATTCTATGATAAAATAGATGGTAAAAAAGAGCAGGAAAGATAGTACGTTCTGAACAAGTAAAGGCGGTCTGAGATGGTGTGACTCACTGTTTCCTTGGTTTCAAGCTGTGAGAAAAAAAATGAAAACGCGAAACCAAATATGGCAATCATTATATTTCTGCTTTTCCTCTGCTAGAAGCATACGAAAGAACATATACTCCACAAATAAGCAGATGGCGAGTCTCAGTGGAACTCCAAATACGGATTCATGTCTCATCATCTTTGGCCAATGAGGAAAATCCGTGAATCTTCCCCACCCTTTTGGCCAAGTTCAAGTTCAAGCTGACTGCGTAAATTTTACCATCGACGTCACTTTTTCTTTTATGCTTGATTGCATCATGTTTATGCAATCCATGCCCAACCCCCATATAAACCCATGATGAAACACCACTGCGAACGAATTCTTTTCATTCCCATTTCTTTCTTCCCGTTCCCAATCAAAAGTATCAACAATGTCCAACAGTCGCGAAGCTGAAAAGAAGATTAATGAAAATATCGACAAGGCCTCCAACAGCGCACAAGAAGAAGTTACGCGTTTGAGAGCTGAATTGGATGACTTGCGCCGCAGAGCCGGCCCCAAGGTCAAGGAAGCTGAGAGCTTCCTTTGCTCTCCTGCCGCCATCGGCTTCTACCAAGGTGGGTATTTCTTTCCAACATTCCTCTTTTGAATCTTTTTCGCTAATCAGAATCATTCCATATTGTAGGTTTCGTTGTTGGTATCGCGGTGGTTTTGGGTTATGCAAAGGTGAATGGTGGTCTCCGTCTCTAATGTATCATCTATCTTTTACGATCCCGGGCGCCCGAGTCAAACTGTACATGTCTTATTATTCCGTATTTTTCTTACTGTAAATGGTCTATTTGAAATCTCGAAGATGTGATTTTGTAAAGTGCATAGCGTTAGATTTCGTTGAATACAGTAATGGTTTTATTGTGGTCAACTTTTATTAGTCTGCGGTCTGGATATCAGTTGCAAGAATCAGAGGGAAAGAAACGTGAATAAGGGATGACTGCTGTTAGTGGTGGTGCCAGTGATCTTCCATGGCACGAAACGTTTCATGATGCGATTCTTTACATCTTTGTAAAACATGCCGTAAATGATTGATTAGGGCCAAACGTTACTTTAATGGGCTGATATGAAATACTTATACCATGATTTACCAATATGAAAGTATAAGAAGGGACATTAAAAAAGTAAATTCACTCACAGGCTCTAAGCTTACTACTGCATGAAGAACGCGACAGGAGAAATCTTGTGTGCGGATCATAGTTGAATAAGTGCGATGCTCTATCATGAATCTTTCTGTTGTGGGTCATGCTGCAGGCTGCAGTAATTTTCTCAACAAAGGTGTCGGGTGCTGAATTGCACTGCAGCGCATCGTCTTTGTGGCACCATAGAACTGATGCAAAAACGTTTCACATCAAAAAAAACCGACAGTTACAAAAAGGGTGGGGTTTTGAGGACCAGATGAGATAGAACAATGGAACAGTAGAATGAGAGAATTTGATTTATTATCTGAATACCGTGAATGATCGTCTTCTAGTTTGATTCACATCCGTACTGAACATCGATGTCAGCAACTATACATTTCTTTAAGCGGCGACAGATCTCGCACACTCTTCTTCTCCCAGCGCTATACCATTCTCTATGACGTACTGAACTGAGTTCATTGAGATTGTTGATATATGATCGGTTACCAAAACATTGGATTAAGGTGACACCAATGCATGTATCTTGTTTTATTGCCGATTTCTAAACCCCCCCCCCTTCGACTCTGTTACCATGCGTAGACAAACCATGCCATGCTGGCTGATGGTAGGTATTGGATCGTTTATTGTATGTCTTCAATGGAATTGCTACGACAAGAAGAACAGTTACTTAACATCTCGTGAAATGAGGGAGACCCACAAAATTGTGAATAAACGGCGATTCAAAACCATGCAAGTCCCAGTTCTCATGTTCGCTCATCAAAGGCAATAGAATGCAGTAACAAAAAGTTAGTCTCATCCCCAAGCCAACTATATAATGTATACGCCATTACTAAACCGAATTGTTTGTAATCCTTTAGTTAACAGACTATAGGAATATCATATCATTGCAGTGCAATGTGTTATTAGACAGACTTTTCTCTATACCGCACATCCACGGTTCAACGATCCCAAACAGGCGACTGAAGAATGGTTTGAAACTGAGATGAAAAGTTGTTGATCTCTGATTGGGTTTTGTCGATCCACAACGATTGCCTTTTTTTAAACTTTTTAAAAAAAAAAGCCTCATCATCATGACGTCAATTGACCATATATGGAAATCCTTGTCAAAAAAAAAAAAAGGTGTCTCTTCAACCAAAATGAATTAGTGCTCAAACATGATGATTTCATCAAACCAAAAAGTTTTCATCAGGTTGCCAAGGCCATCTTGGTTCTAAAAATAGAAATGTCATTTGGGAAATAAGCTACAGTGGCCATGGTAAACCGAAAGGCGAATCTGAAAAAGTTAGTTTGCGTGATCCAATGCAGGACCGCATGATGAACAAGTTGGTGGTGACACATGTCAAAAATCATTGTTCACTCGTCTTGATAGATAAATAACCCACCATGGCATCATCGGGTTCTGCGGAATGATGTTGAGAATATAGAAATATCCACTCCATGACAACAGGTGTACCACCTTCCCGATACTTTACCCAGCCAGATCGGTTGAAACCCGGTGTGTCAAAAACGCATCCAGTAGCGCGCATCGAACATTAGAATACTTCTATACAAATTTGGAACCCGCTTCAATAAAAAAGAGAAAAACTTTTTTTTTTTTTTCATTCCAGTATATAATTATTCTCACACAATTTACCCCAATCCTTTTTTTTTCTGTTTTTGCACGTCAATTAATCTCCAAGAAACTAAATGTCCACGAACTCTATATCCCGTTTCAACGGACAAGAAGATTCACCCACTCGAAGCAATGCGCCATCGCGCCAGCAATCGGGCGAAGGGTTTCCCAATCAACGGTCTTCCATTATGCACGACCCTGCTAAACCGCGAAATAACGTATCCAACAAGCCCAATCGTATCAGCATCATCGATGCCTCGCCTAAAGGAAGCCGTCCGCACATGAGACCCGGTTTGTCAAGTCGTGCTACATCTTTTGCTCATTCGATGGCTTCTTCTCGGAGATCCATGGCTCGCAGTATGTCTACGTTGTCCGCTGCTTCCATGTACGGCAATTTCGCTGGTGAACGTTTGGAAGACCATCATCATCAACCCCGTATGAGACAATTGTCGGATGAAGAAAAGCGAAAAAGCACCATTTCAAGAACATCGGGAGTGACCGCGGATGGAAAACAGGAAGAGTCTAGCTTGGGTCTTGCAGAGGAGGAAGTGGTGATATCGGATGAACCGAAAGCGTCGGTTGGTAAAGCCATGTTCATGTTTCTCAAGGCATTTCTGGGTTCCGGTGTGCTTTTCCTGCCTAAAGCGTAAGTTTTGCAATGGATGAAATGTAATGGAGCTCTTCTCTTGAACTAATTGTCGATTCATATTCACATCCATAGTTTCGATAACGGTGGTTTAGCCTTATCCATTGTGCTGATGGTCGTGATTGCTGTTATTTGTTTGTTCGCTTTCTTGCAATTGGTCAAGGCGCAGCAAGTGGTGGGTGGTTCTTATGGTGATGTCGGTGGTGTCCTGTATGGCTCCATTCTCCGTTATATCGTGCTGTTCTTCATCACTATTTCCCAAATCGGTTTCGTTTGTTCCTATCTCATCTTCATTTCCGGCAATCTTGTCAACGTCGCTGACGTATTATCACATCATCGAGCCACCATTGAAGAAAAGTACTACATCTGGATGCCTTTAGTTATCATCATCCCCATGGCACTTATCCGTCACATTGCCCGCTTGTCGCTTGCCGCTATTGTAGCCGACATATTTATTCTTTTTGGCTTGATCTCTATTATCTACTTTACCTCCTATGACCTTCACAACTATGGTATCGGTCCAGGTATCGCCGCCGTCAATTCAGCCTCCTTTGGTATGATGATTGGTACCGCAACGTTCTCATTTGAAGGCATTGGTCTTGGTAAGTATTTCTAGTTGCATACATCAATGGCATTTGTGTTCTGGAGCACGCTTCTCACTGTCTTTTTCTGTCATCTACTACAGTCATTCCTATTGTCGAATCCATGGAGCGACCTGAGCGCTACAAGTTTGTTATCACTGTTGGCATGCTTATTGTCGCGGTTATTTACATTCTTATTGGCACCCTGAGTTACTTGGCTTACGGCAAAAATATTCAAGCTGCTGTGATTTACAATTTCCCTGCGGAACACGGCTTGACAATTGCTGTGGATCTTTTGTATTCGGTCGCCATTATCTTGACTGCCCCTCTCATGTTGTTCCCTGCTTTGAAGATTCTCGAACACGCTATTTTCTACAAGTGCCGTTCTGGTCGTGACAGTTTAGCGGTCAAGTGGGGAAAGAACCTTTACCGAGCCATTCTCGCTATTGCTTGTGCGGGTATTGCTTTTGGTGTCGGCGGTGACAATCTTGACAAATTCGTCTCTTTAAGTATGTATCGTACTGGATATTTTGAGCAGTGAAAAAAATTGTTGAAGAATACTTACGCTTTGAACTATTTTCTTAGTCGGATCCATTGCCTGTGTGCCTCTCTGTTTCATTTTCCCCGGTATGTTCCATTTCAAGATCGCCAACAGCTGGAAATCCAAAATTGCCGATATTTGCTTGGTCATTTGGGGTGTGGGTATCATGGTCTATACTCTTTACGTCACTATTGATTCCTTTATCCATCCTCCTCCCGCATAAAACGCCTCCACCATATAATGCCTATGTCCTGTCATGCAAATTCTTTTTGCTGGATCATCCCCGATCCATTTTTTCCCTTTTTTCCCCGTTCTTCTTTTTGTATTTTTGTTTTCAATGAGACACCCTACAGCCTAGATTGTATTGAACAAGCATGTAAAATCATAATATCTATAATTCCAAAAATTCATATATCGAATATACACACACTTGAATGCTTTTTGTTTTGTCCTTCTTTTTTTGTCCATGTGCATTTGCGTTACCTGTGTGGCAGCAGAATGACTTCAGGCTTTTTTATTCCCAGTCACGAAAAGCCAAGATTTCGATTGGTCGCAACGGATGACGATGGCTCGCATGACAGAACCCGTTGTGCACGTTTGGTTTTTTCTGAAGGCTTTCCCCGCTTACTTGGATTTGCATTTATTTCCTTTTTACCATGAGCTTATTTCCAACCAATCGAGGACCCAGTCATTTGGTGCAATTCAATGCCGGCAAGTGCATTCGTGAAGGCAACATGCTGAAACCCGACTTGCGTAAAGGGTAAATTTCAGGAGTCAATAATACGTGTGCATTGGACTCACATCAGATGTTTTCGTTTTACTTGCTGATCATCTCAGCATGATCTACATGGATCAGGTAAGAAACACCTTTTCTAACTGATATGTACATTGAGCAACAAGATGGGCCAAAAAGAACAATGACCAAAGAACACATTGACTTGTTTAGAGCGACGATCAACTGATGCATTTCTACTGGAAAGAACGCAAAGGTTCTGCTCAACCAGAAGATGTAAGGATTGGAGGGTGAGTGTGTGCATGCTTATGGGTTCTTATTAAAATTTGGTAAACAATAGGATTTGATTATTTTCCCTGACGAGGCCGAGTTTGTGCATGTCGAACAATGCACCACCGGACGCGTGTATCTTCTAAAGTTCAAGACGTCGAGCCAGAAACTCTTTTTCTGGATGCAGAATAAGAATGCGGACAAGGACGAAGAAGTAGTGAACCGGGTCAATCGCTTGATTGATGATCCTCACAGTGCTGTCGATGAACGCAGCATGTCACCCACGAATATGGATCTGAGTGCGGATGACTCGCAAGACTTTTCACGCATCCTCGGAGGCGATGATCAAGGTGAGTTTTTATTTGGGGTGATAGCTGCGTTTTCTATTATGGATAGGTTGATGCTGATGCTTGCTCATAGATGTGAATGTCACACAAGAACAGCTGTTACAGTTCCTTCAAACCGCCGGTGGTATGGGGTAAGTTCTTCTTTTTAGCCAAAGCGTTTGGACCCCTTGATGGTAGTGCGTATTCAACTCACTGATGTTGCCTTGAAAAAAAATAAAGAGGAGCGGTTCCTACCAGTACACCGCAAGTAGGGGATGGACCCACGGATAATTCTCCCGTGTCGCCGCAGCACAGAGAAGTCACCATGACCGGAAACGATCAGTCTCAGTCTACTGCAGATACAAGGATGAGTGCAGTCGATATGGAAAATCTGCGCAACATGCTAGCCAATGTGAATCAATCGCAGCAACAAGCTCAACCTACTTATACTTTGAACGACGTTTTAACGCCCCGTGCCCTCAGTCGTTTACTGAATGATCCCGACATTTGCGCGACGTTGTTCCCCTTTCTTCCAGAAAATGTAGAACGCACCCCCGAAGAAGTGCGACAAATTGCACAGAGTCCTCAGTTTCAACAAGCACTACAGTCGTTGAGCATTGCTCTCCAAAGTGGTCAGCTTGGCCCACTTCTCACTCAATTAGGCTTAGATGCCTCGGCAGGCAATGGTAAGTGGAGAAAAATTGTTGGGCCCGCATGTCTACCAAGACCATCGTTACTGACATGCAACTTATGCCGTAGATATTGAATCTTTCATGAGAGCTATCGAAGAGCAGGCGAGAAACAGAGAGAACGCCATGGATGAAGATTAGTTGGCCTAATATTACTCCAAACGCACTAGCCCTCGTGCTACTACAAGTTATACAGGCTCATGTCGGCTAAAGTCATATCTATTTTTTTTTTCTCCGTCTTGAGCGAAACTATCTAAATCTCAATTCACCAATAAAGGAGCGGCGATACATGGTCCTTTTGCTTTTTTTGGAATCAACAAAAGTTTGCAGAGAAAGACAAAGGAACTGGCCTTTGCATTAGTTCACTGTGAGTGTCCGGTTATACGCAAATGACTTGCGATATTGGGCTAGATCTAGTGATTCCCTTATGATATAGAAGATAAGTTTCGTAATATTGGTATAGTAAATTTTGGAAGGAAAGATTAAATAACATTAGGCGTCGTCAGGTTCAAAAATCAATCGATAGTTGTGAAGTATAGTAGTTACTACAACCATTTGCCAGTCGGCCTCGTTGAGTTTCTCTTGCGTGGATTCGGTCGACTGATGGTTGTTTCCCATGAGACTCATTCCGAAAATAGCTCCCAAATTCGCTGAATTCATCTTGTTATATTGCTGATATCGTTGGACTCTGCACAAACACGAAACAGAAAAGTTAGATGAAAAAAAAATTGGCATTTTACAGAGACATTGACTACTGACTTGTCGAGATGACACATGAGATATTTGAGTGTAGCGTAATGAGCGTCGGGCATATCATTAATGACTGTGTGCAGGCCAAGGATGCGCATTCGCTCGTCTTCAATTTCTTCAAAAAAGAAAGTAATCAGTGACAATACAAACAACAAAATTACAAAGGATACTATACTGGCTGCGTTCATGAAATGCTGGAAAGTGGATCGTGGGAAAACAGGATCGGGAAGTTCGGATAACCACAGCTTCAAAAGGGTGGTAATATTATGTACATCCTCTTCCGCTACAAGATTCACACTCGAACAATCTACCACAGGATAAATAAATAAGACCTTTTGTGCATGTCCAAATTTCAGAATTTTACCGTGATCAAAGGCTGTCTTCAACTTGGCAACATGTGTTTTGGTGCCGGAGACGCGATACAGGCCTACTGTTCGTAGCCCGCATTGCTCGATTGCCTCTACACACCTTTGCAATACCAGAGGCACCTCTTCCTTGTCTCGGTTCATCAGCGCTGTCAATGGAATTCCGAACACAGGATTAGGATTAAGAATGGTAATGGCAGTAGGTGACTAATTGATACAACCCGACAAAAAACCGGATAAAAGATGATTTGATGAATAAAACAAGTGGCGCCAAATACTGCCTTCGGAATCAATCCTTTACCATCACGTATTCTTTGTATGGAATATCATTCTTCTGTGCTGTTCCGGCTCGATTTCGAAAATTATCCACAAAAGCTGCCAAATCACCGTCGATGTCGATCTTTTCGGTCAATGATCGAAGTCCCAAACCTATAACTGTCTTAGCCAGAGTGCAACAAGAAAGCCTTTCCAACATCGTGTCAAAAACACTACAAAATATTCACCATCGTCGTTATCTAGAGCCAGGCCGTCGGCTGTTAATGCTTGTTCATAGATGTATGCGTAACGGGCGAGTTGGTAACGCAGGGCAACCGAGCATTCGTCACCGATGCTTTTAAGTTCCTATAGGCGGATGGAGATCCTTCCTTATTCCGTTTCACCGTTTCTACATTGTGGACAAGACACTTAAGTCGCCAGTACACGTACCCTCAGAGTTTTAGGTAAATGAGTTTGGTAATATATTTGACGCGCCGTATTTGCGTTTTGCAAATGTTGCTTGTATGCTTGATCTGCCGCCGCCGCGCGGGATCGAGCTTCTTCTTCTTGCCGATCGAGCTAAACCCCAGTGTTTGATGAATTTCCCTTCCTTTGCCCCTTCATGCAACCTGTTATGGGTTTTACCTGTGCTTGTGTCTTGTTGTTTTTGAATAGTCCCTTTTTCGGAATCTGGGACGGATCGTTACTTTTTTGCAGCAGAGTACGTTCCCATTCTTCGCTGTAACTCTCATATTTCGCTTTTCCCTAAAGCAATTGAACAAGCATCACACATGTCGCCTCATCAGGTTTTTGCGACAAGCATTGGGGTGAATCTATTTGGTGGCTGCATAGCACTCATTGTACCTTTTCCAAATTGTTTTCTGCATCCATAAGCGCTTTTTCGTGCTTTTGCCCCGCTTCTTTCGCCTACACCGATTTGTTTTAAAACGTGAACATTTCTCGGTTGGACTAGCAGTCCAAATCACTCATATCATTACTTGTCGTCTCGCTTTGTCGCTGTCCTTGTATAACAGTTGAAGATCATCCGCCACTTCCGAGATATCCGATGAAAACTTGATTCGCTGGCTTCCAATGGTTTCATGTACTTTGAGCATGGATGACCACACTTGACCGTAAGTGCTGATGAGACAAAAAAAAGAAAATCAGCTTTCCTCGTCTTGTTTGCTAGTCCAACTGCATAATCACCTCGATTTGGGATGCGCCTTCTCGTATCCCTCACACATTGACTGAGCCAACTTCATCATTTGCTTTCCATACTCTTCTTCAATAGCGGCTCGTTTTTTGAGGAAATTCATGACATCCTTTTGATAGAAATAAAAAAAAATCAATGCTTAAATTATCGTCGTTCCCTGGGTCGCACAATAAGGATGGATCTGAATCTATGTTTTCCTCCTAACCATCACCCTTGCTGTTTTTTTGTTGTGTATTACCTTGGCAGCCTGGATGTCCTGTTTGACTTTTCCGAGTAAACAAGAAAGACCACCCTATTGAACCGATATGCGAAGTTTGACACATTCATAATTTATTTTTTCTAGACTTGTTGTCCCAGCACGGAACTGCATAGTCGCGTCGTTTGAGCAGGCCACTGTACCTGTACATTGGTTAATTGTGCAATGAGTGTATCACTCTGAGACTGCTGCTGCGAGGCAACGTCGGGAGAATGATCGCCGATTGCTTGTTGAAAGTGTTTATCCTCGACCATCGTTGGCAAAGGAAAAGAGAAGTAAGAGAAAGGAGGGCGGTTTTGCCTTTTTCGGCAAGCTTATCAAAAATTTCAAACAGCACGCTTATTACAAGTTGATCTTTTTGGTTTATTGACGAGATCTTCCCACTTCGCGAAATACGCAAAAATGGATTCCTATTTCTTTGTATTAAAATGCATTGCTGAACAGCTGGCCGTGCTTCCTTTCCAGCCCCAATTGAATTTATGTCGCATAGAAGGACTTCAAAATTTTCGGATTGGCAGCCATGTAAGGGGGTCGGTTTCGCCCATGTTTGACGCCCCGAAACGATCTGGAAAAATGATTGCACGTGCAACCCTCGCCGATGCATCGTCATCACCTGTGACAGTTTTCAACGGCCGACCCATTCCGCCTTACTGGCGGCTTCCCTGACGCTTTCGTCCATTTTTCTCTCGCTTTTCTTTTTAACTCTTACAACTTCATATACATACCATGTCTTGGCAAGGATACGTCGACAACAACCTCGTTGGTACTGGCAGGGTACCTCACGCCGCTATCTATGGCCTGAACGGTGGATGCTGGGCTCACTCTCCCGAATTCGAGGTAAGTAACTGTCAACGGACGTTTCCGAGATGGCACGTCATCTCGTCAGAAGACTCCCTATTTTACTGGGTCTTTTATCGGAATCGGTTGACACTCATCCTGGTTTCAACCTGCATAGTTGCAAGGTAACGAGTTGCAGCAAATCATCAATGGTTTTAAGGACCCGTCCGCTGTTCAGGGAACCGGTGTCTTCATCCAGGGTCAGAAGTACTTCGTTTTGAAAGTTGACCCCCGTTCCATCTATGGCAAGAAGGTAGGGCGCTGAATTAAAATAAAAAGGGAAGGGGAAAAGATATATTGATATATTTTTATTTTGCCACGTATTTAGGCTTCGGATGGTATTTGTATTGTCAAGACCAACCAGGCTATCCTTATTGGAAAGTATGTGGAAGGCATTCAGCCCGGCGAATGCAATAAGGTCGTGGAACAGTTGGCCGACTACTTGATTTCTGTTGGCTATGTAAGTTTGCACAAGCGGGAAAACTGAGCCGGATTTAGGCAAGATACTGATGTGGCACTCTTTTCCACTAGTAAACGAGAAGGATATTCGTGTTCTTCTTTCTCTTTTTTTTTTTTCCTCGTTCATTTGCAGATTGGTGTGGTTCTTTTCCAAGAGCATCAAATGTCTTGACTGAAACCATCCATTGAATTTTTACCCAATTTTTCTTTTCAGCCGCTGCTCAATAAAAATATAAAAATAAAAAAGCTGAAAAACACTTGCTGTTGTTCAAAAAGTCTAAGCTAAGAAAAAAACTCCGTTTCAAATCATCCTCATTGCCCGTGTTACAGCTTTGCACCTGGCAACAATCTATTTGCCATGAAAGGTAGACTTCAGGACAACCAGCATTGTGCCACACCCCAGAATAAGAATTGCTAATAATATATCTAGTCCTCATTCTTGGTGCTGGATATGGCACCCGCCTGCAGCGAGATCTCATCCATGCCGAAGAGTATCGTCATTTACGTGGCATTCCCAAAGCGCTTTTGCCACTAGGGGATCGTGATGCACTGATTACCTATTGGCTGCAGTTATTCAAAGAATACGGGATTGGAGAAGACGACATTTATATTGTCACAAACGATACATGTTATCCGTATTTCGAAGCGTGGGCACAACGCCATGAAGTCTCCTTGGGTAACATTGTATCGGATGGCACGACCACCAATGATACCCGTCTAGGTGCCGTACCTGACATATCCTTTGCGTTGCATCATTTTCATTTGAATCATGATGACATTCTCATTGTGGGAGGAGATACCTTACTTCTGGATGATTTCAGTTTGGATGCCTTTTTATCTCGAGTACCCACAGGGCCATGCCTTGTTGCAACCTACACAGTGTCGGATGACCAAGTTTCCAAAGTCGGGATTGTTGAAACCAATCCCGAAGGTCTCATCACCAGTTTTCTGGAAAAACCTGATCCCTCACAGACTACCTCGAGACTAGCGTGTCCTTGCTTCTACTTGCTGCGTCGAGATGCATTGAAGTATATTGACGAATTCATCGCTCTCTGTCAAGCGAACCATGAACCTAAAGAAGCCTATGATGCCACCGGCAAGCTCTTAAGCTACCTGTATCCTCGCTTTCCTATCCTTACCTTTCCCATCGCTGGACGGATCGATGTGGGCAATTTACAATCTTACATAGAGGCCCATCATTATCTTTTGAACAAATGACGGACACTGACGTACCTGCTTTGACGCAACTAGAGGGATACTGTTGGACACTGATAGATCATTTTGATTCCGCGGGGGGGGGATTCATTTGCTGTTTCTTATTTGTTTAAAGCGTATCCTGGTTTGTGAGCAGTAGCGAAAAGATAATTTTATATCCAGTATGAAATTCGATGAATTACCTTGGCACATGTTCACTGTAATGGATTGATGCTTTGACGATCTTGGCTCCAATGCATAAAAGATCCGCCGCTTAAGTTTCCAGTCAAAGGGAAAAGCGTCCTGATCGCTAATTGTCTTTTCGGCAATGAGAACTTGAAGGTAGTTTATACGCATATGAAGTTTACATAAATAACTCCATTACTACTCCAGGAAGTGAGGCACCGTTTGTGATGCTATTGAATCCGAATTCATCTGCCGAGTAATCCGCGTATCCCTTATTCACGAAGCCAAAAAATGACTTCCTGAAATTTGCACTCATTCAATAGTATGTGAAGACGGCAGGACACTGCCATCAATATTTTATTCTTATCATCCCCTTTTTATAAGCTTGTAAAGCTGCAAGATAAAAATTGGAAACAGCCGTTAACGTTTTGACAAAATCCACCAGTTATATATAGGCAATGCCTCATGAACTAACAAATCGTCTATGTCCTAATTCAGTCCCAAAAAAATAGGTGACGCTATTCCGTAATTCTCGCTCTTATTAGACTCGTCCTTATTGGTAGACAGGTCCCGCATCGAATCTGAAAATAAATAGAGAAAACGAAACCGCGACATATAGTGCACGCTTATTGATCGACAATAAGGAAATCCAAAGTGTCTGTCTCAGACCATCGTCTTCCGCGCTTTGCCGCAATCGAAGAAGACTCAAATTAAAGGCAAGTGGCACATACATGAAGCACACATTTTGTCAGACAAACAAAAACACAATCGTACAAACTGGAACACATAATCACTTTACAATATGCCTAAATCCAGCAAGTGACCCAAGTTTCAGCCAATCAGAAACGACGATTTTTCCAATTATTTGTGGCTTATGTAGGCAAATTTGGCTAATTCTCCAAAAAGGGGATGTAGCTCAAATGGTAGAGCGCTCGCTTAGCATGCGAGAGGCACTGGGATCGACGCCCAGCTTCTCCACTTCTTTTTGCTTTTTTTTTCTTGGAATTTATCAACCAATCAAGTTTAAGGTTTTCTTCATTTTTATTTTTTATATTTTTTTTTTTCATCACTCTTCTTCCTCCAAGATGCGCGATTATTTTATATGGCTTATAATAGCAGCTGTATTTATAAGATTGGCTGGTTTTCTTCTTTTGTGGAATCAGGTAGACCCTATTGCGGTGAAAAAGTCAGAAAAAAGAAAGACGAGAGACTATTATACTGAAAGCGGAATAATGAGCATGGTGCGCACGTTCTCTTTTATTTTTTTGATCGCCCATATGTCGAGGTCTAAGCAGATAGTCCCCCCAAAGAAAAGCATAAATATGTTCAGGTCATAGTGACGCGAACAGATGTCAAAGAAGATCATGCGCCCGTTGACCGTTGAAAAAGTATGGAGCGCATACATAGGACAGTTTTCAACGCATTGCAGATGGAGTCACTGGGCTTTAACGGCTGAACAACCTATTAGGAGAGCCTGGCGAAAACACTTGAATTTGCGAAGCATTTTCACGATTTGTAAAAGTTGATTATCAGTTCAATTTTTGCTTGTTGGTTCTCTTTACCGAGATGGCTATCTGGTAAAATTCTCTGACATATGACACCGTTTAGATCGCCGAGTGTTGCCAAATCGAGTTTAAAAGTGATAGTTTATAAACAGTGAATCGCTCATCCGCAGCTATTGCTAGCGAACCACATCTTTCACAGCCACAAGGCTAAGATAAATGGCTATTTTAGCAATACATGCAGTGCATTTTTTTTTTTCTATTATTTCGTAAGGAGTTTAATTAACATAATCAGGAAAAACAGAATTGGGTTAGAATGGAGAGCATACATAATGTGTCAAATACAAGAAAGAGGATTTTTATGCTGTATGATAGATTTATTCACGGCGAAAAAGAAGAAAACAGAAGCAAAAAAGAAAAGCAAATGGGATGCAGAGGAGGTGGATAAGAGAGGAAAAAGAGGGTGGATTAAATTTTCTTTTCTTTTCTTTTCGCGCGCGCGTGATCGTGAGAGGATGATGATGGTTCTACTGTTTTGCCTCCACTTTACGAATAACATCATTGAAACCCTTGATCTTTGCACATTCTGATTTGACATTGTCAGCATACGGGGTATTCCATTTGTTCGAAGCAATCAGGATGCGTGCATAACGTAAACAGGCTTCTTCCCGATAATAATCGTAAAGTTTCTTGTTGTATTTTCGCTAAGCAAGATAAAATAAAAGTCCAGAAGCATTAGATCTCGGTCATGAACACACAAATCCTCCTCCGTTACTAACCTCTTTTGCTCTAGTCTCTTCGGGATAATGATGTGTTTGATGGATCAAGAAATCGTTGGGAAGGACCCAATAGTCAATGCCCGCCAGGTAAATCTCGTACAAACACGCTGCCTTATTGGCACCGTAACCAATGAAGCGCTCGTCGCACCAAGGGGTTCCCTCTTTCTTGAAAATGACGTACGGTTCATAAGAGTAGTTGTAATCGACCACCTTGTACGGATCACTAGACTTGTACCACTTTTGATAATCGGTAGATCCATGACCTCGCTTCCATCCTCGATGGAACATGTCGATCTTATCTGTTTGTACAATGTCCATCAAGTCGTTCTTGTTCTTGGGGAATTTATGCCAATCCTCGCCATCTTCTTCCCGGATGAACTCGAAAGCAGGCACCACAATAGCCGCACGTCCACTTCGTAATCGGTCCATTAATTCGGGTTGTTGTTTTAACGATTGGCGGAAATCTGTGCACAGGTAGAAATCGACATCAAGCATCATGATGTAGTCACTTCGAGCAAAGAACTTGGCTACGTTACGCCACATATTGAACTGACGATCAAATTTATCAACTACTAAATGCAAATCGACGTAGCGTCGCATATCTGGATTCTCGTCGTAGAGTCGGTGAAGATCGGTCAAGATGGTTTGTTTGGATTCGTCATCATTGACATGAATAGCTACGGATACCGGTCCTTTGTAGTGAGATGCTAATCGACTGAGTACATGGAAACGATTGTGCGTCACCAGAGTAGCAATTGTCACTTCTTCGTGATCAAACGATTCCTCCGCTTTGAAATAATAAGGAATCACTTTGGAAGGTCCCATGGCGTCAGAGAACACTTTATCCAGCATTAAATCCTCGGGCATCAGTTCCGCATGACCTGTCAAACAAAGATTACAAACATTTAGCTTTCCCAAATGGCTCCCGCATGAGATTGGAAAATGAGTCAAGCAGTTACCGTCGCTGTTTTTCCATGTGACTTGCTGAATGCCTAGATACCGTTGCTGAAGTGCAGCTACGGTCTCTGGCACTTTTTCAGACGCAGAACGAGGTGCAAGATGGTTGGTAGTGAATCGAGTGGCACCGAAACCGAGCAGATGAGCAGTTGCATAGACCAAAGAGCCAGCAATATACGCTACTAACAGATATTTCAGCGCTTTTGCCGGTGTCATTTGAACCTTGTCACGCATCGTAGAGCCACGTATTGCTGAAAAGGAACAAGGAACAAATAAAAAAAAAAAAAAAAAACGTATAAGCCAGAAAGAAATAAGGGGTTGCGGAGCGGCTAAAAAAAAAACTACTCACTCACATTTTAGCATCATGAAAATCTTGGATGGTTGGCGGGCTTCGAAAAACAACCTGTAGACAGCTTCCAGAACTTCCCCACTCTGAACCAAAACAAGGCCAACAGGCGATAATCCATGTCATAATGCACGTAATGATCACCCAATGCAAATATTCATGGTAGCGATCTATTTTCTTCAGTGATAGCGTCATTAAATACTTGATTCACTTGATTACTATTTTAGGAATCTCGATTAACTGTAGTCAGTAACGGGGATCACCAGTACCATTGCTGGTTTCCAGGTATCAAAAACCATGAGTGAAAGGCTCGGATCCAGCAAAAAAGCGGTCTAGCCAATTTATATCGTGCAACGTAGCATTATGAAATTGATCGATTTCCGTACTTACTTTTAATGGCAGCCCATAAAACAGTAAAACACAAAAACAGAGAACAACGGACAGCTCCACGCAAGACAATAAAACGTGTTAATACTTCCATATTAGGAATGCGTGAGCACAGATGAACTTGCATTTTTATTTCAGGTCAATCTCAGTGCCATGATTAAAACAGCTTTACATTGAGACGAAACACCCTCTCTTTCACCTTTGTTGCCAAACAGCATCGGTAGAAAATACAAGCATGTTCATAGTTTTTTCAGTTACTATGAGACCTCAGATCTGGATGGTCTACAACGTAGCATCACTATTGGATTGAAACGAGAACCATTTCTTTGAGAAGAGGTGATCTGCCGGTTTCCTTTGTTTCATGTATCAGTGATATCACCAGACAAGACAACCCTTGCGTACTACCATTCTATGCCTATGATAAAGCCTGCATATCCTGATACATTATCTGAATCCATTACTCGCATCATTATTTACCATTGAGATGCGAAGCTACGTCTTTCGTAGATCGACATCTACACAAGCAGATATCCCTTTTTTTTTATATTAGTTCCTATAGTCAATAAAACGATAGAAGAATTAAGTGGATCGAATTGGTCATGCCATTGCGTTTTCAGATCTCTATCTGATAACAGCTGTGACTATTCATAGTGATGATAGATGCCAGGAACGTGTGTTGTGAGTATTGATTTTTTTATTCGAGCTCGAGCGAAAGGCGACCAAAGTTTCAGGTGAGAAAAAAAGGTAAGAGAATGGCTCGTCTATTTCTGCAAAAAGTGGCATGCAGAATTATGATCATGTACTAGCCCCGTAGAATCAGCCCTTTACTTTGACAGATGAGGTTGCAGAGCTGCAGCCAAACAAAGTAACATATTTTGTGTTCTGTGGATGATACCATTCAATAACATCATCCGAAATAGGCTACTGTTATCCTGGATTCTGGAATGACGCATACCTTTTCTCTTTTTTTCTTAGTTACAAAGCATACTTCGTTGAACCAAGATAACTTTTGCAAGTATTTACAAGAAATAACAGTTTGAATGGCTCTTAAAGAGTTTTATTGAATTACAAATGTATAAAAGTGGGTGCACAGTGGATGGAATGAGAAGGCGGAGGAGTTTAAGATGGGGGATAGGAATATAAACAGAGAAAGAGGGCTGACATGATTAAATTTACAATCGGGGCTTGGAGCTTGTAGAGAGAATATCATCGTACAACAAAGTGGTGAGGAAGTCATCGTACTGTTCACCAGTGACATTGGTGGCAAAGGCCATCTTGGCGGCTTCATACTTGGAGCTGCTGTATTTGTCACCTAACGCCTGACGAATCTTATCGGTTTCTTCATCAAGGACTTGCAAAAGATAGTCGCCCGTGACCTTCTTGTTTTCCTTTGTCACCGTTTGATGGCGAGCCCATTGCCATAACTGAGATCGCGAGATTTCAGCGGTAGCGGCGTCTTCCATCAAGTTGTGGATCGGAACGCAACCGACACCGCGAAGCCACGATTCCATATAAGTCAGACCGACTTGGATATTGTCACGAATACCGGCTTCAGTGACAGCGCCTTCGAAATCAATGTTTAACAGATCTCTGGCAGTGACGTGAACATCCTCCCGGCGGACATGGATCTGATTGGGCTGAGGCATATGTTCGTTGAAAATTTCCAAGGCGATCTTGATCAGATCAGGATGCGCCACCCAGGTGCCGTCGTGGCCCGCCTTGACTTCTCGAAGCTTATCGGAACGGACCTTGGTCATAGCAGCTTCGTTCTTCTCAGGGTTATTTTTGATAGGAATCTGAGCAGCCATACCACCCATGGCGTGGACACCGCGCTTGTGGCAAGTTTGGATCAACAACTGGACATAAGCGTCCATGAAGGGCACCGTCATCGACACCTGGGAACGATCAGGAAGCACATATTCAGGGTACTGACGGAGCTTCTTGATGAAAGAGAAAATGTAATCCCAACGACCACAGTTCAATCCAGAAGAATGGTCACGCAATTCATAAATGATTTCATCCATCTCAAAGGCAGCCAAAATGGTTTCGATCAATACAGTAGCACGGATCGTGCCTCGAGGAATATTCAGCATATCTTGCGCCGTGTTGAAGATATCGTTCCACAGTCTATAAGCATTTGAGTCTGTCATTATCTTTTCCTCTTTTGCATGGTTTGATAATAATGACATACCTTGCTTCCAAATGGGACTCCATCTTGGGAAGATAAAAGTATGGGCCCTTGCCTTTGCGGATCAGTTCCTTGGCGTTGTGGAAGAAGAAGAGACCAAAATCAAAGATGGAAGCCGACATGGGTTGTCCGTCCACAATGACATGCTTTTCCACCATGTGCCATCCTCTTGGTCTGTAAGAGATGCCCTTTTGTCAGCCGACGGTTCTTTAATGAAGTTACAAAATAGGAAATGTTTCGCATAGTTACCTGACCAATAAAGTCGCTGCATTACCATCTTTGCGTAGTTCGTAGGTTTTGCCATTCGGATTAGTAAAGGTGATGGTACCTCGGACAGCATCTCGAAGGTTGACTTGGCCATTTAAGCAGTTTTCCCAGGTTGGGCTGTTGGAATCTAAACGAAAGGGAATGACAAAATGCCGATGCGTGAGAAAAATTAATTCTTAATTGGGCAATTCTTTCTCCTTGTCAATTACCTTCAAAATCGGCCATGTAGGTCGATGCTCCAGCATTCAAACCATTGATCACCATCTTACGGTCGACAGGACCAGTGATTTCTACTCGACGGTCTTGCAAACCTGGCCCAGGTGCAGCTGCTTTCCAATTGGGATCATTGCGAATGTAAGCCGTTTCGGGTAAGAAATCGGGCAACACTCCACGATCAAGCTCTTGCTGGCGGTAGACACGCTTCTGTAATAGAGTCTTGCGAGTGCTGTCAAAGATACGTTGCAACGTGGCAACAAAAGTTAATGCCTCTGCTGACACGATGTCGGCTTGATGTTCTTGAACAGCGCCAAGAATTGCGACGCCGTTGACGGATGTTGCGAGAGAACCTTGCTGTGTAGTCATAATGGTATTTTTTTTCTTGATGGATTTAAACAAGTGTAAAATAAGAGATCAGAAAAACTTCCAAAGGTCTCATTTATATAGTTCTCCGGTAAACCGGATGGATGGTTCATGCTCCACTGAGTCGCTCCACCGAGTCATGATAGCTTGAAAAAAAAATGTCTCGAATTGGGAGATTGATGCTCTGTTCGTACTCCGACGGGTCACGTTGCCAACTGTCATATGTCAAAACTTCAATACATTTCTGCTTGATGTGTTTTTTAAGTTGGACGCATTTTCAAAGGTCAACGTGGTCATAACATTATGATCTATCACCCATACATTTATTTGCGTTTCCCATCTTTTTCTGCTACCAATGGATGTATCAAAAGCAGCATTGCAGAATCATAAAAATTATGATTTTTTAATGTCCCCGCGTGGAAGAAACCAATGGGAGGTCAGCTAATGTACTTTTATAGCAAGTGCACGGAGAAGGCTATATCTTATAGAATACTTTATAGAGTTGTTTTAAGGCCAAAATTCATTTCAACTTCGGAAGAAACACTGGGCACAAAGAAGGGTGGAGATCAAAAACTCTCCTAATCGATTATCCTTTAACTTTTTTCTTTAAAAGGATGGTATTTCTCACGGTTCGGTAAGCGTAAAGTGGGGGCATTTTCTTGCCAAGGACGAAAAAGCGATAAGCCCGGGGTGCGGTGGGGGAGGACAATTGAAGATAAGGTATCGGGGCAAATTCCCGCATAATTCCTAAAAAAGGCAATCGAGCTAATTGACATCATTCGCTCGTTCGAGACGGTCGGAACCCGAAAACGAACAAACGAAAACCGTTTTCGCAGGGCTTTCCAAGAAAAGTAGGACGGGGGGTTATGATGAAATCTTTATGACGGTTTTTGTTCCAGCATTCACTTCATTCGTCGCCCCGGCAACAACGTGTTGGGCATGGTGACCAATAAATCGAAAGCTCAGAACCTTTCCATATTTATCTGATTTGTTGGGACCTGGAGATCCTCCTCTGAAACTCGTACTTTTGAACTCACTGCAGAAAATCAAACGTTCGTGATGTAGCGCAAATTTATTTCCTGAATCACACTACTGAGTCTAATGAGGATATTCTATTGCTGATAATTGGACGACGTGGGTATTTATAATCCTCGTTACTATATCTATTGTCGCGGCCACTTTTTTTTATCTTTTTATCTTTTTCTTCTTTCAGTTCTCTTTGGGCATTTAAACATGAAGATCGCCACTGCTTTTTGTATCTTGGTTACTGGTGCTGTCGCCAGTGCGCAAACCTACAAACTCCGTCAGGTCGGCGCGCCTTATTCGCCTGATTTTCGAGCATATTTTGGTATGAGCTTTGGACGGTGGCGGCATTTGGATTCAGGATTTTTCTGGTACTCACATCGCGCGCTTATAAACGTGCATGAATAGAACAAAATGGCACCGTCATCTCTCCTTTCCACGATATTCCATTGAAAGCCGGGAAAGATGTATATAACATGGTTGTAGAGATCCCTCGATGGACCAACGCCAAATTCGAGGTGAGTTAAGAACACCAAAGATGTCTCAAGAAAAAAAGGTCGGGAAAGAACAACGTTCTTACCGTTGCTTTACTAGATCAACAAGGAAACCGAGCTGAACCCTATTATTCAAGATCAAAAGAACGGTACGGTTCGTTTTGTGTGCAATTTGTTCCCTTACAATGGTTATCTTTGGAACTACGGTGCATTTCCTCAGGTGAGGCTTATTTATGCATTGGATGAAATGAAATTCATGTGGTAGAGACAATAACATTGCGATGATCTTTAGACTTGGGAAGATCCCAATTATGTTACACAGGAAACGCATACAAAAGGAGATAATGATCCTATCGATGTGATCGAAATCGGTGATGAACTCGCCACGATGGGTCAGGTCAAGCAAGTGAAAATTCTTGGTATTCTCGGTTTACTTGATCAAGGAGAAACCGACTGGAAAGTGATTGTCATCGATACCAAGGATAAGATGGCGTCAAAAATGAAAGGTATTTTCTCCGCTTATTCAAAGTTCTATATTTGTTTTCTGATGAGTCAGTTTCTCTTGGCAGATATCGAGGACGTGAAGAAATACAAGCCGGGTCTGCTGGAGGCCACGAACACTTGGTTCACATATTACAAGGTTCCCACAGGAGATAAGAAAAATAAGCTTGCTTTCAACGGCGAGTCCAAGAATAGAGTAAGTTTAACGAGTTTATTATAATGAGGGCGAGAGCTGATTAGGTCAACCGACTTACATTGTGCTGATAAGGAATATGCGACCCGCACGGTTGAAGAAACCCACGAATTTTGGAAGGCACTGGTCAATGGCACTACGAAGGCCCCGATTAAGACGTAAGCTGGCATTCACGGACAGGGTGCGTAACTCCTTACTTGTCAATTAACACGAAATATAGCATCAATATGAGCCAAAAGGGCACTCCCGGTTATAAGCAAAAGGTCGATATTCCAGAGGTAGGTATCCAATTAACTGGTGGGAACCAAGGACGGAGGGAATCCAGGATTGGAAATAAAGATCTGAGGGACTGATTGTGTACACATGATAGGCCAACCTGCAAGCCGCACTGCCTCTCAATGATACTGTAAAGGGATGGTCTTACGTTGATACAGACTAAACATCTCACTGGGTTTGTGATAGCTCAAATAGACTTTTTATTATTACAATAAAACCATATTTAAGTTACGAAACTAAAAGATGAGAGCAGGTCATCTACTTTTTTTTTTTACGGTATTCTGCAATGCAATGTGACAAAAGAGAAGGGGGTAACGTCTACCCAAACTACAAAAGAAAAGGGCTATCAAGCAATTTGAGAAAGGAAACTGATGTTGAATGTATGCAGATGTCAACATGGAGATGATTACACCATAAAATCAAACACTAAAATGGACTCATCAGAAAAATGGGAGGCCACAGCAGACACATAAGAATGGGGTGCACCAGCATTCTGATCGAATATTCGGTACATATCTTGGTTACTCAAAGTATAGGTCGTGCCTTGTTAGAGATCTTCGATTGGCAGCCGCATGTTGAGTGACCCATTGATCCCATAACATGGTTTTCGAATGCATTCTTGCTATGCAAATTTGGAAACAAATGATGATGATGATGATTTTTAAACTCACATTGGCATCCCGTACGATGGGAGATATCGTAGAAATTTCTTCCAAGCAAAGAGCTGGTGTCATCTTTCCGTCAAACGATTGATTTGCCTTTTGACATGTTTTTTCTTCCGTTTCTACAAATCAATCAGTCTGACGACAGGTTTAAGCGGCTGCGAATACGTCTACGTCAATCTGAAATGAAGCCGTAGAAGATATTGGCTAGCTAACAAGATTAAGAAATCCACGCATGAGTCAGCATCCTTGCTCAGACTGACACAAAAAGAGCTTTAGTGACTCCAAAAAAATAATCATTTTTTCGGTCCGATCTCATCGTTCCTGGGGTTCACTGTATTCTGCAAGGATCGCCGATACACAGATATTTCGTCTTGTGGTCGATTTGCATTCAGAATTCTCAAGTTGAGGGGATGATGCCTCCGCGATAAGATATGTTTCTCACAAAAATTTCTTCAATGATCACAGGTCATTGTTTGGTGGTTATACTACATATCGTTATCTTTTGCCCTACATGATACAACGATCATTTGATAGCTGTACAACGATACCTAGCTACAGATGAAAGCGATTTTGCTTGTTGTTATCAAATTATAAAAGCGGCTTGAGCTGTAGCTCTTTTTCAGCGTGAACAAGATTGAAAACCATCGACTTGGCCATATATTAAACTGGCACCTGATTCCTAAAGGGTATATCTTGGAATTTCCAAATCAATTTTCTTCCTAAAGGGTTTCTTGGACGATATAGTGTAATACAAAAAAATAAGGGTGGGGGATGTGAATGATCTAATGTTATCAAGAAGAATTCGGGATACCGTCGTCATCATCACTGCTGCGATAATAAGTATTCAATGGCTGCTTGTACATTACCGTTCGTAGCCAATAATGCACGAACATTCGCTTGTCTTTCCGAAAACCCCATTTCCTCTAATTGCGCTAATTGGGACTGGAAGCGAGTCTCTGGGGGTTCGGTATTGGCTGCAGGAGCGGCGGAACCTTGTCCAGACAAAGGTCTAGCGAATGTTCATGTTCAATGATTACCATAGTTGCTTTTCCTTGCATAAACAAAAGATCACTTACCCTAAGCCCCACATTCCAGGAAAAGCGGGTGGTTGCTGTGGTTGTTGTTGTTGTCCGGCCATCATGGCTTGCTGAAAACGCAGACTGGCTTGAATGAAATTCGGGTCTGCCCAAAATGGTAAAGCCGTATTGTTTCCGCCTGCATTTGCAGTGGTTTGTTGTTGTGGCGTATCGGACGGATTCTGTTGATTCTGCTGCTAATATGAAATTATGAAATCAGATCCCAATCTTTTTACGTGCACTGCAGGCTCTGACTTACCGATGCTGGCGGCATGCCCATAAAAGGAAACATCATAGGTCCGGGCGATCCATTTCCTGCGCCAAAAAGTCCTTTGGATATCAAATTTTGTTAGTAACTGGGTACCACAACCATGTTAAGCATGATCATCCTTCTTATTTTTTTTTTTTTTTTTTTTTTTTTTTACCTGCAAATGGATTTTGCGGAGCTGCAGTAGGGGCTGCATTGGTTGTCTGATTGGGTGTATTATTATTTTGAGCCGAAGCAGTGGCGGCCCACGGATTGGGTAAAGCTTGTGTATTTATCTGATTCTCTAGATAAACCGGTCATTTTGAATTTTAGTTTTTGATGCTTTAGAAAGCGTTGCCCTTTCCTTTTCTCAAGATCAAAATACCTGGTATACTGCTCACATTAAGCTGTCTGGCTAATCTCTCGTTGGCCTCATCAGTCGATGGATCGCTACGTCCGAGCGACGACTCCAAAGGGTCTTGCACAGTATTAAAAATGCGTCGCAAGTGATTGAAACCACCAGGTAACGCTTCAATGTTCGATAGTGCACGGTCATTGCTCCGTTGCATTTCACGCATAAGTTCCGGGTTTCTGTCAAAGGGACATCAGATGCTGGCATCCCTTTCCCAAAGACCGGAGCATTGCCATTTACCTCATCATTTCCATCGATTGCCTTAAGAATGCGGGATCTCTGATGGCGTGACCAATTTCCGGATTCTGTTCGACTAGAGCCTTTATCTGCGGATCACTCATGATAATGGATTGCACAAAGTCTGTCGTCTTCAAATTAGTTCCGACCCCACTAGCACTTTCTTTCCCCAGAGCCCTCGTCATCGTGGCGTACCTGTATTGCTTAACAAACTCTGCATAAATGGAGAATCCATCATTTGTCGCATGGTGTCGGGATCCATTGCCATGGGAGGCATATTTCCAAACATGCCGCCTTGATTGGTCTGTCCAAAAGCAGAAGCTGGATTAAATGTAGACAGTGGTGGTTGGGAGGACACTGCCGGTGTGGAAGTATTTGCAGGCGAAGAAGATGACGATGTAGCGGTTGGTTCAGTGGTAGATGGAGACCCATTGGGTTCGGAAGCCGAAGACTTGGGAGTGGACTTCACAACGTGAACGGTATGACCTTCTCGAAGTTCTACAAAGAGGAAAGCAGTTTCCGCAGTTGCTTTTAGAGTGAAGACGAAAAAACTAGCGACATGAGATGTGATGGAATATACGTACTGTAAGTATCACAAATATCATCGTCCTTTAATATTCTGCCGGAATAGACCAACTTCATATGGTCGGGTGAAAGGTTGTCGAGTTTTTCCCCGATTTTCTCTTTCAGTTGTCGAATGTTGCAGTCCACATCGATTTCGAGTTGGAAACTAGCTCCTTTAGAAGGCCGAATATTTAGTTTAATGAGCTGGCCCATAATTTATAATAAGTGCGGATTATCTATGATGTTGCGTTGGAGAAAGATCTAATTGCGCTTTGAAAAAGTGGAGGAATAAAAGGGTTACGCGCGCTCGGTCGAATAATGTGTAACCTCCTCGTTTTTTATGTGAGTGCACGTCATCAAAGATTCGCGGATTGAAATTTCCACCAGTTCGAGCCACCAAGTCGGTGACGCCTATCACCAGCAAGTACATTTCTGCCCGTTGGTCTTTGGAGAGAAATCGACTTGGAGTTGATTTGACAACCTGATCGGATATAGCATGTTTAATCCAGCATTTGATTGATGACACGTATCTGCTCATGGTCATAAAAATCAATAATAAATGTTTTTTATATATATTATTACTAGGTGTTTCGAAGGATCATTTTCCGACTGGCAGCCGAACCGGACAAATGATGCTCTTCTACGCACGGCCTAACCGAAATGTCAGATTACTGCTGACAAATATTGCCATATCATTTTTACCTGTGCATTTATGTAGCATAACAAGTTGTTGTCCAAAATCAGACATCTTTGCCAGGCTTTCCTAGTCCAGATCTTTCAACGGAATTTTTGGATGATAAAAACAATAAGAACGCCAGTGATTTTCAAAGAAAAAGTGTCGAAGGTGCAGTGTTTGCAGACAGCAGCTTGATCGTCACCAACTTCTAATGTCAGTTATCCCAAGGATTTGACAAGAGAAGAGAGACTGAAGGAATTACGCAGATCATAGCTCACTCTAGTCCTAATTGTATTTATAGCATTATTTTTGTCATTTTGATACTATTATTCACACATGGTACAAGTATGCGCCAAGGACAGAACGTTAGATTTCTTTGAAAGTTAAGCCGAGAAAATTTGCCCAATTGGCATCTTGAACTTCCGATCTGAAGTTATCCTTAAAACAGAGCGCCTCTTTTGACAAGCGCTAATTGTTCATCGTTCGTCTGAATTATTTCCAGGTTTACAGTAATGTCGGCAACACGATTTATCCTTAGAAATCTGATATTGTCTGCGGTACCAGCTCGTTCGGCCATGATAACGGCCGTCACCCAGTCAGGAAGCAGAGCTTCCTTGCTGACGGCTCATCGTGTGCCGTATTGCGTTACTGCTCACCACGGGAGTGCATCGTGGAATGGAAACAAGCTCCGTTTCTATTCGACTGAGAAGCCAGCTACTATTGACTATCAAGGCATTCAGACCCTGATTAAGGATAAGAATGCGGTATGTGCACAGTATCTTAGATTTTTTTGGCCGTCGTCAACTCACCCAATATCAATATTGAAAGGAATACTATCTGATCGATGTGCGTGAACCCAACGAACTTTTGCAAGGCGCTATTCCGACGGCAAAGAACATACCACTGGTACGGAATGGAATGAAGCTTGGGGAATGGAGGAAGCGGAGACTTTTTTTTATTTCACATGATGACTGTGCGATATGAGTGTTTGACGTAGCAGCGCCGTTATATAGAGTCAATTTATGACCGCCTGGAGCATGTCAGAAGAAGATTTTGAGGATACATTTGGTTATGAAAAACCAAGCCCGAATGCCAATATTATTGTTTATTGCCAAGCGGGCATTCGCAGCTCCAGAGCAGCCAGTTATCTTGGAGAATTGGGATACAAGGGGTGAGTGTAATAGAAAATCAGTGACATCCGCATGAGTGCTTACTTTCCCTTTTTTCTTTTCTCTATTGTCAGTGTACAAAATTACATTGGCAGCTGGGCAGACTATGCAGAACAGTCCAAGTCAAAGGCCTAAAAAACCAAGGACTAGAAAAAAGAACGTCGTATTCAGATTACAAAGTAAAACAACCACAAAGTCCTTAAATACATATGGCCCAAATCGATTCTCCTTGTTTCTTTGTTGTCCCTGTTCAAACCTAAAACCTGCACAAAAAAATAATCATCTTATATTATAATCATCCATAACTGTCGACTCCTCGGACCCCTCTTTTCACTCTCTTATTTATTTTTTCTACTCCTTTCTTCACGTAAACCAGCCCGAGTGCTTGGTATCTTTATTATTTTCTTTCCTCTCATTTTCTTTCTTTATATTGTTTCCCGTTTTGTACTCTCTCTTTTACAGTCCTTTTTCTTTCCACCCTTTTTTCTCATTTGCTAATTGTTGAATTCGCCATTCAGTCACTTAGTATGGGCATATGCATCTCGGCCGAAGAGCGAGCGGAGAAAAATCACAGCCAATCAATCGATCGCATGATTGAAGAAGATGGCCGAAAACTGAAACGAGAATGCAAGATCTTACTGCTCGGTAAAATGCAAAACCGCAGTCTCCAACAAAAAATGGCTTTTTTTGGCATTCAACAGACTGTAAACTCAATCCAATATTCTTTAGGTAGCGGTGAATCCGGCAAATCCACGATTGTGAAACAGATGAAAATCATTCACCAGAACGGCTATACGAAAGAAGAGCTGTTTACTTGGCGAGCCACTGTCTACAAAAACCTGATCGAGTCGGCCCAAGCCTTAGCCGCAGCCATCGAGAAACTCGGATTTGAATACACGAATGAAAAAAACAATGTAAGAGCAAATACAACGAGCCACTACAAAATATCAATGACGCTGTAACTCATATTTCTAAATCCCCAACCACAACGCTTTTCTATTTGGATTTCGATGTTTGTCTCTCTGTTAATTTCTTTTTCTTTTTCTACCTCTTTCCGTCTCGCCTTTTTATCACCGCGATCACCTATTCACACCCATATTATCTTTCTCCGCGTTCATTTTTTCCTCCTCTGATGTCTCCTTTCTGATGGATGATTCAACAAACAGTACCATGCTCAATACATTATGGAATACCACTTAGGAGACACCAATAAACCATTTCTCGAAGAAAATATCATCAGTGCTATCGAAAACCTCTGGCGAGATGGTGTCATTGCTCAATTACTGGACAAAGGAGGCAGTGAATTTTATCTGATGGACTCAGCACCTTAGTAAGTCAATGATGCGATCACTGCATAATTTTTATTGATGCAAAAGATCTCATTTTGAATCACTTGGCGTTTTTCCCTTTTACCATCGTCTCAGCTTTTTCCATCACGTTCGACGGATAGGTGAACCCGATTACGTGCCGGACGTTCACGATGTTTTACGGGCGCGATCGAAAACCACCGGTATTATGGAGACTCGATTCACCATGGGACAGCTTAGCGTACAGTAATTATCCTTGGAACTTTTTCCAACTCGGTTCGATCCTCCCAAAATCAAATTTTTACTCATCATCCTTAGCATGTTTGACGTCGGTGGTCAGCGGTCTGAACGGAAAAAGTGGATCCATTGTTTTGAAGCGGTCACGTCCATCATTTTCTGCGTATCCTTGAGCGAGTATGACCAAGTGTTATTAGAAGAATCACGACAGGTACCATCGATTCGTTATCCACGTCAAAAACAAAAAGATGAAAAAGACTAACTGACAATCTCAATTTCAGAATCGAATGATGGAGAGTCTGGTGCTTTTTGAATCAGTGATCAACAGTCGCTGGTTTCTTCGCACGTCCATTATTCTGTTCCTCAATAAAGTCGACGTATTCACCACCAAGCTCGCCAAAATTCCTTTTGAACGTTACTTTCCCGACTATGGAGGTAATAACCCCAATCATAGCACACCCGAAAAACTTCACTCTGATACATATTCACATTTCCTTAGGCGGTCAAGATGTGAAAAAAGCGGCCAAATACATCCTGTGGAGATTCGGCCAAACGAACCGTGCGAAACTAAACATCTACCCTCAGTATGTACCATTGAAAAAAAGACTTGCTGACTTGGATTATCACATTAACAATGTCTGTCACAGCTTAACTCAAGCAACAGATACGTCCAATGTAAGGAATGAAACCTAGCCTTTTTTCTGCCTCTTGGCTTTTTCCTACAAAAAAAAAAAAAAAAAACGAACGCTGCTAATATGTCGCTAAACAACTATTTGTTTTTGGCTTTCCTTTTAGATTCGACTTGTTTTTACAGCCATTAAAGAGACCATATTACAAAATGCTTTGAAGGATTCCGGCATTTTGTGATATAAGAAAGCTCTCAAAGTTTATTTATTTACGTTTCAAAATCGTTTTTATCCTTCTTAATAGTATCGTTCAACTCATTCTTTCTTCTCAACACCATCCTGCCCGCATATAGACACATAGTTTACCATACAGCGTCATCCATATTCCGTACTGTATTCCCTATTCCCCTCCAGGTGATTTTTTAGCTTAGAATCTTTCCCCTCAACCAAATCCGTCGAACCCATTCAGCCCACTCTCCTTGCTCCTGATGTGTCTATGACCTCTTTTTCTTATGTGCTGTCCTCCCCGTTCTTCGGCACATTGCTCCATAAACTGGCTCCTATTTTGAAAGCCACAGACTCGGATCCATCACATCATAAGTGATCTCACGTTAGTTTCTCCCTAATACTCCTGCTCAAATCCGTGTGTATAATCACCCAAAGCAATAGATGCTTTTTTTTCCCTTTATTGGAATGGACCATCTAACATGAATGCTTAGGCGCTGGCGGCAACGCTTTGCTTCTTGGCCTGGGAACCTAATGAAACAGGATCATAAAGAAGTGAGTCTACCGTTCATTGGACCATGGACCCTATTGGGCGTGCATAAAATCATTTGAATGAAAGAAACGTACCCTCACGGAAACCGTTCTTGAAACGACGGTGAACTTCCTTCAAGTAGCGCATGCGACCGGTACCGGTGGTCTTTCTGCGCTGACCCTTTTCGGACCAGTTGAAAGATCGGATCTTGGCAGCGGGATAACCACACTGAGCACAAGTCTTCTTCTGCTTGTGGAAGGAGCGGCGACCGCAACGACGGCACAAAGTGTGCGACTTGGTGTGACGCTTACCGAACGAGGAGGTACCCTTGGTCTACAAAAATTCAAGCCCATTTAGCATCTTGCATGTCTCAAAAAGTTTGAAGCAGAGTCCGTGAAGAGCATTGGCACTTTTGAATTCAACGATGCAACGATTGGAAACGATGGCATGATGGGCAGGCATTCACGTCAAAAATGGGAGGGTCACCGACTCCATTGCAGCTGTGCATTTCGTTGTATCCGTTTTTTGTCTCGGCAATAAAGTCGTATCCATACAATGATCTTTACATCCATCCATCGTTTTGTGTATCGTTGTATCCAGTGCAAACGTCTTTCTACGTATATATGCTAATTCACACATACCATGATGGATGATTAGTTAATACCACGTAGAAGGAGGGTTGTCTGTTGAGACCACCTTGATCGTTAATGACTGACCGCCCGGCTGGTTGCGCCGGGTTGCCTCTTGGCCAATCAAAATTCGACTTCAGCCTAATTCGTCGTCAAAGGCACGGCTTTCCAAAAATGCTCTCGTCTCTTTCGGGCCTTCCCGCCGCTGTGACTTTTTTCTTTTTGCAGATGTAGTGAAATCGAACATAAACATCATGCCAATGGATCTCAACATGCGTCTACGGAAAACACACCAATAAGGGGAGTAGATGCATGGAAGTATCAAGAAAGGATCATGCTTGGAATATTAAAAATGCATTGCAAGTTTTTTTTTTTTTTTTCGGGTTTGATTTTCGGCGTTTTGACTTCTATGACACTAAAAAAGCATCTGTAATGCATGCCGTGCAGCTCCTTTGCAAATTGTGTTCAGCACCATTAAACCGTCTCCTTCCTGAAAATGTGAATATAAAGAATATATTTCAGTATGTCATCGTTGACAAAACATATTTACTTTCATCGTAGGATGGTTGAAGGTTATCACTGTACAGATGTCGTGGAAGAAGACAAACAGTATTTAACCTGAAAAGTGCCAAAAAGAAAGTCCTGCCGTTCTCACCCGTATACCATCGCACATTTTGTCACCACCTATGCATATTAGTTGACATGCCGCGCTTGGTGCACGTCAAAAAGTCATCCTGAGCAGCGTCCTGTCAACTGGGTGTTGAATATTTTATACCACTCACGGTTGACGCTTGGTTAAACGATCGTCCTCGGATGCCGAGTCGGTTGAACGATAATCCTCCTTACTCTACATGTGGTACAGAGACTGAAACAGCATGATAAATTACAAGGTGGTCACATCACAGGAATTGAACATGTTTTCTCGATTGTCACAGATACATTAGTTTTCTTTTCTGCGTGAGTTAACTCTGGTAGAATGCTCGTTCACAAGAATATATGGCTGAATGTCATAAACGGAGAGCTATAAGTCATATTCTGCGAGATAGGAAAAGATCATCCTGCTGATCAGGTTTCCCCATAGATTCGGTAGAATACAGAATTAAAAAAAATTTCAATGCCAAGGAAAACCCTGCTATGAGATAGCCCTGAGGCTTATCATAAGAAAAGGAACTGATAGTAAAAAAGTGCATTATCCAGATCGCTTATCTAAGGGAGACGGAAAAAAGGGGGATAAAGGAAAGGTCAGATAGTGTCAACTGTCGTAGTAAAAAGCCATATATAAACAGACCAAGATATTTGGTTTTTTTTTCTTTTTTTACCCGCGCTTTTTTCTTCTTTTCCGTCCTTGTCCCCTTTTATCATCGCAACTCACTCTCCCCCTGCCTTTTCACCTTTGATTTTTCCTCTCATCTTTTTTTTTTTCGCTATGCTCTTTTGGCCCAAGCTTCTTTGCACGGCACTTGCCATCACGAGCAGCGTTCATGCTTTTCTGCCGCTGTATTTCGTTCATTTTCTTAATTATGATTACTTATTTATCGCCAATATGTTGTCAGTGACCTATCTGTGTCGGATAGGTACCGGCTTTTGGTGTGCTTTAGTGGATGTACGACCCACTTTACATGGCGTGATCGCAGCACTTTTAACTGCTGTCAGTACGGCTGCATTAGTACTCATTTTATCGATCCCGCTGCCATACCAAACTTGGCTCGTCACGTTAATATGCACTATCATCCATGGTCTAACCTATCAGCCACTCACCGTCGTAATTGACAGTGCCATTCTCAAGATCTTGGGTGATTATAGGATATTATATGGTTCGTAAGTCGTTTTCTTGCCAAAATCTACTTGATTCTGCCCCATGCCTTTCTATTTTCCCTTTTTTATCGGTTATTGTGTGCCTTTTTACATGATACAAGGCACAATTCTCGTAAAGGAAGGGAAACGGATAGCTCAGACTGACACCATTCTTCGAGTGTAGATTCTCAACGGCAATGGGGAAATGCGGCTTCGGGATTCATGATGATCGGCATTGGTTGGCTTTTGGTGGACGATCACGACTTCGATACGCTCATGGGAACCACTCTGATAGGGTCGATGGCGTTATTCCTTTTATCACTGTCAACCACCGTCCAACCCGCCGATCCGTCATTGCTGGCAGTGCCGGAGGTTCAAGCGCCTTTAATGAAGAACGCCTTGCAGCCCGTCGAAAGTCGGACGAGCAATCACTTTTACAAACCATACAGTTTATTCGGTGAACAACTATCTCATATCAGTGAAGAGGATGCCAGTATGTTACAGCGCATGTCCAGTCAGCAAAGGCCGACCTCGCTCGCCAGTCGACTCTCTTACGGTTCTCGTACCACGACTGCAGGGTTTGCCTACTACATCGATTATCCATGGATCGCAGCTTCTCGAACCCCAATCACACGAACCTCCACGACCCCCAACAATGGACCTGAATGCCAACCTATTGTTTTACCCTCTTTGGAATTAGCGCTTTTACCACTTTCATCGTGCGAAGCGCCGATGGCGGTTCTCATGACACTTTGGCCGCCCTTGCGGTTCCCACCCGATGAAGAAGAACTGATCTATTCATACCCGATTGCTGTTTCTGCCGCCACCCAGTATTCCTTGATACTGTCCATGGCATTGCTAGGCATGGCATGGGCCATGATGAATTCATTTCTATTTCTGTACTTGTACGACAGCTTGCATCTTCCGATGTATACCGTAGGCATCATTGGCGCCGTCACCGCCGTCACCGATACGTTAGCGAAAGCATCATCGATGCGGGTGAGTCAATGGCCAGGCTGGAGTGGATACTGCGAGTTCACTGAAGTATGTGTCATTCCATGTTAGTTGACTCGCCGTTTCAACGTCAATCTCATGATTGGGTTGCTGCATCTTGATATCATCCTGTGCGCATTCATATACACATGGCTGCAGCCTGACCATATGGCGACACAAATAGCGGCGCTGGTGTTGCAAATTGTCCAAAGTAAGTGTGCCACACTCTCAAATAACAATAAAGCTCAACCAAAACACTGACGCTTTTAGTACTTGCAGCTCTCGCCTTTCATCTTATTTGGTTAATCGCATATCAACAAGTGGACGATATACTGTTTGTGAACGAGCAGCGGATGTTCCTCCGCGGAGTCATGTCCGCACTGTATGCTAGTTTAGGCCCCGCTATGGGAGTCCTTGTCGTGGGACTTTTGGTCAACGAGGATGTGAAAGCGGACATGGCTTTGCAAGGATTTCAAAGCGTTTACCAATCTGTCGTAGGTCTCGTCGCTTTCAGCTCCGTTGTCTCATGGGGATGGACCTCCTCACTCTCCGTGTAAATCTTTTTCCCAACGTTCCAATTTTTTAACCACTCGCATCTCTCTTTGTATTTTTAACATTTTTTTCTTCATTTGACTTGGTTTAGTTTTGATTTTATCAACTCTATCATATCTCGCGTGGATTCATATGATGCGAGTGCTGAGGACCTGATAAAAAAAAACCATGTGTACATAAAACATAAATTTATTACGTTCAATTCAAACATTAGGTGAAGGGACTTTGTTTTGCTCCCCCCCTTTTTTTTCGGTTTCCAAAAATGCCATTTAAGCGAGCTCAAACGTTCTTTTCAGCATGACTACTGTTTCTTCCATGGCTGCATCGAATTTGGATTGAGGGTTGGCAGGTGTCAGGAAACGATGCTGGACACCGTAGTATCGTATAGAATTAGCGACCACACCGACTTGCTGTAGCTTGTTGGCAAGCTGTTCTCCTTCGTCTCTCAGGACATCGTGCTCAGCAGTAATTACCAACGTAGGCGGGAAACGCTTGAGTTGATCCTGGGTCGCTTTGAAAGGGACAGCGGTGGGTTTGTCACGATCCGATGATGCACAATAAGCATTCCAGATATAGATCATTTTCTCTTTCGATAGTATTGAGTCAAACTCATTTTCCTGATACGATTTGTCGTCAAAACTGTCATTGAGAACAGGATAGTAAAGCACCAGGCAACAAATTACGTATTCGTTCATTCGTTCTTGAGCAAGCACTAACAGCCAAAATAAAAATAAAACATACAATAAGTCTCGATGTGGACACATGCACAAACCATAGAATAATCTGTAATTACATGTAAGGGCACTGGATAAGTTGCCGCCTGCCGAATCGCCGATCACCGCAATGTTTTGGGGATTGATATACAAGGACTCATGATTGTCAACCATCCACGACAAAGCCGCGTAGCATTGTTCAAGTGCCAAAGGGTATTTGTGCTCAGGGCTCAAGGAATAATGCACAAACACGACGACCGCCGGGGTTCGATTAACAAGCTTTTTCAGCAAGATTAGTGTGCTGCGTTTCTTTAAAAGAGGGATCCTCGTCTATAGCATACCTCATGCACTACGCCACAGTGCGTTCCATAATTTCCGTACATCCATGCGCCGCCGTGTCTAATACAATTAAAAGATGTGAGTTGATTGTTTTGGCTACATTGATGACGGCCATTGATGACAATGCATACATGAAGAGAATACCAGGCAAGATAACATCTTCCACACCAACGGGACGAATCACCGATATTTGGACTTTGCCATTGTTGCCACCAACGTTAATTTCGTGATCATTTTTCAGCACTTTGGAAGTGGGATGCACAGCTAATATTTTGTTGGTGTAGTCACGAATTACAGCAGGTTGGGATGCCTCATCGCCGGTCAGTCCGGTTTCTTTTTCGACAGCCTCGCGAGTGTCCTTGTCCAGAGGAAATGGGGGATAAAGCATCTGTGAAATAATAGAACAAGTAATCTATAGGCAGTTAGTCTACTGTTCTGCTCACTCTTTTATATCAATGTTCCTTGAGTCTATGCGGCGATTCCAGCTGACTCTGTAACGGATATTGACAATGGTCCGAAATGTTTCAAGAAAACCAAAAGAAAAGACTCCAGCAGGTCCGGTTTTTGCAAGTTAAAGACCCTCATGACGATTCCAAAACTATTCTGCTATAATAAGTATAAATGAGATGTATTGCCATGAAAATTCATTTCTTCCTGTCGATTTCATGTTGTATAAGAAGGCATGTAATGATGATGAAGCCAATTCTCCATTTTGTCCCGCGGGGTTCCAAAAATGTGCGCAGTGAAAAATAGTTCACCCGACGCAAAACTGCTTTAATGCCGCACTATCACTTCTGCAACACCAGGCCTTTTTGTTATAGCCTAATTCTATAGCATGTCAAGATGCTGCTTTCGGAACAAGCACAAGCGCTCATAGGGATAGAGATAGTTACTTTAAATATATATGTGGGTCAGATAAACCACCCAAAAAATGCCGAAATCTGGGGAAATTTCTTACTTTCAGAAAAGCAGTCTTCCATTCGAAATTTTCATAAAATCACCAGTTGCTTTAATGAAAACTCTGAATTCGATAATCCAGAAACTGGTCAAAGGAGCGAACTGCGGAATTTCTTTCTTGTTGAAATGATCATGCTTTGTTTTCTTCTCGCTTGGTCTCTTGTAAAAATAAGTTGCTCATGCGCGTGTTCTAGAAAAAAAAAGTTGGAGGAAAATGAGGATGGTCAGATCCAATGCTTTATACAGTGAAGGTGAAAAGGAAAGAAACAAAAATACCGTTATTTTCAGGATCCATTTAGTTTCATTGATTACGTTTGCAAAATCCCATAATATCTAAGTTTGGTAAAATGATTTTGGTTCAATCTTTTTCTACAGACAGTTCATTCGTTTGAGGGGTTTAAATCAAGTATTCTTTGTAGGCGACGGTCTAATCCATATCAGAGAGTAGTGGTCTAGCCGGAATAAAGTTGATACCCATAATTTGTCGTTGAGGGCTTGGACACTATAGGGGAGATCCAACAGCATTGGGTCAAGATGATCGCTTATTGTTCCAGGTGTCATAACCAAATTCTCACAGAACCCAAAGGCAACTTGAACAACTGCCTTGTAACTTTCGGGCAAAGAAACATTTCATTATCAATAAACGACGCAAGTCCACAACGACAGCAGCAACCATGACGACCGTAGCAACAACAGCAACAGAGATAATACTTGATCACTCCTTCCGTTGATTGTGTAGGGATACGCACTCATGCAACAGAAGCGTATAATTCTCGGATCGCAGTTTACGGACAGTCAACTGTCATAGTATTGTATACCGTTGGAAAAGAAGACCCCAAACAGCAGTAATAGACGTGGCCAACAACAAAGAAGAAAAAGATATTTTTTATTGTGGTTATGCCACTGTTTTGTTTTTTCTTTTTTTCTGGAAAAAGAAAAGAAACTCCCATTATGTTATGTAGTCTCTTTCTCTGTTTTCTGGAGATCAATACGAGTCGGGATGTGTGCTATTGGATTCTGTCTTCTCGCTGCATTATCGAATGCAGAGGCAATACTATACCTTGTCACATAAGGTTTAAAGCCGATAGACCCTCTTCGCACACGGTTGACAGGTGCACTGAACAGCATCGACGAGCGTTATCAGGAGACATAAATCCCCCTTCCATGTAACAGCTGCAATCAGGTTATGGACTGCCGAATGTTTGGTGCCACAAATATGCTTTTTATGGCAAGACACAAAAATAGGTTCTCTTTTTTTCTGGGGCAAGGAAAGAAAATTTTCTTACTCTGGGCAAGCATGCAACGATGCCTCCTTCTACAGAGAGATCCAAGGTACGCGTCAGCCTTTGCATTGCTCTTCCAGGTGGACAAAGCCAAGAACTGAAATGTGCCTAATCATTAATCACGGGCAGTACGAAAGGAATTTCCTGCTAGTTACTCACGATCACCAATAGCGAAGCTACGGAAAGAAAAGAACGTTGTGACATGGTAAAAAATAAGGTTTCAAAGAAAAGTTGTGCATGAGTTATGGTGATGCGGCAATGTATGGTATACGATCTTAATTTCTAATCTCCATGTTCTCTCCTATTCAGCGTTTCTTTTTCTGTCGCCATCATCGACCTGTTACTGTCTCCCATCCTATCCAAAATGTCAACTCATATTCTTTGTTACACTGGATACACAAACCATATGAATTTTGAGTAGATCAAGAAATCCTTTTAAGGCAACATCAACCGTATCCTATCCTCACTAGGCTCTCCACATCAGTCACCGATTTAACGGCTTTGATTCTGCAAAAAATTCTGTAAAATATAAATCAGAAGCTAGCTGTAACTTGTAAGAATTGTATAGATCATCAACCAGAAATATAAAGCTAGCTTCGAATCATGAGATTAAAGTGGCACACTTGGTCCAATGACCAAATCTGGTAGGCTGAGCAAAGCCTCACTTGTTGCTGTGTCACCAGTATAAAATCTACCTGGAAGTTCCTCATAAAAAGCATTCACATCGAAATTTTGTCTCACATTTGCCGTCTTTCTGTCATTTATTTGTACAGTATTTTTACATCATGGATGGAATTATTGCAATCAACAGTGTGCGACTGATCATTATGGCGTTGGTCGGTATAACTGCCCTGTTCCAGGCCTTCAAACGCAAATTAATGCAACCCTATACGAACATCATCGTTGCCTGTGCATGTAATACTGCAGTAGTAGCGGTTGCGTTCGGGCAACATTTCGCCATCACCGTTGTAATGGCAAGCATCCTTCAAGTAATCAATATCTTGGGTATCTGCTACAGCTGGCTAGTCTTTTTCGAATCCGCGCGGCAGTTGACTCTATGGCTGAACTTCAATGGCCATCCACCTTCAGCTATGATCCGGATTGTCGTCAGCAGCGGATACCTGTGGACGTTAGTGATGACTGCAACGACCGTTGCTCACGCTTCTCTTTTAGCGAGTATGATAAATGGTAGTTCATCCTACGACTATAGGCCGCTGAATGGACTCCAAGGTTTCTACATCTACGGCTTGATCGCCTTTCCCATATTTGCCATCTGCCTCTTGCTGATGCTAAAGGACCATATTCTCCATCTCAAGGCTTTGTGTGGCTATATCTTCTTGTTAGGCTCCTACATAATCGCCTTTATGGTTATTTCCTCCTCCGCCGTCGTAAGGAGAATGGAGTGGGATGGATTGGCGGCAATCCATGTCGTATTTGGCACCCTTTTCGTGGCTTCCGCATTATGTATTTTCATTTGGATCGGACCGGCTTACAATCTTGTCCGCAAAGAAGGTCTCCAAGTCCCTCCCCAAGGTGGATTACCAACACAAGCCATGCACCAAAATAATAACTTTGGACAGTTCAACAACATCGGTCCAGGTGCCTTCAACAACGGGTTCAACGGCAATTTCAATCCTAATATGCCTCCGTTCAATAACCCGGCTTTCATTAATGCCGCATTTAACAACAACGCTCAATTTGCTAACAACGGCTACAACGGAAATGTCACTCCAGGTGTCAACGGCCACAACAGTACGATGCCTTTCAATAATGGTATGCCATTCAATAACGGTATGCCCTTCTTTTTCAACGGTGTCTGGTTTGACAGCACCGGCGTGCCTCTCAATAGTCATCTTAACAATAACGCGCAAGCGTTGAATGGCAATGGATCCAACAATGCATCTGGAAATGGATTTGGCAACGGTGACAACACCAACAGCGGACCTGCTCTCCCCATGCAGACACATAGCGGACAGAATGAGCAGACTGAAAGCAGTAAACTCATGGTCGACGGATCGCCAAACGCATCTTCTGGTGCTGGTCCGTCTTAACAGCAAGCGATGCCGGATGCGATCCTGATGATATAGCTTGCTGGATGGACAGTTTAATTTTTTGGTTTATGCATACTACTTTCGCCATTATACGATTATGTTATTTCTTATTCTATTCTTCTTAAACTGTTATTATTTACTACCATTATTCTTATTATTTTATTTCGTACGTCCGAGCCCAATAAAAAAACACACACACGATAGTGTGGAAACCAACAAAGCTATCAAATGTCAAGATACAAACCTCTATTTTTATCACCGCAATAGCGCAATGTCAGTGCACTTGAATTACTGTCTATTAGGGATCCGATTTTTTTTTTTCAGGAGTGCCACGTATAAGCGTCACTAAATTGGCGCCCCTTTCTCCTTGATGCCCTCCTTTTCTGTTAGAATCTTACTTGCCATTTTTGAATTTAAGATTGTTCTTCTCCGTTTCAGAAAAGCTTAATATTCCAAATATCATCTCCCTTTTTCTCTCAACGTACACTTTTTCTGGAAACCTTTTGCGCATATTTTGTGTAAGATTTGCGCCAAGGATCAACGATGGCTTGCATGTTGCTAAGAGTAAACTTTGCTCGATGACTGAAAAGAACTTTGCGCACGCAAAGTTTATTTCTGCGTTGCGACCATTGCGCACGACAGTATGTTTTACGATGACATCAGGTTGGAATTTTTTTTTTTTTTTTGAGAGATAAAATATGTTCTAATGGAGAAAGAGACAGCCATTTATCCTTTATGAAGATGACTATGGAAGAATAACCCCATCTCTGTCGTTTGCCACAGTAAACGGCGATCCGCTAGTCTCGTTTGGGCAGCAAATGGCCACTTTCTTTCATTGAATCCAGCTGCGTATTTGATCCCAAGTGCTCCAAAAACGCAGCAATGGTCTTGTCTTTTTCCAGTATCAACCAACTTGAATCGCATCATACTCCATGGGACTTTTGGTCAACACAGCAATGACCCGCCTTTTGCAGAAGGAGCTGGCCGTTTTCAGAGTTGAGTTAGTGCCGTGGCCATATCCGAGATCGCTGGGGGTATCACCGCAGTAAGACACTGGCAGGTTGTACGAGATCGGTATCAGGGCCGCCTATTTTGAGATGGGCAGCAAACGACCATTTGCCTTCATTAGATACAGTTGCGTACTTGATCTTAAGTGCTTCATAAACGCAGCAATGGCTCGTCCTTTTTGATGACGTTATCCACCGTTTTCGGCTTGAAGAACTCTTAGCACAGCTTGAGCGTTCAAACCAGTTTCGAAAAGTGCTTTATCTTCTTGCTTCGGCCGGACACCATACTTTTGCGTAAACAGCTCTCAACTCGGGAATAGCATGGTAAACTTTGCCTGCGCAAAGTTCTTTTCAGTCGTCGAGCAAAGTTTATCTTTAGCAACGTGCAAGCCATCGTTTATCCTTGGCGCAAAATCTTACAAAATATGCGCAAAAGATTTCCAGAAAAAAGTGTATGCCTCAAAGTTCGTGAATTGCGAAACGTTATCGACCTTTTTCATTGCATTGCTTGAACTAATGTTTTTCAGAAAACAGAATGATTGATCCATTACTATATGCGTGTATAATGAGTAGCTGATCCTCCATATGAATTCTCCGTGACAGTAAAGCTCCTTGCAACTGCAGCCAAGATGAATTACGAGAACAGTCAGATACCACACAATCCCCTTGATTTCTGATTGGCCGATGCTTCCTCATCTTCCTCTTACCATCAATTTACAATAATCGACCATTGAAACTGTCCCGGATCTATTTAAAGATGCCATCTATCATTTTGCTTGCCTGAGATCGCATCCATGTCTATGCGTGTCGGACTCAGTAATGGCAGTGATCTCCGCATAAAATACTCACGAATCCAAATGCATGGACATGGCGTGAAAAGCGGAACATCAGCAGTCACTACGGTGATGGATAAAGCGATCGGAATCTTGTTGAAATCGGGCCTTCTTTCTTTGCAAGTATCATTTATCGATATGACCGAAGCAGCTAAAGTAGAACGTATTCAGGGCGGTGGATCCGTCCTATTGGCGTGGCAAGTCGCTCAGAAAAAGGTACTCATTGTTGGAGGCGGCAACGTTGCTGCCCAGCGTATCGTATCCATGAAAATTGGCGATGCTCTAGTCACTGTGGTGAGCCCTGAAGAAGGATTAGCGGACGAGACGAGACAACGGATCGCGCAAAACGAAGTTGAATGGATCAACCGAATATTCGTGGATAGCGATTTGGAAGGCATGGATATGGTGCTTACCGCGCTGGACGATCACGAGGAATCGTTGCGTATTGGTCATTTATGTCGACAACAGCGTATACCCGTCAATGTCGCTGATGTTCCTTCCATGTGCGATTTCTACTTTATGAGTCAACATCGCGACGGTCCTCTTCAAATCGCCATTTCCACCAATGGTCAAGGTCCGAAACTGGCCAACATGATTCGAGCCCAAGTCGCGCAAGCATTACCGCCGAATGTGGGTACAACCATTGCTAAGATGGGTCGTATTCGGGCCAAAGTACGTGAATGGGAGCCCGAAATTCAGAATGCTGGCAAACGGATGCGGTGGGTCATTCGACTGTGTGAAACGTGGGGATTGCGATCTATGGAACGGTTGCAACACATGACGGACGAAGAGGAGAGAGCCATGTTTGACAAGCTTCACACGGCGTTTTTAAACAACAATATTCCTGCCTTAAAAGACGTCCTGCCCAGTCCAACCGCCGTGAACAAACAACCCAGCATTGCGCTTTTGGGAGCTGGGCCGGGTGATCCCGAACTGATTACGTTGAAAGCAAAACGCTATCTGGAGCAAGCCGAGCTGGTGGTGAGTGATCGACTGATTCCCCAGCAAGTGCTTGATTTGGTTCAGGGCGAACTGCGCATTGCTCGTAAAACCACGGGGAAATCCGACGAAGCTCAGAACGAGTTACTGGAATGGTGCCTGGAAGGATTGCAGAAAGGACAACGTGTGGTGCGTCTGAAAATTGGCGATCCGCTCTTATTCGGTCGTGGCGGCGAGGAAATTCTTTGGTTCCGCGAACGTGGGTATGAGCCCGAACTTGTGCCTGGCATTTCGAGTGCTTTCTCCGCTCCAATGGCAGCCACCATACCTGTCACTTACCGCGGGGTGGCCGATCAAGTCATTATCACGACAGGTCGAGGCACCAAGGGCGCCATGCCAGATCTACCAGAGTTTTGCCCCACACGCACCTTGGTTGTGCTCATGGCGGTTGGAAGAGCCACGGAACTGCGACAAATTTTACTAGATAAGGGATATCCAGAACACATTCCGATCTGCTGGATCGAAAATGCCAATTGTCCACAGGAACGCATCCTCCGAGGCACCGTGGCGTCCCTGGCTTCGTGCGTCGAACAATATACCATCGTTGCCCCCGCCGTCCTGGTAGTTGGTCACAGTGCTCAAGTGTTGGTGCCTGAAGCGTAAAATGTCTACCGGGCCAACCATCTTTTTTATCTCTCAAAATGAAATGGCAGCTATCATTTCTTTTGTGTGCCCATTGTACTACTTGAAACAGCGATCCGAAGCAATTTCTCTCGTCCTGGTATCAAAACTCATCATCGTGGACTATCAGCAGTATAAAAACCGAAAAAAAAGGTTGATCTCCTTGCAACAACGGGTTAGGGTTGAGAATGCAGGATCAAGGAGCTCTTTGTAAATAAGAAACAATAAAAATAAAGACAATAAGAGATGCTGTCAAAAAAGGGGGAGAGTTTCCTTGGTTCAGCGGAGGTGAGGGGCCTGGACGCACGCGACAAAAAGAGGTGCATACCATATACAGCAACTCTTTGTATCCCCGTTCTTACTGCCATTTTCTCCTTCATTTCTCGACGCACTTGGCTGGTGTTCTTTTTCCCTCTGGCTCTCTCTGTATTTTTTGATTTTCTGTTTCCTTTTCTTTGTTGCCTTGTTGAATTTGACCTTGCTTTAAAGTGCATCTGCATCTCCAAATATCAGATTAGAAAGTGTTGTAGACGATTTTCCATGACCTATATCTTGTTGCGACTGCTGAAACTAGAATGAGTACGCCATCTTCCAACGTTACTTCGCCTTCGACTTCTTCTCTGTATGCGAGTTCCATGCTAGGCACCGGTATGGGCCGTTCGGCTTCCAACCGCTCGCTTTTCCGGGACCTGTTACCATCGACATCGTCGGCACTGGGAAGGGTCAAGAATCGGTCGCGTACCAACACCATTGGAGAAGGAGGGTGGGGCGACGATCATATGCGCAATCTTGGCTCGGACTATCAGGAAATCCAGAAACGTACACTGACAAAGTGGGTGAATGCCCAGCTCAGTCAGGTCGACGATCGCATCACCAACATCGACACGGATCTGAAAGACGGCAAACGGCTTTTGAAACTCCTCGGCGTCGTTGCTAAGGAACCGGCCCCGAAACCGGAGCGGATGAATATGCGGATCCACCAACTGTCCAATGTAGCCCAAGCACTCAGCTTTTTGGAGAAGCAAGTCGGGTCGGAAGCCATGCCGGATATTGGCAACGAAGCCATCGTGAACGGCGACGTGAAAAAGACGCTGGCCCTGATCTTTTTCATTATGTTAAAATACCAAATCCAACTGATCATTACAGAACACGGCGAAGATTTTATCGCCTCTTTATCGGTACCTTTTTTTTTTGTTTCTTTTTCACATTTATGCAAGACGTAGGTCCCATGCACAACTTCTTTTTACTTATGATTACCATTCTTTTACGTATCTAGTCATTATCTCAACGATCTCAATTACCACCAAAAGATGCATCGTCATCATCACCGCCACCACCGCTCGCTTTAGATACCCCGTTGCAACCGCCTGCGACACCTATTCCCACGAATCAACCTGGATCCGCCTTGATAGCCGCACGCAAGATCGGCGGCAGCAGTAACTCGATTGCTGAAAAAAGCTATTCTGCCACAGACGCCAAACTGGCTTTACTTTACTGGGTGCGCATTCAACTTGAAGACTACATTGTGGCCAACATCATTCCTTCCATACAAGATTTTTCCAGATCGTGGCGAACAGGACTGGCCTTTTGTTTGTTGGTTCATCGTCACGATCCTGTACTTATACCCGACTTGTTCACCATTCACCTGAAAGCAAACCTATCTGAAAAGCAGACATGGCATACTCTTTTAACCCTAGCCTTTGATTTAGCTTCGGCTCACCTCGGGATTCCACCTTATTTGGAACCAGAAGAACTCATCGATGTCGATTATCCACACGAACCCAGCGTTATGATGTACGTCAGCGAATATTACAAAGTCATGTCGCGATCGCAGCGAGAAGAACCGGAGGAAGTGAAACGGAAAAAGACGATCCAACGTCGGGCTACTATCGCCACCGTGACGGGAGGAGAGGAAGAGGAAGAGGATGAAGACGAGGGAGACAATATACATTTACCAATGCCCATGACCGACGATGAACATAAAACCACGTCGACGGAATCGCCTTCGGTACTATCATTATCGCCAACCGCTTCACCATCGCCGGAACCGCTCATCATGCCTCACGAACCACCTCTTCCTGTACCTACACCTTCGGCCCGAAGAAAGAAAATGGCCCATCGAAGATCCACGCTGGGGGAGGATGAAAAAGCACGGATCAAGGCGGACTTAACAGATCGATTGATGATGCAGCTCACGGGCCATTTGCCACGCGGCGTGCATCCCGTGTTGGATCAGTTGATCACCATTCATGAAACCGTCTTATCGTTCATCAAAACCAACGTTCGTACCATCGATGAGATTCCCGAAGAATTCACGGATTCCACGGCGGTCGCGGAGTATATTGACGCGCTCGAGATCATTGAAGACCAAATGGAAGTCGAAGCCCAGCACTTGGAGACGGCCAAGCAAACGCGACGGATTCTTACCTCACCACCTGAAACCGCCGATGATCGATTGATCCGTTTAACCGAACTTCAACGGTCGCAAGTGGTCAAACTACATGATGTCTTGCAATCCGAGTGGAATGAATTTGTCACCTTACTCCATGCCACCAAAACCGACTTGATTCGAGTGGAGAATGATCTCACTGGTTCCGAAAGCGATCGAAAAACGTTTGAAAGTGAAGCTCAAGCCATCGAACAAAAACTACAGGCCCTGTACCAACTGTTAAGCAATACGGCTCCAAAAGAAAATGATCAACCCATTCACCCGCTGGACGGGTCCGAAAAAGTCGTCCAAATCTATCAAGAAAATCTGTCACAGGCCGCGGATCAGTTGAATTCCTTTGAACTGAATGCGTGGAAAGCGTTCAAGCGTGCGATACTGCAGCTGTCACCTTCAGTTCTACGGAGCATGTCGACACGGCACGACCAGATCCAAAACCGATACACGCAACTGGCGACGACGCTGAATGAGGCCAAGAAAGATTGCATCAATTTCCAAAGGGGACTCGAATTTCAGTCGCGCGTTACCGAGGTGGATCGCGAGCTGCAAGGCATTCAAAGTGTCATGGACAGCAATCAGAAAGCGACGACGAATAATGCTATTTCCGAGCTGGAAAAACGCGTAAGCTTTGTCCGGTCCAAGATCAATGCGATTCGTGAAGAATTTGGCGATTTGTGGGTCGACGACGACAAGCCGCACAGTGCGAGGTTCCAGGCCTGCTTTGAAAAAATCGAGCATCAGTATCAGACCGTGCGAAGCTGGGTTGACGAAGTGCGTGTTTGGTTTGTGGAAGCGCAACGGATCCGAAAATGGATTGATGCTCGCATCGAAACGATCCAGGAACGCAATGAAAAAGACGCTTTCGATCCGCTGGCGGTGGATTTTTCATTAACGCAAGACGAAGCCACCCAGCTCGAGGAAGAGCATCAGCGTCTCAAGAAACGCATTGATCGATTTAATGCGGATGATATGGCACGGTTGCGGGCGCACGTCAAGAAATTGACCATGAGCGAACGCGATCGAGAACTGAGTCCTGCCGATACGTCGACAATTGAAATTACGTTGGTGACACTGAACATGCTAAACAAACTGATGCAGCTGTTGCAAGATCGGTCCATGACGGTCGACATGGTCAATCTCCGGTTGAAATGGGAAGCCGCCTTAGCCCATGCGGATGCATGGATCGGAACGACGGACGGACGTATTACGGAATTCATCCAAGGACAAGCACGTTGGACAGACGACGATACCAGTGATGGCAAAAACCGTGTACGACGCAGCCATGAACATACCGAGCAAGTAATTCAGGCCTTGGTCGAGTTGGAGGAACAAATTGCCCGATTTGATCAGGGCGACTATCTCGAAACCTTGGACGGATATCAGGAAATGGAGGACTTGCATGGCGATAGTTTACCGGAATATCTTGACGGGCGTCAAGTTCATCTGGAACAACGGTTTGCCGATCTCATGAAACGGTCCGTGTTTGCACGTAAAGTGGTCGAGCAGCATTTGACGGTACAAGATGTGGTCACCCAATTCAAGCAAATGATGCGGGATGGCGAACGATTGCGCCAAGATATGATGGAAGCCGTCGATGTGGCGGGGTATGCGCAAGAGAAGGATGTATTTGGTGATACCGTACGCCAATTCAAAGATAATTCGGCTCACTTGCTGAGCAACGTCGATGCGCGCGTGTATTATCCGGAGGAATCTGTCGTCACAGAAGCGGATGCAGAGGCCAATCTCCTTGCCAATGACCGTATCCGCGAAACGCTTCAAACGTACGGCACGGCTTTGGCCATCCTTGCTGAAGACCTCGAAGATCTGCTAACGTCGCACCGACAATCCATGTCGCTGCAACAACGAGCCACCTTTACGTATGACGAAGTGTTGCGCGTAGCCAGCTGGATGGACGAACGAACCAATGCACTGTACGGCTCAAGGATTGATGAAGCCGAACTAGAAGAAGAGGTGATTGTGCAGTGCAAAAAGGACACAGAAGCGGTAGCCGCACGCCTGGCTCAGATGGAGCAGACCGAGATGGTGAAACTAATGGAAAGGGTCCGTCGTGTCGAAGACGAAATCGATGCTTCCAATGCAGTGTCAATCGACCGACAAACGTTTATTGACGGCATTGAACTCCTGGAAACCAACCATGAACGCTTGAAACAAGCCCTCTTGGACCGTGAACAGGAGCTCGAGGCGCAAAATGAACGACTGATTTGGGAAAGCCACTCTGCCGACGTCCAACACCGCATTCTAGACACAACCCAAGAAGTGTGGCAAGTTATTGCCAACGCAACCCAGCGACCTCACGAGAATGAAACGGTATTCACGATGGCACAAGATGTGGATCACTTAAAAACAACTTGCCACGATCTTTCCGCTGATATTCAAAAGCTAGATGAGCAACTGGAAATGAACAAAACGCGTTACGAGGATCTGAAGCAAATATCGAATGAAGGCGTGCAATTCATGCTGGTCAAGCGAAAAGACGTGCAGCAAACTCAGGAGCAACTGGATCGCCTTGTCCACTTGGCAACCAGTCTTTTGGGTCAACGACAGGTGGTGACCTCTTTGTTTTCGGACGCACAAACGGTGGAAGCGCAAGGTCATGCAATCCTTGACATGATTGCAGCTGATCTTGGCCAAGGTACAACCGATGTACGAGAACAGTTCGTAGCTTTTGAGCAACAGATTGATCGTCTGTGCAACCTGCAGCTTGATCTACCAAAAGACAGCGATTGGATGGCCGTGGATCAGTTGAGCGAAATTAGCGAGAATTTGGCGGAAATGAAATCCACCATGGACGAAAAACAGGCTTCTCTTGCTTCGTTCAAAGCCAAAATCACCCGCTGTGTTCGAGATCGCGAAACGGTTCATGAAATGTCCTCGATGGTGCGACAGCAGGAACAAGAAACCGAACGATTGCGCCGCTTGCTTGAAGAGCATTCCCAGAGCATGAAGCAGCCAGCGATTGATGTGACCCAGGAACACTTTAGTGTCGATGTTGATACGTTGGCCTTGACGGTTGGCGCGCACTCTAAATTGGCGGCGGAGGTTGCCCATCTGGAGAAAACAGAGATCCAGGCATTGCAAGTTAATTTGGAGGAACTCAGTCATCGTGTCACGGAGCGAGACCAGTTAAGTGTGGATCTGGCCACGGTCAAACGTGGTGTGAGCGAAGTGACGTCGCGATTGGGACAATTGAAGCAGAGCTTGACCGATCGAGACAAATTATTGGATGCAGCACAACAACGTGCTCAATGGGAAAGCCTTTGCAAAGAGGCGAGTATGCAACTGGAGGCCATGCATGAGCAGGTGCGACAACTGGTTTCTGTCAAGAATAAGTGCATTGGCCAAGCCGATGTCCCGAAAACAACTTTGCAAACCATGGCCGCCGATTTGGAGCAACTGGAAAACGGGCGGATTGCATTGATGGATCATACCATGCCGCAAGTACATGAAGCGTACACCCATTTTGGCGAGGCATTACTCAAGACCAACACTTTATCAGCGGTGCCAGGATGCGTGGAAGCACGATGGTTGGCTGTGCAGCGCTCGGCGGCGAAATTGAAAGAAATCATTGCCGAAACAGAAAAGGAAACCGAATCTCTCCAGCGTCGTTTGCATTGGACAAATGCAGTGCAAACCGCACTGAAAGAACTGGCCGAAAAGCAATCCAATGTGGTCGCATTTGTAGAAGAGCGCGCTCGCTGGAACCCGGATATCGATCATGAAGCGTGTGACGAGCAAGCCTTGCAACAAGCGTCGGAGGACTTGGCGCAGGATTTCACCGAGTTCCAGAACAAGACAGTGGCACCATTAGTAACAAAGTTTCAACAACTTCAAGTCACTAGCGCGGAACACAGTACGAGTTTCGTCATGGACACGCTGTCGGGATTATGGGACGAGCTTCAACATATTCAAGAACAAGTGAAAAATGATCTGACATTCGCAGAGGAAGTGGTCAAACAGCGCTGTTTTATTTCTGATTTTGTATGGCAGACGACACAGTTGGAGCAAGTAGCGGAGTCGATCCGGGAAGAATTTCTCGCGGCTGAAACCGATCTGCAACGGCCTATTGAACGGTTTCAAAAATTCCGAGCCGATGTCGTGGATATCCAACAACGGATGGGGGCTCCGATCCCGTTACCATCGCGATCGAAACATTACGCTCTGGATAACGGAGTCAAGGACAGTACGTTGAATGCGGTGGTTCAGAATACCATGCAAATGCGATGTGCGCGCTTGACCGAACTGTGCATGGCTTTACAAGGACTGGTCGATAGCAAAGAAAAGGCGTCGCGCTGCAAGATGGCCGTCGATGGGTACGAAAAGCAAGCGAAACTGTGCGTGTCATGGATCAAGCAGTATCGCAACAGAATGGAGGAGCACAGAGAACTGATCGACCATACCGCCACAGCCGATTTGTATCGCCTCAAAGAAGCTCTCAGCAGCATTGACAGCTTGGAAACGAGCATGAAAGCCAAGGAAAATATCTACAGTTTGCTGGTCACAGTGTATGAGCGTTGTATGCAGCTTCTAGCCGATGAACAAGAGGGCGATTTGAAAGAATCCCGCGAACATGTCGTTCAGACGCAGAGTACCATTGGTATGGATTGGCAGCGCCTATTAGACCAAATCAGCCATGCCTCGTCCATTCTTGCCGCCGCCTTGGTTCCTGCCGAATTCAGCCACCAACTCCACGCACTGATGGGATCGTTTGAACAGCTGAAAAGTGACGTTGACAAAGCAGATCCTATGACGGTCACGGATGAAACCATGCTCCAGTGGCAAAAAAGAATTGATCATTTAGCCAACAAGGACTATGCCAACTTGCTGCGTCAATCAGCCAACTGTGCGGAGAAGTTGAGTGCGGAAACTAGCAGTCAATTGGACGATGTCAGTGAAATGGTGCTTTGTATCCGCACCTTGTTAACCGAACTGTACGATACAGTCGACCTTCATCGACTTTGCAAGACGCACGAAGAAAACGCAGCCATTGTAATCAAGATGATTTCAAGGGCCAGTGAAGCCGTGGACGATGTGATGCGAGCGTACAGACAAGCATCAACGGCCGAAAAGCCCAGCAAAGAACAGCGTGATACACGGCAACAACATTTGCTGACATCTCAAAGACAAATTCGTAAACAACTGGCGGAATGCGAAGAAGCGTACGATGATTTGGTGGCCTACTACCAGTTTATTATCACACAGGGCGGACAGGAGATTGTTTTGCAGACACATCAGCAAGTGGAAAATGCATGGTCCACGGTTCAACAAAGCATGAGCCATCTCTCTTTATTTATCTCGTATGCTGACAAATGGGTTAAAGCGTACGAAAAACTGGAACGGATCTATGAACAGTTGACGACCTTGAAATCACAGTTGGATACGGATAATGCGTCGCCCGATGCCATGGAAGCGCAGCTGCCGGCCATCGAATCCGGCTTGGACGGATTGGCCGAAATGCTGCATACGATAGAGGAGGACCAAACAAATCATCAGGCGGACTTTGCACAACACCACGCCGCGGTCACCGCTAGGTACAAAGCGGTCCAATCGCAACTGTCCAGTCTGCGTTTAAAGAGCGAACGCGTGGCGTTGATGCGATCGTTCAGCATAAAAACCAAGCAGTTGCGTGCTGTATGCGAAGATCAACTGACGTTTATCAAGCAGCAAGCGGCGTCGAATCCAAACATCGTAGGGAAGCAAGCGGATGCCATCAACAACATTGTCCACGCGTACGGCGAAGCGCTCAACCACATTCGGGAGACGTATACCGAATGCAAAAGTGAGTACGATGGCCTGATCAAAAAGCAGGCGGATCGGTTGATCGATACTCTGGACCAACCTCGTGCCGAAGTCGATGATGCCAAACGGCCGTTGGAGGAAGTGTTAGCGAATCTCGATCAGGCCATCCAATCGGCCGACGCTTACGTGACAGCGCTCAAATCAGCATCGCAGTACGCTCGTATGGAAGTCGATTCCGCGCGTTCGCTCACGGATTTCAAAGCGTTCTTATCCCAATGTTCGAAAAGCGCAACGACCCGTGCCAACAACAAGCATCCCATCCCCGACCTGAAAGATTTTATTAGCCGGTATAATTCCATCACGGAATCCATGCGAGAATTCTTTGAGATGGGCAACGAATTGAAATCGAAGCTTCAAGAGGAGAAAAAAATGAATTCGGCCCGTATCATGTCGATTACCAAGTCGGTCGACCAACGACAAAAGGGGATGCGACGACGATGGTCCGAAAGCCGAGCTGCAGCAGAGGAAACCAAAGGCCGCTTGGAAGAACTTCAGCGACGCCAGGACGCCGCAGCCAAGATCAGCTCCATTCATAAGTACGTTGATTCGATCAGTCATCGATTGAAATCGTTGCAACTGTCGGGAAGAACGATCGCATTGGAAGAAGAAGAATTGAAAGAAATTGAACAAGAAGTGGAAGTATCCCTTACCAGCAGAACACGCGCTTTGGATACATTGCTCTCTCAGTTGAATGATAACGACGGGGCGTTGAAACGACAACGAGCCCAACTGACCATTTCCATTGATGATCTTCGCGATTTCTTGGTGGTCCGAAGGCAGCAAGCGTATACCCAGGGCAATATTACCTTGTTTTTGAATCTGGCGGATCAGCTCCAGGAACATATGGCAGAACTGTCGATGGCAATCCGTCAAGCTGCGCCACAGAATGCACAAATCGTCAATAACCGGTTCAACAAGTCGAATCTGCAAACCATGCTAAAGACGTTGGTGACGACGTACAAAAGCAGCGAAACAACGATTGTGGACTTGCTGGAGCAAGCGAAATCCGAAGCCAAGAAGCAGTTCCTGGATGATAATGATCGTGTGGCAGCGCGTCTGGATCAAATTGTTCGTCAATGGACAGAGACTCAAGCGGCTGCTACGGCACGCGAGAAGGAACTTCTAATCTGCATCAATCAACTCAACCACGAATTCTTTACGAAATTAGCTATGGCACGATCCACCCCGCGTATGCGTGCTGAACGTCGCCCTGCAGCAACGCGGCCTCCATCGGTGGCCGGACAGGGAGCACGTCGATCGAGTTTCAAGTCGTCTACATTATCGGTGGACAATCGCATCGCTGCCACCCAGCGGCGGTCACGATCCCCTGTCCCATCCAACAGCAAACAAAGGACAAAATACGTGGCCGACCCGAAAAACGAATTGGATATTCAGCTGGGCCTGATTGTCAATGAAAATTCCTACGGTGTCAAGGTGAAACGCGTCAGTGGCGAATCTGGCAAATACTGGTTTGGCGAAGAACATCCTCGTTTGGTGTACTGCCGTATCCTACCCAGCAAACTGGTGATGGTTCGCGTGGGCGGCGGATGGGTGGAGCTATCGAAATTTTTGAAAGGTACATTAATTGATCTTTTTTTTGTCAAGGTATGGTCCAACTAACGACAAGGTTTAATAGATCACAGTCATAACGAGACAGGTATGATGAGGCGCGGATCGATTGCCAGCGATTCCGATGGATACCAAGAGACTTTCTTGAGTGTGAAGAACAATCTGTCCAGTAGCCGACTGAGCGTCCAAGATAATGGTAGCGTGATGGCTTCAAGTGACGTGGAATTGGAACCGTCGGTCTCTAGTATATCTTCTACCGGACGATCACGGTCGTCGGCTGTCAGCAGCAGCACTGGGTACGTAGACGGGGATCGATACATCCAAATGGATGAAGACGGAAATCAAATTGCATTCAAAATGACCAAAGCCAAAGACGACGCTAAAATGCCCGTCATCACTAAATCTCGCTCATAAGAAACCAAAAAAAAAAGACATGATACCCTTTTCTTAAACTAGCTGTCTCCCTCTTGTATTTATTTATACATAATCAAGTGTATTTATCCGACCTTTAGCCACTGTTGTTTCTATAGTAAATGTCCTCCACAAATATCCGATAAAGAGTGGCATCGCTTTCTAATATGAATTGATTACCAACCATTGTACACCAGTATGTTTTACTGTCGCACCAGACTGCTTTTAAACCATTCGATATATTGAGGAGTTCATCCGTTCATAATGCCAATCTGATAATAGATGAATATCTTCAACGATTGCCGAGCGATTTTAGAACAGTTGCTTTAGGAATATACCCATTCAACAATCACTTTTTCTCCCTACTCAATTTTATACAGTGCCAATCTGTCTAGACCTCAATGTATCTACTCAGTTTCAAGTCGTGGTTCCCCGAACCTTAGTGTTGTATCAGCACAGGCTCTGATTTTCCATACTTGCTGAATCGTTCCTTGTCCTTCAAAACCTGGCCCTTTAGTCGTTCACCAACACTTTCTACGAAGCATCGTGGTTTCTGTTGTGCCCTTTTTCAACCACATTAATATTTTAATAATGAAGAACGGGATTCAATGGATATGATATGAGCGAATGATATTTTGGAATAGTCATACCTATCTACCAAAAAACGCTTCGATGAGATTCTAGACTTTCGACGGTGGGGAAACCGGTCTTTTTCATATTAATTAGGCAGAAATATTCTTGCCTCGCAATTCATTAATGGTGCACTCTCGATATCTGTTTCCGCTTGAGCACAATAATACTCACGAGAATAATTGCAGCTCGAAAGAAACGCGCTTTCCTAAAAAAGTGCACACAGGTGTCAAGGTAAATCTTCTGGCGCCTTTGGGATCTATGTACTTGAAGACTACGGGGGTTCTTTTTGAAGCGCGGAAGTTGCACCACCAATGAAACGCGCAGTATTTTTGACAAGGAGCACTTTCTGGAGAAATGAATTCTCGAAAGAAACCTGAGAGAGGATTCACTTCGTACGTCATCGCAAACAGCAACCAAACCTGAGGATGTTTTCTTAGTAATCTGCCTTATTTATCATCTGATGAGAAATAAAATGACATATGTCAGTTAGAACTTGTCTTATGAAACTCTCTGTAATGGCTTTCACTTACTTCGCTGAATGAAAAAAGAATGCTGACGCTAAGTTGATAGTTAGTCTTTTTTTTTTTTTTTTGGTATGTAGTAAAATTCGGGACGCTGCTTTAAGCAAAAGAACCACACCGTAAACGACCACTTTAGGTTTGTCAAAGCAAAAGATTACTACTCTGATCGGTAAAACAAATGTAGAGTCTCTATTTGAAGGCACGATAATTTAAGCGCTTATCACAAATTTTAGTATCACACATTAATTCAGTGTATTGGCAGGCAACATGTCTTGAAGCCTTCGATACAGTCTGGACCAAAATCACCACATTCAGGGGGCGGGGGGCAGAATTCTTCAACATGTTCCTTTGTTGGTGCCCAGCAATGGTATGGTTTGTCATCAGGACATGGTTGTGGGGTAGTAGGGCATATGGTTTCAGCACCGATCCAATCATCAAGTGATAAGTTGAGGTCACCGAAAGAGCACAGAGACAAAGAGCACCATTTGTTTCATAGTTTGATAAATATTTTGTAATAAGAATTTTACCAAAGGATTGAGTATTCATATTTTTCCCTTACCATATTGCTAGGCTACCCGATGTTAAACAACAAAAGTTTGTGCCAAAGTCATTATCGTAACTACGTAGTCGTTACGAATAACATATACCGATAGAAGAAGAAAGTTCTCTTGGCAATGTCGTCCATTCGACGAGCAGTAATGATAATTGATGACACGGACCTGCTATTATTTCGCGCACAGATAAATTTCGAATGAAGGTGTCCCATTGATCATTTTCGAACGACAGGTCTTATTTTTCTTGGAGCGTTACATCTTTCTTTTGCCTAGGTAATAAGCAATGTTGAGCTGAGTGGTGCTACCAAGTTTACAGGAAGTACAGTGTTTATAGGCGGTATTACAGAGAGCATCGTATATAAAGGTGATGGTCCTTAATGACGCTTTTTAAGTCAACAAAAAGGCTTGCGACTGTCTTCGTTTGGATCTGTGTAACTACGAGTTGTAAGCGAGAGAGAAAGGTGCCATGAGCGGGAAAAACGATGGTTCGAAGAAAGCGCTCGTGGACGACAATCCGTGCGGCTAGAGAGCGAATAACCACATCCGATGTCGGAGTGGGATCGTTTTTAGTAAGGAGCGACAGACAATTAAAAATCGTTAATTGATCAAATAATCCAAGAAAATCTAGAATAGTTTCGACGAGAAGCAACTTTCATACTTGTCAAATGAAATCTATCATTATGTCCTTTTGGTTCTTTCCTTCTCATCGTTCACTGCTGGTCATTCGAACACTTGTTATATTCTATCTTCTCGGAAACATATCTGGTTCTGAAGTTTTGCATGAAACAATCCAACCGAAAGGCTTGCGGTTTGTTACCAGCTGTCTTCTTTTATTATGGCATCCTTGCGCAGGGTAAGTTGAGCATACATTAAAAATGGTCCTCCCATTTCATCTCATGAGCGTTGTATTACTTATTAGCGGAAAGGGTAAGCACTCATTTGAGATGACCATCGATTACAACCAAACAGCGATATTAAAAATTATAGAACAGGTGACAACTGTGACTCCACCATTAATACGTACACTCCACAGTAAGTAATGGTTGGGCTTCCAATCGATCAAGTAGAGAAAAAAGAACGCTGATGCTTAGTCGTATTCACTAGACAGAAGTTCTCAAAGTCAGCCGCGTAGAAGATTGCGTAAGCGAAGGACGGAAGCAAGGCATGTCGCTGTGAGTGGTTCATCGTCTGTGGTTGATCCCAAAGATGTTACAGTAGCTTTTCCTGATAAAAATATCAATGCATCATTGCCGCGCAGTGAGGCGCTGCACAACGCTGCGATATCACCTTGTACCAGTAAGTCGCCAATTTACTAGTCAACTTTGACGGAGGATCGGAACGCGTCGTATGTAACATGACGTTGTCTTGCAGCATGTACAGTTGACAAAGTGAGAGCGGAAGCTTACATTGTCAATGCAGATGCAAGTTTAACGCCTACACTGAACGAGGGTCAGATCGCCAGCATCGTCGTGGGATTATGTTGTTTCGTCTTTTTTGCGACCATGAGTTGCATTTATCTGTTGAAACGCAGCCAAAAGGTTCGAACATGGAGGGGACGAAGCAGTATTACGCCGTCCGTCATTGCAGGCGAAACCGCCGCCACGTCTTCTAAACTGGACCATCCATGTCCAAAATCGGTCAGTTCTTTACAAAACAATGACAGCCATATTTTGAATATCATCAAATCATACAATCGGATGCCGGGAAGTCAGAATACGCTGGAAGCGATTGCCGATGTGGCCGCGGCGTCTTATTGGCCTTTACCGCCATCACCGACCTTTGACGGCCAGTCTCCCTCTCGTCATTATTCCTGCGATTCCATTCATTCGGACTTGTCGTTTCTGAAAGCTTCGCAAGCGTTCCTGTCCATGTACGGTCAACCACTGTCGATGCTGGATACATCGTCGCTTGTAAATACCCGATTTTCTGATCTCGCCCAGCGTCTCAGCAAGATGTCCACAAAATCACCACCCGTTAAATCGGGTAAATATCAAGGAGCTGACAATCCGTTGGCGCCTCTTCCATTTTCCGTACTTGGTGAAGGCACACAAGAGACACAGATAAACTCCCATCGTACCTTGTACCACGATTGGCAAGATAAAACGGCTTTGCCCAGTTACGATCATGCCGAGGATTCCCCACTCTCTATTAACAAGAACACTGGTCGGCTTCATCGATGGCCCAGTCAAAGGGGATCATCGTCGCCTATTGGTTTACCACCTTCGACTCCACCACCAGCTCCGCCGTTCTTGCTCTAAATCCCTAGAACGCGCTTTATGAATGGCTCATGCTTTTTCTTTCTCAACTCACTAAAAATGAACCGTGGCACCAATGTTAGTTCATGACTGGTGTAACTTCCCCACGCACAAACGAAAAAAAAAAAAATAAGCGCTTGTATCACGTCCTTTTTTATTATTGACTTGGAATGGATGGCAAGATCAACACAATTCTGTAAATCGGTTTACAAAGCGGACATTGTACGTCATGGAGAACCTTTTTTTTTCTTTCTCGTTGCCGGGTTCTAGATGGTGGTTTGTGTGAAGGGGAGCTCCCCCTCGGATAAAAGTTACGCTCTGGACATTGACGTTTTTGGAAACTCATGGTTGCACGCACTAAGTTGGAATGGCCCTTTTCCATGAATTGCTAATAATGACACGAAGGCCATGCATTTTTTATATAGTACACTTTGAACGGTAGAAATGCAATAATGAGAAATAAAAAAAAAGAAATCAAAAGCTAAGGGGAAAGAAAAAAGAATAACAAACGGCAGCAATGTCAACTGACTGACGCCCGAAAGAAATAAAAACAATAACTGAAAACAGGTGCTAAAAAGGATAAAAGAACAAATGTGAATGAAAAAAAAAGCGTCGAATATAGAGGTTGGTACGAAGAAACAACATAGAAATGGAGTCATAAAATACACATAGGGATTGAAGGAGAAATAAAGAGGGGGACAATCAACGTAAAAAACGAAGCTTAGAATGAGTAGAACTTGTATGTTCGGTAAACGACGCCATCACTTCGAACCAGCAGGATTGGCAATTTTCTTTCCATGCCTTCCTGAACCGTGATGGGGCTGTTGATTAATTCTTGCAAGCTTGGGAGAGTGCAAATGAGGGATTCGCGGCATTTATAATCGGTACGAGGGGCACGAACGTCACCAAACCAAACGGAAAGGTCGCGGGTCATATTTTCGCCTGAAACGCATAAAGTAGCTCCGATCGATAAACTGGCGTCTCCCACCGCCGGGGTGACATTGGAGACAACAGGGAAAGGAGAAATAGGCGAGGACACCTCGGGAGAAGCAGCAAAAGGTGCATTAAAAGCACCCGCCCCACTGGGAGGCGTCCAGAACGAATACACTGCACAATCCGTACCAACAATGGTCCACACCGCGGCATCCGATACATCTTCGGTCCAGCAAGCGCCATCGTTTTGTTGACCGGTTTCGGAATTCATGCTACCGCGACGATCCAAACTCGCGGTACTGCCTCGACGGGCTTCGGATTTCGTAGGGAGTACATCGTTGAGCGAGTTCACGCGACGACGATTGTTCTTTGACTGAGACTGTAATTTAGCCGGAAGCGACATGGGTTTGGCAATATCGCACGACACACGACGTTTGCGAACAACTTTGCCGTTGCCTTCTTGCGACACCACGGAGCACATCAGTTCATTGGCCATGAATTCCGACGATAACAAGCAGTCGTTGTCGGGCCAGGAGGAAGCCAGAGTGGGCGTTGTCATGTGATCGAGTGGAGTCGAAGACGACGAAGGAGGGGCAGGAGAAGGAGGCACAGGACGCGAGGTCAAAAAGGTGCGTGGCGCGGTAGTCTTGTGCATACCGACGACATCGTTCAAACAAGCGAGATAAGTGGCCGGTTGCGATGACTGAGGCAAGGTCCATTCACCAAGTGGAAGCCCTGATGCGGCGGCAGTTAAGGGGTTATAGTTGGCTTTGTTGTTATGGGCAATGGATGGATCTTGGACAATCTGAAACGCGACCTTGTGCAGTTGAGACACGGGATCGCCCAGCGCTTCATCTCCGCATTCGCCTCCGGTTGAACCTGATAAATTGTCCATGTGGTTACCGCCGAGCACCATACTGCCCTTGTTCACTTTACGGATGACCATGACGGGGCTGACCAGACCGGTGGTCACACACTGAAGTACGACCGATTGGTTATAATGAATGGCCAACGGTTGTTGTCCGTTGGTCTGAAGCGCAATGGCGGGAGGCGGAGGATAGTGGGGATTCGTAGAAGCATGGGTTCGTGGAGTCATATTGGCCGCATCAGGAGAACGTGATGTATCGACAATCCAAATCACAAATGGATCCCAGCAGCCCGTTCGAGCCACAAAGCAAGTACCACCACCAGCGCCGGTACTTTTCGCATTGGAGCCACCTTGGCTGTTCGATACACCGAGATATTTCGTAGAAACTGTTTGCGAACGAATTCGGTTGAAAAGAGAAATGGTCGTACCATGATGAATGCACACTGGTAAGAATAAAAAAAAAGCAAGATTAAAAAATTAAAACATGAAAGTTAAAAAAACGATCATTGCATTCATTACAAGTTGGACCATTCTCTAGACAGTGAGCCTTTTTTGTTATATACTTACGTTCCATGTTTTTTAGACTTTGACGTTTTTTACTTGGTTTGCTGATAACTTTAATGCCTTTGCTTGGTAGTGTGCCCAAGAGAACGTCGTTACCGAGTTGGATTTTGACCAGCACTTCAACTCGTTTGCGCTTTTCATCGGCATCATTGATATGCAAGTGCTTCGAAACGCATTTGCCCGACATTGTCGTGTCACCTGACGCGGTTGTGTTACTTGCTGCAATGATGGAAGAGGAGTTATCAAGGATGGAACCTGAGGACGTGTACCACTCCAACACGCCCGCCTGACTCGTCGATTCGCCAGAGATGTGAATCGTCAATTTAGGAGGACTCAACGAAGTTGGGAAAAACGCCTTGGAAAGATCATCATGGCCGCCACCGGCCTCATTCATACGAGTCCACCAATTCGCACCTTTCAAGATAGTTGTAGGAGGTGGACACAAAAATCTAAGTTGGCAATTTTTTTTTTTTTTAGTTCATCCTCCTTTTTCGTTTTTGATAAAAAAAAAAAACGCTTTAAGCGGCGTTTTGTTTTTCTTGTGAACCTCATCGTTTTTTTTTTAATTACCTTTTCTCGGTACCATAGCTCTTTTGTGCCACTTTACTAGTTAAGATCATGACTGTTCGCTGCCCCGAGCCTGCCGGATCGCTGCTTAGAAGATATTGCTGCACTATTGGTTTCAGAGCGGATGTTGAATTTGCGCCTTGCGCCATGCGGGCTGTGACCAAGCTGGCTTTAGAATATTTATCCGATGCATGGTTATCCATATCTTCATCTTCTTCAGGGATCGAGGGATGGTGTTGATGTTGGTGAAACGATAAAGCGTCTAGATTTTGCATGGAAGATTGCATGGGCGTAATGGGTGGTGAAGGAGAAGACGAGGAAGATATCGTCGTACTGGAAGGCGAAGTAGGAGGTGACGTGTGATGTTTGGTTTTGCCTGTACGTCGTTGTTTGCTCTTGACAGATGGATGAGACGATGAAGGAGGTAATGATTGTTGTTGTTGTTGTTGCGGAGATGAATGATGGTGTTCATCAAGAAACCAATTGGAGAGGGAGTGGGGGTTGGAAATGACGGAAGGAGTGATGGTGGTTCCGACGGCCGGGTGACATAGATTGGTGGATTGCTGTGTTGGATGATGTTGATGATGCAGGAAATCATTTGATGGATCCATGATATCAGGTTGCGGAAAGTGATTGCCATCCAAAAAGGACATATTACCGGAAGGGTCTGTGGACATGGCAAAGCTGTTCTTGTCATCGTCTTCATTCAATGCTTCTAAAAAGCTGGGCGTGAAGAAGGCAGGAGTGGTTGGGGATGCCATGGACGACATGGTGATATCATGGGGCTGTGTTTCAAGCCGCAGTGACATGGCGCGTCGGTGCACGGGAGGTCGTTCAAGCGAAACACTATCCAAGGTACTTCCACTGGAACTCGAAGACCACGACGACGGCATAGAGGTACCCAATAATTGTTGAATATCGGCATCCCATGAAGCAAAATTGAACTCTTGTTTGACAACATCCAATGAATGGTAGTCCAATTCACCTACAGCCACGGAGTGACGCCGTGAACCGGTGCCCTGGGAGGGAGGATGATGAAAATCCGTCACGGAATGATACAGAGAGTGTTGCAAATGTCCTGGAAGCGAAACCGACAAATCGTGAGGAGGCACGGCGTGGTCGAAGGAAGGGAAGATCGAATCGAAATTGAAAAGATGGCCGTGATGGTCTGCTTCTGTCAAGCCGGCGGCTGTAGAGCAAGGGATGGCAGCAGAAGGTGAATTGGGGGATGAATACACAAATTCTGACCATTTATTACATTCAAATTCTTGTTTCCGCTTGCGTGACAGATTCTCAGGCAACACCGTACTGTTCGTATCGAATGTATTCGTAGAAGAGGAAGAAGTCATTGGCAAGTGAAGCACTTATTTTTTAAGGGGGGAGAGGGGAGTTTGTTAGATCGTTAAAAAGGATAAAAATATTAAAGAGACACGAAAAAAAAAGGTTGCAGAAGTTAATAAGAATTTGTAGAATAAAAGAAGATAAGCAAAAGAAACAAAAAAAAAGGCGGAAAATGAAGAGATGGATTTTAACAGGGAATAGTGTTTGGTGTAACGTTCTTATCATTTGGACAATTGGCTCTGTCTTGATTTGAAGACCCGAATTTCTCCAGGTGTTGCCTTGAAAAAGTAGTCCAACCATCCCCACATTTTTTTTCTTATTGGCAACCAATCATGCCGCCCCAATTAGGTTTCCCTTTTGAGACGGCGAAACACCGCGGAGAAAGAACGACGTTCGCCCCAAATAAGGATGTGCGATGCGGGGCGCTTCCATTTTTTTCCCTGTACAACCGCTATCGCCACATGATCCATTCAGTGCTTATCATCTCGTGACCTGCCCCGCCTTGACCCGAATGCCATGGCAAAATGAGGGAAACACATTGTGTACCGTTTCATTCCATCTCAGAAAAAAAATGGCACAGAAAAAAGGAGACCACAGGAGAGGTGCAAGATCCAATGTCCACTGTATCATTCATGTCGTCAAATAAAAAAAGGACTTTGCTTTCCCTTCTCAACGAAAATCTTCTGTTTATTTTTGGCAGATTTTGTCTCAGGTTTTGGTTCAATATGTGTTCCATTCCTCGGACAGAAAACTCTTCAGAGAGTGTCACAACCCAACATGATAGACACACTAAAATCTCATCTTTCACTTCACCTTTTTTTTTTTTTGGAAACGATGCGATCAAAGATGGAATGTCGTCATATACAATTAACTTTAGCATGGCTTTTTCTGGCGATCGCACACATCAAAAAGAACAACTCAAAGACAGCGGAAAGATGCTAACCTTATAAAGTGCTTCCAGCAACACTGTTACAGCCAATTAAAAGTTGACGTCAATGACCACTTGAACAAATCAAATTTGGGACCTTTTGCATATTTGGAAATTATTTTGTCTGCTTAACCTGGCAACCTGGCACACAAAGTAACTTATAAATCAACAGATCCTGTGCTTCTTCAGTTATTTTTTTTTTTTTCAAGTCTTTTCAATTCAACTAAGCTGTAAACAATTTTGTATAGTTTTTAGTTAGAAAGGAACATGAGGTACAAGCGCAAAAAAATCAAAGAATAAATCCGGCCCGTTTCTTGGAGATTAATCAGGTTTTTGTAATCCGGTGAAGAAAGGAGAATCAATTGCGCCGAAATTTGATATGACAGGGTTTCTTTGATTTTTGGATACCGTATTATTGACAATGAATGTTTGTGCAGGCGTATCTCTGTTTTCTTTTGACGTATGCACGACACACTTCGAATGTTCGAAAGACACTTTCCTCTGCCTCGAGCTAATTTTATTTCTATTTTTTAATTTTAATTTTAATTTTTATTTTGACAGCTTATTCTTGCTCTCGTGGCGAATTCTCCGGAGGAAAATCGAAGATCACAAAGTGGACAATCGTCATCGATCTTGAACCATTGCTGAAGGGGTTGAAGCCGTCAGTGTACATTCTCAGATGGATTGTACTGTCGTCCTTACGTCCATGCTGCTTCCGATATGTTGTAAGTTTCCCCGTCAAACACGTCGGTTTTCTTTTCGAGATTGCTCGGATGGCGCTGCTGTATATATTGTCAGGTTTTAGGATCATTTAAGATCAGTGCAAGCTGTTTACCCAACGACAGATGCTTCATTTGCTGAGCTGGTTTCAGCGGACTTTTGCTCTTGAAGCGTGGTGTTCCGAGATGCAGGCTTCGTCCACATCGTTCCGTGCGTTCGTAAATATCATGCACCCATTCGGGCATATGTCGTACTCAGCAGATTTGACGGGATATCGCTCGAGCATGGCAGCTTTCGCTTTGTAGTTGCTCGGCAACGGCGGAAGGACTCCGTAAACATACGCGTTGATGTCTTCAATCAGCTCCTTCAAAAAGCGACGGCGGATCTTTCTTCGGAGAGCACGCTGATGAAGCTTGATGCACAGTCGTACAGCTTTTCCAACAGGTGCCGTGTTATGGAGGCTGAAGTCAAATGTAGTCGTGCGGTTGCTGCTGGACCAAGATGACTCCTCGTTGACAGCTTGCACATTTGAAATGTCATCGTCCTCTCTGGGGCGTCACTCTCGAGAGCGTCCCCGTCGCATTCGTAATCGTTGGCTGCATTCTCATCGGTGTTGCCAGCTTCATCAACCAAAGTATGTAACACTGCTTGATCAAGCAGCTCATCGTTCGTATTCCACTCCATGCCATCCAACGAATCGTTCTTACTTTTCACCAGATAAATTCGCTGCCAACAGATAATTCGCTGCCAGATCGAGAGAGCGCATAGTCTTTCATGCATTCCATTTCATCAACACTAGACGCGTATGACGACAGTCATATTCTTTAGTATCTAAATGAATATTGAATGTAATGCCATAAACTTACAGCGGGATGATTGACGCTGTACAGCGTTGGTTCAATGTGTCTATGAGTACACTTGGCTATTTCCGTTCCACATTTCTTTTCATGTATGGACTGCGATCTTCGTTAAATCAGACGCGCAAAATGAGCATTGATTATTGAAGCTTTTTAGATGATGTTTTTTTTTTTTAGAAGAAAGAAGTCGACAGTTGAGGCTGAGCTGAGTTTATGCAGGGCTGTTCTTGGAGGTTTTCGCATTCTCAAAAAATAGTTTTTTGCTTTGCACATTTTGGCACGTATTTTCCCATGCTGTTGGGGTAAAGAAAGTCATCGTGCGCATCCAGAAAGTCGTTTACAAGGTCATTTAGACCATCAAAATGGCTAGAACGCAATTCTGCTCCACAAATTCACTATCGACACGTATCCTCGAATGTTCATGTCGGTTTTGTGGCGCGCTAAACGTTTTGTGCATGCATCGTTATGAAATAACGATTCAGCGAATACAACGACTTGTCGATCTTCAAAAGTTCCCGGTATTGCAAGCAAGACGTGCGAAAACGAATGTCCTGAGTGCCTCAAAAATGACACTAACAAGGCCCGCCCCTTTCCTTTCAGTATGTCTCTAAATCGCGCAGCAATCGCTAAACCCTGCAAAAAAAAAAAAAAAAAAAAAAAAAAAAAAAAAAAAAAAAAAAACGTGTGGGATTTCTTTGGGGAAAGCGGTAACCAATGACTACGCCTAGTATGACTCTGGCTATACCAATGCCTATGCTAATTTCTTTTGATATGCAGTATATTATGGTTCATGCCAATGACTTCGACTCTCATAATGCAACTGACGAAAATGGCAACGAAACCAGGTTCACGCAAGACCTGGGCGTATCAAGTCAGCACAGTAAAATTACGCAAATCCAAAATAAGATGACCGCAATCTCAACTTTATCAATGACCGCCATCCTGCAGTAATTCCATTAATGGAACTTAGTGGGAATCCTGTGTCACTCATGAGAAGTTCTAACCATCCCAGGGACCAGATTTTTTTCCGCTCAAATAAAACTTGCACCGCTGGTCCTTCACAAAAAAAAAGGAGAAATAGCCGGTTTTGGAAAGCATCGCACTGTTCGCACAGCGATCAACCATTGAGATGCCGTGGCGTTCGACCACTTGAATCCCAGCTGCCAATAGAGTCATCGTTTCATGTCACAGCGTTTCCCGCGGTGGGGAGCGGTTCGGGGGAGGGATTTTCCTCACACACCGAAGTTACGGCCAAATATATTCCGCAACATTAAAAAAAAGCTTAGCCTCTGAAACGATTCAGGATACACAGTGCGACTCTGAAAACCGGTAGACCTTACCAACCCCCAGAAACCCTCCCGGTGTTCATGGTTTAACACCATGTGTCACCGGTTAGCCCCGTCGTCGTCATTGAATTGGGATGAACAAGCGCGAAATGGCATTATTTTCTACTTGTTGGTTCCGGTTGCTAGGCTCACGCTAGAATCATGTTGGACATCGAATAGTTTACAACTGCTGCCTCGCAAAAATTAGCTTTCTATTAATTCAATCCATCGACTTGTCATCCCGCATAAGGCTTTTTCTGTTGTAAATGAAGCAATGACTAATTTCTAAGTGGGAGAGTGGCAGCTATTGATGGTTTTTCAAATTCGGGATAATGAAGGTCCTTTGACTGCTTCTCTAGTAGAATCAACCCGAATGGCACCTGGAGGCGTTACTAAAATTTTCCCGATTTTTTTTTTTTTTTTTTTTTTTTTTTGGGAGGCTTCCGTCCAACCGCCAGCCATACCATGAGCGACGGAACTTATCGACATGTGCTTGCCGCCTTGGGCGCATTCGATTACACGGCGGCCAATAAACTTTCCGCCAAACTCCTAAAAGTAAACGTCTTTCTCACAGTAACGACAGCTCGAAAACCACACGTTAATGCTGTGCTTTTCTGTAGACTTACTCACCTTTCAGTAATGTGTTTCTAAAGCTCAGCAACTGTGAGAATTTATATACCCAACTTTCCTTTATGAAATCAAAATGGTTCGTGAGAAAGGATGCCGTGAGTATTGCACTGTCGTGTCAAATGAAGAAAAATGACAAGCACTAAGCGTTCATTGAATCAGTTTTTGAGTTCACTGTACACTTACTTGATCGAGGATATTACAAAAGAAATCACCTTATTGGAAGCCTCACCTGCAGCGCATCCAACCGAACACAAAGCTACAAATATCCGTCTATTGAATGCTCTCGTGGCTCTGTGCAAAGCGCGTCTCGCCTTGATTGGCTTGTAAGTGAACCAGTGACGCGTGGCAGTCGTGTTCGGATGCTAGTTTCTGACGCTTTTATTTGTTTTTCTTCCGCAAGCTATCAAACGTTTGCAGCCCACGGTTGCCACACTTCTTCGGAAACCTTGCTTACGGAATTTGACGACCTTCGATCGAGTTTTCGGCAAGTGGAGTTGAAGGAGAATCTACTTCTTCTGGGCACCGCCGTGGAACGCGAAATGAATATTCTACAATCGCTACTCAAAGCCAGAGACGCGATTATTTCGTACGCCTTTCAAGACACATGCATCGCCTTGTTTCTCTGTAAACAGGAACTCAATGATTGGAAACGCGAATGCCAGGCCCAGGATTATCCCGAGGTAAAAAGCAATCGATAACGCTTCGTTGTCAATGGCGGCCCATTATCCGTTTTCTTATTCTTTGGAGCATCGACAGAAAACTGCGGTACATACGGGTGAGGTCAAAGAAGCGACCTGGCGATTTCCCTTTTTCACCGCCGAGGCAAGTGGAACAGGCAATTGCATGCAAGCCTGAATTTTCACGCTCACTACCTTATTAGGCCAAAGGGCAAAAACAATACGATGCATGGCCGCCGACGCTACGCTGGCACACGAAATACCTCGAAAACCTGACGGCGAAAATGACGTTGTACTTTAATAGCATCCTTTTGTCCAAAGAAAGCATGCTAAGCGAGGATGAACCTGAAAAAAACCTCTGGAAAGCGTTGAAAATTGATTACTACGACCAGTATGTAGTATATACACGCTGGAATAACCAAACTCGAGTCTCATTTGGGTCGCCATAGGATATCAACTTTCCGCAGACGGTTTGGTGCATACAGCATCGGTCTCGTCTATGAGGTCACTTCAGCCGCGCCGTTTTATCCGCAAGGGTATGTCTGTTCAGGCACGCCATACGAGCCGCCCCAGGGTATCCATTCATTTCCATTCATCTTTTGCCATCCCAATGTAAGATTTGCACAACATCTGTTTCATTATTGCTTGTATTTATCTTCTTATCATTTCTTGACACCAGCAAGCGCCAAAAGACCATTTACCCAACATTATTTCCATTGTTCAAGTTTCCCGAACTCGACTCAACGATCCGAAATCAGGACCTATCTACTTTTTCGACAACAAAATTGGCAGCGCGTATTACTTGATGCGAGTGGATGAACATGCCGTGCTGGTTATAATTTACCTGGACCGTCACGCCCATCGCGAACCTACCACGGCCGAGTTCATGACGAATATCGTCACATCCTTACGCGGCGCTTCGGTGATTGCCGATTTGGTCAAAAGAGAGTAGCCATGCGGGACGGTGTGCGCCATGACAGTTTCTCTTCTGATGATCATTTGTCGTGCCTTTTCTCACAAGTCACCGCCAGGGAACTATTGGGTATGCAATATCATGCACTCGGATGTACCATTGCCCGGAATCCCACCACGCGACATACTATACGTCTCTCTCTAGAACTTCGATCGATGCTTGGTTGACGGTATTTTCTGTGATAATTCCAGAGAGAATCTGATGATTTTTTTTTCTGGTTGCAAATGAAAGCAGCTCTCGAGTTGGAATGTCGATGGGGTTCCTGAAATAAATTTTGCAAAGCGCCAATGAATTTGCGTTCTTTCTCCCTTGTTTTAATCCCTTGATGCGTATCATTCTCATTACTGTCGCTGTGCTTGGACTCATTCAAAGTGTGGTAGGACTTCCTGCGGCGCCGCAAGCGCCACGGTTGGCTTCTGCGTTGCAAAGCATTGCCGATATAAGGAATCGAATCCTTTCCAGCTATTCCCTGAAATCTCTCGGTATCAGTTATACTCCACTGATTAGCTACCCTCCCTCTTCGTTTTCATCCGTTGTTGAGGTGAAAACAATGTCGCCCGACGATAAATATCGCATTCTGCAAAATCAATTCGGTGTCGGCCATCGTCATCTACAGAAAGTAGCAGATCATGAATTCCCCGCCTTATCGCAACCGCCAAGCCCGTCCATCGCCGCTTCATCGCACGCTCCAGCCGTAACAAACACCGCCAAACCGTTCCAAGTGGAGGCAGATAACTATTGGATCGACGATGAAATTGCCGAAGACGAATGGAAGGGCTATGCTTGGGAACCATAGAACGTTGATTTATCTACCAGACCAATGGCACTATCTCCATGCGTCATTACAATATCACAAATACGACTGAAAATGCAGCACAGCAGAACCTACACACAGACAAAAAACAAAGACCTTGAGTAATTTTGTATCAACACCGCTTAAATAAATAAAAAGGCTTGGACAGGTCATCACCCGCCAAAAATATAGCTCATTAAGTTAAGCGTCATCAGCTGATACACTGGCAACTCACAGCTAGGGCATCCACTGACTAACCTTATTCTGTTGCTAAGAGGTTTGCATCATCTAGTGACGCATGAAACATGCGTTGCAGATCATCCACACAGCAACCATAACTTAGTTATCCTTGCGCTATTGCGGCATTTAATCGTCCTTTGACCTTTGATTTGAGCATGCTGTGACGGGAATGATGCTGTCATAAATATTAGATGAATTGCACTTGCCAAAATATGCAGGAACCATGGCTGAGCTATAAAATCAAGATCACGGTGGGGTCTGGCGTTCCCGGCATCCAGAAAGGGTGAATGTCGAACGCGCCAGACCGTGAGAAAACCTTGGCGATCCTCATTCTGAAAATCAACATGACCATTTGTCTCACATAATGGTTGAGAATTATGTGTGACGATAAATGTCTTCATTTTGGAAAAATTTCAGCCTCGGCACCAATTTCTGGCATTCTTCCCATATTTTTTTTCCCAAAAATTCAAGACCAACCAGAAATTTCCTTAATGTAACTGTGACTGCTTCTCCTCATTCAACCAATGGGTGGCGTCTGCCCAACTTTTTTTTCCAATCCCAACCTTAAGCGTCTCAAGAGACCCATTCAAGAACATTACCCTTTTTTTTTTTTCTTGATCAGCGGCAAATAAATCATGGTTTTGCCAGTAACCACCGCTAATAATGTCAAGGTATATACCATTTCAGGTGGCCTTGGTTCGAGATCGATTCCCGACTGGCTTGTCCGAAAGAAGAAGAAAGCCTTGAAGAAAGATTTCGGTAAGCAGCGAGTGATCCGTATTGGGTGATCCGTGAGAGGTTGTACTCAGTAATTCTGTCTATAGAATATCGTACACGGGTGGAACTCATTCAGGAATTTGAGTTTCCCGAGGCTTCCAATCGTATCAAGACCACTCGGGACGGCAAATTCGTCATGGCCACCGGTACATATAAACCGCAAATGCGAGTGTTTGAGTATGCGGAAATGTCCATCAAGTTTGAACGTCATACCGATGCAGAAACGGTCAATTTTGAGGTAAGGGTGATTTGCTGATGGGAAACTGCAAGGGAAAAAATCGAATGACTTTTGCTCACCGGCCACTTCATTAGATCCTTTCGGACGATTGGACAAAATCCGCATTACTACAAAACGATCGATCGATCGAACTTCACGCTCAAGGCGGCATTCATTACCGTACACGTATTCCCAAGTTTGGTCGAGATTTAGCCTACCACTTCCCTTCGTGCGATTTACTTGTCACTGCCTCATCACAAGAAGTGTATCGATTGAATTTGGATCAAGGTCGATTCTTGAATTCCATCCAAACCGACGCCACGGAAGGTATTAATTGTGTCGAAATCAATCCCGCCCATCAGTTGTTCGGTTTCGGTACATGCAATGGCACTGTGGAATTGTGGGATCCACGCTCCCGTTCCCGCGTAGGACTGTTATCCAATATCCAAGTCCCTGCCAGTTTCGGTGACCTCGATGCCGGTCCTTTGGAGATCACCGCCCTCAAATTCCGTCAGGACGGTTTAACCATGGGTGTCGGTACCAACACCGGTCACACATTACTGTACGATTTGCGTTCCAGTGTACCGTACATTGTGAAGGATCATCAGTACGGCTTCCCTATCAATTCCATTCATTTCCATACCGGCGCAGCAGGTACAGGAGAGGACGGTTCAGGCGATAAAGTCATTGTGGCCGATCGCAAAATTGTCAAGATCTGGGATCGAGCCAACGGCAAACACTTTACTTCCATCGAACCCGAGACCGATATCAACGATGTGTGTGTGGTGGAGAACAGTGGTTTGCTGTTCACGGCCCAAGAAGGCATTCAAATGGGATCTTACTACATTCCTCAACTGGGACCCGCACCACGATGGGCCTCCTTCTTGGACAACCTTACGGAAGAAATGGAAGAAAACCCGAACCGCGATGTCTACGACGAATACAAGTTTATTACACGCAAAGAACTCAGTGCGCTTGGTTTGGAGCATCTCATGGGCACCAACGTCCTCAAGGCTTATATGCACGGTTTCTTTGTCGATTTGCGACTGTACGAGAAGGCCAAATTGATTGCCAATCCGTTTGCGTATGATGATTACAAGGAACGGGCGGTGCGTGAAAAGATTGAAAAGGAGCGTGCTTCCCGTATTCGTGCCGTTCACAAGCTGCCGAGCGTGAATAAACAGCTGGCCAAGAAATTACTGGAAGAAAAGGACAAGAAAGATAAGAAGAAGAAGAAGAAGGAGGAAGTCAATGTCATGGAAGATGATCGTTTCAAGGATCTGTTTATGGATCCCGACTTTGAAGTGGAAGAAAGCTCCAGAGAATATCAACTATTGCATCCCACCAAAGCAGCAAGACGAATGCAAGATTCGTCCGATGAAGAAGAAGAAGAAGAGCAAGTGGAAACTGTGGCGGAGCCGATGGAGGAAGATGGATCAATGGATTCCGATGACAGTGATCGTGGTGGTGACTCTGATGACGATATTATCTCCCAGATTCGCAAAGAACGTGGGCTGGAAGTGCGCGATAGAAAGATCTCGCAAAAGACGATCCGTACAGCATCGAATAACAAGAAACCCAACAAGCGGAAACCTGAGATGCGGATGGGTTCAGGCAATGGACGCATGGTCAGCAAGAACGACAGTCGCAAATCGTTTGCTGCACGGGTTCAGTCGGCTGACAAGCATCACAAGAATACTGGCCACCGAGTATCACGTACCGCAATGGGCGGTATGGAAATGACCTTTACACCGACAAGAAAGAGCCGACGAGGAGGACGACCCTAGAATGACCCACTTATTCATACTACATTATGCATTTCACACATCAATCAATAGTAAACCCTTTTTTTGATTTCATTTGTCCAGAATCTCTCAATTGGCATGAAAGCGGTTCCTGAATTTGTGGTGCTTGTGACTACAGTTTTTGAGAGAACAATTTTTTTTTTGAAACACCACCGGCTGCATGGTGAAAGAAAATCATCCGCGCATCTTTTTCTTTTTACTTCATAATGTCTTCTCCTGTGAGTGTATACATCAAAAAGTCGTAAATGATGGGTAAATTTAGATAGCAATTTCTAATCAAATGATAGTTGGAGTATCTCGATCGTCACATTCATCAACATCACTATCCTACGTCCCTGCTACGACTCGTTTTCCTCGATCTTGTTCTCTGTAAGTTTATAGGACAGAGAAATTGTGCCCATCGACCGTGTGATATTCAATAATGCAATCTTCAAGCTAAATTATGGAAAAATGTGCAACTGTTTCCGGTGGAGAATCTAAATACGAGCATCATTCTTGCCCATGAGCCAGACACACCTGTAAGCTGTCATTGAGTCGCGGCAAGTGCTTTCTTGACGTGTTAGTGACACATGATCCTATGTAGCCCGACCAATACTTGGTTATTTTACCTATTTCTCAAGAAGATACCCTATCTATGAAAAGGTACGGCCGATATTGCCTGCTATGATGGAAGCGATGACTGCGATGCAATTGGCTGATAATGTGCGACAGGATTTCAGACATGTTTAAGGCCTTAGACGGAGCGAACATTCGTCAAATACAAGGCGACGGTTTAAAGTAAGCAATACAGTTGGTTTTATTTACATTAGGTTTTCTCACATTGATTTCGTTTCTCAAGGAAAATTACTTTGGCAATCGTCTCGCCGGATTCCACCATTGTATATTACCATATCAGCCGTGGTCTTGTGCCTCCCAAATCTTAAAGCAACCGTGGACAGGCGGATCCATTTCTCGATTAAAGCAGTTTACCTGTTCGCGAGACAGTATTGCTGAGAGCAATAGCGGTGATGACGGTGATACATGCGTCTAATCCGCCTATTTCCTGCAAAGCTTTCAGTGTGTATTGTTGCTGTGATCGCCAGTAAGCGTAAGCATGGGACGCAGTTTGACCCATGGATGTAACGGATAAAACGACGAGCGCCAGACGTTCAGAAGCTATCCGTCTTTCCTTCAATGCCAAGGCCGCTAATGTTGCAAATGCCAAGTGAGTAGCGCCAATGGCTCGATAAGCATCGATGGTCTGAATGGCGGACGATGTCTGTGGTAGAATGCGCCGACCATTGCTGGCAGCAATGGCAGGATTGATGTGAGGCTGTACGGTATATCTGACGACCGCACCTTGGGGTTTACTCAACAATGTGCGAGCTGCTACGAGATGGTATATGATATTCAATAAAAGTGGAAGATTGTTGTCCTTGAACACGTAGCGTGCCACTGTCACAAGAAACGAGCGTGCATAGCGATATACAGCTGAACGCAGTGAAATCTTTTCCAACGGTTGTTCGCGTGGAGGAGGAGAATAAGGCGCTGTCACCGTTGATGGGGACGGCAACAATGGGTCTGAACTGTTGGGCGACAGCGATGCTGAGTGTCCATTATCGACGGTTAATGCTGGTTGACTGATGTGGGAATCGTCTAATGACGAAGTGATGCTGGGGTGGAAGTCCGATAAACTCTGACTGGCTACATTAGAAGGGATATCGCTGGTTGAGCCTATGGATATCTCGGATTGGCCCAAACTGTAGGGAAGGACACTGTGAACACTCGATGCGGCCGTTTGCGTATCTTCGGTTGAGGAAGGTAGAATGGACGCAGTAGACATATCCAATGAATCCGACATCTTGCTTTAAAAATATGGTAGCCGTTGGAAATGGAAAAAACGAATAAACTGTAATAGCTGAAAAACGGCGAGGTGATAACGTAAGGGAAAAAAGGATCACATGCAAACGTCGACATGCTGCAAGATTTTTCTCAGCTCACGCCAACCGTCAGTCAGTGACACAAAAAAGTACTGAATGGCCGTGATTCGCGCCCGCCCCACAAAAAAATGACGTGCTACTGTATCGCACCGCATTCGAAAATAATAGCCTCAGCTTAATACACCATTTCTTTGTGAGGGATAGGATCCTTGTGTAGAGTATGCTCAGATGCACCGGGATATAATGAAAAAGTTTAATATGTCTACTGCAGTGGACATTGCATGCTCTGTATGGTAAAATCGAAAAGGAAATTAAGGGGTTTAGCAAAGCATGGTTTTTATAAAAGTCAAAATGTAGTCATTGTTAGCTAGACATAGTGAATTACAAATCATTAACTAGTGATGTATGGAGAACGGAATTAAGCGACGGCACGGAAAAAAAAAGGAAAAAAGAAACAAATGGGGCAAAAAAAAAAAAAAAACGTAGGAAAATGAAGAAGAATAAAAAGTAAAAGGAGAGCAAAGGGTAGATGTTGTACGGAATGGATGAGAAATTGAAGAAGGAGGTGAAAGGGTATTATCATTGGAAACAACACGCATTTCTACGACGCTGAATTTTCATGAAACGGCCTTTTTTTTTATGCGGCTGGCGCTGCGCATCCACTGATATAGCCCGCACAGATCAGGTCTTCTTCAGACGAGGACATGATAGGCATTGAACCAGACGATAATAAACAAACACGTACAAGCAATCGTCGTAATCGTTCATGGGAACTACGGCATCCAGCTATAAGGAAATAAGAGTAAAAAAAAAAGAAGAGGTAAGTCAACAGGAGTCAGTGGTAGATTGGCCAAGGAGATGACGACGGATGGTTGATAATCATGGGTAAGGAGGGGTTTTGGGTCGATCCAAGGGATCCCAAAAGCCCAAAAGGAAAAAAAAAATGATGACAAGGATAGAATTTTAATATGACTTACCAAGTGCAGCACGTTCAAACCAGGCCGTGGCTTGATGTAGATCCTCGGGGCATCCTAAACCTTTTTCATAACAGTTGGCCAAGTGGAACTGGGCTGCTACATGATTCTGTTCAGCGGCTTTCTTGAATAACTTGAAGGCACCTTCGACATCTCTTGCCACCCCCAAACCAAGCTGCAGATGAACACCGAGTTTATCCAAAGCACGAGCGTGATTCTGCAAGGCTGCTTGCCGGTACCAGTACACGGCCTTGGCATTGTCCTGTCGGACGCCAATCCCGTTAGCATAACAGAAACCAATATTGCATTGAGCCCAGGGGTTCTTCTGACGTGCCGATTTGTGATACCAGTAGACGGCTCGAGCGCAATCTTTCTTGACACCAATGCCTTCTTCAAAGCAAAAGCCGAGCGAATTCTGAGCCAATGCGTTTCCTGCCTCGGCCGAGCGTCGGAACCATTTGACCGCTTCACGCTCGTTTTTAGGCACCCCGATCCCGTTGCGATAGCAGTAACCAAGTGATAGTTGGGCAGGAGCATGATTTTCCTCGGCGCTTAAATAGTACCAGAAGACCGCCTCCTGTTCGTTCACCGCAACGCCGATGCCATTCTGATAACAGTAGCCAAGAGAGTGATACGCAAAGATATTGCCCCGTTCCGCCGACCGACGGTACCATTTCACGGCCTCTTTCTCGTTACGGTCGATGCCAATGCCATTCTGGTAACAAAATCCGAGATTGTGCTGTGCTCTCGCGTGACCTTGAAGTGCTGCTTTTCGATACCAATAAGCGCCCAGCGTGTTATCTTTAGCGAGGCCGATCCCGTTCTGAAAGCAATAACCAAGATTGCATTGGGCCCAGGGGTAACCTTGAACTGCAGACGCCTTGTACCACGTAGCCGCTTCCTCAAAGTTTTGCTCGACTCCTATCCCATCTTCGTAGCAGTAGCCCAATGAATTCTGGGCAAACGCATTACCCTGTTCGGCTGATATTCGGTACCACTTGATGGCTTCCTGGACATTTTTTTCAACTCCGATTCCGTCTTCGTAGCAATAGCCGACATTGTACATGGCGACCGTTTCGCCCTGTGCGGCAGCGAGGCGATACCACTTCATGGCTTCGACTTCGTCTTTGGCCACGCCGAATCCTTCGCCATAACAGTAACCAAGAATGCCTTGACCACGTGCATTGCCCTGATCAGCACTGGCTTTGTACCAACGAAAAGCAGCATGTTCGTCCTTGGGCATGCCCACTCCGTCATGATAACATACACCGAGAACATATTGAGCAGAGGCATCCCCATTGAGGGTGGCGGCTTCGATAATCCATTCGACGGCATTAGGTAATTGGCGTACTCGTTCGGTCCATTCTTCGGATTCCGCACGATCAATTTTAACATGAGGCCGACCGTATTTTCGCAGAAAAGCCAATCGTGCCATGGCTAGACCGTCGTAGGCTTTGGCGGCTTTCATGTAGTGTTTCTCAGCTTGAATGAAGCTGTTTTGTAATCCAAGGCCAAATTCATAACAGAATCCCAGTACACCGTCCGACGGTGCATGGCCTAGTAAAGATGCTTTGTAGTAGTAAGAAATGGCGAGTTTAGGATTTTGTTTGAATCCTTTTCGTCCGAATAAATAGTTGTTGCCCATTTTAAACAGGTGTGAGGGAGAGGAGGAGATGTCGACGTCGTCGAGGATGGAAGAGTCGGTTGTGGTGCTGGTTGCCATGGTGGTTGATGATGAAGTGTGAAGAGTGGAAGGTGGACTGGACTGTCGTTTATTTAATTTGGATAAGACAAGCCGTGAGCGTTGTATCAGATGTGAAAAAGGAAGGGGAGAAGGACTCATGTTATGCTTAAAAGGAGAGAAAGAGGAAGAAGTGGGTGTGAATAAGAAAAATAAAAACTTGCACGGGGTTTTTTGAGACCCCTTTATGTGTATATAAAAAAAAAAGAAAATCGTTAGAAGTTTAAGGTAAGATCGCACCCCTATACGCTGTGAAAAAAACACACACAAATCCGCAACCCAGTTCATCCTAGACGACAACATTTAAGAGGGCCGGTGCGACTGGGTGCCTCTTTGTTCTGTGCCGACTTATCTGTCTTTCGGATTCTCTGCTGGTTTGTGTTTTCAGGGCAACATTAGTCAAGTTACTCCTTGTAGCTGCCTTGTCAACGGCCTGCTTTCAGTCTGTTCGGGTCAGACGATGGATGATGATGTTCTATTATTAGCAATAACCATGGACGATCTTGCCTAGTTCTGTGTGTGTGTGTGTATGTCCCCCCCTTTTTTTTTCTTATCTAAACAAATAGCTCCCTTCTACAACAATCGAATCCCAGCAAATAATACAAATGTAAAAATTGTTATTTAGTCCTTATTGTATAAATATAGATTTTTCTTAACATGAACACGGATCGCTCCTTATTTGTAAACTCAGGCTCAATGATCCACTGGTCATTTCCCCGGAAAAAAGAATTAGACCAATGGACTGAGATCAAAAATTTCATACTTGTAATTCACAGGCACTGGCACAAAAGCTGGTAAAAAATCACGGAAAACAAAACTGTGTTCGATACAGCGATATAAGGAAAAGAAAAGACGAAATGGTTCCGAGTGAAGGTAGCAGAACGTCCGTCGCCGTACATGACGCTATAAGCGATGGTGTGGATGTTCTTTGCTGCGTTCAAGACTCTGTTCCACATCATTCCGCCATTTTGGCAAACGAGAATGCCATGGAGACCGAACCAATGTTGGGAGTTTGACAGGAGTGCCAGATCTGTGAGATCCGAAACCTGTTGAAATTCATGACCGTTCAACTGTTCGTGAAGGATTCTGGTTTTTGAACCTGATCATGTTCCCCAAGCATGCCATAGTCGAACCCACCGCTGGCAGTAACCTCTCATTGTGCGCAAAACTCCCTGGCTCGCACCGTTGGCCCTTCTTGGATTTCATGTCTGTTCGTCTTTTGCGTATATTATACCTATAGGCACCATTGCTAGCTTCGATTAATGCTTGTTAATCTACAAAGCTTGGTGGAACTGGCCACCTGCGCTGACAAGCAAGGAGATCAGCGAAATAAAGGAAATCTAGGTTTCTCAAGGCGCTCACAAACAGCCTCTCACAAGTAGACCTTGCGAGTACAGTACAAGCTGCATTATGTCTTTCTCAGAGAAAGGGACAATGCAAGACACAGGTACAGGCACACAGGTACAGCTACAGGTACAGGCACGGCCGCCAACGATGAAGCTACGATGACTGTGGCGCCAATGGCAGAGTCACTGCGGATCAACCATAAGTGTGATTGTTAAGGGAATAGCTATTGTAGCCGACGTCCTTATTAACATCCGTCAAAACGCTGTTATCGGACCAAATTGCAATAAGGAGCAAAAGGGGAAGGTTGGGGGAGTTTTATATTGTCGGATGATACCAACTGATGGTTATCAAGCAGCACAAATTACGGCGCTAAAAAGATCAAAAATAAATTAAAAAAATTACCAATTTGCTGTTAATGAGTATGACCGTTCCGTCGGTCTATCTTTATAATGAACCCCATTTTCCACGTATCTTTCTGATTCTTCAGGCAAAAACGATATCATAAAATCTGAAGCATGTTTTATGGCAAACTCTGCTCTAAGTCTAGCATTTGTCTTTGTCATTGTCACTGCTGTTACAGATACCTATTTGTAAAGGTAATGATATAAATCTTGACTTTGATTGGATCGCCATTCGTGAGAGAGTACTTGCGCTTTGTTTCCGCTGATTAGATACAGAAACTCTGCGGTGATTATGGTTTCTCGAACTGGAACACAATATATCAATGAGTTTAACCGAATGAAAAGCTGCGTTCAATACCTTATCGGGAGCCGGAACTGTTTGATGTGAAAAACGGGAGGCGTTGGATGATCGCTGAGATGTACGTTGTACTCTGTGGCGCATGGACAGCCACCTTTGGAGAATTACGGATTTCGCTGGCGGTGCTGAATGGCCAATTCGGTTCCCAAGCGATTAGCAATTAGCTAACCTGTATTCCCAGGAATCAAAAATGGGATTTTCCTGGATTGTGAACAGCTGATCTCAAACGCCGCCAGGATATTCATCAGTTACTAACCATATGCACCCATATTTCGCTCCAAAAAAGATCATTCCCATCTATTATCTCTTCGATATTTTCAGCTCATATCTGGAGTTGACGAATTGTTATCACGAGAAATGACACACGTGTGTCAACTGTCCAGTGTAGTATATAAAAATAGATGGCGATGCCTCTCCACGATTTGATTTCCGAAGGATGTTCCGGTAACTAAGGGCATCTTAGAGATGTCAAATATGTGTCGTCCCCTGAAGTTTATGACAAAAAGAGTGTGATGACAACGATCATGCGGACGGGATGAAACAGGTGTCGTCGGTATCCGTGTGTCACCGGAATTCCGACGACCCGAAGGCAATAAAATAGTGCTAAATAACACGGTTGTTTTTTCCTCTACTTTACTCTCGGGGCATATCATGAAGTGTGTTGGATCTTTCAGTACTGGCCTACTGCTGCTGGCAGCGTGCTATGTCGCAAATGGTGCTCAATACCACGAAGTGCAGCCATTAGCACGACGCGATGCCGAGTCCGGTCATGACACTCATGCTGTCGTTCACGATGCTTCTGGAGAATACGCCCTGCGGTTTAAGAAAACGCAATCTTGTGAAAACTCGCTACAGGTAGCGAAAAAAAAAATTCCATGCAAAAATGCGCAAGAATTGAGAATAACATGAAACGTATGACGAACTTAGTATTCTGGTTATCTCGATAACCTGAAAACGGACGATCACTTGTTTTTCTGGTTTGTGGAATCCCGTAGTTCTCCACAAACGGATCCTATGCTTCTATGGCTCAACGGTGGTCCCGGATGTTCCTCGGTCACTGGAGCATGGATGGAGATAGGGTAAATAGACCTGTTCGCTGGCATCGTCATATCCACTGACAATTTTGTTCCATAGTCCATGTCTTGTAACAGAAGCAGGAAATGATACAATGCTAAATCCTTACAGCTGGAACACCATGTCCAATGTCCTCTTTCTGGATCAAGTAAGTAAAACTAGAAAAAAAGTGAAAGGCCATTAGTAACTGACCAAGTTCATTATCGCTTTCATTTTGACCTTCTAATTTTCCGATATTATGATGCCTGTTGCATAGCCTGTCAACACTGGATACAGTTACGGATCTTCGAATGTGAGCAGTTCGGTGGACGCAGCACGTTACAGTTACGCGTTCCTGCAGCTTTTCTTCCAAACGTTCAAGAAATACGCTCATTCTGAACTTTATATTGCTGGTGAATCTTTTGGTAAATGATGAAATATCGATTCAGTATTGAAAAAGCGGCGCCAAGTACTTACATGTTATTTTCGTTCCGGTTCCGTAGGTGGCCATTTTGTTCCTCCGCTGACAATGAACATTTTGGAAGGAAATAAAGTCTTGCAGAAAGACCAGGTCCGTATCAATCTGGTGTCGATATTGATTGGCAACGGCTGGACCAATCCTCGCACCCAGTTCCAAGCCTATCACACATTTGCATGCACCAATGATGGCCCATGTGAGTACATCAAAACGTGTAAACGCCCAAGTATCTCGCTCACTTACGTAATGCATCCCTCTTTTTTTTTTGGCAGTAAAACCTTTATTTGATCAAAAGACGTGCGACAAAATGAAAAAGGAAGCCGATCGATGCAAAACGCTCATGGATGCTTGCTATCGAACGAATTCACTATTAGCGTGTTTGCCAGCTGGCTTGTACTGTCAGACTACGCAAACCAATATGATTGCGAAAGCCGGTGTGAATATGAATCCTTATGACATCCGTAAAAAATGTGAAGGAGACCCTTCTATGTGTTATCGCATTTATACCGCCATCGATTATTGGGCCAATCGTAAAGACGTGCGACAGGGTTTAGGCGTCGACACCCAGATCCAGAATTTCACCAGCTGCAACGCTAAAATGCCGGATGAATTCGCCATGCACGGTGACTCGTAAGTCATATTTTTTCCGGATCCAAAGAAACATCGACTCACTGCTCTAAACAAATGGGCTCTTTTCGGTTCTGCGAAAAGGACAAGGGATTACTCACCTTTCGTGGCCAAGGCATTGACGGAAGGTGTGCGTGTGCTCCTTTACTCAGGTAACTATCAAAGTAAATACTCGTTATCCCAGTACTGACATGTGTCAAATCCTTCTAGGCGACGTTGACTGGACATGCAACTGGTATGTAAATACAAAACGGAATCCATATCATGGATAAGATTCAACGGGACATTTCCCTAATTGTTTTTTCGTTAGGTATGGCACGAAAGCGTGGGCTCTGGAATTAGAGTGGCCAGGAAAGCAAGATTTCAATCAAGCTCAAGACGAACAGTGGTTCAGTTGGACAAGCGGAGAAATCGCAGGCGAGGTCCGCTCGCATGGAAATTTGACGTTCTTGAGAGTATACGATGCAGGCCACATGGTACGTTTTAAAGCTGATGTACGATGCACGCTTTTGATTCTCATGAATAAAACCGTACTGTAGGTGCCCATGGATCAGCCCGCTAACTCACTTGACTTTTTCAATCGATGGATCAATCAGATGCCTCTAACAAAATAAAACATGACACTCACTCAACACCACAAGTGGACAAGAAAAAAGCATTATAAAAAGTAGTATTTATTCACTGATTAGCATTGTTTTTTTTTTTAACTCATGGAGACCATGAAGGCCGAGGCAAGTGTAAATGCAGCCATGATACCCGGTACGACATACTGGGATCTACCCATGCCATCGCTTGTAATTTCTGAACCTGGCATTTTGTTCGTGATTCCTTCTTTCTTTGTTCTATCGATCATCATCGCATCTTCCTTCTGCTGCATTTCCCGGGTTGGACGGTCTACAGAGAGGCCAACATTTAAACAATCTTTTACTCTCGTAGCTTCACACCACGATCTAGTTACCTGCCAAGGCTCCTGTAGCTGCAGCCGAGTAACCGTAGACTTGATGCGAAATTTTAGCTGAAACACGTGTGTCTGGCGTATTATTCACCAAGGCAGCTAAAGCAAAGTGACAGTTTTTGCAGTAAGTAACAGGATGAGGCCAGAGCCCTTTTTTCTTCTTTTCTATTTACCGGGCATCAGTCGGAGTGGACCCACAGTGCATTCATGAAGGCCTTCACCCAGCGTCAGATAATCTACGTAAACCATACATTTTGTTTAGCATAACAAACAATGATGCAGTATACATTGAGTTTTGGTCATCTTACAATCATCACTGGGAGCAAAATCGGGAGAGAGTGCAAAAGTGAATTTTCCTGGTGCTGTATCCACGTCACTGCCAACATATTTGATGTTGTGGCTATTGTCGTTTTGTGCGGCTCCCACTTTGGGGCCTTTGCGTGTTAATGTGATGGCATTAAATTTAGCGTCGTGAGCGCTTGACCAAGACACCGTAATTTGCTCGCCGATTTTGAGAATGGTCCCCTGCATGGGCGCTGTAACTAGAAACCACCCAACGTCAGACCAAAAAAATAATAAAAAGCACGTCGTCTCTTTGCAACTACTGTTGATGGCTTACTGAAACAGTCATCGTTCTCTTGGCTCTGAGCGAATACTGCGTTTAGGATTCCGAATAACAGAGGAATGACGGCACTAGATACTTTCATCAATCAATAAGGAAAAAGAGAGACAAAGACCAAAAAAAACCGAATCAAAAACCAGAAAGTGCACGCTACTTATACCACGGATGTTTCCTAGGTCAATTTCTCTAAACGCGTGAAACCGTACTCTCAACAAACAATGGCGAATACATGGCCATTTTTCACTTTTAATCCAGCGTCTCTTCACTAAAGTTGAGTCCCATGATTGTTTTGCTGTCAATACCAAGAAATATGGAAATAGACAGAAAAGACGGTCATATTTCTGTGATAATACAGTAAAAGAATATACAAATGTTGATACTATTGGGTCGGATTTCTTGAAGACGTACACGCTACAAGTGTAATCATTTGAACTGAAATGATATTCGATGTTTTGAGAATATTGTTTGTTATTTAATATTGTATATCGGAAATAGGCTAATTATTAAACACTCGAACGTTTGTCTACTTGTTTACTGCGACAAGAAGGGCGCCTACCGAGGTGGCCCGCAAATCCTGAGGTAACCTGTATCAATATCAAAAACACACAGCCCCCAAACAGCTCACCGTCAAATATTGCCATAAGAGGATGCTAGGCTGCAGTATACCAAATCATTTGGCTGTACCAACAGCAACAATAAAAGCCACGGCTCTTATGCCACATCATGTTTTCGCACTTCGCCAGTCCTGTGGCAGGATGGTGCTGGATACAAGCAATCAAGATTGATGTGAATGTTTGCCTCCCTTTTCCGATCGTTTGTTTCCAAGAATTACTTATTTGTTACTTCGATTAAGGTTTAAAATTATACTCAAGTGCATAGACTCACTTCAAATTTACTGTGAGAAAGGATCGATGGCGGCACTCAATCAAGGCAGGCCCAACTTGCCGTTTATTTTGGCCGCCCGGTGCATGATTTATTTACTTATTCACTCTGTACCAATTTCGACCAATACTGTATTAAGCCAGAAAGATGCATTATCTATGAATTTAATTATGACTTTTGATCAATTAACATTTTAAGTACTTCTTCTGATATTCTATGTAGCAGCAATGAATTAGGAACATTGTCTGTTTTCATGAAACGTTGCGTTTCAAAAAAGGCAATCAAATGGGCTGAGACCTGCCATTTTGGAACCGCATTGGCCCGCCCCTTCTTGCCACTTTAGATATCGTTATGAAAAATAGTCACAACCAACTAGCAAGCCACCTCCAGTGCCTTTTTTTCTGAGTTTCTTTTTTTTTTGAATCCTTTTTTTTTTCCCAGAAGTTTAACTGCACATTTGTTTGTTATCCATCATGGGCAATCAATCTGTGGACGCCAAGAAGCGCAAGTCGCCCTCCGATGCTCAGAATGCAAGCCGTAAGAAGCAGAATGTCAACAAGAACGAAGCTAAACAGACCGATGCTCCTGCCAACGATGCCAACGATACCATCGACACCACGATTACTGATCAGCCTTCTGGATCTTCCGAAGGCAAGCCGTTGAATCTCGATTTTGAGAGTCTCGAATGCTGCGAAAAGACCAAGAATGCTATCAAGGATTTGGGCTTCACTAAAATGACCGAAGTTCAGGCTCGTACCATTCCTCCCCTGATGGCCGGTCGGGATGTGCTCGGTGCGGCCAAGACAGGTTCCGGTAAAACCTTGTCCTTCCTGATTCCCGCCGTAGAAATGCTCTATCGATTAAAGTTCAAGCCGAGAAATGGTAAAAAAGAAATAGTTTTGGATTTTTTGGGGAGGGAAATAGCGGATCTGACCTGGACACATGTTTAGGTACCGGTGTGATCATTGTATCGCCTACTCGTGAATTGGCGCTTCAGATTTTCGGCGTGGCCAAGGAATTAATGAAATACCATCAGCACACATTTGGTATTGTCATTGGCGGTGCCAACAGAAAAGCCGAAGCAGACAAGTTGGTCAAGGGTGTGAATTTGTTGGTCGCTACTCCCGGTCGTTTGTTGGATCATCTTCAGAACACGCGCGGCTTCATCTTCAAGAATTTAAAAGCACTCGTAATTGACGAAGCGGATCGTATTTTGGAAATCGGTTTCGAAGAGGAAATGCGCCAGATTATCAAAATTCTTCCTTCAGATCGACAGTCGATGCTATTCTCGGCTACTCAAACCACCAAGGTGTCCGATCTTGCTCGTATTTCTTTGAAAAAGGGACCCTTGTATATCAACGTCGACGAACGTAAAGATACATCGACCGCCGAAGGCTTGGAGCAGGGTTACGTGATTTGCGAGTCCGATAAACGGTTCCTGCTGCTCTTCACCTTTTTACGAAAGAACCTGAAGAAGAAAGTAATTGTGTTTTTCTCCAGCTGTAATTCGGTAAAATATCACGCTGAATTGATGAATTACATTGACGTGCCAGTGTTGGAACTGCATGTAAGTACAAGCAAACTTATGGTTAAAAAAAGAAAAGGCGATGAAAGCTGATGCTGAGAATGTGTAGGGACGTCAAAAACAACAAAAACGAACGAGCACCTTTTTCGAATTCTGTAATGCGGAAAAGGGTATTCTGCTGTGTACGGATGTGGCGGCTCGTGGTTTAGATATCCCTGCGGTGGATTGGATTGTTCAGTTTGATCCTCCGGATGACCCTCGTGATTACATTCATCGTGTGGGCCGAACTGCGCGTGCGGGAGGACGAGGAAAGAGTTTACTGTTCTTATTACCCAGTGAACTGGGTTTCCTAAGATACCTGAAACACGCCAAGGTCCCGTTAAATGAATACCAATTCCCTCAAAACAAAATTGCCAATGTTCAGGCTCAGGTAAGCAGCTGGATCCGATAACCAAGTGGGGCAGAATGGTTTGCAGTGTAAACTGATCCCCGCCATGATATATAGCTTGAAAAACTTGTGGAGAAGAACTACTACCTGAATCAATCCGCTCGTGATGGTTACCGATCGTACCTGCAGGCGTACGCTTCTTTCAGTTTGAAAAAGATCTTCAGCGTCGATAATCTCGATTTGGCCAAAGTGGCAAAATCTTTTGGATTCAGTGTACCACCCAAAGTTAATTTGACCATGGGCAAGAAGAGGACCTAAAAAAAAAAGGCGCTTGTTTTGTTATTTCGTTTGTCATTATTCATTTTCATAATTCTTCATGCATTCCTTTTGTGATTTTTTTTCTGTGAATAAAAAAAGTACCTTGTTAGAGTGTTTCCACAGTTTATCGGCTTTTGATGATGAGCAAGGTCATCCAGACGATGAAAGTCACATCTACTTTTTTTTATCGGGCGTCGAAAGATCTGGACCTCCGCTTTGCAGAGCTCGCTTTACCGTTTTACTCTTAAAGAATGAGAATCGTTGATAAAATCACCCAAGCCGAGAACGACAACAGTATCAGCTACTCTTTTGAGTATTTTCCACCCAAGACGGAAGTGGTAAGTCCTTCCAGACACAACTGATTAGGGCTCAGGTCAACCGGATACAGCACTTCGCGACCTGAAACCCCCTTTCCAACATGACGGTTTATTCAGATCAACCCTGCTCACAGTTTTTTTGCTGTAGGGTCTGGCTAATTTATTCGATCGTGTTGCCCGCATGGCGCAAATGAAGCCAGCATTTGTGTCTTGTACCTGGGGTGCAGGCGGGTCGACACAGTCCAAAACGCTGGAGCTGTGTACGATGGCACAGAATGTGTACGGTGTCGAGACATTACTGCATTTGACGTGTACAAATATGGAAAAGGAACAAATTGATCATGCATTGAAGGAAGCGAAAAATGCCGGTATACAAAATATTTTGGCGCTTCGTGGGGATCCTCCGCGAGGACACGAGTACTGGACACCTTGCGACAATGGATTTAATCATGCCGTGGATCTTGTGCGATACATTCGAGAACAGTATGGCGATTATTTCTGCATTGGTGTAGCGGGCTATCCCGATGGTCATGTGGACGCTTCCAGTCGATCTCAGGACATTGCGTATCTGAAAGCCAAAGTGGAGCAGGGCGCCGACTTTATTTTAACTCAGTTATTTTATGATGTGGAGACATTTGCGGAATGGTTGAAAGAATGCCGACAAGCAGGTACGTGATGATATGGTAAACCCAAACAAGCCAAAAAAAAAAGTAATGTCCATGACATCTTGAATGGTCCACAGGTATCACCGTACCTATTGTGCCTGGAATCATGCCAATTCCAACATATCAGAGCTTCCGCCGCATGATTAATTTGTGCAAGGTCCATGTACCAAGGCAGATTTTGACCGATTTGGATAGTATTAAGGTAGACGACCTTCTGAACTTGTTGAGCATGATGGCTCATTTACGGTGACCCATTATGGGGATTCCCTTCATGGGGGACTTTTTTATGATGACCATTGGTAATGATGGATGCGGGTTTTTTAGTCGGACGATCAAAAAGTCAAGGAATATGGCGTGAGTCTGGCTGTGAAAATGATCCGCCAGCTGCATGAGCAACATCATGTATGCAGCTTCCATCTGTCGACGCTTAATCTGGAACGATCCACGCGATTGATTTTGCAAGAATTGAATCTTGTTCCTCAAGAACTGTCGTCCGTTCAAAAGCTGGCGTCTGGTGAAAAGGTATAACTGAAAAATACAGCGTTTGGCTTGCTCAAAAACTGAAATTTTGAGTGGCAGTTGACAGTTGCAGCTGCCAAGATTTCTCCTTGGTCCACCCTTCAAGGAGCCGACCGTGCCGAAAGTTGGGATGAATTTCCTAATGGACGTTATGGCGATACTCGCTCTCCTGGTAAGCACAATCGGACGCGCTGCGTACAAGGAATCATGAAACTTATATATGCTTGTCATTTGATGTTGAAAAGCTTTTGGTGAAAACACTTATGGCGCGAATCAATTACCGGTAAGGAACATGTTTTTATCACGTACGAATGGAAAAGCAGGAAATTTCTCACAGGCGCAAATCCTTCCTCCCAAAAATACATTTTGGGACATAGACGGTAGAAGCAAGCAGCAAATGGGGTCATCCCAAGACGGAAGATGATATCACACAACTTTTTGTACAATACATTCTTGGCGAACTGTCGAGCTTGCCGTGGTGTGAAGACATGTTGCAAACAGAAACGGATGCTATTCGTCAGCGTCTTGCCCAATTGAATCGAAGAGGCTATTGGACGGTCAGTTCTCAGCCGGCGGTGAACGGTGCACACAGTCAGGATGAAGTCTATGGCTGGGGTCCCAAGGGCGGCTACGTGTATCAAAAGGCCTTTCTTGAGTGTTTCGTGTCGGAAGACCGCCTGAAACCATTGTTGGCCAGTTTTGATAAAGATGAATACATTACCTATTACGCTGCGAATGCAAAGGTAAAAATTCATGTTGAACAAAATATTTTGCGGTGAATCATACGAGGTGGATGAAACTGACTTGGGTTGTCTGCTTGTCTAGGGTGATTTCATCTCCAATGTAGAGGAGGTCGACGCGCACAATGCAGTGACGTGGGGCGTCTTTTCTGGCAAGGAGATTGTGCAATCGACCATCATCTCTCGCTCCAATTTCGAGGCGTGGAAGGTAGAGATATTCAATGTTCCTGGGAAAGTGTTCAAAGGGTCATGTGCTAAAACTTTTTTTTTGTGTGTGTGTGTGTGTGTGTGCTTTTTTTGGCAATTTTAGGAAGAGGCGTATGGATTATGGGAAGAATGGCAACGCCAATACCCGCCAGAGAGTGACACAGCGAAATTGTTAAAGAGCCTTCGAGAGCAAGTGTGGCTCATTAATGTGGTGCATAACGATTTCACGCAATCCGACAATTTATTTGACGCTTTGGGCGTGTGAAAGAATATAGTGAAGTAATGCATAAGATTTATTAAAATATATCGGCTTTTTCAGGCTTGAGAGGGTTACGTCCTTGCTTCAATCATGGTGCATTTGTTTTTTTTTCAATTATTGGCCAGCCTATAAGAAGGAAAAGAAAGAGAAGCGAGGAAGAGAAAAAAAAGGGAAAAAAGAGCGAAAAAAAAATGGCAAGTTTTAGTATTGGTGTCTCCTTGTTCTCAGTGGGTTCTGGTTCTGGACTTGGACCACTTACAGCAGCAGCTTTCTCATCTTCGTAACGCTTCTTGTCAGCCTCAGCTTTTTCATTGTATGGCTATTCAAATAAAAAACGACGTGAGTACGATTTTGTTTCTTTTGATCCAACAAGCGCGCGAAAGACGACGCGCCGCCTACAAATTCTTCTTTTCTTCTTTTTTTTTTTTCCTTTTGGGATGGTGTATCATGGGGAGGAGGGTGGGTATTTTTTTATGTTTTATTTTTCTTACCTTCTTTTCTTCTTCCGACATTTTCTTCCACTTGGCACCAAGGAGCTTGCCGATTTGACCTGTCGCATAATGATAAGCATGGGCTGTGATACAAAGATTTTTCTTTTTTTTTTTTTTAAAAAAAAAAAAAAAGACAATGAACTCACCAAAGCCGGCCTCTGGGTTTTCGTCCTTGACCTGTTGGCGCATTTCTTGTGAGAAAAACATGTAAGCAGACAAGCCACGCTTGGGTGCGCTGGCATCCTTCTTGGGCTTGCTGTTTCTGCCTCTGTCGGTGCGCTTGCTAGTCTTCTGAGTTGCTTCTTTGGGCATCTATATGAGAGAGAGAGAAAAAAAAAGGGGAAAAAAGGTTCTGGTATGAGTACGCGTAATACCGTAGACGAAACGAAATGAGGACCAAAAAGTGAAAGGGAAACCCCAGTGGGAAGTAGAAGGTAGTAGGTGGGTTACAGTGGAAAAGTCGGAGGGCAATAATTTTTCATATATTTTTTGGCCGTGCCAAAGAAGTCAAACTCACCTTTTAGCAGTGGGATAAGATGTGAGAGAAAAGTGTGTGTGTGTGTAAGAGGAGCGTGAGGGCCGCTAGGCTGGGCTGGGCGAAGTTTTTTTTTTTGGCTGGCTGGGTCTTAACCAATCGATGTCGCCGATTAGTATGCAGTCACCAATCAAAATTTGCAATTTTCGTTCGCGCAGCTTTTGGGTTCCCTGCTTTTTTTTTTCCCCTCCCTATTCCACCCATTTTAAACCTCCGCATAACGCTTCAGTGAAATCATCGCAGAACGCGTTTGCAGGGATAAAAAAAAAAGCGGCTATTCAATAAACAAAGAAAAAAAAAGTCTCCACTATCACGGTTTTTTTTTTACGTGATGGAGTAGAACGCGTATTTTGGGTGTAAGAGATTCTTATTTTTTTTTTTTTTTTTTTTTTTTTCATGGCACACTCTTTTTCTTAATGTTTTTGCCGTTATTTTTCAAGGTATGACACTGCAGAGTTTTATTTTTTTTATTTCTTTTTCTAGCAATGGAACCTAATCCCACCAATACCATTGATTAGTGTCACTGAAAAGAAAAAAGGAGACTTACAGCATACATAAACAGTTCACAAATGAATGGTCCATAATTAATTGACTTGAGCAGCATGCCATATGTTTGCGGAGAATTTAAAAACATACTGGTACTGCCTCCCTCCCTTTAAGACATCACTGAGACATCCCCCGTCAAACGAAAAAAAAAAAAAGAAATCATTTTTTCGTAATAGAAAGCCGAATGCATGGTTCAGTACTGTAAAAGACAAGTGATATGCTTACCGTAAGTGGCATTGATTGACTAGCTCAAATGAATGCTAAAGTAGCTCCCCTCACTTTCCATTGAATACCAAAACAAAAGCCTGTTGGAGACAAATTATCACAGGATTCAAAATGAACAAGGTAAAAATAGATGATACATGACGCATATACTTTTCCCACAAACTGTGAGTCAGCTAGCTTGGACAATCAAATAACGCGTATTTCAAATGTGAACAGGACATTAATTCTTCACCGATCAAGAGTAGACTTGGTTAACCTCAGTATTGTGTAAGGTGTGAGCAGCATGTGGGTGGCCACATTAGTGCAGGCACATTGCCTTACTAAAGCAGATTGCGTGGAAATTCAAACACGCTGATGTGACCGCGAATCACTCAGCCAATGATACCATGTGACGTTCGAAAAGTTTTATATTACGTGATGGGCACGATAACAAAAACTTAATGTGAGATGTATTTTCTCTGTGAACACGCAGCTGGCATATTCATTCCATCCTTTTACTAGAGGGTATCGTCGACGCCTCTCACTAGATGAAGTCAATCCACGCCAGTGATCCTAAAGTGGGGTCAATGTAGCCCAATGCGTCGGAATCACAAGTGCATGTGTCGGGTGGCAAAAAACTTGGCCTGATAAGCTGAACTCCAATGCGAATCATTTGGACTCGCGATCACAAAGTGCACCCACAATGCTCCTACTGGTTCTCAAGCCAACAGTTGGCCCATTTTCTTCACAAAGCATCCTTCAACGTTTTTGATTGATCCAAACTTTTTCGCTAGTCTTTTGATATCCTTTCATTTTAACGAATGTGATTGAAGTCCATCAATCTTTCTTCTACGTTGAGGTTACTCAATACAATCTATTTTCTTTAGCTCCGCAGACCAGCGAGGATCTTTTTTTTTGACGACAGGCATGGTTGCACACAAGAATGAAAAGGATCCTCTTACGGTTTCTCGCGAGCATGACGGGAAAAAACCTTGCCAAGATCACCGTTACGGTTTCTTTTCTACTTGTGGCATCCACAGCGATTCCGGTACCACTTTGGCCCATTCTATTAAAGTTCATACACAATAAGTTATTTCTTGAAAGACATGCGATTCCAAGTACAAAAATGAGTCCACTATTGAAGCACTGACCAGGTATTGCCTTGTCTGGTAACTGAATGTTGTTCATGATAGTTTTGATCAACTCTTGTGTTTCTTTATCAATACGGTTAGTCCCCGCTTGACCTGCTGCTGTGCCTTACTCTACTGTACCTTTGGTTAACGGTGCGTCATCGTCCAAGGGTATCTTCAAAGGTTCCATATCCATCCGGGATAATTCCAAGTCGGCGTTGGGATGAACAGCATGTATATCGTTTTCCTCGTCTACATCGTCTGACTCTTCTTGCGATAATGGCGCATAACCGAAAGGAATATCGCCGTTCTCTTCATCGCTGTCAATGTCATTGTCGCTGTTCCTGTCGCCTTTGGTATCGCTGTCGTGATTATTGCTTAGTTCATGGATGCAGGTGTCCATATGGTCATTCTCAGGTTGCTGAGGAGACAATGATGATCCCAGGCATACTAAGATAAGATCCTGTTAAAAAGAGGAACAAGCAATGATTCCATAAAAAAATACAAACTTTTATCAAGCTGTTTCGCAAAGTCTTCGACCACATCGCCTGTATTATCTGAAACTAAAAGAAAATACACTGACTCAATAACCGGCTTTCGTACAGCTGCATCAATGCGGCTTACCATCCATGACGGTCAACGGAGAGTGGGTACGGGAAACGAACAACGTAACGAAAATTGTTCGCGCTGTGAGACTGGGAATGAATTTTGGATTGGGCTTCCATTGTCTCTGCGAAGACGGCACAATATCAATAGGTTAGCTTGCCTTTTTGGTGAAGAAGCTGTCTGTTGAGGGCAAAGATAAATTGTAGAATGATTTGGCCGGGATTCAATTTCATGCAACATAAAGCGGTGATTATTTTCGATTTGTCGAGTTTGTTGACGAACAAAGGCTGTCACTGCTTTTTTTTCTGTTTTCCCTCACGCCCTGCACCCAGTGATGGACGCACTGATCAATTACTCGTCGTCGTCTGATGAGAGCGATAGTGAGATGGATCGTAAACGATCCTTGAAAGATGACGATGCTCCCGATGCCAAACGGTATAGCGTGTAGTATTTTCAGATCAGGAACAGTGAATATTGAATGCCCCATTACAGTGCGCGATTGCCTCCTCTGCCCTCTTTCTTCAAAGCTGGTTTGTTGAACAAAAGTCGCCGTAACTCAAAAAATCCACATACTCAGAGATGAAACTCTAGCACCTGTGCCGAGCGATCCCAGCTTGCACCGAGGACGACAGCGTAGCAGACCTCATACCGAGAACAGTTGGGCGACTCACGTCTATGTCAAAGGTGCGTCGTCGAATGAAAAGTATTTTGCAGTCTGTGTCATAGACTGATATTCACCGATGACATTCATATGGCAACAACACAGTACCTGTCACTGACGAGATTCAGCGCGTCATGGATCAAGTCACCCAGCATGATGATTCGATTCACCCCTATACCGATGATACCAACCAATACCTTCACATAAGTCTTAGTCGATGTCTTTTCCTCAGAGAACATCAATTGCAAAGCTTCACTGAGTGTGTCCGACGCAATGTAAGCAATATAACAACGTAAGCTTGTCATGATCTGTGCGACGCGGTGATTTGACGTAGTTCTCATTAAAAAATGATCGCCACTCCGCGTAGATGTAATATATCATTCGCTCAGGTGTCGCTCTTGTCGAACGATGAAAAAACTCGATCGTTTGTCACGTTGGAAGTAGGAGCCGGATACCATGAGGTATGACTGTCTTTTTGCCTTGGACACGTAAACATATTCTCTAACCGATCACAGCTCGTATCGTGCTTGAAATCAGTGGATAAGGTGGTCCAGAGTTTTCACCAGCCTGTATTTTACAAGGTAAGGCGGATGACGCCTACGTCTCTGACTATTTTCCCTGACCATCAGCCCAATAGCCACCTCGATTTCATGCAAGTATAGCTTGGTCTCTGAAATTGCCGCCGCTCGAATCAGCCATCGCCTCATTACCCGAGTCACTGGAGGACAAAGTCATCTCATTATCGTTTCCCATCGACAAAATTATTGTCAAAATGGGAAATCGTATTGTAGATATCGGATTAAAAACAAAAGAAAAATAACAAAGAAACAAGTTGGTCACTTGTCACAGCAGCTAGACATTTCTTCGGACTTTTGTTTGGGAGATGTTTTTTATAGAAAAAAGTAACGTTCATATTTTTTTTTATTTTCAAGGGGGATAGGGGGAAAAATGGTTACAAAAATATCAAAAAATATATTTTTTTAAAAAAAAAGTTGTCGTGTTGAAGAAAGTAAAAGAAAAGAAAAAAAGAGCTGCTGAAAAAAAGTGAATGAATTCATACATGATGGCAAACTTCCGTGCGCTGCTATTATGCAGATCACGTTCAAAGGGTATAATCTCAGCCTGATCATAAAGAACAAGCACCCCTAGTGCCGACTGTATCCTGGATAACATGGATCGATACAATCAACACGTACCTTTATGACACCGCCGCGATATACCCTTGTAAGCCTCGTAGTATGGAATTGGATGAGTTGATTCAGGCCGCCACCTTGCCGGCAGCCTGAGCAGCTTTCTGCTGTCGCTGAAGCGATTCACGAGCAGCATACGCAGCCTTTTGACCAGAGATCAACATGGCACCAAAAGTAGGACCCTATAACCAACAATTCGTGTTAGCGATCAACTAACACACAATGCTCGTAACATACCATGCGAGGAGCACCATCAAGTTCGGCAAGTTCCATGCCAGTGACAACCATACCGGGGACAACCTCACGCGTGTATCTCACGATATCTGTTAGAGAAAAAAAAAAAAAAGACCGCACGTCAGTTGAGGCCTCTATCGACAGTAGTCGTTGGCTAGTTGTGGTAACGTACCATCTTCAGCCGAGTTCATGTCCAAGGAGAGCATGCCCTTCTTTTCCTTGATCAAACCAATGGATTCAAGACGCTTGACACCGGAGGCACCGAATGGGCCATCGTGGCCGCAACCAGAGACAACCACCTTGCATTCAATAACGTTGGGGTCCATGCACGATTGGGTATCGTGATTCAGAGTGACCAAAGCCCAGTTGGTCACGACACCGGCGACTCTGCGGTTCTTGACAATCAAGTCCTCAACGGCAGTAGCATTGAAAAGCTTGACATTAGGACGAGCAAGCAACTTGGACAAGATAGTAGAAGTAAACAAGGCGGCGTGCTTGACAACAACGTAGTTTTCCTTTTCTTCGTATGGCACACCAACATCATCGAGGAACTTGTCAGCGGGCTTGCGCACAATCATGGCCGAGAAAAGCTGACCACCGAGCCAGCAGCCACCACCGGGAGACACATTCTGTTCAATAATGGCAACCTTTTTGAAACGGAAAAGAAAATCACAGCGCGTAAGAATCATGTCTTTTCAGAACTTTAGACAGGTTTAAAAATTTTTACCTTGATGCTGGGATCCTTGGACAATTCCCAGGCGCAGGACAAGCCGGCGCTTCCACAGCCGACGACAACGACATCGGTTTCGGCATAGTCGAGCATATCAGTCATGTAGCGGCTCACCATTTCGCGGTTGACTTCAGCTTCACGGATAGGCTTGAACGTGTAACCATTAAAGTCATCGTACTTGAAAGCCGGCGTGAACTCTTCACCGCCAAGACGGTAACCAGTTTGCGAAGTAGTAGCAGTGATGGTAGTAGACATTGCAGAAAAAATGAATCAGAACGAATGTGTTTCTTTTACTAACGACGAGTCCAAAAAAAAGCTCTCTTTTATAGTTTATTCTACCGTGGGTCCCAGCAAAGTTTAGATCTGAGTTAACCAGATGTTGTGTGACCTAAAATCATCTTGATGAAATTATGCATGCGAGGGAACCGGAACAATACGGGAACAGCTCGGAAACACAACTATCTTCGTATTGGTTCATGAAGCATCCATCATTCCCTGTACCATCCACTTGAGTAACATCGCTCTGATCTTGCTAGATCTTTTTTGATCATTCATTGCAACTAGTTACAGACAAGGTAGAACAGAATGTCCCATGTAAATATTATGCTAAATAGGTGAATGGAAACTTCAAGAAAATAATAGGCTTTTTTTCACCCATAACTTTGGCTCCTCTTGCATTGGTTGAAACAATTAAATGAAAAGGATCGCATATCTGCCAATAAATCACCAAACAATAACATGGGAGCCTGTGCCATCAATAACATTGCCAATGCGTGCGCTGTTAAGAGTCGTTGCAGTCAGTTTATCTGCAGACGAGTTGGAAATGTAGCACTGCGCTGTAACTCTTGGTTCAGAAGACTTCCACAAGTTTTAGAATGGAAGGTGTTTGGTTGTAAAATCGGATAACCGCCAGAGCCTTAAACCAAGCTAAAGCGCGCGTTCAAGTGCTCGTTACCCGCGGCATGCTTCATCCTAGATACATTTCAACGGTGAAGTCAAATATTAAAAGCAGTCGCACGGTGCCGATTATGCGGCACGCAATCTCTCGGAACATATCAAAGGCAAATACGCATAATTGATTAGCAACAAACATTCAGTAAACTTTGGTCAGCAAGCAAATAAGCAACATCTTAGCTCCACATCATCGACGATTATGAGAGTACTTGATATTTCTGAACTATTGGGTAGCAAGTACAACGATAGGTTTCTGAACCCACACCAAAAAATATACTTGATCAAAAAGTTCGGCCATTGCTCTATACAGCAAATATATTTGAATAAACGCGCTCATCTCGGGTGTTGGTCGTGGTTTGAAACTTTTTTTTTTCAATGTTGCCTTGCTTCCGGTGCATGATTGGATATGAAAATCATCTTTAAATGCTCTAGCGTTACCTTGATCTATCATATAATAGTCAGTTCTGGATCTGGCAGGGTTTCGTGTATCTTTGCACACTCTAAAAAAGATAACATAACAGAGAGGTTGCACGATTTTATGTGACCAGTGACACAGAAGTAGAGCATGGCTACAATCCATGGTTCATGTCAGACCGTAAAAAATGTAGACCATTCTTTAACCGCCAATGACTCATAATTTGCTCGTCAAACAATCATGCGTCTCTATTAGTATAATGTTACATCACATTTCCCCATAACAAACCGGGTCCCCCGCCTGTCTGTCATTAAATCGACAGAATAGCTACCATGTCAGAAAGATCCTTCAGCAAGGTTGAGAAACGGACGCCGTATCAGCAGAGATGACGATTCGGAAAAATCAGATCTGCGGCTCAACAGTCTTCCACTGCGTTTGCGGAACGTCAAACGAGCAGATATTTCACGGTTAGGAAGCACGCTTTGAATTTTATCAAACCGTTACAATTGCACCTGTCTCTGTATCCAAGTGGAATCTGTGGGTCTCTCTTGGCAGTGTGGACATTTATTTCTGCAATTTAAAATGGTTTGTACGCATGTTCTCATTTTTATTTGGATATAAACTAAATCAGTTACGCCGCCAACGCGAGACGAATGAAAAAATTGGCACAGTTTGAACTGACGATTATTTTCGGTGGATATGTCGCATGGAAGTGGTACGATGCTTAATGGCAGGGTGCCCGGTGTTAAGACTGTAGTGGTTACAAATCCATTTATGGTGACATGTCGCTGCATATCAATATAACGAAATAAGCACAAGCTAAGCAATAGCCGATGAGGGGGCAGTAGGCTGGCAGGGTTCCAAAGTCTCGATAGCCATAGCGCAAAGGCATAGGTACAGGCACTGATACTGCCAGAACCATAATTAAGTGTTTTCATTGGCTTTCTCTTCCCCCAAAGAAACCCCATCATTTGTTTTGGCAGAGAGGTTAGGAATCGCTGTGTGATCTGGAGGCGCATTGAAACAAAAACGGGGCAGACTGAAAAAATGGAGGACTCTTTTACTTTGTTGTGCTTGCAACACCTCGGATGACTGAAGATCGTCAAGCCCTCTAATTGCTGAATAAGTGCTTTCATAATGATACATACCTCAAATTGTTCAGCACGCCACAGAACCTACATGAGCTTTTGAACAACAAGTGCTTCTTTATTTGCCACACCGTGCTGATGGTGACCTTGTGGAAGAGAACTATGCTCGTCCCTTGATGTTCTGGCTATTTTGGTGATTTGAACGACCTTGGAAGGCATTTTCTGAGTGCTTCGTCAACAACACCACCTTGACATCGTTCCAACCAGTTCTTCTTACAGAGAAGCGCATGAGCACAATGACACCGATACCAATCCAGTCGTAACGAAAAAGACGGCATGAAGAAGCACGCACCCTCTTTTGACGATATCACATTTTCTCTCCCGGACAGCGATCGCTAACGTAGAACGTTGGCCGCAACGCGATGAGCATGAAAACGTTCAATGTGCGGAGCGTTGGAGACCGGCGTCGACACAGGAAGAACGGCAGGTTATCGAAAGACAACATGGTATCTAATACTCGGAGCTATTCCGTCTGCGTTACCTGACCTTGTCCGATGCACCATCGATTTTGATTGTGAACAATTTCGATCTCTCCCGTGCTTTCCATCAGCTGTAATTGTTCATCATCAGCTCAGACTGGAAATATTCCCTGGAAGAACAGCTACACCTGGCGTTGGTTTCGACTTTTGTTCTTTTATTGACCTGCGGTTATCAAGTCGCATCAAACAAGCACCACCACAACAGACCCGCTCTTGTCGGTGTATCCCAGTCTACTGGGGAAAGTGACTTATCTCGACGATGTCAAAGCATTCACTGATATGAAAACTGGAATGCAATTGCCGATTCAATGGAACACAAGTACGGCATCAAGCGCCGTTCAACATGTTTATTTAAAATAAATTATTATACAAATATATTGAAAAATCCAGATAAATATATCAATAAAATATATAATAATATCGAAAAAATAATAAAAATATTGATCAATAATTTTAATGATATAATGCCGTTGGAAACTGTCGCCAGTTTGTTGGCTATTGTCAATGAATTATAGGCGAAATGAGTCAACCGGGAGCAACCCGACACTAGAGTGAAGTCTCTGCCATTGGAACCACATGCCCGCAAACTCGCCAAGGCATTGAGACGATCGATCCACAAGTTGCCAGTTATGCCAGTGGAGGAAGATTTTGGCGAAACCAAACTTTGCTCGCGGTCCGTTGAACCATTCCTTTCTTGGCTTTTCGACGACCCCGACAAAGAAACATATCTACGCTGGACAAACGAGTCTACATTGGAAGCCAAGTCCATGCGCGACTCCACCGGTAGGCCTGACGTTCTGCAATACGAAATCCTGCGGCGTAAAATGGTCGACAAGCGTAGGATATGGCGAGGCAAAATCTTCTGCACGAGATCAAGACGATTACTTGATTTGCAAGGACCTGTTGAAAGTGGCCGTATTCTGCAATGAGACGCTTGACTTTCATTTGATGGAAGGCATGCTAGGTTTGCAGATCTTTGGCAGAACGATCAAGTTTTACCTCGTAGTCGTACCTGCCAATGGGCTGTATGGAATGATCGAGTTGACGGAAATCAAAATTCCGGACTCGCTGGGAAATCTGCCAAGCCTGATCACTAAATCGCCCAAACTATGAAGGTGCTTGATGCTTTTGACCTGATTTGCGCCCCTGCTCGTGACCCTGGAACGACTTCGAACCGCCGTACCGGCACTTTGTCATTGAGAAAGTTTGATCAGCTCTTTACAATGTCATAAAACCGAAAGAAACTCTGCCACATCAAGCTCCGATACAACTGATTCTCTCTTTCTTTCACTTTCAATTACAGTACCCTGACCAATCTCAATACCGGGGAGGAACATAATTTTTATTTTCATTTCATTTTATTGTATTTTATGTTTCAACTTTTCAATCGGTTCTGTACTTTTTCGTCACTCGTTTAAAATAAGAAATATCCAAAAATCGTTTACTACTTCCTCATGCAAATCTTATCATAAGCCCAGGCAAGCAAATAGCAAGACATTATGATCAAAAGCCATCGAATCCGGGAGGATTTGTGAATGACCATGTTGTGTTGCCTTTGGATCTCATCATTTTGAAAAGCGTTATTTGAATGAAGCAAAGATTGTAACGATCGACGTCGAACTTTGCAACTTTGACTGTTAATGAATCTTCATCTGTATCGAACCGCCTCATATTTCATTTGAGCCGTTTCGATACAAGTCAATATTGTTGCCGCACATGAACCAAGTGAGGTACTTTATCGTAGGAGACTCAAACCATTTGTGAGAGGGTGGACCAGGTATCGCCAGAAGGCTAAGATGATGATCTGGATTGTTTACTCTGCATCTCAACCCTCATGAAGTGGCACTTTTCCGTCAGCGATTGTATTGCGATAATGTGTTGGATCGTAGCATTATCATTTTTTTTCCCATGTTTTGAATCGGTTGAAAGAGAAGAGAATCTTTTGGGAGATTCGATAATATACATTTCACAAAAAAGAAAGAAGAAGATAAAATAAGAAAACGCAATAAACTCGCTCTATTGCAAAGCATTTTGTCTGATGGATAGAGTTATCTTATATAACCATCATGTCCTAAAAACAACGTATGGTTAGCACATACAAAATACAGGTGAAAGGGGAGGGGTGCATCGATAAATTACTTGTTCTGAAGACTGCTCCTGGGCTTCCGGGTTTTGTTGGTTCATGGTCTGAAATTCAGTGATGTTGGGGTCGCCTTGGCCAGACCTGAGATGAAAAAAGAGCGGGTCGATTTCGATATTCAGCAAAAGGTACCCTGCTTACATTATGATAATCTTACCAGTCAATTGTGTATCTATTGGAAACGAAAAATTACCGTTAGCTGTGAATTCGAGAATGGACTAATCCCCACCCTTTTTTTTTGACGCTGTACCTTGTTACTTTAGGCTTATCTGCGAGAATATTTCGTTGAAGCTTATCAATCTGGATCTGCGAGGGTGGATTTTCGCGTAATTCAGGGTCCGTATATTCGTTATTCACATAATAGCCGACGCGCACAAACTCCTTGTCATGATATAGACAGCTCAGCAATACCACGGTGACCTCCAGCAAATCCTTCTGCGGCAGCAGTTCCAACTTTGGGGCGTCCGCCTGAACAAATGGATTGTTATTATGACTGTCATTCACTTCGATCCATTGCTCGCACTTACGGAAAAGATGAACTTGTTGACACCAACGGGAATGGGACCCACCATGATGGAATCGAGGACTTGATCATAATCTTGACTTTCGGCAGAGCCGACATAGATCATTCGCCATTCCAGATCTATAATAGAGACGTCAAGAAGCAGAAATGAGGACAACTGGAGGAAAAGCAAAAGCAAGCGTCATTTGTTCCTCCTAATCGCTACGATGCTCACCATCCTTCAATTCAGCATTGCATTCAAAGGTAATCTCAAATTGGAAAGGGTTATTAAAGTGAGTAGGATTATCCAAGACCTGGATATTGAGGATATTGACGAGAGACATTGATACGGTGGAGATGCGGACGAAAGAACTGGAGTAATTTTTGGCGACGCGTCTTTTTTTTTTCCTGGGTTCCGGCCGCAGCGCGTTTTTGACCAATAAGCGCGCTCAAAGTTGGCCACTCGGACAGTGCATGCAGTGCAACGAACCAAAAAAAAAATGAGGCTGTTTCAATTTTTTACTACTTTTCCATACTTCTTTGAGGGTTTGTTCCTTGACAAACAGTAATACACGTACTATACTGGGATCACATTATCATCAGAATCATATATTGTATCGCAAGATAAAATAAAAAATGTGATGAGCCATCGCCCCCCAAAAAACCAAATAATTTATCTGTCATCCTTGGCCTTGGTAACAGCTTCGATCCTTTCTGGCATGGATAGACAAGTCTGTTCCATAGCTCAGAATTGTAGAGACTTTCAAGTTTCTATATTACATATCTGGACTGTCTATTTTCCGTTGGGAACCTGAACATGGCACTCGCACTGGTCTTCAATCGCTCATCTTCATACCAAAAGGCATCATCAAGTGGCATGGTTATCTCTTTCTTCATAGATAAAAGCTTTCAAATTCTTCGTAACAAGGCGTATATCAACATAGTGTCGCTGTTATTGCCACAGGCGACGGAAGCAATTAGCTGAGGAAGGAACACTGTGACATCATAAAAAAACTCCATAGCTCGATATTCTGCTGATACATATCCTTTGCATTTGAAGTAATATCTTCAATAACGCCAACATTGAATTTCTATTCGATGCTGGAATGAAGAGTAAATATCATGGTCAATTTTTGTGCAAATTGATATTTCTGCTGCGGAGGGGCGGATAACTGATGCCCCCATCGGCCAACTGCCGTGAGGAAAAATTAGTCGTCACAGTTGACGTCAGAAATGAGCGCGGGCCTCGGGCAAGGGCTCTTAAAAAAAAACACGTATCAACCAACTTCTCAGCACCACCACTTGCACTAACTCAACCCTCTCCTGAAATGCTTGCCACTGCTGCATGGAAACGTAAACATCGATTTATTAAGGAGTTGGTGAATTCATCATGTTAAATTTCTTTGGATTTCTGTAGAGGCTGGTCGTCGTTCATTGACCGATGCCGCCAAGGCCGTCACCGCCACTCAAACGGTAAATTAAAGAAACGCATCCGTCTCAATCGATGACCTACATTACCAACTTATCCCATATGATTCTTCTTTACCGTAGCGCGCTATGCACGATCTCACCATGAGAAAGAAAACCGGTCAAACCATGGTTAAATACGGTCGCGGTGGCCGGTAAGCACTTTCAACGAAATACAAAAAACAAAACGACATTTTTCCTTTCGAACGATCGGTGTGATTTTATTCTGACGTCCGTTGTTCATCATTAGCTCTTCTACGAACGGTCATATCGCTACTGTTTTTGGCTGTACCGGTTTCCTCGGTCGTTATGTCGTGAGCAAACTCGGTATGTATTTATACGATGACCATTGCCTACCAGCCCTCGTCCGCTTACACTGTTGTTCTTGTTTGTTTTTGTGCAATAGCCAAGCAAGGTACCCAGGTGGTGGTTGCTTATCGTGATCCTGATGAAGCCAGACATCTGAAAGTGACCGGTGATCTCGGTCAAATTACTCCTCTTGTATGTTATTGTTTCTTTCCCCGCCCCCAATGCTTTTTGCCACGACCTTAATTAACGTCGCCATTGGGCTCTGTAGGAATTCGATTTGAGAAACAAGGACCAATTGATGGAATGTGTTCGTCATTCTGACATTGTGTATAACCTCATCGGTCGTGATTACGAGACCAAGTACGTTGAAAAATACGAATACCATTACGTTTTTGGCTGCAGTTCTATTGACACGCTTGTAGGAACTTCACATTCGAAAATGTTCACGTTGATGGTTCCCGTGCTCTTGCGGAAGCCTGTGCTGAAGCTGATGTCGCTCGCTTTGTCCAGGTCTCTGCTTTGAACGCTTCCGAAGATTCCACCTCCAAATTCTTGCGCACCAAGGTACGATTAAACGCTTTTGTGATTATGAAGAAAATGACAAAAGGTCACTCATCTTGTTTATTTCATTTGGTACGGGATTTTAGGCTTTGGGCGAAAAGGCTGTGCGAGAAGTGCTTCCTGATGCTACCATTGTCCGTCCAGGCACCATGTGGGGTCACGAAGATCGTTTCTTGAACAGAATTGGCGGTAAGTGAATAATCACCATATAAAATGGAACGCGAAAAAAAGAATACTTATGGGGAATCGGACGAATTTTTTTTTACTTTATTTTAGCTGGTGATGGATGGCAATACTGGATCAACGAGGGTCAGACCAAGATCCGTCCCGTGGCTGCTACTGATGTTGCTCAAGCATTGGAAGTCATGTTGACTGCTGAATCTACCATGGGAAAGACCTATGAACTTTACGGGTAAGTGGTCTGGGTGTCTGCTGGGTGACCTTTTCCGTCATGGGAACCAAAAAAAAAAAAGAGTAAGAATGAATCCTAAATGAACGTCCATTTTTTTTTTCTGTCTAGTCCCAAGGAATACAAGATTTCCGATATCTATGAACTTGCTCGTGAAATCATTCTCAAGCCTTTGCCCATCCGTCCCTTACCCACAAGCGTTGCCAGGTAAGCAAAATATTTTACAGATGGAATAATGAAGAGTTTTCAATGGATCATCTCACACCAGAAATGCATTATTTTAGACTCGGTGCCACCCTTTTGGACAAGCTTCCATACAATCAGATGATCAGCCCTGATTTGATCGAAAGAGTAAGTTTCGTCAGCAGGATCGACAATGGAGTTTTTGATCTAACCGGATGGGATGGTTTCGTTTAGATGACTTTGGATGATAAACCCACCCCTGGTGCGCTCACATTCGCCGACCTTTACATTGAACCCACTGTTTTGGAAGCCGTGGCTATTCAGTTCCTTCGACGATTCCGAAGCAACGCGGTGTTCGATTTGCCTTTTGAAAAGGGTGAAGGAAAAATTGAAAAGGGCGTTTACCACATCATTGATTAAACATGGCCCTGACTTACCCAAAATGTCACCACGTATATGAAACCCTAGACAAATAAAACAACAAAAAAGAATGCCAGCAAAAGTTTACAATCAACATCGCTGAACCCTAATTTTTTTCTATTGTATAATGTTATACATAGAATATGTTTACAAAACTAGATGGAACCTTCTCTTATCAAAGGATCACGATTAAATGGAATGCATAGTTCATATGATAACAAAAAGTCATGCGCGATAAGCGCAGCTCAATGGAAAACCAGGTCACAGGACTGTGATCATATGCATTTGTTTTCCTTCTTCCCCCGACCCACGGGCCCTTGACTGGACATGTGTGTGTGTCGCTTTTTCGCTACAATAGCATTTTTTTAATTTATAGATGTTGTATGATGTTTTATTATTTTATGTTGAAAAAAGTTTTTTTTTTTTCATGTGATGAGCTTTTCAGTGACCGAAAGGAATCATTTTACAGAATGCATGATGAAGAAGACATTTACAAGAAGATGAGGTTGGAAAAAAGAAAAAAAGGGGAGGAGGAGGTGAGAGGCACTAGGTATATACAAAAAAAAAGTGTAAACGATAAAAAGGAAACATAATTAAGAAAGCAAGGGCCAATGGCCTTCAGAGGTCCAGGTAAGCACGCAATTCGGCTTTGATTCCTCTTCATAAAACGATGCATCATAATCCTCGTCATCGTCGTCTAATGGGATAAAAAACGCGGGTGCAGCTCGGCGTATCATAAAAGGGGCATGATGCACGGATGGTTCCCCATCTATCGCATCTTCAACCGGACTCTGCAGCTGTTCCTCTTCTGAATCGGCTTCATCTTCTTCTGCTTCTGCCATGATCATATCGCCATCCTCATCTTCTTCTACTTGTTCTTCAACTCGAATATCGTTTTCTGGGGATAGTGGGGATTCTTCCAGGGTAAGCATTCCATCTTCAGCTTCTGCACTGTAGTTGGCGCTAAAGCAGGCATCCAACCAATCTTGTTCTTCTTCACGGGCGTCCCACTGTGATTCATTGTTCGATGCGGATGTATGTTCCAGTGCACGGATCAGCGCGTTTCGGATCAAGACAAATCGAGTAAGGTTGTTGCCGTCGTAACGCTGTAATTTGATGAGAGAAAGACGTGTCATTAAATTGAGATGGGAAATGGACATGGTAATGTAAGTTTTGGTAACCAAGAATCCAATAGGAAGAAAAAATCAACAAAAAAGAAGAACAAAAAAAAACAAAGAAACGCAAAAGACGAAGCATAAATTGTTAAATATTTAAGTGAAAAATAAGGCAACCCCATGACTCATCACAGAGGCCGATGATGACAAAAAAGGCGATTCCCTATTTTTACGTGGTGGGGCGGTCTTTCAAATTAAGCCAACCAACGATAAGACCATGTTTGATGCTAACGCGACTGCGGTCGACTGACTTTATCCATTCTCCCTATCCGCAGCCGTAACGTGTTTCTGCCAAGCAACGCCGCAGTGGTAACGTGGCATGACTCACGGCGCTCAATGGTTTGATACAGAAAGAAGAGTTGCGCAGGATGCTGCTGCGAAAAAGCTTTGATTGCCTAGCCAGTTATTGAATGAGCAGCGGAATAAACATTGGGAATATGACAGCCTGTGACACTCAAGATTGGCTATTTTATTGACATCATTACAAAATGCAGGACTGACACGATGTAAGGAGAACAAAAAGGCTATTCATTCTTACACATACGACCCACACATTATCCCAAACTAACAAATACAGTAATGAATTTCGCAAATAAACCCTCGACGGGATACAAATGACTTCATGAAGGACACGTGTCACTTGAAGATGACATCGGCAACAAATGACACATTTTTCTGGTAGATTCCATCCCATTTAGAATGGTTTCATTGAACATTATATTTCAATTGTTTGTAGTCAAGTAATTGAACTGCTTCAAAGGCACCACCATAAACTAGGTTTGCACGTTGATATCTGACCTGCATAAAGAGTCATCATCAATTGCAAGAGTATGCCCACTGATAGATATCCGTCTTAAAGGTTTGAGCTATACGCGAAATATAGCAAACAGATCTTCATTACAACATCCGGGGCAAGGTCAGCATGTGACCTTTTGGTGTCTTTTATTGGGAAGTTTGCACTTCTTATGTCATGGTTAAATGTTGACGTCAATGGTAATGGTGTGTGAGTTTGTGTGTGTGTGTGTGTGTGTCTCTATCTCTGCATATGCTATTGACATGGTCTAAAATCTGCATTCTATCACGCCTTTTCAGATTTTGGACAGTGAGTCAGTTAATCAAGAAACACCGAGTCCGTCATCATGAATAAGAACTGTAAGTTAGTGCTTCTATATCTTGGCATGATTCGCGTTTGAGTTGAGGTCTTGGGCAAGTTTTGCCACAGACTTTCGTTAGGATAGGGAAGAGCCGAGGCGCAGCTCGAGCGACTCCACGGTATTCGAATTCCGCCATCATGAGCCACAGGGGGGGGGATTAGGCTTTTTGTTGCTCTACTTTGGGTTTCCATGCGAGATTTTCTGTTTATCGACAAACAAAGGATTACAGATAACTTGACTTGCTTGGGAAGGGTGATAAATCGCGGGTAGGATCGTGCCATAAAAGGAAAATTGCCACCACAAACGATCCACGCAATTCGTGAGTTGGACAACGGCGGAAGTTGAACCCATGTCATTACGGAAGCACCAATGCAATCGTTCCTGAACGCAGTTTATGGAAACTTGGACAAGTGACAAATCGTCTCGAGACCATTATTACTATTTTTTTCTCCGCTTCATATCCAATTATTTCCTCTTTCAGCATTCCACGGAACGAGTACGGAAGAGCGGGACCGTAGCATTTCCGGCCTTCTGGACATTTCCATTATCCGAACCATCGTTTGCTCTTGAAAAAAATTGTGATGCTCGTCAAGATTCCATTGGTCGAAAGAACCTGCTCAGCATTTACATTTCTGACAATACAATGACATTAAACTCGCTATTCACGTATTTTTCCCTTAAAAAAGGCCCTGTACAGCAAAGAATGGCCCTACGTGGCTGCGAACTGATGTTATTTGGTGGTCAACCATAATGGATTTTTTGACTTAATTGAATGGATATATTTTATTGGTGATGGAAAAATGATTAGCAAATGTGATGTCTGTTAATAAGCAATCATCGAATTCAAAGGAGAATATTATAAATCGAGGTTGTGCTTTTATTGTATTACCTGTTCCACAGCATATACTGTATTGAAGTTTAGAAGCGATGTAAAAAGGTAGGCTTACGTTGACAGAATGAATGCGACTATTTCGCTCAAATTTTCTCTATTTCGTCACCAACAAATATTGTACAAAGTAGTGAATGAACTCGTTAAAGACAGAGATTGACATCATGGACATTTTCTGGCGATAAGCTGCAAGGCAGACTTAACGGTAAATACAGCAATACAAATATATTTCATAGCTTTATCAAGTATGTCTATTATGATGCGGTGTACTATTTTTTTTTTTTTTTTTTTTTTTTTTTTTTTTTTTTTTTGGCACTTGGGTACTCCGGAAAAACAAATGTGTCTCATCATTAAACGGGGAAGATTGATGGAATGCGCGACTTCGCCCTATTGAAAAATGTTGTAGCTCAATTCTGCTATGAACCGATGTCGCCTTTTTGTGGAGCGGGATTGATCATTTATTGACCGATGGATTAAACTATGGTTGAGTAGATGGCAACAGTTTGCAGCTGTCACATGCTTTTCTTTTTTCTTTGTTTTTGTAGCCTATTACCAATTGCCGATGAATAAAGGTACTGCCGCCCAAGGTTTACATTACGTTCAGTTCCTTATGAGAGTTGGTTATACAAATGACATACACTTTGTTCTTTTCGTCAAAGTTTCAAGATTATCTACAGAGAGCCAATCAAGGTAGCCAGACAATCGTTCAGAACCTGGAAATATCCGTCTCGGTCTATGCCATTTGGGTGTCGTGCAATGTGATCATTCAATTCGATAAAAGCCCCTATCCCTACCTTCATTCTTTTATCGTTTTCAAGGTCTTTTCATTATGAAAAGTTATTTTTTTTTCCCAGGACAACACAGAGGGGTATCTGTTGAGTCTTCAATTATCAATGTACTCTTCTCTTCTATTCATTGTCCATCAGATATGGTGCTCTCGTGTCACAGCAGATAAGCACATATATTATCGCACTTGACTTACCCATCCAACAAGATAACCAAAAGATGTAGTAAGAGTCGCTCTGTATGCCAAGGACTCTGGCATGCACAATTATGCTGACGTGCATCATCTGCAACGGAGAGATGCGGTTTTGCATTGAATTTGAAAACCTTATCTAATACTGGACCAAATATTTCATGCGTCGAGTCTCAGTAAAAACAAGCACCAGCCAAAAGATTTACCACATCAAAGGTATCGTTACTATCGACTTGGACCCATTTCCTGATTGGTATCAATGCACCACAACGGAAATCCCGCCACTGAGGTGGGGATCCAGTAGGATGTTGGTGGCGATAGCAAGAACGAGCGGGGTCATGGATTTGGGGTTCCGATGAACAATGAATACCTCCGACATGGAAAGGTCAGACGACCTTTTGAGAATGGCGCAACATCAAGACGGGAAAAAATGAAGTGAAATTAGGAAGCTCTTTTTCATCGTCACGTTCATTTATTGATCCTCTTAAATTCCGCAAGATGATGGAGACGGAAGATGATTCCTTCACTCACGTGCCAAGATCGAATTCCGTTGAAGGAAACCAAAGTCGTGATAAACAAAAAAAAAAAAAAGGGGGGGAGGGGAAGGGGAGAGATTGAGGGAAGTCTGGAGGGATCGGGTGGACTTAGGAAATCCAGGAAGAGCAAGGATTTTGAGCGGTTCGATCCGTAATAGAATTGGAAAAGAGAAGGTTTTTTTTGGGGGGTCTTTTCGTGTGCCAATTATGAAGGAAGTTGTAAGCCTGGGAAAAGAGGTAGGGACAGAGAAAAAAAAAATCCAACATACAATGAAAAGAGAGAAGAAACAGAAAAAGAGATAAGACCCTTTTTGAATTTGATCTGAATCGTAGAACAGATTACATGCTGTCGAGTCGTTGGAAAGATCGTCCACCTCTCGGTCGCTCGTTCAGCTTCGGATTGTTTTTGGCAAGAATCCCTATATTGCATCGCCATCATTAGTCATGACATGATTTTTTTTCTCCATTTTCCATGTCGGCATCAGTAAATAAATAAATAAAATACCTTTATCCATGGAAGCATGATCAAAATCACATTCATGTTTATCAGGGTACCGGTGTGCGTCACAAAATACGTATTCACAGCGGCATTTGTTTGTCACCTGTTTGGATAATGGGATCTATTGTGAAAAAAAAATTGGAAAAAACCAATGACATAAGAACCACTTGTATTGCAATTTGATCCAAAAAATAATAATAATAAGTACACACTACCTTTGTTCGACAAGTGAAGCACCGGCCCTTATTGGTTTGTACAGGTCTCGATGGTGCAGGGTCCTCTTCTTGTTGTTCAGCATCCTTGACGACGGGCTCGGTTGTGACCGGTTCGGTAGGTGTAGGTGTACAGGTAGCATGGTCTGAAGGTATGGATGTGTCAATGGTTGACGGTGATTTATCATTGAGTGGACTGGGTGAGGATTTCAATCCTTCCACGGGAGTAAAATCATCTGGAAGATGAGATTTTGGTTGAGTCAGCATTTGGATTGCGTAAGCGTCTAGAAGGAGTTTTTGTCATCTACCTTTTTTGTTCCGTTCCGCGTGTTCTCTAAAACACTTGGAACACATATTATTATAAATCTTGTTGCCGTAGAATCCGCAGCCGGCAGTGCATGGCGTAGGAACATCGGGCGAACTGTTATCTTCCATGATATACAAATAGCAAGTACAAGCGAACCTCAAAGAACACCCAAAAGAGAAATGAAAAAACTGAGAAAGGGAAAAAAAAGCGAATAAATTTTTGTTACATTATGATTTGACCAAAAAAAAAAGCAATGCCATAAGCAGTTATTCTCATTTGATGACGTATCAAGTTCAATTTTTCTGTGTGGATGATTATTTATCCATGCACCGGTTTTTGATCAGTGAATGGAAAATATCAACAGGAGACTTGCCAAATTTTTATTTTTCCATTGACTGCTGCTAGATCATTGGCACACCTGCCCATTACTCATTGTGTCTCCTGTTCTTAATAATGATGACTGTGCGCTTAGGAAGATATGATAAGAAAAAAAAAACAAAAAAGCAAAAAAAGTACCGTAAATTTCCGTAAGATGTGCTTAATGTGCTTCTATGCTTGATTTGTCATGCAAAAAGTTCTTTCTGTGTGTGTTGTTTAGCCATGAATTGCCCAAAAAGAAAAGGGCTTCCGTTTTTTTTTTTTAGTTTTCTTTTTCGGTTTTGGAAGCACGCCATTCGAATTTCCTTTTTCTTGGTCGCTTGGCGAGACCGAAAAAAAAAAAATGGGTGAACCTATGAAGCCCGTCGCTGCGCCAGCAGTCACATCATTGCTGCGCATACGATTGGTGCAGACGATTCTCATAAATAGCGCTCGTAATCTTTTTTTCTTTCCTTTCTCCTGCTGAACCTCATACTGCGGCAACCATGCAACTTCTCTCTCCTGTCGATGAAAAAAGATTACATTGTGAACAACAACGAATGTATGTCAATGCATTAGTCGGTACGTTGAATATTCTCTCTTTTCACTTCTGCTCTTGCCACCTTTGGGATTTTTTTGTTTCCTTGGATTGCATAATTTTGTTATTTAATTTAGAAGATTTTTAAACGATTTATATGATGATGTCTAATGAACTTGTTTTTATTTTGATAGACATGTCGGTTCAAGCCATCGCTTCGATTTGGCCTTCGTCAGCTGGATCGCCGGTCGTGCATCGACCTATTGCTAGCTTGAACATCTTTCTCCACCATATCCTCAAACAATCTCGCACCACCCACTCCACCTTGCAACTAGCCATTTTTTATCTCTTCCGTATCCGACCTCGGATCCACAGTCGCTATACCAACGACGTTTACGTTTCTTGTGGACGTCGCATGTTCCTTGCTTCCCTCATCTGTGCTCACAAGTACCTCCAGGATAAGACGTACAAGAATTCCGCTTGGAGCAAAATTAGTGGTCTCAATGTCAAAGAGATCAACCATGCCGAACGAGTCATGCTCCAGTTGCTCGATTACAGACTCTACGTCAAAAAAGATACCTACGATCAGTGGATGGCTATGCTTCAAAAGCATCTCAAGATTCGTCCTGTTCCGTCTCATCATCGTCCCCCTCACCCCACAGACGAAGCCACTGACCGCTCGATTCCCACCAAGCCCACCGCGCCAAATGTCTTGCCGTTCAACCGCCACACTGTTATGCATCTAGGCATGCCAACGCCTGTCGAATTGAGCAAACCCATGGCATTACCTTCACCGTTGGCTCAAGAACGCAAACGTAGACCTAGTTTGGACAACGAACCTACTCCTGCTAAAAGAATACGTGCCTAATAATTTTCTTTTTTTATTGTATCTTCTTCCTCTTCTTCTTCACTGTGCATATTTTTTATTCTCTTCGTTCCGATTCGCCCAAAACTGAATATCGTTGCCTGCCCATCGAGAATAATAAGTTTCACACTCCAAAAAAAAAAATATCGCATCGGGACCATGCATCTGTAGAAACATATCACACTCATTACTTTTCTTCCAAAAAAAAAAGTTCTTATCCATAAATTTTAATATTTTTTGTCCATGTTTACTCTACAGTCGTTGTTCTTGGATGTTCTGTTCTTTATCAGCTATCGTCCAGTATCACCGTAACGGGGAAGGCCCTGCTGCGGACAGTGTCACAGTTGAGGCGCAGGTGAGCTGAGATTTTCACCACACCATTTGCAGAAATCACCGGCCATTTTCGTTCCTTTTCCGAATATGAAAAAGTTAGGAAAAGAAAAGCGAGCAACTTTTTGGCGACTTGAAAGGCTTCCAAAACTCAACCCCTCCCCCCATCTCTTCAAGCGTAGCACCTATAAGTCTCGAATTTGAACTTGGTATAAAAGCAAAGTGTTGAACTTGCTTGAGCGCCATTAAGGGAGTAGGTTTGTTATCTAGATGGCTGAAAAATGCATCTTTCTTGGTCGATACGTTAGTAGAGTATATGCTGAATCTATTTATAAACCGAATCATGCATTCAGTCTCGGTGGCGTATTCTTGCTTCACTGTCAATCAGCTTACAAAGCTCCTTCCGATATCGGTCTGTGAAGCAAAATTTTTCCTTCGTTTATTTGCTTGCTGTCATGGGACCAATGGTGACTTATGAGTTCACACTATGCCGAGACTTCTTGCTATACCATATTGGTGGACCAATCATACCGAACCGCACTTTTGTACACTGGTGTAACGAGGCTTGTGCTCCAATTTGGCATGATCAAATCGGGTAATCCATGCGTTATATGCGGTCCTAAAGTGCTCCGCAAAATTGACTTGAAACAGTCTACCTAACCTTTCTGATAGCTTGGCGTCCACAATAGAGTATCATTTTCAAATGTGTTGGTTAGAGAAAGCTTCTGTTCAGTGACAATTAATAACTTGTCAAAGCTTGTATCGGTGCGTCAATTAGATGGCACCGAGTGCTAACTCACAAGAGGCTTCTCTAAGATCAGCTTTTTACCAAAGCAATACAGAGACACAGCATTTGTTAAACATCCAGGCATGATTTTCTCTTGGCTTTTTCTTTTTTTGATTTACTGTACATGCTGTCATCACGTCAAGGGGGTAGTTTTGACACTCTCATATCATCGCTACGAGTACGACATCGCGTGATAAAGATTTTCTCACACAGCATGATATATACTCGGTCGGACCCAACCATTCACAGCATATCATCTCAACTTGGAATTGATCAATTGTTCAATAAATATCTGTTGTACTGCTTTATATCGTGTGATGGCAGTTTTAACCATACGCGATGTCATCGCGCTCGACTCTCTTTTGCTGACAAAAAGGTAAAAAGAAAGATACAACAGGGGTCAAGTCGACTTCATATGATCTTTTTGATCAAGATGGCGCGCATGGCAGAGAGTAGAAATTTTCTATAGATGGTGTGATTCCATCTTTCTCTGTTACATTGCATTTTTTTTTCGTGCAGGCGCAATTGATTCAGACTTCACACGCCTGCAACGTGCTTTCTAAGGTTATGAACTTGGCCTTCTCTCGCACTAGGATGGTCATAAAAGCGAGCAAGTGATCCTCTTATTACAGTCACCATACACACCATGATGGAGTAAACATGCACACCAACGAGTTTACAAGACTCACCATGACGTAGAATGGTCTGTCGTGAAAAGATAAAAAACCACGTTGACTGTAACCGGGGTCCATTCATGGAATGATGGGAGATGGACCGCCGTTTCTCGACATTTTTTAAACGTCCGATGAGGGCCGAAAATTTTGGGGGCCAAAATCGTGTCACAGCCCTTTGGAATCAGCCTTTTGGTCCAGCCAGCACTCCTTCATTCCCTTCCTCTGCTTCTACTGCGGGCCACGGCTTGTGTTTGTTCATTTCAAATCCAAGGAAGCTCTTTCATTTTATTTGACGAAATTTTCTGTCTCTACGGAGGTTATCACAGCTCTTTTTTTTCTATTACCGTCAGTGGCTCACTGACATGGTACACCTAGACCTCGTCTGCATCAAGAGCTTTTGTTTTACACGTCATTGTTATCGCCACCCGAGGCATCCCTTACATTAAATATGCAAAGACGTCGCTCTCTCGACTCACATCACGACCCTAAAGCCAGTTCTCACACTAATTCACCTTCCACGGCTTCACGTCCCAGCAGTCCTACTCGCACACCGCCTCCCTCACTGTCTTACACCATGCCTCCGCTTTCACTAAGTCCGAGACCGTACCCACGAGCCAACTCGGCCGAACAAACCAAAATTGAAGATCTGCATCCCACCAAAATACCATCCATACCATCTTCCATTAAACCATCGCGAAGAAGAGACTCGGGAGACGCCACCAAACCAACCGGTAAAGGAAAAAAATAAAAATAAAACCAACATATTATTTCATGTTGCTTCGAGATTCATGTTTACTTATTTCTGCAAATTTCATTCTTCTATATAGATACCGGGTCATCGTCCACCCAAGGTCAGAAAGATAAAAAACGACATCATTTATTTGGGCGGTTTGGGAAAAAGAAAAGTAAGTGGCTCTTTGCATCCATCCGTTCACTAGGCACGTGTAACCGTACCGTGTAAGGTTCTGATCCGCTCGATTTCTTCTTGTCGTCCATGCGTTATTAGGTCGTACGGATTTACAAACAGCCACCGGCACGCCGTATGGTTCCTCCGGCGCGTCCAGTCAAAATGCTTCCATGACCGATCTTCACCAACGTAAGCGGTCCAAAGATTCAGACGTTCGTTTCGGATTTTCCCATCCTCTGGATACCGAGAAACAAACCAGTTCAAGTGAACGGAAAAAATCGTCGGCTTCCAGCGGTCCCCGCAAAGGAAAGTCGCGAGAGAAATCAGAGAATAGCATCTTTTACCCATCGGGATATGAAAAGGTAACATGCCACCATCTTCTCCTCCAAAGGTTACTTGCTCGTACTGATTCATTCTTGATTTTTTTCGAACCCGTTTCTCATCTGTGGCAGAATATTGAGTGTAAGTGAGCTAGACAAACGAAAAAGGAAAAACGCAATAGCTTCACGTGAGACAGAGAGAATTGACATATGGCATCAACCGTTCTTTTTGGTGATTAGTGGATCAGAATTTCGCAAGCATGGATGGCATCATTAATCCCGAATTTTGTCACCCGACATCCACCGTTTTAGGCCAGGTGAGTGCTTTTTTTTTTCTACCCGAGAAACTTTCACACGAACGAAATCGATTAACGGGTGAAAACTGGTAGGATCTGGAGGGAGGACCGGCGGCCGAAATCTGGGCTCCACCCGACAGTTGGGGTGTTCAACCGGCTGAAGCAGAATCCTCTTCACAACCGGCCTCCTATATGGAGGACGAAGCGACGGATTTTGACGGCTATTCCATAGTAGGACAGGAGGAACATTGGGAATTACAAAAGAAAAATGTAAAGACTGAAAATGGATAATGCAGTTCATGCGCATGAACAAGGACTCACCCAAGACCTCAACGTTGTATAGTACTGTATTCGTATCTTTCGTCCCGACAACACCTTTGGCACTCTTCAACTGCCTCTCAACACAACCACCTATGATCTCATCCAACGTTTAGCGGGGAAGTTCTTTTTACACGATCTCAGCAAGTACAGCCTCTTGGTCACGCGTTACCATCTCGGTATTGAACGGAAGCACCTTTTTTTTTGCGTCGACCCCACTAATATGGTTTTCATGTAGAACGTGCATTATTGCCCAACGAGCGTCCGCTGCAGATGCAAAAAACTCTGCTTGAACAGATGGGATATACGGAACAAGATAAACTGTACGATGTCGGACGCGAAGATAATTCTTACCTTCTCCGTTTCACCTTTGGACCCAACCTTACCCAAACCTTGCATGAACAACCCGATGTCAACAACTACCAGCATACAAATTTCCAAGCGCGCAATTTGGCGACGATTCCGATTTTTCTCTACAAGCATGCAGCAAACATTATTTCCCTGGATCTGTCCGAAAACCTGTTGATTGAACTGCCCATCGATTTCATCCAGATGTGCAAACGGCTCAAACAGTTGTCACTCGCTGGAAACGAGTATACAGCCTTGCCTTATTCCACCAAATCCATGCAAGGACTCCAGCAGCTGAATATTTCCAATAATCGTCTTCGTGAATTATCCCACGCTCACATTGAAGAAATGACCCATCTACTGGTTTTGCATGCGTTTAATAACCGCCTCACCTCCTTACCCGACACTTTCAATTCATTGCAGCATTTGACGGCTCTGTATATATCCAACAATGCCATGACCCAATTTCCGCCCGTCATTTGTCAATTATCGGCTTTGGAGTACCTCGACATCAGCTTTAACAAGATAACCGTGCTCCCCGACGAACTAGGCAATCTTCGCAAGTTGATTGGATTTTACGCCATTGCGAATCGTCTAAGTGGCAGCTTGCCATCCACTTTCTCCCAGTTGGAAAACTTGCATGAACTGGATATTCGTCAAAACTTTATCACGGAGCTCGACGTGATCTGCTTGTTACCCAAACTGGAAATGGTCTATGTCGATTACAATGCGGTGAGCATTGTCAGCTCCCAGTTCAAGAATATCAAAAAGCTGCAAATGTGTAAAAATCACTTGACCCAGTTCAATCTCGGCTTCTGTCAGTTACCCGAAGCAGGAACCCTGTCCGCGAGCTTACCTCATCCAGTGCCATCGTATACCGTGTCATGCCTACTCACCGATCTGAACCTCGCCAACTGCAAACTATCCTCGATTCAATCGGACGTCTTCAAAAGTTTGACACTGCTGGAAACACTGGTTCTGGATAGTAATACGCTCAATTTTCTGCCGCGCACCATAGGCGTCTTGACCAAACTGGTGCGACTTTCCGTGCAAAACAACCATCTTGAAAATATACCCATGGAAATTTCCAAATTACCGGAACTCAAGGTCTTGGATGCACAGAACAACAATATCAAAATGTTACCGCAGGAAATTTGGTTATGTCCGTCCTTGCAGACCCTCAACTGTTCTTCCAATCTTCTTCGCGCATTTCCTGATCCAATCCATGTCACGATCCCCGGCAATACTGTGCTTCCCCCGATTTTACCTTCGAACGCCGCCTTTTCTTCCCACATGGGTCAAGGCATTGCGCCTCCCCCAAGAGAAGCTTACGCCGGTCCCGGGCCGCAGCAACTGTCGTCTTCCAGCTTGCTGAGCGGTCATTCACCTCCCACATTCAATCCACCCTCCTTTTTCGCCAGTCCTCGCAACCATCCTCCGCCATTGTCTCTATCGCTTCGCCAGCTGTTCTTGGGTGATAATCGATTAACTGACGATGTTTGGTCGCCCTTGTCTCTTTTCTTGGAATTGCGCACGCTCAATCTATCGTTCAACGATCTGTACGAGATCCCCTCGGAAGGTTTATGCCATCAACATCTGTACGAGCTGTACCTGTCTGGCAACGAACTTGCGTCCTTGCCAGCCGACGATATTGAGAAACTTGGCTATCTACGTGTTCTTGCTGTCAATGGCAACAAGTTACAAACCTTGCCAGCGGAAATCGGCAAACTTCGAAAATTGCTCGTGCTAGATGTCGGTAACAATGTCCTCAAATACAATATTGCCAATTGGCCGTATGACTGGAATTGGTAAGTTGTTGATCGTTTTTTCTTTTCTTCAACCATGCTTGGTTTTTAAAACAATGGCTTATCATTTATTTAGGAACTGGAATTTGGGGCTGAAATATCTCAACTTGTCGGGCAACAAACGCTTGGAGATCAAAAAGACGCAACCGGACAGCATTAATCCGAAAGAAAAGAATCTTTCCGACTTTAGTGCGCTGGCACGACTGCGGATGTTGGGGTTGATGGACATCACCATTTTGGGGGTGTCGACGCCGGAAGAGACAGAGGATCGCCGTGTGCGCACGTCCCCGTCGGATGTGAACAATATGGGCTACGGTGTGGCGGACTGGTTAGGACCCAGTGATCATTTAGCCACGTGGGATCTCGTCATGCCGCGATTCCGAAACAATGACGATGAATGCATATTTGGCTTGTTTGATGGACGTAAAAACAGTCGCATGGGATGTCGACTGACCAAATATCTCAACGACAATCTGACCCGACATTTCGCTGACGAATTGATCAAAACCAAGGATGACGAGACCGTGGTATCGGCGCTTCGACGAACCTTTTTGACCCTGGAGAAAGAATTGGGCTCGGCACCAGACCGTGATAAAGAAGCTGGCGCGTCCGCCGTCGTCTGTTACATCAGCGGTACCAAACTTTATGTTGCCAATGTAGGAGACGCCTTGGCTATTATTTCTCGCAATAGCGGTCAAGCGTACGAAATTACCCAAAAGCATATCCCATTAAATCCCAGTGAAACAGCGAGAATACGAAGCGCCGGTGGATTTGTATCCAATGCCGGCCTGTTGAACGATCGGTTAGGCGTGTCTCGCAGTTTTGGCTACTTCAACTTGATTCCCGTCGTGAACGCGAACCCTTACATTTCACTGATCGAATTGACGGAGAATGACGAGTTTGTCATCATGGCCTCGCGTGGTTTGTGGGAGCGCATGTCGTATCAAACGGCGGTGGACATTGCACGTACCGAACGAGATGATTTGATGGCTGCAGCACAAAAACTTCGTGATTTCGCCCTGACGTATGGTGCCGACGACAATGTCATGGTCATGATCATCGGGGTCGGCGATCTCTTTGATAAACGTGATAAGCGGCTACGCAACTTGCGAGGCATCAATGTCAGTCGCGCAGGCAGTGGTTCGGACGGTAGTGGTATGACATTGGAAGAAGCGGCATTGCGACCAGGCAGTATAGTTGTAGGCAAAACCAAACGACGTGGCAAAGAAGAAGAACCAGGAGATTCGGTAAGCTTAAAAGCCAGAACTCGGAATAATTGGGCCCACATGCACTATGCACACAAAATGTATTCACGATTGTGTTAATTTTCTAGACGTTGGCACGTTTGCAACGAGAAGTGCCTCCACCGATCAATCAGGTGGCTCTTGTGTTTACGGATATCAAGAGTTCAACGTTACTGTGGGAAACCCAGCCAGAAGATATGCGATCGGCGATCAAGATTCATGACGCCGTCATGCGTCGTACATTACGTACTGTGGGCGGTTACGAAGTGAAAACGGAAGGAGATGCATTCATGGTGTGTTTCCAAAATATTACCAGTGCGTTACTTTGGTGTTTCACTGTCCAGCTGCAGCTACTGGAAGCAGATTGGCCCGCGGGTATTCTCGATACAGAAGAAGGCCGCGAGATTGAAAAGGACAGTGTCATCATTTATCGCGGATTATCGGTGCGTATGGGAATTCATTGGGGTACACCGGTATTTGAACGCAATCCTATCACGAACCGTATGGACTACTTTGGTCCGGTGGTGAACAAAGCGAGTCGTATCTGCAACGCGGCGGATGGTGGGCAGATTTGCGTGTCGTCGGATGTCATTGCAGCTCTACGCAATATCACGGGCCTGATTGTCAACGACAACGACGGTACATCGATGGATGAACTGGCAGCTTCGGTTGCGGCTTCCGGCAGTTATTCTGTGGGACGAGATATTCAGCAACTGAAACGACTTGGATTTCATGTGATGGAACTGGGCGAACGGCGCTTGAAAGGATTGGAAACACCGGAAATGTTGAGTTTGGTGTATCCGAAGCAGATTGCGGGACGTATGGAGTTGGATAAGAGCGCCATTATCAAGAATGCAGCTTTATTACCGGAAACGGAGCCGCCACGATTGACGGTCACTTCTGGGACACCTTCTCCTGCCTCGGAAATTGAAGAACCTCCGGAAGTGGGTGCTCCTTCGCCTACGAAACAAGTTGGCAAAGTCCAGCATCGTCCATCTATTACGCGATCTCCGGGATCAAACGGCGCTGGTCGCATCCTTGATCCGTCACTTGTTTGCGCGCTAAATACACTGGCGATTCGCTTGGAGCACATCACGAGCGGAAAGGCGGCGCCAAAATTGACAGCGCAGGCCATCGAAAACGGTGAGGTGGAATCGTGCTTTGTCGGTGCGATGCACCGTCACATCCAGTACGATGCTTCCGATGAAGAGCTCATGGCTTTGGTCGAGAACTTTGTCACCCGCATCGAGGTAGGTTGAAGACTGTTGAACCATTGCTCAACTTGCCACAAATATGGATAGGAAGCGGATGATCTAATCTTACTTTATTTTTCTTGTAGAATGCCGCCTCTTCGTTATATTTACAAAAAGTGGGACGATTTGCCAGCGTGCTGGAAAAACTCGGCGAAGCCATTGAAGTTGATTCTATGCACATCTTGCGCGCTTTGCAAATGTACTCTGAGGTGAGCGGATTGTCCACCAAGCCTTAATATGACATCTTTCTCTCTTCCTCCTTGTCCCTTGTTCCTTTCCTATTCATCTCCATCATTATTTCGTCAAATTTCCTTTCCATCCATCCGTCTCGCAGTAGACTTGTATGTGTGAGTTGTCGCACTATCAACCTGCAAAAAGCGTTTAATGCTCCTTCTTTTGTGTATAATTTTCTCATTCTCCCTTTGCGTGGCTGGCCCCAACGTAAATAAAGCATTGTATGATGTTTAGGTGGGACGATGATGGGCGTTGCCGAAACAATGGCAGTAAGATGTGGAACCCTGGTTCGTCCATGCTCGTGACACCAATCCCACCAATCAAATGAAACATCAACTTTATACGATAATTTGCGCTGCTTTTTTATTTTTTTATTCCCCGTGTTCAGGTTTTATCACTTCAACCTTCATTATTGCGCCGAGACAAGTTCCGTCGATTGCTCTCTTTCCGCTTCCTTATTTCTTTTCTCTCTTATTACCATGACAGATAGCAATAGTCCAGTCAAGGACGAGACTTCCGTTTCACGTCCCGAATCACCTATACCAAGCCCTGCTTCTCATGCCAAAGACCATGATGAGGAACCCAAATCTCCTGTCGAAGAAGAACAAGTTCAAGAAACCTTCACCGATGCCGTCGACGAAGGAGAAAGTCAAGACGGAACCGAGTTGTCGCAGGTGATATGTGCACTTCAGGGTTCCGTCGCTGCAAGTGAAGCAAAAAATGAAACTAAACGCGATAAGGAAACCGCCCCGGAAACCAGCGAACCTTCAACTGCGGCCAACGATCAGGAGGAAACCAATGAGGTGGCTGTCATTGCAGTGGAACAAGACGATGAAACCGCCGTCGAGCCTACACCTACACCTACACCTACATCGGTTAAAGAACAACAGCAACAACCGGAGGAGAAAGAAGAAGAAAAAGACGGTCAAAAGACAAAGGAGTCACCGGCGGCGGTGGCAGAAACGGAGGTTCCGCTTTCGGCTACGAGTGAGCCTACAACGCCCAAACCGGAATCTCGAAAGATAGAGGGATTAACTGTGATGGTTGGAACCGAAGCGATACGTAAATCGATTGAAGTGCCTGCTGGAAAGAATATGGCCGACTATGTCACGCCACCCACACCAGGTTTGGCCCCACCTCGTGAGAATAGTGAAGAACATCAAGATGCAACAGACGACAACGAATATTCCAAATCCAGTTCCTTCACCATGGCCAATATCGATCTCAAAAATGTTGGACCCAACACTCTGAATCCTCGAGATCAGGAAAAAGCAGGTAATCTATGGGCATCAGTGAAGGGATAAGCGGCTCGGCTGTGCCGGATCATCGACTGACCTTAATTTTTCCTGAACAAGATGAGGAGATGCTGCGGGGTATGAATTTATTCTTCAATAACAAATTCTCCAAGGCGAAAGCCGTGTTTGAGACCCATGCAAAAGAGTAAGTTGAAAGGGAAGAACGGGAAGGATGGCAGCTCGGTTCTTGGACTGATCACGTGAATGGTGCAATCTAGGGATCCACTCTACGCTTTAGGTTTAGGCTCCATGGCCTTCATTAAAGGTAAGCATCTGATAAAAAAGAGTGCCCAAATAAAAGAAGTGGCCGTGATCATTAATGCATTAAACTTTTTCTTTTGGTTTCTAGCTATCACAGTAAGCGCGCATTAAATTCAATGAATACAGTATCAGTAATAATACTAACTCGCTTGATTCCGCAGTCTTCCGACAGTGGCGACGCAGACATCGCGATAGCGTCACTCTTGGAAACCTATCGATTTGCTGGGGCACAGATCGATGCAGCATCAGCAAAGAAGCCGCTCAAGGATACCGTATCGCATTACATTACTAATTTGATGGGCAATAACCCTACCAACCTACCAACAAACACCAGTCCACTCAATCAACAAGAACTGAACAAATTGAACAGCTTCCTTCCCAACGGCGCTTTGCGTGCGCACGTCATTAAAGCCGAGTGCAGTTTATTGATGGCAATTATTCACCTCAACAAAGAAACCGTCGCCGGCTATCTCAAATGTGGATTAAACCTTCGTCGAGGTAAGATTTATCTCTGTGATTGGAGGCGATCAGGTTCTTTTTCCTCACACCACCTTTTTTCTTTTTAGCCTACAACAGTTACAGTCTGGTATGGCAAGAGTATAAACGCATGGGACAAGACTTCCATACGCACTTGGATCAGGACACTATATCAGCTATTCAGTTTGGGTAAGAAGCATCAGGTGCAAGATGTGAATAAGTTGCAGAAAGTGGTTGACCTAATCGCTTTTTAAATAGTATTGGCTCGGTTCATTTGTTGTTATCTTCCTTACCACCCAAGATCCTCAAAGTCGTGTCTGCGTTTGGCTGGAATGCTGATCGTCACCTCGGTTTTGCTTTGCTGAAACTATGCTTGGAAGGCAAACGTATCCGGTCGCCCCTGGCTTCGATCACGTAGGATGGCATTGAATCATTATAATTGGTTATCTGAAATTACTCACTTTTGCATGTCATGTAGTCTCCTTTCTTACTATGTCATTTTGACATCTTATGCGCCTCAAATCCTGACCCGTGAATTAATTCAACCTGCGATTGAATGTCTGCTTGATGCTCAGCAAAGCTATCCCAATTCGGCCTTTTTCCTGTACTTTGCTGGTCGAGTATCTCGTCTGGCCAAAAATCTGTCGCTGTCAACCCAATCATTCATGTATACTTACGAAGTGAGCCAAGGCGAATGGGCGGAAGGTACCATGGGGCAGCTGGCTACGTACGAGATTGCATTCAACTGTGCCATGGGACTCGATTGGGCTAGTGCGGCTGTCAAAGTATTGGAACTACAAGATAAGCAGCACAGTTCGCCCGCATTTTTGAAGTATGTCTATGGTGCGTGCATGGAAATGCTGGGAAACCGCACCGAAGCCATTCTTGCATTTGCGGAAGCCTCCCAATTGATCGATAAAAAGAAGAAGACCGAGCTGGAGCAATATGTAGCTCATCGCATTGAATTTTTCGAACAGAGCGGATACCAAGATTTAGGATTCTCGCTTCCTGCGCTCGAGATTCTGTTTATGTGGAACATGTTCCCGAACATGACAGAGAATGCATTGGAGCGATGCCTTGAACACATCGACACGACCCTGGAATCGATCTATGAACGGGAAAAACAGGAATACGAAGTGCGCATTTTCGAGTTGGCTCCCGGCACCCCGACACCAGACTATTTCGAACAACGCGGATGCTTGCTCCTCATGAAATCATCGGTATTGAACTCGCTTGGCCGAGAACGGGAATCAATTGTCCATTTGAACTGGATCATCGATCACCGAGAATGCATGAAAACATCTAAATGGATTCTACCCTTCACTTACTGGTATGGCTATTGCTGACTTTAGGTATGGCATGTCTATGTGCTGACCCATATTCCTCTTTCTGAATTACAGGGAATCGGGTATTACGTCCTGGAAAATGGAGGAATTCCAACGTGCTAGAGCCCTATGGGAAACGGCACTGTCCTATTCCAGCTATGATTTTGAATATCGATTAGCTATTGTAAGTACAATGATACAGGAACTGTGTTTGGCTTGAGGTAAAATAGTTATTCATGTTGATGGTACAATAGCGACTGAATCTTGCAATTACTCATGCTGTCGAGCTTGGCATTCCTGGGCCCACTCCTCCAAAAGCCGAAAAGGGGCCGACCACCAATGGACGTAAAAGAATGTCGATTGTGAGCAAGGTCAACGGCACGGTACAAACATAAATAACTTTCAAGTGCTCTATTCTTTTCTTTTTCTATTACTATGTATACTATTTTGTATTTGTATTTCGTATATTGTAAGATATTCTTGTTGCCTGCTAGACTGGGGTAAAAATGTTTGGCCCAAAACTTTGCCTGACTTTTGGATACACAAACATCAATTTTTTAAGATTCATATCCGAGTCATGGCTTTTTCTGGTCAATATTCTTATGAGCTATTATAACGAAGCAAAATTTCAGTTTGCATCTCGTCCATCGAATCCCTACGGTCCTTGCACCTCAGTGCTGTAACGTCACTTATCTGTTACTAAATTACAGTAGCAATGCCGCCTTGATCGTTCAAACAAATTTTTACCAGTGCGTCAAATGACAGATGAGCTTTTCCGAGAAAAGCTACACCGCATGATGATTGTAAAACCAAAAATAAACAAAAAGACAGACTTGTACGTTCATCACTCAACCTTCGGCAGGAAAGTCATGTTGATCAATTTCTAAATGATACTTGCTATGTTTCTATATGATATTATGATGATTTCTTTCTTTGGTCAAGTCTGCTCGGACATGTATACGCCGTCATATGTCTTCGTCTTCGGATATGATGTGGTCGCCAAGCACCCGCGGTGCCGCTTTCAACAGTCGTGAGCCGAGAACCCGAATGAATTTGGCAGCTTGCTCAGACAAAGTTGTTGGTATGAGGGCCATCGAAGCTGGTGTAGCTAAACAGCAACAGTGTCTTTTCTTCTTTCGGCTTTCCTGTTCATTTTCAAAATATCATAAAAAAAGCAAGATTGATTTACTTTCTTATATTGTGATCCTGATGACATAATAAACAATGCCGAACGTGTTATGTTTTACAGCATTAGAGGATATTCTCCACAAGATAGTATGCAATCCGTGATTGTCGTAGTGATCGATGTAAATCGTTGTCTTGGTAGTCCTGATCAGAGTATAATCCAAGTGCGGTATCTTTTGTAGCGAATGAATTTTTTTTAATATGCATACCGATGTGGAATGGGTTCGTTCTGCATGCATGGTCGAACTCACTGTGTTACACCTCGGAAGATCGGCTTCAATTATTTTGATTTGCTTTTGCAATAATACTGGTACACCTGTTTCTGTGTGGATTTTACTCCGGCTGCGAAATGTCGGAGGCCTGAATGCTGGTGAAAGATCGTGGGGTTCACGGTTACATCTCCATGGAAATGCAAGGTCATCCTTGTAACACAATGAGACCAAAATTTTTTAGATGTCTTTGGGTCCTGACAAATTTTTCACCAATGACGACTTTGGCGGTTCTGTTGAGAGCATGGCAAACAATAACGCGACGATGTAACAAATATTTCTCGGCATCGGATAATAACCGGGTGATGCCCGAATGCCGAGATGCCCTGTAACTAATGTGACTTTCGGGGCTTGTATCATGGAACCGCTAGACTGTTCCAAGTCACGATATTACCTTGGCATGCAACCTAGCAATACCCTGAAAAAATGGCATTGACTGAGGGACACCGGCGGTGCGTTTGCCTGGACAACGACCGCTTCCAAATTTTCCATTCAATCCCTGAAAAATTTAAGCTATTTTTAGGCCTGAAAAAAAAATTCCTCAATTAACCGGAGCGGTGACGACATGAAGCCTAACAGAATTGACGTGCTTGCATCAGCAAACTACTGTTTTTTCCCATCTCGAAGGCAGGATATCTTTGTTATCTAATCTACTTTCATATACTAAATCATTCAGATTCGAAACCAGAAACGAGTAAATTTTTCATTTCAACCTGAAGCGGAGATTCTCCCTTCTTTCATTTCTTTGGTTTTGTGGGGCCAATACAGGCGGAGTTGCGGTGTGGAATGAGCGTTATTCAAGGTCGACGAAAACAGCCAAGTACTTTATGTCAGTCCCCGCTCTTGTGCAATGCCCGTGAACAAGCTGTTATGTCAGTGGAATAAAGTGAAAAGCAAAGAAAAGTTGATGATTTCATAAAATAATAGTTTCATCAGAGTTTATAAAAGGGATGATGACCCTGACAAAGTAAAATGAATAAATAAGATAGGTCTATTGATACGATCATGATGGAGGATTTTAGTTTGGGGACAAAGAAGAAAAATGGCATACAGGTTAGAAATTAAGGGTGACGAGATGAATCAATAGTATTAAAACTTCTATAAATGATTATAAATATTGCAAGCATATGTACATGTGGGAGAAAGAATGTAGGATGAATGGTGGTGAACATGGCAACCATGTTCCAATTATGCGTGGGTAATTCAGTACGCTGCGTCGGTTTTGGTGGGCGCTGTGGAAGATGGTGCGTAAAAGTAAAAGGCATCGATGGCTTCATCGGATTCATCGCTCAGATACCGTTGAATATGCGACAACGAATCATCGTCATAGGGTAGTTCCTCGTTTTTCCATTTGCATTTGTTGCACTCGTATCGCACACGCATGTTGTTGGCAATCCGTTTATTGAGCAGGATGAGTTGTTTCTCCGATCTCATTAACTGCACCGATGCTTCACTCTTGCACTTTGGGCAAGGATGGCTGGCATGCTCAAGCGAAATCTTCTTGCCAGAGTTGCTTACTAAAAAGAATGAAAAGGATGTCCTATGTTAGCATGCTTTCTACTTTCAATGCCTTCCTTTCCCATTTGTATTCCTTTACTCTTTCATCGACACTGTACCTAGAACAAAAGAGCCGGTCATGATATTTTTTAAAGTCGATCAGATAGGTAGGTACAAAGAAACTCGGAGGATTAAAAAAGAAAGCAGATACACCGAGTTTTTAATATAGTAGAGCAAAAGAAAGAACCAAAAAGCGGAGAAGGCGGGCATTAATAAAGTGAGGACCGCTTTTATAACTGCGTGAAGTGGGAGCCACGTTGCTTGGAGTAGGTCATCGGTTTAATGTCGTGTAACAACCAAAAAAGCTTGCCCTCTCCAAGTAAAATGAGCTCAGCCCTTGTGATACTCACTACCTTTCGAAGAATTTTTTACCATTCCCATGACGTATCGTCTCACCCAAAGCACGAAACTTTACACTCATTCATTACAATCGTTTGTACATTACCCATGTAATGATAACATAACTCGTATTTCTTTATTTCACTGAACTGCGGTTCCCCTGACATGGGAAAATTAGAAAATGATTGTGCATATCTTTGGGCCAATCTCGACCAGTCAAAACGAAGAAGGATGAGCTTTACTAAAAATATACGGTACTTGATGGGCTGCAAATGCCTGCATCGCGCCAAAAATGGGCCATCCTTTCACGCAGTCTCTGGTTCTCCCTGTTCACACGTTGCCAAAAGTCATCATGTCAAAAAAAAAAAAAAAAAGTTGGATCATGCGCAGCCAACGGAATGAGGTGACCTGTAAAATGATATCGCAATATAATGCAGCCAATCAAATCAGCGCGCTGTTTTTCTGTTCATTCTCACGTCGATCAACATCAAGCGATCCAATACATTATCTCACACATGGCATGAATAGAGTCTAACAAGATCAACCTGAAGAATATTGATTGTTCCTCCTCGCATCATCAAGACGTACGATGATTCATTACAACCATCGAGACACCGTTTGAGGCGGATCATGGTCATATTAAAAAATAGTGTAAACGGCTCAATCGATCGATTCGTCAGCAGAGGCAATAAAACAGAAGACACCATGCTTGCGGTGAAATACGTAATGATGTTGCTGTAGCGCATGTGGATAGGCTGAACAATGCTATAAGTAAAGTACGGCACAAAGAAATGAACGAATCATGTCCTAGTTCTTAGATCGAATGGTTTGCCTTTCTAAACCTTAATGAGTCAATATATCTAGTTTATTGGTTATCTTGTTTGTCTGCTTCTGGCGATGATGCCCGCAATTTCTCCGCTCGCTCCTTGGCGGCTTCTTTTCGTTGTCGCTCATCTTGACTAATCTCCGGCAGCCATTCCATGAGGTTGCCCATTTGTTCCACGCCTTGCTCATCCACGACAATTTTGCGGATGCCTTCTCCTTTTTCTTTCACGAGATCCTCAATCGTTGTTTTGCCATCACGGAACCAGCCTAGATTATCGGCAATCAAGTGTCGGTTTTTGCAACCGGGACATTGAATCAAGACGACGCCACGTGTGTATGCGATTTTGGACATGACATGGTGTGATCGCTCTTCGCATACTTTGCATGTGAACCCAATGAGCATCTGGTGCTTGGGATGAATAGGGTCTTGCTCATCTGGTTCTTCATCTGCTGCGGGTACTTTATGCTCTTCTTTGACAAAACTGGCGTGGTGAAAGAGTGACTGCTGCGCCGCCCAACGTTGGGTAAAGCAAAGCGGCATGGGACGATACGGCCGCAATAAACTTGTCCATGGCGCTGCCACCGCGACTCGGTGAGACATTGAAAGTCGTGGCCGTAGGCCTGGATGCTTGACGGTATGGAAAACGGCTCTTCTTAGCAACTGCATTACTAGGGTCAACTACGAAGCGCACTTTGGGTCCAAGCCCTCGTGCCAGGTCAAGTGGCGGCGGAGTGTGACTTGCGACAGCACCTTGCTGTGTTCGGAGCAAATTGTGCAAGACATTTTTTACTCTGCTGAGCTGAGGAGCAATTGCTATCAGTCCAGTGAACCCGATCATTCAGCACTTATGAAGCCTATCATATGGTGTAAAGTAAGAAAAAAGAGAGAAAAATTTTCATAGACTTGTTTCTCGAAATTTACTGTTTCCATTGTAAGAATGCATATTGGGGGATTTGATACTTTATAAAAGAAAGCTTCATTACTGTATACATAGAATAGAACGTCAGCAAAGTATAAAAATGAGGTTTCAATAACGGGAAAAAAGTCTAGGCTGCAAATCCACGGCTACCATGACTACGCCAATCGTTCATATTTTGTAACGTGTTGTATCGCAAATAACTGCGTTACCCGCATTCACTTGCATATAATGTTGCGAAATTCGGGGGTAGACTGCAGTGCTTCCCGCAATAAGAATTTATGGATTTGATTTGTCATCAATGGGGTCATTTCAACAAAGACGCCACTAAAAAAGGGGGGGGGTGTATCAGTGCCTGTCGATCAACGCACGTTTTGCAAGTTCGACGGTTCGATCGATCGCTCGTTCGCTAAAATGTCTATCGTGCAGTTTGTTTTTTTGATCGGCTCCAGGCTTTCCACTCTGCAGACAATCCTTGCATCCAAATTCGTTGATATGCCGCAGCGACAAGATAATCTTGATTCCAAAAATGGGCAGCATGATCCACGTCAAAAGAAGAATTTACTGCCTACTGTATCGAAGAAAGAACACACTTCTGTATGACAATACATCAAGAACCCCGAAACATGCAACCCCAAGCATGGGCGGAAATACAAAAAAAAAAAAAATCAGCACGGCACCCGTCGGCATTCCGTGAAACCCGACGGTTATCGCGTATCAGTTCCGTGAACCGTTGTCGTGGTTCAAACTCGGTTTTTTCCTTGTAAAGGGAGAACGGAAAAAAAGTTTACGTGTTGTGCTGTATGTTGTAAAAAAGCAAAAAAAAAAAAAAAAAAAAAAAAAGCCAGATCTCGATAAGGTTAACCTGCCATGGTAGCTTATTCACGACACAGACGCTTATAGATACTCGTCATACGAGTTGGCAACATGATTGTTTACATGTTGGCCATCCTTCATCGTGGAAAAGGAAGGGGGCAGATGATCACGAAAAAAAAATACCGGATGCATCGCGTATCATAACGAATGGTTAACTGTGATTGGACCGTATTACACGCATTCGTATGTGATCTGGCATGCATGTGGCTCAACAACAGGTCATAATTCATTCAAGAAATTCTCATTTGATAATAAGCGATAAAGATTAGGGTTACTAAAGTTTACCTTTTCAAGCCCTTTGTCAAACCGTTCAATAAAGTTACAGTTTCTGGCCCCAGTGAGTACAACCGTGGAGGGAAATTCAAGGGCAGACTGGAGATTCTATTATCATTCCAAACTGTCGTCCAGGTTTTCCATTGGTCTCCATGCCAAAATACGGTTGCATCCGACGCAGCCGTTGGTTTGCCGCGTGGTATAAAAAAAAAAGAAAAATACGGATGATTTGGCTTCGTCTGAGTTGGGGTGCATGTTTTTTGGGATTTTTTTCCTATTTGGGAGAGCTGCATCGGAAAGTGAAGAGCCAGGCATTTGAGTCACTTTGGAGTTTCATCATTGCAACAATGGATGTTTCCATTTTACAGCTTGTTACACGAAAAGATAAGCAACTCCTATTCCCGATGATCGCGTTTTACAGTAATTCTTTGTTTAAGCTTGGGAGTGTGCAACTTGCCAAAACCCATTCAAGCATCAAGATCCGTCCTGCTTTAGGAAATTCGGTGTGGCGTTCCCTTTTTACTCAGTGGGAAAAAAAGGGGGCAAGAAACAGGGCGGAAAAAAAAAGAGTCATTTCAAAAAAATAAAAACGCACATTTCGCATCAGTGTTCCGGTACAACATCCCCAAATAGGCATATTTCCATTTTTGTTCAGATCTACTCGGCAACCGCATTTGGTAGTTTAATAAAATAGGATAGATGTACCACTACAGCTTGTGTTCAACGTTGCTTGCCACATACATTGGGGTAATTATTTTTTTTTTGCGAGCAAAAAAAAAAAAAAAAAGAAAAAAAAGGGTTCTATATACATAAGATAATAAGTTTACATCAACAACAAAAGATCAGAAGAGAAATGAAAGGAGTGAAAGAGGGGCGGAATCGACGCAGGGTATAACAAAGGAAGAAGAAAAAAAAAGCATAATATGAATACAACAACTAGATATGTATAAGAAAGGATATTAGAAAAAACAAAGAAATAGTGGGGCATAGGAGCTTATTTGGAGGCAGCACTGCTGCATCCATTATCGACTTTGAGATGTCGGTTGAGGGCGTCCATACGAGCAAAGGTCTTGTTGCAGATAGTGCATCGGTGAGGCTTGATCCCCCAGTGAAGTTTTTCATGTCGGTTACGATCGTGTTGACGTGCGAATTTACGACCACATTCTGAGCAAGCAAAGGGACGATCCGAAGTGTGAGTACGCATATGTGATGTGAGGTTATAAGAACGCGTGAATGATTTTCCACAGCCCGGATATTGACACTGATGGGTTCCCGAATTGCTGCGTGCGCGGCGGTCACTGTTGCTGCGACGCACCGATTTAGTGGTATAACCAGCCGGGACTTGTCCATCCGATGCCACAGTATACTTTGGAGGTTCAGAGACACGGCGAGGACGACGTTGTTTTGGCTGCGCCATCTCGGGGCTTAATAAAGGCATCTCGGGACTGTCATAGTATTGCAATTCGGGAGATGGGGTATAGACGGAATGAGCTTCGAACCAAAGATCGGAAGTCTGGGTAGGTGATCCGGCGGGAGTCCAGCTGAGCCAATCCACTGGACCACAGAGTTCCGTATTGGGTTGCAGTTGCAATGCCTGATCCTGGGATTGAAATGAAGATTGGATATCATATGCTGGCGAGAGCTGGTAATAGGGAATCTGTTGTTGCTGCTGCTGCTGCTGCTGCTGTTGTTGTTGTTGTGGTTGATGACAAGAATGAGTGGATGGTTGATCGAAAGGTTGTCCATGGTTGGAAAGGAAGGAGCCGAAGAACATCAACTCCGATGCAAAGTTTTCTTGCTGGATCGGGGTCGGCTCAGTCACGGAAATACAAGGTTGGATGTTTTCAAGATTTAAGCTGGGAGCAGGAGCATAAGTTGGAGGGTGATCGATTTGAAGACGAGACACGGCCTGGGACAAATCGCCACAGGATGGTGTGTATGCATGATAATAAGACATGTCGGCAATGGGGGCCATTAGAGGTAATGATGACAACGGAAGGTTTATATTGGATTGAACGCATGGTACATGATTGACATCGGGATTAAACATAAACGTATCATCAATACAGAGCGAATTGGATACAATGTCTTCCGAGCTAGGTTGCTGCGACAGCGTTGGAGTGGATAAATCATCTTGAAACATGCAATCAGGCACAATTGGATCAAGCGAGGGCAAATTGGCAAGCCAAGCCGACGATTCAAAGAAAAGAGGTTTTTGCTCAAAGGTCATGGTGGAGGATCAATAAAAAGATAAGCAGGTGCACAAACAGGGTAAAAAGAATAATAGAGAAGAGAGACGTAAAATAAAAATAAAAAAGATGCAAGGAAATAAAACAGATAAACTTGATGTAGAAAGATCCAAAGTGAACCTGTTTGTTCTCGGTTTTTATATATCGGCGGTTTAACCTCTATGGCAAGATTATTTATAGTCCCAGCCATCTGTTGTTAAGTTACACCTGTGGCTGTTGGACTGCATGTGATGAACCTTGTCCCACGTTCCTAGACTTGATGTGTCAGTTCAAGATGAGCAAACATCTCCCTTGCTGCTAAAAATAACGCTTTGCAGCACGAAAAAAAAAAAAAAAAAGAAAAAAAAACTGATGCCGGAATTACGCCATTCTGCCTGGTCTCTCCTTATTATGCTGCTGCGTATATCAGCCACAGTCACCCTCTGCTCAATTTTTTTTATTCGTCTGTGATCACTCGTTTCGGTTCCCGATAGTGAAAAGAAAGCAAAAGAAGGAAATGATAAGAGCAAGGTGTCGTTAGAGCCCAAGGATTGAACTCTATATACTGCAATTGCAAAAAATGCAAAAAAAAAGACCATGATCACGGTCAAAGAGAAAGGTAGTTGGATTGTATATTTTGTGCTGTGGAGAGAGAGATCTATTTTTTTAAGCGCGGTATTAGAGAACAGGGTTGCTCAGCGCCTCCATGCGCCACTCTTTTTTTGTTATCTGCGGGATTAAGCGAAGCGGATTGAAAAAAACGAGGGCCATTCGTGTGACTGTGACCCTCGTTTCTTTTTTTGATCAAACAGGATCGCCCTCGTTTTGGCTAGGTAAGAAAATCCATAACGACCCGCTACGATATCGTTTCACGACCATCCGTTTTTGTTACATATTGATATCATCAAAGTATGAACTAGGCTGCAATTAAAAAAAAAAGACAACGCAAGAATGGCCAATGGTGAGTGATCGAGTGACCCCATCCATTTTGCCTTGAAATTGTCCAATAAGAATCCCGCATTCATAAATTACCTTTTCCTCTTTTTTCGGACCGTCTTTGTTATTTTTTTTTCTGCAGCCAAAAAGTGATCATGCCGTTCGTTGCATTAACCACACTGCATATGGATTATTAAGCATGGGGTATTTTTTCTGCCAATTTCGATTAGCGCATCTTGCAGAACCAGGGACATAGCAAGACCGCAGCAATGCACGGTGGTTTCCCTCCACTTGTAGCCGTATTTTTTTTATCGGCTTGGCATGCAATGCTAAAAATACTCGACAGCTCTTTTTTATTTTATTGTTTTTTTCGGAAAATGAGTATACCCGTCATTTTTTAATTTCTCCTGTTGTTTGTTCATGGCAAGACCTAGCGAGTTTCGAATCCCGATAATGTAGTGCTGGTTGTAACAAAATAAACGCGGGCTCCTACCAACATGGGGAGATTCCTTGTAATTAATGTATTACATAACAATACGTAAGCAAAAACTAAAGTTGGAAACGGATGAAATAGTGTTATTTTCTTTCTGACATTGGTCGTTACTGTTCCTTTGTTGGGGCTCCTATCTACGACTTGGCATAGATAAAAAAAAAAGCTCAAAATAGTGGTGGCCTCCCCTCTGTATTACTAATCAATCACCCAAGCCTAATATGGTTTTGAAATATGCGATATTTTTGAGACCAGGTTTGCCGGAATGATCGCCGGAATCATCGATGGCTTTTCATATTGGCAGAAATGGAGATATGCATGATACGTCATTTGCTTCATCACTCCAGTACAGTGCCCTGGCAAAAAAATATGTAATCCCGATAAATTTTGGTTGACTTCCCTAATGTCTTTTTCATCTTTCAGTTCATTTTTCTCGGGAAATAAAGAAATGATAGTCAAATAAATTGCAAGGAAGCAAAAATCATGACTTGGTCCTTTATTGGCGGGGAGTGCGGGGGGTTCTTGTCATATTACCTTGGCCTGCGTAATCCTGATGGGGAAATGCGCTGAAACTGACGTGTTGTTCATCAAAAAGAATAGGCCATCTTCATTAGGATGACTTCTATTTTCAATAAAGTGTATAATACGAGTTAAAAGATAGTTTAATGAGCCATGCATAATGTCTGTACCAAAGTTATGTGCACCTGTGTATCCGACCAGCCAATATATGAACACTTGAGAATAAAGATCTCTCTCTGACAGCATCTGAGACATACTTCATGCAGCTATTCCATGCGATGAGGCCCCACTCTCTTATCAAAGGATAAATATGACGTGAGGCAATGAGAAAAGACACATGGCGTCTTTTTCCTGCTTCATTATTGGAGAATAAAGGTTTTAGCTACAGTACAAGGGATCGCCTTTTTTTTTTCATGTCTATAAAGACGACGCATCTTCCACCCATTTCTTTTTTTGTGAAAGGTAATGTATTTGTGCTCAAGTGCCCTTTCTTATTTGAACTTTATGCCGAATCACTCACTCGCTTCCTTTTTGTGCTTCTACTGTGTAGTTTAAAATACTGACGAACAAAGCCCATGCCTTGGTGGTGTGCGGTGGCGGCTCCCGCAATGCGGTGAAAACAGTTTTTTGTAAGTAAAAACAAAAGAAGAGTAAGCGTGGCTTGTCTAATGCATCCATCTTTTTTTTTGTATGTCGTTGTCCTTTGGTTTTCTTTCTTTTTTGATACCTTAAAACAACATTACCTTGCCTATTTTCAAAATTTCTGATTTGTAAAATTTTTACCCAGATTTTTTCAATTAAACTGTACAATCAAGCAGTATCAGCCCTACCATCATTTCACGGCACAATTTTGTCCGAATATTGCAACAAAATTACATTGACCAAAAAGGAGAAATACAAATGAAAATGCATCATGATCCGAACTTGCAAAAAAGAAAAAAAAAGGTTCCACCTCTATTCGTATCGTTCATTGGCTATTTGATATAATCTCTTCCGTTACCCCAAGATCGCCTTGCAGAAAAAACGCTATTTTAGCAATTCAGTCTATTAATAATTCAATACTGAGTCCCTGAAAATTGTTCACAACCAAACATAAGAAAACTTTCAACCGACATATGCATGGACTCTCGGACTTCAAACGTACAGTTTACAGTTAAGCCGCAGCAATGCATGGTGTATATTCACTCCATCTGAAGGTTACCTTTACCCTCTTTTTATGTTTCGCTCAATGCGGACATGCTAAAAATACTCGGCAGAAAATGTATCGTTATACTTTGGTTTAACTTGTAAAAATAGTCCCTATTTGAGTGTCATCCTCTTTCCTTTGATATAACCTATCGGGGAACCCGCGCCACTGCGACAATGCAAATGCTGGTCGTCCCTGATAAAACTTCTTATTTTCATCCATACATTTAATTCTATAGCTAAGCAAGTACAACCAACGATGTAAACACTGTTCAATCTCCTTTTTCGCCATACTTGTTGATGACTTGACTATTATTTTTTGTGCCTGGGCAAAGGGAATCCTTGGGTCAATTTTTTTGAAAGTCACCCAGTAGATAACATGATTGGTCCAAAAACTCCGCGTATGGATGGTAATCCTTGTTCTTTTCCAGCCAAAAAAAAAAAAGGTGAACTTCAAACGCTTTTCCAAAACCCCATTCTGCACTTTTCCCATTTCGAATAGACGCCGTGCTTGACAAACACTCGTATACCCTCCACTGCTTCGACGCATTTCACAGACTTACGCCTTTTCACTTTCTCTCACTTTGCAACAAGGCTAAAAAAAGATGGCACTTGTTGCTATGTTAAATAGCCAGGAAATCCTGACAAGAATATTTATCGAGCTCAAGTCAAAGTAAGCCCGACCTCTCGGCTCACGTTACGTTCCATCGTGACATTCTAACCATTCTCTTTTCACCAGGCATGAAGACAAACGACAGAAAGCCGCGGAAGAATTACGTGAAATGGTAACTCACTTTTCTGTTCCAAACCGACCGCATGCTCACCTCCTCAATTTTTTGTTGTCCTTATTTTTTGCATTGCCTTTAACCGTTGACTCTCCCTTTTTCTCTTTTGCTTCAATGCCGCCATAGGCTGCTTCCGCTTCAAGGGAGTTGTCCGACGAAGTTCTTGTACGCTTCATTAACGACATTAACAAACGCATTTCCGAGTTGACCCACGGCAACGACAACAATGAAAAATTAGGCGCCATCATAGCTATAGGTGCGTTGAACTCATCTATATTCCATGGAAATTCAGAATTTGAAGGAAAAGGAAGGATCGTTTTTATCTTATGAGCATGATTCTTTTTTTCTTTTGGTAGATCGATTGATTGACTTGGAATCCGAAGGCAATGCGAACCGATTTTACAACTATCTTCGACACATGCTTCCGTACAACGATCCACAAGTCATGACACCCGCGGCACGTGCGATGGGTCGTTTAGCTGTTAGTTCTTCTACCGTCACGGCCGATATCGTCGATACACAAGTCGAGCATGCATTAGAATGGTTACAAGACGATCGCAGTCGACTCGCTGCCGTCCTTGTTTTACGCGAACTCGCTGTGAATGCGCCTACTTTGATTTACGCTTACGTTCCTCGCATCCTTGACTTGATCTGGCTCGCATTACGTGATTCTAGACACCTTATCCGCGAAAACGCCGCCGACTGTTTAAGTCAATGTTTGGAAATCGTTCAACAACGTGAAACGCCCATGCGCAAAACTTGGTACAGTCGTATATGGGACGAAGTCAATCGCGGTCTTCGTTCCACCAGTGTGGATTCTATTCATGGTAGCTTGCTCGCCATGAGAGAACTTTTGCTACATGCTGGCATGGTAATATTCTTTTTCTCATACTTTGGGGGTGATCTTCATGCAAGAAACAACTGTGGATGCTGACAACCTTTTTTTTCTCCTTAGTTTATGACCGATATGTATAAAGATGTATGCAATATCACGCTTCGCCTCAAAGACGCTCGCGATGGGTTAATACGACGTACCGTGGTCTCCATCATTCCTACTTTGGCCAGTTATGATCCTGCTACGTTTGCTGAGCATTATCTACATAAATCAATGAGCCATTTGTTGAACCTTTTACGGAAAGACCGAGATAAACGAGATGGTAAGTGGAGTATTTACATTTGCTTTTGGAGCGAAAGTATCATGATCATGGCGTCGCTGATGGCACTATGTTTTATTAGCTTTCGTAACGATCGGCGAAGTGGCCATTCAGGTCAAAAGCAATATGGGTCCTTATCTAGACGCTACATTGACCTGCATCAAAGAAGTTTTGTCACTTCGAGGGTAAGAGAAAGCAAGACAGGAGAGAGAGCGGGCACTGGTACTAATGGATGGGTTACGATAGACGGCAACGCAAAGAGATTGAAACCGCAGCGTTTATGTGTATAAGCATGTTGGCAACAGCCGTCGGTCAGGCATTGACCAAGTATGTCAACGATTTGCTGGATCTCATGTTCAGTGGAGGACTCTCGGAGCCATTGGTGACGGCATTGAGCAACATTGCCGAGCGTATTAAACCTCTATCACCTGTGATTCAAGGTAATGGTCTTTTTGAGAGCGTGGGAATTTTGTGATATTCATCCTTCATCTCGTTGCTTAGATCGGTTACTCAATGTCATTTCCATTACTTTGAGCGGTCAATCTTACAAACAACCTGGCGCTCCCACGAGTCGCAATCTCATTCAGGGCGTCGACCGACCTCGCGAAGCAGGGATGGTGGATGCCAAAGATAACGATATCATCGTGCTTGCACTCACGACGCTCGGATCGTTTGATTTTTCCAATCATGTACTCAACGAATTCGTACGAGATTGCATTGTGAATTACTTGGATGATGATTTACCAGAGATACGTAAAGCGGCCGCGGTTACTTGCTGTCAACTATTCATTCGAGATCCTATCTGTAACCAAACCAGTGCCCACGCCATTAAAGTCGTGGGCGAAGTCTTGGAGAAGCTTTTAACCGTCGGAATTGCCGACCCGGATGCCGCCATCCGAGAAACTGTGCTTTCCTCCCTGGATCCGAAATTCGATCGACATTTGGCACAAGCCGACAATGTACGATCCTTATTCATCGCTCTCAATGATGAAGTCTTTGCTATCCGAGAAATTGCCATTACCATTATCGGTCGATTGACCACCTATAACCCGGCTTACGTCATGCCGTCCCTTCGAAAGACGTTGATTCAGCTCTTGACCGAACTGGAGTACTCCGTTATTAGTCGGCAAAAAGAAGAATCGGCACGACTCGTAGCTCTGCTCGTGGGCGCCGCTCAACGTCTAACGAAACCTTACATTGAACCTGTTCTCAAAGTGCTTTTACCAAAAGCCCGCGATCCGTCACCTGGCGTGGTATCGGCCGTCTTGGGAGCTTTGGGTGAACTGGCCGCAGTCAGTGGGGAGGATATGGTGCCTCATTTGGACGAATTGATGTTGTTGATCATGGAGACCTTGCAAGATCAGAGTTCCAGTGCCAAACGAGATGCCGCGCTGAAAACGTTGGGTCAACTCGCCAGCAATACCGGTTTTGTCATTGAGCCTTATACCAAATACCCGGCTCTTTTGAACGCACTGATCAACATCCTTAAAACCGAACAGAACCCCACCATTCGTCGCGAAACCGTAAAGTTGATGGGTATTTTGGGTGCCCTCGATCCTTATCGTCACAAGGTAAATCATCCAATCGAAGCAAACGATTAGATCGTGCATCTGATACATTTTTTTCTAGATGAATGCAATCGGTGATTCCAGCGAAGCTTTGACTGATCCAAAGCTAGCAAGTAACGATGTGACCTTGTTGATGATGGGTATTGGACCGTCGTCGGAAGACTATTATCCACAAGTCGTGATGCATTCCCTGATGAAGATTTTGCGGGATCCGTCACTCAGCACGTATCATCGATCGGTCATTGAAGCGATCATGTCGATTTTCAAAACCCTCGGCCTGAAAGTCGTGCAATTCTTGCCGGTGGTGGTGCCGGGTTTCTTGGCCCTGATGCGCTCATGCACGACAGGAATGCTCGAGTTATACTTTCATGAATTGGGCGATTTAGTATCGATTGTCAAGCAACACATCCGCAACTATTTGAAAGATATTTTTGATCTCATTGACGATTACTGGACTCCTGTATCTTCCATTCAGATTACCGTCATTTCACTCATTGAGGCCATTGCCAAAGCCCTGGACGGTGAACTGAAAGTTTACTTGCCCCGTTTGTTACCGCATATGCTGCAGATCTTTGACAATGACATTTCCGATCGTCGCCAACCCACCATCAAGGCGCTGCATGCTTTTGTCGTGTTTGGCGCCAACATTGAAGAATACATGCATCTCGTCGTACCGGCGGTGGTGAAATTCTTTGAGAAACCCGACGCGCCCGTTTCTGTTCGACGCCAAGCCATCATGACCATCACCGCCTTGTGTAAAAAGGTCAACATGTTTGATTACGCTTCCCGAATCATTCACCCTCTGGCCCGTGTCCTTCCTATTCTTCCTATTGAGACACGACATGTTGCTATGGATTTATTATGCGCTTTGGTGTTCCAACTTGCTGCCGATTACGCAAAATTCATTCCTGTCATCAACAAGGTTCGATCTATTCTGTGTTATGCTGAACCGGTTGATCGTCATTTCTCACAGCCGTTTTTTCTAGGTTCTCATGAGACATCGTATCTCACATGCCAATTATGAACTCTTAGTGGGCAAACTGCTAAAGGGTGAAAATTTACCGCAAGAACTTGGTAAAGCGTTCGATGACAGGTAAAACTCCTTTTCTGCCTTTTTCTTTTTGTTGAGGTTGGGCGGAAGTTAGCGAGGACATACGCGGGTGCACCAACCAACCGATGGATTTGTTTTGCTTACAACATTCCATTAGAGAATCCAAGGGTGATGAGACGCCCTCGGCGGATCTTGGCGCGGTGAAAAAGCAACCTGTGAATCAGCAATTGTTGAAGAAGGCATGGGAAGCTTCGCAGCGATCGACCAAGGAAGATTGGATGGAGTGGATTCGAAAACTGAGTGTGGAATTGTTGAAGCAGTCACCATCGCATGCTCTACGTGCCAACAGTACCTTGGCCAATATGTACCCGCCGTTGGCCAGAGAACTGTTCAATGCCGCGTTTGTATCATGCTGGAACGAATTGTATGATCAGTATCAAGATGAACTCGTCCGATCGCTTGAGATGGCTCTCAAAGCGCCCAATATTCCCCCGGAAATTATCCAGATTTTACTCCACTTGGCGGAATTCATGGAACACGATAACAAGATGCTGCCCATCGATATTCGCACGTTGGCCATTTACGCTCAAAAGTGCCACGCCTATGCAAAAGCATTGCATTACAAAGAGACGGAATTCCATCACGAACAGTCGTTTGAAGCGGTCGAGATGCTGATGTCTATCAATAACTTGTTGCAGCAACCCGATGCTGCCATGGGTATCCTTACCTTTGCTCAAAATTCGCTCAAACTGTCCCGCAAAGTGTCGTGGTATGAAAAACTGCATCGATACCAGGACGCCCTCATTGCGTATGAAGCAAAGCAAGCCGAAAATCCAAACTCGATGGAAATCACCTTGGGCCGTATGCGCTGTTTACACGCTTTGGGCGAATGGGACCAATTGGCCTCCTTGGCTCAAGAAAAATGGATCCACGCACCAGCCGACAATCGCAAGAGTATGGCCCCGTTTGCGGCCGCAGCTGCCTGGGGTCTAGGTCATTGGGAACAGATGGAGGAATACATCGCCTTGTTGAAGCCGGAAAGTCCCGATCGAACGTTTTTCCGAGCCATTTTGGCTTTGCATCGCAACCGTTACGTGGAAGCAGAACGGTTCATTAACAAGACCCGTGATCTCCTGGATACCGAACTGACGGCACTCCTGGGTGAAAGTTACAATCGTGCGTATGCCACGGTGGTGCGCGTGCAGATGCTGGCCGAGTTGGAGGAGATGATTATCTACAAGCAGTCCTCGAATGATGTGGAGCGACAGAATACGATTCGACGGACATGGATGAAGCGTTTGGAAGGATGCGAGCGCAACGTGGAAGTGTGGCAACGAATCTTGCGGGTTCGTGCTATGGTGATTTCGCCTCAAGACGATATGGAGATGTGGATCAAATTTGCCAACTTGTGTCGCAAGAGCGGCCGATTTTCGCTGTCCGAAAAGACACTGCGCAGTTTGATGGAAGCCGACAGCGGGGCCGGTGGAGGCAACCCTCATCCAAAGATCGTGTATGCGCAACTGAAGCATATGTGGGATTCCGCCTCGCAAGCGTCTGGAAATCAATCGCACGCCATTCGCACGCGAGCATTGAGCATTCTTCGTGACTTTACCGCGCAAAAGACCCAAGATTTGGGATTGAACCCGGATGATCTCGCCGTGAGCATGCCAATCGATTCAAGCCAGATCAATGAAGACGTCGCTGAATACACCCGCCTTCTCAGTCGCTGTTATCTCCGTCAAGGTGAATGGCAGCGCGGATTATCGTACGAACTTGCCATGGACACCATTCCCGATATCTTGCGATCGTTCCTGCTGGCGACACGATTTGATCAGAATTGGTACAAGGCATGGCACGCGTGGGCGTTGGCCAACTTTGACATTATCGACTTTTACGAAAAATCACATCAAGATCAAGCCTTGCCCTCGGGCATCTTTTCTCGTCACGTGGTGCCTGCTGTCCAGGGTTTCTTCCGTTCGATTGCATTGTCTAAAGAGAACTCGCTTCAAGACACTCTTCGATTACTCACTTTGTGGTTCAAATATGGTTACCACGGTGAAGTGAGCGCCGCCATCAGCGAAGGCTTTGGCACCATCAGCATCGATGTCTGGCTACAAGTCATTCCTCAATTGATTGCTCGTATTCATGCTCCCAATGCCACAGTACGCTTACTGATCCATCAATTGTTGACCGATATTGGTCGAGAACATCCACAAGCCCTGGTCTATTCACTCACCGTCGCGTCCAAATCGCAAAGTGTTCCGCGAAAGAAGGCCACCTTTGCCATCATGGACCGTATGCGAATGCACAGCTCAGCTTTGGTCGATCAGGTAATATGTTCTCTATGCACTGTTCATTCTGTTGTGTTCTTATTCTCACAGATCGTGTATTATTTTTTATTAGGCACTTATGGTAAGCCAGGAGCTTATTCGTGTGGCCATTTTGTGGCACGAAATGTGGCATGAGGGACTGGAAGAGGCTTCCCGACTTTACTTTGGTGATCGCAATATGGATGCTATGTTTGCTACACTTGAGCCGTTGCATCAAATGCTGGATCGTGGTCCAGAAACGATGCGTGAAGAGTCGTTTGTGCAAGCGTTCGGTCGTGATCTTCAAGAAGCTCAAGAGTGGTGTCGTCGTTATCAAGAAACGCGCGATCTGAATAACCTGAATCAAGCTTGGGAATTATACTATCAAGTTTTCAAACGAATTTCCCGACAATTACCTCAACTCACGAGTCTTGAACTTCAATACGTGTCGCCAAGGTTACTGGAAGCGCGCAATCTTGAATTATGTGTTCCGGGCTATTACCGCAGTGGCGAACCGATTGTGCGCATTGTGCGCTTCAATCCCAGTTTGACCGTCATCATCTCCAAACAACGCCCGAGAAAGTTGACCATTGTCGGCAGCGATGGCAAGGACTACATGTACCTGTTAAAGGGCCATGAAGATCTGCGTCAGGATGAACGTGTCATCCAGCTGTTTGGACTGGTCAATACCCTGTTGAAGAACGATGCCGAGACCTTCAAACGTCACTTGAACATTGAACGGTACCCCGTGGTGCCTCTGTCGCCCAATTCCGGTTTGATCGGCTGGGTCCCTGATACAGATACTTTCCACACCTTGATTCGCGATTACCGTGATAGCCGAAAGATCCTACTCAACATTGAGCACCGTTTGATGCTTCAGGTGAATTAAAAAAAAAAAGAGCAAATCCCAAGGTGTTTGTGGTGGACTAAAAATCGTTTATTCTTGTATAGATGGCGCCTGATTATGAAAACCTAACCGTGATTCAAAAAGTGGAAGTGTTCCAGTTCGCGTTCGAAAAGACGAGTGGTCAAGATCTATACAAGGTGTTGTGGCTCAAGAGTCGAAATTCGGAAGCATGGTTGGACCGACGTACAAACTACACACGATCACTGGCTGTTATGTCGATGGTCGGTTATATCCTTGGTTTGGGCGATCGTCATCCATCCAATCTCATGTTGCACCGGGTCACAGGCAAAGTGGTCCATATTGATTTTGGCGATTGTTTCGAGGCAAGTATATGCAGGAGTACCAAAAATGGTTAAAGGGGGGGGGGGGAGAGCTGTGGCACTGATACATCAATTTGATGACAGGTGGCCATGCATCGTGAGAAATATCCCGAAAAGATTCCATTCCGTCTGACACGCATGCTGGTCAAAGCGATGGAGGTGAGTGGTATTGAGGGCAACTTCCGTACCACTTGCGAGCATGTGATGCGTGTACTCCGCGATAATAAGGAAAGCTTGATGGCGGTGCTCGAAGCCTTCGTGTATGATCCTTTAATCAACTGGAGATTGCTCAATAATCCACACACCAGTCCCGCTCAACACAAGAACAAAGGTATGAAAACGATCTATTTTTTTCTACATGCGATTTCGAACAAAGGCATACTGATGCGTTTATTGGCATAGATGAACGTATACGAGGCATTGAACGAATTAATCATGAGGAGTTGGCCGATGATACCCATCGTAACTTTTCAGTAAGCCGACGACTGAATCGTATTGAAGTGGAAGCAGTAGCAAATGGTACGATGGGCAATTTATTCGTAGCTGGGAAACGAAATAACACGTGAATATCATTGGGTACTAACATGCATGAAATTGACATTAGAAAACGCGGCAGGTCCGGAAATGCTCAATTCTCGAGCTGTGGGCGTCGTCAACCGAGTATCCAACAAATTGACAGGTCGTGATTTCAATCCTCGAGTAACACTGGATGTGCCGACGCAAGTCGACAAATTAATCCACCAAGCTACGTCATTAGAAAATTTGTGTCAATGCTATATTGGATGGTATGTTTCTGGGAAATTCATTGATGCGCGTATTTCAACCGAGCTGTTTACTAAATAATCCATCATACTCTATAGGTGCGCCTTCTGGTAGAAGCAAAAAAAAAAAAAAAAAGGACCATGGAATGCTATTGAATTCAAATTTGTTATTTATCAACTCCAGTAATGGGTGCGTCGCTTATAATTCCCCTGTTAATTTTGTAGAAAATAAAAATACGAAAAAAGCGCAAAGCAAAGAGAAAGCGTAATAGTTTTTTTTCAGGCCAATCAGAGTGACGTACACCGACTCCCAGCCATTTTGGCTGAAGCGTAACAGCTTTTTTCAGGCCAATCGCAAAAGCGTACACTGCTTGCCAGGCACTTTAGCTGTGAGAAGCGAGTTAATTTTGTTGCGTGTCACTCTGTGTGCAGCTTACGCGTAAAATGGCTGGGAACCAGTGTGCGCCTCTATGATTGGCCTGAGGCCAAATTGATTGTCACGCTCACGCGTCGAAAGAATGAAGGGCCAAAAACCAATGCGGCGGGCTTTTCTCTCCACCTCAGCGCAAAGCGTGCGTAAGGGCTTCATTTTATGTACAACGTCAGTAAACAATTACATATCATTAAATGGTAATGCACTGCTGACTCATAATGCTTTCACAGCCGTTATTTCAGTCCTGAAGATTGATGGCAAGTTCCATGCTGGCTTGCAGGGCGCTCGGAAGAAGATACGTTAAAAAAGGTAAGTTGTCAAAATGGCAATAGTCAAGCATGCATTGCGGAAGACGTGGCTCCTCACAGATCCCTCATGCGCAGATGACGACGTCTTGTCTTGATTTAGACAGTTGCTTCAACTCAAAAGTGGAAGACAAGCATACTGATTTATGAACCGGCGATATTCCGTTTGCTCCCAACTTCATGACCCATCCTTACCGTATGCGTGGTCTCTTTGAATCACCGATGTCTGTTACATGTCAAGCAGGCTGTCCTGTTAATCCCCACAGCCGACGCCGTTCAACTGCATAGTCCAGTCATGGGACCCGACGTACCGCAGTAGAACCTTCTGATGTAATCAAGGTCCTCAGGCAAAGCGTGTAGTGTTCGTTCCTGCCAAGCTACGACACGCGTAGAGGACGCTGTCATATACATATTTTCATTCTGCCGGTATTTATTATATCAGCAAGGAAGAAAAAAGCCGATTACACGGAGCCAACCCAGGAGCTTTTGAACCTGCCCATCCATCCATTCTATACGCTGTAGTCAAGCTTCATACTGGCGCATTTATTGTCGACAGGGAAGCGGCATTCATCCCTGTCGCAGAAGCGTATGGTCTGTCAAAAGCAATTGACATTCACGACGAAGCAGATCAGAAGTAAGTGCGAAGATTGTGCCGAGCAAGCTCTTTTTTCACGGACAAACCGCTGTCAATCTGGGGCACTTGCCAATCAACAAGGAACCAAAGTCGCCGAGTCTAAATGCCAAACTACCAAGATCGAAAGCTGCTCATCGGTACTCTTTCGTGCAAGGTGCTTGTCACATCAAGCACAAAAACAATTCTTTTGGTCCTAGCACATTTCGGTACACCCCGATTGATCCCATTTTCGTGGAGAATAAAATCTCATGGCCGTGAAATCATTTTTCCAATCGAGGAAAAAGAATCCTGGCGAACTTCAATTGTCACTGTCGGACCGTGGATTGGGCGCGCACACAAGGCATCCTTCTCAGCTTCTTCCTGCGACATCATCTGCTATCAAGAATCTCTCCGGCGTAAGACGCAGACCCTTGGTTGCAGATCAACTTTCCCAAGTCCAGCCTGACTCTGTCACAGCAGATCGAACATCTGGGCTTTAACCTCGGCATCAGGTCCATGGAAACGAATTTGCCCACCCGAAAGCTTCGTCATCTGAGGGTCCCTTCAACGGGTGCTGAGCAATCCCGTTCAGACCCCTCCGCTCAGTTACAGCCTGACAATGCGTATCCAAGCGGCACCATTTGCGCTACTCCCCGCTCGCCTGTACACCTGGTACCTACTTTGCTTCAAGAACCTTGGGTCAGCACTCCCCACGAAGGGGAACAACCGCTCCCGCTCCCCAATCCGTGCTTGACCGAGATCGTATGAATTAAATGTACTTTCGAAAATTGCGGCAAGTACGATTTAAGTTCAATCAGTTGTCTACATACACATTATGTCGAGCTAGTTCCTTTTCAACGATGAACTTTGTTCATCAGCCAATGTCCAGATGGACATTTGCCGATCATGAAGGCGCGAAAGGAGCTGAATCGAGCGTGAAACGCTGCTCGAAACTTTTCCAAATGATAGCGCTGGCTGTGATTCAAAACGGCAATAATGCAACCTTAAACAAGGAAAGCGTCGCAAACATCCGCCACAACGTTGACAAAAGCACCAATTGCCATCGAAACTTAGCAACCATATATGAAAGTTTCGATCAATCGACGCATGTCGCCAGAATCAACAACATCACAGTGGAGAACTGCTATCCGGAGTTGGCGAAAGTTGTGAGGGACGCTCTTCCACCTGCGCGCAGCATTGTGTCAATGAGTCGATGAATCAGTGGCTTGGCAGGGCAATGCTCAATCTTCGCAAGGTCCCTCGTAAACCGCATCCCATCGGACATGAGTTCAAGACGGTAGCAAATACCACTACCTGTTGCACTTTACGGCTGGATTTGACTTGCGACAATACACCAAAAAAGGTTCGACGACCGGTATCCGTAAGTCCATCGCAACGGCGTACCATCTGGTAGACACGGTTCAACGCTGGGCCGCACAGTTGTTGCAGATTTGTGGTTCGGTTCACCTGGCCAAACCGCTTCACGCCGTATAGGAAGTACCGTATACACAATGTTGCGTCCTTCCGTGTTTGATGAATACGAGAAGCATAAAGGTATATGTCATTCTAAATATTTATACAGCATGCTAGAGCAATCTCTAACATGGTAATAGGTGCAATGGGTACCGCAAACAACCGCCGGGATAATATGGACTCCTTCCACGATACCATCAAGACACAACGCTGGGAGATGCATACGCTGTCCTTCTCTTTTCAAGGATTCGCTTCCCTCGATATGTCGTCGCTCTATACTGAATCGGATTTTGGTGGTATGAAACCCAAGTGGACAATTGGGAGCAGATTAATGAACATTTTGTTGAGCATGTCAGTTCGTCTTCGTGGCGAGAAGCCAGTTGACATTGGGCCAGAAACTTCACTGACTGCGCACGAAATTCGTGCAAAAACCTCTCGAATCTTTTACCGAGCGAGTGAGGTCTAACAGTTCCTCCAAGTTATGCGTTACCATGGCAATATGAGGTGCCGGGCCCTGTCATGACGATGTCATCGCTGAGGCAACTCAGCTCAAGCTTGGGTCAGATTGAACAACAGTGCTTTGAAAAACGCAAACGACTCATCCGTTCCGAACCAGTATTGGCGCACCCCAATTTCAACGAATTATTCGTTCATCCATGGCAATATGAGGTGCCGGGCCCTGTACTGACAATGTCATCGCTGAGACAACTCAGCTCAAGCTTCGGCGACGCCAGCGCTTTTCAACCATGGCGAGCGGCGCATGACGAATTTTTCACCGATTTAACAGTGCCAACCACTGTGTTTACCCTTTTTAACACACCTCACAACCAGGGGTATGGCTCCTCAGCAACCTCAGTTGGTAGACTTCTATCTCGCTTCTTGCAGTCTTTGGTTTTGGCCTCGTCGTTAGGCAAGCCGAAAACAGACTTTAACGCAGCCTTAAACGCGTTCACTATCGCCGTAGCAGTTAAGGCCGTACAGGCAAAATGAGAACGCGGCAGCGCCATCAAAATCATCGTCTTTGTATGCTCGCTGCAACGAGTCCTTGAGAATCGCGGAGAATTGTTTCCATCTGTGGTTGGCACTGTCGTCAACTTCAGCCCTCTCTATGTGCCGGCGAGCCAGAGTATAGTCCCAAGCAACCAACGGCCGAAGAAAGACGTGCTGTTGCGCCTGAAGCAACTATATAGTGATTGAAAATTACGGAGAATCAGGCCCCGTCAAGGTTTTTAATCTATTTGACAAGAACGGAACAATAAAACATCGGACTTCATTTCAATATTTTATTGAAAAAAAGTCATCTTCTTCTCAAAGATAGAACTGAATTACCGTTTCGTTATGTGCGATCGCTTACTGGAGCTATATACATAAAAATGAAGCTCGAGCGTATTTTGTGTAGCTGATACCTTTCTTTGCAACAAGTTGGAGAGAAAGCCCACCACGTTTTACTTTGATTGCCACTACGTGAGAACGCAAGACTTTCTGGCTAATCATTGAGCGTAAATGACATTATCTGTTCTCAGCCTTCGAGAGCCGACAATGCAATAAGGAATTTTGTGTTCCAGATAGTCGAGCGATGCACAACGGTTCATTTCAATTTTGGCGTTTATGCGAGACATGACTGGGTTTACCCTGATTTCTATTTTTGCCGATCTGCGCCTTCCGAATTGAATGATGGAGACTTTTTTTTTACAAGGAAACTAAGGAAATGAAATGAACATTCGATTGCCAATTATGGATTCATTTATCCGGTTCAATTGTTCTTTGTTTCGGTACTGATATACAGGCATCCCTCAGTGAGCAACAGATTCTGCATTTTATCAAAGAAGCACTATAGTGTATGGTGCCATCATGACTGGCTTGGAACAAGTATTGTGTGGTTTGCTGCCTCCTGTACCTTCCTACACAGCGAGGTGTCAGGAACAAGACAAGCCATTCGCGGAACTTTGCCAGAAATGGAAGCAGGCAAGTTCCGCCAAAGAAAAATTTAGTGTCATCAATTAAGGAAACCGACTATGATGATATCTTCTCATTTTCCATATGACAAATATTTCGGTGTGGATGTCTGATTAAAGAAAAAGTCTCTTTATGCAAAGTTCTTGGTGAACCTTTCGTTGCTACCGTTGACCTCCTTCCATGAGTTGTATAGATCATGATCTGTGGGGAAGGGGTCGACGAAATGCACAGTACTCGGAGATGATAAGGCTATTAAATAAAATGCATAATGGAACAGACCCTAATGCATTATTATTTGCTTGCCACTATTTTCTTTTTTTTTTTTCAGCTGAGTCGAAAAAAAATATGAAGAGATGAACAAAAAGCCCTTTGTGAAACAAACTCTGATTCTACATATCATTGCGATTGCATGCAAAAAAATGTACTGTATCCATTGAATGAATTTACAAATTACACTGTCAAGCACTACATGTCACGCGAGCGGGTCGGAAGAAGAGGGGACGAAAAGAGCCACATGGCATGATCTGCCTCAAGATAAAAATAATAAGAGACAATGGATGGTCCGGTAAAATCTTCAAGGCAAAAAGGCCCGTTAATATGTTTTGTGCGACAAATGATTGATATTGGCAACCAATCGTGGATGTTCATTTGTAATATAAACGAATCATCAGCAGTGAAAAAGGATGCCTGGAAAACGATGAGTGAGATATTTTCGGTTCTATTTACGTCTTTACAAATAGATCAGAGCAGGGTTGAAGGTTTTTCCTGGCAGAAACGATGAAACGGAACAAACAATAAACTATAGTTCAACGGGGTGTGTTTTCATTTACCGTGACAGCATGAAAATCTGGGGTTGCCTGTGGTTTTTGACGCGGTTTTTGGGACTCAAAAAATTAGTTTTCTTTTTATACAAATCATCTCCCTTGATCGGAACTTGGAAACTGCAAAGAAAAGGAGGTGGAATTCTATATAGGAGGTGGTACGTTGTTGAACATGAAGATAAAAAAAAAATTGGATCCGTCTTTAAATATCGGTGTTCTATCCTTGATCATTCGAACCTTCAATTCAAGCTTCCTCTCCTTCCCCAGAAAAGAAACATCAAATAAACTAGAAAAAAAACAAAAAAAGAAAAAGAGGCAACCCCTTACTTCTTTTTTCTAATTCCTCTCTCCATTTGTCGTTTTCTATCTTATTTTTTTCTACATCAGATACCCTCCTCATCTATATATATAGATCTACTATACCTGCCAAATCCAACCGATCATCCACTCCATCCCGCTTTCACATATTTGAACCATTCAACACTTCGTGATCTTGTTCTTCTTTTTTTTCTTTTCTACTCCTCTTTTGCCCCTCCCCTTCACTTCATTTTTTTTCTTGTCCCGTCTCCCATTGCACTCCCTTTTTAGATATCCTTTCCTTTATAACCCATAAGCCCACCCCACCACTTACTGTGCCTGAAACTTATACCTCCACTTTCGACATGACAGACCAGCCCATGATGTATTCCGACAATTTCTATGGAATGCAACAGCAACCACCTTGCTATTACGATCAGCAGCAGTTCACCCAGATGAGTTCTCCTGAATCACTCATGCTGTCCACGTCGTCACCATCCCACCATGGTGTATGTGCGCCTTCGACTATCATGCCACCCGAACCGCCCATGTTAGTCGCTTCTTCTTCTTCCACCACCACCCATTCCACCATGTCCAGTTCTTCCGTGGAGTTCCTCAACGAAACCTTTGCCAAAGCGTCTTCGTTGCCCGAAGCGTTTTATCCCGAATTTTTGCAGTACTCCAAAGAAACGTATGAGCAGTCCACCACAGGACCTCACCGTAAGAAGCAGCGGCGTCATTATCAGGACCAAAACAACCATTGGCAAAACAATAACAGTAGTCAACAGCAACAACAACAACACCCCCAACAACAACAGCAACAATCACAGGAACAACATCAACAACCATCACGTAGCAACGAAGAATCCTCGGATAATGATGAGGATACTAATATCATGTAAGTTTTATCACACCAATGTACCTTGAAAAATGCCGGCGACAAACTGCATGAAAGCGTCTTAACGAGTGTTCCGCTTTTTTTTTTCCAGGAACGGCATGACTTCGGCCGAGATGCGACGACAAATTCATATCCAATCGGAGCAAAAACGTCGTGCTCAGATCAAGGACGGTTTCGAGGATTTGCGAAACGAGTTGCCGACGTGCTTGAACAAGAAAATGAGTAAAGTGGCTTTGTTACATCGAACTGTTCAGCATATTCAGCATTTGAAGGATACCCAAATGACGATCTTGGCTGAATTGGAACGCTTAGTGCACGAAAACGAACAATTGAAGAAGTAAGTTAAAGTTTATTTTTTTCCCCTCTGACATTGCATAAGCATTTTCCTTGATGTCGATGTTTTAACTGTAAACTATGGTATCCATTAAACAGGTTCCAGGAAAGTGTACTTCAAAAACAAGCCCTGGAGAACATGTATACCATTGGCCATCTGTAAAACAAAAAGAAAAAGAACACATCCCCATCACCTCTTATTTTCCTTTCTTCTAATTCCTTTTTGCATTGTTCCCCGTTGCATTCCCATTTACGTTTTGCCTTTTTCTTTTTTTCTATACAGGTTCATTCATTTTCGTAATCACTCACTTGTTTTTCTTTCGCTTTTTCCCCGGCAACATGGCTGTGTATCATGCGTAGATGCTTGATGGTCCGTATCTGCATATATGCATCCATGCATACTTGTAAACTGTCAACGCGCGTATGTGTGCGTGTGCTTTCTGTTGGTGTATGCATGTTTTCCTCTTAGATTCACTCTTCTGTTGCTTATCATCTCCTTTTTTTCTTCTTCTGATCCTCTTCAAGTTTACTTTTCTTTTTGCATTTTCTTTTTTTTTATATACCCTTTTTCTCAATTCCCCTTTTTTCTTCTTGCAAGGCATCTTCATTTACTGTTTGAATGGTGTTCTTTCTTTCTTTCAATACATTGCTTTTCTTTTGCCGTTAGTTTTCTACATTCATTTGTTTTGCATTTGTCTTTTTGCTGTCGATGAAAACGTTGAATAGATCGTCGTAGCCCCCTTTCTTTCTCATGATTTTGTTTCTCACCCGGGTTTTAATCCAAACTTTATTTCGTCAATACGCGTCTCGGTTTGTTTTCCTCTGAAACTTACAGTTTCAATTTTATTGTTGCATCTAAATGATATGGGTTACATTGGAATGCAGTGATTGGATGATAAAGTGATCGTTTGTTTTTGATGGCGAACGAGAATGTAAAAGGGGGGAAGGATAGGGGCATGGTGGAAAAAACAGAATATAAATCATTGCTAAATAGGCAACGATCGTCCCGGTGGGGGAAATAGAGTGTTATGATGCGTTTCCTGGCGGCTGGTTGTTTGATCCCTGGGTAGAAGGCAACTCTGTTGTAATATGTGAGGGTGTAGAAGACGGCGGGGCGGAGGGTGCGGTTGATGGAGGTGGAGGCGATGAAGAGGATGAATTTGGTTGAGGTGCAACCGCCACCGAAGAGGATGTGTGCGGAACCGGGGAGTGAAATGGACTGTCATGAGTTTGGCCTTCCAACGGAACAGTGCCAGGAGCAGCAACGGTTTCTTGAGGTTCCATGGTCAGGCCGGGTTCATTACCATCCACTCCTCCAGTCACATAATGTTCCGTAATTGAACGTGCATTTTCAAATACCCACGTACGTACGCCGTGTTGGTCTTCTTCGCCGTTAGCTTGCAGGAGATTGTTGCGTGTGGTTTCCCAAAATTCGGCAAGCCACTTGGCATCAGCACATTTTTCCTGAAATTTGGTCCTCAGCGAATCGGGATGTTTCATATAGGAACTCGAATCACGTCGACGACTGGCCGCCAAAGCCGGCGTGTGGTTGGTATGCAATCGATTGTTCACCCAGTAGAACCCTTGTTGACCAGGGCGAATTTGCACAAACGCGACTCCGGATTTATGGATATACTGATCGTACTTGTACGGCTCCTTGATGTACGAATAACACACATGGATTCCTTCGGCTTTGGCTCGTTCAAACTTGGTGTCCGCTTCCACATCCAGGACAAAGCCCAAATGCCGCACAAGAGCAATCTTGTAGAATTCATTCGGCACTTCGTACTTGGCCGTCAATTCCTCCACCGGGGGCGGCAACTGAGCCAGTTCAATCGGTACAGGACACTGGAACGGATTATTGTTTTCTGAATCTTCGTAAGCCTGTTCCACCGACCCTTCGACAATTTTCAGACCACACCGTTCCGCTTGTCGACCCCAGTTTTGCAACAATTCTTGCACCAGTTGCGCCGTGCAGCCTAACCAATTGATCTGGAAATGGTAGCAGTTGTTGGGGTTATGCAATGTGTCGTAATGCAAAATCGCCGTTTCCCGACGATCGCTCTTCTTGTAAGGATCCACATCAATAATCATCGATTTTGACATTTCAAAATCAATCGTCGTTGTCGGATAATGGGGCTTGGTCGCAGCTGAGCGGACACCTTGCCCATCCAGCGTGTTCGCGGCCGTCGCTGCTGCTCCAGTCGATCCTGTCTCCTTGTCCCGGTTGCCGTTGGCCAGCACAGGCGAACTCGTGTGGGTATTCTTGCGTCCAAGCGCAGCCGCATTATTCAGAAACCAAGCGCGCTGTTGCCCTGGCGCCAAGTCCCCGTGAAGATGATAAAAGTAGTGGCCATCCAGCAGCCCATGTCGATTGGTGGAAGACACGAACAGGGGAGGTTTGCGCTGCATCAACGTATTACCGAAAACCACTGCTTCCTCTCTCGTATGAATGTCGTCAAATTGACTAATCAACCAGTCCACAAATTCACTGCCAATAAAAGCGTTTCGAAACACCTTAAAGTGCCAGCGTCGATCCGCCATTTTCAACCCCACTTTGGGGTCGCGCATGGCCAAAGCGATATCTTTTATCTTGGATTCCTTAGACAGTCCCAAGGGCTGAGCCAGACTACCGATCGATGACAGCAAGCTGCTGTGCTGACTGACCAAGGACTCTCCGTTGGCAGGAAGCGTCTTGGCCGCCTCGCTTGTCAGATAAGCCGAAGGATCCATCGTCGTGAGTTTCAACCCAAAGTCAGAATTTCCCAGTTCCTTTTTTCGTCGTCGTTGCATTTCTTCGCGTTCTTTGGGTGCCAGCCATTTGGCTTTGCGCAAGTTTTGGATCCAGGTATCGAAGAGCGCCAACCGCTTTTCTTCTTCATCAAGGTGATCATGGGAAACCCCGGTGAGTGGCATGTTGGAAGGAAGCGATTCGCGGGGAATCACAATAAACCGGGCTCGCCAGAACCGAAGATTGTCGGTCAGTTCTTCCTGGTAACCCGCGACCAGATGGTCCAGATAATTCCAAGCGTAAAGCAAACTCGGATAACTGAATGTAACACTTTTGGCACGATAGGTCGGCACATTCTTTGGCCAGATCGCGCATTTGTACGACATTTTCTGGATATCGAAATCAATGATGCGAACATAGCGACGGACTTCCACATTTTGTCCCGAGGAGTCAAAGGTAAGCTGATGCACTTGATGGCCCATGGACAGCCACCATACCATATGCTTCCAGCGCATCTTATCCGCCTCTTCTTGCAAGCTGCCCTGACCAGGTGTCGGTTTTAATGCCGCCGCCGAAGTCGTAGGCGCTGGCCCTGAACTGGGCCCCGTCGAAGCGCTCCCATGCGTACCCACCGTGGGCGCCACCAGTTCCTTGCCCTCTTTTCCATTCGTTGCTCCGGTCGTCGTACCGTATCCGGCCCCATCGGGACCGCTACCTCCAGCTGCTGTGGTGCCAATCACCCGGGTGACAGGTTTCTGATAGCTGGAACTGCCGGTGATGTCGACAATGATTTGAAATCCTTGGGCTAAACGTTGACTGATCATTTCCGTCAATAAGTTTTCCGTCTTTTTATGCTCGGACAGACTGCTGTCACCGGCCTGATACAGGTTGGCGTCTTCACTGGCGGAAACGGTGTACATGTAGTGATTATAAAACATTTTCAGCTCTTCGTTGGACGGAAAATAGTCCGTGGTCAGTGGTAAGCATGCGGGTGTCGATAACGATTTCCAGTGCACGATCGGTCCGTCATACTGTTCCACCCTGGGAAGCGCATGCTGCCACCGACGCAAATGTGACGTGAACAGAATATGGTCGGCCGGGTTGCACGGATTGATAAGAAATACTTTGGCCGAGGTCGTTCTACCATTGGCGGTATGTGAAGGCGACGACCGATTGGCCACCCCATTGGCGTTCAAACTTGTGCGCACAAGCTCACTGTTACCTGAATGCTTGTGAACCGAAGGTAAACTTCCGGATAACATGGCTTGGCGAGGCGAATGATTTTTCCGCGTGTCGATCCTTGTTAGTCCTTTATTGTTGATCGGCACGGGATCCACCGTACTGGAACTGACCACCACCGATTCGTCATCTTCGGGAGCAACAAGTCGATCGCCAATCTGCGTTCCTTCGGCCCCCGTGGCCTGGCACATAATTTTAACATCGTTGCTGTTCATCGTCCCACGTCTGGATGTCCGATAACGTGTCGTGGGGTCTTCTTTGCCTGTATACGTGGGCGATCCTTTGAAGAAATCGGCCAACTTGCTGCCATGATCTTCTTTGCGGATATGATTATCGAATGTAATTTTACCCGTGTTCTGCTGAGACTGCGACATGATCGAGGTCAAACGTCGCTGATCGCCGTGATGCCAAGTCTATGCAAAAAGCATATCTCAGATGAATGACCTAAATTTTTTTCTCTACATGATTCGATTCGATATTATGAAATATACGTACAGCTGTGGCGGTTTTGAGGGTGCTGTGACGCGACGACCATGGATCATTGTCGGGTCTTTCGGGACTTTCGTACGAGTTCTTTTGAATCCCTCCCGAGGACTGCCGGGCGTTGTTTGTGATCTTGGGAGGCGGGGCTGGTGCGCGTCGACTGAAGCGCGGTTCGAGCGAATCTTTAAAGACGAAATTGTCGTACTTGTCATAGTCAAAGCTTGTGATGCGCGATTTCCGCAGCGAAGCGCCGTCTGCTGTGGTGAAAAACGAAGCGCGTCGGGTAGAAGGGAAATTGGCGGACTGGGAAAGATACGCATCACCATTTCCAACGGTAGGATGATGGCCTTCCTCACTTTTGGCCGCGGTTAGCTTATCATTCAAGCTACTACTGCTGCGTTGCTGTCGCAAACTGCGTTGAGGATGGGTGGTACTGCTCTCCGGGTTATCGTCCGTCAAGTACGGAATCTGGATACTGGCAATATCGTGTTCCATGATGCCCATCATCTGCAGTTCGTACATTTTGCAACGTGTCTTGTACTTGTCTTGCTTTAGAAACCGACCGGTCTCGTGGTGATAAAAACTGCAATCGATCCAGTGAGGCACCGAGTAGTAGAGATACGTAGCGGCGGAAGCGTCATCTTGATATAAAGGGTCCCAGTAACCGGCCGCGAGCTTCTGAGTGAGGCCGACTTTGGGTTCAGGAGAATTACCGACGGCAACCGCCGCTGCGGTGGATTTCGGGTGACGCGTGGCCGGGGCGGTCTCGTGGATCGACTCCGGAGGTGGAGATGACAGGTAAAAGAGAAGCGGCGTGATGTGAAGTGGTAAAGGTGAAAGACAGACCAGGTCCATGGCTATCCCGTTATCGGTCATGCGTTCGTTGGTGAGTCGCAGCAGCTTTTTGTTGACAGCAAATTTGCCGGCGCCAGGCGAAACCAGTATAATGGATAGACCGGTGCGCATGAGATCACGATCGACATAATGCTTATCAAATGGATTCAATGCCAAGTTGACAGCCTCCAGGATATTGCCTTCAAAAGCCATGCCGATCCGGCCACATACAATAGTGCGTTCCTTCTCAACGCGCATCAGCACACTGGGTTGGAACTTTAACTGTTCTTCCTTCAAAGCGCCGATGATGGACATCCAGTCATCGGTGGTTTCCCAATCCGCCAGTACTTTGTAAAAGTCTTTGTAGTAGCGACCGTCTTCTCCCTTGATAATGAGTTCATCCAATGGATCTTCGGCGTCGTAGTAAACACGGGTAAACAGGACAATGGATACAACGTGGTTGGTGCCTTGTTCCTTCCACCGCGTGAATAACTGGGGTAAGAAATTGTTCACCACTTTCTCAAAGTACAATTCACCATCTTCGTCAAATTCCCACATTTCGCGCGACATTTGGATGTATACGAAATACTTGGCCGACCCTGAGCGAAAGATGAACCGAGTCGTGTCGCTGATGTAACCAGAGGTGACCTGCAGCGGTAACGGTTAAATTACTCTTCTATCGCGCCCATTTGTTTTGGCCAAGGACTTACCTCCCGGTCGTTGCTGTACAGCTTTTTTACAGCTGCCTTGATTACGCCGGCGTAAATGATTTTCTTTTCTGCATAGACACACGTTCCCTTCAAGCTTTGCTGGGTACGCCACATATCACTTCTTCCGATATATTGCTCTTTAAAAGACAGTTCCACATGGTCCAACGAAACGGCTCTCGGGTCAATCTATGTCGAGCAATGAGCCATCTATTTGGTTGTACGAAACGCCGCCATCCAGCAAAACGGGAAAGCCATTACCAATTCCACATAAACTTCAGGTCGAAATCGAAGATTAAAACGCTCCGCAATATCCTTTGAAATAGATATCTGGAAAACAGTCGATTAATCCCTTTATCTTGATAGACCATTTTCCAGAGGCTACCTGCAGTTGTTGCTGTCGAGCCAATGTCTCTCTGTCCACGCATACAGCTTTCACGATAAGAGGTTCTTTTTCGAAATTCGGCGGTAGTTGCTGTTGGGATGTCGCGCCTGTACCCGAGGCATGTTGCTGTTGGGATGCCTGTACTTTTGAAGAAGGTGTCTGTTGCTGCTGCTGTTGCTGCTGCTGCTGCTGTTGTTGTTGTTGCTGTTGTTGTTGTTGTTGTTGTTGATTGCGAGGAAATCGAATCTTCAACAGTTGCCCGTTGCGTATATTGGGAAAATGGTCGGGATTCACTACACAGTCCTGTCCAAAGGTGGTTTCGGGATCATGGAACCACAGAATGATGGGTTTGGTGGACAGCAATTGACCTGAAGCAGGCACTCCTCCACCATTTGACGCTTTCAGTCCAGGCATGAGAAAGCCAAACTCGGGCTTCGGACTTTTTTTTACATACCATTTTTTCATTCAATTTTATGTTGTAAACTTTAAAAAGAGGAAATTGGGGGAGCGGGGGTTTGAGTAAGTGAAAGCAATAGTGTCATTATGTGCATAGTTCTTCGCCTAGTTCGAGAAGATCGATCATCACTCTCAGTGTGCCTTCCATGTGTGGTCCTAGGACGCCCTGACAGACGGTGCCATAATCGGATTTTTGACTAGTAGTCTGGATCAAGAGAGGCAACTGAAGCAACACCTTGCACAGTGTCATTGACCGTTGTATACGTCCCCAAATATCCGTGAAAGGGAGTGATCGTATCTCTTGCTGTATTTCATAAAGCCGCAACACCTCAAACTGAATGATTCGCATATATTTACGCGTAGCTAATATGAGCAAAATATGAGTGGATAATGCATGTCAGATGCCTGTATAGCCTCTCACCTACATAAAACAGCGCCTCGCATAATTAGAAAAGTAGCTTCCAAATGCTCAATCATACTGTCTGTGATATGAACTCGTTTGACCGAAGAATTCAAAATATCTAACATCTGTTACATGAATATAATCGATTTATCCCAGACATCGTTCTCATTTTTGCTTACGTATCAGTGTGCGCAAGCACTGAAATTCCCCGTCCAGGATTTCAAGGTATAACTATTGCTTGAATTTAGATTAGACGAAAATTTCCATGCGGGCGTTGTCAAAGGTACCTGCTCTATAACACGTTCGAATATATCCACGGCATTTGCCTCGGTGCTGTAATCTCTCTCTTTCAAGGGCGCCGCAATTGATAAATCATACAACAACTTGGAGGATGGGTTACTCAAGGTTTCGTATGCGAGGGCTAATACTATTATTTTTCATGCAAATCCAAATCAGGATCTTTTTGTTACATGCAAGCAGAAAAGGCGAGTAAATTACATTGAAAACTTTCCGTGGCTCGTGGATAAGCAGGGACAAACCGATCAGGATGACACACGCGACTTTTCTACGTACCGCATAGCATGAATTGATCGGTTCTCACCGGGATCATTCTATTCGGAATAAATGGATGGAGGGTTGTACCTTGATATATGCCTTTCGAATGTCTTCCTTGGAGCACGACGGCGTCACGGAAAGAACCTGGTAATAGTCTGTAGCTGTGAGGATATCATCCACCCACTGGTGCTTCAATGTCTTTGTTCTAGTGGCACATCTTGCAAGCATGAGTAAAAAAAGCAGTAAGAAAAAAAGAAAAAACTCGGCTATGGATAGTAATAGTTTCATCACTATTTAAACAGAGTCGTAGTGCAAATGACGCAAGAAATTCCTCAATTCACATTCTTGAACAGCATAACAGTTTTTTTCAGTTTTGAAGAAAATGGATACTAAATGCACTGTTTTTTCCTTCCTTTATTTTGATTATTTTTTTAACAATGTAAAACCAGTTTAGATCTTCTGCATGGCAGCAATGTCAACGGATTGGACATAGTCTTCCAATTCGGTGATCTTGTCGGTCAAGTCATCCAACATAACCTTGTCATCTTCAACAACACAGTTGATCTGGAGCTTCTTGATACCGAAACCAATGGCAACGAGCTGGGAACCACCCCACAAAAGACCGTCCATTTGGATATCGCGGACACCCTGAGTCAAGGCTTCCATATCAGTCTCGTCATCCCAAGGCTTGACTTCGAGAGTAACGGTGGTCTTGGCAATAGGCTTGGGCTTAGCAGCCTTCTTGGCGTTGTATTCAGCAATACGCTGAGCCTTGATCTTCTCAGCTTCCTCATCAACATCCTCGTCGTCAGAACCGAAGAGATCAATGTCATCTTCATCTTCTTCAGCAGCCTTCTCGGTCTTGGCAGCAACGGTGGCACCTTCAACAGCAGCCCTGAAAAGAGAGAGAAAAAAATAAAACCAATGGCTCCATTAGTAACCATGGCAAACCACACTGGGTCCTCGACAATATCCAACTTACTTCACGGTGTAGCCCTTGACGGCGGCAATGTGGTTGTACCATCTGGCCAAATGGGGGTAGGCAGAGGGGGAAGGACCTTCGGGAAGAGAATCGAAGACGGCCTTATCAGCATCAGAGGCTTCGAAACTACATGCCATATCCAGCCGTTGTTTAGTTTATTCCCATTCCACTTTCCATTCTTTTTCCAATTTGTGCAGTTGGAATCTTACCCCTTGACGTAGGAAGCGTTCTCAAAGTAGCCGTTCAAAATCTTGAAAGCCAAGCCAGTTTCGATAGTGAAGGACATTTTGTCTGGTTTTTTGTTAGAAAAGAGAGGGAAGGAAAAAATGTTGTGTCCAAAATAAGGCTATAAAAAAAAAAACGAAAAAAAAAGCTTGTCGGTCACAGAAAAAATTTTGGTAAACAGAAAAAAAACCAGCAACTCCATTCTCTGCCCGTGCACCTCCATACTAAGCTTTTCCATGCTATTTTCTTTACCATTGATCACTTTGAAGACTGTGTGAATAAATTAGACATTCTTGTTATGCTATTATGCTTTTATACATCATTAGTTTCAATAAAAGTATACGTCATGTTCCCTCATTCATCACCACAGCATTGTAGCATAGTGGCTTAGCCAACCCTAATTGGTTTACCTGCCCAGTGGCGGGCCGCTGGGGTTTCTTCACTTTTGGGCGCTTTGCAGGAAATTTCGGTCCAGTTTTCATTTCTGTGCGCTATACCACACACAATAGATCGTCATGGGGAAAAGTGCGAAATTCTACAAACGTCCTACAAAGAAGGAGAAAGAGGGAAACGCCCTGCGAAAGTTGGCTACAACCACCCCGGTGATCGCGAAAAAGCAGCAACAGCAACAGCAGCAACCTGCCAAAAAAACGGCTTTGGCCGATGCCATTGTCAAGACGGATGCAGCTGCGATGGATATTGACGACACAAGTGCCAAAAAGAAACCGACCAAGAAAACGGCCAAAGATGAAGGTCCCGATTATGTTGATCTGTTAACCGGCAAAAAAACATACAAGAAAACACCTGGAAAACGAAGACATTAAAATACGCCCAAAGACATCCCCCTTCCCTATATTGATATCAAACCAAAACACAGACGTTGTCAACTGCATTTTTTTTTCATAAGAGCATCACTTTTCTTTTACTTTTTTTTTGGAATCGTAAAGTAAAGACAATTTTTAGACGGGAATCAAATGAAGATGAAAGAAATGAGAAAGATCCATATGTCGATTGTTCAAAGAGGTATTCGTTATTTCGATTCAAGGATAAGTTGCAAAATATAGGACATGAATTTGTGATGTGATAGAGAAATAGAGAAAGAGAAGAGTTTACATAAAGTACATCACTAAAAAAAAAAGGGGGGGAAAAATAAGATTAGCTCACAATTCAGATTCAACTTTTCAAAAAAAAAAAAAAAAAAAAAAAAAAGTGCTTACCTTTCTGTAATTCGGGCTTCACAACAGCGAAGCTTGCCATTTGGGCTTCAGAGTCCATACTTTCACTGGTGGCATCGGTGTCAGACCAGTTCTCACCGCGACGATGGAAGCGAGCGCGAGCAGCGACCAAATCAGCATAGTAAGCGGGAGGCACAATGGACACAGCACGGGTGGCACGACCATAGATGTAGCACAGACGGTAGGTCAATTCTTGAAGAGCATCGGCAGTGAAACCGTTCTCGTCACGCAAGACGTGGTAATGTGTAGGACGCGAGGTACCTTGCAAACCAGCGTGCGACTGGAGGTAGAAATCGAACTCGAAAGGATGGACAATACCAGTATCAACCACGGTACCAGGCATACAGTTACCGGTACGATCAGCATCGCGCTGTTCAACGGGGAAGAAACGAGCGTGGTGACGCTTCTGTACGACCACAAAGGTAATCGGGGGCTTGTAGTTCTTATCGAGGGAAGCACAAGCGGCACGGATGGCGGCGATTTCGTTATCTTTGACAGCCTGGAATTGACCTTCGGAAACACCATCACGGTAGAACAGAATACGTTCAGGCTTCTGACCACAGGACTGGTAAAAGTTCTTCAAGAGTTCCTTGACCATGTTGGCCAAATCGGCCACGATTTCAGTACGGTTGGCCTGGACACGGATAGCCGAAGCATAACGAGAAGCACGAGCATCCATGCTTGCAGTGACTGCAGCAATGGAAGGACGGTTGGTCTCACCAGGAGCAGGATGGGTAACATCGGCACCAAAGAGAATAGTGGGACGAGAAGAAATGAAGGGAATCATAGGAGGAGCCAAGAACAAGTTCATGCCACCCAACTTCATGTTGACCTTCAAGCAAACGTTGGCACAATATTGCTTCTTGGCATCGTTGATATGCTTGCTCTGAACACATTGGGTAGAGACACCGAGGACTAGATAACAAATAAAAATAAAAATAAAAACGCAAATGAATAAAACTCAATTCATGCTGCATCCCCCTTGCAGGTAAAAAAAAAATCGTATTGCGTAATTATCTTTTTCAACCACCCCTTACCTGTGTCAGAAACGCGCTTGATTTCGGCGTAAAGAGGAACACCAGTGTTGGGCAAGATACAAAGAATGAGCTGAGGGTTGGCCTTGGCGGCGTTACCGGCCTTGAGCCAAGCTTCCTTCAAAGTACGATCAATGTTGCCTTGAGGATCGGCATTGGTGATAGGAGGTTGGCGGTTGAGAACATTCTAAACAAAAAAAATAAAAATAAAAATTACAATGAATGTATGTGAGTCAAAGAGGAACAAAAAAAAAAAAAAAAGAAATAATTTGTAATTATCCGAACTTTCATAAAATTACAAAAAAATTGGCTGAATTCCAACCAAAAAAAGTGGGTTCTTTTTTTTTGGGGGTGAAAACGGCAACTTACCAAACCAGTGTCAATGAACGTTTGACACAATTCGCGAACGAAGCGCTGGATAACAGGTGGGGGAATAGGACCAGCAAAGTTAACCACGGACCAGGAACCAAGGACGGCACCTTGAGCGACCTTCTTGCCACGCAAGTTCCAAGCACCAGCCATGGGAGCGAAAGTGGCTTCCTGGGACGAAGGATGGTAGGAGATCTTGGGGGTTTGCAACACACGAGCATTGACCATGGCCATTTCGGGCTTGACGCTCATGCCAAACTGTTGCAAGTAAGGGTTGTTGCGGTATTCCAACAACTGGAGACCGTTGTTGATCTTGTTGGCACGGACGTTCGGCTTCTGGCAAGTGAACTTGATCATTTCAGCGGTCTGCTTCTCGTTCAACTTCTTCATGTAACGTTGACCCTTGACGATAACACAGACTTCCATGGGAAGGAAGATATCCTTCTTGACAACAACGCAAGGCAAGAAAGGACAAGACAAGCGCATGCCATATTGCTTCTGGAAATAAGCGGCCACGGTCATTTCAGCACCGGACTCGTCCTTGAAGTTGGTGCGGTCAGGAGTGCTGGGAGTCAACTTGTTAATCTTGTACTGGCGCTTGACTTCACCGCGATGGACGACTTGGATCTTGAGGCCCTTCAAAGCCTTTTCAAGCTTCTGGCGATCGCGGTCAGAGATACCACGGCGGAGATCATCCATGCTGCGACGACCCAAAACCTTGACGACGATTTCAGGAAGAGGACCCGATTCATAAAAGGCGGTCGCGCTGACGTCGATGTTGATCATCATTTTGCCTGAAAAATAAAAATAAAAAAGTCTTAGCATTGCATAGGTCGTCAAAAGAGTGTGCAACTTTACCTGCGGTGGGACGAGCCGATTGGTAGAAACCTTGCCAGACTTCAGCACCGTTAGGAAGAGGACGGCTATCAGCGGGGGTGTAGAAAGAACGACCCACAGTAGCGTGTTTCATGCTGGGCATGTGACGGATAAGGACATCGAGCACCATAATAGCTGCAAGTGAAAGCAGATTTTTTAGAACGTGTGAACACTGATCGGAGAAATCATAAAAATTTACCAGTCAAACAGTTGGAGGTGCAGGCACTTTGGCCGTTCAAGAAACGGCGAAGTTCTTCCATATTGACTTCACCAGCCTTCTTGATACGGATCTTGAACTGGTTGCCAGCGCGCTTGGAGGCGGCATTGGCGGGACCTTCTTGCAAAGTGACCTAAGCAAGAAAAAAATTTTGTTTGTCAAACGGGCCAATGGCAACACGAAAACAGGAAAAAAAATACGATAAAAAATAGCGATGAAAAAAACCTACGTCGAACGCCATTGCGTTTTCATCACCCAAAGGCAAAGGCTTGGGGGAGAAGACGTTCTTGCGACCGTCATAGATACACTTGATACCCTTCAAGACACCTTGACCGTCGGTATCTTCAAAGGACTTCCAGACCTTGCGGAGCACAGCTGGGGGCATACTAGCAGGGTCAATGGTGACATCGTAATGATGGATGTTTTGGGTGGGGAAAGAGGTGACTTCAAAGAAGTTACTGCGAACACGGACAGGCTTGCCGGCGGTACCAACACCAGGACGTTTAACGAATTCAGTAAGCTCCAAAGACATGGCGAAGAAGCAGCTGAGAGAAAGAAAAAAGGAGAAAAGGGAAAAAAAAAAAAAAAAAAAAAAAGGAAGCGGTGACAAAAAAATTGCGACCGGTCTCAAATATGAAATGGGGAGCTTTTTTGACATAAGATGACGTCAACCAATCGAAAGACGGATTTTGATCTGCTAAAATGTGTACAAATCTTCCATCTGCTGCAAAAATAACTAATCAAGAGTGAAGGGTTGATCGGGTTCTAACAATTTTGGGTCCATTCATTTTTATTCGTTTTATTTGCGGGAAGAAAAAAAGGGCGACGCGAATACTTCGTCTGGTATCATGCGAATGATGGCACCAATAGGAATAGACATCAATCCAATGGCGATGCTCAACATCCAGTGCGAGCTGTTTAACGGGACGGTTTGGAACGCTGCGCCGCCGCATTCAACGATAAGGATTTGACCGCACACGCTGACGACAAAAATAAGAATGAAAAAGTGGTTCTTTTTTATGCCTTTTACGACATTAAACCGATTATCAATGCGCCGGCAACTATCAAAAGAAAAACAAAAAAGGACAAAGTTTAACAAAAGAATGAATATGAGGATTTTTCAAGGGGTGTTGTAAGGAGCAACACGCACGCATTCTGAGCGGAGCATGTTTCCCAATGTCGGATTCTTTTTTTCTCATCCGATCTAAAATTGCGGTTCCCATCAAAGAAAGAAAAAAAAAAAAGATCACGAAGACCTGCAACTTACTTGACTTCATTGAAAATTTGACAAAACACAAAGGCCGTGAACACCACAGTTTGAAGCGTGGCTTCGTCATGTTCCAAATGGAGCACGTTCGTGTACAACAATGTCAAAATAATACCGATTTGGTAAAATGTTTGTCCTAGGATCATTTTCCACATTCGGCAATCAATCAAAGGCACCGTGCGTGGCTCCGGTTTTCGTTCGAGAAGATCAGGAGTCGGTGGATCGGTTGCTAAAGCCAAGGCTGCAAAGGTATCCATAATGAGATTCACCCACAACAGCTGGACTGCCGTTAGAATGGACTTTTGTTCATCGCTGGCCACTGCCGAAACAATCGTTAACATGACGGCCGTAATATTCACCGTCAGTTGGAATTGCAAAAATTTTTTCACAGAATCATTCACGCAGCGACCCCAAGAAATGGCCCGAACGATGCTAGAAAAATTATCGTCCATCAAAATGATACTGGACGCTTCCTTGGCCACTTCGGTGCCTGCCACGCCCATGCTAAAACCCACATCCGCCGCTTTCAGTGCTGGACCATCGTTCGTACCGTCGCCTGTGACCGCCACAATTTCACCGGTTGCTCGCAATGCATTGACCAGTTCGCGTTTATCTTCCGGACTTGATCGCGCCAATACGCGCAAGTGAGGGAGAATGCGGAGTCGTTCAGCATCAGGAAGTTGACGAAACGTCGGTCCATCCAACGCCAGTGCACCGTACGAGTAAATGCCGCATTGACGTGCGATGCTTTTGGCGGTCAGCATATTATCGCCCGTCACCATACGTACACAGACGCCTGCACTTTGACATGCAGCCACTGCTTCTTTGACGCCCGGTCGTAAGGGATCTTCAATGCCAACAATCCCAAGTAATGTGAGCCCTCCTGCAGCAAGCACGTCTTCCAATTTGTGATGGCTAGACCACGTATCGAAATCCTTGTAACAGACCGCCAATGTGCGTAAACATCGCGTTGCGTAACTCTGAATAATCTTGGCCATGCGGCCCCGATTGGCTTCGGTCATTGTACGCGTTTCAATATCGTAGATGTTGCCTTCTTCGACTCCGTGAAACTTGTCATATGATTCGCCGTGGATGGACAAAATGCGTGTCGATCGCGATAATAAAAACTCCGACGCGCCTTTGATATGCACACGGTACACGATACGTTCTCGTTTCGTATACTGATCCAACACGGGAATACGGATCACGGTACCCATCGCTTTGCGTTTGGAGCTGAAAGGGAACACCTGCTCCACTTGCCAAAACGTGCGCAACAGTTCAAAGGGTTCCGATGCAAGCGCATCCTTTGCAAAGTTCAACATAGCGATTTCCGTCTTGTTGCCCACGAGCGTCACATCGCCGTCCGAGGTCTTGTTGCGAAAAGCCGTCGAATTGATGGCAATGGCTTGATTGACAAAATTACGCACAGGCAGAGGAATTTTGTGTCGTATCTGGCTCAATTCGACCAAATCAGTGCGAGCTGCAGGTGGATCGCGGAGAAAACGGAACGAGGAACCAAACGTGCCTGCTACCACCGACATCTTGTTCTGCGTGAGTGTGCCCGTCTTATCCGAACAAATTGTCGTAGCATTGCCCATGGTCTCGCAAGCGGTGAGAATACGCACTAGGTTATTATCTCTGAGCATTCGTTGCGTTGCATACGCCAAAGCTATTGAGATTGATCAGATTCACCGCCCTTTTTTGTGTGTGTGCGTGTGTTTTGCACTCATTTCACTTACCTAGGGTCACGGCGAGTGGCAATCCTTCAGGTACGGCCACCACCACAACAGTGACAGTGGTGATTAGAATACGCATGATCTGTGACACGATATCGGCGGGCAAGACGGACAGACTGGCCGTCATGTATCCTATAATACATCGGACAAGCAAAGCTACAAAAAGGAATCCCGCGGCCCCTAGGCCGAGCTTGGCAATACTGCTTGCCAAAACATCCAGTTTCTCTTGCAACGGGGTGGTGTCGTCGTTGGTTCGCAAGGCCATCAGCGTTCGACCATTGAAGGAATTCACGCCTACAGAAGTAACAAGGTAGGTGCAGATGCCTTCGAGTACTTTACTTCCCGAGATCAAAAAGGGGTCTGGTCGATGGCTTTCGCTGTATGAATCATTGTCATTGGGAAAATCGTCGGATACAGAATGAAGGCGCTTTTCAGGGTCGTTGGAAGCTTCAACCAAAGAAGAGGAATCCTCATTTGAAGCCAGGTCATGGCGATGCTCTGATATCCATTGCAAGGTCATACAGTCCTGCCAGCGAATTTTTTTCACGGCGTCCGATTCACCGGTTGCGGCGGATTCATCGCATTTTAGGTTATACCCCTGAACAAAAATACCGTCGGCGGCGACGATATCCCCCGGTGTAAGGCTCAAAATATCGCCCACTTGAATGTCGTGCACAGAAATCACGCATTGTTGGCCCGACCGAATGGCCTGGAACCAAAAGGAGTGAAAAAAAGAGAGAGAAAGAATATTCAATATTTGCCACAGAAATCCCAGATTTGAATAATAATGCAAGACGACTTACGCTGACATGTCGATCATCCTTCTTGGCATTTAGACTACGGAATTGTTTCTCTTTTTGATTATCGTTGACGCTGCCTACAACGACGACCAAAAGCACCGCCACAATAATGGCCACGCCTTCGACCCATTTGACGCCAGGAATACGGTTCCCAGCCGCATCGTACTCTACGGTCGTGACATCTTCGTAGATACCGACCGTCAAGGAAATAATAGCAGACACTGTTAGCAATATCTAGCAACAGTAAAAATTCAAAGGGATAAGTTAAAAATGATTCCAAGAATAATAAATCATAACAATAAAAAAGAGATCCTCATCGTACCAGTGTCCTATCCTGAAATGAAAGCCACATCAAATAAAAAATACTCTTCACTTCCATGGTGGGAAGGATATTAGATCCAAACACCCGTCGTCGCTGTAAAAAGGGCTCTATATCCAGGGATGTTGCACTGTCCGTTCCTGGGACGGGTGGTTGTTTTTCATCGATAAAAGTGTATGATTCTGCTTTCACGTCGTCCAGCGCCGCCGTTTCAAGATCATGGAGTGTGATGGGGGGTAGATTGGCCTCTTGCGACGAGATACCCTGGGTGAGGCTGGAGTGAAGACCCTGGGCAACACCTTCTACGCCACCAATTTGGGCCAAAAAATCCAAATCTTTTCGATCCACTAAAGCGGTCAGTTGATGGGGTGTAAAGGCGAAAGGATTGGATGGATCTTGATGAGGAAGCATAGTCAAATTGATAGTGGAGGATTGCTTTGGGGAAGGTCGTTGAAGCGGTGAAAATGATTGTTTGGGTGAATTGGTCGACGATACACTATGGCGGAATCGGTCTTGGCCTTGGTCGGCGTCATAGTCCGTGTAAGGTGGAGGACTGTATCCATGAACTTCATGATGGTCCAACGTCATGAGGATGAGATGGCACTAACAACAGCAACCTAAAAAGACAAAAGAAGACAACAAGTGGAAAACGGATAAAAAAAAATTAGGCAAACCTAATAATAATTGAAAAGGATGCCAACTGTTTGGTGCCCTTGGATTTCTATTGATCCAAAAAGGAGCGATCCAATTGAATCCAGAAGGGTAGAAGGGGATGGGGGGTTAAAAATATTACAAGTCAAAATGAGCAAGGAGAAACGCGTTAACCTTTATATACAATAACAAAGAAAAAGTGATATGGAAAAAATATTCATGTACACTGGTGCCACTCATCATTCCTCTTCCAACGGTGTAAGGGGGGACACGCGGCTTGTCTGATGGCCTGTGGAGAGACGACGGCTTGTGTTGCTAAACTGAACGACGGGCTTGCTCCTGTTCACATCACCTACAGTACTCCTATTTGTCTAGCTCTATATAGAAGCCGTACGATGTCTCCCCTGAAGAGACCTTTTTTTTCATACAAATAAGCTGATGCGTTAGCCATGCGGTGACACTGTTATTTCACTCGTAAACATCATCCATAGCACGCAAGTCGACACTAAAATTTGACGTCAGAACTCAAAAAGCAATGTCGTTTTTTGACATTGGCTCGCGTGCGTTTGATTAGGTCGTTTTGGAAGAAAAAAGTCATGCAGGTTATTTGGTTCTGGTCTGCTGGATGTCGCAGTTGACAAACATGACAGACGACCCGAAACGAAACAAAAAAAAAAAAAAGGAAATTACGGTCCAATGTTGAAAGATGATGAAAAAAGTAATACTTGTTGTCTGCTCTATGTCTTCCGAGTCAGACAGATCAGTAAATAAATAATAAATATTCTTTTTCTCTGTTTAAGAAATATACATTTTGATGGTTATGAATCAAAAATACATACAATATGTTACAATGAAGATAAAAAAAATCATCCGAGGGAAAAGTGGGCCTACGTTGTCAAGTTGGGTCATGCTTCCGATGCCGAACTAGGCAATACCGCTGCTAGTGGCGCAGATGGGTAAACGGTATGACTTCGTTTTCGATCCACAAGCGTCTCTGTGTAAGCACAACGGTGATGGATGTCGGGGATGCTGTTGGTGGTTTCCAGGTGAATTTCAAAACGACCTTTCTTAATAACGTGGTTGCGGGCCATGGTCGTTGAAGCGCGCTGCAATCCTAGACGGTGGTAAGGGTCTTCGTCGGGAACTGTCTTGACTCGACGAAGGTCATGCGATACAGGTAATAACTCCAGGCCAGAATCGTGATGTTTGGTGACATGATCTGCAGCACGAATGTGACCTTGGGAACTGGTCCCGACACTGGACGCTGACTGGCCAGAGTCCGGATTGATCCAAAATTCAGGATCCCAAATCTGTAGCCGCCGCAGCGTGTCGCCATGACTATACATGGACGATTGGGTATAAAGCGACATATTGACAGTTTCTTCACGATGATGGTACGGAAAGGGAAGAAAAGAGGAAGCTGTATACATGACAGCGTCGTCGTCGAATTCATCTTCAGGCAAAATCTTGATCCCCGCTATGTCGGCAAATTCCTTGGCAGTGAGATCCTCCGAATGTGTCGTGATATTGGAAGCTAACACATACGACGACAAGTGAGAGTTTTGTCGTTTGTGGTCAGATGGCTTTCTGGATGATAGCGAGCCAATGGATATACGCTCCGAAGCAGGTCCAGCCGACGCCGATGAAGTGGAGCAAGATGAAGCAGGATGTACAGTGTGGGTAGAGGAGCCGTATGGTTTGATGAGAATACTGGTGAGTGGTTGGTCTGCTTTTCGACCATAGCCGTTGTGGGGGATAGTGTAGGCATGGTGAAGCTGTTCCCGGCTGAGGGACCGTCGGAGTTTTATGGATTTGGTTTGGGATCGGGAGGCTCGCAACCGACGATACGGTTCGTCTTCAGGATAGAAATTGGTTTGATCGGATGGTTTCGAGTGGGTCGAGATGTTTATATCGTCCAGGCTACGAAAACGGGATAAGGTTTGTGGCAAAACTGAACGACGTGGTGTGTCTCCATTCTTGTGATGATGGCACCACTGCCACAGCGTTCGGTGATGAGGTTCGTGGTGATGAGTGAAAACTCTGAGTGTGCTGCGTAATTTACGAAAGAGCGTCAAGCCCGATTTGATCCCTTTGAACTTGCTTAAATTCTCGGAAGTTGGATTATTATTTGATTTGGATATATTCTTAGCGGGATCTTTTTTCAAGTTGAAAAATGGCTTGTTCATCGTCTAAAAAAAAAAAGCTGAAGCCAGCGTTTTGCAAAGATAAAAAAAAAAGAGACAAGGAGAGAGCGGAACTACCGCACCGCGTTAGAAAATGGAAGGATACCAATAAAAAGAAAAAAGAACCGTGAAAAGACAAAAATGTTCATCTGTGTGGAAAAAAAAAACCTCGACATTTTTATAATGTGGTCGTATTTTTTCCTTTTTGTCCGTGTCTTTTTGAATAAAGCTGTGCCCGTAGACGAATTTGGTGTTGATGTGCGACAAGACCAAACAGCTTACCATATTACGTCACCTGTTGATTAATATTGTTTAAAGGGGTGACAAAACAATGTTGACAGAAGAAGTGGATGTTTCTATTGCGCAAGCTCGGAACCCGTCTACTGACGAATCCTACTATTGCACATGAGAATTTTCATGTGGCTCACCCTGCAAACCACATGAGCATGTAAGTAGGATCCTGAAGCATCGAGTCCTTGCAAGCCGGGATTAGGTAATCATTGAATCAGCTATTTTGCTGTCCTCCGTTTTTGGTCATTTGAGCGGATTCAAAAGATGAATGTAATTTGGTAACTGCACCGTTATTTATGAACGTACCATTTGGATCACGTAAAAAAATTTGGCAATTGGTACGTCAACCGCAGCACGTCATACTTGGTTAGCTGTATTCAAGTATTTTTAGATCGACTAATGAATGTATAATGTATGTTGAGGTTAACAAGACCTCCAAAAAAAAGAGACCCTACAATCATAAGCGCTGAAACATCACGTATTTGTAATCTTTTGTTTTCACGAGTCGAAAGCACCTCGCACGTGCCAGTAATTCCCCCGATCGTAGATCCGTAAAAGCATAAGCGATTTACACATTTCCACAACTCTACTTCATTCGGCTAGGCGCAATGACGGCTGTCAAGTAGCCATACAATATACCAATCATCCCTCATAAAAATGCTTAATATGTGATTGATGACAGGATCTCCGTAGCCTTTGCAACGTAGAATTCTGAGATGTCTCGGCTTGTGTACCGACGTTAGTAGTCAAACCTTAAATATCCGGATCAAGAAAACAATTTGTTGTTTACTTTTTCATTTATTTTATCTGGAGGGTGTGTTTTCACATGCTTACTGTATCCAAGATGAAAAGGATCACAATCATTGAGGGAACTTATTGGATTGTACCAGGATGATTTCATAAGGAACAGAACAAGTCAATCATCAATACAAATGTTCCCCAGCAAACCTGGATCCACGATCGGAGGTTCACACAAGTGATGTGACGAAGTACTTTGAATCTGGGGTACAATCTTTTTTTCCAGGTTGGTTACCCGGCCCACGACATTTCTGCTGGCCGTAGATTAATTACAGTGTAGGTGGTCCAAAGAACCCGCTTTTGCTTTACCATTCTTGCGTGGTGTCACTGCTCACCTCAATTTATATATTCAGTTATCTATATAATTAAAATCTTTGAAAAATTAGCGATTTTGTAAATCACATGATCTACACTAAGTTATCAAGACCTGTTAAACCTTTTTTTCATCTTTCAACCATGCCTCGCTGCCCACTTTCACGATAATAGGCGAAACAATCAGCAGCAAGATGCCGTTTGCACCAGTTGTGGTCAAACAGAGTATCGTCGCCGTTCACATAAAATGTGAGTGGAGCTCTTTTTTGAAGAAAGGTGATTGACGATACGACGATCTGGTGTTTTGTAGCATCATTTAATTTGGGTTATCTGTCAGTTATACTGTATATGCCCTTTCATTCTCTTCAGTAATCGAATGATACATGGAACAGATATGCTTCGATCTGTGTAGCTCATCATTCATGCATCAGTGAGGTGACTATTGTTTCATCCATGGAAAATCACATATTTTTGTCCGAATTTTTTCTTCTTCTTTAGTTTTGCATCTCATCGGGAAACGCTGACGCGTCCTCCCCAGGTTCCTCTCATATGGATTGCTGCCCGTGGTATCGCCTTCGATATTTCTTCCCGACCATTTTATTTTGTAGTTGTAGTATGTATTTTGTATTTTAGTGAATAGTCTTCTTGCAGTCTTTTCCTCCTTTTTTTTCCCACAGGGTTTTTAGGGGGTTTTTACAGACGCACCTATTGTATTTACTTTTTTTTTTATATTTGTATCCTTTCTTTATTTCGGTCGGGAAGCCCTCGGTATCTGCTGCATCAAACATCAAAGGTAAAATATCTCAACGAAATTTAAATCAACCAAAGAGCTTACTAACTCATTTTTTTTAAATACCCAACATTCCCACACATCTTTGTAGATCTATCATAACCTTGGGCGGGACAGAACGGAGGGGGTCAATAAGTGCTGCTTTGTTCATTAAAAGTGTTTCATGGTATGCCAGAGTATTGACATTAATATACCAAAGTTCCATCAAGAGTCTCGCCCAGGTTATGCCGTATTGCGTTAGGCTTTTTGTCTGACGAATGTCGCTCAAGGCAAGAGTGCGGCATCCAGTAGCAGGTGGCATCCATTGCACAGCGGGTGTACGGCTTGTTACACATGACAATGACTGATTATTATTATTATTATTATTTTTTGCAAAGTTCGACTGTAACTTTCGACTATCACTAATCCATCAGGCATAAGCTTCTGTAGTAAATAAAGGATAAACGTTTTGAACGCGCAATGGACCAAAAAAACTATGCAGAATTACATATCTGGTCAATAATGTTAGATTCCACCATGGCTTATTTTCTTTTGTAATGAAATTATTCTCGTTGTTACAATTGATCACACCAATTGCAGTTGTCATATTTTCGCTCATGATGCTGCGGATAGATTTCAGCCAAAAGAAGACAAACCAAAAAATTCGCATAATGTGTGACGACACTATTTGAATTTCGATTCATTGGGAACAGGAAAAACCGCGCAATGCTGCTAATCGTTTCACTCTTTGGCCATGGCCTCACCCAACGTACTTGATCCCTCGTCCGTATTACATACATTGCAGCAATGTATTCCCAATTCCCTTCAATCAGGATATGACGCATTAGCTGCTGCAAGTCACGCTGTTATGCTTAGTGTCGGATTCCGTTTTGCAGGATTGGGAGACGACGCCCGCCAAGGTAATGAGCTGGGTTTATGCGTTGCAGAATCATACGTTATCTGCGATTTGTGGCTAACAACAGAGGACCGATAGAGGGCGATGGCACCAAGAAACAACTACCCAACGAATGGAACGAGCACAGCCCCCATTTTTATGCATTTCGTTACAGCCATCCGCAGTCGAGCCTGACATTTGTGCTTAAAAGTCTGCGGTTAGGTGATCGCTGGATTGTTCACGGACTCGGTATTGGGGTAAGAAATAAAAGGCGTTCGGGCGTTGGGTAGTTGGAATATCCCTGACCCATGCCCACTTGCCCTTTTTTTACTAGGACGATAAAACAGCAACGTTGGATATCGTTTGCAAAGACTACACATCGGATTCCTTCTTTCCTTATCAAGTAGACTCCGACAAACCTCTGGTCCATGGTTTCATCTCCACCGATCGCTTCAATGATTTTATCGTTCTTTTCAAAATCAACATCATTCAGCGGTTGATCCCAGGACTAACCAAACCAGGCTATACTGAGTCAGAGTATGTCAAGTTTGTTCATTTGGCCATGCCAGAGGAAAATGGGAAACTAAATCCTTGTTTCTTGTTTACAGCAATGGGAGCACAAACACAGATTCTCGCAATTCGAACCGTTCACAGCCTCGTCAGCCGTTGTCCTCGGAAACAAATCCTCCGCCCCGTCCCGCGTTTTATGATCCTCCGTTTTCACCAGATGACCCATCGTCCGAGTAAGAGAATATACATACTTTGTTTGTCGTTGGCCAATCTTGACGCATATTTGTGTAGACGAGTCAATCCTCTGAATGTGGGCCAAAGTGATTTGGAGCCTGCCGGTGGTCGATTGCGCATGCCTGGGTAATTAATGATAAGCATTCGAGTAAGATTGACGAGGGCGTTGCTAAAGCTTTGTTTTTCAGCGTTGGCAGCGGCATGTTTGTGGGACCTGATCATCCCATATTCGGCAGATCGACGCAGGGACATGACGATGATTCCAGCCACATATTTGGAGGCCCGCAGCCTTTGCCAAGGTAATGTTTCAATGAGGCAGCTGGGCCATCATTCTTTCGTTATACATTCTTTGTCGGGCATTGATACTTAGTACTGTCTTTTTTAATTTCCAAACAATAACAGAGGAGCGGTTCCTCCGGGTGCCCGATTCGATCCCATTGGCCCCTTTGGAGCTCGACCTGGCCGAGGCGGAATCCGACCTCGTGGCAGTGGTCGTTTCAGTGGTGAACCTGATAACGACGAATTGCCTCCTCCAGTAAGCTCCTCCCTTCTTTTTGTACAGTAAAAGAGAAACATCACCCGAGCTTAACCATTTCTCTTCTCTCTTTTTTTTCAGGGATACAATGACATGTTTATGTGATAAAAGTTTAGCGCTGTAAATAAATAACCCAGCAACTCTCCGAAATTTCAATCGTCTCACTCCACACTTTCATTTTTTTTTATTCATTTCTTTTTTTTGAAGCAATATATGCTTAATCTTTTTGCAGAATGACTGAATCTGCAATGACTGAAGAGTCATTTGTTGTGTTTTCCGGCGGATCGGCCTGTAACTTTATAGGTAGGAATTGCGGTTGTTTTGCTAGTCATGGAGAAACCTGATTGATGGATCTAATGTGTTACTGTAGCCAACGCATTTCAATCCATCACTCCCAACGTATGCTATGTACTCGGTATTTCCGACAACGGCGGCTCTACTGTAAGTCGTTTCTTTGACAAGTTTGTGCCACCCCACATCTAATGAGTTAAACTCAGAGCGAACTACTGCGTGTGCTTGGTGGTCCTAGCATTGGTGATTTGCGATCCCGCCTAAGCCGTCTGATCAATGTCGAAGGTCCCGATGCCGAGGAACGCATTGCGATCAAGGAACTATTGAGTTATCGTCTACCATGTCAAGGAAATGAACACTCGATTCGAGACGAGTGGTCGCTGATTGTGGAAGGCAGACACAGGTAAGGCAGAATTACGTTCCATGGTTACCGTTGGAAGAAACATACTAAAGGCTAGGTTGCTGTGACCTAGATTGTGGGACCGCATTTCTACCGAGAAAAAAGAAGCCATTCGAGGCTTCTTGGTGCTCTTCAACTGTGAAATCCTAAAGCGGGCACACAAGCACTTCAACTTTTGTAATGGGTCGATTGGCAATTTCTTCTTGACAGGAGCTCGCTTATTCTTTGGATCGTTGGAAGCGGCAATTTTTCTCTTCTCATCCATTACCGCTATCCGGGAACCGACCCATGTGGTGCCTGCCATTAACACCAATCACACCGCCGCTATTGCTGCCCTGTTAGAGGATGGAGAGACGTTGCGTGGTCAATGTGAAATTAGTCATCCAGGACAACACAAAGCCGGTCATCGTTCCATGAATCCCATCGATGCATTTTCTCGATTGGCTTTACCGAATTCGCCCAGTCAAGCTTCTCCTGACGGTGAAGTGAACGGCAACTTGGTCTTTAGTAAAACGACCGAAGAGAAACTGTCGGCGGCCATTCGACGCATTTATTACATGAACGAATACGGCCAAGAGATCTACCCATTACCGAATCCTAAGGTATTAGCTCACTTGAATACAAGGAAGCATCTGGTATATTCCATAGGTTCCCTCTACACATCCATTCTTCCCTGTCTTATCTTGCGTGGGGTCGGAAACGTTGTGGCCAAATCTCCCTCTTTGAAGTACAAAATCCTGATTTTGAACGGAACCCAGGATCGGGAAACCGATGGGTATTCGGCCATGGATTTTATCGGGACCATTACAAATGCATTGAATGAAAGTCAGCTGATCGATGCAAGACGCAAGTTTTACGATTCGCAAGCGGAAGACGACACTTTGCTTGCTAGTCGTCGCAGCTGTTCACCGTACCATCCAAGCTTTTATCCTCGGCCGGTAGATCACGGTTTCCGACAATGGCCACCGCCACCTCCGGCGAGTTTGAAACCGTCTCCGGTAGGCAGATTACAGATTGCTATGCCACCATTGTCTGGTATGCTTAATAGTATTCATCAGCCTACACCTGTCGAGGGCTATCCCGCCGGCCCCGATGGCGCGAGTTTAGGAGACGCTTTCATCTCCCCTCCTTTCCCCCCTGAATTGGTCCCCAACTCCCCGCCCTCCTCTTTTATTACTCACTTGCTCTTTCTCACTAATTCACGTAAGTCTGACAAAATCCGGTCAATGACGCCAAAACAAGCTAACCGCCCAGTTACCAAAATAGGTGTCCCTGTGGATGTAAATGCCATTGAACAGCTTGGTATCCGTTGTGTTGCCGTACCACCAGATCCTCAATCTGCCCCTGAAGAACCGCGGTATGATGCTGTACGCTTGCAGGAAGTGTTGGCCAAGGTTATCTCTCAGTAATCCATCCATAGTTCCATGGAACTGTCATTTCTCTTTGTCTTTTCAAAAAAAAAAAATTCTATAGAATAAGGAAAAACTTGGCATTGATTTTGTTTTTATCGTAAATGCTGTCTGCTTCGATTAATTGCGATATTACCAATTTATTGCTGTGTCTTTCCAATTTACATCGTGTATTTTTTTTCTTTTTTTAACTTATTCATTCTTTTATTTAATGTACCACGCACCCAATGTATTAAAACAAACATGTTAAACCATCTGTAGACAACTGTGCATTGCAAGATTTGCAAACAGAAAAGCTTTAATTGGTTGCAACTGAGAATCATTACAGACTGGGGAACTCTTCGTTCTTTCTCTCTTTTTGATAGTATTTAGCAATGAGGAAGGCGATATCTAGGGATTGTTCATAGTTTAAGCGGGGGTCGCAGTAGCTTTGATAGTTGGTTGATAAGTCGGTATCTTTCAGGTCCATCGAACCACCAATACATTCTACAACAATAGAAACCCGTAAATACATCACATGCTAGAAAATAACGGTGCAGCTACTCTTTGGGAAAATAGGCTTACCTGTGACTGAATCGCCTGTCAACTCGAAATGAACACCATTCAACTTGCTGCCACACATTTTATGCACACGGAAGGTTTGTGACAATTCCTGGCAAATATCAACGAAATGACGCGTTTTGATGCCACCTGATACGCTCTTTGTGTTACCATGCATGGGATCACAGACCCACACGGGAATGTGGCCAGACTGTCGCACAGCTTCAATATGTTGGGCTAGATGGGTGTCGACCTTGCCCGCACCGAAACGTGTAATCAGTGTAATTTTGCCAATGTCCTTGCTGGGATTCAGTGTGTTCAACAGTTCCACCAACTTGTCGGGTTCCGTGGTCGGTCCCACCTTGATACCGATAGGATTTTCAATGCCTCGCATGTATTCAATGTGCGCTCCATCGGGCTGTCGTGTGCGATCGCCAATCCACAAAAAGTGGGCCCCCGCGTTGTACCATTTCTTGGTCTTTGAAGAAGGTGACGGTAACAAACGGGTCAAGGCCGTCTCGAAATCCAGTAACAAGGCTTCATGCGACACAAAGAAATCGACCGACCGTAAAACACTGCTGGAAGCCGATTGTTGCTGTGAATTATCAGCGCCAATGGTGCGCATGAAATCCAATGCATCTGTCAGTTGTGTTACAATGTTTTGGTATTCCCCTCGTACGGCTTCTGAACGAACGTGGTCAAGATTCCAGTTGGATGGCTCGTGCAGATCTGTGCAAGAGTAAATCGGCCGATTAGCAATCTTTTGGTCTCAATGTGTGCGGTACTACAATTATTATCCTTATTCTTGACTCACCCGCAAATCCAGAATCCAGCAATGATCTGAGATAGTTCATTGTGGCAGCGGAATGGAAATAAGCACTATAATCGCATTTCGTTAGTCCCTAAATATTTTCTTCATTGTCAAGCTCAAACAAAGCGACTATTTACCCCAGCAGGCGTTCCGGATCAGGTGTGCGGTCGCTAGGATCAAAACCATTGACATTATCACCTCTGTAGCAACCATTTTATCAGTATGACTAATTACATGCTCTGTACAATGAAAACGAGCGTTCATTACCTGTAAGACAAAATCTCTTGGCCATTGTGCATCTCAGTGGGTTTGCTTCTTGGTTTGGCATATTGACCCGCCATACGCGCAATACGAACAACTGATGTTCTGGCTCCCCACGTCAGGACAAGCGACATTTGGAGAAGCACTTTCAATTTGGCTTCAATGGGACCCTGTCATTGCCGTTAAATTTCGTTCTACAAATATATTATCATAATTGTTTTATAACGTACCTGAGAGCAATAGTCGAACAATTCCGCACAGTCACCACCTTGTAGCAAGAAGGAATTACCCAGTGCCACCTGTTTCAGCTGCTCTCGCAGATTCTCGATCTACTCACCCGTCAAGGGGAAATCGTGAGTGGGGAATGAATTGCGCAACGAGCATGGCTCACCGTCATTTTGACAGGACTTACCTCCTTGGGAGTCACTAATGGTGGCAATTGTTCCAGCTTGCCCAAGACTTTTTGCACGTGCTCCTTATCTTCGTAAACGACGTCTTGCTTGATAGGCTTCGTTTTCCAGTTGGTGGGTGTCCAGGCGGTGGTGCCGGCGTTGATTTGATTAGCGTCCATAATGATTAGCCAAGAAAGAGCGATGAAGTGAAGCGCAAGATAGGCGTCGGCTTTTGATGCGTAGAAAAAAGAATTTAAACTTTCAAACCGTCGTCACACACGCTGTTGCAATGAAAAAAGGGAACAATCTGAGTCATCGTGCGACTATGGCCACTTGGCCCATTATTGGATCTCCGCTAGGTTAGGACCCTTTTGCTTTATCGAATAGGAACCATCTCAGCTGTCGAATACGAAACGATCAGGATGAGTTATTTCCACGAATCAGCGACCGTTATGCGAGTCGCGAATGAGACTACACCATCCAACACTAATGTGTTTTGACGTATATGAAAAAAGGTATGGGTTTTTGTAGAAACAACTGCATCCTACATGACCTGCATGTTTGTATATTTCTTTGTATCATAAACAGTCGCACACATTCGCATTGCTCAAATAGGAACTGTCGCTGGCTTTGCTTTGCTGCAATACGCTTTGGAATCAATCAATATGTTATCCATATCAATAGAACGTTAGTGCGTGGACCGCATTATCTACGACTTTTTGCAATTTGATTCTCAAACAGGCGCCGATTCAATAAGACAAGAGGTCTTCTCGGACAACATTATGCTTTAACTCCTATCACCGACAACAATTGTCGGTGATTGTATTGTAAAATCCCACCTTTATAAACAGCGCCGTAAAGTATGTGGTTGCTTTCTTTTATCTCGTCGTACCTTGACTAGCAGACCCTAATGCGAATATAGACCTTTAAAAACACGTCAGATAGCTAAAAAGTTTGCACCGGTATTCTTTGACCAATACAATAACCGTTCCAAAGGTTCATCGCCTCTCTCGATTTACTCCTCATTATTGCTTCCTAAAGGTGGCAGCATGGCCCAACAGTTGACTATTTTTCTTTACTGTATGTTGCGCAGGTACTATTGCGCATGTTTGGATGACGGATTGTAAAGTGGTTTATGTAATTTTGTGGCGCTTCCAGCAGTATCGTTGGCCTTGCGAAATGGGAGTGGATGTGGTTTTACCTAAAGGAAGTGATGTCCGTTCTGTCTCGCTGCTTGACCATTTATGGCTAAAATATTGCCACCATTACCATGGAATAAGCTTTCCATTCCATCACACACGCTTGAGCTTGTGCAACACTATAAGATTGAACTATCAAGTGAATTTTTCATGCAACAAAAAAGTAACACGCTCAACCGGATCCTCATATAGTCTTTGGTTTCAAACGATACTCATGTCATTGTTAAACCACGCTGTTAACGCATGTGCATGGTGAAAATGAGCAAATCAGAAATGTATCACGCGACGGCGTTTGATATCACCCATGCTTCTGTGGGTCAGTGCCTGACAGTTGCAAGTATCTTGGCTGGCAGATCAAAAGGGCTCTAGTTTCGGATTAGTCAAGGTGGATATCGCAATTTTCTAATATGAAAGATCTCCAGTGAGAGCCAACCTATGGGCACAGCAAGATACTGAATGGTGCAAATTTTGTAGCAAAATTAACTCACTTAAAGAAAGGACGGTAACCTCTCATCAAGTGCTCCTTTTCACAAATTGTCTTTGGACTTGTTCTGACATGATGCGAAAGCTATTTATACGATGCATTAAAGTATGATCTCAACCATATATTTTCGACTGCATGTCAATGTCTTCCTTCAAGCCTATATGATATTAGGAAATCCGCTTTGACTCCACCGATTACAACTTTTTTGCGTTGTTGTATCGCATTGACGGCATGAAATATTTTATAAGAGCGATAGTTCATCCAAGTCTTGCTAAAATATTAGCTACTGCTGCGCGCAGAGCAATTGATTCCATTGCTCTTGGCCCAAGTAGCTTATCGTTAGAGACACTGCCATAGATCTCATTCATCAACTCGCTCTACAACGCGAAGAGTCCATTGTTTTGCTTCAAAATCGTGTGCTTTTTGAAGAAGGCAAGCGGAATAACGGACTAGATTTGCCGTCAATGTTGCTCCAGTTTTCTCGTCAATCGCATCGGCGTTTAAGCCAGCAAATTCTTGTTTGCGCTTATCCAGATTTTCCCTATCATATTATTCATGGTGAATGGTGAGCATGTATCAAATATGGAAATTTGAACCATACTGGTAAAAGCGTGGAATTCTTGTATGTCGCCAGGAACATCACTCCAATCATTGACAACGAAAGGCTTGAAAGAAATCAACTTGTGAACAGCCCTTTTGCCTAGATTGCTTGCTTTTTTAGAGTCTGGATAATTAATCACTCAACTTAACTTACCGAGCGTTTTTGCACTTGCTGAAAGTGTAACGTCATTTTGCTTGCTGTAATTTCTAAAAAGCCCTCCCAAATCCGCAACAAAAAGCGTGGATGATTATTAAATGTTCCATTGCATCTACACAAATGGTAAGTAAATTCTAGCTATATCAGGTTAGATAAGACGTATAGTTACTTGTATGGGCGCTGGAAGCGTATTGATCAGCAAGGGAAAGGAACACAGGTGACCATTGGGGATAGTTATATCCTGTAATATATTTGATTGTTTTTAAATGAGTTCGACTTCTTTCCAGCGTCATACCTCTGCTGGATGGTTTGAAAAAGGGTGTTAAATGTGTAGCGCAGGTCACGTTCCCACGCAAGATATGCAGTAGCGCCAGATTATTTGCATCCCGCTTCAACATGGTATAATCTTCGGCCAGTCGTCAAAAAAGTTGCTATTTTTTAGGAGCAATCAATAAAAAACTCTTACGGTGGATTATAGGGACGTCTCTCCCTGTAAGACGCGTATCCTGGCTTTAAAATTGTGGTCAAGTTGATTTTTCGTGTTTGTAGATATTTAAAATCTTTGAGTGATAGCGGCGTGAACTGGCGTCCTGAGGAGAAGCCTTCGGCGTTGCCATCGTGTGGTCAAGCTCTGGTAGAGTATAGTTGAGATATAGATGGGAAAAGAAGTAAGATATATAAAGATAAGAGAGATCAGAGATATTTAATTTTATTCCTTTTTCTATTCGTCCATTAATATGAAGCATACCCTGATGATGATGATAATGATCATTATCATCATCAACTCAGGGTATGCTATACTATATAATAATTTTAAACAAATTTCATCCTTTTTATATTAAGGGAAGAAAAGATAAGAGATAAAACAAATTTCGGACGTCGTGTTATGTTTGCTGACAGGTCAGTCACGCACATACAATTGACCATTTTCACTATGCGACCAATCGATCTTTTGGAAATATTGTAAAGTGAGTCAAGCCTGATCCCGATCAAACCGTTAAAAAAAAACCAAACAAAAAAAAAAACGCCTGTTTGCCTTGCGTCGCCCTCGCTTACTGGAATATTTGATGACATCGTTACTCTAACTTTATTCATGCGTCATGGCTTTATGCCTACACTCGAAGATCGAACCTATTTACACCGAAGCTCCATCGCAGACTTGTTTGAATTATGAATCACAGGCCTGACATGGCAACGAAAGAATTGAATCATAAGGAAGACCGACAAAGATGATGCCGAAACATTGGAGAAATTGGGTTGTCTCTCTTAGGAACTGTAGGAAACCACTTCTTTTTATTTCGCAAAAAGCATATTGTATTGAACGATTGAGCTGTTAATGTGACAAAGTTACCTCCAGCTGCTGTAGGCTCACAAATGCTACTAGCGATTGTTTGTTATTACCATCTTCAAAACGCATGAAATGGGTGTATTACAGAAAGTTTGGCTCGTCTCAAGAGAATTTCCTTGGTGACATTGTCATAAAACCATATCCTCCTTCAAAAGTCTCTGAACAATACCTTGTATAGCCAATCGAAAAGCTATGAAAGGAAAAGAGCTTCATCGTCCAGGACTACAGTATACATGCGATATTTAATGCTTAGTTCCTCGAGGACACGTTTTCATTCAAGACAGAAGTGCCCAATGAACTTTCCTTATTTATAAGTCGATCGAGAAGACATGTCTAAAGGTGCACCCGATTGAAGGTCGAAGGAGTTTGCATCCTCTGCTTGCATTTAACGCTACTATGTGACCCAAAGCGGCCTTCTTACTTGTTTCGACTATAGATGGAGGTTCGTTCCGAAAACATGCCTGCGCTAGGCGCGCATGACGTGCCAATGGCATAGCCACACCGAGCACGAGGATCCATAGACAGCACCGACGGCATTTACTTCGTTATCATCATTGTCCATCATGATAGCCTGTGGGTAAAGGCCGTGGTCGACCTTCAGCCAACGGAGTCACTCTGCACAGGAAAGTACCCGTAACCATCCACGCTAATGTGACACCTTTGCCAATCACCGAAGACTTGGCAACAATCGTCTTAAGATAGAATCTTTTGTCATTCACATTCCTAACCGTGTTATGCGTGGCGTCCATACACACAATAGCAGTGTTGTTCGTCAAAAGCTATACCGAGTTTATTTTATTGGTTTGAAAAGAATAGACTAATAACCTATGATAAAACATGATACTCTTCCACTTACCTCGATCTGCCATGTTCTCATAATGGCCTACATGAAGCACCCACCGTCACCGGCATCGTACTTGCAGAAATGGCCAGCTTCTTCGATACTCACTTGTCACAAACGCAAGCTCTCATTCACATCATGGAGACGCGAGTTCTTTTTCAGAAGTCTCTGAATCGCGTTGTACACATGCATGCAGCCGATGGAGACTGGGATGAGGGCCTCACCATTCCACATCTTAGTAAGAAATATGATGAGTATGATTATTATCTCGTTATGTTACCCATAATATACCTTAGTCAAAGTGTCACTGTTCAAACGAAGCCATCTGATTGATCTTGGCCCAAGTGAATTTGCGTTGCACTTGCTCCTCAATCCAGTTGGAGAGATGCTCAGATCAGGTCCTCCAAATTGCCTGAAAAAAGTGGCAGACATGTTTCCAGTGATAGGTCACCTTGACGAAATCCCTGTCAGCCCCAAAGGAGGAGATAGAGATTCGGGCTTGACATTTAACGGATGGAAGGCTTGACGCGGCGCTTCTTCGCGGTGGAGTGGTAGCTACCAGCACGGTGACAGGTATAATGCTCGCAAAGAAGAGAGCGCCAGGAGCAGAGTAAGACTTGTGTACGAAAGTACAGCAATAGCTACAAGACGTATTAGTTACCTGCAGATGTTTACGATTGACTTTCCGCTCTTCTTGTTCCTTAACGAAGCGAGCAATGTCGTCTTGCGGGAGGATGAAGACAGCAGGCGATTCAGCGGCGAAGGGGCCGGCGGGCTGAACAACAGCAGCAGTGATATCGTTGATAGCTTGCGGGGACGGACATGACTTACATAGAAACGGATAGCAGAAAGAAAAAGGGGGATATAAAGAACGCGTATTGTTCATTTGTTAGTGACAGGAACGAACTTGAGACGTGCAGAAATTGATGACGTGCGCGGCTCAAATAAGTTTCTCATGCGAAAATTGCTGACATCATGTGTTCCGTCGGGGTTGGAAAAGGATCCGATTTTCAAGAAAAGGAATGAAGGTTGTTCGATGCAGAAGGAAAGGGATATTGGTCAACGTACGATGGAACTTCAGAACTGGCTGCGAACTGCCCTCCAGCATGCAAGTTGAACAAACTGTAAACCATGTCCTTGGGCTTCATGCTTATTCCTACTCTATAGTACAGTGATCCCGAACGTACATTTCGCGATGTTGACGCTGTGCTGCAAATGTACGTGTCCTTGAGACCAAAGATGGATAATTACAGTAAGTAGAAAGTCATGGTATATGATAGACAGCTCCATTAAGAGACATTGCATGTAGCGTACAATGATGGTCATACGGAATTGCTTCTTTGTCTCTACGGCACCGTACCTATTACTTATCGATCGGTGCCTTATAATATTCCTGTCGCTTTCTGGATCCCCATGTCCTACCCTCATCAACCACCTATTCCATATGTGAAACCCACTGCAAACATGCTGGTCCGTGAAGGCAATTATGTGGACAACAGCGGTTTATGTTATCACCCCTATCGGTCGTCATGGACCGAAGATGTCAATGTAAGAGGTGTGCTTTTTGCGGGTACCAGAATGTTGGCCCGGTTGCCAGAAGGAATCCATCGACTCTAAAAAGCTTTGGTGCAATAGAAACACACCCTGCTTGAACTGATTGCCGTACTACAACAAGTGTTTGGACAAGAACCACCAGTGTACACCAAGATCATGCCGCCCAATACCATTCCATCCTCCCCGCCGTCCTCGCACCATGCCACTCCGCCTATTTCTAAACGATCGTCCTTGAACACCATGCCATTAGCGTCCCCTTCGCCTCCACCGGTTTCTACTACCTCCACCACCGCAGCCGATGCAACGGCGGCAGGCTCGAAATGGTATGGTGATGGTACGGCATTTTACAATATTCATCAGGGATTTGCGGTATGAATTGACAATTTTATGAATGGACGGGTAAAAAGAAAAACAAGAATAGCAGAGCTGATTGTTTTTGGATGGGATCATTTGTATAGTCCATGTCACTGAATCCTACGGGACCTAATCCTACGGCAAGCAGCAGTACTGGCAGTATACCAAAATCGTCGTCGTTTCCGGTCATGCCTACAGCTTCCGATTATGCAACACGCGGACGAAGCGCTGTTCACGACAAGCTGTACAGAAAAGTGTTGGAAAATATGCAATCGTTCAATATGACAATATCCGCCGAGATGGATCGTTTGCTGATGGTCAATCGACAGCTAAACGACGGCGAAATGGCGATTAATCACGAAGAGAAAATGTTACTCGATGCTCGTCAAAAACTCGAATACAATATCAACCTACTGAAAACACGATCAAAGGACATAGAGGAAACGACCGACAAAGTGAATAATATACCGGACATTGAGGTTGACGAGGCGTTATCGGGAACCACGGTTGTGTATAATCAGTGAGTAGTGCTTGCTGAGGAAAGGATGGGATGATGGACTGAAATGTTTTGATAGACTGTTCGAGCTGGTGGCAGACGATTGCGCCATTTCTGATACCATGTATATTTTGGGCAAAGCACTTAATACGGAACGAATCGATTTAGCGACCTTTATGAAGGTAAGCTGGAACATGTTATCGGACGCATCGAACCGTATATCAACGCGATTAGCTTTTTTTCCCCTTTGTTAGTGCACACGTGCTTTGGCAAGGGAGCAGTTTATGAAGCGAGCGCTGATAAAAAAGATTTGTGATGCAGATAAATAATCGCTTTGTTGCCCATCCTCCTATTGCATGTCCCTTTTGCTTAACATCGAGGCGTGCCAGCGTACAAATAACTCTTTGTGATCGTCCTTCAACCGTCCAGAGAACCAAAAACAAAACAAGAAAAAAGGGGTTTTAGAACGGTCAGTGGAACTCTTTTTGTAATTTAAGCCATTAAAGCAAATGTACAAATTTTTCTTCTTTACTTGTATTTTCAAAGCTTCTTTTCTGACAATCAACCGCCAGTTTGAATGAGTGCAAGCGTAAGGACAAAAGGACATTACGGGTGAAAATGAGCATGTTCTCGCCCGGTATCCTCTGACGTATGCCCTATCAACCTATCTTTTTTTTTTGCTTTTGCTTTTCATTCATTCGTCCGTCATACAGCGGATTCCAAGCAGTTAGTTGTTATTATTTTTGAACGAGTTCTTATCATACGGTACAGGATTTTATTGTAATGTGGTAATTTTTATAATGATTCTCCAATTTCTGCTTCGGACTGGATGCTGTCAATGACTTCTGTATCGCTCTCTGTCAATTCTGCAGGATCTAGGTCTATTTCTTCCACTTCTTCTGTGACCACATGTTCCTCAATGACAATAGCAGGCTGAAGCCAGCCCAGCCATACCCGTACGATGCAGGACCCACAGAGAACCTGCGCCACCCAGTGAAAGAGGACACTCCACGCTATTTGATAGAGATATTTTGGCGAGAACACGGTCCAAATGAAAAGATGTTCTCGGAGAATCGTGATGGAGATCGATAAAACCGCGATAAATACGGAGAAAATGGCAGACTGAGCCCACAGATAGCTGTGCCAGCGTTCCGCGGTCCAACCACGGTCTGTCAAAAGAACCCAACCAGCAAAGACCCACCACAAACTCGCGGCCCAGTTACTGCAAAAGGTCATGACGCCGATGAAAAAGACATCGTAGGCCTGCACACCAATGTAAGCGTTGCTTAGATCCACCGACGCGATCGAGTTGGAATGGCCTGTGATGAAGAAACCGCTTTGACCGAGGAACAACACAACCGTGGCGAGAATCCATGGAGGCAAAGCGGCGTTGGATGGTAACGAGCGTTGCCATCCAAGTAACAGCTGCAACTGAATATCAAAAAGTACAAATAACGACGCGTACTGGGGTTTGGACAACAAGATCAATAATGGTGTTATTAGGTGCAATAAAAGTTGCAGATAACTCTCGTGGTATTGATCTGCCGCAACGAGTTAAATTAGTGATTGATGAGGGGATGCATGTTACCGAAAACTTGTTACCTTGGTGAACCGTCACCGTGCTGAAGCTCGCGCGATTATTGACATACATCAAGATAGATAACACGCAAAACATGGCTCCACCATAATTGAAGATCAACTGTCCGAGTTCTACCTGACTCAGTCCTTGAAGAAACTCAATTTGCAGCACATGATCATAAATACTGGACTGCAAAGTACCGCCTTCTGCTCGTAGTTTATACGCCATCACGAGCACCGTAGTCAGTGAAGCTGTCAGTAAATAGACCATATTCCACATGAACCGGATAATTGATACGCTTTGGTGAACATCGGACGAACCGATTCGCTTGATAAACAGTTCATAGACGGCGTACACCAATGGGACGCACAGAGAGACCGCCAGCAGATGCCATTGAAGACCATCAGCTGCATGCACAAAAGGCGCGAAATAGCCAGAGAAGCCCGTGGATAGTCGGAAAAAAAGCAATTGTACCAAACATAAGCTAGACAGTCGGATTTGCCCACCAAAAGTTTTATTTGGTACCTCGAAGCTAGAAGAAGTATGATTTGAGTGGTTACCCCCAAGAATGTTAATCAAAGGTCAACGTACCTTTGCAGAGCCAGTAGCAAGAACATGGTCTGAGAGAAATAATACCACGTGAAATGCTCTTCTTCCACAAAGCTACTGGCAAACATGCTCACTGCGTAAGCTCCAAAGGCCAAGATAGCAAACCGCCGGCTCAAAGGCCAGTTGCCACTAGCGATATCGGCACCCTTGTTTTCTTTTCGACTTTGTGACGTCGCTTGCCATACGAAAAGGATGGCTGACAAGGTCATCCCTACTACGCCGACTCCCATATGTGGCAAGCTATAGTCGCTCGCGGTATTAACCAGATGCGACTGAGCATATTCGATAAACTGCAGATATTGGTTAATGTCCATTGGCCCATTATACTTTATTGATTTTCAGCAGTGTTTCTTACATCCAGATAAGCGTCGGTCACTCTGTCGTGGGGTATTTTATTGAGACCTTGGCTAAGTTGATGATGAAGCTGAAACGCCTGGGTGTATAATGTGACGGCGGTCGATGCGTCCTTTGACAGAGGCTGCTGCGGATCATCCAAGTACAAAAGGAGATCCGGGAATACTTTGCTCAATAAACGAGCCAGCTGATGCGCGTTCAATTGCAATGCACGATGAATGGCTTCCACTTCGAGAACGGATCAGGCACTGTTCAACGATTCAGAATATAAAAGACAGCACCTACATTTATCGCCCCTGTAGAGATCGACAATCAGTTTGCCGAGATTGTTCTTGGGTATCGGGAATCCAAATAAAGAGGCCAAGGTCGGCACGACATCCACTTGATCAATGACAGGATGGCCCAGCACGGTATCACGATCTCGTGTTTGTCTCGTATTTCGCTTTAGCGTTGGACGCGATTCAAAGCGGGGACTCATGAAAACAAGAGCCTGTGAAAACGGATTGAAAAAAAAGGGAAACATTTAAGCACCGTAAGATTTACCCATTCAGACCATTCAAAGAATGAAGAGTGCTTTTACCGAGGATGTTTCGCCGACAGATGAACCGCCATGATTTCCGTCCTAATTCAACTTGTCAATATTAACGGTGCCTTTTATATTTGTTCGTTTTAATCCAACGTACATCATTCATGCCGTGATCGCCGCATAACACAATGAGGGTCCCTTTGGCATTCATGTCATTGGCTAGTCTGTCTGCGTCCTGGTTGGCAATAATGTCGTAGATGCGTTCGACGGCATGATCCATCTCCTTTTGCTTGGGCAACATCAATGGACTATGGGTTGCGCTTAGCCCTAGGGCGGATGCTGATTAGATAATAAAAAAAAGGGACCTACCTTTTTGGTCCGCCCAGATGACCGACGTGGTCCAATCCCAGATAATGCAACACAATGGCATCCCAGTCCGTCTTTACGATATCGGTATCAATATGGCGGGTTACATTGGTGTCCACCTCAATTGTATCCTAATAAATATGGTGTGGATGAGGATCAAAACATCAACGTGTGGATCGAATCGATGCCTTTACGTACAGAAACGTAAAATGAAGTGGTTCCGTCGGTCTTTGAAAATAATCCAGGGAACAGGCGTAACCACGTATCATCGCCAAAAAGATGAATCCGTCGATCCCCGGAATGCTTGAATTGATAAACCCAGTTATCGTGGTGAACCAACGATGATGTTGTATCAGATTCAGCGATATTGAGAATAGCATCCAAAAAGCTTGGGACAGTGCCTATTCAAGCCGTCAGTCGTTTTGATCGTCTTGTCATGGTCACAATAGATACCTGTTGTCAGGGCTTTGATTCGAGGCATAGTGACAGTTGGTGCTGTGGCTCGTGCCGTGAATGGGATAGCTGTTCCGCTGTCTATTAGACTGATATCCGTGTCAATTTATCGAGTACTCCATTTGCTGTACAATCCATGTGCGTGTACCTTTTGACAAACGAAAATCCAGACTCGTTGCCAAGCACAAAATCACTAAATAGGCATTAGTTTTCGTCAAATAATGAAAGTGAAAGTGGTGATGCATACTTTCGTAGGGCATCGACGACGATGAATACGAGACGATCGAACTCGGGCTCCATCCATGGCGAATTATGCGTGGATGAGTTGTCGAGCCATGGTGATGTGTCTTGGGCTGTAGCAAATCCGGAAAGGTAGATTTTGTAGGGAAAAAAGCCCTTGCAAAAGATGGCAAGACTGACGACCTGGAGGACGGCCAGGAAGAATAACCGTAACATGCGTGCAGCGTGTCTTGAGTCGTCGCTGCTTGAATAAATTGAAAGGCGGGAAAAGGAAAAGGGCGGTCTCGCCCAAAAATTCATTGCAGCACGACCGGACTGTCAAGTGGCTTTGTTCGACAAAGCTCGATTTTCCCGACCAAACTTTTTTTTCTTTTTTTTTTTTTACGCTTTTACGTTGCTCAATCCTTGATTCAGTTTAAAAAATACAATGGAAGCCAAATACGACGAGAAGCAGGTACGTTTTACCTTCTCTATAGATACAAGCAAGTTTAACTAATGGTGTGCATTAGGGTGCCAAAGCTATCGAGGCCTTGTTCAAAGCGAACGAAAGCAAAGAAGAGAAACCTGATCTGTTGGACACCGTCCCCAATCTTTGGATTCAAATCACTACCAAGAAGTTCGATCAAAAGAAGAAGATGAAATCCAAGCGATTGTAAGTGGGATCGTGCCACTGTGCTGAATGGGAATGTTGAAAAAAAAGAGGACACTCCTTCTTACCAATCTTGATTTGTATAGACCTTTGAAGCATGCCATCTATCCCGATACAGCCTCCGTATGTCTCTTCTCCAAAGAGCCCGAGGCAACTGTGGAACAAAAATTGAAAAAGGAAGATTACACGAAAATCGACAAGGTCATTAGCATTTTGACCCTGAAGGAATCATACAGCACTTTTGAATCTCGACGAAAACTTCTCGCATCGTATGACATCTTCTTGGTCGACGACAGAGTATTCCATTTGATGCCCAATGTGCTCGGTAAAACATTCCTTCAAACCGGCAAGTAAGTATTGTGTGGAGGGTAGCCTGGATCATCGTTGATAACTGATCAATATCATGATTTTTTTTTTCTACCAGGACCCCTATTCCAGTCAAGACGAGTCCTCGTGCCCTTCGACGTTCCGTAGACGATGTTTTTGTTAGCAGTTACATGAAACGTTCTGCAGGCGCTACAAAGTAGGTTTTTCCTAATGGATTAGAGAAAGGGAGATAAAAAGCGACTTACACGTTGTCCATGTTTTATAGTGCGCTGAAAATTGGTCATTTCGGCATGAAGCCCAAAGAAGTCATTGAAAATTTAAATGCGGTCTTGCCCCAGCTCGTGGAAATTCAAGCAAGGAACTGGAGCAACGTTCAAGCGATCAGCGTAAAATCCGACGACTCGCCTGCATTGCCTATCTTTACATCCCTTCGTGAACAATAAACATGCATAGTACATATCATCTAGACTTTTTCTCTTCTTTTTCAACCCCACGATAAAAAAAATGAATTCATCTCCATCCATTCTTTTTTTTATTTGCATTGCTTTTGGTAGTTCACCGTCCGGCTTTTTCTGTTGGCAATCTTTCGACGCCATCATGTGCATAGAAGCTCGAGCAAACACAGTTGGAAAATTATAGAGTTGCCTATCTTGTTATCATGCATCCACTTGCAAATGACAGCGAATTTATTTTCACAATAGACTATGTTTTTATATGATGAATAAGGTGAAGCGTGCAGGATATATGCGGTCGTTCTAAAGACACATCAAGGCGAGGAATCTTTATTTTTTTCTTGTTTGTTATACCCCAAACTCAACGAAAAGTTTAGACTATGATGGGAACGGGGAAAAACGAAAGGGTTGCCAGCAGCTTAGTGGGCAGCGGCAGCAGCGGCTCTTCTGCGGTCACGTTCTTCGGCAATGGTCAACTTGACACCCTTACCCTTGGGGAGAGAGATCCAGGGCTTGTTGCCTTGTCCGATGGTGAAGACGTTGGAGATACGGGTGGCGAAGACACGGTCAAGAGCATCCTTGACGTGGACAATTTCGAAACCACCAGTGTGACGTTCACGGTGAACGAGCATACCAACACGGCCAATGTTACGACCGCCAGTGACCATGACAACGTTGCCAATATCGAACTTGACGAAATCGGTGATCTTGTTTTGCTCAATGTCGAACTTGATGGTGTCGTTGGCCTTGATCAAAGGATCGGGATAACGGATGGTACGACCGTCGTGGGTGACGATGTAGGGGATACCCTTGGCACCGACCATCACCTTCTTGACCTTGCACAGCTTGTACTTGGCCTCTTCATCGGTGATGCGGTGGATGGCGAAGCGACCTTTAACGTCATAGACGAGACGGAAGTTCTCACCAGTCTTTTCAATGGAGATGACATCTGTCACACATCAAAAAAGAACAGGAAAAGAAACAAATCCGAGATTCGTCAAAGCTCTCGCCATCAATCACACGCTCTTATACACATGTTTTGTTCTCTTATATAAACTTACCCATATAACCGGCAGGGAAGGTGGAATCGGTACGGACTTTGCCGTCAACCTTGACCAAGCGCTGCATCAAGATGGCTTGGGTTTCGCGGCCATTGAGAGCATACTTCAAACGGTTACGAAGGAAGATGATCAAAGGCAAGCACTCGCGGGTCTTGTGGGGACCAGAGCTGGGCTTGGGGGCATAAGAACCTAGTTAAGGAAGCGATGAACCGCCATTAGTACATTGATCATAAAGTCAATACCAGCCTAGCTTTTCCTATTTGTTTTCCCAATTTCGCAAAGGCGTCCATTCGCACACATATTTTTTTCATTATTCAGAATTAAAACGATCGTCACTTGGATACTCGGATTGTTGAGCTTGACTTTTTGCTTTTTTGATTCATCATCATTTTCCCCTTTTCCTTTTGCGCCATTGTCCCACAGCCAGATACAAATAAATGATGTATCAGAAGAAACAACTTACCCAAAAGCTTGTCAAGCATCCAGTGCTTGGGAGCGTTCAAGCGCTTCATGTGTTTCTTGGGACCGCGAGCCTAAATAAAGATGACGGGATTAATCCTTCCGCATTAAATCGTTTCAGGAATGACATCCACATCCATCCATTCTTGAATCGATGTAGTGTGATGATTCAAGACGGATGGATAATGAAAATGCTTTAGATGCTTACCATTTTTGTGTATACAAATGGAAGAGAGAAGGAGCAAGTGGATGGAGCGGGCCCTTCATTGTGATAAAGCCTCCTCTCCAAATTCAAAAACTCCAAACCAAGTCACGCTTTCTGCATCTGAGAGGCTTAGCGCGTCCGGTGTGCGGGATTGTGGCGGCCTTTACTTTTTTTTTTGTATCCGACAATGCGCGTGACAATGGATAAACAAAAGGCTTTTTTGGTCAAAGGGATGCGCCACATTTTGTGGGCTGAGCTGATGTGCGCCCCATGGCTTGTAATGCTGATAACAGATTCGTAGTGGCAGTTTATAGGTATGCTTGGTACTTGTTTTAGGCGGTTATTTCACGTGGATAGCCATGGGTGAAGTCACTGGAAAAAAGGCCAACTGTATTAAATAGTACATACAACTGGATATGAGACCTCATTGATTTACAGAATAAACTCTGTTATCAAGGATGGAAAATTGTATATTTTTCAATTTGTGTGACACACGATGATTTCATCCTTGGTAAGACCATCTGCATGCTGTCATTGCGTGCAGAATCGAATGATGCACAGTGTGCTTGGACAGGAAAAAAAAACTCCCCTGTGTTGTTCTTGATCGGTGACTGTGACGTTCGAATCACCTTATGCATGGCCAAAAATAAAAAAATTGGAAGGCCATGGATGGAAAAATCGGTATGAAATCATGTACCGCCATGTGCAAACAATGACATACGTACAATAAAGAAGAGATCAACAAATAGACCATCAAGATGTAAACAATTCATTTTATACACCACGCAGATTTCCTATCTAACGGTGTGGGATGAAGGGGGAGGAGGGGAGGGGATTTTTTTTTTTTATACCCTCTCTGTCTGTCGTTCTTTTTTGGTATTCTCAATGATGGCTGGGATTCGTGGGCACAGGCTCTAATGGGCTGGCCGGGATTTTCTGCAAAAATGATTGGACATAATTACAATCTTAGTTTCAAATAGCTTTTTTTTTTCCACCAGTTTTTACAGATTTGCCCAGCCAAAAAAAAAGTCGCCAGTGGATTGATGATAAACATTGCTCAGAAGATATAGTGGATAATATAACCTTTTGTATTCATGACGCAGAACCCGTTACATAACCCGCTATCGTTCTTGAAGGCGTCGCCTGCTAACTCGTCTTCAAGTTCGGTGGCTTCCCAGAACTCAAATCACTCACGTCGTTCGAGATCTGGCAGCTTTATGAGAGTCATGTCCCAGCATAATGTTCCCACAGGAGGAGCCCAGTCGTCGTCCTCGTCTTCCACAGCACCCAATAAACCCTCCCTTCCGTCAGCAGCGAGACGCTCCATGAGTGTATCCGAAGGTTTGCACAACAGACTCAATCAACTCCATCATCACGCCGACGTTCCCAGTCCCGCCACGGAAATGCCTCCATTCCCATTCAACGCATCCGCCAATCTCTCTTCTTCCTCCATTGCTCAGATCTCTGAACACAATTGGGCGAATAAACTGGAGGATTTTGACATGAAGAAACCCATTGGTAGGTTGACCTACTCCCACTTCTCCTCCCTTGCCACGTTCATGGCTCGGCAGTGAGAAAAAAAAAAAAAAAGCTCCCGTGTTACGACCACACGTAGTAACTGTGTACCACGCTTGTTATTGTAGGCTACGGGTCTTCGGCGGTCGTCTATGGTGCTGTCTATAAACCGCTGAATAAGCGTGTCGCCATTAAAATGATCGATCTCGATATGTTTGAACGCAACCAAATCGATGAATTACGCGTAAGTTCGGGATGATGTTTGGCAATGAAAAATCCAATTTGCCGGTCAACTACCTGACTCACTCTTTTCTTTTGCATTGGTTAGCGAGAAACATCGTTGATGGCGTTATCCAAACATCCCAACGTGCTTCGTGTGTATGGATCGTTTGTGAGCGGATCGAAATTGTACATTGTGACACCGTATCTTTCGGCGGGTTCATGTCTGGATATCATGAAAACGACATACCCTGACGGATTGGACGAGATTAGCATTGCTACCATTCTGAAGCAAGCCTTGGAAGGGCTCGTTTATCTGCACAAGAATGGCCATATTCATCGGGACATCAAAGCCGGAAATTTGTTAATGGATGATCATGGTACTGTTCTACTTGCCGATTTTGGTGTCTCCAGCTCCTTGGCGGAAAACGGAGATCTAAGGAAAACATTTGTGGGCACGGTTAGTAACCAGCACGGACACACATGGATGTCTTGTCGTCTGCTGAAAACCTAACATTTTATTTTTCTTTTTCTGTATTTTTGCCCTTCCTTTTGCTTCCTTTATCACCGTCCCTTTCGTTTTTCCGCAGCCATGCTGGATGGCGCCCGAAGTCATGGAGCAGGCCGGCTATGACTTCAAAGCGGATATTTGGAGCTTTGGTATCACTGCCATCGAACTGGCGACGGGACATGCCCCCTTTGCAAAGTACCCTCCCATGAAAGTGCTCATGATGACCCTTTCCAATGCACCGCCCACCCTCGATCGAGAACACACAAAGCTCAAATACTCCAAAGTCTTTAAAGAGATGATTGATTGTTGTCTACAAAAAGATCCAAAAAAAAGGTAAGCCTCTCTTTTCTCATTTCGCATTGCTCATCATCCATACTTATCAACTAAATTGGAAATTTCCTCTGATGTTTCCAGACCTACAGCAGAAAGGCTTTTGCAGCATCCGTTCTTCAAACAAGCAAAAAAGAAAGAATACCTTTGCAAGTCGGTCTTGGCTGATGTCCCACCTCTGGAACAGCGACCGCACAAAAAGGCTCCCCAACGTCATATTTCCTTTGAATCCACCGATCAATGGGATTTCGATACCCAGCCGGATACCGACGCTGAGGTGCCCGATAAAACCACGACGGAACCGTCCAAGGCACCTTCCTCCTCCGTTCCCACCAGTACGGCACCTTCTTCCGCCAACCCCACCACCTCCGTTACCACCATCAACACCGCTGCCAAACCTTCTCCTTCCGAAACACCGACGCAATCCAAGCCGTCCACCCCAGCCGACAGCACGGCTCCTGCCCCCCCGAAAAAACATATATCCTTTGGCAACGTTGTCATCAAAGACATGCAACCTCGAAGTGCTATGCCACCGGTCGTAGAAAGTCCTTCTCCCATGAGCGCATCGCCCCAGCAACCCGTCGTACCCACCGACTTTGCTACTCAACCTGCCGCTGCCGTGAAAAAGTCACGTTTCGTCATCGAAGATAATCGTGATCCCAATGATACAGCTCACTCTGCTACCATGACGCCATCACCCGATTATCAATCACTGGCTCCATCTCCTGCCCTCCCTTCGGCTGTAGAACCTACGCATGACACGGCACCTGCTTCTTCCGCCGTAGGTCTCGGAATCTCCACGGCCACACCCCATGAAGTGGAAGTGAAAAAGGGCCGGTTCAGTGTGAATCAATCCCAGCAAACCCGTCCTTCCACGCCTTCCGATGAGGCGCAGGACAAACCCACGACGGGACCTCCTCAGCCGCTGCAGGGCGATTTCCGGGCTTTACCCATCAGTCGTGCAGCCAGTCATGACAGTTTACCAGGTAAGCCGGGAAAAAAAGTTGGAGTTCTTTTTTTTTTTTGGAGAATGAATGCAACTAACCTCTCTAGATGTAGAACGAAAATCGAGGTTTGAAATCAAACACGGCAATTCCCTTCCTCCGAGCAGTTCCATGAGCCATTCCGCGACGGCCACGGTCCAGGGAGGAGAGGTGCAGCAGCATGCTATTGCGCCAAGCATGCCTGTCACTCGAGATAACTCCTTTTCATCATCTCAGTCATTATCACGCGATAGTTCCGTCAACGGCCGTCTAAGTCGTTTTTCGATCGAGAAAAATGAAGCGGCCGGTCCTTACTGTGAGTTCCCTAATCTTACCCCGGAATGCCGGAAAAAGGGTCGCTTTGAATTAAGTGGCGGATCGGCACCACCAGATGTGCAAGGCAAAGCGGAAAAGGCAGAAGGTACGTGTACACGAAATTCATACATTTCCCTACTAGACAGGTGATACTGATTTCGTTGCATCCAGGTCATCATTATGAATCGCCTTCATCGTTCGTGTCGGGATCGCCGACTTGCTCGCCTTCCAGCTCGCTTTCCCGCGGACAGGAACGTCGGTTGTTGGATCCCAACATGCCGCAGCTTGTTTACTCACACATGGAAGCCCTTTTGAAGCAGACCGAGCAACAAAAGAACATGTTGCATGAAATGCTCTTCGGTATGTCCATGGTCTATGGCACCCAGGGTCCTTCTGGCAAAGGACAGGCACGAAGTCGAACTGTCTCGGAAACTAAAAGACCGCCCTCCACGGTTCGAGAACCTTCAGATTCAACCCAAAGGTAACCATCAAGAAGATTCTCTCTCCGGGATATGGAAATGCTGACTTGCTTTTTTTTATTTACCAGAACCACTCCTTTATCATCCGAGCTAAGTGCGACGTTGGAGCATCTGCAACATTTGTTAATAGCGTCAAATCATGATCGCGAAAAACTCGCCCGGGAAAATGAGGCATTAAAGCGCGAGTTGGAACGGTTACGACGAAGTCATAATGCGACGAGTATCAATGTAAACAAAGGTCCAACGACCATCGTCAATACCAACACCACCAACAAACATTCAGATGCCTCGGACTTACCTACTCCTGTTACGCCCTCTCAACCTTCTACATCAGTACCATCTGAACCGCCGTCCGCTGCGCCGGAAGCAAATAGCAAACCCGACGGCTCCACCTAATATTATTCAAATCCATCACTTTGAAAAAAAAAAATTCAAGGCAAAAACGACCCAAAAAAAAAAGGCACTCCTCACTTTCATCATTTCACCATTTGCGATCCAAGATTTATTGACAGATCTCGTTGCATTATCGCCATTGATTTAGCAAAAACGAAAGCAATATATGCAAAAAAAAAAAAGAAACCTAGAGAATTCCCGTACATTTTAATGGCATACACATTACTTTGACTCGTGTTATATAGAAAAAAAAATTCAAATCAACCTCTTTCTCCAAGAGAATAAAATTATCCTGTAACATACTTGCAATCGATTGGTGGACATTCCAAAAAAAAAAAAAAAAAAAAAAAAAACATCGGCATAATGTCCTGCTGTGGAACCACCCGGCCCGAATGATCGATAGATTCTGGATTTGTTATGGTTCGAAATTATTTCTATGACGACTTACAAATCTGACTCCATCAAATCCATTCATTTCCTTTAGATCGAATCCCTTGCTGATAGCATGCGGTAATGTTCATCGTTTGTTTACCAGGGTTGGCCCAAATTTGACTACCGCACTATAACTTTTGATTGGCAAAAATCAAGGGCACCTAGTGAATTCCTGCACACCTTAACGGTATACATCACATTAGTTGGATCTATATGTAATTCAGCGTATCTCTCACCAAAGAAGGATAAGAGCATATCGCCCGCCATTATGATGTGAAACTTTTGAATGTTTGTATAATAAAAATGATAAAGGCAATAAAAAAATGAGGGTATGCAAATTCTATAGTCTATGTTTCTTTTATGATTTTTGCGACTTTGGTGTCCTGGACATCTTGTTCTGATTCATTTTCCCTTTTTCTCTTGTTGTCCGATTTTCGCAAGGCTTCCACGCCGAGACTGTACATATAATCGATGGTGCCTTTAACAAGTTCCTGCTCGGATGCATCGAAATAGGTCCACTGATAACTAGCCTTGGATACCATACCGTGTTCAGAAGGTTTGTACCACATCGGTAATAGGTACTCTTCGCTACTGTATTGGGTTTTGTCTTGCGGCTTCATCATCACCTTGAGTGTCATTCCATGTTGTCGCGAAGGTTTGGAAATAGCAATGACTTTCACATCGACCACAGTACCAATACCGCCAAACGGAACATCGTCTTTGGGAAGTGCTTTCCTGTGAAGAATCACTCGATCCCCAAATAATTCTGGTGATTCCGCGCCTTCCGATAACCACAGCGCCACTTCGGTCTTATTAAGACTGTCCTTGTAACGTGGTTCATACAGTTGATGAAGTCGTGCCGCATCTTCTTTTCCAAGCTGCACAATGGTGGCCGTTCGCACAGGCACGAGGGTAAAATCGCCAGGACGTCCGCTCAAGCGACCTTTGCTCTCTGATACCGTCGCGTCGTCCTTTTCCCATATCAGCGGTGGCCATTTTGTTCCATTGGTTTTGCCTTGACGATGTTCATGCAATGCCAAGTTGTGAGTTTCCAAAATATGATTGACTACCTTCCGTTCCCAGGCGGGATTATACTTTGGACGAAGGGCAGGGACGTAGATCACTTCGCCTTTTTCAATCAGCGATTTTTTGCAAAGGTGATCAAGGTAGTAACGAAATTTGTCGACGTGGTGACGGCGATCATCCCACATGGTAACAGAGCGTAAGGAAGGCACATTATCCAACAAGTTGACAATAAAAGACGTCTTGAAATCCATGGTCGACGCAAACACCGACTGAGGATTGTAAATGACGTTGCCGCCTTTGCCCATCCACACCGTTTCCGCCTCCGTTTCGGGATCAGGTCTTAATCCGATCAAATCAAAGTGAAGCGACTTGGAAGACAACATGGCCGGCACAACACGATGAAAAGGATGGTAGCGACGACCCGTGAGCACAATGGCCATTGTATCCTCATCACTTATCGCTTGCCGAGCTTGAGCGACAATATCCTCATTCCAGTACCCCTTCCAGCCATTCTTCTCCAGATCGTCCACGGGTCCCAACTCCAAACTACGTATATCTCTCCACCAGCCGGGTCCAAACTGATTCTCGGTAGTTAATGCGTTCAAAAGGCTGGAGTCCCAAAGCGAAGGACTGAGCAAAGGCGATAAGAACAAGGTCGAGTCAAAGTCAAAAATGGCCAACTTTGATGGACGACGATCACTGCGATGGGTTGCAAAGGGTGAAGCATTGAATTGACGTTGTAAAAGTCCCTATATCCTACGTGTTAGTATGTCCATCCCTCAATGAACGGGAACTCTCCACTTGGAGTACCTTTGCTCGCTGATTGATCTCGCTGACAGAGGTATTCATGATAGTTTTCAAATGACGAAAAGAAACAAGGACCATGAATCAGCGTGGACTAATGAAAAAAGTAGCTCTATCCGGTATCAGTTGCATCTCAGTTTCAATTTGCCCAATTGGTTCACCACGAGCATGTGACTGTCCGCACATCGCCGATCATTTGTGGTCTGAAAAAGCATCATCATGGATCATAGAAAAATCGAACAAGATGATGATATTTTCTGGCTGCTTAATTTATTAGGATGATAAGGAGGGAAAAAAAATGCATGCTGGAGGAAGAAAGGAAAGTGGAATTAAACATCAAAATATTCGTGGATGGTAATTCTTGCACGGATCCCTCTTTTGTTGATGAACAGAAATTCTCGGAGATCGTTCTTCAGAGTCACTAGTTTGCTGGGATACTTTCGTCCATCTTCTTCGCTTTCAGGCTGAGTGACTTTCAGATTGTTTTGATACAGATAGGGTGCAATAAAGGGAATCGGTTGACCGGTGACGAGAATCAGCTACACCATCCCGCAAATCCCGTCAGTCAATAATGCAAAACAATTAAATAGATCATTGCAGAGAGCCACTTACATTGACATAGCTAAAATGGGCTTTGTGCGGATACGACACCGGTGGTGAAACCATGACCTGGATTTTGCATGAGGAAAAAAAAAATGTGTAAATTTACCGTGATGCCTCTATTTTTGCTATTGAACGCTTGGATCATGCAAACCTGTTGGATCTTGTTGACATCAATGTTGGTATCCAATTCGACACGGTTCACAGCCTTGGCTTTTCTTCGGTCAAAGTTCGGCACAATGCCGCAGTTTAGAATCTAGAACGGAATCAGCATTAGTCAAGGTGCCGTGACAAATAAAAAACATGTCGTTGCAATTGGGGCATGGATGCCTGCTGCCCTACCTTGAGAGGCAGTACGCTTGAGCCGACTTTGCGAATACGGTTCTGAATAGACAGTGATTCGGTCAAATAAGAATATCATCAAAAAACCGAGTGACCCTGATCGCTTGGCGCATCAACTACCGTACCACTTCTTCCTCGATTTGTTGTTCAATCCATTCTTTGGCTTGAACGTCAATGTCAAATTTTTGTTCCTCGTTTTCAGGTACATTTGGCGTTTCGTTTTGCAAAGACATGCTGCAGGATGAGCAAACGACCAGAAAGTAAAAGAACTATGCAAACCAGGAAATCGGGGGAAAAATAAAAAAAGCGGTCCCCTTCCGAAAAAGCGCTGTCACATATCGTGTGTCGGACTTTTGGTAGAAGCGGAACCTTGGGCCCTTTTTTTCCATTTCCAAGCCTTGAATTATTAAGCATCTCATTAACTGTTTTCCTAACATGCCCGAATCCGTCAAGACCACTTCCACTCATTCTGGTGAATTGCCTATTGGTGCCGATGGTAAGCCATTGAAGCCTTGCTGCGCTTGTCCTGAAACCAAAAAGGTCCGCGATCAGTGCATTTTTGAAAACGGCGAAGAAAACTGTCAAGGCCTGATTGAAGCACATCTCAAGTGCATGCGTGATTTGGGATTCAAGATCTAAACACTCCAGCCCATACAAATATCGCTAAGATTCTCCTTCCCTAATCCATTGTATTTTTAATTGTCTCTTCCCAATTGCTTGTATATTTTACAGTTACAATAGCAAGTCATCATTGAACATTTTGATGTTATCCTTTCAAGTTTGTCGGATTATCCAACATTACTTGACCTTTTCTTTTTTTTTTTTGGTAATTTATTTATTTACTTATTCATACTCAATAACTTATCATTGTAAGTTCAATTAAAATGTAGAAGAACTAAAAGCGAATTAAAAAAAATAGGGGAGAAGAAAAAATAAAAAGGAACGAATCTTTTTAAGCTCGATGAGAGTTATTGTGATGTTCGGGAACATATTCGTATTCTTGAACCTGGAGTCCTTCACTATCATGCTTGACGGTTTCGGGTGCCTCGGTTTGAGCATGACTAAAGTGACCAACGGGATCTCGATGAAGTTTGGAGCGGCGAATTGAGTAACCAAAGTAGATGATCCAACCGACTCCCATCCAGATAAACAGACGCCAGATCGTTGACGGTTCGGCGACGGCAATAAGAAGCACGGAAATGATCATACCGCAGATGGGGAACAAGAGGGAAACGTATTTGCCTCCCGGAATCTTGAATCGACGTTCCACATCAGGACGAGTGAAACGCAAGACAATCACCCCCGCATGGACGACAAAGAAGGCCAAAAGTGTACCGACTGAGGTCATGTTACCGAGCAAATCAACAGGCAAAACGGCAGCGAGCAGAGCCGTGATGGTGCCCACAATAATGGTAGCCACATACGGTGTCTTGAACCGAGGATGCACTTTGCCGATAAAAGAAGGCAGAAGGCCATCTTTGGCCATGGCATAGAAAACGCGAGATTGAGCCAGTAAATTGATAAGCAAAACCGAAGTCAGACCGCACAAGGCACCCAGGGTCACAATGATATTCAGCCAGCGGAAATCGCGACCGGTGCGTCTCTGGACCTCATCGACGGCCACCGTGACAGGAGTAGGCACATTCAGCAACTCATAGTTGGCCGCGCCGGTCATGACGGTACAAGTAGCAATATACATAACAGTCGAAATCACCAGCGAACCGATAATACCAATAGGCAAATCACGACGTGGATTCTTGGCCTCCAACGCAGCCGTAGTCACAGCATCAAAACCAATGTAACTGTAAAAAAGAGAACACAATAATCAGCAATGTTGGTTATCCAATAGAGAGACGGCGCGAAGAAAGAATTGAGGGAGAGAGTGTAATTGATGATGAAACTCACCTGAAGAAAACGGTAGTGGCTGCTGCAAATATACCTGGGGCGCCAAAGAAGTGCCAGTTGCCTGTGGTGTTCGGGGGAACATAGGGAACATAGTTGCCTCGGTCGACAAAGGCACACAGGGCAAATATGAAAAGAAGGATGACGAAAAGCTTGATGATGACGATGCCAGCGTTCATCCAAGCCGATTGACGGATACCGATGCAGAGCACGGCAGTAACGAGCATAATGATAACGAAACCAGGCACGTTGAAGTAGTGACCAGGCTCATAGCTGATGGTTGCCGTCTTTTCGTCCCATTCCACTGTCGGCTTGGTCCAACTTTCCCCAAACTGAACTTTGGCCGCCACAGCAAAGAACTTGACAAAGTAACCAGACCAGCCAACGCCCACTAAAGAAAACCGAGAACGAGAAAGTTACTAGGTTAGCGCGAGGTTTTCTTTTGCGTAGCTAGTAACATTTGTATTACCTGTAGCAGCACCGACCATGTACTCAAGAATCAAATCCCAGCCAATAATCCAAGCAACAAACTACGATGTAGGTAACAAAGGATCTTTTTAAGTGATGTGACGCAGAAAAAAAAAGAGCACAAACAATAGGTGTGTTACCTCGCCCATCGTAGCATAGGCATATGTATAAGCCGAACCTGCGACGGGAATCATGGATGCCATTTCCGAATATGACATAGCAGCAAAACCTAAGATATCACAGTCATCATTGAGTGATCTACCGAAACAGCGTTTCCAATTCATTTATGATGTGTGTCCAACTTACCGGCGGCAATGGCGGCGACGATAAAAGAAATGGTAATTGCCGGTCCAGCGTTTTTCGCGGCGGCTTGACCGGATAAGACAAAGATACCAGTACCGATAATGGCGCCAATACCAATAAAGACGAGTTGCCAAGAGGTCAGGACACGATTAAGACCAGAAGTTTCGGATTCGCTCCACATCAGTTCGACCGGCTTCAAGTGCCCCAGGCGTCGAAACCAGTAATGGCTATTACTTTCATCGTCGCGTTGAAGGTAGCTCCGTGGATCAGCTTTGGCATACCTCGCTGTAAAGTTGCCAAGCGAAGTTTTATTCTCGCTTGCTTGTTCTTTTGAGGATCCTTCCATGTAAAATGGATGAAAAAGCGATAAAAATTAAAGGAAAAAGAAAGAGTATCAAACAAGGGATCAGGCAAAAAAAAAAAAAAAAAAAGACTTGATCTCGTCCCATATTTATAAAAGGAAGAAATTGCCTTGTCTGATTATTCGATGGAAAAAGGAAATAACACGGCAGTAGGGTGACTCTAAAAAGGGGAGACCACCCATCGTTTTTCCCAATCAAAACTTCACATTCCAATGCTTCTGTCTTGCGGCCAAAAGAAAAAAAAAAAGGTTCGATAACAGTTGCCGGGATCAAGCGTTTTTGGCTCGCAGAATTGCCTTTTTTAGCAGGAGCAAGATGAACACGAGTCATGTGCCGTTGGATGGTTGTGCGTTTCTTTGAATCCAATAGTTTCTATGTTGATCAAGTGGCGTGTTTCACAAGAAACGCAACTCTTGTTCAGTCATGTGCCAAAAAGTGGTCGAAAGTCCTTGTTTTTTCTCGTGAGACACGTTTGTATTCATTCGGACAGCCAATCACACTCTACTTTTCCTGTTTTTTTAATTTTCCTGGAAGATTTGTCACATTGATTCGAAACCGTCTTGTGTATTTCTAATGTTCTCCAACTACTTTCGTGGCTAGTACGGACCCCGTCGCTCACAGCAATCTTGTACAAGTAGCCCAATTTTGTCGTTGGAAATTTCGGCTTTGCGCATGCTGTGATGGCATCTTTTGTATTGATGCCACCAAGTCAAACAATTATCATGATGCAATATCTCCTTGGACTGTAGATCCCTTTCCAAAGTGCATGCTCAAAGCAACAAAAGAGGCGTCATTTGTGACATATGCAATCAATTTTGTGCCAATAAAGAACGATTGCCGTTACTCTTTATTTACCAACGCCGAATCGAAGAAGAAATGTTCTTTTTTTAATGACATGGAATGAATCCATAAGACTGGTTCAAGTGATTGGCCGCCCTGTACCGAATGCAAGCAAGACAAAAAAGCTTGCCAATTCAACCCCGCTGTTCTTTGAGGATTTTTCAAAAAATGTTTGAATCGGGTGGCAGATAGAGAGTCAAAAGAGAGAAAAAGAAAAACTCGTAAAGTGCCACACAAAGTAAGAGTCACACGACCTATCTCAAAGAGCAAATCGATAGATTTGCTGTATTTGATGGGGTTGAAAGCATGCTTGGAAAAAAAGGAAATGTTCTGTAGCGATAAGAACGAAAAAGTAGCGTTTATGGGCAAAAGATGTTAGCGTAGCATGATTGATGATCATTAGTTATCGCTGGAATGCATATAAACTTATCAATCCATGTTTGGATAAGCAGAAATGGCTCGTTTTGATAGTCGTGAATACTGATATCTTTGTTCGGATGATAAAAAAAAACTGGGAAGCATGTATGAATGCTGGATCCAAGGGTTTACATTTTGATCCATGAACTGATCCCACAAAAACCGACCAATTTTGTTTTTTTTCACACACTTTTTTTCCCTTGTGAGCTGAAAAAAGAATCGATAAAGTTGACATGGTTTTCCAGCGGTTCGAATGACAGATTAGGTTCTTCCACGGTCCCGCTTGTGGCTGTGATCTTGGTGGCAGTAGAAATTACCATCATCACCAGTGAGAAATTATTGAATGTTGCAGACTTTTCCAAAGATTCATTTCGTCCGTAACATGACGTATAATAGGTAACCCAAAAAGGCATGAATGCATCGATTTATCGAAGCTGTTGTGTGAAAAGGGAACACCGTGGCTGAAAACGTTTGTTCTGAAACTTCACAGGAGCAGAAATCGTTCTTTAAAACTCAGCATAGGCGGGCATTCCAAGCCACGAAACTGTTGTTGGAGAACGAGAACAGAGGTTGGCAAGTTGGCTGACCAGCCCTTTGTCTTTGACAAATAAAGAATGAATGAAAATAAAAGATTTATCAACTTGTTTACCATTAAATATCGTATGATACTGCTTTGAATTGTGGCAAAATGGAAGGAACCATTTCAGGAAAGAAAAAAGTGGTCGGATCATTTCCGTTCTTCTCATGTTTTTGTCAAATATGATCTGGCTATTTTGGCAATGATATGGCCTACCATACCCAACATTGAGACTCCTTGAAAGGAAATAGTTGGATGATAGTCTACGCCGGTTTGATGTTTCACCAGCAAAATATCGTAATGTATGTCAAATGATACGTTACGGATATGTGCCACTTTTGTATTGGCTCATTAAACATTTCCTGTGTATCCACCACTTTCGTAGCAACATGAACGTAGGCATCTCTTTTGATGTTGGTGCGGAAAATCGTTGCGCATCCTTCATTAACTCGCTCAAGAAAAACCATGCTTAACAAAGAGTAATTTCCTGTGGTCGCCAAAAGGATAGGATTGCTCGTACTCTCCGGCGGCAAAAGCACAGCAAGTAAGTTCTAGTTATGGAGTTTGACACAGCCACATTGAGATTGAAAGCTACACGTATTTCCACACGTTGCAATTTGAATGGTCGTGAAAGAGACTTAAAAATGATTCCACCCCAACACACACATAAAACAAATGGATATCATGACGTTAATTCTTGATTGGTGATTAACAGAAGGGAAAATCTCTTGCAAAAGAAACGATGCAATCTGCGCTCACAGATGCATGGTGTCATGGAGACGTCAACTGGTTACGACAGCACAGCAAATTCCCCCGCTGGCAGTACCAATGAGAATCACCCTCAAGTATTGCTTGGCTTAGCTGCCCGTCTGTAAGACACACAGGCCTCAAGTGAGGATACCTTTACTCAAATTCACGTCAAACAGCCGTGATAGGTCTCCTACCGATAGCCTGACTGACGCAAACGCAGCATCCACTAAATGTTACTACCTAGCTTTTTTGTGGTTACGAGAACTATCACAGTTCTCAATTATTTTCATTTACTTTTATTTTTGAATAAGAGATTCCTTTCTTTTCAGAAAAGAAGGGGGAACAAAAAATTTTGGTCAGTCTCCTTAGTGTCCCGCAGCCACGGAAATCTTTAGTAAAAGGCGAAAGATTTATCCGATCTGATCACAGGACAGAGACAACAAAGAATTCATTTTTTGGCGACTTGCGGCTCTGCTTTATAGTTTTTTCAGCATGGGCTCCATGACTGCTTTCGCTAGTCTCCGCTGTGACCAAGAATTTTCGCTGGAATTTTGTAACACATACATAACCAATCATAGCCATGTTGGGGCTGCACATCATAGCGTTAGCACCATGTCTTGTCCAATAAAAAGAAGCCATGTTTCTCTTCTGTGGTGTGGCAACACTAATATTGAATCTCCATAGTGTAAACCTGACGTATGCTTATGTTCATTATCCGCCGCTGCGACAACCCACTGACGATGACAAGGGCGGCATGGTGATATTTAAAACCGTCTATAGTTTACTGGTAGTTGAAATTGTCTTATTATTCGACCGGGTGAGCCAAAGCAAAGCATAAATATTGAGCAGTCTAGAACACACCAAAGACGCCAAACACCCCTGGGCAACCCGTGCTGGGGAGGGAACCCCCTTTGAGCCCCGCGCGGAAAGTGCAAGTCTGGTGAAGTTGACCATACATTTATCAGCTTGAACAAATGTAACATTCAATCCGTAGAAAAATGCAATAAGTTAAAATGAAAACAACATAGCCACGTGTGTGTAGTTTTTTGGCTCGCTTAGTTAGTGGTCCCGAAAAAAAAAAATGAGCACCAAAACAAAGAAGGTTTCAGCAAAAGGCTCTAAATATCATATAACCCATTCAATGGCGCGATTGTTTAAGCTGATAGTGGTTTACGGCTCGAAATCCTTGGCCGGGTTTCGTTTTCTTATTCATGTTTCGAGCCGTGTTATTGCAGAAAATCGAAGTTCATGAGCTATTGATGAATAAGATCTACCTCGATGATAGACATTTTATTCAGAGATACTCGCGCTTCATCCACATCGGTAGGATACATGACCAAAACATGTTTGTATGGAATGTTGAAATGAAGTCTTACAGCACAAAGGCATGCCTTTTTGGGGTGAATGGCATTTGCAGAGGTCTTGATTTTGATCAGTTCGCTGAAAAGGTGGTCGAGAGCAAACGTGTGGACTTGTATCAAACCAGATATTTTCTGATATATCGGATTGCTTGATTACTCAGCTCGGTACGAGAGGCTTTCTATCGTGGCTTTATGTTGCCGTTCAATATCCTAGTGGTAAAATATCAGTACTGTGAGTACTGATATCCTACCCAACAATCTTTTTAACTTACTCTTCAATTTCATCCACATATCAATCTTTTCTGTTACAATGTTAATTGTATTGGAAGAAAAGTGGATAGAACGCTTTAAGGATGAATGTGAGCCTTCCACCGTGTTTGTAGATCTGTTGCCGAAGTGCATGTGCTGGTATGTATGGAAGTTTGTCTATGCTTGGCTTCTTTCATTATGCTATAATGGCGTATATTTCAAGAGGACAAAATAAAGGTGAGTAACATTAAAGCAAATACAGCACTCAGGATAGTTCACTTACAGATCAATATATTTAGTGGCATTATTTTGATTCACGGTCAAGTCGATTGTCTCCTCAAAGTCAGAGATCCGAACACTCTATGGATCACTTAGTTTCGGAACTCGTGCTAGTGATACACTCACTTACTTTCTTCGATGGTTTGGATGCGTGGCACACACCATCTTTTAAGAAATATTCTTTCATTCATTCAGCTTCCTTCATCTCAGTTAAAGCTGTCAATGGGATCTTTTGGAAAATTGCTTCAATGTCGAACTTGATCAATTCTCGTTTGTATTTGTCTGTCTCAGCAATATGCGTCATGAGGTTGATTTCGAAATTGCGTTGCAGATGGATGTAACAAAGGATATTATGCGCTTCACGGCAAACAATCGAGATTGCTAAGCGCAGAGGGTCACTATTTTGTGCGTCACCGTAACAGATGGAAAATTAAATTTGCGATCAACTCATTTTTATTTCAGTGACGAAAAAAATTAATTCGATGGTGGTTAGCGCTTATGCTCGTCAGAGGGCTTCTGGTCTCGAGTCTAGCTGACAGCCAGCTGCCACCTAAACATCCAGTATACGGCGCATGTTTGGGCCAGCATTGACACCACGGTTCCAGAGCTATAAATGACTACTTCAGTTAAAGACTGCGTAGGAGACAGGGTAGAACGTTTATTTGCAAGCGTTCTCGCTTCGTCCTGACCTGTGCGCTGAGGGTGCTGCCGAATTGGGTAAACGATGGTTCGATAATCAGATACAGCTGAAGATGTTATTTAATCAATAAGCCCGCTTTATTAAAAGAAAAACGGCTGCGGCTGGCGCCATACCTGTATTGGCTGAAATAACCATTTCTGCGTCTTTCTAACCAGCAGTCATCTTCGTTCTAAGGGAGGGAAAAATTGTCAGAGGAAAATGTTACTTTTGCTTCGAATACGAACGAACCTATGGTGGCATCGGGTCACATTTAGATCCCGGAATTCAGTCGTGGTTGAGTCGCAGTTGCTGCAAACCTTGCTGGTTTTGTACTCGTCCACGCACAAAACGAGGGCCGTTTTCGCGAGTTCATGTCTGACTCTCTACCAAAATAAGAATATGAGTATGTTATGCCACAAGTCCATCACCAAGAGGAGAAAATACCTTCACAGGAACTGGAGCTAAACTTTTCACCGAAGGCTTGAGATCAGCGTCACCAAAGGCAATGGTGACAATGCGGTGGTCAGGTTCTAGTCCCGGTTGCCTCCGGATTGCCCTTCGCTCTCGTTTCCGTTCGGCCTTGTCGGATTTTATGTACCCACTGGGGCGGCTACAACAGAAGTGTCAATAAACTAGCTTCGACATTGGATGCATCGACTCACCATATCCAGCGTAGGAAAGTTCCCCGTGAGCCTTTCCGTGATGACATCCATCGTTCGCTTTCTTGCTCGTTTCAAAACAGCTCGAAGCTCGCGATGCTTGTACTGTGCGTTGAAGGAAAACAGCCTACCAATAAATATGGTTTCAGTATCATTGTTATGCCATATTTTCTAATATTTTACCTTGAACGCACACGGCTCAATGCGTTTATGTACGCCTAGAATGCCTGCACCGACATGGCGGATGGGGGAAAGCTGTTCAATTCATCGTACATTGGCTCGATTCCTGAGTGCACTCTGTTTTTCAGCTCCATCTGTGAAGCCCAACGGAGCATGGAGGAGACCCTAGCAGGATAAGATGGTTAATAGATGACCACAGAAACGTATCCGTCCGCAAAAGCAAACTTACATGTAATATCCGTTGTTCACGGAAAAGGTATGCTACTGTCGGAGCTTCCTCCTTGTGTTGAGGTCGTCATTGGTATCGACCACGGTAACCATCGATCGGGTACCTGGATAATATTGTAAGTTGTACTATTTCTGCTAGAATTTCCGACGAGATAATTACCTGGGTCAATACCGATGACGCGAGATTGTTCCAGTCGTTGGTGGTCAACCGTTGGGGCTCCTTTGACAGTTGGGTGAAACACCGGTGCTGATTCGCAAGGTTGACCTGTCGAGGCAGTCGCTGGAACTCTTTTCGGGAGGAAGACCGTGGATCTACGAGTAGCAGCTTATGAGATTGGTTATGCTAAGAAATTCAGGACAATGTGCTTACCATAGCCACGGCTAACAAAACGCGTCGAAATCATGACCCCGTCGGATTGAAAGCTAGAGTTAAATTGGATCGGTGGTTGATTTTGGCTATTGGCAACGTCTATCGTATAACATAATGCTAGATCAAGTTCGAACTGAATCTGCTTCGGCAATGGTAGAATACAAATTCTATCGATCAGTTACATGGTTATTCATTTATATCGTTCGTTGTACTCACCGGACGACGTCTGACCATCTTTGACTGTTTCCTCGTTCTTCCAGTCGCTTCAATACCACCTTTCGGAGTGTACACGTTTTCGGCGGGTTTTGAATCGAGCTTGAAGGAAGAACAAGTAAAAGCAGGAGCAATAGCCTCACCCCGAGACACTCGGTCACCGTAGTGCTTGCAGACGCACTCAATACTATAGGAGCTCAAAGCTTGAGTGCTGAAAACAATATTGTACTCTTTGCTGCACATTGTGGACGACGTTACGCGTCTGCCCCCTCGATGCATACCTTCTGTCATCCGTGAAGCCAGTCTCACTCTTCTTTAATAAGTCTCACGAGAGGTTCCACGGAATCGCTACTGGCAATAGCGGAAAGGTCGTTGTAGGTGTTCATCTTTCAACATAAATGTCGTTATAGAAGTTGGGATAAGTTGAGAAGAGAATGAATATGGTTCAGGAGCTGAACTGCTGAACACAGTCAAATCAAAAAAGTGCATTCCAAAATTAGACTACCCTGACGTCACACTCGTTGGATTTTCGCGTGGTCCTCCAATAAAATTCAACTTTTTATCGGTCTTTTCTTCTGACGTGTTGGGTGGATCAATGCCGAATCTGCTAATTTTTCGGTGCACTTGCATTAAAAGGTCAACTTCCAAGCATAAGATTAATCCTGATTTTTAAAGTGTTTACATAAAAAGATGACATGGAAAGTTATTTTATTGTCGAAGCGGTAAATAAGCGCGGAAAATTACTGAAGGCGATTTGTCAAATTAGACAAGTCTGTCATTATTTATGGAATAAAAGAAAAAATGATCAATCAAGTATATCGTTGAATTATTATCGTGTTTACTCTCGCAAAATTCAATAACTTGCATAAACCGTACAAAGCAAAAACATGCTTAGTCATGTAAGCTATCATAGTACAATGATTAGAATAAGATATCGAGAAAAAAGAAGGGCGATGAATAAACGCGTTACAGTTGTCTCGGAGAGACATGAGAGAGACTACAATACCATTGTTTCGTTCTGCATCGATTTTTTCTTTGTTCTTCTTGTTTTATAGATTTTATATTATAATGAATATTCCTGTTGAAGCCGCCACGCAACTGTACTCACCTCAGCCGGTGAGGATCTACAAAGCGTTTGAGCACTTGGACAGTATGGATATCGGAAAAGCTGACCATTGGCATCAAGACCGGTCGGCGACCCCCGAGTTTTTCAGCCGATTTATACAAGGATGGCCAACTCAGCATCCGAAAGGATTATCGACGCACAGCAGTGAAGATAACATGAGCACCGATGATGATGACCAGAACCACGGTTTAAGCTCACCCTGCGATGTCATGGAACGTCCTACCCATCCACCGCCATCTTCACGTCCCGCTTCTCGAAAAATGTCCACCGAAAGCATGTCCGAAGGCTACGCAACCGCACCGTCGGATTCTTCCGATAGCAGCGCACAAACGCAAGCTTCGCCCACCAACGGTCCATCCAAACGTCGTCCGAGCAAAAGCACCCAGTTGAACCAAGAAGTCAGTACGCTTCTTCAGAAAGACGATGTACAACGGGCACTTCAAGTGCTGGACGAAGCGGTGGCCTACATTGACGATGCCCCCAACAATGCCGACGACAGCACCAAGACGATCGCGCATTCGTACTCTGATATGTTAAAAATACTGTGCGAACCAGAGATAGCTGCCATTGTCAATGAACAGTCCCATGTCGACCCCAGTACCATGGATGGCGTGTACAATACCATCATGTGGCGGTTGTTTACCAAAGTCGTTGAATCCGGCTATGAGTTCAGTGTAAGCATCGCATCCTCCAAGGGAATAGATGGATGACGCTTCCATTTTTTTTTTTTTTTTTGTACTCACGTTTGTGATTGTTTTGTTAGTGTGAGGCTCACATATCCTTGGTTCAATTACTGATGGATTATGGTCACTACGCATTGGCGCTTCAAGCAATGTATGTGCTACCTCCGGCTATCTGGGATACCAATTGCTTCCGACTCGCGATCACGCTGCACTTGATGCAGGAACCGAGACAGATTGCCGAAGTCGAGCGATTGTTGAGTGATTATGGCAAGACGCATATCACATTGGCCAATCCCTTAGCGCCTTTTGATCTACCCCCTATTCGTATTGATATGCCCAATATGAAAAATGTGGCCGACAGCGACAAGTATGCGTTGTGGATGTACTACCAAGCAGCATGCAGCGAAACAGAGTGGGGAAAGGAAAAAGAGAATTACGAAGCCAAGAGTTATGAGCATGCCCAGCAATTGAAGCAACAGCGTCACGGACGTGAAACCCTCAAGGATTGGGCGATGCGACGGTTCAAGGTGGAAACGGAACAAGATCGTTTGCAGCGCGATAAAATTGAAGCCGACAATACCATGATTTACATTTCGACCCAGAATCATCAGTTTGAATACGCCTGGCATGTGTATGAGCGTATGGGCAAGGAAGTTGATGCCTTCACTCCGCGAGTGGTGATGCATCTTTCTTGGCAAGCTTACAAACATACTCCCATCGCGCATGTGTCGCTGCGAACTCACTGGGAAGACCGTGCGTGGGAGCTGTACAGCCGATTTATGGACTCAGAATATCTTTACCCCAATCAAACCGAAACACCAGGTTTTCTGGGTGATCTTCTTTCGATAGCTTCCACGACGATTGGTGTCCATGACGGAGCTCAGTTTGACAAGGTGATGGAACTATATCAACTTTTCCAAGACCGCGGATATGAGCGGTTGCTCAGCAATGAGCAAGTGATCACGCCTTTGTTGTGTACGTTGATATACCAGTGCCGACGATCACCACAAAGCATGGATAGTATGCGACGCAAAGCCTTCCAAATCTGGCGAACCAAGCATGCGATCGATCAAAAGACAGAAGGAAAACATCCGTCGACAGCCTACTCGATCTTGTGGATCCTGCTGGTGTTTTGCGTGCATTCGGGCGATAAAACGGACTTTGCTGAACTATTGGTGACATTGAGCAGTCATTATGTGGACAATTTGCCGCCGACGTCGCTGCTGGCGCCCATCCAACGATTTCATGACCGGTATCTGTCGTGCTCGCACGGATCAACCCCATGCCATTTTCACCATTATTTGTTTCGGCCCGTGGACAGCCCCGACAAAGACCCCTCCGGTTACATGGACGACCTAGGTTTTGTCCGTGGCGACAGTCGACGAGCATCTTCAGCGTCGTCCATCGATGTGACCAGTCTGCCAGAACCTATTGCCCACATGTATGAGACTTTGCATCGGCGAACCAACATTCATGACATGGGCGCGGCGAGCATGGATGCCGCAGTATCGTTCAGTCTAACAAATCATGGGCAGTGGGTGACCAAGCCTTTTTATTGTCCTTTGAATAAAGCGCAAGCCTTAATACGACACTGTCTAGGTAGAAAAGAAATCCACGACAGGGTAAAGTCTACCGTAGCATAAATAAAACACCTCATTGTCCATGTGAGACCAATCCACGAAAAGGAAAAAAAAATTCTATGACCGATCTTTTTTTTTTTTTTAATTTCGTTATTCGTTCTTTTTCCTTTATTTCCTCTTTGCCTTCCTTTTTTCTTTCTCATTAAAGCATTTGAATAGCATGGGCAACAGTGTTTCTAAAAAACGAAAAGAACGACCGAGTGTTATTCGCACAGAAATTCCAGATAATGAATATTCCAATACAACCGCAACATCCATAAACTCCATTCTCGTCAATTCCAACAGTCAGCACCGACAGTCGCAATCGTCGCAAATTCGGTCTGCTCAAAGCGCATTCCAACATCCCAACAGTATGGGAAACGACGAGAACCAAGAACAGCAGCAAATGAATACCAATGAAGCTTCGGTGACGTCGAATACCGACTTGAACCAAATGAGTTATAATTCTCAGAATCAACTCACAGCGACGTCCATGCGTTCCATTGGAAGAAACCTCGACATTGACGAATGTATCGATCGACTATTGGAAGTGGGCATGAGTGGCAAAATATCCAAATCCGTGTGTTTCAAAAACTCTGAAATTGTTGCAATCTGTCGAGCCGCACAAGAAGCTTTTATGTGTCAACCTGTACGTGTCGCTGAAGCTCTGTTTCCATGAACAGAAAAAAACATTCCCATTACTAACTTTCTATTCTTTTTTTTCATATATGTTGAATGCTTGTTCTTTTTATTCTCCTTTTTCTTATTCTTCGAATGTGGGATGACTACAGAGCTTAATAGAACTTAATCCTCCGGTCAAGATCCTGGGTGATATTCACGGACAGTATCATGATTTGATTCGATTATTTGAAATGGTAAGAATTTCACAGCGCCTGATCAATTTTTTTTTTTTTTTTTTTTTTTTGGGTCTTTCCCCAGTTTCTCTTTGTATTCACCCTTATTTGGGGGTTGTTGACGTTTTAGGGCGGCTTTCCACCCGAATCCAACTATTTATTTCTGGGCGACTACGTTGATCGAGGCAAACAAAGTTTGGAAACCATCTTGTTGCTGTTTTGTTACAAGATCAAGTTTCCCGAAAACTTCTTCCTGCTGCGAGGTAACCATGAATGCGCCAATGTTACACGAGGTAAGGAAGACGAGGTGGAGTTTCAAAACTTGATGTCATTCATGGCTCAACTTCGTTTTGATTTTCATTTTATAATTTAGTGTATGGTTTCTACGATGAATGCAAACGACGTACCAACGTCAAGATCTGGAAAACGTTTGTGGATGTATTCAATTGCTTACCAATTGCAGCGCTGGTGGCGGGTAAAATCTTTTGTGTTCACGGTGGTCTGAGCCCGTCGTTGAACACCATGGATGATGTACGTAATATTATGCGTCCTACCGACGTTCCCGAATATGGTCTTTTGAACGATTTGGTGTGGTCCGACCCATCCGAGACCGCCATTGAATGGGAAGATAACGAACGAGGCGTGTCCTATTGCTTTGGCAAGAAAATCGTCAATGAGTTTTTAGCCAAACACGATCTGGATTTGGTATGCCGAGCCCACATGGTCGTGGAAGATGGTTACGAATTTTTCAACGAACGCACTCTTGTCACGGTATTTTCGGCACCTAATTACTGTGGCGAATTCGATAACTTTGGTGCAATCATGAGTATCAATGAAGAGTTACTATGCAGCTTTGAACTGCTGACACCAATTGATCATCCACCGGCGGCTATGGCAGCGCTCAACAAAAATAGGGGCCGAAGACCAAGGTATGTCGATCTTTTCCTGTCTGAGGTTCTTTCACGTTTTTTTTTTTTTTTGTTAACCTCTTGGTTTTTCTGTAGTCCTCCTATGATTGAACCTTCGTCACTCCCTGAATAATCGATACTAGATCTGATTCTGTAGCTACCTATTATACTATTGCTTTTTTTCTTCTTTTCTTGTCAACGTCCGCTTTTCTTCTCTCAAACACACACACCCAACCCCTGTCTCACCTTTTTTTCTGAACCTTTTTTTTTCGTGTCAACCTGTCTTCTTTTCCACGATCCAGCGATTGCCTCATGCTTTTATACACATACATACAAGTCTAGTCTTTTTTTCTTTTCCTTGTTCTTCTTTTTCTCTACTTTATATTTTTTTTTTTGGATCCCCATTCTAGGTAGTGGTTGTTTGCCACTTCTTCTTAATAGTTATGATCGGTCTTTTTCTTTTCACTGGGTTTACCCACGTCTCTTCGATATTACCCTCACCAAAGGTAACAACGACCCTTTGAACGCTGGAATTTGGGAGCAATCGTCCTTCATTGCTCGTTGTAAAAAATCTGCACAACTTTCCGGGGGAGAGAAAAAAGGATGTAGAAATGGATCACCGATGTGGTTGCTGGGTCAAAACTTTGTATGATTGTAGCGAATAAAAAAAATATAATGGAAACAAGAAAAGGGTTAGCTGTAAATAATGATATATGTATAAGTAGTAGATGTATAATGCTATAGTTAAAACGTTTCATCTTGATTGGGACACTCTTCGGTCGGGTGAACTCCAAACACATCACAGTTGACACAGTACTAAGGAAAAGTAAAAATTTGAGTTTTCCAAACGTGAAGTCGTATGATCTGGATTTGTATTGACTTACACACATGCAATCACTTGGTTGCTCGTCATATTCTTCATCCTCGGCTGTGGACGTAAATGCCGTGCACGCTATCACATCATGACCGTAGACTTCGCAAATCTCGCAGTAGACCTCTTCTTCATCGTCGCTGCTGTCACGATGGGAGAACGTGGTCATGGAGACGGGGGAAATCGGGGTGCTGTATCGGTTGTACCGCGTATCTTCGTGGTACTGTTTCTCAAGTTGCTTGGTTCGCTGTTTTTCAATCTCCAGGTTCTTCTCCAGGGTCATCACCGTTTCGTCCTTGGTGGCCAATGATAGCCGCAGCGCGGTGATCTCTGCGCTCAGTTGATGAATCTCGTTGCATCGTACCTTTTCTAGATCGTCATACCGTTGTCGCTGGCACAGAAGAGCCTCATTGATGCGGTCCAATTGACGTAGCCAGTCTTTATTGCCGTTGTCGCCATTCTCTCCATCCGCTGCGTCATTGACTTTCTCGGTTTCCCAAATGAGCATTTCATCGATCAAACGTATGCATTCCTGCTCAGCTTGGTTGCACAGGGTCTGCAGTTTCTGATTGTCGGCAATCAACTCGTGTTTCGCTCTTCGCGTCGTTTCCAGTTCCCGCTGCATCTCCTCGGTGGTATTGGTTTGCTGATGCGTCGACAGCACCGCTTTTTTCAACGCTTCAGCAAGCTCCCTTTCTATTTTGGTCTTGGCCAAACTGATTTGCTCATAGTCATTTCTCGCTGTGGCTTGCGCTTCCAGCGCCGCGTCATACTCTTCCATAAGACACCGTTTTTCCTGAATTTCCTTCTCCAGCTTCTCTTGTAATACCGCACATTCCGCATTCGCTCCTGCCACCGTTCGGTGCAGTTGTTTGATATTTTCCCGTAACTGGTCCACTTCCACCGCCAACGTTTTCATCTGCTGACGCTCGCGATCTAACTCTTGCGTCGTCAACTCCAACTGTTCTTCCAATCGGCGTCGGGAATCCTTGTAACCATCGTCCCGGTCGTCCTTGCTGATCTGTGTAGCGTTACACAATTTTAGTTCTTCGATGATCGCATTCAACTGGCCAATGTGATCCTCTTTCTCCTCAATCAAATCGTTGTCTTGTTTGATTTGCGCCATGGACGTTTCGTAACTCTGCAAAGCTTCCATTCCAGCACGACGCAGCTCGTCACACTCACGTTCCAAACAAGCCGTGGTCTGGTCTCGCTCCGCTAGATCACGACGTAGTTGGTCCAACTGAGATCCGTGCTCTCGAAGCTTGGCTTCATGCGCTTCATTGGCCTCCACTGCTCGTTGCTGCAAATCACGGACCAAGGTGTCCAATTTATCGATGCGACGTTGGTATTGCTGTTCCATGGCATCAGCCATTGCGACGCGGGCCATGGTGGCTTTGGTTTTTCCCAGTGCTTCGTGCATGCGCCGACATTGATCGTCCCGGTCGGCCAAGGCTTGCTGCAACCGAAAAATCTCATCGTCTCGTTCTTTTACCCGCAGGGCGTAACTTTCCTTGGCGGACACGAGCCTTTCCCACGCGGCTTCCTTTCCATCCATCTGTTCGCTGAGCATTTCCTTTTCTTTGCGCGATTGTTCAAGCAAAGCGCGGACACGGCGTAATTCGGTTTCATCGTTGCGATCCGTGGTGACGGTCGGTTGAATAGTTTTCCGGCGCAGGGTTTTATTGGCGGGCGTCGAGGTAACAGATGACCTGGATGTTTGTTGTCTGGCAACATTTGCCTTTTTTGTCGGAGTGCGCATGATGGATGCTTTATCGTGTGGTGCCACAACACTACTACTGGTGGTTGTGATGGCGGCCACAGTGGAGGATGATGTCGTTGTGCTTTTGGATCTAACTTGTTTTGTGATTGCATCGGAAGGCGTTCGTATTGGTACAGTGGTTTGCCGAGGCATGACACGAGCCGATTTACTTGCGGACATTGGCTTGGTGCCAACCGCTGCGGCGGGTGCAGCACAACTGCGTGCAGTGACTCGCTCACTTTTCGTTGCTGCCTTTCGATGCTCCACCCCTGTCGTGCGGCTGGGTTTCGGTGCAATGCTGGGCTTTCCCGAAACCTCTTCTTGCAGTAGAGCGACCTTGGAACCCAACACAAATAATCCCGTTTGTGGAGGACATGAAAAGTATCGTACACTGGAAGAAACGTCAAGCGATGCCATTAGTCCTCACGCAAAAAATAAGAAGAGAACAAATCGAAAGATGGTCACGAAAGAAATAATAGCAGAGGCGAAAAAAAAAAGAACGCGAATCGGGAACAAGAAAAGACAGTTGATCACCGATGTAAGCCGCACTCAAATGAATAGCCTGAAGCAAGATGAAAAGAAAAACAAGTGCAAAGCAGAAGTAAAGAGGAACAAGCAAAAATAGAACCGCGAGGTTCAAAACGGAGCCAGGTTAAAAGAAAAAAAAGAGGGTAGAATGCAAAGAGCGGCTGATGCGTAAATAAATAGCATGCCGTCACTGGCTGATACAACATTGCCATGGAATCAAAATAAATGTAGAGTTTGATTGCCCACTGCGTTGATCAAAGAAAAAAAAAAACGCCCATCTGTGGATCGGATAAAGAACAGCAAAAGGAAAAATAGGACGAGAATTGACTAAATGTGGATTTGCAAAGAGGCGAAAAAGAAGTGGAAAAAGGTCAAGTACAGAGTTGCTTACCCCTGAACGCTGCCGTCGTTTTTTCCCGTGCCAGCTACATCCAACTCGATGCCAATCCACAAGACGCCAGGCTTAAAGTGAGTATCACCGACAAATCTGACGGTGCCAATGACTTCAAGACTGGGCAGGGTTACTCGTTGGCCGACTCGAAACGATGATTTGGATGTCGGTTTGTTGGTGGAAGTATCTTTTGGAGAGCGCAGAACCGTACTTTTAGACCCAGAAGCCAAATGACAACGAGTAGATTTACTTCGTGTGAGTGAGACTGGAGAAGCCGGTGGGGATGTCACGAGTTGATTGGATTGAAGCGATCGTCGATGGGACTTTGCGAGTGTGAGAATCGGTGGAGTGATGGCATTCGGCAGTGAGGAAGTCGATAACCGTGATGTGGTTGCGCGGCTCTTCTTGCTGGTCGGCGATGGTAACACAGCAGCTGTCGTGCTGCCAAAAACAGGCCGGGCAATTTTTGACATTATAAAAAAAAAAAAAAAAAACAAATGGGAAAAACGAAAACATCGACTATTTTTCAATAACATCGTATAGAAATTAGAGACGAACAAGAAAAAGGGCCAGAAAAAAAGGGGACACTATCTTAGAAACATGATGCAGAGTGTCCTGCGGCAGCACGACCTCGCATGAAAAAAAATAAGAAATGAGAACTTTATTGCGTGCATTGCCAATATCTCTTCTTCATCGATAGCCGGGCCTCTTTTGTTCAAGTTTATAGCAGGCCATCTTATGCCAACAAAATCGTTTATTAGGCCCATTCACCAATCACAAAACAAAGAATGCCATCATGGAACACTTGATCGAACGTTGAATGATATCGAAAGAAAAAGAAAAGAAAGTGAATTTGACAAATAGGAGGTGAGGAGGCGTGAAGGAGGAGAGTAAAGCCAAAATAAAGACAGCACACGCAGAGTGAGGCACAGAGAGAGAAATAGAAAAATAAAAGTACGCAAAAGGGAGGACGTGGGAGGCAGGAGGTAATAAGAGTATATTGAAATGCGAGTGGGGTTAGATACACAGGATAAGGATGTGTTTGAATACAGTAATCAGAAACTGCATCCATCGGGATTCATGATACAGTAGGTTCGGTTTTTATTTCACCAAGCATTCGGTTCATTACCACGCGGAGATTCCGGCGGGGTAATTTGTTGCGATTCTTCGGTGGACGATCTCAGAGGAAGTTTAGAAATGATATCCAACGTCGTCGTTACTCCCACTCGGTGAGAAGCCGATCGTTTGATATTCAGATCATAATCGTCGCCAAACACTCTTGATCGCCCGGTGCCAGACCGGGGTTGTACCAAGGCATTTTCTTTCAAAACCATGAACATTTGGATTTCTCCATACACTTTTTCCAGTTCCTGCCTGGTCAGTTGGAGAGCGTGATCCTTTTGCAGTGTCATGGTTCGCAATGCATTGATGGTGTAACGAGCAAACGCAAGCTCCTTATTCAAAAGTTCGTTTTGTTGACTTAAATACGCATTTTCAATCTCGAGACGGTTCATCTGCTTATCATCGGTATCTGCAAGTGGCGTGCTTAGTTTACTCTTCTATTTATACCATTTATCGCTGATACGCCGATACAACAGTATCAAGTGCACTTACTCGAGCGAGTGGGCGACCGGGGAAGTGAAGGGGACGATAAGCAAGTCGTGGCTCCAGAATGAGCTTCCATGACAGGGAATGAGGCTGGGCTGTTTCAGTAGGTGAGGTGGTTGATATGTACAAAAAAAAGTGTTTGGTATTGCGTGGCTGTTTCCTTGGATTTGTTTCCTTTTTGACAGACCAGCTGCGCGATAAAGAAAAAAAAATAACAACAAAAAGGATAAAACGACCAAAAAAAGAGGTGAAGAAGATTAGGAAAAAAGAAGGATGATGAACTCTTGGCGGGGATAAAGGGGAAAAATGCATTTTCTTCTTTTTTGCTTTTTTGTGCACACGCACGGGTGTTCCGGGTTCGTGGTTGAAATGTTTCGGAGTGATCGAGTTGCAAGTGAACACCATCGGACTCCATTTTTTTTCAAAATGGATAATTTTATTTCTCTTCACCATGCTTCTCCCGCTAGTGACGGTGCAAACCGATTCTTCGCCTCGCGTCAATTTAGGCCAAGGTCAATGGTTGCAATTAGAGAAAATCTCGTACGTGGATGGCCAAGGCAATGAGCGATGGTGGGAACGTTGCATACGAAAAAAGGCGTCAACGGCATCAGTTGACGGTAAGTTGGCAACAAAACCACTGTGAACCGGTTTTCATGGCAACTGACCCTTTTTCTTCGATAGCTGTTGATATTCATGCCATCTTGCTCACCCCCGAACCTGAGCTACTGCTTGTCATCCAATACAGGTATGCATAATTTTTTTTTTACAACAGCGGAAAAATCCAAGCAGATGCATGATGATGACTCAAAAAAATTCATTCAATTTTGTAGACCTGCCATTGGCAAATATTGTATCGAATTTCCATCAGGTCGATCTTTTTCTGTGTCATAATCTGTGTCAATAGATTTTTTATCACATGGAACTGACATCCAAAACGGTTGGGTCATTTAGGTCTTATCGATGCGAATGAAGAACCCATTATATCTGCTCAACGGGAACTGAAAGAAGAAACAGGTTATCACGTCCCCAGAGAGCAAATCCAGATTCATGCAACCCCTGTATGCTATGAACCTGGCATGACCGATTCTTGCTGCTATGTTGCATATACAACGATTGATGTGTCCAAAGCGTCCAAGCCAGAACCTCAAAGAGAGGCCGATGAATGGACCATGCAAACCCTCAGTTTACCACTGAAAGGACTGTGGCAAAAGTTACAAGGTAATTAAAATCCTTTCAGGATCACCCTGAATCCGAAGCGTAACATACTCAGCCCAACTGATTCCACGTATAAATAATCATCGTGCAGATCTTCAAGCTTCTTCCGTGCAGCCATTACTGATTGACAGTCGTGTGTATGCATTCGCAGCAGGACAACGTGCATACCAACAACATCTTGTTTCTTAATACAAAAAAAGATCTCTGTTTATTTATTAATTAGGTTTACAATACTTTTTTTTTTTCTTTCCGTCTACTTCACTCGGCCACACATCTCTATTTATAGACAGTGCGACCTAGAGAAAACAAATTGCCATGTGTTTTATTTACATTCGTTGGCCTCGGCAATCGCTTCCGCCAATCGTGAAAGTGCCTCATCCATCTGGGCCTGGTTCACATTGCTGTAGGATACACGCACAAAAGGAGTGACTTTGTTGATTGGCATAAAGGCCTTGATGTTCAAGAAAACCATTCATTGTTAATTCTTGACGTGATGGGTGTATAATGTCAAGATCATTACTTACCAAACCTGGCACCGCCACCACTTTCTTTTCAATGGCTTTAGTCATGATCAAGTCTTGCGAATCCTTGATACCTTTAAGCTTCAACCAAACAAACATGCCTGCTTGCGGGACCACCCATTCGGCATAGTCTTTCATGTGCTTTTCGAGACATTCCACAAACAAATCGCGCTTCTCTTTGTAAAAGTTGGCCACGCGGTGGACATGTTCAAAGAAACCTTGGTGTCCGTAAAGCTTGAGCAGTTCATAGGCCATCAGTTGTGAAAGGCCCGAAGGTTGGAGATTAGTCACCATGGTATGCATGTTCATACGTTCGATCAAAGGCTTGGGACCAGTCACCCATCCCAGACGCAGGCCAGAAGACAAGATTTTACTCATACTGTCACAACGCAGCACACGACCATCGACATCAATCGACAAATAAGAAGGAATGCGCTTTTCGTCAAACTAGATACACAACAAGTTCACTCTTTCCATATTCTTCAACAACCCGAATCTTTCCATATTAATCAATTTACCTGTAGATAGTAATAGGCATCATCTTCGAGAATCATAATGTCATATTTGTGGCAGATATCGTAAATTTGTTTCTTGCGCTCAAAGGAGGAACTGATACCAGTAGGGTTGCCACCACTGGGAATGGTATAAAGAACACGGGGACGGGATTGATCTTGTCGACCGCTGGGATTCGTTGCTGGCCAGTTGGCCAATAAGGACTCCAGTGCGTCAGGAACAAGGCCGTACTGATCCGTGGCTACGGGGGCCAATGTACAATTCAAAGTTTCCAAAAACGCAAGAGCGCCAGTATAAGTCGGATCCTCCACCATGACTGCTTCACCCGTATCGGTCATCATTTCCAGTGCCTGATCGAAATTATCAGTATTTTCTCTTACTCCCGGTCTATTTTTTTCCCCCCATTCAATCCATACCTTGGTGAGCAGATCCTGGGATCCACTACCAACGGAAATGTCAAAATCACAGGGAGGCGCATGTTCAATGGTTTGGAGTTGGCGAAGCCATTGATTCAAAGGAGGCAAGCCCGACTAATTCATTGCCGAAGAATTCCCGAATTGAGTCACGGAAAATTGTCAAGAAAAAATTCGTTTTCGGTTTGTCGTGGGAAACTTACTGTCAAATCGTAGGACAAGGCCCGTTGGAACAATTGTGGATCCATTTCCATAATTTCTCCCGATTTAAGTTTGACCGTCATGCTCTCGAAAGGAAAGGTTTCTGGATTAGGTTGACCGGCTCCCAAAGAAATCTACAAACAGTATAATTCCATTGAGTCATGTGACATCTCGTGCATTGGGTGGAGGGAGATTACGCACCATATCTTCACGGTTCATGTACGGAATCAAGGCACGAACTAATTGGGAGTAATGGTTAGATGGAAATTGTAATGACAATTTGAATTGCCTTAAAAGGACGATTCTGTACTCGCTGAAGGATTTCTGGCTTTGCTGCGCTCGGTCATAAACTTTGTGTAGTCCATTGTTTGATAGATTCACTGGAAAATGGTAAACAGTAACAATAATAAATGAAAAAAAGGGAATTTGTCATCCTCCCTCTTAGCATATATTTTAAATGACATTTGGTTTCAAAAAGTTGCTATATGTGACTGTGAGGGTCCGCCTTATCTATCTGTGCTGTTTTTATATCTCAGCGGCGAAATGAAGTGGGGCGATACGTTCACAGTTGAAGCGGCGATTGTTCAAGGGCAAAACATTCTTCATCTTGCATCTGTGATGAATGTGCTGCGGCGAAATCGAGTTTGAAAAAGAATACAGGAAGGAAAAAAAAACGGAAGTTAACGTGGGCGAGATTGGAGCCAATGACGTGGGCGGCATAACCGTACGAAATGGTCACAATGCTCAAAATAGAGAATGTTTCGATCTCCTCCTCTTCATTACATCTTTTTTTTCCTGACTTCCTTTTCACTCGTAACTCTTTTCGTTTTGTCTTCTTTTTATTTTTCCGCCGCCTTTTTTTCCCTTGATTTTTCGATTCGTCCTTGTTTTCATCGAATTCCATCCATGATTGATTTTTGGGCCACTCAATTCAACAAGTTACGTGCCAAAATTTTACCCAGTAAAGATAGCGGAAGCTCGGAGCCTTTATTACGGCGTTCAACCACCGATGATTCCAGTCAATTCAGCGATGTCTATCAGGACAGCTATGGTATCGTGTACTGGGTAAAAAAAAATTACAATTATTGAAATTGAAACAATAGACTTGCATAAGCTATGGGCATGACTGACTCAGGGACGCATTCGTCTATTTCTAGGTGTTTTTTATCTACGGTATAGCCATGCTGTTACCATGGAATGGTGAGTGAATGAACCGAGTGCATGGCGGATGAGAGAGGAAGAATGAGGTTGGGTTGCGAGATGGGTGGCTGACAACGGAGATTCTTTTTTGGTACACAGTGTTCATTACGGCTTCCGAATACTTTGCGAAGCGTTTCCAGGCCTCGGAATATGACGAAACTTTTCAAAACTACTTTTCAATTACATTCACAGTGAGCAATTTGCTTGTATTTGCGACCATTCTGTGGCGACAGAGTGAAGTAAGTGGATGTTTGTTTTTTAGGGAAAACCGGAAAAAGAGAGGCATCAGATGATCTCCCGTTGGTCGCTCTTTGATTGATCAGCTGACGTGTTAGACTACGACGTTTCACATTGATGTTTATTTACCGGTGATCATCAATGCGATCGTGTTTGCCGTGATGTGCCTAACCGTGCAGTTTGGGTTCAGCGGCACAGGGTATTTCTGGATGATTTTGGGTTTACTTGTGGTAACGGGAGCCAGTACCAGTCTTTTCCAGGCTTCCGTGTTTGCTGAAGCGAGCCGCTTTCCTTATAAATACATGCAAGCCGTAATGAGGTACGTAACAGGATCATCATGCATATATCCTATGAATAGGGATCAATTATGTTTATTAATCCCCTATCTAGTGGTCAAGGTAATGATCATAACAAATGAGACAAAGGGAATCAGTGGAATGTGAAACTGTGGGATCAGCGGAGGAATAGGCGACTTGCACACAAGTTGGGGCATTGAATGATTTTCGTTAGGCGTGGCGGGTGTGGCGGTCGCTGTATCTTCCATCGTCAGTGCTTTAGCCGGATCGACCACGGGCACACCTGACCCTTCGGCCTCGGCACGATCGGCGTTGATTTATTTCCTGAGTGCGTTTGGTATTACGTTGGCTGCTTTCATCGGACGCCTGATTCTTTCCCAGCAGCCGTTCTATACCCATCAAATTAGAAAAGACGTTCCTTCCTTGTCAGATGATATGGAGGAAGAAATAGATGCGCGTGATTTCCTGGCTTCCGAACCCCCTTTCAGTGTCATGGACACGGTGCGAAAATCGACCGGTCTCATTTTTGCTGTAGGATACATTTTCATGGTGACGTTGGCGGTATTCCCATCCATCACGGCTCTGATCAAATCCGTACGCCGGCATGATCCTTCCGGACTGGCCACGCCGAACCATAACCGATTTTTTGACGACGATATTTTTGTGGCCTTCCACTTTTTGTTATTCAACGTGGGCGATTGGGTGGGGCGAACGATGCCTATCATTGATAGTTTACGGACTTTCAATGTCAAGGCGTTGGTGACCATGTCTGTTGCACGAACCCTATTTATTCCTGCCTTCTTGTTGTGCAACGTGGTCGTATCCGATGATCGACGATTGCCGGTTCTGTTTGGGAACGATCTTGCCTATTTTATTATCGTCTGGTTGTTTGCCGTCACCAACGGATGGATGGGCAGCTTGACCATGATGGCCGCGCCTCAACAATCCTTTATTCGTACCGCGACCGAAAAATCCGTCATTGGCACCGTCATGAGTTTCTCTCTCGTCCTGGGCCTTGCCATTGGTGGAGGCGGCAGTTTTTTCGTTCGATGGCTCGTCTAAAGAAGCCCATCTTCTAATATTCTGTTACCCGTTGTGTTCACTTTTGTTTGGAATAAACTCCCACTATAGCTTGTTTGAACCGAAATCGTATCCTGGTTCAGAATCATCAGACTTTGCTCATTCTATGAACATTTAATGCGGAAAATCATGATGATGATGATGATGATGATGATGATATGGCAACAAATTTTGGAAAATCCAAGTGCAGATACGAAAAATTTCCCATTGAGTACAACGCTGATATTTGGCACTAACTCGTCGCTGAACAGTGTTAACAAATTGCTGCCATGGAGTTTCATAGACAAATGTTTCACACACCCACAGGGACACTTTGATGATTTTTGTAGATGGTTGAAAGTAAATTAAAGTGCAAAGACATGTATTGAAAGTGACTTGTAAGAAAATTATACAGGATGATTATTGTTTTCCTAGAGACCATCTATTACCAAGACAAGTGCTGTATAATCGGTACGCAACTGGTGGGTATGGACGAAACCGCACGTAAATCCTGTGTTGCGCTGTCTCAACTTGGAGTCTGCTTGTTGTATATGTAACAGGCGGGAACCATAAAGAGACAGCAAATAATCGAGATTTAAGCCAAGGCGGCCGGATCATGACGGATCTTGTCAGTTCGTAATTTAAATATGGCTGTTCCCAATCAAAGTGAAAATAAAAGCAAACAAATGTTTCATGATCCATCCAACCCTGTGTGTGTTCGTTCAGCAAATATTTTGTAGTCTTGCGCTTGACTTGGCTTCTTTTCTTTTTTATACTATTTACCATGTCATCTACGTTTACGAGGGAGTTAGCAATGTGGTCTCCAGCTATGTCGGTTAGTCACACGTTCCAAGTAGGCGTAATCCATGCCACCGCCTCTTCCGTATACCCTACGCCTTTGAACTATTACCATCAACCGGTCTTTCGCCCAACATTTCCGGCCGTGTGCATTGTATGCGGTTTAGCCCACGACAATGCACGCACCTATACCACGGGCGATGAAAATTCGGTGGACATGGTAGAAAAATCCGTCCAACCACCGCATGAGGTAATTTCGGTGACGCCGCCGACGCATCATCTGCAACCCACGCGCCAACGAGTGATCACGCGTCCAAAAAGCAAGAAACGATCCAATCCAGTCTTTTATTCGTTGTACATGCTGTGGAAACGAATGATTCGATCGTATAAGCAACCACCAATTCATCCATTTCACCACACCAACCAACACGCGCGTCCCAAAGATTTAAATTACCTGCCATAAATGGCAACCCTTTTTTTTCGTGTACGCGTTTCTCCGCATTATTTTTTTTCCCTTCTTGTTGTTCTTGTTGGCTGGGTGTTCTTTTCTCCCCCTGTTTTCTTTTTTTGCATTGCCCCACGGCCAAGTTACCATATTTTCATAATGTCCACCGATAAATCGCATGTCAAAGAATTACAAAAAGAAATGATCCGTGTGAGGAAGCATTTGAAAGATTGGGAGCATTACTTTGAGATCAAACATAAACATAAACCCACCGTTGAAAATATCGCCGAAAGGCCCAAAGTGGGTAAGTGGCCCGCCACCATTAACCAGTCTCTACGTTACTCTTTTTTTCCCTAAAGTCTCTGATCACCCCATGCTGCTCCATCGTTGTTCACCCTATAGAAAAAGTGTACAAAGAGTATAACCGATTAAAGAAGCAATTCAAACAAGCAATAGCCGCCACCAAATCCGCTCATGCATCATCACAACCGGATCTGCTCGGGTCATCATCGCAAGCATCGCACTCATGCCACGCTAGTCCTTCCAGTTCTCGCCGTGGCTCATCAATGTCGATTGAATTTGTGCGTTCTCCTACGCCCCGTTCGTGGTCCCGACGAATGTCCCAAAGTCAATCGTCTCCTTCTTCAAGGAGCCGAAAAGAGGCTGCGGATAGTGTGAGACCAAGAGAGGAAGACGAAGGTGATGATCAACTGTTGAAATCGGACGCTGATTTCAGCCCGGCAGCTCAGGACGCATTCTGGATGGACGATTCTTCGCAAAAGAGTCTGTTGGAGTCCGATTCTCAAAAGAGCTTTCCTGAAGCAAGTTCTCAAGAGAGTCTCAGTAGTAGCCAATCATCCGTTCGACGACGGCGTAAAAAGAATGTGGCGTTGGAACAGAAATTGTTTGGCCATTTGATCTATAAACCTCAACACACCTTTACCCAGCCCACTCAATCCATGCGAGTGACTGCCACCGCGGCAGAGATATCACCCATCTTACCCTCTTCCCTCCCTCGATTCCCTGCAACGCCTGAACTGACCAGCGAACCTGATTCCCCCGAAGAATTTACCATTGAAACTCGCATTCTCGATCCTCTTCGTCACTACGATGCGTCTCTCTTCAACTGGAACGATCCCGACTTTTTCGTTCCTGCCGGCTTGTTTGCCAGTGTACGTGCACGTACCACCGTCACTACCCCTTTACTCAACGAACCCAAACGACGTGCTCGGGTCCTGAAGGAATTGCAACAGGGCACACTTGGCGAGAAGAAAAAGAGGGATGATCTAGCGAATCTTGACGATGAACTGCAACGGTTCATTCAAGAAAATTCGCAACCTGATCGGGAACCTTTTGCCACCGTAAGTTGAACTCAACTGGCCTCTTTACTTTTAAAATCATCTTTGTTTATTCATTGTGGGTTCTCTTTATTTTTGTAACAGGCATCCGCGGAAGAACCGTCATCCATTTATGTGAAAAAGCCTATCCAGAAGCGGCAAACGCGACTTTACAAATGTAAGCGAATCAAGGTGACAAGATGTATTGCTTTTACTCATATATTGTCTTTTTTTTTCATTCCTACATTCTTACTCTAACTCTCCTCTTTATCACCTTTCTTCCCTGATGACTTGGATTTGCTTTTTTTTTTTATGTTCTTGGGTCGGCTCGTATCCTTTTTAATTAGTGAAATTTGTGGACACTGTGTAGAAGCAAGCTGAGGGGGAAGAAAAGAAAAGAGAAATCTGGACTTGCTTTCTATGTACGCATGAAGAACGGGGTAACTTAAAATGTATTGAAAAGAAAAAGTAATAAAAAAGAAAGAGGGAAAAACAGTAACAGGGAAGACCGTTAATGAAGGAGATCGAGGAGAAAAAAGTCGCAAAAATAATAGGATGCTTTGAAAATTTGGAGGCCCATCGATTTCAAAAAAAAAACAGGAGTGATCATGCTTTCTTTACCGTGCCAATTCTGCTGACGCTCCTTGCCCCACCCGGTGGACGAAGTCCCGATGAACGATTTGAACCGTGAGCCGAGACGTTACGACGTTCGGGTGAATCGAGAGAAGACGCTTCGGATGTCCGTGAACGGGGTTGTTGAGACGCTAAACCTGGACGTGCGTGAGACCCTGAAGCCGGATGATCCGGTTTCGTATCAAAAATACTTTGTCTTGGTCCGCACGCACTGGCGCTTCGCATACCAAGACGAGACGGACTTTGATGGTGTGTTTGCGCATTGGGTGGCGACGTTGGCCGCGATAACGCATTGGACCGTCGTGTGGCAGGATCGCTGGGGCTTAAAATGGGCGATCGCGTAGCTTTTTGTGTACTTGATTCGCGCACGGTGGGGATGTGACTTGCTCGGCCAATGCGACTGACGGATCTCGCTTGGGTCGGTGGCTGACCGGCAGAACGTGATGAGGAATTGGAGGTGGTACGTTGAGGCATCGGTTTTCCAAACGACGAAGAGGACGGTGGAGCGGGTATATGCGAAGCTCGTTTGGCCAGTTTCTGTCGCGGGCCTGAACTGGGGGACAAATGGGTGCCAATTCTTGAACTTGCACGTGGTAACATTGGTTTTTCATCGGTGGATTTGGTAGGAGAATGGCGCGTGGTGATGGAGCGACTCGGGGTAGGCATGCCACTGGAAGCGGCCGAGCCCGTACGAGGTCTTGGAATACTCGAATTTTGAGACGACGCTTGGCTGCCTGCCGAGTAATTACTCAGTCGACTGAGGGACCGTGACGAAGTGGATGTCGATTCGGAAGGATGAATCACGGGCGTCATGCCGTAACGAGAATAATGATTCGAACCGGCAGTAATGGTTGATTGCGACGTTAAACTGTTTTCGCTACTGAGACTGCCTGAACGTGTGCGATTCAAATCATGTTCCGCAGCCACAGCGTATCGACTGGAAGGAGCCGATAACCGTGAATAAATAGGTGGTGGGGATGTGTAACTGGTGGGAGCCGCCGATTTCAATGCGTGATCTACACCATTGAAAAAAAAAATTGCCAGTTGTCATGAGAAAAATAAAATATTGATCAGCAGGCAACGAAATGGGGTTTAGAAACTTACTTGTAGTTGTATTATCGTCTGGCGACCAATCGAGTTCTTTATTATCCATGTCAAAGTAGCCCGTCTACATAGTTTTTGTTGGCTTACTTATTTAAACCGAGCCGTTTGAAACCCCCTGAACGCCACTCACATTACCTTTTTTTCTGAAGTAAGGAAATCATCAAAATCCGCATCGCCTGAATACGTCTTTTCAAATGATTCAATAGATAGTTCATCGTCACTGGGTGGTTTATCACGATATTTGGATGTCGTTTGATCGTTGGGTGGTGGTGATTTTACGTTCTCCTTGATCGGTGTTGTGTGTGATTCATCGGGTTGGGTGGCGGACGATGGACGAAGGCTTGATAAAGCCTAAATAAAAGCATGGCCAAAAAAAAAAGAGATAAGATAGGGGCATTTATCGGTTGGCCTTGCTTCATTAGTTTACATGGATCCAACAACATGTGGAGCAAACAAGGACAACAAAAGGGAAAAAGAAAATGTTATTCTCCTACCAAATCCATTTTCCAAAAATCCTCGGCGGAGTCGTCCAGATCCAAATCAGCTAAATTGGATAAATCTGTTTCATCATCCACATCCGCAGTGAAGTTGGCTTGAATCAGATCATCCAGATTGATGCTGTCACCCGAACTCACTGAAGCAATAGATTCTGGACGACCATTGGGTATCGTACGTCTTCCAATGGGTATACTAATTGCATCAAAGGAGTATAAAAGAATCAACCAATGCACGCTCAAACCACCGCATACTCTACCCATATGCCAGCCCTTCACCACACAAAACGCCTCATTCACCCGTCCATAGGTCATGCAACACCAGTATACAGGCATTTGCCACCCCATCCATCCAACAATTGGGGTAATGAGAAGAAAAACGCACCTGTTATTATCGCTGTCGACGATGACGGCATCAGTGGTTGTGTAGTCTCTATTAGCTGGTAAAAAGTTGAGAGCTTCTCGCGGTGGGGTTTCGTCTCGATAGCCAGGCACGTTCATGAGCCAACCGTGAACTTTGGCGGGTCCTGGCGATGTCTCTGGAGGTGTCGGAGATAGCTTCGCTGTTTTGGGTCGTTGTTTATCCCTGAAGCCGAAGAAACGATAACCGGATGATTGGGTCATGTGCACAATTCGAACCGTGAGCAAAAGGAGGAAGACAGGATGATGGAAGGAAAGAACAAGAAAAAAATGAAAATGAAAAAAATGAGCAAAAGATGGAGAAGGGAGATGAAATTCACTTTTTTTACGCTGACTGAGAGCATGAAAAATGGGCTCGAGCCTGACTTGCTTCGAAAAGCCGACCAAAAAACCACGTCATCAAAAGACCCAAAGCGTGCGGACGAGCCGGATTTTCTTTGACCGGATTCGGACATGTTGGAAAAAACAACAATGCCTAGTTCATCTCCTGATGTACAATATTTATATTTTTCTTTTTCATTTATCAGACTGTAAATATCATATTCATGTTTCAACACTTGCCTCCAGATGCAATATAGTAATACTACATGATACTAGATGCTAACATCCTCTTTTTCCAGGCATTTTGCTCTGCATTTACATAGACAATGTCCTGTTTGCAACTTGAATATATATAGTGCAGCCCTTCTTTAAAGGGCACACGGAAACTCTTAGTGGCTCGTAGTGATAAGGTGACTAAAAATGCCCCATGCACGAAACCTGAATGATATTTTGGTGGCTCGTGGCATGAGGCTGTGACGGGCATGAATTTATAAATGGATTCCTACAAGGTGATGGTTTTTTAAAAGTTGTTTATCTGATTTTTCGACCCTTTTTTTGCTTAAAACCATGAATACCTGGAGTGAATCGCATCCAATAAAACAGATTGAAGCACACTTTGGATATGCACTGCTTCAACTCTTATATTTCCAATTTCATTGGTTATCATTTTCGAGCGCAGTCACATGCACCGAAACGATTTTTATTTTTCGATTCGGGCTTTCACAAAGCAGTGAGCTTTGAACTTTACAGATCTAATAAAACCATGTCTGCAAAGAACAAGAAAGGTACGCACATCACACCAACTATTCTCTGTTCAACAATTTAATAACCAAACACTTTGTTTTGTAGGGCCTTCTCAGGTAAAACGATGACACGAGACAACAAAATTGATCTTGGATATTGAATGCATGGGTCTTCCTCTCTTTTATTTTGACAGGCCGAGCTTATGGTCAAGACTTGTGCTGAAATTGTCGCCGAGCTCGTCGCTGCCACCGAAAACGGGAAGGATATCAATTTGAATGGCGTCAAGAATCGCATTTCTCGTAAAAACAAGTTGCAGAATCAACCAAAGTTGGTCGAGATCATCGCCGCCATTCCCGAACAGCACAAAGCCGCTTTACTGCCAAAGTTGAAAGCCAAACCTGTTCGTACAGCATCAGGCGTAGGTATCCATGCCGTCATTTTACAATGAAGAGGTCCACTTATGTCTGATCTTCATAGATTGCCGTGGTGGCCGTCATGTGCAAACCTCATCGTTGTCCTCACATTGCCATGACAGGCAATATCTGTGTGTAAGTGATTCTCAAACAGGTGGGAAAATGTAAGGATTAATAAGGGTTCTGACGAGCATGTTGGCTATTCTTTGACAGTTATTGTCCGGGTGGTCCCGATTCCGATTTCGAATATTCGACTCAGTCTTACACGGGTTACGAGCCGACATCCATGCGTGCCATTCGAGCGAGATACGATCCGTATGAGCAGTCGCGCGGTCGTGTTGATCAATTGAGAAGCTTGGGTCACAGTGTCGATAAAGTAGAGTACATCATCATGGGTGGAACGTTCATGTCCATGCCTGAAGATTACCGAAACTGGTTTATCAGCAACCTGCATGATTCACTCTCTGGTCATTCCAGCAATAATGTCGAAGAAGCGGTTCGGTAAGTTGGGAGGTTTGTTTGTTTACTTTTGTTTTCGCGGGATCTAACGCGAGAGGTGATTTTTAGATACTCTCAGCAAAGTCAAACGAAATGTATTGGTATCACCATTGAAACTCGACCCGATTACTGCTTAAAACCCCATTTAAGTCAAATGCTGACGTATGGTTGCACTCGTCTTGAAATCGGTGTGCAAAGCGTGTACGAAGATGTGGCAAGAGATACAAATAGGTGAGTCCATTTCTTGTTGTTGTTGTTGTTATGCTCGAGTCACCCATACATTTTGTGATGGTGTAGAGGACATACCGTGAAAGCAGTGACGGAATCATTCCAGCTTGGCAAAGATGCGGGTTTCAAGGTCGTGTCGCACATGATGCCTGATTTACCCAACGTGGGCATGGAACGCGATATTGAGCAGTTCAAGGAATACTTTGAGAATCCGGCTTTTCGATCGGATGGTCTAAAGATTTACCCTACCCTGGTGATTCGTGGTACAGGTTTATACGAACTCTGGCGCACAGGACGATACCAAAATTACACACCCAATGCGCTGGTGGATCTCGTAGCAAGAATTCTGGCCTTGGTGCCCCCATGGACCCGTATTTACCGTGTGCAGCGTGATATTCCCATGCCGCTCGTCACTTCCGGTGTGGAGCATGGCAATCTCAGAGAACTGGCATTGAATCGAATGAAAGATCTCGGTACCGTCTGTCGAGACGTGCGTACCCGTGAAGTCGGTATCACGGAAATTCATCACAAGATCCAGCCCGATCAAGTCGAATTAATTCGTCGTGATTATGTCGCCAACGGTGGCTGGGAAACTTTCCTCTCGTACGAAGATCCTCATCAAGATATTCTCGTGGGTTTGCTGCGTTTGCGAAAGTGTTCGCCGCAAACCTTCCGTCCTGAATTGACATCGGCTGGCCAAACGTCCATTGTGCGCGAGTTGCACGTCTACGGTTCGGTGGTGCCCATGCACGATCGTGACCCTACCAAGTTCCAGCATCAAGGTTTTGGTACCTTGCTGATGGAAGAAGCCGAACGCATCGCCAGAGAAGAACATGGTAGTGTGAAACTAAGCGTCATTTCCGGTGTAGGCGTCCGACACTACTATGCCAAACTCGGTTACCATCTCGACGGTCCTTATATGTCCAAGATGTTGGTATAAAATTAGAAAAAAAGAACCTAGATAATTGAACAATCCTTTGTATATATTCGACTGCTCCCAAGTCATTCCAATACTGAACCAAAACCAAAAAAGAAAGGAAAAATATTCAAAATAAGCATCGCTTCTCTTCCAAAAAAAAGAACAAGTGGCATCCTCAATGATTACATTAATCAGTTCATGTTTCCTGTGCTCGAGAAAACGAACGCCAACTGCAAATGCCGTCGATACCAAATAAATTAGCCGATTAGGGGCGTCATTGAGTTGGATAATGTCTTTTTTTTTTTTATCATAAAAGCTGTACCATAAATATCAACAAGAACGTTCGGCCAGACCGTTTAGACGTAGGGTAATAGATTCAGAGATTCAGAGATCCGGTGTTATGTGGTGTCGTTGTTCAAAGCCGAGACCCAGCTGTCGACAGTCTCTTGATCGTTGGCTTGCAAGTAATAAGTAGAGTTACTGGTATACATTTCAAAGGTATTGGGAATAGTCTGCTTTTGTACACAAGATTAATATAAACCATCCATAAAACTCTTGTAGCCGCTTACCAGATCATTGGTGGGAACGCTCGCGCGAGTGACTTTGAACACGTTCAAGACGTTGCTCTCAGATTGATCTTCGTATACAAGGAGATACGGCCTAAGAAAGCGGAGACAGTCAATGGATAAAGCCAAAAGCACATGGACTCATTTCTTTTTCTTACCTGCGGAGAACAACCCACCGATCATTAGAAGATGTGCCTTGAGATGGCTCAATTCGCCACGTCAGCAGCCCGCGTTTGGTGACGGATCCCCTAATATGATTCCATGCTCTATCAAACATGGGCTCCACGTGTGATGTAAAATCTTCAAGCTGACTTACAGTGGTAAGATTTGATATACCTCGCACTTGTAGCAAGGAATATCGGGTGATGGCCTTGAACATGCACTCTGTGAAGGACAATGTATCATTCATTAAAAGTGTGCTACAGCGTTAATTTTCATCTTGATTTGGTCTTACCATGTCTTTGGGTGGTACGGCAGACCTCCACAGATGGATAACGTTGTCGATGCATTGCTTGGTATCACCACCGTCATCGCATCCGATTTTGGTGATGCCTTGTTGTATTTTATTTCGCCGCTTCTGTAGCTGTGTCATCAATGTTACGGTGTAGTCGGTCGAAGCAATTGATTCCTTTCGAGACATTGCTTGCCAACCGTCGCGATATTTCGCAATCATTGGATCCGTTTCGTTCGCCTCTTTCATGAGCTTGATCATTTGAAGTTCAAATACCGCGCACGCGCGATCAGTCGCCAGACTAGCTACATCGTCCGAAGAAAAGAAACGGAACATGGACGACCGTTTATTCAATGGCGTTTCCCTTTCGTGACCACTGATCCGTACACAGACATCGATCGTGTATTGCTGCGAGACGGGATACTTATCGGTATGTGCAGACCACGATAGTGTGAATACAACACGCTGGTCGGGCGCGGTGGCTTGATTGAGCAGTAACGAATCGTGGAGGGAACTATCCCAAGCACTTTCTATTACAAAACCTGGACCTTCATCAAGTTCATTTTCTTGCTGTTGTTGCACCACCTTGAGTGGGACAGACGTCGTATCGAGGTCATTGATGACACGATATTGCGCATCAACGAGCCGAACGTGGCCAATGCAAAGGGACGAAATCTTGTTCACGTGCCATGAAGCGTCGCATTTCATGGTCAAATGAATTCGCCGTTGCTGTCCTTGTCGTAAGCAAAAAAGGCCTATGTTTGTTGAATCCCATGGCAGTTTTTTCACCGGGACAGGCTGATAATCGCCTCGAGATCCCAGTTCGCGGATTTGTATAGAGACAAAAATAGGGTATGATTCTCTGTGAACGCGAGGTCGGTGATCTTTGGCGGGTATATCTGACATGGGCAATGTCAAAGTTGGGGTGGTAGGGCTCCTAATATCCAAGGCAGCGATCGTTGCTTCCGTGGCGTTTATCATGCACTGTTCAAAATAGCCCGGTCGTGGTTTGGCAAAGACGTCGAATCGGAGTGACTGATGTCGAATCGTATCGAGTATTTCCGGCGTGATCACCATGGAGATCGTTTGACTGTAATCGAAGCGTACCGAGGATCCATCCACTGGAGAAACAGGGTCCGTGGTGAATACGTTGTGCACCGTCACACCGAAATCCGACAAGGAAAACTGGCAGTGAATGTCGGTGCATTCGGCGGTCATGGGCCCGGACAGTTCGAGGATGCGAATATCGAAAAGAAGCTGCTGACCCACATGCAACAACCCGTGCTGCGATGGTGGTTCGGCGGCTGAATACGTTTCCTTTGGCGTCCGTGCAATCGAGCGTGCAATGGGAGCCACTAGCACGGTGAGATGGCCTAGCCATGCTCCGGTATCTCGACAAAATATATCCAACTGTCGTTCCATGGGAATATGAAAGTCGAGATGACGAAGTGGTACCTGTGTCGTACCGGTAAGCGCGTAATGTAACTGCGGCAAGTCGCGGAATAGATCTTGACTTTCAAAGTGTGGCAAACGAGGCGTGATACAATGGATACCTTGCATATGACGAACCCGCGTCTTGAGCTTGCTTAATGACCAAAGGCCGGTGGTTTGCTGCTGACAATCAATGACACGCACCGCAATGCACGGCTTGAGTTGGCCCGACAAGACGGGATCCACATCCGATGTCATGCAAGGTTCCAGAGCGGATCGGGCGTCGAGAGACGCGTTATCGTGGACAATGACCAATTGATAAACTGTAGATTGATGGTGCTGTCGACTGTATGCGTTCGCCTCGACAATGTAGTGGCGGTTCACCGACACGGTTTCGGAAAGCGCCATCCATCGTTTCCGTTTCCATCGCTGGACGTATTTGCGAGCTAACGCAATTTCGGCCGCATCCACCAGCGGAGAGTACAGAGAGCAGGTGCTTGCAGGAAGGTACATGGACAGGCGTTGAAGTTTCGATTCGTATTTCTTTTTCTGCTGAGCCAACCGCTGTTGCATTTCTTCGTGAAACGATTTAACAGAGCCCTCACGCGACGCACTGTCCATGTCATCCAATAAAGTGGAATGCGTAGAGAATAAGCCGGTTTGCGATGACAGCGACGTTCTTTGCGAGAAATTATCGCTGAAGAGCTGACCTTCGGACGACGAAGACGAAGTCGACTGCCGTTGCCGTATTCGTCGAAGCTTGGTGACATCGTCCAAAATCTTTTCCAAATCTTCGTCGGCCAGATTGCCAAAATTGACATCTCCGTTGGCACTGTTCAACAGTGCCTCCCGTAACGCAAAAGTCCAGTCGGCGTGCGGATAACATTCGGCATCGGAGCCCGAGGACTGACTGGGCGAATCGGGACGCTGACTCGCGCTGCGTTCCATGCCCGTTGGCGACGACATGCGTTGCAAAAGGTCGCGTTCTTTGCGCGCTTCCTCGGGATGATTGAATCGAAAAATGTGGTAATCGCCTAGAATGACGCGGTAGCCGCTTTTCAGTCGCTTCGGTTCCGAGATCCGCAGACCGTTGACCATGGTTACGGAATCCTTTTTTGGATTCAAGGTCACCACATTGTCAACGTTTTCAAAGATACAGTGTTCTTCCATGATACTCGATCCACTTAGACGAATGTGAGCCTGACTCTCGAGATGGCCTACACGTGTTATGCCGGGCTTGATTTGATACATGAGACACTCGGACATGAGTGGATCTTCGCTCAGGTTCACAAGATGCGGCATTTTTTTCGGGGTGTGAATGCCCAAATGGTTCTTTTCAATGGTGATGCCCAATTCCTCCAATGCTTGCTCACGCTCCATATGGATTTTCTCGCTGTTTTGCAGCTTCTCTTCCCACGTCTGGTTCAATTCGTTGAGCAGCTTTTCGGAAGTTTGGATCTGATCGAGCATTTCCGTTTTCGTAAGTTCGGTAGCGTGATTCGCAGCGTCCGTGAATACGATCGATTTGGGAGGTGCGCTTGTGTTGGTCGCATTGGTCCCATTAGCAGCGTTGGTCCCGTTGGTAGCCAATTTAGATGAGGATTTTGTCTTGTGGGATGTGATCTTTTCCAGTTCATCGGGCGCATACACCATCAACGCTTGGCGCAACTGTTTCAGTTCATCTTCCAGTTCGCGCACCATCTTCATATGTGGATCTTCATTGACGACGGCCTTGGTTCGAATTTTCTTGGCCTGATCTGCATATCGCAACGTGCTCAACGTTTCATCGTAATCCGCAGGTGAAATTGCCGCAATCATCGCCGTTTTTGAATTGCCTCCCAAGGAATCTTTCAGCAGCCACGTCAGTATCTATCATGGCGTTTACCGGCCACATATAAGTACAGATCCATTCTCATCATCGATCTCTTCAAGCTAAGGGACTTACGGAATCACGAAAAGGGATAAATGCCTCTTTTGATTTGCGAGTGCCTTTCTTATTGTCTTGCATGGTTGCTTGCTCGGCTAACCCGGCAATGACTTTGCCCAAGGTTGTTAGCGATTTATTGATATTAGCGCCCTCTTTCAGTCGCAATCCTGACGCTCCGGTGCTGTTCGCACGCTCACTTCCTGCCAGATCGACCAAACTTGGTATAGGAAGCGTAGTCTTAGTATGTGCCCAAAAATAGACTGAACAGTAAGAATCCAAGGAGACCGGATTTTTACCTGATTCGAGCAATTTTATCGTTGGTTTGTTTGGTAGCGGGATTGTATCGTTTTTGGGTCAAAAGTATGGTAAATACAGCATGGGATCGAGACGACGTTCCGTTCATGTTGGTCGCTGCCACCGTCCTTGCCTGTGAAGCAGTGAGTGGGAGGTTCCAGTGGTGTTTTTTTCTCTATGGTCCATCCAAAATTACCTTATTCCCTTCGTCCATTAGATAGTTGATGTCTTCAAACGATTTCACGGCCAAGCGTGAGAGATCTTCTACATAAGGTCCGAGACTAGGATGTTCGCGGACCTTGAGGTTGCCCTTGTTGCGAGGGTTGAGCAAGTCGCGTACTTTTTCGTTGTAGATCTCAATATACGACACTTCCACTTCAAACGTAAGGCCGTCCCGTGTTGTTTGCTGGATACGTTCAAACAGCTCGGAACATGTACGAGGAATGATGCCTTTATCTTTTCCGTAACCCATCTTTTAAGCAAAACCATAAGTCCACATTCAGTAATTTTGGAGAAAAAAAAAACATGAAGGAAATAAAAGAGGCAAGTACATCATACCATGGAATATGACTTGCCGGATCCCGTTTGACCATCTATACTGAAAACGTGAATACAAAGCATAAGAAAAAAACAAAACACCAACTGTTGTCTCGATCCACCTATTTTTCATCATGAAGAAGTCCTCTTTTTCCTTCCTTACAGTGACATTCCCCCCTCCCTTTTGTAAAAAAAGGTTGATAAACCATTACTCACATGCAAAAATACAGCAGTTGTATCCATCAAAAGCATGGTCCAGTAGTTCGCGGCCTAAGTCTTGATACACAGTCTCTTGATCAGCATATTCCGGATCGTCTTTATTGGCCGACCAAAACGATCGATCAAAAGTGAATGCCTTGACATCGTTATCTTTCTGATCCGGTCTCCTTATAATGGTCTGTTGGCCTTCCATGCGCACAAGACATGTGGCTCCTCGGGCAAGTTCTAGGAACGCCTCATGTCAGTGATAAATATGCCAATAAAAAAAAAAGTGTACAGATTTACCTCTTGCATTCAGTGGTCGACACCGCACCACCACTTTGATGTTGCCAGCGCCACTCATGATACAGTGTACTCTTTATGTAGGGATGGACGACGGATGAGGAAACAGGACCTGGACAGTTGTATTACAATGGCAATGGAAACTAAGCAATGAGAAAAGAAACGGCATAACACGGTGTTTCACTGAAATCCAAAACAAGCAAATCCAACCTTCAAAGCAAAGAAAAAAAAGTTCAGGGAAACCCAAGTGGTAAAAATAAAGCGACCCAACCAAAGGGAGCAAAACGAAGCAAGTAGACAGAAAATAAAATTAAGCGGCCAGGGCAAAGCAGTAGCAGGCAACTGAACGACTGTGTTCACATCAAACAAGGCAATAAAAAAAAAAGTCTAAAGCTGTAAGTTACAATAGCTGAGTTTAGCTTGTCTTTTCGTTTGTGCACCTATACACCGGACGCTCTCTACTTTTTTGCTTTGACTCTGCTCATTTTACTATTCAACCAATAGTAACCTTTCATTTACTTTCTTCTTTGTTCAAATGGCGTAGATGAAAATGCAAGCCATCGCCGCCAACACGTACGATGAAGAATACTGCATGGCGCGTGTAGACTCCGCATGCTCTGAGATCTAATTTTAATGCGAAGCAACGGATCTCCCAGCGAGCCTTTGGAATACAAAACGAAGGAAGCCCTGAAAACAAAATGAAAATAAAGGAGGCACCTTATAGAAAAATGATGCTTTCCAAGACAAAAAATTATGTTCTTGAGAAATTGGGTGTAGAGAATATCCTGTTCGTGATTCCACCGTCATCGTGCCGGATGGTTGTTTTCTCGGTGCCTGTTGCACAGTTACACATGTGCAGCCCTGTCAGAAAAAAAAAAAAGAAAAAGAAAAAAGAAAAACTCACGGTCTCTGGGGGACCGGAGGAGCTGAGAATTCAAGATCGCCGAGCGGTCATCACGGACGTTCAGAAGAAGTGAACATTTCTTAATATTGTACTACAAACATCGAACGTCTGCACCATCTGTCAAGCCCGCCGGCCTTATTTCTCATTTTGTATTCCAGTAACCGTATGACTTTTTTTTTATTTTCCTTTTTTTATCAGTCAAAAAATTACACAAGAGACTTTATTTGTAGGTGAGCTAGCCAGACTTGTCAGCAGTATGTTCTTGTAGTGGTGGTGGTGCGCCTCACAAATCGTAATGCAGCGGCGTCGCCCACAACGCCCCCAAAAAAAGGAGACGTGGAGGAATGCATATAAACAGAAGTAAGAAAGATCGTGCAGAGACAAGCTTGGCAATATTTCAGACTACGTTTCTTGTTAGCTACAGTAGAATATACGAAATATTGATTTCTTGAGATGGAAAAATAAAGGGTTTCCCTCGTAAAACTCGGCAAGTACAACAGTTCACTTTGCAATCGTGTTGCCACCTTCATATTCTTTTACTATAATTGAAAGGCCACGATGAATAGTCGAGTTTGAGCCAAGTCAGCGTCTACTTATCAGGAACCTTGGTTTCTTCCGTCATCATTAGGCCCTAATCAGTTTTTGCTTTGTTGTAGGCTTTTTTAATGTTCACAGCTATTCCGGGATTTACTTTGATATGAAAATATAATTTATACATACAGTTACAGTACATGAAAAATACAGATACACGCGCGATCAAGTAGTGTAGGTATTAATGAAATACAGTTTGAGAACATACTATTCATAAGAAGGGTTGGCGTTTTTAGCAGCCACAATCAAGGGGACCAAGGAAGCAAGAGGATCAGCTTGAGCAAGGAAAGGATGTTCCAGTAGTTCCGACGCTGAGGGTCGAGCCACTGCATTCACTTGAAGACACTGGGAAATAAAGTGACGAAACGTCGAACTGAGCGCCTTTGGGTCCTGTAATTGAGGCGTGCCATTGGTGGCAATCAGGTACAGGGCGCGTAACGGATTTTCATTCAAATACGGGGGTTCCCCTTCGATCATTTCAATGGCCATGATACCCAATGACCAAATATCCACCTTGAAATCATACTCTTCTCTCTTTACAATTTCAGGAGCCATCTGTAAAGTATAGTGTTTCATGAGCAATTAATGCATTGACGGTAATCGTAAAATTAAAACATTTACCCAGTAAGGCGTTCCTACAAGCGTGGTTCGCTTGGATTGATGGTCCAACAACTGCGCGCAGAATCCGAAATCAGCTTGAAAAAAAAAAAAAAAAAAAAAAAAAAAAAAAAAATAAGTCAAGGTTGACTTAGCTTGCACTCGAGAGAAAAAAGGCCGAGCCACTCTTGCTACTTACTGATTTTAATATCGCCTTTCATGCTCAGGAGGATATTATCACTCTTGATATCTCGGTGAATGACATCTTGTGAATGCAAATGGACCAGTCCCTGGAGCACTTGTTTGCAAACCGCCGCGATCTGGCCTTCCGTCATCACTGCATGCGTCAACACATCCGTCAGGTTGCCGCCTTTCATGTACTCCATGACCACCCAAAGATCGCCTTGCCACAAGTACGCTTCAATGAAATTCACAATATTCGGATGGCGAGCATCCTTGACCACCATAATTTCATTCACAATCAGTTCCTTTTTCGGCTGTTTTTCAATCTGGATTTGCTTGATCGCCACACATCCGCTGGAGCAACACGCAGTATACACCCCGCCTGATGCGCTGTGAAAAAAAGCGAGGTACGGCATCAGCTGGTGTTCAATGACAAACGCATGTTTCCTTCAGGGCTTACCCTTGGCCAATTTTCACCATATCTGTGTATATTTCGGATGGATTCACCATTTTACACACTTGTTCAAGCTTTTTCAACACTTCGGCATCTTTGGCTGCATTTTTTTGCGCCCTGGAGGGCCTTTGTTGCACGGAAGAGAACGGATCAGAGACAAAGCTCGCCGAAGAGCAAGACGATCGTTCCGTGTCACTGATGGAAAAGGAGTAGTTGGTATACGTATTCTTATGGGTGGCAAAGGATTCAAGTGGAGGTAAATCCAATCGAGAATCTATGGTTGAATCCATCAATTTTTACTGGATCCCAGGGCAACAAGGTTTCAAGCGTCCGCTTACCTATATCGACTGTAGTAGACGTAGCATCAGAAACCTGTCAAGAAAGTATAGCCGGTCAGTTATGTTTGATCCTTTGTTATGGATCATTCCAAGAGGACGATATTTACAACGGACATATTTTCACAAGCAGCGTTAAGAGCGATGGCAGGATGGGGAATATTTCGGTGGACGGTTGAATGTGTAGGATCAGTCTCTGACATGTGGAAAGGATGGGCTTCTGTAGATATCCGTGAATACTTGGAACGAATCTTTTCGCTGTTGCGGTTTTTTCTCTGTTCAACTTGAAAGAATTTGATGGCTTGAAGCACGGCCTGAAATGGAGCAAGATCGCTATGTGAGTCTACCCGATGAACATGGCCCAGTCTATTTTGGCTACTCTACCTTTGGATTATCTCGTTGTTCGGTTTTAGAAATCCCGCTCTGGTTTAGTAGGATCTGCCATTCTGTTGGTAGACCCGTGAACTCGCCGGTGTCTGGATCGAATCCCACGTGGGTCACATGAATGGTATTATAGGGCAGCGAAATGTCAATAGCCTTGGACTTTGGTGTATCATGGGAATGGTGGGATATGAGATCTACACCATAGATAAAAAAAAAATTGCTCAATAAATCTTCCACCATCCATTAATAGCTTTGAGCGGGTTACTGTGCCATAGAGCTAAATTGTTTACCGTTGATTCCGCCGACAAATTTATCGAGGACTCCTTTAAACGAGGATTTTCCCGAAGAATTGAGACTGGAAGAGTAGTTGGACGAGCTTCTTCGAGAGATTTCGCTAGGTGAAGAGAGGGGCGACAAGTGTTGGGTAGGCGAAATATAAGAAGGACTGGTCAGGGATGTGGCACCCGCTTTGGACAAATGATGGATCTCTAACTTTGGTAATTCCTCCATGATGTCTGCATAAAAGTGTTACGATTAGAAAACCCGCCCACTTCACCAAACGATCCGCAAACCACCTACACAGCGGATCATGCACTTGACGACAATAAGAGTATTGACAAGTAACGGAAAAGAATGAACTTTTTTAAAGAGACATGAATCAAAGGTACCGAATCTGGTAATGTCGGTGAGGAAAGTGAACCATTTTTTTTTTTCTTTTTTTTTTTTTTGGTTTCCATGAAGTGACTCTTGGGGACCAGGTGAGAAACCTTTGTCCAAGTCATGCTCCACATGCTTTTGTGTCTATTTTGTACTCATTACGAGTTTACAATACATGATAAATTTTGTTGTCGCATACAGTATCATGATATATTGCTACGCAATGCATGGCCTTGACCACTCGGTGTCTCAAAAAATAAATCGTCATGACGAAGAAGCGGGATGCGGGAAAAAGAAAACGAAAAAGAAGAAAAAAAAGGTAACCGATGCTAACTCGTCTGTGCTCATGTTCCAAAATGTTTCATATGGCGTGTAAAAAAAGTTTAAGCATATTCCCATGCTACTTTTATCCTCTCATTTGAAAAAGAAGACGTTTCTATAACGCCTGACGCTACTCTAACCTCCTCGTTGCGAACTAATAGTGGTGAGACTAAAACGAACTTCATCCGATGTTTTCCGCAATTTTAAAATAAGTAATGTCGTCTCAATGCCCAAATGAATGTCGCCGACCCAATACAAAAAGATATCATTGGCTGACCAAAAACTGATGATTCCCAAGCCAACAGTTTGGATGATAATCCTTTTTTATTAGACTTTTTGCACAAGCCCTTTATTTACGCAGTCAAACTGTGACTCTGACTGAATGTACAGACAGGAATACTCGGTAAATAAAGCCATTCTTTTATTGGTTTATGAATGCGTGCAATAAAAAGAAAAGTCGAAAAAAAAAATGATAGGATCTAATAAAATCAAAAGGCAAAAACGAAGAAGAGAACTTTTCTCGAATTCTTTTTTTCCTGTGCCATAAACTAAAAGAACTTGCAGCACCATCAATTCCGGTGATTCTCATACCAAAAGAAGCTGGCTGGGTAAGTTACCAACTTGCTCCCCCATACCCATCTCGCGATTGCTCAAAGCTACAGGTCATCCGCAGACAGAGCATGTCCCACGTCGAGGGACTTGTAAGCTATTTTACCATAGCTCACAGCATAGTATGTGAAGCATCGGAAACTCGCCAGAATACTGGAAAGGAAGAATCTGCGATCCACTAATCACACAGATTCCTAAATCGCAGGGAAAAAAAGACAAGATGAGGATTCGTCCACCTTGGATCAAAAGTCGCGGCTATGATGGATTTTTTTATCACAGGATTTTTTTCACAGAATAGAAAAGAGGCCGTTTGTTAGTCGAATGACTCGACAATCTTTTTTGGTGATTATTTTCAAGTCTCCAAGCCAATCCAACCTGATCGAGGCATAGCAAGGATAATTGCCGGATTTGCTCCATAACGAACAATGGCACAAAATCCATCTGCCGGTTTCGGATCCCACCGCGGCATGCACAAGTTTGATACTCCGCCCAATTTTTGTCATGTTAAAAAATCCTTCCACATCCGTCCCTCCTCCATGGGTTACAGAAAAGAATAAAAAGCGATTCTTTTTTCGATCTTTACTCTTTTTTATTTAAGTTTTATTTTCAATAACACAGTTTCAACCATTATGCCACGACACATCCTTATCGGTTATGATCGTTCCGAAATATCCAACAAAGCCATGGAATGGATCGTGAGCCATGACATATTACTACCTACCGATAAAATCACATTGGCAACGGTCGTCAACGACGATATGACCGCCGTGGAAGGCGCTTTCGGTTTAGAAGCAGCCGCGATTGGGCCTGTCAACTGGATTGCCGATGACTACACACAACGCGTCACCCAAATGGAAACCAACGCAGCAAGCGCAATAGAAAAAGTAGCCGACTGGTACAACAGCAAAGGTGTAAGTGTGAAAATCATACACAATTGGTTTGGATGCTCTTGCTTAACCATTTTGATTGTGTTTAGTTCCAAGTACGTCCAAGAATTTTAAATGGAGATCCAGCAGAATCATTGACGGTGTTTGCTGAAGCCAACAACGTTGATATGGTTATTGTTGGATGCCGTGGGCTAGGGTTCTTGAAGAGGTAATGTAACCTTGTGCACTGAATTTCTGGTACAAAAAACAGCTCCAGCTGATAATGTATGACATATAGACAATTCTTGGGCTCTGTATCGGACCATCTTACACGTCAACTGAAATGCTCGGTACTCATTGTCAAACCCAACGCACCAGATTCAGTATGATTTATACAATGCCACTTTGATCAGCCTTTTTTGTACCATAATTCAATACAACTATCTTATATTTCCTCGCTCAACAATGCATATGACATATACAAGCTGCTTTGGATACATTGGAACTATGGAATGGCAAAATGTGTATGTGAACGCGGAAAAGAAAAAGTCAAACGGCAAATCTTTTTTTTTTTTTTTTTCTTTTTTTTCACAAACGGATGGAATGATGAGTAAAGTGTATCAGTTAATTAACAGTGGGCAACAGATAATTTCGCCGCAGTTGTTCCAACTCTTTTTGAAGATTGTCGTTCTCCTTTTGTAGTATGAGATTATCGCGAATGACTATTTGCAGTTGATGCTCCATCGTTGCCTAAGAGGATCTCGGTTACTACTCAAATAGGAAGGACAAAAGTCGGTGATACTAACGATAGCAGGAGGAGATATGCTATTTACCACACTATGGCGGCTTGATACGTGAGAATGGTATGCATGAAGGGGTCTGCAACGTGGTTGGTGAGACGATCATGGACGCATAGAAATAAATTTCACTCACTTTACATCTCGGGACGCGGCTGTAGACATAATCTTTCTCAGATCCGAGATAGAGTTCTTGCATTGGATTTCGGAACGTAGATTTAACATTTGGAGAACATGCTGCAGCATTTGGTGCTGCAGTTCATTTTGGCGTACCAGTTCCTCTAGGGAACATTGGAGCGTCCGTATTGCATCTAATTCGACCGGCGATCGCAAAGATTGACCGCGTGAAACTGACGAAGAAGGCGACGTAGAGGATAAAGGAGAAGAAGAGGAAGAACGAGACCCGTCACATCGATCATCGATGCCTAATATCGCACACGAGATGGATTAAGCACCAAATTGGTTTGGCAATAAAGGTGAGTAGAGAAACTACTTGCCTTCCGACTTTTCAAAGTGAGATGTTGCAGGCAAAGTTTCAATGACACTGCTGGTGAGTTCGAATCGGCCGACTTTACGCGATTCAAAGGTATGATCTGAATCTCGCTCTTTCTCGGTGTAAAATCGAGACACCCGGTTATGGGCAGAGTTGTCGCGTGTTAAAGGTATGCCTGTATGGGAGGAAGATGAATGACCTCGTGACAGAGGCACTGAACCACATTTATACGGCAAATGAGCGCTTAACAGGGGGCTGCTTGGATGACCCTGCGGACTAATGACATGATGAACTTCAGTTCGCAGTTTATGTTCAGTGGTCGGCTCAATATGGAGCATAGGGGTAGGTATTTCTGAGGCTCTACTATAGGTATGCTTGCATGTTTCATCGATAGGGGAAGCCGCAGTCTCTACTGGCGCTTTGTCCAAAGCTGGGGATTGAACTACATCTGATTCGGCGGTTTGAGAACGCTGCTGACAAAAATGTTCCGGTGGAGGATGCCCAGAGTGGCTCGACTGATGAATTACTGCGTCTCCAAACGAAATATGTCGCTTTGGAACGAATGCCATACCGGCTGCTTCCTGCTGGCCAATTGACAAAAAACCCGTATTCGTGGTATTCTGAGAAAAACACTTGCTTTCAGATGATGCTTGAGATTGCTTCGAGTCCAAATCAGTTGAATGCATATCCTTGTGCTGCTGGTGCTCTTCATCATTGAAATCCCATTCATCCGCTGGAGTGATTGCAAACTGTTTTCGTGGAACGATTTTGCGAGGACGCAGTTCCAAAGGCGGTAGATCAGACAACAAGTGCTTAACCAAATACTCTTTTTTCTTGGCTTGTTTAAAAAAGCTATGTTGCAATAGCTTTTCCGTTGATGGTCTGCTCCCATTAAACCCATGGTCAGCTCCTGTTTCTCAAAAAAATGCTCCAATTTATTCATTGGCCTACCTTTTGCTGGGATCTTTCTGCAAGCACATGTCAATCAAATCTCTGAATGCGCGCGAATATTTATGTTGGGTCGATTCCCGTGGTAATGTAGGCGGATTCTCGCACAAGGTCAACATCAATACCTATTCATCCACATGGATAAAAAAAGTTGATGCTAACCGATAATAGTACCAGAGGCATATATTTTGGGAAACCAACCTTGAGGGGCGGCAACCGGGCATAAGGTGCATGACCAGTGGCTAGCTCGATGGCCGTGATACCAAAGCTCCATATATCTGCTTTATAATCATACCCCGTTTGTTCCATCACTTCAGGCGCCATCCAGCAAGGCTAATACCCCGTACGAGTACAAAAGATTTTACAAGTAAAAGAATAAATCAATGGAACGATGCCCGCAAATTTCCGAAGTAACAAAAACCGTAGACTTACCGTGCCTACAAAAGTCTTGCGCTGGCCTCTTTGTTCGGATTCCATTAACGAACTTGAAACGCCAAAATCCGCTAAAAGCACGGTGCCATCTTCAGCAACTAGCAGGTTGCCTCCTTTGACATCACGATGGATATGCCCATTTCTGTGCAAGTATGCCAATCCTTCCAGTGCTTGTTTCAGAATCGTGGCGATCACGGTTTCCTCTAATCCTTTTGTGAAACCCGTCCTTATGATATCCAGACAAGAACCTAGACGAAAAAGGACAGAAAGCTCATCGATCAATATATCTTTCTCATGCCAACCTGATGAAAAAGAAAATTACCTCCTGCTAAATATGGAGTAACAATATAGAGTTTAGAACCGTGGACAAATGAGCCATACACTCGTAGCACATGAGGATGTTTAGATAATGCCATTAAAGCCGTTTCACGCTAAACAATGGCTGGGTCAGCTGAATGTTTCATCACAAACCGAAGCATATGGTTTTACTCGTAATTCATCGATCTGGTTCCTTTCAAACATGTCGAGATCGATGATTTTGATCGCTACACGCTTGTTATACGGTGTATAAATAGCGCTGTAGACGATGGCCGAGGATCCGTAACCTAATTCGATAGACACCATACGGTTAGATACAGTGGACAATGTTTTTCACGTGAGAAACGAGGCAAACAAAAAAAAAAAAAGGACAACATATACCAATAGGAGCTTTGATCTCAAATTCATCAATATTTCGGAAAGGATGGGTATCCAAAGTACAGCAGGAAGGCTGCGACGGACTGCAAGGAGATGGATCCGATCGTTCCGAGTTCCTGAATTTTATCCCACTGCTGTTATCACTGCTGTCGCTGTTATCGAGTCCGCTCAGCGGCGGCTGAGACGCAATGGAAGGGTTGTTAAGGATACCAGGCTTTGGCGCGGGCGGGAGTTTCCACGTTACTATAGTATCGGGTGTCGTTTCGGACATGACAGAAGAAGTGGTCATCATGTCAAGAGAATCGTCCGTATTCGACATGAAAGAGAAGAAAAAAAAAGAGAAGCTTTGGTAACAAGTTTTATTTACTTGTGAATACGAAATTTGAGGGGAAGATCTCATCCAATGCATGACAATGCCGAAACCTGAAATCTGACATTTTTTTCAAGGAAATTCTATGCATCTTCCAAAAATAAAAATAAAAAAATAAATAAAAACATACTGCGCAACTTGCGAACAGCTGAACTTTAGAGAAAAAAAACCTTCAGCTTTTGTCCTGTTCAATTATTGTAACAAGCAACTAAATTTTCAGAATAGCATATGGTTGTCCTGTGGTCATTTACGCAGAACATTCTCTTTATCCATCCCAAAAAATGTCACGCCGATAATATTTTTTCATCAATAAAATTTTGAGGGGTTTTTTTCTCATTCCTAATTTCTCGAAGGAAGAGAACTTTTTTTTTTGGTATATAAACTTGTCTACCGATGCCTACGCAAACAAGCAAGAGACATTCGGAGAAAGGGGCAGCGAGCCGGACGGGAGAAGTCGACATTGCAAACGCCTCCTGGAAGGACAAGTTACATCAAGCCATTGACAATTTAGCAGAAAGTCGGACAAGGTAAAAAAAAAAAAGGATATCCATTCCGATTGTGGAACATTGACATGAGCAAGTTCATTTGACACACTGATTTGCATAACAGTACGCGTGAGGAAGCGCTCTCCTTAGTGATTGCCCTGCTGACCCGTCACTATGCTGCTGACACACTGGAATCCCGAAACGAGGAATTGTTGTTGGCATTGCGACGATCGCTATGCAAAGCGCACAGTGTACAAGAGGCATGTTTAGCCTCCAAAGCCATTGCTCTCACATTCATTCAGCACGGTGATATTTCCATGGGCGAACAAGAGGAGTACCTGCAGCTTGTTTTACCGGCCCTCAAAGCGACAGTCAGGAATAGCGAATCCAGCGAAATTAAGGTTCATGTAAGCACTGCAGAGACAACCGAGATTAGATACATGGGTTCCAGACACTGAAAGACCGTCTTATGCAGTGCATGCAAACAATGGCCCTTGTCATTTTTATTGCAGCTTCCGACATTGACAAACAGTTGATCCGCGATTTCATCTTTGATTTTATTGAAACCGAAGGCGAGGCCTTCAGCGTCGACGACCTTTCCTCCAATGCTATGGATCAGTTGATGTGTGCGGCTGCCAAAGCCTACGGACTTTTGTTTATTGCCTCATTTTGTGAGGGCGCCGTGGATATTGAAATCCTTTGGGAAGAAATGGAAAGGTAAAACGAACGACCAAAGGAAGGCAACCCATGTTTTTTTCATAGAGACATCTGACTTTCGGACTGAGTTAGAGTGATGCCTGTGCATGAGATTTTGTTAGAGTCGCCCGACAAGAATGTGCGTTCTGCCGCAGGCGAAAACATTGCGCTTATTTTTGAGACGCTGAGGGTCATGACAGAAGATGTGAGTAGGATGCGGAAAAAGGGAGAAGCCCTCACAGTCGGCGTCGATGTTAACAGAGCGACTTGATGATAGGAAGAGGAAGAGGCGGACGAAGAAGACGCCATGGAGAAACGGGAATACGACAATATGGACGAGTTAATTCATACTTTACGTGATCTGTCGGTCGACAGCAATCGTCGACGGAACAAAAGCGATCGTGCAGAGCAACGGTCCCTCTTCAGAGATGTAGTACGGAGTGTGGAGGAAGGCGAACGGCCAGTAGAAGAACTCAAAATCCACGGAAGGACCATTCCATTCCGAGGCTGGTGTGAGTGTTTACAAACCTGACAGGATGGATCGCTTTAATGGAAAACGCACGCTAAACTCTTGAATCACAGCTAAACTGTTGCCGTTGAATACATTCCGATCCATAATGGGCCAAGGATTACAGTTCCACTTCAAGGTAAAAAAAAAAAAAAAAAAAAAAAAAAAAAAAATATTCAGCTGTTTTGAAAGGAAAAATGAATATTTTCCTTTAATTTTTTTCCTCTCTTTTGACTCACTTGACTAATGAACCGTGTCTGATATAACAGACCAATAATTTGTTTCGTCAAATCTTCCATTATTCCATGCCTATGTCCTTCAGTAGTTATCGCGATGATTCAGACGACGAAGAACCGGATCATGTTGATCCTAGCCAGATCAGTAACGCGGATAAACATTACATTTACAGTGAAAGCAAGAAATTACGGTCCAAACGACTACGAAACGCTCGCATAGCGAGGGATAAATCACAATTATAGAGCAAGACTGACGCTGGCCCGTCCTTTTTTTTTTTTTTTTTTTGGTTGGTTGCAAGAATGTCATCTCATTTTTGTTCATATACTGTCATTCTCAATAACTATAGATGCGCAGTAGATCAATAAAGAAAAAAATACCTCGACAGATTTGTCCTAATAAAATGACAAAGCAACAATGCTCGCATAACAGGCACAATCAATGTGCACCCGCTTGATTTGGGATGAGGCAAGGCTACACAGGTCCAGTAAATTTACAGCCCCAATTGTGATCATGCAATGACTATTCAGTCACAATCGAACAAAATCTATTATCTGTGGAAAAAAGAAGGTTGTCGAAGGACAAATAGGTCATCTGCCAACAAATAGGTATTTTTCCAAATCCAAATTCCGCGTCTTTCTATACGGAGGAGACTGCGAAACGGTGCTTATCATTAGGTTTTAATATCTTTTACACCGTTATTTTAAAAGAGTCATACATGTTCAAGTTTCATGCCGACTTTTTTTTTTGTTTTCTTTTTCTTCATTCATTGTTCATCGCGCGGCGTTGAATAAAAATGACACGAGAAAGGAAAACAAATCCATTCGTCATTTGAATTCCCGATCAGTAATTTTTTCTTCGATTTATTTCTTTTGGTTGCTCTGGTTTTGTCACACCCATCACCAAACATGCCAAACGAGACATGGACGCGTATGATACTCAAAAAGCCCTTCAATATTGTAGAGAAAAAGACGATACCCATCTTTATAGCGCAATTTCCGAAGAAAAAAGAGTGCCAGTGAGGTAACAGTGAAGCATACTCCAGTTTCCCGTGATCCTTTCTCTCACTTCGTTATTAGAATGCTGTAGGAGCACAGCATGCTATCCACGGCGGCAACGCTAGTAGGGTAGTACAAACCCGCCAAAATCATCCGATGTAGCGTGATTATTGCTGGCATGATATTGAACACAACCGAGCATTGAAAAGCATATTTTCGGTGGAGCGGGGAGTACACGGTCTTTTTTAACGTTCATCTTCCGCCGCGTCCAAGGCAGGACCCACCGCTCATTGTATTGCATCATATTATGCCATGGACCCGCATCTGTTGGGGTGCAAGAATTCTTACTTTTCGACAATGCATTGATGTCCAAATCCAGAATAACGAGGCCCGTTTATATCCATTGCGAAAGTTTTTACGGATACAGCAAAGAAAAAACATCACGTTGAAGAATGGTCAGGTTGATTTTAGCGTCGAGTTTTCTTTCTCGTTATTCATACAAAGCAAACAATGAGGTTACACGAGTAACGTACCAACGGGCCCCCTGTTTTTCCGTCAACATTCTAAATCGCATAAAGCATCTAACCGCACCAATGAAGAACGAAATTGGGGATTTCAAAGTGTATGCGCCATGTTTTTTTTTATTGCAACCTTTTTTTTTTTTTTCATAAGGATATCTATTGGGGAGGGGGGATTCTATTTTATGGTAAATTGGAATGGGATAAAGAACGTATAAAAAATATATCAACTTTTCAACAAATGTGCAATGAAAGAGAAAAACATACAAGTCTATATTATACATTATCTAAGAAGAGAAAAACATGAAAACAAAGAAAATAAAAAAGAAGGACCAGTGTAAGAGGTCAGTATAAAAGTAGATATACGAGTATACAGAAAGGGATGGAAGGGGGAATATAATTTAACCTCTAGTGTGAATAGCGGAAGATGACATGGATGGTTGCAGGTTGCATCGGGAGGATGTATTGCCACAGACTCCAGAAGGAGTGGAAACCGTGCTTCGTCGTCGTCGACGTGTCTTTTCGGAATGACGGGGTTTTTCGGTATCAAAGTGGATCTGGTTATGTTCATAGAATTGGTAACGTTCGTCGTTCAATGTCAAATGGTCCATGAGGAAGCCTTCCAACGAAGAGTTGCTGTCACTCCCGTTGTCTTCCAGACCGGGCATTTCTTTGCAGGGGCAGTTTTCATGGTGGCTTTCGAGATCGCTTGACGACGAAGAACTATGATGGTGAGATATCTTGGATCGTGATCCCGAGATTTGTACCGCCTTGCGTTCCACGGAAAGAGGAGATTCCGTAGGACGGACGTTTAACCGACGCGGTAAGCGACCCAGGACATGTGCAGAGATGGGCGCTTCACCTTGCACGATGCGCATAAATTGCTGTTCGTCAAAATACTTCAATGCCGCCCAGGCCGGGTTCAGGAACGAGAACCGCTTTTTCAGTCCGCTCAGTTTTTCTAAAGTCAGATGAAAGACAAAGAGTTGAGTCAGTTCAGAGAAAAGAAAAAAAAAAGACAGTGATGCATTTTTGGGTATGAAACTGAAACCCTACCTTTGCCAATACCACCATTCGACAGGATACCATGCAATGGTTTATCCGGCGCAGGAAGCGTGCCGCCTTTGCCTTGCTGGAGCGGTGCTTTGCCTTTGACCATGCGACAGATGTTGCGAGCAATACACACGCCGGCAATGGTGGCAGCATAACCGGTTTTTTCTTCAATCACATTGGTCACATCGCCACCGGCAAAAATGTGCTGATATTTGTAATGGTCAATCTGAAGTGTAGGCTTCACCCGGATTCTTCCCCAGGCATCGAGACAACCGTCCAGCGGTGCTTCGTTGGTGGAGTTCAAGAAAAGCTGGCTGTTGGGCCGCGTACCGGTTGCCATGAAGACTTTATCGTAGTCACGATAAACGCGCCCGCTCGTACTGACATACACATTGTTTTCGGCGGTGTCGAAATCAATGATGCGTTCGTTGCACACGACTTCCACGCCAAGATCGAGAAGATAGTGCATGGCTCTTTCTTGTTGAACCTCATTGCTTCGTCCAACAATACTTGAGTTGGAATCGAGAAGAGTAATGTGCTTTTTTGGATAAGCACCAGGGAATGTTCGTTGGGCGATTTCCGAAGCCAGTTCGCAACCCACCAATCCACCTCCTATAAAAGTTAAAAGAATAAGTTTAGCATAAAAAATTCGTTTCAACGATCCAGAAAAAGAAATGCTTAATGGATAAAAAAGAAATTGGAATCACTGAGAAGAAATGGAAGATTCCTTACCAATAATGAGTACTTTCTGAGCACGGATCAATTCTTCGTAGATTTGCTCCAATCCATTGAGACGGTAAATGGTGGAAACATCGGTCGACTTGAGAGACGAAGCGTACGAGCTACCCGATGCCATAACCATATAGTCAAAGAAAATCTACACAGTAGAATTTTAATATTGAGCTATTTTGCTTCCAAAAGCATGGGCGGTGTCCATGCTCATGGCGCCACGTGCTTAAACGTGACACACCGACAAGCGACGTACCTCTTCTTCATTGACCACAACGGAAGTTCCATCGTGACCAATATCGTCAGCATAACCAATGATGACTCGTCCATTTCGGACATAAGCATCGTGACGTACACGCAAAGAGGTGGACTGATGAGGATTGACCAGTTTTTTTACGGCCCCGGGGGTATATTCAAACGATTCTAAAATAGAGTTTAAGTCATCTGCATGACCAAAAAAAAAAAAAAAAAAAAGTAACGACGTAAACGGTCGGCTTACCTTTTGTGTCAATAAGCGTGACATGGAATAACGGCATGGCGTCGAGGATCGAAGCAACCGTAAAACCCTATGCCAAAAAAAAAAAGAAAAACTCAGTTCAGCACATGCGGCCACGTGAAGCCGAACCAATGAAAGACTTACGCAAAAGCCGCCACCAATGATGACAACGCGAAGTTGTTCCTTTCGAGGTTGCGGGTTATTGACAGGTCTAAAGCCAGCCATCGCACAAAGCATTCGTTGAGTACAAAAAAATGGTATGATCGCTGATGGTTTGTGTTACTTACCCTATCGGCAATTGGAGCTTGACAAATTCATCCAGCTTCAATTTCTAAGTATAGCACATTTACAGTTAGACGATGCTTTTTGGTTACACCTTGACTCATCCGAAAAACATCACGGGCTCATTACCAGCATATCCAAAACTTGAATCTCCGTCTCTCTCAATGTGTTGACAGCCTCCGTTCGAGTGACAATAGCCCATTGCAGGCTTTGGATACGATTCTTGACATCTTCTTGCGTCGTTACATTCAATTCGTAAGGTGCACCTTTGACCAGAAAGGTTTTAAAAATTCTAAAAGGGTTTCACGATGAGTAACTTGAAGAGATTCCGCGGAAGGACAAGTGTCCATTTTTGTTTCCTTTTTCTTCCTTGTTCTCCTCTTTTCCAGCTGTCAATAATGGCATGACAACCCATTGAACATTTTACGCCAAGCCATACCATGACTTGGCTTGGCATGGATATTCAATGCAGTCGCAGCTTGAAAGAGCGGATGTCTTACCTATGAAGACTGCTTTCGAGTACTTTGGGGTCATGTTCATGTCGTAGTTGGGTCATGGATTCAATGAAGAATAAATTTTCTTGGGACCATGTTGTGCGAAGGAATTTTTCAAAGGCGCGGAGAAGCTTGGGATTGCCGAGGATATCGTGCAGAGTATAGGTTGATCTTTTACTGCGGCTGGAGGTGGTAGTACGGATTGATTCTGATCTTTGATGGGGTGGTATCGATGACTCCCGAAGATGAGTAGTGGTATTAGTCATGATCAAGAATCCACTTTTTTCAATTAAAAAACGAAAAAAAAAGAGGAAAAGAACAGCAAACAGCAGAAGATTTAAAGAAATGCCAAATGGAAATTCTGAAATAATTATAATCTGATCGGGAAACCCCGTTTTTGAACATGGATTTGGGGGGGAGGGGGAGACCGCCTTCAGGGTTCAACCCCGCGAAAAAAAATCTTAGCCGGCACATGGCGGGTGGGGTGGAGTTCTAATCCAAGCTTCAAGTGGCGTGTTCCCAACCGATGATATCAAAAAAAAAGTTTAATTTGTTTTCTATGGCATGATTCAGTTTCAACCAATCAAATTTTATCTTGCTAGCAGGTCGTTCTTGGCCAAAACCCTTATCCGGAACATGACGACTGTTGATGCAGCAGCGCAGCAACACTGTATTCAGGAACGAATTCGGAACGAAACAAAGTAACCAGACGATAGAAGTGTGTGGAAAATGGAGATATTATAACACTTTTTCTTTTTTATGTTTGGATTAAAAAAAAATAACAAAATAACGGAGACATCAGAGTTTCATAAGAGACTCTGGTAGATGAGGAGGGGAACTTTTTTTTTTTCAGTTTCAATGTCCAGTCTATGAGTAGCCAATCTAATGAAAGATCGAGAAACAGGATGATTACAGCGATCTCTAAGTGTGCATTATCGAACATTCTTGCTGCGCCTGATCGTTTTACCACACAGGTCTTGAATCGTGCTTGGCCATATCGATGATTCTCCAGCCAGCCGTCACAGGATTTTGAAGATCTTCGGGCTCTTTAGTAAGAACACAAGCATAGGTCACTTGCTCAATATGGTCCTATATGTGAAATATAGACAGCAGAAGTTGGTTATTAACAAAAATGGATAACCTTAAAAAATGATCGACAAATATACCTCTTTGCCATATACGATTTCCCCGGATTTTGCATTGCGGAAGACAATGACTTCTTGGGTACGGAAGGATAAAACAAGAACAGGAATATCATTTTCAAGAATCTTGGCAGCTACCAACTATTGAAAATAAAGAAAAGACATCAATAAACATTATCCTCGTTCTCACCCAGCATGCCGAATCAATGAAATGATGAAGAAAGGTAGAAAAGCATGGTATGCTTCGACCATCGATTTTTTTTTTTTTTTTGGTAACACGTGGCTTGATATAAAAAAAGAAATAAAATAGAGGAAACAAGCCTACCTCAACGTCACGCAAGTCTTGAATCTTGCAATCACTAATAAGACCTTGCTGCATTTGTGCTTGAATCAATGCCGTCAAGACATTATAAGTCTAAGTCACAGTATCAGTATCAAATATCATCCCAAACCTGCTATCTTTACTAGGTTTTGTTCCTCCGGCTCTTTTATTCTTCCCACCGTCTGTTGTACTTACAGCTTCAGAACACCATAACTTCAATGTTTCCACATCACCCTTCAGGTATGCTTCCATTACTTCGGGAACGATATAGCTACGAGCATCCTTCATGAATTTATCCATGTTGAAAGTAGGATCGATCATTTGGAAAGCGCGAATCGCTTGAGCCTGATCGGATTCTTCGAAAATAGAGCCTGATCAAAGCCATTCCCCAACATTAATATAGCTGCTCCTATATTCTTGTCGCCTACTACTGCCTGCAAAGACTACATACCAAAAGTTTCGGAAACGCGATCGGTAAAAGCACGGGTATAGGAGACGAAGAGATTGTCCGATTCTTCATAGTTCTTTCGTGCACGGAAAATACCTACCATGATGATGAGGGACCGCCCACTCATGTAAGTCAACCAGATCAACAAAAAAAAAAAAATTCCAGCTCAAATTCATTACCTTGCATGATAGGACTTTCTTCTTTGAATTTGTTCCAGCTCTCCTTCCACTTGGAATCCTTGTGAAGTACAATGTTGGCGCCGGCGTTGGGATCCTCTTGCACTCGCTTGGGACCCATACCACCTTCTGCTTGAGTTTGTGCTTGTTCACGAAGCTTACGACGAGTCTCCTTATCAACAAAGCCGGTGTAACGACCACTTTCATCCTTAATAACGGTTTTGAATCCTTCCGAGATCTTGCCCACCACTGGGCTCTTCTTCAAAGGATCCGCCGTCTTATTGATATGTTCGGCTGCTTTCTTGATCTTTTCCGAAGTATCTTTGGCGAATTCGGTTTCTGAAGCTTTTTTGAACGCTTCGCTAGCGGTGTCACCCATCTTTCCTGCGGTCTTTGCAATTTTCTCACTCGCTTGCTTCAAACGTTCCGATTGAGCCGATCGTTGTGCCTAAAAACCGACTCATCGAGTAAGACAAAAGAGTCCTTTTTACTGCTGCGGCACCGGTGCATGCACCAAGCTGCAAGTCTTAAATTACCTTGGCTTGTTCAAATACTTCCTTGGCCTTCTTGAGAGCTTCACTATCAGCAAACTTTCCGGATTCATCTTGCAACGACTTGACTCCCTGTTGGAGTTCCTTGTTTTTCTTGATTTGCTCTTTGATGGTGTCAACGAAAACCTTGATAGGCGAACTGTAATGACGCACAGCCATAGTATTGGCTCCCAAGGAGCGACTGTATACAAGACGGCTACGTGAGGCCGACGACAGCAGAACTCTGTAGGCAGACATGACGGGGACGCTGAACCAATAAAAAAAAAAGAAAAAAAGCCTTAAAATATGAACGTAGCAAGGGTTCGAGAGAACAAGCGGGAAGGGGCCCAGCAGCCCCATAAATATTGCTCGTCACAGTCCGGCCGGGCATGCGTGGCTTGGGTGGGGCCGCCACCGCGACTTGCAGAAAGTGGGAATTTTTGTTCTTGGCCGGAGCTGGAAATCTGGCTTGGATTGTTGCTTGACCTCTTTCGCCTCCCACCATGTCGACTGAACGGCCGACTGCCCAGTTCTCCTGTATGGATCGGTGAACTAGAAGGCTTTCATCGCCTTCTCATTCTTCATCTGCGCTAGTCTACTTACTATGATGTTCTTTTCTAGATCGTTCACAGCAGGAACTGGCCATCTGGAACGGCCATCCACTTTACCAACCGGTTCAGGGGTTCGAGAAGTAAGGCGTTTCTGGATCCATCTAACGCATTGAATGTCTGATCATCTAAGCTTTGCTCCTTTCTCTTTTCCACAGACCCGAGGAGTCGGCAAAAGGCTTTGAATATTGCAAATACGGCCATACTTATGCTTATGCACTCAATGACTGGTAAAGTCGCACAGGCCATCATATCAAAAAGGACTGACAGCGAATTTCGCGGCAATTATTCGATTTTTTTGCTTTTTATCCACCCCTTCCCCAATCATTTAGTGTCAAAGTGTTCAATGCAAAGACACTGGCTCCGTTATGCGAAATCAAGCGAGCCAATGTGGTCGAGTTCTGGTTCTCGCCTCAAGGCAATTTCTTGGCCACTTGGGAGCGACAAAGTACGTAATTGAAAAAAAGGATGACGAATGAAATCGGGCGGGGGAAGAGGGGGTTGATCTGAAACAATGGAAGCGCACGCTCATGAAAAAAAAAATCTCTTTTTTCAAGTCAAACTGGAGGATGGCTCGGGTAGTCGTAACCTGATGGTGTGGGACGCTAAAACCGGAAAGTTGTTGAATTCCTTTGCGCAAAAAGCACAGAATTCAAGGTAAAAAAAAGTGTCGAATCGAAAATGGGAACCGCAAGTTAATGATTTTTAATTTTTTTTTGGGCATCAGTCATCTTCAATGGACGGATAATGAAAGATATTGTGCACGCCTGGTGCCTGGAGAATTATACTTTTATGAAAACCGCAACTTTGAAAAACGTAAGTCAAAATCATTGTAAACGATTACACCATATTTGTTTCCTTACTCATGCAACGATTTTATAGCTTGGTCTGTGCTGCGATTGCCTGGAATAACCCAGTTCTCGCTCAGTCCAGGAAAAACATTGGCCGTCTTTGTATTTATCCCTGAGCGCGATGTAAGTCATCCAGTGGTCATTGATCGATCATGTTGTTGTCTCCTCATACTCACTACCCCATGTTGTTTGCCCTACCAATCATTCAGGGTGCGCCTGCCGTTGTACGGATGTATAGCCTATTATATCTCAATCAACCGATATCCCACAAGACCTTTTATAAAGCAGACAAGATTCAGCTATTCTGGAATTCACTTGGTACAAGTCTCCTGATCATGACGCAAACCGAAGTTGACAAAACTGGCAAATCTTATTATGGCGGTAAAGTTTTTTTTATCACGATATACTTGACGCAAATGCACGATGAATGCTGACTCTTTTGTCTCTCTAGAAACTAATTTATACTATCTTGCTACGGATGGTCATTTCGATTGTCGTGTCCCTCTTGGTGAGTAATATGAAGAAAAATATAGGCATACGGAACAGGGATAACCATTAACCCGTGATAATAGATAAAGAAGGGTCTTTGCACGATGTCACATGGAGTCCAAATTCCCGAGAATTTGTCGTTGTCTATGGCTGTAAGCGAAGATTCAGATCGATGTTACTGTGGTTATATGGTGCTGACCCTTTTTTCTTTTGCCAGCGATGCCTGCCAAGGCGACCCTTTTCAACGAGCGTTCGGGGCCTGTTTTTAGCTTTGGCGTGAATCCTCGAAACTTTGTTCGATTCAATCCTCAAGGCCGTATCATTTGTGTGGCTGGATTTGGTAATTTGAATGGCACCGTGGATCTTTGGGATCGAAAAACGTTCAAGAAAATCACAACGTTCCAAGCCCCCAATGCGTCGCATTGCGAATGGTCTCCATGTGGACGTTTCCTGATGACGGCCACCTTGACCCCACGTCTTCGTGTCGATAACGGCTTCAAGCTGTGGCATTACACGGGTCAACTTATTTATGAAGAAAACATTGATCATCTGTATCAAATCAAATGGCGTCCAGAATCCGTTCAGCGATATCCTTCTATGCGAACACTCTCACCTGCACCTGCACCTGTCAAAATCAATGCACCCAAAGAAGGCAACGAGGCTTCGCCAGGCCTTCCAGCTGGAGCTTATCGTCCTCCCCACCTACGAAACAAAGCCGCTCCAACCGTTTCTCTTTATCAGGTACTTTCTGTCTATGCTTTATCATCAGCCGTCTCTTGCTAATTATGACTTAATTGCTATCTTGTAGAGATCCGCCACCAACAGTCCTACCTCCCAGTATCATCGACGATACCCAGACTCAAATACACGTAAGTCTACTTTGAATAGGGATTCAATGTTCAGTTAATCTGACGAGTCAATGGAAGCAGCCAAAAAATCCGACGGCAGAAAAGGTTCCGGGAAGAAAGAGAATGGCAACCCCCGTTACGGCAAAAATGAGAATGCTGGCAAACCTGCACCCACTTCCGAACCGGTAGATGGAAGCCCACGAATAGCCCTTGAAGATAAAACCAAGAGAACACGAAATACCGAAAAGAAACCTCGTTCACCTCGGGAATACAAACCCAAAGCCAACAAGCCAGAACTTGTCACCGTGAATGTGGAATCCACTGGAGAAGAAGTTACAGTCTAGGACAGCTGTTCGAGTTCATTCATTCTCATTTGAAAGCATACATATACTGTAATAAAGAAGAACCAAACTGACAGCAGGTTCTTTTTGTTTTAAAGAATTCTCTTTTTTTTTTAATTTTTGACGGGGCCGGCGGGTCTTATTTTTGGGAGGACAACAAGGAACGAAGAATAACAGAAAAGGAATCATAAAATTTGCATAACAATCACACAAATAAAGGAATATAAATATAAAAAGTGACTCATAAAAGGTTATCAATAGTGTACAAAAACACATAAAAAATAAAAAAGACAAATCGAATAAAATAAATTAAAAAAAACGGCAAACTGTTCAGTAAAAGCTGATCAGCGAGACACTTGAGGGAGACCATCTAATTTTTTAATTGGGTTTAGGCATGAATGGCATGGCCATCATGTTTCGGTCAACGTCATGGTCACGATCGCCAGTCAACGAAGAAGTGGTGGGAGTAGCTCCAGGCACGTAGCGTCTGTCAAAGGTCATTGAACGACCAGCGTCAACGGAAGGAGTCTCGTAATTATCAGCGTAAGATCGTCCGTAAGGCGATGGATAGGACACATCGGGGTATCGCATCGAAGGATCCTGTGGCGTTAATTGAGGTGAACGACCGTTGGCCCATTGTAGGGGTGGTTGCTGCTGCTGTTCCTGCTGTTGCTGCTGTTGCTGCTGTTGCTGCTGACGTTCGTTTTCACCGTCTCCATGCTTGGGTTTCAAAGGATCCGAGGGAGGATAATCGTACATACTGGGAGCTGTAGCTGTAGGCGTAGTGGCAGTCGTATTAGGTATGCTGGTACGTTCACCTTGATATGGTTCCGATCGAGGTGGTTGTTGGTAATACACTGGTCGTGGTCCCATGTCAAGTCTTCCTCCTTGTTCAAGCGCTTGCTGTGAAGAAGAGGAAGAAGGCGGGTAATAAGGCGACATCCCGTGACTCTGTACTAGGGATGGCGAAGGAATAGGGTGCGTGGAAGGGTAAGGGTGCATCATGTAACCATCATTGTCATGCGGTCCACGCAGTTCGGCAGGAGAAGGTTCATCAGGACGAGGTCCGGACATCATGGGATAGTTGCTGGTCAAAGCATAAGAAGGGTATCCATGGTAAGGAGGGTATGGCCCAAACGTTCCTGCGGGTGAGGCTGGAAGGCTCATGAATCGCTCGCGATCATCGGCGGACATGGGAGTCGGAGGCGACACAAAAGGTGGCAATCCTACCCCAACAGGCGGCGTTGGTAAGGCGGTGTCCATATTACGATAATGGGTGTGCGAGTCCGCATAATGACCCGGGCTGCGACCGCGCACTACGAGAGGAGCAGAAGTACAAGTGGCGACACGGAGCTGTTCACCTGTCGCCGTGTAAGCGAACAGATCAATGGCCACTTCATAATACTGTTGCGCTGCTCGTCGTTTGCCATTATTTGCGGTAGCGGTCTTGAATTGCATGCGTTCAAAAGTGACGATGTTTTGGTGTGGTCCCACCGAAGCTAGATGGGGGTTGCCACCGGGACGAACAGCGCAAGGCATGGGAACCATTTGGGGTCCTTTATCACGTTTGGGTGTATGTTGAACAAGATCAATCTTCTTATCACTACCTGCGACTCTGGCCATGACGCCAATGGAGAAGAAATCCACTTGACGAATTCCCTGATCTTCGGTTCTCACCAAACATGGTACTTCAGGTCCCTGCAAAGGATAATTGGACCCGTGGATATCAAATGCCGCGCTCACTTGAAAGTAATTGCGTCGATAACAAGTCCAATCTTGATCGGCACGAAAGAATCCTCGATCCATTTTGACGTGGATTTGAAATTGATACCTACAGAAGAAAAAGGGAGCAATCGTTGTTAGTCAAATCATTTTCGCTCTCGACAATGTAGCGGAAACGGTGTCTATTTATCCTTACTTGTTAGATTGATCGGCCCATACTTCGAGCAACTGCTTGGTAGGCGAAAACGAGGGTCCGGCTTCAAAAGAGAACATGGTAGACTCGGTTCTTCTTCGCCGAATGGTCCCGGGCCCTGGATACGGATTGGACTGAAACGTTGTTGTAGTGAAACTGGAAGCTCGCGGTGGCAAGGAATGCCGTTGTCGAGCGAAATCAGGAGATGACTCGGCCAGTTTGTCTGCTGATGACGCTGGAGCCAGTCTCTCGGGGCGCGGCGTTCCCGGTTGAGAAAGGGACATTAACCTAATTCAGGAGCTGGTAAGTACGACGAAAGTGTCTGAAACCGATGACCGGCGCTTGGTAAGACGAGATGGACTCAATGGGTTCCGTCACGGTAAAGTGAGGAAAGCTGGCGATAAAAAACAAAGATAATAAAAATAGTTACCCGGGCATGGCGAGCGGGACCTGAGAAGATGGGGCTGGACTATTGGCAGCCGTGGAGTGAGCCGTGTAATCGCTGTGATAAGAATAACTTGACTGCATTGCACACTCAGATTCAGTCAATGAAGAAGGCCATTTATTATCCTGCATCGTCGACTGGCGCTTTACATATTCCTTGGTTCGAAATTTATTTATTTTTTTCTCGTGTCACTAAAGCGAGCCATACACGTGAGCCCATTTATTACACCGTGAGGATGGCGATAGAAGTACTGTAAAGCAACCATTTTGAACGCACGGTCCCTTTGATCTTCCTACGCTTTTTCCAATCTGCAAAAAATTAAGGATGGCCCCGAATCTGAGAATTTGAGAGAGAGATGCATGATTCTCCTTTATTTCCGTCTCATGATGTGCTGCTGCATCATGGCCAATGAAAAGACCAGCCTACCGCGATATATTTAAATCCCGCACCACTGAGGCACATTCACCCTCTTTCTCACTGGAAAAAAAGAGATGCACAAATGAGACACAAAAAACCGTTCAATGTTGATCCTGTAACTTTTTTTGCCATGAGTGAATTTTGAATGCATCATTTCACAAAATAGTCATATGCGGCATTCTTATGAATTGTGAACTGACATGCGGTGCCACACTAATCCTACGAATAAAGCATATCAACAATTATGCACTCGCTTGCCCGTTTATTTGTCAACACTCCGATTTCATTGCATATTGCAGTTGATTAAGATGACGGGAGAAAACAGTCATTGACATTGTATGACGATACAGAGAAAAAAGAGAAAATCTGGAACTATTTGCATTTTTTTTTTTTCAATAGTAGCGTAAGCACGGGTCAGAATTTTCCCACCCAGTGGGTTTCGATTTTAGGCAAAAACGGACTGTATTAGTGATTGCCATGCTGGGCAAGTGATACAGTCAATATTTTGAAGCTTACCAAATAACTTGCTAGTCTGCATGAGGAAATAACTTTATGATAGAGAGTTACATCATGAGCGATTAGCTTTTTGTATGCATCAAACCTGGTAACACCTTACCGAGGAACCTGGGAATGGTCCTTTGTTTTTCCTGCATCCATGGATAAATGTTAGTTTATGCCCGCCATGCACGAATGCGGCCTATTCTGATGTCATTGAAGAGCTCTAAAATCTGCACTTTGCTAATTTCAGGGTTATCTTCCGTTGACATGTGCATAGGCGAAAACTCTATCGCTTTTTGTTTTTGCAGTCCGTCTGCTACTATGATACCGTATCTATTCTTTAAGTGTACATGAGTGGGTTTGCCCAATCGCGTTTCTATGTTACCAATTAGTACGAATTCAACACTTGCCATTTAGAAATATCAACTATCAATTTATCACAGTGGGGAGGAGCATGTTATACTGAAGGAAGCTTTAAACATAACACTCATCGTTAAATATTCAACAACGTGTCTTTGCGAGTTAAACATGTAGCTGCGAACCTGAAAATGAATAGCGTCAAATCCAGTAGCAAGTTTGTATAGTAATATTGTAAGCAAAGCCATCGCTTGTGATTAAGTGTCAAGCATATAGTGGGTGACTCAATTAGTCATAATAAGAACATTCATCTGCAGATTGGTTACGGATGTCACCATAGCTCAGAGTCGTCCTCCATATGCGCTTGTCGATCAAGCGCATAAACGTTTCATAGCATCCATAACGGTGCATATTCACTGTATATGCATGATTCGCGGGTCTGGATCAGCTGTTGGCATACTTCTTGTTCGTTGCTTTTCTTGACGTGTTCCCCTAGCCATGAGCCGGGTCATAAGAAATTGAGAACACTTTCTAAGCATACTTATCCAACCATACCATCACATAAAAAAACTTATGAAGCTCAGGATAAAGTCTGTCATTGATAGTGATACAACGTAGGTTGATTCCGAAGCCATTTACAGTACAGACTTGTCTTTTATTTATGTGTGATGACATGTCTTTTGCGTCATCCTAAACATGATATTGAAAAATGCTCAAGAAAAATGATGATATTCATTAAATACAAATATTGATATTACGATAGACATTGCTAATGCAGAATATATTAGATCATCGATCACACGTTGATATATGTTTTGGCCACACTTACCAATGACCATATCCCATCGATTGGTTACAAATGTCCAGAAGCTAATGTTTTCCGGTGCTTCAGTGTCATCGACAAGGTATGAATAGACCGAACCTTTCTCGAAAGCAACAACTAGATCATCATCATACACACACGCAAAAGTTACTCCATGTTCATAAATCATTGACATTTTGCTTTCTGTCGCCAACTTACACATGAAGTTTTGCGGGGTGCGATCGTCGCTGATGGATGCATTGTAAAAATGGATTGATGAAATCGATAATGACTAAACAAAGGGACATGTCAGAAAGTCAGTGCATGATGATTGGTGTGCTCTATCAATACAAAGCGTACCCTCAGCTCTGGGAGTGGAACCATCATTCGCAATTTCCAACGCGCGGGAAATCGGGCCAAAACGTCAGCGGGAATAGGAAATTTGTCAATATCCTCATCAATATCCTCCTCATCCTCCACCGTATTTGGGTCCATCATTGCATGATCAGCATCTCCACGTTTGTAAATGTATATATACTTTGCGCTCCAGATCGCCATAAGATTTCCTTCTTCATTGATCCGCAAGCCTGTAATATCCGCATCAAAGTCGTTGGGTGCAATAAAATAGTTTTTGTTGGAGTAATAGTAATCAGGCAAATACTGAGAATTCTTCATGAACAGTTCTTCACGTTGCTTTGAGTAAGTCTTGACAACGTCAATATCTGTCATGTAATCCAGCGTCACAATCGCATCCATAAAATGGAATACAAGCGTCTTTCCGTCTTTCGATCGAGCTATACACGCAGCAAGTGATTAGATTAGTCAGTGGCAGAGAAAAAACAAACAAATGACTCACTGAAACTCATAGGGGATAAAGAGCGTTGGGTTATTCCTTGCATTGTCTGCGACACCTCCATAATACCCGAAAACTCCATTGGATCGGCAACATAACCTCTCTGTAAAATTTTCAAGTGAGTCATTTGTGTGTACCGTTGCATAGAATGACCCAATTACCTCGCCGATGAAACTGGCCCGTTTTTCCCATTGAATAGTAGGTTCCAACCTTAGCAGTGAAGAAAAGGAGGCGGTATCGGTTGTTCTATCCTTTAGAATCGCTTTGAAATATTCCTCTTGTTTTTTGGTTCTGTAGACATCCAGCGTCATCATGCGATAGGTATCACTGTGATTTGCACATGTTAGTGTGGTGATATCTTCCGATATAAACAGTTAAAAACCTACTCGCTGGCATATAGTTTTGACAACAGTCTTTTGCGATCCACAATGCCTGCCAATTGATGTTTGGCTGACAAGATAAACAAAAATTCCCTTTATGAGCCCGAGGGTTGAGTAAAATCATCTGCAGCCGATCTGATTGTACCTGGGACTGCATCACCCACTTCGCTTTTGTTCATCGTATACTCTACGCTGTGCGGAGGAGAGAAAATCGTAGGTGGAATAGGGATAAAGCGAAAATTGTACTGATCATGATCACTGCCATGTAGCAAACAATGTGAACAAGACATTCAGGTGGCATAGTTGGTTCATGTTTCCATTTTCTTACCGAGAGTATAATATCGAGTCCTTTTCGAGAGTAAATGCATTGATCCAAGATGATCCTGGTAGCAGTAAATCTTTATACTCAAATGTCATTTGTGCCAAGGATAAGTAATAGAGCCGCACGTAAAATCGAGGTATATCCTGCTTAATTGTGTAGTAGAGAACACCGAAGGGTTTGGATTCTAAATCCGGTATTCCATGGTCGGAGACGAAGGAGATCGGTCCTGCTAACTGATGCTCAAACACAGATGTCCATTCTTTTGATAAGTCAAAAAAAAAAAAAAGGACAATAGTCAGAGAAGATGTGTAAGATGCAATCCAAACGTTTTCATACCATGACTTTGATTTGTATTCAAAAGACTAGACAATGGTTTGCGCAGTTGTTTGACATAACCTATCGTGAGACGAGAGGATACAGTTTAGGCAAATTCATGCCTATCCTTGGACCGGTCAGTCAGCTTACCTACAACATTAGTCTTCATGGGCCCAATGCCTACACTGAAGCCTTCGCGGTCATTTGGGGTAATCTTGTACCATACAGCTGTCTGATACAAGTAGTCGCCTGCATTGGTCAAGACGATCTTGTCCGGTGGTTTCTGGAAGCGCGTCAAGTCAGAAGTATTGATTTTCGCAGGATGAGGCAATGGCACATCTTGCAATAAACTAGCTAGATAGATAACAGCGATCCCACTCGCTAGGAGAATGAGAATGCGCCATTGCATGCTGTAGCGTTGCGTGTCGCCAATAAGAGGAAAGGGGAAGCACAAAAGGAAGGTTGCTTGCGGAGCTCAAAAAAATCGGTGCGTTTCATTTAGTCCAACCGTTTTTCTTCCCTCATTTTTTAAATCACGGTGTCCTGAATGAGGCATGGCAAAAGGCAAAGCAAAACGAGGCAACACTCACCAGACCCGAAAAGCAAAAGCAAAGGCTTCCCACAAAGCACGTAATGTAGTGTTTTATTTCCGCACCCTGTTCTGTGGAAAAAGATCACTAACAGCCCAAATGCCCATCGGTTAACAGACATCTTTTGGCAATGGCGATGATCTCGGCGATCTAGAAACCCAACTGCGTCAGCGCCAATTATGTGTCAAAGACATGAAAGGCGACGGCAATTGCTTGTTTCGGTAGGCGCTTTTTTGGGAATAGACGGCACAGTGTCAGCCAGCCAGCTAAACTCGGATAAAAAATTCAGGGCATTGTCTGATCAATATTATGGCACGGATGAAAATCACGGTTCAATACGGCAGGAAATATGTCGATATCTGCGACAACATGAAGAAGAGTATAAATTCTTTGTGGAAGATGATCAGTCTTTTGACCATCACGTCAGTTGTATGGAAAACGATGGCACTTTTGGTGGCAATATGGAATTAACCGTCTTTGCCAAATGCAAATCCGTCGATATCAAAGTATACCAGCCGGGACTCATGTTCGTATACGTTGCAGACTCGGAGCCTGAACTTTTTTCACTAACTATTGGTGCATGATTCGCAGATATGTCATCAGCGGGAATGAAGAAGAGGAAACCAACAACGACGAGAAAGACGCGGAAGGAAAACAAACATTGCATATTGCGTAAGATTCCTCCAACGAAACATATTGAATGGATTGGCTCACATTGCACGGAATTGCATAATGTAGTTATCACAGTTGGGAACATTACAGTTCGATACGAAACATCGATGGCCCTTTCTCCGGGCCGCCCGAGATCAAGGTAAACACTTGAAAACCGGTTCTAGCTGTTCATTGTCTCAATTCTGTAACCTAGTCAACTCGGATAGAGAATCCCGAAGCTGCATCGGCGGGCAACAACAACGATGATGATGAAGATGATGACGAAGACATGGATTCAAAAGAAAAAGTGGTATTAACTGCATGTCCTGGAACACATATACGAAAGATAAGACGGTTGTTACGGAAATATAAAGGGAATCCGAATGCCGTTATTGATGCTCTGTACGAAACGACAGAGGACCCACCACAAGAGGAAACAACAGCGACAGCGACAGCGACACTAGAATCAAACACTTCTGTCATTGAATCTGAAGCTACAACGGATCCAGATCCACCTCACAAAGAATCAGCAGATGAGGAAACCCCCCGAGAACCAACCGCTGAACCCGCCACGAGCGACGAAACAGCAACCAACGAAGCATCGGTTCCTGTCGAATCAAGCCAAGCAACAGAGGTTGATCAGGCCGAGCCGTCTGAAGAACCAAAAAAGACAAAGAAGAAACCAAAACGTCTGACGGCTAGAGAGAGGAAACTGCAAGCCAAAATACGACAAAAGGAGCAGAAATTAGCAAAGAAAAGAGGTGCAAGCCGACCTCAAGAGCCATCCATACCCACAGAGGCAATGAAAGAGTTATACATTTAGAATGATTTGCTAGTTAAGTTAATTTAAAAAGATCTTAAGACAATACGGAAATTTGCTGTGGCATCCATTTTTGCAAGACTTTTGGAACTGCCACCGTGCCATCCGGTCGCTGAAAAGTTTCAAGTATAGCGATAATAACTCTCGGTACAGCCATCGCTGTACCGTTCAGTGTGTGACAGAAGAGCGTGTTTTGGCCACTGTGATGCGTCGGTCGATACCGTATAGAGAGTCGTCGCGATTGATAATCTGTGCAGTTGGACGTGGACGAAATCTCTCCCCATTTTTCTCGTCCAGGCATCCACGCTTCCATGTCGTATTTTCTGTATGCACTTGCTCCCAATTCCTCCGTCGGCATATCCAAGATTCTTTAACAAGACATCATGTGTGAGAATCCCAAATATTATCTATTATGGAATCAAAAAGATTTACCGGAAACATAATCCCAACTCGGTGAACATTTCCTCCTGTAGGTGACGGAATTCTTCAAGCATGGATTCGCTTTGTTCGGCTGTGGTGACTGCAAATAACTCCACCTTGGAAAACTGATGGACTCGATACAAGCCTTTGGTTTCTACGCCGCGACCGCCAGCTTCAACACGGAAAGCGTGGCCAAATCCTACCACGCGTTGAGGCAAGTCCACTTGGTTGAGCACTTTGGTCGCGAATTTTCCCGCCAGCGGGATTTCAGCGGTGCCAGCCAGACATAATTTGGCAGTATCCTCATCGTTGGTCTTAACATCGTAGATTTGCGAGCTTTCGCCACTTCGTGGTTGGAATCCGCAACCATAGGCCACACTTTTCCGAACAATGTCCGGCGTCAGCACGGCTAAGAACCCTCGACTGGCCGCTTTTTCCATGGCGTACTGAATTAAAGCCGTTTCCAGAAACGCGCCGAGGCCCTGCAGATAGTAAAAACTGGAACCACTCACAATAGCTGCCTGCTCCAGATCGAGGATGTTTAGTCGTAGCGCGATATCGAGGTGATCTTCCAACGGGTGGTCGGGCGTGCTTTTTCGCTGTTCACCCACTATTTTGATAACGCGCGCATTTTCCTCAGGCCCTACAGGCGCTTCGGGATGGGTATCATTGGGAATTTGCAACGCTAAATGTAAGAGATCACGTTCGATCGCTGTTAATCGGTCCTCGTGGGCTTTTGTGTCGGCTTTGACCGTCTTGCCTTCAGCGATCAATTGCTTGCGATCGCTACTGTTGCCCGCATTAATGGCTTGCGATATCTCGTTTCTTTTAGTTCGAAGACGCAAAAGCTCATTGTATACGTCCAGACGTTGTTGATGCAACTGTTTGAGTTGGTCAGGATCCACTTTTATATATTTACGCTTGGCCATGTTTTCGGCAATGGAGACCGCATTCTCTGCAAGGTGGGCATAATTGAATCGAGGCTGAATCGACTGTTCAACTTGAGCCGCACGTGAGCTGTATAGACGATGCCAAGGCCGAGACAGTCGGTGAAGGCGCACTGATCGTAGCATGGTGGGTGCAAGAATGGAAACCGGAACAGGGGCCTGCCCATTCTTCTCGACAAGGACGGAGCCCGAAATTGGGATTTTTGACAGGAAAAACCTGGGAACTGAGACAAGCTGAAGAGAAAAATTGGGTGTTTTTAATGACAACAATAGAATAGCGAATGAATCGTATGTACACATAAAGCAAAAAAAGTAAATAATGTAAAGAGAGGGTTTTTCTTGATAAATACAACGGAAGATATTATTTTGTACAGAGTGGTATACCGCGCTTTTGTGGTTTCTTCCGGTTCTCACCGATTCGATCATTTGGCAAGTGGTTGAGTGCGGACTGCCGTAGATAACCATGCGAACTGGAGACATTTTCTTTTACTGTGGTTCGTTTGCTTTTTCAGACTGTTCTGGTTGGCAAAAATCGCGTACCATTAGCTCCTTGACGGTGTCCAGGAACTTGGATGCTTCTTCTTCCTTCAAAAATAAGTGCGTCCTCAAGGAATCCAAGAGCTTCTCCAACCGTGTTTGAGACCCGTAGATGAGATTCATGTCAATTTTGCTAGATGATGTATGAGTAGACTGTGACTTTTATGATCTAGGCCTTGGTATCACTTACTGTTCGTAATCCTTGAATTCGGCCACCAGCGTTCGAATCTGTTCCAATACCTCAGAAGAGACCTGCTCACTCTGTCGGATCTGACGACGACAAGCATACGGCATACCTAACGCAGGATGAATTTCAATTCAAAATATAAAGCTAAAATGAATAGGCACTTACGGAATGAATGCGAACCGTCCCATCGATTGCTGATATGAAGGTATTGTATTTGTGAATGATTGCTGACAATTTCAGTGTCATAAGGAGTGACAATCACCCCGATGAAAGGTTCATCACCGGTTTGTTCATGTCTAAAGAGTGTCTTTTTTTTTCGCAAAAGATAAATATACATAATACAACGTCGCACAGTGTGAATGGATCTTACTTGATATGATGTCTGATTTTCAATGTCTCGTATACTTGGTTGGGGTTCAAAAGTCGGATGCGAGTGATACCAGCCTACCACGGTATATCCTTTCTCGGCAAAAACTTCTCTGGCTTTCATTTCGGACGCTGGATCCATTTCACACTACCATGACCTGTTTAATAACTATCCTTTCCAAGACGGTTGCTATGTCTACGAACCTGAATACCGGTACTTGTACTACGACACGGAAACACACATTCAACTTTTAGCGTCTTTGTGCCATCGACGTCCGTGAAGTTGCCGCCCAATAAACCGATAATTTCTGTATGCGCCAAATGGGAATGGAAATCCATGACCAGCTAAACGCAACCGAACTCATTAAGTTCTCTCCTATGCCACTCCAAATGGAACGAGATTGTATCTTACCAAGCAATCACTGACTACTTCCACTGCAAAGGGAGAAGGATCCTCATCACCGTAATACGATAAAGGCACCAAACGAAATGGATCATAACCGCGACTGAAATCATCCCCCCCAAAATACTGATGGGGTCTCTTGATAACACGTTTAGGACGGTTGGTGGAGGTGACTGGTTTCGGTTGACCATGCTCTATCACACGTCCTTCCAATTCCTTTGGATCCACCCTAATACATGTGTCAGTTTAGGATATTTCTTGGTCGTTGTAAGTTTCTTATAGCGTACCATGCACCATGCTCGTTTCGTACTTTTCTTTTGCGCGGCCTAACAGATATCCATTAAAAACCAAAGATCGTTGACTATAGTAAAGTCCATCCAGTATCTTACCCTTCGTAACCAATCACCAAATCAGCGGCGTCAAAGATGGGGCCATTGTCTTCTTCATATAATTCTCGCGGTACCCTTCGTGGTGGCCGCGGGGTAGTCGTAGTACAACCGACATTAATGGCCCCAATATCCTCCAAATAGGAATGAACACGGCCAATAGCATTCACATCACCGCAATCTTTCAGTCCTTTTCGAGCGCTGGTCTTTGTCAAGTACCGTGGTTTGCAAGCTTCCCAACAATCCAGCATATGATTCCGAATCTTCAAGTATCGATCGGGCGTTTTTGATTGCTTGTTATTGAACCATTCTGGGTTGTTCCGCTGTTCTTCCTCAGATATCACATGCCGATCAAACATCTATACAATCCACCTTTTAGATTACGATGCCTTTCTTCCCTAAAAGAAACAAAATAAAGACGAACTCAGTGGCAAGGGAAACATACCGAATTTTCTTTAACGGTTTGTTTCTCAGGTATAGGATCATGGGGTATAGCTTTTTGCTCCATTGTTGTGTCCTGCTTTTCTTCCTGTTCTTCTTCCTTTATCTCGGGTAATGTCACTTCATTGGAGGAATCTTCTGTAGTACTGGGAGCTTCAACTTGTTCATCAGCGATATCGGCATCTTTCTGTTGTTGAGATAAAGAGGCTTCCGATGCACCGGAAGATGACAGGTCTGATTCTTCCTTTATATGTGCCTGTTCTGAATCCGATGTGGTTTGTAATGGATTATCGTTTGGAGAATGGGTCTTATCGTCACTTGATTCGGTATCCTCTTCCATGGCTTCATCGACTTTAGCTTCCACGGGCATGATGTCTGACAACGGTTCAATGACACTGCCGTCGTCCTCAACAGAGATCAATTCATCATCTTCGTCAACACTTTCCACTTCATCCTTGATTGCGTCCGTGTCTGCCACTTTTTCGTCCTCCATCGCTGCTGCTGTTCCTGGCACTTCTGATACTCTAGACTCTTGAGCTTTTGGATCGGGCTCTGCTTTGGGTGATTTGCTATCAGTTTCAATCTAATGATTGTTTGAGTAAGACCGTTACTGATACCAAAAATCGCCTCTTTGTTTTCGCTTACCTTTTCTGACAACACCCAATGCCTCGCATGATTTTTGCACTGAAGTGGATTGCGAGTCTTTATCATTTCCGAAATCGCCTTCCAATTTCCATAGCCATGTTTTTCCTGCAAAAAAAAAAATAAATAAAAAAAATGAGTATGGCGTTCTTCACTCGTCGCTGCGTTCGCTGACACTCCATACCAAAGCAAGTTTTAAAAGCTGATCTTCCTCTGCGGTCCACCGAGTTTTATGCGACGGAAGTGAAGATGAAGATACTAGCCATAGAAATCATTGTAAGTATCCGCTATGTTTGTTTTGGTTGAAATAACATGCAAGAATAAGCACCTTCAGTCTTGATTCCCAAGAACTTGGACTGTGCATTACCACTTGCTCGTCGATTACCATCACCCATTTCTGCTTTCGGTTTTTTAGCTGGCTTCTTTTTGTTCGCCTTCTTTTCGCGCTTGGTTGGCAACGTGGATATTGTATCCCTTCCATAGTAAAACTGTTCTTCGGCCAACATTTGTTCGATAAGCGCACGTGAGTCGTCATCCATGTCTTCCAACTTGTACTGAACAGCGTGAATGTTTTCTGAGTGAGATGGTTTCAAACCGATGAGGATTTCATACTGATCAGTTTACCTGGTGAGCATTCCATTCACTTTCAACTGGTTGCACGGGTGGTGGAGAGGGTGATTTGATTTTATCGCTGCTAACGCGAAAATTCAAGCGGCTGATCAGTAAACAGGCACAATAAAAAAGGTGCCCAAACTCAGCAAAAGATACTCTACATATCGGTGGGCATGGCCATTGACGATGTCGAGTCTACAGCTTCTAAAGATGCTGTTTCATTGTTGGCTTGATCGTCAATGTCAATAATCTCATCATTGTCGTCCATTGCAAAAAAGACAGAGTAGCCAAAGATCGACGTTCGTCTATTCACAGGTGGCCCAACGCTTCCAAGGAAAATTCATGTGACTGTCGAGGAGAAACGCTACTGTCAAGCCGCCGAATGCTTCAAATTTATACATCCAGTGAACACGTATGACTAGAGCTTTGCGGCCATAAATTTATTTTTTCTGCGACTAATGCTATCGAAACCTAAGTGTAGCTACATGCCGTAAACGGTTTCGGCACCTGTCATCCCCTATCCAACCATCTTTTGCATTGCCATTTTTCTCCAAGATTGTACACATAAAATGAACTCCGTACCCAAAAACCAAAGCAGTTCAATGTTAAAGCAAAGCGAATAATATACTAAATATTTATTACATACACTGGACAGAAGTTATGATGTTTTTGTTGGATTCTCAGTGGTTTTGGTTTTTTTTTATCCTGAAATGAAATTGTATAAATGTTGCACAGAAACCCCAAATGAGGATAATTCGTTTTTAAAACGATCAACGTCATGACGATGCAACGCGATCACGAAGATCAATCAATGTCGATTGTGTGACCATTGCCCTTTGAGGATCATGCAACATGGTGAACATGATGCTCCATTGTAATCGGTGGATAGCCCTAAAAGTGTCGGTTAGCCATCGTGAGACCATCACCCATATTTTAGTTTCCCGAAAAAAAACTTACCATAATCTCCAATTCCACCATGCTAATGTTCCTTTTTCATGAGCTCGAAGAGCACGGAATCCGTCCCAGAAACCAAGACCCTGAGTAGTTTCCTTCTTTCGTCCATAGGTGGTAACCATTTTCTTTACTTGTTCCTTTTCCTGAATGAACATGGGCGTGCGGTACGTCAATGCTTGAGGTAAGCGCTCCGTATAGATGGGAAGCGTGATGAAATCACCCAACGATCGGTAGATGAATGGGAATTTGAAAGGCGAGGTCAACGCCGAGAGACGAAGGTGAAGAATGAAAGTTCGAGGTAAGATTGTCAGCCAAGAATATCCCAATCGACGCAGAGCTGTGAACACGGAAAACGGTATTTAGTCTCATGCGATAGCCTGATTGTCTGATATTCTATGCTTGCACCACTTACCGCACATGGTATCAAAGATAGTGATGATGCCACGAGATTTACGGTCAAAGACGGCAAGACGTTCGGACAACGCTGTGCTTTGGACGTCGCCTCTACCTTTGGCGGCCACCGCCGCCTTGGCCTCTCTAGGCAACGTCTTTTCTTCCTTTTCTTGCTCCTTTTCAACTTCCTTTTGAATATCCACAATCACTTCCTTTAATTCTCCCGACACGGGCTGCTGTTCGTCAAAGTTCACCATTTCGGGAATCACTTCTCTGGGTTCCCCGTTCTTTTGTTGTTGCAAGTATTTGCGCGCTTCCTGGCGTGCATTGTCGGCCAAAATTGTGTCCTCGTCATAAACGGGATGTTGTGCCATGGAAGGAACAGGCGATGCCGACGTGTCACCTTCTTGACGGCTGGCCACATCGGCAAACGATTTACCACCCGGAGGTAACACCGATTCTTGTGCTGCAGCTATCATTTTTTTTTTCACGTGATGAATATCATAATCATTGATTTTCTTTTTGCGTTTTTCGATAAAACTTACGTTCATTCTCCAAATCAGCGACATGTTCCATTCTGGCAATTTCCGAATACACAAGTTTTTCGGAGTCCTTGGCTCCATGTTCAGCCATTTGGCTGGCTTGGCTCAAGGTAGGGAAATTTTCATGGGTCACCGCCAAAGGATCGGCCTTGGGGGCTTGGGCATTCAACTCTTTCAATCGATCGCTCATGGTTTCTTCAACCGGAGGAGCTGGTGGTTCCTTGGCAGCTATCTTGGCAAAGCTTTGAGCCGGTGGAACAGGCGGAACTTTGACTAAATTCATCATTGTACTGTCAATACAAACCATTCCCCTGTTTTAGATCTCTTTTGAATAAGCAAATTACCCGAAGGTTTTTCCAGCATGTCCTTCACATCTGGCAAGTCCGATAAGCCCACCTCGGCACTGGAAGGTGGATGGTCTGACGATTCGCTGGTGGATTCGGCGAGCGTAGGGAATCCTTCATTCGAAGTAACGGCGGCAAAGGAACGATCTGGGTTCGGAGGTAACAGAGATTCTTGACTCGTCGTGACTAATGAATAAACCGTTAGGTAAACACTGTAAAACCGCTTTCCGTTCCTCCACTTGCATCATTTTCCTTTGCTTCCTCATTGTAACGCGTGTTTCCTTCTTACCTGTGTGTTCAGTTTTTCCGGCAGACAAGAGATCGCCGACGCCAGCGGATGCGGGGACATCTTCGTTGGAACGAGCGGCACTCTCCTGAAGAGTGGGATACTCTTCGGATTGTTTGGCGACATCGGCAAAGGTTCCATTGTCTTTATTGACTTCCCAAGCGTTGGAGCGAGGCTCACTGTCGCCGGACAAGAGATCACCCACACCGGCGGATGCGGGTGCATTTTCATTGGAGCGAGCGGCACTTTCCTGGAGCGTGGGATATTCTTCAGATTGTCCAGCATCGCCTTTGGCGGTATCGGCAGAGGTTCGCTTCTCTTTGTTAGTCTCCCAAGCGTTGGAGCGAAGCTCGTTACTATCGGGCAAGACATCTCCCACGCCAGAGGATGCGGGTACAGCACCCTCGGACTGTTTGGCTACATCGGCAAAGGTTGCATTGTCTTTGTTGGTTTCCCAAGCGTTGGAACGAGGCTCACTAGTTTCGCCGGACAAAAGATCGCCGACACCAGCGGATGCGGGGACATCTTCGTTGGAACGGGCGGCACTCTCCTGAAGTGTGGGATATTCTTCAGGATCGCGTTTAGCAGAATCAGTAGAGGTTGCATTATCTTTCTTCACTCCTGTAACGTTCTGATGAGGCTCATTAGCCGAGAGAGCTGGCTTTGAGGTATCCTGAGACGTGGCTTCTGCCTTCTGTGTCACAGCTGGCTTATCATCACCATCTTCATCCTTAGCTACTTGAGCCCATGAGGAGCTCAACGGCGATGTATCGCGCTTGGAAGCAGATTTACTGTTGTCGTTGGGTTGTTCGGAAGCGGCGGCTTCAAGAGGAGGAAAGTCAGAGGGGTCCATGAATATCACAAAATGTCACTACGCTGATGATTCGAAAAATCTAAGAACGTTACCGTTATATGACATGATCCTTTTCCCAAACTTCATCTCCATCATTCAGTCCTGGTGACTGAGCACTTACGGTGGGTGGTATGCAATAGGAGGTTTATTTGCTGGACGGGTACAGGAAGGAAAAATAACAATGACGGTGGCTATTTGAAGTAGAGGAAGCGAGAAAAAAATAGCGCATTTACAAATGATGATCATGATCAATTAGATGTTATCCTTGAACGGAAGAATTCAATAGGGTGTTTACCTTGAAGGTACGATTGACGTGATGCAAGGCGAGAAAGAGAATAAAAACAAAAGATAGTCGATTAAAAATGGTCTGAACGTCTTTCCTCCACCTTTATTTCCAGAACAATTGCGTCGGAGAACAAAAAATGATGTCATTACTGAAAATTTTTGTATCACTTTCTGATTTTGTGCATCACGTAAGGCAACGATGACCGAATGTGTAAAGAAGATCGTGGGACAGAATGATTACAGCCAGTGTCAAGAAAAAGTTGCATGATGGTTACTGAAAATATGAGCCGACCATGAAATTCATAGTTATAGACTTTAAAATCCAAGGGGAAGACAGATGCAACAGACAGGCCACATTGAGCATTCTATGACAGGACCGGGCTTTTTTCTACTTACGATGCACTTTTCGAGTGTATAGAAAACCTACAGTGATCGATTAATACAAGCCTTATTGACTATTGTCGACTGTGGTCACTTTTTTTTGAAACGAATAATTCGGACGTCTCATGAATACTATTTATTTGGACCGTACAAAGTTCGCACCCTGGAATCGAAACAGAAAATTCGCTGCACCTGAAATAGCTCGTATTATTGTTTCATGTCGATCAGAATGAGTCTCGAACACTGGTTCCTATAGGCTCATCTATTAGCTGCTCGGTGTCTTTGTTTATTTCTGCGTCAATGGGTTGAACAGGCATTGCTTTGAAAAGCATACCATCGATGACCGGTGAGTTGATAGGTATAACTTGACCCACACCGTAAATACTGTCGATGCATTATCAGCAGTTTTGTATTTTCTGAATCCCGAAAGCATTGTGCACAAAGAACCAATACCCATAGTAATAAATTTAAAAAAATCCGAAATTAAAACCTTTACATGTTTTCCAGATAAACTTTGTTATTTTCAATTATGAGAATGTCAAGTTAGTGGACTACAGTTGGTCTTACACCTAAAATCTTTGCCATAGATTTTGTGTTTTGTCGTCTACAGCTTTGAGAATTATGCTCCTTCGATCAGCATTACCCTTTACCTCTGACCCACCATTTTTTTTTTTTTTTTTTTTTTTTTTTTGGTAATTGGCGACATGCTTTGATCTTTGAAAGAGTGCAGCCGCTGCTTCTGGCTATTTGTATGGTCTTTTCGGTGATGAAGAGAACGGCAAACCGCCTGAAGTTGGCGCAGCTCAAGAAGAAATTGATGGCGCAATTAGCATACCTCACCATCCAACGGCATATCACGAAAAACCCGCGATAAACCCTGAGGAGACTTTTGCCAGTGAAGCAGGTACAGATCATGCAAGGATCGTTGATGCACGCAAAGAATATGCCAAGCATAGTTTTTCATCACAATGTGTCTATGACCTGAACAGCTCTGGCTTTGTCAACGAAGCGGTTCAATGTCGGGACAGGTACCCGGGCCCGCAAGATCCGCTGTAGGAGAGAAGGTCGATGTTATGACCAAGACGAACTGTGACAGAAGCAGTTCAATCGTGAGGCCATTTCAGCAAGAAGAGTAGAATATCTGCAGGACGTCATGGTAGATGGATCTGCCAGCGATTCATCTATGGCGAATTTATCAAGCAGATGCTGGAGCGACTGGATGAGGAATCTTCTGCATCAGTCGATATTCCTCAAATGTCACATCAAACCGAGGAAGAGCCAATATTCCCACCTATAGTTATGGAACTTATGATAGAGTACAGTTCAGTACATTAACTTTCTGGCAGCTTGCAGTTCTTCGGTAAGGTTGCGCGCTGTAGCACAAATGGGAAAGGGTGTAAAACTTATCTGAACCTCTGGGAGACCTCCTAGCTGGGTCTTGCGCTACTTCAAGGTTCGGCAACATTAGTACTTTTTGTTAACAGATTTTTGACCCGCGTGGAGTGACTCCAAACATCGTGTTCCCGGTCTCAAAACCGTTGACAAGACTAGTGAAGCAAGCGGAACATGAAGAACGGCTCATCATACTCAAGATCGATGTGTCTAATACGTCCCAAATAGGTAATGATTCAATGCCAAATAAGGGGCAAGGAATTAATCGACTTTGCTTTTCTCTCTCTCTCAGGAGTGTTCCTGCTGTGGAAGAAAGTGTCTACAAAGAGTAAAACCGTAAAATAAGGCTTCACTTTTCCACGTCCTCAAGTGTACGACTTGTATGAAGACCTAGAATGGTGACGTGAATGCATGTAAAAACAAGCGAGGGATTGCTCTTGAGGAATTCATGGGACAAGCCAGGTCTATCTGTCTCGACTCATCAAGCTGATGACATCCTGGTGATGAAGAAGACAACGAACGCAGGAAAGCCCTTTTTTTTGTAAACCACGTGGGGGTTTTGGAGGCGTCCTTTTGAGACATAATTTCATTGGCCGGCAAAGCAAACAGAATTAGGAAAATAACCCCCACGGCCTACTAAAAAAAATCTTTTCTGCTGAATGGCGGGCTCCTCGTCTTTTTTTTTTTCTGTAAAAAACCTTCAGGTTGTTCACGCTTTGGGACTACCGCTGCCACTGTGTACTCACATTAGAAAAAAAAAAGACCGAGCCATCCTGTCGTCACTAATTCAGTCTTTCCTTTTGCCACTCGACGTTTTGGAATATTCACCTGATCTTGCTGTGTCGAGCTCTTCTTCCAAAGAAGGCAGACTCAAGCGAAGAAAAACAGAGTCCTCCGAAGAGGAAGACTATTCCTCTCGTCCCACGTCACCAATCACTATACCACGGCCTTCCCAGCCAGCCCAATCACCACCATTGATGGGAAACTCGTCATCTCGTTCCACTTGTTCCACCACTCATTCCAAACCATCTCTCCCTCTTCCTTCTTCTTCCTCTTCTTCATTTTCCAAATCATTATCCGCAGCATGTTCCTCTAATTCAGTGACTCCAGCCAAACCAACCGTATCCTTATCTGCACAAGGATCGACCCCCACAAAGGATCCCTCCTCGCTGAGGATACGAAAGAGTGCGAGACTCTCGTCCAGTTCAGCTGCCCAACTTTCATCCGACCCCAGGTGTTCCTCCGCCGATCCAACAACCACGGCCGCATCGCAGACATCCCAGAGTATACCTCAGTTCAAAGATTCCGACATTACGCATGACGTTCAAAATTTCATGTTCAAGATTCAACTCGATTCCAAGGGAAGCATAGGTATGATGAAATGAGTCGCACTAAAAAAAATCAAGATAACGTTTTATTCAATTGTTATGCTTATAGCTGCTCTATGTTATCTTCCTACACGGTATAAGCGAGTGCTTGAATTCTATCATACTGTAAGTGGCAGGTCAAACGAAAAATATATGCAGGAGGACATTCGAAGATTGACGACAGAAAATACATCGGTTTAATAGGAAATTCCGGTGAACTATCGGAATATGGGAATTGGTGATTTATTAGTACAGCACGCTTTGCAATGGGCGGAATCCTCTCAAGTATTGGTATTACCCGTGTGTCCTTTTGTGTCGCGGCACTTGCAAATCCATAATCAGAGGACGCATCCGTGGTCATGTATTGTCAGCAATGAGCAGGATATCATCTCCAAACAAGAACAAAGCATTGTAGATTAGCCTTTATTGTTTTTCCTTTCTCTTTCAACTCTCCAACGTTCTACTATTTCAAGGAAACTGTACAAAAAAAATTGATGCCGAACTAAAAAAATTTATGTAATGCTTTCCTCCTGTCCTTCATCTCCATCGCCATAGGAGTTGGAAGAGAAAGGAAGAAAGTTGCCATCCTCACATGTTGGATTGACCAGCTACAGTATGGCCAACTACTGCTCAAACCATCAATACTCGACCCTTTTTTTTTTCTCTGTCGTTACAATCCGAAGTACCGAGGGAAAACCTTGGGGTGTGAAAAAAGGATGTACTATATAGTAAATATCAAAGGTTTATGACGATGGACGGATAACGTGGCAAATCAGCTGGTTCCCGCCATGCCGAGGTGTGTTCGTGGATCCGTTGTTTTCGGCATTGAATGCGGTAATAATGCAGCTTGTTTCTCCTAACGATGCAGTCTTGTTAATTGCAGATATTCACGCCGTTATCACCTGTTGTTTCATCTCTTCCTACGCTTGCAATATAAAGCATGTATTCTCCTTGGGACATTGTATTTGAATAAAGTCATTGAGAAAATCGCTTTCTGAGTCTTTTTTTTTTTTCACTTGCCAAATGGACAAATCACGTCGCCTGCTTTGTGGAAGCATTATGCGCATAATAGAGTCAGCCTTTTTTGGATGTGGGTCTCTTTGTTGTAAAAAAAAAGAGCATTTTTAATTATGAATCCTGGCACGGTTACTAGTGTCAAGCAAAATACCAATGGATAAATTAATGTGCGTGATACTGTATTCTTGGCTTCAATCAAACCTTTGCCACCTTGTAATGATTTCAAACATTGATTGGTGCGACCTGCTTGCACTATTAATGATGGTCGTACAGGAGCTTTTTATAGATTTTTTGGCGCTAAATGAACAAGTTGACTTGCAAGGGACGATTCTGTTTTTCTGGTTTATACTAGTTGATGAAGTGAAAACTTGCTAGTGGCCATGAGTAGCTGTTGTGTGATCGCCATCCAAGTAGTGCCACATCCTTTATATCATAGCAACTTCATTGAAAGTGTGTGTCAGCAGGCAATCGCAAGCCAAAGAAAGAAACAATCCCAAAAAAATTTCACGCATGAGAAAGTCATAAGACTGAGAAAACATTTGCCACTAGACAAAATGGTAGGAGCATCCCTAATATGCACAGAAGATACTGCCGGTGGGATTTCTTGGTGTTGGATTCCTAATGAAGGAAAGAACAGGTCGCACGAGCTTTTCAGAAAGGAGGTATGGTGTGTCTCTTTTTATTTTTCCCGCTCTGCTGTTGCTTTTTATATCTCTTCTCTCCATTGCTTCGGATTGCTTTTTTTTTTTCATCAATGACAGCCGCCACCATTGCACCTTCCTGTTGTCAACCGCCACTGATGCCCCCCACTAGTACCCCCCGACGGTCATCGTCCGTGAAATTGGAAGATGGACGTCGGAACCAACATATGCATACGCACGATATTGGATCCGACATGACCAACGACAAACATTTTGTTCATCGAAAGCCATCTGAACGACGTCAGGTGGTTCGTATTCAGAACTATATCATCTATCGGAAAACAATCGGAGCTGGAAGCATGGGCAAAGTCAAGTTGGCCGAATGCTTAACAGACAAAGACCCCACAAAAAAGGTACAGTAAAAAAAAAAAAAAAAAAAAAAAAAAAAAAAAAAAAAAACCAGACAACACTTCTTTGTCTTGTCTACTAACAAGGTCTCCCTTAATCTTAATTTTTTTTTCATCTAAAATGATCTAGTACGCTGTAAAAATCATGCCCAAAGTCGATCTTAGTTTGGCGGCTGCCACAGCTGAACGATGTAAAGATCCCAAAGATACCCCCAAAGAACGAGAACAGCGAACGATTCGCGAAATGGCCATCATGCATCTACTTCGCCATCCAAATATATGCCAGTTGAAAGAATGGATTACCGAAGGCAATTATTACTATATGTTTCTGGAATACGTCGACGGCGGCCAACTCCTGGATTACATTATCAGTCATGGAAAGCTACGTGAGAAACAAGCTCGCAAATTCGCACGACAAATTATAAGCGCTTTAGGTATCCATTTCCTTCTGTCATTATGAACATTCTGTTACTGTTACCCTGATCTGATACCATGGCTTCATTCTCGCCATTTTGTTTTAGATTATTGCCATCGCAATTCCATTGTTCATCGAGGTAAATGATCGGATGAAAGAAAGTCAGCTTGTAGATAATGCTATCCTCACCAAAAGCTTCCCCTCCCCCTCTCCCCCTTTTTTTTTCTTCTTTTTCTTTATTTTCCTTCATTGCGAATTCTAGATCTAAAGATTGAAAATATTCTGATTACTCGGAATGAAGAGATCAAAATTATCGACTTTGGTTTGTCAAATATTTATTCGCCTTCCAGCTTATTGAATACCTTTTGTGGATCGCTTTATTTTGCTGCGCCTGAACTATTAAAAGCCAGAAAATACACTGGTCCCGAGGTCGATGTTTGGAGTTTCGGCGTGGTATTATACGTACTGGTGTGTGGTCGGGTGCCATTCGACGATACCAGTCTTCCGGAATTGCATGCTAAAATCAAATCAGGCATTGTCGACGAGTATCCCGACCATCTAAGCAAAGGTAAGGAATTCATGGTCTTCTGCCAACCGCCAGCATAAATGAGACACATTCCCTTTTTTAATCATCGAATGATATTTCCCGTGTCACCAGAATGTATCGATCTGTTGTCCAAAGTGCTCGTCGTCGATCCAACCCAACGCGCCACTTTATCTGCCGTTCGACATCATCCGTGGATGAACAAGGGGTACGATGAACCAGTCCGCAATCATTTACCTCACCGTCAGCCCTTGGAAGATATTGATATGGATATTGTGGAAGGCATGCACGGATTTGGTTTGGGGACACCTGAAGAAATCAAACAAAGGTTGCAACACATCATCAGCTCTCCACTGTATCAGCAAGCCGCGCTGAAAGTTGATCATAATTACCGACTTCAAATGAATCAAACGTATTCCGCCAAACCCACTTGGCGTCGAAGTCTCACACGGAAAAGAGTCCCCCTTTTGGATGATCCGCAATCGTTGCCCGCCATGTATGATCCACTGATCTCCATTTATTACCTTGTCAAAGAACGACGCGAATACGATGAACGGTGTCGTTATTTGCAAAGAAATCAATCACTGTATTCCACTTCGTCCACCATTGATACCACTCAGCCCAGATCTTTAGCACGTGCCAAATCCAGCTCGCAGTTGCACCGCCGTCCTACAGACATCGCGCATGATTTTGCAGCTTCACCGGCATACAAACCGACGAGCGAGCCTTTGAAGCGGTCCACTTCCGTGCGTCTCGTCCGATCCACGAGCGAACGTACATCACGGTTGACCAAACGGATAGGGTCCATTCTTCGACGCCCTTCACTGGCTGGCGAGGATTCCCCGCTGTCAAAATCGCCCAATCTCAGCTTGGACTCATCCTCCAGGCCGGCCATCCCACCGATGCCAAGTTCCGGAAAGAAATCCATTCATCACTGGTTGAAGATTGAAACCGTCCCCAAGTCAGACGCCAAGTCGACGAGTGCATGGAATAGGCTAACCATCAGTCCAAGAGGACGGTCTTCGTTGGACGAGACACAGATTCGTCCCACCATCACCGACTTGCGCTCACCGCTGCCAGAGCTTCAGACCCGTCGTTCAGGCTCCATCAAAGGTAAGACTGAATATATATGAGATCGGTGGACGTCACTTGAAATAACCATCATACGTTTTAAAGATCGACGGTTTTTCAAGGACAATTTCTCCCAGGCCGATCACCATTTGAAGAGCTTTTTTCTTTTTGATCGTCGGCAGTTGTTCCGTAGCACCCCTCAGCAATTGATTGATGAGCTGTATGGACATTTAGAGCGCATGAATATGCAGACAGAGCAGACAGATGCGTCTACCCTGAGTTGCAAGTGGCCGTATCGGGAAGGTATTGCGTTTCTTAGGAACCAGGGCATTTTCTCCAACGATGAAGCTGTTTCCGCCGCCGAAGACATGGCGACATCCGGAATATTGCAGTTTCAGCTCATCGTTCATCAGGTACGATGGGCTGGGGGTCGTCTTGCATTAAAGATTAAAGAAGTGGAGAACGACCCACTCATGGACACCAAGCTCACGCGGTCCATCTATCGTGCTATCCTCCATCATCTGGAAAGCAAGCTACAAAAGTAGATTCATCATAGCCAAAACACCCGATCCTGCTTGCTCCGTCGCACCATCCACAAAAAAGATATCGATTCCCTTTTACTACTTTTTCATCATGCTTCCGCTAATGTAACCTACCTTGCCATTTTGCTTCACCGTTTTTTTCACTATTTTATTTCCATATATTACCCATTTATTATTTTTCTTCTGGTTTTCTTTTTATATCAACTACCTTACACATATCCAATAGCGTCCAATTTTTCAGCTCATAGTAATAAATACAATGGAGAGGCTTCAGCGATCCACCGTACAATCCACCTACCATCCGTAGGCAAAAACAAACTCTCCATTCGATTATGTTTTGACAGACATCAAGGAAAAAACCTTTTCGCCATATGCCCTGGCGCAGCAATTTGTGGAACGGTTAGGTAGCCGTCATGGCATTGGTGTTGATCTTGGTTGTGACTGCTGGTGCCGGATGGCCCCTTTCATCTCGATCATTTTTTTTAAGGTTGGCTGAAATTTTCTAACCCTCTTTTTTTCATTACAAAAAAAAAGATCAAGATGGTGCAAACCCAACATGATGTCAAAATTGCAGTGATTGGCGGCTCCGGTCTGTACAATCTCGAAAACTTGGAATTCGTCGATGAAGTGAATCCCGAAACTGTAAGATGACACTGATGTCTCAATTTGCTCGGGACTAGATGAGCTTATTATGTTGTTGTACCTTATTCTCTAGCCTTGGGGTTTCCCCAGTGACAAGATCACCATTGCCAAGTTACCGAGCGGTACCAAGATCGCTTTCTTGGCTCGCCATGGTCGTGGTCACTACTTGACTCCCACCGAGGTACCTGTCCGTGCCAATATTGCTGCCCTGAAACATTTGGGTGTGGAAGCCATTCTTGCCTTCTCAGCCGTCGGTTCGTTGCGTGAAGAGATTCCTCCTTGCGACTTTGTCTTGCCCGATCAACTCATTGACCGCACACGTGGTCTTCGTCCGTCGACCTACTTTGGTGAAGGTTTAGTGGCTCATGCCAACTTTGCCGATCCTTTCCATGCCGGTATTGCCGATATTGTGTATGAACAGCGTGATCAGTTGGATTTTGGCGCCAAGTTGCACCGTGGCAAGACCGCCGTCTGTATGGAAGGTCCTGCTTTCTCCACCCGTGCCGAATCTCACATGTACCGTTCTTGGGGTGCCGATATCATCAACATGTCTGCTTTGCCCGAAGCCAAGTTGGCCCGTGAAGCTGAAATTGCTTACCAAATGGTCTGTATGTCGACCGATTACGATTGTTGGCGCGTGGAGGAAGAATCCGTCACGGTGGAAACCGTTATGCAGAACATGGTGAACAACGGTGCCAATGCCAAGAAGTTATTGTTGGCTGTCCTTCCTCATCTTGATCAAGCTGTCCGTGCTAGCACCTTGTTGCCCGATTTGAAGGGTTCCATGAAGTTCTCTGGCATGACCGCCAAGGAAAAGAGAAACCCTGAAACCGTTCAGAAGCTCGAATACATCTTGCCCGGTTACTATTCATAAATTTTTTCATTCCCTGTTCCTCTTGTTTCTTTTTTCACTAGCATCCCTTGTATTTATGTACCCGTAAAAAAAAAACGACATAGAGAAACAACACACCCACGAATCATGCAATAACAGAGTGCGGCGGGCTGGTACCTGGTACCATAATAACTGAGATATTGTTATCGAACATTTGATGAAAAGCTTGGGTCACAAGATGCATTATTGATAATCAAGGCGTAATTTCTCAGAGACTGTGAACTTGTCCAGTAGGTTATGCAAAATTGTTTTATTTCGGGTCGCAATCATGTTGGCTCATATTATTTGCTTGTGGTGAATTGTCTGATCAAGGTTCATTCAGTGACTAGAATTAAAAGAATAGGTAGTAGGAAAAAGCTAATAAAGTGTAAAATAAGAAAATATTAGGGCAAAGACTCGCACCCTTCTAGGCCGACAAATCTGTGGTGATTCTACTTTCGGAACAGGTCAATTTCTCTGGAGGTGAAGATGGAGACATTCTCCAAATATCGCCTGTCATGGATGAATAAGGCGTGGTCCATGCGGAAAGGTTCAACGGTCGTTGAGCAAGTTGTTGTTGTTGTTGTTGTTGCTGCTGGTGCAACGAAGTGGGCGATGACGCTCTTTCCAGGATATCGTTGGCAGAAGATGTGGAAGATGATGATGATCCTCCCTCTGGCGAAGAGGAAGACGTGGACGAATACGATGCTGAATCTTTTTGTTTATCCAAATCCAGACAATGCTGAATATCTGTAATCAGGGCATAGATTTCATTGTCTTCGCTGATATCTCCTTTCAATTCAGGGTAAGGTGCTTCGTCTTGCTGTCGACCCTCTTCCGATAGCAAATACGCCGATCGTCCACTGAGATAAGAAGAAAAAGGATACGGACTGGGCTGAAAATTTTGTTGCCAATGATTAGTTGCAGCTTTTATCGTTACTCAGATGATTACTTACCATTGGGTCATTTAGACCGCAAGACGTAGGCGAGGTCGGTGAGTAAAAGCATGGTGTACCGGCAAACGTGGCGGAATTCAAACCATATGGCAATCCAGTGTTATTCGACATGAGATGGTTAAAATAATCAGTCCCATCGGAAACAGTGTGCAAGGGACTGAACACTGGTGTGGAAGGCGTCATGAGGTAGGCGATATCCGATGGACACTCCAATCGAGCCGTTTGAAGCAAAGTCAGTTTCTGTCGCTCGGTAAACGCAGGACACATCACTCCCGACCGTGCTAAACGTTCAAGCAGTGTTGACTCAATGTGAACGTAATCCTTGGCCAAATGCGTCTTGAGGGATTCTATACACATGATACGAAAATGACCATCCCACTGTCAGTCAGTGTTCCAAACAATTCGATACACACAATTCGGTAGCAAACTGTTGCCACAATTCTTACCAATAGCCAATTTTAACATTTCGTAGATGTGATCACGATGCATGGTGGTGATAAGGTCGGCTTGATGCCATGGATACTTGGTAATCACTGTGATAATATTTTCAAACGGCCGCTCGGCACATTTTCGTGAAAAATGAAGCTTGTAGTTTTTGCAGACCACCAGCAACGAATTGATCTCTTCCCGTGTCATGAAGGGTGGACAGATGCTACTACCACCACCGGCTGCAGTGGACATGCTTTTGACGACATCCGAAGCTGGTGGGATGGCATTCACACCATGGAACTGACCGCGCCATTTGGAGAAAACGACCGACAATAACTCGTCTTGCTTGCATTCTATCACGGATACAATGCGCCCTTTCAATGGTTTCTGATGGCGTGTTTCAATAGCTCGCTGAAGGTCTTCGACAGAGTTGAATTCAACATATGCATCCGATAACGTCTTGCCAGTGCTCCGATCCATCAAAATCTAAAAAGGCAAGAAACAAAAAATTTCATGCATCGCCGTTAGCTTATCGCCACTATTTCCGTTTTAAGTTTAGGCTAGGGAAAAGTTTACATGGATGGCTTGTGCGTATCTGGATGGGGAAGGGAGTCGGCAGTTTCCAAAAAAGTTTCGGACGTCATTTTGGGAGACATCCCAGGGGATCTATTAAAAAACGAGGAGACAATACCCTGTCAGTAAAATAGCATCCAAATAAAAGAGAGAGCAGTAACCACACTAAGCTAACAGTAAGCCCACCAATAAGGGCTAAGCTATTGCCTGTCTTTACATTTGTCAGTTTGGCACACGGAAAATGTGGAGGAGGAGACATGTTTTTCAACATAGGCTGGGTGTTGCAAAGGAGGGTGGGTGAATTGCTTTGCGTAGGTGAAGTCTGGGTCGCGCGTGCGGATTCCGGTGAAGCGGCATACGATGGATGACGCGATGCGGAAGGACGGACTTCAGCTGCGGCGTAGTTGGGCTGCAATTTTTTCGTTCAACATTGCATAAGCACAGTGACTCAAATAGGCAGATTAAAATAAAAGATTTACCTGCACTGTCCTTGGAGGAAGCATATGCAGCGGTAAAGGATGCGGTGCGGATGCTAAACCAGGCGGACCCATTGAATGTTGCGTGCTTGATGGCGTCGAGGGTTGTTGACCCACGGGCCGACCGAAGCAGGTTGGTGCCAAACGTGCGTCCATCGATCCACCCCAGACGGATCCGACAGATGAAGGGGGAATCGGCAACAACGGTGTGGGGTTACCATAAGGCGGCAGCATATCCGTTGAATTCAGAGAGGTTTTTGAACGAGACGGCAGTTCATTGGCCGACCAATGATTTAGAGCAGTTGGCGTGGGAGGTGGAGGAGGTGAATAAACATCGAATAAAGAGTACGGCATGGCATGATGGGTCGCCATAGTACCCAAAGGAGATGAGGGTGTCAAAGATGCAGGCGGTTGTATCGGCGACGGTTGACAATGAAGTGAGAGGAAGGGTGATTTGATGTGCAGCTGTCTGTGTCGGGTTGCACTGGCTTGATCAAAACGAGGCATCTCTGTGGCAGAATGAATATCGCTCATCAATGGCAAGCTTCCTAAAATGGAGAAAAAGATCAGTAAGCTGGTCACCTTGGATCTCTGGTTAAAGCGTAGACGATGGTAGCCACCAGATAAAAATCAATAACTTACCTATATCATGAATCATGAAGAAAGGTGAGCTTTTCTAATGGGGATAGTGTGTGAGAGAGAGCTGATACTGCTCTCTATATATGCGTAGTATTTATATTATGCTTATTATGCGGTTTTTGGCAACAAGAGAAAACCTGTAATGTTTCTTTTTTCCTTATGGTCCATCATTATTGCAGAGTGGTCAAATGAAACAAAAGCAGGGAAGAGGAGAACCCCTGACCTACCGTTTTGGGCATTATTGCTTTAATAATCATTTGGAGAAAAAGAAAAAGCATTACACTCCCAAAAAGTAGACCTTCTGAAGAAAAGTACTCCACTTTGAAAAATGGATTATCCATTTCTATAGAATCCATCCGTTGCCTTTTCCAGATCACCCAGTTTTTTCTCTGGTTGGCTTAATCGAAATGATAGATATTGAAAGTATGACAAGATGGGGGCACGCCTCTTCTTCTGTCTATTACGTGCAATTACTGTTGATATTACTATTTTCAAATCAACTTGTTACCATTGCGTTGAATGGGATGATTTCACGTCATGGAAAAGGATAGGTGTCAAATAGATTAAAAGCTAATTGTCACTATTCCCTAACAAGTGATGATTTCAATGGGTGCTTAGTTTTCGTTTGTTAAGCACTGACGTTCATTTGAAGAACCGCCTTGCCGAACTGCAGCTTTGTTTTATGATCTTTCAACCATGCATTTCCCTTTTGTTTTCTTCTTAATATGTTTTAATAGTACAAAGCCCATGGCTATCATCATTATATGTTCATATGGTTTTCTGCTCGCAAGATATCCGTATCATATTCATGCTAAATGGTATGTAGTTTTCCGCGAACAGGTTTTTTCGGTGTAGCGCGTGACGCCTTGTTCTCTTTGATACGCTTGGACCATCCATGCATTCATACCCATAAACAAAAAGAAAGCAAAAAACGTATCGATCGACCGACAGCAGCATATCATAAGATCCATTGTAGGTATGTGTCGCTTAATCAAACGTTAAGCAAGCTTAATCGCCGACATATGCCCCATCACTTCCCGCCATATTTTCTAAGATATCCTATGGAGCTGTCAATCATCGACGCGGTACTATACTTTATGGAGCATTCAAATCCATCATCACCCATTATTTTTCAAAATCATGTCGCTATTGTTACGCATGATTAATCAGAGTCAAGATTGTAATATAAATATACCGAGATGTGGTAGTAGTGATACTTTGTGATGATAGCAACTTTTTCACAGTTTGAAATCGTATTGTATATCATTTATTTTGTAAAAAGTAAGAAAAATATATGTTGACAGATTATTGGATGGCATTCTTTAATAGTGGAAGAGGTGTAAAGATGAGAACGAAAATCAGATGAAATAAAGAGTAAGAAACAAAAGGGGCTGGTGGGAGGTGGTGTGATGGAAAAGACCCGACAGAGAGAAAGGGCGGACGATGGGGTGAATTTTTACATGATGCGACAATCTCCGTCTTTACTGTGGGCTTTGCCATGACTGCCGCGCACCGCTTTTTTCCGTAATCCAGGATTGCCCGTACCGAATTTCTTGAGTTCGGCCAAACGCTGAATGGCCCTCTTGTTTCGTTGAGCCGCCGCTCGCATGTACCACTGCTTGGCTTCGTCTATATTCTGTTGAACCCCAATACCGGTTTCCGTGTAGTAGCCTACAGCATACTCGGCTTTGGCGTAACCACGATCAGCGGCTTTGCGAGCCCACAGATAAGCTTCGGAATCACTTTGCTGCAACACCCCTTCGGCACCCGTCAAATACCATCCTGATAAGGCCATCTCAGCTTCAATGTCTCCTTGTTCGGCCGCTTTCGAATACCACGCAATGGATCGACGAGAATCGATAGGACAACCGAGCAACCCGTTCTCATAAGCTAAACCGAGTTTAAACTGAGAAGGAGCGTAGCCATACTGCGCCGCTTGAGTAAATAAATCGCGCGCATAATTGGGGTCGGGAATGACCGAAGGAATGCCTTCTTTTTCGTATGCAAGACCAAGCTCGTGCAAGGCATGCGGGTGATCTTCGTCTGCTTGCTGACAGGCTCGTTTTAACCATGAGATACCCTCACGAGGTGCTTTGGGTTGACCCAAAAATCCTTTCAACAAAATCACACCCAGTTTGTACATGGCTGACGGATCTCCGAGGTTGGCGGCTTTTCGATAGAATTGCATGGCATGTGACTTATCCCGTTTGGTACCTGATCCTACTTCGTAGCAAACTGCAGCTCGGTACGTACATCGCGGGTGATTCTGCTTCGATCCTTGAATGTACAGGTTGAACGCTTTCTCGACATCCACTTGAAGTCCCATGGATCCTACGCCATAGCATGTGGCCAGGAAAAACTGCGCTTCAGGATAACCGGCTTTACCGATGCCACCCTGATTCGCTAATTTTTTCACGATTTTCTGCGCTTCCATCATCATGGCTTCCTTGATCTTTTGGGACCGTTGCGGATCATTGGGGTCGACACACAGTTGAGACACGGCTTCCAAAAGATATTTGGCGAGATCCAATAATTTCTGGGGATCCTTGGACGCCACTGCTTCATCACGAAATTTGGACAAATTTTGTTTCGTTGCGGGAGGAAACTGGGGTTTGGAAGGAGACTTTTTCCCTGCAGTGGCTGCTGCAAGGAGCGAACTGTCTGGCAAGTACGAATGATCGGAAGGCAAAACGGAGCCATAAACTGACCGAGCCCGCCATCGGGGATCCAGTGGCGGAGGTGATGTCAATGACAAATTCACCGCCGAACTTGATCTGTGAGACACAGAGCCGTGTGAAGTCAGATTTGGAGTTGGCATCATGGACCGTCGTACGGTGCTGTTTCTGTAGACGGGTGAAGTCAACAATTGCGGCTGTTGATACTGAGAAATAATGTGAGGAGGCATATGAGGAGGAGCTTCCGGAGGCGATTGTTTCATTAAAGCAGCAAGTTGAGGATTCGGGTATCCTCCAAGAGTGGAAACGGATCCATCAGGAGGGGTCGAAGCCGCCATGGATGAAGTCGACGCATTGGAGTTCTCGTCGGTAGCAGGATGAGAAGCCGTCGTGGTGGATGTGTTGATACTCGCTGTCGAGGAAGTATTCATTGAAACTGGGGACGAGTGACTCTCGCGGTGATGATGGGTGGTGGTAGTGATGGTTGGTTTGGAAGAGACGGGAGAGGAGGAGGAGGGAACTTTGTCTTTGGCAGGAGGAGTAGGAAGATCTAATAACAAATGACAAATTGGAAATTTCCGTCACCGTTAGAAAAAAAAACCAAGTAAATAATCATCGTGATGACATTCAAGCGATTACCTTTGGGTGGTTGACCGGGAGTTTGGTCCGTTTCTTTTTCAATATCGGATGATGACTGACTCGACGCAATATTGGATGGTGATGACGACGAATTTATATCCGACGACGTCAATGATGGACCATCTGACGCACTGAGCCGAGAATTTGTATCCTTTGATAGTAACTGACTTGGCAGCGACAGGCAGGAATCACTGATATGAAAATCGTCAAAGGAAATATCCAGTCGAGGTAGTTCCAAACGAGTCCCAGTCAATGGTGATGACTCGGATGGCGGAAGCTTTGACGACCCTTCAGTGACAACAGCGGTGGTGGTCATGATGTCACTAGCGTGGTCGATCTCCAACGTAAGCAAAAGGGTGAAGGGAAGAAAGAAAAAGTGAAGTATAGAAAAATAAAAAGAAAAAAAAAGATAAAAATAAATGGGTAAAAATAAAAAAAAACATTAAAAATAACGATGATGCTGGAAAACTCTATTTTTTTTTTTTTTTTTTTTTTTGGAAAAACGTGGGCAAATATTCCCGAAGATAACTCGATCGATAATATGGGTTTCACTGCGGGCTGCTATTACAAATGGCTACGTTCATTGCATAGGCACATTGACTCTTGTCGTTGATCCCGCTCCACAGTTCATCTGTGGAATAACACACTCATCTTTCAGTATCGGTGTTTCCATGACATCAAAGAAAAAATCGGATGTCACCATGCCGTTCTTTGAACCGCCGCACGTGCTGCGTAGCCACATCAACGTAGAGTAAGAAAAAATTAAGGCTAGTTGCTCAGCAACGTATTATTGCTTGGCCCCCATCTCCTGTGTTTTTCTGTCATGCCATCGGTCACTTTACCATCAGCAACCGATAAAGACATTGTTCGAAATGCTTTACCCACTTCGGTAAAATCTTCACACCGTTCACAAGAGTGAATACCACAAAAAAAAAGATTAACAAGAAGGTACAGAAAATCTTGACGGCGGCCGTAGCTCGTCTTTACGTGGCATATCCTCAACCAGATGAATGGACCTACTCCAATATTTGGGGTGCCGTTGCTCTTTGCAGAGACAGCCAGAAAAACAACTCTTTCTTTATTCGCATTGTCGACATCACGGTAACGGAAGCTCTTTTTTGCCCTTCATCTCGCGCGGGGTAGCTGTTCTTATATACATTCTTTTTACTTTTTAATTCATACTAGTATCGAAGCGGGGTGATCTGGGAGCAAGAGTTATATGAAGGATTCGAATACGTCAATGATAAACCTTTTTTCCATACGTTTGAAACCGATGTAAGCTGCCGATGATATTTTTGGTTCCTGACTCTCTGTCATTGAATTTAATTATATCATGCCAGGAATATCTTGCGGGTTTACTTTTTGTGGATCTAAGCGAAGCTGATAATTTTTACAAAAAAATCACCCACCTCGGACCCATTCAACGTCCAGGTAATGCCAAAAAAAAGTGTCCTCGCTGGCATTATCAATGGCAATTCTCATAATAACCTGCTTTTTCAATTGGTTATTGATGATAGACCGTCGTCTTATCGGTGAGTTGATTGTTTATATGTTGGTAAGTAGAATTAAGTGACTATAAATAACTCTCTCACGCATCATGCTAAAGTGAGACCATATCTTTTTTAGATGAATCCGGTTTTCCGGTGCCCGTTTTTCTCAACAACAGTGATACTTTAGATCAATTAGGGTCCCAGCAATGGCACGATGTACTGGCGCAGCTTAAAGAATTAGGCATTACGGAAGAGGAAATCTATCAGAATCAAGGTTTATTAGAAGAGTTTTTGAAGCAATACAAGGAATCACCGGCATCGACGAGACAAACCGTTCCGCCACCCCCACCTCGACCTCGACCAAAGGCGCCATCCACTTTATCATCCACGCGTAATACCACCCGAAGGGTACCTCCGCCACCTCCACCGCCGCCAGCTTCAGGAAGTAAGCGAATACTACAATGCGTGCAAAACAGAACGGCTGTTTTCCTAACATTTAATGCATTAGCACGACGTGCACCGCCCCCTCCACCGCCGCCAAGAAAAAAGGCCTCAGCCAGCCCACGTCCTTCCTATCCGACCGCTCCATCCCATGCCACTATTACACCATCGGCAATGGCTCCACCACCACCTCCTCCCCCACCCCCACCGCCAGCGTCAGCACCAGCGCCATCATCTCACGATAGTATGCAAGCTTCAGCAGCAGCAGTACCTCCTCCTCCCCCACCTCCGCCAGCACCTCCAGCACCAATGGCTCCACCACCTCCTCCACCAGCTTCTCCAGGATCTCCCATGCCTGTGGGCGCCGTTCCAAAGAGTGGCGATGGTCGTGCAAATTTGATGGCGTCTATTCGTGCCACCGGTGGCTTTGGTAATCTTAAAAAGGGTGGTACATTACGTAAAGTGGACACAGAGAAAGCCCCCTCGGGTCATACGCCGGCCTCTTCTCCCGAGACAGCCAAAACGGGCACACCTGATCTTGCCTCCAGCCTCGCCGCAGCATTGCAACAGCGAAAAACAGCCATGCAGAGTGACGATGAGCATGAAAGTGATGATGAATGGGAATAAAAAGGATACATATCTGCATAATTCGTACAAATTCATTGGTGAAAATATGAAAATCCTCTATAACACACAGTTAGATGTGGCCATCTGTCTAGGTATATTGTCCCATTGACTGGTATATTTCAGCTGGTTGCGAGTTTTCTCGTGCATCGTCAGAAGCACAAGCTGGTCGTCGTGAAATCATCGGCTGTCGCCCCTGGTTCTGCGGATCTGTCTCTTTCTTTGCTACTGGTTAGCCTGCCCATCTTCAGTAACAGAATCATATTTTGGTCCCTGTGTTTCCAGGCTTCAGATGTGGTCTCCATGTCAACGTCTGGATCGGCGTCCTTTTCAGTAGGAGCATTTGCTGCATGACATCTAGCCAACATTCTGAGAGACATAAAATGGCTTAGTGTGCATAACTCGGGATGCGATAAATAAATGGACGTTGAAAGAGTCTCTGTTCCTAAAAGCGCAGCATGAAATAGACTTTTCAGTGGATGCCCCTTTTTTTCCCTGGAAGAAAAAAAAACGTCGTTTTTGAGTTTGGATGGTATTTGTACTATGAGATCAGGATAGATGCGCGCTACAGGTCGAGTGTCGTGCCTAACACACAGTTGCTTTAATCGGCAGATTGTCCCTTTCTTATCGTCTCGTATGCGAGGAAGAGTATAGCTCACGCGAGGAATTTAATAATTTGGTTTAAGCATGGTAAAGTGAATTCCATTTTTTGCATCCAAAGTTTGTTGGAAAAAAAAAAAAAAAAAAAAAAAAAAAAAAAGAAGAAAAGAGCGGTACATGTAACTATGTAAATCACCCAAGTCATTTTACGAAATGGAAGCGAGTGCGTCATTCTGGGGATAAACTCGGTATTACCATGATTTCACTGCAACGTATGTCAATCCAACAAATGCGTATTTCATAAACCAAGTTTCATTCATGCGTATTGACGGTGATTATTCAACTGATACTATCGATTGTGTCGGATGCGTTCGGTCAAGGAGTGTGGCAGTAGAGTCATAGGGTTTAAAACGCGCCTCTCTGCTTTTGTTCGGCTGCCATTCTTTTGAACATCTCGATTGTAGCATCTTCTTTTGCCTTGTATTCTGCCATCTTGTTCTGCAACGGTGCCATGCGTTGTTGTTGCTTTTCCGTTTGTCGTTCTCGTCGGCGTTCTTCGCTGCGTTTTTGAGCCGCTAACCTGTAATGAGCCATATCCGTGAGAATTTTCATCTCAAAAACTATGGCTCAAGACGGAACCATTTTTTAGGAACGTACCTCGCTTGGAAATCGTCACCTCCCATAAGATCGGCTTCGCTAAATTCAATGTCGGGACTTTTTTCTCGCTTATGATACGCATTCAGCGCACGTCGTTTGGCAATCGCCGCTTCACGACCGGTTTCCTTGGGCGCCACTTCATCCAAATATTCCTCCTTCCGAGAACGAGATTGGCGTTTTTCGAAGCGCCGTTCAGCTCTTTCGCGCTCCATCCGTTCTTCTTTGTCCACTTGATCCAGCTGAGGTCCAGGAGGCAGCATGGCTGGCCCCGCTCTGGGACGTCGAATACTGCTACTGCTACCGGAATGACGATCGGTGTTTTTATCTCGATTCGTCATGGTGTCGACGCTGTCACGAATCCTGTCCTGTTCATGTTGATTGAGCGTCTTTGCGAAACCCCACTTGTACCGAGTCGTATCGGATGAAGTCAGCTGCGTCGAGTTCACACCGGCATAGAATTTATCTACAACGTTTGACGCGGTTCACAATGATTCTTTTTTATTTTCAGTACTTGGGTGTTGATCGACGTACCATCCAAATCGCCTTTGTTCCAAGCTTTGACAAACTTTGCAAAGTAATAGCGGGAGTCGTCTTTATCAAGATCGCCAAAGTATTTGTGCTTCTTTTCCCGAAGCCATAGACGGAATTCGGTCGCTTTTTCGAAATAATCGTCCTTGGAAATGGCTATCCCAGGCAATATTAGACGTTATCGAGTCAGTGGCATAATGCACGCTCTATAGCATGCCATACAACGTACGTTCGATGTCTGTTCTCGGGCTATGCGACGTTTTCTCCTTGGACCGTTTATGCTTTTTTGAACGACGGTCTTCGTCTGAATCTCTGTGATGCTTGCTGGAACCCATCGCTGGCTGCTTTACACAAAGGATGGCACTCCCAGCAATCTCGGACCAGAAACGCGAGAGGACAATTCTTGTGACTGCAATTTTCACGCCAGACACACACATATATGCTGCGGCAGCATGGCTTCTAATCACAGTACTCGAGAAGCCTCAATAAATAGAACATAATTTGCTGTGTGCTATTTTTTATTTTCCTAGGAAATACCACAGTTGTTGATTGTATCTGTCCCTCATCTTTCTGGGACAAAGGCAGAGTCTTCCCACAGGTGGGAATTCCCGGTCTGCCATGGGAACAATCATCATTGGTTCCATTGCAGCGCAATATTTGTAGCGGCGTTTCAATATTTCCCGTTTCTGCACTTGAAAAAAATATCACAGTGGAAATTTCCCCATCTCTATCTACTCCCACTCCAACCATGCCTCACATTACACACTGTATTTTTGACATGGTATAAGCTAAATCACGTACAGTTAGGCTGGGCGACGACTATATTTACGTTGAATACGTATTAGGATGGTCTCCTTTTGGATACCGAACGTGTTTACACTGAGGTCACCCAACAGATTCTCGACAAGTACGCTAATGGCGTCAAGTTTACTTGGGATGTCAAGAGTAAACTCATGGGTCGTACTGGCGAAGAGGTGCGAGCTGGGTTTTTTGTCGACAGTATTTTGTAATTTTGATATTGAATGAATATTTGTTCAGTCTGCTGCGATGGTTGTCGACACCTACAAGCTTCCTATGAGCCCTGAAGAGTATCTCAAAATCTGCTCTGTTATTCAAGACGAACTTTTTCCCCACGTTAAACCGCTGCCGGGTGTAGAACGATTGATTCAACATTTGAAGCGTCACAATATTCCTATGGCCGTGGCCACTTCGTCGTCTCGCGCTAAATTTGAACAGAAAACATCGCTGAACAAGGAATTGTTTGCCTTGTTTGATCATATCATCTGTGGTGACGATGCAGGCATCGAACACGGCAAACCGGCCCCGGATCTTTTCTTGGCCGCTCAACAACGTCTTGGTAACCCTCCCGCGGATAACTGTTTGATTTTCGAAGACGCTGTCAACGGCATCGAAGCGGCCTTGAATGCCAAAATGCATGTAAGTCGAATGAATTCCACATACCCAAAATATCATGCCCATTTTTCTCATCACATTCACTTTTACTAGGTGGTTTGGATCCCAGATGAGAATATTTTGAACTTGCAAGGCAAAGATACAGATCATGGTGCTACGCTCGTATTGGAATCCATGGCTAAATTTGATCCCAGAGTATGTGATTTTTATTTTTTGTTGATAATGACATCTGTCAATGTTGATCACTTACGGCTATTGTTCATTTTATGCAGCATTTCTCTCTCCCTGCATTTGATCCTGAAGGTCATACAGAAACGATCGAAACCTCCGATATTACCAAACAATAAAAGAAAAGGACAAACCATGTTAAAGAAGTTCTAAGAAACCGTTTATTTTTGGGGATACAAGGAGAATGGTTTATGCGAGAATGAGAATGTTCTCTTGTATAAAATTCAAAAGTGGATGTTATTTTTCAGAATTAAAGCAAGTAGAAAAGAACGAGACCAGCAAAAAATCAACTCTGTTTAGAAGTTGATGGCATTGCCGAAAGAGGCGATGAGACAAGCCTCACGGAAAGCCTCGGAAAGGGTAGGGTGAGCGTGGCAGGTACGGCCAACATCTTCAGCAGAGGCACCATCTATATAAAGAATGAACCACAAATGATGAGTCATTCAAATCTTCTTTCTCTTCTTTGTCTTCAAAGATATGTATATATATAAAGGGGGCTACACTTACATTCCATGGCGAGACCGGCTTCAGCAACCATTTCACCAGCGTTGGGACCAATGATGTGGACACCCAAGATCTTGTCGGATTCGGCGTCAGTGATGACCTTGACGAGACCATCAGAGTCATCGTTTGTTCGTGCACGAGAGTTGGCAACGAAGGGATAGCTACCGATCTTGTACTTGATACCTTCTTCCTTGAGTTGTTCTTCGTTCTTACCAACCCAGGCGACTTCGGGGTGGGTATAGATGACGGAAGGAATGACATCGTAGTTGACGTGACCGTGACCGGTGGCGATCATTTCAGACACGGCGAAACCTTCATCTTCGGCCTTGTGAGCCAACATGGGACCAAAGGTCACATCACCGATACAACGGATGCTGGGAACGTTGGTCTTGAATTCAGAGTCAATAACAACGCGACCGCGGTTGTCAATCTCAACACCAGCATTCTCCAAACCGAGACCGGCGGTGTAAGGACGACGACCAATGGCGACCAAAACAACATCAGCTTCAAGCTGAAAGTAAACAAAAAATAAGTCGCTTGAACCAACACGCCAGTCTTTTTTTACGTCAAAATGCAACTTACAGTTTCGGCCTTGCCACCCTTGGAGGCTTCAACGTCAATGAGAACCTTGTCACCATCAACCTTGGCACCGTTGACCTTGGTGCTCATCTTGAACTTGAGACCTTGCTTGGACAAGATGCGGTGGAAGTTCTTGGCGAGTTCAGCGTCCATACCGGCACCGATGGCGTTCAAGTATTCGACGACGGTGACTTCGGCACCGAGACGGGACCAAACGGAACCTAATTCAAGACCGATAACACCGGCACCAATGACGACCATCTTCTTGGGAACTTCGCTCAATTCAAGAGCACCAGTGGAAGACACGATTCTCTTTTCATCGATTTCAATACCGGGAAGAGGAGTGACCTCGGAACCGGTAGCAATGATAACGTTCTTGGCGGTGAGGGTGGATTGCTTACCATCCAAACCATCAACGTTGATCTCGGTGGCGCTCTTGAAGCTACCAGTACCCTTGAGGTAATCGACCTTGTACTTCTTGAACAAGAATTCTACACCCTTGGTCAAACCAGTAACGGCCTTCATTCTAGCCTTGTGCATGTTGGGCAAGTTCAACTGCACATCACCAACTAATCAAGAAAAAATGAAAAAAAAAAAATTAAATTTGAATACCCACGGTGACCGGTTCCGTTTGCTTCCGAAATGATCATTTTCTTAAAGTTGATCAGTCTACTGCCTTGTTCAGTGCAGTTCACATACCATCAATACCACGGCTCTTGAGCTCGTGCTTGGTTTGGTGGTAGATGTGGGAGTTGTTCAACATGGCCTTGGAAGGAATACAGCCAACGTTCAAACAGGTACCACCAAGAGTACCACGCTTTTCAATACAGGCAACCTACGATCCGCCAAAAACAAATCACCTTTGCATGAGACCAATGCAAAATCATTTTCAAGCTTATGCTGTTGTCATGGACACCATCATGCGTACCTTGAGACCCTGTTGAGCAGCCTTGATAGCAGCTGGGTAACCACCAGGACCACCACCGATAACGACCACATCGTATTCAGCATCTACAATAACAGGTGTGTGTGTAAGTACCAAAACAACTCTTTCCCATTACACTTTAAATTTTCATTCGTGGTCAAAGAATACTTACCAGCAGGGGTGCTGTAGAAGCGGTAGAAAGAGTTGGCCAAGGAAGGACGAACGGATTTCACGGCAGCATTGCGGGCAGCAATCTAAAAAGTTGAGAAAGCGCAAGATCGTTAAAAAGGTTGTTTCTCGGGTGTATAGTACACAAGTAGACAGGGCTTACGTTGGCCAGAGGGGTTTTGGTGGCAGCCAATCGAAACATGATGGGGAATGTACGAGGAAGAGTAAAAAGAAGAGAACAAAAAAAAAATTAAAAGGTGTTATATTCGAATCGGTGTAAAATTTCGGGAAAATCAGGGAATAGACACAAGTTTGCTTATTTCGCACGTCACTTTTTCGTCCTGGGGTCCCACCCATAACCCCACTTCAACCGGGATTTGAAAAAAAAAGGCTATAATTTTCTTGCCAAAAACGACCTTCAATTATTGACCAAAACAGGCACTGCTTGGGTTATCCTTTATTTTTTAGCTTTATCCTTCTGGTCGCCTCGGTGATTACTGAAGGTGCATGTGTCCATGGTTTGATGCATGTTGGTACTTGTGCAAGGGCAACCATCCAATATAGTTGATGCCACCAAATCCGCCAACATAGTATAAACTTTCCACTTGGAATCGGTAAAAGTGGAAATCATGGAATTGTTGCCTAATCAACATTGGTGGAAAACATGAGTGAGTTGAAAGTTTTTTAAGAGTTCGACCCTCTTTTTTGGTTTAGTGTTACCATGCTTTCGCTTCAGGATGCTTTGTCGCAAAGCACTTCATGAGCTCGTCATCCTAAGCGATCCGTTAGATAAAATAATACAAAAGAGGAACAGCGTATCAAGAGTGTTTTACTCTCATTTCTCTTGTACTTGCATTAGGTGATTCGTTGACAAGTTTAATTTCGCCCATCATGGCTACGCGCGGTTGTTCAACTGGGGTGCTACGGTTTCCCCAACTGGGATTGTAATCTTTCAAAGCGCGAACGGTGAAGCTGACCTTGTTTGGCTGCTCACGAGCATTGCGGGCGTTCATCTATGGAAATCCATGCCCGAGCACGGTTAACCTTACACTTTTTGCTTTCACTTTTGTGCATCTTTCACATGGTAATCCGTTGAAACCTTTCCCTGGTATAAATTACCTGCAAATCGGACATGAATAGAAGCAAGTCTCCGTTTTTATAGCAATCCCCGTTGTAATATTCCATTAGACCAAACGGATGACCTGAAAACAGGGTAAAATCTGGTTATGCGGGATCGCCGAGAAATCGGGATTATTGTTACTGCAGTAGACTACGGTACCTTCGAAATCAGGGTTGATGGACCCGTCCATAAGCGTCATGATGGTGCCAATGCCTGCACAAAAAACAGAGTCGTATGCCCCATTAATTTGATTTCCACTTGTTCGCTTCTCGCACACTAGGAAAAAGCAAGTCCTACCAGTATCGCTGATCACGGTTCTTGCCAATTTAGCAGCGGCATCAACACTTTGCTGCGTATCTACGCAACCATGGGGTAAGGCATAAGCCAAACTGGCCATCCACATCATGCAGGTAACGACGCGCATTTTTCTTTTAGTTGGCTTTTTCAGTTTTGGTTTTCTGACGACTTGCGAACAGCGAAAGTACAGCAACAAAAGCGGTTATAAAGAAGGGAGAAAAAGAGACACAGATGAATGAAAGAAAATAAGAATTCGTACCCACGAATGCCATGGGTTTATCCAATTTTTTTAGGCTGTGTTTTTTGAATGGCCATGCAACCATGTGTGAGAGTAAACAATCAGATAAAACGACGAGTCCAGTTTCACACCAATCATCGTCAAGCAATGATGTGTTTTTCCGAACGATTTTACACACTATTTCATTCTTACGGTGCATGTGACAGCCGAGATTTTATCAGATAAATAGGACGACAGCTTTCGCTTATCAGATGGAAAAAGATCCGCTGCATGATCGTGGCCGTCCTTTCATTTCCGAGGAGGATATACGGGCACTGATCCTTCCTTCATCTTATCTGATCATTCCCCAGCAACCGTCCATTATGCGAAACAAATTGGAATTTCTGTGCTGCCATGGTGCGACGTTTGTGTCGGATTTCGACTCTTTGGCTGTATGCATTTATAAAATAAAAGAACAATAAGGGAATAGTGGTATAAAATGAAGTAGGAATAAAAAAGATATACAATGATGGGTTTTGGGCCGACTGTTCTGCAGCGATCAGTTTTTCGGATGCATGGAGAAATAAATGATAAAAAGAGAACTATGGTGTTGGGATAAAAGCTGTAACATGGGGGGGGGGAATCGCAGTGATCGAGAGAGGAAAAAAAGAAACACGGGAAATTTACACATGACATGCGGAGTTGTCTTGATTCGTCTTTCTCTGATTCTTCCGCGCTTCGTATTCTTCTTGCTGGAAATAAATAAAACCATTAATGATGTTTAGAAGAAGAAGAAAAAAAAAAAGGTTTCTAGGCAATTAAATAATATTGCCAATAACGGGGTGCCAATATGTACCAGTTTTTGATATTGTGGACCGGCTGTCCTTCCTGGTGTAAACTTCTCCATGCGTCTTCGTGCAGATAATCTGAGGATGTAACTAAACTGAACGTGAACCTGAACATAAATATCCTACGCACCACGATGAAACATAAACCATCAATAAGTTTTCCAATCAATTCATTTCCCATGGCTGCACGTTTCGCGTCTTGTTATTTCCTATTCCACTTACTTTGACGCCTAGTAGATCGACCAGCGATCGGAGAGAGGTATTGCTTCGACGTCGAAAAAATTGATCTATAGATGACGATCAGAGTCACACAATTAGATGAATCCAAAAAAGGTAAAACGATCGATGATGAAACAAAGTGTGGTTGCTGGGTCTACTCACCTTGTGAAATGGGGGCTACGCGACGACTGTTGACGATGGAGTAATAAGCTGGTTGGCGTTCTTTGGCGGCTTTTTCTTTTTGGAAAACATGATCGGCTCTTTCTTGTAAATTAATCGCCATGGATCGGAAAGCACTAAAGTTCCGTTTCAAACTATAAATAATTTTGGAAATGCACTGTTTTTTTGGTTTCTTTGTCGAGATAATTTTACCTCATTAAAAATGGCCAGCATGATACGAGATACACTCGATCGGTCATGAGCATCATCAATGAATAAAATCGGGCTTCACCTCGAGCCTGTGAATCTCGCAACTTAAACATATAGCTCATGACATATCCATTTTCGTCATCTCCGAACAACACCGGCCCATCGCGACCTGGGCAGAACTCAGTCGTCAAGCTTTTTTTTTTAGAAGAACATAAAGAATTCGATGAATGAATATATCAAATTTTCTCATGAAAGCGTGTATCTCTCGTCGCCTACCTTCGAACACAGGCAAGACGAACGGCTTTATACAGATGAAGTTGTTGCGGGCTTTTGGTCCCAATGTATTGTACAGATGGATCCTCTTCATCTCGTGTGAGGAGTGTTTTAACTTCCTGCGGTGTTCCGTCGGTGTCTCTGGGTAAGAACGGCAGCTGAGCGGTACAAGCGGAGCAAGCGGCTTGGGTGGATAATAAATTGGAGATGGATTTCGGTGGAAGAGAACAAGCGGCTTTACGTAGGGAAGATATGGAAGGTGGTGACTGGAGACGAGGAGAAGTGGAAGTATTCGGCGGAGTGAGGGGTTCAGTCGAAGTCGAAAAGGTAGAAGAAAAGGAGGCGGACGGAAACGCTTCCGATGGTTTGCATTCAGCATGCGGAATATTAATCGTCGTGCGATCACCTTGGGTGGGTCCCGTCGCCATCGATGTATGAATGGCCTGTGTGCAGAATACAACGCAAGGGCCATGCACTTCACAAAAGTGAAGCAGAGCAATGAGCGCATTCATAGACCTGTGGAGACAAAAACTGTATACAAGTGAGGAAAAAAAAAAAAAAAGAAAAAAGGAAAAAGATTCAATGTCTCAAAAGGAAGAAACAGAAAAAGGCAAAATGAGAGTAAAAAACAGCGGACATCACGCGGATGGATGACCAATCATTGCTTCTCATTGGTGTACGTCTCAACGACAGTGTGAAGGCGATTGCCTTTTTCTTGTCTTCTTGTGCCACATGAGAGAAAAAGGTGAGCCACACTTCTTTCGTTCCAGAAGAAACCAAAATGTCATGTCTCTGTAAGAAAATGGCAAAATATCAAATGCATGCTTGTCCAAAAATAGACATTGCATAATATATACAGCAAAAAATCATTGTCCCCATCACGACGCTCTCCATGACCATGTATATTCCATCAAAGAAAAAGACAACATCCATGCATCCTTAGTTATATAACCCTTTTTTATTTCAGATTTGGTGGCATGGTAGCAACAGCGCCTGTATCTACTTGTAGAAGCTGTAACCAAGTTTCGACGTTTGTTGGAAAGAAAGAATCGTCTTCAATATGAGTCTGGTATCGCAGGAGAGGCACCCAACTCTGATCAGCACATACACTTAACGCCGTATACTAAAAGCTTACTCTGTTCTCCCACGGTTCATCCATGTAACACTTCACCATATCGATCATTGCCTTGGCTGTATTTATGCGGCCTACCAGTGATGCATTATCCATCGTAACATGTCAACGCATACTCCCTCGTTAAAATTATATTGAATCTTGTCAATGGCGAATTGACGGTCAAGTATAGATACTGTGTAAAGGATTGGAAGCTCGACAGCATTTGGATTATCTAGCTTGCATTTAATATTCCGTCTAACTAGTCTTGGGCGTTTTGGCCCACTGTTAATCCACTCAAGCTGAGTGGGACCATAGGCGTAAGGCTTCGGATAGCCTCAATAGTGTTTGTATCGTTATTCATTTTGAATAACACGTTGTTCTTGCTTTCAGGCCGCGGATCGAATTGCGGCCAAGTGACGTTATATTGTGAAAGCAGTCTGACCGCATCTGACAAACCAATGGCGAAAGCAGCTTGCTGATCACGATTCCGTATTGCGTAACCTCTGCGCACCGCAGGACAGTTTGGATTGATGCTTCGGACTGCACTAGAGACTTCCTCGTTTTTCCATCCGGTAATCTTCGTTTCGCTAGCTCAGTTTGTTGGAAACAGAATACACAAGTCTTCGATGAGCAAAATTCATTTGTTATAGCGACTGTCCAGTTCTTCGTCTGCGACAGACAAACAACATTGTATGCAAAGTAGTAGGGAAATCGTATCGGGCTTCCCGCATTAACGCATAATGTTCATCGCATCATGGTAAAGTTGGCGCATGTGCCTTGGGCTGCCAATAAAAGTCGATGGCAACATGACTCTTTGACCAAGGTGGTCGTTGTCGCCGTGTTCCACTGCATCTACGGTACCTCGGTACAATTCCTTGAATTGATGTTCCACCGGAGATCATCATGCGGGAGCATGAGGACATAGTGAAGCGCGTCGTAGTATTGGTGTATTTCCCTGATACGTTGAAGCCCATGACTTCTCGATCAGAGCACAATATCGCGGCCACTATGTTGTGTGATTGTACTGTCTACCAGGGTCACTCAACTTCGCTTGCCGTGGGTATGTTGTGTCGACGAACATCAGGAGTGTTTTCTGCGCATATGAGCAATCGCACGTGCCAGCTCCATCTGTCTCACGTAGACCTTGGGCCATCGACTGCAACAACGGGACAAACGGGTTGATTTCCGTGAACATATCTTGGAGAATCAAGTGTTGCCTTAGGCGCCTTATATATACTTCTGAGCGAATGTGGGAGTGCGGCTCTCAGTTGGTGGAAGCACAGCACTGATCCAATGATAGATTCGTTCTTGGATATGGAAGCAGTACACTCCACTGCGATTATGGGCAACTGATTCATCCAGGTGATCACCTACCGAAGTAAAGCTCAGATTCGTATTGTAGGCGCGTATCTACTCACGGAAATCTCTTCATTCTTCATTGTCGCTACGAAGGAGACGGGCGATGGTTGGATGCGTAGGCTCCAAAGGTGGAAGGACAATGGTACCTTGGCCACAGCAGAACTGGAACTTTGGATTAAAGATGGATCCAGACTTCTCTTTGACCTACATCCGTCCCTGACAGAAATTGCACACAACATCCATGCGGCCCCAAGGTATGCCTATTGTAAAGGTCAGCATCATTAGCATTGAATGCAGGTAATCTACGAATACGTCTCGCAGTATCATTATGTTTGCTTCCTTATGAACACTCTCCCAGGATTTAATGCGCAAGCTGAATGGTTACTTTGCTGATACCCCACTTACTGACACGTAGAGCAACGGACTTGTACCGATCCTTGGACGGTAGAAACACTGGGATGTTGGGCCAGTTTCTAGAGGTGGAGCGAGTGTGTCCTGGCAGACTGCAAGAAGCGCAAAAAACAGTTGAGAATGACATAACGTGTTTTAATAAAAAAAAAGTTAGGAAATAGATCATATAGCCAAGTAATGCGATTTAAATCGAATCGATGTATCACGGTCCACCTATTCGAAAAGGGGAAGCGCAGATCATGAAGAAAAGAAAGCAACTCAACCACTGCAGTAAACCAACTGATTCATTTCGTTTTACCTAATCAGAAACGTTTATTTTCAAAAATACCAATCAAAACCCAGTGCGGCTGCTTTGTGACTCAAAATTAGCGCGCATAAAACTCTCAAAGGCAGTTATGCAAGAAATACCCTGGTGACTTGCTTTTAGACATTGTGGCGGAGCTCCGAAAAGGGCCACCAAAAAAAAAAAGACAAGTTGGTTCAGTGTGGGCCTGCCAATATCAACCTGCTCATGGCTTCAACGCCGGAGACCATTGCCTTTGATGGTCATATATTCGATTTCACATTTCATCCCAACAACAATGTCGTAGCCGCTGGCCTTATTACAGGCGATATCCAATGGTGCATACTCTACAGTTCCCAGATTGAGAAGAACGAATAAAGTGACTCGGCTCTTTTTTTTTTGTCGCTCAACAGTTATACTTATTCCACCCAAGATAACCATCAGCAATGGCGTACAAAAGCTTCCAAAAAGTCTTGTCGAGCTATTGAATTCAATCATGACGGCACATGTAAGACGCACTCCTTGTTGGCAAGCAAGCGGTATCTGAGTGAAGAATGGTTCGTATAGTGCTTCTGTCGGTGTCCAGAGACAAATCCATTCAGACATTGGATGCTGCTACAGGAAAAATGCTGATAAAAATGCCCAAAGCGCACAAGTACGTGTAGACTTAATCCTGGATTCAGGAACGTCTTCGTTAAAAAGTAACTCACAACAGCCCAACGCGTGACATAGACATCCGATCAATAAATTATGCAATCTAAGTCCCTTTCTGTCCGCCACAGGTGACGATGAAGGCGTTGTCAGGGTACGGCGATTTTTTTTAGGCAACCAAAAAAGAAAAGGGAAGCATGCTAATCTTTGATTTACCCCAGTTTTGGGATATGCGGACATGCAAAATGGCCCAGGAAACGCGAATTCACGATGACTTTGTCGCTGACATGGTGTTTTGTGAGTCAAAACACACCATGCTTGTTGCAGGGTAAGTAAAAAGAAAAACCAAGGACCACTAGAACGTATGCGTATAGTTAACTTTCCGCTCTAGTGGTGACGGTACGCTTTCAGCGCATGATATTAGAAAATTGAGCAAGACACCTCTCCAGTCCGATATCATGGATGACGAAATGTTATCGTTGGCCATTGTGAAAGTAAGGTTCATGAGATAAATGATTCCGTCCACGTGGAATCCATTACCATTTTTGGAACGAGACTCATTACGGGTACGTATAGGACGGTCAACAGGTCGTGGCTGGATCGCAGAGCGGTACCTTATACACATGGGAATGGGGAAATTGGAAACGAGCTTCCGATCGATGGATCGGTCATCCTTGTTCGGTGGATACCATGTGCAAATTAGACGAACAGACAATTTGTACAGGAGGCAACGATGGTTTGTTACGTCTCATCTCCTTGGATCCGCAACAGTTTCAGGGTGTCATTGGTGACCATGGCCAAGATTTTCCGCTGGAGCGCGTGCGCGTTACACATGACCAAAACTTCATTGGCAGCTGTGGCCATGATATGCAACTACGATTTTGGGAGATTCAAAGCTTATTTGAGCAAGACTCGGAAGATGAGACAGAACCGGTGGGTTCCAAACGAAAAATAGACGACGACCATGACGACAGTGACAAAGATGTCGATGTGCAAATGAAACGACCCAAGCCACGTGCTCAATTTTTTGACCAACTTTAAATATCCTATTCCCCTAACTCCATCTTTCTTTTTTTTCCTCTGTGGTGCCATCAGGCACCATCCGTGACGAGCAATTTCATCTTTCAATCGCGTCATTCGTCCATCGGCTTGCCATTTTTTCATTTTATTGATAATTGTTTACATGTGGCATCGTAAAATAAACTATGAAAAAAAAGGTGCATTTGGGGCCGTCGTTTGATTGTATCAGTTTTGGTTTGGTGTGAATGCACATTGGAAAGGCATACATCAAAGACGGTTTAGTTCAATGACGATATTGGATTGCGTGATAAGCGTCACATGTGGAGTCCATCACTTCATGGACCTAACTCCGCCAAAGTAAGAAGCAACCAAAGTGAAAACGAATCAGGAACACCATGGAATATAAATACCGGAAAAAAGATCACTGCCCATCACATTACAATACTTCAGCAGCTTGCTTCTTTATTTTATCCGCATGTTATCATCCCAGTCTACCACCACTGTGTCGTCCATCGATCGCGTCCAACCGGACAACCACGCAGAAGAGCTTGCTCAGGAGGACAACAACAGTAAGAGGATCAACTAAGCAGATGGACTTGTGTAATTAAAGTTTGGGATGATTTTTTGTTTAGCATCAAAGCCCTCGTCGGTTCGTCGATCCATTGCAGTGACCCCTAATAAGTTTGATTCTGCAGATATCAATCTGGATGGTTTATTGGAAAATAACCGTTGTTGGGCTGAAGCCGTGTTGAAGGAGGATCCCAATTTTTTCCGCGACATGGTAGAGAAACAGACCCCCAAAATATTATGGATTGGTTGCTCGGACTCCCGTGTGCCAGCGAATCAAATTGTCCAACTCGGTCCAGGCGAGATTTTTGTTCATCGCAACATTGCCAATGTGGTCCATCACACGGATTTGAACTGTTTGTCGGTCCTTCAGTACGCTGTCGAAGTGCTCAAAGTAGAGCACATCATTGTGTGTGGTAAAGCAATTTTATTTGAGGGACAACCGTTTTAAAAAAATTTCAACACTGAAACATACATCACCTTGGACAGGCCATTATCTCTGTGGCGGTGTTGCCGCCGCTCATGGTCATGAGCAATATGGATTGATTGACCATTGGTTGCGCAATATCAAGGACGTGTATCGATGTAAGGATGAAAACATCCGTTTTCCTATGCATAGCTGGTACTTACGGATGACTATATGTTTTAGTGAATCGGCAAGAATTGGAGAATTTGTCAGATGGTACGAAGCGATTGCGACGTTTGGTGGAGCTGAACGCCATCCATTCGGCGCAAAACGTATGTCACTCCACTATTGTGCAGAACGCCTGGGCTAGAGGGCAAAAGCTTACCGTGCATGCATGGGCCTATGATTTACATATTGGGTATACATTTCACATCATCCGTTCCACGGTGCAGCTGCATCATCTAACTTCGTGATTACCAATTTTAACCCTGGCTCTTTGTTGTTGTTATTTGATAGGTGTGCAAAGCGATTAGACTGGAAAGCAACGGATATTAACTCTGTGCAACGGATCTACATGACCCAATAACGATGCTGACGACCGATTTTGAATTCTAAGAATGCTTTTTATTTTTGACTATCTCTCAACTTGATGGGTTTTTTTTTGTGGATCTTTGTTGACCTGTTAGGCATTGACGATCCTATGTATACCCATAAAAAATTCACAGGACGAGATGAGATTGAAAAGTAATAAAGCACGATGTTTTAGATATATATAAAAAAAAAGAGAAAGAAAAAAGTAATGGCGATCGACATGCACTTGATGGGATAGTTGGAACCTTCGAGCAAGATTCTCCGCAAAAGGGAAACCAACAAGTTTGAATTATTTTTTGGGGATGAGGTTCCGTGCTTCAGTTGAAAATTTCCTTCTTTGTGCTGACAGCCGTTAGCATGAGCGTCATGTCACCTCACATTGGTCGTCAATGAGGACAAACAAGGAAACAAAGCAAAGGCATGCCCTTTCAAAAGGCAGCTATTAACCCAACAAGTGATGATTTCCAGCATATTACTTGGATCCATCTCTGCATATCGGACATCTAATGACAAGCAGGAGAATTCTTCTGGAAGTGAAGGAGGAGGAAAAAAAAACCAAGTGAACATCCAAGACGCATGGTGTGGCCATCTCCTGTGCAAATGAGCAAGGAGAAGCAGTCTCCAAAACATCTTGATACAGTGATTCCAACAAAGGGAGCTGCAGCAGCGCTATCATACGTAAAAGGGAAAAAAAAAAGTTGGTTCAGAAAGAAAAAGTTCATCAGGGCAAGTATCAAAGTTGTCATCCCTTGATTTCCATTTATGGAACCATGCTTCAATGGCCTCGTTAAAGTTACTTGGGACGGAAAGAACATGCCGACATTTTCACGTAGCATGCTTTTTCGCCAGGATGTATTAAAAAGCCATTTAAAGTTTACACATTTTTACGGGTGCATGAGAAGTAAAAAAACCGGTTTGAACTATTTTTTTTTTAAAAAAAAAAAAAAAACCTGGAGCGGAAAAAGAGGGCCCTTTTTTTTAAGGCAAAAGGTTTTCCATGACACAATATTCCTAATACAATTTTGATAGCTTGGAATTTTTTTTTGTCGATTAGATTGGACAAGAGAGGATGGTTTGTGCGTTTATCCCTTTCTGGCAGAAAGGAACTTTTTTAGAATTTCTTTTTTTCCTGTTCCCTTCCTCCGCATAATCGAGAAAAAGAGGTTTGCTCCATGGATCTACAAAGTGTCTATGCTCTTCCTGGCACACCAGATTTAGAAAGAGAGACAATGTTTGTGCGCATTTGCAGATCCAATAACTTGGGAAAGGGGAGTTCAAACGGAGAAATATCAACACACCATTCACCTTTTTTGCCGTGGTGTCGGTGACATCAACGATTCCACCGACCCAATAACAAGAGGAAACACAAGGCCACTGAATTAAAAAAAAAAAAAAGAGAGTTATATGCAATGCCGAGCAATTAAAACTATGCTTGCTTGTTAAATTCTTTACTGCATTAGCGTATGTATAGAAAGCGAGCCATGCTTTGTAAGCGCATCGACTAGGCTGCATGTACGTGTGCTTGAGAGAGGTACGATGCTTATTTCATGTCTTTTTTAACCTTTTTTCTTTCTATACTATAACACGTGCCAAGGGGAACTGAATTGGTTTTCGTTTTCTGTTTCCATCTGTCAAAATAATCGATTGTCCAATATTACGATACAAGTGATCGCTGGGTGACCAAGACTAGCCAACTCGTTGTACAAAAGATGCCACTGATGAAACGAGATTTTTCTCGATGCAAGCAGGGTATCGATCGATGGTTGCAGGGATGTCAGAATAAGATTTAATGGATAATGCTCGCCCAACTTTATTACCTTGGTAAACCACAATCCTTAACATGGAACTCAGTATGCGGTCAACGCATGCATATGGAGCTCGATGAGGTGATAAGCAGTTTCAAAAAAAAAGTATTCTTCCTTCTTTGCTGCTCCTTGCCATCATCCTCTCAGCAATGGTTTCCCATAAAAAAAAAATAGCCCCCATCGTCGCCGATCCGTTCATCGTTTCTTTCTATCCTTTATCTCTTTTTGCGCCCCCCTTCAGAGCCCCAAGTTATCTCCACCTTGACCCCACACACATCAAGCACCCCGGCATCTTTTAGTTCCATTGATTTTCATGCATATCAGCCACCCGCAATATCAATCACTTTGTCTATACTTTTTTTTTTAAAAAGGGTTTACTTTTTTCCATCATCACAAGTGGTAAAGACGTTCATCATGGAAATAATGACGATCCGATGGCAATATAATACATTTGATATGATCATCATCATTTGGAATCGTTCATCCTATTGTATTTCTTTTTTCCCTTTTTATTTCAGTGTGACTTAATACCCCCCCCCCCTCTCTTCACCCCTCCCCCCAAATCTTTTTTGTTCCTTTTCCCTCCTGGATGCTCCTTAACACTCTATTTATGATGACTTCAAATTATGAAAATCATTTATATAAATATATACTATTTCTTTTTCACAACAGGATACTTTCCTTTTCACTTGCTACTGACCAAAGTGCATCTTTAAGAAAGGATCATTCACTGAACGATCTTTTATCGTTATATTTTTTTTCTCCTATTATTTTTTGCTGTATATTTGATTTCGAGTCTTTATTCTCATCCCCACGCCAACTTCATCTTTATTGGCCTATATCTCGAAGCACACGCACGAAAAACAAAAAAAAAGGAACTATATATTAAAGAAAAACAGAACTCAAGAAGCCAAACTACGACCTATCAAGCTCATCCAGAAACGAAAAAAAATTCAAGCTTACCTGTAACCATATCGAACCCAAAAAAAGAAGAAAAGAAAAGGGTCCTACGTATCACCTACTTAAGGTAATGTTTTTGACAACTTGGGGTAAAAAAAAAATTCAGGGGTTCAACAAGGGATGGCGCGCGAGAGGATCGAAAATCTGAATGAGTAAATAGGAAATCAAAGAAAAAAACGAACTTCAAAAGACAAAAACCAACCAACCAACCAACGCATCAAAAAATGGATATTCTCGAATTGATTCACATCGAAGCCCAAGATGGTCAAAATAAGCCTCATCAATGCCCCGTCAACAACTGTCTCAAAGCATTCGGTACGGTTACTATACTTACAAACCAAATATTGTTGTGATGGTGGTTGACGTAGATCAAACGTGGCTGACTTATTTTTTTTTATCGATCGTTAATTAGGACGTCGCTCAGACTTGGCCAGACATCTTCGGATCCATACAAATGAAAGGTATAGATCGTCAAAACGAGACTCCTATTTTTCTCTCCGCAGCCATCTCCTTTTTTTTTTTTTCTCAAAACTTACCCTTGAATTGCCATTTGCAGGCCATACGTATGTCGCGAGGTGGGCTGCGGAAAAAGTTTCATCCAGGTACGTCCACATGTCGCACTGCATCATCGATTTTCAGACAATTTAAATCATGATCCCTTTTTTTTTTCGTGTTCAGCGTTCAGCACTGAAGGTGCATTTGAGAACCCATTCTGGTGAACGACCTCACGTGTGCGAAGTGGAACATTGCCGGAAAAGCTTCAGCGATAGTAGTTCTTTGGCTCGCCACAGGTAAAGAGCAATAGATAAATGATGGAGAAACGGATTAAATAAAATGGAATGATGGATAACTGATATGGTGGGTTGTTTTCTTTTTCTTATTAGACGCATTCATACCGGAAAACGTCCTTATAAATGTTGCCACGAAGGATGCAACAAGAGTTTTGCTCGCAAGACCGTTTTGACTACGCATCAAAAAGTCGCTCACGGATCGGTGATCAAACAAACACTGTTGCAGTGGAAATCGTTCAATGATACCTTGCAGAAACGAGCCTATGCCTCCAGCCCTCATCCGGCCACTCCCGTATCACCTTCATTATCTATTTCCGATGTCATGTCCATTTCTTCCTTGTCTTCTCAGCCATCCGATTACGATCATCATCGACAAACAGCCACCGTCTCATTGATGACTTCCCACCGAGACGATCACGAATTTCCTTGGCATATGCGACGTGATAGTGGATGTATCATGAAAGATTTGAACGACTGTTACCCTCTATCACCGGTTTCTTCCATCGGAAACGACGTTCAACCTTGTTTCACCTTACCGTCCATCGACGAAATGATGCCCATGATGGAGCTTCCATCACCACCTTTATCTTTGGGTCGATAGATCGCTCAACCCTATCGTGTCCCCCCACCGTTCGCTACATCCCTTTCGCACTCTCTATGCTTATTCCTTTTTTCTTTTTCATCACTGAACCTCACGCCTTTTTTTTCATTCATCATCTTAACAGCAAACAGCATCCTCTTTTCTTTCGTATATTTGATTTTACTATCTATGTAGTCTATGCACCCCTTTTTCGACCTTTTTTTTCTGTCTTTCCCTTTATGCTCCCTATTCTATGATGCCGCCTTTGCCTTTATGCCCCAGTTTAAGTACCTTTGCAATAGTTTACTAACAATCTATCCTCATGATAGTCATCCTAACGTCTTGCAGCGTGTGTTTTATTGTTATTCGGTTTCATTTCCCTTTTTTATTTCCATTTTTTCTCTGCCAGGTTCAAAAAAAAAGTCAGTTTGGTTTATTGTTCATTGCCTATTTCACAACTCTATACTTATCATCATGCAAAATAAAGGGCATGCCAACCTCCCAGCAATATTATCTACATCTTATATTATTGTCACTACTGGCTCTTAACGCGAAATTGTATGAGTATTGGGTGTTATGTTTGTCAATTCTGTCATTTACAACTGTCATAGCGACTGTAATCTCAGGTTTCTTGCCGCGGAGTTGGCTTGACGGCAAGGGGATACTCCTTGAAAAAAAAAAATTAACAGAAAAAAAATTATGGGTGATTGGCTTGTCCTCCCTATCCAATAAGTACATCCGGACAGTTCATCACCTACTGTTAGTATTCTTCTAAGGTTTGTTATCTATTCTACATCGTATGGGAAATGAAGCAAATGAGCCATTAAAAACTTGATGAAGAAACAATGAATGATACTATGCTTTTTTCCTTTAATTCATCCCGTAACCTGTTTTTGGATTTATGGGTTAATAAACAACATGTCGGTTTTATAGCTTCCTTCAAATCATAAAGAGATGACTATTATATCATAATATTTAACGAGTATAGCAACGATTCAAAGCCCTCGTTTATTCTTATTTTTTTTTTCTGAAGCAGATTACCATCTTTTTTTTTTCTACCCTTGACTGCATATCTGAAAATAGCGATATTTCACCTGTAGTCCATGGCAACATCATCACTCTTGACGATAACCGATCTACTTCCCTCTGATAAGGATAAACATCAGTATGCCAAAGTGATCTCTTTATCCGAATCTCTCCAGAATCGCATTTCTGGTTTGCAAAAACAACAATTGGATACACGTGAATCCATGCTTTCCATGTCAGAGTTGGAAGAAGAGATCATCAACAATTTGTCGATCTCTCATTACAGCTTCATTAATCATTTTGCATCGAATCAAGCAGAATCACCACCCGACAGAGTAGAGGCGGCACCGGAAACGGATCAGCCATGCACAAAGGAACTCGACTCAAAGAAACAAGTGCGATTTGCACAAAATGCTGTGCAAATCGACGGTCATTCGGCAGAAACCGAGGACATGCCTCAGCAGACGAACAACGAGCTGTTATTGGAAGCAGAAAAGCCAATAACTGATGATCCAGCCATCAACGATGAAACAGACCCATCTCCTGCTGACTCGTCTCTTGTTGACCCATCTCTTGCCGACCCATCTCTTACTGACCAACCTCTTACTGACACATCACCCGCTGCCACCGAGGCTCCTCCAAACGAAAAAGTCAATTATGCCATCTACGATCCATTTTTGGTCAAGGATGATGCGGCGGATTCCTTGGCGCACACCATGGAAATGCTGCAAGAAACTCTCGACACCTACCTGCCGTTGCCTGTTCACCTGGATCTGCCGAAAAATTCATTTATTCTCCCATCGACCTGCGCTAAACGCGTTTCGCCTCCTATCTCCACCAAGACGAGAACCCGCACTTCTTCTCTCATGCCAGCAGCTCCCGCCACCGTGCCTGCTTGTCCGACACCAACCCTCACTCCTGGCAATAAAACGCCAGAGAACGGCAGTAGATGGATCTTGCCGGAAACCGATGAACGGAACAAAAAGCTTCCGGAAATTCCAGCAACGGCAGGAAAAAGATTCGTCGCCGAAAACAGGTCTGGCTCTGCGCATGACCATGATCGTAAAAGAGAAAGTGAGACGAGCATTGCAAGTCATTATTGTGACAGACCCAAGTCATCCAAGCCCCGCAAACAGCCTAGCCCATTGCAACAGCAAGCCATTAAAGAAGAGCCCTCTTTTTTACTCTTGACGCCGCCTCCGTCACCAACGGGAAATCAAGATTCGTCGTTTTTTCAAAGCGAGCTACGGAACCAGCCATTACCTTTGCTACCATCTCAAAGAACGCTTCCCCCAGTCATTTATGTACAAAAGGTACGCAAATATTGAAGGCTTTTCCATACTAGCCGACCAAAACAAATGCCGTCAAAATATAAAGGGGATTTTAGTAACAATCTGTTAGCGCCTTAACGGGGTGTTGGGATTCTTGACACGCACCTATCAGCTTTCCAATTACATCTTGCTTTCCAAGGCATTAATTTCACCCACCAGCGGTCTACTCATGGCAAATGACAGTCAGGATGGTCGTACAAAGGCCGTTCTCAAGGTAACGATGATTCCTCTCGATTCATGCCATGCTTCCATCGAACAGCGACGCTACGGTATCACGTTCCACTGGAAATACACAAGCAAACACTGGCCTCGAAAAAATCAACCAGAGGATGACGACAGGTTTGCTTGTATATCGGACACCGTTCTTCAGGAAGCTCTGAATGTCTGGATCAGACAACAAATGCATCATGTTACGCTGGTATGTGGCGATTCGCGCGCCCAAGTCAGCTGCCGTACTAGCATTATCCCGTTACTCATTCGTTGCTTTTTTTGGTTTTTTTTTCTGTTAGCCCCCTTTAGCATACGCTAGTCATATTCTAAGAGAAAGCCAAAAGATTTACGTGGTTTATGATCGTGACATGGTGTTGTAAGAGCTGGCTCGAATTCGCACGAATTTGTAATCTCGAGTATGAGCATAGTATCAGTGGTTTGTTTGAGATGGCTGTTTAATAAAGTTGTATAATAGTGCTTTTTTAAAATGACATGGACATAATCCACGACATTATGCTTTCTAAATCAATGAGTGTTTTCTTTTTCTTTTTTGTTTATAAATGCAAGTATTCTTCGGAGGAACGCTAGATTGAACCCGAAGAATCTCAGCGGTTGTTTTAGGATATCATGTTCAAACAAAGACCAAGGGACTGGGCTATGCGGTTCTGGGAGGAGCCGCCGTGCCGAGTTCGGAGGCTTCAATGTAGACATCACTCTTGTGTTCTAATGTTTAAGCAATATGAGTCAAATGAAAAAACACTATTGGCAATCGATGAGGGTGAGGTACACATACGCTCAATAAGATCTTGGGAGAATTTTGAGAACTTGGCTTGCAAAAGCGGAACCAACGATGACTTGATCGGTTTCTTGAGCACCGATTTTTCATTGTTATCATCATTTACCGAGATCTGAAACTGAAGACAGCCCATCATTTTATATCACAGCAACTGTGGGCATATCTACCGATGGAAAAACCTACCACATACTCGTCTTCCTCCGTATCATGAGCCACTTCGGGAATCGTAATGGTACCTGTGGCTTCAGTTCCATCGGCAGCCAGACCTTGGATTCAACACCGTTACCGTGTCAATAAAAGCACTACCAAAAAACCCTCTGTTGCCCCAGTACCTTTCCAATCGAGCTTCAATGCGACATCATAAATGGTGATGATCTTGCCCTTTCGCTGATTCAAATCAACGTCGCCGGTGCATTCCACCATTTTCGTGATCTCTACTTGATGACCGTCTTTCTCGCCCTTTAGACCGACAAGCTCATCTTGAAAGTAGGTGCGAGCCCACTGAATGCAGTTTTTGTTGACCCTGTCCGCATTGAAGAATTCGGTCAGAAGAAATGTACTTTATCTTGGATTGCTTCGATCACTGGAATCGTAAAAAAAGAATTTTTTTTCTCGATACGTTACCAATGCCTACAACAAAAAGAAAACAATAGCGTCAGATCCCGTAAAGTAGAAAAAGGTAGCAATGCTTACCAATTATTTACGTTTTTCCAGTTTGACATGGTCGACGACGAGGGTGGTGTGGGGCAAATCGAACGAAAGGAGGCTTTTGATATAATAAAGGCAGATCGAAGCTCCTAGAAGATTCAATGTGACTGTTGGCTCCCGACAGACCAAGGATGCAAGAAAAAAAAAGATGCCGCCGTTAATACTCATTCCGAACGGTGAGTTTGATGAATTATGGCCATAGTAGTAACGGAACATGCAACTCTCTCTCTCTGCAAAAACCAAATAAAATTGTTTGCCAATGCGTGAGAAACAATGCTTTTTAATTTGCCCATCACTATGGAAATACGCCAAGACAACATCGATGAGTCCCCTGGGCTTCTGAGTATCGCATAACCAAGAAGCCACATGCATATCGCATAAAAAAGGTGACGATGGCATCATTTGCTGTTTCTACACACGAATGTGACTCTGGTATCATTGATATGAACCTTTTTTTTCGAAACCAGCGTAGGAATTCGCCAAGACACGTGGCATTATGATCCCCCACTGAATACGTTGTTGCATTGCCACGATTTGTCACACAAGGAAAAAAAAAACTTGCATTGACAACCTTTTGTCAGGATCTCGTGAACGTGAAAATGCTGAACTTTGTCACTGTCTGTGCGTAACTGCATTGACTTGTTTACTCCATCCAATTTTAGCGTTCATGCTGTAAGTTGGAGACAAAGAAAACAAGCAAAGGTGCGTTTGGCAAGTAAGATGCGTTTGGGCAAAGATAGCTTGGTGGAGTGTGCTTTTTCGTAGTTCATCAAAGCAAAAAGGCGCAGTTTTGTTGCGAGGCTCCGTTTTCTCGAATGTCATTCATGTGAGCCATGTCAGTTGCGCCACTTTGCGTTCAATCGATCGTGTGGCAGGGCGGTCAGACCATATCAGCCGATACACCACGGGCCGCTACTACGAGCGTCGATTTCTCATCCAAGACACAAACAGACCTATAAATACATACAACTGTCAAAATATGTAACAGCAGCGAGAACCCTGTGGACGATTTATTTATATAATCCTTGCTGGAGCGTTGTCTTTTTGTTTTCTCGTTATTTTTTTTCAGTACCTTTTCTGTTGAAGCATGGCAATTATTGATCAACCACAATTACCATCACAACCACTTCGACTGCACGATAATCAACCTGACCAGATTGCTGATTCGGCCTCTTTGAACATTTTATCATCATCTGGATCTGTTTCCAAGCCGCTTAATATCCCGGAGGCGTCTCCCAACAGTCCTCACAAGCCCAGTGTCTTGAATATGGTCATGAACGAAGAGCATGCTCACAAAGGTTTTGTCGTTGGCAGTATACCAGCGTACGTACCGCCGCCATGGCCGCTCAACATGATTGATAAACTCAAAACACCCGATGGATTGTCCGTCAACGAGAGACACAGCCCTTTTCACATCCAACAAGGAGAAGATGAAGATTTACTTTTTGAAATGGACGATGAGCACAACACAAAATGAAACCGTGTAATTTATTCAACCATCACATTAAATTAATCATACTGCAGTATAAACTAGCCATTGCTTGTACAGAATATGTCTATACAACACTTAATATCAAGCTTGTAATGGAGCAAGTCAATAAACTATTCGCTACATATTTTTACCCAATGCAAATTCAGTTAAATAATCTTGTTTTATTTATACAAACACATATATCTCCCGTGCTGCCAACGACTTGCGTTTTTTCCACGGAAACCAACAGATATAGGGCCCACTCTTGTTGACAAGCAATTATTATTTTATGTGTAATCCGACTATAAAGAGTAAGTAGCAAGTAGAGGAGGGATATCTGAAATACAGATCAATACAATATATGTGCATCCTAGGATTGAAAGAGTGATCTGAAAGTGCCATATTTTTTCTCCGCCGGTGGGTTCGTTGAGTGCGGTTCGTTGTTCACCGCGGAAGGCATTCCTGCATCGGGCGTCGTCGTTGTCACGGTGTGAGGATCGGTGGTAGTGCCGGCAGGAGTGGTGTGGTATTCGTTTTGGGTCGCACCAAAAGGCCATAATCGCTTACTTTTGTGAGGTTCAGCATGATGAACGGCATTGGGGGTACTGGTAGATGGCGATGGTGCCGATGGTGCAACCGGCCGACTTGACGAGGAGCCTACATTGGCCTCTGCTCGTAATTCGTCTCGTCTACGATTGAATAGGTACTCTTCCAGTAATTCAGCATTGCGCCAGTTGCATTTGAAGAAAACATCCAAGAGATCGCCGGCCACCGGTGTGAGTCCAATCTAAGCGCGCCCCAACCAAAATAAGAATCCGTGAAAAAACATGACAGCATCGACGGTAACACAAACCACAAAATCCATGGCAATGTTGGTCATCATTTGCAAGAGAATGTGTCGTGGTAAATCCGCCCGTGCAGCAATACGGACGAGTTGTAACGCCATCACCACTCCGAGTACATCGCCTATCACAGGGACCATACCTGTGAAAACATAACAAAAGCCGAGGATTGTGGTTATTTCTTTAAGACCGTTTTCCAGTGATATTGAAACGGTGGGGCACTTGCCTATGATCGGATCGAGTCCAACGTTGCAACAACCACAGTTAACTCCTTTATCCAGTACCCATGCTCGTTGTTTGACAGTGCGTAAGATGTGGCGATCATTTTCGCTGAGAATAATATCCGCTTCTGGCTGTTTCTGCCACCAGTGTCTCTTGTGCGAATGGATAGCCGCATTGGTAGCGTCTCTGATAACAGGGTCATCGCGATAATTTGGCTTTTTGTGCACCTTGTCACCTATTTTTCCCAGTACGTATTTTTTGGCGTAGTTCTCCATGGCTTAAAGTGAAAAAGAGAGAAGAAAAAGAAGAAGGGAAATGGAAACAAGAGAGGAGATGAATGACGGTGTGAACACAATGATGCACATAGGTTTTAATTTGATCCTCCGCATCCCATATTTGATTGTCCGCTTCGGCTCGCATGATCTAATCCTGTCGATCAAACCGCCACCGGGGTTGCTCAAAGATCTAACTAATGTTAGATTTCTGGTAATCCAGTCATCTAACCGTTCCAAGCACTGGGAACAATTTTTTCGAGGCTTCTAACGGCAGTTAAATCTCATGAGTAAAATAAGCAACATTCAGCCCGGTTCAGATTCTTTCTGTGCATGCGTTGAGTGATTGGTTGTTTGTTTGAATTACGCAAGCTTGGTCAATATTAAGGTTGAAAAATTTGCTGTTCACTATTGACGACATGTAAAAGGCGTTTTAAAGGCTAAATCCTCCCAAACTGTCGCAAAGACAAATATGACAATGGTAAAGACCGCGTACAAACTCAATAGGGATAGCCGCATTTAGAGCTGATACGTCGTTTCAAATATCATTCATGGGATGTTCTTTTTTGTTCATTATAAAAGTTACGTGTCCATTCAGCCATGCAGACACATTCATCCTCACTGCCAAGCCGTCGCGGAGAATTGTTGGCGTGACTAATACTGCTCACAACGGTGGTGGTTCAAACGATCTCATGGCTTTGAACTCTTCACACTTTGATGATACAGCACATACAAAAGAATGACAGATCGAAAAAGGAAGCAAAATAGTGTTTTTGTGGGACGAGGATGCATATTTGAGCGATATATACACGGTAGAGATTTTTTTTCAAGAGTAATAGTCGGGCTTCTTTACATTCACGCCATATTCGGCAAGGGCCGCTGAAAGATCCTCCATCGTCAGCACGGTTTTTCGTTCCTGAAATCGGACTCAAATTTAGTAACCCATTTACGTCACTGGAAAGTGTTCTCTCAAAGGCAAATTTACCTTGCCAACGCGGCTACGATTGCCTGACTGGCGTACTTTGCAATATTGAAACGCATCCGTCGCAATATCGGCAATGAACTTTTGTGCTGCTAATGCCAATAATCGCTTTCTGTCAAATCATATAAAATAGATGTTAATGATTTCATTATTGCGTCACTGACCATATGAAAACCAAAAAACCAAGAAATGGGAGCACAGAAAGAAGAAAAAAATAACCCGTGAAACTCACACTCGAACATCATCGCTGTCAAAGCCGGTTCTACTCAAATAGTAATCGGTAACGGCATCTGGTATCTATAGGCAGACCGTTTTAGAATCGCATGTCTTCTGACCCCTAAAAAATGAGAAAGCAAGCGGCTTACAATAGGTGTATAGTTATCCATCTTTGTCAGGAATTCTGCCAATGTCTTTTCGCGATCTTGAGCGGTGGATTCTGCGGCAGCTGCGGTCGTGGCGGCATTGGCGAAGGCGGAAGGTCGCCATGGTTCGTTGGGAGAGGTGGTGGTAGTAGACGATGTGGATTGGAGGGGTACAGCAGAAGGGATGGGTTGTTCGGTGACTTCTTGTTTGATGGCCATGGTTTTGGCTTGCGTAGGACTATGAAATTCAGCGTTGGAGGTGGATGACGAAGGTTGAGCGTTGGGAGAATGTTCGGGAGTGACGGCCGCATTGATATCCAAATCCATGGGTGTTAATGAAGGATTGCCTGGAGAATCCACATGAGGCGTGTTTTGATTATCCGACATGGTGAATACAAAGCAAGGATAGGAATTAGGTAGGCGACTTGCTTTTTTTTTTCTTTTGGTGATGGGAAACACACGCCAAAGAGAGAGAGGGGAAAACAAGAACTGAATTCGCCGTCACAAAGTTGGAAAATTCCAAACTGGCTTCGAGACAGTCTGTGTTACTATTGGTGATGTGCCACACGCTTTTTTGGGGTCACGCAACCCAGGGAAGTAAAAAAAAAAGAGGCCAATTTCTTCTTTGCGCTTCTTTAACGCTGTCGTGCTTTTTAAAACAAACGAGTGAATCAACAAACCACTGTTTTCTTTTACCAGTCTTTTCAACAACGGCTTAGCCTACTGGTGTTTGCTGTACCAACCAGAGCAACATTTTCTGAATTTACCCCTGAATGTCTCAATATACACCGCATCAAGAAACGAACATTGCAGTTATCGATCTACCGTCGGCCATGGCATCTGTTGAACAAACTTCCGTAATCATGAATGAACCCAACCGTAAGTGAAAACTTTCATTCAACCGGTGACTGATAACCGTGGATTTTTTTTATTACTGCTGTTGCTTTGGTATATTAATTGTCGTTGGTTTCTTTTTTTTTTTTTTGTTGCCTGGCGATTTTATTTTTCCTGCTCCCACTTTTTTTTTCATACATTGTTTGATTATTAATGATTTCAGATCAAGGTCCGCCTGCCGTGGTTGAACCTCAGGACAATGAAGAGAATCTATCACTGAATTACGCTAAACTTCCGAATACCACCAAACTCGAGGAAGAACCCAATCCTTTTGAACAAAGTTTTTCCAGCGTCTCGGCTGATGAACGCACACCCAACCTTACCAAACCTAAACTACCACCTGCCGCTTCCATCGACAGCCCTTCGACCATTACCGACCCCGCTTCATTAGCAGCACCTTGGGATTCATTACATACTGGAGCTTTGTCACCGTCAATGCTTCAAGGTCCCGCCGATACATCTCAAGGTACGTTGTTAAACCAGGAAAAATACAGACGGATAAAAAAAAAGGACAATGGGGAATTGGAATATGCAATGGACTCATGGCTCTCTCCCCCTGCTTCTTTTCTTTCTCCCATTCATTTTTTTTCTCTTTCTTGCTTGATTCTTATCCCATTTCATGTTTACGATGGTTTTTTTTTTCCGTGGTTGGATGAACGCGTGACCCAATTTCACCCTTTTTGTTTTGCCGTTGCATATCCGAACTCCATCTCTCATGGGGCTTTTTTTTTGTCATTTACATATATATATATATATATATATATATATATGTGTGTGTGTGTGTGTGTGTGTGTGTGTGTGTGTGTGTGTGTGTGTTTTCTGTGGATGACGGTGTATTCGATGAATGACCATTGAATCTTTTTATTTACTTTGAACTTGCATTCACTCTATATATGTGTTCCATCCTCCAGTAGATTTTCAAGCTCCCATGTATCACGTCCAGGCACCCGACAATGTTTCACCTGTCAGGAAAACCGAGTTTATCCCCTATCAACAAGAGCATTATTCACCATCGAAATCAGCGAACCGTGCACGATCCAAAGGCAGTCTAACCAATTCGGTCCGATCTTCCAGCGGGGATACCGAAGATTCGTCTCATGACGACGATCATGCGAAACATAACAAAAAACGGAAAATGCAATCCAGTAAATCCATAGACGATGAAGAAAAACGAAAGAACTTTCTGGAAAGGAATCGACAAGGTACTTTTTTTTTTGGCAATGATGTTTGATGATGGATGCAAATACTCATGCGGGTGATATTGTAGCTGCTTTAAAATGTCGGCAACGCAAAAAGCAATGGCTTTTAAATCTGCAATCTAAAGTGGAGTATCTCACCAATGATAACGAGCAGCTTCAGCTTCAGGCCAACGCCATGCGGGAAGAATTGATGGGGCTTCGTAGTTTACTGTATGCTCACAAAGATTGTCAACATGTGAATAAGCAAGCCGTGTTCGATGCAATTCATCGTCCCGTGGCGGGGATGCCTCCGATGGCGCCCAATCCCATCAATATGTATCCACAACCACTACTCCCCACTCATCCTACCGCTCCTGGATCTACCATGGCAATACCCCAACAACTCGGCCGCGCTCCTCTTCAGCGTCTATCATAAAATGCTAGCATCTCCGTGTATAATATCAACTAATTCCTTGTTTCTTCAAATTTGTTTCATCTTCACCCAAGTTACTTTTGAGTCCATCTTTTCTAATTCTTTTTTTTTTGCCGACACTTTGATTTCCTTTCCCCATTTAAATCGTTCTTCTTTGTTCATACTGCCTAAACTTTTGTTTTTAATTGAATTCGAAAGAAATATTAAGCCAATATCTCGTTATACTGCGTGAAAGTATTTGGAATCTTCAGTAGCCAAACGGCTCGATTACTGTATATGTGACCAAGGACTCGGGTGAAGCAGGTAAAACGCGCAGCATCCGGTTTTGGAGAAACATACACAATGGATGTCCAAATTTTGCAGTTAAACTGCGCATACGGTCCAAAAAGGAACAAACGGATCTGACATAATAGCCGAAGCCCAAGATGAACCGCTCTGTCATTTCCATTTTCCCATAAGAATAGGTTTCTCATTATTTGGCATCTCAATTGAATCTACCGCATCGTCAAATCTTTTGTTCTAGGGAAAAAATCCTTATCTTATACAGCATTAGGTAGGAAGGGACGATGAAGAGAAGGAATTCTATTTTTTTGTGAGAAAAAAGGTCTATATCTAAGCTTTGTACAACAACCGTATTAACCGATGAAGGAGGCGACGTGATTCAGTACGACATCTGGTTTTTCAGCATGTACTAAATAAACAAAAGTTTAATAGGTTGGACATTGGTTTGAGAATAGATCTTTCCCGGTGATCGGTTTTCGTTGACTTACCCCAATGACCGGCTCCTTCGACCACCTCGAGCGTGGACTGAGGGAACATTTGATGGATTTGTTCGTGATATTCTTTGAAAGGAGGGTAATAAGGGCTTTTACCACCAGCAATGAACAAGGTGGGTTTGTTAAATACACCTGAAGCAGATTCGAAGCTGCCAATCTGATCTAAAGAACGACCCAAAATCTCGTAAGGTACTCGGAATTTCAAACGGTCGTCCTTTTGTCGTCTGAGATTGGTCAACAAGAACATTCGGATCCCCACGTTCGGCTCATACTTGGCCAAGATCTTGTCCGCCTCACTCTGACGGCTAGGATTTGCCTGTTCGATTTCGCGCATCGCATCCACGTAATTGCCAAAATTTCGTGATAAATAGAGCGATACAGGAGGCATATCTACAACCACCAACTTGGAAACAATCTCAGGCTGACGTAGAGCCGTCATCATCACTGCTTTACCGCCCCTGAAAGGGAGAAATGAAAAAAATCACCAAATTGTTTTGCCGTTTGTTGATCGTCATTACAGATATCGTCAATGCCCCAACTTACATTGAATGACCTAGAAGCACGGTATCTTTGAGCTGATGGGTGTCCAAGAATTGTAACAGATCGGCCGACATGGCTTCGTAGGTATGCACTTCACTGTGAGGACTATCACCATGATTACGCAAATCCTAAGCCCACCGTTAGCTACATTGACTATTCAAAGAGAAATACAAAAAAAAGGCCTACCACTGCATAGACATCCCGGCTGAATCGAGAGCTCATGGCTTTGGCGAGTGAATTCCAGTTTTGTTTGGAGCCAAAGAGACCATGGCAAATGACAATAGGAGGTTTTGTGGCTTTGGCAGTGGGGTATTTTTCAAAAGCAAGATCGACAGCACGAGTGGCCGTAGAGAAGCAGCGCACGGACTTGACTGCCAAAGAACGGTAGGATCGCTGAAGCAGTAACATGGACAAAAACGGGGGACCGCAAATTAAGGGCATTCTGAATCTGTAAAATGGGTGTAAAAAGTGAGCCGGCCCACCCGTCCGGCGGGGTAACTCCGCCAATGGAACGATTTCTCAGTTTGACCCCATGGTCACATGAAGACCCATCGATCAAAGGTGGGTTGGAAACAAATCTTTGGAATCAAAAGAACATTGATTCAATTAGCAACGCAGAAAAAGAAAATGGGATATGTTTTTCACAGAAATCATGGTTTATTTGATATTCCTGTAAAAGGGAATCCACGATGACAAGATCATTCCGTCTTTCTTGGTTTTCTTGACAATTCCGGAAACACGAAAAGGCTAAAAGGAAAACGAAAAAAAAAACCAGAAGAAACGCATACTCGCGTGCCAACAAAAAATTAGTATTCATAGTATGACCAATATTGCAACTAAGATGCCCACTATTGGAAATAATCTGAACAAGCGACGGTTTCCAAAGTTGCTAAATTCCAAATAAAGAAATTTTAATCTGAAACATACTCTATCGCGCCTTTCACCTTTTTTCCTTTTAGTTTCGGGGCACTCGGAGCCAAACGTTCTGGACAAACGCCGTAAAGCCGACTCCATTCATGTGGATTATTCGAATTAGAACGCAGGTGTTTGCTCATCAGCAACAGAATAAAAAAAGACGATGGTAAAAAATAAGTATATAAAGACTCTTTTTTGGTGGAATTGGGAGAGTAAGGACCGGCTACTCTTCCATCAGTTTTAATGCTTTACTAAATTCTCAATCATCTCATACAATAGATATCAGAAACATGCCAAGAAATCATAAGGAAACAAATTTAACTATAGTGTATGTACAAAGTTTTTGCAGAGATGAAAGAAAAGAAAAAAAAAAGATCTATCTTGTTTTTACGTCGGCGAGGAAGGACCTGAAAGGGCCTTTCTGATTTTTCTCAGATCGGCCGAATGACGCCTGCTGTCAGGTTTTTTCACCTTGACGGTTCGTGTGGCAGTCAGTTCTCGCCAAACAAAACAAGAATTGCCTTCAATGTGTGTTTTCGGTTTCCGTCCACGCTTTTTTCTTGGCACTTGCAAGACGGTATCCATATCAGAACTGGTGAAAGCAGCCATGGTTCCATTCATGGTCGCTTCGCTCGGATGACTGGTCGTTGAACTGCTCAGTTCTGGTTGCTTGGGCGAATTGACATTCCATACCGTTGGCGTCAAAAACGTCCATCCACCTTCCCACACAGGTTCGCGTTGACTCGGAGGTCGACCCCGGCGACGCTTCAAAATGGGTTGCCCATCTTCGTTCAAGATGATCTGGGTAGTAGCAAGGGAATTGGCGCCCGTGGAGGAGGCCGCTGGCTTGGCGGGTGCAGCAGTGGCAGGGACCGACGGTTGTGGAGGGGATGGCGAAGCATGACTTGTGGCAGCAGTCTTGGGTTGCGGAAGGGGAGAACTTCCGGGTGAAGGAGGTGACGATGGTAAGGATAGACAGGATTCCGACGAAGGCGATGAACGATTGGAGGGAGAGGGGGATAAAGGTGGAGGCATTGACAGAGGACAAGGATCACTCGATTTACGGTACAACGTTGGCCAAGCCGACAGTTTACTGAAAGACGATGTATTTGGAGGAGACAGGGAAGGCATCGAAGGTTGACGCACTAAACGTCGAGGAGGGTCATCCCCTTGAAGTGGTGGCCATAGCATATCATTGACTGGGGAAAGCGAGGGCGAAGTACTGGAAGCTGAATAAGGCGAAGCTGGAAACAGTGATTGCGAATCCGGAATAGAAGAGTTGAGCGTCAATGGTGGATAAGATGGCGATTTGGAAGCGAAATAATGATTTGGGGGTGCACCTCCGGATTGTGGGGTTTTAGGTGACGCTGGCAATATATTCAATGTCACAGCCTCTTGTTGCTGTGGCGATGGCCGTGGCGAGGATGACGGTTGTGAAGGACTGATACCATACCCTGGAGAGCATGGTGGAGGCAAGGTCAATAAAAGAGAAATTGAAGGTAATCTCGTATGTCGTTCCCGGGTCATAACAATAATGTCAACAGCAGAAAAGAAAGACGCCACAATAAAATGAACAGAAGAAATATGTAAACAAAGAGACTAGAAAAGTTTTGGAAAAATAGAATAAAAAGACAACAGAAAAGGGAAAAGAAAAAGATCCAACAGTGGGATTACAAGATATTTAAAGAATCACCGAAAAAAAATAGATGATGGCGAAATACAGTTATCTCAACTTGGGATGGCAAAAGGAAAGACAAGAAAAGAAATCACGTCCAATGAAATGGACAATTTAGGGTGTGCTTGTTCTCGTACTTCTTCAATCCGAATTTGAACGGTCCGCAGGAGGCACGTGCTTGCCCCAGGGAATTGCTTGAAACCAAAAGGTTAAAAAAGGAAGGTGCCAATAGCAAAAAAGGCAGGTTTTTATCCAAAGAAGGAAACACCAAACGTCGTGCTGAAATCTCATTCGGTCGGCTGATGGAACCCTTGTCTCACTTTGTGGTTTTGTACTCATTTCACTCCAAAGAATGGAAAACATCTTTATTTGGCAATTTGACTTGGCCACACAAATGGGAAAAAAAAAGGTGCAAAAACTTTTCTAAATCTTGCCCGACCTCCACTTGGATCAAAAGGGCATTGTCGGTTACTTTGCCTTGCACTACTTTTAAGATACAGAACACTAGCATTCTTTTTTCATAAAAAACAACAACGCTAAAAGCAATAGCCGGTCGAATTGTGGAAAATAACCCCTTTCACACAACCAATCATAGTACACAAAGAACGTATATCGGAGCCTAAACTGACGGAGCGTCATCAAAAATTTTTAGGGTCTTTGTCGATTGCGTTTTCGCTCATGTCGTCGATATTGGTATGCGATATTGTGTAGTTTAGATATTCTCTATTCTTTATCAATTCAACGGTTTGTTTCATACCGTAATATTAGTTTTTTAATGATGTAACCACTTATTCATTTGAGTAGGTCTTTTTTCTGCTAGTGTATCATATGCATGCATTTGTTGGATAAAATCAAGGTCCCCACTAGTGACATTACCTTTCTCCGGTGAAAATATCCCATCTTCATACCCACCGTGGCAGCATTTACTTATTTCTATTACAAAAAACAAAGGTTTACAGTATAACACGGACTTGTCGTCTCCAGAAAAAAGCATACTTATTACTGAGCGACTGATCCATGAACTATTCACTGGTGCTGCGCAACAGTTCATTGATTGTACATGGCACTTGTGGATAACGAACTGATAGATGTCGGACATGATATTTCTTGATCGATTGTGAAACGTACAGTAACGAGTTTTCAGGATGAATCAAATATCAATGCTTTTTTGTTATAACTCTGTGAATGAAACGAAAAAATCGATAAATTCAGGAAAATACGGAAAAGTAGGGGTGTGACAATTGATGGTTTTCTTTCGAACCATCTTGTCAGAATCGGCTAGCAACTTAGATACGAGGCACAGGCACTTATTGTCCGATACTGCATTATTGAAATACATCTAGGAGCGTTGCCAGGAGAACCGATCCCTAAAAAGCAGTGATCAGAATCATGTTCTTGATGATAAAAAATCTATAACAGCTGTCAATGATGTGGTGGTTTCATTTTTCTCCATCCTTGTTCATATATATTCTTTTCCCTTTCAAATACACTTGTTATGCCTTTGAAATCTCCGATAACGGTCGTCGCTACAAGCTTGCTTGCTGCTCAAGCTCTTGCCGTTTCTGTTCACAACTGGTGGGATGTGCCTAGCGACTTTGGTAATATTGCCGAGTTACAATCCTCTATCCGGGTTCCCCAAGGCTCCGATCCTATCAAGACATATTGGATGGCCAACGGTTTTGGCAACGGTTACATGGGTATGCAGCACAATTCGGATACGGAGCGCCGTATTTTATTCTCCATCTGGGACGATGGCCAAGGCTCCAAGGTCGAACCTATACGACACGGTGATAATGTAACGGTTGGTACCTTTGGCGGCGAAGGCGAAGGTGCTCAGTCTTACCTTGTCTACGACTGGAAAGCCGGCGACACCGTGTACTTCCGTGTGCAAGCCAATGTGAACGAGGCAGAGGATTATGCCGAATACACCGGTTACTGGGGCACCGATGGACAAACATGGAATTTAATTGCGTCTTTCCGAGCCGAGAAGCAGCCATATTGGCTTCTAGAACCTTACGGTTTCCTCGAAAACTATGGTTCTGATCAGTCCGAGATCCGCGAGGGCTACTATGGCAACTTTGTCATGATCAACTCCAACGGCCAACACCACACACCCGAAAATTTTCAATTCACCCATACTGACATTTTCAACGAATACCGAGAAGTCTGGGACCAACGCCTGGTGGAACAGGGCAAAGAAGTGTACATGCGTATCGATGGTCCGGCCGACCAAGGCGCGTATCCCCCCGCGCATCATTAAATCACCCTTCTTCCCCCTCTTTCCTCCGCACTCTCTCACAAAATTTTTTTTCTTATGCCTCACAATAAAGTTTGATTGCAAATAAAAAAATACTTTTCACTGCAAGCTCTATAATATGCAGTAGATAGCGATACTTGAAACTCTCTGGATGGAACGCCAAAGTCGACAGAACAACACGACTTGCTGTCATTGATTCCAATGCTTGTGCCTTCTTTAAGTTGATCAAGGCGGATACAGTCTGCTGATTTTGAGAGCAGCGTTCATTGTTGTTTACTGTTCCAGATATATCGAGCAGAAGCACTCGATATGAGACGTGGGTCATTGTAAAGAGGCTTCATATTTTTTTGGGGGTATAATTTTCTTTATTTAAAGTATAACTTTTTTTAAAAAAAGAAGAAAGAAAACAATGAGAAAGAGGTACCAAGAATGCGACAAACGAAATGAGAAAATGATAAAGACAAAATATGTAATGGGGGGAAAGAATGATTAATCGACAATGAAGCTTCGAACTTTGCCCTTGCGGGTGGTGACGACTTTCTTCATAAGCAAAGTAGGCAACTTGGTTTCGATACCGTAGACACTCTTGAAACAAATCCATGCACGGGTCCAGCCTCGGACATGAGCGCGAGTAGGATAGCCATGCGATTGCTCCAGTGCTTGGCCAATGGCACTGTAGACGTTGCAAGCCGCACGAACACCGCCTTGACAATCAGCAGGTAAACGAGCAATACCATGAACGGCACGCTTGGACATTTCTTCGGCGGAATGCACCAATTCGAGAGCCAGCTCCCGGAGACGTTGATCACCCAAGGCACGGGCACAACCAGTGGAAATGAGATTGTACTCTTCGTTGGTCAACCGGTCGCGAGGAATGTAGCATCGGCCCAATTTTTCGCTGTCAGTCACAATATCACGGGCAATGTTGGTATACTGCAAGACGAGTCCCATTTCGCGTGCACGAGCAATGGTCCAACGGAACACGGACAAGTCGGATCGAGTCGTCGGATCAGACAACATGAGAATACGGGTACACATTTCACCCACACTGCTGGCGACACAAGCGGAATAGTGGATCAGGTCCTTTTCGGTCTGTACCGGACGACGGTCCAAGTCCCATTCGTAGCCTTCGAGAAGTTCTTCGACAGCATCGACTTCCAAGACGTGACGCAATCGTACAAAGGATCGAAATGCTGCAACACAGCTTTCAGGAAGCACGACCTCGTACTCTGCCCAGTTGATCACCGGTTCATTGGTCTTCTGGCTGAACAGTTCACGGACAAACTTTCGAGTGGCAGCCAATTGAGACTTGCGATCTTCCACGGACACAGATTCATCATCAGCCAAGTCATCCGTAGCACGACAGAAACCATACAGAACACCGAGGTCTTGACGGGCATGGAACGAAAAGACGGAGGAGGCCGTGTAAAACGAGTAGGAAGCTTGGCGAAGGATGTCCCAAGCAACGGTAAGATCTTTCAATGGACGACTGTTCAATGCTTGATCGCATTGGCAAAAGGCCCAGGTTAAATCAAGCATATCCGACAAGAAGGAAGATTCGACACGTTCATGCGCAGCAATGGTGCGAGTCTTGTACAGATGGAGGATGGCCTGAGCGCGGTCAATAGCACAGGTGGCAAAGACGAGAATGACATTGATCATAAGGAAGAACATGAATTCCTCCAAAGGCAAATGAGGCGCGACCATGATTCCGGAACTTGTTCGTCGAGAGATATCCCAGGTGCCAGCAGCAATGGCGACTTGATCGACCCAGCAAAGATATAGGGTAGGCATCGCAATGGAGAAAAGCACAGCTTTCCAACGACGGCAAATGTACTCACCAGCTCCGAACCAAAGCAAAGCCAAGACAGGGCACACATACCAAAGGATGCAACTACCATAGAAAAGCGGCGTAGCAGGCACAGCCAGGTGCTAAGAAAAAAAAAAAGAGTGAGTCATGGCTGTCTTAATCAATCCATTAATGCCAAAAAAAAAGGTACTTTACCCATGCTTTAGCGCCGACTGTGAGGAAGCCAATGATGGGAATATAGCGAACACACATGGAAGAGTAGATGGATTTTTCGGGCTTCAGATAAAACCCGGGAAGGTGCCAACGCATGACAAGATTGCTGAAAGCGACGGTCATCAAGGTCATGATGATAAAAAACATGTATTCTTCCAAGGGGACGTAACCAATCACGGCTGTGACGCATTCCGGGCAGTAAGACCAAGCACGATGATACACAATGTAATTATCCCAGGGACTGGCAGTACCAAACGCCACGGCGCACAAAAAGATGTATTTCAATTTATCCTGCGACGAGTGGAATGGACGCAAGAACCAAAACAGTAGCCCGAGCACAGGCAAGGTGTAGTAAAGATGGACTTCCATATAAGTCAACATTTGTAGAATAAACGATAAATAAAAATGCAAATAATGAAAGAGGTGATGCGAGACGCCAAGGTAGAAGAAAAAGGGTATAAAGAAATTCTAAGGGAAAAAATAAGAAAAGGACTGAAGGGAAAGATCAGACAAGTGAATGAATGGTGTGTATAAGAAAGTGATATCGGGATGGATCCGAAAAAAATCAAACGAGTCTTGTCATTTATAAAGCTTTTTTTTCTCTTGCGTATCAGCTTGAAATATTCAAGAACTACTTTGGCATCATTGACTTTTAGGGAAAGTGTGCTTTCAATTGACAAGCGTCGTCTTGAATGCACGTTGATGCATCATTCATTTTCATTGACGCAAGAGCATCCCACAGTGACCAGTCAAGGAAGGGTAACAGAACGTTGATCTCTCTCGGTCCAATGAAAATCGAGCCAGTCTCTGCTCACTTCCCTTTTTGATGCACAAAAGCATCCTGACAGTGAAATGGGCGAAATGCCAGGGGATCCACAAAAAAGGAAAAAAGAATGTCAGCGGCCGGCAAAAGTCCCAAAACGGTTATTCACCGAAGACAATCTCCATGCAGTCTGTGTGCAACCCCTCTCCTGGAAGGAATCTCGAGAGAAAAAAAAAGGCCCACAAAACTTTAATTCGTCATCTTCATGAACAATGAAATGAAATGGACCGTCCCATTTTGCGTTTGCCTTGGGTACCCCCCTAAGAATCATGTCGCTTTTTTTTTGCGCTAATTTGTTCTTCCCGTGCCTCTTTTTTTTTTTTAGCCGTCAACTTGCCATTTTTTAAAACCCAACCACAACGCATGAATCTTTTTTTTTTTTTGCCTTTATATAGGATTTTCGTTTTCGACTCGTCTTAACGTTCACCAGTTGACGGTTCTTCTCGTTCTTTTCTCTTTCTCTATTATTTATTCTATAGACGTTTTACTTTTATATCCAACATGCCTCAACAAAAACATATCGTGGTGATCGGTGCTGGCGTCGGCGGTACGGCCACGGCTGCAAGGCTGGCGCGTGAAGGATTTCGAGTGACCCTGGTGGAAAAGAATGACTTCTCGGGTGGCCGTTGCTCGCTCATTCACCATAATGGCCATCGGTTTGATCAGGGCCCTTCCTTGTACCTGATGCCCAAACTGTTTGAAGAAGCTTTTGAAGACCTCGATGAACGCGTGCAAGACCATTTGGATTTGCTTCGTTGCCATAACAATTACAAGGTCCATTTTGATGATGGTGACAAGATTCAGTTGTCGTCTGATCTGACACGCATGAAACCCGAACTGGACCGTATCGAGGGCGAAGATGGGTTTGGTCGGTTCCTTGACTTCTTGTCGGAAACCCACACCCATTATGAGCGCGGAGTGTTCATTGCCATCAAGCGCAACTTTGAAACTATCTGGGATCTGGTGAAGCTCAAGTATGCTCCGGAAATCTTCCGTCTCCACTTGTTCAGCAAGATCTACAGTCGTGCCAGCAAGTACTTCCGTACGAAGAAGATGCGCATGGCGTTCACCTTCCAGACCATGTATATGGGGTAAGAAATGACTCGTCGACTCTTTTGTCCTCCACGGTAGCCATGAACACAGTACTGATGAATCTTTTTCTTTTTTAAATACAGCATGTCGCCTTATGATGCACCAGCAGTTTACAGCTTGTTGCAGTACACCGAGTTTGCAGAGGGGATCTGGTATCCGCGGGGTGGATTCAATATGGTGGTCCAAAAGTTGGAAGCTTTGGCGACGCAAAAGTTTGGGGCCAAATTCATTTACAGTGCGCCTGTGGCCAAGATTAATACGTCAAATCGTGACAAGCGGGTCACCGGGGTCACGTTGCAGAATGGTGAGGTGATTGAAGCCGATGCCGTCGTGTGCAACGCCGACCTTGTCTATGCCTACAACCACTTGCTGCCCCCTTGCAGCTGGGTGAAGAACCAGCTCGTCGAGAAGAAACTGACCTCGTCGTCCATCTCATTCTACTGGTGCATGTCGCAAAAGATCCCTGAACTGGATGTCCACAACATCTTCTTGGCCGAAGCGTATCGCGAGAGCTTTGACGAAATTTTCCAAGACCACACGCTCCCGTCCGAGGCGTCCTTTTACGTCAACGTGCCTTCTCGTATCGATGAATCGGCGGCTCCCTCAGGCAAAGATTCCGTTATTGTCCTTGTTCCCATTGGTCACATGCGTAGCAAGAATGGCGACCCTACCATTGAAAATTATCCTGTGTTGGTTCAAAAGGCGCGCAAGATGGTGTTGGAAGTGTTGAACCGACGTCTCGGATTGGCCAACTTTGAGCAATACATTGAACACGAAATAGTGAACGATCCAAGTGTGTGGCAACAAAAGTTCAATTTATGGCGTGGTTCGATCCTTGGTTTGTCGCATGATATCTTCAACGTGTTGTGGTTCCGCCCTTCCACCAAGGACTCCACCGAACGATACAACAATCTCTTCTTTGTCGGCGCTTCCACGCATCCAGGTACCGGTGTTCCCATCGTTTTGGCTGGTAGCAAATTGACGGCGAACCAAGTGTGCGAACATTTCAATGTCCAACCACGCCCCAGTGCCATTGCAACTACCAAGAAATACTATCCTTCTGAACGCTCGGCCTCTTCGACATGGTTGTACTCGGTGGTGTCGTTGTTCATCCTCCTGTTTGCTTTTTTCGCGAGTTTCCCTGAACATTCCTCGAGCCAAACCGCCGCCTCATTCATTAACTCTTGCCTTCCTGCCCCCTTTCGCGTTGTCATGGCAGAACCCCTTCCCTACCAAAATCAATAGTTTTTTGGACATACTTTTTTTCCGCTTAGCTTTATCTGTTATATTATCCATTTTTTATTCTAACTATCAAAAAGCAATAAAATGACCGTTCCTATTAATGTGTTTGGTCGTTGTGGGTTTCTTTTCTGTTCTTGCGCCGACTCTGTATCCAATACCATTGCGCAGTACCGGATTCTTTCTTCCTTCCTGGCAAACCCCCCCCCAACTGCTCTCCTTCCTCTTGAAACTTTGTCGTGAATGCAGAAAAAGCCCGACGGCAGTTTACGTAAGCATCGTATCTTTCACTTGCAAAAAAACCATTCGAAGTTTCCCTTTTTGAGCTCTGTGGTTCTCTCTTGATAACCCAAAAAATCGAGGACGATCATTGTGTGTCTAGACCAAGTAGCAGCATGGACTACCAAGAGAACGGAAAAATAAGATGCGCAACAGTGTTACACGAGGACCAAAAAATAAATTTTCCCGTTTTAGCGAAAAGGAGTCTGTGTGCCAATTTTTTCCACAAACACCGTGTCTCCGTTCACAAGCACCACCAATCATCCATGATTCCAGCGATTGCAGACTTGTCCCACTTGACCGATGTTTATGGTAGGTGATTCTAACAAAAACTACCGTGTAACCATGCCGCGCGTACCTTGATCAGATAATCGCGCGAATGGTATCATTCATTTGCGCGCAGCATGGCTTCTACTATAATTTACCAAATGATCACAAACTTACAAAATATATACACAATTGGCATTGCCTCCTAAAGATGGGCCTAATAATCGAGTTCTCCAGTATACACAGATGGTCGTGTCTCATCATGTAAGACCCGAACGGATCCCCCTTCGCCTTCTTCTTCGTCCTCTTGAAAATACCGATCTTGAGCATCTTGTGTCTCTTGCTCCAAATCATCGTATATCTATATGATCCTGTTAGTTTCGACATTGCTATAAGACGATTTTTGTCATCCTACCTCGTTATAATCCACCGACGCGTAATCAAAGTTGGTCTAAAGAACATACGCTTGCGTTACAAAAAAACTGCATCAAACTTTTTCATGATGGCTATGATCAATCCCACTTACATCTTTGCCAGCCAAAAATCGTTCTTCCATTAATCGAATAAATTCTAATCGTTGCTCATCACGAAATTGAAGTTCTTCTTCGGTTGGCATGATTGGCTGATTTTGTTGACTGGGTAGAATGTCCAATAAATCAGCCTTGGACGGCAATCCAAGTCCGGCCGTTGAATCTTCATCAGCAGAGGTTCGATCCACCGACGTTGAGTTGACCTCCTTCATCATGACATCGTCGTCTCCATCATTGGCTCCCCGCAACCCTTTATTCCCGTGCTCTTGATATTTTTCGTTTTCGTCTTCTTCGTCTTCTTCGTCGTCGTCGTCTTCTTCTTCTTCCTCTTCAAACTGCTCTTCTTCCAGACCTCGCTGATATTGTACCTGCTTATCGGCATAATCTCGATCGATATTGCTCAGAATTCTTTGTACAAGGGTAATGTCGTTTGCAAATGGAGCTTCTTTTTCCTGATCAGGAATATATTGTCCAATATAGTGTTCGTACAGCACTGGATCTCGCAATTGCATTGTTTCATCCGAAAAATAAGAACTGTTACGCAAATGCCGTTTCAAGTATTCGAAGCGTCGGTTATGCACCACAGTATGTAACGCTGACTTTGGTTTCCTCGGTTGTCGATGGCCCAATGAACCAGTGACTTCCATGGATGAAGTCGAAGCATCAGGACTGTCGCCATCGGCATGCAACAATCGTTGTAAATGAAAGCCCACCTCGTAATCGTCTACCGTGCAACAAGAACAACAATGAGTATGATTTTTCCAAAGTCAATTTATCGAGAATAAAATTACCTTTTAGAGGCTGAAATGAAGCCAATGTGTTTTGTGACAGATAGCGTCCCCATTTCGTTAGAAAGAGGCCGGGATCGGTATCCAGTATTTGTGCCATTTTCTGGACTTTGGCTTCACTGCTGAGCTCCGGTTCATCTCGTTTCAGTGTCTTGAAAGGAATAACGTCAAGATTTCTTGATATATATGAAAGCACCTTGTCTTTGCCAGCCTGATCCATAGATGTCGAATGAACCTGCAGCATATTGACAGAATGGCTGCGCCTGCGGCACCAACCTGCCAGATCGCTCCGCTGAGCCAATCACATCTTTTCAAAATGAAACGACGATCCGTGACTGCTCCAAAAAATGCAGCGCATGAACCTGTCGAAAGTGCTTGCTCAAAACGCACCACCATCGTGTGCCGTCGACTGGAACCCGCTTTGCAATTGATGGAATTTGCGTTGCAGGTAAACCCGCGAGATTTCTTTCCAAACGTTTTTTTGCTAATATGATTTCGATGACTGTTGTTGCTTAGTCTGATGTTAATGCTATAATCGAACGTGCTACGGCCTCGACGCTGGATTCAAAAAGGTAAAGCGCAACGGATCTGTCGATCGAGAAGTTTGTCCTTTGGTAATTCACCACTCCATGTAGCGTTGTAACCTTATTTATTGGAACGGTGGAACCGACTATTGTATACTACGGGAAATGCAAAGACATTTACAGAACGCTCCATTCGGTGCTATTCCGGGCATGGCGGAACCGACACGGTAGAGTGTTATCTCTGTCTTGTCTTTTTTCCGACCAAAAAAAAAAACTCAGTCGTGTCTGTAGATTGCGAAACGGATTTCTCCATTTGTCGTTATGAGCGAGGGTTACAATCGACCGAGTACGCTCAATTGGTAGTCTATTTTGATCTGCTCGATTACATGAAACAATATATTTATACGCTTCCTGCCGAGGTACGATCCCATTTGCATAAAGAGAACCGTGGCCGGTATTCATCGCAATTTTCTCCATTTTCTCAGGAGGCACTGCTGGCTGTACAAAATTTAATGAAGCCACATTCTATACTACACGATCAATGCTATGCGCTTTACATTACCCTATGTCGCTGCATCAAAGATGGGGATATTTACGCAGCGGCGATCCAGTTCCTGAAAGATCAAATACCTTCCGCCAAACTAGGTGAGCCAACCAAAACGGCATACGCTTTTTATAGGCAGATCATTGATTTCCTGGTAGATGACGATGTATTGTCTGAATTGCTCTTGTTCTTGCAAAAGGAGATAGCAGCAGTCAAAATCGTTTCGAATAATACTTTTTCCGATACCCAGTCGACTGATCATTCCCAGCGCAGAAAACAACTTATCCAATTGCTTATTTCCATGCCATGGGATCAAGGCAGCCTTTTGATTCGCCAAGAATTCAAAATGGTCATGCAATGTTTAACGTCGCCGACCAGTCGAAAAAGGCGGCGCGCTTCGTCCTTCACGCTTTTTGATCAAGAGCAACCGAAAGAAACCCTAGCAAGTCAATGGTCTACTACCTGCAAATCACAAGATCTGTACCCTCTGGATCGACACAAACAAGCATTCATCACCTTGTTCCAATACACGCAACGGCATGGACATCCTATGCAACCATTGGAGTTACGTCATGTGGATCCGAAACGCGTAACGGACGCAGCAGACATACAGGTCGTTGACATGTTGATCGGAAAGTTAGAGACACCGTCCGAGAGTGAACCATTAATGGAAAAGATATGGATACAGTGTCAATTGCAAAGCCTTCAGCTACTACGAGATCAGGCTCCCGGATGGAGATCGATCTTGAAAATGATGGTCCAATTTGCCGATCTGTGGGTAAAGTAAGTCAAGTGCGCCAAAACAACTTGTCAAACAAGAAATTAAGTAAGCCTCCATTCCAGCCAGTTATCAGACGCTGGTGCCATCCAATACTTTGGCGAAATGATCGCAAGAGAAGCACTGTTCATGGACTTGTACCATCATACTCTGAAATTGGTCAACATTTACAATAACCTAGGTGAAGTGCTGGTCACCTCATCGACAATCAAAGTATGTTTTTTGCCTCTGTCAATGCGGCTTATTCTTAACTTTCCTTTTTTTTATTATGCATAGAAATTATGCTCTTTACTGCTTGCGACAATGGACCATATTTCGGACGCGAACGAGTTGTGTCGTTATCGAGATCGTGCCTTTGCACTGGATGCGGTGGCCACCGACCCCACCGAGCCTTTATTTGGCTCTGTGGACTATTGGTGCAACGACTTTTATTTTCAGCTCACCAAAGTATGCAATCAGCTGGTACAAACAGACAATGACACTATTTTCTCACTGGATGATACGGAACTGCCGATATCATCAGAGGCCCTTCATATGTTGGTCAAGGTAAACAAAAGATGACAAAATACCGTAGTATCCCGTGCTAATTTTGCGTATATCCCAGCTTTCCTTTATGTGGCCTTTCCAAGTGCTCAAAAAGCTTGTGTCTGCGTGCTTTGAGAACCGAAATCAGCACTTGATCATTGTCCCTATTCTTGCGGGAATGCAACGTCTCTCGGGTCTCAAAAAGCAAAGCAGTAGGCCATCGTTGATGGTACTTGTACTCCAACACCTGTACAATTCTCTTGATTCGACCTTACTCACGGCGTTCAAGCCCAATATTCTCAGTTTCCTGCAAGCCAGCTGTCAACCGGTACGTCGGCGCTGATCGGGCAAAAAAAATAAAAATAAAAAAATAGTGAGACAAATGAGCAATATATTGATTAACCGCTGGGTGAATTAGGATCCAACGAAATCATGCCCGATCATGTTGGTTTCCGACCGGCGAATTGAAGCAAACCTCGGACTCGTGTTGGATATCCGTGAATATCTTTCTGCGTGTATAGTTCCCTCCTTGGAAATCGGCGTCAACATTGAACAACATACGTCAAAGTCACGAAATCAGCTGAAACTCCATCTGCAAACCCTCCAGGCGCTTGGCAATCTCAATGATGACGGTCTCGAAAAAGCACGCAAAACTTACAGCGATCATTCTGATTACTGGCCAATAATGCTGGCTATGCGTCCTACGGACGTACTAGATGCGCTGTTATCGCTGCTGACGTTGCGAGAATCCGGCAACGTGGAACACCAGTTGTATAGTCTTGAGGATTGGAACGCGATCCGCTCGTGTATCAATACGCTCGTGTACGTGACCCGGAGCATGATGGGATCGGAGGTTGCGCCCGATAAGGATCGACAGGACGAGGTTCCATCGCTGACTACGAAAAAAGAGAGTTTACGAAATGAGATGGTCACATTCATGCTGGAGCGGTTGAGTCAATACGGTAAGTACAGGCCGGTGAGCGGTCAATGACGATCTCCCATCTCTTAAACCTCCGATTTAGCTTGGCCTATTCGGGTCGTGTGTTACGATATTTACACCCTATTCCTCCCTTTGCCGCCCAAGATCCGTATTCCGCGCTTCTTGGTTCAAGTAACGGGAACTCTCAATGGCGTTTTCGAGGAACTATCCAGTGATGATGATACCCCTGATTCCCACGGAGATGGCCAAGAAGGGTGGTGTCTTTTCGTTCAAGCATGCAAACTGTCCAGAACATTGATGAAGGAATTATTCCGAGTAAGTGGGTGGGGGGGAATCTTGGAAGCTTTTTGTTGTATCGAGACTCACGGTCTAATGCATGCATAGCAAAAAGAGAGTTGGATGTCCAGTCTAGTCCTGTTATGGAAACATCCGAATGAAGACACGATTCTGACACCCTGTTTCTACCGGAACCTGTATCCCAGCCATACACCGAGTGTGCAATCTGAATATCAATTGCTTCTTGACACGTTTTTAGGCGACCTGTATGAATCGATGAATGATGCACAAATTATTCGCAACTACAGCTATCCCGTGTCGCAAATGTGTCCAATGGCTCGGCGTTTAACCGATTCTGGTAATTTTATTTTTCTGTGTCTCCTTGCGCGGACGAACAATGAAATTGAACTGACTTTGGAAAAAAAAACTGAACCTTTTTTTTTTTTTTGGCGCGCGGTGATTCGATGCAGACTGTCAATCTTTTTTTAAAGTTCTGTACGTGATCAGATTATTGACGCAATGTGCTTCGTCGCTGAAAATGGCGGAAACAGAGGCTCCTGAGAATCCATCATCTTCCATGTATGCAGACGCCAACTTTTTCGTATCGAATCTTATTCGATGCTTACAGGTAAGATGTCACATTTGTGGAATAACGGAAAATCTCGATTGACTAACCACAAAAATATAATTTAGAATCTCAAGGAATGGACGGGGATTTCCGCATCACGCCACTTGATTCCGCAAAGTGACAAAAAGCCTTTTTCCGCTAAGCTTATCCGCGAGTATCTGCGGGAGAATTACAGTAACATCCAGAAGAGTGAGATCATCGAGGATCGTCAGACCGAGACTCAGGAACATGGTTCGGTGGTGGAAATCTTTTACCCATTTCCTAATGAGGCATGGCACTCGGGGCGATCGCTGGCGATACTGACGTTCTGCATGTTGTGTTATGTGAGCCATCAATTGCAGCGGACCGAGTTGCAAGATCTCGTCCGTGTACTCATGCTTCAAATTGTGGAAGGACTCACGGATCAAGAACACCGACAAGCGTTTCGGCGGATATGCAGCCAGCAAGTGAAGTCACGTACTACTCAGTGGAAAAAAGCCAAAGAGAGGAAATCCAAGTTGGTTTTACGGCCCATCATGGCCAGCGATGAAGAAATCCTCATTCGGTCGTATGTTAGTTTATTATCATCAGTGGAGGAACAACGTGCCATTCTTCAAGCGTTCGAAATAGCCGAATCACATCCTCCTCAATCTGCCGCCATCTATCTTATGCCTCAGGAATGTAGATTTCTAGCCACCTGAGCGCGTTGACCGTTTAGCCATCGACACCGGTTGTATAATAGGCAAGTAAAAGTAGCATTGTCGGCCCGAAAATACAAGAAAATTCTTCAACGTATCACACGAAACGTCAACCTACCATATGAAACGTGATGAGCTATTCAGGGCAAAAATTTTACATGTCGAATCCATAAGATCAGAAAATTTTTTCATGGTTTAATAGATTGATGGTGTGTGCGTGTGTGTGTGTTGAAGATAACAGTTGGTTCGTGGCGCCGACTTGAAGTATTTTTGATATTCTACGCGTGCGATGATTCGATTGTTTGTAGGTCCGCTCACAGACAAGAAAAAAGGCGGAAAAATTTTCCCCCAGAATAAAAAAAAAAGCTGTGTGGGTTCTAATATGATGTGTGGAATCTGGCCTTTTTTCTTTTGTAGTTCCTTTTCCTTTCCACTGGTGACGATCACTGCGTACGTCAGTAACTTCTTATAAGAATGTTCGACAAACTATGTGAGCCAAGGGCCATGGGCAGGGAATATTTTTCGGTTGCCTTTTGCGGGCGGTCGATGATTTTGCATGAACGGACGAGTTACTGGGATACGGTTGACCCTGTTCCCCGTTCTTGTCCCACACGGAGTATGAAAAAAATTCACATAAAAATAAAGCCAGTCTGAGAAACCGCTTGCTGAAACCTCTGTAATTTGGTTTTGTGCACTTGCAGGCTTTTGCTTATGGTAAGGCTCGCTTTTTTTTGAGGCATTTTTAGCTTGATAACAAAAAGAAAGCCATGGATGATGTACAAAAGAGGATGACCAGTTTTACCCCAAAATGACTCATGATTGGCTTGTTTTCCATCACTCAATGTTTCTCCCACAATGAAAAATCGGCCAATGATCTTTTTTTGGCAGCAGCACATCATTCATTTCCCCATAGTTTTGGAGAAGCAAAAAAAAAAAAAATTCTTATTTTGTCAGCGGGGCGAAAATAAAACATGGTTCGATAAATTGGAAAAGAGTGAAAAAAAAGAGCGAGTTGGGCCCAATGTGGCTTTTTTTTCTTTTTTTTTTCTACCATTCATGCAACTCGTGTGTGGCTTGAGCACCCCGACTGGCTGTTACGGAGTGTGATGATAATGCATGTTCTTCTTTTTCTGCAACGCATGATGACATCCAGGTTGGATAAGAGATAAACGTCAATTTGGGGTGATAAGAACTGCTTTCCATGGCGGGGACTCAAGATAGAAAAAGGAAAACGGCAGGATGACGGTCCTTTTGTGTTTCTCATGAAACATTGGTTTCATTTGAAGTCTTCCGATCGTAAGCGACGGGGATAGAACATGCAGTCGTCCACTTTTGCTGTTATTTTTCTTTCCAAGATGGAAACCATCAATGATCCACATCTCCATAGCAATAGTCAACGATGCTTATTGGCGTGAATGATGTCAGTCATGTTCCAAGATTCTGTGGTTTCTACTGCAAAGGGTCCCTTTCAAATGTCAAAAAATCGAAAAATTTCTAAATTGGGTCTTGGCCATGGTTACCTAACCAAGCAGACCCAGTCACTGATCGCGACTATTTTTTTTTTTTTTCACCAACTGCGATCCAAATCACTCTTGCACAAAGGCCAAGAAAAATGACGACGACTTATGGATATACAACAATTGAATATACGCTGTTTTGCTTATCCAAGCCGATATTTTTAGAAATTAGACTGGCAAAAAAAGGGCCAGGCAAACCAAAAAGGTGCAACTGAAGAGAAGAGCTGAATTGGAAAAGTGGCACGAGAAACCTGGCCAATAACTGATTGAATGTCCCGGTGTGTTGGAGAGGTTGAAACCGAAAAGAAAATGTCACTCTATTCTGCCCTTCGGGTGGGATTTTTTTTTCTTTTTTTATTGATCCGCCTTTTTTTTTGACGCCTTTCTTTTCCTAAACCTTTTTCCCCTTCTTTAATTCTTTTTGATTGTTTGAATCCACAAAAATAACTGCACTGATATGTCTGGCTTAGAATCTATGCATATATCGGTACCTGATACAAACGATTACTATTCTTACAAGCAGCCCCGGGGTAGTATATCGTCCACCACTTCGTCTTCGTCCTTATCGCCTGGCGGTATGCATTCCGCCAGTGGTCTGCAATCACCTTTGGCTTCTCCACGCGAATGGGGATCCGGACCTCTTGAACAGGAGCCCCAAAGGCGGTCGACCAAACGTGGTGTCAGCACCTTCATTAGCAAACTTTACAGGTAAAGCCAAAGAAGAACCTTTTCCTGGACGCATAAAGTCGGACTCACACTCGTCATTTTTATAGTATGATCAGCGGTCGCAATAACCAACATTTGATCTCATGGAATCCAAGTGGCACCTCTTTTCTCGTTTGCAATGCCACTCGATTTGCTCAAGAATTGCTTCCCGAGCATTTCAAACATTCTAACTTTTCGAGTTTCGTGCGTCAATTGAACATGTAAGCAGCATACCAATTGCCCTTTCGCACTTTTTCTATGTATCGATTGGTTCTGATCTGTTATTTTTCGTGCAGGTACGGATTCCACAAGATCAATAAATCGTCTCGCGGACAACGCGGCAACAACGAAAATGAAATCTGGGAATTCTCCCACACCAAATTCCAACGCGGCAGGCCCGATTTGTTAGAAGACATTAAACGTAAAGCGATGGATTCTGAACTCTTGCGGCGCGAGACGGGCGATATCCACGCTTCGTTTGCCATGGTGCAGTTGTCGCAGGCCGACCTTCTCCAGCAATTCCGTGGACTCCAAGAAAACTTTTCCAATCTCCTTCAAGGGTTTGAAGATATGAAAAAGATCCAACTTCAGCAGCAAATCATAATTCGTCGTCTAGCCGAACGTCAAGGCATCCAAGTCTCCACACCATGTACGTATTGATGACATCCTTTACTGCTGTCAGTAGCACCGATTTGTTCAACTCATGCGTCTTTTTTTTTAATAGTGGCTGAATTTGAAAATAAACATATGCTCAATGACGAGCAACCGCGTGTCTTTGTCACATCGCCAGGTTCGGGCATGTGTGGTGATTACGGTCAGCCTACGCCTTCGTGGGAGATGGACGCGTCGAACCGATGCCCACCCCAAATGCGTCTTGATCATCAATTACCCCCACCCGCCACCTCCACACAGCAAGATATGATGATGTCCATGTATGCTACGAGCTCGGCCAACAACACCTTCTCTTTCCCTACATCCACATCGACCACACTTCCGCCCAGTCCCGTGCCCAGTGTTCTCTTGTCGTCTCCTTCGTCGTGTGTCTCTGTTGAACAGAATGACTCTCGCATGAAGTTTGACAACCCCAACAATGTGGGCGGCATCACCTTTTCCGAATAAGTTTCTTCTCTGATCTTTTTTTCTTTATAATCTTTTTACCCTCTCCTTCTTTGTTCTTTACAACTCTTTTTTTTTATTTTATTCTGCCTGTTTAACTTGTGATAGCCATTTTTATCTTTTTATCCCATCTCTTTGCGCTTTTTTCTATTTCCTCCTTTGCCGTGATATATGCCATTATTTGTAATATAACCGCTTGTAACAATCTGATTCAAGCTCTTTACTTTTTTCTTTTGTTTTAATTTTACTGTTATGTTCGTACCAAGCATAAAGACGGGGTTTTCTCATACAGAGGGAGTTGGGCGTACCTGCATGAGGAGCACGTGACCCATGATTTGGTCCAACGACAGTGGCCCCGCTCTATGGAAAAAGTGTATGCAGCCGAATCTATGACAGCGTTGATCATGGTATGGATTCTCGCCGTGCTTTCTCTCCGTTGTCGCACCAGGATGCAAGCGACCATCGCCTGTATTCACAGGAATCCGATCCTGATGAGCCGCATCACCCACAGCCATTAACGGAGAAACAGTCATCAACTATTTACGACGAATTTAACCAACTGGAACAGTCGGTCATGGCCGATTTCCAACGCTACTTGACCGACGTTCAGGAGCATCTTTCCCTCGACAAGGCAGCGAGCCATGACGGCGAAGAATCTGTCTTGTCGCATTTAGAACCCGTTCCTTTTGTGACTGACATTGAACCCCCTTTTGATGTCGCCAACACGCGCGATCCCCTGGACGCATCGGTCCATTCAGAATACGACATTCTGGAAGGCGGTCCTCGCGATCATTTGAGCGATTCATGGCAAAATATTGAAGAGCAGCAGCGCCACGTTGGAGACGAACAGAGTGAAGCGTCCGCATCAGACAATCAGTGGCGACAGCAGAGCACGTCACCGGGACAGTATTTTCGGGCCCGCTCGCTCCCCTTTGAAAGCGTGGATCATGTCTGGCAGCATCGCAAGGTGAGCCCAGAAAAAGTTCATTTGCATCCTTTTTTGTAAGATGGCTTACCTTTTGGTAGCCTTCCTTTGCGACGCACTCTGCACGATCGAGCAGCTATAACCGAATTTTACCCCAGCACGCTGAACAAGTAAGGGTTGTCCTGCTGTTGTCTTGCATGTGTCCGAAAAATAGGCTCACCAAGGATACGTTTTAGCCATCCAATGTCGCTTCAATCACAGATGATCCCTTAGCCCATGTATTCGTAAGTGTTTCTTTATAAAGGACCTTTTTGATCCACAGATAGTGAACCAATTTGGGCACATCGTAGAAAGCATTACCATCGTCTCTGCAAAGCAACCACCATATCTGCGATGATTACTTAAGCGCGATCCTTTCCGCCCTGACTTTATCACCCACCTCCAAGCCCACCATCAAACAGGATGACCTTTTGCATGCCAAAGAAAAGACAACAATCCAAACATCGGACGCCGACATTGCAACTCGTGTGCCTCGAGAAAATGATGCAGCGAATAATAGGTCTGCTTCACCGCAAGTCCATCCTCTCTATGAAGTGTACCCAAAACATCTCACTTTTCATGACTCCACCTCATCCTCTTCATCCCAGTCTCAGGGCAATCTCGTGCAATTAAACCTTCGTAATTTATCGCCGCACGAGCCGCTCGAGTTCTCCCTCTTCTGCGCCCACAGCAAAGTGACATTTCAAGCGCAGCAAGGCATCGTTGAAGCAGATACCTCTGTCAATGTGGCTGTAACATATCATGGTCGACGATCCTTCACCCTACCCGATATGTCATCTTGCCATGATACCATTCTTTTGCTGATCAATCAGGAACACAGCAACCAGTTGCCTGTGGAGATCGTGAACTCGGCCAATGAAGATACACAAGCCGACACTGCATCCTTGACAGCTTTATCAACACCAGTCGTTCAAAAAGTCTCGGATTCGTCCAATCGATGTAAACCGGGTCGTCCACCCTGTCGATTTTGCCTTCTTGCGCAATACTATCCCGCTAGATAAATACATAAAGAGAACAAAATTCATGTCTCCCTCCAATCAATCGATTGCGCAATACTTTTCTTTGTTTGGTTGTTTATTATTATTTGTGACGGATCCATTGGAAGAGGAGAGAAAAGGAATGAGAAAACTGTACAGTGGTGTAAAATAAAAGAAAAGAACAAAAATGAGAAATCCAGTCTCCAAGATGAGGTGTCTACCAGGATGCTTTCTTGACGCCGGGTAATTCGCCGTTTAATGCTTTAAGACGGAATTGGAATCGGCAGAGCTTGAATTCGCGAAGGATACCTTGACCGTGACCGGTGGCAACACATCGATTCTGCACAAATGTGGGCGAGGATTGCTTTGGCATGGCGTTGAGTTGCAACTGAGCTTGATGACGAACACGAGCAGGAAGCGTCTCGTTGCGAGTAATGTAGCGGTACGCTTGACGGGTCAATTCGTTATTGGCAACAGCTTGACGAGCTTTAATATCACGCAAAATACGGCAACGCATGGTATCGATTAATGTTTCCTTGATGCAAGCAAAAGAAAAACAACAGCAGTGGCCGGCTAACTGCACAGAAAAATGTTGCAAAAACTCTCGGTTTGCCACCCCGGCGTGACCGTTGATTTGTGTTGACAATTTTCAGCAGCAAAGCAGCGCGGCGTGACTGCGCAAGCAGATTGGACACGGAGAGCCTGCGGGCGCTCAGAGATTTAATCGACCGTTCTTAGTTTAGCGGCTGTCTTTTTTTTTTGCCTCTCTATTCAATACACCTGAATTATGGAAGCTGGACAGACTACCAGTGGGTTCGGCAAGAACCCAAGACCGCCAAAGGTAATATTCGCAGATAAAAAGCAGACTTTGGTTTTGTATGGGATGGCAAAAAGTTGACATCTTTTTCTTTGATATTGTAGGTCAAAAACAAGAATCCCGCTCCTATCCAGATTACGGCCGAGCAGATTCTTCGTGAAGCCCACGATCGTCGTCTAGAACCAACCCATTCCATCCCTCAACAGAAAATCACCGATTTGGAAGAATTGTCGGAATTCCGTCAACGCAAACGAAAAGAATTCGAAGATAACATTCGCAAGAATCGTCTCAATGTCAGCAATTGGCTCAAATATGCAGCTTGGGAAGAAAGTCAATTGGAATTTCAACGATCGCGATCCGTGTTTGAGCGTGCTTTGGACGTCGAATGGCGTAACATTGCCATTTGGTTACGTTATGCCGAGATGGAGATGAAGAACAAGAATGTCAGCCACGCTCGCAATGTGTTGGATCGTGCTACCACCTTGCTGCCACGCGTCGACCAGTTCTGGTACAAATACACTTATATGGAAGAAATGTTGGGCGATGTTCCCAAAGCACGCAATGTGTTTGAACGCTGGATGAAGTGGGAACCCGATGAGGCAGCATGGCAAGCCTACATCAAAATGGAACTTCGTTACAATGAACATGAACGAGCCAGAGCCATTTATGAACGATTTGTCAGTATTCACCCTGAACCAAAGCATTGGATCAAATGGGCCAAATTCGAAGAAGAGCACAATAATTTGGGTAAGTCGACCATTGTTTGAACTTAGAGACGAAGGCTAACAAAAAACATGCTGACACGTTTTTTTGGGAGCGCAGATAAATGCCGAGAGATTTATACAGAAGCAATACAGTATATGGGTGACGATAAACTGGATCAAAAAGTGCTTGTTGCTTTTGCCAAGTTTGAAATCAAGATGAAGGAGGTGAGTTGCTGCTTTGCTCGCTGGCGTTGGTGGGTCATTGTGGAGAAGCTGACCCGCAGAAATTTGCTGTTTCTTTCTTTTTTTTTTTTAGTTTGAACGTGCTCGAGTTATTTTCAAATATGGACTGGATCGTCTTCCGAAATCAAAATCGGAATCCCTCTATAACCAATACACGAACTTTGAAAAGCAGCATGGCAACAAGGAAGGCATTGAAAATGTCGTCATTGGTAAAAGACGTGTTCAGTATGAAGAAGAGATCGAGGCGAATCCAAAGAATTACGATGTATGGTTCGACTACGCGAAACTGGAAGAATCGGCAGGTGATGCTACACTGGTGCGTGAAGTATACGAACGTGCTATTGCACAATTACCACCAGCACAAGAAAAACGGTACTGGCGACGTTACATTTACTTGTGGATCAACTATGCTTTATACGAAGAAATCGAAACGGAAGACATTGAACGAACCCGAGAAATTTACAGCCAATGCATCAAACTCATACCACATCAACAATTCACATTTGCCAAGATCTGGCTCATGTATGCCCAATTCGAAATCAGACAGCTCAATATCACCACGGCAAGGAAACTGCTTGGTCGCGCCATTGGTCAATGCCCCAAGAACAAATTGTTCAAAGGCTATATAGATCTGGAAATGCAGGTAAGCCCTCCTCCACATCGGTCCTTGGGTCGCCTTCTTGTCTTCTTTAACTTTTTTTTTAACACGTATAACTTTTTTGTGCTTGTGTAGCTTCGAGAATTTGACCGTTGTCGTACCCTTTACACCAAATATTTGGAATACAATCCCGCCAATTGCACAGCGTGGATCAAGTTTAGTGAACTGGAAAAAATGCTGGGTGAGAAAGAACGTTGTCGTGCCATTTTCGAATTGGCCATCGGTCAGCCCGTGCTTGACATGCCGGAGTTATTGTGGAAAGCGTATATCGGTAAGCAAGCGTTGCGATGAAAAAAAAAAAGCGAAAAGTGAAGGATGAAAAGTGCTAACAGTGAGCATCCAACAGATTTCGAAATCGAAGAAGAAGAGTACAAACGTACGCGCGACTTGTATGTGCGTTTGTTGGAGCGTACAGATCACGTCAAGGTGTACATCAGTTTTGCTCAGTTTGAACTGTCGGTACCCTACGAGGAGGGAGATGATCAAGGCGTACGACGTGCACGCAAGATCTTTGAAACTGCCTATGACAGCATGAAAGATAAGAAGCTGAAGGAAGAGGTATGTTCCTTGGATACCATCATAGAGAGGACGAGGTCACTAATGGACGGTTTACTTGCAGCGTGTATTACTACTTGAATCGTGGAAAGACTTTGAAGAGAATTACGGTACAACCGAAACTCAAGAAGCGGTTCAGAAGAAGATGCCCAAGGTGGTTAAGAAGAGAAGAAGAGCACCAGATTCCACGGAAGATAATATCATTTGGGAAGAATACTTTGACTACATCTTTCCCGATGATGAAGTACAGAGCAAAAATCTCAAATTGCTGGAAATGGCTCAAGCCTGGCAAGCCAAGGTAAGGAAAAGAAGAAAGAAAAAAAAAATGCAAGAGGCAAAAAGCCGGTTCTCATTCCTTTACTTTTTTTTTGTTTTCAGCAAAAACAATTACAAGAAAATCAGAATCAGAATCAGGATGCGTAATATTGATGTTGATAAGAAATATACAACTTACAGTATACATATATACTTTTTTTTTGGACGGTTCCTTATGATTATACATTATCAATGTATGCCATGTTGATCAAAGTAGGCGTATTGGAAAAAAAAATTGGCATGAGGAAATGTGGGGAAACTACATAAGAACATTGGATGAGAAATGCTTCCCACAATCCTATATTGTCGATCTTTTTTTTTTTTTTTGTACTTACTTATAGTGGATGCATGATGCGCTTCCCGGCCTATTCTTTTGACCGCACTCCTGAAATTTCTATTTTCTTTAGTTGAAGAGAGTCCGGTGTGAGCCAGTCAAATTATCTTACAATACAAGCACAATGAAAAAGAAAATCCATAACTGATTCAAGTCCGAACATTCTGATCATATTGGTGCAACAAAAAGAGTGCCCATCTCAGATACAACCAAAAGTGACTGCTGTGATTTCTTTGTGATGGCGTCGTTGCTCCTGACAAGTGGGAAAATAAGAAGTCTGAAACGGACTACAGGATGATGCAATACCTACAAGTAATAAGTCAAGCGCATGAATTTTACCAACAAAAGTCTTGCTTCTACTCGCAGATGCGCTTAATGATTGGTCAAGGAAACATAATTGAATTGGCTGTGCATTGCTAATTATAGCATTTTGCGTTTTGCCTTTGACACGCGACCTTGGAGTTTCTGTAAAAACAAACCTTGGATTTTTTTCTCCTGTAAAATGACGCACATGCCATCTTGGCAGCGGTTTTCCGAAGCCAAAAAATAAAAATAAAAAAAATAAAGAGAACCGAAAGGGGATGGGTTCGTGTGATAATATTGTGTTGCTCAGGCGCGCACACAGGGTCGATCACTCCGTCAGTGACGAAATCGAAAAAAGATGAGATGAGTTTCGGACAACGACCAACGTGGCGAAAAACGCCCACATTGTGTGATTGTATTTGGTCAAAAATGGGATTTTTGCTTTGGTTGAAACCGTTTCATTGAAGATCATTTGGTTAGAAAGCTTTGGTCCCCCCCCCCCAGATTATAGTTTGTGGCACGCTATTTTCTATCGATGGTCACCCACATCACCTCCCTTGTCTCTTTGTCTCTCTCTGACTTTCTGTCTCTGCTCTGCGCCTCAATTTTTTTTTTTTTTGATTCTTGGCCCAAGTGATCTCGGCAGGCCCAACTGTGTCTTTTTCGTCTCCTCTTTTTTTGCGTTCTAATGTCCCCCTTTTTTCCTATCGCGTCTCCGTCTCCCCCTCCCCCCATTCCTTCCTCACCCCCCATAAAAAAAAGTTGAATGCTTTACTTTTTCACCAGTGCGCTGTTGCATCGACCATCAAACTTGTCGCACTTCCCGTGATACACATCCACTCACACACTACACGCAACACACACATACACAAAATGCATCTTTCTTTTTACAGAGATATAAATATCATCCACAGATTTATTTCTTTCATTGTTGGAAATAAATAAAAAATTCTATATAAACCCGGTTCACTCAACCCACAATACAAAATTCCTGCTTGCTAAAAACAGTGTATCCTATTCCATCCCATCCTACTTCGTTCCTTCTTCCTCTTTACTTATTGTTATTTATTATTTTGCTCATCAAATTTACCATGGATATTCCCAATCTGTTAAATCAACCAACCCAAACCGTCAAAGAGAAACCGTGCCTGTGTCACTGGCATGGCTGCGGGAAACGGTTCTCAAGGCGATCGGATCTTATTCGTCATCGACGGATTCACACCGGCGAACGGCCTTACCAATGTCACTGGGTAGGCTGCACCAAACAATTCATTCAAAGGTCCGCCCTCATTGTCCATTTGCGAACCCACACCGGGGAACGACCTCACATATGCGATTATGAATTCTGTGAAAAGACTTTTAGTGACGTACGTTTTTTGTCAACAACATTCACAATCATCCAATACTTACACACTGTTTTTCTTCTTTTTCGCCGTCCACAGTCTTCATCTTTAGCTCGCCATCGACGAACACACACGGGCAATCGACCGTATGCTTGTTACTGCGGGAAATCGTTTACGAGAAAAACCACTTTATCAAGGCATCAACAAATCCATCATCGATTTCATTGTCATTATAACCTTCCTCCCAATACCCCATCACCTTTTCCGAACCCATCATCGTCTATACATGTCTCTTGGTAAGTTTTGTCGTATTTGCGTCATGCTTCTTTCTTCGTTCTCATTCGTTTTTTTTTAGCATTCCGCCATCCCATCTACCGTTATCACCTGTGAGCTATCATTCTCCTTCTCCACCGCCACCCACCACTTCATCGATGAATTATCCTTCTTTAACCATGCTTCCATCTCAATTCTCTCTACCTTACCCGTTGATTAATGAATCGTAAAAACCTGTACCTTGTTTTTTATATATCTGTGTATTAATTGAAACAAAGAATGTCGTCCATCGGCTCCTTGATACCGTATTTTTGATCGATTTTTTCTTTTGTGTCACTCGCTCGCAAGGTCGTTCGAAGCGCCCCTTGAAAACGACTATGAATTTTTTTTTTTTTTTTTTTTTTTTTTTTTTTTTTTTTTTAGGTCGCTCATCGTGACAGAGATTCCTTGAATCGGTTCTTTTCCTGTTTGTCCTGGTTTTTTTGTTTCCCTTCGATAGAAGACGATGCAGGAGAAGGATGGTGGCGGCTTTTACGTTTCGAAACATAATTTACCATTGCGTGTGCAAATCACCCCAGGAAAAGGACGTGAATATGTAGCTTCGACATCATTGGCCTCGGATCAAATCGTTTTCAGAGTAAGGCCTTTTTCTTTCAATGATCTTTGATTGTGTATCTTTTTTGATGTAGCGGGGGCGGGCAGAGTGGGGTTCGGAATCAAAGGCTAAATTAAGACGGCTTGGGATTACAGGTGCATCCTTTTGCTGCAGGTAAAATTTTGATCCACCGCTGACTGGTGAGAAAAAAAAAAAAAAAAAAAAAAAAAAAAAAAAAAAAAACAAAAACTGACCCGCCAAAACCACAAAACCAACCAACCGACCACGATGGACGAACATGAAAATGCAGCCATCTTTGATAGTTCCAAGAAACGCGTGTGCGCTCATTGTCTTTGCACGCATCCCACTCGATTTTTCCGACTTCACTGTACTGGCTGTGATCAAGTATATTTCTGTTCCCGCCCGTGTGCTGACCAATACCTCGGTGACGGAACACATCAACAATTAGCATGTGGTGCGTTGCGCAAACTCGCTACCCTCAAAGCCGATCGTCATGGTAAAAGTGTTGCCAAGCTCGTGGTGTTGATCCTGTGGCAACGTCAACGGGCCGCTCCGATGTGTGAGGACGCCACCATTCCACCCACCTATGACGACGTGAAAGCACTCGAATCGCATTACAGTGACTGGTCCATCGACCAAATCCAGGAATGGCGGCGGCTGCACCAGTTCTTTACCAAACATCTCGGCCCTCTTTTACCACCGAACCAAACAATGACAGATATCATGCATCTCGTGTCACGGATTGAATCCAACGGGTTCGGCATATTTCTTGAAAAGGCACTCTCCAACGCCGATCCTATTGGTCGAGGTAAAAAAAAATATTTTGGGCTACACCCTAGCTACCAGGATGCATCATGACTTGATCACTCCACACGAACCCAGCAAAACTAAATCAATCTAACCTTTTAGCCATCTATCCGTTGGCCTCGCTCTTGAATCACAGCTGTGATCCCAATTGCGAAGTAGAACAATGTACCGAGCATAATTTGAACGAAGAGGAATTACCTATTGTTATCGATCCATCATCACACGGGCCCGACGACGCTTCACCCCCGGCTTCGGCTGCACTGAAAAAACGCACTAAAAAGCACATGAAGCAATCCATTGCCAAGCCTTCACCTACCACCTATTATCCGCCAGAATTCACACAGCCACGCGGATCGTTTCGCATGATGCTCATACGTACCCTCCGGTCCGTCCCAATGGACGAACCCTTGACCATCTCCTACGTCGACACTTCCCTTCCCGTGGCGGCCCGTCGCCAAAAATTATTACAAGACTACTATTTCGAATGTCAATGTGCCAAATGTTTACGCGATCTTGATCGCTAGGCCAATTTGTTTATTCCGCATTCCATGTGCTACAGTATGTACATATAAAAAAGTAGACTTGGGAATCATGTTGGAAAAACCAATATCAATAAATAGAGTAAAAAAGACCGGCGTCATCTAGCCAGACAGACATGAACAAACTCTTTTTTTTTTACAATGAATAAATGATGATCGGTTTCAGAAGTTAATATGGGTGGCCGCTCTTTGGGTTTACCTTTTTTAATCTTATCTGATGCAATGATCATTTTATCCGTTTTCGTTAGTGTCAGTGACCAGAAAGGATAGATTACATTGTGCAATGCCACTTTTTGTTATTTCGGTCATGCTTCTTGCCAAAAAACGAAATTATTAGGTGGTGGATCATCTTCTGGTTTTACATTACATCTTTATTGTGAATCCATCGTCAAGGACGATGACCTGAGCGCGTTATCCTTTTTTTGTCTCTCTTACTTTTCCTCTCTTAACCCCCAAAATCTTAAAATCACTGTGTACAACGTTCGGCTGGCTGATTTCGATTGCCCTTACTGAAGGATTACTTGGACCACCATCAATCCCATGATGCCATCACAGGCTTTCTTCTTTTTTCAATACTTGGGTGATCCCACTTGGTCCATGCTTTTTTTTTTCTATTTGTCATCCCCAACTGTATCCTTATCTCTCGGCTTCAGGGCCATTTACAGAAAGCTAGACGGTGATGAAGCAACAAAAGTTCCCTTGATCAAAATAACAAAATGTTGACAAACAGATTTCATCCAATCCGGAACTATACTACATCGGGATGTCTTAATCTAGCTTGTTCCATTACTGAGCTTTTGTATACAGTGCAACAAAAAAAAAAGTCATGCATAACATCACATGCACTCCACCTAAAATAGCTGTGATGTCAATATCTTTATTGCTTTGCTGTTGCATGGCCTGTTCCAAAACACACGCATGGCCTATTCACTGGTTGTTGCACATGTTACATTTTATTTATACCACAGCACAAGCCATGTCGCCAGTGTAACGTGATTCGTTCTCATTTCCGATCACTCTTTTGGGATGACGGGGCTGTAGTGAATAAACGATATGCATTGATTCAGATGGTCTTATTGCAATATTGTCGTGCCAAACCGTTGCATCCAACGACACAAAATGCTCTTGCTGTCATGGACGGCCAAGGACAAAAAGGGAAAATCAATCCTGGATATTTGTTTATATTTAGTGTCATGTGCTGTTTGTTTTTTCTCTCCCTCTCTCTTCGCCTGTCTCTTTATAATGTTGGAAATGCGAGTTTTCTTTAATACTGTTAACGGTGATTAATTGTGAGCAATGATCAGAATGATGGGTTGGGGGATGTTTGTGAATTGGAGAGGGGAGATGACGTGCCGGGGAATGTATTATTCGCGTTGGAGCCGGGAGTATCCCCTGGGGCGGCGGCCGGGGTCGCGTTGTTGTTGGGATTATTCACCACATAAAACATAGGACAGTTCTTGTTGGTCTTCATATGGCCCAGTTGTCCACAGTTACCACATCGTCTCATGGCGCCTTCGCGTTTGCCTCGAATCAATCCTAGTACGGGGTTTTCCGCCAACGCCGCCTGTTTCGCCAACTGCCGCTGACGACGTCGTTCCGCGTTTCGTTTCAGTTTCGCCAACTGATCCTGAATTCGTTTCTTCATACGTGCATTCTTTTCCGCATCATCCGTAGGTTCTAATGCCTCTGCACTAAAAAATACAATGCTTTTCCATCAATATCTGTTGACACAAACCTCAGTTTGTTTTGTTTGTTGGGTCGTGACTTACCTTGTTGCCTCCTCTTCAATCATCTGCCGTTGACGTAAATAAGATTTGATCACCACAGGATCACGCACGACTTCTTGTTGCCACGATTTTTCTCCATTGGGTTGCCGTATTAATCGACGGATCACCAAGTATTTGTTGGGATTGTTCACATGATAACTCGTACGGGAACTCAAACTGCCCGTGACGGAAATATCATCATCATCCACACTTTCAGACGGAGCTCGTTCGTAACGTCGGTTATACGACGGCGGCATCGGCGACATGGACACGGGACGACTGCTTCGTCGAGAGAAATTCCAATCCAATTCCGACTATCAAATAGCAAGCTCTTTAGTATCACACCACGCAGTTTTGGATTCTAGCAAATCATTCATTACCATAGCAGGACTGTCGGCGCGTTCAGTGTGATCATCAAATTCACTGTCTTCTTCACCTTCATGATCCGATAGTTCAGGCTCTACCGGGTTCGACAAGGAATCCAGTTGCGCATTCCAGATGCGATGAATCTATATATATATTATATAAAGGTACAGTTTGAGTGACGAGGCCCCTGGTCATGGTTTTCGTTTCTTTTTTTTTTTACCTCTTCTTTGTAAATCTGTTGCTGTTCAGCTACGTTGTAACGATGAGCACTTTTTGGTCGAGCTTCAATTTGAGCTACAGAAAATCCGATCGGTCAGTATCATAATTTACACGCCATAGTTTTCTTCTTTTTCTTTTTACCAAGTTTTTCTTCGGCTGATTCGCCGGCACGTAAAAAGATATCTTTCATGGAGACTCGAATAAAACTGAAGCCTTCACCACGGCCGGTAGGATCACCGGCACCGTACAATTTCAACATGGCTTTGCCTTGCGAGGCATTGATGAAATTGCGTGTAGCGAACCAGGGGGCCAATTGTTGTTCCACTTCCAGTTTTGAATCACCTTCGCCCGTTTCGTCTTCGTCATTGATATCACCGTAACCAAGATCTTGCAAATGCCGTTCACCCACCAGCATACTCTCATACAAACAAATCATTTCGGGCGTCACCATTTTCTGCAAGTCTTCTTCGGACGGAGCCTCGCCACCGCCACGCACCGTCCAGTAACCGCCCCCTCCTTCTTTATTGCGACGATGGAACTCCAGAAACTCTTTCAACCGTTGTCGAATCTGAATGTCAGAGTATTCCGGGAACTTTTGCGCCAATCGACTCATTTTCAATCGATACAGGGGATTTTTTTTTATCAGACGGTAGGCCACGATCTGTAATCGATTACGGATGGTCGTAGTAATTTTTCGGGAGTGAGGACCAGGCACTTCTTGCACAGGATATGTTTGACCAACAACAAACGTGGCGGGTATTTCACGGATGTAATACTTGGTATTGCCTTTGTAGGTGCTTTTCACCATTAAGAAATCGGTGTTTTTCACCTCGTGCCGGAACAGAGGCGCACGAATAAGGTTGTTGTACAACACCGTAATGGTCTGACCAGGCTCGACATTGCCAAAATTCATGAAAGGAGAAGTATCGCCAATATCCAAAACAAAAGGTTCACCGATATCGAGCTAATATGTATCCATGTATGCACACAAAAAAAAAGCAATGAGGAAAATGGCCGTCTTGTCCCGTAATCAACAAAAAATTTACTCACCGAAGGCACAAATTCGTCTTTGGGATCGGTTTTTCGATAATAGTTGATAATCAAGGTACCCATTCCGACATTGGAAATAATGGGTGGATGTTCCTCCTGTTCACAATAAATACACACAAATACATCAGCTACCCTCAAGTGAAGAATTCTTCTCAAAATAAGGCGTTCACTTACCGAGAATTCCAAGAGGACAAACATGCTGTTGTCCTTGAGCGATAAATCTTTTGTACTTCGCATCAGTTCGGCGGCGTTCTTCTTTTTATCTTTTCGTCGGTTCTTTTTACTGATGCGGACGCGAGAAAAGGTAATGTCATGATTAAGAGGTAACTGTACAAGTGGACGATGGAACGATCGCGCCTCGGCCTTGGATAATTTGGTCTTGTACTGTATCGGTTGAGAAGAAGGAGACGGTGAGTATGGAATGGTATACACAAAGTTGTGCAAAAAAAAAAAAAAGGATCTTACAAAGGCGGGATGTAATCGGAGAGCAGGTAACGAATGCTGGACGACGAGTTGGCCGAGGGTCTGGCGCACACGCACCAGGCGTCCGGTATAATGGGATTCATAGTATTTATCGTTGGATAGATTGAACCGGTTGAGCGGAAGCTTGCTGTGGGGTTCCGTATCCACAGGGTAAATGATTGGTATCTGATGAAGCAGCGTTAGACCAAACTTGCGCGAAGCATGGGAAAACAACGGGCAGAAAAGACTTACTTTAGGCAGTGGTCGTGGCAACGGTTTGCGACCTCGCTTGACATGTTTTGGTTGGATCAACTGTGCTTTGGTGGCTTCCACTTCTTCGCAATCAAACAACATATTGGGATCATTTAGATCCAAAGAAATCTTCATAAAGGCTTCATTTGGTTTTTCTTTGTCCCAAATAATCGCATCCAACCAATCACCCGCTTCCAATCGTTCGTTCAAATGCTTGTTCACCACCAAATTCTGTTCAATCTGGCGGTTAGATGACCCCTTGCTCCTTTGCTCGATCACATTGGATGATTATTCATGCAGATACTTACATCGTCCGGTGACTGTGATTCTCTAAAGTCATGCAAGGAAAAAAAAACCAGTTGGCATCATCATCTATTTAGCATGAATATGATATGAGGGGAAAGCTTACCTGTCCGATTCATCTCCCCATTGAATGTGGTCCTCCCACTGGTCCAAAACGATGGAGTGATATAATCGATTGTCGCGAACATCACGCGATGGTGATCCTGTGACAAGAGGCTAATAATACATGGGACGTCCCCACCCATTGTTTTAGTCTCTTGTTGATGATCTTCTTTCTCTTTTCTTTTCTCCTTTCATTCTTTGCCTACCCTATCCGAGGTATCATATTGATCGTCTTCACTCTCACTGCTTGACACATGGTCTCCGTCGCCCAATATCTCTCTCTCCAAACGACGTCGTTTCGTAGCGGTCTTTTCGGCCATCCATCGAAGATTGCGATCGCGTTTGGTGGTTTTCGTGAAGAGGACTCGATCATCGGCTTCCATTTCGTATTCATAGTTGTCGCTCAACACGCCTGCACACAGAACTGTTATTCAACTGTTCCAATCGATAAGACCAACAGGTTCTGATTACTTTACCTAGTTTGACAGGTTGAAGCTTGGAAGGTCGTTGAATCCGGGCCATGAAGAGGTCGGAAAACTTGAGAATCTTGTCTTTTTCGAAATCGGGAAAGAGTTGTTTAATGTCCACTTTCCGAGACGGTTCATTGTCGGTAACGGTAGGTTCGGTCGATAGAGGAGGCACGGCTAGTGGTGCTGCTGAATCGGTGGAGGATATTGCTGTTGAAGGCTGAACTGGTTTGACTTCCTCTTCTTCCTCTTCCTCTTCGTCGTATTCGTCGTAATTATCGCTGACCATGCTAAGTCGTGAACGAGGCAAGGTCTTTTTGATAACGCCCATGCCTCGATGAAAGTTTTTTTCAGAGAACATGGCATCGTCGGGAACCACTTCGTCAAAATCGGAGTAATCCACGGCATCGGTCGAATGAGCCGTAGGTACGGGTTGCGACGGTTCCATGCCTTCGTCGTCATCGTCGTCCCCGCGTGAGGTTAAGCCAAATGTGTCTGTACTAAAGATCTTTGAAAACACACTCGCATCGACATCTTGCAGTGTCTTTTTCAAATCCTAAACAAAAAAAGAAAAAACAACAAAACGACTCGTCAATGATTATCCAAAAAAGGGCGTATTTGGCATAGATCAACGGTCGTACCTCGTCTAGATCATTATCCAGTCTTCCCTCTTCGTCCACATTGCCAAAAAAGTAGCCTGCAAACGACATGGTATAAGCGACAAAGGCACACTGAAGGAACCCACGCCAGTGGTAATAGAATTGCGGAGATTAAAATGGACCGCACCCATCAACGCTTTTTTCAGATCACTCTCTTTTGATTCAGCCTTTCAGTAGTAAACAACAACCAGGCAATTATAGAGTGGAGTGTTCCTGGGTTTATTAACATTGTAACGTCAGCTATAGATCGAAATAGCATAACAAATGATCTTTTGTTGTTCTCCATCGATATCTCCTGCTGCTTTATTGTAATGTCACAACAAATTGTATTACATGGCACTGTGAGCAAATGGATCGTCCGTTTTTGGGTTATTTTGTATAAAGATAGAGTGGTCGTTCAAAGCCTATACAAGCACTAGTTAAGCTATTTTTTGTTTTTGTTGTTATTCAAAAAAAAAAATATGCTTACCCTTGTTCTCATTTTCAGAAGTGCCTAGTTCTTCTACCTGTTTGAACCCGATCTCGTTCAACAAGTACATTTGGTAATCTTCAGGATGTAAAGTGATTTCTTCATATACATTTTGAGTATCCTAAAAAAGAGTTCCCGATTTAATGCCCTGTACTCATGATATTTTTTTTTTCCTTGTGATAACGACGTCAATATACCTCTGATAACTTGGCTCTTCTGGCATACGATTCATAGCGTTGCGGTTCAAGCACAAATACACCTCCTGGTTTCAATACTTTGAAAGCCCTTTTGAAAAAGTCTTTGATGCCTTCATCACCCCGGTGAATGTGAATCCATTTGCTGATACTGAGTCTATAGTTATCTTTTTGTTTTTAGAACCGTTCCTCTTCATGTCACCCCTTCTATTGATTTCCTTACGCAAGCACGGTATCGTATTGTTCTTCTTCGACTGTGCTTTCCATCCAATCCATCGCCTCAAATGTCACGTTGTAAGGAAATCCTTCCGGAAGAGCCGTGGCTGGCCTGGAAAGAGCAATAAAGCCAAACATGTGTGTCATGGAGGTTGGAAAGTAGTGGAATCGCATCCCAATATCTAACGGGGAGGTGTCATCCTCCGTGCCCGAAGGATCACTGAGAGAGTACGCTACACCGAGTAGCGAATTGGCTTTCTTTATCAGCGTGTCGTCGATATCCACACCGTGAATATGAACAGGATGGTACCGTTTGGCTAGTCATTGACGATGATTTCAGCTAAAGGATAAAAAGGCCCTGATTTTCCTCTTGACGCTTACCAATAGTGATGGTAATGTTGCCCGAATTGCAACCGATATCCAGTACATGCTTATCCTTGAACAAGTGGCTCGGCAACACGTCCAATCGTGAATCGTAATTCTTGGATTTGTTGCGTCGATCGCTGCAAGTCGTTGATCACAGAGACATTAGTCTGGGAAAGGCAAGCCATAACGAGTGAAAGTTGGAATTTACCTGTAGTAATTGGGATAATTGCCGTAAATGTAACTGGTGGTCTTCTTTTTATTTTTGGCTTGCATAGGCAACAGAACACCGGTACGTGGTCCCAGGAGTTTGCTGTCATTGGACGATTCGCCGATTTCCTTCACATCCAGTCGTGTTCGTGAGGAAGCTGGCCTCTTTACCTGGGGCAACGCCGCATCGTCTTCTTGATTAGAATGACGCCGTTTTGCACTGCTCATGGTAAATACAGTGAAGGTTCAATAGAGCCAGAAAAAGGCCCTGTTCAAATTTGGAAATGTAACAAAATCATGCAGTCACCGCATCCACCTCCGCCTCTCTTTTCCTTCCTTGTCTTATTCAATGATCGAGGGCGCTTTTATCATTTTGGTCACTGATGAGGATCTCATGGTACTTATTTGCAAACAAGCTGGCGCCGTGTTGAATTGTAAGCGCCTGCATGCTTATGATTGGCATTCAATAGCCATTACAAAGATGTACGTAGCGTCTCATTACATGTATAAAAATGTGTGTATGTGTATGTAATATTATTTACTGGTAAACCAAATAATTCACCGCGAAAAAATATACAATTGCAGGTGAGATTGTTTGTTGTTGTTTTCTATGTCCAAAAAGCTAATATGATACAGCCGTGTGTGTGTGTGTGTGTGTGTGGAGATTACTTCTTTTGTTGGCTGTTGGTCTTGTTCTCCATCTCCTTGAACTTATCCTTGGAGGTGTTGGAGAGGGGATCAGGACGTTGTGCCTTGCTGGCTTCTTCATTTTTGATTTTGCCGACATGATGTTTGGCAACGTCGGGCACTTCATTGTTACCTACAACGTTAAAACAATCAAGTCAATATACCATTTTGTAACAAGTGAACCTTTGTTAAGGAAGAATAGACAATTTACCCTTGTTGTTCTGTCTGCGGGCTGTGGTGTGAAGTTGACGCGAAATACGGGATGTGACGATTCTGAATCGATACATAATGGAAGTAAACCAAGGTGATTGTTAAAAAAAGTAGGCAGCCTTTTAAATGGGCCAAAGAAAAATCTAGTCAAAAAATGAAATCAATCTGATGTCATTGGCCACCCAGCCGACTCCGTTTCGGTCCTTTTTTTTTACATATGCTCCAAGAGGGCGGTATTTTTTTTTCTTACTGGTTCATCATTCTTTTGCAAATTTTCACTTTATAGTTGAATGAAAGATATTAACCAGTTTTCCATGCTAGCTAAAATGAGTTTGGTACACCGAATAACTGCACTTGAGCAGCTTACACGGAGGTTCTAATGCACTTGCACTATTTGAATGCGGTAAAAGAAAAAAAAAAGTCAATCGGCATGCACGGTCTGGATGGTACAATATCCTTCAGGCAAGTCAATGATGGAGTGGGGGAAGTCGTGAATAATGGGGTTGACTTGTTTTTTTTTGACACTTCAAATATTAAAAAAAAACCAGTGTTGATCATGGCAGGGTTGTTGTGACTTGCCATCTATGGCAAGAGTTTAAGCAGTCAATCATGCGAATTTTCCAGGGACATTACCAAAATAGGTTTAGTGTACTCTATTTGGATGATAAGCAGCTGCATCATCATTTCATGAGAGAAAAATAGGTTTTCCCTTGGCGCAAAAAAAAAGAGACAACCATCACCAATCAACGGGTCCAGTAGGAAAAAAAAAGCAGTTGTCTCACTTTTCATCAGAAAGAAGACAAGGTAAAAAAAAGATTTCATTCACGCAATACCCACACAACAACAAGTCGGTAAAAATGATTGACTTGCGGCCCATCCATGCAGCTTTCAAGAAAAAAATGGATCGGAGTCATGTCGACTGTGCATGATTCCAGCGTTTTGCTTTTATTTCTTGAAATGGGTGGGATTTTTTTTGGGTTTTGGATGAAGATAACAAAAAAAAACAGAGCGTGCATTGAAAATAGGATGAATAACAATGTCACACTGTTTCTAAATGGAGTCCAACTTGGGTCTCCTATGATTCTAACCAGTTAGAACCCATCCTTTTTGGCTTGCCATCGATTGCGCCTTGGGAAAAACTGTGACCCTCAAAAAGAAGAAAAAATTTTCCAAGAAAAAAAAAAGGTCCCTTTGGACATGCCTATAAAAGAAGGGGTTTCTCCTTTTTCTTGAGTGTCAAAGCTCTTTTTTGGGTCGATTACTTTTTCTCTTTTTCATTTTACAACATGGTCAAACTTTTCGTCGGTGGTCTCTCTTGGGGTACCAATGATCAAAGCCTTTATGATGCTTTCGCTCAGTTCGGTGAGGTCCAATCTGCTAATGTCATTCTTGACCGTGATACTGGTAAGTTTTTTTTTTTTTTTTTTTTTTACTGCGACCTAGTATCTTGCCAGAGAAAGAAAGAAGGAAAGAGTGTGTGTGAAAGAAAAAAAAAGTGAAGCTAGCGCTATATTTTTGTTTCTTTAAACATCTCTTGCTGGTGCGCAAAGGAAAAAAGACAAAAAGATTGGGGATGAGGTCCGCCCTTTTTGATTGCTTTCTGCCCTTTGGCTTGTGCTGTTTGGTTGTTGCTGCTTTGGTTTTTTTGTTGTTGTTGGGTCTGACTTTTGTCGAATCACAAAGGTCGCTCGCGCGGTTTCGGTTTCGTAAGCTACAACACCGAGGAAGAAGCTACTGCTGCCGTTGAAAACATGGACGGCCAAGAATTGGATGGTCGCCGTATCAAGGTAAGCAACATTTTGAATCGTGCTTTTTATGTCATCTTCTTTCTCACATCTTGGGGTTATGTGTATATAGGTTGATCGTGCTACTGATCGTGGTGATCGTCCTCCTCGTCGTGATTTCGGTGGTAACCGAGGTCGTGGTGGCTATGGTGGTGGCTATGGTGGTGACAACGGCGGCTATGGTGGTGGCTACTAAGCAACGACTGGGCTCCTCCCCCCTTTCTTTTATCAAGCGTCTTTTTTACTTTTTTCTTTTTGCTTGTAATGTAATCCATGTGTTTGTGTGTGCCAATTTTATCATTTGTTCTTCGCTGCTCCTTTCATGAACGTAAAACTTGTTGCTCTTCTTGCATGCCATTACTCCTTTCTCTTTCATTTTTCATATATTTCATGTTCTCTTGACTCCTTTTTTTTATCATTTTGTTGGGTTCATCCTCAGTGAATAAAACAAAAAATAAGGTTCTGATACGTGTACAAAAACACAAAAAGAATTGTTTCCATCGTTGCAGCTACGCATGCTTTCTTGTTTGTGTATGTATTCTCTTTTTTTATTCCTTGTTGATAGGCTATCTTGACTACATTTTTTTTAATTTTTTTCAAAATAAGTAAAAGGAAAAAAAAAACTTTGTCAACCCCAATGGCAAAATTCCTTCATCGAATCAAAAGCCATCCTCATTGCCACATCATCCCATAATTTGTATTTGATTTGACGCACGGCGCTGATTCATTGGTTTAAATTGCGTGTTCTTTTTATTTTCACAAAAATTGTTTCAGCTTATTTATAACCTTTTTTTTGACTCGAGACTTTTTTGACTCTGACGACCCCTTTAGACTGTGCCTCCTTAAAAACAAAAACAAAAATCAACGACGCGTTGTCTTCTGTAGTTGGACGCTTACTCAACGATAGTTGTAATTTTTGTTCGCACTGTATAAAAATAAAAGGATGGATTATGTTGTTTTTACTTAAACGACTTGGCCACAATCGACAATGGTCACTTTCTTGGTAGGTTTGCCATTGGCAGTACCGACACTTTCCATTTGACGCACCACATCCATACCGGAAATAACACGTCCAAATACAACGTGTTTCCCATCTAGCCACGACGTCTTTTCTGTGCAAATAAAAAATTGACTGCCATTGGTATTAGGTCCAGCATTCGCCATAGATAAAGTGCCCTAACAAAGAATGGGGATCCATGCATGAGTCGGTCATGTATGTCTGCTTATCAGTCAGTCTTACCGGTGCAGTGTGTTTCAGGTCAAAGTTTTCATCCTTGAATTTTTCACCATAAACGGATTTACCACCGGTGCCGTTGCCCTTTGTAAAATCACCACCTTGACACATGAATTGAGGAATAATACGGTGGAAAGACGATCCCTTGTAACCAAATCCAGCTTCGCCAGTACATAACGCTCGAAAGTTTTCTGTCATTTTTCCTTTGTGTTAGCCTAATCGTTTCCATTCAATTTGCTTTTTCCTTTTTCTTTTTTACCTGCTGTCTTTGGTACAACGTCGGCACGCAACTAACAATACGGCCCATTGTGAGTGAGTCCATGATCCACTCCCGTAGGGTGTATTTTCTTTCTCTTACCTCCATTAAGATGCGACCTGCTAGTGTACCACCAATCTGAATATCCATAAACACTTTTGGTCGTCCACCTTGGGATTGTCCAGTGTATCCTGTAGCATCACTCGTTGTGTCTGCGTCTTCTTTATCTGATGTTGATGCTGCTGCTGCTGCTGCGGTTGTGCCCTCTTCTTCTTTGTTATCCTCCGATACCGCATATTTCTTTAACCATTCATCATCACTCCATACTAAAGTAATTTCAATCCATGGCGTCAGTATAAACAGGATTCTCGTTAAAATGTGGATTTTTATCGGCCAGTACATACTCGGTCGGTTGGAGCCGGGTTGAATACGACTAGGTTTCGCTGCATTCACTTTGATAACTTTGCCCATCAGTTCAGACAGATGCATATTATCGATCGCTGCTTGAGCATCTTGTTCCAATTCGAATTCCACAAAACCAAACCCCTTGTGAGGATTTCCTACAAGCGCGCACATCTATAATGTCAGTAGGGGTTTCTTTGCTTGTCTGCTTGTGCATCGAAAAACGATTTCCTACGTGTAGCTGTATCCGGTGCCAACTGTACAGAAACAATATCGCCAAACGGAATAAAAGCAGCATGTAATATCGCTTCCGTCACTTCCATATCGAGACCACCTAATGGAGGCAAGAGGCAGAGATAAGTAAGAAGAGCTTTTTGTTTTCAGAGGCCACTCGTCCGTGCGCAGTGTGACATACCGACAAAAATGGTGGTTTTGCTGTTGGGGTTAATGGCAAGTTCGGTCGATGGCATATTGTAACAAAAAAAAAAAGAGGTTGACGGGATGCTTGCTGAGGGTTCAAAGGCGGAGGAGGGAAAGGCTCACTTTGGTTGCTTCATGAGCATTGTCTAAGCCACCCGAGCGCGGGGCGGATACTTCGTCGCTGAGCAATATGCCGACGTTCCCATTTTCCCATTTCCTGCCACCCTACTTTTTATTTTATTCCCTTTCATTCAAGCATGCCTCGATCCCCATCGCCGTCCTATCGCCATCGCAGTCGTAACCGTGAGAGTCGTTATCATGATCTAGACCGACCTCGACGTTCATCACGATCGCCGTCGCCTTCTCGACCCGTCTCAAGGTCACCGTCTCCTTACCGAGGTCGTAGTCGTCAACCACCCAGCAGACGACGCCACAGTCGCTCTCCACCACGCCGATACAGTCGAGAACGACGACGAGATAGAAGCCCAGCATACAGAGGTAAGCACTTATGCTCGACATTTTTAAGGCCGACCCACCCACTCCTTGGCACTTCATGACTCACTGTTTCTGTGTGCAAGATCGAGGAAGACCACGATATCGCTCCCGAAGCCGATCGCCCAGTCGATCCCCTTCAAGACGTTCTCGCTCTGCAAGAAGGTAGGTATCAATTTGGCTGTACACGTGAATATCAGTCAATTATAATTAACTCTTTTATTTTCCTTTTTTCTTCTGATCGAGCAGAGACCGTCGTCGACATTCGCGTGATGAAGAGGAAGGTCGGTCTCCTTCGGAAGGCCGCGGTGAGTCGAAAGCTGTGGAGATTAATGAAGAAGATGATGAAGAGACCAAGATGATGAAATTGATGGGTTTTGGTGGGTTTGATACCACCAAGAACAAAAAGGTCCCTGGTGCCGATGTGTCAGCGGCCAAGGTGTCCAAGCCCGTGAAATACAGACAATACATGAATAGACGAGGTGGTTTCAACAGGTAAAAGATAAAGAAAAAAAGCACATTTATTTGGATGGATCTAATTTTTATTTACTTTAAATACTCTCTTTTAGGCCTTTGGATAGTGTATAGTTTACATTCTTCGTACGTCGCACTCGTTTTTCTTACTTTCGTCTACAATAAAAATAGTGTTGAATCATCAGTTATTTGGGATCTATCGCTCTATCGATGAAAAAAGGAGATACAAACCGAATGGTGCCGTGGTGGGCTTCTATTGTGTCACGCCATTCATTCAGTTCGTGTTCTTCTCTGTCAAGTTGCTGTTTCTGTTGTTCCAGCTCTCTCTTTAGCTCATCGCGTTTTCTTTGAAGCTGTTTCAATATCAGGACGACACAAGGTAGACTATCTGTTAGTGCTGCAAAAAACGATCAACGTATTTTGATGATGCTCTTACCTCTTCCTCACGGTTCTTCAGAATTTGCTCAGTTTCACGCACTTTTTGCACAAATTGTTGTCGTATTTCTTCCTCTCTCTGTGACATTTCATTGACCAGTGTGCTCTTCATGGTATCGATACGTGCATCGTATTCTTCATCGCATTTCAGAAGCGATTGAGGTCGTTCTTCGCCTCCCGTGAGCTGATGCGCACGGTAAGCGTGGTAATGATGATCATGCGTAATATCGCTGAGCTCATGAAGGCAATGGATCATTAACATTTCACGCAAATAAACAAAATCGCAATGATCGGGATTTTCCACTAAAATCAACCCATACCCACGAATCCGATGAATAACGTTGTAAAAGAACACATCATCTAAGGGTAGGCCGTTTTTCTTACCTTGAACGGACCCCCATCGATATTCACGTCCACGCACTTTTTTGCCATCCACTTCCACAAAATCGTTACTGCCAATAACGGCAAAAGGAATATGTTTCTACAATAAATTTAGAATAGACGAGTTAATACCAATTGCGCCCACATTATCTGAGCAAACCTACCTCCAACTCCTCCAAGGGATCACGATCATTGGGATAGGATGTGGGATAAATGGGAATTCCATACTTTTCAAGGTCTTCCAAAATCTTTCAAAATCAGCAGACAGAGTGAGATGGAAGGAAATGGCTTATCGGTCTTATGGGGTGCTTACCGTTTTCTTGAAGGATATCGTTTCATCTTTGGTCAAACCATCGGCTTTGGCAATCACGGGAATGACATTGACTTTGGACGCGATAGCGCGTAACGCCACGATATCCATCTCTTTCATGCTTATATTTTTTAACAAAAAGGAATTAGGTTATTGGGAAAATCTGCGGCTTACGTAGTTCCTTGTAGCTACCTGTGACCTGTAGGAGCAATAAAATAGAGGCATGCGTGAACACGGGTATCTAGATGTTTGCGTCGGAATTGAGCGCTGCGTTCTGCCTGGTGAAAGGCGCGATTCTGTTCTTGAATGTATTCGAGAATCGGTTCAAGGCTGCATGATAAAGGACACCAAAGAAAACGTCAGTTACACCGAGACCGATGGACGCTCGTTCACATACCTACTCTTTCGTTCTATCGAGACGATCCCCAAATCCAGGAGTGTCAATGACACTCAACAGCATGGTCACTCCATCTTCTTCCAGCTCTACAGTAAAAGACGCATCGTGAATGGGTTTGCTTCGGACAATTGGTCGAGTTCGAAGTTTACCATAAGTGACAGGTGTAATTTCAACGGTTTCAGTGTGTTCAGGTTGCTTGATTGACGGCTCTTTCAGATCCGTATTGAACAACGTATTCAAAAATGTCGATTTGCCGAGACCGGTTTCGCCTAAACAAACCAATTTCGCATGAATCATCCGATCTTGCTGCTGTCGAATGCTGACGGGGTTCCTTTTTTTTTTTTTTTTACCTACGACAATCACATTTAAACGAAACGGTTCTCGTTTGGCCTTCTCATAGTTTTGACGCGGTAAAGCATCCATGCCCAATGGATGCGTTAATGCGGCTTGTTTGACCGGTGTATTCTTCCATGGACCGAGATCAGGAAAGAGACCTCTAATAGCAAGTAGATCAGTGACTCAGTCTCCTCTTGTTGAATTCTGATGGACGACATGCTTCTCGGCAATGTACCTTGTTTGCAAAGCGAATTCCTGCCATGATGACCAAACCTAGCGTTTAGTGACGGGGAACTCGGTTCGAACGACCTGCATTTGCATAACGCTTACCAATGGCATATTCGGTGACGATGACGACCCAACTGGCACAAGAACAGAGTAAGAAGCGAAGAACGAACAATGATTCAAACCCCACTTGTGCTCTAATCAGCTCTCTTTTTTCCCGTTCTTATTTTTATTCAAAACGGTTGTGTGACATTAAACAGGTGGAAACCATCATTTTAAATCCAGCTCTTATGAAGCTTGGCTGGTACTTGATGAAGAAAAATGGAATGGAAAATGAAGCATGTATTTATCTGAAGCAAGGGCCCGGGTGTTTGTATGACAGTGTCTTTTTTTGAATTTATAATTTAGGGTTGCTGGTGAGGCAAGGGACTGCAGGGTCCTGCTTCAGGGGTATAAGTAGAAAACAGCTGTTGTCGAATGCGAGGGGTAAACATGGCATGCGGTTTCTTGTCACAGACACTTAATAATCCATCCTTTTGTTCCGGAATCATATCTCCGTGATATCTGTCAAAAAAAAAATCAGGGAGCTGAACACTTGCCCTTGTCACCATAGCTTCTTACCCTTTGACAAACACTAGGAGCGATTGATACCACAGTCGCGGCATAGTATAGGGATGGTCGGCCAGTCTCAAATAGTGAAGGACAAGTGCGTCTACTACGCGATGAGGAAGCGAATATTGTTTCTCTAGCAAGACGCGAATGAAAAGACTGTTGGGTGGTGAGTAGATCATGTCAGCTAAACGCAGAATGGCTGCTGAGGAATGAATGGCGGGGATCTGGATTTGCGACAGTAAATTGGCGAGAATGGCCGCTTCGTGAAGCATACAGTTGCCCGATTCACACAGCGGGAACAGGAACCCTTTGAAAAAGATGATGGGTCGAAGAAGCGCTTTCTTCAATGCCGAATACATGTGCGGGTGCAACTGATCATCGTACGCAACATTCTCTCGAAACCGATCCAGCAACACAAGACCGAAAAACCTACACAACGTGTTTAATTCATGAAAGGTTTAGACGCGTGAATAAACATATGACTGGCTGTACCTTTGCGACTGCACAGCTCGAAAGTGAGACATGAATAAACGCGTTATCTCATAGGTGGCCGAGGGTGACCATCCTTTGGGATTCGTTAATTGCAGTATTTCCTCCCAATTTGTCAACGAAGGAATGATTTTGAACGCTTTTGGAAGTTTGCCACTCTGATAATGACTGAGAATCTGCCCTAATCTAATCGGCGGATTAGCCGAGTTAGGTCCAATCTTCTTTTTTTTTTCTTTTTAATTTCCCAAACCCCGTCACCACTGCCAAAATTAGTTTGGCGACCCAACCCCTCCTTACTTTGTATACACCATCGCTACTTTTGGATTGGTGGCGGGAGATAAAATCGCCTGCGGATCTGTAACAGGGCCATTCCCATCAATGCACGTTAATGACGATGATGAATCCATTTGATGACCATCGGTACGATGGATCAGGACAAGAAACGCGTGTATACCTTGTGTGCCGTAAACCGCCAATTCATCGGCTAGTGTTGGCAGTGGTGTAGGATTCTCAGGTATGAACTGTCGGATGATCCATGGGTCTTCATCGATATCCAAATCATAGTCCTCTACCATATGATCGTCGTTCCCCGCCAGACCAATCTTGAGTTTCTGGATGCTACGAATGGAAATACTTTGATTTTTGGTTTCACCAACAAAAAAGGAACAAAGCGGACCTTTTTTGGGGGGTTTCTAAGACTGTTTCGTCTTACCTTTCTTCTTCATCATCCCGATGACGGTTTTGGTGTTCTTTTTGTTCGGCTGCAATGTCCATGATGGTTTGTGCGATTCTAGGATCTGTGTACATCTTTAACAAGCATGGAGGAAATGATGAGTTTCTGCAGATACAAAAAGTGTTGATGGGTCAAAAACTGACCTTCTCATCGTCACTGTCATCAGTATTTTGACGCCCAAAGATATGGATGGACTTGTCGCCGCCCAAGGGCCAGGCGTGAATTTTTGACATGGTGCGACTAGTTTTCATCTTGAGCGCCTCCTTGCCCATGTTATATCTTTATTTCTCCAACGAGATGAAAATGAAGGAAAAAAGAAATGGCACATGAAAACTACATTTTTAAAAAACATTATTAAAAATTTCCTGCAGGGCCCATTTTTGTCACCATTTCTGGCGTCTCCTTGAAGAACGAGTGGCCTTTTATCCTACATAATTATTTTTCGATTGAAAACCACACTCTTGTCTGTTTTCAAATCAGTTACCGTAGCACGCGGAGCTGTTGCTTTTCAATAATCACCATAACAATGAGACCTCATGATTTTGACTTTTTCTTGCCAAAGGAGTAATAAATAATAAAAAAAACTACCGATGGCATCATCTGTAAACATCCGATCTCTAACAGGCGCAATTAAATTTTGGATAAGCATTTCCGAAATGAATAGCGTTTCATTCTCGACATAATATGCTCCCAAATAAAAAAGAAAAACGTAAATCAATTTTCTGGTTGTACGAAGGAAAAAGAAACCATCGTCAAAGGATATGAAGAAATACGCCACTGTAATACTACAACAGAAAGAAATGCGATACAATAATCATTACAATGCGTCGTTCATTATTTTCATTGCTTTCATTGTCATGAGATACTGTAAATTGCGCTTAAAGTTACGCCATCATATGCGAGCATTTTTTACAGGCTAATGTATGATATCTTGGAAGGTTTCGAATATTGGTGCATATGATAAAGCTGCCATAGTACATTGAACACTAGGTCTCGAACTTGTCTAGTAACCGTGATAAATAAATACTTGAGCATGAACGATGAGTCTCGACGAAAAAAGTAAAAAGTTGCCAAGAGAACACTGTCATTTCATCTAGACACTTGTTTAGTTGTCAAGTCACGTAAATGGCAGTTCATCTGTATGAGTGATAGTGCTTGTTTTGAGCCTTGCTTTTATCAATGTCGCTGTGCGCAACAAATAGATTTGAATTTCTTGTCTCATTTGACTGAGATTATAGTAGTGCGTCAAAATCGAGATTTTTTTTTCTTGAATGGGTCGCCTTTTTATGGCGACACCACTTTCTCGTATGAAGACAAAAAATATCCAGCTTCCGACCCATTATAGTATGTCAAGCGAGTGAAATTTCAGTGTAGCTTCAAGGGCGATCCAAATTGTAGTGATTTATTTGAATTATGAACTTTTTTTTGTCTATTTTTTGTCTAGCTTTTTTTGGATGGTGGGGCAGGAGACCTTTTTTGGATGAGATCTAATGGCTCGGAAAAATGCATCAGCCATTGGGGCGTGGATGAAAATGAAACAATGAAAAAGTCGGTTGTTGATGCTGTGATTGGTTAACGGGTTTTTTCAGGCACAAAAAGGTCCGAAAACTGTATACAGTCACAACCCAAACGAAAAAAAAAGGGTGCTTTCAACCGTCCTTTGAATTTCCTCCTTTGGTTCATTTCTCTTTGGGTTCCAAAAATATCCCCTGTGTAGCGAACCCAACTTCTTTATATTACCCGTTCTCTCCTGCAGTTGTGAAAAAAAGATCATGGACGAGTTTCTTCGACAGCAGCATCTCGCTATCCAATCCTCCGGTCTTGTCCCTACCAAGGATAGGGCGGCCGGTTCCCTGTTACTAAAGCAACCAAACTTTGTATCCGTTCCTCTGCCCTCCACCCGACGAGACCGATGCAATTATTGTCTGAATAAAACGACGCTGCAATGCTGCTCGCGGTGTCATTCCGCTTACTTTTGCAGCAACGAGTGTTTTCGAAACGCATGGCTCCACTTTCATCGAGAACTGTGTGAACCGCAAGAATACGATATCTATAAATCCGTCGATGTGGATCGCTGGCTTTTCGAAAGAGTGATCCTTACCCTGGACAGTCACGTTCATCTGAATAAGCAGCATTCCTACGCCATGGAAGCCCTCCAAAAGGTGCCTTGTCCTACCTCCGATTCAATGCCCGATGCACTGGCGGCATTTCAATGCTTGCCTGGCACCACCCTGACTCGGGAGCAACAGTCCGCGCTATGGCAACGGGTGCGCTATTCTTGTTTTCCTATTGTCGATCCCGACCAGCGACTGGAACCTGTGGCGGTCGGTCTGTTTCCTCTCACGGCAGCTTTCGTCGGTCACTCTTGTCGTCCCAATACCGGTATCATTTACAAAGGCAACACTCAGATTCTCGTCGCTTTGCGTGATATTGAGTCCGGCACACCCATCACCGTGAACTACGTCGACTTGATCGCTACAAAGAAACAACGTACCGCCGCATTACGTCAACGGTTTGGACCCGATTATGCTTGCCAGTGCAGTCGATGTGTGGGAGAATACAGTGAGTTGGATCGATTGTTGGACGAAGCGAATCAGAACGAACCATGGACGGTGGAGGCGCTGAAACAACAGTTCAAGACATGGAGTGTCTTGGATATGGCCAAACAGTATGCGACCAAAGATGCCGCCAGTTGTTCACCGCCTGTTGAACCTCTGGATGCGCCCAACTTTTCACATTATACAAGTCGTATCATGGCGCCTGATCTGTATTATCCCACGCTGAACCTTCCGTTCCGAAAAAATCAGCGAAAATTCCACACTTACACGGTCGAACACGACGAACGTGCATTACGAGCCCTTCATGCGCTTTGCCAAGGACCGACTATACCCGCGTTATCGCTCTCTTCCATCGTTACCACTGAAAAGCTGCTCGCTCAATACATGGCGCACGATCGTTGGGTTGAAGCTTCCAGGGCCGCCCTGTATCTGTTTGTCGTTTACCGATTAATTTACCCTCCTTTACATCCTCAGTTAGCCTACCACTTGGTAGTACTGGCCCGAGCCAGTTGGAATTCACTGGTGCAATTGGAATTGGCCGGTATTGGAAAGAAGCTGGAACGGATCTATGAAAACGGCGTACGTACATGGATCGAAATTGCCCGCGATGCCGTCGCAAGCACCTTTGGACAGAGCACCAGTCTTTGGCGGGAAATCATTGAATTGCAATGGGTCTTTGAAAGAGATCAAAAGTTAAAGTAATGTACACCGTGATGATGGCTTGGTTGGAAAAAAAAATAAGCATCATCAATGATTATTATTATTGTCACTATTACTATTTTTTTGTTTTGTTCTTTTTTTTTTCCTGGATCATCTCTTACAGTACTTTTTTTCCCCTTTTGGTTTACACACACAAGTCACCCTATAATATTCACAATAAAAAACCAAGAACAAAAAAAAAAAAAAAAGAAAAAAGATAAATATATATGTAAAAGGGAGCCTAGGAGGTGGATGCGGTCAAGTTGAAGAGGGGTTTTCCATAGTCGACCAAGTAAGTGGCATGAGGATCGCCTTGACGAGCGAGATCGACGAGCAACTGTTTCACATGGCGTTGGCACCATCGTCTTAGGGATACGGCTTCTTCAAGTTCTCGTCGTTGATTGGCGGCTTGCACGCCCATGGCCCCGGCGGCGACAGCGACGAACGTTCGCCACGAGGCAATGACTTGTTTGGCCATATCGTACCGTTTATCGATGAAAGCCATATGATACCAGACGAACAACGGGATCAAAAAGATGGGTACGGTGAACCCGACAAGCGTAAAATCCATGGCTTTCCACATCATGTAAAAAAGAGTGCTGTACATTGGTAAAGCGAGACCCACCGAGATCAACAGTTTGTCTTGTGATACAGTTTCAGTGTATTTCTCGTATTTGTTGGCGAGTTTGCCGAGGATGTAGATGGGCGAGTTGAAAAGGATACCGGGAAGGAAGAAAGGGATCTGAACTGCCAAGGCCATGGAAGTGGAAATCAACCTCAGCACCGCACGCGTTAGTGTGATTTCTCTGTTTTCGTACATTCGAATATCTTGCGACGTTAAACGAAGCCGTTTCAGGGTTTCGGAGAAAATGAGCAACTGAGTTTTGATTTTCGTTCGAGGATTGTCCGGATCCACGGTTCGATCGGGATGAAAAATCTCGGTAAAGCTGAAAAAAAAATGTGAAAATCAATAGGGTTGTTGTCTCTGCTGCGGTCCATAATGATTTTTACCTTTGCGCCACTTTGACATAGTCTTCCAATCGGACTGCTCGATCGGCGCCAAACACAATGGAGCGTGCCTGTGCGGCAGCATGGGCTGTATCCCTATAAAAGACCCAAAACATAACAAGTAACACGTGAATATGGGGGATAGGGGAATGTGTTTTGGGTTGTTGGGGATTTTTTTTTTTTTTTTTTTTACCAATCTGGGCTGTTCACTGTGCCTTTCTCAACCTCGGCTGTGATTTGGGCAGTAAGCTTTTTGACAGCCGCTCTTGAATCGGTTTGAAATGCCGCAAGATCGTCGGTGGTGACACGAATAGGCTCACCATACCTATATGAAACCATCCTGTTAAAAAAAAGTGCACTTTTTCACCCAAAAAAAGGGTGTGCGTATGCTTTGAAAAAAAAAAAAGATGCAAAAAGATCGGGAAACCACTTGCTCTACAATCACGTCACTGCGCCATTTATTTTTGGTGGTATAGGTGATGCCCACGGGGATGATGTCGATATGACGCGGTCCCTCCGTTTTAGAATTGTTCACTTGTTGAGTCAGATATTCGTAAGTCGCCCATGACAGACCATCCTTAAACGGCAAGTGTTTCGGTGCCGTATACGAGGTACCTTTGAATCAAAAACCACAACATCAAAACATACATATTTCGCAAGGGCTTTTGTATAAATGGTAGCAAAGACAGAGAAGGAGAAGCTGATGATTTTTACCTTCAGGAAACAGAGCGACGACGCCTTGTTTTTCCAGACAGGCCAAGGTGTGTTCAAACAATTTGGCGTTACTGTGAGTTTTGGTATCGACGGGTAAGACGCCGGCCGCGGTGAGTATGTGTCCTGCGAGAGGCATTCGAAAAAATCTTGCCAATGCCCAGAAATGACAAGGCCGAGCATGAGGAAATGTGGCGACGAGCATGGCCGGATCGAGTACCATGTTGGTATGATTGGCCGCCACCAGTAACGGTCCGTCTGTAGGAATAGGTGCTCGACATATCACTTTCACATGACGAAAATACGCCCACACTGCCCCTCGCGCAAGGATTTGAATTGTATGATACGTTTTCCCTTCGCCGGCTCGTTCCACCATTTGGTCTATTCAACGCGTATGAAAGAAACAAGAAAAAAAAAGGAATAGAGAAGGTGGTTGATCAAAAAGAGAAAAAAGAAGAAAAGGAAATGGGAATAAAAAACTATATAAAAAAAAAGTCGCTTCATTCTATTTCTGGTTCGGTTCACGGAGCACATACCCAAAAGAACAAGACATGTCCCAAATGTGACTGTCTCTCTCATCTCTAGGGTCACCTTCTCTCGTCCTCTAATCCATTATCATCTTTTTGGTTCGCAACAGTGATCCCATCGTTCAAAAAAAGGGCCACATGACTGTTAGTTCTCAAGATACATGAAGCTTGCGCAAAACGTCATACCCACGATCCCGTTCCCCGATAGTCTTGATGGTGACATGAAGTGCCAGCATGGTTCCTTTTCGAACAACCTACTGGAACCCGACACGTGAAATTTGGGTAAAACAGGACTAGCCCAAGGGCGCAGATGATAGACAAGAGTATGAAGATCTAATCCATTGGATGACGAGGACTATGGGGCGGTCGAGCGGATCATCGGCTCCGATACAATTCAGCCGTTCCTATTTTTGATCCACTTTCGGACTTGATGAGGTTGCCAACCACATGGAGCAATTCAAAAAGAGGTTAAACCTTGGGTAGAGCGGTCAACATGGCTGATTTTCTTTTGACTTGACAGAAAAAGAAAATGAAGCGCTCCGTAAAGGGGAAAATACTCTTATGGACATCGGATGACAATTGTATCATGAAAAATAGCATGAAAAAATGATGATGATTCTCGAATTTTGCCACCATGCCCAGGGTCACCCAAACGACCTCTCAACCACGAAAACAAGAAACAAAGGTTCTCGATCCCTGACATGGTGAACCTTGCAGCAACTTTTGTTGTTAAACATTATTTTTATCTTTATGAATAGGATGATCCACTCACCTCACACTGATTTCTTTTTGCCATTGATTATCCAGCAAAGTCGTAGTGTGCCCATGATCGCGAGATGGTACATTTTTTTTTTTTCAATTCCGTTCTTATGTTATGATAAGTCAAGGCATTGGAGCATGGTGCGGTAATTGAAGAAGTAATCCAAAAAGCCTTTCCAACCAACCCATTTTAACAAGTCAATCAATGGTTTCAAGAGCTAATTCAAGAGCGCACCGCCCCGGATCTTGCTTCGAGAATGGCCATGAAAGATGTTCCGTTTGCAAAGGTTTGGTTTGGTTGGGTTGTCTTCTTCTTTTTACTGCTTTTGGTTTCCCTCCTTGGTAGTGAACCCCCTTCCTTCTTCCTCCCACCTAAACTCAAAAAAAAAAGAAAAGATCCTAATTGCATCTTTTCTATATTTCCGCCTTGTCTTATCCCCTTTTTTGTTTTTTTTTTCTTCCACTTGGGCTTGCAACTCCTACCGTGGGCTCACCTCCTGGTTTTCTTCCTGCACAGAGAAAGAAAGAAGAGTAAAAGGCACATGGCTTCACTGATTGGGATTTTCTCTTTCTTATTTTATTACTGATCGGCCCTTCCGTTCTCTTTTATTCTTCTTTTTTTTTTCTCGCTTCAGTTTCCACCAAAAGAAATTGAATGTGTTGTCTGATTCAATGAACATGACTGACATGGAACCGGAAGGTGAAGCTCCATTTTTTCTCAAATTCCCCTGCTATTCAAAGAAGGGCTCTCTTGTTCCACGTCGATAAAAAAAAACTAAACAAATAAGTGATAGATAGACCATGCTTTGACAGAGGCAATGGATCACCGTTTTGTTCGCCTTTAAGCACCGATACATGGTACCAAGGATCGACCCATGAGTTTATATGGAATTACAAGTAAAATTTTTTATTTCTTTGCTTCTGTCAAAAAAAAAAAAAGAACTGCTGCACGCCAAAAACAGCCAGTAACCCATTTTTTCTTGTTTCTTTCTTGTATGTGAAATGTATTATCTAGTCATCCTTTCTACGTCGATGTGGTATGATAGATGATGGCAGAGCTTGTTTTTCTTTTCTACTGATGATTTGACGGCTGCCAAGTAGGAGTTGATCAATCTGTTTTTGTATTACCAAGAAAATTACGCTTTTCGAGCCGTTCGAAATTGGACCGACATTGACCGTGCGGAAGGATCGCTTCAAGTCAAGATCGATAGTACTTGGTTTCCCACCGATTTGTCACCAGACACCGTCAATCGAACATGGACACTTTACGGATTTTATCTTCCCACCGAATTGGACCCCACAACCGAACTCGTCAATCCATACAGTCAATACCCGCGGCCTTTTAATTTCTCGGTCGTTCGTAAGTGTTCTTTTGTCTCGTGACCCTTGAGAACCCATTAAAAAATGAGTTTTTTTTTTCTCCACAGAACTATTCCATACAGAAACAAAACATGATACACCCTCTTCCGTTGTACCATTACCAACCACAACGTCCGTCACTCCGTTACAGACATGGGTTATCCTTTTAATTATTTCCCTGGGATTGATTTTACTCGCTGGTTTGGCGGCGGCGTTGCTGTGGTTGATCCGCCGACGGCGACCGCAACGCACCAATCGTTTATCGCCGTCGCAAACACTGGTCAGTGAAACATTTGGCAACGAAAAGCACCAGGCCAAGGATTTTGCTTTTTATCAGGAAGCCATGCTACGTGACCGTCAGAGTTCCATGTTTACCCTCAACAGCGATGCGATACGTCTGGCGGGCTCGTTCCGAAGCATCGTACAAGGCGCCGCCACCGAAGAGGAACGACGACGGTTGGGAAAGGAGTTACTCGAACGACAATTGGCGGAAGAAGGAGCCTCGGTCAAACACGCGGAAAGACGTCCTACCCGAGTTCACAGCATTATTGGATGCGAAGAAAAAGCCATTTTGGAACATTCTTCATTTACAGAATTACCACCCAAATGAATTGATATTCACACAACTTTATGCCGATTGCTTTTTTTTATTACTGTTGCAATTTCAAAAAGAAAAGGTGGCGGAAAAGAGGAAAAGAAAAAGTAATACTATAGACGATGGGCGAGTGAAAAGATTAGAGGAGATAAATGAAGATGAAAATAGGGGGGATTTGTTGTTGTGGGTTTGTTGTGAGAGCCTTTTTTTTTTTTTCTATTTCATTTTTGTTTCAATGCAATAAGTTTGTCACGCCAGTGGAGGAAACCAATGGGCTTTCTTGGATGGGGCTGGTACTCAAAGGATTAGGGTTGGAGTGTGGAATGTTGTCTGGACAAGGATGTTCGGAACCAATCGCAAGCAATTCCTTGCCTGCCTGGGAAAGTGCATAATCACCGGAATCGAAATACTTGCGCTCCTGCCAAAAAAAGCTTGCATGTTAATCCCACCAATGCCATATCGAAAAAATAAAAATAAAAATAAAAAGAAATGTCATCATCCTTGCTGCTGTCCCTATAAATCCTTGTATAATAAAAAATGGGATTTAGGATAGACAATACCTGAAGTTTACGTTTCATGAGATCCCTTTTGTCTGGTAGTCTTCCATAGAGTCGAAGGAGTTTGGCATGTTCTTCATTCAACTGGGTCATTGGGGGAATTGCATGAGCAGATCATTTTCAAGCGAGAGACAAGAAAACACCAGTACAAGAAAAAAAAGGAGCTTACATGATGGTTATCCAATGTTTCCAATGTATCTCGTGTATCGTTATTCTGTTGCAGTGAAGAGTGCATAGGAAGGCTTAGTCGATTTAACTACTGTATTCAGTTGAAAAAAAAGTAGAGGGATGTAGATAAAAAAAAAAAAAAGAGAGAAAAAAAAAGCTTAATTAAATTTTCCTGGTTTTAAAGCAGATGTCGGTGAAGAAGTGAGTGAGAAAAAAAAAGCGAAACGCGGTATGATGATTAAAAATGAAGCGGTGAATTTCAACAGCACAAAAAGAGAGAAGAAAGAAAGAAAGAGAGAGAGAGAGAGGGAGAGAGAGAGAGAAAGTTCTGCTTTGCTGGTTATGTCATGTCATGTTATGTTATGTTGTGTTGTGCTATGTGGTCTATTGTTTTAGCTCTTTTCAAAAGTTTATTTGCAGTGGCCGCACCCAAAAGTTACATTTTTCAACTCCATCGTTTCTTCTATTTCCAGACCTGTCTAAAATGGAAACATTGCTAAAGACAGAACGCAACAAAATAAAAAGGGCAATGGCCTTTCAAAGAGCAGCTAACTGTATCCATTATCGTATTTTCCAATTGCCTATGACCATCCTTTCCATAATAATGAAATTGTTTATAAACAGCATCGGCCAAGTGAGCAAGACAAAGAGAACCGGACATCAATGCAAACATAATTACCCACAAAAATGCAAGTCCATTAAAAGTAAACACTTGTGGAGTGGCTGTCAGAGGTGTCAATGCAATGAAAACCATCCACCGCAAGGAAGAAGTCAATCACATGCTGTGTGCACCGGTAAAACGCGATCAATGGATTCTTTTAAACCTAGAGTTTTTCTATTTGAGCTTCATCATGCTATTCTTCTTTGACGCGCGATTTATTCTGACATTGAAAAAAAAAGACGCTTATTATTCGATCTTGGTCCCCCCCAAAAAGGTTAATCGCCCCTTGGACCATCCTCTCCCGTTTCCCCCTTTGTTTTCTACCTCTCTCTCTCTCTTTTTTCTTTTTTTTTTTTGGTTTTTTAGTCTTCTTTCTATTTCTCTCTCTCTCTCTCTTTTTTTTCCCCCCTTGTTCTTCCCCGCTTCGCTTTACGTGCGCTTCGGTGTCCTTGCCATTCCTTTTTGAATTGTTTTTGTTTTTCTTGCTGTTGTCTGATTTGAATCGATTATTGCCATGGGAATGGGAATGGAAAAGTGCTGTGGGTTCATTCCACTGAGACTCGCCACGTTCATTATTGCAACTTGGTTCTTTGTAAGTTTCATCCATCATGATATAAGACCAAGATTCCTCCTCCTCACCCACTTCTTTATCTTTGCTACGCTAGGTGATTTACCTCTTTGACGCTGTCACTGGATTCCTAGGCATCAACGGTAAATGGTCAACTCTATTCACGTTTTTAATAGTTGGCGGAGGTTCAATTTCATTTATTGTGTGTGACACTCATCAACAAAACAAAAAAAATGGTTATTATAGCTGTTACGGTCTACTCGGGACAAACCGCCAAAGCTTGGTATTACGTCGACCTCATCTTCACCCTCATTATTTGTATCGGTGGTCTTCTAGGCATCATTGGTTCATGCTTTGTAAGCCTTCAATACACCAATTCTTTGTCTTACAGGGAAAAACGCTGACCTTGGATCCACCCCATTGTTTGAATTAGGCTTCTCGCAAATTCGCCAAAATATTCAGCATCATTGTGTGGATAAATTGTGCCCTATCCATCATAAAATATATTGTCTCTCTGGCATTGATGGCAGTATTTCACGAAAATTTAGTTCGATCATGTTTACGTTCTGGATTTATTGGTTTCTCCAACGCCCAAACTCCCATGGGACCAGCCATCATCACCGACAGTCCCTTTTACACCCCCGTTCAATATCCAGGCACTCTCAATGCCCATGCCAGTAGTCTTGACGACTGTCAATCCAATGTTAAAACGTTCCTCATTGCCTACGGTGTGGTTATCTTTGTCATTGAATTGATTCAGGTAAAAACCTCTGGACCCGTTTTGGATCGACAGCAACTTACAAAAAGTGTCAATAGATTTACTTTGCTTCCGTCGTGAACGCTTATTCATCGCGACTACGCAATGGCGCACGTCATCATCGATTGCACGATCAGCAAATCAAAGACTTTGAAGAATCCCGATACCATATGTCAACCGTTTATTAAAACATGGGGTTGATCTTTTTCCTTTTTCCTTTTTTTTCCGCTGTACATTTCATTCCATCTTTTTTTGTTTGTTTTGTTTTCTCCTAGATCGTCGTTTTTGCTGGTTCAAATGAAACCATTAAAAAAAAGCATTTGGGTTCACCGACCATCCTCAGATCAACTTTTTACGTGGTTCTCTTTAGCCAAGACAATAGTGATACTGTAGTTACTTGTACCACGCCAACTTTATCATTGAGGCATAAACTTGTGTTCCCTTGGTTGCTGGATCATCCTATTTTTTTCAAGTCCCGAAACAGCACAAGGCAAAACCAATTCATGATCTTTCAAAATACGACATATTTTAACAACAGAAGCCATCGTCCACGGGATTGGTTCCCCAAGGGCGCTATTGATTATTTTATATTCATTGACTTCAAGGCCCACGGTAATTCGACTATTTGCGATCCATCTCATGTTGACATCTCAAAATTGCCTACTCTATGCTGTTGTTCCCTCTTTCTTAAATTTTTCAGCGATCCATGTCTGTGAATGGACCACGCTGTAAAGACGACAAAGAGGTGGGAAAGAAGGTTAGATTGACTAAAATAAAGACTCTAGATCCCGTGTCTTCAGGTTGAAATAAACTATATTTTGCTACAATACGTCATCCCTTCACTTCAGCAAATCCATTAAAACTTTTGCAGCAACACCGGCATAGATAATTATGGTAGCGTAGGTCATTGTTTTGTTCACTTTTCAAGAGAAATGATAGTTGAAAAGTAATTTTTTTGGGCCAAATCTCCTGCGCGGACGCGCTTGTCGGGATGCGAAAATGCAATTTTCGTCATTTGTGACAGTGGAAGGTGAGCGACTGCGGGCAAGTTCAAAAAAAAGGGAACGCGACCAAGTTGAGTCGCGACAGGATTTTGCGAAGTTCATAATTATATACTTGTTATAATGAGTTCAATGGATATAGACCGACCAGTCAAGAACAAAGGCAAAGGCAAAATGGTGGAAAAGAACGAGCCGGATAACTTGCCATGGTAATATATATTATATAATCAATATGCTTTTTCTTTGACGCTAACACGTTATAACAGGGTCGAGAAGTACCGTCCAAAGACCCTCGACGATCTTGTCTCTCACAAAGATATTACATCAACCAGTATGTGCTTTTTTTTCTTATTCTGATCGTTCAAATCCCATCGATGTGTCTTACACAATTTTTTCGTCTAGTCGAGACATTCATCGATGCAAACCGTCTGCCACATTTGCTGTTTTACGGTCCTCCAGGCACCGGTAAAACATCCACCATTCTCGCTTGCGCACGAAAATTATACGGTGATAACTACAAATCCCTCATTCTCGAGGTACGACAAAAAAACGAATCTTGTGGTCGACCATGTCAACGCCATGACTGATAAAATCCATCTCTTTTACATTGTCAACTTTTTAATTAGTTGAACGCGTCAGACGATCGTGGTATCGACGTCGTGCGAGAACAAATCAAGAACTTTGCCAGTACGCGCACTATTTACAGGTAAAAAAGAGTGAAAAAGGGCAGGATTTTTTTTTTCGTAAGGCAGACAATTATTCATTGGTTTTATTCTAGCTCGGGTTTCAAGCTCATTATTCTCGACGAAGCCGATGCCATGACAAATCAAGCCCAATCCGCCTTGCGTCGAGGTAATAACGAAACAATCATGGGTATTGGGTATGCGGGCAGAGTCATTGACGGTGATTGATTCTAGTCATTGAAAAGTACACAAAGAACGTCCGCTTTTGTATCATCTGCAATTATGTTAGCAAGATTATACCAGCCATTCAGTCTCGATGCACACGTTTTCGTTTTGCCCCGCTAGAACTGCCGCAAGTGGAAGCAAGGTTAAAATATATCGTTGAAGCCGAACGGTAAGCGACTGACAAAAGCTAACCGATGGATCGATGGGTCAATCGATCCATAAAAGAGAAAGAGAGGCTGATGGGAACCATTTTTACTGTTGCAGTGTCAACTTGACAGAGGATGGCATGAAGGCGTTGTTGAGATTGTCCAAAGGCGATATGCGAAGAGCGTTGAATATTCTACAAGCATGTCATGCTGCTTATGATCGGGTCGATGAAACAGCCATTTATAACTGTACAGGCCATCCTCATCCCCAAGATATTGAACGCATTGTCAGCTGGATGCTCACCGAAGAATTCACCACAGCCTATTCAAGTAAGTGAAAAAAGACTCCACCGACACATGGCATGGCAGAAGCAAAGAAAAAAAATAAATTCCAACATGACCTTCTTTGTGTAGACATTGAAAAGTTGAAACGCGAAGCGGGTCTGGCGCTGCAAGACATCATCAGCGAAGTGTACTATTATATTCAAACCATTGAATTTCCCGCCGTTGCTCGAGTTTACTTGCTTGAAAATCTGGCGGATATAGAGTAAGTTGCGATACCTTTATCTTTGGCAATCTTGCCATGTTGCTGATTGGTTTTTATTTTTTTCGCTAGATATCGATTAGGTGAAGGAGCCAACGAAAGTGTGCAACTGGGTGCTCTAGTAGGCATGTTCAAACTCGCCACCGAAAAGGCGGCGGCGGGTCAATAAAATCCTGTTCGTGTTAATCATATTGACAAGAACTACAACAAGTTCAATATAGAAAAACGCCTACCCCAAAAATCATCCGTTAGATTTCCGGTTCTCTTTTCTTCTATTCCACAATTATCGAGGGCCTTTTTTCATCTATCTAATCTTTTACTCTCAAGATTTCATTGTAAAAACATAGCGAATAAAGCAATAACCACTTTACAAACGTGAAATCATTTGTCCAACCCTTTTACTCTGCGAATGGAAAGCCTATACGTATCTACTATATTAATCTTTCTACCTTAAATGACATTAACTTTGTTCGCATAAAATGTTAAATACCAGTCAATCGCTCGAAATGGTCCACCCGAAAGTGGGAAGGTGTGACTTGCATTGTGAATTTTTTTGGGTGAACCAAAACGCGTTTTTTCATTCGATTTTTTAGAGCCGCCAAAATTCAACGGGCTGCACACAAGGACGAATCCTTTTTGTTGTGTTTTTTTCCTAGTCTTTTCACTTGTTAATCTAGTTGCAAGTCTAATGTCGTTCACATTTGGAGCTTCGGCCGCGCAACCATCGTTTGGTTTTGGGGCACAAGGTAGGGTCTTTTGAATGATGGGACAGCTCACGCAACAACACAGGACTAACTTCGAGTCATGCACCCGTCATTGTTTTTTAGCCAACACAGGCTTTGGAGCTTCGACTGCGCCAGCGTCCGGTTCGTTATTTGGCAATACAAACACCACCACAACTACTTCTACGGGAAATCTTTTCGGAGCCAACACCAACACGACGAACGCATTCGGATTCGGAGCGGCCAATGCCACATCCAACCCCACAGGGTCATTATTCGGTGCCAACACAAATACCAACCCCACCACACCCGCAGCAGGATTTGGAAACACCTCTACTACGAATACCAACAATAGCTTATTTGGTAATTTGCCATTCACCATTTGGCACCATTGATGTAGAAGCAACTGAAACGAACGATTTTGTCATAGGTCAACAGCAACAACAGAATCAAGCCCAAACACCGGCTACGGGATTCGCTGGGTTTGGCGCCACCGCGGGTTCAACCGCAGGAGGATCCTTGTTCGGCAACACTGGCACTGGCAATGCCGCTGCTACCACGACCCCTTCACTCTTTGGCAACACCAATGCCAACAACAACGCAGGTTCTTTGTTTGGCAACGCAAATACCACCGCTCCCACCACCGGTTTCGGATCCAACTCGTTGTTTGGCCAACAACAGAATCAAGCTCAAAAACCGACCACCGGATTTGGAGGCTTTGGCGGCTTTGGCACTACCAATGCACCTTTTGGTATTCCATTTCAGCTCAGCAATACAGAAATGAACCAATGTGTCTAATTCTATTAAAATAATAGGTCAACAAACACAACAGCAACAACAACAACAACAACAACAACAACAGTTACAATCATCGTCAAATAATCCAAATGCAGTTGTCCCACAAAATACTTGGCAAAAGTTGGCATTGTTACGTGCACAGTGGGATCCTTCATCACCTTTATGTAACTTTAGAGTAAGTCCAACCTTTTCTCATTGTTGATGTCTCCATGTGGCTCATCATATGTTTCAGCATTACTTTTACAATATGGTGCCGCCCAACGAAGTGCAACTATACGTCCGACCGCCGAACCAAGATGAACAATTGTGGAATGAAGCGATGCGAAAAAACCCGGATCCGAGTTGGTAAATATGCGAGATGATTTTTTTTTCACATCTGGAATTCAGGCAGGCAGGCAAATTGATCATGGAGAAAAAAAATTTCACATAGTATGGTGCCTGTATTGGCGGTGGGTTTCGAAGATGTCATGAAACGTATGGACATTCAGCACAGACAGGGTGAAATTCACAGAGAAAAGACCGAAGTAAGTAGATGTAGCGTGGTTCAGAAGGTGGGGGTTGCTGATTATCCAATCACAGGAAATCGAGGAACGATTAACGACGGCGTATCGTAAATACACTCTGGGAACACTGATCAAGATGGAGGAGCATAAGCGTCGTCACGTGGATTTGACCCAGCGACTAATACGAGTACGTGTTAATCTTCAAAAAGAAAATAATTGGATCCATTAGGTCTTCACTCATGCTAATTTGATGAATGTTCATAGTTACTGCGCTATGTGCAGGTGCTACGTTACAAGGGATTCCCACTGAATCCCAACGAAGAAGCCTTCTTGAAGCGTTTACAAGAATTATCGTGTGCTTCGGTCACACCGGAACAAATGCATAAACGAATGATCGAGTTATGGACACAATTACAAACCATCAAAAAGATGCGCTACCCAGGTTCCGAAGGAGTCACCGAAGCGTGGCAATCGGTCAGCGAAGAAGATACCATGAAGTTTGCACAGGTACCTTCATTTTTTTTTTGTTTGTTTATTAAATGTACAAGCGGTGATCCATTAACGCGTGAATGGTTGTTGCTTTGTTTTTACTAGGTTTTGAAAGACGAGCAACAAGGTCTAAGTCATGTGATTGGCGTATTGAAAAACGATTTGAAAGATTTGGAAGCGATCGAAGCCGGCCTCAAAGTGGAAGGAAAACAAAAATCGGCCGCCTCTTCCAGTTCATAATCATCATCCGACTTGGGACAAAGAAAAATACACTCTAATATCGGTTGATCCATACTTTTTCCACATCACAATGAAAACCCTCAATAAACGCTTTCTGAAATTGCATCTTATCTTGAACTGCGCGGTATTTAAGGGTGGGAACACATCGCCTTTTTGGGTCGCTGATGAGTGGATTCAAACGCCTTGAGAGTGTTGAGCGGTAGGGGATTGAACCTTTCCAAGAACAATGGATGATGGACGTACCATCAATGTGGTTTTGTACCATGGCAAACTTGCATGATCTATTCGATTTTCTAGTTCCACTTCATCTTATACATAGTCGGAAGCTCATATGATTAGATTTTGCAAACACATTCAACGATGTCAATCATTTATCTTTGCAAGCTCAAGGCGATATTAGTGCCACTGTCCTCAGAAAAGATAAGCTGCTCATTCATTATTATATTCAAGCTAGAGTAAGGCTTTCCCATGTAGCTGATCTGACCGATATTGCTCATCATTCATCCATGGGAAATCCGCATACATTTTTGTCTTCGTTTTTCTTTTTTCTTTGGTTTTCTCCTCTACCTTCTGTTTACCTGAAAAACTATCACTATCATTGCATCCGCTCGCATCCATCATCCATCATCCATCATCCAGACTATGGTTTATCCCGCGTGTATCTGTAACCGGTCAAGTCGATTAAATATCAAAAAAGTACGTTTTGTGTGATGTGACTCATCCGTTTTTCGACAAGAAAAAACTTGCCTGTTCTTTTTTCTCTATCCTTTCTTTAGCTTTTGGTTTTCTCTCCGGTTTTCTTTTCGTTCTGGCAAGCCATCCATCCCTCCAAGTCTTTCTACTTTGTTCGCGCACCAAATGTGGCCAATCCGGTTTTTGTCGTCAAAGGGCATCGTCGGTGGTGTGAGACTCTTTTTCATCGGTAACGCTTACATGTCCTCCTCAGCTTGGCTTCACCTGGAATACTTCCCGTGGTATCGTGTTCGATTTTCTTCCCGACCATTTTATTTTTGTAGTTCGTAGTTTGTATATTTGTATTTTAGTTATAGTGTTCTTGCAGTCTTTTCCTCCTTTTTTTTTCCCACAGGATTTTTAGGGGGTTTTTACAGACGCACCTATTGTATTTACTTTTTTTTTTATATTTGTATTTTTTCTTTTTTTTCGGTCGGGAAGCTCTGGATATCTGCTGCCTCACATAACAAAGGTAAAATATCTTGCCGGCATTTGAATCAATCAAAGAGCTTACTAACTCATTTTTTTTTTTTAAAATACCCAAATGACCTTGGGCGGGACGGGACTGAGGGGGTCAATAAGCGCTGCTGCACACATGTTTGGAAATCATGACTGTGCGGTATGCCAGAGTATTGACATTAATATACCAAAGTTCCATCAAGAGTCTCGCCCAGGTTATGCCGTATTCGTTAGGCTTTTGTCAGACGAATGTCGCTCAATGTAAGGGGGTGACGTCCAGTAGCAGGTGGTATCCATTGCACAGCGGGTGTACGGCTTGTTAAAGAAGCCCTAGCTGTAAGTCGAGATTAATTCGAATTCGGTCGTATCAAAGGTGTTTCGCGTCGAAAATTGCGACCCGATCAGCTCAAGGTGAAGGGTTACAGCAGGACCCACGTCAAACTGTTACAAAGAATATAGTTGGACAAAAAGAATAAAATTACGACTCTTATCTTGCATGATGAAGATATGTATATCTGTTGACAGAAGTCCAAGACATGAGACGTTTTCAAATGAAGCTAAAGAGAAAAGGAGCTGAATCAAGTGCTTGAATATGTTGATGATGACAATGGCATATGGATCGCCTTCCTGCAGCTTATTTGCCAAGACCAAAGAAGCTTTCAATTCCTTTCCAGACCATTTCAGCAAGTACGCATTCATTACAGTAAAATGCGAGATCATATTGCCATAACATTGTACGCTTGCAGATGGTTGTTTCTGACATTGTTCGGCAAAGCCAGAAACCGCCGTGGTGGTAAATAAGATGACGAATCTATGCTTACAGAATTAATTCATACACTAAAAGAAATATTATCCTTTTCTTCTGCAACACCGGGCAATACACACTGCAATCGCCAATAAATAGTAAGACATGATGTCTTGCGAATGACACTTTATTATCTGGCCTTTGGCTAAATTATCGAAGTCTAATAGCTGTAATGACGAAGGTTGGGAAAAAAAGGCCAGAAGAAAAAAAAAACCCAAAGCTATTTAACTACGTTGTCCAAGAGCGAAATAGTGGCGAAGGGACAAGAAGAATGGAAAAATAACACCCAGAGAAAAAGGGGAAACAGGTGGGAAGGGGAATAAGACAGACCGAATTACAAAGAAAACAGTCGTCATCAGGACACCAAAACCGCAGCGAACGATGAAGCGGAAAACATCAGCTGAGAGAGAAAGGGTGAACATCTGGGAGGGAATACCGTAGGCCGAATTCCGAAAGAGAACGGGAACGCCAGGCCAAGGACTGCCAGGCAACGAAACGCACCAAGAGCAAGAACGCCGGGACACCGGAACGACGGAGAGAGCCTTGCACCAGGAACCAGATCGGACCGCGGAAGAACTTGACACCTTGAGACGTTTTGCTTCGTGTGTATCGACACACACACCGCCCAAACCATTCGCCAGCTGCGAATGTTCATTACAGACACTATTGTTCATGCTAGTTCACCGAGCAAGCAACCATCGTGTCCGATGAATTAACTCTTCCTATGCAAAAGAATCACCTCTGCACTGGTTCAGTGGTAATAATAGCAGAAATGCATCGTCGCAGGAACCGGTGCTGCTTAACAAAGACTGCTAATTATTACGCGCGCAAGTGAATCTCCGTCCGCGCCAAGTACATCAAGCGCTCCGAAGAGGCTATCCCAAATGTAGAACGCAAATAGAGCGCGGTTCACCAAGCACATAGTTCCTGATGACTTTTTTTCGCAGCCCTAATGGCAGATCGATTTAGACCGTTCGCCTGATAATCCTCTGAGGCTTCCAGAGGACCATCAAGCCCTGACGTGAACATATTCCCTACCCAGCGTGTGTGGAGTCCCCGGGTCTCAAAAGCGCTACTCAAAGAGTAGCTTGCTCAACGCGCAACTTGATGACAATAGTACAGCCCACTTGAAATCAAAGATGAAAGACGACAGTGTTGGAGAACAGCCATGGACGAAACCATACAGAATATAATGGCCAAGCAAAACGTTGACGAACTCAGAATGAGGACCGGCGATTGGGTATACAAAACGTTGCAAGAGTATGCAATGTGGAATTATTGACACTGAAGAGGAGCATTTCGAAGCTTACCAACAAAGACGACCAGGGAAAAACAGTGAAAGAGAAGCAGAGCAGCAAAAAAGCCCAATTCACTTGCTCAATACAGCGCTTTCATCATCACCAAATAACCATTTATGGAAGAAGCTGGCTGGGCAAAAAGTACCTTTGCCAGCTTATGCTGCGCTTCATCAGGCGACATGAAGCAACCTTCGCAGCGATTCTCAGGGGAGCCATGGTGAACTTGAGTTGTTATGTCAATACCAAATTGCATTGTCTCTTTTTTGCCATGACACAGAGACGGATCACTATCAACACAGACTACACCAACGTCTAAAAGACAAAACTACGCTGATTCCTGCATCGACGCGTCTGTGCTGATGAATTGTCTTCCATGCATGCCATGAAGTTATCAATCTGGCGATGCCTCCGACTCTTTTTTCATTGTGGTGCAACGGAACTCACAAATACCAAAATTTGTTTATTGTTGTGAATATGGCTTTAACCTGCATTGAAGATTTAATGCGTGTAGGTTCACTTTGGCCATCGATTCGCAGAATCGGAGTTGGTTACGTGAAATGTTCGCCAGGCAATGAATATTTTCATTGCCGCCATTTGAATTGTAACCTTGACGATTTACAGCTAGTTTCTTATTACAAGGACAAGTATTGCCAAAGGAGCATCACCTTTTACTTCTTTACTACCTTCTTTACTCTTGCCACGGCTGTGCCTCATTTATTAGGCCAAAGATTTGCGAAATTCTCTTAAGCAGAGTTGGTCAGTCGTACGAATCGAGGAAGCGTCCATACTCCGCTGCATAACTGCGATGTCCCATTACTTCTACAGCATACAGTAGTCCGATCTGTTTACACGAATTAGTATGTAAATGAAAAATCAAGATGCTTCATTTGCATTTTTTAGCTTCTCAATCTTTTGTTTATGCTCTGCGCTGATAGAAGCTGATCAGGAGATCTTGGTTGGCGCGATCCATGAACCATCGAAAATCACGGTATAACACAGAAATAAAGAGTAAAGAATAAAGACTCGATGTAGCGGAACTCAATCTTTGTACGGTGGCACACTGTAGACTGATCCGCCCATCTTTTCTATGTATTAGCATTTGACTAGATAAAATACATCCACACAAAAAGCTATCGGTGCAAACCGCTCGTTGAATGCTATTGCATTAGCGGCGATCGATATGACGTCGATTAGTACTTGGTATATCAACAATGTGGTTGCTGTTGTTATTGTTTTTTTTTTCTATATGATTGTATTGAGATGATCAAAGGACAGAATTTAGAAGATTTGATGCAAGGTGATGGTTGCGCGGGTATCATATCATATAGGTTGGATAAGTTGACATGGATCAGTTACGGGGCCTCTGGCAGGTTTTTTTTTTCTTGTGACAATGTCATGTTTGATTGTGTAGAAAATAATGGCGTCCCAGAGAATGACAATAATATTTGGAAATAAATAATATCATAGATGTACAGTATACGTTTATTTATGATGCAGGTTTTTTTTTCTTTTCTCTGTAGTACCAAATGATATTCATTTTCTTCTTTGCGTGGAAAGATACAAGCGGGTTTTTTGAGTACCTGTGTTTTCTCTGAGGAGAGCCGGACGAGGGTTGCACAACGTCGATCCATAGAAAGCACACACAAGATATTTTTGGCACGGTCACCAATCAAAGGCATGGCAATAAAAATAGAATTTTCAAGAGACAAAAGAAACGAGCCACTTTTTTTGGTCACCATCGTTTTCTTTTTTACTCGTTTCAAAGTCCGTCTGTGGATGCGAAGGCAATCGTTTGCAATTTGTCCCTGGCAAACAGCAAGGTAGGGAGCACGGTTGGTGTAACGTTAAACGATTTGAGAGACATTTATTTGTGAAGCCATCTGGTAATCACCTTTAATTATCTTGTTTATTTTCAGCGCTTTTTCCTGGTTCTTTTTCTTTTTCTTTCTTCTTGGTCGTCTTTTCTTTTTTCTTTCATTTACAAGGGAACATGAAACTTTTGCCAACATCGTTAGCAATTCTCGCCTTTGCTGCGTTGACTCAAGCGCAAGAAGGCGCCACGGTACCCACTGGCGCAACCACCGGAGGATCGTCGAGTTACGCTTGCGATCCAAATACCTGTAAAATAGAAAACAACTGTCTTTGCGCATCATCAAATCCTCCCAACGGCTTATCTCCTTCTGATACCCCACAAGTACGCTCATACCAAATTATGCACTTTCTGTCAATTTCGATCAATATTGTTGACCGGTCCATGGTTTCTTTTGTTATTTTTATTTTTCTCAGTTTGTCACCATCACATACGATGACAGTATCCAAGAATCTTTGGTGAAAACCGCTCGTCAAATGCTCAACGTAACGTGAGTACAACAAATGCCCTTCCGATCGGATGTAACTTTCCTTTGTTAATTTTTTTTTCTATTGATTTGCGTCAAAAAAATCCAGTAATCCCAACGGATGCCCTGCTCGGGGTACCTGGTTCGTATCCATGCAATATACCGACTTTTCTCTGGTACAGCAATGGTACGCTGAAGGACATGAAGTGGCAGAGTAAGTTGGATTCCTTTCGTTTTCTGTTATTCTTCTCTCGGTAGATTGAGAGCTTCAAGTGAGGCTTTGCATGGACAAAGACATTGTTGAAGATTTTTCCTTCCTTCCTTCCATCCTTCTCCTAATGGGATCCCGCACCTTTACAAGCCCACGTCTCCTCTTTTTCTTTTCCTCTGTTTCTATGCGTGGTCCCCTTTTTGGCTCCTAGCTTGTTTTCTTAATAACACGCATCTATTTTTTTTTCTATTAGCCACACATTCTCGCACGTCGGATCACCTTCGGATCGTAAGTTGTAGAAAAAAAAAACAGATGATTGTAAATAACGACGCCTTCGTTACTCACATCATTCATCTTTAAATGGACAGAGGAAATTGCCAGTTGCAAAAAGATGATCATGGAATATGGCGGTGTGCCAAGTTCCAAGATTCAAGGGTTCCGTGCACCTTTCTTAAATTATACAAAGGATACCTTGGGCCATTTGGCGCAGCAAGGATTCCTGTACGATTCGAGCGCCAGTGCCGTGACCAATGATGCCTACTGGCCTTACACGTTGGATAACGGCATGGCCAACGATTGCTGGACCGGTATCTGCGCCTCGGGTCAAGTCAAATTGCCGGGCGTATGGGAAGTTCCCATGTATGCCGTCATGAATAACCTCAGCGTCCCGCAACTCATGGACGTCTACCTGGCAGGCACACCCGATGATGTGAAAAAATGTAAGTTTTTTTTCTCGTGCTCGAGATGGATCCATCAACGGTTATTAACTTTTTTTTTTGCCTTATCAAGGGAGCTTGGACGCTTTTGACAAGCATTACAACGGTGGAAGACAGCCTTTTGGCATCTATGTTCATCCCAGTACGTTTTACAGAAACTAAAAAAATGATGAAATGACCAGTGTTGTTTTAATGCATAGTATGTGATGTTTCTAGCTCACTTGACGGCCGTGCCCGGTATGCCTGATACGACACCTCTATTGGATGGCGTGGTATCGTTGATTCAGGAACTTGCCAAGAAACCCGACGTATGGTTCGTGACCAACCAACAATTACTGCAATGGATGAAACATCCCGTCAAGGCGTCCGAACTTGCCAACCAGGACTATATGAAGTGCCAGCAACCCGTGATTGAAAAGGAAATCTGCAACGGTCTCGACGACGATCATTCCGGTCAGGTCGATGATGGTTTGCTCAACAGGTGAGCGCTCAATATTTTTTTTTCTGCCACGGGTCGTCTCTCTGACCTTGGAGCTCCCATATTCCCATAGTTGCAATTTCGGCAATTCAGTGTTCAAGACGTGTTTCAACTGTCCCGGTTCCGCCCCCTCCGTTTCCAATCCTGCACCTCAGTCAGCGACCCAGAACGGAACCCAAGGCTATCGCTACCCTGTCCCCGATAACTGCGAGTAAGCCATTGGAACCCAGGAACTGACTCATCCCATACTCACTGTTACGCGCCTTTATTTTCTTTTTGTTAGTTCCATCTGGTGGGATCCTATCGGCAACTCCTGTTTATGCTCCGGCACCGACTGCAAGTACAAAGATATCGCTGTTGCCAAGAGCCAAACCAAGGGCCAAGGTGGCGGTAATGGTGGCTCCGGTAACAGCGGCAACACCCTCTCACCAAGCCAATTCGTCACCGTTTCACTGTTCGGCTTGCTGACTTATGCTCTTCACCACTTTTAATGGCATTTTGGTCTTTTTTTTTTTTTTTATTCTTTATTATTTGTTTTGACTCCCGCGCACGTCAACTACAGTAGTTCCTTTTTTTTTTCTGATTGGGTTTTTCCTCCTTTGCGCGATAATGTAAAATATGACGAGGTGACAAGAAGGTATATTAAAAGCGATAGAAAAATATACATCTTCATCAAAAAAAAAAAAAAAAGATAATGGACGATTCTAAAGGGGGCGGTGACATGAGGAGGGCGGGTTTACAAGGATATGATTCGGAAAAGCAAACAAAAATCGTCCTTACAAGGAACTGGCGACTTTTTGTTTGATTTCCAAGATAGTATTGAGGAATTCAGAATTACTACAAACAATACGTGTGAGTCCCATTTGGGTACAGTGCGTTTCTTTTTCGGTCATCACTTGCTAGGAACTTACTTTAGGTTATCAGAATTAGCAGACGACAAGTTGAAAATGCCCGCCATCATTTGCTCCGCAACGGCTTGAGTGACCGCCGGTGGGAAATCCCGCAACAACTTTAGATATTTCAGGATCTCACCTTGCATCTTCTCCTGTAGATCCCGGTTACCACTCGTTTTCCCATTGTCGTGTTACGTTCCATCTCACCAAATATAAACTTACATTGGAAGCAATACGGATGCACAGACGCAAAAGTCCTACCACTGTTCTCTCTACAACGAGTACACTTTGCTTTTCGGCGTGCTCCAGGATACCAAAGATGTATCGCGTAGCATATGGCCTGCCATTTTTCCCAGATCAGTCAGTTATCCAGCCCTGACTGAACTCTCAAGAACAAAACTGCTACTCACCAAAGATCATCGATGCGATCACTGTTGCGGATCGTCACGGTGATCATCAACTCCAAAAACAAGATGGTGGCAGGATCATAAGGAATCGTCGGGGTTGCTGTCGCTGGTGTGGTTGTTGTTGTCTCTGTCGTCTCGGTGGCCTTTGTCATCTCGGCGGCAATCTTTGGGTCATAACCCACCGCAATGATAGCTTCCATCAACGATTGCAGCGGTTCAATTTTCAGATTACTAGGTAAATTCATGTCAATCCCATCGGCTGCACAGTCTTGGACAAGAAGGGAAGAGAGAATGGGGTATTTACCTGATATCTGTAAACAGTTCTTCGAGTCGACAAGCAACAATGCAATCCACAGCGCACATGGTGCTGACGACTTCTTCTTCGGTGGGATCAGCTCGATAACTTTCATCGTGCGAATATGGTGAAAGCAAGTACGAGGATAAGGCCGATAACAAGGATCCGTCTCGACGATTCGGTTGTTTGGGCGCCACGGGCGTCTTGGGTTTCAAGGGAATACTTGTTGTACCAGACAAAAAGTCTTCCACTTGCAGCATGGACGTAGGCAATAATGAATTCAGGAACAAATTTCGAATAATCTCTAGAATCTGCACAGAAGAAAAAATGTCATGAGACATCCTGCGCTTAAACCCCCCAAAAAACAAGAGACATTTCAACTGAAATAAACTTACCTTTGTCCAGCCTTTCCTCAGTGCATTGCCGTGCCTTGTGACAATGGTAAAGATGACGACCGCGGCAAGTTGGCCCTTGTAATCTCGGCCAAACTGAACCGCCAGTTCACTGACCACGTATTCCTGACCTTCGACATTTACAATGGGATCCGGCAACGAATGGTTGTGTTTCGATTTCTCCAGCAATCCCGTCATCTTGGCAAGGTTAATCACAATACTGTCAAACACTTGATAAAGCTCAAAATGAGCGGCCAGCATCGCACAGTGATGAAATCCCGAAATCGCCTTTTGAAGCGTAATATCATCTTGCGCCGTGGTGAAGGCTACTCGACACCACCCAAAAAAAAAAAAGATCAGCCTCCTCATGTCACAGAATCGCTCCATTTTTTTTCTTACCATAAAAGATGGCTGCCACCGTGGGTTTCCATGCCAGTTCAAACACGGCTTTATCGTAGGCACTTGTGTTGCAAATCGTGAACGGTCCAGCGACATTAGCACGGTGAAGCAACTGTTTCCATGCATAGTTGAACCCAAGTCGGCCTTCGTGTTCTTCTGGCATCACAATCTCGTCCTTGCTGATCGCTTCATAGATATGTTTCTAAAAAAAAATCCAACAAATGTCAGTACGATCCATCCACTTTGCTCATAGGACATTTTACTTTACCAAATGTTCTTTGGGGAAATCTTGACCTCCATTCACCCCACGAAGATTTCTCATGTAATCTTCCAGAGTCATACGACGCTGTAATCGAGAACCAAAGGTTACAAATGGACCCTCCTTTCTTTTCTCATTGCCAAATACCACTTACTCGCACTTGAGGATTATGTTGATCGGTATTGAGCATGATGATGGAATACGCAAGTATTTGGGCAGATTCGGAATTGGCAATCTCTTCAGGCTTGGTTTCAAAGTACACATCGGCAAACGTATCAGTCACGCGAATAATCTGCTGTGATTCTCCAGGTAAACGGAACGTTTCAAGAACCGCTCGCAACGCTTCATCCATGCGTTTCTAATCAACCGGAGAGTTGGTTCCTGATAACTTTCTTTTTGGATTTTTCTTCTCATTTTCTTACCCCTGTGAATTCAAATTGTCGCATAAAGACTTGCAGCAGATCAAAATTCTCAGGTCGACCGAGATATTCGCCCAAACTCTTCTTATTCAATTGCTGAGTCGATCTTAAAAAGTTGGCCAGACTTTTTCGGCTCTCATCGTCATCGTTCTTGTAAGGCTTGATAACGCCATTCTCTAATGAATAGATTCGTTTTTCAGCAAGAATTGGCTCAAATATTCAGAGTCACTTACCTTCCAAAAACTTGATGCCTTTTTTTGGACTTTCGTTGAACAAATACGAGCCTTGCAGGATCAGGCGTTTGCTCGCTTTGCGACGCAGCAATTCTTCGGAAGAGGTGTATTCCTACGACGAACGAACAAATCGGCGGTTAAAATTTTCTCGACTGAGGCACGCCGTTTTGCATGAATGAGTATCACGTGATACATACGGTATGATCTTCTGGCACGTTGTCGTCCTGGGAACATAATTAGATACAGACAACTGAGCAGATAAGTGAATTCATCCAAGATACATACCTCATTATTGACGCGATCGACAATGTGATCGATAAACATCAAGAGGGCGTCCAGGCATAATACGTGCGTATTGCTGGAAGAATAGGTATTGTCTGGGAATGAATTCTGCTCGTGATGGGGGTTAGAATGGAGCGGTCCCCTCTGGGCTGGGCTAGTAGTTTTTTTTTTTCTTACTCGACTCAAGAACTGGATCAGTTCTTCAAACAGATCGCCGCACGTAAGATCGCAATCATAGTTGTACCAAAGATCTACCATAAACGTGGGATTGCGTGCACATTGCAGCAAACACTCCAAGAGTAGCTCGCGCACTTCGGTGGAAAGGACGGTGTGGTCGGGATATCCCTTGCCTGTACGCGGATAATCGGTGGTTTTACCGAGAAACATGTTGGGAGACACGCTGCGTACGTCGTTGTGATGACCATTTCGCTGTTCCAGTGCCGTGTCGCGATTGAACGGGACAAACCCGATACTGCCGTCTTCATCCAAATCCGCCATCACGCCCGTATTAGCGCCTCCCGTGCTCAACGTCAACCGTTCGATTAAAAAGAACAAGAACAATTCCTGCTGCAATTTCAAATGAGGACGCGTGGTATCGATAACCGTAGTTATTGTGCGAAGTGTCAAGGCAAGTAGTGGAGTGGAATTGGTTTTTGCAAGCTGTAGAAAAAAAAAGGGCATTCATCAGGTTTTTCACCGGCACAATTTTTGTCATGAATTCATTTTGTACCTGAAAGAGGTATTTGCACAGATCATCGGTCACAAGAGATCGAAGTATGTCAAACCGGCTGATGCTTCGTCCTGCGACTTCAAAGGCGACATTCAAAATACTGAGGGCCATCATGCGCATGGAATCGGTGTGTTTATGCTCATGTGGATTCAGCAAGGAGATGAGGACACGCAGTAATTCTTGGATGGCCGGTAAGCCGTATGGCTTTAACGGGGTTTGATCATCTAATGCAAAGATCAAATTATTTAACTCTCCAATCGTATGTCATTGATATTTCCATTCAATCCATACCATCCACATGCTCATCGGAAACGCCATTCTCCTTTTCCTCTGTGGGTGATGCCTCCTCTGCTGCCGTTGGTGATGACGTTGTATTGGTAGCGTCCTGCTGGGTTGGCTGTGTTCCTTTTTCATTCTCGTTGGGCGTCGAAGGCGCAGCGACGGCCATGGTACTGACAATCTTTTCACTGGACGAGGTCGTTTGCGGTGAATCCGACGGTCGCGGCGGACTCATGTGCGGCGCGATCGAGGATGCTGGATTGGCTTTTTCAACATCGTTGGGTACATCGACAATTTGCCATTCTTCTTCCAAATCCTTCAATCTACTGTAGCATGAATTCCAACATGGTCCCTCGTCATCTCTTTTTTCGTCGTGGTCTTACCTTTCAAAAATCGCAATCACGATTTTACTCATGGCGTGTTCCGCCGATCGCCGCAACATTTCTAAAGACATTCGCGCCACGCTTGTCAGCCTTGCACAGTCCTCATTAAAGCAAAGCATCTCGTCTATTTACCGCTTAATCTGAGTTGACAGCACATGGTCAATCCTGTTTCCATCATGCCACACACGGCCGCGTCGCTCAATACTTGTCCACATTCACTCGTAAGCGCCGTTTGCAAGACTTGCAGCATTTTCAAAAGAACCAGCTCATCCGATGCAGCATCAGAAGCCTCAAATTTACAGTGTGCTGAAGCCGAAGATAAAGCATTCATGGCAAATGCAATGCTGGGATTATGCAAGCCTACATTGGGTGCCGATTTCAAAAAGCGTCAATAACGGAAGTCCTCCAAGTTCAAGTCTTTCAGCCAACTTACCAACAATGCCATATTGAAGAAACTTTTCAATACTGCCCAGGGCGGCTCCTGCAATAGGTCCTGTGGTGTTACCTGAGCGAATCACTTCAAAGAAGGGATTCAGCAGCTTGATGGCGTCCAATTCTCGTACATCTATGAACGAATAAGGCGACAGCCCACCCAACGAATATAAAAACGTTGCTTCACCTTCTACGGTCGTCAAGTATTCTCGTAAGTCGTAGAAGCCTTTCATGAGAGGATTTGTCTATGTTACATCAGAAACGAGGGCAATCAAAGATGAGATCAGACAAAGTTACGATGGGCCAATGACAAAGCATCTGCGTACCTCTTCAATATTATCGTTGGCATTATACGGTCCGGTGCGAAGCCCCATACTCAGGCCAAGGTTGCCCATGTGGAGACCACCGACTCCCATGCCAGAAAACCGCGCATTCTTCCGCATCGCGCTGGTGACAGCTGCAGGCCCAAACAGAAAAAGGGTGTTAGTAAAGCAACTTGTTGGTTTACTGGCAGAGTATCCAGCGGTTCATAACGTACCAATGACCTCGGCATGGATTAGCTGGGACCAGGTCAACTCTGTTTTTATCTTGTGCCCTGCGTCCATCATTACAGAAGCTAGAACATCACCCGTTGGTGTGTGTCTCGCCCAATTTGGGTGTTGGGACAAAATGACCGTCATATGGGAGCGGAATCTTAAATTCGCACAATGACGCATGCTGACCTGAATGAGAATTATACCACATCAGAATTCCCCTTATTTTTCTCTCTTGAAATTCTTTAACTGTATGCCGTGCCGTATTCGTTATGCGAGGTTAGTAATTCTACATCTGTTTTTCTTACTGAAGCAGAAATGAATACAGTAGAATAAAAATTCTGGCATTATACCATAGTAACTTTTAGCACTGTTTGGATTTCGAACTATTTCGGTCGGATCAAAACTGCACAGACTTTCTTGAAAAAAATTCAGAAAGGCTCCGGAGCTCCCAAACTTTGCTTCTGAAGACCCGCATTGCCTAGCCAACATGAGGACAAATTTTTTAATGATAAACTGGTGGCAATCATCGTTACTTTTGTTAGATGCTTTATTAACCGATAATCCTACTTTTACTGCACTTTGATACAAGAAGGGCCCCCACTTGGATCACCGTGCCTTGAACCAACGTATTAGATCTGCCCATTTATCTGGAAATCACAATAGTTTACCACAAAAACATATCATATCGCATCACAAAACAGAAGAAGAACGCGGGGTTTCCAAAAGCTTGATCATCTTTGTGTCGTCGGATAATCCATAGATGCCCTCAGGCCACAACCCATGCACACTGAACCGTGTTTTCTGATATGAGCTTCAGCGTAGATTTGTGCGGGATGTGTCGAAAGTTGCTATAGGTTTTCCAAGTTTATGGTTGCTCGTCCTGTTAGCCACCGTGGATATGGCATCGCAAAGAAAAACTTGGAGAAAATGTGCAGATACATACCCTGTTGAAGCAGGTGTGGTCGATCTGTTGGCCGTTCGTTTGACCGATGGGTGGCTATCTCGGTTGGTGCCGGATGTCAATGAGGATATCGGAAGACTTGGTGTATTTCACTTTTCTCAATAAAAAAGAAAGATAAAACATCATAAACAATTCTGTCATTTTGATTGATCGTCATAGAGCCAGAAATTTGGTAGAGAATTATCACAGAAATCGTAACCTTTTTGTCACTGTCATTGACCAATTTGTTACTCAAATCCGACATACTATGCCCTTATACTATGCACTTTGCAAAATGAAGAATGTGAGACTTTTCAAGCAAACAAAACAGGATCACTCAATACAGGGAAACAACCAAGATAAACCCGAAGCTACAGTAACCAGTCTGGACATTTGAAAATCGATTGTGAGAATACTGTATGCCGGACTTTCGATATGGTCGATCTTGGTTTGTTTTTGGGACGATGAAGCAGATGGTGTTAAACGTTTCGCAAGTCACGTTATCTCGGTGTTCCAGCCATTGGACGCTGTCATGGGGCTTGCCTTTCTGAATATAAACGCAAGGTGACATTGTTCTTTTTTTTTTGGTTTTCCTTTTCAATTTTTATTTTATTTTTTTATTTTCACATTTGAAAAATCTAGCTACAACCAATGTCATTAACGCCTATGAATCCAGCTTATGGACGTCCAGTTCCAGGAATGATGCCTGGATCCCCGTATTATCCCCAACCCATGCCAATGACTTATGCCACGCCCGCTCCCGCAGGTAAGCTGTCCAAAGAGTTTATTGCAATAAAGAAAGAACGAGCACCGAGACAGATCGCTGATAATCGAGCGCTTTGTTTTCCAGGTTATTACAGTCCTGCAGGTATGCCGATGATGGGACAGCAAACACCGGTGGTTGTCACGGCTCCTTATGGTGGTTACTATCAGCAACAAAGGACAGGTTGCTGTAATTCCGCAGGCGGTCGAGACGGATGTTGCTGGGGTTTGTGAGTAATCGTTGATGGCCGGAAAAAAAAGAGAGATGGTGTCACTGATTGCAGTATGTCCCATAGACTTGCTTTGTGTCTTTGTTGCTATTGCTGTTGCGAGGACGATTATGATGGGTGTTGTTAACCTCAAACACATCAGAGGGGTGCCGCAGTATCAAGATGGAAAATGGCAGGTCACTCAATCGTACGCGTGATTATTGCCTTGTTTTCTTTTTTTTTTCTTTCAGCAGGCTGAGCATCAAGAACGACAACCGACAAATTAGATCAACCACGAGTGGATCCCTAAGGATCTGTCATACAAACAAAAGAAAAAACCACCCAAAAAAAAGAAGAAAGATAAACCCAAAGGGACCTTTCCAGACCTTCACACCTCTCTCCCGGAGATCATGGGCTCCATCAGGTGGATCCCTTTAATATTTATACATGTGCACTTCATTATTATTATTTTTTGTCCTGCCTGGGATGCTCCAATTTTTTTCTTGTTACTCTTTACCAACCTAACTAATAAACTAGAACATTTTTTTCAGACAATGGTCGATCAAGACGAGGCGTTGGTTTGTCAGACCGCCACTCAATCTCCGAGTAGATATTTTTCTTTTTTGATCTTGCGATTTTACGTGATAGTGGTTGTATATTTTCTTTTGTGGGGAATGCCGAAATTGGCGATTTCATAACATGGCGGATGACGGTAGGGACAAGACTCCGACACCACCCAAGGTTACAGTTTGCGTCATAACGTGATACTGATTGGCATTCCGAGGATATGCAGACTGTCAATCGGAACGGCACCAATCCGGTATTTACGCGTGAGAGAAAGGGTTGCATCTCTCTGGCGAGATCGTTCGTTGCTGAGCAGTGAGACAAAAAAGTCTCTAAAAAAGTACCATTCTTTGTTTCACAGGAGTACAGACAAGCTATCCATCCTCTTTCTTCATGACATTCTAAGAAGTTTTTTTTATTATTATTTCCGGCTGAATAACGTGAGCTTTGGAGGGAATCGTCTAGACTGCGGCAAACTTGCGGGTTTTCTTTTCTTGCAGCCGGATTGAATCCAGACAATCACAAAATAGAGTCTGGGTTGCAACCGGCTTTTTCCTTTGCATTGCCTATTGAGGAAGTGTGTTTGATTGTCTAAAGACTATGGTCAGAGTTGCAGTGCATGAATTGTACCTGGGACCTTGATCATCCAATTTCTAAATTACGATCGCAAAGACATGCATAATATAGAAAGCAGAAGCTGAAAGTTACAGTGCGTACAATCCCGATAGGAACCCACCACGGTCTTTTTTCTTGAACCGTTTTTTTTTGACAGCGCGCTGGACCGTTTTTTTTTTTTTTTTTTTTTTTTTGACATGCCATAATACAAGCCCCGTACGGTTCAATGGCGCCTTTGTAGCGGCTTTACTTACATGAAAGTAATATTCTACAAATCTAAAAATAATGTCATCTTATGCAGACTGCGTAACAGGGGTAAAGGAAAAAAAAAGACGCATGCATGTAATGGTGTCCGTGTTTTTTTTTTTCTTTTATTAAGGTAGTGTATACTATTGATATTTGGCACGAAGGAATCCTAGCCACTGGAAATAGCTCATACCGGAGCTCATGTGATCTTGGTTGGCTCCCGCGATGGCCGGACCTGTTGGTTGACGGTCTTCTAACAGACGCGCCAAGAACCACGAGCGTAGCATAGGATCGCCGTCTTCTCTAACAATGTAAAGGGTAGGATAATAATTACTTGAACGATCTTTTCTCAAATGATCAATGATCGATGTGACACGTTGCGAAAAGGATGACTTTAATGCAGGCAGTTGAGGTATCTGATCAAAAAAGAAATGGTACATCAGAATCTGATTGGTATGTCCTTGTTTTACTCTCCAATTTTTACCTGTCCTGTTTTGACTTCTTGAATATTCGGGGCGCCGAGGAGATCCATGCACAGCGCCGGGACCGCATCCTTCCCAATCCAGATGAAAATAGTTTGGCCATTTTCCACCAGGTAACAGCCATGCGCTTCCAATTTTTCGCTCGACAGATTCAATCGAGGAGGCATCATGCATTTACCGGTTTGAGAATCCACGGTGCCAGCCTGGTGTACATTATTCGCATCAGTAACAGGAAAAAAAATCGACCTGGAATCTATCTTTTTTCTTTTTACCTGTTGCGGCATGTTGTGGAGTGAATAAAAGTTGGGATGGACAAATTTCAACCACGCTTCGTTGGGCAAGGTTCGCAATAAAATTGTCGATTGCGCACGCACATCCAGAGGAATAGCTGGTGCATCCTGGAACGTTTCCTGTAAAAGAAAAAAAGACATCGTGACCATCAGTTTCACTGAAAACAATGTCTTCTGTGTCAATATTTCTCAGTAGAGTGATATTTACCGTTTTCAAAATCCCCAGGACGAGCAGCGGCAAGAGACTTAATTCACGGCACATGGTTAACCGAGCTGCTCCCGAAGCGCCGGATCCCATGATTTCTTTGCCGTAACCACTGCAGATGTCGATCACACTTCGTGTTAAATACTCGCGTGCATCACGCAATTTGTAAATCGCCGCTTTATCAATGGCTAAATGAAACCAAAAAAATAATCTCATGAGATACATCATAACCCCCACCGAGTGTTGATACACGCGCAACCCCCCTCCCGGGTTTCTTTTTTTTTTTTTTCCTTACCTTGATGGCATAACGCTCGTGCCATGGATACCTGATCCGCACTGGCGTACACTTCCGACAAACTCTTGGTGACGGGAAGACAGAGCGTCATTACTCGAATACGACGTTCGCCCGTACATGTGGTGTGTAGTAACGCGGTTTGGAAAAAGGCCATAGACGATTGGATGTCTTCTTCAATCGCTAAATCGACACAGTACGATTGATGGCGTGGTACATTGGGAAGTGCCATGATGTCAGGCACGCGCGTAGTACAGTTGCCATAGAAAGCTTTGCATATCAATCCGGGAGAACAACGCGTACGCATCACCGCCTCAAGACCAATGTGTTCCCCTAGCAACATTTTGACTTCTTCCTTCAATTTGACGACATCGGACACGTTGGCTTGGTTGAACGCCGGATAGTAATGCGTCTGACCGCCCGTAAACCGGGGAATCACATCTTTTTCGTCATTCCCACATCAGTATCTTTGTGAAGAACATGTTATTTTTCGTGGTTTCAACTTACTTAGTGTTGGCAAATCCGATACAGGGCCACCAAAGACAAACATATCAGCGCAAATTTGCGCTTTGGCACATTCGCCTGCAAATGTTTTATAAAAGGAACTGGACGGTGTCATGATGGTCGTATCGACAGGGGACTTATTATTGGCCGGATCCGCAGGTTTCACGGCGCCTTCTCCCAGCGTCGGTAAACTGCTCTGAAAACAGACGATTTTGCCACCCGTGCTCGACTACAGCGCTTGCTTTTTTAGATGGATGGATCGTTACCACGAGTTGTCAGCATTTTTTTGAACGTACCAGTAATAATTGGGCAGCCTTTAGTGCTGAGCCTAGGCAATTGGAGCTGGCGTTCGACTGGGAAAACATGGTCTTCATGCGAGTTAATAAATCTTCAATGATGGACCGACTCTCGGCCAAGTTGACGACGAGATCACTCGATGCTCGTGGTAAATACATATCGGCCAATTCGCCCACCACCAAAATCTCGGGTTCTTGCTCGACCAATCTGTAAAACGATACAGCATGATCGACCGTGATAAATGCGACTTTGGTGCGCCCATCCTCATTGGGGATCTTATCCAAAGAAGCTAGAATCGCGTCGGCGACAGCATCAATCATACCGGACTGAATGGCCTGGAACGAAGTATCAATGACAAATACGAAAATTGGAGGTTGAGGAGGACGCATGATATACTCGGCCGGCGCGGTAAAGTCGACACAGCCATAGTTGAGTTCACACCGACTCCAGCGGTCGGCGTGTTGCTGGCTCAAGATGTCCCAATCAAATTCGGGCGGGACTAAATACACTTTAGCTTTCTCTTCATCATACACCCGTGGATACCCAAAAACTTCAAAAAAAAAGATGCATGTCCTACCATCGTTGTCCATGCCACACATATTACATCGCCACTTTAAAGCGCCTTCGGTAAACTGAACAAATGGATTGATATAGGTCTTGCAGCGAGTACATCGACTGACCACGGTATCCGCGACCACCGGCACTTGGATCTATAAGCCCATAAGTAAGCACAAAAAAAGTGAGTTTCCATAAAAGAGACATACAGGTTGATTGGTGGAAGTGTAGTAAGGTTCGAGAATGAGAGACAATGGAAGTTTGGTCCGTTTCAGCAAACTATTCGAGAACGGGATAGCGTTGAGTGTGCATCGTTTTAAGCGACGATCCACCTGAACATGGGGTGATGCCGTAACGGTAATCTATGAATATAGAATAAAAATAGGAGACAGTCTAGTTAATATCATAGCATCCTGATGGCTAATAGCCAAGACAACGCAAAACATTTTTTTTTACATTGTTGGGCAAACGAGGTTCAGGCACGGGAAGGTAAAGATCTTGGAGGAGAGGAGGTTGGCCAATGAGGGGAATATCTTGGCGGACCGCCGACGTTGGTGAAGGATGGATAGACATGTTGGCCATGCCGTTCATCATGCCAGCATAGTGAGGTGATGATGATGACGGTGATGATGATGACGATGGAGGAGGAATGGCCGGTTGCAAGACGGGCGTTGCGGCGGTAGGTGGAGGAGGCGTCGACATGAAAGGTCGCGCTGAGGATAATAACGAAGGATCGGCTCCAGCAAAGGTAGGATAGTGTCTTCTAGGACGACCCGCGGCCGGCGCGTCTTGGCCAGGCGAAGTGGGACGACCGTGTGGCAACGGCGGCGTCAAGGTATTCACGGGCGGTGTAGCGGCTCGAGGAGAAAACGCTCGATTCGGTGGCACACCATTCGGCAATGGCGTTTGGTATGGCCCGTTCATCATTGCTCGCTGGTAAGAAAAAGGAAGAAAAGATAAAGAGCACACTCAACTTAGGCCGTGGTGGCACTTTTTTTTTTTCTTTTTTTTTTGAAGAACGAATTGGCTGGAAATTAGCGACACTTGTCATCCGCTTATTTGAGGCAGCGAACCTGATTGTTCGATTTTTGTGCGCCATGTGATTTTAGTTTCCATCCAAAAAACCATTCCTGCCTAATTGTCACTACATACAATACATATGATAATCTTGATATTCATCATAGTCCAGTTAATTCGACGTGAAATGATTTGGATCATTCTCACGTTTTAAAATTAGGTCAAAAAAGAGACAATATATGGCTACGTTATAAAGTAAAAAAAAAAAAACGAGGCCTTATTGTGTCATGCTATGTCGCCGCTCTATGTAGCAGCATGCGTTGACCTATTCGAATCCAGTGCAGTGATTGGATGACGCACGTTTATTAGGTCAATTGGTGTGATCGGATCAGCCAAATCAAACAATAATCGCCAGGACATATGGGTATCAAGATACTCACTGCTCTAATGAAGGACTGCTTTTGCGCGCGCAGTTTGGAAAAGATAAAAAGCGAGAACAATGGTTCAGAAATTCGAACCCTAAACCCTCGGATCCTCCAAGAAACTTTGATCACGATCCCTTCCGAATCAGTGACTCTTCTTACATTGTAAGTTTTTATCGTTTTGTCACGTAGTAGAGTATGATGGAACCTCATGTCAGAGTTGTAAGTAGTGAGCGTTTGAAATTCAATGGATACCCAACCGTCGGAAATTGTCCGTTGTCTGAAGCAGGCCGATCCCGTGGCGCTGAAGCTCATCGATCTCATTGCTAACTTATCTCACGTCACATCCTCTGATGAAGACGTGAATGCATACTGGATCGAATTAGCAGGTATGGTCAGACTCGTCTTAATGCTTGTATAATCATTTCTTTGTCAGCTAATGCATGTCTATTTAAGCTTTAAAGGAAAAGATGTTTGGGTCGCGATATTACGTGGAGGCGATGGAGATTGTGAGAGATTTTGAACGTCGCTCGGATGACAGTGTAAATGATCAAGATGTTCAATGGGTGGAAGAATCGATGGCGCGGTTGAATCTGGCCACGTTTGCTTATTCGATTTGGAAAGATGAAAATCTGGAATTATCGTCGGACCAATTTTTCCGGACGGTGGTGCCTTCCCATTTCCAATTTTCGCAAGACTGCATCAATGCTTATATTGACATGCGTACACGAATTCTCGTGAAAAAGATTCTTGAGAAATGTGAAAATTCGGCTGAAGACGACGACGTTGAAATCAATCCGGAAATGGAAGCCGCTTTCCCCAAAACGAGCGAAGCCTATGGTCTCAAAGACGACCATGAGATTGCAAAACACGTCGTCCGGCTCGCAAGAGAGCGTTTCGATACCGTAAGCCAATGATTCTCTTGCTATTTTGATACAAATTAACTTATTTTCTCCACTTTGTGGGCCGTGGTTGACTTTTTGATAGATTGATCAATTAACGGACGTGCCTTCTTTGGAAGAAGGTTGGACAAAAGAATCCCTGCACGCGCAATGGAAACCTGTATTGCGTCAGCTCTTGGATTCGCTTCGACCTACCACCGTGGCTGTAAGTGTAGGCTTCCCAAAAAAGTGAAATGCTTGTAGCTCATTCTTTTACTTTTTCATTAGCCTCAAACACCAAAATATCCAAGCGACGATGAATTGAATGATAATTTTCATCAAGTGGCCGCTGAAAATGAAGACGGTCATCTCTCCACCAATGACAGCGATTACGACGATGCCGTTGAAGCCGTCGAAGTAAACGATGTTTTTGAAGAGGAAGACGACAATGACGTTTTCGCTGATACCTATCAAGAAATCCTCCCGGCAGGTGAACCTCGGTAAGCATCCGTCCGTTGAATGTAATGGATCTTTCCTAGCTAACGTAAAAGACTTGCTAGTCAACCGGAAAAACGATCGATCATGGATGAACAGCCGGATGCTGATATGCTGACAGAACATGATTTCGAAAGAGATTCACAAGAAGAAGAGCAAGAGGACGAAGAGTTTATCGATGAACTCAATAGCGATTCCGACGAGTCATACGCAGAGGTAGTTGACTTGGTAAATCGAGACTTTTTCTCGTTCACGAATATTTTCTCATGTGGATGAACCGATTTACTTTAGAGTAACCTTCCAGCGGACGACCGTAATGAAATAGAGGAAATTAAAGACGAGGTTAAAACTCCATATTCCCAGCGAAAGAACAAACAAGTCATCCTTGACAATACAACTCAAGAGAGTGATCGTACACTCGCTAGTAGCAGTCGAAATCAAAAAGAAGCGTCCATCGATGCTGTATTGGACGGAATTGAGGAACATGTCACCAGGACGACGGCCACCACCGCCACAACCACGGTCACTCGGTCCGAGGGCTCCGAAAAACGAGGTAGCCAAGACGACAAAAATGAAGATGCGGAGCAGAAACGTGAGTTGAAAAAAGCAAGGAGAGTGTTGCCGAGTTCGACACCTGCACCGCTCGTTCCATCGGGTAGTGAGCCACAAAAATGGCGACGTACGCAACGAAATCGACGATGGACCGATACTGAACTTGAAGCGCTGGAAGAAGGCTTGGCACACTTCCAACAACCGCTGTGGCGAAGCATCAAATACCGCCATCAGGAAATCTTGTCTGAACGCACCAATGTCCAGCTCAAAGATAAAGCGCGTAATGAAATCGAACGTTTGCGACGTGCCAATGAACCCTTAGGCGTGTATGCGTATGTCCTACAACCCGCTATAAAAACAGAATCCGACTAGTAAAAAATGTAATGTAAACTGCCCTGAATACGGAAAAAGTAAAGAAATGGAAAAAAGGCGCGCCGGCCACCTCTTCTTTTTATATGCTTGAACAAAATGTGGGGAAATTTTGGCCATGATTTTTTTTGAAAGACCGCATCTCTTAAAATTTTGTGTGTAACTTTACAAAACATTGGCGTTTTTCTTGTTTTAGGCTTTTTTAACATGTTTTCTGACGCGGCGGGTCTGTCTATACTGGTAAAACATACTTTTTCTGAACAAACGGTGGAAAAAACAGTGCCTGTTTTGACTAATTTGAAAGAGATAGACCGTGGAACGCAACTGATCCGCGAGGAAGCATGTCATGCCACGAGCGAAAAAAGAAAAAATCAGGCCACGTATCATCGTTGCTTGCCAACGCACTCTTTTAGCGTTCACAGGTTTGTGAAAAGAACATGATGAAAGAAAGCAAGGGTACAAGAGTTGAAAAGAACAGAAAGATAAAGGTGAATTATCGTGAGAAATGGATGACCATGTCTGTCCATGGCATGGGCATGATGGGCCATGATTGGATGAGGTTTGCGGATGATGGATTCACGAGGATAACCTGGTTTTTGTAGAGATTGTTAGCTGTTTATGGCAGGTAAGAATGGAGAGGTTTGTTTGTAGTTAAATGTTCACAAATGGAGTAAAAACCCTTGGTCCACCGGTCATACAAAAAAATACGAGGATTTCGACAGGTGTGTGCGACCAAGAAATAACCATAAACGGGTGGGTACACAACGTCTTTTCATTATGCAACCAACATGAAAAAAACATGAATGATGTGTGAATGATCCAATATGCGAATTTTTTTTTAATTTGTTGACATTATTTGGTACTTGTTTTAGGTGCTTGAAAAGTATACAAAAAGAAAAGAAAAAGAAATGAAGGAGGGGATTGTTATTTTTTTTATAGTTTCTACTCGGTAGCCATGAGCAATTTGATCTTGGCAATGGCAGCACCAGGTTGCAGACCCTTTGGACACGTTTTGGAGCAGTTCATAATGGTATGACATCGGTACAGTGCCATCTTATTTTGAAGCTTTTCACGACGTTGAGGACCGAATTGATCACGAGAATCAATCATCCATCGGTAGGCTTGCATAAGAACAGCAGGGCCCAAGTATTCCTCCTACAGAAAATCAACCATTTCGTCAATCCACCATTCCACAACCACACCAAACGCTTCCCCAGTCCAAGCTCGCTTCACATACCTGATTCCACCAGTAGGAAGGACATGAAGTGGAACAACATGCGCAGAGAATACATTCATAAAGGCCATCCTACAATAACCCAAGATTGCAACCACGCAGGTCAGTAAAGTAATCTCGCTATTTTATTTTCTCCTTGTAACTTACCAATTTCTTACGGTCTTCAATGGATTGCAAATTTTCCCGACCATCGGTAGGTGGGGTATTTTGCTTGAGGTATGGTTCGATACTCTTGTATTGTTTGTAAAAGTGGGTCATATCCGGAACCAAGTCTTTCACAATATACACTGGAAACACACAAAACGCGTTGAATCAATATCATACCCACCATCACATCCAACCATTTGTCTAAATAACTTACTGTGAGGGAGGGGATAAATCTTGACAGTCTTGCTAGGATCACGGTCAATTTTTGAAATACAAGCCAAGGTGTTGCCACCCTGGATGTTCATGGCACAAGAACCGCAAATGCCTTCACGGCATGAGCGACGGAAAGTTAATGTGGGGTCCTGTTCATTCTTGATCTTGATAAGAGCATCAAGGACCATGGGACCACAGTTGTTCAAGTCGACCTTGTAAGTCTCCAAGTAGGGCTTTTCTGTAGGCTTGTCAGGATTCTAAATACCGTCACAGAAACAAACAACAACACGTCAGCGTTACTGAAACCAATCTTTTGTCATGACGAATTCCACATGAGCGCAGCCACTTACCCAACGGTAGATTTCAAAGGTCTTGTAAATGGGATCTTTCTTCAAAGGTTGTTCGGAAGCGGATGCCATGTTGGCGGTGGAGGTGGTCTTTAAAGAACGGACCAGCGGCTATACAAAGCACGTGTCAGGGTTACCAGTGCCCATAAGGGGAATAAAACGGTACAAATGCAGTAAACTTACGGCAGTGGCAGCCATCCATCGGCCGTTGCGAAGAGCAGATGTACATCGCAAAGTAGAAAGTGCAAACGACATGGTTCAAGAAAGAGTGGGGGGAGGAGGTTAATAAGTTCTGTTGGAAGAGAAAAAAGAAAAAAAAAGTCAAGGGTAATAAAAAAAAAAAAAAGAAGAGGGAGGGGAGCGGGGGTCTAAAATAATCACAAGAAAAAAACAAAAGCACGGGAAAAAATGGGTGGCATGCCAGGCCGGTGTTGGCAGGGGGACCCTGTATACAAGGTATTGTAAAATCCCAATGGAAGGAAAAAGGAAAACGCCCACGGCTCATCAAGCCTGCCGGAAATTCGTTTAGCCCTTCCGATTACGGATAACATATGAAAGACAGATTACGCTTTTGTCATCCGCAACGGATTCCTGTAACACCCAAACTCATAATCCACCAATCCATTCTTGCCTCTTTTAGATCGATTCCTGTGAATGGAAAAAAAGCTTTTCTTACTTTTGTATGATGCAAAGCTTTATTTACAAATACGTCAAGAGAAAAATATTTTATTGTTTTTCTCATCCTCCTCCATCTTTTGTTGTTGCTAGGCTCTTTACGGAAGACCGAAAATGTCCTTATCGGTCGTGGTCAAAGGTGAGTACGCCGGTTCTTGCGGTCCTTCACACACCGTTTTCAACTGTTCGTGGGAATCCATGATTTGTCTGGCAAACACCACTCGTATGTGCTTGTACAGGTACACACGCTGTCTTTTTGTCCGACAAATTTGCACATGAATGGCGTAACGTAGGGAACGAACGCTGGCGGCTTTCGAGTAGCATTTCTGTCGCAGAAACGTTTTATGGTACTCTGGCATGGCCGACACGTCGTAAGGTATCAGGAAGAATTTGACCACGGTTTTGCTGGGATTGCGGATAATGATCTGAAGCTGACCCTTGGGGGGCAACCGATAAGCGGGGAGTTTTGGACCGGAAATGTCAATATTGCCAACGTAGGGAGTGGACCACTCATCGTCTTTTCTTTCAAAGTAGAAGGCAGGGAAGTCCAGTGTCACATGAGGGGGACACTTTAATGACGATTTGCAATCACCCAAACCCAACACCCCAATTTGGACCTGAAACGTAATCGGTCTGGAAGGCGTCGTCGACATTCGTCCACTCAGCAGGGATTCCTCGTAACTGCCAATTAAGCTACCAGCGTGATGGTCACCCAAACCACAAGAATTACGTCTTTGTACCACCGCGGGAGCGGCTAGACCCGCACGGGACAAACTCGGCCATTCGTCGTTGCAAGAGTGAAGGGTAGGTTGCGAAGGACTAACCGAATACGCGAATGGCGTTAATCCGACGTGACCGTGATCATGATGGGTATATTGCATTGTGGATGAGGGTATAGGCAACGCCAACGCCGTGGCGTGAATCGCTTCGGAAGCCTGCGGTGTGTCGAGGTCCTCATCGTCCTTATCCATGTCCTGCCCCATGGCTGAGAGAGACAGTTTGGACAATCGACGTACACCCAGTCTTGGCATGATCGGTGATGGAGGCACGGGGAATGAGCGACTGATACAAGGATGGCTTGTGGGCGTAGACAATGGGACATCAGAGGGACACGGGTGGCACAAAGTGGCTGGTGATAAGGTGGCTTCAGGCGGCCTTTGGACTGAAGGCGCGTCGGCATGAAGACGGAGCCGCTCGGCTACCTGAGCAGCCACCGGATCGACGGCATCTTGCTTATGACGGTGGTCCATCAAGACCCACTGGGGTTCTTGCAGGTAAACCACCTGCAAGTTGACGAATTCTGCCTGCTTTCGCCCGACCAAAGGAAATTGATGGCGTCGGAGACGGGCATTAGCTTCGAATTCTTGCTGAGCGGGTCGCTGATGGCCCGTATAGCATTCACCTGTCATTCCTGACCCTGCGGTACTGGCCCAATGTATCCTGCAACTCAAATCGTCTTTTTCCCGTGATGATTGTCGCAATAATAACGTACTGATCGGCATATGGCGGATGTAACTGTCGACAAGATGGACGAGATCTGAATAATCGACATGGCTTTGATCGGTACCTTGATAATCCACATTCCAGCTTTCCAGTAACATGTTAGATGAAGCGTCCGAGATATCAACGAACACGGTACCGCGGCCTTGTAGCCAAGCCTTGTTGGAGATGTCAGATCCGAGTCGGAAACCGCAAAGGGCATCATCACCATGATGTGCTTGACGACAATCGGCACGGGAGGTTACGCGAGCCTCAAGGATAGTCTTCAAGAGCTTTATCATGCTATTGACGAAATCATTGCTTGTCATTGCAGCTTTTGAATGCTCTTGATGAACTTGATCATGCAAAACTGTCGGCATGACCACACCATGGAACTTGAATTTAATGTACTCGAATGAGGAGAGTTAAAAAAAAATTTCATGCCTTTTTCAAAAAAAAAAAAAAAACCCTCCAATTGGTTCATGTAGGTAATGCAGGTGATCTGGATAGTTGAACTGGTCCACCGAACGGAAGAGTTTTATTGGAAAATATCTCATAATCACCAATTGGGGACCATGGACCGCTTGATTAATGCGGCCTCAGCCAGTCTACGTTTCTCAGCTTTTTTTTTTTTCGGCATAGCAAATTGGACGGTTCCCCGTTCCGTTATTAAATCACATTGTGGCAGCTGAAAACTCGGGCAATATCGGCGTTTGATTACTCATGGTGCCCGAGAAAGGGGTTTTCGCTTTTTTTGGCCACTAATTGCTTCTTATTCCGACGCGCCAATTTGTTTCCGCTCTCCTCTTTGAAAAGAATTGAAGCTCATTGGCGCTCTAAGCAACTTGCTACCGCCATTCTTTACCGCACCAACATTAAAATTAAAGGAAGTACATATTGCCATGAAGCTGTTAATGATAAAACGCGCCGCCACAGGATCTTCAAAGTTAAATATACATGGACGGGAAATACGAAAGACGATATGGATCCGTATATGTGTACATTGAAGAATGAAACAGAGTCTCGCTAAATCATGTTTGAAGCACGACTTCCAAAACAGTTTGGTTTTATCTATGGTATAAGTGGTGAATGAGGCCAGCTAATGGTTTATAGTACTTGATAATCGATCCTTAGACCGCTTCCCTTGAGAGCCAGCGAGGAAGGCCGGAAAGCATTGGGAAGCGGTTTTCGATCAGGAGGTAAGAAAGAGTTGATGCCTTTTTCGGACTGGTACACTTTGGCTGAATAGTACTTTTTCCAAATCTCGCCGTCCCAGAGTTCGCTGCTTTGCATCAGAAACGTTTCGAATCCTCGATCTTCGCCTTCCAGGACGGGATGCCGTAACATGGCAAACGACACCATTTGCAGCCAAAACAGAATATGGGTTTCTGAGTATCGAATCGATTCATGGAATACATTCTCTGGTAACATGGGTTCGGCGTCTCGAAACGCTTCCTGTTCCAATAATTCTATATCACGCAGCGTCCTTCGCAAGCGATGCAGTAGTCGTTTCGTCGCATCCTTGCGCTTCTCGTGTCGAAGGGTCAGGTACGCAATTCGCAGGAGCGTGTAATGGTCAAAGTAGAGGAACGAGCGTCCTTCGTAAAAGCTCGAATAGAATTCATGGTCGGATAAATGATACGGGTGGCCCACGTCTTCCCAAGGTGTCACGGGCATTTTCGACTGGGATGGAAAATCATGCTGATAGGTTGTACATGATCCGTCACGATCGTCCGACAGGAGACTGGAAGGCCGTCGTAAGTCCGAACAACGAGCTGAACGGGCGACAATGGGCATGGATGACGCCGTGGAAGAGGAAGGTAAGGAGAACTGACTCACGGACGAGTGAGTACTCTGCTGCGTGGTGCTGCCAAAACTAAGGGGTCGCGTTTTCTTGGCTTCCAACTTTTGGACGAGGTAATCCATGACGGTGGTGAGTCCTTGACCGGATACGGCATCGCATGAAAAGATTCTCCAGTCGTGCCCTTCCAATGCGGATTTGACACTGGGATTCTTGATCCACATCTCGCCGATATCTTGCACGTCCATCGCTCCTTTCGCGTCACACTTGTTTGCCACCGTGATAACGATCGCTTGAGCCAGCGGTTTGGCAAATTGGTCCAGAAGCCACAAGAGGTTCTCGATGTTTTTCTTTGCCACGTGCGGTTTCTGTTGCTCTACGGCATCCACGAAAAAGATGAGCACTTGTGTATGCTTCATGTAATGCAGGGATGCACTAATTTCTACGGAGATCAATTTTGGTTTTTGAGTGTCATTATCATTACCATGGAACCCAAAAAATGGAAAAATAAAGGGGGTCAAATCCACCATGGATCATGTAATCAAAAGATGTAAAAAAAAAGGGAGAGATTGATGCTGGTGGAAGCAACCCGAGCAGGTTGCAGCTTGTTTCGAGGAGAAGAATGGGTTTCTTTTTTCATTATATTTACATAAAGACGGTTGAAGCGTTCGTACCTGAAAAATCCCATAGTTGAAATGCGTGATTTTGATAACTGATTGTTTCTACGTTGAATGTTTCGGTAGGCAACACTTCAAAAGGTTTATCTCTATCGACCTATAGAAAAAAAAAATGCTTCTCATTACGAGCGATCTCAAATCAATCAACCCTGTGCAACCTGCGCCAATCTTGCTGGTTTTTACAGTCATGCTTGGAGATTTTCAGGCTCCACCCCTCTTTCAACAAATGACTTTTTCAAATCGTACCTGAGACTCACAGTACTTGAAATACAGCTTGTACAGGAACGTCGTTTTTCCTGAACCCCGTGCGCCAATAATACGCACCGGAATATCCACTACAAATCAGAAAAACAACCAAACAGAAAAACCATCAGCAATCACTCCATGAGCCATTTGCTTAATGTCAACGGATGACAATCACCCATAGCTTCCTGAACTTCCGGCGGTTTGTTTGGTATCGCAGTCGTAAATAGATTGGAGAACCGCTTCATGGAAAATAAACAAGACCCAATGTAAGCAACAAATAAACAAAAGCAAAAAAAGAGTCCGATCTTTTTGGATGCAAGAACTAAAAAGAAAAAAAAAAAAAAAGACAAAACGTCTAGTTCGAGATCATTGTGCGACAGGGAAAAAAAAAAGTGAGCCTGCAACTTAATTATCGTGAAGCGATCACTCAACTGTTTGAATGACAAGGGGAAAGACGTGTATTTTTTTCAAAATATGTTACAATGAAGTTTATCATGGGGAAAAAAGAGAGAGTGAAGAGAGAATGGTAATGGCAAATGGCAATGATAGTTATGCACCTTTGCTCACTTGCATCAAAAACCGGATTCTCGCGCATATTTCGTCTGAAAAAAAAAAAAAAAAAAACCAGCTGTCAATAAAGTCATCCTTTGCCACTCTAGTAACATGATCACTTACACGCTTCTTTTGCATTCTCCGCTTCCAAATCATATGTTTTATAATCCCTTTCTTTCATGATCACAATCTTGAAGTTGCTTGGCACCTTTTTACTCTGTTTGCATGTGCGAACTGCGCTTACGTGAAAAGAAGTCTAATCCACAAAAGTCGTCGTGGTCAGAGCATTGCATCCACCTTTTCTTTCTTTTCCTCAGTTTGTTTACTTACTGTCTTTACGGAATCAAACATGCCTTTGTGTTCCGGCGGCATCAAATGAATGTAATCGCCGTCAATCGCCAGTACACTCACGCGACGACCCACAAACATGGGCATTTTCCGGTTGACGGTATATTTCTGGAAAAATCGCAACGGTTCCAAATTAGGTGACACAAATCAACTAAGTCTCCTTGTTCCCATTTTCCGATCTCATCCATATACGTACCTTATATTGCGAGAAAATGCCATCATTTGCATTCGGTCCTGAAGACGCATTTACCCCATCGCTAGCAAAATACATAGGATGGCTCAGATCGTCCTTCTTTTTCTTGATGGGGGAGCGCCAGATATGGGATGCTATTTCCAATCCGTCAGCTTTGGACATCTCATCATTGTCCCTCCCTCTACAGATAGAGCCACACCCGATACTTACAGCTGGGAATGGTGAGAGCGGTATTTTTCTTTGTAAACGTGAGTTCGGTAATCCCACGTAAGCTTTCGACCGTCGTATCGTTGGGAATAATCACGTTACTGTCGGCAATCATGAGCATGTACTCGTCGGGATCCAGTTTCCGTTTCCTGGACACCATATCCAACACATCGCCGATAAACATTTCAGCGTAGACCGGGATGGTCGTGGTCGCCGACACTTCTTCGTTCGTCATTAAACGAATGCGGAAATACTTTAATGGGGTCATTGGCATGGTAGCTTTGGTTAACATGGCTTTGGATGAAGGAACAGGGACCGCCACTGCCGACGAATCGGCTTCCTGATTGGGTTGCGCATATGGTGAAGTTTCGAGTGGATCCAGGAAATCCATGCTGGTATTGTCGGCGTGCGAAGTAGTGGGGCTAATGGAGGTGGAAGGCGCATTGGAAGGAACCGCCAAGTTCATGCTACTTGTTGGTTGCAACGTCGCGGCGGATTTGTCCTTTTGAATGGTATCGGTCGACGGTTTACTACGTCCCAGTTTGGCTCGAATTTGTTCGTTTTGTTTCACTACTCAAAATCCACACCGTCAGATTTCCCCATGCCCACCTCTTTGAACCGGTCACAGACATTACCTTGGGACGCATTCGCCCGACACAGAGCAAATTGATCAAACGAGACGCGATCAATCTTTCGTGTTCGATCCAACGCTTTAATAATTTTTTTTTATCCAATCATAAGTTAGTCGATGGCGTCGGGACGATTTTCTCTGATGCGCGCGACGCTTACCTGGTAAATCGTCTTCGATTTCACCATCGTCTTCTGCAATGAGAAGCACCCAATGGGACAAATCGTAGAGCTCAGGATCCAATTCGGGTTTGCGTTTTTGTTCGACATAATCGTAGAGAATGTAACCAATGACATCATATATAATAGCGTCCGGCCTGACGACCAGCGATACAGGCTCATAAGGACGATCTGAATGCGGCAAATATACACACAGAGTAATGGAATTGGGTTCGCCTTTGCCCGACACAAAACTGAACTCTGCAAATGGATTTTCGGCCACGGATGCCTTTTCGGCAATGAGCGCCGACAAGACGGATTTGCCAAAGGCCGGTTTTTTTAATTGACGAGGAGATAGTGCGGAAGGGGGAGAAGACGACGACGACGAAGAAGAAGAGGTGGAAGGAACGGTGGCGGGCTGAGAAAGATCGATTTTGGTGATTCGCAGAGGGGAAAAGACCGACGCAGGTGGAGGACGAGACTGGCTCGGGACGGTAGGATGGACGGTTTCGACGGGAGCAGGCAGGGTGGGTATTTTTCTGATATCATCTACGGAAAGTCTAGTAGTGGCCGAAGCGGCGTGAGGAAAGGGATACGATCCTTGTTTGGGATCAATAATATCAAGTGACGATCGTGGCGAAGGGTCAATGGCGGAATCCACCGAAGGATGAAGTGAGGTATGCATAGCAGCATGATCGCTTCCGTTGCCGTGAAACGAGTCCGTTTGAGAATCCAGCGCGCCACGACTGGTGGCATGGCTGATGGACGTCAGGGCACTGTCCAGCCGTGGTTGCAAATCGGCGTCGGATAATCGCGATTTTCGGAAAGCCGTCTGGTCGTTTCCTATTCCTCCTCTGCTGCAGACCCATGAGTGGTTAGTTGTTTGTTCTCAGAGCCTTCATGCTCCCCACATTGTTTTTGCTTACCCTTGTGCCATATTGCTTTCGTCGGTTTCGACGTAGTCATCGTCACTGATGGAAGGACGGTCGGCCAATGATTTCGGTTGTTCACTGGAAGGCGTAGGTTGAGTGGTGGTGAGTGGCGGTATGCTTGTATCGGTGTCTTTCCTTCGTAAACGGTAATGACTTCGTTTGGTGCGTGGACTGCTGACGAGACCGGTACCAAACGGTGCGGTCGACACGTCTTTGGTGGCTAAACTCTCATAGACAGGCGAGTAACAGTACTGCATTTCAGGGTAGGTGGGTGCAGCAAGGCGAATGTAGTCGTCTGACATGACGGTGGGATGAAACGAGATGATGCGTTCCCCTCGTTCATCCATCCGGAGAAATTTAATACGCATCATATGAATAAGAAAGTCGGCATCGGTTGTCAAAGCCATGGCGGATGCAATGGAGAACCAACTGACAAGGTCATAAAACCAAAAAGGAAAGAGAACAAGCCCAATGGAACGCAGAAAAGAGGAAAAAAGAAAAAGGAAGTTCCACCATTCCCTTACTTGCCATTTTTTTTCCCTTACAATGCCCTGGCAAACATTATTTGTAATCCCGATTTTTGTTGACTTCCCTAATATCTTTTTCCTCTTTCAGTTCATTTTTCTCGGGAAATAATAAAATAAATTGCAAGGAAGCAAAAATCATGACTTGGTCCCTTATTGGCGGGGAGTGTGGGGGATCTCATCATACTACCTTGGCCTTGTATAATGCCTGCGTAGTCCTGGAGGGAAAATGCGCTGAAACTGACGACTTTGTTACATCAAAAAGAAGAGGCCATCTTCATGATGATGACTTCTATTTTCAATAAAGTGTATAATAGAGTTGAAATATAGTTTAACGAGCCATGCATTACATCTGTACCAAAGTTATGTGCACCTGTGTATCCCATCAGCCGATATATGAACACTTGAGAATAAAGATCTCTCTCTAACATTATCTGAGACCTACTTCATGCAGCTATTTCATGCGATGAGTCCACCCTCTTTTATCAACGGATAAATATGAAGTGAAGCAATGAGCGCGTCTTTTTCCTGCTTCATTATTGGACAATAAAGGTTTTCAGCTACAGTATCATACGACGGATCGCCTTTTTTTCATGTCTATAAAAGACCGACGTATGTTCCATCCACCCTATTTCCTCTTCATCGCACATCTACTTTCTTATTTCTTTTCTTGCGCAAAACCACCCATCTATCGCGGTATATATTTTCATTGCTTTTTCATTACATTTACTCAAACCCAACTGCACTGTACGTATACTCATGATGACCACAACTGTGATATCAAAACGACTGAACCTCTACATAAAGCTTGGGCGCCGAAAGCTTTTTTTTTTGTGGCCTATAATGAAACTTTTTTTTGAAAGGTAATGTATTTGTGCTCTCAAGTGCCTTCCTTACTTTTTGAATGTTATGCCGAATCACTCACTTGTTGTGTGCTTCTCTAGTTTAAATAACTGAATGAACAAAGCCCCTGCCTTGGCGGTGTGCGGTGGCGGCTCCCGCAATGCGGTGAAAGCACTTTTTGTAAATAAAAACAAAAGAAGAGTAAGTGTGGCTTGTTTAATGCATCCATCCTTTTTTTTTTTTTTTGTATGTCTTTGTCCTTTGGTTTTCTCTCTTCTTTGATTACTTAAAACAACATTACCTTGCCTCTAAAAAATTTTTGATTTGTAAAATATTTCCCCAGATTTTTTCAATTAAACTGTACGATCCAGCAGTCAACACCACTTTCCGTAAAAGACATTACCACGGGAAAACACGCCCGACAAACCATAATAATCACATCAACATCTGCTTATAAACGACATTCACTGTAGAAAAGAAAAAAAAGAAACAAGGAGCCAACAAAAAAAAACCACATAACAACGTGCTCGTATTCCCAAATATCGCGCTTTTTCCCTTTCTTTTTTATCCATAAAATTTTGTCAATAAGCATATACAGATGCATTTGTATACAAAGATACTATTCTCTTGTATCGCTTCTGCAGACCACCAATAGATAATCCACCATTTCGATGCGGGCGATATCCTATACTGTACCCTGTCTCGAGCACGATGTGAGTTGAATAAGGAGACACAGTTGGATGAGGAAACCTCCTATGAAGCGAAACTTTTTATCATGAATGGGAACCACGCTCACTGGGCACCTGTCATCTATTTTGTGCCATTTTTTTTTTTTTTTTTTTTTTTTTACGATATAAAGAAGGTAGAGCCTGATCGGATCACGTATTTGGGAGGTATAACTGCATGACTGGTTATGTGTATCCTAGTGAAAAAGAAGTTGTTGCCTCGGATTCCCAGACAGCGACTGACCTCGTGAACTTGGCTTAAAATAGGTTATCGATCATCGAACCTTTGGAAATTTCATATGGTGTTTTTTTTATCCTTGCGCCAAACTACACATCATACATAGAAATAGAACAAGAACAATAAAGGTTGCACAGAAAAAAAGTTTACGACTTTTTATATTTACAGGTGGGCCAAAAGACGTACAAAGTGCCGCACCGGTAAACACTAAAAAAAAAATCGTTTACATGTGAAAAGAACTACATTTACAACAAGCACGCCAAAGGTACCAAAAACGAAACAAAAAAAAAGACGCAACACAAGAAAGGGAGAAACGCCCATTTCAACGAAATAAGGTTTCCGGTTTTTCTCAATTGTCGTCATCATCGTCGCTTTTTTTTATGCGTGCCAGGCAGAATGGGGTTTTTTTTCTAGGCCGTTTCATCTTTCATCTTGGCATCGTCGGCTGGAATTCGTTCGGGAACATTCTCCATGACGGACGATGCACGACGACCTTGCTCGGGATCGTCGGGTTTCACGCCAAACAGGTCATTTTTTTCCTTGAGAGCCACTTCTTTGGTAAAAGTACCCATGGCTGGTTCAGGAGCAGGGAAAATATGATAAATGGCGATACCAATGATGATCACCACGTACGCAATCGGGTACAAGAACGTCACCTTGTAGCCAAACAAGCCAAGACCAAAGATCAGACCGTAGAAATCACTCGTTAACAACGACAGGTTGTACAGAACCGCACTGCCGAGACGGAACATGACCGGAGCAAGAGAGTACAGCACAAACATGCAACATGTATACACAATCACCATGGCAATAGCTTCACCTTGATTCACAAAGGAAGCAAATTCGGATCGTTCCAGGATCATGAGTTGAACAAAGTTGATGAAGGTCGCAAAGAAAGTGAACATGCCGATCACCTCGTACAAAGGATGCTTGCGCGCCATGATCTCTTCACCCACGTTGGAAAAACCATACAGCGTTGCACCAAGTAAGCAGAACAGATCGCCCTTGACAGCATCGGCTGCTGCATAGTTCTTGTCCGTCATGACATCGCTACCGACCAACATACCGAGACCACACAACGCGATGAAGACACCGACATACTGGACCCATTTGTATCTTACTTTCAAAAAGAGGAAGGATAAGATCATACAAACAGGCGTACTCCAGCAATCGAGAAGCATCGCAGACAGTAAGGACGTATATTGGTACGATTTAACGACAAAATAGTTGCCTTCGACATCGATTAATCCAAGAATGAAATCTGTTTCGAAAGAAACGAGTAAGTCTATCAATCCAAAAAAGAAAAAAAAAACATTTTATCATTGAGATTGCCCCGGATCACTTACAGTAGATGCCTCGGCGCCAGAACTGAAGTAGCCAACCACGAATACCACGCTTGTAAATGGCAAAAGAATTATATACCAATGCTAAGCAGGCACTAATAATATCAAACGAATTCTTTTGTCAGTATGCCGTAAGGCCGAGATGGATCGAATCGTTGCTTTCTTACTAGACAAGAAAAGTTTGGGTCGTAGGAGCCGCAAAATTGTAATCGTTGCCTAGCTTCGTGGTGGTCACATTCGTACCAGTAATGCAAAGCGAGAGTACTTTTAATCAAGAGGCATAAGCATTAGTATACAATGAACCAAGTTCCACTCGTACTTTTTGTAGATCAAAAACTTACATTGACCCAAGAAAAGGACCTTTAAAAATTTCGGATCCTTTAAGAAGGCAAATCGACTTTTCCAAGTCTTCTTCGGCTCACACATCACCAGGGTATCCTCTTTTCGCGGAACGACACTTTCCATAGTTGTTTGCCAATAAAAGAGGCAAAGAAAGGCAAGCAACAAAAGATTTAGGAAAAAAAAGTAAAGAAAGGCGTAAAGAAGCCCAAAAAAAAATTCAACGGCGCTTTTTATCGTCACCATCACGCACTGGTAAAAACATCAACAGTCACACTTCCCATAATTTTTTTTTTCCCATCTTTCCTTTCGGAACCATCGTACAAAGCTGCTGGATACTTTGAAAAATATATACTGTAACGCACTTGAACTTGCCAACACATGATCAAGCAAGTAATGTGGGTAGATTTGCTCAGTGCTGTAGAATAGCCGTGCAAATTTACTTCAGTATAGAATTTTACAAAATGTTGGTATTTGTATAATGTCATTATAGAGATTAAACTATTATCCTCCAAGCAATCTTGGTGGTACTGCCCAGAAGTAACCACCACAGTCAGTGAGCTGAAAATGTGTTTACGCTGAGATGGCACCATGTAAATTACATCATATATACTGTATTGCGTGAATAATGAGCCGCTTGAATGGAGCTTTTTTTTTAAAAAAAAGAACAAGTTTTCGATTTCATGATCTGATATATTTTATCGTCATCTATAACGCAACTGTGTTCCACAAAAATAGAAAAAAAAATTTAATCTCAATGCATTTTTTTTTCGTTGACTTTCTTTTTAATGGAAAAGAGAATGGATATTTTACAATAAAGACATGGTAGGTTTGTACAAAGAGTTACACGCGGGGGAGGGGAAGAGGGATGTTTGAAATGATGAATAAAGAAACGTGCGAAATGTAGTATATGTTGAGTTTCTTCTGTTTTTTTGAGATGCTTGTTGCGAGAAGTAGTAATTTGACAGATCGGATTTCATCAATATCTTGAAAAGAGAGACATGGCAGAACCCAGAAAGCATAGATAAAACGACCAAACGACGACCCCACCGGAATATATATTACATACATTAGGGCTTTCTGAATTCCGTCAATACAGGATAGATGGCCTGGAAAGCTTGATAGATTTCTTCACGCACTTTGGCGCCCGTCAATACAATCTTTCCAGAGACAAAGATCAACAGCACGATTTTCGGCTTGACCATACGGTAAATAAGACCAGGAAACAATTCAGGTTCATACTACATCCACAGTGTCAGCCCTTGGTTGTTCCGCAGTCGCCCAAGTTTTTCGTAGCTTTTTTTGCCCATTACTTACCGAGCTAAAGTGTCCGTGAGAGTAAGCCAGCCCCTCGAGACGAATGGGAAACTTCACATCGCAAGAACCGACAATGTTCTGAATCTTGAAATCCGTAAATTTGGCTTGAAAACCGAGCTTTTGAATGATACGAGCGTATTTTCGAGCCGCCAATTTGGAATCATCTTCTGACTTGGCACCCGTCACCACCATTTTGCCAGACGCAAAGATCAAAGCCGTCGTCTTTGGATCACGAATACGCATAATCACAGCAGCGAAACGCTAAAGCGGAAGAAATAAAAAAAAAAAGAAAGCAATCGTAGCGTAAAGAAAAGGTTTAGTCATGTCCCACCCAAAAACGCAAACGAGTAGAAAATATATACTCGCTTGCTAGATACCAGCCAAAAGAATGTGCATTCGCAATGGACATGTACCTTGGGATTGTACTCTGCATTACGAGCATGAAGAGCAATGGTTTTCAGATCCAAACGACAGTCCAAGTTTACGGTAGCCACGATATTTCTAAAACGAGACCCAACGATAAACCCAAAAGAACGGAAAAAAAGGTAGGGGATATATTGTTGTCGTTTTTTTTTTTTGGTTTATTTAGGGATATCGAGACTTACTGCAAAGTTGGTGTGATGCCCGCTACCGCATAGGGATTTTGATCTCTACTTGGTGTGGGAGCATCAACAGGTGCAGGTGTAGAAGGAAGAGCAAATGGCGTAGCATTATGATAAGGAGTTGGAACAGATGGCGTTTGCATCGCCGGTGTGGTCATGGAAGGTGTGGCAATATTGAATCCTGACATCTTTTTCTTTTTTTCTCACTAACTGATTATACGGATGGAATCAACCGTTTTGGGGGTCGTCGACAGAAGAAAAAGGGAAAAACGGAAAAAGGGAGAAAAATGTGGCTGGTGAATTTTCGACGTGTGACTGGTTTGCCGTTTGTCGAAAAGGAAATGGGGGATTGCGACGGCGAAAACCAACGGCCTCCTATTTATACCTTTTGACAAGTGGCTTAGCTTTATCGGAAAATGAAAATGCTCCGAAGAAAAAAGGCCCCTCATCGAAAAAACGACAGCATCCCCCACCTCCCCCTGTCTGCTGCGTTCAACCCATAATTGCCTACACACTAGCTTGTTTTTCTTGGATACCATACGCCCTTTTTGCACCCTTTTCTACCTCATTGGAGTATTTTTATTGAACCATCAGTTTCTCCTGTCGGTGTTTTACAGTTTTTTTTTCAACCTTGAGAAGTGTTTGACAATAAGATGATGTGTCACAAGATGAGACCATCTTGTTGATTGCCCTTGGACAGTGGTGAATGGCTTCATCTTGGACGCAGCAAGTTGCAACGGAAAAAGCAACATGTCAATAGAAAGAAGATGATGGGCGGATGGAGTTGTGGCCGTATGTTTTCGGGTGGTGTTTATTCGGATGGATAGCACTGAAAAAGGTCATCGATTGTCACAGACCAAGCGATTCGGGATTAAAATCGAACAAATCAAGTGCCATGAAAAAGTCCTTTTTGGGTTATCATGAGACTTGCCTTTCTATGTATGATCAATGCACTCCGTTTGGTGCATCACTCTTTTGTTCATCCCAGCTCCTTGAGAATATTCCGCTTACCAAACGGAAGACATGAAAAAAAAAAGTCATTTATTTCTTTTTTGTTTTCATTCGTGCGAGTATAAAAATAGCTTAATGGAGAAAAAAAAAAAAAGGCCAAGAGAAAAGGGAATGCTGCTTGTCACACAGTCGCGATAATTAGAAATAACGCATCGGTAATCCATGCGGGATATGTCAACGCTTCCGCATAGGAGGTCATCAACCTAAAAAGCTGAGTCCGGCGCTGTTGACAGAAACAGTGATGCTTCATAACTTGGCATCGATCAACGATAGACTGTACATCCATTTGCTGAGACAATCAGAGACTCGGGAAATAAGGTATCGAATAGGTTGAATCAAAAGATCATGGTTCTGCGGTGGTTGAGAAGAAAAAGGCAAAGAAGGGTAATCACCAAGATTGATTGCCTATTTGTTATTGTGCATCCCGAAATGGACTGGATGACAAAAACAATCGCTTTCTCACGGGAATGTTTTTTTCGTCACGATTAACCCTATTTGGCAGCTTCCGTATTTGCGAGAATGACAACAACGAAAAATGGGTTTCGCGTATCACAGCATTCATGGTTTCACAGATAGACATTTATTGACACACTCACTCGATGATTTTCTTTGGCGCGTAGGACGCTTTGATAAAACCCGCTGTACCATGCTTGTGCAAAAAGTATCCTTTTACTGGATGCATTCAATTTACTCCATGATTTTGATGAAATCCCATGACGTTCAAGGCGTCTCCCTTTTGAGTATCAGTATCATTCTTATCAGTTCACATGGTCTGGATATGTTAATACCGTGCTGCCAAATAAATAAATAAAAACGAATTATTCCCCCTGCATCTGTAAGCATTCGAGAATCCATGACGAGGGAATCAAATTTTGACGTCAAACTCGCTCATCTCTGACCATTTGAACAATGTATGGCTCTTCAACTTTTTCATTTTTTGATTCAGACAAACGCTGTCAAAAGTGTTGGGGTGGAAAGGCCGATTTCATCTAAAAGCTGATAGCCACACCTTGGTAAAACGCTTTTTTCAGGTCATCAAGTTTCCACTCAGCTCAGTGACATTTCTATGTTGAACGCGTTTGACTCGTTGACCGTGCTTTCGCTACGATCCCGATGTCTTTGGAACCTCGACTTGCGGATGAAAAATAGCTCCACAGGCAGCACAGAAACCACTTTTCTGCAAAAGCTATTGTCGTCCCAGCCGGTACTCTGACATCATGACGTTTGATTTTACTTTCAGAGTGCTTATTGCTCAAACCAAGTAGAAAGATGGGTGAAGCGAAATAATATGACTCACCGGACACACTTGGGGTGCAGATCAGCTCAGGAGAATGAAATGCGTGCGACAAGTGTTATCTTGCACATTTTGCTCGCATCCTCAGTTAAGACCGATTCCTATAACGAAGAGCTTTTCTGCCGCGGAATGCTCCAATACTGTATCATACTGTAGTTGCGGAACAGCAAGCAAACTTCTCGAGTACAATTAATAGGATCACTGACATAAAGCGATTTCTATCCATTTAGAAAATTTTATACACTGACATCATTATTTCACATGAATTTTCCTTTCTTCAAGTATCATTACAAATGACGATATCTTATTTCTACCACTCAATTATTCAAATGATCTGATGAGTTATTTCATGTATCACGATTCTATGTGGACGGTCGAATCGGTTCAGTTGCTTGCATTCAGTAGCTGCACACCAAATAATGCGTCCATCCATGCCAAGCAGAATGAAATGTAAAGGTGAAGAAAAAAAGTTGTTTGGAAAATGATATCATCCATCGTAGAACAAGTCGCCTTATAAAGCCATCATGAGGTGATCTTTTTCAAGGGATCCATGCAAACTTGTATTACGCGTCGACGTGATACTCCGTAACACTGCGGCGCGATACAATAGGGCCTTTGCACGTTTTCCATAACCTTTGCACGAAAATTTAAATTATTGATAGCCTTACCCTCCTATGATTATTTCTTTGACTTTGTTCAGGAGAGGGCATGGTTAGGATGTGGGGTTCATTTTTGCCTTTGGATTCAAAGTTGCATTGGGATCGTTTTCCATATATAGAGAATGACATCATGGGTTCGTTGGTTGGAAAACTTATTTTTCAATTTTTCTGGGACCGCTTCAGTTATTGGGTTGGAAGAAAAGAAAAAGTGTTCTCTTTTCGACCACTGCCATGAGTGAATTCATTCAGGCCATCTTCATTCGAAGTGCCGAAACACGACAACAACCCAAACCCCATATTGTGTATAAAATTGAGGTGCATGCGGCGGTACGGAATTGGATTGTATGGAAACGGTACTCGGAATTTGCAAAGCTGAATTCACAGCTGTTGACCATCTTCCCCAAACATCCCCCTCCCATGGCTTTGCCTCGCAAGCGGTATTTTCCTTCCACATTTTCGGATCCTGAAAAAATCGAAGAACGTCGTCGTGGACTCGAAGCCTACCTTCGGGGAATCTTGAGCAGTCGAGACGATCGATGGCGACAAACGGATATTTGGCGAGAATTTTTATCGATTCCCACTGGTCGAGCGTTGGATACCAGTACCCTCTATACCTCGGAATCATGGCTTGATGAGTATCAAGAAATGACCAATACAGCCCGCGAAATTCGATCGCTTATCAATCGACGCGGCACGCATTTAGCTCGTAACGAAATTTCCGCTTCCCACAATTGTACAGTCCAAGCGAAGAAACGATTGATGGCATTATCGTCTCGTCTGTCGAATCTGGAAGCCGGCCTGACCGCCTTAGCCAATGGATCAGCGAATGAAGGAAAAATATTGTCCGAAGGTGAACTGCGGCGAAGGCAAGATATGGTGATCACACTGAAGGATGAGAAAGATATGTTGATGAAGCTAGTGAGTACAAGTCGCCAAGACCATGAGATGATGTACGATACCTCGTCGGTGGATAAAAAGAATGTGGGCGATCGAAGAGCGTTGATGGGAGATACGGCAGCGATGAATGCCAGTAGTCGGTATGGAAGTACGGATCCGCCACGACAAGGATCCTCGGTATGGCAAGTGAATGGTCCATCGAAAGATGGCGTAAAGCGAAGTGGCACCATCACAAGCGGGCGAGCGTTGGGCGCGGCAGCAGCACGACAAAAGGCGTTGGCGCAAGAAACCGAAGTGACGCGTGGAATGGATAACGAAGGTTTGGTAAAATACCAGCAACAACTTATGGAAGATCAAGATCAACAAGTCGAGCAATTCAGCGCCATTTTAGCTCGACAGAAACAAATCGGATACGCCATTGGCGATGAACTTGAAACACAAAACCAAATATTGGATGAATTGGATGGCGATGTTGGACGAACACAAACAAAACTCAAGTTTGCAAATAAGAAATTGGGCAAGATCAAGTAAATCCGGATCAACTTTTTTTTTCTCCTTGTTGTTTTGATTCTTGATTCGGTCCACAGTCTCACCTAGAAAACAGAATCCCCTCCCTCCGCGCCTCCCCACATATACTCTCTCTCATTCTCACACACATATTACACACACACGTCGCCGACCATACAAAAAAGGGAAAACCTAAAAAGAACATCTTTATAAAGTAATACTTATTTATCGTTACCGCCAATTTCGGCGCGGTTATGAGGGAGTGTATGGTTGGATCGCGTGAAAAAAAAAAAAAAAAAAAAAAAAAGTCAATCGAGTAGATAGATGATCGGCATTGTATGAGATAAAGGCAGTCCCGAACAATGGGGTTGAATCGAATGACAGCACCAATCAAGTTTAGACGATGATATTACGTTTTGCCTTGTTCTTTTCCCATTGCAATCAAAATTGGATGGGAATTCACCAGGAATGGAAGTAAAAAGGAGATCATCGTTTTTTGTCAATAACATGTAAATAGCATGCCCAGCGGTGGTCGATTCCAAGTGCGGTCATTCATTGTGGGACCAATGATGCTTCGAATACATAATCAGACGCGAAAGGAGAACAAAGCGTGCAGAATAATTACCCTTTACCCGTGATAGACTGTCTACCGTGATTGAGAACAATAAAGCTGATTGGTATAGTATGTATCTTATACAGCTTGTAGACTGAAATATCGTAGAGAAAGAAGAGGAAGAAGAAGAAGGATACGATGAAGGATCCAAAAAAATAAATTAAATTTTTTCTTTTTTTCTGTTATTGCCGGTCTCTTTGCTTTTTTTTTATTGTCATCATACGTGGCACTTCTTCTTCTTCTTCTTCTTTCTTTTCTCTCTTTTTTGGCTTCACTTGGCGCTCATATTGTTTACTCCTTTTGTCCTCTTTCTTTCCTGACTTTTCTTTTTTTTTTTTTTTTCGTTCTTCGTTATCCCTCCCTTTCCGAACGAAAAAAAAAAAAAAAAAAAAAAAAAACCAAGAAAAGCCCGTTTCGTTCCACTCCAATTTTTTTTTTCCTTCTCTTTCACTCACTTAATTCTTAATTATGAGTTCCAACACCCATTCGTCAGCATCAACGAAACGAAGCGTTACAGCTCCTGGGTTTACTCTAGGCGTAAGCGAAGATCGCAACAAACGATGCCGAAGGACCATGGAAGATGCTCACGCCTACATTACTGATTTCCATGGAGTACCACGTCAAGGTTTCTTCGCCATTTTTGACGGTCATGCCGGAAAATCCACGGCGGAATGGTGTGGTGCAAACTTTCATAAGGTTTGACGTGCGAATGGACGGTCATAATAAACAGTTGAACGAGACAATACTCATTTCTCAATGTACTTTCCCCACACTCAGACATTGCTGCATTGTTTAGAAAAAAACGCAGAGACACCAGTACCGGAGGTTTTAAACCTGACGTTTCTGGAAGCTGATCGACAGGTCAATCAAAAGGAAGGCAAGTTTTCTGGTTGTACAGCCGTGGTTGCGTATGTTCAGGTCAAAGACAAAAAGGTAACTGCGTAACCCTACCGGATATAGTAGTCTACGATCTAATAATAATCGGGAATCTTGCTTTTCTTTTTTTTTTTATGGGGGCGATCTCTTATTAGCGTATGTTATATACCGGTAATGTGGGCGACGCGCGTGCGGTGTTGAGGTAAGTTTTGGGGAGCGGCGGGTTCTGGGGAACGTATACAGTTGATCGATGAAGCGGGCTTCAAGATTTGATCCTTTCATTTTTTTTAATTGACGGTGGATGTTTTTTTAGCCGTCAAGGAAAAGCGGTGCGTTTATCATATGATCATAAAGGGTCGGATGCCAAGGAAGCGAAGCGAATTACTGATCTGGGTGGATTCATGATGAATCATCGGGTCAATGGCGTTTTGGCTGTTACACGATCGCTGGGTGACAGTGTGATGAAGGAATTCGTAGTGGGTAACCCATACACGACGGAAACGGAATTAGGCAACGGCGATGATTTCTTGATCCTAGCTTGTGATGGTGTAAGTGGACTGCAAACTTGACTGGAACGTGGATGGTACCAAGCCAGCTGACCTTGCCGAACTTAGTTGTGGGATGTATGCGATGATCAAGAAGCGGTTAATTTGATCAAGGATGTGATGGATCCTCAAGAAGCAAGTCGTAAATTATTAGAGCACGCTTTGGCCAACTTTAGCACCGACAATCTTACCATCATGGTCATCCGATTCACTGAATAGTTTGTTTTTCTACGGCTTCAAAACCGACGGCACAACAAAACAGAAAAAACACCAGGTGCTCAAAAACAAAAAGTTCGAAAACTTCCTTATTTCGTCTTGTCCTTTGTATGTAAAATTCCCCAGACTTATTCTTTCTCTCTTTCTCTCTCTCTCACACTCTCTTGCTCTTTTATTTTCTCAATTTCCAACTATTCTCTTAAACGATTTTCTATTTTCTTCCTTTCCTTTCTTTTTGGATTGTACGATAACTTGTTTTTCTTTCCAAATAATCAATTTATTATCATCACGTAAACTGATCATGGAATATCACGGAATTCACCTTCAATGACATTTCCTTTGCGGATCGGATCATTGAGCGGTAAGGTCACTTCGTCTCCACGCCCAAGTAATCGAATATCTTGCAATTGAATCACGCCCTCTGGGCTGATCATCGCTGTCACTTGCGCCGCCGAAGCGTTTCGTCCACTTTGCGCATCCACCACGTTGAATTCAATCGTCATATATTTCGCGCAAGACTTGCGTCCTCCTATCGAACTCGCTTCACTATAACTGGACATCGATGTTACAGGTAATGCACTTAAAGAAGCGGCATCCATGTGTTGTTGACGTAACCAGCGTTGGCCAGCCTCTGTTTCAGCCCAGAACCGGATCTTTTGTAATGCTTGCTCTTGGATATGCGCAGGGTCACTGTGCAAAGTGTGGCTGAACATTCGAGGAGAAAACGCTTCCGCGAACAAGGGACCTAATCCTTGTTGTTGAATCTGACGTCGTAAGCGCCACATTTTCCATGCCATCACAGAAGCAATGCCGCCTGCGGCCACAAGCACGATAGGTCCTAATACCATCGTGGCCAAAATGCCGCCACCGACCGTCAATGTGGTTGTCAGGAGACGTTGGTTCCTTGCTGCTGGTAGATTCCACAGCGAGCGACGTTGCAGAGCCCACGGCGATGGCAGTGCCATCACCGGTAATCGTGTTAATCGTGTTAATCGCTGCATTCTCTCTGACAGTTGAAAAATGGGGGGTGGCACAAAAGCGACACAAAAAAAAAGCGAACTGCGCCAACCAATTCAGCCCCGCGCTGCATTTGCATTTGACAGAAAACCGCTGCCTCTTTTTTCTTGGAGACCCAAGAGCTGTGAACCTTTACTGCAGCGTTCATCAATTACCACCACCAAGATCTCGATGTCAAATCATATATATGTATAAGTGGGATATTTGCTTATGCTTCACCTCGCAAAGGGCATTATAAAGGGCACTATAATACCGTTATTTTGCAAGACCGACTGAGTACAATATTTTTTCATCGTCTGAAGAGCAACAATAGGACTAATCCCCTGCATAGCATACTGTACCATGCTTGATGAATGCGCGGGGGGATGGTAAAGTAATTACAACAAATAAAGGTCTTTTAAAAATTCCCAAACAAAACACGAAACACTGACTAGAATTTACAGACGACTCAGGCGAATGATACAAAAATACCACCAACTTTTAATAAGAATTTTCTATCATTCGATCTTCATTGCATGCAAAAAGAAAAATGACAGCTGACGCATGTGTTTGCACTGCGTAGAAAATGCAAAGGCTTACAACATGAAATGCCGAAATTAGCAATTTCTTTCTCGGAAAAAAGTCATGCGCCCCACATGTCTCATGTAATGACAAACAAAAAGATTTTTATCTGTGATGGTTACAGAATTGAAAACGGATAAAAAACAAAAGATGTTATTGGTTAGATTGAAAAGAAGGAAAGGAAAAAGGTATAAAATACAACATGGGAAAAATGGGAAAAACGGGAAGGCTATACACGTTGATAGTCAAAAAGGAATGAGGAGCGGTTAAATATAAAGCATGCACAGGGACTATTCTATTGTGTACAAGAGAGGGAATAAAGAAGAAGAAAAAATCGGTTACAATCCGGCTGCTGACGCGGCCGAAGATAAAGCAGATGCGGCACCGTCTGTGCCGGACCCAGCATCGCTGCCACCAAGACCAGGTACCATGGACGATAAACCGCCCAGCGAGGACAAGTCGTTGCTGTTAATGGGACAAGGGAAGGTGGAAGATTGGGAAATGGTGGGTGAAATAGCGATGCCAATGATGCGTACGGTGGGGATGATATCGTAGTCGACTTTGATGGATTGCTTCTCGCCTCCCATCAAGCCACATTTTCCTAGCAAGTCGGTAATGATACCCTTGTACCGGTCATCTGCCGTATCCACATGCAGATCAAACGGAAATGTGATGTTGGTAATGCCGTTGCTATTAATATGCACATCGTTCGCTTGTCCGCCACCAATTTGCAAATCATGGAAACCAGGGTAATAAGCCTATAAAATCAACCAAATCTATGAGCATTTTTGTCGTTCTCATCTGTATTTTCTTCGGTGAAATGTTCGTACCTTGGCGACGATGGATTCAAATGTGATACTTTCGACGTTGGGGTTATTGACGCCGATATCAAATTTGAAAGCCAAGTTCATGGTGGATCCGGTCATGTTGACTTGGGGTTCGCCTTGTATACCGTTAAAGTTGACTTCGGGCACTTTGAAGATGGCCGCCAACACGCCCACCACAATACCAATCATGACAAGGATCAACAGACAAACGCACGAGCAGTAGCGGGCCCACCGGGGACAGCAGGTACAACAACCGCAGCATACTTTGTCCATGCATCCGCGTTTTTTCTGGACTCGGACCCGGCCACCTTCCAGCATATAATCTTCGTCATCCGAGTCATAATGCCCGGTCAATTTCATATCGGACATGGAGGCACGTTGGTTATAGCCGCCGACCATGCCGCCGTTGTCACCCAAGGACTGGCGCTGAAACGGACTTGGAGGATAACCGCCAGGTGCCGCCGGAGGAGGCGTGTAGTGTTGTTCATGAAGCGGATAGTTATCAAACGAAGTATCTCTCATCGCAGGTGAGTCTACATGATGTGGTACTGGGGGTGGCGGGGAACCCGCCGTTGCCGTGTGGTTACGGTGGCCAGGGGTAGCATAAAAATCGTCGCGATCGTAGACAGACATGTTGATAATATGAGTGTTCTATCTTTTTTTTTTCTTCGGTAATCAATGGATTTTTTTTCTTTTTCCTCGGCAAAAATCCAAAATGTTGAGCAAGAGAAAGCAAGAAAAAAAAAATAAGAAGAAAGGAAAAGAGTGCGGAGAGACTCAGAGAAAGAAAAAAGCCCAAAATAAACTATGCCGAGAACGACTAAAAAACAACTGAATAAAAATAATTCATCATCGTCAAGACTTATTTTTAGCTACACAAGACGATTTTAGTGCCCAGGCGATCCATTGCATCCTGACCGGACATTTGGGCGGCATCTATAATTTTTTTTATTTCTTTGATTGGTTCTAGCTGTTTTTATCCTGTACCAAAGCCACTTTTTGAAAGGACTGCCGATCTTCAATGATGCCATCTCGTTGGGACCATATCACTCCGAACAAATCATATTACCTCTTTTTTTTTGCATAGCACTTCTATCCAATCATTTTTTAGCTTTGTTGGCAAAAACACTAGCCTATCATAGGCAGGATCTGCCACTGCGTAAAATGAGATTACAACCTCCAAACAGCAGAAGAAAACAAATGAGGACGATAAATCAAGGAATCCAGATTCGTTCTGACGGAATATGATAGAGTGTCGAAACAGATTGAATTCAGAGACTTGATCACGGTCACATAAAGCTTGTCATGCGAAATTAGAAAGCAAGCGATACCAGTTCTGTTATTGTATTTGATGCAATCTGTTTCGAATGAGACAATAGCCATTCAATGAAAAAAGCAAGTTTCTTGATGATATAGGGAATTCGCTGTCTTTCTTTTTTTTTTTTGGCTTTCATCAGGGATCAATCATCCCAAAATTGCTTAGCTCTCTTTGGCCATGTTTTATATTTCCTCCACTCTTGTTCATTATGTTTCCAAGCTGTGTTTGTAATCTCTCATTTTTTGTGTCCATAAAGCCTCTCTTTCGAGAGCTTTTCGGACATACCGACGTGCAATGAGCTTGTCACGTCAATATATAATAGTTAGCTAAAGACAGTATGTGGAAACCTTGTGATTTAACGCTGTGTCTGTTTGCCAACCTATTCTCCTGAACTTTCTCCAATTGAACAATTTCGATCAGTGGTTAAGAGCAAAATCAAACGAAGCAATTATTGGAAACTAAGCTATCGATGACAAGAATCAGTTAGGCTTCTAATAGATCGAGTCTGACTCCTTTGTTTGAAAGCATTGACGAGCATGTTATTTTTCGATGGTATGTAAAGTTGAAGAGAGAAGAACGAGTTGATCAAAAAACGACGTGGAAAAAGGGGAACTCACATTCACATTTCTTCGTTCATAAATAGGACATCGGTTCGACGACGACCGAAATCAGGCGACGATACGGCCAGATGCCTCGACAACATCTTGCATGGTACCTCGTTGGGGAGAAGACTAGGCTGCGGCGAAGTCAACCCTCAATACCAAGCACTCAATCATCAACTTGTCGGATTGGATCTCTTGCGCGTTGCTCATCTAGCCAAGATCGCAGATAAACATCAGTCCAGGGCTGCATTTTCGTTCCTCGTTGTTGGAAAAAGTGCTACTGCAATCAATGAATAGCTTCAAGCGTTCTTATAAACTTTTTTGAGATTTAGGCAATCGTCAGTTCGCCGCAGTTAAACGACTACCAATGACCTTACAAAACGCATCTTAATCTATTCCGCGACATATGACCCGCCTCTCTTAGGATTTTGATTTACAGTAGAGTTTTGATTTCATTCTTATTATCAATGTAACAAGGCAGTGAGGAAAATAATGATACCACTGAAGGGAATAACTCTCATTGGCTGGGTCATTTCATGGCCATAATTGTCAGTTAACTAACATTTCCAAGGACAAAAGTATAGAATGCATTGTCCGCCACATATATCTTGTCTTTGACGAACTTCGGCTTCCGAGACACCCATTGCAGTAGCTAATTATCTGAATTAGTATTTTACCAGACAGTATTCATATTACCCTCTATTGCTTATCAATTTCGGCATTGGTCTTGCAGCTCGAAAAGTTATCAATGCTACACCCCGAGTTTATTGGAAACTTTCTCGTCGGCCTCTTTGGCAACAGGTCCGGCCATCACCGCAGAAGCAGCAAAGGATACAAAGGTCAATGACGTAAGGAATTTCATGTTGAACGCGTACAGATATTGCTGATTGTATCGCAGTAAAAAGGCCACTCTTTTATATCATTTATTTTCAGGCATGTTTATCCGTTACATTGCCCGCAAACTGGTACGTGATCAATCATGCGTGTAATAAGACTCTCTTAATCCCGCTTATGTTAATCCCGAGAAAGGCCGGTATAAATGGATTTTTCCATGCGGCATTGAATACGGCATTTTATATCTAACGGTCGTTATCGTTTTTCGGCATGACGATCTTAAGATTGACCGATCGATCGGTTGGTAAATGCATTAACCTCGTTCAATGTTTGTGTCCATTGTCGTATTAGAAATAGCTGTTTTAAAACGAAGTACACGAGCTTATGTTGTGCAAAATGAAGGAACGTTGCTGCTTGCATGCTTGTTGATAAGTTAAGGTAGAGAGACACAATTACAGTCGAGATTTCCAAGGCAAAGGCATAAGAAAAGAAAAAGGAGGCTACGAATTTGGCACTGCTGCTATTATGTCATTGGTTTCCCGCGTGCTATAACCAGTCTAAAATGCTGGTTAATTAATGCTCGACCTCTATTTTCCCGTTCCTTATTGGCTTACTATGATGGATACAGTAAATGCGAGCCACATGTTCCACGAGATATCATGTTCGACCAAGCATCAGGTTCCCTAATATCGAAGCAATTCGGCTGAAACAATAAAAGTTAAGTACTAACATATATAGCCACCGAAGCAAGTCATAGTTGCTTTTTCATCAATCGATCTGGTTTCAGTGTCAATGGTAACTCATTGATAGGCGATAACTGAAGCCATAGCAAAACAAGACGCAATTTATAATACGAATAGTTATCAATTGGTGAAACAGCGAGTCGGATACAGATTTATTGATGGCATGTGAGGGACTTTTCGCAAGCATTTAAGATAGCATAACATAATATAAACGGGATACAAGCATCATGAGAAATGACGATGACAACATTTACATGGATGAATAAAAAGCAGTAGGATGATACCTATTGAAAATAACAACAAATCCTGATGCATCAGAGAATTGTGTGAATGACGGGATCCTAGGCTCCATATCTGGGGCGGCAGCGGGGGTGTTATATCTTCTTAGGGTGCACACCGAAGCGTTCGCCACCGCATAATTATCCCAGTCTACTTTACACCCTTTGTAGCTTGTTACAGTCGCCTGGTCAAACAAAAGTATCTCCAAGCAACTTCTTGAAACACGCACTGACTCTCCTCCCTATGAGCCTGTCATCCATGTCACAACAGTGAAATATCCTTCAAATAAATTGACGACCCCACATTTTATGCTCAAATTTATCCTAACGCGACGTCGGGCCCAGTTTGTGATTTCTAATCCGTAGTACTGCTGCATCGTTACCATGACTTTCTAGCTTCCTTCTGGTTATGAGATCACAAATACTATCATCAGATGGGGCAGAAATAACGTAGGAGAGCATTGATTTTATTCTTCATTATCAATGTCACAAGGCATTGAAGAAAGCAGTGGCATCGCTGAAAGGGATTACTCTCTTTACTTGGATCCTTTCGTTGTGCATGGTTGCATTTAACAATTCCAAGGGCAAGCCTCTGTAATGCAGTATCCGCCACAGGCATCCTGTCTTTGACGAACTTCGGCTTCCGAAATACCCATAGCAGTAGCTAATTATTTGAATTAGCATTATATTATACTAGACAGTATTGGTAGCACTTTGCTATTCATCCTTTTATACCATGTCCTATCCTCATGGTTATCCGTTATAATGCCCGCCAAATGATAGGTGATTAAAGATGTGTATAATGATACTCTCTTGGTCCCACTTAATGCTGACCTTTCTCGGCATGAATGGGTTCTTCCATGCGGCATTGAATACAGCATTTTATATCTAACGGTCATAATCATGACTCGGCATAAGCATTTCCTTCTGTGATATATTTCTGTCCAAAATATATGACACTTACAAAAATATCCTGATAATCGGCATTCAATGCGGGATCATAACTGTGCCCTGTCATGATGGTCACAGAAAGGGATCCCTAGGTCGAGATTGTTCAGATTCCACCGTGTCAACATCACGCATTGACTATGATTCGTAGAGTAGCATGACCAGAAAATTAACAGTATACTTGCACATAGGCTTGCTGTAGGGATGTAAGGTAGTCTCTTTATTTATATTGAGCCCTTGCCTGAAACGAACTGGAGGAGAGCGAGCAGAGTTGCTATTAAAATTCGGTGCTTTTGATAAACGGGATCAGGTCAACAATGTTCGAAGGTACGATGGAACAACAAGGAACAGGCCAAAGAAACAATTCCGATGTACTCAGCTCGATCGACCCATTAGCCATCATTTCAAAGAACGCCATGCATCTCTGAATGCTTTCCGAGCCTGCTGCAAGCTAGATGATGGCTGTAAAATAAGTATGTAGTGCTTATCTTGAAGCGCAATTCAAGGTCTATGTAACCTACAACGTTGGCTTATTACCCGGCTTTGAACCCCAGTGATTGACGCTTGTCTCTCAGGGACACCAGTTTAGGCTGCTTGAAATCCTCCTTTATCAGCCTTTATTTACCAGAAGACTTTTCGAACGTCTTATAGTTGCCTGGACAAACAAAGGTGTTACCGAGCAACTCCTTGAATCACGCACTGACCCCCTAAACCTGTCATTTATGTCGCATAATGAACATTGTTCAGACACATTAAACAACATCGCACTTTGAGACTCCAAGTTTTCCTATCGAGATTATCCGCCCCAGCTTGTAATTTCTAATCCATATGACTATTGCATCCTTACCATGACACTTCACTGATCCACTTAGTTGTCCATGATACCCAAGCTCTCAAACAAACAGAGAAACAATTATCAAAGATCTCGTAATGCTCTTACCAATCAGACCATATCCATATATCAATCCTCGACATATGACCTGCATTTCCTAAGGTTTTGATTTACAGTATAACGGGCGAGCAATAACGCAGCCTCCGGTGGTTATAATTATCCATCGCGTTGGGTACACTACCGAACGGTATTCGTTCGTAATATTTTAGCTTTCTTCTTGGTTATGAGCTTACAAAATTATCATCAAGTGGGACAGAATCAACATAAGAGAGCCTTGCTTTTATTCTTATTATCCATGTAACAAGGCAATGGGAAAACATGGGCACTGAAAGGAATCACTATCTTTACTTGGATCCTTTAGTTTTGCATTATTGCCACTTAACAATTCCAAGGGCAAGCCTCTGTAATGCAGTGTCCGCCACAAGCATCTTGTCTTTGACGAACGTCGGCTTCTGTGATACCCATAGCAGTGGCTAATTATTTGAATTAGCAATTTGCCAAACAGTAAAATCATATAACCCTAATATTGCTTACCAATTTCGGCATCTGTCTTGCAACTCGACAAGTTATCAATGCTGCACTCGAGTTTGGAGGAAGGTTTGGCCATCACGGCAGAAACAGCAAAGGAAACAAAGATCAATGACGTAAGGAATTTCATGTTGAGCTCGTACAGATATTATTGATTGTATCGAGTAAAAAGGCCACTCTTTTATATCATTTATTTTCAGGCATGTTTATCCGTTACATTGCCCGCAAACTGGTACGTGATCAATCATGCGTGTAATAAAACTCTCTTAATCCCGCTTAACGCCGAGAATGGCCGCATAAATGAGTTGCTCCTATGCCGCATTACGGCATTTATATCTAGCGGTCGTTTTATCGTGCCTCGGCATTGCCGGTTCTTTCTCTGATCTGTGTTTCATCTACAGTATGTGGCATAAGAAAGGATTCTGGAATTCGGCATTGAATGCGGCAGTCTTTGTTATAAATTTTTAGTGTCTTGTTGTGGGCTAGTGATTCGCACATCAAGCAAAAATCATAAACCGCATATGAATAAACTCAATGAAGAAGGACTTGCGTTTTCAGAGGCAGTCGAAGAACTATGGTTGGCAGACACAAAAGAATGCCGTCACTGATTTTTATTGCCATTATCAGATCGGCGCAACCTGCGTGGATGCGAGAAATTTCCCTTCTGTATATGATAGTTCTACGATATTTGGCATAACTATTCGGCAAAGTCCTCGCAAAATGGTACGTCATAAAGCGATCATGACCACCTTACCTCAGGAAAAATGGGTCTAAGTTTCCCTTCGGTATTCGATACGGCAGCTTACACTGTCGACTGCTGTATGCTACCCCTCGGCATAAGTAATCCTGTGATCTACATCTGGTCCGAAAAATACGGCATTTACAAAATCATTTCCGATAGTCAACATACAATGCAGGTTCGTGTCTGTGACCTTCCACAGTGGTCCCAGACAGGAAAACCGAGATTATCCAGATTCGACCGTACCTTTGTGTCGGCGGTTCATTATAATTGTAGAATAGCATAAACAGAAAATTACAGTAAGCTCGTGTTTATACAGGCTATCCTCTCGCTGAACTGGAAGACAAAGCACGCCTCACCCGAAGACGCTTTGTGAGGATGTTTGAGGTGGCTGATAGGAGACGTTTTCCCTCTATCAACCTTTTTGCTAAGGTCCAGAAGCCAAAAAGAGGGTAAACAGAGAAAGTTTGTTCCTTCCCACCATGCGAAATTGATTTTCCATCAAGGCGAATTTATTGTTCGCACAACCTGAATTTTGTTCTTGTCATTAGGTCGAATTTACTTTCCGGATAAATGGACTGCACAAGATGACACAAAGATATAGCCATCTTACGCGTAATTGAATGAACACCGGTTTGTCCCAATTTTTAAATGCTGAGTGAGTGGACCTTGGTATTTTTTTTTTTCTTTTCTCTGGTGAAAAGGATTGGGTCTTCGTCTTGGCTGGTCAACAGTCACATAGGAGGATGCATTTTGCAGAGAAATCAGCGTGGCTTCAAAAAATGCAAGAGATGCTTGAAGTGACTTTTTTTTTCTTTGTGTTAAGCTTGCCTGTTCAATCTCATGCCACGCGCCATTCGCCAACCGCTAGGCGTCAAAGATACCAATCGCGTCAAAGTTCATTTACCAGAATCCATCGAGAAACATAAACCTAGTCCATCCACGCCGACGCGAAAAACCGACATTATCAACGACTTGTTCTCCAAAAACTTCACTGTTCGTCGTGGTACTTGTCCCAACAATCAGATGGAAGTAAATAAGCAAATCAAGGTGAGACAATGCGCCTAATTAACTTAGCAATGGGGCTTCGTCGGCTAGAATGCCTTTTAACGTACCTTGCCGCTGTTAGAAGAAAAAACGGAAACAAACTTCCTTGTCACCATCGATCTCTTCCGTCGTTCCGCCTCCTTTGTCTCGTAAAAAGCAGCATATCAATGATTCCTATGCAACTCCACCCCCGTTATGCACATCCTCAAGCACGTTATCGACTCTTAATTATCTTTTGGTATGGGATACGCCCATATCCATCCTCAACGACGATTGTCTCCTTGAGATCTTTTTACATTGCGCTGACACCAAAACATTGAGTGCGCTGGCCGCCGTGTGTCGCCGCTGGCGATCTCTTATATTGGCGCCGTACATTGTGAGTTAGAAAACAGTTGTTGATTCATGTTATTTCGGTAGATTATTCTTTATTTTGACCGATTCATGTTGTTTTAGTGGCGAAAATTGTATTTCCATTGGATCCCATTTGTCCAGCAAATGAGCGCACTAAGCCATCATCCGTCGATTCCTAAGCAGCTTTTATACGTGCGGTCGCTCTCGATGGAAAACGAGATCGACAATCGCAAGATGGCCATACGATTACCGAAAATATACCCTTTTCAGAATTTACGCGAGGTTCATCTGCGGAACATGTATCTGGACGACATTACGGAATTAGCCATGTGGATGGATTCCATCGAGGTACTTACCTGTGAGAATATCATGACGCGCGGATCACAGAGCGAGTTGATACTCTCGGTTTTCACCAAATTGCAACGCTTACGAGTTTTGGTGTTACAATTCATGCAAATGTGCGAACACTCGAGTTCAAGTCTGATGATGACAGGAACACGAAAAATGTTGCCGGCGAGTTTGGAAGTCCTGACATTGAATAATCTGTACGACTGCGAGGAATACATGATTCGGCCGATCATTGCAGAAAATATACGATCCAACCAACGACCGGAAGTGTTACTGCAGCGATGGAGCATGATGGAACAGTCACTGGTGATGAAATATCAGACTTTTAGTCGGTTACGGAATCTCAAATCATTGACGCTTGGACGCTGCAATGCGTTTACGGCCCGTGTGTGGCGCGAATGCCTAATGCCGTGCACAACCCAATTGGAATACCTGTCCCTGTCTGGCTGTTCCGGACGAGCGAATCATGAAGGCTGGAAAGCAAGGAGTTTATATCCAGGCCACACGCCGATTTTAGATATTACCGACGATATGGAAGCAGCGATAGGCGAGTTCTTTGGGAGTCTACGACGGATACGAGTATTGAAGCTGTCCGACTTTTGCTGTAGCGGCGGGATGGCGACTGGATTTTTAAAATTGGCTTCGAAGAAACCCATTGTTATTTCGGCCAATCATGTGGTCCCTCCTTTCCAAAATTTAGAAGCTATGGTTGGGTGTTTTATTGCTCATGCAGAAATTCGATTCCTTCGATAGAGAGAAAAATGACAGGCAAAATAAAGTAAAAATAAAAGAACGGGTTGACCTGCCGCTGCAGGAAGAGCAAAATGACAGAAACAGAGCTGGGATGTTTCCCAATAATTGTGTAAGAGATGGTTGTTGGCTTGCATGGGACAATCGCTCACGTCTGGGTCTTATACAGCATTTGAAGAAGGAGGTCAGAGGCTTTTACAAGAACAAAAAAATACACAATTGCATTCTTCAGCTGATTAAAGCTGGAAATTTTTCACAGGCTACTTTTATTTTTATTTTTTTATTATTTTTAAACGAACATTTGCAACAGTAAAATCGATACTCAAGCGACGTTTACGAAATAATTTCCTATGGACTTGCAATCCGTGTTAATTCTGTTCGGACGAAAAAAAAAAAAAAAACACAGCATACACACATTATCCACATTACCATACAGTTGATGGCTGGTGAGAAAAGCGCTGAAACAATTGCTCAGGCGACGATAGGCAAGGGTAATGAACGCAGGAGCGCTTTTGAATAGAATGAGGCGCGGCTTCAATGCGGGATCAGAAAAAAAGATGGGAAGAGCAGGGATCTTTCTGCCGAGGCCATGCCTTTGTATGACGGTGTCCGTAAGTGGGAAACCACAGCAAAGAGAAATGCTCCAAATGAAAAGTACATATAGCCAACGCTCGATATAAGCACCGTCCAATCTGAACAATCTCATTTTAGGGATTCCTTTCTGGGGCCACCATGGCAGAGCACATTAATGATCCCGCATTGAATGCCGAATGTTAGAAGCCTTTTCATGACACATACTGTAGATAAAGTACAGATAGAGAAAAAATCGTCAATGCCGAGGCACGATAACGATCGTTAGATATAAAATGCCGTGTTCAAGCCGCATGGAAGAACTCATTCATGCCGACCTTTCCCGCATTAAGTGTGAGCGAGAGGGTTTCATTACACATATTATAGACCACCTATCAATTCGCGGGAATTATAATGGATAAGCATGAGTCATAAGGAATGGAATAAAAGGATGTCATTTACTACGATACAATCGACAATATCTGTACGAACTCAACATGAAATTTCTTACGTCAGTGATCTTTGTATCCTTTGCTGCTTCTGCCGTGATGGCCGGACCTATTGGTAAAGAAGTCAGCGAGGAATGTTTCCAACGAACTCGAGTGCAGCGTTGGTAACTTGTCGAACTGCAAAACCACTGCCGAAATTGGTAATAACAGCGTAATATAATACTGCATGGCAAGCTGCTAAATCAAATAATTCGGCACTGCTATGGGCATCTCAGAAGCCGAAGTTCGTGAAAGACAACTTGGGCGTGGTTTAAGCTGCAATGTAGCTTGTCCTTGGAATTGTTAACGACAATCAGCACCACGAGATTATCCAATCGAAGAGAACCACTGCCTCCTTCAGCGGTGCCGTTAATTTCTTCATTGCGTTAACATTGATAACAAGTATAAAAGCAATGCTCTCTTTCTACCGCACTTGTTGAAAATCTCGTAAGCTTATAACCAAGAAGAAGCCTAAAAATTGCGAACAAATACCGCTCGGTAACGCACCTCACGCGATGGATGATTATAACCACTGAGAGGCTGCGTTATTGTTCGCCCGTTATACTGTAAATCAAAACCATAGGAAATGCAGGTCATATGTCGAGGATTGATATATGGATATGGTCTGATTGGTAGGAGCATTACGAGATCTTTGATAATTGTTCTCTCTGTTTGAGAGCTTGGGTACCATGAATAACTAAGGTTCGGCGAAGTGTCATGGTAACGATGCAGCAGTCATATGGATTAGAAATCACAAACTGGGCCGGATAATCTCGATAGGAAAAATTCGAGTTTCAAAATGCGAGGTCGTCAATGTGTCTGAACGATGTTCACTATGCGACATAAATGACAGGTTCAGGGAAAGGGGTCACTGCATGATTCAAGGAGTTGCTTGGGAACACGTTTGTCCAGGCGACTATAACAAGTTCCAAAATTCTTTGGTAAATAGAGGCTGGTAATGAGTATTTCAATCAGTCGTAAATGGTGTTCCTGAAAGACAAGTGCCACTCACTGAGATCCAAAGAGGATCACTATTACCACGATACTGATTGCATAGATCTTGAATTGTGATTGAAGTCAACCATTACATACTCTTTTTACAGCACTTATCTAGCTTGCAGGAATCCTTAGTAGCTATCATGTTCCAATCAAAAGACGAGAGTTTTAGGAGAGCTTCAATCGTCCAGTTCCTGGGTTTTCAGTTTGTGTTCTTTGTTTTCTTGTTTAGATAAATCAATCAATGATGGTGAGATCGAAAATGCACACCAACTGGTGCCAGGAGTAGGTGCGCTTTTTAATTATAATGTCGTAAGCGTACTTTGGCCACTGCATTAATTTCCCCATAACCAGCTACTGAATAATGCCGCCCATAAAAGAAAGAGAGGATCAAAAATATGTAGGTCCCTCTGCAGTGCTTGGGAGCGGATCCTCCTCAGTTCCCATGAAAAATTGGATGACCGAGATTAGCGGCTGCTCAGCGTTTGTATAAAATCGGGCAAACACACAAAGTTCTAACGCCTATGTCCGACGACTTCTTGCGGTGTAAATCGAAGCAAGCGAGATAAATTTCCTTTTAACCGTAACGGTACACTGGTACAGTTAGGATGATTGTCAGAGCCAACGAGATATCAGATGATATAGGATATTAACCGCGTCCATACGTACTATGTCGTGCAGCGTCATGGATGGGTAACAGTAACGTTACATAGGCAACCCAATGGATAATTGTATTTTGTTTTTGTACAAAATGGATTAGACTAATATATAGAGGTAGTGACGAAGAGGGGAAAGGATGTAAGATGGGTTTGTGGTGACGTGATATGTTGCGATGATTATCTATCCTTTTTGCTTTCATTTCTCGTGATGAGGGTCACCATCGTCGGCCGTATCCATGTTGAGCAGCCGGTACTCTTGTAAAATGTGGGCCTTTTCTTCGCTCCAGTAAATAAACGTTCTTCGGTGAATGAGCGCCCAGATATAGGGCAAGAAAAATTCGCGAGCATCCATTTCCTCTTCGTATTGGAATTTGAGATCCGGTAGAGACTAGAAAAGCGAAAAACGGTCAGTAATCGTTATCCGCTTTTTGATAACGAGTCCTTACTTTTAGCTGATTCGGTGACCACGTCCTGGCGGCCTGTTCAATTACGCGCAACACTTCCGAAGTCGATGGCGCTTTCAGATTGGCATCCGACACACGTCCATTGAAATAATTGATCACTTGTTCAATATTATAGATGAGGTCGGAAAAGCGCGTATGCAACCGGAAAGGGGCAAAAATATCCCTTTTAAGTAACAGCACGTACACCAGCTGGATATTGTTTTTCAGACGATGAGACAAGACACAATTGATAATCTCCAACATCAGCGCCAAAAGGTCTTCAAAAACTGACACATCTTCCTACAAATGCACCGTTAGTTTTCAATACACTCTATTTGGGCAGTCATCACCATCTAGACATAATGGTAGTAGTCTCCGTACCTCGCCTGTTTCTTGCATTTTAGCCGTAAATTTCTGATATCGTCGTGCAATCAATTCAAATAAGCTAGAAAAAACGAGCATTGAGCGATTGTTCTTGGTATCTGTCGGTAGCCTTCATCGCAGAATTCGTACCTGATGATTCGTTGAGCAACATAGGCATGCATATCCAGCATGGCGCTCGACATGTTGGCGAGGATTGCCAAACAATTGGTATGAAAGTATATGTCTTTTTGATGGGATAAGTTCAACTGTAGAGTACGGATCAACACCAGCGTCACTAATCCACCGAGTGATATGCTTTTGAGAAGCGGTCGTTCTGTGAACCATGCTAAATTATTGGACATCTTTTGGGCAGCGTGTTGCAATTAGTTGACTGGTTGACCAACCTCCATGATCCTGACACTTACAATTTTTTGTATTGTTTCATTATTCACATCGTCTTGACTGAAAATCAGCAGACACGTTAAAAGTACATATAGCTGAGAATAGTTGGTCTTGCCCTCGATGGATTCATAAATCAACTTCAGCATGGGTATATACTAAGCCACGAATGAGTTAACTAGTTACCAAGACGTCGATCTATACACTTACAATTATTTCAGGGTCAGTGCGTGACAGCACATATACACGGAAAGATTCGTTTTCAATCAACATGAGATAAAACAATAACATCCGTTCTTCATTCGCCAGCGATCTGCAAAACAATCACTATCAGCGACAATTTTCATGAAAAAATAAGCAAAATCGACGTTGCATGTGTGACTTACCGACAAAACAGTTCAAACATTTCTTTGTAAGAGATCAAGTGAATTTTCTGATCCATATTTTCCAAATCCGATGACAGGACGTGATGATCGCGCAGCCCTTTTAATGCGTGTCGGTAGCCTGCCCATTCGCCATTTGAAGAACGCTGCGTGGCCAGTAACAGCAACAGCAGCAAGCTCCGATCGGCGACCGGCAACGAATCAGCATCCCCGGCAGATCCCGTCCGAGACGCAAAAAGATAATTGTAAGCACTGTAAACCATGCCTGCGCACAAAAGAAAATCACGCGGATCATCAATAAACTCATATTTCCATTGCCGAGTAACTGATTTTGTCGACTTACTGGATGATTGAGCTGGAGGGGACTTTTGTTCAGTTGCGTTTTCGAGCAGTTTCGCGACAATAGCATCCGTTCGATTACTATTCACACAATTTTTTGAGTACAAGCTGGGTCCGTCCCCGTTCGAAAGACCTTGTACCTGAATCGTTCCATCAGCACATCCATGAAATAATTCTTTTCGGTGACACGCGTGTGATGAAGCTGAGTGGACAATAAAGCAAGTAGCGTATTAAGCACTTCGGTATAAAACTCATAAATGGAATAATTGGTACTGTCGAGAAGCATTTTTCTATGATCAGCTTAAGGTCTGTGCATTTGAAGAGAAAGTTTCAACTTACTGCGGATCCGAATTCACAATGATGGTTAACAGCGCATCTAAAATTTGTTCTCGTATCGGTCTCGTATCCTCTTGTACTTCTGGATCAATCGCGAGCTTGTCGTTGTCTGGTATGAATGGTGCTTGGTTATGTACATGATTGACTGTGCCTGATGCAGAGATTGGGATGGTTGGTGAGAAACGATTGATGCTTCCATTGTTCTCTTCACAAAGAAAAATTAAAAACCTTCAAATTGATCCATCATCTCGTCGTTTGTCAGGTTGCCTGCAAAATGATTTGAAAAGACACGAAACAAGAAGAGTGCATTGTATGTCTGAACAGGTATGGTTCTATTTGAACGGTGTTACTTTGCGCATAATGTATGTTGCACAAAAAGTTGGTAAGAGAGGACCCACTTACTGCGGATGACTTTTCAGTTCACGAAGCAGACTTAGTAAATAAAGACAGAGCTTGTTGAAATTGCATGTACGCAAGTTATTCGCAGCTAATAGATCGACACAGGGCCTAATCAGTTTGGGAATCCATGCAGGCTCACGGCTGAAACACACACTTACCCAAGTCGATGGCTAAACCTACAGTCGCCATTTCAACGTCGTAGGCGTCCTGACTAAGAGGGACAAAGACAACAATATAAAACTGTCAGCACTGACTGACGCATGGTTGTTATCGCGGAACGCTTACGGTGTGTGAGTGACGGGGTATTTATGTTGCAGCAAGAGCGATGACCAAAAAGAGGAATCGTGAAGATCCAGGGCAATATTGGAACACAGCGTTCTCAATGCCGCTGTCTGTGCTGCTGTGAACAGATTACTCGGATCGGACTGTTTACGCAAGAGAGACGATGGAGTGGAACTGAGGCTTGGTTTGATAGCCACGGCTGGGTTGGAGACGGTGGATGTGAGAGTGGTTTGTTGAGCGAACCGGGTTGAAAGCGGGTCGGAAAGGTCGAATGAAGGTGACCGAATTTCCGGTGAAATGGGCGAAACAGAGTTCGACGTTTGACGTCTCGCTTTTGAAAAAGAAAGCGTTTTATTAGGAGCGGTGAGACGAGGTTGCATGGTCAAAGAAAAGACACACTGAACCCGCCAAGCAAAAATGGAAACCCTCAATCTACAAGCAATTTCGATTATTCCCCCCTCTCGGAGATCCAATTTCAAATAGTGTCGGAATACGGCGTAGTACCGCAAGTGCCATGATAAAGGACAGACAAAAACATGCCAAAAAAACAGAAGCCGGATTTATTCGGATGATGCAAGGCTTGCTAACGCTTCCTCATAGTCTGCGTTAAGTTCGTTCACTTTTTCGTGATCCAATTTGATGGATTTGACCTGGGAAAAGTGACCGGCCTCACGAAGCATTTGTTTGAAATGTCGGGCTTCTTGGGTCTCCACCAAGGTATAGGCTTCACCTTCTCTTCCAGCTCGAGCAGTACGTCCAACGCGATGGATATACTTATCCATGAAAATCGGTACATCATAACTCACCACTGCCTCAACACTGTCAATATCAATACCACGACCAATCAAATCCGAGCAAATCAATCTGTGAAGAAGAATAACGAAAACAATTTTGCGCGGTCAGAGTCCTGCCATTTTCGTTGTCGCTGGTACAAGTCTACTTACAGTTGGATTTCTCCGTTGCGGAATTGCTTTAATATGGATTTACGTTCGCCTGCTTTCAGGTCACTGGAGAATTCGGCGACTTTCAGTTTGGGGCCTTGATGACGTTCTTCATATGCGGTGATCAACATGTGCAAACGACGGGTAGAATCAACGGATTTCGTAAAACACAGCGCCGATTGAACCTTCTTCTCGTGAAGAAGATAGATCAGCATCAATGGCTTCTGCTGCGTCGGGCACACAATCATGTATTCTTTCAGTCCGGCGGGTGTGGTATAAGTCGGTGCAGCGTCGTTGTCGCTTGATCTTTGTACAGATATGTATTCAGGAGCCGTCAAGTGCAAGCTCGCAATTTTGGCCGGATTTTTCGTTAACGTGGCCGAGAACAAGAGTTTTTGAACCTGCAATGCGCCCACCCAAAAAAAAGTCAACCACTTGTTCTCTGTTTTATCCTTTACAAGGACTCACCGAAGGAACGCAAGGAAGATCGAGATCGGTATGCGGAAGCGCGTAATTTGATCGCAGATAAGCCGGTGCAACGGCATCAATATCTGTTACACTATTCCAACAAAATCCCACTGTAAGATGCCAGATAGTCATCATTCTCACCGAAAGAAAATTTACCCATAGCGATCCTTTTTAAGCGATAAAGAAGGTAGATTCGCATCATGATCGTGCGGTCGTGTGGCCGATAGAATGTGATTCAACCAGTCCTCATAGCTCTGATTCAGCAGTCGATCAGCTTCATCGATCACCAGGAATCTCAAGTGCTGGAGAGAGAAATTCGGCGTCTTTTGCATATGGTCGATAAGACGGCCAGGTGTCGTAACCAAGATGTCAACACGACTGTAGCCGCCGGGATATCTGCATGATTGAAGAAAAGACATCATGAATAAACTGAGGCAAGCAAGATCAAAGCACCAAACCTTCATTTACCTTTCTGTGGTTTTACCAACCAGCACTTGTTGTTCATGAGCCAACGTTTGTTGACCTGTGGCCGTGCCAACCTAATTTTGTCAAGTTCATCAGATATTTTTTTCCTAGACATGAATTCTGTTTCGGTCAAGAATAACTCACTTTCAGATCGGTGCCTTTGACGAACGCTTCAAATGTTTCTTTTACTTGAGTGACAAGATCTCGGGTGGGTAATACCACTAGTGCTCGTAGGCGGGTCACCACGCGTTTGGAAAGAATGTCAATGATGGGTAATACGTAAGCCAAAGTTTTGCCACTGCCGGTCGGTGCTGAAATGCATAAATCACCGGGAGCCCGTCGCATATCATACAGAGCCTGTCGTCGCAAAAAGACTGGGATTACCGCCATTTGCACTAAATAACCATAACAAGTGAATCAGTCAGTCCACTTCCTGCGCCGTGGTTTATCGGGATACGTACCAGCAAATAGAGATGTAAGGCCCAATTCTCGGCATCGCTCCACCAATCGAGCAGAAAGGCCGGCCTGATCCAACTCGCAAGTGTCGCTGGGACTGATCATCGTAGGTTCCAATAGCCATTCCGGGATACCCATACTACGCAGCAATTGGATATCTTCTTTAGAACGCTCATTTTTGGACATCAAATCAGGAAATGCTTCAAGCACAGCTTCAGGTTCCTTGTTTTCCACATTGACCTGTTCCTCTTCTTCCTCTTGGTCCCCTTGTTCCTCTGTCTCCGCATCTTCGTTGGTAGCTGAGTTTATCTCTTCCGTATCCTCTTGCTCCACGTCCGCTTCTTCATCCTGATCGTCCATCGCTTTGTCATCGTCAAGCATCATTTCTTCTTGTTTCTGTTTCTGTTGGTGGTGTTGTTGTTGTTGTTGTTCTTCTTCTGTCTCTTCAACGGGTTTAATGACTTTGGTGGCATCTTTTCGGCGTTTCTTGTCTTGCTTTGGTGTTGTTGGCGTGGTGTCTTTATGATCGATCGTGTCTGGTTTACGTTTATGGCTGATTTTGGCCATCAGCTTGTTTAAGCGTTCTTGCTTTTTTTCGAGTGATCGTTGATCTTCATTCTCGTCGTCTCCTTGATGTCGTGCGATTGAAAACATGGTGGAATGTTATGATCTCGATGAAAGGTCAAGATGCAGATCTCGAACGAACCGTGGCCTAGAAATTCAGCAAAGATTTGGACTGCAAAATTTTGTCGATCTGACACTGAAAAATTAACCCGCCGGGCTTAATGCATGCACTGAGCACTGCTCCTGCCACTGATCAGCGAACGTGCTTATTTTATATGAAAAAAGAAAGAGTTCTAGAGAACATTCATTCCGGTGATGTAAAGAAATTTGAAAATGTACAATCGAAGAAAAAAAGAACAAAAATATAAAACACAAACAGAAAAAATACGAAAAAAGGCACACGGTGCGCCGTTGGTATCAACATAAAACTGGGTTGTAAAATAATTTGGCAGATACAAAATGTCACAGATTGTCCATCAATTACTCGGGTAACAAGGGGGCCCGTTCGTCGTCATCGTCTCTTGTAGTAAGATTGTTGGGACGTGGCGGTGTTACCTTAACAATTGTATCGACGATCCAGAATTGCATAGCGTTCATGATAAGCGGAAATCTGTATTGTTCATGTGTCGTCATAAGTAACTTGAAACAAGATAGCCTTCCAATGATAACTCAAAGCCAAATGCGTCTACTTACATTAGCATAACAAACACCACTTGATATCTGTAATTGTCTTTGGTCCACTTGAGGACCCAACTGCCCAATTCGAACAGAATGGGAAAGACTCGGAACATGACGTAAACACAAAACTTCATCAGAGCTTCCGCCGCCACGAAAATTAATGTTTGTTTGAACCATGGTCCGAGACGACGACGTAAGGGTGGGGGGCCGTAATGTCCCGTTCTCACATAGGTGACATGCAAGCGTTCCAAAACCCATTGTAATGCGTGTAACCATGCCCACAGAATACATACGCCCAATGTAGTATCAACGGCAACATTGAGGAAATACCAAACACATAGATTGGTCCGAGGGCCCCGATGAGGTCGGCCCGCCAGATAACTGACAGCCAAATTCAAAAAATGGATAACGAACGATCCTATAAACTGCTTGCTCACATCCAATGCCCTATTGATAGCGGGTCACGGATGAATATATGGAGTTAAAAAAATGAAAAGTGGTTAAAAAAAAACACCGATGCTCTTCGACGAATTGAATTATCGCGAACCATTTTTTTACGGCATGGTTCCCGATGACTCACCAGATAGACACCGGACGCTGCGGCCGTTCACGACTTCGCTTGTAAACAAGTGTAAATAAAGCAGTGGACGCCAGCAAGACTTGAATAAGAATGGCAAATCCATCTAGTAATTGGCACCCTTCGTCGTCGGGTAATGGGTCATTGCACGGTGCGATGGAGGTCATTGGAATTGTGAAAAACGTAAGATACCAGTCAATTAGTGATATATCCAAATGATATGTTTTGTCGTTGTTTTTTGCAATAAATATGTAGGGTAGATTATGCACAATAGATACAAAAAGCAAGATATGTATCAAGAGAGGAGCAAAACGTGAAAAGAAAAAAAGAAAAAATAAGTTAGGAGTTCTCCAACCCGTTATGACCGTGATGGAGTCACACGTTCGGCAACGGACTGCTTCGCAAAATAAAATGGGACATGAATGGATATTGGGGTTGGGGGACGGAAGGGGGGCTATCTTGGTGACAGATTACGCAGGTATTCCAGACATGGACGTACGCTTTAGTCTTGTACCACGTTAAACATACACGATCGTTGTTTTGTTTGCTTCATTGCCTATACAAGGTAAGCTCAGCCTTTCTACGATAGTTATGGACCCGCTTGATTGTTCTTCGGTTTCACCGACCGCTTCAAAGAACTCCTGGTCCGTGTCGTCTTCGTCCTCTTGCGTTTCATCGAGTTCGGCTACCGCGCCCAAGCCTGTCGGAACACGTTCTTGTGATACCACAGCAGTCTCCCAGAGTTGCTGCGGAGCAATGACAGCGCCATGACAGAATTCAGCAAAGGTAGTGTCGGCACGATCGAGAATCGCTTCATCGCGAACGACTTCCCTTACGCAGAACCAATCGTGCACACAGTCTTCAACGACAATTTGGCAGTGCACACCATCTTGTTGGGTCTTATAAGCCAGCTCCAGCGCATCGTCTCTGAGCACTTCTCTGTTGCCTATAAAGAACAGGACGTGAGGCGAAAGAAATGCTTGAAAGCCTGTCTGAAGTTTGGCAATGCCGAGAACTTGATTTGTATCTGGGGGCTGGTCCGGCTCCAACGGTTCGAAATAGTCTCGCTTGATGACTTTGGCTGTATATTGCGAAATGTAATCGTATTGGATGTTGGTGGCCCAGGACCTCGAGGTGGTTTCATCCGTGACCAGTGGCGATATGAGAACGGTGCCTGCTGGGCGCGGTAGTTCACTAAGTAAAGGAGCGTCGTGTGGCTCCTGGTCGTCCACAGGTTCGTCGGTCAGGATCTCAAACATACTGGGGTCGTGCGTGAGGAAAAGCATCTCAAGCACCAGAGCGGCACCCGCCGAATCACCTGTGGCAATGATCTTTGCGGGATCAATGCCCATGGTTTTCACCAGGTATTCATACGCTCCCACCACGTCTTCTACGGGACTGGGATATTTATATTCTGGTGCTAACCTATATACAAATGGTCAATCAAATATAATAAGCCAAAAGTCAAGGAAAACTATAATTTACCTGTAATCCACCGACATGATAACGGCATTGACATTGTATTTTTCTTTGAGCAATGTGATCCACTTGACATAGGTGTCCATAAACATGGTGCATGTGCCGATACGGAACCCGCCTCCTGGAGGAATATCATTTCACATAAGATCAGAGTGTTTGATTGATCCGACCGAAATGCCTACCGTGGACGTTGAAAAATACAATGTCGGCCTTTTCCACCCGGGCTTGCATGCTGTGATCATCCAGATGTCGCACGTTTTCCCCGATCCAGCAACCTGACCACGCTCCATTCCATGACTCTCGTCGTATCCACTTTCGATGAGATTTGCGAGGCCGAGTGACGTCGTTCAGAATTAACCGGGCGGCGGGTGCAGGCAACGAGAATACTTTGCGCAGTATTTGGATCGTGGTTCTCGGTGGTAACTTTCGAAGAGCTGCACGGAATCCGGCCATTCTGCATATAGTACTAACTGTTCAAGGAAAGAAATAGAAAAGAAGCAAAATCGACAAATACAATGGGGAACAAAGCCGGATTGGATTGATTGGGAATCAAGAAAGTCTTGACTGTGAATCATGAGCGGCATTATTTCTCCATAATGTGTGTTACAATATCGTCCCCACGGTCTTTGATGGACAGTGATGAGAAAAAAAAAAGGGTGCGCTTGGAAAATCACATGCCATCCTTCCTCTGGGGTCATTATTCCCAAGAACTGATCTGAACATTCTTTTCGATATGAATGTCCCTTTTGTACCACATCAGAAGAACAAAAAGAAAAAGCATGGATACGCAATTTTGCGTTCAGACTCAGTCAAAGAAGGCCGAGCATCATCATCATCATTAATAGACTCTGCTTCCTTTATACCGACCAATGCATTTTTCACCTAAATTGATTAGCCTTTGTTTTAACTGATGATGAAAACCTAAATGGCAACCATAGCCATACGATGGCAGGAAAGAGCAGAAATACGGGTCTGTTTTCCTTCATAACTCTTTACTACCTGTAGATTCGATCCGTATATGAAGGCCGCATGTTGCAGGTGGTGTGAGCAATCTGGTGTGATGATGCACCCAGTCAAAAGAAAACAGCGAACCAGCACGTAAAATAATAAGAGTATTGTAGTATCGTTTATTTTGCTCGTTGAACAAGTTCGCTCAAAAAATCAGCCCCTGAGGCCATCGCACCATTTTTCTGTCCCCATACAGATGGCAATCCACCTTTGGATCCCCACGCCTTTTCCTGGCTTTCATATTTCTCAGGTCGAGATGAAGCATCTACATTCGGATCTTGCATCACCTTGATCATGTCCGCAAATCCTATTAACCCAAAAAGAAATCATCATGCAAACAGAAACCGCAGGTGAGTAAAATAAGAATCCCCTTTTGTTCCCAAAAATTTTGGCGTCCATAGTCACTTACGTCCGTTTAAAAACCCTTGTACATCCGAGGTATTAAAGCCATTGATGCCCATACGGTGGGTAGCCGATGAGGGTGTCGTGGGTGTATTGGCTGATGGAGCTGTGGAGGCGGGAGAGGCAGGTGAAGCGGGAGATTTAGTGTTTCGGCTGTCTTTGGATGGACGACCTATTTTTTTTTCGTTTTGCAGTTAGTCATTTTGATCTTGGGAATGCACTGCATAACCATCCATATTAAAGAGCAGGTATAACGGCATACCTGCGATGGGTTTGCGTTGATGTTGGTGCGAATGTTGCTGTTTAAGCGAATCACGACGGTCGGTCGATCTCTTATTGTTGCCTAGAAATTCAAGGTTTCAAGTTTCCATTTGTGTCAACATTCATAAACCTAATATCACAGAGAGTCTTACCAGCCATGGAGCTTGGTTTGAACAGAGAAGGTTGGCGGGGCGATGTTAAGGGTGACAGTGCAGAGATTTACTCATCGACCCAGAGGCTGCTTTCAGCCGACGGTGACACCCAACCTACCTCCCATCCTCCAGGACCGCAGTCACAGCCTCCAATATCCAAGCTCAGCCCCTTGAACAGCCATGTCATGAAGAGCCAACAGCACAGTGCCTGGATAACTACGCATTATAAACTGATTATCCTGATATAGAACGGTTTTAATCAACATATTGGACAGATACATACTGTCCATTCAAAAGGTCAGTCTGTGAAACTATTGTCTGATATTATATCACTGTGGGCAGAAGCACGCAGCGGTATGTTGAAAAAACACTGTTTGAAGCAGGCACCGAACTTTTCATGTCACAAGTACGTTATCATTACAATCTTCATCGGTGAACTGTAATATTGAACTGTAATTACATGAGGAGCATGAAATTTTCACTCTGGCTAGTCGTATCAGTTCCGTTGTCCGCTGAGAGCAGGAATACTTGTGGGGAAGACTGTGGACGCTTTGATCGGACATGTGATAAATCCCTAATTAGGCTTTGCGAACCCCAACTTTAGTGTTATTATCCGCTATGGATTTGCCCTATTTGTCTGATCACTTGTTCTTGGGTGTTATTCCGATAAAATGGCCCTTGTTGCCATCGTATTTGGGATGGCGCTGACAGTTTGACGCCATGTGACATATTCCTCACTGGGATTTTACTAAAAACAAATAGATTGCGCTGACATCGTTGCCGCTTTTCAAATTCATTAAAACATGACATAGTAATTTTATTATCAAGCTTGTTTTTTGCTCCACGCATTGTATTCTTTTCTCTTTCTTCTTTTGTTATCTTTATTTTGGTTACTGCTATAGCCACCGTTGAGTTGAAATTCCCCGGTTCACAGTCATGCCCTCTTCACGTTTACCGCCGTTGCCTGACTTTCTTCAGTTGTCTGAACGTGTTTGGAGAGTGATGGGATTAAATCCCGGCAGATTCACACTTCAAGGTAATTAATACAAATCTATTCCTTGTTTCACCGTAGACAGTAACTGATCCTTTTCATTTATTTTCAGGCACCAATACCTATCTTGTCGGTCACGGGCCGCGCAAGATCCTATTCGATTGCGGCGAAGGCCACCCAGACTACGTACCTCTTCTTGAAGCTTCTTTACATCAAATCTCTCCAGAAGCTTACATATCCGATATCGTGATCACCCATTGTCACGTGGACCACTTTGGCGGTTTGAAGAGCATCATGAATTCATCACTGAACCACGGTGGTCAGATCAAAGTGCATAAATACATTCTGCCTGTAGAAGATATGGACGAGCAAGATATAGTGTTTCAATCCCACATGCACATAGACCATTTGAACGACGAAGATTTTTTGCACGTGGATGACCACACGACAATCCAAACGATTTATACGCCCGGACACAGTAAAGATCATTGCTCGTTCTATCTGGTAGAAGAGAATGCGATTCTGACTGGCGACTGCGTACTTGGCCATGGAACAGTAGTATTTGACGATTTGGCAGACTACATGTCGACGTTACATAAATTGAATGCATTCAAACCGGGACGCCTGTATCCCGGCCATGGGCCGGTAGTAGAAAATGGCTCGGAAAGAATCCTCCAGTATCTGCAAAGTCGACAGCAACGGGAAGATCAAATCGTTCAACTCATGACCCAACGATCCTGGACAGCCGTCGATCTTGCCGAACGGATTTATACGGACGTTCCATATGCGTTGCAAGCAGCTGTTGTGCGCGGAGTGGCATTACATTTACTGAAGCTGGAAAAAGAAGGCCGCGCAAGGCTTAGCGACGGGTCCACCGGGTATAACTCCACGAATGTTTTTGAAATGGTTCATAAAGAATGGAGTCTTTTTCCACAACCTCGACTATAGAAACACTAATGCGACCGAAAGAAAAACGTGCACAGACATTTGATAGATAGAACACCCATTAGTCAATTCGGCATTCATGAAAGCACACACATACTCTATCCGGGAAAAGAAGCCGAAAAGGATTTCCCTTTTTTTTTGATTGTTTCGACATTAGCGTTTGACATATCCCAGTAATACTTGTTATTAAACATGCGGGCATGAAAGAAAAAAGCAGAGATATAAAAACGGTGAGAAAAAAATGAAGAAAAAAAAAACACGGAATTAAAGCAGAAAATAAAAGTAAAAAAAGAAAAAGAAGACCAACCATAAGACACGATATGAGGTAGACAGGAGATGGGTCGGAAAGGAGGAAGCGGACAACAAGTAAAAAAAGCAGAAGTCAAAAACGGAAAAAAGAGTGCGAAGAAGCATAAGGAAAACAAACAAAGAATGGGAAAATGGATGCACTAGTGACACACGCCACAAGTGAGTTTACTCCAGAGATTACGCTTACGGCGTGACGGTGTTTGCTTGCCAGTGTTGGGATCTGCTGGTGTATTGGTTCCATTGGCAGCTCCAGCACCCGCAGCAGCACCCGAAGCGCTGGGACCTTGAGCCGAGTTCTGATGCACATCTCGAGTCTGCATTTTGTTGGCTTCAATGACCTTTTTCGCCGGAGCTGGTAAACCGTGACGGTTGGCCTGACGTTTTGAAAGTGTCTACATGACATGTGAGTCAGATAAGCAGCCATTTGTATAGGTAGTCAAAAAAATAAAATAAAAATCGCACCTCCCATCCTTTGCCATTGTTGAGCAACATCCAATCGTAGACGCCGTCGTCTTCTTCACCGAGATTTTTGATGACCTTTGAAAAAAGTTCACGAAGGAAATCATAGTCTGGAGTTTCCTCGAATCCCAGTTTACGAACATACTGAAGATAGATGCCAAATTCCTCTAAAAATAGAATTCGAGATCAGCAAAGCAATCCCCTGGATAAACCACATGGAGCAAAAGATATGAAGAGAGAGAAAGAGATGTACCTGGATATCTATCGCAAAGATCTTTGATGGCAGTACTTTGCTTCTTTTCACCAATTTTTTCGTACTTTTGCTTATTGGTGGCTGCTTTGAGTCCTTGCCAGGGTAAAGAACCTCGCAAAAAGTACATGAATACATGGCCCAAAGCTTCTAAATCATCACGTCTTGATTGTTCTATAAAGTCAACAGGTTAAACAAATGATCATCAATGTGACTGGAAAAACCTTGACAACTCCTCATCCTTTTTTCCCATATTCCCTTTTTTTTCTACCATTTCACTTGGTCTCTCTCGTTCGCTTTTGGTGTCTAATACTTGATTCCTCTTTTTTGGGCAAAGGAGAGGAGTTGCCAAGTTGCCTCCTTTTTCCCCATTTGATGGTTCTTTTTTTTTTACCTCTTCCCAAATGCGTGTTGATGCTCATGTAGCGTGCAGTTCCGGACAAACTTTTACGTTCTCTGTAGGGGATGTGTTGCTTGGTTTTGGGATCTCGGTACAGTTTGGCCATGCCAAAGTCCACCATAAAGATGTTGTTGGCTAACTGGGTATTGGGCTTGCCAATGAGGAAATTATCAGGCTTGATATCGCGATAGATAAGATTTTTCTCGTGGATCGTTTGCACTCGAGTGATCTAAAAAAAAAAATTCCCAAATAACAATGAATATGCAGATATGTATATAAAAAAGGCCATGATGAGAAAAAAAGGAAAAATAGACAATAAGATCAGCGGCAAAATAGTCATGGGATTAGGGTAGTTGGGATGGTTTTTTTTGTTTACCATTTGTTTTGCAAGCATGGCTACGGTTTTTGTCGAGAATCTTCGACCGCACACATCAAACATATCCTCCAAGCTGGGTCCCAAGAGATCGATGACAAGGATGTTGTGGAGTCCTTCTTGGCCAAAATAGTATGCTGTAGGAATGCCAGCTACAAAATGAAATGAAATGAAGAAAAAAAAAATATTAGCAAGAGTCAACAAGTGAATGAGGCCAGTATGACCTAATTGATGCAACACAAAAAGTAACGAAAAGTAAGCATGGACGGAATATTACGTACTGGAGCCAGCCATGATCTTATAAGTTCTGTATTCGTCTCTCAACTGAGGAGCGTCGCTTTTTCTAGGTTCGAATTTGATGGCCACTTGCTGATTGTTGAGTAGATTGGTACCTATAATAAGAAATAGAGAAATAGTCAGGGACAAATAGCAAATAGCAAGGGTCAACAAATGGTCAATGGACAGAGTTTCCTAGCAGGACAAAATTACCTTCATAAATAATACCAAAGCTGCCTTCGCCAATCTTTTTGCCGACTCGATAGTGAACACCGACAACATTATGTGAAGATGAAGAAGAGGAAGCTTGAGTGGACATTGGAGAGTGTAATTAAAAGTGGAAAATGCGGTTGGTTGCGTGTGGTCGTAATTGAATTGTCAGGGATGGAGAGTGAGAAATCTACAGAATGAAGGAAAGGAGTTTTCCAGATGGAGGAAAGAAGAAGAAGCAAAAAAATAAAAAGTCAGTAATAAAGAAGAATGGAAGAGGAGTGGAAGCGGGTTGAAATGGGTGACTGGGTGAGTCTATCCGCAAAGGGCAATGAGCGTGAAATTTGGGAAAGAAGCGGAAGGTGAAGATGTGGTTGGAAATAAAAAAAAATCGCGTGGCTTTTTTGAGGGCCGAATTTCCACACTTGTGGAGAAGGATAGATTTGGATATAAAAAAAAAAAAAAAATATCCAAGAAGAAAAAAGCCCAATTTCCTGATGAGGAATACAGAGAAAAAGAGACGGACAAACCAGAAAAGGAATAAAATAGGTGAAAGATGGTGGGTTGAGGTGGAAGTATAACTTACTTTTTTGAGATAGAAAAAAAAAAGGTCTATTAGGGGCAGTTGCTTGTCAGTCGAAGAAGGGAGAGAAGAGGAGGAAGCGTGGTTCAGAGCAGAAAAATAAGAAGGAGTGTAAGACGGAGAACCAACGAAATAAAAAACGAACAAGAGAGAAAGCTAAAAAGCGAGAGAAGGAATGACTAGGAAAAAAAAAAGGTTGTTGGAAAAGGGAACAGGGAAAAGGAAGAAGGAAAGGGAAATAGAAAACATCATATTATTCCACCCCACTGACTATATTAAAAGAGCTGGAAAAAACTCCATTCAACCCAAAAAAGTCCGCTCAAGATTCTATCCCACTGTTTCCCAAAATCAATGTCGCACCACCGCGGTCATTTCGTCCTTGTCCATTGACAAAAATAGCACCCATCGCCTATTTACTCGCAAGATCCTTTGAAACAAAACCAAATCAACAAAAGAACCACAATATCCTCCCCGGTTGACGACTGAAACCTCGTCACACAACGCTTGGACCCTACATCACAGCCGCCGGCGTGTTGGTGCGAATTCCGAAACCGTTCCTGACCGTTGTCATGTCGGTCTTTCAGCCAGGCATATCAACCGTGACAGGGTTATACATGAACTTTAGACTTCATGGACAACGAATCCTTAATTCCCAAAAACCCTCAGACGAGCAAATCCAAGAGAGAATAGAATATGGCGAATGGATGTTAATGATTTGTACCGAGAACCAAATCCAAAAAAAAGAAGAAAAATCAGACATCAACTGCAGAAAACGAGTCTATAACTCTCGCAAACTGGTTCGACATGAATGCAGCAGCAAAATAAACCTATATATAAAGGCAACAACCATTCTGCCTTCATAACCTTGATGTGATTCAGGTACATTAATACAGAAACTGACAAAGTGCTTCTTAGCCTGTACTTTCGACACACTCCCCGATGATGCTACCAATGAGGCGTTTGTTGAACCGTTCAGAGCACAACTCTTTTTCATCATGCTATTTTTTTACTCCAAAAACTCGTTAAAGAATCGCATCCATGACGAGCATCATCAGCCTTTCTTTTCTCTCCAAGACTTTTCAGTACCATACCTCAAACCTATCTTTCGGCTGCCTGGTGCGTTCAAAAATGTAAATAAAACGCATGGCAACACAGACGAATCTGTTATCATGATTTGTGACACGGTTGCTTTGTACTCCAATCAATTGACTTACTATCATGGCACATTTTCCCAACCGGGTATGAAATATCAATGCAATGGTTGACTACGCCATTTTACACTGTGCAAATGCCTTCCCGTATATTGAGTCAACTTGTGGATTGTTCTGGCCATTGTGCGTTTGCGAGATTCCCACGTGCTTCATTTCAGCGGGCCGCCAATTTAATTGGTGTGCTGTGGTTCTCGTTTCTTGAGCCACACCACAGCCTCATTGGTTGCTGGTAAGCTTCAAATTTTTTTTGTCTCCGCGACGTTGACCTATTCCCCAAACGTCCAATGTTGCCTTCCCCCTGGGTTTTAACCGTGAGGGCCGATCCACAACTAATTCATATATCTGTTCGGCAGAGATGATGAATAGGTTTTTACTCGAACCACATCATTTTTGAATCCAATGGTTGGAAATAAATAAAAATAGGTTTTCAATTATAAAGTTAGTCTATAAAATAGGGTGGTGAACTGAAACTTATTCCAGAATGGAGTAAAAAATATTTGAGAATTACAAGAATCAAAAACTAGTATAAGAATAAAATAATATCATATGAAAAAAAAAGGAAATAAAAGAAGAGAAAAAAAAAAAGAAAAGCGAGTTATATACAGCAGAGAATGACCAACGGAAAACGGAAATTGGGAGCAAATAATTCATGGAGGGGTTCATATACACGACAATCACGCATCTTGAAGTAACGGTCCATCGTATCCGTTAGGATTCCGACGGGTCCAGCGCCACATATCCTGACACATATCATCCATGTTCCGTACCGGTTGCCAGCCTAATTCAGTATTGGCCAAGCTAGCATCGGCCGTACACGTACCCACATCTCCAGGACGACGATCCACGATCTAAACAAAGAAATGCATGAGTAAAAATAAAAACGATAACCCAAACCTGCCGCATATGCGCTGACAGCGTACAAGGGTAAAGTGTACAGAAAGCAGGGCTGGGAAACTTTTTTCTTTTTACCTTGTATGGAATTTTTCGGTGGGTTGCTCGTTCCATCGCGTGAATGATTTCCAGGACAGAGAACCCTGCACCTGTCCCGAGATTGTAGGCAACACAGCCCGGTTTTTCTTCCAGCTTTTTTAACGCGGCGGAATGACCAGTCGCCAAATCACATACATGGATGTAATCTCGTACCCCAGTACCATCCACTGTCTCGTAATCGTCGCCATACACGTGTACAAAAGGTAAATGGCCTTGCAATACTCGAATAACGTAGGGTAACAAGTTGTTGGGTACACCTTGAGGACATTCGCCGATCAGTCCAGAGGGATGGGCTCCCACCGGGTTAAAATAGCGCAATAAACACACGTTCCACTCAGGGTCGGAAGCACAAACGTCCCGCAAAATTTCTTCGACAAACAACTTTGTCCGACCGTAGGGATTGGTAACGGGGCCCAACTGTGCTGATTCTCGAACAGGCATCATCTCTGGTTCTCCGTACACCGTAGCACTGGAAGAGAAGACGAGATTTTTCACGTTGAACTGCTTCATCACTCGTAAAAGATTCAATGATCCCGTCAAGTTGTTGTGGTAATATTCGAGAGGAATACGGGTCGACTCGCCCACCGCCTTTTTTTATGTTATAAAAAAGGAAATGATCATCCGTAAGAAACGCATTCCTTTCTGTTGTATCACTTTCACCATAACCACGGTAGCAATACTTTACCTTAATAGCAGCAAAGTGAATCACCGACCAGAAATTGTAAAGAGAGAAGACGTGACTGAGATCCACTTCACTCGTAACATCGCCCTTGACAAAATGAATCGATCGTCCTGCTAATTGTTCGACACGACGTAACGCCTCTGCAATAAGAAAAAGAAAACCCAAAAAAAAGAGGTCAATCGAGAAGCCATATTTAAAGTTTTTGGGATTCTTCTAATTTTTTTTTATTTTATTTGGGTGCAAGCACCTCCTTCCGTCATCCTACCTCCCCATGCACTTACCCAAATTAGAATTGACCAGATTGTCCATGACGACGATGGAGTAGTGAGGGACTTTGAGTAACTCCAATACGGTATGACTACCAATATAGCCAGCTCCTCCAGTGACGAGAACGTAACGTTGGGGGGACTGTTCCGCGGCGGTCGGCTTGACATCGGTGGACAGTCGTCTATGCAATGTCAAATCGGCATCAGCTTGATCTCCCCCGTCGACGGTATGACGTCTTTTGCGAGGTGATTTGCCGTAAATAAGATTGTTGGATTTATACTGTTTGTAGATGGAAGGTCGGTGGGTAGCAATAGCTGTCCGGGATACGGTGGTGGCAACCGAGTGAAGTTGGAGAGGGGCAGATGGGAACTCTAAAACTTTAAGCTGATCAACGACATCAGCAGATGCTGAGCCACTTTTGCACAACAGTCTCGGCATTGAGGAGAAAAGGAAGGTGAATACAAGCGGGAGAAAGAGGACCTATGCCAAAGGGCACAAAGTAAAAGGGGAATGCAGAGATGAAGTTGGGAATGAATAACAAGACAAATAGAACGAAAAAAAAAAGGGTTTTGATTAGAAAAAAAAAAAAAAAAAAAAACTGATGTCACACACACATGAATTTTTTTTTGCTTATCTTATCCAATGAAATTACATGATTTTGAGGCAAACTGCGCTTCTTCCAGCGATCCCATCTGGTTTTTTGTTTTTGATTCGTTCTGTCTTTTGTAGGGACCTTTTCTTTTTTTTTTTTTTTTTTGTTCCAGGGCAAACGTTTGGATTGTTTAGTTCTCAAGGCCACAAAAGCCAACCTGTGTAACGAGCATAAATTGACGGGAACCAAACATCTTAAATGTTTGGATAACGAGCACGATGATCATGCTACGCATAAAAAAAATTATGTGAAGCGCTCATGCTCCCATTCTTTGAATTCATAGTAATCAATTGATCTATTGCTATTTTAGAGTTCACATGATACTGTCATATTTCGGCGCTGATGCACCGTTTTTCTACAAAACAAGTTTTTTTATTATTTTCTACCATCATAGCTCCTGCTTCCTTTTCTGTGATTGATGTTATGTTAAATATTATGATTTTGTGTGGTTTTCATATGACTTTAATTGTATCATTTTCTGTGTCATAAAATTCAATGTGATCAGCGATCGTCGTTCATTCCTTCTCTCAAAGGTTTCACCATACGTCATGTCGCCACACCACACAGCATCACTGACTAAAATGCACCATGATCCTTTGTGCTCCACTTTGATGAATCCTCAGGGCATCTTGGATGTTCTTTATGGTGCTTTAACAATTTTCCGGTTTTCTGGTTTTAGAAATAATGCGCTTTGTGTAATAATAAAAAGGCTCAGCCGGAAGATCTGAACCTTTTTTCTTTCTTTTAATTTTCTGTTTTTCCTTTTAATCCAGACGCACTTTTTTTTTTCCAAGTGCAATGCTATGGCATTCAGTAACGTATAACAAGCCGTACACCCGCTGTGCAATGGATGCCACCTGCTACTGGATGCCGCACTCTTACATTGAGCGACATTCGTCAGACAAAAAGCCTAACGCAATACGGCATAACCTGGGCGAGACTCTTGATGGAACTTTGGTATATTAATGTCAATACTCTGGCATACCATGAAACACTTTTAATGAACAAAGCAGCACTTATTGACCCCCTCCGTTCTGTCCCGCCCAAGGTTATGATAGATCTACAAAGATGTGTGGGAATGTTGGGTATTTAAAAAAAATGAGTTAGTAAGCTCTTTGGTTGATTCAAATTTCGTTGAGATATTTTACCTTTGATGTTTGATGCAGCAGATACCGAGGGCTTCCCGACCGAAATAAAGAAAGGATACAAATATAAAAAAAAAAAAGTAAATACAATAGGTGCGTCTGCCCCTAAAAACCCTGTGGGAAAAAAAAGGAGGAAAAGACTGCAAGAAGACTATTCACTAAAATACAAAATACATACTACAACTACAAAATAAAATGGTCGGGAAGAAATATCGAAGGCGATACCACGGGCAGCAATCCATATGAGAGGAACCTGGGGAGGACGCGTCAGCGTTTCCCGATGAGAAAGAGAGCCACACGACCGAAGATGTCCTTTGACGACAAAAACCGGATTGGCCACAATCTGGTGCCCGAACAAAGTAGAAAGGTTTTGGAGGGATGGATGGCTTGAATGGCTTGCCAGGCAAAAGAAAACCGGAGAGAAAACCAAAAGCTAAAGACAGAATAGAGAAAAAGGACAGGTAAATTTTTTCTTGTCGAAAAACGGATAGTCGTATCACACAAAAGGTACCTTTTTTCATAATAATCGAATCGACCGGATCAGATACACGCCATAGTCTGGTGATGGATGATGGATGCAATGATAGTGAGGGATTTCCAGGCAAACAGAAGAGATGCAAAACTAAAGAAGAAGAAAAAATTCGGACAAAAATATGTGATTTTCCATGGATGAAACAATAGTCACCTCACTGATGCATGAATGATGAGCTACACAGATCGAAGCATATCTGCTCCATGTATCATTCGATTACTGAAGAGAATGAAAGGGCATATACAGTATAACTGACAGATAACCCAAATTAAATGATGCTACAAAACACCGGATCGTCGTATCGTCAATCACCTTTCTTCAAAAAAGAGCTCCACTCACATTTTATGTGAACGGCGACGATGCTCTGTTTAACCACAACTGGCGCAAACGGCATTTGCTGCTGATTGTTTCGCCTATTATCGTGAAAGTGTTTCGTGGAGAGAAATTTGGGCAACCATGACTTGTAGAGCGCTGATAATCGTTGTCGTTGCAAGATGGGGACCGAGGCATGGTTGAAAGATGAACCTTGGTTGCGACGACGGTACAAAGGGTAACCCCTGTGATCTTCGACGGTAGCTTCGTTGAAGGAGCGCGGGTAACGCTTCTTACAGGAGCCGTTTTCCATGCACGGAGACCTCGGATGCATGGTTCCACACGGACCGTGCATCATACATCTGCTGACGGTGTCGTAGAGATCAGGAAATCTCTGTCTGTCCGGAAGTTCAGCTGACACAATGCGATCATAATCGTCCAGTGTTCTCAGCTTGTCGTCCAGATGTAACACCAAAAGCAGATGGAGGTGCGGTAATCCTCGTTTTTGAAATTCCACAGTATGGACATGGGCAACTACCCTACCCAAAACATGCTTCTTGGTCAAATCTTCCATGAGAGCTTTACGCTTCATGTTAAAAACTCGAGCGCAAAGGTCGGGCCGATCAACAGCTGTCTGGAGTGGAGCCAACTCGTCCTGAATTTCCACCCACTGAGGATTGCAAGTGAAAGTAATAAAGAGATCCGGCTGCCCGCATCGACGTACGATATTCATCGCATCATGGTAAAGTTGGCGCATGTGTCTCGGGCTGCCAATAAAGGTGGATGGGAGAATGACCCTTTGCCCGACGTTTTGGAGGTCATTGTCGCCGAGTTCTACCGCATCTACGATACCTCGGTACAGTTCCGTGCGCAGGTTTGCCTGGTTTAGCCGCAAATACGTGAGTCGGTTCTGTTCCATTTTTGCATACATATCCACTATATATTGCTGGAACAATCGGCCGTACAGGTGCAAATCGTGGCTGTTATCGCGCATCATCAGACGGTAGCTATACCATTGCATGACGGTAATGCTTCGACCGCTTGGCGAGCGTGAGTGGATGTTCCACCCGAGATCACCATGCGGGAACATGAGGACATAGTGGAGCGCGTCGTAGTACTGGTGCATTTCACTGATGCGTTGAAGCCCATAGCTTCTCGATCGGAGCACAATATCGCGGCTACTGTTTGGTGTGATCGTACTGTCTACCAGGATCACTCCAACTTCGCTAGCTGTGGGTGCATTGTAACGACGAACATCAGGCGTGTTTTCCGCACTTATGAGTAGCCTCACATCTACGGCTTCCTCAGATTCACGCAAGACCTGGGCCATCGACTGCAGCAACGGCACGAACGGGTTGACTTCGGTAAGCAGATCTTGTAGAATGAGAAGGGTGGCATTCTGCAGATAGGGTGCCACAGCATGCCGGTGTCTAAGTTGTGTGTTGGAATCATAAATGTACATTTGGGCAAACGCAGGGGTATGACTCTCGGTTGGTGGTAGTAGACCACCGATCTGGTGGTAAATGCCACCTTGGATACGGTAGCAGTAGGCTCCGTTGCGATTGTTGGCCACGGATTCATCTATTTGGGCGCCTACCGAAGTAAAGCTCAAATTCATATTATAGGCGCGGATCTGCTCACGGAAATCTCGCCCTTCTTCATTGTCGCTACGAAGGAGACGGGCGATGATTGGAGGTGTAGGCTCCAAAGGTGGAAGCACAGCGGAACCTTGGCCACAGCAGAGTCGGAACTGCGGATTGGAGTTCGATTCAGATGAGCTTTCTTTGGCCCACATGTGTGCCTGACAGAAATTGCAGACAACATTCATGCGACCCAAGGTATGTCTACTGGGGAGTTCTGATTCATCAGACTCTGCGTTACCAACAGGTGCAGGTAATCTACGGCTGTGTTCTCCAGCGTCTTTTCGTTTGCTTCTCTCATAGCCAGCCTCGCTGGATTCAATGGGCAAGCCAGATGGCTGCTGCGCTGGTGTCCCAGTTGCTGGCACGAAGAGCAACGGACTTCTACCGATCCTTGGATCGTAGCAACGTTGGGTTGTTCGGTGCGTCTGGGGTTATTGGGACAGTTTCTAGAGGTGGATCGAGCGTGTCCTGGGAGACCGCAAGAAACACAGGAGATGGGTGATGAGACAATAGCGCTTTCCTCAGCACGTCTCGTATTGTTGGGACAGCTGCGATTCGTTGATCGAGCATGACCTGGCAGGTCACACGAAGCACAGAAAATGGTTGAAGACGACATTGGGGAAAAAGCGATTGAGCTTGAGGAAATGGAATAAAGAAAGGAATTGGACCTAGATAATAAAACAATACAGCGTGGTTTAACTAAACAAATCATATAATAACACGGTCCGCTCATGCATAAAAGGAAGTGCAGATCATGAGCAACTCCAAGTGACCGGTTTTTACAACACGTAAATCATGTGATCTATTTTGTTTTAGCCAATCAGCAGCCTTAAAAACATTTATTATCCAATCAACAACGCCAAATTAGCGGACAATAAAAGTGACTGCGAACTAAAATTCAAACATTTTAATAAGGTTGAGATAAATACAGAAAACCTGATGATCAGAATCGATGCATTTCTTAGGAAGCATCGAAGCTAAATATGCCTTGCTTTCCGCAAATGGCAAGTCAGAAATACACTTCAGGAAAGACGCCCTGCTCTTGTTTTCTATCACCGTGCATACTCAATCGTCCAATCCTTCGCTCCTTTCATTCACAAAGCAGTGTATTCGTTAACTTCCTCTGTGCACCCAGAATTTTTCTGTAGGCTGCATTTACAGTATCTTACCGTAGGTTATGTTGAAAATGTGAAATATTGAACAGATGAGATGCCTGAGTAAACAATTGGTACTGTAGAAGGTTAATTAGGAAGTACCTCATCATAATAATTGCTCATTTTCTTTTCCTTCCTGTAAGATATTGTGCCTTGCTATTTTGATTTCATTATTGTACGAAACGGTTCTTTACGCTGACATGGTTAAAGCTTTGAACATGGAGTTACTGTCGCATAACGAAATGCAACAACTTACAAGACATGCTACGTTTTCTAAAAAATAATTCGGAATTTATCGATAGATTTTCAAGGGGGGACTGTACAAGAAAAACAAGTGAAATCAAAGAAATAAATGGGTAAGAGAAAAGAAACAAAACAAAAACATAAACAGTTAGAGAGATATAGATTTTCATAAAAGAAAAAATAGGACGACGCCGGAACTAGGGACGGACCAGTTTATACAGCCTTGGATTCGGCCTTGAGTTCAGCCTTGAGGTCTTCGGGCATGGGGCTCACAGGTAAGCCCTTTCTCTTCTTCAAGATATTGCTAATAAAGAATTCACCGGCCTTATAACTTGATCGGACCAAGGGACCGCTGGCAACGTACTTGAAGCCCATTTCCATGCCCTTGTCTTCCCAGTACTTGAACTTCTCGGGGGTCACATATTCATGAACCTTCATATGACGCTTCGTAGGTCGCATGTATTGACCCAGTGTGACACAATCCACATTGTGATTTCGAAGTTCCTGCAGAGCATGCAAGACCTCTTCATCAGTTTCTCCACAACCCAACATGATGGAAGACTTGGTAATCAAATCAGGTCGGGTGTCTTTGGCGTGCTTCAATACACTAAGCGACTGGCGGAATCCAGCTCGTCGATCACGAACATAAGGTGTCAAAGCTTCGACGGTTTCGATGTTGTGAGCATACACATCCAATCCAGATAACGCCACGTTCTCCACTTGCTTCAGATCGCCACCAAAGTCACCGGTAAGACATTCCACCAAAAGATGAGGAGCCCTATAGAGAGTAGTCACAGCCACCATTAGCGTTTCCCTTTAAGCCTGTACCAAATGTATTCTCTCTTACTTTTGTTTGATCTTGCGGATCGTTTCAGCGAAATGGTTGGAACCACCGTCAGGTAAATCATCACGATCCACACTGGTCAACACGACATAGTCAAGACCCCAGCGTTTCAAAGCCTCAGCAGTATGTTCGGGTTCATGAGGATCCAATGCTTTGGGAGCACGGTTGGTCTTGACGGAACAGAAACGACAACCTCGGGTACATTCATCACCCATCAACATGATGGTAGCTGTGGCCGTTTGATGTTCACCACCTAAAAAGAAGCGATAAGATCAGCCAAAGAACAGGGTGCTCTTTCCTGTTTGGAAAATAACGATTCAACATACCACCCCAGCAATCGCTCATGTTGGGACAACGAGCTTCTTCACATACTGTGTGAAGTTTCAAACCACGCAAGTCCTTCTTGATCTTGGTGAAATTGTCACCGGCTGGAATACTCGTCTTGAGCCAATCAGGTAAGCGGGGCTGCTTCCTAAATATACCGCATTTGGGAAGTTTACAAAAGGAAAAATATAGTGGCCACCTTGTCAGAAACTTTTTTTTCATACTTAAAATTCGACTTTCACAATACTTACAATTTGGTGGTTTTCACTTTCTTTCCGGGAACCACAGTTTCTCTCAATTCCATGGCTTCTTCAGGCGACAGTTTGCCGGCAAATCCGGGATTCACAAAATCGTCCAAAGCAGCTGCATCCTCGGCCGCGAGCTTGGCCTTGAGCTCAGAGAGTCTTGATTTGGCTTCCGAAGGTCCATTGACAGCCGTAGCATGGGTACGAAGTTGATGGGTCTATCATCAAAATTTTATAGAGAAAAGAGAACGGTAAGACCATCAAGTGCGGTGTGTCACTTCAGGTTCTACTGGGAATGCTTACCAAAGCAGCGGCAGGTTTGACGTAGAACAAGGACCGTTGAGCGGCTCTCTGGGAGAGGAGCACAGTCGAACGATGCAAAGACATGAGTGTATAGGAAGGAAAGAGACGGGGAGAAACGGTTTGAAAAAGAGAAGAATGGGGACTTTTGAAAAAGGAAAAAAAAATGGATCCCTCCACATATTATAAAGTCTTAAACTGTGACCGTTCTTCCACCGATTCAAACTTGACGGTTCCAAAAAAAAAAATTAAAAGCCAACGCGTTTCCCGGTTTGTACACACTTTGAATATGGCCAGCAGTGTGTTCAAGCAGCTATTGGAAGAATCCAAACAGCTTGTGTCGCCCGAAGACACTTCTCAATTACCCGTTATCGACCGTGGACTTGATCTTATTGATATTGAAACACAGCAATTAGCAAATGCAACCAAAGCAGACGATCGCAGCAATGTCAAGGGGTACCTAACACCATATCAACAAGTCTGCCGGAATTAGTCCTGCTCACCCCGTCTTGTTTGTGATAGAGAGTACTTTTTAGCCTACAATGGAATTCATAGTCAGAAAATTGAAGACGCATTGAAGGCTTTGGATGCAACAGCTGCTTTTGAACCTGTCGATGTAGTGCGAGTCGGTGATATTGATGTAAGCGCAGTAAAACTCATCGATCATTGTTCACTGCGATTGACCATTGGACCCTTATCTTGCCACAGAAATATTTGCGACAAACTCACGATAAAACCGTCATGGATACCATCGACCAGAACCGACGTCATGTAAGCGACAGCCTAAAACGCTCGACTATTAATGAATAGGCAAATGGCTTAACCCAGAAAATTCGATAGACCGAAAACGATTTCCGGACACTTGTCAATCAAACGATGAATATCGACTGGAAAACAACTCAACGAACCATTCTCGAGGAATGGGATCAACAGCAGCATAATCGAGCATTTGGTAGTTTCGGAACATCTACAGTAAGAATCAAGCGACGATACGGTCCTGCTTACTTGAATTCATCATTATTTACGCACATTATGATCTGCATTCTAGTCTAATATCATTTCGGAATCATCGCGCCAACGCATTCCCGGATACGCCAAAGTAGTCACCGAATTAAACAATAACCGACGCAACGACCGGCCGTATCTCATTATTGACGCATTAAGTAAAGCAACAACGCAGGCTAATCCATCCTCGGTAGGGTTGTTTGGAAGCAAAAAGTCGGAAGGAGCAACCTGTTGATCTTATGTTAATCTAGGAGAGTCACCGAATGGCCGATATTTATAATTTACTGAAAAAAGTGGCGGGCGAAACCAAAGAGGGAACTGAGCATCACGACAAGTGGAAAGCCAATGCGCCCTATCACAGCCCTGAAGCGGCGCAGTTCCGACAACACCTCCTTACAAAAACAAAGACATGGCTTGAAGAACAGTAAGTTGCATGCAACCATCTCGGATTTAACAAATCCATGTTTGACCATCATCTTCCGCCAGGTATCAGCAACATATTGAAAATGCGCTATTAAAGCATGCTGAAAAGGCACGTATTGGCGGGTTTCCGTCTGTCATTCGCCGTATCCAAGCTTTTGTAGCCATTAAATTCGCCAACACGAGCGGATGGATCAATCCGAATTTGGAGGTACGCTTATTGCTTCCGTGCATGGGTCACATACACCTTTTTTTTTTCTTTTTTTTATATCTGACACGGCACTGGCTTTCTGTTAGATTCAACTAGGCATGCCCATTTGGGCTTTCACTTATTGTCTGCTACGTACGGGTCACGCAAAAGAAGCGTTGGAATTTGCAAGAGATTACCCGGCTGCATTTGATTCCTCGGATCCCATGTTTTATCAATACCTCAAAGAATATGTTACCGCTCCCGACAATAGGTACTACTTTGTGTACCCTTGCCTATGTCACACAACCTCACTTATTCCCCCAAAACGATAGTTTAAGCAGAGACTCTCAACGAGCGATTCATTCCGACTATCAACGTATTGTCTATGGTGAAATTCCCACGGATCCATACAAACAAGCCGTCTATAAAATCATTGGCCGTTGTGAGTTAAGTAAAAAGACAATCCCCCAGGTCATTACCACCACCGAAGATTACATTTGGTTGCAGGTAAAGCTCTCAAATTAAGTCAAACCTTCGTCGACGCAGCGAATTCATCCTTTATGTTTGTCAATTTTCTAGTTATGTCTTGTGCGTGAAAATGAAACAACATCCGACTATGGAAACGAGCATTACAACCTGTTGTCATTGCAGAAATCAATAAAAGAGTCTGGTGTGGAGAAATTCGATCCTCACAAGAGCAATCCCTGGCTTTACGTTACTGTCCTGCTGCTCACCTTGCAATATGAACGAGTAAGTGTTTTTTTTTCTTGTTCTGCCCGACGATGTGTCTGATGGATTGAATGAATGATAAAAAGGCCATCCACTACTTGTATACGCATGAAAAATATCGTGTGGAAACGGTTCATCTCGCCATTGCATGTGCCTATTATCAACTCTTGCGAATCCCCAAAGAACCTATTATAGCCAGCGTGGAGATGTGTAAGTGAGAAAAAGTAAGAGACTCTGGGGGTTCTCGTCCTCACATTTAATTCTGGTCTGTAGTAATTGTACACGATGATGAATACGTTGGTTTCAACTTTGCTCGACTGATTCATCAATACATCCGAGCCTACTTGGCAGAGAATGTGGACCATTCTCTCCAGTACCTGTACTTGCTGTCATTATACGCATCAGATCATGGGTACAACACTACCGAAATGCTCTCCCTTTGTCACACCTATATCTGCGAACTCGTATTAAAAACGAAGGATTGGACGGCAATTGTAGGCACAAAGTCAGTGGAGCACGGACGCAAGGTAGGTCGCCTAGAGTGCGAAATACTTGATTTAGGAGCATCCATTGATAAAATCTGAATCAGCCTGGCTTGATTGACCCGTACAAGAAACTTGTTGGTGTGCACAATGAAAAGGAATACATCCAAAATATCCTTTTACCAGCAGCGAGAGGCTGTACGCAGAAAGGACGATGGAACGATGCCATCTTTTTGTATGAAATGAGCAAAGTAAGTACAAAGAAACACCCTATTGACTGGATATGCTAACAATGTGTGGTGGACTAGGAATACAATCGCGCCATCACCATCTTGATGAAGCAATTAGGCGATGCTTTGCAACAGAGTCTCGCGCCTATTGAAACCTCACAAAAGATGATGACAACCAGTCAAAATCAGCAGCTGATCACGCAATCTTTAAATACATTGAAGCATTACGAGCATGAGCAGCATATCAGCTCCATTCTGGAAGAAAACAAAAAGACGGCCATTCGTACGCTGATACAGTTGTTGAGAGCCCATGCGGCGTACGCAGAGGATCGGCATGAAATCGCTCTAGAGGTAAGCGTGTTTTCACCGAACCTAAGCATGCGGCATAGACTGTGATAAGCTCAATGATTTTTGCCTGTTAGTTTATTTGTCAAACCCAAATCATTCCTTTCCAGGACAACTATGGTGCCATTCAGAAAGCCGCGATACACTTTGAACAGCTTGACAACGCTGTCAGCAAAAATATACCAGCGCTTCTTGTCATGGTGATGGAGGCTCTGTACAAGATATGGAGTCAATGTACAAGTATTCAACCTCGTGCAGCTTGGCCAACTCAAGTAAGGAGCTGGGGGTCTTGATCATTTCTCATCATAAAAAATCGGGTTATTTAACGTGGTGTTCATATTTTTAGGTGATTGCGGGTTTGGAAGAAAATATGCGAGCTGTACTTGCATTTGTTGGTATGATTCAGTACATCATGCCGGCAGATACCATGATTCGTCTCAACAGGTAAGCTTGGGTTTTTTTGGTTGAAAACCTTATCCATGTTTTATCTGACGATTTTTTTCTTTACGTCTTTCACTGCAGAATGGAAGTAATGATAGCCAATGTTAAAAAGTCATAGAACCGTCGGTTCAGCGGTGGTGTATCACCGTACCAATGCTTTCCGTTCCAGTGATGATATCATGCGGATCTACAATACATTTGTTTCTCCTGTAATAAAATAATGTCGAGATCAACGCATCCAAACGTACTATCAGATTTCCAACAGGTGACTTTTTTTTTCTGTTCTCTCTGTCGATAAGCCGTACTAGTATGGCCGAAACCGGTTGGCATGATCAGCCAGATTAGGTCGCAATACTCTCACGTGCTTAATCTGGCGTCTGTTGGTGGGGAGTTATTTTCAATTCCCTTTCTTTTTCATGGAGAATCCCTATATTGGTGATGGATTGGCCATATTTCGATGGGCTCCCAACGAGACCAATGTTAATTCGTGCAATTCAGTCCACTTGGTACGACGTTGCTATTTTTGGAATCCGAAACCACCTGACACATGTCATAACGGACAAACCCGACTCATCTTCATTTAAACTCCGAATGTTTTCTTTGTATAAAACCAACTGAGCAGCTGAACACTGGCCTTCTTTCTCATACGAAAAAGACTCGATTTTATCCAAGCGGACCAGAAAAAAAAATCAAAAAGATGGCGTTTATTCAAGCAGACATGGACCCTTTTTTCTTGCGAGAACACCATCTTCAGCTCAGCCAAAGTTGCAATAGTTTGTCGTCACAGTCGTCAGAATCGACGTTGAGTACGATTGACACGACGAGCAGTACCACGAGCACCATGACAAGTACCAGCCGTGACCTGAATTCCAAACCGGTCAAGAAGGAAAGAAGAGATACAACGCTGAAAAAGTTCTTGAAGGCCGTTTCCTCCACCGAAGGCTCATGTCGTTCCAGGACAGACAGCCTCAACCGGCTCGTCTCTTTCCATCTGTAAATCCCATTGCCATCTTACGTACTATGTCCACCATCATTCTGTTTAATTTCCGCACCCTGATTGTATATATAGCTTCTTTCATGTTTCTTTCACACTTATAATCTTCTTTTGCTGTACAATAACAAGCAACCATTGGCAGACTCGTATGCAGTCACTGAATCAACAGAATCGCGTTTTCTTTTTTTATGTTCTTGTTCTTAAGTATGGATGTATGTCTGTAACGGTGCTCCTGAATTACTGAGTATCTTTTTCTGTCGCACCATCGGATGCGGGGTAGTGCCTATGATATAATGGGTTGTAGGGATATTCACCGATCCCGATGGACTAGAGCGCGAGCGAATTCCCCGTTTGGCTCTAAAGTCGTCTGGACTTCGGCTTTTTCCGGAATCTGTAGGAATGGCTGGGTTTGGCGTCACGTCCAGTCATACGGACGCGGTTTGTTCATTCCCATAAACTTAAAAAAAAACCAAGAAAATAGGCCTCTTTCATTTTTGCGGGGTAATCTCGTCACGAACAAGAAAATAAGGTTTCTTCATACATCATCACTTACTCATAAGTGGGTATTTCTACTGCTGACTCGGCCGGAAATCCACGGCTGCTCTTTTGTCATACTCCAATCGAACTTTCTAGCCTTTACTGTACTCCTTCTGGTACGTATGCCCTGGTTACCCTGTTTACAGTGTACTTTTTGCTCCGAACCATGATTTACGTTGAACAAAGAAAAACACAGCGGATGTTAATTGCGGTGTTGGGCAAGACCAAATTTTTGGAACCTTCAATACTGCATGCAGCAGCAACCAGGTGACATGCAATATTCCGTACTATTCCATCATGCCACAGCAACAGTGACTTCTTACTATATTCATATTATTCTGGTGCGGGATGAATGCCATGTTACATCTTTGCCGAGGATAGAAAACGGCTGAATTTTCAATATAATGGTAAAGCCCTACCCCGCGGCATTCGCGGAATCATAAATTTTGAGAGCGTCGGAACGTGTCGTTGAAACAAATAAGATCGTGGTCACTTTGAGGAAACCCAGCATTCAGAAACGTAAGAAATAAGTGTTATTTTGGAAAACATGAAGTTGCAAATAAAGAAAAGAGGGAATTAGCATATAAGATACACATAAGAGAACAAAGGACGGAGAAAGAAAAAGGAAATATGGTACTTCCATCGTAAAGTAAAGAACAATGGAGTGGTTAAGAGGCTGGTGTGGCGGTTTGCTTTTCTTCCGCAATTGGATCTTGCTTAGGGACCATGGAGATGGCGGGACTGGACGAAGCGCTGCTTTTCTGCGACGATGATAACGATTGCGTACGCATTCGATTCATCGCTTTTACGGCTCTGACAGCACTCTTAAAGGTTCGTTTCGCGTTGAAGTTTTCACGAACCGTGGTCAAGATATCAATATCAGTAGCTTCATGGCCCGTCATCCATTTGTCCTTCAAAGCCTCGGTGGCGGTAGGGCGTTTGGAGGGATCGAGATCAAGCAAACGACGAATAAAGTCCTTGGCTACAATTGCAAAACAACGATGAGTGGGCATGATCACAAGATTTTTCCCTTTTGATTTTCATTGTTTTTACCATCTTGGGAGATATTTCGCCAGTATCTCTCGTGGAATTCGAACCGAGCGTGAGTGATCTCATCTAAAAGCTCCACTTGATCTTCGGCTTGGAAAGGCTGATAACCACATAAACTGTCCACCAGCATTAATTCAGGGATTTTTTTACATCAACCAAAAAGAAATCTAATCATGGTACTTACACTGTATACGTGATGACACTGTATAAAACAAAGGTGAGTGATACTGTAAATCCGCGGACGCACAAAATATGAAAATTGTCAACTTTACCCCATGGCCCACATATCCACCGCCGATCCGTAACCTTTGCGAAGTAAAACCTCGGGAGCTGTAAAAATTACAGCATGAGAATTACATGCAGCCCTTCAACAAAAATCACTGCATCTTGCTTACCAACATAACCAGGTGATCCGCATACGGTTTCCAGGGCCGAGACCTCATTTCCCGATTTGGCAATACTATTACGTTCAATTTCTTTTAGTATCCATGCTCTTTTCTTGCCACGAACGTAAAAAATAAAGTAAGTGTAAAATAGATACCCAAAATCGCAAATGACAAGATCTGCATCCGAATCTCGATTTTTGAAGAGCAAATTTTCGGGCTTCATATCTAGCTCAGCACTTGAGTTACACCCGAACTTTGTTTTCGAAAAAAGAGAATGGCTTGCGCCTTGGCTTCTCTTCTCCGCTTACCTCGATGGACGATATTGTGGGCATGGAGATATTCCAAACCAGTGAGAACGGATCGAATGATACCAACAGCATCTTTTTCAGAAAATTTGCCCCGTTCGAACAACCGCTCAAAAAGCTCTCCACCTGTCGCCCTAGCCCATCAAATTAACTTTAGTACCACACGTACGACCCATCATCCATGTGAAGAAAACATACAATTCAAATACCAGATAGAATTTGTCTCTGCAAGGAAAAAAAATAACAAGCCTCTTATTAATATTTGGGCTGGACGAATCACTATGACATTGGAACCATCATTTTACCGGGATTCAAACCAATCGTAAAATCCAATGACATTGGGATGATTAAGTCCTTGCAACACCTTCATTTCGGCATGGACCATATCAAAGTGACCTTTGACATTCTTCTTGGGAATCACTTTGATGGCGACATCTTTATTGTCTGAAATGCGAGAAGCATGTTTCACCGAGCCAAAAGAACCGCTTCCTATTTTACGATCGGTGAGAATGGGAGGGGCGAAACCAAAACCAGGGCGATCAAGAAGGTCAAACCTAAAACGTCTTTAAAGAGATATTGTTTTTTCTTTTCATAGGATTCTGGTTGTTGCACACCGCCGTGCACCATGGTATCAATGGCTTTTAGAAATTGCATTCTTGGCACTATGTTTGGGCAAAGAAGGAGGTTCAATTGAAAAAGAACAAGAAATCCGAACAGAAAAATGGTGCCTAAATCGGCACAGCGCGCCTTGAATATGCGCAAACTCCGTCTTCATTTTTTTTTTTCTTATCTCGTGATGCAGATCACTGTTCCACACAGTGTGGCTTAACATCATACAGCCCCATTTGTCTTCCGCCCTCCGCTTTTTTACAAAAGAAAACTAATACAGTACAGTGAAGATATAGACAAACAACATTTTGACGACAATGGTGTGCCAGGACATCATCCAGATTTAAACACTGTCCAGTACACGCCCGCGTAGTGATTTTCTTATTACCGAGTAACGGTTTCAAAGCAGATCAGACTTACCATGCAATAATAAAACAATAATAAAAGCTTATCCAACGAATATCGCTATTCGTACTCAACCGCGTAGGGCCAAGTTTTCCATTTTGTGGAAAATTCTTCAATGCCAACGGCATTATAACGGCAACAGCCACATAATAACTTGTTGGACTCACAAAACACCATGCTCTTTCTGCAGTAGACGGATTTGTGCTGTTCAAAACAGTTGGATTCCCATGCTGATATTGAGCTGACGGATTTTGGTTACGTAGCAACATACCAAAACTCCAAGGGGAGAGACCAGCATACTATATAATCGGGCCTGGATATAAGGGATGATGTTGTGATTGACACTTAGTGGAGTGGATCCATTACCGTCGCTTCACGAAGGTGTTACAGTACTTTTACTTTATTTGAACTGTTATATCCGAAAGTAAAATAAGAGGAAAAAGTAAGAACCAAGCAATAGTGTGAAACAGAAACTCGTTCTCTTTTATTCTTAGTTTGTGATTGTCATAATCCATGAGACTTATGATTGTATAGGAACTACAGTATTCGATGAATGTCTGAGACTGTATAGCAGAATGAGTGTACCGTAAAATGGCGATTAGGTCTAGCAAGAGAAACCTCTCCCCCCAAAAAAAGGGCGCTTGATGGGAATAGTAACTTCGTATAAAATATGTTTATACTGTAATTGGCTTCATCATAAACAATATCTTCATCATGGACAATTTCTTCCAGTTTGGGACATGGAAGACGAATGACGGTCAGAGGCGCTCGAATGTCGTTTGGCTTAAACCACACCCTCCTTGGGGGTTGGTCATCGTGGTCGTTTTTTGTTATTTGCGGTCCCGGTTTGCTCAAGGAAACAGTTCCGAACGCAAAGAATAGAAACACTTAGAGCCACAGTGACATCATAAGAGTAATTATTGGGTTATTGAGCATAGAGCCATGAAACGTACCCTATAAAGGATAGTCCTTCCGCGCGATCAAGCACTCGCAATACTTTGCCGTAGTATTGCGGCTTTGCGGTGATGTCGTTATTCGGGGCTCCGTTATCCTTATTGCCCAATGCCTCTCTGGCTGAAGCGTTGGTAAGTTTCCATTGCCGCTTTTGGTCTCTTTCCATTCGCCTTCGCCAAACAGAATTCACGTTTAGTAACTTGACGCCACCATATCATCGTTCAGGGACGCCAAAAACGTGACAAATCGACCTCCAGCATCCTTAAAGTACGCCGAAGCGGACGGTGCAAACAAGATAAAAGTTATATGCTTGATGAAGCGACGGTAGGGGATTCACTTCACTAAGTATTAACCACGGTATTATTCCTTATATCAAGACCATACTATACAGTATGTTGGTCTCTCCTCTTGAAGCTTCGCTACGTTGCTACGTAACTAAAATCCGTAAATGTTGCTACCAAACCATGCAAAACTCCATCACGAATTGGGGTTTTCTGAATGCATGAAGCATTTCAAGTTCCGCAAAGGCAAAGAAAAAAAGGGGACATGTTGGCTTACGGAAATGGCGCACATCTCCAAAAGTCGAACACGCGACATTTGTGCCAGACAATCCACGCGCAAACCACATCCTATGCAATGCACTCGGTAGGTACCCATTTTCGAAATATAAGCTTAAAGGGCTATGATTGCCATATATAGTTTTTCCCAGCTTCGCGCCTGTATCCTGTATAGTTTATACCTTGCAACATCCATGAAGTAAAAAAGTGCACCTTGGTTCGAATGTTGGGTTATAAAATGCTCTAATGCATTTAGAAGTACCTCAGTGGGACTCGCAGTACAAACTTCTTTCTTTGAAAGAGCAACTGTGATACAAGGGAAATAAAAGCTGTAGAACCGGATAGCGCTGATCCTATGTTCATAATCGACTGCTGTGTAAAAAACCCACTTGGAGTAACTTCCAGCTGGTAGAAATTGTGCATAGTATACAATATAGCCATGGGAAAGAGAGGCTTGCGAGGAATTACTGAAGATCGTACTTTCAGGATGGGGTTACTATTAAGCAAATTTTTAGTTGCATTACAACAATGGAAAATGATGTCATGATGCAAATGTGTTTTTCAGGGCCACGTCAAGGGGCGAAAATTGAGTGAATCAAAAAGAGCCATAATACAAAGTAGAAAATATGATAAATTTTTAATTTGCGTTGAGAAATCATCGGATAACAGTGTATAACAAAGATTGGCTGTCAAGTAATTTCTGGATGATAAAAAAAATAATAAAAATGGCTTGCAGATAGGATTTAAGTTGTGTGCGTTCTAGATTTTCGAACGACGGTGCCAATTCGAAGCTTCAAGACAAATTAAAGTCGCAAGAAATGCCAGGGTTGAAAATGAAATTTTAGCTGGCTATAAAGGACATGAATAGGCTTTTTTTTTAAATACCTTGTCAAATTCTACATACCCACACCATGTCGTTATCAATGATGTCTTGTTTTTCTTGTATATATGTATTTATTATCATCTTCTTTGTACATCTTGGGTACGCTTATAAAGCCATTGAAATCGTGAACGAATGCCCGCATTTTCTGCACGTCGGACATCAAACCAACGGAGAGGACCGTGGTAGCATTATTCCATTGGAAATCGGCGAGACCTTTCAATTGCCCATTGAAACGGGATGGGCGGGTCGGATATGGGCCCGTGAATCGTGTGATTTACACAGCTGCGATACCGCCGGGGCCAGTAATCCAGCTTCACTGGCCGAATTCAAGATGAACGGGGCCCACGACATGGATTACTATGACGTGTCATTTGTCGATGGATACAATTTGCCTATTCGCATCGAACCGGATATGCCGGAAGAAGAGGCAGCATGGGACGACCCGAAATATTGTCGGTCTTTACTATGCATGAATCTGCCAGATTGTCCTGCCGATTTAAGATCGTACGATCTCTCGGGTCGTTTTGTCGCCTGTGAGAGCGCCTGTTCACGGTATCAAGCCGATGAATACTGTTGTACGGGCGAATACAACAGCCCGGACGTCTGTACCACCAACCATTTTGCCACAGCCATCAAATCTGCGTGTCCTGACACATACAGCTATGCATATGACGACGAAACAAGTTTATTCGGTTGTAAAACTAAAACTTATAAAGTGATCTTTTGTCCCCACTAAAATAACAATACCACCACCTGTAATTGTACGCACAATAAAAAAATTTCTCATTGTCTTTATATCACATCTTAAGGGTAACAATAGTAGCGAAACATCAATGTTAAGATTCATGCGATGTGGTGTCATTCCGTCAAAAAATGGGGTGCCAAACGCCGATTCGCAAACGTGGTACATGCGCTTTTTTTTCTCAAATCAATAATATTCAATCGTGATGGTAAAACATCTTTTAATCTTTTATCAGCGTTGGGTCCGATAAAATGTCGATGTTGACCCAATTCATTGATTCATTAGTATTCGGCGCAGTGATTGGACGATTCACAAAGTAAATGCATGTCATATATGCATGCTGAACTTTTTTTTCCTGGTTGGCATGCTGCCTTTTTTGTCACGTGCTTCATGACATGCAAGCCGTTGGCGATGCATCATGTTGTCACCATTGCTCTATAAACAGAAAATCAGGCACCGTGCTCACTTGCTCTGAAACCGATCCCTGCTTGCTCCCTATTGTCCATAAAACATATATTCATCTTGTGGGAAACAAAAAAAGAGGAGTGGACTGTATTTTTTTTGCTTTGGAATGAATAAAAATGCAAGATAAACTGAGATAGGCAGCGGTGGAAAAAATAGTATTTGAGAGAGAGTATGAATGCAAAAGTTGAATTTGGATGATGAGGAAAGGTGTACAAAAGGTGCAAAGTGATCGTCTAGCTTTCATCCATTTCCTCGCCCTCGACATCTTCTTCCTCCACGACATCATCGTCGCGTGGCAGCGTTTCGAGAATGTGAAACAACATCCCCTCCAAATCCTCTTCGCTAAATCGTTCCTCACATTCTTCGATCAACTAACAAAAAGAGTGTGTTAGTTCAGCGTCTTATCATGATCTCAACACCCTGATCGTCCGGTATTTCCTTACCAAGTAGATCTCTACGGCGCTTTTGGGTCGTAAATTCAAGATTTGCAGACGTTCAGCTCGTGTTAAGTCGTACTTTTGGAAAGCTTCGAGAAATCGCTTAATCTGTGCGGGTGTTTGCGTACTGCATGGGACATTGTTGAGATATTCTGTCAACTGAAAAAAAAAAAGAGATCTCCGTGTTATTTGCATTGTCATCGGGTTGAGTTATGCTATTGGATCTCACCTCGAATTGAATGGTACGCAAATGTTCCGGGTATTCAATATTGGGGTTTTCCAGCTGTTGAGCTTTCTGTATATTCTGTTGTTCGTTTAAAAGGCTGAGCACTTCATAATTGCTCAGTAGGGCCGCACGCGCCTTCTTTAACTGCATTCGAGAACTTTGTTGGGAAAACCCTGTCATGAACAAATGCGGACGAACAATTTTTCTGTTGGACTTCGCCGTCACAAACGTCCATTATTTTAATTTTCTGCGGTATCATTGGAGCAGAGCAAAGATGCTGGAATAACCGTCTCTTTTATAACCGAGTCTTTTTGTCTACTAGAATGGTCTGCAATATGTAAATTGGCAGTAGTGCTGTCTCTAGAATTTTTATCAAATGCAAGCTAAAAAAAGATATTGCTAGGAAATTGTTGTGGAAGATGGTGAGGGTTGCCTGATATTCTACTAATGATTTTAAAAGCATACAAACATCAGATAAGAAAATAGAATAAAAAAAAATTGTTATTTACAAAATTCGATGAATTGTCTAAAAGATAGAATTATGCTTTTCCTTGTTCATCCAAGATGATTTGTCGGGTACTTTGTAGTACCTTGATTTCCGCTTGAACCTGATCTTCTGTTATCTCTTGACTGACTACTTTCACCGTCGCTTCTTCCGGTTTATCCTCGTTCTCGCTCGTCTTTTCAGATTCGCGCAAGGCTTTGTAAATCTCTTTCTTGGCAACATACACTTTCGGTATCAGGTAAGCGTGGGTGCGGAATAAAAGTCTCGTCGACTGAAATAACGCTCCGTTGGCCAGGTTAAACCGTTCCCGAGGCGGATCAAGCGAATCATCCAATGCAGCAATCGCACGATCTATTACTTGGACGGCAGCAGGTGCAGGAGGACGACTCCTGTAAACATAACAATAAAAAAAAGGAATCAGTCATCGGCGCTCAAGAAGATTGAAAATGATCCACTTACTGCATCAGTGTACTCAGAGTTTCGCGCGGACGTCCATACATGTTGGTCATTTCTGCATTGCCATAGATGAATCGGAAGGGAGGGGCCGATCGCTGAGATAGAAGGATCATCCATTAATTACGTGAGCAAACGACAAGGTAGCAAAATGATATACTTACTACCAAGCGTGGTCGTTTGGATTTCCACAGATCTTGCAAAACCTGAGCGCTAATGGGAGGTTTTTCAAATACAGGACAACCCGACGCTTTCCAGATGATCTGTCGTCCTCAATATATCAGTAATCGAATGATCCCTGCCTGCATATGACATAAGTTCCCGGCTTACCCAGTTTCTTTCATGACGAAGTATCGTCAATACGATTTCAGTGTACATTTTTCCGTGGGGTTTAATTGCTTTCAAAAGCGATATCATGGTCGTTTTCATCTCTTCCACCCAAGCCATCTACAGGTAGCACTTTTAGTGTTCTGGGATAGATGAACCTAAAAGTAAAACGTTTCAAACCTGATCATCTTCCAGTGTAAATGTGGGTTGAACAAGCGATTGTTTAGCGGTCGCGCCTCGTGCTGATAATAAACTTTGCGTCGCTTCTTTCTCCTCCTTAGTAAATCCAGACAGATACTGAAAAAGGATAAGAAATTGCACCATCACATTACGGCGGAATCGGGCGTCTTCAATCTAAATACCAATATTCCATCGCATCAGCAATCCTAATCTGCACAGTAACATGGGTCATTTTTTGCGCACCTCCAGCTCCAGCAGCTTTCGACTACTCAGTAATCGGGGAAATTGATAATCGCGATTAATCTCTTTCAACATTTGTTCGGCTGTATCCATGCTTTCATCATCGATATCAGGTATACGCTCTCGTTTCTGGCTCACGCTGAAGGCTTCTTTGCTATTGCCTGCCCCCGAAATCGCTTCTTCCCGCTTGGCAATGTCTTGAAATTTATGCAAAATGGCATCCGCTCCCTACCATTATCCAAGGTGTAAAAATTAATATTCCATCAATACCTCTCATCTATCAATTCTCTATTTTAATTACCTTTTGCAGTTCTTTAAAGTTATCACCCTGGAAAATCGTGGGAGGATTGGAAAAATACTTTCGTATGGACCAAAATAATTTGTAGAATTCTTTCTGATCGTCTTATTGAATGCAAGACAGGAAAAGATAAAGGCAAACCATTGGATTAAGTATGACGCGGATGACACATTTGCGTAATAGTTCTCACCTGTCATTGTAGTGTCGGCATCCACTTCTTCGTCACTGTCGAAACGCACAACCTCGGTATTGAAATCACCGCGTAAATTGACACCTAGTAGATAGGAAAAACAAATGGAAGGTCAGATAACCAGGAAGAGAGCTGAGAAGATTCGCATTTTTGAAATGCTCTCTGTTACCTGATCGTTCACCCAAAGGAAATGAATTGGCAAGAAACATGAGAATGCGACCGCAAAAAACGGTGTTTTTTTCTTTGGATAAGCGACGAAGCATCTCATTACACATGCGCAACAAAATAAGCCCCTTTCCTCGTCCAGGCACCATATTCTACAAAGGCAGTAACGCAATAACGACAAAACATGAGATATAGTGTGCGCTTGTCTAGATAAAAATTGGCCACTTTAACTTACCACTGTGAGTTGATTCTTTCGTTTCTCAACATAACTGAATAAATGCTCGCAGCCGCTGATGGTGTGAATATCCAATAACTCCTCGATGAGCGTCAGTGGTACGACGGTGTCGACATAATCTACCGTTGGGCGTCAATCATTTTCCAATCAGCAGAAGCAATCTTTCCACCAATCTACCTGCTTCGGATATAGCAAGAATAGTGTCCAAGCAATCAAACACTTGGTGGTAACGCTCTTTGTCTGACTCGGGTAAGCGTACCTATGTTGGCCAATAAAACGAACAGTCAGGCAGGGCATTCAGAAACGGATCAAAAGATGAAAAGGAAAAACAAAACGTACAATAACATCAAGCAATTTGCGACGAAAAGCCAACTCGAGAGCATTTCTACGCCAATCGAATTTGCCTTCAGGTATTGTCACGTTCAAACGGTTGGTTGGACCGTTCACAGGCGCAATATGAGTTTGGACAAACGTGGCAATATTGGCAGACGGGACACTCTCGACATTTGCTGTCGCTCTGTAGCTGCTGGCCTCTTGTATAAATTGGGTGAGTGCCTTTTCAATGTCGGCTTGATATTGCTCTGATTTCGACATGACAATTGGCGTTAACTATATTGTCACTGGCAAACCGTGCTTTCTGATGCATGGCCGATTGGGCTCCGAATCAACAAGTGTGACTAGTAATTTCTTAGGGGGGAAAACCGATCTGAATTTCCTACAAATGGGGCAGAAAAAAAAAGATATGCAAGTTCAGTAATCGGCCATCGCATGTTTGGACACACGGTTCATTAAAAAATAAGCAATGACGGTAGATGACTCTGCAATTGTCAGCCAAGTCAAAGTAGGTTGAGAAAAAAAAAAGAAAAAAAGACGACAATATAGGACAGCGTTGGGATGGATCGTTAATGCTTAGATATTATGCAGGCCTTGGGAGTTGTCCCTTTGACAGAATTAACCGCGACACAGCAAGCCGACGTTTACGGGATTGTCAAGATGCTTAAACCAGCGAGACAATGTGCGAATGGCAGACGAGGTACAGCGCGATTTGTGTAAAAGAAAGGGAAAAAAGCCATAGCAAGTTTTCCGCAGCTGACACCGTGTTTTATGCAAGATTGGCAATTGACGTTTCAAGTCATTGATCCATCGATTCAACCGCAATCCAAGATATCGCACATTACCAGCAACCTGTTTTACGAAAGTCAGGATTGGCTACCCGCAATTCAAGGTCCAGGTGATATTGTGATTTGCAAAAATGTCGTGGTACGAGCACCAAGCTTCAATTGGACAGTGAGGGAATTGGGGTTTTGACGTGCGTGTTTTTTCTTGATCCTCAGCTTCGTCCGTTCAACGGTACAGTTCAAGTGCAGAAAATAGCAAATCGGTCAACGTTTATTGTGGTTGATCCCGACACCTTGAAGCAGCGTCCCAATGCGGCCTACGCAATTACGCCGACAGAGAATGACTGGAAAATGATCCGACTATATCAACAATGGGCAAAAGACCGCAAAGCGACCGACCGACCGTTGCCGACCATGAATATGCCTTCCCAACCAAAGATTACGCACCTTCGAACGGATGAACTGCAACCTAATTATTTTCCCTATTTTGACTACGTTGGCCAGGTAAACTGCAAATATGTATCCGAGGAAACATTTGTCAGGGTCCTCATCAAGATATCCATTAGGTTGTGGCTGTGAATCTGCAGGGTCCTTGCATGGTGTTTCTTCTTACCGACTACACCGAGAATCCTCAGCCGATGGACGATGAAGACCTTCCAACGGGCGTGGATGCTCGGCTTCTGGTCCAATGTACATTGTGGGATGAAAACGTCCGACAATGCCCTGCGTTTCAACATGGCGATTTCATCCACCTGAGGAACTGTAAAGTCAAACAGAGCGCCTATGGCCAACTTGAACTCGCCGTGCATGGCGAAAAGAATCTGCAAAGAAAATTCAGAAAAGTCTTCAAACTTGATCCCGCGGACCCACTCCTCGCCCAACTGCAAACGTAAGTATTCTGTCGTCAAGAATCAAATAAAGCACGCAAATCATTGATTCAGGAACGTTTTGTCTAGTCGTCGCGAAGCATATGAGGCGAACAAGCGTCAAAAACGGCGAAAAGTCAACTCGATTCATGAAATTACCGTGGGAGTTGTACGCACCGGTATGTTTCTTGTCCGATTGTACCTTCTGGCCATGTGAAAACAAAAGTGCATTGTTGGGCTCAAATAACTTTATTGCAGTGCATAAACATCAAACCATGAATTATTCTTCCAATCAGACGGTCATGCACACGGACGAGGTATAGTGTCAAATGGACATGCCAAAAAAAAAAGACCATGTTGCTGTGTATTCACGTCTTTACAGCTTCCGAAAAAGTGGAAAATTAGAGCCTATCTTACAGATTATCATCCCTCCAATGCCAAGGATTGGGTCGTCAAATGGTGTTCACGATGTGATCGATCGTAAGTTTCGTTTGATTTTATCAGGGGGTTCAAAAACATTTAAAGGATTTCTTGGCTGGTGACTATAGATATGGCCAAAGCAGTACAACCGTGTGCGAATTCTGTAAAAGTGGATCATTGCAATACACGTATTCCGCATGTTTGCTGGCCCAAGATGCACAAGGAGTCAAGATCCCCATTTACTGTTACGGGAAAGATACTGTGAGTCATTCATGGATATCTCTAGAAACAACTTTTTTTGGCTAATTTCTTTTTCGATACAGATCTCCATGTTTCCAGACATGCCGCCTTGCGAGTAAGTATGGGATAAAATTTACGCGAATCACTTTTCTACACAGAAATCGGTCTAACAAAAAGTGATATTGGGTAGCCCCGAGTCCGACGCAATTTCTACTCTAAATCGACGCTTAAAGTACATCACGTCGCCGAACAATCCGGTATATTTGGATATTGGGATCAAAGGGTATAAAACAATCCACGGACGGCGATTCCGAATTTGCGATACCGAGTTTCTTTTCGATGAATAAGTTCTCAAAGCTTCACACTCTCACATTTCACTGTAAATTTGTATACATTTTGCCCTAGTAAATAATCTGCATTGCTCCATTTGAACATGGTACACGTTTATGACAAGTGCATATTTTTGGCGGGCAGCATCAAGGTTTCAGTAGCAATAACCTTGCCCAGTACATCGTATGCTTCTATGTAGACATTGGACTGCGTGGAGGCATCGATTTCCATGCCCGATAGTCGATACATGCTAGTAAATGCGGTTCCCAAGAAAAACCGGTTTACTCCATAATAAATAGCTACAAAGCCAATTCCTGGTAGGTTGTTGTCCGTATCGGCGGTGAAAAGGGTGTCCCATGCAATGGTTCCCGAAAAGTGAGATGCGTCTTGCCAACGGACCTCTTCCCAACGTAAATTCGTTAGTACGTTGAGATGTTCTTGCTTGGACAGTGGAGCCACACCCAAGTAACCAATTCGCATCAGATCGAGACCGGATTCTTTCAATTCGCTTGTATCAAAGGCTACGCTGAGACCCAAGTGTTTTACCGTCAACCGGGTCGCTGCACCGGATAAGGCCGGCCGGGACAGATTGATGGTTAGTACCGTCCATCCGTTATCGACCGTAATCGACTCTTTCTGCCACTGAGATTCGTTTGCTTGGAAACTGAGGCCATCTAGCGAGAATTCGCAGTATGGCTGAATTTTCAAACTATTGCTTTGTGCCAATGGTTTGTAAATCAGCTGGATGGAGCATCCTTCACTGATATCGATTGCCAATTGATACAATGGGATGTTATAATGAATGGTACCATCATGTGGATATTGGCCCGGTTGGGCAAGATCCCTCGTTAAGCGCAACAATAAACAGGTGCCACCGATGTACGCGTCAGTATCGCTCATGGAACATCCTAAAGCTGTACTGGACTCCTTATCGGCAAACGGTGTTCGGTAGTTGACGTTTGGAAGAATGCCTTGATGCGACAACTGTGACCACGGTGATGCCATAACTTGCTGTGAACGAACGTAACCGTTAGCAGACAAGGCCATACCTTTTGCAAATTTCAGTACACACTCACATTTCCGTTCAGGTAAAAAGCGCTACCGTAGCCTCGATCAAACCACGTAGCGAAAGACGTTCCTTGAGGAATACGTGCGGTCACACCAAAAGCTTCAGCGATGCCTTTTTTCCTATATCAATTTCTGAGACTTACTTCCCCCCTTAACGACCTATCAGATCCATACATTTTTTCATCAGGCTTTGGCGACGGAGGATCCTCCGGTTTTTCGGGCTTCTCTGGCTTTTTGGGTTCTTCTGGATAGGCGTCTTGCGGGCCACCCAACCAAAATAATTCCTCCAATTTGTCGAACTGCTGTTTTTCAAAGAACTCGTATGTCCATGCTGGGGCAAACAGAGCCGATGATGTACCGGCAAGGCTGGCAACTTCAACAGCCTAATGGTACATCAAGTTAATAAGCGACCTGCAGTGAACAGCAGCTACACTTACATTGGCTGAACGGAATCCGCCTCCGCCAAATGTATGCCGTCCCCACACATCCGTACCGAAATACACATCCGCTCCATTGCGACCTATATCATAATCATAGCATTACGCCGAAAAAGGTAAATACAACAACAATAATGAAAAAGAGAGCCGCTGTTATATGACCTCTACGTTCCGCCAGCCGGACCGATTCATCCGGATACGACTCCTAAGTAAATCCATTATGAGCATCTCATATACCATGAAAATAGCAAATTCACCTTCCACCAGTAATTCAAAAATATACCATCGCAAGCTTCGAAGAAGGGTTCGTTCAGAGGGGTCAATCGGTTTTGCCAGTCCACCTCTCCGACCATGGTCAAACTATCGTACCACAAGACCACCGATCCCGGAATCTCTGCATGCATTTTTTCGGTGAAGTATTGAATGAATCTGACAAAAGATGTACTGTTAGTATCTGGGTCACTTTTTGATCCGCTGCAGGACACTCTTACAGCACAAAATCCCGCGATTTACAAGGTGGCGGCGTAGGCAACATATAAAAGGGCACTTCAATATTCATGAGCCACCCATCAAACTTGTAGTATTTAGCCACTTCCACTAAGATATGTCCATAAGCCAGCGATTCACCCGAGTACAAGTTGTCATCTGCAAATATAAAGGGGAAATGAACTCACCCAGTTTGTCTGCGAAAAAAGGACTCCATAAACGCATCGGATCATCCGCGTCTTCGAAAAGTGCGGGCGGGCCGTGCAGCAACTTCTCAAGTTCAGATTCGGCGTCGCCTTCCACAATTAGGGTGCCCAGCATCTTGACCCCGTTTCGGTGACACGTATTAGTCCAGTTGACGGGAGGGATAGCCACACGACTGTGAGAGAAACTAACCACGGACGAAACATCGATCAGACCAAGTTACTCCTCCAAACAAAGTGCAATATTAGAAGCCACTCACTAGATAAAGGTATCGACATAGTGCAAATATTGACTGTTGTATATAGTTTGATAGTTACTGCCTTGAATGTACAAGTCTTCCTTGTAGCCTAAGGTGGATGGTCATGACAAGATTCCCAGTGGGCTCCACGGCGCGATGGACGCGACATGCCTAATTTACCTCCAGCCATATCGTGAGCCACGAGCAATCGGGGTCCGGACTGATTTACACGAGGTTGTAATGGCACTGTTGCAACGTTGAACGCATCGTTTTTGCCCGGTTGCCAGTTCTTTAGTTCTTCAAAAGACTGCAGCGGCTGAGACCGCGGTTGATCGGGTTCAAAGGTGTCGGGCACAGGACGTGAAGGCATGGTAAAAGGACTGTGAACGAAAAAAAAAAGCCCAGTGAGAAAAGGATGGCACTGGAAATATAAGGGGCGATGCCAACTGTATAGTTACACAATGGCATGTAATTGTTCCCGCATGACGCCGAGATGCATACATTGGCGATTGCGTGCATGAGCATCACTGTCTTTTTCGATATCTATATTTGATTGTCGACCAGATCACAGATTTTTAATCGCATGCAAGTCAACGCACGTATAGTGGTGCAATTCATATGGATCTATGCAGACCCTGTGGAGTGACTATTGAATTGACGGTTCATCTGCAGACATAGATTGCATTCGGGTTGGAGGATAGCTGATGAACTGTGCTATTGTATCAACGCAAGATCTCCAGCATATTCAAAGGTCGAATGAATGATGATAACCAAAAAGTTGTCCTTTGTAGCAGCAAATACTTTAATGAACTGTGTTTCTTATTTTTTGGTTTTCTATACAACTAGTTTGGTTTCTAAAAAATTATGGAGATGCGGGTTTAAAATCGTTTCGACATTCTGTTCTTTGCTTCCTTTTCCTTTTGATCTAACAGCTGCTTGCGTCTAAATAAACCGTCTTTGGCGGCGCTGGAGATCACCTTGGCGATCAACTCTACACCGCGGATGGAATCGTCGTTGGCTGGAATGGGATAGGCCACCAAGCGAGGATCGTAGTCGGTGTCGGTGATGGCAATGATAGGAATGTTGTGCAACTGAGCTTCGGCAATAGCGATTTTGTTTTCAAGAGGATTTAACAACACGATTAAATCGGGTTTGAACGTTTTCGAAGGACGACCAGGATTCTCAGGATCAGGAGTGGCATGACGACCAAGAACCTGGAAACGGTTGGTCAGTGTACCTGGGATCCATTTCGAGGAAACCTGGAAACCTTCGCAATGTCGTGCAGCGTCAATGGTGAGATCCTGGAAACCAGGACGGGTGCCAATGAACAGAATGGTGCCACCACGGGTAGCAATTTCTCTCGTCACATTGCATGCTCTTCGTAAGTACACCAAAGTGTGTTCGAGGTTGATGATGCTGATGCCTTCACGGGTACCAAAAATAAACGGAAGCGTCGAAGGTTCCCACAGACTCGTCGAGTGACCGAGATGAAGACCCGCCGCCATTAATTTCGCAATGGTAAGGTTATATTGAGTGATGGGTTCGGTAGCCTCTTGGACAGCACGTCGAATAGGTGTTTTGATAGCCTCGGCCGGTGGCACTGAACAGCAACAAAATAAGACATAAACGCATGAGTCTAAGGAAGTTATTTCGTTGGAGTAATAGATTACAAGCACCACTTACCCAGCGATTCCAGGGTGGGTTTGTTATCGGAAGTTGTGGAGGCTTCAGGAGCGGCTCTCCATGCTGTAGTTGACAGGTTTCGAGTGCATTCTATGAAGAGAAAAAAAGTCAGGACCACCAGAGTCGATGACTGATTCACAAAAAAAAAAAAGGACAACGTACGCTGTGAAATAGTCAAGAAACGCCCGCGGGAACCCGCCAAGGCTTTATAAATCGCTCGTGAAGTCATTGTTCAAAACGACGGTGGGCTGTTTGGCACAAGGGGACCAAGTGGTTAGGGGGGGATAAGGATTTTTTGGCAAGTCCAAAAATTGCACGTCACAAAATTTGGGCAAGCATTTAGGCTGTGCGGGGGAAGGCCGCTCCTGGACCGCACGCCGGACCGGAGCCAGAATTTCCCGATCGTTGTACATCAATGAAGCCGAGCCACCGAAGCCAAGGTTCGCTCTCTTTTACCAGACATATCCTTCAAAGGTAAGCTGCAGCAGTAAAAGCATAGCCAAGGGCAGGGGGAGAAGGATAGATGAATGGAAGGATGCAATCGATGCTTCGAAAGTATCTATCAATCTCGGCACGGATGGATGCATGGATCGCACCAACGATGAATCATCGCAGAACGTCTCGCCACCCGCCATTTTGTGTTCGATATCGTATTTGTGTTCGTTCGTGCGCCATTCATTGTCTATCCTGGAACCCATAAAACCCAAGACTTGGTTATTTTATATTTATTTTTTACTCACCTCTGTTTTTTCTTTCCTTTATTGTTTCTCTTTGGGTGCTTTTGTAGGGTTGAATTGCCATGGGTGGTAAGGATCGGTAGCATTGATAAATGCTTTCCATGCCAAAAGATTTATAGTGTTCAATATAACTAATCTCTACTTTTAATAGCTTACAAATATCTCGAGGAGCTTTACAAGAAGAAGCAGTCGGATGTGTTCCGTTTCTTGCTTCGTGTCAGATGCTGGGAGTTCAGACAAATGAACGTCATTCACCGTGCTTCTCGTCCTTCTCGTCCCGATAAGGCTCGTCGCTTGGGCTACAAGGCCAAGCAAGGCTATGTCATTTACCGCATTCGTGTCCGTCGTGGTGGTCGCAAGAGACCCGTCCACAAGGGTGCTACTTATGGCAAGCCCGTCAACGAGGGTGTGAACCAGCTCAAGTACCAGCGTTCGCTCCGTTCCACCGCCGAAGAGCGTGTCGGTCGCAAGTGTGCCAACCTCCGTGTCTTGAACTCTTACTGGATCAACCAGGATGCTACTTACAAGTACTTTGAAGTCATCCTCGTCGATCCCTCGCACAAGGCCATCCGTCGCGATCCCCGCATCAACTGGATCGTCAACCCCGTCCACAAGCGTCGCGAAGCCCGTGGTCTTACCGCCATCGGCAAGAAGTCTCGTGGCAAGGGCAAGGGTCACTTGTTCACCAAGACCAAGGGTGCCGGTCGTCACTCCAACTGGAAGAGACGCAACACCTTGTCTCTCCGCCGCTACCGTTAAATGTAGAACAAGCCCCTGTGCTTTTTCTTTACAGATTGTATGGAATTTTGTTGTCACTTTGCACGAGATTTTCATAAAATCCTTCGGAAATCCAAACATGCTAGCAGCAACTTGGGACTCTTTTTTAATGATCAAATGGTTGAATGGAAGGGGATAGGATGGGCATGATAAAATGAGTTATTTGTCTTTGTGAGTGTGTAGTATCAATGCCAGCGCGTGCGTTCTTTTTTTTTTTTGACCACGAATGATGGTGCAAAAAAGGTTCTCATTCGTTATTGCCAGAAAACTATGACAGTAGAATGGGGATTCATGTGCGATAGCATTTCATGCATGTGAATACGTATAAATTAGTCTATCATCAGCATGAAAGCCAACTTGTTTCTAATGCATATTGTGATAGTTATTATGGTAAGACATGGTTGCAAGGCCAATTCTAAGATGCTAATTTTCTATAGTTCTTTTTGATATGTATTTGAATACATTGTGCCGCGGAGGCACGAAGCAATCGCTGGGTGCCACAAAATCAAGGTCAATGGATTCACTCTTCTGTTAACCGAAGGCCATACTCTTTCAATTGGGCGGCTGTTACTTCTGAGGGACTATTGACGACAAAATCTTTGCCACCGGCCGCTTTGGGGAAGGCAATCACATCACGGATCGAAGCGACGTTGCATAAAATAGCCATGAGTCGGTCGAATCCAAGGGCAATACCACCGTGAGGTGGACACCCTCCGCCCAGCGCATCAATAAGATGATCGAAACGTTGGTATTCGTACTTTTCCAACTTGGAAACAAAATAAAAACATCATATCAGCTATGCAATCAAAAATTCGCTTTTCGATATTGGTAGATGGAGTACCTGAAGCACTTTGTCAAAGATAAACGATTGCATCACTGGGGAATGAATACGAATGGATCCACCCCCAATTTCCATGCCGTTGAGGACAAGATCATAGTGCTGACCTCGTACCTTGGCTGGATCGGTCGCAAGGAGGGGAATATCTTCGTCAAAGGGAGCAGTGAACGGATGATGCGTAGATTGCCATGTGCGAATGCCTTGTTCATCCGGTGTAAAGAGGGGAAATGATTCCACCCAGAGGAATTTGAAAGCATTCGGATCGAGCTGAAGGAGTCCTAACATAATTCCCCATCTTAGTATTTAAACAGCCATGCCACAACTTGATTCGAATGTTTACCCTTCTCCTGCATAGTGTTGGCAAAATGAAGTCGAAGACGACCCATCAGCGTGTTACCGCCCTATAACACCGAATACCGTGTAAGCCAATGCTGAAAAACCACCTTGTCCACCGTCTAAAATTATCTACTCACATAGAGATAATTGGGTCGTTTGTTCACGAGTACAAGGTCCCCTTGTTCAATGTTGAGTTTGCTATTCAGCTTGGATTGTACGCTGTCAATGTGCTGAGAATGACGAAGGAATCCACATTTGCGCAGCCATTGATGAATGTTGTTTTCGTTGATTTTCGCAAATGCAAATTCCTGAGGCAATCGCGGTTGAAATAAGTCATCTTTTCCACATCGGTCATCACAGGTAACCGTACACATACCTTGGAATCGACCAAATCAAAGGCCTTTTGTGTATTCTTCAAATCACCTCCAGTCAATGATGAGCCTTTCTTCACAACCATACAATCAATGGAATCTTGGCCCGCAACATCCGATACATATGATTCGATTTGATTGATCTGGAACAAAATTCAATCTGTTGAGAGAGTCGTTCCTGATAATTCATCCTTAAAATATAGCTTTACCTGCATATCAAATCGAACATCGGGCTTATCGGAACCATACTAAGAAGAATAATAGGCGTTAAGCTGATGGCCAAGCGCTTGGTGAAAAAAGGCAGCATTTACCTTGGACATGGCATCATGGTACGTCATGTGAGGAAACATGCTACTGTTGAGCTTCATTCCCAATGCCTTGTCCCAAATAGCAGTAATCATGCCTTCAATAATACGTTGGATATCGTCCACTGTAATAAATGACATTTCCAAATCGATCTACCCGAGAGCCCGTCAAAATATATGTACGCAACTTTGCGTTTTCCCCTACTTCCGCTTTCTTACCTGAGTGAATTCCGGCTGTCGATCCGCTCGCAAATCCTCGTCACGGAAACATCTCGCAATTTGAAAATATCGATCAAATCCGGCCGCCATCAACATTTGCTTGTGCTGGTGATGAATGTGAACGAGCACATGAGGTCAGCACGGATGTACTTACAGATAATTCAACATAGTACCTGTTGTGGACTTTGCGGTAAAGCATAGAAAGCGCCACGCTTCCTTGTTGGCACGATAAATTCTCGTGCACCTTCGGGAGTCGATTTGAACAGAGTTGGCGTCTCAATTTCCGTGAATCCTGCAAAGGTTCAAATGATGAGATGACCAAGTTTGCTTTTGATTTCTTTCTTTCCCAAACTACTGACCATGCCCAATGAGATACTGTCGGACAGTGTTGGCTGTCACGGATCGTAAACGAATGTTCTTTTGCAATTCATCCCGCCGTAAATCCAAGTAGCGGTATCGCAAGCGGATCTCCTCGTTGGGCAGCTGAGGTTGGGTCGGCAAAAAGGGGAGAGACGGCGACGACGGATTCAAGCAGTATATGTTGGTGATTTCGACTTCGATCTCGCCGGTAGTCTGCTTTTGGTTGGCCATGCCTTCGGGACGACGATGAACAATGCCTTCCACACAAATCACACTTTCGGCTGACAGATTCTGGATCTGCGCTTTGAGGTGAGCAGGACAATTCTCACTGCGATATACAAGTTGAGTGACTCCCGTTGAATCACGAATGGGAAGGAAAATGAGATCTTGCGACATGGCTCTAGAATATATTGTGAGTATGTTGGGCGACCTATTGGTGTTTGTAAATCAACGATTCTACCTTGGTGACTGCGCCCAACCGCTCAGGACGACATGCTGACCGTTATCCGAAGCTCGCAATTGGCCACAGTAGTGGGTGCGTGCAGGGTATTTTCCTAACCGCAACGTCAAGTCTGTTAGCCGAGTGAAAAAGGTGCGTGATGAAGTCCAAGTCATTACCGTGATGCCGGTCGCTGTCTTTGTACCCTTGCAAATGTTGTTCTCGCTGGATAGCCGATGTTTGAAAACCGCGACAGCAAGTTGCACGTACTGCAACCAAAGGCACTCTTGTTGCAACTGTATGTTGCCGTAAACTTGTGCGGCCAACCAACAGCGCTGCCTTCAATAACCGAGAAGCAGCCATAGTTCAACAAGTCAAAAAATGACAGTTTTCCGTAATCCCTTTTTTTTCTTTCTTTTTTTGGGATTCGACAGTCAGCGAATGAAATTAAGCTTTTAACCCCGTGGACGGACAATCGCCGATCCGATAGATATTACACCCAGATAAACAAAAGCTAGTTCAAAAGATTTAAAATGTATGCCAGTTATAGTAGTATGCACTGCTGATGTATGCTCCACGGCTGTGTTCCACGCTGTATAATTTCATAGCAATGTTATGACAGGGGCGTCTTAACATTGTCCCAGTCAAACTGATAAGAATACTGGTGCTGATGACGCCAACTGAAGTATGAGCATCTCACGCCTATGGATTGGTTATCGTTTGTTGTTGTCCCTCTCACCTCTTCAGTTCAGGACCATCTTGATTTGGACACCCAAATAATTTGGAAAAGTCAAAGACAAGATACTTCCTGAGGGTGATAAAGGTCGATAATAAATTGATTAGGATACTTCTACTGTACTATGGTGGAGGGTGGGTATTTCTTGACTTAAGAAGAGATTAATTATAACACATAAATTTTTCTGAGCATGAGGTCCGTGAATATAAGTTGTAGAATCCATCAACCTCCTGGTCCTTTTTCTTATTTGCCTTCAAAAATTCCTCAAAATATTTAATCCCCGAACTTGGGATGCTTAAAATTAGAAGCAACTACAATTTCCCATTCCATTTTCCAACATTATACTCTTTGCTAATGGTAAGGCAACAATGCTTTGCGATGCTTTATACTCTCGTTCAGGAACACTCATAAATATCTTCTCTGTAAAGGCTACTACACACACACTCCGTAAGAAGAACGCCGTTTACCAGAATAATGTCAACAAGCGTGGCCACGTCAAACCTTCTTTGGTATTTATAAAAGCTCGCGTCTTTCTACAAGCCGACGTTACTGACTCCATTTGCATCTAGTTCAAAAAGAATAACAAGGACAAACTGGGTTCTCCTTGGCTGTACGTTATTTTGGCAGCGTTTTTAATGGGAGGCAAGTAGTCGCCCTTTGAGAGGACATATCAAGGCAATGGCAATGGAATCACATATTTACCGTTTAATTGTTTGTAGGTGTATTGCAATTTCTCCAGATTTGGTTTTCGTAAAAGCGAATCGGCCCAATAGATTCCAGAGTTTTGTGTCAATCATCCGTGGTTGATTGTCTGAGCCGGTAGACCGTCAGGCTCATTTTTGTAAAATTTGTATAGCACCACCTCAACTCTTTTTTCCCGCTTTTTGTTCTTGTTCACCCCACCCCACCACCAATCTTGTCACCAGGAAAACCGCCGAAAACCATTAGGATGTGTTATTCTGAAAACCGCAATCAATAAACTTCCATTTGGTATCTCGATGATGTGGAAGTTTCTGATTGGTCCATTACCTGCTTATCTCGAGAAATTACGCTTAAATCAGTGGAAATTGCGTACGGCCAGCATTGTAGATTGTGATCGACAAGTTTGTTAGTTGTATGATATTTCCGGAAAGCGAGTTGAGAACTTTCAAAGCATGCTTTGTTAGTAATGGTGGGTTTTTAGGCAATTGCATTATAATTCAGGAACAATAACCTAATGCAGCAAAGCGGGACATTCGCCTTAAATGGACAAGACCCTCCTGGCAAAACAACAAATGGTGGGACAACGCTGGGTTACTGAACATTCAGAACTATTTTTACTGCAGACCTTTGTCTTACTGTAAGCATTGTCCCTAATTGAGCGACATGATGAATACGCTTGTCACAGAAAATATGCCGATCCAATGAGGATATCAATATGAAAAAACTGAAGGTGATGATAGACCTGTGCAGACGCGAGTCCACATAGCCACGTCTGTTAGACTTGATGTCAGTTTATTTGATGGGTTATTGACATGGGGAGCCGTTCGATCTAAGTCGCAACGCCGCTGGCAAGTCGCATAAGATTAACTGGCCTCCAAATCAAAGATTCAGAAATTCTCAATTTGGGGGATTCGGCCAATCCAACTCGGGTCACTCCATGACCTAATATTCAGATTAGAATAGAAGAAGAAGTTATTAATGCTCAAAAACTTGATAAAGCTCCGCAATATATTAAGGGAAAGGGTACAGTAACACTGTCATTGTTTGGTCCTGTTATTTGTAATCATTATACGAAAAATCCGACCGATTCATCGAAGAACCCAACCAAATCAAACAAAGACACGGAGCTGAAATCCACCATGAAACTTAAAAGTCGTCGTAATCGACGCTTGGTTCCTCCTCACTGAATGCGATGGCTTGAAAGTGGTCCAGCAAATGTCATCGTTATCCATTAAAAAAACAAACTCACCAATAGCTTTTCCGGATACTGCAGATTTGCAGCTTTATATGAATGTCGGGCATCAAATTCAAAAATTGCTTGAGAACATAACAGTGTGTTTGTGCAGTCATTGGTCAAACGACGAATAAGGACCTTAAAAGAAACTATGCACCATCATAGCTAAAGAAGTTATCTGAAATATTCCTTGGGAAATGAGGACGGACACATTTTGGCGAACGTGTTATCGATGCACAGCACGGTATTTTTTGTACCAGCGTACCGATAAGAATGACAGGATAAGTCATTTTCCCGTTCCAGCCGATAAAATCAAGATCCCATTTGCCGCAATCATGTGGGCGTTTCACTCAAATGCAATATCAGGTTTTCTGTGAGGGTCAACAGCAACATGTTAAACAACAAAAACAAAAAGATAAAGACAGAGATAGAAGATGCAGAAAAATCCTGAGAGCTATTAAAAGATTTGTGAAATACAAGAGGATGCAGAAATATCAGTAAAATGGTGAACAAGGTTTGTGTGTGGAGTGAACTGAAAAGAAAAGAGTAGAAATTTATGCAGCAACCGCCAAGGACTGGACGGCTTTGGACTCCTGGATATGCTGGCTGTCTTGGTGATCCCAGGCAAAGTCTTGGGTGGCCGTATCGACCAGCATCTCCGCAATAGCCAATGATGCCGTGCATGCAGGAGTAGGTGCGTTGCGCACACAGAGAATCTTGCCGTTCATCACTTTACGTTCCAAAATGTAGTCATTCGCGGCTACACCTCCCTTTTCAAACACCTGTGACATGACGCCCGCAAAACTTTCCTCCACCATATCTTCGGTCAATCCCGGTACGTACGCCTGAGCTGCTCTGAGGAATGCGCGCTTATTGATATCCTTGTACAGCTCTCCCAGTGACAGAGATGGGTTCTTGAGAGCAAAAAGCCACAGGTTTAAGTTGGTGAGAGAACCTAAGAGATCGGTCCAGTTTAAGTTGCTGAATGTGTATCCTTCCCGAGAGAATGTCAAGCATGCTCCGGGTCCAATAATCATTTGAATTCCACGACGCGTATTGACCTAGAAATGGAAATGAAAAAAAAAAAAAAAAGTGATGAGCCGCGGGAAAAAGTTTGCCAAAGATGCAATCAACGTACAGTGGGCGTAAAGTGGACACCAACAGGGATACCACCACCACTGGGAACAGGATAAACGTTCATACGACAGATGCCACGGTATTCCGGCTTGAGCTGATAATAAGTACCACGGAAAGTCACCACCTTGGCTTGGCTAGCATCGCCTCCCGCTAAACCGGCCACACGATCTGAATAAAATCCTGCACAGGTGATGACATTCTTGGCCGTCACTTTCAATGTCGGTCCACGTTGGTTGGGTTCCGCACCCCAAATTTCCACTCGTCCATCGGGTCTTTCCTGAAATTTCTTGGCTTCAAACGCCAACTTGATCTCTGCACGACTATCAAAAAAAAAGAGAGAGAAAATCGTTAGTTCAAAACGTTCCAATACGACGATAGCATAACGAATGGGGTTCAAGAATGTCCAAAAGTGGCGACTTACCCCGATTGAACGATTTCATTTGCAATGCATTGAGCCACTAGACCAAAATCAGTAATGCCGGTATTGGGCGAATAAAGAGCCGAATAAGCAACCACGTTGGGCTCCAACTTGCGGATCTACAGGCAAAAAAAAAAAAAAAAAAAAAAAAAAAGAGTTCATTGTTTATGGTTATTTTGGAAAGTTCCACACACTAGGGACCACGGAATTGACAATTTTTTTATCCAAATGTTTACCTCCTCACTGTTTAGGATTTGCAGATCCTTGGCACCATTCAACGTGGCCGTTTCCAAAAGTCGCTCCACCGTCTTGTGTTCCTCCTCATTGACAGCCACGATAAGCTTTCCGCACCGTTCCACCGGCAGCTGATTTTGTTTGCAGTATTCATACATTAGATCTGCGCCTCGTACGCATGTTTTGGCCATTCTGGATCCAGGCTTATAGTAGATCCCCGCATGAATCACTCCACTGTTGTGACCGGTCTGATGAGCGGCTACTTCACGTTCTTTTTCTAGCACCGCCACTGTCATTGTAGGGAATCGTTTGAGCAATTCACGCGCTGTCGCCAAACCAATAATGCCTCCTCCCACTATCGAGATCAATTGATTAAGAGAAAAAAAAACATGTTCAGTTCTTGTCTTCATTCTCCCTTTTGAACCATTTGTCCATGAAAATCATACCAATGACCACATCAAAATCAGTTTTGCCGTTATTCTGAGCCAGCGCTGTACGAAATCGTTGTTCGGCTGCAAAACCTCGTAATTTGGCCAATCCTTCGTTGACAGGCATATTTTCACCCGGCAAAGTTTCCCAGAAGGATAATTTATGCTTGGCATCGGCGTGAACCTTGCGATCGGATTGAACTGCCATATACACTAAGCCTGTAGTAGCAAAGGCGCCTGCAGCCATCACAGGCATGCGAGTATGTTTAAATGATCTAGCAAATCGAAACATGGTAGCGACAGAAAACCAAAAAAAAAAAAAAATGGAAAATGGGTAATAGCGCTAATTGACAAATGACCTGATGTGGTCGCCTTTTATATATACATGACAGAAGCAAAGAAGTTTCCAAAAAACATGGAGTGCTGGAAAAAAAAAAGTCACCCCTCCCCCGACAAAAGGTATCTAATGCATGTAGGCCAGAATTTTTCAAGGAGTATGCGATGCGTGCCTGTGTATTTTACGGCTTCATTATCAGTTCGCTCATCCCTTTTCCTCGCTGATTTTCTCCTAGAGGATCACAAAATGTATGGGCAATATGACCGAAGGTCAGAGAGAGAGACAGATCACCCCTTAATCTTATTTTAACGGTTTATAGAAATTGACATTCAGTCTGATCGTTTGGCATTGCCAAGCTTCAATTTACCATATATGGGCGTGCAATAGCGATCATCTCCTCCATCTGCTCAATGCGCCATTCCTGAAATTCTATGCACGGCAAGCAATATTGTATAAGCAAACATCGAGGCTGCCAATTTTCATTTGTTTTCTTATGTTTTTTAGACAAAAATTCCGTTTATATACAATGTGGAAATCCAAAAAAAAAAGGCTAAAAAAAAGGTGATCTATAACTTCTAGTTCTTGTTGCGCAAGGCATCGTTGAGACCTTTCTTGTTGCGAGCAATTTCCACAGCATAGAACTGTAGAGCCAAAGAAAATGGGAAGAAAAAGCATCAGCAGTAAATTATTAGTTCTCTCATGACCTAATTAAAGATAATACGCATTTGTTTTTAATTACCTGCATGCGGACACCTGAAGAGAAAAAGAAAAAGATAGAGAATCAGCCATCAGGATCACCGTCATCACGAATATACAAAAATCGATCATTCTGCACTTACCAAACATGGTGTTTTGCTCAGTGTAGTCCTCTCTGGCATCAATACGGATCAAAGAACCGAAATTGAATTCATTGACGCGCTTCTCGTACTTGTTGATCCACGTACGCCACTTTTCCTTGTATTCGGGTGTCTTGAAATGCTTTTCATCCAAATGCAACACATCAATCTCGGGGAACGACTGCTGGAAATCATCATAGATTTCATCATCAATGCTATTTTTTGATCGTCAGCGAATACAAAAAAAAAAAATTATGCGGATCCTTAAAAAAATTACCCTGTAAGGCGAAGCTTGCTGCCGTCAATGGAAGAGATCAATTTGAAGTAGGTCTCGGCGTGGTGCATCGCCTGATATCACCAAAAATTGTGTGAGCACAGCCGACATATTATTTAATGCTAAATAAACCCCGAGAATCTAAAGAAAAAAATATCTAGTCAGCAACAGAGAGTTTATCGCGTTACGATTCAAATAATGGACTTACAAGAACCCAATCAACTTGCCTTGACAGCCCACTGCTTTTCTGTCATTCGAGTTAATGGACCATTTTCTTCGCGAGAAATGCGGTATTTATTGATAACTTACCAATATCTTCGAGTTGCTCGAGTTCGTCTGCTGAAGGAAGAGGCATGTTGACTTGTGATTTGTCGTTGATGGACACCGGAAGAGTGAGTTCAAAAAAATAAAATAAAAAAAATAAAAAAAAAAATTAAAGCAAACACGCAAAAAAGCGGTCATCCAATGACGTATCATGGAATTGAATGTTTGAACCAAAGAGACACCAAAAGGGTCAGCGGGACAAGAAATATGCGTTTCGTACTCCTCACTCCTGTATAGATATTTTTTTTTTCTTTGGATTATTTATAATATAACAAAGTATGCCAGAAAGTCAGAATTTGCGAGACGATGACCCAGGAAATGAGACAGCCATCGACAGCGAACATGAAACACTACAGTCAGGGTCGTCCGACCACAAAACATCCGTGAAAAGTAACCGTGCCAATGGCGAAACGAACGGTCACACCGTAAAAGACGGCGACGACAAACCCAGCAGCTTGCAAGACGACCACGGCCACGATTCGGACGACGAAGAAGATGAAGATGAAGAAGAAAGCGATGATGGCGACGATATTGACGAGGAACCGAAACTTCGTTATCGTCGCGTCGGTGCAGGTGTTTCCGAGTTACTCGGCAAAGACGCTGCCTCTGTCTTGCGAGTTTCCGACAAGTTTGTGGTATGGCGTGTCCTTTTTTTCTTCGACAACATCTATCTGTAGGATTCACTGGAATTTTATTTTTTTTTCTTTATAAAGGCACTCGGAACGCATTGGGGTGTGGTGCATATTCTCGATTTCGAGGGCAACGTGATCAAAAGTTTTCGACATCACTCCGCGACGGTAAACGACATTTCCATTGATGATGCTGACGAGTACGTCGCAAGTGCTTCCGATGATGGTAAGATGGGCTGAACAGGATGTTGAATCAAGTCGAACAAGCTCAATCTTAAACTCTATACGGAATGATCAGGAAAGGTCTACATTTATGCATTGTATACATCGGAAGTGCAACACTTCAATTTTCGACGGCCGGTCAAATCCATCGCGCTCGATCCCGCTTACGCCAACAAATCCACTCGACAATTTGTCTCGGGAGGTTTGGCCGAACAACTCATCATGACCGAGAAAGGTTGGTTAGGTCATAAAGACGTGGTGCTTCACGCCAACGAAGGTCCGATTTATGCAATTCAGTGGCGAGGCAATTTTATTGCTTGGGCCAATGACGCCGGTGTAAAGATGTACGATACAACCACCAACCTCCGTATCACCTATATTGATCGACCTGAAGGAAGTCCACGAGCTGATCTCTATAAATGTCGGATGTGCTGGAAGGATGATCATACCTTGCTCATTGGATGGGCCGATACCGTCAAAATCGCTGTTGTCAAGGTAAGCTGGTTTTGGCAGTAAAAGAAAGAGCAGATGTATTGATGAGATGAAATTTTCAAACATAGGATAAACCACGGCACCAAATAGCGCCGGGCCAGCCCGCACATTATGTGGAAATCGTTGGCATGTTCCAAACTGATTACATTGTTTGTGGAATTGCCCCTTTCAATGATACCCTTTTGCTACTTGCGTACATTCTCGAGGATGATTTGGCTTCACTCGATGCCGACAGCCAGAATCCGGAACATCAACGAAAACGACTTGCCACACGTCCCGAACTCCACATCATCAACAGCGATAACGAGGAAATATCGGCCGACGTACTTGCTTTACAAGGATACGAGTATTATCAAGCCAACGATTACGTGCTGCAGTTTTTGGCCGAAGAAGACATGTTTTATGTCTTGGGACCAAAAGACCTGATTGCGGCCAAATCTCGAGATCAAGATGATCATATTGAGTGGTTGATGGATCATCAGCGTTACGGCGAAGCTCTGAATGCCGCACGGGAATTACAACATCAGACAGGCAGTCGGCGATTTGACGTTGACAAAATTGGTCAGACATACTTGGATTGGCTCGTTCAAGAGAAACAGTTTCAAGAGGCGGCACGAGAATGTCGCAATGTTCTCAAAGACGACAAGGGACTATGGGAAGACTGGGTGTTCACCTTTACGGAGATGGGCGAACTCAAGGTATCTTTTTTTTAAGCGATCCAAACTCAGTGATCCTATGGGCATTGTTTTCCTATCGCAGTTTTAATGATAAACAATACAGGCCATCGCTCCTTACATCCCGGTAAAAGATCCACAACTGAGTAGCACTTTGTATGAAATCGTGCTGGCCTGGTTTTTGAAGACGGATCATCAGGCAAGGCAGAACAAACAAAACAATCGGTGCGGGAGCTATTGTTGACTTTTAACTTCTGTAGGCTTTACTCAACACCATCCGACAGTGGCCACGCACCTTGTACAATATATCCAATGTGATTGTCGCAGTAGAAGACTATTTACCAAAGGACAAAAGCAACGAAATTTTGCTTGAATGTCTTGCCGACCTGTAAGTCGCCATGACGTGGTTTCAACACATTTGTGTTCTCACTCTATTTTCTATCTGCAGATATACCTATAATAATCAACCTGACAAAGCAATAGAATACAATCTTCGATTAAGAAGACCGGACGCGTTCGAATTAATCCAAGAATACAACATGTTCGACGCAGTGAAAGATAAGGCCGTATTGCTGATGGAGTTCGATCAGCACCTACTAGAAAAAGAACGCAAAGAAACCTCGGCCACAGACCAAACCGATCATCCCAAACCGGCAGCCCAGATGCCGGCCGTGCAATTATTGGTCAAAAACACAGACGCCATCCAGGTACTGCATTCAAAGCCGCGCTCCCTTCAAAGAGGATGGGGACTGACTGAGATTCCTTTTTCATCTGTGTAGCCCCAAAAAGTTGTGCGGCAGCTTCGATCCCATCGCCGATTTCTTCACATCTATCTCGATGCACTATTTCAACGCGATCATCACATCGGCTACGAATTCCATGATTTACAGGTACCATTGAATAACAAACACATTCACTGTACGCGGATCAAACTGAATCTTGGAGTCTAGGTGGAACTCTATGCTGAATATGATTACCCTAAGTTGATCGATTTTCTTCGCGCAAGCCATTACATATCACTGGAAAAGGTATATAAAAAACGAACCACTGATGGTGGTATCTGTTTGTATGATTGACTTACAGAGGGTGATGCTTAGGCTTACGCGATTTGCGAGCAACGAGATTTGGTTCCTGAGATGGTGTTTATCCTTGGTCGCATGGGTAACAATAAAAAGGCCCTGATGTTGATCATTGAACGGCTGGGAGATGTTCAAAGGGTAAATGACGTTGATTTATTTTGCTTGCAACAAAATTGCAAAAGGAAGCGCGTAAAGTAAAAATGTGGTATTGACTCTATTGTAGGCGATTGATTTTGCCAAAGAGCAAAAAGATGATGATCTTTGGGAAGATCTTTTGACTTATTCGATGGACAAGCCAAGCAAGTGTTGCCATCATGGATTTTTGATACGACCGAATTATTTATTATTGCATCGTTAGTGTTCATCCGAGGCCTTTTGGAGAATGTTGGCACCGACATTGAGCCTTTACGGCTGATCAAGCGTATTCCCGATCAGTTGGAAATTCCAGGGTTAAAAGAAGCATTGCTGAAAATTTTACAAGATTACAACCTTCAGGTAGGATTTAGCTTGTTACAGTGAGGAGGTCGAAAAACGTGTGATTATTCAACCAACATGATATCTTGTAGATGTCGCTGCATCAAGGCTGCGAAAAGATTTTGATCAGTGACAGTGTCTTCCTTGCCGACCGAATGTATAAAATTCAAAAACGCGGTATCCATTGTGACGGTAAAGTATTCACGTTAGTGGGGCCGGGGGTGGTGATTCTGCAGCGTATCTGTTAAACGCACGATGCTCATGTTCCTGTTGTGGGTTTATTTTCTTGGCAGCAGATGATATGCTTTGCAGCTTGTGTGACGAACCTGTATTTGATAACGAGATGATGGATAATTTTCCAAACACGATTGTTTTCTTTTGCCGACATGCATATCACGAGCGATGTCTATTGGATAAAGAGGAACCAGATGTTCATGATACGATCCACTCAGGCACTTTGTCCAGCAAAGTAAATCATGTGGCCCTCCTAAAGTCAACCAGAAATGTAGGATGTCCGCTATGCCGAGAACAAGCTGCAGGGGGGAATGCATTTGTCAATCGAATGAAATCGACGAGACGAGGAGCTCACAAAGGTTCCCCATCACGAGCAGGAAGCATTCGAAATTTGGGCATCGTGCACTAACAAGAGACATTCCCCTACTCTACGGTTGACTCAGTGTCTAATATACCAATTGTTTATCTGTTTAATACAATCCATCCCACCCAAACATGACATGTGTTTACCAGTAGATATTGAGTGCGTTTTTTTTTCTACCTCTGGTACAAACATAGCTGTTATGCAGGTAACGAACACTCAAACTTAGGACCAGAGAAAATGGTACAAATTGCAAACCATGAGAATATATGATTTGCCAAAATTTTATTGCTATACTTTAAACGAACTCCATCAGTTTCAGTACGCGTAGATGCGGAAGCCGTTTGAAAAACCACTGGAATTGGATTGAAACATTTGACGCTGGATTATCGCCTTTTTGCTTCGTAAGCCTACAACAATGATGTGATAGTATTCACGCCAAAATAGCAGCGCAAGAGAAAAAAGAAAATACCGCCTTGAATACGATGTCTTTGAAACTTACCGTGTCCCAGACTTTCCTTCTTTCTTTCTTTCTTTCCATCACTTGCCGGTCGATCCGGAGAACTGACAGTAGAGCCGTGTAATAATCTGATGCCATGGTCAAGGTTCCTGAGGACACTTACCCATATAGAAAGTGAAATAAAGCTAATCTGCAACATATATCGCAGCCTTTTTGTAATGGTGATGCAAAACGCCATTGCTTACGTCGGAGATTGTACACAGAAGGAAAACGTTCTGTGTGGGATGTGTCACCAGCCATGCTGGGATAAATCATGCGGGAAAGGAAGGCAGCACGAAAATTCATTTCTTTTTTTTTTGTCGTCCCAAAAATCGTTGTTTTTTCATACATGATAAAGTATCTCTTTGTATAAACTACAAACGTTTTCCTCAAAAGCGAAAAAGACCAAATCATGAGATGAAATAATCACTGGAATCAGCTGCTCGACCGAAACCACCTTTATATGGCCTATCGCGATTGCAAATTTTCGAGTCACAATAATGATAGGTGACATTATGCGGACATTACAAATGCTTACGTTGGCAGCTTCGTTCCGACTATGAATGGAGAGGTGTGATGTCGGTCTAAACATGTGCGGGTGAAGTACTGATGTAGGCATGGGTTTACCTTGCGTGCCAGTGGACCATTCGGGAGAACATGGAGAAACTTCTCCTGGCTCACCTGAGTTTTTGTACCACCATTGCTTTTTTGTGCGCTTTGAACAATAATTGAATCGTCGGCTCATCTATCATGCATCAAGGTCGTGATATTGCCAAATTGAGGGAGAAAAACGCAACGGTTGCTGTCGATGCCCATAACAAAAGACTACATTACGGTTCCTCTGTATTTTTAATCCATGTCATAAAAGTTTTCAAATTATGCATAGGTGAGCGCTTCATGACAGACAAGCAAGCGGTAATTCTGCACACACATTTGTGATCAGGGAACACAGTACGTCTTGTTTCCGATTAAGCCGAGTTACAGTTCCATCTAAATTACCAACCATCTCAAGATTGTTGACCAGTAGATAGTACATTTATCAGAGAATCTTATCATGATGGAGGTATGATCCAGGACTGTTCCGGTTAAAAAAAAAAGTGACTGAATTCTCAATGTTTTCGGTGTCAGTTCTGAAAGGCCAAAATTCCCAGATGGCTATTTCACTCTCCGCCAAAGCATGGTTTGCTGGTTTGGCGTGTATGTTGCCTTTTATGGATAGGTTGTTTTTTTGAGACCCAGAAATAGGTCCACGTACGTCAGTGATAATCATTCTCTTCCTCTCTAGCACATCGCTATCCATCCATCAAGTACTTGAAGGTGAGTGCTATTCATACCTTCGAAAACCATCCACAGATGATGGCAACTTCATCATACAAACATTTACTCTTTGGATGCATTGTCACTCACGCGTTTTTCCAATGGATTCCTCATTTTAGTCATGGCTGAGCAACAACAGATTCCTACCTTTAAATTGGTTCTCGGTATGTTGAAGCATCTCAGAATCAATCTTATATATTTCCAAATGTACCGTGATATTTACTTGATTTCTTACAGTTGGTGATGGTGGTACCGGTAAAACCACCTTTGTGAAGCGTCACTTGACTGGTGAATTCGAAAAGAAGTATGTCGGTAAGTAGCATACGCAAGCGAATTGCAATTTTTGCTTGGCAGTGAAAACAAAAAGGTTACTTTCTTCATGGGGCAACGTATACTTATCATATATTGTAGCCACTCTTGGTGTCGAAGTTCATCCTCTCAAGTTCAGCACCAACTTTGGTGAAATCATCTTCAACACTTGGGATACTGCCGGTCAAGAAAAGTTTGGTGGTCTCCGTGATGGTTACTAGTAAGCATCTGAAAAAGAGAACCCAGTGGTCCTTAATTATGTTCAGATGGACTAATATATTTTGTGTTTTTACAGCATTCAGGGCCAGTGCGCTATCATCATGTTCGATGTCACCTCTAGAATCACTTATAAGAACGTGCCCAACTGGCATCGTGATCTTGTTCGCGTCTGCGAAAACATTCCCATTGTTCTTTGCGGTAACAAGGTTGACATCAAGGTTAGTAATACACTATTTCATTTTTTTGGGGCGTGGATGAAAGAGAAAAGAATGAAAAAATTGACAACGGGTGCGTATCGTCCTTAGGAACGTAAAGTCAAGGCCAAGACCATCACTTTCCACCGAAAGAAGAACTTGCAGTACTACGATATCTCTGCCAAGTCCAACTACAACTTCGAAAAGCCTTTCTTGTGGTTGGCTCGCAAGTTGATTGGTAACCCCAACCTCGAATTCGTTGCTGCTCCTGCTCTTGCTCCTCCTGAGGTCGTCGTTGACAACGCATTGATGCAACAGTACCACCACGAAATCGAGGAAGCTGCTGCACAACCTCTTCCCGAGGAAGATGACGATTTGTAAATTCTGGCTCATAAGCTTTTAGTTGCTCCCTATGAATATAGTACACCCCCTCTTTTTTTTTCCTAAAAGAAAAAATCCCAGATGTTTTGGCTGTTTGAGAAAAGGGGAAAAAAAAGGAAAGATATAAACTATTAAAGCAGCTTGGATGTGGTCTCATAAGATGATACATGATGTAGTAAATACATGCTTTACAAGATTGCGAAAATCCATGTGTCTTTTATTGTAATGTTAGGTGCACAAAAAGCTGTCCCCAACAATAATAATAACGAACCATGTTTTTTTGCAGTAAGGAAGGAAATGATAAGATTCGTGTTATCTATTTGAGCTTCTTCTTGGGACGGAGTTGGTTGGTGTGGCCGCACTTTCTCTTACGGCAGTTGGTGGCACGAGGAGGAAGACGAGCATAGCACTTGCGGCAAATCATCTTGTCGCAGTTGTACTTGGAAGCCAAAGCCTTCAAGGAAGGTTCAATGATACCACCACGAAGACGGAGGACCAAGTGAAGGGTGGATTCCTTCTGGATGTTGTAGTCCGACAAGGTGCGGCCATCCTCGAGCTGCTTACCAGCGAAAATCAAACGCTGCTGATCCGGAGGAATACCTAATATGTGAAAATCGCCATTGGTTTTTGCTCATCAGCACATTTATCTTATCTAGGCGGACAACCCATGCGTGTGAAAAAAAAAAGAAGCACTGACCTTCCTTATCCTGAATCTTCTGCTTGACATTGTCAATCGAGTCAGAGCTATATAAGGAACATGCGTTGTGATGAGAAATTTTGTGGTCTGCCAATCCGGTATCATGTTCGTTTGCGTAAAAAGTAAGGTGATGCATTACCTCTCGACCTCAAGAGTGATGGTCTTGCCAGTGAGGGTCTTCACAAAAATCTGCATGGCGAAGCTAGAATGAAAAAATATGTCGCATCAGTCCAGCTGTTCGTGCATCCGTTATTTTTTCGCGTCAGGTAAGGATGATCGTTGGATGAGGTAGATGGATGGGCGAGACTACAGGCTACATATGGCAGATAGATTATCATGTTAAGCTCACCTTTAGCAAGACAAATGATAGAGAAGGTTTGCTCACTGGGCCGAACAGCCTCGTCTTTCCTAGGCCTTCCCCCACTGCCCGCACCAGCCGAGGTCGATGCCACTCCGGGCGGCATTTAAAATGCTCGCAATTCGCCGGACCTCATCGGCCCTTGTTACCATGATCAGTCTCTTTTTTTTTTCTTTGGTGTTGTGCTGTTGACTAGGTGCTCTATCCCCATGTAATAAAGAGCTTTTAAAACAAAGCATAAAGCTTGGCCATTTTTATTTCAGCGTGCTCTTTGTGCGAGGCTGTAGTACGAACGCAATTGTGTTTACCACTGACTTACGCACGGGGGCTTTGGACTAATTTTTTGCTTTTTAGAATAGCGTCGCGGATCATAGCAATGCTGACAGTTGTTGATGCTTCTGAAGGTTGTTTGTTCAACGTTGATTTGCAGTAAAGTGATATACCAAAGGATGAAGAAAGTGATAAAATTGCGTAAATCCTGAAATTCATGTTGAATTTCCTCATTTGTCATTGAGTGCTATTCTGATTTCCCCGCCTTCGGAATCGTTCCATGATGGCTTAAATCCTGCTGCTGACATTGGTAATATTCTGCAGCGAGTGAGCCATGGCCGTAGCTCCATAAGTTTGTTTATGGCGCACCTACTCAGGTAAATCCCTTAAAAATATTACAGCAGGTACTGCTAAAGGCGTGCTTTATAAAGTCATGCGAATCTGTAGAAGCTGGGTAGTGAGTGTTCCCTGCCAGTGGCTGATATACTTATTCAGGAGCATTGCGCAATTCTAAGAACCACTTATCCTTATTTGGACTATACCAATACGTTATGTACACATGTCAAATTGCCTTTAAAAAGTCAATATGGTTCCTAAACTATTGTGGCCTATCCTAATTCAATAACAGCTGGAAGCATGGTCTGTGGTGCCGAAGCGCAAAAAAAAAAAGAAAACCAGTTGAAGAATGGGTTACAGTCTGCTGTCACAAAGCAACTCCTATTCCCCATTGATTGGCCGGCTATTTATGCTTTGCCTCACATGGAATCAGTGGAGTATCAAAACGGTGGTTCCAAACCCCACCTGTGTCAATGAGGATTACACACGCGGACAAAGTGGAAAAAAATTACATCTTTCTTTCATTTCTTTGTCATTGAGATTTTGCTTGGATTCTATGATATCTGCACATGGTCATGTTGAACCTTCGAGCTTAACGTATCGACGTAAATATACCGATGTGTGCGTGCATCCCTCGCCTCCTTCTCCAAGAATATCCAGGAGACGACACTCTTCCACGGCAAGCTACCCGTCGACGCTCGTATCATATCATCGGAAAAATCTATCGGTGGATGCGATCCCGCTCATCTCCAATCCCACCGAACATTCACTCTCGCAAACTATCAGCAACATCAAAATCGCGTTTTCTAGGCACAGCAGTTCTGCTCGAGATCTTGCCTATTCATCAATGATCAACAATCATGTCACATGTAAAAATTCCCATAATTTTCGGTTTTTTTTTCTTGCTTCCCTTTTGGAATTATTTTATTTTATTTTCCTGAGCTCTTTTCCACTCATTCTTATTATTTCTCAACCCATTTTTTGCTCCTGCTTTGTCGACTCGGTTCTTGATATATAGCAGCACGTCACTTCAGCTCTTTTGCTCCTACGACAGTAGACAGTACGAATTGCCACTCTCATCATAATGCCATGGCAACAAAGCCCATGTCGCTCCAGCCATCCTCTACGCCCCACACCGACAATCATGAAACCATCGATATGGCCCTCCATGCGCCAAGTCACACCATACGCGTAGAACGGGATTACTCACAGGGCGATGGTATTACGAGATTTAGTACGGAATTTCCTGCAGAACTTTTAGGACGAGTAAGTTGCCTAGAGTCTCGCGCCATGCTCCCATTCTCCAGGCTCATCCTTGTCCTAGATTAGCTTGGAGGAATTTCAGCGCACCATTGACACCATCAATGCCACTATGGATCGTGCGGAACGGTTGTCGCTAAGTATTATATTCGACAATATCATGGAGATCCTTACCATTTATACGTGGCCCATATTCTTCTCATCTCATTATCAACGGGTAAAGTTGGATGGGTGGGCAAAAAGGCGGGTGGCCCTTCGTACGGTTAAAGTCTAATCATCAATCGATCGACTGTATAGTCCCTGGATCAACTTTTACGATTCATTGACAGTGAAAACGAAAATGTATATCATCCTAAAGGCATGAGCATCTCCAATCCGGTGAAAGCAGCCTTCCTTTTTGTAAGCAATTTGCCATGCAAGCATTCCATTCTCCATTTTCCATTAACACTGCTTCTCTTTTTAACACAGCTTGAAATTAAACTGTACAGTCAATGATCGCTGTTGATTCCTTTATCTTTCCATTGACCCTCATCTCTCCTACGCTGGTCTCCTCCTACTCATTGTCATTTTCCTTCTTCATTTTTTCTTTGTTCATCTCGAATCCTCTACTTGCCCTACATCTATGTAATCATTCAGTACCTTTTTTTCTTTAGCTCTTGCACCATCGTAGGGCTAGCATGTCAATAGAAACAAGCAACACTCCTTGTTTCGCTGTTCAAGCTCTTACTGCGTTCTGGTTTACCAACTTGTTATTGATATATTTGAATACACGCTATCATATAATCCCTACAGTCTCGGAAGGTTGCATTTATATGTTTGTGCGGGTCATTATACATTATACTAATGTTAGCCATCAACCGTGCCATGTCGCGTCAATATATGCATGATAGCACATATACTATGCTGTCGATATAAATGCAACCTTACAAACATGCCCGATGAGAATGAAATGCTTTCATTTGACAGAAACTCACATCATGATCTAAATACCGAACAATAGGTTTCGCCGTTCAACGGCGAAACCTATTGAACCCTTTTTTTTCATTTTCCACCTACATACATCACTCATCAAAGATATAAAATAGAATTTCGATTCGCATGTGTTGAAATCACAAGACAGATCGAATCTAGTTGATCAATGGTTTTACAGCAGTATGCAGGTTTGTTCTTTTGATTTCCGATAGACAAGGTAGCAGATCTCTCTTCATATTCAGTACATTAACTGAGATAGAAAATGGCCGCTTTTTGCCTCAGGTAGTTCCAAATCAAAACAGAAGCGTGCAGTGTGCTGCTGCGTTCCTCATAGATTATGCTAGGATAAAGGTTGTTGTCTATGCTCTGCCGCATCAGCCGAAAAATGAGTTTCAAACCCAACCAAGTGTTGGCATTTGTCTCCTGAGTTTGAAAAATTCAGGAGTACGGTTTGGTGGTCAAAGAAGCAGCGCGACAATCCTTTTCCGTGTAAAACTGTCGTAGCAGTCGTTCTTATTTCCGCAGATCAATATAAGAAAAATAACCTTGAAGTGATTACTCTGATCGGGGAAGGATAATGACTGACAACTAGCTGCTTATCACGCCACTGGGAATCAGCAACTGAAACCCAAACCACAAGCGACCAAATCACAAGCACAAGGATCATTTACCAACTTGGAGGTACAGCGCAGTAGAGATGATTGACCGCTAACAGTATGGATGTCCATCCTTCTGGCCGTCTTGTTGTGGCCTCCCACACCCTCAGGAGCAAAACTATTCACTGTGATCGGTTCACGCATAAAATACAAGATATAAGACATCACTATCTCTTTTTATTCACTCCAAGCTTATTCAAAAGTTAAAAGTATACTCTACAACGAATGGCGAGCTAGAAGAATACAGATAGCGATGTCCGCCACTACTGATAACAGGGAAGGCTAATAAGCACATATTGTGGGGATGTCAAACGCCCTCCATGCGTTAAAAAAAACCGCGATGTACGCATTCCATAGGGTACTGAATATTCTACACAGCTTACATGGAAAAGCAAAATAATTCGGGTCTATTGTTAAAACACCATTTATAGCCGGATTGGCTATACACAATAAAATCAATGTCGAAGTATGAGTTTTGACTTAGCACTGATCAGTCAATGCTCGTTATAGAGATAATTAACAACACGTAACAGCCCGTGTTGAGCGCCGAAGCAAAAAGATGTAGACTTTTGGGTCGGAAAAGCTTAACTGCTGTACGGATCTTGAAGCGGGGTTTATTAGGCCTCGTGGTTCTCTCTTATTCCTTATCCCAAGTGAACTGCAAATACCATGATGGTGTTCTGTCAAGCTATGTAAAGATGATGCACAGTAAGGAGAATGGAAGAGAACGAAGATTGGTCTTTGAGGAAGGATGGATCGATCGGTGTCATGATCGATCTGGACAAACTGCATTCTGTTGCATTTTTTTTGAAGGATAAACGGATGCGGCATCTGAATCCTTCTTCTGGCATGCAAAAATGCCATCGCTAAAAAGGGGTCTGTTCACATCCTTATCTTTTGATTTGGCATCACCTATCTGACTTTTTCTTCTTGTTTCTACGGGAGATATTTCTCCCTGCCATGCATAATGACGATCGGGAAAATGATGGCAAACTGGGTAAAGCATCCATTATGCCCTTTTCCCGGTGATACTCGTAGAACAATATCGTATGAGAGAAAGTAGGATTCTATAAAAACCAAGGTTTTACCGGGTCTACTAGCCTGGAAAGAAAAGCAATGTGTGTTCAGAAGTTCCGTTGCATGGCACACTACTTTTTCGTGCACTGGAAAGAATACGGTTTTCCGAGGATCTGTCGGAACAATCCAATTGCATTAATAAACTAGAGATGAATGTCATTAAAATCCACCGAGAAGATCGTAGCCGCATTCTTTTCTATTCTGTGAATGCCGCAGTTGACAAGGATAACTTGGCCTTTTGACTGTATTATCTACGTTCAATAGCTCTCAATAATGTGCAGTTGGACGGTCTCTGTTTTACTGACAGCTCGACAGCATCCAATTTTTTCAATAATCATTTGGCGATACCCAAATTGCGATGCTAAGCCAATCAAGTGACGCAATGTGGGCGCATGGTGCTGTATTGGCTGTTGATATCTCGTCTCATAATGATGTACCAATGATCACCGGGACATGGTTGCCACATGAAAAATGGGCTTCCCAAATTGAAAGCAGCATAGAATAAGAGGTTTTCTATTTATGAAAATAGAACATTGGCGATCCTTCGCTCCAAATTCTAGATCGCTCATAGTAAACTTGACACCTGGATACTTGCAGGGATATTTTTACTTGGGGCACCATGTTGTTTATCCCAGGTATTGCGGGATTTGACTCATTTCTTGTGCTTCCCGCTAACTCCTTTGTTACAGTCCTGTAACATACTGGAATTTCCATACTCAAGTGAACCTCGCATATTTTTCTATATTGCCAAGACTACGTCGGTGGAATCACTTGCATGTCATAGAAAACCCGAGGAGCAAAAATAGCACAGGAGACGAGAAGTCCCAGACAACAAATTGACAAACAGAGTTGAACAATTTCCTTTTCGGTATGTACTTTCCATTCATCGGCTTGAAAATAAACTTTAAGATCCTTGCCAAGATATTGTTTCCGACAAAAGACTTGATGCATAATAGGATAATTGACTGACCACGAATACAACCACTGCCAAGGGACACTCTATCGTACGGAATTATCGGTCGCTTTTGAGCCATTGGATTTTGTTATCAAAGATAAGCAAATAAAGTATCTCAGTGTGATTGTCATTGAGCAGAAAAAGGGAAAACTCGTGGTTCAAGATCTACATTGGTGATATCGTACCACTTTTTCAGAATTGAGTATGAAGTCATGTACGTCCTCCCAATGGGTAAACGGATCTTCTTTCGATAAACAACAACAACAACAAGTAGGGATGATTACATACTTTTTTTTTCTTTTTTTTGATGTGCATGCGAAATACTACAACATTGTATTAAAAAATAAATAAATAAAATCACAAATGAACAAGAGAAACGGCTTTGAACACGAATCACTAATGGTTTAAAGGATAATCGATGGAACATCTTCTCGAAACAAGAAAAATGACGACATCGATTATCTGGAGTCTCCCGTTTTTTCTCTCAATAAAGAGAGTCGCGGAAAGAAAGAAAAAAGGGTGGAAGAATGCAGATGGTGATGTTAGAAAAGAAAAAAGTGAAGAAAAGGACAAATCAATGACAACAAATGCAATAGAAGCAAAAAAAGGTCATGTACCCGGGAAAAAAAAAGCAACATTCACGGTTAAATAATTAAAAAAAAAAAAGACACAGATTGTTTCTCATTCTTTGCGATGATGCTATATATCGGAAGTGAAGTAAAGGAAAAGCAAACTAGGATTGCTGCTTAATACCGATCCAGCGGGGTTTGACAGCAATGGGCTTTGTAGTGGTGTTATTGTTGCGTTCGTGATTTCGTTTAATGGGACGTCCCAGACGATGGACACGCAAATGTCGTCGCATATTGCTTTGAACCGAGAATTTTCGGGAACAGCCTTCCTCAGGACATGCAAAGGGTTTTTCACCTGTATGTGAATAAGTGTGAATGCGAAGCGATGAGGGTCGTGAGAATCCTTTGTTGCAATAAGGACACTGGTATTTGTTGTTGCCATTTTCTTGTACGCTTGGCTGAGCTTGGCGTCGGCGATCTTGGTATCTTTGCGGCGATAGTGTTTCATCTTCGGCAGAATAATCCGAATGACTGTCAAACTCATCGCTGGTCGGAGATGAAGTGGACGTTTTGGCTGACAAGGTGGGACTGTAGGGAGCCATGGTGGTGACCGAGGAGGTAGAAGACGAAGTATATAAAGAGGGCGGATGACGGGCCGAATCCGGGCGAGACACATGGTGCGATCTCGGTTGGAGCAGAAAATCAAGGGTATTGGTAGAAATGGCACGTCGGTGATATGGTTGCACGGGTGAAAGATATTGCCCATTGGATGGCTTTGAACCGGCGGGGGCATTGGTGGCGTAAGGATGCGTGTAATCGGAGAACGAGCGTGAGTGCATGTTTTTGGGTGTACGCTGTTGAGGGTACAACATGAACGACTGCAGCCGAGGAGGAGGTGCGTAAGAAGAATTCAGGTTGGGTTCCACAGGAGCCGCAGGTTTCGAGATGGACAGTTTCTGCAATCCCGCCATCATGGCGGCTGAGGAAGGAGTGACAACACCATGGCCACTTGCACCATGAAGACCGGTGTATGACAAAGGGGCCGTAGATGAGGGCACCGTGTGGTACTCATCCGAACAATGTCGTCGATGGCCAAACAGTCGTTGATCGTTCATTCCAGGTTTGCTATCTATATAAACGAAGCGTAGGGTTGTGTGTTAATTAAATGGCGGAGGTCAACAAGATACACTGCATGACGTACCTTGAAGTGTGGGTGTGTCAACACCCTGGAGCATGAGATGAATCGAAGGAAGTTTGGGTTTTTCCGACTGCATGGTGTAAAAGTATGATCTTTTTTGTTTTTTCTGTTCTTTTTTGCGTGACGAAGGAGCTTGAGAGATGGAATAGAATGAGATCGAGAAAAGATTTAGTGAAAAGAAGAAAAAAGGAATGGAGATAAAAAAAAAATCAATATAAAAAGAGTAGAAGGAAGAAAACAAAAAATTATTGCAAATGAGGGGAAATTCTTTCAATTTAAAGACGATCCAATGCCATCATCAAGACACACAACAAGGTGAGATTTGTTGTAATATTGATTGATGGATGGTGTCACAAATACACTATTTTGGATACAAAGGATATTTATAAAATGAAAGAGCGCCACTCTCGGACTATCCATTTTTGATCTCTTTCTCGTGGGTCGCTCTGCCAAATGTGAATCGGTTGATCCCTGGCTGCAAGCCAGTTTGCCTGAAAAGTTATGGTTACACAGACCATCTCTTTTTTTTCCAATCCTCATCACTATGGTGTTCATATGTCATCACCTTGACAGCTCTTGAAGCATAGAGTAGTTTGGAAATCATGAACCCTTGATTTTACCAGATTTTGTCATTATTGCGTATGCGGGAATATATACGAGTTGTAAAAAAGAAAACGGGGACCGTGTGATGATCGCGGACAAAACATGCAGCATCAGCGAAGGATTCTTTTGTAACACAGAACCCTGATCTCAAAGGGGGGTTAGATCAATATGATTTACTTTATTTATCGGTTCTAAATTTTTTTTAGCTGCTGATCCTGATTTACAGCACCATGCATGCATGCATGCCTCTTTCATTAACGCTTCGGATGTTGATCCTTTTTAGTTTTCTTTTTTTGGATCCAAGGCAAAAAAAGGAGTCCTCAAAGTGGAGTGTGAAAAAAAAAAAAAGATCAACTGCCGATGTGCGATCTCATTTTCCCATTTTACCAGGAGCCGAAATTAATCCGTCTTTTCAAGCACCAAAAGAAGAACAGCGCTTTTTGAGCAAGTCAAGATATCAGCAGCCACAATTGCTAGTGTCGTGTAGCAAAGATGAACTGACTATGCAGCTGTATAATTTTTTTTTTCATCGGCAGAACGCTAAAAAAAAAATTTGGGTCTTTTTCCCAGTCGAAGACTGGCATCTCCAGCCCAAGGTTCTGCAAACACAGAAAATTGATTATCCGCCAATGCAAATGGGGAATCACTCGACGATCGCACCGTTCTCTTAAAAAAAAAACCGTTTACAAAAACAGTTGAACTTGTCCGGCCCCTTTTTTCCTGCTTCTCATTGTTTATGAATTCGTGCTTTGCAGCACAAAAAGGTAGGGCATTGCTTTGAGGTTGGATGATGGTACAAGTTGGATCCTTTTTTTTTTTCGTGGATTCAGAGTAAGCACTGACCAGTCAGTCAAATCAACGGATGCCACTTATTGGATTCTTGGACGATCCATGTTTGGTCAAGCGTGGGCAAGAAATATGCTGACTGTGGAAGCGGAAAGGAAAAACGTAACGTGGCGTCACAACTTTAAACACCTATCGACCAAGTTCCGCTGATAAATAAAGGAATCGAACATCCGTGAAACATTGACATTTCATGGCACCCTATGGCAAAAATGGGAGACACGTGGTACAAAAAAATAAAGGTCTCAGTAGCTTATTCAGATGTTGCTCATTGCTTATTTTATCCAAGCCGCTGCTGACTCAAATTTATTTCCACTGGAAAAGGAGAATCATTATTGGTAATAGAGTAAATTGCTCAGGATCGCCGTATGCAAACCATGTGATCTACCATAGCAAAAGCCGTGTCCGTTGCTAACGAAATAAATCCATGCCGATCTAAATAACCATTGAGCTTTGTACTTCATATTTACTACTAAATGGGCTGTGGAAGATTCTCTGCCGACTAACGTTGTAGAATGATTGATACCACATGGCAAAAATCATCAATATCATATGACACGCTTTGTACTCTTTGTTCCGTTACAGTGAAAAGATGAAGCGACACCGTAAAAAGAACGATCACGCTATTACTGGTTGTATGTAGCCCCACAAATAGAATAGCTGATGGGGTTCTCGAAGGGGTTTCCTGCTGTCTTCGTTAAAACAAACCACATATTCCACTACCAATCCCTCGTATCACAGCATTTATTTTGAACTTGATCGCACCTTGTGCATCCATCATATCGACTCTTTTTTTTGTCTCGGATAAATCAGAATCTCAAAGGTTCCACACACCTGAGCAAAAACCGCAATCTCTCTTCCTTCTAAATCCCATTATCTCGCTGTGGTCGGACTATGATGTTTTTGACATTTGGTCACTTTTATATCGGATACGCCTGTCTCTCCAGGGGAAGAAGAAAACCTGCCATCATAAGAATACTACCCTGGAAGCACAAAAAACGTCTATTCCAGTCCGGTATCCAAATCTCTCGTATCACGTCTCACTTGTCAGGATATCCCAGCTTTTCAGTTACGACGTTCTAATCACTTGATCCCAAATTATGAAGGCTTTTTTTTTGGAAATCGATGCAACATGTTTGGTTTTTGCAAACCTTTCGTTTGAAGCATTCTGAGCTCAATAGATGTCGATTTGAATCAAAAAAAAAAGGAGCTTGCCCTTTGCAGTGTCGCATGATCGGACAAACTGGTTCCAGTCTAACGTGACTACTCAAGGTTAACTTATGGAGACATGTTATGCTCGATTTTCCTGTGGTGAGGTGCACACCATGGTGATGAAGAACGGTGAAAAGCTCGCTGATCTCTAGCAAAGTCGGTTGCAGAATGTCTGTATTGAGGCACCAGTCGCTGACTTGTCTTGTACTGTTTCTGGCTGCCTTCTCGCAAACTTTTACGCAAAGCTGTTGGTTGTCAGTTCCACAGTCACTCCACGCAAAACAATTAAGTTGTTTTTGAGATCGTTAGGACTTCACAAAGACAATAATATTTGATGATCAAACCAAGTCAATGGCTCTGGACCTTTCTAGTGTTTGTGTTTCAGAAATTTAGGAATCTGGTCAACATAAATAGGTGATGTATGCAAGCTTTATTGCATGAAGAGGGATTATTATATGTTGCCGATAGCTCAAAATATGCCTTCCCGGGCTCTTGGCTTGAGAAGATCACCTCACACTTTTCAAACGAAAAAGTGTCTTAGCCGAGAGTATACAAGATCATTGAAAATGTTGCATGCGCAAAATGTGTACGACTTTATTGCATACATCGTAGTTTCGCTTTATAAGCAAAGCGATTGTTAAAACATCGGTTATGGATTGATTAGACAGCAAACTCTTGTTCCGATAACACAGGATTGGTTGCCAAAGTCAGAGGAGCATTCGGACGGGCAGGCTACGGATGCCTGCCATGGTGTTCGCGCTTCGCATGCAGCGTATTCGTTGAAACCGCATGCCAATTCTCGACAAATGGGAGGAGAGCCTGTCCATCGAGCGCTGGCCAGTGTAGAGACAGCAAGCAAGGTTAAGCAAACGAGGGATAAATTTTTCGCCATGATATGGATCCGTCTAACATTGTCGTCCTCAGAGTTTAAATACCACAACATAAGGCACAATTCTGCCGACAGCGGACCGTGGTGGATAGATCTCGGTACGGATAATAGATCTTGGCCAGTCGGTATGACTATTTTCGCTTATGTAACTTTCTTTTCAGACCTGCAGTTGCATTGATGCATATAATATCCATGGGTGATTTCATGCATCATTTCATCTCTCTCATGCCAGACAACTCAAAACGTGTTGTAAAATATCAATATATATTTCATTTAATTATTCCTACCATTCATATTGCTTCATTAATGTAAGGAAATGTTATCATAACCGTATTGATTTAACACGTTGATTGTACAAAAGTATCACGCATATCTTAATTCGCTTTGTCCATAATCTGGTATCAGGAATAATAAGAATCGGACGCAGTCGGTTACAAAATAATCATGATAACCAACGCTTGAGCAGCTCGGATAGTGTCTCTGTATGGAGGTTCAACCGATACCATTGGCGAATTGCTCACGGCTTCAAAGTACATCAGCTGGACAAAGTGGAGAGATGATTTTACGGCTTATTGTATTTTTATCTTTCTTCTTTGTTTTTGTTTTTTTTTAAAAAAAAAAAGAATTCACCGTTTCTTGTTAGCCACAAACTTGATGATCCTAAATCAGGCGTCAAATCTACTGTATCTTACTTTTTAATGCATGGGTTGTTTCTCTGTGGTTTTTCTTCCAGGCTTATTTCGAATCTTATCATTTTCGTTTACACCTCCTAATAAAGTAAGGCTTAGGTGCACTTATGAATAGCTACAAGTATATTTTAACATTGATAAAGCCATCAAACGGATAGCGAAATTACCAAGTTTGACCGCGACTTAAATCTTCGTACCATAATCCGTAGGAGTGATTTGCTGGCATTACGCAAACCATATCCAAGCCTTTCCGCTCAAGCTTGTCATTGATGACAATATGGTGGAAATGAATTCAGGATGTCAACTATTATGTGTACACTCATACAACGCTACTGGAGTAAACCTCTCACTCTTGCTCCTAAGAAGTATGTTCATAACAGAAACAAAACTGGCTGATATATCTGATAGGATCGAAATATGTAAGATAGGGTCAAAGATGTCAAAGAGACTGAAAAAATAGGTTTACTTATTAACAATGAACACTGATGGGATATTCATGCGAGTCCCGAGTGATCGCCTCTTTAAAGGTGAGTTTCCGATAGAAAGAACGATGACTTGGTCTGAGGAGAAGATGATGGTCGGTAGAAAGAATGTTCAGACTTGTGGGAAACTTTTGGAAAAATGTATTCCATGTCAAATGAGAGGTCGGATTGTGATGTCCGTGTGGGATATGTACTTGATCATGTTGGAATACAACACTGGCAAAACGATCACCCCGTCTTGGTAAATTGTACTTTTCCTAATAACATACATATACAGTATCTCTTTCTGTTATTAGCGCTCATTCCACAGTCTTCGAAAATCAACAATCCAATATTCTAGAACTTCCTAGTGTTTTCCATTGGTTCAATAATTTAGGAAGCTGGTCAACGTAAATGGGTGATGTATGCGCTTTGAGAAGATCACAGCACACTTTTCCAAAACGAAAAAAAAAAAAAAAAAAAAAAAAAAATTGCCTTGGCGGACAATGTATGATTCCTGAAAATATGGCATGCGCAATATGTGTACGACTTTATTGCATACATCACAGCCTCGCTTTATTATAAGCAAAGCAGTTGAAACATCAGTTATTGTTTGCTTAAGAAGCCTATGGTTCATATAAGCAACAAATTCTTGATCCAGTCAAACAGGACTCGTCGCCAAAATCAGAGCGGCATTCGGGAGGGCAGACCTGGAATGCCGCTCGTGATGAATCTGCTGCGCATACTGCGTATTCGTTGAAACCACATGGACCTTGTTCGCAAAAGGGTGGGGGACGGCCTGACCATCGAGCGCTGGACAGTGCGGAGACACCAAGCAAGGATAAGCAAACGAGGAACAGATGTTTGCCATGATTGTCTACAATTTCGTCGTCAAGAGTAAATACCAAAAATAAGTCATGATTATGCCGGCAACGGGCCGCTACAATAGGGATTTTGGCCAATCGGTATGTTTGTTTTGCCTAGCTTCCTTCTCACACATGGGCTTGCATTGAGATGCATACACTATTCATGACTGATTCTGTGGAACGTCAACATCGTTTTCTTTTTCAGCGGTCGATTCGCTAGGGTGTAGGTACCATCGCATTGCTTGGGGCAACATGGCCCCAGAATATCTCGGAATACCGTGTCTACAAGTGGATTTTCAATAGCGCAATTGGGAGTTTTTGATGGTACGACGTATCCTCAATGTAAGCAGTTTGCCCCGGTAATCACGTTAAGAGTAAGTAATGCAACGTTCTGCCAGGGGTAGGGATCAGCTGATTCTGTTTGTTGATGTAAGAGTCAATCCCAGAGATCTCTTTGGCAAGCTGTTTCTTGGCTTGAGGAAATGCACTTTTTCAGTGACAAAAAAATGTGCCTTAGTCGAAAGTATACATTAGAAGATCAACGAAAGTATTGCATCGCAATGAGTGTACGATTTAATTGCATACACCATCGTCTCGCCTTATGAGCGAAGCGATCTAAGCAGCAATGATTGAGCGGATAAGCAGAAAATTCTTGTTCCGATCAAACAAGGGTCGTGCCAAAGTCAGAGCATTCTTTCGCGAAGGTGCTGGATATCCTCCCATGGTAACTCGCACTTCGCATGCTCCGTATTTTCTTAACCGCATTGTGATTCTTTGCAAAAGGTGCGGAGTCTGTTCATCGAACGCTGGACATTATGGAGACAGCAAGCAAGGATAAGTAAACGAGGGATAAATGTTTCGCCGTGATATGGATCTGATGTCTACATTTTCGTCCTCAGAGTTTTAAATACCATAAAATAACGCACAACTCTAACGACGACGGACCGTTACGAATAGATTTCGGCTCTGCTGATAGGAGATTGGGTCAGTCAATACAGTATGTTGAACGAATTTCGCCTTATGTAATTTTTTCTTTTCAGCCCTGCGTTTGATGTATACAGTATCCATGGGTGATTCCATGGATCCTTTTATCTCATCATGCCAGACAAAACTGAAAATTGTGTTGTAAAATATCAATATATAATTTCATTGGTGTTCATTTGATCACTCTTACTATTGTCGTTGTTACTAATGCAAGATAAAGTATGGTTATCCATCATAACCATATAAATATAACACGCAATCGGTTCAGAATAGTCAAGATAATCAACGTTTGGACAGCTCGGTGCAACACGTCTACTGTATGTGTGAAAGGTTCAATCAATGAATATCAGTGGCGGATGGCTCGCTGCTTTAAAGTGCAACATTTGAACACAGTTCCCAAGAGTTAGCAAGCAAAGAAAGTCATATTTGTACCGTATTTATGCGGAGTATGCAGCGATGCAATGGAAGTGCCATAAGATATAATATTTTTATCTTGCTTTCAGGACAATTTACTGGCAATGACGGCAAGAAGCCAAGGCTCATATATGTATACGATATAAAAGAGCATGTCTTTTACTCTATTTTAACATTGACTTGACCAGAAGACAACTTTTTGATAGAATGTACTTTTGATCTTTGCAGCCAATTTTAGTGCTATATCAATTTCATGCTCTTTTGTTCGTATCAGTTTCCCAGACTGCTTATTATTGCTCAGCAAGCGTCCAAGTTTCGCAAATAAATATTATATGATGAGTATTTTCATTCGGTTTAAGCTGGTCATCCCACTTGTTTATACGGTATGGTAGCCTTTTGTATTCCAGAACTGACAGTTTCAAAATTTCCAACGACTACTTGTCCAATCAAATCGAGCTGATGACGTAGAATTTTTTTTTTTTGGGTGCGGCTTGCCCGGTGGGACGAGCCTGGGGGACCCCGATTTTGGGTGTCCGCTTGTTGACTTGTTTTGTGGTTCTCTTTTTTATTTTTTCTTCAAACTTCTCCCCACTCTCTAGAATTAGCATGGCTTCGTTGTCGCGCTCCGTTGCGTCTGCCATCGTCAACCGTTCGTATGTGAACGTACCTGCATCGGCTCCCGCCTTGCAAAAGATTTTCCATGCGTCGTCCCATTCTTCCGAGGAAGAACATCACGAATCACCTTACAAACCATTGTTTGGTTCTTCCATTAAAGCTCGTTCCTCTGGTGGTTTGATCAGCCGATCCTCTGTCAATGGTAATTAAACTTGTACCCTTTCTTTTTTTTTTTTTTTTGCTTTTCAGTGAACAGCTTGTCTGACTCATTTTCATGTTTTATATTTTTGTTTAGTGGCTCCCGTCAACGATTTCCAGTTGCGTCGTAACCACACCACCACCGTTCCCGACTTTTCGAAATACAAGAAGACCCAAACCGGTGGCGACAGCAGCCGTGCGTTTGCATACATGATGGTCGGTACCACCAGTTTAATCAGTGCCGCCGGTGCTCAAGCCACCGTCAGCGATTTCTTGGCCAACATGTCCGCTTCCGCTGATGTGTTGGCTTTGGCCAAGGCCGAAGTCGATTTAGCTTCTATTCCCGAAGGCAAGAACGTTACCATCAAGTGGAGAGGCAAGCCCGTTTTCATTCGTCACCGTACTCAAGACGAAATTGCCGAAGCCAATCAAGTTAATGTTCAAGAACTCCGTGATCCCCAACAAGATGCCGAACGCGTCAAGAAACCCGAATGGCTCGTCATGTTGGGTGTTTGCACTCACTTGTAAGTTTCAAAAAATTAGAGTGTGTGTCAGAAATGCTGATATGGAATTGCTTTTTTATTTACAAAAAAAAAGGGGTTGTGTCCCGATCGGTGAAGCCGGTGATTATGGCGGTTGGTACTGCCCATGCCACGGTTCTCACTACGATATCTCGGGCCGTATTCGCAAGGGTCCCGCTCCCCTCAACTTGGAAATTCCTGGTACGTTGGAAAATCAGAGTGTGATGATCCACATTGATGCAATGTGCCATATGAAAAAAATGGACCAATATTTTTAACGCATCCTCCTTTTTTTTTTGTAGAATATAACTTTTCCGAAGATAAGCTCATTATCGGTTAGAGAAACACCATCCTTAATTAAATAAATGCACATTGTTAGTTTTGTTAGATTTCTTTACGGTGGAGTATCGAACAAGTGTGAGACTTCAAAATAGGGTTCAAATTTTCTTTATTTTCTTTCATTTGCCACGGTTGGTCCATATTAGGCGATCGTTTTTTGAGTGCAACATAGCACATGTTTAGACTGACCAAGACAGCCAAAAGTCAGAGTTGAATCGTGCCACACTGATTTTCTTTGACCTTTATTATTCCTCTCTTTCTTTTTCTCCAACTTTGGACTATTTCTTTTCCCTTCTTTTTTACTCTCTTTCCTTGAGCTGCTGTTTTTTTGTCGGCTTTAGCTTGTAATTTTTTTGTTTCTATTTTGGTTCATTTGAACATCAGCGGATGCTGCTTTTATAATGGACTCATCGTCCGTATACCCTTTTTCCGCCAACGCTCCATTCCGCCAACCCATTGTAATTATACACATTGCTTCGATGGCTACTGGTTTCCTCGGATTTTATCCATTCGCCTTGATCCAAGGCATTCGTCGCCATCGCAAATGGCATTTCGTTACCGTGATTACCGGCACGCTATTTGCCCTGATAGGATTGGTCACAGGCTGGTTGATCCGCGCCGACACGGTCACTTTTGAAACACTACTACTACGGATTTTGGGATCGGCTTTATTCGTATTGCTGTTGCTGCAAATCACTTTGGGAGTATATAAAGCGGTTGTTTCCAAAGGATTACTCGAATCGCCTTCATATTATTCCAAGCTGTCGTTCATAGGTCAATGGCTAAGCTGTTTACCTGCATATACACATCTGGGGTTAGGCTGGTGTATCCTTTTCGTCGCTTACGGATACATGGTTGGCTGTCTGCTGTTCTTCACAGAAAATGTGACCAGTGCAACCTTGCTGTGTATAGCTATAGGAAGCGGGTTTCTTGGCTACGGTATGGTTGCATTGCTGCATTTGATGAATATCTTCAAATTACCACGTGCATCCACGCCTGAATATTATGAAGGACTGCTCATGACCTTGTGGGGAATCATCACTCTGTTGAATGCAAGTAAGTTAAATGGGAGGGTCCAATTTTTTTCTTTATGGTTGCTCCTTGGTCGTTTATTTTTTTTCTTCTCGATTTCACTCTTACCTAATTCAAAAATGATCTTCGTTTTTGCCTGGTTCTCGAACGGTTAGACGTTCCGATCCTGGGTTCCGATTGGTGCGCTCTGAATTTAGGGCTTCTCTGGCTTACCGGCGGGATTTTCTCTGTTACCCTTAGTATGCAAACATGGATGACAGCACTGCGAGAACGAAATATTCTCAACGCCATTATTATATGTTTCACAGGCAAAGGTAATTTTTTTGGACGCCATTCATGTAATTTCGCCCCTGAGAAAAAAAATTTTATGCTCAATTGTGTTCGTCAAATTTAGCCATTTTGGCAGGGTCCAACAATGACGAATACGCCGTAACCGTGCATACCATGTTGGGTTCTATGATGATGATAGGCGCGGTGGCACGCATCTTCCAAATCATATTTCGACGCTCACCAGCGGATAATTTGCCACGACTGATTTCACGCGCTTCAGGCTCCGTCGATCCCAACGATGCCGAGGAACTGTACGAAGACGATGACGAGGATGAGGTGGACCCTAACCGACGGGCCAATATCTATCGTTCGACTTATCAACAGTTAACGGGACAACATATTGCTTCGTGCAAGCATACCTCGGTATTTGCATCCATTACCGTGGCTTGCGGATTATTAGCTGCTCTCATGGCCATGACGAGCGGGTTTTTATTTATAGGCGCCAGTGCCGATTGGATCGCTCACATGCACTACTACCTCCCCGATCCCATCACCTACGTTAACATCGTCGTCGCGTTAGCATTTTTGTGGGGGGCCTACATCATGGCCTTGTGCACAATCTACAAAACGACGCGGACCGTGCCTCCGGTGTACGAATACCTAAGCATGACCGAGGTCGGCCTTCCATCTACCGTGCAGGATGTCAGCGCATTGGATATCGCCACCTGTCAGCGTGAAACGGCCGCATCGGGATTGTCACGCAGCCGATCGCTCCCTTCCCGAGGATCATCCCATCGTCAGGACAGTATCGAACAACGAACCATGCGTCCGTCACAGTACCGTGCCAAACGACGGTCATTACTCGTAAGCTCTCCGACGAACCATCGCGATACCATCTTATCCGCACACAAAGGCAACCGTGCACGTTCATCTTCTTGTTTCGGGGTAGGTGGTGTCCTGCCTGATGAGCTGCACCACGCATACGCAATTTCCGATTCGTCTGGTCCATGCCGGTCGTGGTTGTCCAACGGATCGGCTACATCGGCCGCCAGTGCGGTTTCTTCGGTTTCCTTTGCTTCTTCTCTGTCGACCGATTCTCCGCAACGAGCGTCGCTCTACACTGATTACAACCACGTTACCAGTCCTGCCGAAGACTCATTCCCGGATCATCAGCTGTCGCAAGCTTACATGCGCAAGACCGAAAGTGGCAGGCGTAAAGAGCGGCAGCACCAAATGAAAACCACAAAGCCCCATTCCCAGTATTCTCATGTTACAGGAGCCGAAGACGCACATAGTAGCAACAACAGCAGCAGTAGCAGTTTTTCCGAATCCGGCTCCATAGGTAAATACTATGCCACTGAACGGAATAGCAGTGATAGTCATGTTTGTCAATAAGTTTTTCTTTATATACCAATGCATTTTCAATGTAATTAAAAAAATTGTTCATTTTTTGCTTGTTTTCCCTGAATTCTTTTTCTACAGTGTAACTAGGTTTTTTTTTTTTTTTTTTTGTATTTCCAATGTTTACAATTCATCCATATCGTCGTCCGATTCATCGCCTTCATCTTCCACATCCTCTTCAAACTCTTCTTGTTCTTTCTCCTTCATGGATTCCGGTTGCTGGGCAGTGATTTCTTCTCCTCCAATGACTTGCCTTCGATCAGTGAATTGAGCCAAGAATTTTCGTCGTCGATCTTGTTCCTTTTGCGTGGCTTTATCCATGGCTTCTGGGCTGTCGGTGCGGTGACCTGTCAAGAATTGACGTTCGTCACCACTGCCTGAAGCGTCATCGCTTGTGGTGCCTCCCGCAGAGTAAACGCGTTCTTTGTCGTCCACTTGTTTTCGAAGAAGCTCAATTTCCAGATCGGATTTATCACGCTTGGCTTTGCGACTCATTCGATGAACCACCAGCAGATCCCGCCGCGCTTTGGTAATAGCCGATTCAATTCGAAGCCTGTTTGCAATCATTGAAACTTTTGGCCACGTTCTTTGTCTCCCAGAAAGCATCAGTTTCGTGAGCCTCTTTTCGTCAGGATCCGCCATCGTGTACAACCAGTCCGATAGTCCTGCCTTTGGCTGTCATCGTATGTTCAGTATGAGTTTCTTTTTTTTTTTTTTTTTTTTTTTTTTTTTTTTTTTTTTTTTACTCCAAGGACGCTCCATGACAATAGCTTACCAGAATCGTAACGTTGCCGTCAAACTTTTGTAACCATATGGAACTCCAATCTTGTTCCAATAATTTCGGCAGCAAATCCAAATCTCTTAGCACCTTGAGCCACTTGGACAAATCCAACTTCAAAATCTGCTCAATAGTAGAAGCCAAAAATCCTCCGCGCCTACAACAAATTGGCAGGTGTGAATATCGATACGTTTGCAAATTGCAAAAATCCGCCCTCTTTGTTCTTGATCGTTTCTTACCATCCAGTACCGGCACGATGTGTCACGGGTCGTCCCGGGCTGCCTTGATTAGCGTAGAAAAAGATGTGGACATGCGGATTTACTTGACTAACCACCGTATAATTGACGTTAAAGTGGTTATGCAACGCTTGAGTGGGAATGTCGGTGCGCAGACTGCCGTCCTTGAACTTGTGTCCGTAATTGTAAGGAATCAGATGCTTGGATTTGGCGACTTTTTGCATCAGCACCACTGGGTTCAATATCTATCATTGTTGTAATAAGCATTGATTATTTTGATCTTCTCTTGATGGAACTATAAAATGCGGTTGATTTACCCCGGGAATGGCAGCTGAAGCAAGAATGGCACTCCAAATCACGCAATTAGGGGCGGTAATATAGTTGAGCAATTTTGGCGGTGAATGTGGATCAAATGGAATCACCGATACATTGAAGATGCGACCGGTGCGCTCATACGCTTCTTTGAAAGTGAGAGAGCCTCGGCAGAACCACATAGCTTCTCGGCACCATTGCTCGCTATCAAACAAAGCACCTGTACTTGCATATCGTCTTAATTTAACAAACCAAGAATCCTGGCATATGCGTATCCGCTCGGCCAGTTCTGGTGTCAACACTTGTCGCAATTCTTCATCCGTGCGCGTACACACAATAGCGCCCATCAAGGAACCCGCCGAAGTTCCGGTGATGATAGCAGGCAATAGGTTTTGATCAAGCAATGCACGGATTACACCGAGATGAAAGTACCCGAAACCAGCCCCACCTGATAAGCAGAACGCGGTTCTTCCGTAATTCTTGGCATATAATTTGAAAGCGAGTCGCTTCTCTTCCGAGGAGATGTGCGGATTCACCACCAATGCGTCGATGGCTTGGGTTACTAATTTGGTAATAATAGGTTTTAATTTCATCAACGATGCACTCACATAGGCTATGCTCTGTCCGCTACTTACCTTCCTCAACATATTCTTCCACGAGACGCTTGGTCCCGTGATAGGTGTTACTGTACAATTTCGTATTTTCAATTCCGGAAAAGTTTTGTTTCAAACAAGCATATAGAACATCTTTCAACATGGAAGCATCTTCGGCTTTCTCGCTTTTCCTGAACTGCCGAAGACTCCGCACGACTTTTTGGATCAATCGATAATCGTAGAAACCGTAAGCGGCGGTTTCTTTCCATCGATCTTTTCCCATGTACCTGTCCAATGCATCAGCGGCTCGACACCATTCTTCGTACGTTGTCGCTGCACGCAATGCATTACGCAATCGGCCACGTTTACCTCGCCTGCGATTCTCGGTTAAAAAAGGAAAAGGTGGAATTGATCATAAATTTTTTTGTCATCAGATCTTACCAACTAAAGGTGCTTTCCCACAATCGTACCGTTTGACGTAATCCCAAATATAGCAATAATTCGGTAAAGATAACAGCACAAATGCCAAACTTTAAAACAAGAAACAGTCAATATGAATCTCAACCAACGCATTAATATCTATCACTGACTGACCATTAAAGGATATTGTAAAAGTGTATAAGATATGCCTCTGGGTTTTGAATCCGGGTCCCGGGTTCTTCGTCTCGACTTCTTCTTTTTTTCGGAAGTACCACGCAATGGTATAAACTCGCTGGAAGCAGAAATATATTCAGCAGTGGATTCTGACCCACTGAGAGGATCGTAAGCTAGTGCCCGTACGAAATCGGCCACATGCTCTTCATTTACATGCTCCAACTCGAATTCGTGTGGATGGAAGAAGTCTTTGTGGTGAGGTTGAGCCGGACCCGTGCCAGCCAAGTCGCCGTTCTGGTATTCGGTTTCTAATGAAGAACCGTTGGTCGCTCTTTTCCGAGATTCGTTCATGAGGTAAAAGGTAAAAAGACGTAATCGTAATGGCTTCAAAGAAGGGAGGTTTTTTTTTGTGGACAATTTTTCACTAGTGCATTTCCGGGTCATGACGATCGGGCCAATCATACGCGGAGATTTAAATGGCCAGATTCACCATTGTGATTCTGCATGATACAAACTTTTTGCATTTTTACCCAACAACCGGCGGATGGCGAAAATTTCCAAATTCTCATTGACATGAGCAGCATACAGCCTAATTATTGAAGTGAACTCTTACAAACTGTCGCCCTTACATGATTATTAGAAATATAGTATAGTACATCTGATCCGTTATTCCTCGGCTTTTTTTTCCCCTGATTTCTTCAACTGCGGTTGGTTCTTTGAAAAGCGATCAGACAAGAATTCCAATTGAATCATCCAAGACCCAATCTAATTTATGCGTGCCAGGTTTTAAAAGAACACAACTTAAATACTGTACACTAATTCTAACAACTGTAAATCATCCATATGTACTGTATGCATTGATATCTGTAGTACTATGTATATCCAGCATAATGAACTCATAATTCATAGCGTGTTCTGTCAAATGATGGAAGGGGGAAACTGAAAGTCAGAGGCGAGCATTCAAAAGCCCGTTTACTGTTGCTTATATGAACATGCTGCTCCATAATTATCTGAATTTATGAGGTATTTTTTTTTCCAATGGGCTAGTCTCTTTCATCCTGGAAGCTAGTAGCTATGTACAGATCATTACCCTTTTTTTTCCAACTGTTACCTTTGAAAAAGGTATTTTTTCGTAATCTGTACTGTATTTTATCTCCTGCTCTAAACTATCAGAACAAGGTACGACTTGCGTTGCTGGTAATTGTCACTCATCAAAATTTTCAAACGTGTGCCGCATTTTATTGCAACATTAAAATTGGGTAAAGAGGCTAAACTATATTTGGAAATTACGCCATCTGGCAAAACTATACTGAGATTATAACCTTTTGTAACGAAATGCAGATGAGCAAGGATTCATTTTACTCGGTTGGAGTTATTGTCAGGTTACAATGTAGAAACTACTAATACCACAAGCTTTTATTTACCAGTGCCATGTAAAATGGACGTCAATAGAGCATAAAACAGTAATAAGTATACATGTTTAACGAATACAGCACTGTTTAAAGACCTCCCTGGACAGATCACAATCATCGCCAAATTCTCCGCATGCTGATGGGCACTCCTTGGCCTCTTCTGCTGTACGTGCAAAGCATATCGGGTGCCTGTCCACATAAGTAATTGGGCAGTCCCGTTCAGTGTGTAAGCAACCGGGCCTGGTGCCAATCCACTCAGCCGTTATCACGTTGAAAGTTACAACAAAAAACAGTAAAAGTACCAATGCGTGCTTTGCCATAATACGAAAGGATGGTAGGATAGTTGTATTTTCAAGCACTTCGCAATGCTTGATTTCCTCTTCTTTAAGTAGTTTTTTTTTCAAGCAGAAGTTCATTCCCTGGGCGAAACTTAATGCGAGGTGATTCTCATTGCCCCAAACTTTGTTTATCAAATAGTTATGCAAACGGAATAATGTCAAAAGTGCTAAAGGAAGTTGTGCCATATTCACCAATTACAATATTGCATATTCAAGCGAACGAAAGGTTACTGTATTTACAGATACTGCATTTCAATTTTGTGATTCATTGTCTTGCCGGATAATGTTAACGACTATCACGGATAATGATTATCTAGGAGGTTTTCCTGATTTGGAATGGCAAAGCATTCGTCTAGGTCAATCTTGCAGAACAAGAGGCCGCTCGGTTGTCGAGTAATTATCATTGATAATCGGGGGAAGGGTATGGGATTAGATATAGTCACCTGGTTTATAACTTGATGGGCATAGTTTTTTTTCAATTTTGAGTTCCGAACTGCACGGTGGCAAGTAAAAGATGATGCTCGATCGATCAATCGAATTATCAGAGACATGTAAAGTGAAAGCCCAGGAAGCACAAAACACTACTACTAAATAAAGAACACATGTTTAATGCTAAGGGTAGCATAGTTTAAAGCTTCTCGGAGTGACACAATCGTCATCAAATTCATCGCATACTGGTGAGCATTCTATCTAGGCATCTGCTACTGTATGTGCTATGCATATCAGTAACTTGCCGGTCTTTGAACAGTACAATGTGGTCAGACGGATGTAAGATCACTGCAGTGACACATATTATATTTCGGTTTCATGGTTCATCAATTTTGCAAGATAAGGTTAATGAGAATCAGGGATTACGATCTCTTAGTCAAGTTTTCCTACTTACAAATTGAATCGGCAAAGTCTTCGTCTTGGTCCAAATCGTCCAGAATAGAAAGCCGCTCGGTTGCCGAGTAATTATCTCTGATAACCGGGGGAAGTACATAGGGCACCTGATTTACAACTTGATCCGCACAGTTCCTTTCAATTTGATTCTCCAATTAAGTTCGGTTCCAACTACGCGGTGGTAAATAAGAAAAAACCAAGGATATGAATCCTTCACTGCATTTAATTTCCTGTGAATGCTTTTCTAAGCGCAGAGCAAGTTACAACTTTTATTCTGTTATGCTTATGACAGTCATTAAGGCGAATTTTCGGACGTGAAAACACTGAAATTAGGCAAATAGAACAAAATTACATTTGGAAACTACGCCATCTGTCAAAACTTTATTGAGATTGTAACATTTTGTTAGAAATTATAGATGAGCAAGGATCCATTTTATTAATTAACTGGAGTGTCTGTCATGTTACAATAAATATCATCATAACAGCGCAGTGTTTATTTAGCAGGGACTGGAAAAGTGAACGTCAAGAAAGCACAAACACACTACTAAACAAAGCCTACATGTTTAAAGCGAAGCACAGCAGCATTGTTTAAAGCCCTTTCCCGAGGGATCAAACTCAGCGCCAAAATCACCGCATTCTGATGGGCATCTCTCGGCCTCATTTTGATCTCTTGCAAAACATAGCGTTACAAATTCCGGACTATCTGGGCACGGCTGTATGTTCTGCAAACACTTGGGCGCCTCGCCAATCCACTCGGCCGTAATCACGTTGAAATCCCAAGGAAAACCAATAAAATTGTCAATGTGGGCTTGACCATAACGCGAAAGGATAGGTTAATGTGTTGTATTTTGTAATGTTTGTTTTCCTCTTGTTTAAATTATATTATAGATTTCTTTTATTTTAAAAAAGGTCATTTCCTTGGGTGAAACTTTAATGCGATGTCATTCTCATTTCCCGCAACTTTGTTCAGTAAACATTTATGGAAGAACAGTTTCAAATCCTTCGATCTCCCAGTGAAAGATCGGGGTAATCCCAAAAAATGTCACACAGTGTCGTCCCATATTCACCAGTTATCGCATGTTCAGACGGATGTAAGGTTACTGTATTAACACATATGGTATTTAGGTTTCATCATTCATTGACTTGCAAGATAGTGTTACCGACCATCACGGATTATGATACTTGGGTCAAGTTTTTCCTGCTCAAGAATTCCATTGGCAATGTATTCCTCGCTGTCGAATCTTGCAGAATAAGAAGTCGCTCGGTTACTGGAGAAGGATACGGAATTGGATAAGGTCGTCGTCTGGTTTACAATTTGATGAACACAGTTTGCTTCATTTCCCAACTGCATATTGGCAAGTAAAATAATAATAAAGAAAAAGCTTTGAAGAGATATGTATTAAGCGATAGCTCACTGGTAGTCACCTGCTACCGTATTGAAGGCTCCGCGCTGACAGCCGATTAGGCGTATGCAAGCTCGCATTATCAAGCGGAATGCAAATAAAATAACAAACATCGCATTATGACGCAAATCCTGTAGGACAAAGAAAAGTTTGTTTGTCTATAAATGTAGTTGAGCGTTTTCAGAATGCTCATCCTTCCCTTTGCATCTGAATTTAATGATCTTTAATATTTGTCTGTTGCTGATTGCACGGTAAAAGTAATAGCTCAAGCCAAGTTTTGCATATCGAGCCGTGACCTCTGATGCCAAATTCACCATGACCGATGCCCGATGAAGGAGAAAGGTGAACCAGATCTGTGCGAAAATAAGGTTTATAGACTGCATAAACTTGGAGCCATTTATGTCGTATTTACTTTTCATTTTGTATACCTATTTTCTGGAAAACACATTTTTCTAGTTGACTATGGAAGATCTTTGATTTTATTGACGATTGAGTTCAAGTGTTTTACATCTCCATGTTATTTTTCAAACCCTACAGATAAAGGTTAAGATGGCAACGGAATATACACAGCAAGTGACACTTACATAATTTACATAATCAGGGGTTTCGCAGGCTTCGTATTCATTGATCAGCTCCTGTACCACTTCCCGAGAATCGTCAAACTCATCCAAGCCATCGGAAAACATGGGATGTTTGCGATACTGTTCCAAAAAGGCATTTCGTTTTCTTAATCGATCATATTGATCGCATGTTCGCTTGAAAAGCTAATATTCAAGGATTTGATGAGCATACACATGATGCCTACAATTACTGTCTTTTTCCCACTCCACTTACAGAAGCAATACTGGTGTGATTGGCCAACATCAAGCCACTGACGCGATGTGGTGTCTGGACATACGGTGACTTTTTCGATAGCGCGACTTGGATACTGGCTGGACCCCATGGAATGAATTGTGCCAGTCGCCGCTCACGAATACGTAATAGCGATTTATGCACCTGGTAGTTCTTTTTTAATCACACATTCATCATGGACCTACACAAATGACACTTACATCTGTTGGATCCGCTTCACCTTGAATGATATCCAAGACCGAAATATAACAACTTCGCTTCGAAGGCACAGTAGACACCATACGGTTCTTAGGCTGTAATAATCGTCGCATGACATCCAAAACGGTGGTTTTACGTATAGATTTTGCCTATGACAAGGTCATGGTTCACTTTGTTGTCACTTGATGTACCATTGAGAACTGAGATATTACCTTTTCCACTTGTTCGCTGGAAAAGGGAGTGTATGCTGTGGTTAAGAAGTGGCATCGGGGTGTCGGTATTAAGGAAGAAACAATGCTGACGAGATCGTTGTTCATGTATCCAGGATAGCGAAGCGTTGTGGTACTGGCAGACATGACGGTTGACACCTACCATGAAATAAAATTATCAGACGGTGACTCTACATGAGTGATGAAGCAATCATACCAGTTGATTTGTTTGTTCGAAAGTAGGCATTGAAATATGCAGTCGATCTGTCGCAATGCGCGCCAGCGCGGCATTATCGAGTACAACCTAAAGACAATGACGCGTTCCAGTGAATATGGATGGGTATCGGTCAGTCTGTATTGGGTACATACCACGCTGTCAGCATTGCATGTCAACCGTTTCAGAGTTAGCATGCTATTGTAAGGCTGTACGACGATATCGGAGACTTCCTCAGAGTTGGGAAAGACAGAGTAGGTTTGAATCAGTTTTTTCGGATAGCGATCATTGAGACGTTCCAACAGGAACGAGCCAAGACCTGATCCTGTACCACCAGCAATAGAGTGAAGGAGCATGAATCCCTACATAGGGGGAAAAAATAAGAGCAAGAGGCGGTCGTTATGTTACTTTGTCTTTCATATTTCATTGTATATTCCCTCTCACTTACTTCAAGAGAGTCACTACCGTCGGCTTCTCGATCTACCATGTCCATAATATCCTCATATACTTTTTCGCCCTGCGAATAACCGTATGACCAGATATTGCCTGCACCGCCGCCGTCGTTGGACATGAATATGTTCTCTGGATTGTACAAGTTGGCAAACGGTGAATCGCGAATGTTGTTAATGACCTATGCAAAATGGGTTCAATCACAATGCGAATCAAGAGCGTGGTAGCGGCTTACTCGTGGTTCAAGATCTAGTAACAGTGCGCGTGGAATATAATGTTCGTCGTCGGCCTGTCAGTGAAACACAATAATTATGAATGAAGCCTGCAGTAAGCGAAAAAGTAGTTGACCGGATAAAAAAGCATACCTGATAGAAAAAGACATCTTTTCGGTCACCTCCTTCCGTTGCAAAGTCTTCCAAAGTACCGTCGCTGCTAATGCCGTGTTCAGCGCAGATCTGTCGCCAAAATTCACTACCGACTATATACATGGAGCGGATTAACGTAAGCTCTGAGGTAGGTTAATAAAAAGGTGCTGTTACTTTGATTGCCGCATTGGCCTGCTTGAAGCGTTATGATTTCGCGTGGCATTGTTGGAGGAGCGTTCAGGACAAGCACAAAAAAAAAGAGGTGAACGCCTTGGCAGGAACGCGGGTGACATTTTTGGCAGTGGCGACTTGTGACGGTGATCGCCGATCCAGGAAATTTTGATTGTTGAATTCACAGAATGGGTGACATTGATATAAGCATCTTTCCCTCAAGTCGATCTACTCTTTACTGTATGGATGCCATAAGTGGTATTATCTTTAATCTATGAATGAACTCATTTCATCCTTGCCTGTGATATCACACTTTCTGCAGGAAAAAATTTAGAAACCTATTTTCCATGGTTCCGATCACCGATCCCTCTATGATAAACCACATGACTGCTCTAAAACAGTGACTTTGCTAGCCTTCATTAATCGGATTGACAGATACATTCGATTACAGAGAGTAGTTTTGCTTATATATACAGAATTAGGTTGTACAGCATAAGGAGGAAATTCGTCAGTAACAGCAGTAGCGACATTCTCCCAAGAGATTGATGGCGGTCCAGCTTTTTTTTTTGGGGGGGGGACACCTATACCGTAGAACAACCACACCAAGACGTCCTTTGGCAGTCCAATATGAGAATAATATAAGGGAAAATTGATTGATCCATTACCGGCTAACTACATATGAAGATCTGACCTAGCCATTAAGATTTTCCGGTTTTTTCTGTTTCCTTCAGCTGTTTTGAGCCTGGGATTGACCCACAGAGAATACGGTGCCTCGATCGGAAACTAAAATTGGTGGCAAGGGGTCAATGAGGTGATCGACGATATTGCTTCATTCAAAAAGATTCTTTATGTCGACCAGCATCAAGTTGAAAACAAACATGGTGCCTTTTCAACGGAAGTTACCGTTTATGGCACATTGTCACATGGACATGATGCTTATTTCCTGAAGGATAAAAATGTCAGCGCGACTATACGATGTTTGGCACAACGTAGCATATGATAAAAAAAAACGCGTTATTATTGAGCAAAACCTTTCTTTGGAGTCAAAAAATCAATGAGCATTTGCCATAAATCTTGGAATTTTTTTTCTTGTTTATTTATATTACAATGCTTTTCATGTTTTTGTAAAAATCTATTTAGCGAATTTATAAAATCTATCTCTTCAAGGAGAATGGAAAAGAAAAAAAAAGATACAGTAGAAAAAAACTAGACAGCGGAGAAGTATTTGGCATAAGGTTGTTGGATTATTTTTTGCTTGCATGATTTGAGCTTAATGATTAAGACTACAACCAGATGAGACAGAAAGTGCGAAGGATGGATCAAGGTACTTGCATTGAAGTTCTTCACAAGCCATAGGCGAAAGCCAAGGAGATCCGGCGGGCATCATTGGATCGATCCACTGGACATCTTCGTCTGAAATAGAAAATCCAGGCGTACATTCAGAAGTAGTGAGGGATGAAGATATGGAAGGAGAAGGACGATAATCCAAGGTTGGAGGAGTAACGGCCAGTGGAGCATAATCATAGCGATAACCTTGATGATCGACGGGGGTGACCATGTGAGGTTCAAGAGCATAGTTCATCGGGAGACTGCCGTTGAGCAACCAAGGATTGTAAGTGTAACTCAGCATCGATGGTAATCCAGGCTGTGGTGAAGAGGCACTTATTCTTGCCATATTCTCCATGGGAACATAGGGTGAAAGGTATTGCGTGGACTGGAACCGATTTTTGTAGCATGCTGATCCCGACTGCGACGGTACAGGCTGAGACACAGCACAACCGGACGGTGGAAACGAGACGTTGGAACAAATGGCGGAGGGGGCCCTAGAAGTCGATAAGACCGTATTTTCACCGAGTTTCTTGCTGGCTTTTCCTGACACGTTGGTCGTTCGCTTCCGCTTGGGCGTATATTTGTAGTCTGGATATCTAAAAAAAGGGAACAAGTTTAGAATTAGTGCAACTCAAGCTTTTTCATTATAACGAATTTGACATTACTTTTCGGCATGGGATTGTTTGGCTTTATCGGCAATATTGCGATAATGTTGCTTTTCATGCTCAGGTGCTTCACGCCACCATTTGGCAATGACACGAGAAATATCGCGGTGATTGGCCCCGGGACACTGTTGAGCGATTTCTTTCTGCTTTTCCAGTCGATAGGCGAGAAAGCAGTTCATGGGTCGTGGAATACGAGTAGGATCTCGCTTTCTTGTACGCGGACGTCGCGGTCGAGAACTAGGCCGGGTAATCAATGCCAATTCGGCGAGATCTCGAAGATGAGAAGCTAGCATTTGCTCGTTTGCAGTCATAATCGCAGAAAGGCTGTTCAAAAAAACAAGTTCAAAGAGTGAAGGTAAAAAAATGAAAGGAATGGATGCAATTTAGCGTTCAGTAACAAAGAACGAAAGCGCCAAGTGGATGAAATGGACCGCCGTACAAGGGAAATAAAAAATAGGAATCCAAGGAAACAAGAAAAGAAGAAAAAAAAAAGTTGGAGTCATATTCAATGCAAAGATGTGGTTTTAAATATGACATGAAAAAATTGTGTTGATGACATGAAATAAAGTTAAAAATAAACGGTTCATGGACGGGGACATTAACGTAATATTCTGCATAACGTGCCATTCATGTAGTAGATTATTTCATTGGCATCTATTTTAGTGAAAGAATGACCTATGCAAAGGATAGAAGGGAGGGAAACCGAGCCAGTAAAGAAACATTTACATTAACGTGATGATCGAAAAAAAAAAGTTCACTAACGTGGCATGCGTGGCATGCCAAATCGTGGATCCTTCCAGTCCCAGAAATAACACACAATGAAAATGAATCATTTGATACTCCTCACTAACCCCACACATAGAATATCACCATGCGTCCTTGCGTGATTTATGGTTTCGTCCGCCACCGTCACAATGGCAATAAAAAAAAACAAGGGGACAGTTGCCATGACGTCTGGGCGCGCACCGAAACCGAGTATGGCAGCATGTAATCATGGAAAAAAAACCACAGATAACTCATCCAAAAAAACCGCTCACAACCTCTTTGTGTCAACTTCTTTTTATGAGACTAATTAAAAATGGTAATAAAAAAAAGCGCACAATAATAACAAGAAGCTACATTTAGGCCTTGACGGCGTACTTGCGGAGAGGGAAGTGAGTCAACTTCTTCTGAAGCTTGACAGTCTTCAAGCTCTTCTCATAGGGAGTAAGGGCTCTGCGCATGGCGCGGGTCTTCTTGCAACGGAGATCCAAGGGAGTGAACTTCTTCTTCTGGTAGAAGAGACGGAGCTGCTCACGCTGGGTCTGGTTGATGACAGTCAAGATTCTGGCGACGTTCTTGCGAGCACGACCAATTTCCTGAAGCTTGGAGGACGAACCACCAGCAACCTTCTGAACACGGAGGGAAGCAAGTTCCTGCTTAGCCTCATCGAGGAGCTTGACAAGCTCGGCCTTGTTCTTGTTACGAAGTTCGTGAGCTTTAACGGCAACCTAATCAAAGCAACAAAAGCACATTAGTAATTCCATTCAGTCTTTTTTCTCTGCATTCTTTCCACATTCACAACGTCGATCGAGCTGAATCGTTTTCTCATTGTTCCTCATTATCTCTCAGTGTCCTTTTTTTTTTTTCTTTTCTTCTTTTGTATCCACTCCTCTCGATAACATTGTTCCATGCCAAAGTATCGATGACGATGCTTCGATTTTGTGTGTTCTTTAAATGATGATGTGGCAATGTGGCTCGTTGTCGACGTTGGATGTATGGATGGATGTACTCACCATTGGATGACGGATGGGAGTAAGAGGAGGATGGCAAATTTGTTGAGTAACACTTTCTTGAACTTTGGCCCGATACCTCCCAACCTCCACCGCCCGGACCGTCGGTGTTTGAAATTTTATGGACTGAGTGGCCCACAAATTTTCACAAAGTGCAAAGCGAATTTTAGGTCAAAAATTTAGGGACAAAAATCAAGAGAAAACTGTTGATGTATATGACAAAGTGTTTTGAAAGAGAAATGAATGTAGGATGAAGTATACATGGTAAATAGAGAATAATGCGCCTATATGAATCACTTTTTTTTTGAGGTGAGGAGTTTTTTTTTCCTATGACTCCATGGGACTGTTGGCCCCCTCGTCGTCTTCTTCCTCTAGTTCTTCGTCTTCTTCCACTTCTATATCGGCTTGACCCGTTTCATGCTGTCCGTTCATTTGATTGCCTTTTATCTGTCTTGACACGTCTTCCTGTCCGTCACCCACAATCATAGCGTCGTACGGCATTTCATCCCACACCTGAAATAAGCTCTCGCGTGGCAAGGCTCGAAATTCTTTGGTTCGGGACACGGCACCAAAATAGCGGAAAATGAACTGAAGTGCTGTGTGTTGCAATGCTCGCTGTGCAGCCAAACCCGCGCAATGATAGATTTTACTCACGTTTTCTACGTCTATATGGCGTTGCAGTCGTCGGACACATAAGGCCAGCAGTCGCGGTAACATGTATATATTGGCCATGACCATGAGATCGGCGACCACAGTGTCGGGTACAGCATCGTCGATTGTATCTGTATATAAAAATTGTACAAAGCTTTCCAATGTCGAGAAGGGTTCCGGGAGGGTGAGAGTGTTGCTGACGGATTCCATCATATTGGAGTTCATCATGTGCAGGAAATATGGCCAGCGAGCTAAAAGCACAAGTCGATGAGCTCGAATTTCCCCGGCTTCAGGCTGGCTACTGGAGCGTAATGCAAAATCGGTGCACTGGGATTGACGGGACAATAAAGTGGCAAGATCATAACCTAGTTGAGACGGTGGCACGGGAATAAGACCCAGTTCTTTGATATCGACTCGCAACGCCATGGCGTAGAATTCATCAGGTTCGTCATCAGCTGGACCAAAAAGGTAAAAAGATGTGCCATGCTCCGCCATAGCAAAACATGTCCAGTGGCACCCATTGTACCTTCCTCCCAACTCGTGATACTGCCATTGCATGGAAGAAAAATCCAAGCACCAGACCCCCGTATTCAGTGCATCCTTTGTCACGGGAGTGTAAGGCTGTGTGACAACAACAATGAGCTGATCTCCACAGATCTGTGAAAACCGCTGACCTGTCAACGGCGGTGCAGACGGAGAATCAATCTCCAAATGCGTTACATTGTATTGTTCGAGATCTATGAATGACAAATGATTGGATCGGCTCATATCCTCCTTCAACCCACCAAACAGATACAGTCGGCTGTTATACATGAACGTGGTATGTTGCGATCGACGTACAAACTTGATCGGTGTTTGCCACTCCCACGTTGTCAAATCGAGAATAAGCAGGGTATCTGCGAAATTTGGAATCTGGTTGGTCACTGTGAAGCCTCCTGCGATGTAAAGTTTGTCCTTGTAAATGGTCGCCGAGTGTCGTACTCGTCCTGCCGGTTGTTCACCGTACGTCGGCGGGTGAACCCATGTCATGGTGTCTAGTTCGAGAATGGCGACATCGTTACAGTAACGTCCGTCCTCTTCGGCGTAGCCACCGAATATGACAAGCTTGTTATCGTTCCACAGTGTGGCAGTGTGATCGTTGCGTTTCGATGGCAATCGGCCTTTGGTGTACAATACGCGCACCCATTCGCATTGATCGTTTTTGGTGTTCAGTTTGTATAGGGAATTGTACACTTCGTCGCTGTACTGATCGAACCCACCAAACAAATAGACGGTGTCATCGGCGATGGTCAGCGATGCGCCGACCAGTGAAGCTAGAGCTTCACCTGTTGTGCGACGGGGTTGTGGATAATCAACAGTGGGTAATCCGCCGGTGACCGATATTGCAGAGGAAAACGTCGATTTACGATTGGGACTATGAAGGGAATGAGGCGTTTCCGGTGGAGTGTTATTCATGACCACTTCAATTGAGAGATTCCAAATCAGCAATGGCGCGGACAGTCAAAGCGGAAAAATGAAAAAAGTGCTTAGTGGGACTAGAAAGGGAATTTCGGCAATCATCCACAAAAAAAAAAAAAAAAAAAAATCCCGGCATGCTGGAAATCTGAGCGAATCTGCACAACCCGTTTCTCAGTTCAGGCTCCGCCTATCCATTCGTCTGCCTTATCCAATCACATCAATCACATTCCGTGATCGCCCCAGAACAATGGCCCTTCAAAACCACTGTTCTCAAATCAGGAACTAACTAGCAAAAAAATACACCCACACCCACCCACACACAGATTCGTCTGTTCAGCAAGTGGAGCTTGTAATCATACCAATTCTAGAACATACTCATTTTTTCCACTGGGAAGAATAAGCATCATCTATTCTGCTGAGCAGGAGGGTTTTCTGGCAAGATGAGACGAGGGCGAGGTTTCTCTGGTCAAATGTTCTTCATCGGCAACTGCTTGTATGATTTGATGTCGTACCGCATGCGTAACAAGAACCACAACGAAGCAAACAATGAAGTTAAAAAAAAAGTTTGGGGGTTTCGAGAAATTCGTGATCGATGGGTCCGTCCAATAATTGAATCCGAAGCATGGTACGCGTTGTAACCAATCAAGCAACAATCAATACCATTTTGTCTTATAAGTAAAAGTTTGTAATATCACGAAAAAGATTACTGCGTATTTAAATACCAATAAGCAGTTACAAATCCAATCAAATCGTCTGAAAAAACATCGATTGGAATATTTGAAATGTGGTGTGCGGTTCATGGGCGGAGATTAAAGTGTCCGACGGAAGGATGACGTTTCCCGGGCGAAAATCGGCGAGGCCGTGTCCGGCCCTCAAAGTAGCTGGCAACGCTCGCCATCCGTTATTTCCTCCTCTTTGGATTTTTTGATTCAACAATGGTACGTAGAGGAAGCAGGGAAATAGGCATGCATCTAGAAACTGTTCACTTATCATCCATCCTCTTCCATCTTTATTCTCTTTTACTCATCCGTTTATCCCTCGATTCGATGCATCCTTGATATGTCTTGTCAACTTTCCGTTTTTTTCGCGGCTTTTTCCGAATTCGATCATTACCATATCGATTTATCACTTACTTCATCCAGGCCAAGCGCACTAAGAAGGTCGGAATCACCGGAAAGTACGGTACTCGTTATGGTGCCTCTCTTCGTAAGCAGGTGAAGAAGATGGAAATCACCCAGCACGCCAAGTACACCTGCACTTTCTGCGGCAAGGTAATTTCGGATTCCGGCACCATTTGGAAATGGCACAACTGCCGATTAAAATAGAGAGACATAAGAACTAATGAAATGTATTAGGATGCTGTGAAGCGTACTGCTGTCGGTATCTGGAAGTGCAAGGGTTGCAAGAAGACCATGGCTGGTGGCGCTTACACCGTTTCTACCACCGCTGCTGCCACCGTCCGCTCGACTGTCCGTCGTCTTCGCGAATTGGCTGAAATCTAAAAAAAAGGAGATCCGGTTTTTCACACACACTCTCTTCTTTTCTGTTTGCCTACATTCAATAAACCTTTACGTTACGTTACTTTATTGTCTATTTCTTTTTTGTTTTCATCACTAGTTCCGACACCGGTTTATCAGGGTCAGCATGCTTGTAGATATATCCCACCATGCGCAACGCCTCGGCGCGTTTGTAGCGAACTTTGCTGCTGACAGTCTATCAACGAAAGCAAGAAAAAGAGTAAATCGTTTGTTCGTTGACGAGGCGAGTAATTCTTTACCTTATCCTGCAATACAGCGTCGCATACATGACGCAAGGTATTCTCAACATCAAACTTGGAAGTCTGCCACAGTGCTTCGTACGTCTAAAAAAAGGGAATTAAAAAATGAACATTGGGTCGAAACATAAACAAGCCGTTGGAGTATACCTTATTGCTGGCGTCCTCTTCAAGCTTTAAACGTTCGGCCTGATCCATGCCTTCCTTTTCAGCTTTCTCGAGCATTTCCCCGACGGCTTGCATATCCATGGCTGACTTTACAACCGACCACAACTCCTTCATGTAATGTTTCTTTTGTCGCAATGCCTGGAAGATGCTCGGCAGTTCGCCTCCTTTCATACCGAGATGATGTTTCGCTTTGCTGGAATAGACATAGCCAATGGTATGCAACAGTTCAATGCCGTAGCTTTCCGATTTTAATTTCTCGGCTTCGATTTTAATCTGTTCCTGGAATGCCGCCGCCGCCGCTTCATCGCCTTCACTGCTGTCGGTGTACAATGAGAGCTTGTGGATAAGGTTCTCGGCCAACTTTTTCACTCGTTCCTTTTGGGCTTGTTGAAGCTTTTCTCTTTGCTCTTTGGTCATACCAGGCTTGGATTTCTCTGGTTTGCCTGCAGTAACATCCTGTCCTGTCTCCTGCATGTCTTGTTCCATGGACTCGCTAAACAGTTCGCCCATAGCAAGATCGCCAATGATACCTGTACAATGTTCTTCGTAAGCCAAACATGCCATTGCGTGCATTTTTTTCGCGCTAGAGTGTGAGGGAGGAGGGAGGACACATACTTCTGAAAGCGTCACCACCAAACATCTGCTGGAAGAATTCACGGGGATCCGAAAATCCGCCGTCAGGTGCCAAGTCCTTATCCTTGCCATATTTGTTATAGTGAGCTCGCAATTGCGGATCCGATAACACCTGGTACGCTTCCGAAATTTCTTTAAACTTTATAGACAGCAGCACTGTGAGTTTGATGTATCCATCTTGGCAACAACCTTGAAGTTATTATTTTCTGTACCTTTTCTTCGGCTCCTTCACTTTGGTTTTTATCGGGATGGTAAGTCTACAATGACATGAGCGTAAGGACGATTCCAGACTATTTGTCCCCTATGCCATGTAAAGAAAACTTACAATAGCTAATTTGCTAAAAGGGTAACGAATAGAAAAAGGGAAATCAAGTGGTGTTAATGATGGAAGCAGAAGCAGGGCAACAATAACTGAGCTATTTCTTACCGGAAAGCTTTTTTGATTTGGACTTCATTAGCATCGACAGGAACGTCGAGTAATTCGTAATAAGACTTATCGATAGGATTCTCGTCTGTGCCTATCCGGGACATGGTGGCGGAACTGATTGATGATTAGGTAGAGGTGAAAAGAAAATACGGTTTCCTGAGTGCAATCGAAGAGAGGAAAAAAGAATATGCGACAAAGGTCATTCAATGACCGCCGAGACAATGAACCGACGGAGTCTCTTTTTTTTTTTTTGCGCGGGAGCCGGGGGAGAACAAGGCGGGCAAGTTCAGTGCAGTGCCTTTTTTTTTATCGTATGTGGCTGGCTATTTCCGGACAGTTTCTCGGCATCATCAAAATCCCTGTAACGACCCGTCTTACTGAGCCGTTGCTTATTCAATATTTAGAGGGCACCATGATTCCATAACACATTTCAAATTACAGTATTGTAATATATCATTCTTGATTTATCAAACAGATAAAAAAAATTGAGCAGAATACTATATTAACACTTCCCTACAGTGATCAACAATAGCTCTATTACAATAGTGGTTATTGAGAAAACTTGACTGTTTTCCTTTGTATCACCAAGCAAACCATATTAGCGTTCCTTGCAGTAAAACTTTTTTAAACCGTCAGATGATCATGCAACTGCCGAGCCACGCCGAATGAAGAGCATAAGATCAGGGTGAAAAGGGTAAATTGATCATCTGTCCCAGAAAAGAATTGCTGACTAGACGTAATTCTGCCTGGTATAACTGCATCCGCATCATTCATGCGTTTCCTTTTCCTTTATTATGCGCAAACGATCATCATCCAAATTACCCCTAACCAAAAGCAACCAGCAAACGCGAGATAGGAATCAGAGATTTGTGTCTATGTCTTACAAATGAGTGGGCGGCGTCTTTACCAGTGTGCACACTGCAAAAGTACTGCTTGAAAACGAGCAATAAAATTTGATTTGCATAATTACACTAATTAAATTGGGACCAGCATTCACCATTGTAGAGATATGTATGGAAACGGGCTTTATCAGTGTTCTGGCGCGCATGAATATTAGCAACGTTCCTTCCGCGAACTCCCATAGATCTATACACTATGCAGCTGAAGTGCCGTTTATTGTTCATAAAAAGTTTACTAACCATCTGTTTAATATAATTCCAACCGATCAAAAGGAAAAAAGAAGGACCCAAAGAACGAAAATGACACTTTTTTCAAGTACGTCGCTGGTCGGCTCTTCCTGAGAAACACTCATTCCTGTGCCTTTTTCCAAAATACGCCATCGATAGAATCTCTGAATCTTTCATGTGTATTCGATCCGACGCGTATTGCAAGTCATGAGCAAACTGAAGCATTTGCAGATAGCCATGCCAAAGACATCGACGTACGTCTTTTGGCAGATCGATGCCCAACTTGAAGGAGACTAGTCATAACTTGTTGTTGTTTCGGCTGGGGTCGATACAATTTCCTATGCAAGGGACCATCTCGGAGTATCATATCGGCTGTTGCGAGCACAGAGAGAAGAGGCCCCGACGAGATTTCAAATATAAACATTTTCACTGCGGGTTGCAGACACATAAACCTGTTTACATGAAATAATCTTTAATTTTGAACATTTTTACAGTGATTGACTTTTGGTTTCATCATCGTCAAGGGAGCTATTTAGATGGCTTTATCGGCAATGGGATTGGCGTGGATAGTGACACTCCTTACGCGGACTTCTTGAATAGGTCGATATTTTTCATCTACCGGTACTTTTTCTATTGCGTCGAGCGTAGAATCCGCACCATCAATGACTCTGAGAACCGTCGTTGGTGAGCACAAAAGAGACTTTCATACGAGCGATGCATGCTTTCATCAACTTACTTTCCAAAGACGGTATATTTGGTATCGAGATGAGGATGCTTTGCGTAGGTGATGAAAAATTGTGAACCGTTGGTGTTGGGGCCAGAATTGGCCATAGACACGATCCCGCGTGCGTTATGCTTGAGAAAACAAAATCATATTAAACATACTGTCAACCCAACATACCAATTAGTTGCTGCAACCTACTTTTAAAGTGGATCGGATTTCATCGTTGAATTTACGACCCCAAATAGAGTTACCGCCTTTGCCGGTACCTGTTGGGTCGCCTGTCTATAAGGCTAGGCATCAGCTTCATCGCGCTCTCAGAGATACATCTGCTCTATAGTTGAGTTTACCTGTACCATAAACCCTTTGATGTTACGGTGAAAAAGATTGTTATCATAGTATCCGCTGGCACACAATGCAAGAAAGTTCTAAATATGGTACGACACAGTGAGTAGATGTATCGTGCATGCTGTCAATTGTATGTAATAGCTACCTCGGCCGTTTTTGGAACCGCTTCACAGAACACTTCAATTTTGATATCGCCAAGATCAGTATGTAGAGTAACAGACTATCATTTTCGTATAAAAAATGAGCGGCATAGTTCGGCGGGAATTGCGAGTATGAAATTCCTTACCATTGCAGCAAGAATCAATTGAGAAGATCGATGCTCGGTGTCGGGAATGAAGCTGTTGGGATTCCGCGCGCGCCCTTAATTGTCGAGTGCACGTCATCAGAATTTAAAAAAATGTGACCTCATTTAAAGAATGATTTTACGACTTTCGAGCGCGCGGACCTAACAAGAGGCTAGTAGGCGGGGCTTTCCACTGCCGAGCGCAGTAAATGCACGCTGAGGTCGTTGCAAGGCGATCGGTCGAGAATCGAGTCGATACCCTGACTGGATGTACCGCTGTAAGATGCGTCGAATATTGATACCAGCATTGATATCGCGGTTCCAGATCTGACAAGCAAACTGAATATCGATGTTTCAGAAAGATTATAAATGATGATTGACATACCGGCGGATTTGAAATATCGTTTTCTGACACACACTGCGGACACAGTCGAGCCGGGTAAAAACGATGCTTTTCCATCCGCGACCTATACCAAGTTGTATTGATATGATTTGAAAGAGTCAAAGAACTTTTATTAGTAAGCTTACCTGCAGGTCTTCTTGCTGGACATTCCGAACTGTAGCCGAGTATATTGCCTTCGTCGTCCAAGCAACGTTGTCTCAGCCTTCTGTCTACACCTCTCAATCTCTTCTTCTTCTTCCTAATAATATTCTTAGTCAGTTTAAACATAAACATGATAAGTGACGTGAACTTACTTGTGATTACAGACGCGAAGCTGTTCATCTCGCACGTCGACTGTCGTGGAATCACATTGACTGCAAATTTTGCTAGTCAGGTATTCATCGACGCAAATCACGAGCGCTTTCTGTCCCGAGACTTGACGGAGCCCCTAAGTCAGTCGGTTTTTTGCTCAAATGATATATGCCGCGAGTTTATCACGACATGTCGGGCTCCCGTGGCAGCAACTGGAATTCCTCTTTTGTCTGCGGGAAGGCGCTAATGTCAGAAACAAAATCAATATCAACATCAATATCCATTGTCACAGTTATGTCATTGGTCGAAACCTACCTCGATCCCAACGTTTAATGAATTTAACAGATATCATCACCCCGTCGGTTTCAACACTGTAGTAAAACTACGTGTGTTTTTCATCAGAAGCTACAATGATACGATTCATTAAATGTATGCTCGGCTAAAGACCTATGGTTTACTTACGTATTCCCTCGTCTGCCGCCCGCAGCCGGTTTGGACAGAGCTTATCCAGTGAGAAAATTTCTTCCCATAAGGTTTCTTTGAATAGATCATTCTTATCCAACCGCTTAAATTCCATCAAAGTAATGAAATGCTGCGGGAATTATCCCATATTGACTTCGTCTCATTCTCTGTGAAAGAAGTGATGTTGTTTAGTACATAACATCTTTTTTTTTTTTTTTTTGGCTTACTTTGAGGATGTTCGGTACATTATATCCGGAAGTCCATGCTTGATGTAGGAAATGGTACACGCCAGTTCCATGGATCGGCACTAGCCTAAATATGCTGTGTAAGATGTTGTGTGTATCGTGTTTTTCACATGGAGAAGCATACCAATCTGATGAGATGCCAAAGGGAGAAGTGTCCATCTCCTTCCCTCATATAAGATTGCTCTCTGAAGGAACCAAGCAGAAAAACGAAGAAGGCCTGAAGTGTACGTTGAACCAGCAGCTTTTTCAATCGCATCGGCTGTGGTGGTGGTGCCAAACGACTGGTTGAATTCATGGAGCATCTCCCCATAAAATTGGCGAATCTGTTCAATTTCGCCTTGGTACACCTTCCAAGTTGTCCATATTGAGTTCTTTATGCTTAAGCAGATGAAGGACTGCGTCATTTCCTAAATTGTAATTGTAAGATGGTATAGGATCAAGAAATTGTAGGTTAACTTTACCTAACGCCTTTGCGCTTCGCGGCAGCTGGACTTCATTGCGCTTGGCGAAAGACAGCAAAAAGCCTTCCCAGACACGAAGCATGTATTTCGATAATTCCCTCCCAAATGTAAGATGACGTCTGTGAATTTTATGGTTAGATCGAATATAACCCCATTGAAGTTCGTTTATTACTTGTATGAGCTTTGGAGGCGTAATCGTTTGCAAGATCCAAAAGAACCGGCCGCCACTGAGGAAACTGATAGCCTATAAACAAAGTATACGTAACTTCCCCTGCAATGATGTTTTATGTATCTGGCGGCATAACGAACCTCGAGTTACCGGAAGGAAAAAATGCTCAAAGGTATGCCATAGGTCCAATTCCCATAGGATGTCTCTGATATTGGGGGCCTTGTTAAAAAAAATTGTCAGCGATTATGGAAACCGGAGTTGACTAATTTACATACCGGCGCCCCATCTTGACAGCTTTAGTGTACGGATCAAGTACCTGAAGTCGCGAATCGACGCTGGTGTATATTGTCTGCTCATGTGGTCATAGGAGGTATATCAATATATGTAAAACAGGTTATGTAAAGCGGTAAAATTAGATCGGCATTATGGGATAAACACAAGTAAGTGCAAAAAGAAGGAGAAATGACGAAAAAACGTTAAAAAAGAGAGAGGGAAAAAAAAAGAAGACCGGAAAGAGAGGGAAGAAATAGGCACGCAGCAACGGCACGGTGTTTATTTGTTTATTTTGTGGCTGGATTTTGTGGAATGCACTGAAGCAATCACGGAAGACTTGGCAATGATGGTGAAAAAATAGGGCTTTCTGCCAGTGACATTCCTTCACTGTATTATGCGAGGCGCCCAATGTATACAATAGCAGAGTTGTTTCTTCAAAGCTATACCGAGTTTATGAATTGGTTTCAAAGAAAGACTAATCTTAAGCTATGACAAAGCATCGTGCTCTTCAACTTAACCTCAATCTGCCATGTGCTCATGAAGGCCAACATGGACCACCCACCATCCATTCACATCATCATGGAGACGCTGCCCCTGCACATGTTCACGATAGGAAATAACTTACCACTCTTCTTGTTCTTTAATGAAGCAAGCAATGTTATCAAGCTCTCGCAAGATGACAGCAGGGGAGTCTGCGGCAAAGGGACCGACAGGCTGAACAACAGCAGCAGTGATATCGTTGACTTACGTTACGTAGAAACACTTTTTTTGTGGAACGCAAAAATTATGACGAAGCTCGTTCGCCGCTGCAGAACAGTCACGCAGAACAGAAAAAATGCAGGATATTTGTATATGGATCAGCCAATCGATGATAATATTCCATGTAGTCCGCTTTTTATGATGTTAATGATAATCAAGATATAGAAGACTTGGCATGTCATGTCGAAGCATGCTTGATTAAACAGAGATAATGGGCAAATTCAAATGAGTGATTCAAGGAAACAGAAGGCAATAGTCCAGAAGGAGATAGATTCAAGGAAGGATCGGATTGTAAAGCAAAACTTCACCGAAATTACCACTTTCAAAGGGCGCGTAATGGGGGAAAATCCATCAACAAAAAAGTTCACCTATTTGGGCCGATTTTTCAATGCAAACTATTCTGGAAGGACTTTTACGTGAACAGCTGAAAGAGACCGAGGAGACACAATGGTCAGCATTTTGTCGACACGTGCTGCAAGTTGAAGAGATGCCTGTAATTCCCTTTGTCAAGATCGCCATGAACAGAAAGCTCACAGAAGAAACGTGCCTATAGCAGGATGATACAGCCGCGTTTTTATCGCTTGGTGGCAAGGTGTGCAGTGCGAAGCTTCAAAAAACGCGGTTTGCGTATGGCGCCGTAGAACGTCCGTTCTATCTTGCTGTGGCTGAAACATTGGAGTGTTGCCGTCTGCAAGGCGGTCACCTTCCTACCGACCTACTGGATACCCGTTTAGCTTTGCTGCATATCAGTAACAAAGACAGGTCAGCATAGGCAAAGCAGCTACTGCTAAATGTGCTGACGATACTTTTTTTTTGGCAGATTACTATGCATACAACAGGAAATGATCAACGTGTTCAAAACAACGGACCGCAGCACGCTGAAACGATTTCTATTTGAGGTAAATATCGAGCCACAGGCTTCAAGACATGGTTCCGCAGGTTTGAGCTGAAAAGCCCATGGTAGTTCTTGACCCCGAATGATTGGCGCATTTTTCTTCACATACGTACGACTGTGGGTGGACAATCCCTTGCAACGATGCCACCAAGCTTATCCGAATGTTTGCACGCATTTACGCGAATCTATCAGAAAACGAACGCAAAAATACGTCGTCACGGTGAACCCCATCAACTGTCAGTAGGCGCCAAAGCATTGAGCAAGCACTGGCACCGAGATCGAAATGTTGGTTTTTGGGGGATATGCACTGGAAGTAAGTTTTCAGGAGAAACCCGCATTTTATTAATGACGACCATTGACAGAAAAAGGGGAGGCAGTTGGATGGTCATGCATGCTATTAGAAAAAGGAATTAACTGTTTTTGATGATCCCTCACAGCTGAAGCCACTAAAAACGAGCATGCGAATGACATACTGATCCGCATTTTGCAGGACGCTGTATGGATCAATCTGCACGCGTTGCCAGTAAGTTTATCAAAAGCATTGATTCACCAGGGAATGCCATCAGTGACTGACAGCAGCGCGGGTTTTGAATGCACAGCATGAAGAAACGGCGTACGAAATAAGACAAAGGGATGGCTATGGTGCGCGGTGGAGCAAAGTGAAGGACGACGAAAATGGATGGATATTTCGCGGCTTCTTGGAGCCTCAAATGGAAGATGGGCATGCTGTGGGATGGCTTCACTAAAACCTTGGAAACCATGTGTCTCCTACCTTCAAGTGCAGCATCTGACAGGATAGTGCTTGCATTAAAAAAACGTGGCTGACCGGAAAAAAAGCGCAAAGGAACAATGATTGATGCTTCCACGTTCTTCTGTTTTTTTCTTACAAAGACACGTGGTTTTTGACAGACATTCCGTGCGTTGATTGGATTGAGACACCTCCACCTATTTTTATATAAAACTTGGAAAATTTTAAAAAAGGGAAATCCCGCGCATACTGTTGCTTCATCTTCTTTCACTTCTCTCAAGCTTGAAACCACAACAATGGATAAATTCCGTGAGGTTGGTTGGTCACTCTCGACATTGTTTCACATAATTGCTAACGACTTCATTAGAAAATTACCAATTTGCGCACCGAGGCTGACGCAGCCAATGCCAAAGTCGAGGAACTGGAATCCAAGATCAAAGCGATGGAACAGGAACAAACGCAACAGGAACATGAAGTCATCTCGCTGAGTAATCAGAATAAGCATTTGGAAGAAGAGTTGGAGAAGGCATTGCAGAAAATCCAGGAACTCAAGAGCCTGGAAGAGGAGAATGAAGAATTGAAAAAGGAGAACGATTCCGTTCAACGTAAAATGTCGGTCTTGGAGAAAGAATTAGAGAATTCCGACAAGTCCCTACGGGAGACGACCAAAAAGTAAGCATCTCTTTGTGTGTATGGGAGGAGAATACGGCAGAGATCTGTTGGGTTTGGGTTACAGAAACCGGAAAGTTGGATGTTCGTGTTCCTGACCGATCTTTTTTCTTGATATACAGTTTCCGAGAAGCGGACGTCAAGGCTGAACACTTTGAGCGCAAAGTGCAACGATTAGAAAATCAGTTACTGGAACAGGAAAGCAAGACGGAAGAGTACAAACTCAAGAATCAGGAGTTGCAGGCACAATTAGATGAGTTTAATGCCCAGTTGGAAGATATCTAATGAGGGAAACAAACTTTTCTTTTTTTTTTTTGGCTTATTCACTGTCTGTCTTTGGAATCTTGGTTTCTCTGTCACGCTTGAATATCATGGGATGTTGAAAAAAAAAGTTTAATGGGGGAAGCGCCGTTTTGAAAATGATAGGACGACGCACAATTTTATAACAAGATGTAAACTGGCTATTTGCTAATGATACATGCATTCTTTCTTCATTTTTTTCATGATATATGAAGTGATGTCGCTGCGATCTTGTGGGCGTTCGTGACAACAATAATGCCACAAATTTATTGTCGGGAGGTCAATAGCTTGAATTTCCTGTTAGATCAACATCACGTTTGAATTAGGAGCGGTTCCTGCTGAGCACTTGGGCGGCAAAGAGGGGGGTTTAATTAAACATGCACTCCACAGCTGAGCGTCCAAGGCGGTCTCTTGCGTAGGCAACCACATCGGCGCCGACCGAATGGCAACCATTCATCGTTAATTTCTTCAGGTTTGGCCCGCGTTCATCGACCAGCAAACGGACGCCAATGCCGGTGACGCTCGTAAAGGAAATATCCATTTTCTGCAAGTCTTTCAGTTGACTCACAACCTGCAACACCCGATCGTCTGTATTCCACACGCACGCCAGATCCAGAATTTCAATCGATGGCGCCTTCTCCAGAAAAGAACAGAGATGGTTTGCTTGAAATGCTGAGCACGCTTTGAATGATACCTCACGTAATCGACACCACGCAATATTGCTCAAATAGATGGGCAATGCAGTCCTTGGAGAAAGCTTTGGCATTTTAAGGATTTCCAAGCTTTCGTACTGATCGTTCAGTGTCCTTTGGATGTCTTCGTCTGGCGTATCGCTTAAGCAATTGGAGATAAACGCGCGTAACCCCGGTGCGAAGGCTGGCTGTTGCAATTGAATGTCATCAAATGCCTTCGTTGACCGTGTAACTGAACTAATCTCAATGGTCTGCAAGTGCGGACAGTGGGATTTCAGGGCTAGGAGGGGCATTGAAGCGTTGTGAGATACATAATCTATATAAACCTGCTCAAGAACAGGACATGCCGCAATGAATCTTTGGAAATTGGCTGCAGTTAAGACGTCGCCTGGTTTTTCCACGGTGACCGACAATGAGCGAAGCATGAGTTTGGAGGGGAATACCAAAGAGGGAGAACTAAGCAAGTCGCGACCGAGGATCGATAGATGTGTCAAAGTGCTTGGTGTGCCTTGAATAAGTTGAAGCAATGTATCTGCGTCTGTGGAGCAATAGTCCAGCTGTAAATGGGTTATATGGTTTCCAATAAGTCGAAGCGTGCGATACAAGAGGATGGGTGATAATTGACAAAGGGCCATTTCTGTAAAAATGCGACATATTGGTAAGTTGAATTCCGCTCTTTTGCCTAAATCAAGCTTTCTTTTTTAAAAACTTTTAATTTTACTTACCCAGTCTCTGAAGATATTGACAGTTATTGTCAATGAGCATCTGTAGCAACTTGTCAGAGTGTTTTTTGCTGTAATTTTCTACGTGGAAGGACGAGATGCATCGTGGATTTGCATATGAGAGATAACGAGAGATGACAGCTAGACTCGGTTTGTCACTGCCGAAATCGAAATGTTTCCACATGGGAGCCCAATGGATCATAAAATGCCGCCAGGACTTGGAAACAGCCGAGCATTGAAGTCGTCGCCGGAAGGACAAGCGGGAAAAGATGTTGTCCAAAATTTCGTAAGGGAACACGGACACAAAATCGCGAGCGTTCAACTTGCATTTGACGGCTAATTTCATTTGGATAATGGTGGGATATCGTGGATCGGATGAAAGGACGTGCTTTGCTCCCTTGTTATACACTCGGAATGCTTCTTCCCATTTTCCTTGCAGCGAAAGCAATTTACCGGCGCGCAGGTACCCTCGCGAATCCTGTCGAGCGACGCGGCAGGTGTGGACGGCATCCTTTAACGCGGCTTCAGGACACTGCAGTTTTTCGTGAGTGGCTGATCGACTGTCGAGGATGATGGCTTCATTGGGTTGTAACTCCAGAGCCTGATTGAAGCATCGAAGGGCTTCATTGTAATTGCGTTCACTAAAGGCGGTAGCGCCGCTGCGAAAGGCGATCTGCCAAGGCAATAAAGGATCTTTGGACGTTGATGGAGACTTTTTCGATTTCTTGGCTGAAGAGGGTTGTTTGGGTGCATGAGACGTGGGGGAGCGTGATCGTTTGAACATGGCACTCTAAAAGGAACCAAAGCGCGGATCGGTGGGGAAAGAAAAGACGACTGCGTTTTAATGCTCAGAAAATGGCACGGCCAATTCTTTTAAGCCTGAACCTTTCTGACTTGCATGTCCAACTTTTATTTTGCTGCAGCGTTATCCACGCTTGTCGTTATTTATGCTCGGGGAGGGAAATCGCTTTCGCCCTCAGGTGCATTTGCTGCATTCCTGTTAGGAATGAGCACTTTTTCTTCGCCCTTGTGGTTCTTCACCGTCGTCCTCCTCACTTTTTTCGTCGTCAGCTCCAAATTAACAAAGGTATGGGAAAATTAGGAAAAGGCCATATTTCAATCACTCAATTCCGTCTGGTCGGCTGCTTTGTTATTGCATCAGTTCAAGGCCGAGCGGAAACGTCTTTTGGAAGCCGATTATGATCATTCCAGCGAACGTGGCTTCATTCAAGTATTTTGTAACGGCTTCACAGGAGGTGTTTTGGTGGCGTTACACCAATGGCATTATCAGGATCTTTCGTGTTTCGACCAGTCTCCTTGGAGTGTCATTCTTCTCTGGGGTTATATTGGGTATGATTTGAGTAAATAGATCTGACTGTGATTTCCGTGGGGCTAACCAGTGATATACCCACAGACATTACGCGTGTTGCGCAGGTGATACGGTAGGCAAAATCAATCATCGCAGCAACTGGATCATTTACAGTTTTGATCTGACGCTATAGCTCTTTTGACAGTGGGCCAGTGAGCTCGGAATTCTCAACAAAGGGTGGCCGATTCTCATTACACGGTTGAAAAAGGTGCCGCCAGGAACCAATGGCGGAGTCTCACCTTTGGGTTTAGCCGCTTCACTGGCCGGAGGGGCCACCATCGGCCTGGTTGCTGCATTCACATTAGCGCTTGAGCAAAGTTGTCATGGTTTTGCCTGGGAAATTGTTCTTTTGGGGGCTTTGGCGGGCTTGGGAGGATCATTAGTAAGTCGATGGAGATTATATCGCCTGGTAGGCTGAGTGCTTACGTTTCGTGTTGCAGCTGGATTCGTTGTTGGGTGCCACGGTGCAACGAAGCTTGTATTCTGAGAAGCGCAAGCAAATTCTTCCCGATGGACAGGAAGGTGATGATAAAACGATCGCTATCAGTGGACTGGATTGGCTGGATAACCATCAAGTGAACTTGGTCTCTTCGGTTGTCACGTCTGGTCTTTGTGGAGCTGCGGCGTGGTATCTTGACAGTTCTATTGAAAAGTTCTGAATACAAACATTGGGCAACTATAAACCAATTAGAATTTAATTGGATCCAAAATAATTCAAGTTATTTGGGGTATGCTCGATTGGAGAGAGGACTCTAAGGAAAAGGAGACAAACGAGACTTGATTCTTTTGGTTTGCACTTTTACAACAAAAACTGTGTATCAAACCGTACCGAGGAAACCGCTTCAGCTGATTAACCAGGGATGATTTTGCACATAATAACTTATAAATCGGACATCGTGGGTGAGTGATATAGCATAAAGTTTCAAAAAACAAGGCACTTGAGCACAATACCGTACATATCAACGGCGGATGGGGTGGATATGGTTATATGTAGTGCGGGTGGGCGGTAGTGGTCGTGAAATTTGCGGCTGTATGGTGTTATGGGTTGATGTATCTGTGGCATTTATTCTTTCTCGGTCGTCGTTTTTTCTGCGGTTTGAGGCCTCCCTACGTTCAAAACGGCTGAAATCAAAGTAGATGATAGGATAGCTTTGGCAGCAGACAGACTCATGATAGTTCTTATTGTACTTGCACATCGTTCAGTCTCAGACCGAGCCTTACATGGTCGTTGGCGGATGTCCCAAAGGTATTACACAGTGCAGCTCACAACAAGTAACTCATAGTCAGGTTAATGATACCACCAAATGCCAACGAGTGACGCCCAGATGATGCGAGGTTTCGGTTTTTAGTTTATTTTTAATATGAAAACTCATACCTGCAGAAGATCCCTACGATATTCAAATCGCATATCTTGTTAGTCCAGCTAATTAAGCTTTGCACCTCAAATATACGTTTTAATAAAACCAAAAGGAAAGGGAGACTGAAAACAACGACCACGCTGTCACATGTACTTCAGATCTGTTCATACAACACTGCAACTGCTTAATTTACAATTACCAGCGACAAACTAAGTACAATTGACTACAGCTTCAAAGAAACTATGCTGGAGCACCGACCGAAAGAGACTTGAACTAGTGGCATTTCCAGGCAACCAGAGAGAGTCGCAATAAAAAGCGATGTCAGCGCTTGTCATCCACCATCCCTCAAGTGCCCAGCTAAAAGAAAAAAAGAAAGGGGGAGAGTATCATATTAGTAGCTTATTGGATTAGTGTTGAGAGATCAAAAGCGGTAAAAAGTTGAAAAGAAGAGGAAAAAGAGCAATGAAAATAAAAAAAAGGCGCCGTTTTTCGTTTTATCATTCATGGTTTTCCATCGTCGTTTGAAAAATCTTTTTCACATAAAGTTTACTTCTGTTCAATCCATTGGATTGAATCCCTTATTGACATCATGTCGACAATATTCATACCTCTTTTCTACAACGAATGGCCCAAATTTGGCTACCGTCGTTTTGTGATCTGGGTCCTCGGTTACCAAAAAAGGCACGTCTAGCAAGAATTTTTCTAATGAGCTCCCATCTCGACGAAAAAAGACGCGGAACGTGGGGAAACCATCATTATTTTGGGCAAGGGAAACGATGATGACAAAAAAGTAAAGTGTCAAGATTTAAAGAAGCCATGAAAATGGATTGCCAAGTCCATGCGTAAAATAAAGTTTAGTTCCGATAAGAAGAGGTTCAGTGGGTGGCGCCACTCCGGATCATGCTGCATAATGACATGAAAAAGTTTTTTCAGCTTGTATTAGGTGCTTTTCTTCCTTTTTTTTTTTTTACCAGTAGTACTAGTTCACTGTTCCTGTAAACCGGGGCCTGTCAACATACAGACGGATGAATCTTCTGTGTATGTTGTCATAGAAAAGGTTGCTGGTGTATCCTAGCAAATCCAGAATCAATTCATTTGTGTCAGATGGCATCCGCAGCATGACGGGGTATTGTCGACCCTTTTTTTGGATGTCCGCCCATCAATCCAAAGTTTATTTTACGATGGACCCGGTTACTCCATTTTCATGGTTTCTTTAAATCTTGACACCTTACTTTTTTGTCACCATCGTTTCCCTTGCCCAAAATAATGATGGTTTCCCCACGTTCCGCGTCTTTTTTCGTCGAGATGGGAGCTCATTAGAAAAATTCTTGCTAGACGTGCCTTTTTTGGTAACCGAGGACCCAGATCACAAAACGACGGTAGCCAAATTTGGGCCATTCGTTGTAGAAAAGAGGTATGAATATTGTCGACATGATGTCAATAAGGGATTCAATTCAATGGATTGAACAGAAGTAAACTTTATGTGAAAAAGATTTTTCAAACGACGATGGAAAACGATGAATGATAAAACGAAAAACGGCGCCTTTTTTTTATTTTCATTGCTCTTTTTCCTCTTCTTTTACACTTTTTACCGCTTTTGATCTCTCAACACTAATCCAATAAGCTACTAATATGATACTCTCCCCCTTTCTTTTTTTCTTTTAGCTGGGCACTTGAGGGATGGTGGATGACAAGCGCTGACATCGCTTTTTATTGCGACATCGGCTGCGGAGCATTCTTTTATAGACTTTGATCTTCTTTTTACAGTAGGTCGGCTAATTCTCTTTTTGCAGTGTCATTGATCAGCAACTCCAAGTCCTGCGATATGAGGTAAGTGAAGTAAGGTAAGAAAGAAAAGTAAGTGGAGTGGGCGGGTTAAGGGGGAAAAAAGGCAGAAAAAAAAGACACGAAACTGCAGTATAAGAAAAGAGGCTGCAGGGAAAAAAAAAGTTGGCCGACAAAGGAAGAGGAAAATGACAAAAATGGAAATGAACGTGAAAGTGGGGGTTGAGGGTGAGGTGAAGTGAGATGAGCAGAGAGGGAAAGGCGGGGTGTGGGTGGGGCTGACCTTTTTGGAGACAGACGAATTCGAGCCGGTTGCTGTCAAAGGGTAAGTTAGCCTACTTCTTTTTTTCTTTCGCTTGTCATTCTGCTTGTCATCCATCATCCTCTCTCTGTTGTCTGTCCTTGCCCTTTGCCATGGGTTCCTTCTCTCTGGTTGCCTGGAAATGCCACTACTGCTGGAAAGTCCCTTTCTGCTTGGTGCTCTAGTATTGTAATTGTAGTCTATTGTGCTTAGTTATCTTTTTGGGATATGTAAATACCTATTTGCACTGTAGGTGGACAGTCAAAAGTTGAAATATACGTGAAAGCATGGTTGATATTTTCAAGTTTTACATTGCTTTTTTTTTTATATGTAAAGCAGGTATCTGAGGTAAAAAGTCTGATTTATTTGGACGCATTTGGAACGTCGCAAGGATCTGGCTGCCATCCGGCATCATAATATCATAGTGCGTCTGCTGTCGGCATTACAAAATGCCGCTTCACCGGCATCATAAAAACCCTGCTCCACCGCCATCACAAAATGCTGTTCCGCCGGTATCACAAAATACTGCTCTACCGGCATCATAAAAATGCTGTTCCACCGGCATCATAAAATGTCTGTAGACATTCATACGTCTACAGTACAACCAGCACGCCGATTTCCAATGGCGACTTGTGCTCTTTTGCGCATTCCATGAAATATTAAATTTTTCACACTCGGGTTATCATATATTCTTAATATTATTTTTACGATTGCCCAAATTGTCCACGGACTATTAAAACCGATTCCAGTCATCTTCTGTCATCATCACCTTTGAACTTTCGGTAAATTCTTGCGTACCTTGACCAGGTATCCGTTCCTGATTATCAGTAAAAAGCAAATTCAAGAACCGAATCGTCGGGATAAGATGATGATAAAAAAAAAGAAGATGAAGTAATTTATTTGCTAGTCTACATGCGTTCCCATGATTCTATTTCGTTTGATGCTCTCCATTGAATATGATTTGCCTTTTTGAATTTCTTTTGCGAAGTGAGATAGGTGATATATGCTCGGTAAATATCTAAAAGAAAAATAGGTAGATGTTTAGGATGCACCGCTGAAATAACAACTTGTAGCTCCTAAGTCCAGCTTACCTGCTTTATCGACATTCAACCGTAAGATCATTTCGTACAGATACTCGACATTTTCACATGCATTGCCGTCATCCGGATGCTGATCTTCAACTTCGAGACATTGCTTGTAAAATCCGAGGGTGGGATACATGGTCTGGATGATTTTCTTGTACACTTTTCTCGCGGATTCAATGCCTTCAGCCTGTGCCGCCCAGGAAACATAACCAGAAAGTATGAGATCCTTGATTTGATTACGGTCAGCGGTGGAGGCCATGACAGAGGGTAACAGAGTGGTTGCTTTATTACAAGCGTCCTGAAAAAAATATCGTAAGCAAAACATGCATGAGACGAAATACCAGATCCAACTTACCAAATACAGTTCGTGTAATGCTTCATTCGTCATTGTATTCTCTTGCCATTGCAAAATGAGCCAACTGTTATAAGAAGACCACAGCTCGAACGATGCCATATTTTGTGCAAGAGCCTTTTTATATAATCCTTGTTGCGGTTCATCTGTGCGTTCGCAAATTCATCACGTTATTCACAAAGGTAAGCACAGGTAAGAAGTATGAAGTTAATTTACCTGTGACAGCTTCGACGCTGGCAAGACGGATCCGTGCCACCCAAAGACGGGCACAATGGGGATATTTCTCAGTAGCGATTGTCGCTTTTTGCTGAGCTATAGAGCAAATGGAAAACCATGGGTCAGCTGGGTGCGCCACAAAAAAGCCGCTTATTCTTGTTGTTGCCATTTACCTTGTGTTAAGTTATCTTGGCTAGTGAGGAATTCGATCCATTGACTGTACAAATTTTCGGATGTGATGTTCTGCTTCTGGCTCGACTTGAATACTTTTTGCAGCAATTTGGTAAAGTACAGTTTCTATCACAGAGTATTAAAATCAGCCTTCCCAAAAACGACCTGGGTTGTGTCTGTGCTTTTGCCTTACCAAGTTTTCTTCCTGCACAAGCTGCTGCCAGCGAAATAAGAAATCAATGTATAACTCCCACATCTCAGGTTGAGGTACGTCGGCAACGGCTTGATCAAAGTCTCTGACACAGTTCTTCACGGCCTCCACAAACTGAGGATCGGACACTGAGATGTACACGGACGGTGACGCTTCCTCTTCCAAGTCTGCGGCAGATCTCACTGGTTTTTTTGCAAACAAATGACGTTCTGCCAAATACTTGCGTGCAGCAGGCACGTTGCCCATATCTCGACGAATCGTATCATACACGTGTTGGCATCCGTTGTCGGTATCAGAGAATTCACGATAAATGTCCACAAACTTGGTACGGAAGTCGAGCTTATTACTGATGGCTGTTTCATCATTCGGATCAGTCTCTTCCATGCCTCACTAGCAACCTTTCTTCTTCTTTCCTTTACCTTGAATAGCATTATCATAAATGATTTGAGCTAGTAAACCTCCCAGAATAGGATTGACGCCTTCCTTCATCGCTTCAGCTGCACTTTCTTCCAGTTTCTTGACGGTTTTTCGTTCGTCAGTTTCGTCGTTCCAGTTCTCGACTTCTTCGCCTGTGATAGTTGGAAGCTTAATCGTATTCTCGTCCTCATCCATGGTTGTATCGTTATCCTCCTCCTCGTTGTCGGTCTTTTTCACGCCTTGATCACTGATGCCCAGCACCCGTCGACGAGCCTTGATTTTCTCGACATATAACAATTCTAAACGGAAATACTCGTGATATAAACTCTCGTCGGTAGGATTCACACGAAGCGCACGCTGCATCAGCATACGAGCCGCAGCCATATTCGCATTGCCTTCATATTCCCAAGAAGCCGCCATGATCCACAAAGGCGCCTTGGTAGGATGTAACTGAATGGCTCTAGAAAAAAAAATATCAAGACAAAAACAATTGGTGAATCACGCGAACTCCAGTGATAACTATCCAAGTTGATCAACGTACTTGCCAAACACGCCACTCAGCAAATTTCTGGCACCACATTTCTTGAGATAATCAATGTATTGCATCCACAACGACAGATCGCCTCTGAACTTATTCGTAGCGCGTTCAAACAGAAAAAAGATGCGTCGTTGACCAGCGTGGTCAGAAATCGTGAGTTTCTGGTTTTTCAGATCTGTGTGTGAAATCCGATTCGATTTAGCCATGGAGAACTTTTCGATTCCAAAGTGGGTGTCTTACCCTTGAAGCGATCCTTTCTCTTTTTACGCAATGTGTCCAAGTTCATTTCATATTCAATGTAGCGCAAAAAATCAATTTTCTTGGCAATACGTCGTTTCAAGGCATACTCGAAATTGGTTCGTTTTTTGACAATCGACTTTATCTCGACCTGTACAAGATCCGGGATCATATCATCGGATCAGCATATTATAATCAAAATCATACAGACTCGTTTCATTAGCTTACCTTGCTGAACAGTCCCTTCTTCTCGAGATCCTCGAGCTCGGGAACCATCCGCTCGAGGTAGAATTGGACAGTATCGGCCATGGCAGTTTATTCAAGTAACAAGACAATAGAAACTTGACAGTTCGGCACAAGCGGGAAACTCATTTGGTTCATGGAAATTCCCTCCCAAAAATTAAGCGACGGTGTGACCGTTTATTCTCAACTGAGCCACTTGGGCCCGACGATCCAAAGGGACGACCAAATTAATCTTACAGGACAAGCAACGGCTTGATTGTAATGCTATTTTTATTGTTCAAAAGCGTTTTGGTTCAAAAAAAGAGTCATAATAGGTGTCAGTAAATTAAAAGGCGGAATTGAGGAACTGTAATAAATTGGACCTATTCTGGTCTCTTTCCTTGTCGTCGGATGTTTTGCGAATCTTCAATTTGATCTACAATAATTGGAGGCAAGCAATTGAACACCAAGCATTCTCAAAGTCGATGCAGAAATAGCACTACTTTACCTTTTTCCCGGTGATGGCGCTTCGTCTTTCGGCGCTGTCATGCTTGTGTTTACGCTATCGAATTTTTAACACATCTTGGGTCATCCCTTTCATACCGTTTCCCTGGATACTAATTTACCCACTTACACTCTTCTTATGTTTCTTGCTTTTATGCTTCTTTGACTTATGTCTCTGCTCTTTTTCGTCTGTCATGAACACCGGGTGCCCGTAACTCGTGAGCAATATTGACTCTGTGAACAAATATAGGAAAGTTCACATACCTTCGGATTCTGATGAGCTGCTGCTTTCATCTGAACTTTCATAGGAACTCACACTTGCACTGCGTCGTGATGACCGCCTTTTACTGTGATGGCGATCGGCCGGTGATCGCGATCGTGAGCGGCCTTTAGGCGTCGTCACGTATACAGATGTGGAGTGTTCGCCACCGGTGTTGCAGAAGAAAAGGTGAGGATACCGTAGAAAAAGAAAAACAGAGATAAGAAACACGTTGAATGGTAAAGTTTCGTCATTTGCATACCAGTGGGACGGGATGACCGTCGGCGACTAGGGCTTTCCGATACATCACGGTGATGGCGTCGGCTGCTTTTGTCACTTGCGTGCGATCGTGAATGGTGCCTGGAGCGTGCAGGAGAGCGACTGCGTGAACGGCTTCGTGAACGACGAGACCGATGTGAAGCACTGTGTTCTCGCGAATGTCGTACTATTTTTTATACAGAATAAGCATGCTATCCATTGATGGTACGGTAGAATTGAGTTACCTTTGGAATCGCCCATGATGGAAGTTCTGCTGTTGCACTGCCAAAACTTGGCACGACATTTTTCATGGGAACCCTTTTTCCCCGCTTGGCCAATGAAGTGACTGTCATTGCATGCCCATTTTCCTTGGTGAAAATGCTGATTCATTCAACCATTATTCACGTAACTGTGTATCGACAACATCAAGTGTTAGCAGATCTTTGCCGCTTATTAAATAGGACGCAGAAATTTAATAACCACATTGAGTGTCAATGTTAGATGCATACTATAAAAAGTCTAATTTACCGATAGGATAGTCGTGACGAATCCAGACATCAGCAATAGATAGCTTCACGGTGGCTATTTCTTATTGTGATTCATTTCGTAGAAATAATTTAATGCGTGAAGATGATAAAATTGCAATTGTAAGAGCTTTCTATTAGTGAGGGCTTGCTCACATCCCACCATGGTGGTTCCCGATTTTGGCAAGTCTCGTGACGCGAAATTTTTTTGGGCGCGTTCACGGCATGGTGGGATCCTTGGGTGGTCTCAGAAAAAATACCAATTTGGGAAAAAGGGAAAAATTCAGACGCGTTTGTCTTTTTTTTTTTTTTTTTCTTTGTGATTGTTCAATCTAAAGAAGAATGTTGTCCGATCAAATCACGGCTAAACGTGGGCCATTGGCACGTGTTTGGCTTGCTTCCCACTGGGAACGTAAAATCTCAAAATCGCAGTTTCTGCAAACCAATCTGGAGAAAACGATAGGTTTGACTCATATCCAAGCAACCTGTTGATGTGCATCTTTGGAGATTGACGATTTTTCATTGTAGATGCAATCACTACCAATCAACAGGAACCTCTTGCTTTACGTATTTCTGGCCAGCTTTTGCTTGGTGTCGTTCGAATCTATTCGCGTAAAACTCGATACCTGTTGGAAGACTGCAATGAAGCGCTTGTTCGAATCAAATTGGTAACGCCTTGCTACTGGATTGCCATGTTGACCTAAGTTTTTTTCGTCTAACCATCGGCTGTGCCGTCTGTATAGGCATTTAAAAAAGGCGATGTCAATATGCCGGATATCAGTCACTCTATTGCCAACCAAAGTACCATTACGCTGCCAGAACGATTAACCGAATTCGATATTATGTTACCGGATGCCCCTTTCAACATGACGTAAGAGAATCGCTTCGCCCTAACATCCCATACTTGTTGCTTGCCACAGATTGTCTAAATGCTATGCTTTTCCCGTACGCAGACATTTGGAAATGGCCGACCCGATGTTAGATAACTTGGCCCTTGCCGCGATTTCGCAAGATATCAGTTTCAGCGAAGAATCCAGCTGGGGCTACGAGGAAACCGAACAAGGCCGTCGATTGGCCGGCACCGATGCGGATGATTTGATGGGAACCGAAGGCTTCACTTTCGGCGATATTGAACAAGGCCGTCGTGATACTGGTCCCGAATTGGTGGATCAAGCTTTCACCATGGATGACATTGATGAACCTTTGAATAAGATGCGCATCGATGATACAAACGACGTGCTTGACTTTGATTTCGACTTTGAAGATACAGCCGAAGCTCGTGACGAACATGCCGCGAATCAGCCTGAACGAGCGGTGGAGTTCGACACCAACCTGAATACCTTGATGCAATCAGGTAATGAAACCAACAGTGTAGGACGCCCATTTAGATTCCTATTACTCAAACAGTAGCGACAAAAAATCATCGATAGGTATCATGCCTGATACGGCTGCCATGGATTTATCTACGCAACAACTGGACTTTGTCTTGCCCGATGAACATGCCACCGTTCAAGAACCGACACGACGCCGACGAAAGCTCGTCGTGGATAAAGTCACGGAAATCCCTCACACAGATTTACGACGAAACATTAGCGATACCTCGGCTATTACTGACCGCGTACGTTCTTGATATGCAAAAACAATGGCCTACACCTTTTACTGATGAACGCTTTTTTTTCTGCTTTTGTGCAGACTGCCGATACGCGCAGCTCAGCCATGGCAACCAAGGGCAAACAGTTGGATATTTCCAAGCCTTTAGGCTATGCTCCCGGATCGGGATTGACTACACTCTTTGACACTCTGGGCACGAAGCGTCGAGGTTCCGCGGTGAATCATGGTAGCCCGAAAGAAGCCCGTTTGACAGAACCCCTTGAAGACATGGCTGGCCCATCGACGGCTGGTATCCCGACCGCCTTTGATGGACAGGAACTTGGCTTTGATGATTTCGCCACCAACGAAACCGACTTTGACGTAAGTTTGACGCAGTCCCTCTATGAGATATTTTCATTTCCAAGCAATTCGGCTAATATGGTTTGCTTAGTTTGGCATCAATACAGCCGTTGATGAACAGGGGGCTGGACCATCCACGCTATTGGAGAATGAAGAGACTAGTTTCTTCTCGCAGAATGGACAATCCACCCAACTGAACCAAAGTGCTCATCAGACCTTGACCACACTGACCGAAAAGTTCGACGCCGGCGCCAATCGAGCCGCCTTTGGTGATCTGGTTCCAGGTACCGCGTCGAAAGCGGAAGCTGCTCGTAAATTTTACGATGTGCTTTTATTGTCTACAAAAAATATGATTCAGCTGAAGCAGCAACAATCCTATGGCGAGATTGAAATCCGTCCCGTTACCATGGTCGCTTAAAATATCCACACCCATTTGTCATTCTCCGAAACTAAAATAAAATCAATGCAGTCAATAAAAAAAAATTCAGTCGTAAACATGCTCAATATAATGTATGCGTATGTTTTTTCAATAACTGTAAACGACCACAACCAACTTTCGGGATGAACATGGTGGAGGTGCACGCCAACCTAAAATTTTATGTCGACTCAATTCACCTGAATTGTTTCATTTTCGTAAATGCTATTGCAACTGTATATCTTATTGTTACTGTGTTAGACGCGCAAGTACCACATTTTAGACAGTATCAACAACCACGTTACGGCTTGTATTACCTAACGGTGGATCCATCTACCATGGATGTAATAAGAAGAAAAATTATAGAATCCGCATTATGGGAGAATAACAAACGATAACAACAAAAATCATAGAGAAAGGAACCGACTAAATAACGGTGAATTAATGTACAAAAAGGTAAAGTGGGCGGTTATACAGGAAACAAAAAAAAGGGAATCGAGGAGGGTGCGTAGAGTCAAGGCGGTAAAATAACAACATCCGGCGCATACAAGAGTTCAAAAAGTAGACCATTGCCAATCTGCAGGCACGGATGAGATTGGATTAAAGGCACCTATTTATCCAAAATAATGAGACTCCAACCGTGGGGCTAAAAATCTACCCAGTGCTGTCAGTGCTTACCTTGATCCTTTGCCTTGTTATGTTTGATAGCGATGCCATTGTATTGGGGTCCATTAGATTCTTGTACAATGTCTAGGAAAAACATGATGAGTCTGTGCATGCACATCACATTACCCTTTAATTGCTTATATTTACCATCTCTGCCAAGTTCCGTCACCCCTTCCATGGCATGTGGACGCAAGGTCATGATACCAGCATGTCTATCCAATGTATTCGTCTTGACCGAGTCTCCAGGTGACGGTTTTGCCGCTGGCGCCTTGGTTTGCAATTTCATCATCTCCATCTGTTTCAGATTCGCCTTCCACTGCCGATAGCTGTTGGCGCAGTTGTCGCAACCTCTCGAGATATTACCATGGGGATGAAATTGGGAAAATTGATCTAATCGGAAATAGTTGGAACAATGTGCTGAGCAAAAGATATTGCCACATTTTCGACAATGATGCCGTCGATTTAATAATCCAAATGTTATCTGACAAGACGGAAAGTCGCAACGAGTAGCTTCGGCATCAGGCTATTCACACACACACACACCCTTTCTGATTAGTTCACTCATTGAATCCACATGTTTGAACTTAAAGAAACTACGGCAGTTTACCTTCCAGTGACCTCTGGAGGGAGGACCTGTAATTTCGTTGGTAATAAAGCTGTGAGTACTTGGTGAAGGCATGGCATCAGGACTGATCACTTCGGAAACAGGAGTTAAAAGCGGATCGTCCGGATTGGAATTGGATCGACTGGAAGGACCCAGTGTTAATTGAGTTGGGACTTTATTCTGGAGCATAGAGTAAGCATCCATAATAACGGTAATGCAGCTGGGATGATGGAGAAGCAGAAAGAAAAGGCTTTCAATAATGAACCTTTACATTCATTACACATTCAGCAGCCAGGAACCCAAGAAAAAACGGGTTTCATTTTTATTTTTTTCCCCATGAAGAGGATGATTGGATCTTTTAATAAAAAGTCCGCAAAAGACCGTTGGAAAATCTCAATATCATTGATCAATCCCAAAAAAAAAAAAAAAAAAAAATACATTTTTATCATGATCTCGCATCTTTGACCAGATAGGCCAAAAGGTCGACCTTGGTCACGACATGTTTCACTTCCCCTTCCTCTGTAGTGACCAATACACTGGAATGGTTCTCAAAGAATCGTGTCAAATGTTCCAACGGTGTATGCACGGTAATCAACTGGAATTTGTTGCTGCTGCGGTTGAAATGGTACATGACTTCCGTCACAGCCGAAGAAGGCGCAGCACGGCCCGAGGCAATACGAGACAAAATATTGCCCATGGTAACCAGCCCTTGGAGTCGTCGCTTGGGTTCCGATGTCACTGGCAGTTGGTCAAAACCGTATTTCTGCATCAATTCAATGGCATCCTTGCAGGACGTCTATCATTCGTGCGATTCATTGTAAGTTGGTCGGCATTTCAAATCCATCAAAAGAAAAATGGCGAAATTTTCATGTTTCACATTACCTCTGCAGTGATGGTGACAGCCGGTTTCAGCTGCAGATCGCCCACCGTCGCCCCTCGGTAATCTTTGTGTGCCTTGCCTTCGCTACTCTGCTCTTCAAACTTGTCATCGGCGAAACCGTTCTTTCTCATCCAATCGTCGTTCAAAAACTTGGTCATGTAGTTGCGCACAGAATCCGGCAAAATAACCACACATCGCTGTCCAGGCTTCAACTCTTTGGCTACCCTGACGGCCGCTGACATGGCGGTACCGGAGGATCCACCGCAAAGAAGGCCTTCATCGCGGATCAAGCGTCGCGCCATAAGGAAAGACGATTTGTCATCGGACTTGTACCATTCGTCCACCAGGGAACGTTGCAACACATCCGGCACAAAATCGTAACCGATACCCTCTACTTGATAACCCCCTGTCTCTGTATTTAAAGAATCGGGTTGAGCAAGAATAGATCCGTGAGGATCCACGCCAACAATCTACTCCGTCATATGGGGATGAGTATGAACATACGGATGGGATGTGTCTTAAAAAACACACAAAAAAAACAATACCTTGATGTTGGGGCATTTTTCCTTCAACTTTTGAGCTAAACCGGTAATGGTACCGCCTGTACCGGCACCAGCGACCAACATATCAATTTTGCCGTCACAATCACGCAAAATTTCCTCGGCAGTCGTGTCATAATGTGCTACAGGATTGTAAGCGTTGCCATACTGATCGAGAATCACCGCGTTGGGAATTTCGTCCCTCAACTTTCTAGCCACTCCAATATGCGATTCAGGCGCATCCCATGCAGCTGAAATAAAAAAAAGAAAAATTTAGATCAACAATTCATTGGTTGCGTGGCGATCAAACACCGCTTTGGAGCCTCACCTTCAGTCGGCGTGCGAATAATTTCTGCCCCCAAGGCCTTGAGAACATCGACTTTTTCTTGCGACATCTTTTCCGGCATGGTGATAATCACTCGGTACCCCTTCACTGCTGCCGCCAACGCCAATCCAATGCCTAGTACCACATGCGTTAAGTTTTTGATGAGCTTTTTTTTTTATTTGACAGCGATATCATGCATCGCAACAAAACTTTTTTATCATCCAGCAGTTTACCTGTGTTACCCGAAGTGGGTTCAATAATGGTGCTGACGCCAGGTTTAATGGTGCCCTCTCTCTCTGCTTCCTCCACCATACGCTTAGCAATGCGATCTTTGACCGAGCCACCAGCATTGAAATATTCACATTTGGCCACTAATAAGTGTAATTAACGTGTTAAACCATGGTTCACACGCGCGTACAGGAACGCTTACGAAGAAGAAAAAAAAGTATCACTTACATAATTCGCACTGAAGGCCCTCCTCTTTTGCAATCTTGGTGATACGCACAAGAGGTGTATTGCCAATGTTGTCAAGGATGGTGTTCATAATCTTTGGCTTGGGCGTGCTAATGACGTATGAGTAGGCATGTCAGGTAGAATGGCAGGTAAAGACGTTTACACAGTGACTTACAGTGATTCATGGTGGAATCCTTCATAACTCACAGGTGTTTTTTTAATGTCGACCATGGTTCAAGAACGTGGGTAAAATAAAATAAAAAGGGTAAAAATGAACCCAAGGCGCTCCCCAATTGATGCTAAATCCTGCAAAGGCGCGTGACTTTAATTGATTGCCATCGGCGAAACGTAATGCTTAGAAAATTCTGGGGATTTCAAACTGAGAATTGGGACTTGGTGCTTGCTTTAAATTCAGTCCATTATTGCGATCGCGCCCTGTATTCACACCGTGAGCGATGAATACATGATCCATGTGTCGTTAATTAATCCATCAAAAGACGGATAATTGAGTTTAGTGAGGGAATGGCATGTAAAATATAGGGAAGGCAATGATAAAAACCATACGCGCTTTTGGACTGGAAATTGCCGTGTTCGATTTATGCCACAGTGTGAGGCACTGTTGGTAGACTGTGCATGGCACGTGTTTGCAAAGCCAATATGGTAAACAAAAGAGGAGAGAGAAAAAAATTCATTTCTCGTCGTCGCCAGTCGTGTTTGCATGTCAAGACAAAAAATGACAGGCCATTCTGCAGTAAAGTATGAAGCCCAGATTGCCGACATTCAACACGATATTGAAAATGCCAAAAAGGCAATGGTACTGCGAGCCATGAATCAACAGTTTTAAAAAGTCGCTATGCTTATTATTTTTTTACTGAGTAGGCAAATTTAACCAAAGAACAAGTTGGGAAAAAGCAAGTTCAGGTGAGTTGAGTGGTTCCAGTCACACGCTTTTGTCAGACACTGTTCACTTATACTGGGAAAACCCAGCTTTCCAAATCTTATGAACAGTCGCTACAAAAGCTGAAAGAAGACTACGATCGGTTACGACAAGTACGCCTGCAGCAGGGTCAAAACTATACCCAGTTTGACCAATCTCGGTCCACGGCACGTAAAGAACGTCAAAAAGATATACGCGAGCGTCAAAAAGAATTCGATGCTCAATTAGACCAGCAATATCACAAAGATCGCTTAAAGTGGAAGGAACCGACGATTGACAAGTCAACAGCTTATGAGCGTTTGTTGCGAGCACTAAGGCACATTAACCTGCAAGACATCCAAAACGACCTTTCAGATACCGAGAATTTAGCAGATCAAGAGGCTGTCCGAATCATCGGTTCGGCAGAGGAAGAGGATGGGCTCGACACGTCAGTGATCATCATCCCCACGGGAATATTGGAACTCTTCTGGACGGTAGACATCCCTGCTCCCGCTCATGTTTCCGAATTGGCCTCGACCATTGAACTGATTGAAAAACGATACACTTCAGAAAAGTTCCATAAATGAACCCAGTAAAAAAAAAAAAAAAAAAAAAAAAAAAAAAATTCAACGACGCAACAATGTGAGACATTTTCGAAAAAAAATGTGGGGTTAAATGAATGGTGAATTTGCAGGAATTTTTTTTGTTTTATTCTCCATGGTCTTTCTCGCATGTTCAGGATATTGCCTCCCATTCCTGATTGTTCTGACAGCAATCAGTTGAATAAATATCACGTCCCTTCGTTAACTCGAGCGCAGGAAGTGTGTGAAAACGATGTCAAGATTAACAGAGCGCTTCGTGGCTACCTTGTCCTTGCCGTTATCAATTTTGTGTTTATTATCATGACGACCTCTATATTCCTGGTATACATGCTCCACGGCTATCGTCAATATCGTCAATATCTCAAGAGAGATTTTGAAGCTGGGTATCCGGAAGAATCCGCACCACACATTATATCACGTAACTATCAGTGGTACTCAATGAGGAAGCGCAGCATGTTCGGCACCGTTCTCGGCGCGATCGGCTATTTTATTTACAGTACATGCCTCTTGCTGTTTCAAAGCTTCATTTCACCCGTTACCTGTGACCTACTGTTGTGGGGGACACTCGTAGGCTTTTATACCTGGACATTTGCGTTTTGCTGGCGCGCTTACCGATTGCATTTTCTAATGAAGCTCAACGTGCTTCGACAACGATTCATGCGCACATCGAACCCTTTGAGGACGAACCGTCAATACGATCCTGACTATCAGTGGTTCATGGAGAACAAAAACTTCAAAACCATCGATGCCCGTCGACCCATTGCCATGTATATCACCAGCATGTCCGTGATCATTGTCATTTGCGCCGTATGCGAAGTGTTTGCTCGACAACACATGGAGTGCCAATTTGAATGGGGCAATTACTTGCAAATGGGCTGCTTTGCCGTCTTTATCGTGGTGATTGCACCTTTCAACTTGTGGTATCTTCGCGGGATTCAGGATACGCACGGAATACGAAATGAACTCATGCTCAGCCTGACGGTGGGGTTCCCCCTGTTTGTCCTTTACGTGGTCTGGCTGTTTGTCTTGCCACCGCGATCGCCTTACTCTTGGACGGTGGCCCGCGGCGTTTATTCGGCTTCCAACTGGGCACTACTGATGATGGCGACCGGTCACACCGCGTCGGTGGTGGTTCCCTTGTTCGATATCACTCACATTATCCGATTAATCCTTACCAATCTGGTGTGCCACGGCAAATGCAGCTTGCAAGAAAGCGAACCAGTGAAACAACAACCGAAAAATGCTCGCAACCAAAGGGGTCCCTTGGAGCTCAACAGCAGTTCACTCAAACGCGCTCTCAGTGAACGAGAAACTATCAGACTGCTGCGGGAATGGGCCATCAAGGATTTCAGTGTGGAAAACATTATCTTTTTTGAATATTACTTCAAACTTGGCGCCGAAGTCAAAAAGACACAAATCACCCCGTCGTTTTTGTCGGTGCCCTCGACTCACTCGCCACTCCACCTATTATCTAAATCTTCCACCGCTTCGTCAAGTATCAGAGAATCACCGATGCATGACATTCTTACCACGCCCGTAGGCCCCGGTGTGATACCTTACTTTATCGAATTCTACGAAACCTTTATCTGCGACACCGCGCCTCTGCAAGTCAATATTTCGTACAAAGCGAAACAGGCATTGGATGTCACTTTTTACCCGTTTGTCCAAAAACGACGTAGAAACAGCGCTTTGGGAAGACCGGAAGACTGGGACGTAGCAGCCGAGGACATCATTGAAGCGGAAGACGCAAACATGTCTGACAAGGCAGCCTTTGTGGATTTCACCGATGCTGATAGGTTGAGTCTCCTTAATCAAGTCGATTCTAAAAGGTCATCCTCGAGAGCCATCTCTTCTGTTCAGTGCCATCCACCTCCATCGTCTCGCAGGTCTACAGAGACGTCGGAATCATCGACCATGGACCTTACACTCACCCTGGCCATCTTTGATGACGCTACAAAGGAAGTGTTTTGGAATATTTTTTCCGGTCTCTTTCCCAAAGTAGTCGAAGATTCCAAAAAGTGTTGTAATAAATGAATAGAAGTATTCCTGCATTAGACAAACAACTGTATAAAAAGCCAATGTATTTCGATTTCGAGGCGGAGAAACTCTTCATTTTGACTGTGGTTGTTTCCCAAGGCTCCGCTGAGGGGTGAAAAAAAAATGGGCGGCTGCCGACGAGTAAAAAAAAACAACTTGACGTTAAAAGAAAAAATCTCGCCATGACTGTCGCTACTGAAGCCGTGTCCAAAGCATCGGCCTTGTCTAAAGGCGGTAAAAATCTTTTTCAGTTACTGAGTGGTCTGCCATCCAATGGTGTGGGAAGCCGAGTGGTACGTTGTAAGAGTAGCTAATTGGATCGTGCCAGGCAACGATGATCTAAAACCATCACTAGGCTCCCAACAAGTTTGTCAATAATCCTGCGCTGCAAAACAGCTATTACGAAGTTACCAAAGTCAACTTGAAAGAAGTAAGCTCCTGTACATCAAATAAAGATGAATAAGAACAAAGGCAACTCATTCCCTCACGTTAGGGAAACAATCACGGCCGTGCATGGGGTGTACAAATATTGAAAGGTAAAACGCAACCTCTGTTGCTACCGAATGAGCTCCTTTATTTACAGTCATTTTCATTTAGGGCGTACTATCGATAATGGAAAGCCCATGGAGATCCGAGGAGGTCTCAAGTTCAAGTGGAAGGTCCTTCAATAAGTCATTGCATAGAGTGTAAATCCCAGGATATCTTTTACTTCACGGGATGTTGTATAGTTTTTTTTTTTTTTAAAAGACAATAAGAATCAAGCATACAATGCGACATTGGATGATTGCGCAAAGACGCATCATCTGAAATAGAAAACTTTCCATATATTTTATGGTTTTGGTATGATGCTTTAATCGAGACGATACATTATTTATGCGCCTTCACAAGAGTAAAGGGGGTCTCTCAATTTCGAGGCTCTTTGAGAAGTGACTGCGACGACGGACTGTGATTGGCAGATGTGGGATCAAAAAGCGAATTTAAAGTTCGATGCCTTGTGGTAGACGACCGTAAATATATTATTATCATGGCAGCGATTGCTCCACCGATCCATCGTGGCATGACGGTTTTGAACCGGGATGCATTCGTTAAATCCTTCCAAACATTGGGTGTTCGTGTTCCCGTCAAGAAAGTGGGCGAATTCATGAAAGTTTTCTCCACGTAAATACCCTACTGCAAAGGCGAAAATCAATCGACTACTGAATACTGATTGCATGACTCCAGGCACTTGTTGAATTTACCTCGTTTACGTAATACGGTATCGGATCCCGAGTCAAAGGATGTCAGGATTGTTTTACTTCAAAAAGATTTGAAAGAAGAAGGTTTGACATGCACGCCTGATCGATGGAACTCAAAGACCCAACATGACCTAATCTTCAGAAAAAAACGGCAGATCTTGCCAATCTAGAACCTTCAAAAGCGGAAAAAGTCAAGGCTGAAAGCTTGGGAATTGTGCAACACACGATTGAATTGGATTATAACTATTGGACGGCTGGTATGATAGCCCAAGCAAAAAAAAACAACAGAGATGGCCAATTTCATGCAACTTATCCCCATTTCAACTCGTCACAGAACAGATTTTACATGCAGTGATGCCTGAGGATGCGGTTGATATTCCCTCTTCTTATACGCAAATCGGTCACATTGGTACGTGGAAATAGTCGTCCATTATATCTGTGAAGCGCGCCCACGCCTTGACTGACACGCGTGGGATCCACCGTGCTTTTTCTTTTTAGCTCATATGAACTTGCGCGATGAATGTTTACCATGGAAGACATTGATTGGACAAGTGATACTGGATGTACGTGAAACTACCAAAACCCGTGCTCTCGTTTTTCTTTGTCTAATGTTTTTTTTTTTATCAGAAAAACAAAAACATTACCACCGTGGTGAACAAAACAAACAACATTGATACCACATTCCGTTTCTTCAAGATGGAGATTTTGGCGGGCCAAGACAATATGATTGCCGAAGTGGTAAGAATCGTATCCCTAAATCAGTTCTGCAGGGACAACAAAAACTGATTGATGCGAGTCGACTTTTTCCGTGATTAGAAGGAGAGCAATTGCCGGTTCAAATTTGATTTTTCCAAAGTATACTGGAATTCTCGATTGCATACGGAGCATGATCGTTTAGTTCAACAATTTGAGAAAAATAGTCGTGTCTGTAAGTGGGCCATCATGGTGTGGCAGAGAAACAAATATTGACCAGTGTCTTGGGTGCAGGTGACGTATTTGCTGGCGTGGGACCGTTTGCATTACCTGCAGCGAAAAAGGGAGCCATTGTTTACGCCAATGATTTGAATCCGGAATCCTATCGATGGTTAAACGAGAATAAAACAATCAACAAGGTAAATTCCATATTCATCGCCATGAAAATCACCCTGCCCCACTCTCGTGAGATGATTTAACGTTTAAATTGCAGATATCGGATAATTTACACACCTATAATATGGACGGCCGCGAGTTTATTAGACAAGCAGTCAAGGATTTGCAAGCAACAGGCTCTGATTCGGAATGGAAAACGTTCAACCATTTTGTAATGAATCTGCCAGCCACCGCTATTGAATTTTTGGGTTGGTTACTTGTTACGGTCTGGCGTCTGTGATGATACATATTGATATGCCGTACGTAGACGCTTTCCGCGGATTGTACCGTGATCAGAAATCGGTATTTGAATCTACACCGCATGCCAAACTCCCAATGATCCATTGTCATTGTTTCACGAAAAGTCCCAATCCGGCCGACGATATTGCAGAGGTACGCAGAGAAAAAAAAAACGCTGCCATTGACAGTATGATGGTAACTATGAGAAAAAGAAAATAACGGTGGATCCATAGCGCATACAACAAGTGATGGGAGCGCCCATCGATCGAACACAGAGCACGTTCCATTGGGTTCGTAACGTGGCGCCTAAAAAGGATATGTATTGCGTCTCGTTTCCCTTGAGTGCAGAAATCGCTTTTGCTTCCAAGTAAGTGATGATGATCCGATGCATGTTTATTTTACCAATCGATGTTCAAAACTGAAAATCATCTTTCTTAGTGTCGAGAAACGAAAACGGGAGGCTGGCGAGGATATCGCCTCTGCCAACGTAGACAAAAACCCGAAATTGGAAGAGTAATAAAAAGAGCAAAAAAAAAGTGTGTTTTCTACTTTCTTTTCCACACACTGATTTTTTCTCTGCCGAGACGGCTTTCATGGCCATGGGCTTCGGCAATGTAGACACACTCAAAATTGGGTGACAACAATTCGTGATAACTATGGCAAAAGAGTATGAGTCTCTGTAGCAATTAAAAGTGCAATTTGAAACACGCATGTCGATACTTACAGTTCCTCGCTTACCGAGAAAGGTGGGCCACCTTCCTTTTCCTCAAGAGGGAACATGAGAGCGATCAAGACACCACCTTTCTTGATGAGTTGAGGATATCGAGCCGCCCAATCGGGTCGCAATCTAGGAGGCATAGCACACAGGAACCTAGTTTTGCAGAAAAAAAAAATTTTAAGGACACGGTTCTCCCTCCACGTCAGTCCATGCCTCGGAAAAATAATAACAATCACACCGAGAGAAAAAAAAAAGGCACGGGGAACAAGTTTATCCGACCTACGTGTAATCATAGGCGAGATCATAACCTCCAGCGGGAATCTCAAAGTTGTAGAAATCGGCACACATAAAGTCATAATTCTTGTCGGCGGCTTGAGGGTGAATCTAAGTAGGGTTCAAAATAAGATTTTTCGTTCAATGGTTTGTTCTCGCCTATCGGATATTGATTCCTTTTACCTTGCGGCAGACCTCCACCGCGGTAGGGCTGTAATCCAAACCAGTCATATGTCTTTCAGGGGTTGCCAAGAGCTCAACATCATAACCTAGCGACAGTTTAGGGATTTTTTTCTAGTCAACACGGAAAATGGCGTTTTACCTGAACCGCAGCCGGGCACCAAGCCAATGCCCTGACTAGGGATGAGATGCTTTGTGTCTTCATCCTCAATCAGCTTCTTCAATGCAGGGCTGGCCTTGCCGGCATCCCAAAGGGTTTGTCCTTCCTTCCAACGTTTTTCCCAATCTTAAGGACATATCAGGATACGAGTCATAGTGTATTTTGGTATGAATAGCATTACCAACTTCGTTATCCATGGTGCGTGAGAACTATAAAAAAAAAAGAAAAATAACCAAAAAAGTTGAAACAAAGAACCCTTTATCGTGCTCTGAAATCCGGCATTTTCTGTCAGTCACGGAGTTTTTCCCATGGGGTTGTCGGCATGGTTTCTTTCCAGTAGATCATCCGCACAGCAGTATAAGTCTTTTTTATTTTTTGGGTGGTTTTGTCCCACCTTCGGGATCGGCAATAAATAGACGTAGGATGGAATCACGGCGGAAATTGAGGAACAGGCCGCATTGCCTACGTCGGGCTGCATTCCCCACTCAATCCCGTTCGTCAGTAAACAAGAAAAAAAAATTTAGGGGAAAAAAAGGCGGACAAAAAATGACGGAGAGATCGAGAAGCGAGCAGGAGTTTCAAGGTTCAAGGTGGTGGAGAAAAAAAAAAGTAAAAAAAAAAAAAAAAAAAAAAAAAGACTTTGTTTCCATTATAAAGGTTTTTTTGCTTTGTGTAGTTGGAAAAAAGCTTCGGATGGGTGTCCAACGGGGAAATGAAGGATGGCATCATCCTATTCCAAACAATACTGTAAAGAGCACAGACGTTCGTCATATGATGTACTGCTATGGAAACACCACGGTGGGAGAGTTCCATCCATCATATTTTTAACGCGGCCACCTATCTGTGGCAACGTTCTCCGGCGTCCCTTGTTGAATCGAGCCTTTGTACCCCCAAAAAAACACGTTCTCCTACGTAGCACTAGTAAAAGCTTTATTATTTCCGTGGTTTTTACTCCGTTCTTATCTCTTTCGGTTACTTTCTTTTTTTTTATATTCTTCTTCTTCCTCTTCTCTCTTCATTCTTTTCTTATTTTCTCTTTTTACCATCTATAATTATATATTTATATCCATATATGAATATACAATTTTAGATACTTCCTCTCTATCAATCACAATTATTTCCTTCTTTCATTTGTCCCTCTTTCTCTTTTACAATATTGCGCTCCTCCCAAGTTCCCTGAACCGCGCCATTTGACCCTTTTTTTTGATATCTATCGATCGATCGTCTGTACACAGTTTTTTCTGTCATCAACAGAAGACCTGAATTCTCCTTATTTTCCATTGGAATTTATTGATACTATTCCATTGTCCCAGTGAACCACCTCTGTTCTTTCCTATCGCTCAAGTTATTACCTGTCCCTTTTGGAATTCTTTATTGCACCGTATGATGTCCAGTCACCATCACATTCCTATGGATAAAACAAGACGTAAGCGGCTCAAGGTAGTGAGTGCATGCAGTGAGTGTCGTCGAAAGAAGACAAAGTGCAATGGAGAAACACCTTGCATTGGATGCATTAAAACCCGTGTCGACTGCCGATATTCGAATGGGAATAAGCCCAAACCCAGTGTTCCGCGCCATGACGAAAGTCTGGCTCCCAAAACCACCGCCACTCCTACCGTCCCGAAATCGGCAACGGCTGTTCACGGGATGACCACCACGACGGAATCTATTGAAGCGATCGAAAGCCGATTGTCCGTGATCGAAGATGTGCTTCGTGCCTTGATCCGCGACTCAAAGAAAACGCAGCACGGTCAGAGTAGTTACGGTCAGAGTCGATCTTTTTTCGGATCATTGGAACGGGATCTGGCGTACATTCATTCCGGTGATATGTATCACCCTGTGCATGCCGCTCATGCCCAAAATAGGCAACTACCACGGGAAAAGAGACAACGGCATGAACACTTCCCCATGACCCCTCCACCTGATTCCTCGCTCCGCTTACCGCCCCTTCATCACCGTGCACATCCATCGGCACCAACTCCTCCTGCTTCTGCTCCTGCTCCTGCTGCTGCTGCTATTCCACCACCCCCTTCTTCTTCTTCTTCTTCAGCGGTGACGGCCACTACCTCTCAAGTCGTCGATCGGCCTACGCCTTTACAATTACAACAACCGTATCAACAGCCGTCGTTATCCACTTCTTCCTCCTCTTCCTCCTCGGCTTCTTCTTCCTCCTCTTCACCAAAAACGGCTTCCACCATTCGCAGTTTACTGAATGACGAAGACTTTGACGAAAAAGTCACTTTACCTCCTGTTTCGGCACTCACGCACCCCGCTGCACCTAAATCGTTTCCACCGTCATACAATGATCCCAGGTCGTTTCCCGGAGACCCTTCCATAAATTCGGCTTTTTACCGGCTGGCAGCGCCATCGCGGACATGATCACAAAAGAAAAAAACAATACACACACACAACTGTCAAGGCCTCGAAAAAAAACACCAAGGTCATCAAGTGTCATGGCCAACCCTTTTGCTTGATCTTTTTGATGAAACCATCATTTGACTATTTCTTTTTCTTTGTTTATTCATTGTTATCCTGGTTTCCACTTTATTTTTCCCCTATTTTTTTTTCTTTCTCATGGCCACCATGCATATATGCTAAACAATCGCTGCAAGCCGCTTTTTCTTTTTTTCTTTTTTTTACATCCATAGTTTATCATTTATCTTTTATATCTCTTTTTTTTTTATTCCTTTGTTGTTACTGTAGACAGTACGACTGCAACACTGGCTGAAACTATTGTAATAGAATTCTTGTCTTGTTCATTTCAAATGGACAAAAAGAAAAAACTGTTATCCGTGATTTTAGTTTGGTCCTATTCAATGATCATCCATCTACGTTCCTAGTTTTTTTTTTTTTTTTCTTTAATTTTTTTTTCTCCATGGCGCCATCCATTCCCAAATAGGAATGAAGAACTTTTTTTTTACATTCTTTAAAATGCTTGAATCGAGATTACAATATGCAAACAAGGTGCTGTATTACATTAGACTCATTTGAAAAAGGCCAACAATAACAAAGTAAAAAAGACAATGAAAGGTGAGCCTTTTTTCTTAGAAAAATACCAAACGACCTGGGTGTGGAAGAGTGGATGGAAATTTTTGGCTTCAAAAAATTTAAATCAAACTATAGCGTTGGTTGACAATGCCGGAATTTGTTAATGTTATCTTTCGCCCGGCATGGATTATCTTGCAAAGCATACAGTATGATCTCCATTTGCTCTTCTCATCCTTGATGACTTTTTTGCGTTCTGTCACTGGATAAAGGATGCTTCCTTCATTCTGACTTGCCTATCAGGGATGCATAACTTAGAATTGGATGACTGAAGCTTATAACCTCCTTTTTTTTGAATTCGTTTTCTAGTTTCGGCGGGACCGATATCAATGGTAGCAGTAATGAGGAGATCGGAACTGCTTCAGGAATGCATACAGTATCAATCGAGCATTTTTTTTTTTTTTTTTTTTGATTTCAGGGTCACTAAATCGCTCCTTCTTTCTTCTCTCCTCCCCTCGTCCCCGTTTTTTTTTCTATGGCGTCGTCAGCAAAGTCACCACTCTACTAAAAAAATTTGTGAAATATTTTGCAATACATATATGTTATCAAGAAACCGGATAAAATAATATCTTGATGAACAATGAATAAGAGTACTAAAATTCTATTTTCAAGGTATTAAACTCATACGATCAACCTTGTCAATCTCCTGTGCTTTCGAGTTTTCAAAACCTATAGTATTATTAATTTTTTCTTTCGTGTATCATAGCAACTTCCTGGAATAAAAGAGATCAGATGGATGTAGGATCTACAAAATACTTATCACCATGGTTTTCCTGTAATCAACACTTTTTGTATTTTCCTGGGCAATTATCTGGAAGATTCCATGGCCTCGGTGAGTTCAATATCAATTTGAAGGATGCATCAACCGCCTGTAAAAAATAAAGGGGTATCTGTAAGATAGGCGGCATAACAGGCAGATGCGTCGAACAGCATAGCAAACAACAAAAAAAAAAAAAAAAAAAAAAAAAAGAAAAGATGGGATGCTGATCTACAAAATCCTAAAGGTTTTTGTTTGTGCGACAATGACAAATCTCATCCACAAGATCTACTCGAATCAATCATGTCATACAAAATAGGTTTGCACATAGATAATGAAATGTGAAAAAAGTCATTAGTCGATAATGACCGCCGAGGAGAAAAGTCTATATGCATAGATATTGAAGAGCAAGGTTTTGACAGAAATATTGCCCCAAAATCAGTCACGTGCTCTTTTCCATTGGACATGACTGACGGTGAAATGAGGAAAACCTCAGATTTCCTGAGCTATTTTTTGTTTACAGTAACCTTTTATTTCTTACCTTGCCAATGGATCAACAACCCCCATTTGGAGCTTTTCCAGCTGGTCCTGGTAGAGGCGTTAATGGCATGCGGCCTTATTACACTCCCGGCATGACCACTGACAACTACACGACGGTGGCTGGTCAGGCTTCCGGTGCCGTGCCTCAATACGCGAATGACTATGACGATTTGATTGACTCACGAGCCGCCGCACGAGAGCTCATCAATTTTACTCTTTTGAAATATCTTAATACAGCCGTCAGTAGTCCCTTTGAAGTCTCAAAAACGCTATTGCAAGTTCAGTACATGCCGCGTGAAGACGTCCCTACCCCTGTCATGATGCTGCCGCAGGAATCCGAAGCTGACGATCTTCATCAGGTAAAAATTGGTGCATTTCTTTATTTCGTTTATTTTACAGTCATTGCTTACATTGGTTGGTTTGGTGACCAGGATGAGGAGCGCGGATCGTCTGACGAGGAAGATGACGGTAATGCCGACGATTTTTACGGTACGGGCAGTAGCTCTCGAGGTCATCGCCGATTTTCCACAGGCGGCACTCCTTTGCAGACGTCGTCCTTGGACATTGATGATCCAGCTTTCAAAAAAGAGGTTCCCGTAGATGCCAGCGGTTATGTTGTGAGTGCCAGCGTTTACGACGACAGCATGCGTCCTCCGCATCAAATCAAACCTATCGAAAAAGGAGTGTGGCAGGGTATCAACCGATTACTGAAGCATCCCCACGAGGGCATTCGATCGCTATTCAAAGGACAGTATACAAACTGGCTGTATGAGATTAGTCACTTGTTCCTTCAACCTACCCTTGAAGGCACGCTCAACGACATGTTTGACCTTTACGACGATACAATTCCCCTCGTCTATCTGGATCGTGCCGGTCCCAACCTTGCTACACTGGTTGCTAGCAATCTCATTGTGGGATTTCTTCTCAGTCCGTTGGAATTGATTCGAACACGGTAAGGACATCGACGGGTGCGATTAGAGAGTGATTCCACCGGATCTCATTTATTCTTTTCGTATGGATAGTTTGATTGTTCAATCCGCTTCACCTTTGCAGAAAAAGTATAAAGGTCCATTTCATGCCTTGCGAACCATTTTAAGCGAAGAAGGCGGTGTCACGGGTTTGTACCTGTCACACAACCTGATGCCGACATTGCTGTATCATACCATCACGCCTTTGTTGCAAAACACCACTCCCTTGATCATTGATCGCGTTTTCCGAATTTCGGCCAACGATTCGCCTTTTATGTATGCCTTGGCCGAATTGGGACTCAACACTTTAGAGATCCTGATCACTTTACCTCTGGACACCATCCGTAAACGTCTTCAGTGTCAGATCAAAACACGTACACCCAGTCGAAAGCCATTTGAAACCATTGTTCCCTTGCGACCTGCACCATACACCGGCATCACCGACGCCGCTTACCGCATCATGAAAGAAGAAGGCGGACCAAGAAAACAGAAGAACAAACAAAGAACCGATGACGACCAAGCCTCGCCCAAGAAGAAACAGACTGGATGGAGTTTACGCGGGTTGTATCAAGGCTTTGGCATGCAACTCACTTCCAATCTTATCTTGTTTGTACTACATACTGTGAATGGCGTCGAAGGTAAGCAAAATGTAACACAAGTGGTCACATCGTGCATCTCATCTTTCTTTATGTACGCTTTTACAGATGATTACGAAGATTTCTAGACATAGGATATTAAAAATAATTGGGCTCTACTTTTTTGTAATATATCACACACTCTTTTCAAAAGTCACCGCAGGATTTGATAAATTTAATTTTCAAAAAAAAAAAAAGAGAAAGGCTTGTTCGAGGGACAGTGTCCATAATAAAAGTCTTCAGAACATCAACAAATCCATCAATAAGATATTTCGACAACTTCATAAAGGTAAAAATAAAGAACATTATTTAAGAATGTATTCGGCCGCCTTCTTTCTCTATGACAGCGCGGCACCTGTCGGGCATACTGGAAACTAAATTTTCCAGAAGAAGAGGTGAGATCTCCAACCAGGTTTTGTAGACGAACGCTTCGATTTGGGCCACGTTTGCCAGTTTGCCACGTTTGCTACGAAGCTTATACGCAATATAAGCCCAAGCATGTTCGAGATGGCGCAGAAGGGACATTTATTAGTAATGTAGATCTGCGACATCTCATAAAAGGTGGATTGAAATCTGGGCTCTGCGCTGGCCAAAAATCGAAAGCTCTTGACATCGCATCTCTTTTTCTTATACCAGGTGGCATAAAGTCAGTAGGACACGGAGCGCCGTCTTCTTAGAAAATAAATTCCTTCCCAGTCCTTTCGATGAGATCCTGGTACCAGGGAAGAAACCTGTTGGCTAGGCAGTCCACCTACTTGTCTTGATCGACATTGCCAGTGAGAGTCACCAAAGGAACCAAGTCCGCCTTCCCAAAAGCATTCCCAAACCATGATGGAGCCTTTGCCATACTTGTGGGTTTCGAGCATATGCTGCTCCAGGTACCTCTCGTTGGCTTTTCTAATAGCGCGGATACATCCATTGTTGCCAATCACCCCGAAAATCGCGATTCGTTAGACCAAATCACAGATCTCCTTTGCTCCATGGTCCAGTTGACCTTTTCTCTGCACTATTTCAGTCGGTTTGCCTTTTGCTTGTCCGTGAGAGCAGGCTTACAGGCTGGAGAGTAAGACGCAAACCCAAGTTCACTCATTCTTCGGATGAATGTGGGCCTTGACATCTGCATTCCTCCAGCAACGAAACGTTGATGTTGGAGCGTAATTGGTGCAAAGGGTGCAGAAACGGAAAGCGCGCACCATCGCACTTATTGTACGCTCAGTGAACATTTTTGGGTCTTCCTGAACAATGTCTGAGGGTTTCACCACCGTGTTTGGTACACAGTTTTACGATGTCTGCCATGATGGAAACTGGCAAAACGGTGAAGGAGTTGATTTCAGTTGAAACATGAAGAAATGAATGTAAAAGGTTTTGAAACATTATTGTCTGCTTTTGGCAACAAACTTACCAATCAAATGATTGTAAGAGCGACAACTGCTTTGCATTAAGTCAAGACGAGGTCGAAACAATGCCATGCCCCATTTTACGTATTTTTTCATTTCGACGTGCTTATTTTTTGGCCCGTGGTTAGGGACTGCTTATTTTTACTGGTGAAAAGCGATGATCAGGGCACGAGTTTTCTTATCTCTCCGATACCCATTAGACCACTCAAAACATTTGACAATGACCAACCAAGGCAGTAACATGCCAAGATCTTACAAGCGAAGAAACATCGCTGTACCCCGAGCCAAACAATCTGGCCAAATTAATTTTGCGTTGAACCACCCATATAAACCAAAATGCACCGTGTGCAATAAGGTTTTCAAAAGAAACCAAAGTCTCAAACAGCACATGCTTGTCATTCACCCTGTCAAAGAAGAAGTTGCCGTACCGTTGGTTTCGGAGGCCAGTAATTCTCCGGCATCCACTGTCGGCGAACCTGATGCTGCAAACGAAGAAAAGGTAGCAAATGACGATGGTTGCGGGAAAGTTTGAATGAAGAAAAACGACCGATGTACCAGTCTTTGAATTCATTCACAAAAGTCTTCTCGCCTCAAGACCGTAACTGTGTCAGCATTCACACCTGGCCAGACATATCCGTTGCAACGCAAGAAGTGCACCATCTGTAAGAGTAGACTTTTCTCCATCGTCAGTTGTCTCCAATTCTACATCCACAACACCGTGCTGACGTCGGCCGTACTCAGCACAATACATGGTGGATTGTGGTTCCTGGTTCAACAAGAATGGATTGCGAGAAAAGCCCGCACCAAAGATCTCTGCCTTTGTGTCTGACATGGGAAAGGATTTCTTTTAAAATCTTTTTGGTGGATCCAGAAACCTTCAAGGCCACAACCAAATCTTCACCAAGAAGATCGCGTCTGTTGATCCTTTTGTTGCATTCAAGGACGATAACACATATACTAGAGAGAATATGGAGTCTAGTAGAAAGGCCTTATTGACCAGTTGTATTCAATAACAACTACTTGGTGACCACTATCCGCTGCACTTTGCATGCCAGATGGCGTGCATACTGGGCCTTCATTTTTGACTCTGAACCATTTCAACCTGAACTTGTCGCTCACTCTGCCCTACAGTTAATCACCACTTTCTCTGCCCCAGACGAATTCGACTGAGGCTCACAACCCTTTCTTTTCTGACGTCTTCTTTATTTCTTACTTTTCAGTACGCTTTCTCTGTATCGCGGCTCGCATAATTACTTTGGCCCAACACCGAGCGCACTAGAACAACGAACAAATAGACTTATATAAATATCCATGAATAAAAGAGATCAGTTCTTTTTCCAACTAAAAGCATTTGGCCCTTGTAGTTTGGCTTAAGTGAAACTACTGTATTTTGGACCTGACCTCTAATTGAATCCTCGAGCTCAAGGCAAGATTTTACACTCTTGCTTCGTTACGAAGTTTACTGCTTTCAATTAATACCGGCTGAAGTCGGCCTACCATTGGTGCATGCTTGGAACAAAATACATCAAGAAAATCGATTCCTAGGTTAGTTTACTTCCCTTACCATTCATGTTTGAGCATAGTTTCCAGCATTATCGAATCGAAGAAGGCTACCTGGACGTTTCACCAATGCCATTCTTCTCGCAAGCGCAGTACATCGACTTGGTCCTAAACGCGTGCCAACTTGGATCAAACATCTCCTGATCCAGCCTAAACAAAGTTTGCCTCATACCACACTGGCATTTCTTGATCACTGCCTAAACTAAATCAATGCAATGTTTTCATTTTGAGTAAATACTACATATATGTTTTAATCCATTGTCACTTTTTTTTGCGCCCTCATTTTCTCACATCTTTTTGGATCCGAAGAATTTATTTCAGCCATCACAAGCCTATCATAGAATATCTTACAGGTGAAAATTTTCAGTTTTCTGATGTGGGACCAACACATTTGTGATATAGAGAAAAGGAAAGAAAATTTATAATAACATGAAAATAAAGAATTGACTACTATTATCTATCGCTAAAGAAAAAAAAATTCATACTAATACATAGGATATATGTGTATTTACAATCAAGGAAGGGATATAACCAGAATGGAAGCATCAAACCCCTATCATCTACACATAATATCCGATATACATACATGATAAGGGCATCTGGTATTACCAGAATCGTCGCTTCAAGGCTTTCCATAACTCGACAAAGATAATATAAACAATCACGGAGGCGGCCGTCATACCCCATTCCCACGTAATGGGGCTGTGCTTGAAGACGGCGGTATTGAGAACCGGAACATAAAGAGCAATGATGAGCAGAACAAAGCCAAAACCGGTGGAGTAGAACAGATATTTGTTTTGCTGACCTCGGAGCGCCTTCCAGGTCCAGGTGGGGTTGCGTAGATCACGGCACGTGAAACCGTGAAGTAGCACAATCACCGTCAACGTGGCAAAAAGAGCACCACGTGCACGGAAAACATGTTCGCATCCGGGAAGCAATTCCTTGTTACAACCACGACCAAATGTACCATCGCCGTAGCCATACATCACGACAATAAAGTTCATCAAACAAATGACACCAATCATGATACCGTAGTATAACAAATCGGCCACATTGGACCACGAAAATAAGCCTTCTTTGCGCGTTCGTGGAGGCACTTGCATTTGATCAGCATGAATAGGTTCAAGACCCAAACTCATCGCAGGAGGCGAGCTACAAGCGAAGAAAAAAATAATAACAATTAGCATTCAACAACATCAATAAGAATAGAGAGGCAAATCAAGGATAACGATTCTTTTTACCTGGTCAAGATGTTGTTGAAAAGAATCTGGATCGGTGTCATGGGAAAGACAGGTGTGTTGTCCAAATCCTTGAAAGCGAGACCCAGCAGCAGAGGCGTCAATTCGGCCACGTTTCCGGAAACCATGTGTACGACAAAACGAGCAATGTTGCTAAAGACACGACGACCTTCCTCGATTGCCTTGACAATGGTGGCAAAATTATCGTCCACGAGCACGATATCGGCCGCTTGCTTGGCTACATCGGAACCGTTTTGTCCCATGGCAATACCAATATCGGATTCCTTAAGGGAAGGGCTGTCGTTCACACCGTCACCGGTCATACCCGCAATCCGTTTACGTCGGTGGAGGGCTTCAATCATTTTCACCTTGGTTTCAGGGCTGCAGCGGGCAATCACCAGAGGCAAATCTTCCAGGTCATCGACTTGTTGTTCACTCAATTTATCAAAGTCTTGGGCGGACATAACCAGTTGCTTGGGCCGTTGCTTTTCTCCTTCCTGCGAAGATTCCGAACCTTCCAGACCGTAATTGGCAGGCAAGATATTGACTTCACGTGCAATGGCCGTGGCGGTCGCAATGTGATCTCCTGTCAGCATATGCACGGTAATGCCGGCTTGATGGCATTGGGTGACAGCATCCTTGGACTCTTGACGAGGAGGATCGTAGATACCAACGAGACCGAGGAAAATCATGTCCTGTTCAATGTCATCACGTGGGAAGGTATCTTCATAGACGTCGCCGTCGTGTTTGATCGACCGTATGGCCAGAGACAGAACACGAAGACCGCCTTTGGCAAGCTCTTCCACTTTGGGCAAGATGAGTTCTTCCATTTCCTGGTAACTCATGCTACGGACTTCGTTTTCCTTGTTCAATTGGATTCCCACGCACCGTTCCAGCACACGTTCGGTGGCCCCCTTCATGATAGCGACATAGGATTGCTGAGGCGTGCGACACAACACACTCATACGCTTGATGGACGAGTCAAACGGATATTCGGCGATGAAAGACCAATTCTGTTCTGCATTTTCGGATTTGGTTAGACTGGGTTTCCCCATTTGGGCTTTATGCGCAAACACTTGAAGAGCAACCTAACCAAAAGCGGAAGTCAGAAATAAAGTTTTTCAAACAACGCAACACCAAAAAAGAAATGAAAGAAAAACAGAAACTGTACCTCGGTTGGATCTCCGAACCCATTCCATTCTCCGGTCTTCTTATCCTTGCGCACTTCACTCATGTTACACAAAGCGGTACTTTCCACCAATCGCCGGGTTCCAAAGGACATCGTGTCCCTGTGAAGTGGCTCGTCATTGGCTTCCGAGACAATTTCCCCTTCAGGAGTGAACCCAAGACCACTGACGCTGTAGAATCCGTCATCGGGCCGCCATAAACGAGTAAGCACCATCTTGGATTGCGTCAGTGTACCGGTCTTATCAGAACACACGTTGGTAACGGCTCCCAGCAGTTCGAGGGCCGCCAATCGTCGCACAAGTGCCTTATTCTTTGCCATGGCATGGACACCAAACGCCTGAGTTAGTGTAACGACAGCAACGAGACCTTCCGGAATAACGGAAATGGCGGTCGATACCGCATAAAGAATGATTTCATTATGGATATCGAATTTGGCAGCAGCAAAAGTGATAATGACGGCTAAAATGGCAATCGCAAGTAACACAATAGCCATTCGGTCCAATGATTTCTGTAATGGCGTCTTGGTGTTATCGCCACTGTCCAGAAGACGCTTAGCAATACGACCAATTTCCGTTTGCATTCCCGTGGCAGTGACAATGGCTTTGCCTCGACCTTTGGTGAGCACCGTGGATGAGTAAACCATATTGAGACGGTCACCCAAAGCGATATCCGATCCTTCCACCACATCTGATCTGATAAAACAAGACACTTGCATGAGAAAACGATAGTCCCCACTTTATCAATGCTTCAAATCAATCAATGTCCCGGCTGAACCCATTACTTACATCTTGTTGACTGGCACCGATTCACCCGTCAAAAGTGCTTCATCTACATCCATATTGAATGATCTGAAAAAGATACGAATGGTCAATTTTTCATGAGTTGAGATCCTGTAGGAGCTGTCAATTTTTCTTTTTTCTACTTACTCAACAATGCGAGCATCCGCACCCACCACATCACCACTTTTCAAGATAATGAGATCACCGGGAACCAATTCACGAGTAGAGATGGTCATTTGATGGCAATTACGAACCACCGTACTGGTAGGAGAAGCCATCTGGCGCAAAGAGTCCATGGTTTTTTCGGCCTTGTATTCCTGAGCAAAACCAATAAAGGCATTCAAAAGCATGATAGCGGCAATGACGCCACCTTCAATGTAGTCTTTAAAGACAAAGGAAACGACCTGAATTTGTTAGCCGAATATGCACGAATGGGAAAATCATATAACGATGCTTCGAAACTCACCATGGCAATCAGAAGGATCAACACCATGATATTGAAAAATTGCTTGATCATCAATGCTACGGGATTGACACCACCTTCACCTTCCATTTCGTTGAAACCATGCTGGGAACGACGGGATTGGACTTCCTCATCCGTCAGGCCATCCTCCAATTCGGATTTGAGAAGGTTGGCCACCGTGTCCAGATCCATATTATGATACGGCGGGCCTTCAATGCGTTCTTCATCATGCTTCTTTCGACGACGCTTGACCAAGGATCGGCTCTTCATGAGCACACTTCGCACGGACCGAATTGATTTGGTATCAAAGTCATTGCTGCTCTGGCCGGTCGAGGACCGCGTCAATGGACGTTGGGTCAGTTTTTCATTTTGCTGATTCTGGTAATCCTTATTTGCACCCTTGTGTAATTGATCTGCAAATTGGATAGTTGTAGTATTGGCTTGCGGAGGCGGAGATGATGGATTTTCGTTTGGTGAAGAACTCATCAAAAGAAACAGGGAGAAAAGAGGAAGGAAAAAAAAAAAGAAAAGAAAGAGTGAGGAACTTGACTTGTCTTGCTTGATTTTGCCTTGTCTTTATAATCAAGATTTCCCGACACCAAAAAAAAAAAAAATAAGCTGGACTGTTTTGTAAAAAATCACAAAAACGAAGCCAGAATCGCAAGAAACAATAGAATCGAGTTAGCTTGCACTAAAACGTCACATGACACCCACTCGAGCGATCCATCGTGCCAAAAATGGCAATTCTTGAAAACCATGTTTTTTCCCTGGTTTCCATCCACCGGATCACTCTTTTGACAAATGTGAAACCTGAAACCAAAAAAAAAATTTCAATGACGATAGGCTGGAATTCGGCTAATCGGGGCAAGGTTGTCGTCCATGCTTCCCCATCTTATGGTAATTCCAAAGCTTCGCTAAGCTGTGCGCTGCGCACATACCCCTACTTTTTTTGTGCACAATTGCAACAATACCTTTTGCGTATGGCGTTTTCTTATCTGGAAAGGGCCAGAACGCGTACGTCTAAAATCATACAGTACGGAATTATACCGAAAAAAACCCAGTGATCGCTGACCGTTTAAAATCAACGAATATTCCTTTTCATGTATTTGTGTTTAAGTAATGTTTGTTCTTTTTTTTCGATTCTTTCGTAATATTAAAAACAAAAAAAATCATTCGCAGCTTCCGGTCTCATTTTGGAGCAGTTACATGAAGATAACTGGATCTAATAACCGCTCGATGATGCACACAGAATCGAGAGAAGGCCATCGAGCAATTGCGCGTCATATCAACGAATCCAGTAGAAATGGACTAGTGCCCGAAAAGCTGAATTGCAATCATCAAAACTTACAACACGCTCATGCTCTCGCTCATACTCACCTACAATTAATGCAATTGTAACTGTAGGTAATATATCCTTGCCAAAGGATTGAAAGCGACTGTCTTTGTATGTATGTATAAAAAAAAACGAAAAATTCTTTGATTCCGTGTAACAAATAGTTCCTTTAAAAAATTTGTGACTAGAGGGACACGTCCTATGCAGGAGGTGGAGGTGGTGGAGGAGCTGGATTCGACGGCGGCGGGGGTGGTACCGGTTCCGATGGTGGTGGTGGAGGAGGTGAAGCACTCTACAGAAAAAAAAAGTTCGTTTAGTTGGATAGGAATTACTTTATGCCATCCGTTTCTTTAAGCTTTTTACATACCCAAGCGCCACCAGGAGGTGGTGGTGGTGGCGGTTGTTGTTGAGCCTGTTGAACGATTACCATAGATAATGAGCTTTCCGTTTTTCAAAGAAACAATGAGCGATTTTAATCCAATCACTTACCCATGGCGCCGCTCCTGGTGGAGGCGGTGGTGGGGGTTGTCCGGCCACATCATATCCTGTGTATCCGCCGTAAGCAGCGTATGGATCGGCTGCGGCTTGATCGTAAGGAGGACGGTAATAACCGCCACTGTGAGGAGGAGGACCATACGCACCGTAGTTGTTTCCTTTCGCCCAAGGTGCTGCACCACCAGTACTTTCTTGCGCATTGCCACCCGACGATGCCCACGGTGGTGGGCCGCCATGGCTTCTTTGTTGTTGCTGCCACGGTGGAGGTCCGCCTGTGGGTCCTCGCTGCCAAGGTGCAGGGCCACCTCGTTCACCGTGCTATATGAAGATGACAGCCAATGAATCACGGGTGTCAAAATATTAACGTGCATAAAAACTTCAACTTACCGGTCGTCGGTGATCGCTGTAACCATGACCTTCCTCTGTGGTCTTTTCACCCAATTCAGCCATCAAATTCATGTATTCGCTATCCAATTGTTGATCGCGTTCTCTAGCCTGGTTCATGAATTCCGGGTTATTGCGCTGGACACAATCGCGTGCAATGTGACCGTGACCACCACAAAGTCGACAAGTGAGCGACGTCGTGAAATTCTGCTGTTCAGGACATTCGTATCGACGATGGCCCACCGCACCGCAATTGATACAAGTTTGGTTTTCATCATCGCGGAGTGTACCATTCAATGCTGCCAGTTCACGAAGTTGATTTCGCTTCAATTCGTTTTGACCTTCCGGAACCGAAGCCGACTAGCATTGGAAATTGATGAGCATCACCGAAAAAAAAAAGAATGCAATCGACTTGTTACATCCCAATTCACCCATTGCAACGCAAATTAAAGTACAACAACTTACAGTTTCAATGATTTTCTCAATGAGTTTGACGGCCTTTTTGACTTTATCTTCTGAATCGGCCATGACGAGACAATGCAGATCTTCCTCTTGAGCCGAGTTGTTGGCGGCATCAGTTCGTGCTTTGCCTTCTTTGACTGAACCACGTCCACGAATACTGATCTTGGCGCCCGAGTCGGCTTCCATTCCCTTCAATGTATTACCACGAGGACCAATCAACAAACCGATAAAGTTGATCTCGGGGAACTCCTTGGCCGGAATATACACTTTCTCTTGAAGTCTGCTAGGGCGTTTGTAGTCAGCCGGAGGCTTAAAATTAGGGATCGTTTTCATGGCCGTATCCACCAATCTGTGACGTTCGTCTTCGAGTTTCTTTCGGTATCTTGCTTCTCGAGTATTGACACGTTTTCCCTGAGCGTCATAAATTGGCTCGGGCGAAGGAGATCTTTTTCCAAAATATTAATATAATGCCAGTTTTTCCATTGCAGTCATTGTTATTTGTTATTACCTCTCACGTTCCGGTGGCATATAATCACCCATGCGAAGTTTACGATTGATCTCTTCCAGACGAATGTGCACTAAAAACAAGATCATTCATTTAGTTAGTCCATGTCTTTGGTGCACAATGATGACCACCATGAACTTACAAACATAGTTCTCCATTTGTTCCTTGTTGAGTTTCGGTAAAGAAGTAGGCAAACCAGGGATGTTCACCTTTTGATCTTCACCACCCCAACGAGATCTTCGCTTTCTTCTGGGAGCTCCCTCCGAGCCAGGCGTTCCTGAATGAAAAATAGATTAAACACTGACTGACTATTTTACCGCTGCAACGAGGCTCTAGAAAAAACGATTCACTCAATTTACCTGTCGAGCTAGCAGAAGCGCTTTGGGGGGATGACACAGTGTCGTAATATCGTTCCTGTGATGATGTGTGCTCGCGATCCGGAGAGCCTTCGCCCATACGTCTCTTTGTCCCCAGCGGAACGACATTGGTGCCTGTATTCATAGACAATGTTTAGGATGTCACCATAAGCCAAAGTAAAAAGGTAATTTCGAATTCAATTACCTGTAGGTTTCCACATGAGCTCAGATTCTTGTAGGAAAAAAACAAGAGGAATCGAAAGCTGATGTTTCCACACTACTTTTTTTTCCAACCACTTGGAACAGCGAAAAATCAGCACGAATGGGCTCGCTTGTGACTGTAAATCGGATGACGTTGCAAATTTCATTTCCGGATTTTTGATTGCAAAACTTCGAAGTTTTTCATTTGCCGATTTTGCCAGTTCCCATTTGTGATTTTCCCACTCTGCTTTTTGATGAAATAGCCACGATATGATCCTTACAAACCAGTGAAGCAGCGGTACCGGTATGCTACGTAGCAAAGTCATACCTTACAGCAGATACTTTAAACCATATACTGTAAATTTAGCAAACAGTATTTGTGAATCAATAAAAGCCGATACCTAGAGTTTTCATTATTACTTACAATTGCTTTCTTGTAAAGATATAGGAATAGATATTTTAGTGAAAAACATCCATAAATTGGAGTGGGTGTCCAAAAAATGACGTTCACTATTTTTCAGGCAAAATCCGGTAGCTTCAAAAGCTAGCTTTTGAGGGGTCAGGGGCGTGACCGGTTTCCTCATGACACCAGAATGCCATCAGATCAGCGAAACGTCAAACCTTCTTTCACACACATCTCTTCTTGCCTTACTTTTCAACCACAATAGCAAAGTATCCGCTGCGTCTCTCTATAGTATGAGTGCTGCTCAGGGCTTATCTTCCGGAAGAGAGTTCATCCCTCCCACAATAAGACACAACAAATACATGCAAACTCGAAATATAAGTTGAGCACAATTTATGGCCGGATTACAGCTCGTACCCGGTAACAGAACAAGAACATAAAATTCATCAAGAATACAGGACTGATGGCTCTTAAAATATATCAACTTTTTCGGAAGTTAGCCGAAGAATACACATTGCTAAAGCGGGATGCTAGCAATCTGGCCCTTTTGCATATTTAGCGGTGGCTCGATTCAAACTGTCATTCTCGTTCCCACCGATAAATACTGAGTTTTTCTGGTCAAGGTGTTTCAAGCAAGTAGCGTCATCTTGCGGAGAGGCAAGAGAACTGGTAAGCTACAACTCAATAATGGCAGTATATTTACTTTACTGACCTACAAGAATTTTCTCTGAAAGTTCCCACCGAGATCTTCATGGGAAATTGATTTGAAATACACGTTTGACATGATGTTTAAGCCATCTGTTCGAGATGAAACTGTGAAGAAGGTCAATTCATTCATATAATGCTTCTTTCTTACGACAGGCTATGAGTATCTAAAATGGTCAGCCGTACTTTCCGAACTTGCTGATCAATACGCTAGTGCACAAGTCAGTATATCTTTTGTTTTGACTTCGATGCACATAGAATAATAAACTGATTCTGTGTAGATGTAATTGAGCACTTGAAAAACTATCAAAAAGTGCTTGTCGCGAGTTTGGGGAGGCTTTTTCAGAGACTACAGCAACCGCCACGGAATCAAGCTCTCAGTCGCTGCGAAAACCCTCGGTAAGTTAGATTGCAAATATGCGAACCGAACGAAATTCTCAAAAAACGACAAAAATATAGGCAAAAAAGTTGTTCTCAAAATGTTTGCCTACAAGCCGTTCGACATCACTGACTGGGATGATATCGCTGGCGACATTCGAGATATCCGAAACTTTTACCAGTACGATTAAAATGGCTCCATATGGAATACTGTACACGTGTGATTAATGACAATCTATAGGGATAATCTGGATATGCTTTGTAATGAGTTTTCTGGTGTGGATAATGATACCATTGAAGCAAAAGCCGGAAACCAGCTGACAGAAAATCTGATCCGTTATTCTGCTTGGCTCTTAAAGAAAACTCATCAAGTTGGAGCCAAACAGTGGACGATTCTACTTATATCATCACATCAAATTGGTAAGATATGATCTGGCCGAATTTATTTTCCATAGAGTATTAAACACGCATTTTTCCTGCCTATGTGCGATTAGTGGGTCGCACCCTGTTCTATTTCCTTAATGACGCATGGGCGCCAGGACACAACGTTCCTCGGGATTTAAAGGTCGGTAGATCATATAAGAGCTTTTGATTATTAAGCTGTAGTCATAGATCATGAAGGGAGGAAGAGGTGAGACAGAACCACACGAGAGGTTTATCACCTTGATTTCTTTTGAGATAGTGTACTACAAGAATCAACAGTTCAAGGGACAATCATGGGAAACAATTTTTGATCTTGACAAGATCTGTCCAAATCGACTACGTTTTTCGCAGGCGCAAAAAGGTGATGCCAACTGCTGATGAAATTAAACAACACACAAAACGCTTACTTTTTCTTAAATAAATAAATAGCTGGCACAACTGTGAAGCACACACAATTTGCCAATAGCCTTGGAAACGGATGGCGTCATGATCAGTGTTCTGTAAACGCTGGGATCGTTGTAAGTGTTTTCTATTGGAACATATTACATTCTTATTCAGATGATCATGCCTACGTAATTAGCACCCTATCCTTCGTCGAAAAAGGAGTTTAACTTCCTTCCGCGCAATCCCGACATGACCCAGTGGACCCGGGGGTTTATACCAGTTAAGGAAAGAGCCGACTGGCCTTGATGCGTCAGCGAGAGTAATTGGAATCGATCCAGGTCAATTTATCCGTAATTGTGGTGTCAACTTCCATATTAACGAATCCAAGATTTAACAGGGATCAGACCGGTGATCACCTGTTGCGATACTGATGTGGACTTGCACCATGAACAACAACGTCAAAACCATGTTTTCTCCATTACTAATGGTGCCTACCAGTTAGTACAGTTGTCGGGCATAGGATTTGCATTCAAATATGTAATCCAGTATTGATGTGTTTTAGGAAGCGGAGTATGTTCGATTGGTCGAATCAAATCGAGTTGCAAAACAGAAAGAAAGCAGCAATACAAGGTTGCTACGATGAATTGAAGGAAGCTCCACCTTCCGTCCCGACGATAGATGGCTTTGAAAATTACATCAACGCTCTATCTCGTATTCATCAAAAGTAAGTAGACAGTGGATTGGGAAAAGATATACTGTTAACTTATTTATCCACACACTTTATGCTTTCAATTGCGGTTCCGTCATCCGGAAAAGCGGGCCCTTCTTTATTCGCAACGGCAAATGGTGCTCAACAAAATAGCAGATACCTTGCTTGGGAATCCTTCAGAATCGAATATTGTTAGTTTACAGCCTATACGGTTTCTCATCCAACATATACTAATGAACGTTTAATTTCAATAGGCCCCTCAGTGGGTATACAAGCATTCAAGGAAAAGCACGACACCGAAAACGTCAAAAAGCTCGAAAAAACCAGTCCAGGCCCTTGGGACAAGCGATCGTCGCCTTTGGAGATGCGGACCTGAAGCCAATGAAAAAACACGCCCTTGTTCCCATCAAGGTATGGCCGATGATACGGGTATGCTATCGAATGCATTCTTATGAAAAATTATTTAGGCATTTCGAAAAGTTCTTGCCCGAAAAGCGTTGGTCCTTTGTGACGACGAATATCGAACCAGCAAAGTATGTAGTCATAGTGACTCGGAGACTGTGGAAGTACGAGATGAACAGATTCTCGTATGCAAGCACAAGTGAGCTTTAAAGAATTATGGTCTCTATTATCAAACTTAACATCACCGCGATAACAGGAAAAAGACCTTCAAACGTAAAAATGTCGACAAAAGGCCTCGAAGCCGATGTCTAGATGACGAGGGAAACATTATTTCCTATTCATCAGTTTGTAATCGTAATCAAAGAAAGAGCTGCAGGCAAGTCATTACGCTTATTGAACAACGTAACGGCGCTAACGCAGCAAGCAGGTCGATCTTGGCAGAGTATCATTTACCCGATTCGACTGTGCCCCCAGTGCAAGTCGGCTAATGATGACTCCAAAGGATTGGTAACCAAACCTTAAAATCTATGATGTTTTGAATATTGACTTGTATTCTTTATTCACCTAAATTTGGAACCGCGATATAAACGCTGCGTGAATATGAGACGAGTTCTCATGACATATATCAACTCTGGTTGCCCGATCAACTCTCGCCCTGCTGGTCTTTGCCGTCGAAGCAGCGCACAATCTGCGCTCGGCAGTCAGAGTGCTGCCAAATAGCTCCTTAGTTGAGCTATGTTTTGCATGCCATCTGATAAGCTGATTGAAAAGAAAGCAGTGAAATTTTTACTAACTTGATAATGTGCGCTTGGTAAAGTAAGACGTGCATTGGTATTCGAACCCGCTGGCGCTTTACGAGTTTGTTTTGGGATTGTCAGCCAAAATATTCACGGCCAGGCGATTTGTTAAAAGGTACCAGTTCAGAGTACATTGACAAGTATCAGTATATCTTTAACGAAAGAACTAATTTCATGGGTCAAGCATGCGTTTTTGCCTATTGATTGCTGTGGCAGAAGTACAGTGATGGGATATATTTAGATCACGTATATGGATGGGTGAAGCAGTGCTAACCTTTGTATGTGGATCACAATTACTGCTGCATTATTTCTTACCAGTAAATCAGTTACGACAGGCAAAAAACGATTTATAAATCCACAGACTATTTTTTTTTTGTTTATCAATGCATTTTATTGCACTGCCGCAGCGGCAAGGACAAGCGACAATCTACGAATGGATAGATGAATTTTTTTCTTTTTGAAAATTACAAGAAAAAAAACCAAGTTTAGACGGATTCCAACACGGGGGGTTCGACAAAGTCCTTGGCGATCTTGGCACCGACTTCATCACCGGCAGCGGCGGCACCACCGTGAAGAGCCAAAAGAGCCGAGACATCGAACTTGGGAGCCTTGAGGATCTTGACCTTGCGAGTGTAGGTGTTCTGCAAGGGGTAGATACCTTGACAGGCCTTCTCGATACGGACAGCAATGGCGTCCTGAGCCGAGGCGGAAACAGAGCCAGTGACCTTGTTGACGAGTTCCTTCAAGTCACAAGCAACAGCTTCCTCGGTCATGATCTCGAACATCTTCTTGCGGATCTGACGGATCTGAGCAGTCTGAGCGTAGGTGGTCTTCTTGATCTGGTTGCGACGACGAGCAGTGAAGGCAATGGTGAAAAGACGGACGAGGTAACCGTCGGTGGTCTTGACATCGACGAAAGCCTCAATGGTGGTCTGCCACTTCTTGACCATGGAACGGAGCTTATCCGAGGTCATGTCCATGCGGTAAAAGTTGGTGAGACAGTTCTTGCCCTGGATTTCATCGACCTTCAACTGGATCTTGCGGAAAGCGCGAGATTCATCCTTGGACAAATCACCGAGAGAAACCTCGACAACACGACCCTGGAGCGAGTCGTTGGCGTTGCGGAGACCCTGGGTACGGTTGACCAAGGTCTTACCGACCTGGCGAACATCGAACATCGAAGGAGCCTTGATGTCGTACCAGTCCTTGCGGGTGAAAGGGTCAACACTACACGGGAACGATTCCAAAACATTAGATTTTCACTGCTTGCTTGCCAAGGATTTCGGTCATGCAACTAGCAGCCACAATCTCCGTTTTTCTCTTTTTAACGCGACGATCAAGGTGGGTGAGCGAGATCGAATCATGTATCGTGATCGATGAATGGAAAAAGTTTTGTAAATCACACGACAGAATGGAGGGTGCATTCTACGTTGACAGTCGCAGGGTAAAAAATGTCGAATGAACCGCATGGCAATCGCAAAGGGTCAAGATTTACATTGTCGAAAAGGGAAAAAAGTAAAAATTGGCGTTGCACGGGTTGCTGGATGAACGAGGTTCAAAAAGGTTGACAATGGGTTGCAAGATCGTAATCGGCACGCGAGAAAAACGGAGACAGGCTTGCTAAAATGTTACTTTTAAATTGTTTGAAATACTTACATCTTCTTCTTCAAACCCTTCTTTCCTTTGCTAAGACGCCTAAAGGAAACAAAAGAGAAAACGAAAACGTCAGTACGGAACGAAAATCCAAAGAGATGGGAGATGTGAATGATAACTTACTTGTTCTTGCCAACAGCTAATCATCGATTAAAATAAAATAAAAGTAATATACGTTAGTTTCATGAAGGATGGTTCATATGATGGATGGATGGATGCATTTTACATACCCATATTGTATGGTTAAAAGAGGAGGTTCATCAGCTTGCCTGCCGTTTCCCAATATGACACCTGACGGTCGGGCTCGCCCCAGCGCACCAGTACGACCCGCAGTGAATTAAAACTCCGACGTTGTGGGCCGTCCGTCCCTCCGGTGCGCGCCTCAGTGGATTGGACATTGATCACAAAAGAGTTCAAATTCACAGAAAAAACAGCATATGCACAGCAGTAACATTATTAAATGTCTACTGTAGGGTTTGTTGCTACGATACTAATACGGTGTGGTCTGTTGAATAAAGGGTCATCGACAATATGCTTATTTTTGACTGTGGACAAGCGGTGAAACAGCAAAAGGGTTTAAATGAGACTGCTTTTTTGAGGTTACGGTTTTTGGGTCCGCTGACATTAGGTCGTCTCACGGTTTTCTCTTGCATTCTTTTTGCTTCTTTATAGTTATTAACCATTATGCCTCTCCATCCTGAAGTTCTCTGGGCTCAACGCAAGGATCGCCTTTATCTTACCATTGCTCTTTCCGATATCCAGGTACGTTTTCCCTTTTTACCGCGAGTACAACGTGTATAATATTCAGTTTGTGTGCTAAAACCGACTTTGTATTCTCCTGTCTCTGTTATGTAGGAACCCAAGACTGATTTGAAATCCAATAGACTTACCTTTACATGCAAGCAGAAGGATGGTAATGTGACCAACGACTATGGCATTGACATTCCTTTCTATGACGAAGTTTCCACCGATGTAAGTATCAATACCTTGTGCAAAGTGGTGAACTGAACGCGTTCCATATGCGTAACAAAGGTTGCTCATGCTATTGCTGTGATATAGGATGCCAAAATCCATGCAACAGCTCGTAATTTACAACTGTGTATTTTTAAGAAGAACAAGGAAGCTGAATACTGGCCTCGCTTGCAAAAGGACAAGGTCAAGCCTGTGTATTTGAAGGTGGACTTTGACCGATGGGTCGATGAGGATGACGAGTTGGAAGGAGGAGCCGAGCAGGATGATGCTGGCTTCGATTTTGCGAACATGATGAATATGGCCAACATGGGTGGTATGCCTGGTATGCCCGGCATGCCTGCCGATATGAATGATTTGGTAAGTCCTTTATTAGCGCTGTGTGGGATGACGCGTTTACTTAACAGATAATTTTTATTTATTTATTAGCCTGAAGATGATGAAAGTGATGATGAAGAGGTGGAAGAAACCAAGTCTGACAATAAAGCTTAGATCCATGAAGGGTGATTTGCCCTTTTTTTTTTCTCATCAATGAATTTGCTGAAAGAATCTGGTGTTTTCTTTTTTTTTTTTTTGCACGATGCAAATTTTCATCAAGTTGGTCCCGCAGCGTGGATTGAAAACCGATTATCCACGAAAAAGAGCGATTGAAATAAGGATTACGACTGTCCAGGAAAAGAAAAAAAAAATAATAAAAAAAAATAAAAATAAAACGGTTTCCCGAAGGAAAAAGAAACCAAAAATAAAAAAAAGTTTTCTTTTCGGTCTTTCTTCCATTCTACCTCTTTTTATTCTTTTAACTACTTGTTGCTATTTACCATGCTCTCCACGAGCGCCAACCCAACCGCCACCACTTCGTCACCCTCCCACAGCCCGGATATCAACACCAAATACAGGGAGCTTAAAAGACGTATCCGAGATATCGAAGGCGTAAGTCGACAACCTTGCAAACGATCAGAAAAAGGAGATTGAATCTCACGTCCTGGTTCCGCTTAGGAAAACGATGCACTCCATGTTCGCATTCACAAGGCACAAAAGAACATTAAACTGCTCAAACTTGAACGATCGTAGGTGAACCCCCCGGGAAAATGGATAAAAAAAAGAGTCATCAATTCACACTCAACCTGTTGCCAGGCTATTACTCGATAGATTGGAAACGATGCACGTGTCCCCAGCAAGCCTTCATGATAACATGATGCATGACGATACAATGGATTTGGTACGACAAAAACCATCTTTCTCTGATGGTCGAATTGATTGGACTTGCAGAACAATGGTCGCATTAACCGCTCACCCTTTTGTCGCCATTTTAGCATCTTAAATCATCTGCAGGGACCAAATTACCGAAAAAGAAAAAGGATCCTAATGCACCCAAAGGCCCGGGCAACGTCTTTTTCCTTTTCTGTCGATTAGAAAGAGATAAGATCAAGGATGAAAACCCGCAGGAAAATCTGGGAGAAGTGACCAAGATCCTTGGTCAAAAATGGAAAGCCATGACCAAGGAAGAGAAACAGGTAAACACACGAACTCGGCCTTGGCCATACAAATGTATATCCTTTATCTATTTTCAATTTTCATAACAAATTTGTTGGATAGAAATACTACGACATGTACAAGAAAGAAATGGATGAATATGAGGAAGCCATGAAAAAGTACAACGATCAATCCGCACCCTCCACCACCGAAAAACCGGCAACAGAATCTTTTGTCGCAGAACATGATGCCATCATAGATGATGACCCTCTCGAGTATTCGCAAGCCTCCACACCTCAACACACCGACGATCACGATACATTGTAAACGGAAACCCGCACCTTCGGTTTCGACTGCGTCTTTTATTATTGTATTTAAAACCAATTTGCTTCTTACATTTACTTGTCAAAAATCTATTTATTCCACATACACCTTACAAAATCGCACTTGATGGTCCTATCCACAAAAATGCACACTCTGCTTCGGCATCCTGTATCCCTCGAAAACCACAACTTTAGGTTCCCCCTCCCCTACTATAATGAATAATACACCTTTTAGAAAGCTATAGAATTGGTGGTTCACAATATCAATGGATGCGCCCTGACATATATCTTTGGAGCATTGACGGATAAAAATCATTGATAATGTTGGCGCAGTGTCGACTTGCTGTAAAAAGATGGACCACTTACTGTAACTGCAAGTCAATCGCTGTGCAAGAAAAACACTCCAAACAAAGTATCAAGAGGCGGCTCTTTTTTGAAATGATGCATGACTTCTTTTAATAGAGAATGTAGCAAACAGCAAGAAAAAAAAAAACTAATTAAATGAAAAATGAAATCTAAAAGAATGAAGATGATCATCAATGCCCAAAAAAAATGTCTAGAATAAGGGGAAATAAATAACAGGATTTAATCGCTTTCGGTATCAGGCTCCTTTTCGCCACCGTGAATGAGCCATTTAAGATGACGTTCTCTTCGGCGAGCTTCTTGTGCCTTGATCTCATTACGAGTCTTCTTCTTCTTCTTGCTAAGCTTGGCCTTGACAGCGGCTTCGTCAATGCCCTTTTCGTCTTCCACCACAGCCGACTCGCCTTCCTTGTACAAGTGGCCATTCTCCAAACGCCAGCTTTCGGGACACAGGGCCGACACGAATTCTTGCGAGTGAGAAATCATTACCACTGCACCATCCCAGGTCTTGATCGCCGTCGCCAAACCACCCAAAGCTTCACGATCCAAGAAATTGGTAGGTTCATCAAGTACCAACATGTGCGAGTTGTTCCACATGGCAGCCGCAATCACCACCTTGACCTTTTGACCACCACTCAATTCACCCATCTTGCTGTATTGCGCAATATCGGGATCCAATCCAATGTCTAAATAAAGAAATAATTGGTAAGTGATCTTTTTTCCATATCAGAAAAAAAAAATGGTTCATCCAACGTACCTTTGAAATGTTGACGGATCTGGGGAACGCTCAGTTCACGGTAAAGCAGACCTTCACGAGAAGCTTCCTTGTCATCAAACTGTTGCACCAATTTTTGGAAACCCAATTCCAACAATTTCTCGCGAGAAAACCAGGTATTATACTTGTGACGCAAATCCTTCCACTTGACTTCATACTGGAACGTCTTTTTCAACTTGGCACGACCAAGCAAACACTAGAAAAAAAAAAGGATGAGCAACGGATATTTTGGATGATTTTTTTTTCTTGGCCCAAAAGCTACGTTACCTCCACTTTACGTTTTTCACCGTTGACGTCGATGGGCTTGTTCATTTGTTCAGCTTCATCGGCCGTCCAACGACGCGATTCCTTTTCGGTGACTTCCTTGTCTTCACCGGTGGAGTAACGCCATTGCAGATAATCCATAGGGGTTTTCTCAAGATGCTGTTCAAGATGATGGAAAGCATGCTGAGCGACGTAACCAATACGAAGAGCAGGATGACGCCACACCACACCGGTCTGAGGGATGGTTTCACCAGTCAACAACTTGATCATGGTGGATTTACCGGCACCGTTGGGACCCACCACCGCAACACGAGACGACAAAGACAACGAGGCACTGGCATTGTAAAGCGACGGCTTGTCGGTACCAGGGTAGGTGTAGGTACAATCGGTCATCTTGAGAATAGCCTTGGTGTTGCTTCGCACACCTTGCAAAAGGGATGGTTTGGGGAACGAGAACTTGACCGAAGAAGCATCCAGGGTATAGTAGCTACGAGCAGCAGGATACACTTCGACAAACCTTTATAAAAAAAATAGATGAGTTTCTTTGTATCATCAGCATATGCATCAAATGAGGACGACTTACTTTGAAAGATTGCCTGAATAAAGACGAAGCTTTCTCTTTTCGTAATGCAAAATTTGCGTACAGACGTTATCCAAGAAGGAGGAGTCGTGAGAGACAATCAGACAAGTGACGTGGGTCTGGCTGTTGAGGTAGTCTTCCAACCATTTGATATTGGTCACATCCAAGTGATTGGTAGGTTCGTCGAGCAACAAAATATCGGCCTTGGAAAGAATGGCACGAGCCAATTCCACCTTCATCTTCCAACCACCGGAAAGCGCGCTCACGGGCTGAGCGAGACGCTCTTGATCGAAACCGACGGTGCGCAAGCTCTCTTCAATCTCTTCTCTGGAAATACCTTGAAGGAATTTGTCGGCGGCCACGTAATCGACCACGGGCAACGAGGTGTCGGCACCTTGAACCGTGTAATCGACAAACGCCGTACGGACTTCGTCCTGAGAAGGGAACCCTTCGACCTTGCCTTGATGAATAGCACGCATCAAGGTGGATTTACCCGCACCATTGTGACCGCACAAACCGTAACGTTGACCACGGTGAAGCTTGAGTTTGGTGTGGCTCAAAAGCAATCGAGTACCGTAGGCGAGAGAGAAATCATCGACGCGGCACAACTCTTCACCTTCCTGATGATCGAAAGCGGAATCGTCATCTTCGCCGGTCTTTTCCTTCCACAGGTTGTGGAAATAATTAAACAAATTGTCGCACACCACGGGCACATCGATACTGGCCAGGAAGGAGCCCAAATAAACGGACAGAACCTTGGTCCACTTTTCCTTCACAAACATCTCCTGACGCACCATATCGGCAGCAATGACACCCACGTAATTGATGATGGGAGAAAAGAATGAATCCACAAATCCTTGAGCCTTGGTGACTTCAGCCTTGACAACCTTGGTCGCATCTTCCACCGTCAAGACAAATTCGGTATCGGTACCTTCCGCATCGAGTTTTTCCTGATGACCACCAGCATCGATCAAGGTCTGCTTGGCACGGTTACCGAGTTCACGGATTTCGGGGAAAGCGGCACCATCGGCCTGACGTTCGATACCAGGATACAACTGAGGCAGGAAAAGCGCAGCGGTACGAGGATCGCGGACCAATTTACACAAATTATCGGTAATGATGAGGGTCTGACGAAGCAACAAAGTAGAGCGTTCATTGAGAGCACGGGTCAACAGAGGCACCATGATGGCTAGCGTAGGACCATTGACTTCAGCAACAAAGGTGGTGCTGGCCAATTTCTCAATGGTATTTGGCACACGGGTGGGATCGCCCATACACAATACGAGATCACGCAAATGACGTTCAATATCGGGATTACCACCGACGGCACAGACGGCCATCATGGTCTTTTGAGCTTCGTTGGCCACTTCATTTTTGGTGTCGGAAAGACAGTTGGAGACGGCCGGAATAATTTCGGGTAATGCTTCACCGATTTGTTCAGGGGCTTTTTCGGTGTAGGCTTTGAGCAATTTCAGCGCACCCACTTTGGTCTGCCACTTCTTGGCTCCGATGCGAGTGCCATCAGCGCTGTATCCCATGCCTTCGTACAAAAGAGGCAAAATTGCTTTGGCGGCTTCCGGAGGTGCCAAGTTGATTAAGCCTTCGGCGGCCAGTTGTGCGGCTTCTTGAACGACGCTACCTTTGTCAGCGTACAGATCCAAATAGAGAGGAAGGTACTTTAAGAGAATGGGCTCCGCTTGTTGTTTAAGGATTTCCGCCAAAGCATTGAATGCGATCAATCCACCTTCACGCTCCAAACCTGATTTCTTGTTCTTGGCCGAAGCTTCCAATTTGCCCAGAATGGCATGATGCTTGAGCATGATGATACCTCCCGACTGGATAGTTTTGGCCAGATCACGAGCGGCCTGATCGACTTCTTCACTGGTAGGGGCGGTATTGATCTTGCTGAGAAGATCGGCCACTACGGTGGCTGCATCGTTCGTCGTTGTACCCACCATCATTCGTACACTTTTTTCTTTCTAGGCAGAATCCAAAAAAAGCCGGCACAAGGAAAGAATAAAGGGGGCGAAAAAAAAAAGGCGGATATGATCCAATGCTTCCTTTTTTTTTATCTCCAGCGAAAAGCAGTCATGGAACTTGACGCCAATGAAATCGCTAAATCATGCCTAAAATGGGAATGGATGAAACAAAAGATAAGCCCAAGTTTGTTCAATGAAAAGATTTGAGATTTAAAAAAGGGATTCAGTGATTATCTACAGCCTCATCAGCCATGTAAACAATCCCAGGATCCGAGCTTTCCTAATGCAATTGTTTGGTTGATATTACTGACCTTTCACGGGTCTTTGGTTATAACGATGCCTATAGCTCTTTGGTTCTGTCCAAGTCTTGGCAACGGCATCTTATTTTGCGCTGGGCCTCTTTTTGTTCCTCCTTTTAGAACTGTTTGATCTCTCTTTCTTCCGCAGGCAAGCTATTCTTTGTTCCAATGAAAAAGATGGGTCGCAGAGAAGCACCCAAGTTTGAATAATTTGCGGATGGCGAGAGCATTAATTCGCCGGGACACAAAGGTGAACATCGCCCAACCAAAATGTTATAATTTTTTTATTTTTTATAACCGAAAAAATTGAACCAGCGGTTTTTCGGCCAGTCGTTTCAGCTCCAGTATTGAAAATAATGGCACATGCGTCCAGTTCATCCCCGTTTCGACGAACGTCGTTGCCCTTTATATCGTCGAATGCACCTTTCTCAAGACACAGAACGTCGCCACCCAGTTCCATCAAATCCAATTCACGAGCTTCAAGCTTCTTTTTGCCCAATACTATTCAGGAAGAAGACATGGGCGAGGATGTGCAAGCCGATGTCCTTTTTCCTCGCTTCCAAGCAAAGAACGAAGACGATCAGTTGGACTTTGCCGCATTTGGTCACATGGTCGATGAACATGCTCGAAAGCAATCAGCCGGTACCGTTCGCCTGTCGAGAACATTGAGTCGCCACAGTCAACTCTACGGAGATCCGCACAAGGTAAAGATTTGTTTTACCTCTTTTATCATGACGAGTAGTGACTCTGATACCATTGGTTTGAAAAAAAAAAAAAGCATGTACAAGCCGAGTTTGAAGGAGTGGCACGTTATCAAGTGTATTCCTCTCGAGCCGTGGGCACGCCCGTGCAAAGTCTGGAACAACTACTAAATGAAAAAGGAAAGGAAGCTTTGGAAAGTGTGCTAAGCACCACTGGATGGTGGGTCGATGCGCTCTGTCCCACGGAGGAAGAAATGCGAGTTCTTAGCAAGGTAGAGTATTCTTAAAGGGCTCAATTGCAATTGCAAACCAGTACTCAAACCGCATCCAAAAAAAAAATCTCCAGACATTCCATATCCACCCTCTCACGACCGAAGATATTCTAGCTCAAGAACCGCGCGAAAAGGTGGAACCTTTTCCCAACTATACCTTTGTTTGTTTCCGAGCTTTTGATATCGACCCCTATTCGGATCAAGTGCTGCCCTACAACTTTTACATTCTGATCTTTAAAGCGGGGTTACTGACTGTAAGTTTGCATGTGGAAAATAATGAGTTGAACTGTATTGGATTGCTGACAAAAGGGGTGATAACTCCAGTTTCACTTTCGACAATCGGTGTATCCCGTCAGAGTGCGAGAACGAACGGAACAGTTGAAAGAGTTTATTGATGTGACGCCCGATTGGATGAATTACGCGTTGATCGATGCTGTGACGGATGGTTTTGCTCCAGTGATTCAACAAATTGAAATGGAAGCCGTATCAATTGACGAACTGTCACTTGTGTTGCGACAATCCGAACGAGTGGATATGTTGAAACGGATCAGTCGATGTCGACGACGCACCACGCAACTCGCTCGATTACTCAGTTCTAAACTGGATGTCTTGAAGAGTCTCATGAAACGCTACGAAGACCGATCGCGCGATACGCTAATGACAGATACAGATTTGGCGTCGGCTGAAATCCCAATTGACTCTTCGAATAAGAGAGTATTTAGCGATGTTCTACTGTACTTGGGCGACATTCAAGGTAATCTTTTTTTTCTCCGTTGAGTGTAGAGGTGATCCAGATCGAGATTAAACATGCATTCCATGATCCTATTAGATCACGTTGTCACGATGGTTCAGAATGTCAACCACTATGATCGTATTTTCCATCGTGCACATACCAATTATATTGCTCAGGTCAACCTTGAAATGAACCAAGTGTATGCAACGACCAATATGGTAATGAATCGTTTGACGTTCCTGGCCACTGTATTTATGCCACTGACGCTGGTGACCGGTCTGTGGGGTATGAATGTTCACGTAAGTAATTCATCAAAAAGTTGCTGCAAGAGTTTATTAATTGAATCGGGTTGAATTTTCTCTAAACAGGTTCCCGGACAAGACTACCTTGATCTCAATTACTTTTTCTGGCTATTAGCCGGATTGGTTCTCTATTGTATTTCTTGTGGTTATTTTGGCAAAAAGAGCGATTTACTCTAGACAATACCCCTCGATTTCCATCCATATTCCCCCATTTTCCTCCCCTTCTACCGAACCTCATCCACTGCTCCTTTTTTTATCATCATTTGTATCATAGAAACCTCCATTGTACTTGCTTTCTTTCAAAAGTCATATCAGGTGATATGGAAAATTGTCATTTTATTTTATCTACAAACCTAAATTATCACTCGAGTTCCCAGATTCAAATATTTTTCAGAGATCCTTTTTAAAAATATACAGTGACAAATACAGTCCACTTTGATTTGTCACGCAAGCACAAGATCAAGATTTCTGGTCACCATCAAAAGTGCTTTCAAAAGCAAGCTGAGATTATAGAGTTTTTCTTTCTAACGTTTGAAGTGCATTATACGATACAGCAATACCTTTTCAAAAACCACAAAAAGACCAGCAACCGTTGATGTTGTGTAGAGCCAAATGCAATATCGATCCATTACAATTTAGAAGGAACTTTCCAAGCATTCTATGGACATTGTGAAAAGAGCATAGTGCAATTTGCAGTCCTGCCCCTAATTTCTTTTTGTCCGCAAGAAAGCAAACCCAAAGAGAGAAAAGACCGATAAATGGGACAGCTACAGACCTAAAAGAGGGCGATAGCTTATCAGTCCAAAATCAAAAAGGTCAAGAATCCAAATAGGACAATCAGATCCAAGCAATGATAATAATATTATAAAAACATAGTGGCTTCGATACGGCATTAGTGGATGAGTTTTATTGCTTTGTGTGATCGGCTCACACTCTTTGGTGTTGGCAAAACGCGTTTTTCTCGTATGGAAAATAAGGAACATGAAATATGATGCAGTGGTACACACTGTGTGTTGTAATTACTCAGTCTATAAAGGTTCGATCATGGTATATCATGACTTTTATTTTTTTTCGAATTATTTTCATCGTTCTTTTTTTTTTTTTTTTTTTTTTTTACTCCTTACGGGTGTGTTCAATGTATCAAAAATGTAGATTGTTGACGGATGCCAGGTCATGAATGGGTGGAAATAGTGTCCTAAATATCAGGCCTTATGATGTAATCAAAAGCATGATACAAATCAATGCTGAGTAAGTGATTCTCTCACGATAAAGCTCAGCTTAACAAGCAGTTTTCCGATAAGCAGCCGGTGAATATCAAAAAGTCGATTGCAATTTCAATAAACCACAATGTACAATCGTACTTTTTTTCATTTTTCATTTTTTCATCGTTTCAGAGTATCGGCCAACGGCTTTAAGTGTGATAGTCATGGAATGATCACAAACAACCATGCGACCCGAAAAGAGTAACTTGCCGCCCTTTGTATCAAAGTTTTTTGTGTTTCGTTTGATGTTGTCATTGAAAGGTGTTCCTCGGGAAAATAGCAACAAGTGACTACAGGTTGTCTTGACTATGATATATTCTTTGTCACAGATTTCTTTTGATTGTGGTCGTGCTTATTTCCGCAGATGGCTTTTCCCTTTTTTTTTGGTGGTCTCCCTTTTTCCTTTCTGAAATTTTCTTGTTCGGGAACATCATCCGCGCGTCCAAAGAAAGCGGCACGTGGCATACTTCCAATCAAAACGAATGGCAAAATGGTCCGCCAATTTCATTCTCCGCCTCGGTTTTCCTGTATTTTTGAGAGACTCAGATGAAAAATATTCCAATTTTTCGCTTCTTTTTTGCTCTCTGTCCAATTTTTTTTTTTTTTGAGTGCAGAAAAAAAAAATAATAACCCACTCAACCAAACCCAACTTATTCTAAACGAATTAAGCATTCCCACACCTCTTTTTTGAGCCTTTCCTCTCTTTAATTCCTTAAACTCCCAAACACACTCTTCCTTTTTCTTTTCGATTGTTTAGGGCGTCTCATTGGTAAGAAAACTCTTAACCATTTTCATTCACGGGAAAATGGTCCATGGCTGCAGATTTGGAGAGTCCTTCTAAAATGACCTTCTTGTCTTTTCTAGTGAAGCGCCCATCGGGAAAAAAAGTAGCAGCACTGGACAAGCACACCGTTATCTTCCTCTACGCGTCAAGCACCATCTTCTCAAAGGCCACCAAAGAAGGAAATTTCGCCTTTAGTAATAGTAGTAGTCATTCTAGTAGTCTTCTCAGCCCATGATTATCGCAAGTCCCGCCAAAAAGGAGCTCGCCATTCCTCTACAAAATCTAACCAAATCAACTTCGCGAGAATGTCTTCGCATTCCCAATGAACATTCTCAAAAGAAGGAGGACGATGTGGTGACCATCACCCCACGAAACAAAGGTGAGAAAAATCGAATATTGCAGAAATTCGGGTTTTGGAAAAAACTCATTTCAATTTCTTTTTCTGGAATTCTCGTTATGACACAACCACAGCTGTCAGTGATCTTGTTTCCCAATTATTCGGTCAAGGCAGTTCTGTCCACGGCCAAGTCAATGAGATTATGACGATATCCACTACGGTCGCCAAATCGAATAAAATTGGATGTCAAGCCTTCATTCACAACAACACCGTATTTCTCAGCTGCCCCATCTTTGGCAAAAATGCAGGTTTGCTCAACTGGGCGGATGGTGAATTTCAATCTTGGTAAGCTGATCTGTGTTTAATGGGCCCCGGACAATGAGCCACTCACGTATAAATTTGATTAGCGTTACTCGCTTGATTGAACTCGCTGAAGAAAAGACAGGTTGCGGTGCTTTGGTGGTTGCCATTGATCGCCGCAATCAAGAAAATGTCAACACCATCCTACGAGCTTTCCTGTATCTTGGATTCGAGGTTGTGAACCCTTCGGTTTACAATCAGGATCCAGGATTCATTTTCGTTGGTTATGAACTCTAATTCTTCTGTTTACTTGGTCCTTGGGTCTTCCTCCCCCCACCTCTTGTTTTTATGCTTTATCATTCTCTTTTTTTCTTTTTATTGTTGTTTTTTCTTTCTTCATCCCACACCCTCTGTTCATACTTGTAAAGCTTCTTTTCTCGTTTTAGCAGATGGATATATCCGTATATTTATAGCTAAACATTAAAGCTTGGCTTCCTGTAATGCAAAGTATTTTCCATGATGGATCCTGTTTAAAAAAAAAAAAAATGGTATCTCAAAGTTTTTTCGTCCGTTTCACCTGGATGGGCTTCTCCACTTCCAGTTTTCGTTTCTTTAATCGTTTTCGTTCGCTCGGCAAAAGACCGCCGTGGAATTTGGTATTGGTATCCAGACATTGGCAACGCCACAAGATCTTGTCTTTTGTCCAGAGTTCAATAGGTGGTACTTGACCATTCTCTTCCACGGTTCGCAATGCTTCATGACGGTAAAACATGGCTACTGTCCGATCGACATCACGGTTCATTTTATCGTACCAATTCTCCAATGCTTTCCACTGCGTACGCGTCCAAGGGGTCTCATCGACGTTGGAATCTTCGGTGAGAAACGATGAAAAACTTTGGTTGCTCGACTTCTTTTGCAACATTGGAACTTGATCCAGTGTCGATCGTTTACGGATAACAGAGGGCGACGGCACACTGAATTCCAGAGAAATGGTGGGAGATCGTGCGGGGGATTGCGGCCCCGATCGCGACACTAGGCGTGGAGTGATGGGTCGTTGCCGCGGACTAGGACTTTCGCCACGTGTGGTTGTTGGTCTGGGTCGGCTATGTTCACCTGAATGAGGTGTTGTCATTTATACAGAATTGCTGGGAGAAGCAAGTAAAAAGTTCCTGATAATCAAAATTGGAGGTTGAGCGTCTTGGAGAAATGGGTTCCCAAATAAAGCATTCCCAACTCCGCATCCAATGCTTTGAAACGACCATCATCCACCCCCCACCAGAAGCCTGTGGATCAAAATATCAATGAGCTTTTTTTCTTTTCATCAACCCCATTTCCCGTGACATGATGTTTATTACCAGAAGCACTTGAGAATCATAAACAAGCAATATCAATGGATCGATGGCACACTGGAAGTGATTGGTTTTTCTTTTTTGCAGCTGGTTGCTGCTCACATGGATGGACTCTACGAGTTTTTGGAAAACAATGTTTCTGATTGGGTAAACGAAACGAATCACATGATTTACTGCAATGGTTGAGTTGGACCTTCCCTTTTCTGAATGGGCATACCGTGATACATCGATTCAATTTAGCAATTTAACAAAACGCATTACTTGGGCTACATTGATCTGTTCCTAACTCTTTTATTTGCTCATTCTTTCAGTTCTTTCATCAAAATACCTTATGTCATTCTCAAACGTTTTTTGCGCTTCTTGCAGTCTGCCATGACACGCTCGCTCGACCTCTAGAAACTGTCCCGGCAATCCCAGACGCGCCCAACAACCCAGTGTTGCTACGGTCCAAGGATCGGTAGAACTTCGTTGCTCTACGTGCCAGCAAGTGGGGCATCAACGAAGCAGTCATTCAGCTTGCCCATTGAATCCAACGAGGCTGAACTATGAGAGAAGCAAGCGAAAATGACGCTGGAGAACACAGCCGTGGATTACCTGCATCTGTTGGGACGCATGAATGTCGTGTGCAATTTCTGTTCTTGCCAAACTAAAAACCAGTCGCCGCACGCCAAAATTTGCGAGCTAAAAAACAGTTACATGGTGTTCCTTTTCATCATATGGATTTGGCAGCTACTTCGCTTGGTGTTATTTATTCATTCAAAGATGTTGGAAAAGTTCAATGAAAGGGGAGAACTTTCTGTGAAGGGCTATTGTCAATGTCGATCTCGCGTCTTTGTAGCATTATTTAATAAGTTGTCTTTGTCAGTAAATGTGTGTCCTTTTGATTTTTTTCTTTCCAGTTTTCGGTGATTTAAAGGTGCATGAGCAGAAATGCTTTACCAATGTAGCTGATCTGGCGACATTGCTCATTGTTCATTCATTGGTGTGTGTGTCAATTTTATTTATTTTAAAGGTGATCATTCATACTTATAGAGCTCTATTTTCATGCAGTTTCTTTTTGCTTTTATCAGATTTTTATTTTTGGAGCTTTTTTTCATTTAGAAAGTGGCCATTCACACGTCTTTTGTAGCTTTAATTTTTATGCAGCTTCTTTCTGCTTTTTATCTTTACAGTCTTTATTTGCAGTTTTTATTTTGGACTTTTTCCTGAAAAAGGGTGAATTCATTGTTCTTTGGAGCTCTATTTTTGAAGCTTTTTCTTTTTCGCTTTTATATTTAAAGCTTTTATTTTTGGAGGTCCTTTGTTCTTTCGTCTTCGTTTTTCTCTCACTTCGGCTCACCCAAGAAGCCCTAGTGCTACTTTATTTCATCAAGTTCCTAGCTGCGTCCATCGTCCAGACTATGGCTTTCCCGTGTAGCTGACTCGGTTAAATCGACCATCACCATAAGAAGGTACCATCAAATGGTTTTTTACCAGTTCTTCAACAAGAAAAACTTACCAGTTCTTTTTTCTATTCTTCCTTAGCTTTTGGTTTTCGCTCCGGATTTTTTCTTTTTCGCCTGGTAAGTCATCCATCCCTCCGAATTCCTCGACTTCGTTTCGCGCACCAAATGTGGCCAATCCGGTTTTTGTCGTCAAAGGGCATTGTTGGTGATGTGACTCTGTTTTTCATTGGTAACGCTTACGCGCCCTCCTCAGCTTGGCTTCACCTGGATTACTTCCCTTGGTATCGTCTTTGATCTTCTTCCCGACCATTTTATTTTTGTAGTTTGTAGTATGTGTATTTGTATTTCAGTTATAGTCTTCTTGCAGACTTTTCCTCCTTTTTTTTACCTTTTTTTTTTATATTTGTATCGTTTCTTTTTTTCCGGTCGGGAAGCTCTCGATATCTGCTGCATCGAATAACAGAGGTAAAAATATCCTGACGACATTTGAATCAATCGAAGAGCGTACTAATCATTTTTTTTTATATTCTAGGTCTATCATAACCTTGGGCAGGACGGGACTGAGGGAGTCAATAAGTGCTGCTGCACACATGTTTGAAAATCATGGCTGTACGGAATGCCAGAGTATTGACATTAATATACCAAAGTTCCATCAAGAGTCTCGCCCAGGTTATGCCGTATTGCGTTAGGCTTTTGTCTGACGAATGTCGCTCAATGTAAGAGTGCGGCATCCAGTAGCAGGTGGCATCCATTGCACAGCGGGTGTATGGCTTGTTATAGCCTAATAATCAAGATCACATCCGTTCGTGTTGCGCTTCCCAACAATCAATTCATTCGACGCATTTTTCATTGGGCACATATCATGAAAACCAGTGACTTGTTTGTTTTCTATAGCAATCGACCAATGTTCTTTTAAAATATATGTATACATCCAATGATCGTATGCGATAAAACACGGATACAGAGACAGAGACGGAAAATAAAAAATAGCAGAGAACATCTATAAAAGATTTACAGGCCTGGAGCTTGAACTTGCTGAGGTTGGGGCTGTGCCTGTCCAGGATACATTGGGCCACTGCTCAACATCTATCATTCCGCAATAAATCTCGTCAATCATCCATATTATAACACATATCAATCAGAGAAAGAGAAACGACTGTTTTTTACCTGTTGTGCACCCTGCTGCTGCATCGCTTCCTTTTCATAAGCCACCAAAGCCTGTTCCTTTTCGATTTCCAGAGCCAACGGCAATACGAGAAGAAGCATAGAGGTGGTGAGCACCCAGGCGCTCTTACCAACAAACGTCACGCCAGTCTTTCCCCACGATGTCAGTGACGAAGCGCCCGATGCGATTTGATTACGGGTCTTTAACGGTACAATTTCCTTCAATGCAGCAAGACGGTCCAATAAAGACTCATCTTCGTCATCGTCAAAATCCTCATCGTCAGAGTAGTCGGAATCTTCGTGTTCACTCAACAACTGTTCCTCGTACTGATCGACAGCGACTTCTTCAAGCTTGACCATGGTTTATGGATATTTTTAAGTGGTAAAAAAAAGTGGCAGGCCCCACTGAGCCATAGCCCGATGCAATTTTTTCATTAGCATGGCCGCTCCTCGAATAGTCCGTCGCATTTCGCAGACCGCTCACACCAAAAACATTGGAAAATGAATAAACCGTACACCATAAACTACGGTATTCCAGTTCCTTTTATATACGTGCGTTGTTCACAGAGATCTCTCCACCAATTTCTTTTTCGCAACTTTGTTTCCAATGTCCAAGATACTCATTGCGAGACTCTGTATAATTTCTCAAAAGTGAGGATACTTGAAAATGATGAGATGCCCCTGGCAACGGTTGCACGTATGATATGAGTTGATTTGTTTTCCTTTTGTTCTTGAAAGGCCCGTCAAACACATAGTCTCGTATTCACTAATCTTTGAGTCACTTTTGAGCAACAAGCGATATGAGCTTTTCTTGGATGTATGTCTTTTTGGTCAAAAGAGCCTTTGTTATATATTCTGATAATAAAATATGCGATGGCAGATTATCTGCGGAAGAAAGTAATGTAGATGAACCCACTTGATGTCATTGTTACTTGCAACAGCCAGTAATATGACTCATCCGCTGATCGTTGTTGCAATAATTGCTTGGCCCTGCGTCTCTTTTTTCTTCCAGTCCCCTATAAGCCAAAATTCTAGTCTTGCCGTTTCTATCGAGTAGACACATGTTAATGTTGCATTATTCGTAAATATTATGTATGCAAGTAGAGAGATAATGTTACCACTGCAAGAGTAACAAAACACAAATCCCTCCTAGATGAGGTAGCGGTCGCTTGTTCAACTTGCGAAATCCCGCCAAGAGCACGGTCGACGGTGATCCCTTGCTATTTTGATGGGATCTTCAAAGATTATTAAAAATTCTGGCTGTCCAGTTGCAAATACTATTTTTCGGTGGTTTATCAAATAGTCTATGGCCCCTGCAATGTTGGTTTCATCAGTCATGGCATTCAGCAACAGGATCAACGTGGCTTTTTTCTTGTGTTCCGATCTCGATTCTTCCTTTTTAGCAGGGGCATCTTATTGGCCCCAGTAGGTAAAGTAATTGAATGTCAAGGTAACCGTATCTTCTGCCATCTTCCTTTTTCAGGGTTGCAACCACTGTTCACGTCCCGATCACAGGCATAGTCCAAATCCATTTTCGTTAATATGGTGCCCGAAAAGTTGTATTATTGGCTGATGCATCCTGTCGCCGGTCAAAAGTGCATCCGATAAAAAATTATAGTGCTGGATCATCCGTAATTTTCTCGTCTCTTTGAAAGTTTTATTGCTTCTGAATTATTTTCCTCTTCTTGCTTCCTCCCTTCCTTTCACCACTGTCATTTTGTTCCCACCATGTCGAGCAAAACACCGACCTATGTAGGAGAGGAAATGTCTCTATCTATTCGATCGTTGAATAAGCCGGCTGGCAAGTCGCATCACCGATCCACGTATCTTCCTGCTTTGGTCGCTGCCTCGGGTGGATTCGTCGTAGGATATGATTCCGGCGCGATATCAGGGATTCTCGCCATGCCAGCATTTGCCGAGACTTTTTTATACAAGGACAATGCGTATCGACAGGCCCTCCTGGTGGCCATGATGTTACTCACGGCAACCCTTGGTGGCTTAATATCTGGACAATTATGTGGTACGCTGAAAAACACTAGATGTATTCTTCCCCATGACATGAATGATTCATCTTACACTGGTATGTCATACAGATTCCATTGGTCGTAAACGGACGATTCTCGTCGGTACCTATGTGTTTGCACTGGGAGCTCTTTTTGAAACCATTGGTGTACACTTTGCCATGCTGATTATTGGCCGCTTGCTCGTGGGGTTTGGCGAAGGGTTTCTCACCAATGCGATTCCTCTTTATCACTCTGAAATTGCTCCTCCTGAGATCCGTGGTCGTCTGATTAGTTTGTACAGCTGCACATGCTCCTTGGGGACGATTGTTGGTTACTTTGTCAATTTTGGGACAAGTCATTTCCAATCGTCGTGGTGCTGGCGAACCCCTTTCCTTATCCAACTCGTCATTTGCATCTTACTCTCTTTCACATGGTTCTTGCCCTTTTCCCCTCGCTGGCTGATCGACAAGGGTCGAACCGACGAAGCGTTGCAAGTGATTGCTCAATTGCACGGCACCACTATCTCGGATCCCGATGTGCTAAGCGAATTTGAAACGATTGTGGCCGAAAATCATTTCGAACAAAGCCTCGGCGAGCGTACGTGGAAGGAACTCTTTCAAGGCACCAACCTCAAGCGGACGTTGTTTGCCCTGTTTACGGGCAACGGCGCGGCGTTCACAGGCACCGATGCCATCTCGTACTATGCTCCCCAGATTTTCAAGCAAGCCGGCCTTCAGGATACCGCTCTCTCTTTGGCCACCAGTGGAGCTAGTCATGCCCTTTCGTTGGTCGTCAATGTTCTGGCCATGCTATTGATCGATCGCATCGGTCGTCGTCTGGTGTTTGCTAGTGGCGCTTTCCTCATGGGCGCTTCCATGTATATTGTGGGTGCCTTGTTCATGGCGTGTTTTGAACTGGACCCTACAGGAAACGTGGAACTGTTGAATCCTTCGGCGCGCAATTCGGTCATTGCTTTTATCTTTATCTTCCAAGCCGCCTATGCTTACAGCTGGGGTCCCGTCGCGTACATCTATCCTGCGGAAATCCTCAATATGCGGTGTCGTGCCAAAGGTCTAGCCCTCGCTTATGGTCTCAATTGGACGGTGGGTATTTTCATGACGTTTGTGATGCCCATTTTCATGGATAACACTATCTACGGTGGCTACTACTTCTTTGGTGGAACCTGCACGCTTCTTCTGATCGGGTGCTACTTCTTACCGGAGACCAAAGGTTACAGCTTGGAAGAAATCGACCAGATTTTCAATCCGCATTCATTGGAATAAAATGGTAGACTCCGGCTCCCCGGCGTTTTTCCCCGCTTTCTTTTCGCTTGCGAAAGGAAATGGGAAAAACCCAGAGCCACGCAGGCGCTTGGCATGGTCTTTTCTTTTTCATGCTTTTGAAAAGCGCCTGCATGGTTTGGTTTGGTTTTTTTCTCTTCTAAAAAAGGTACCAACGAAAAAGGGCCTCTCGAGGGGTGTCGGTTCATTCCGGCTGAGATTATACCCTTAAAAGCGGATCAGGGTAATGCCTGCGACGTAATGATGCTCTACTGGTATTCTTTTCTTTTTTTTTTATTCTTTCTCCGTCTTTTTTTTTTCTTCTTGTGTGGGGTGGAAAGGGAATGGTGTTCTGGTTTTCGTCTTTCCTTCTTTGTCTGGGGGTTTATAATGGGGTTTTGAAACTATTTTTTGGTTTGGGTGTTGGTACTTCGTTTACGTTCTAAAGGGCTGTGGAGTGGTCGATAAATAATAGTAAGTAGGAGCCAACTAGCAATGACCTACCAAAGTTGCGTGAACGGTAAGCAGTATTGTAATGTATTTACATTGGTAAAGGGTTTGGCAGCCAAAGGAACGGGGTAAGCTGGGAATAAAAATTTTTGGCGAGACACAGGCAATGGAAGGAAAAGACAAAAGATGGAGAAAGACAGAGTGATTAAGAATTTCTAGTGCTTACAAAAAAAAAAGACGCTCCTCTTGAGATCCCCTTTGCAAAGTGTTTGTTTTTTTCCCAAGTGTTGGTTCAAATGAAAAGGCCGTAATGGCGATACAGTTAGCAATTCCGAGATGGACAATAAAATGGAAAATAGCATGAAATAAAGTGCAAATTGCAGGAACTTGCCCAAAAGTCACGTTGATTATTTGATCAAAGGATCACAATTTGGCATCGTCATTGACACCATTTTTTAAGCTTTTTTTCTTGCCACTTTTTTTCCTTTTTTCACATGAGGCTTATTATTCAGCAAGATTCTGAACAAGTATCTTCGTGGGTTGGTAATTACTCTCAACTCATCCATCTCATTTTTTGGCGCGTGTAAATGGTTGATATTTTTCTTTTTCCATCGTTTCGCAATAAAGCGCATTACATAAAAGAGCGCATCAATCAATATCAACCATCCAAAGACCGACCTTTTGTGCTCGGTTTACCGACAGGCACTTCGGCTTTACGAACCTATTACCACTTGATTCAGCTGTATAAAGCGGGCGAAATATCATTCAAACATGTGGTCACATTCAACATGCACGAGTATGTCGGCATTCCAAGGTCAGAAAAATAGCGCCAAGAGAAAACCCCCCTCTCCACCAAAATGCTGAACTGCGGAGCGTATTACATCATAGAGATCAAAAGGAATCGTCCTATTCTTACATGTGGGAACGATTCTTTCAGCATATCGATATTTCGCCAGAAAACATCCACTTTTTGGATGGGAATGCGGCCGACCTGGACCTGGAATGCCGTCAATACGAGGCTAAAATTGCTTGTGCTGGAGGAATCGAGTTGTTTCTAGGCAGTATCGGCTCGGACGGACATGTCGCATTTAATGAACCTGGTTCTTCCTTAACATCACGGACGCGAGCCAAGACATTGTCCTTTGAAACCATCACAGCCAATGCCCGGTTTTTTGGAAACGATATTGCGAAAGTGCCCAAAGTAGCTCTCACAGTAGGGATTGCGTAAGTAAAAACCCAAACCAACCGCGTATTCCGTGTGCGTAAAGTAACCATCATGCTTCATCTCAGAACGGTCATGGATGCACGCGAAGTATGTATCATCATTACAGGAGCTCATCGAAGGTTTGTATCCAACGATGTCCAATAGGAGTTTTCATGCATGCTTATCCACATTTTTGAACGGTAGTATTGCCCTGGCCAAATGTGTGGAAGGAGGTGTCAATCACATGTGGTCGATATCCGGCATTCAAATGCATCCTAAAGGGTTGATTGTGTGCGATGAAGATGCGACGCTGGAGTTGCATGTCAAGGTTGACTTTATAAAGCAAACGAAAAGGTCAGCTCTTTACGTTTATCTAAATGTTGGGCTTGTTGTATTGTAGACAGTGAAGTATTTCAAATCCATCGACCATGTGCAGCGATCTTTGATAGGCAAACAGCATTTAGGTCTGCAAGGACAGATTCTTTCATTTCAATCCACACCCAGCCAGTCTTCACCGCACGACATGCAGAGAAAGATACAGCAGCTTCTGACAAGCGATGCATCTGACACGAAAGATGAATACGCATTGTCGGATGAGAAGACATCCACTAGTCCCACCATCAAGAAAAGGCGTCTGGACGACGAATCTTCGCCTTCGTCTGCATCGTAATTTTCCTCACCCCGCCAACGTTTTTCCACGGTTCTTTTCCATTCGATCTGACCAAAATCTGCTTTTATTCTTATTGACATTCCCTCTCTCTCTCTTTTTTAACTTTTGCTTGCAAAGGAACTACCAGGATTTCATGGTATCCCAAAATGCATCGTCTAATATATTTGCATGTTCTCTCACAACAATCTGGTTGTTTTCCTTTACCAAATAATGGATCGTGGAAATGCCGCACTCTTTAAGATAGCCCGGCAATTTGTCATAATGCATGCCCACATCTTGAGGGCCGTGGCAATCATCTGACAAGACAAACTTGCCATTCTTTTGCAGAATATACTACACAGAACCCAACCTCAGCCGTCAATCAATGAGAAACTAATCAACCACACATTTGTCTTACCTGAATGATATCGCGATGGGGATAAGCATCACGCAAACCTTTCTTCCAGGCGCGGGAGTTAATCTCAAAGAGAGAGCCCATCTCGATAAATGCATCCACGTTTCGCATCCATCGTTGCTTGACCGCTTCATTGTGAAGAACACTGTCTGCTGCGACTCGGTCGGCAAAAATGCGTACTAAATCAAAATGACCCACCACATGGGGTTTCACGGTCTGCATCATGGCCAGTTGCTCGTCAAAGAAAGCACAATACAGATTAACCAAGGAGCCGTCGTGTTTCGCTAAAGCTTGGTCATAGAGTTCCTGGGAAAAGTCAACCGGAGTGCCGCCGACGTGATGCAACGATCCGACCAGATAATCAACTGGATGTCGCTGACGCAACTGGGCAATATAGCCACCATAATGCTCAGTCACATATTCAATTTCGGTGCCCACCAACAATTGGATTTGCGGGCTGTACAATTCTTGGAGACGACGTGCTTCTTGGTAAAAGTCGGCAAAGATGGTTTGAAGGGTCGTCGGTGTACAGTGAGCTTGGATTTCTTCCGGATACAGTTCCTGATCTTGATACCGAGGCATATGTTCACTCAGGCCGTACACTTTGAAGCCTTTGCGCACAGCTTCTTTAACGACATCTTCCAGTTGACCATACCCGTGATGGCAAAACTGACCGGAATGGCTGTGGTAAGAGTAAGGCATGATCAAGATAACCGTCACCGTCAGTCCAGGACGGCAGTCACTTTACGCCAAAAAAACTCAAGTTGAGTCATATCGACAAAGGGCGCGGACCACCAAATAAAAAAGAAAAAAAAGGTCAAGGCGCGAGCGGAATCGAGGGTCGGGATCTCCGCAGTTAATCCTTGTTATATAATTTTTTTCATCAATGGCGAGCCGCACCGTCTATACAGAAGGTTTTCTTCACTACATATTTTCTGCTCATTTTTATACATTACTGAAACAAAATGTCCAATTTCTCAGCTTTGAATGAACTTGACGACAAGCGTATCAAGGGTATCAAGCCCTTGATTCCTCCTCAGATCCTTATGGAAGACATTCCTTTGACATTGCAGGCTGCACAAACTATTGTCGAAGGCCGAAGAGCCGCCGAAGCCGTTATCAAGGGTACCGACGATCGTCTTCTCGTCGTGGTCGGTCCTTGCTCTATTCATGATGTCAAGGCCGCAAAAGAATATGGTAAGCCCAGAAAAAGAAAAAGGAGTCGTGGTGGTAGCGGATTATCTCGGTGGATCGGAAAGTCATGGATTTTCATAGCTACCAAATTGATCGAGTATGCCAAGGCTGCTGAGGAGGATTTGCTTATTATTATGCGCGTCTACTTTGAAAAGCCTCGCACCACAGTTGGATGGAAGGGATTGATCAATGATCCCATGTTGAACAACAGGTAGGACCCAAAGCACTTTGATGTCATTGTCCCCGCAAAAAGAGACTTATATAAAAACCGAATGTATAGTTACGAAATCAATAAGGGTCTCCGCATTGCTCGCCAGCTCTTATTGGATTTGGTAAGCAGACGGAATCTGAAGCTAAAAGGCAAATAATAACGAAGTATTTAAATGACAGAATGAAGCTGGCATCCCTACTGGATGTGAATTTTTGGATACCGTAAGTAGCGTCTTTATTCCGTGTTTTCCAAGCATCACTTCTCCGCCGTTGCTGATGCCACTGTTATTTTGAGTAGATCTCTCCTCAATACACCGGTGATCTGGTTTCCTGGGGTAAGTCAAATCGGGAAAAAAAAAGATGACTGGATTGTCCCCGATACCCTTGCTGTATCATTGACAACGGTGGATTGATTCACAGGTGCCATTGGTGCGAGAACCACCGAGTCGCAAGTTCACAGAGAATTAGCTTCTGGCTTATCTTGTCCTGTCGGTTTCAAAAATGGTAAGTGTCGTGTTACAAATCACAAAAAGATCTTTTTATCTCGGACTCTCCGCCCATCTTTCATCTAAACTTTTTAGGCACCGACGGTGGCATTACGGTGGCCATGGATGCTATCAAGGCGGCCAACAATGGTCATCACTTCTTGTCGGTTACAAAGCAAGGTTTGTCTGCCATTGTTCAAACCGAAGGTAATGATGCTTGCCACGTCATTCTCCGTGGTGGCAAGAGCGGACCCAACTACGACGCAGAAAGTGTCAAGAAGACGGCTCAAGCATTAGAAAAGGCGAAATTGCCTGGTTTGGTCATGATCGATTGCAGCCACGGTAACAGCAACAAGGATCACAAACGCCAACCTTTGGTGGCACAGGACATTGTAAGTTGCTATGTGATTGTATGGGATATACTGCGGATACTCATCCATTTGTTTTGTACGCGTCTCCAGGCCAACCAATTAGCGGAACCTAAGCATACCGGTGACAATATCGTGGGTGTCATGATCGAATCTCATTTGGTCGAAGGTCGTCAAGATATTCCCAGCGAGGGTCCTCACCGCCTGACCTATGGTCAATCCATCACAGACGCGTGCATCAACTGGGATGACACCGTCGAGGCCTTGGATATCCTTCGAAAGGGTGTACAAGCAAGACGCGCGGCTAGACAAGCTTAAATCTTTTCAAGCATGGATAGACCTTTCTTAGACGCATATTTTAAAACCAGAATCAATACATGAAAAAAAAAATGAAGACGATAGGCCTTGCTTTTTGTATATTTTTCTTTGGGTCCGATGACTCTCGGATCTCTTGCTGTATTATTATTGCTTATTTGAATTTTTTTTTTTTTCTTCATTATGTTTCTGTTGCGATAAAAAAAAAAAGACTCCATTATTACATGAAATCTTCTTCGGCAGCATTGATATCTTCAACGTCCGTATCTCGCTTGTTGCTACGCATGTTGCTCTTGTCGAATAATTCCTGAATCTCTTTTTCCGCTTTGTGTTTGGCAGCCGCCAATTTACGAGCCTCTTCTTTCTAAAATGAGCAAGATAGAAACAAGATCAGCAAAGCCATCCGATCACGGCTTTGAATGAGCCTACCTCTGCAAACTCGTCGGTACGAGCCGCTTTCCGGTCAATCTTGTCTCTTTGCACCTTTTCTTGCATCAGATCGGGATATTTTTCTTGCTTGGTCTTGTTCAGACGATTCACAATAGCATTTTCCCGCTTCTCAACGTACACACGTTTCACCTAGATGATATCGACGTGTGAGCCTTTTTTTCTTGTTGGTGCTTTCCTGACAGATCGTCTTTTTTTTTTTAAACTGAGACCTTTTTCTGATTATGAAAGGTCACTTGACCTGTTTCCATGCCGGGCGTCTTTTTCAAGTTGTCCCAAGGCGTATAAATCACGGTAATGTTGTTTCTTTTGTTGCCTAATGGGCGAAATAAGAGGAAAGAGTTTTAGTTGATATACTCGCACAGATGTTGAATGTCGTAATGCATTTTTTTTGACCTTCAATACTGTTGGCTTTGACCAGTTGAGCACAGTCTTCGATCACCGCCGGCGGAATATCGAGCCATGTTTGTCCTGGCTGTAAACGGACGTAGACGTGCGCACTCGACAGCTTGTCAACGTGAAACTAACGACACCCATATCGATTGATATCATGTAATTGGTTGGTTGCCTTGGTATTTTGCCGAAAAACCTACCCTTTAGAAAAATATCAGCCCACCATTTTCTTTTTCCATACTCTTTCATGCATCAAGTATAATAAGAAAAAAATTGACGATAGGATTAGATCTTTACCACACATCTTCTGGAAATCCATATTTAATCAAGTCTTCATCTAGTCGATTTTATTGGATATATCAGTTTCTGTACGCTGTGCGCTCTTTTTTCTTTTACGCCTATTTTTTGTGTTCTTACTTTCGAATTTGTCTTTTCCCATGTAAATGGTCACTGGCGGATCGGCCACTGTAGGCAATGCGAAAAAGGGTCTGTCAGTAAGTGCGGACACTTTACCTACTTTTTTATTCTCTGTTACCGTACCATTGCTTTGAAAGTACAAGACCATGACGAGAGACACAGAAAAAAAATAGGTCAAAAGTAGACTTGGGCGTTCAGGCACCAAGGTTCGGAAGAACACTCCTGGGTGGCTTGTGTGACCTGTTTTCTTTTCAAAGCATGATCTGCATTTTTATTTCTGGTGGAGAAGCGATTTCGGACGTTTTGAAACCAAGCCTTTGCTGCCGGAATCGTCTATCTATCATGATGAAAAAAAAGACCAACACGACGTCGTATAAAAAGATGAAGAATAGCGATCTGCTTTCTGCAGGAGCCAAAGTTTATGCTAAGAAGAGAAAGCGAGCTTCCGAGCGAGTCGAATCGGTGGAATTTGACTTTGATAAAAGAAAGTAAGCTCGATCTCACCAAGAAATGAATAATGGGCATTCGTTTGCTAAATTCCCATTGTTGGTTTACAACAGAGAGTTTTTAACCGGGTTCCATAAACGAAAAGTGGAACGAAAGAAAAAGGCCCAAGAAAAATACCAAGAGCGAGTTCGTCAGGAAAAGATTGCTTCACGAGCTGAAGCCCGTGCTGAACGCCAGCGATTAGCGGATAAAAACGTTGCAGAGATTGCTGCCATGTTACGAGGTAAATAGGCGGATACCGTGGGGATAGGGATACCATGGTAGTAAACTAACGGAGTATTATGATAGGCAACCAGGAGAGTGGGGATGAAGAGGAAGAAACCGTGTTTAGTGATAATGATGAAGGTGAAAAGGAAGCCAAGAAACCTAAAGTGCAAGAATTCAAATCCAAAGCTGCCCTGACAACGGTTACTGTGATTGAAGATCTTGATCTTGAAAACGTCTAAGCGGACACTTACGATATATGTCTCCTTCATGTTACCCTTTCGCCATTGCCAACCGGTCACCCTGTTTTTCTTCTAGTATGACTTGTCATTGCATGTTTTTATTGGGATCGACCGTGGCCCAACAATCTCCCTGAATGTCCCACATCATTGAAGCATTTATTTTTTCGTTCATCATCATTTTCATAATAAACCGTTTTTCCTATTTATTGTAAACGATTACAATGATCGGTCATTTGAAGATGCGATGTTGGGTGCCCCTCGACAGATGAAGTCCCCTTTGTTTGAACCTTTTGGCCGTATCAAATTTTGCAAAACCGTCGATCCCTGGAACAGACGAATTGGTTTTTGTTTGTAAAAAACGTGGCGAACATGTAATCAGGGGAGAAACTGATTGAATATGGAAACTTTTTCGTTGATTGGTTTAAATGGGGTTCAGGTTCTCGCATGGTTTATGCATTAAGTTGGTCAGATCATCCGAGCTGTCCGAATTCGTTACCGCCTGCTGATGAGGTTTGCCTATTCATTTGTACTTTTGGACGATCATGCCCAATAATTCAGATGACAGCAAGGTCTGGCTTTGGGCACAGCGAACGTGGTTACTGATCCAAATGACGATGGTGTTTTTATTTGAAGGATCATGCGCAGAATCGTGACCATCAAAGTACGCTGTCATTTTCATTCTCATGATAAAGTATAATGGGGTGAATTTCCTTTTGATGCGTGCATGAGTTCATGGTACCAATAGGATTTTATTTATTCGTCAAAAAATGAGTTACCGGCTGATCAAAATTGATAAAGCAGCTGCAAGTCGAGGACTCTCTGGAGAGACATCAATAGAAGAACAACGATCAGTAGGGGTGAGGGGCAAATTCGTGTTGTGATGATTCTACCAAAAGAAAGTTGGTTGATTTCTAGATTGACATTGTGAAACAACAAAGATGCTTCAATGCTTTGCATGGTATCTGCATTTGGCAATTCAACGGTTGCACATGGTGCCACCAAGCATCGGTTGCACGGCGCATGGCAGGAGTCTGAATACGAACAATACGATTGGTTCCGCCATTGTATTAACCTTTTGCAAACACTTGCAGATTAAAAAAAATGCTCTCGATGCTCATCCTACGCCATTCCCTTACTTTCCACTGGCTGATGGATTCAACAAAAGTGGTGAACGATTCACAAGGGCGGTTTCTGGAGAATTAGAACGGTTTTTGAGAATATATTTTTGTGAAGGGTCGAGAATCACCCACAAATGGTGACATTGCCTATTTTTAAGTTGCGGTAAATCTTTACCGCACTGTAACGCGGAGGAAGAGTTACACGAAAGGAAAATCTTACAATAATAGATCGGTTGGCCTATTCCCACGTTGGACCGGGCTAGAAGAGTTATGTAACAAAAAGGAACTTTTTTGGCACTGCATTGTTTACAACGCAAATCATTATTTGTCATGCACATGCGAGCAAAGTAGTGATCTAGAAGGAGTTCCAAAAATAGGAAGAAATTACGGATGAATAGGAGACCATTTTTGACAGCCACTTTTGTTCACATGAAGCAATACAAGAGTCATTCTTTTTTTATGAAAAAGTGTGAATCGTAAAAATTCAATGATTGCGTATTTCTCCACGATTTAGACTATAAGCTAAATGAACTGTCAAGCTATAAAAGGCATAGTGAAGTTTTTCGATGCATTCATGCAACATGGTCCATTGCCGTTTGTTTTGGTAGCAGGGAGGGCGGCGCGGTCTTCAGAAACGGAAAATCAATCACTTCCTGCAGAAAGACGCGAATGGATTGTTTATCCTTTTTTTTACATTTTGCAACTCAATCTGGATTTCTGTCAGTTCGGAGCGTTTTCTTTCCATTTTTGGATACACTTTCCGAGGTAAACATCGCCACCATCAAAACGCTAATGGGCCATCTTGACTGTGTATCTCATTGCTTTGAAAATAAAAATATTAAAAATGAGCAAGTAAAACCTAGAAACGAGAAGCGCAGGATGGCAATGAAACAGAAAGATTTGTCATGACAGTCATCTATACAGACAAGGGGTGGAAGTATAAATTTTTTCTTTTCTGGAAAGAACAAAAAAGATCAAGATCTAGAATCCCTTTCCTTTTTCTTTACAGTTTCAGAATCAGATAGAATTTGTGTGCTGCATGCGGACCATTGATGATCAAAAATATAACATCAAAACAACCCTACTGATGAGTCCAGAGCGTGTTCGAGGATCATTTGCTTGTCCACCTGTTTTTTTTTTTCTCCCCTGTCATCGGTGGGGCGTGTTTCTCTGCCATGACTTCCATTTGACCACGAAATGATCGACAAAACTCCGAAGGGAGGTTAATAAATGGGGATAAACTCGAAATAAAAAAAAAACGGACTAGATGGCTGCTGTTAGATTCTTGGCGACACGGGTGAACAAGAAGAAAAAAAATTTTCAGAAAAAAAAGTGTCTGTGCATTTCTCTTTAAGATGGCGATCGGCCGGGAAAAGTAGGTTTATCCAATCAAGAGTTGTTCCGTCTACATGGCGCCAAAGGTTGGTCATTCAAAAACGCTCATCATTCGCTCACTCGTTCTCAACTCAGCAAAATGTTTCCTTTTACGAAGCATGATCCACTAAAACTCCGAAAACTGGAACATTATATAAACCAAACCATCTTTTCATACGTTTTTTCTTTATCATTGCTCTTCACTTTTTTCTGCTCTTTTCACCAAAGAAAACCTTATAACACAAACACACGATTACAATGTCGTTAGTCAGACCCATGGTGGACAATCGTCGTATTAGCCGCAAGATGACCATTAACATCGATCAATGTATCATCAACGTGCGTCCTGTCATTAAAGGTATTGTATTTCACTGACAGTCAAGCAAAAAATAAAAAAAAAATGTCCTGATCCCGGAACTAAATGAACATTCATTCTTTACAGGCGCTATCAAAGAAGCTTCTCACACCCTCACGGAAGCATATGGCAATGATGCCATCCTTAATTGGTGTGTTCGCGGCATGCAGCATAAGCATGATGAATTTCTCTATACCTTGTTCAAGAATATGATCAACGCCGCCACCTTACAGAGCCGGGATTTTGCTATTCAAGTGGAAGGTTGCAAGGGCGTCCTCGTGTGGACTAACAATCCTCAAGGTTGTCCATGGCCACGCGCTTTAAGCGTTGCTCAGCTGGCTCGGTTCATCGGCTGGGGTTCCGCATTGCACATATTGATGAAATTTCAACCGTCATGCGACAAGACCCGACGCAAGGTGATGGCCAGCTATCCTCGATACATTACTATCGGTTACATTGGTGTTCTTCCTCATGAACAACGTAAAGGTCTCGGAGGAGCCCTTTTGCAGCACGTCCTTGATAAAGCCGATGCATCCCATTATCCCGTCGTGGTCGAAGCAAGCACACCCGCCGGGGTTCGATTCTTTGAAAAGTACGGATTTGAAGTCCAAGCCAATGTTTACCTGAGCCGATCCGAATTACCAATGGCGATCATGGTTCGTGAGCCAGTGACAAACGATGCACCCCAACCGCTTCGCATCAAACCCGGACGTCAGAATTCCAACGGTTCCATGTAAAACGAAAAACACAAGATACCCCAAGGTGCTCGTTCTTTTTTTGTGGCTTTTTCTCTTGTACATTATTCAATGCTCTCCTCCATTGTATATACATTTTTTTTTTTTGAATAACGGAAAAATGAGAAAAAAAATCGTCGCACACTCTTATCCTTTACTTAGCTCTTACTTACACTATCTCTAATACAATGATTATTCTCCGCAATCTTATTTTTACATGTGGTGTCTAATCAAAATATTTTTAATGATCGCCGGTGTCGTCATGATCTCCAATCACGGGGTATTATCAGCCGTCATTTATCGGATCTATTCTACAAATAAGCTACCATTGCAATTCTTTTTGCGCACTTTTACATTCGCTGGCGACTTCAATGGGACATGCATTGATGGTGCCACGGCCGGCCCCTGTAAGACCGCCTTTATCAAGAGCAAATTCCCAGTAATGGATAGGACATAATAATACGGGACCCACTTCCGGTGGATAATCGCCTTCTTTTGCAATTTGTCCGTGACGTGAAAGATCGGCTCTTCCGTGAGCACAATAGCGATCAGCTGCATACTTTCGGCCATCGGCTAATGTGACAATGATGCGTCGGTCATTGTCTGGATCGACCTCGATGAGATCCTTTCCTGAACTTTTTTTAGGTTCGGTTACTGGCTCCACTGGTTTGGTGCCTGGTCTGCTAACGACAGGATACGGTGCCTGCCGCGGTACGTAAGGAGCAGGGGGAGCCATGGTCTCTGTCACGGGCATGGCACGGTTAATTGCGAAGAGCATGGGTGAAATGGTTCCGCAGCTATCTTACTTTGAGGCGTGGTATTGCGTTTCTGTAGATCGTTATTGGAAGATATGGGCACCGGATTAGATTTAATCGTCGGTACAAACATAGAATTAGATAGTGCAAGTAAGAGTGGTGATGAATGGATTATCGGGCGGAGATGGGAGAATTTTAATAGTTTCTTGGAGGGGTTTTCACCCAACTCCGATATGAATGGAAGATCCTTTGCCAGAAAAAGACGAAATTCATGTAACTATGAAAACCATAGGGAAACAAAAAAAAAAAAGCGTGCCATACCATGATCGATCATTTTTTAAGCTGAATAAGTAGCATTGTGTATGAACTATTATTTGAACTGTGTCAACTTTCTGTTCTTTGCCCCATATCGTGGTATAGTTGCCGCTCGATTTAAGAACCCTCGATCCTATAAACACTCGATTTAGAACATATTCGATTTAAGAATCGCCTTTTGGATTCCTGAATAATGTAGGCTATAAAGTATTCCTTGCAGTGATCACTCTGGAGCACGAATTGGCAAAATTCTTTCAACAAGACGGGTGTCGTCAGTTGCATGACGAGAAAAATCCATGGTTTCCGGTATCCAATATTCGCTTTAGGAAATAATGGTTTTTAAAGACAATGTTGGAAAGCTTGGATACCTCATGACTTGCCAATAAAGTACCTAAAACGGACACCATTGTCCCTTCCTCTTCCTGTACTTCTCGTGCCTACTTTCCTTTTCTTTTTTGAAAAAAAAAATAATCACTATAAAAAGTAATTCTGTTGATCTAATGCTGCAACACAGTTCCTAAGTGCTATTCGCGATGCCATCCGCAATCTTGACGATAATGGAGCCAAGAGCCGTCTCCCTCTGTTGAACCAATCAGCAATAGGCCACTTTGACCTTAGCTGACCCAAGTGACTTGGTCGAGAATGAGCTGCGGCAGGCAGAAAACATGAATAAAAAGGACGATTTTTGGACAAGAAGAGGTTATTCGACGTCTTTATTGAATAGAGAACAGATGAACGACAAAGAAAACAAAGAGGCCTATCATATCGCCTCTCTTCTAAGCAAAGGGTTTATCATTTATTTTTCTTTTTATATGAAGTGGTGTAGTTCGTCCACAGGGACATTAAGCCCACTTTTTTTTTATTGTTCAACCGATAAAAAGGTTGACAAAAAGAGAATAATAAAGGCAAAAGCCTTTTCTTTTTTTTTCATTTACCTTTGTTGCGATTAAAAAGCAAACCCACCGACATACCTTCCACAATGACCGCGCTGATGACTAGTCAGGCGCCCAAAGGGAAGAGCCGACGGGAACGAAAACAATCTTCTTCAGAGGATGGCCAATCCTATCATTAGAGGATGGTTTTCGGATTTTTCGCCATACCCCGAATGCTTTACCAAAAACCGGAGCGTTCATCATTACCAGTAACCACCAGCCTAGCAGCCCCTGATTCCGAACTGGCGCACAAAAGAAAAAAAGAGATGAGAAGAAACGCCCCCTTTTTATATCTTTTTCAAAAATCGTTCGAGGACCTTCGATTGTGACCTTGCTTTATGACCGCGAATGCACCTCATTGGCTCGATTCCCGCAACAAAACTCGCGAAATTCAGCGCCTCACTCTTCTTTCGCGTAAGGAATGCAAAGAGGAGCTGCGCCATGTTACTCCTGCTGCCATGAGCAACCCATGTGCACTACAGTCACTCTATAACTTTCAATAAAGCTTGTGTTCGAACGCTGATGCGACATGCTTCAGGCTTTACGCACTTTTTTTGATCTTGTTGTATGCTAGGATGTTTTCCTACCTTGCCCTGTCCCTGTGTATCAATTTAGTTTTTGAAACCATGTCTTCAATATTACTGTGACAATAAATTGTCCCCTTTTACCCCAAAACCAGAGTGTCAGTTTCAGTCCCCCATGTTGCAATGGCGACAAAACGCAAAGAGCGCAATGAATGAGCAAGGCTGATCCGAACGCATGTGAGCATGTCCGCAAAAAGAACATTACTGAGGGCCAAGTCAAAGAGGTCCTTGTACATATGCAAATAATGGAAACACGTATCAGCCCGGTAACAGTACTAGTAGCTTGGCTTTCCCATTTGCAATGTGATATGTTTTCACATAAATTGATTCGGCTGCAGGACCAGTGTTATCTCCTCTTGAAAATCGAGTTCACCTTCTCCGCTTCCCTCTACGATAACATACTGCGTCGTTTGTGATCGATAAAAAGGCTGTCGTTTGTGCGCTTTGATTCAAATGAATATTATAAAAGCTTTATCTTTGAAGTCTCTGCTCGAGTTTGAAATTACTTTCAGGAACTTTTAATTCTCCCTTTTATTATACGTTGTATGCTACATCAAACTCGATTTAGGCCGGGATGATTCCCAAGACGGAGCGGTGGTCTGTAATAATGATTTAATAAGTCAAGGACTGCAGCTCTTTTCTTCTCAAGCAAACAGTTGACTTTTTTTCTTTTCCATTGTCTGTCGCAGAGTTGCGACTATCAGATACCATTATGTTTGTCATCACTGTCTAACTATCCATTGTTGCACGCTTGTCTAACAGATCTGGTCATTGATGACCGCAACTGTTCTTTCTTACATAAGAAGAGGTTTCCTTGGTGGTTTGATGGGACCAGACTCTTTTTTAATAGGTGTTAATACAATGAATAGGTTGATAGTGTCGAATATTTAACATAGTCTTTGTCGTAGCTGTCCGTCCAAAATTTTGCGTTGTCGTCCAAGCCAGGAGGAAGGCGTCGAACGAATCGACAGATTCGAAATTTCGCGATGGTTTCGTCGAGCGAGATCGTACCAAGCCGATATAATGAGTTGCTGCTCTCTTCGCGATTGAAGGCGAACGTCGTGAATTTGTTTCTACAAGCCACCAAATATATTATGCTTCATCAGTACAAAACAATTCAAGATGGATCAAGTATCCAAAAGTCTGTTGTCACCTTGAGTAAATCGTGCTCTTCTTCCTTTGTGCGAGGCGCGCGGTTCAGGAAAGACGTGGTTTCTTCCGATTTGCGACCAATGATACTGAACCGTGCGACCATCTCCTGTAGTAACTGGCTGTATAATTTGATCATCTAAAGCAAGGCCGTGATGGATGTCATGTCAGGAGGATGCATTAAAAAAAAAAAAGACGGCATTAGATATTTTCAACTTACATCGCGAATTTTGCGAGTTTTTCCTTGCGTCTCGTTGATCTCTTCTTGCAAGTGAAGCACGTGGATCTGCAAGCTGGCGTTCTGCTCCTTGATAATTTCCAAATCCTTGCTGTAAGTGTTAAATACCCAGAGCGGAGAAAAAAAAGCGGAAAAGAAAATAAATGAGATGAGGTGAGGTGAGCAACCAATGAATGATTAAAATATTCCTTTTTTCGTGCAGTCCTTACTCGCTTAATCCTGGACGTTGATCGGCATGATTGTCAGAGGTTTGGTAGTTATTCACACCATTAAGATAATTGGCTTCAACAAGCATGCGATTAATATCGTGAAGCTGCATTTTGGTGATGTCCTCCAAGCGATTGAGCCGCTCTTGCACAGTAGCATGTTCCTTTTCGTATTTTTCCAAGGTGGCTGTATCTTTGGCGACATTGCGCGTGCCTTCCAGTACCGTTGCTTCCAGCTTGCTGGTTGTGGTTTTCAGGTAGGAACACTCCTTTTCCAAATCCAAGATTCTTGAGCGGAAGGCCATAATGGTCTGGGTCTGGTTTAGCAAGGAATCGGGAATGCCGTTGCGAATTTGGGTCAATTCTTCCCGGAGTTGATCGCGTTCTTTCATCACTTGATCCAGTTCTGCCTTTGACTTGATCACCAACTCTTGATTTTCCTTGACAGGCTCTGCCTCTTTTTCCTCCATCTCCCGGATCTGCCGCTGTAACCGACGAATCGTCAAACGGCTACATACAGCAATGGTGTGAGCGATCCCCTGCGTAGCGGTCAATCCCCTTTGCATGACTTACAGCTCCGTCACATTGGATTTCTTCATATTTTCTTCCATATTGTTCGCGTCGACATCCATGTCCTCGTCAATGACCACACTGGCACGATGACTCAAGACCTTATCCAGGGTCGCTCCTACAAAGGCGTTCGATTAGAACATTGAGCTGATATCAATAACAATGCCCAAGATTTTTTTTTTACCACCACCGAGTTCGATTTCTTTCAAGTGCTCTTCCAATTGTTGAATCTGTTCCATGTTGCGGTCACGCTCCATCTCGAGATACGCACAGGTGTCGGACATATTGCGTAGTTCGGTCTCCAGGGTCGTTTTATCTTTCAAAATCTCGCGGTTATTGGATTCCAGTTGCTGCACTTGTTCCTTGTAGGAATCCATCAATGTTTTGAAGGCCAACACCTTGCGGTACTCGTCTTCCACATGATGACTTCTTTCCAATAAACTTGTATTTTGATCTTCCAGCGCCTTTTCATACGCGAGACATTATTTAGTTGTGATTCCAGGACAGGCGCAAACGAAAAACTAGGTTGACTTTTTTTTTTTTTCTTTACCTTGATTTGTCGTCGCAAATCAGACGTATCTTCGACTTTGCGCTTGTACTTTTCAATCAAATTCTCCAATTTATGCATACGCTCCGTCGTATGTTTGTATTCCTCAAGTTGATCCCTAAGAGATGCCACTTCTTCTGCCTTTTCAGTCAACTCTTCCACCTACACAAGGAGACAGAGACACATGGCCAAACCGTTAAAATGACGCACTTGATGTATGCCGGCAATCAGAAAAAAACAGTACCTTGCGTTTTAATTCGTTGATGGAAGCGATGTGCTGTTCAAGCAATATCTCTGTTTCTTGACGCCGTTCCTCGCTCTTTTCACTGATGATTGGCTTTGTCAATGCTCTTTTCACGCGATGTGCCAATGATTCAACTTACAGATCCTGCTTCAAATGATCAATTTCAGTGCGCATGACAAAATCGGCTCGACCCGTGTTATTGGCTTGCGTGATGGCTTCATCCATGTCTCGCAGGCGCGACTTCAAATCTTCTTTTTCGGCCAATAGTTCTTCCTATGCATAATGGATTCCATTGTGTGAGTTTTTATCATCATTTCGCTCCATTTCGTTTTTGACAACGTACAAATCGCTCGTTTAGCTGATCATATTCTGTAAGCAAATGATGATGCGAAGTTTCGTATTGCTTTCTGTCAGCCAAAAGTTTCTCGAATTCGATCTGATATCGATAAGGCATGTCACTAATAAATAACCCCCGCCCCATGAGGCTGAATCAGTATCCGTAACAGTAAGAGAAACCAAGCAAATAATCAACTCACGAGATGTCTAGATGGAAACTTCGCGAACTTGTGGTACCCGATGTCCCGGAAAGTTGAGACATACGGTTGCCGTCTCCATCGGCATTGAAATAATTCATCACCTAGATATTAGCGAAAGCAAAGATTAGATGGTCAAAGCGTAATAACACTAAAGATCAGTTGGAAAAGGTTGATGGCCAACCCCAAACACACCACATCTTCATGCGTTACGGCCGGTATTTGCCTCACCTCTTCTATTGATACCATGAGTGCGTGCTGACTCTTCTGGGTTAGGCTTTGGATCATTTCAATATAACGGCGATTGTTATCGGATTGAACCGCAATAGCAATGACAAGCTGGCACATGAGTAACAGTTCGTGAAGATCGGCGTCTTTGGCAATCGCCGTTAAATTGACAGGAGGAAGTAGTTCAGGGTCCTGCCCTAAAATTTCCTCGAAATAACGCAAAATCAACTTGTGCAGTTTCTTTTGATTGTTAAAGCGGACCACCCAGTTGCTTGTTTCTGATGCCGTGATCTGTTTGAACCATTTAGAATCGCTAACGATAAAAAAAAACACCCCCAGAACGACAAAAATAATGATATTCAGCAAATCATAGCAACAAAAATTTAAGAGTCCTTGGTCATAGATGACTTACATGTCGGCTAGAATTTCAGACAAAACCACGCCATCCGCAAGGGCCACCACTGTATCTATTGAACAAGACTTGCATTCAAATGTGTTCACCTACAATAGACAGATTATTTTTTTTTTGCACTTGATTCGCGGCCAATGGGCCGCGTGAGGATGGTTTTTGTTTCCCCGCCTTACCCATTCGACAAAGGCGTCTTCCATGGCGGCTTCTATTCGTGAAAAAGTCATGGTGGAATGGATGAATAGATGAATGGGTGATTGTGGGGAGGGTTCGCGGCAAAGGGAAAAGAAAGAGTTGAAAGGAAAGGCAAAATACGGATAAGGAGTTCAAAAGCAAAGCCAAAAAAATGCAAAAAGAAACTCAGAAAAAGACAGACAGAGGCGTTGTCGGCCAAAGTGTGGCTCAGGGGAATAACAAAAAAGCGCAAACAACCGACTCGAACCTTTTCACACCTTCCATTTTTTATTTTGATACTTTTTATATATCTTGCCAGAAAGAAACTCACGGTTGGGTACACAAGAACACAACAGCAAGCACAATTAAGGGCTTTTTATCTTGCAGTGGACCCGAACAATCCTTCAAGATGATACAAAAAATTGACCGGTGGGGTCGGAGATTGGAAATGGGTTCAGGACTGTGCTGGGTCGTTTGCAGTGATTTCCCCCCCAAGTGAGCTTTGTCCAACTGTAACTTTGTGTTATTGTGTGGTTTCATAGTTTTTTTGGCACGGCATGGAGTCTACACAGGATGCCGACTCTGCCAATGAACCTTATGCTTCACAGCCAGAGACAACCGAACCTATTTCGCAATCCTCCTCATTTCCTCAAACCAATGAACGTCGACGATCCGACTCCAATATTCTCAGAACACCATTCCCTCGTTCAGATACCCAAATAAACAATACTTCGCGTGGTCGCCGAAGAACAACAGCTCATACTGTCCACATTCGTCAGGAATCCCCCATCAAATCGGTGCCCCCGTTCTACACGCAACGATTCAACACACAGACCAACTCCAGACAACCATCCACCAAAAAGCAGAATCAAGCTCAGGATGATACTTTTTACCAAAATTTAGAAATTCGACTTCACCATTCCGTTGGCAGTATGAGTATCAGTCCAACATGCAGAGACGTGGTACTTGCAGGGTAATGTGTGGATATACTCCGATCGACCCACGGTTAGCTTAACTCGAAACGACTTTGTAGACGACAAGGTCTCGTTATTATCGATCTGGAAGATCCTTGGCTCTTGCCTCGTATCTTGCCTCACATGTCCAAATGGGAAGTCGCCGATGTGCAGTGGAGTCCGTATGTGTCGCGAGAATCATGGGTCGCTTCAACGGTAACTGTCTTTTTTTTTTTTCTTAGTTTTGGTTCACTGGAATTTATCCGTGTTTTGTGTTGCATTAGTCGAACCAAAAACTGCTTGTATGGAATTTAAACTGTAGTCAATCGCAAGCCATCGAATACGTTCTCCATGCTCACTCGCGTGCTATTTCTGATATCAACTGGTCCCCGCATCATCCTGATCTTTTAGCCACCTGTTCCGTCGATACGTACGTGCATCTTTGGGATCTTCGCTGTGCGGAACAGAGTCAGGCCAGCGAAGACGGTCGAAGCGCCCGGCCAGCCAACTCATTTACACCCTGGAATGGTAAAAAGATCATCCATTAGTCATCTTTTGAGCGATGCGAAAAAAAAAAACAGGCTATTCAACACGTCTCTTTTTCTTGCAGCCGCTACGACCCAGGTCAAATTCAACCGCAAAAGCGAGTATCTTCTTGCATCGGCCCATGATAAGGATGTAAAAATTTGGGATATCAGAGTATGTCGTCTTGAAATGGTATTGAAAGAAGATGGATACTTGTGCATTAACATGTCACGTCATTTTTATTTGAACAGAAAGGCGCAGTGCCCGTCACAAGTATTACAGCGCATTCCAAGAAAATTTACGGCATTGACTGGAGTCGACAAAACGACCACGATATTGTCACTTGCAGTCTGGATAAACTCGTCAAGGTAAGCATGATCTCCCTCCCTTGAAACCAAATTGAGAGTAAATACACTGTACTTCTTGGCTGAACCATCTACTCGCTAGTTCTGGGATATACATACTCCGGAAAAAGAAAAGGAAGTCATCGTCACCAACACACCTGTTTGGCGTGCACGCAATACGCCCTTTGGTCACGGCGTGCTTACCATGTCCCAGCGAAGCGAATCCACTCTACATTTATACAACAGCCGATCTCCAGAAGTGCCAGTTCACGCTTTTGCAGGTCATACAGACACCGTCAAGGAATTTGTCTGGCGTTGGAAAGGAGGCGCCAATGATGATGTCGGTAAGTTTACAGTAGTGAAGCCCATCTTTTTTTCTTTTTTTTTCGGTGCATGCTGAAATGCATTATTTTTGTAGACGACCGCGAATTCCAGCTGGTAACTTGGTCGAAAGATCAGAATCTACGGTTGTGGCCTGTATCGGAAGAGATTTTAAAGGTCAGACAATTCAATACCAAGTCGCCGTTATCTCAGTATGTTTGGCTTACATTTTGTCATTTTGACTTTAGTCGGTGGGTCATGATCCTGAGAGCAAGGCATTGTATCCTATGCCTGCTGCGGCCAGACTTCCCAGCAACTATCGACCTCACTCGTTCCAGCAAACACCCACCGCACGACCGGATCGTCCCGATCCATCGGCTGTGTCTGCGCCGATGACACCTATCCGTCTTACCCCCGGCAACGGCGTCTCCAGCAGCATGACACCCTTTCGATCCGCTGCCACCGCTGCGGGTAATACAGGTTTCACGCCGGGTTATGATATCATGACCAATGCCTACCGAGAGCAGAAATATACCATCAATCCTCTCTTGTGGATGCAAAATGTCAAAACCGTCGGTCCTCCGGCGGAGCTTCGAAGAGATACCACCAAAGAAATTACCTATCAAACCGTGGCCGAAGAAATGTCGGTCGTTCTCAATAAATTCGCCAGCGCCGGAGTGAAAACAGAAAAGGTAAGTTTTTCCTCCCATGGCCTGTGAAAATCCGCCTGCCGAGAGAATAGGGGTGACTGATGGAGTGTGTTTCGATTTGTGTCACAGGTCAATACGGCTTCTCGATGCTGTACCATCTCACTGCATGGGCCATGGTCCGATACGGGGATTGCATTTTTACGTATTACGATTCGCTTCAGTCCTCAGTATCCCGATAACAGTCCGCCCGAGTTTGAAATCCAGAAAAACAGCATGATTTCTATTTACTACCGTGCGCACATGGCTCAAGATCTGAATGTGCTTGCCTCGAGTTACACGTCGCAGAAAAAATGGTGCCTGGAACCGTGTATCCGTTATCTTTTGGGTGAAACCATTCAAACCGATGCGGATCTTTCAAGCAGTGCTGGGGTGGGCAATGCCACGGACACTTCTGTGGGCGTTCCTTCGCATGCTACCAACGGGGCGGGCCTCCCCTTCACCAGTAGCCCAGGACAACCTGGATATGGCAACAACTGGAATACGAGTACCGCAGTTGATAACGGGGACTCGGATGATGAGATTTTTGCCGGTCCACCGTTCATGGGAGGCATTGGTGGAGGTTACGGCATGGCTGGAAAAAGGGTTAGTTTGCAAAGCGAAAAAGGCATCGTTGTCGATATGTCGTCGAAACAAAGTGCCGACGAAAAGGTGCCATTTCCCCGCCTTTGCGGTGCTGTATTCTCCGGGAGCGGTAAGTCTCTATGTTGTTTGTAAAATCCAGTTTACATGATGTCCTGATTCATGGGGCGCAACATGATAGGTCAACTTGTTTGTTTCTTTTCAACGTTGCGCGTACGCGATTCGAAGCGATCGACACAGAACGGAGCGGCGGCGGCGAAAAATGAAAATGGAGACAATGGCAGCCCTGCCAGCAATGGAGAATATTTCGAAAACACGTACAGCGATTTTTACAAACATCCGCGCACGTATGAACAATTTGAAGAATACAAGGAGATTGCCCACATGTCACGTCAAGGACGGAATGCTACTGTGCTTGTGGGAGGTTCCGGTGGAGCGTTTGGTGAATACGCTTACGATGACGACCCCGATGATATGGATGACGGATTAACCAACATGGCCTCGCTTTATTTCAAACCCGATGTACGTGAATTCTCTCAGGCTACGCCATGGCTGGAATATTCACATGATGATCCTCCTCTCATTTTTTTAGAGCTTGGTGTTGGGCAGTTCGTTAGCCAACAACGATAACTTGCTTTACGGAAGTGTCAAACCTGATCGGATCACTCATAATGTTCTCATTGCTAACTTTTCCCATGTGCTACCATTTGATTCTTGGCTGGCCAAGAAATACATGTAAGTGACGCCTCTGCATGAAAAACCACGCTTTGTTTGGCTAAACGACCGTCTAGGTTATCATCGGTCGATCCTGTCACTGCGTGTATGCATAATGCCCAAGTGTGCACCACCAATGATCGCATGGATTTGTCAAGGATTTGGTATCTGGCCTTGGAAATTCTAGCCGAATGCGTTCCCATGGACTATGAGGATCTTCTCGCCGACAATGACCATCCGTCCACATCAATTCAAAGAGTGTTGGGACAAAAGAATCTCCCAAAGAGCAAGGATTATCTGCGTTTAAAATCCAAACGAAGCGTTCACTGGGGAATGCATCCTTTAGGCCAACGCCTCGTCTCCAATCTGTAAGTGAAAACCGCCAACAAAATACGCGTATAGGCGGTTTCTAATTTTTCTTGTTGATTTTGGGGTTTAGTATACAGCATTTTGTTCGTATTAGCGACGTGCAAACGGCGGCCATGCTCTGTTGCATTTTCCAGCGGATTCCTCGATTATTGCATCAACACAGGATCCCTGCTATGCATACGGTAAGTTAACGGTAACTGAAATCGACCTTGTCGGCTTGACCAGCTCTAACCGATGGAAAATCTTGGCAGGCTGTGGTGACGGAAAAGTCACCCGAGACAACGACGTTGGATTACTTTTCACTGAAACAGACGCATAAACATGACATGTATGCATCTCAGTTGATTAATACCCATGGCGGTTCCCATGGTGAAAAGACCATGACCGAACGTCCGGTGGACTCGCATCTAAGTCAGTCTTACGGTGGACGTGGGGTCAATTTCTTTTCGTATTTCTGGGACAGCGATCGTCACGCTTCTCCTGGAGCTCAGACGTCGACGCCAACGTCCGCTGGCGGCGATGATCACTCCACGCCAGCCGAGACTCCGGATTCAGTCAATGATCCTAGAACTTCTTCGCCCAAACGACTTCGACTCAACCCACCTTGGATGTCGAATTACGCCAGTGCCAAATTACCCAGCAATACCGCTCCAGGGTTACGACCGATTTCAGGCAGTGCCGGATCGGCACATCTTCCATACATGACGACACCCAACATTGCTACACCGTACGTGGTGACCCCGCCCACTCCCTTCATGTCGACTTTGGTCGCCAACAAGGAAGGCAAAGTCATTCCTACCGAGGAACTTACCATTCAATTTACCAATATGGAATACTTTGACGACGAAAAGCTGTTCCCCATGCAGGATATACCACTTCTTGATACCAACGCGTCGGCGCAACAAGATGTGTTGCGTTTGAACTATGCAGACATGTTGTATCGTTGCACGTTGTTGGAGCCACGCGCCGAAGTGTTGAAATTTTCCAAGCAAGTGGTGGTGCCCGATACGGAGCGGACCATGCAGATTCAAATTCGGTGCTACTTGTGCAATACCGAAATCAACGACGGAGACCAAATCTGTCCTGCGTGTCGAAAACATCGACAACAGATCCGTTGCAGCATTTGCCATGTTTTGGTCAAAGGCCTCAGCAACTTTTGTATCAAGTGTGGCCATGGGGGTCACAGCTCGCACATGAAGGACTGGTTCATTCATCAAGAACAAAACGTGTGCCCCACAGGCTGTGGATGTCACTGTTTGATAGAGACAATGACTTTTGGCACTCTTGTCTCATAGAAACCTCCCCTTCCCCCTCCCCCCGCCATTGATTGTACATAGCTTCCAAAATTAATTCCACTCCTAATCTATGCCGTTATCCGTCTCACATTGCCCTATTTAAATTCCATGCATTTGATTTCATCCCACCAACCTATTTCATCCCATATTAATAAATATCGTTTTTTTCCCTGCCGTCTATTGTACTGCAATGGCTTCTAAAGCGTCTAATCTCTTTTTACATGCATCAATGCGTTGCAAAATATCTGTCATGACAGCCGATTCTCGGTTTTGGAAAATGGTCTGAATCACTGGTATCCACTGACGATGAACGATATCCATGATGGAATATACCAGCGGTTGCCATTCTTCCTCCATGGGAACCAAGTCGTATAAAGGCTCATTGGATTCCTCTTTTGCTTCATCCTCTTTTGGATGATCGATCGATTTTTCACGATGCTCTGTATCTTGTGATGCTGGCAAAGATTCGTCGCGGATGGTATCATGATCATCCTCGTTGTCACTGTCGCTGTCGCTGTCGCTATCGCTATCGCTATCGCTATCGCTATCGCTATCGCTATCGCTGCCAATGGCTGTAGGAACGAATCGTAATTTCTGGGTGGATTGTATGATAACGTCAATGACGATGGAGAGGATACGCCAGGCGGCGAAAAAGGCGGCTACGGGGTTGTCATTCGTCGATTGTGGACGCCAAATGCTGTGATGCAAAAATTCGATATAAGTTTTGGTTTCTTGCAGTCCTTTGTTTGTCATGCCTAGCCGGTCGGCTAATCCACGACCAAACGTGCCGGGGAAAAGGGCAAGATGATAATTGGCCAGCAACGAGTGACTGAAGCCGTAGGTCCAATGGGTTTTGGGCACCGCGGGTTTCTCTGAATCACTGGGATGAAGCAAGTCTTCAAGGAAAGGCTCGAGCATGCGCATCATACTCTCGCCGACCGGTTGTGTGCCTTGAATTCGTGCCGCAAACGCCATCACCATTTTCTGTACGTAACTTTCCCGTTCACCGATAAACTCAGGCGCCGCCGTCGGCGACACGCCGCACGACTGACAGGTCCATTGTTTCCGCAAGTACAATGTGTTTTCACCACACGCTGGGCAAACCGCACCACGCGACACATCCCAATCACTGCATCGTTCACAGGCACAATCAAAGAATTTGAACTGTTGCAATTTTTCCTGGCGCATGACGGTGGTGCCACACACCAACCCACCACTCGATCGATCGTCTTCCGGAAGATAAGAAAAGGTCAAGACGTCCCCCGGGTTCAGCGGTCGCACCACCGTGAATACCATGGCATCATTGGCAGGCTCGTATTGCAGAAATAAATTGGGAGAGCAAGAATGAGCAAATTTGGATCCCCACAACATTAATGCAATCGAAGGTCGTACACTCGATTCTTCTGTATCTGCCCATCCACCGTAATTTGCATTCAGTGCATCTCCCCATTTGGACTCATATCGTCGTCGTCGTTCCTTTTTGCGCGAATGCGTAGGTAAGCCTCGTTCGTTTCGATACGCTACGGTGTGAGCATTACTGTAGATTTTCAAGACAAAGGAAGCGAGTTCTTCCACTTGCAAGTGAGCGAATTCTTTAATCGAAGCAATTGCCTGACGCGCTACATTGTGAATCAATCGAACCGTGGGATGATCAAAGGTTGGGTAATAAAAGAATTCAAAATTAGAGGGCTTGTATGGATTGTTTCGAACGCAAGAGGTAGGCGGAGGATGGACACGAAGATAAGCGACCATGGCAGCTGGCACGCCAGGACAAAACGCCGATGCCGGCTCTTCATCCTCTTTGTCTTCGTCATCGCTTTCCTCGGACTCATCGTCCGAGTAGTCATCATTATAGTCACTATCGTCGCTATGGTTGTCTTGCTGATGACGCTGATGACGCTGATCTGGGGAAACGTTCTCTTGTTGTGCTGGATCGTCAAGACCTTCTTCTTTTCGGACAAGACTCACGAGCGTGCGCCAAAGGGCTTTCGAATGAAAAGGCGATGTCGATGATCGGCAGACCGGATCGAGATGATATTTCAGCAAAGGACGCTCAGCCAGCACTGTTTCCCCAACGCATAATGGACGCTTGGCAACGAGCGATCGTCCTACGACAGGACAGTCTTTGAGTTCCACTGCATCCTGAAAGGCTTCCTTGTTTTGCACGGTGCTTAGATCATACTGAGATTGGTTCATGGGCGACAACTATAAAGACGTGATTCTAAAGAACCGAAGGAAGAGCCAAAAGAAACCCGAAAGTCGCTCGTCCGATAAAGTTTTCGATCCAAGCCAAAAGAAAAAAAATAAAAATAAATAAAAAATGCCCAATGAATGGCTCAATTGAAACACCTCCCAAGACGTGGCCACTTTCAATCACGCGGATCTCCGATCAAGCCATTCTTACAAGCGGTTCTCTTACTTGCTCTTCTTGTCTTTTTATTTTTTACGTTCAAATCCTGTCAATCAAGTCATTATGGCACTCGGACTCGGTCAAATGTTTTACGTACTACTATGCTTCATCAATGGCATTGCCGTATTAAGTGAAGAACGGTTTCTCGCTAGAAGTAAGTGAAATATGCACCCGTCATGGTGCCTCACATTCTATGTGCTCCACACACATTGGTACTCAAACACAGCCCATGCAGTCGGATGGAGCGCACAAGTCGAACCAGGATTCGGTAATCTGGAAACACAATCCATCAAATACAAAATTATCAACTTAATATCCGCCGTGAGAACACTTATGCGTAGTAAGTATTGGTTACTGCATACCAAAAGAATCGCGAATGCTTCACTCGCCATGGCAATGAGCATGTCAAAAAAAAAGCTGGTCAAATAACTCACTCCCTTATTCTCCGTGCTTTTTTTCTAGTTCCACTGATCGCAATCAATATCATGGTCATTATATACGAACTCTTGCTCGGTTAAAACAACAGTCTCCTACACAAAAACATACAGCCATGTCACCTTTGATTTCCTTGTAATTCATAAACGAAAAAAAAAGACATTTCACTGCCACTTTTTTCTGCTATACTTTTGCCCGTTTCCTCCCCCACTCGTATATCCGGTAATGACGAGAATCGTTTTTGCATAAGAATTTTTTTTATTGTCCACCTGTCCGTTTTTGATCGGCATCACTGGAGACATGCCCCAGTCCAATAAGACACCAGAAGGAATAGCTTTTGATGCGATCATCATCCATGCGTATGGAGCTACCTTTCTTAGTCCCATCGGCCGTATGGCTATTACCGTCTGTCTCGTCCACGTCGTCTTCATCAATATCAGCCGACGAGGCGTCCATACGATCTTCATCGGATTTATAGTTATAGGTGACGAGGAGCGGGAACTGCAAAAGGGGATACAAAGCAAATAAGATGATACAAGTCAACCGTGAGATGCTATCGATTTTTTACCTTGAATTCGCCCGTCTTTTCTGGTATCACTTCCACAATAATGCTGGTATAATTATTGCGTTTTTCGTAAACGCCATCCACATACGCTGATGCCAGACCAGCGGTGCCTCCCAAAGGGCCCGTCGTACGACCACGAAGACTGGAACCACTGGGATACATCTCATCGTCATACTCAATGGTTTCATTGTAAGCGCCAATTGTAAAGTGAGGTGAAAGAATGGTCACCTGCCGAGGGGAATAAAGGCGATGGAATAAGTCTATGGAAAATACGGTGGGCTATGACCGCTCGATAATTTTACCTTGCCATGAATCTTGGTGGCGGTGTCTTCTGAAGTGCGATCGGCGTTGGCTGATTTTCGGATTTGAGGTGTGGCCAGCGTCACACTCATTTCTTCGTACAGGGGATTGATAAACTTGATGACAAACTGAGTAGGAATACCTCGTTGCAAGGGCCAACCCGTCTTCTTTGGCAGTTTAACAAGCGTAATATTCGGTACATAATTCCTAGATCATGCACAACGATAAGACATTCTACTAGCTTTGAAGCATCAAATTTCGATCCTCACATGGCAACAAGTTTGATCTTGAATCGTGTCGCTTGAGCTTTCTGCTCGGGTTTAATGAGAATATGACGACATGTACGGCATCGTTTCGATTGTTTGATACACAAATGCACTCGTTGTGGATTAATTTTACTGAGAAAAATGGACGACACATTAGCATTACGGATCTTTTTTTTTTTTGGCCACCCACAAACAGCAAAGAACTCACTTTAATTGGTACGGCTGATCATGGACTTGCACAAACCGCTGCGGTAACGTGGACACTAATTCGTACCAGTTAATCAAAAAGATCAGCAACCTCGGTAGAAAAGAGAAAGCTATCTTACCTGGATCTACGCTGCGCATGGTGGTGATCGTTTCCAGAACCTTCATGCTATCGTCAGGGACTTGGACCGATGGCTCGTAGGAACTCACGTCGTCGCTTTGCACCTGATCACCGAATTGATTGCCCATAATTTTATTGAAAGCGCCCGAGGTGGAAAAGGAAAGAAAGTTGCTGGGTAAGGTAGGCGGCGAATTGACCCTTAAATGCTTTTCGAAATGTTCTTTCAGTTGATCAAACTCTTTGGCATCCGGCAATGTTTCTTCGTTTTTTTGTAGCTGGACTGTGAATCAAAAAAAAAAAAGGGTTATCGAGATGATTTCTAACCATGCCGTTGACTTGAATTCGTACGTACGTGCTAGACTGGTGGGCTTTTCAAAGGTCATGCCAATTTCCTGCGAGTTCCAGCGGCAAACGTTGCAAGCCAAAAAGTAGGGACCGGCCGAGGCCACGGACTGCGGCGATTCCTGGGACGCCATCACCGACAGCATATTCTGACAAATAGGACATTGAAAGCAGTTGCGAGCACATCTACCCGCAAAAGGTTCATCAGAAACTGAACCAACACTAAAGGTATCCCAAAACTCGTTTACCTGTTCTTCTCGCTTTTCACACTAGCTGTAGGAACCTAGCCCGTGGCAAGATTGAGCAACTGTTATCGGATTGGACCATCATCACGCGCGTGCCTGGTCATGGAGAGCTTACTTCGAATAGACAGTTCGGACAATAGTACGATACGATCTCGTCTTGAACACACGAAGGACACCGTATTTGATGGCAATCTTCACAAAAGTAGAGACGCGACAATGGGTATAGGTAATTGGCGGCTTGCGACGAAAGTAGACGATGAACTGTCGTTGCTGCCGAACCGTCAAAGTCTTGCAGTGACATTTGAGTGGTATCTTTCACTGAAACATGGGCCAAAGAAGTGTCGTCTAATGCCGCATCTTTCCGTCCTCGTCGTACATCCACATTCACAGCAAGATCGGGACACGCACAATAGTAATGAACAAAAGGTAATGCTTCAGCACTCATCAAAATGGCGCGAATGTCAAGAAAGAGAGGTCCACGTTGGCAAAAGAAAAAAAACCTCAAAATTACAGTCAAGAAAATTTCTCGACGACATCTCTTTCTCTCTTTCATCGCTCACTATTTTTTTAGGAGCATGATCACTGCATGATTTGACGTTATCAAAGGTAAAACAGACATTCTGTATAGACTTTATTCATCTCGGGTGGCAGTTGTGTTGTAAATAAAATGAACGGAAACGCCAACCTATGCAAAGAGCAAGAATTTTTCGTGATTGACATGTCGTCCGGGCTGATTTTTATTGATTGCAGAACAGGGCCTTTTTTTTCCAGAGAAAACAATGAGGAGAAAGCGACGGGTTGATCTTGTGTAGTGTAACAGGAAAAAGAAAGAAGGAAAAGAAAATATGCATAGTGAGTAGTTTCCCTTGAACAGTCGTTTTCGACAAACACATGAATGTTTAAAGCATGGATTCAATGTCTTCTAATCGTGAACGGAGACGCTATAGGAGAACAGAGTGAATATACCATTGTGCCACATCACCACCATGTCACTTGAATCAGCCAAGGAATATTACCTGAACACTAGGATGATGAAAAGTGGTTTGTTCCTTTGATAGTAAAATAACTTTTTCTGCAAAGGCTAGAATGGAGCCTTCCATATGCATGATAATCACTTGAGGGTCCGCCATAATATTGGTCCGTTTCGAGGCTGCATAATTTGAACCGTGTCCTCCTGCATTCTTGATTGTCTCCACAACCGATAATGCTCGTATGCAAATTTCAACCAGCGTCGCCGTAATTTGCGGTACACATGCGGGACTGTCAAAGTGGGTTTCACGGATGTCGCGAACCCATTGGAGCGCCGTCAGTAATCGAGAGGTATGTTCCATTAAATGCATTAATCGTAAATCCGGTCGCATGGATTTACTATTGATCGAGAGTTTGGGTAAACAAGGTGAATCGATTTCTTTTCGTGATGTGTTATTCAATGTTTCCAGCGCTTTCGAGATCCACTGTAAATACACATCTGCAAGTATCTGACATCGGTACGTGATTTCAACCGATGAAACGCCAATGAATTGCATCGCTGAACCCACGAATTCAAGTCCGTGAAGAAGACAATCCATCATCTACATGAAAGAAAAACAGGCCCTTTTTTAGTCTTTGCTCATGGACAAAACGATTTATAAAAAAAAAAAACCCTTACCTGCTCGTCTTGCACCGGTGACACCCGTTGTTTTCCATGCTCTGTATAGATATCTTCCAGCAAAGTAAGCGCGATGCGGTAAATCCATTCTTTGGCCGTGGCAATGAGTTGATCATCGACCATCATGCCCAAAGCTTTCCATGCCTGACCATTTTCGGCCAAGTTTTTATCGTACATTTTGACACGAAGATCGAGAAACGCTTGTAATTGCTGAATATCATGGAGTAGATCATTGGTTCGAGGCATGATTTCCGTGACAAATCGGCGCATATCTTCTATAGCCTAATGCAAAAAAAAGGCCTACTGTAAGCAAGAGAAGAAAACAAAGACGAATTCATGCATGCATGCACGGTACGGACGCTGCCTCGATTTGCTTACCTGTACATAGGAGGCTAATTTCTCAACTCGATCTTCGACCTTGTGCCATTCGGGAATAATATTCTAATTCATACCAAATTGTAGGGCATTGTTAGTTCATGTAAATGGAATCGATAAAAAGAACAAGCGTGTTCATGCTTTGTCGCGCCAAACTTACAGAAAACGATCTTGAACGGTCACCGCTCAGATCATTGACGATTTCGGCTATCCGTATGAGGAGACGTTTGACATCTTGGAATTGTTGATCCGCATCACCATTGATGTAATCCGTGACAGAATATAGTTGCTGAAGGTAATATTGAAGCTGCATTTGTTTTTCAAAGAAGATTTGCTTGTATTGCAACACGCTCTGATTCTGGAGTTGCGCTTGCAATGCGAGCCATTGATCTAGATCCATCGTGGTATAGTGTGAGGATAACTGGCGCATTCGAGGTGATTCTGCTCCTGAGTCTCTAATGAAACGATTGGCATATAAGGAGCGACGGAACGGTTTGCGAAGTGGACTGTGAGCCCCGATCACCGAGGGCGGATCGGAAAGATCGTCATGCGCAGCATTGGTATCAGCGAACGAAGGAGGCGACAAGAACCCCACCGCCGAAGAGAATCGTTGCAATTTTCGTTCGCGTTCTTTGACCGGTGATCGTCGTTTACGTTTAACGCCTGTCGTGGATGAAAGTGTTGAAGGGTATGGCAATTGCCAGCAAGCTAGAGGTTGAGGTGCAACTCGGTCAGAAATAGAGTTCTTTTTTTTATCCCCTTGCCACTTACCGTGAATAGGGGTTTGTTTCGGATGGATGGTATGATCGGTTAAGCGACTGTGAGGCCGTTCCTCGCTGCGCAAGATGCTATCCTCTGGAAAAAGAAAAGGGAACAAACCCAAAATCAGATCTTGCCCAGATGCACTCCCTGAATCGAGCAACACGAAAAAAACAAAAAGACGTGGACTTGACAAGCTTACCCAACAGTCCTAATATGATATTGATGCAGTTTGTCCAGTAATTATCGCATGGTCGGGTATTGGCTGAACAGGACAAGGTCGCTTCAATCATCATGACACGCACGACTAGTTGGAAGGAGAAGGAAAACGGGGCATTCTGTGCCCAGCCATTTTTTTCTACCACTGGGCCTCTTTTCTAAACCCCGATGGATGGCTGCCATTCTGAGAAGGAACAAGCCACTCCTTCCTTCCAAAAATGTAACCGTGTGATATGTTGTATCGACAACGCATTAACTCCAATTATTCTGCTAAATCGGCCGTTGGTCATTAGTGTATGAGACGCAACTTTTGCCATGTTCTTGATACTAATGTCAAGACACTTTACTCAATAATGCAAGCGAGCTATCGGGGTAAATGTTATCTGGGTAATAAACCAATATCAAAAAGTATTGATTGCCAGTTATAAGATGTCGTCCGTTCCCCGGTGACAGACGCGCATATCATGACTGTGAGAATCATCCCGCAGCAACAAAAGTAAGTGTGCCACCCTCTCACCTTCCACACACACAGACACACCTCCAAAGCAAATGTAATCATGGCAGATAAAGCAGCAACCATGGCAAAAGGTAAAGTTGGTTCAGAGAGTTGATTATTTCGCTGTCAACAATTTGTCATGTGTGTGAACACCAACAACTGACATGGGAAGAAATCGATTTCCCGACAGTGAATGGATTGAAAACGTTCAAAATAATCCATAATTGGTTGTTGTTTTTTTTGTTCGAGTGCGACACAGCAAAGCAAGATCAATTGAATATCAGGTCCTTTATGAAAGCCAACCCTGCATTCCATAGTCTCGTAGGCTAAGCCAAGGATCATCGATCGGTATTTGAAATGGCGTCTTGAAAATGCATGTCAACAGGAAAAGCTCGCTTTATCACGGTTCGGTTGACCATTCAATTTTTTTCCTGACCGGATGCCCGACGTACCCATAGGAAAAATCGCACACGTTCATGGTTATCCACCGTACTGTTGTTCTTTTTTTCTTCTTCCTTCGTCTCCGTGTCCCTTAAAGCACGAGTCTATCTCATTAACATCGTCATGACAGATAATGGAAGAAGGAAAAGACACCTTTTTTTTTTTTTTTTTTTTTTTTTTTGCTTAATTTGGTTCAAGTCATTCATGGAGTCGTTTGCATGCAGCGTATCTCGACTGTCTATATCTGTGTCAATTGAAGGAGTAGAAATATCCCTCAATCTTTATTTTTCTTACCTTTGCCATGGCTTTACCACTTTGTGTCACGCAGTAAAAAACACTGACGCTATTCTAAATTAATAAAAATACGTCTCATTTTGAACCATGCGGCCGACGCTCGCATACCAGGGGCATCCCACCAGGTCAAAAAAAATTGTAGGAAATGATAAACAGAAATCATGGCAATAAGTTAATATAAGCGTGGATCGATCGGTTTCCTTGACACTAACCTACTTGAAAATTCAGGCGATCTTTGCCAAAAAAAAAAAAAGTGGAACCTAGAATTTCTATGGGCACAGCAAAACAAACTATCCAGATGAAAGGAGGAAGAAAAAAGAAACACGGATACATGAAATGAAACTGCCTGCACCGAACGGATGTTGCATGTTGGATGCTATCCCATTGTTAAAAGCAAGACATGAAAATTTCATAGAAACTAAAATAATTTGTATAGAAAAGAACCGTAGTTCTGCTTGTAAAATAGAGTGCTGTCAATCGGCGTGATGCAGGATGCATGCACATGTGTGTGCTATACTCATATTCAAACCTCTTTTTATGGGATTTTCTTTTTTGGTGGATTTTTTTTTTCTACTCTATCAACATGCAAAAAAAGGGAAACGAAAAAAAAATCCATTTTTTTTTTTTTTTTTTACTTGAACAAAAGCATAAAGGGTCTGGAACGATGATCGCAAAATCCATGATACAAGAAAAAAGCAGAGAAAGAGTAGCTAAAGGAAAGAGTGACTGAGGCAGAGTTGGGGAGACGGTTGAATAGGCCCGTTTCTCGTGGCAAGAATATCATAACCATGTCGATCGCTAGCGTCACTACCATGGGTGGCAATGACATGGAATGTTATCTTTGCTTAATAGGTACGAATCTATATGTGAGCTCAGCTGGAATGCAGTTGAAGCCTATACAGGCCCGACACTTTTCTTTTTTGGTCATCCTTTTTTTCTCTTATTTAAATTATCTTATTGCTCCCATTCTCTCTCTCCCCATCCCCTCCCCCCACTTGAACAGTCCAAGTGGATAAGACCATCACACACCCGTCTCCTTATTTCGCTTTGGCTACGGTTTTTTTTTATCTCCCAGTCCCCCCAGTAATTTAATAACCCAATCAAAATTATAATCACAAAGAATAATAAAAAAACCATAAAAGAAACCAACTTGAGTTTCTTTATTCTTTATAGCTTCTTTCTTTTTTTAGTTTCGCACAATTTTTTTTCTGCGTTTAGCTGCAGCAAGCAAGTCCTTTCTTTTTGTTTTTCATTATTCACCAGCTCGTCGATGCCTCCTCCACTATTTTCAGCAAGATCCAGTTCGTCATTGTTGATGAAAAAATCGTCATCGTCCGGTGTAAAATTAGCACCGGCCATTCACCATGCCACTGTTGTCTGTTTCGAAAGACGCAATGATCAAAAAATGTGGTATATTATTCAAGTCGATCCTCAACCGAGCGATATTCGCATGGTGCCTGGCCGTCCCAACCCCCAATCCATCGCACGTCAACCGTATACGATTGCTCGACGTTATGAGGATTTCACCCATTTCGCCCAATTGCTCCACGACACTTTTACTTCGTCCAAATTGAACAACATGGCTCGTCGTGCCGGTTCGCAGTGGCGCAATAACAATGCTCCTATTGTACTTCCGAAAATCAAAAGTCGCTTCAATTTGCTTCCGAACAAACAATTGCACGTGCAACGACGTACCGAGTTGGACAAATTTGTGCAAACCCTTTTCAAATTACCATCGTTCATTACCCAGTCTTTGGTCGTTTTGGAATTCTTTGGTCAACAGAAAGCCGACACGGAAGAACAGGTGTTACGTGACAATCAAATCATCACTCGATCCCCTCCTCCTTCGCCACTCCGTGAGCTAATGCCCAAGGATCGGCAACGCTTGGTCCGATCATGCTCCGCTTACGATCTCAAATCTATCCAAACCGGCGGTCGTGCCATGCATAAAAGCTTGTCGCAGCCCGATCTTCTTCAGCTGTCCGCTGCCGATCTTCGTCTCACGGCAAATCCGGACCTCGGCTCGTCCTTGCTGAAGCATGAAATGTCCTTGGAAATTTCTTCAGGGGAAGACAAATTGTTGCCATCATCATCATCGTCACGATGGAAACGGTTGCGATACACTTCCTTCCGACCGAAACCACCTGCCGCGCTGACACCGTCTGCAAGTTTGTCGTCGTTGTGTACGCAAGCGGCCAACAAGATTATGCCCTGGACGTCTTCACGGTTTATTCCACCCCCACCGCCACCGATGCCACCCACCCCCACCGTCGCCCCTCGACCCGTGCCATCGCAATCGACCCCTGTGCTTGCCAAACGATCCATCAGAGAACGTACATACGCCATGACGGAACCACCCATTCCAATGACCAGCAGCAGTATGAGCACGACCAGCAGTAAGAGCAGCAAGCGAAGCAAGAGCAGTAGCATCAGCAGTTGCCGTAGTCGAGCCAGTCAAAGTACTTTTGCTACCAGTGCGACCCCCAGTCCTACCATTTCGCCCACGTTGCGCATGATTAAACTCAAAGTCATTTATGATTTTGATAATATCATAGTGATCCAAGTGTCTCGCTGTATCTCATTGGACGAGTTGCGTACTCGCATTGTTCAGAAATTCTCGGATCCAAGTATGGGGGCCATTCAATTGCAGAAAAACTTTGTGCTGTTGTTCAACGATGCTCGGTCTTCCGCTTCCACTCACTACGCTCGTCACCAGGAAAGTGGCGCCAGTTTGATCTCTAAGCAACAAGATTTGGCGCATTTGATGCAAACTAAATGGTCCCGAGTGGAAAAGGTGACGCTTCGATGCATTATTTAGCTCTTTTTTTTCCAGTGCTTGTCATTCTATTGCCTTTCTTTGTACAAAGTCCTTGCCGCTCATTTTTGTTTTCCGTTTTCCATTATTTATTGTTCCTCTCTCTTTTTTGGTCTGTTCATCGTTGTTCTTGATGAAGCACGATGTGTATATTTTTTCTCTCTCTTTATTTACTATCCCATTCCATTCATTTTCCAGAGACGTTCATTTTATACCATCTCTTTTTTTTTTCTCTGACGGTTATTCTTTTCCCAAAATAAGGGGGTTCAAACAGATGATCCATTGATCTTCCGTCCCTTATTTTGCGTAACGTCAGCTTCTTTCGCGTCCCCCTTTTTTTGTCTCACCTTCGCTCTCATTCTTTCATTCTGTCTCACCTTTACTCTCATTTACACTTCTTATCACCCAACCCCTTCATTCCTGTTTCATCTATTTCAATCGATACCATTTCTCTCATTTATCCTTATGTACGTAACAACCCCAAAATTAGTTGAACACTTTCTTTTACTGAAGAAGAAAAAAATAAACACAGAGTCTATTTATCTATACCAAAAACTCCAGTCGTTTCAAAACATGATAGGCTATCTGTAATGTCAAAGGTTGAGGTAAAAGATGATAGTTTGGACTCAATCCAGGATCATATTTCACCATCAAAGTGGTCGATCAGTCACCAAACAATAAGTCGAGATAATAATAGAAACAACAACGTATTTTCAACATCAAACGAAAATAGGAAATGCGGTAATGCATCGTACGGCGTTGATATTTATTTTACAGCATATAGCCTTTGCAATCAATAGCAGATCATCGTTCAGTTGTTTGCATCGTGCAACATTTTTCAATGCAAGCCTTTTCGCCCTTCCACTTGCCCATGTCGGACCGTGCTATTTTTATTTGATGCCGGAAAACGATGCTGCGTAGCGCACCAGATATTTATATTGATGGAACGGTATTCCTTTTTTTTTTTTTGTCTCTCCATCAATTAAGCACGATGGCTTTTTATTGTGTTATGGTATCTGCACCTGTATTATTAAGCTTTCTGTAATTTTGGCCGATCATTCTGGAACTCTTATGTTTATCACCTACGCTACACAGCCAATGATGAAACATAAAAACGGAACCCATCCTGATTTTTGCAAGACATAAGTAAGCGATCATATAGCTTTTATTCAATAAAAAAATGAAGACTTTTTTTTTGTCTTCGCTGCTCATAATAAGTTGCAATAAAGATTCAAACGATAATGGCTAACTTTTTTTAACTTAAAAAAAAATAAATAACGAATGCGCATAAAAAAATGCGATTATAAAAATTGCAGCAATAAACGAATGAATAAAGACCCTAAAAAAACAAAACCTCATCTATTATGAGGCTACCATGTGCCTACAAGTTGATTACAAGGATGGGAATGATGCACAGGCAGTGTGGCCGGTAAAGGATTGCGTTTGGTAGAGCGTTGCTTGGTGTAAGATTTATGCGAAAGAGGTTGTAATCGGAAGACAAAGGTACCGGGAAGAGTGTGTGCTTGGTGGTGGTCACTACCGTTTTCGTAGCCACTCCACCCGTCCAGTGGAATGCCAAGGTGCTGGAATTGCTCTTCGATACGGGCGGCATAAAATCGCATCTTGAACACATCGTTGACGTACGCCTGCGTACCACGAAGTAGGACCAAGTTCATGCGTAACTGATCTCGGGCATAAGCACGGAATGTCGCCGTGGTGTCATCGTCTCCATACTGATAGATGCGTTTGGCGGTATTGTGAATGGCAAAAAACATGTGATGATAAGTGCTTTGATCGCATCCAATGTCTTTGAGATGCTGTAGAGCTTGAAATACGGCTAAAATGGTTTCCAAACAATCAATGAGAATATCTTTGGGTGGCGGATGGTGCGGTTGAAGAAATTGATACAGTACGACCAGTCGCACTGCATTATAACATAAATGTAAATGGACATCGACTCCAGGGCAGAAACTCGGCGTTCGTTCGGGCACCCGTTGAGAGCTCACCATCAGCTGCCGGTTGTACCAGTCTTTGAGTTCCCGAGTAATTGTCCAGTAGTCCTGTGAAGGTTGTAATTCGCCGTTATGCTGTGCAAAGATGGCGCCGGATTGCATGGCGCGAATATATCGTCGCATGTATTGCGTCAATGCGGCAAACTGGTAGACATTGTTGCTGACAGGGTTGGATGTGAATGAAGTCGTGACGGCCGGCGACCGGTAGTGGGAAGGTTGCGTGATGTCTATCATTGCCTTGTCGGGTAACAGGCACTCCCTATTCAAAGTCAGCGACATCCATGCGTCAACGTAATACCAACGGAACCAGCATTGCATGGTGGATTCGTCCATGGGACCTCGGTTTGCGGTTTCTCGTACCCGTTGTTGCAGAGCAATTGAGGCCAAGCCGCCCCACGTACGTTGTTGCTCGTATAACCGCAAGAGGTTGGAAGTGTAGCTGAGACAAAAGTAGGATTGAATAATCAGCGGTTCCATATCATCAAAGAGTACATCATCCATTTTCTGTCGCGCTTGTTCGTAAAACACCATGGCCGCTTCTTTTACAAATGACTGGCCGGCATCGTGATCCAAAAAGGTAACGAGACTGATGGAGGCGACGCAGTAAGCAATGGTGGGTGGAGCGCAGTGCCAATTTCGGATAAGATCCAAGCTCACAGGAGCGACTTTGAACCCTATGCAGCACCAGTGGGATACCGCGCGATGCATGAGACTTTCGAGCATGTGGGAACTTTCAATGGTCAGCTTGACCGACGACGGAACTTGAAAGTCTGTGCTGTGCAGATGCGCCAAATCTTCCTCGGTTGACCATGTGGCATGGCATCTGCGTTTTTTCCGTTTGGAGGAAGGGTCTTTGGCCCCGGTTTGGCTGAGCGAATAATAGGGAGTGTCTGTGCGTGCTGCTTCTTGCTCGACCACGGGTTCAAGATGGCCAATGTCTCTAAGAGCCGATTGCAGATCAGAAAAAGTGTTGAGTTGAAGCTGGACCCTGGCATCCGGACGTAACGTGGTGAACATGTCGTCCCCCTTGGAGGTTTCCGTAAAGATTGTTTCCACATGAGGATCGTACACGGATTCCGTTCGCTGGTAATGGGGTTTTAGATAGTTGTAGAGCATGAAATCGATGTCATCATTGGACGACGACAAACAAGGGGAAACCGTACTGCTAACCGTACTATGATGATCTTGATATAGATAACTAGCCATATTTAGTGAAACAGTGTAAGAAGAAATATGACAGTAAAGAGAAGAAAGGTTGGTAAAATAACGACGAAAAATATATAAAACAGAATCAAACTAGGAGATGTCTGGTTTAAAAAAGGCAACCTCGGGTCACGATGACAGCATAAATGAAAGTTCAAAAAAGGATGGACGGGCAACTCGATATAAAAACAATTTGTCGAATCGTCGATTAGTTAAAAAAAAATTGGTATGCGCCTGTAAACAATGGTTCGGGCGCACTCGGTTCAACTATCAGAGAAAGAGAGAACACCGGACGAAGATGAATGAACAAATTTATTTGAATTTTTTTTCTCAACGACATTCAATCCAGAGTATCATTTGTTAAACCACAACCAAGTGTCACAGTGCTCCATATTGATGATCGCTTTTGTGGGGTAAATCTGCAAGGTTGCTCACCTTTTTGCACCAAGTCTTCCAGTTCGCATTTAAAGTTTTCAGGAGATAACAAAAAAAAAAAGAGTCATCTGAAGCATTCGATCCTTTATTAGAATTGCAAATCATTTGGGCTATGGAGAAAGGGTTGGTTTTTTTAGCCGCTTTTTTACGCAAAAGCATCTAGTTCAAAAAAGGCATACCTGTTGTCCGCAAATGAGTGTGAGGAGAACAAAGCTCCTGAGAAGAAAAACATATCCACAAGGCGATTTGTTTGTATCCCTAGTACACGTACGTACCGCAGGAGCCAAAACCTTTTTAAGCGCGTAATGGAAGCTTTTTCGAAAAAGTTCGGCTCCTGTTTTTTTTTATTGATTAACGGAAAAAATCCATCGCCGTACAAACTTGGCAAAACTCCACGCAAACGATTGGTACGAAGCGTTTAATGAATGAAAGAAAAAAAGGTACGCGTCATCTGCAGTTTCCAGCTCCCCCAATTATTCTCTCCCCCCGAAATAAATCAACAAAAAAGTCGATAATACAAAAGCCGGATACCATCCGTTTTTCATCTTGTTTGCTGCTGGTATCATGACACAAACCGGATACTTTATCTATGCGTGTATTTGATAAACCAATGTACACTGCATGCTGAAAAAATTATCTCACTAGTAATGCCTGATTGAACTAAAAACGATGCTCCTCACCAGTGCATTCAGCACGTTTTTCCAATACAATTGCTGCGTTCAAGTATAATAAAGTTTTTGCTGCCTACTTTTTTTTTTTTTTTGATGACTGAGAATCTCCTGGATACACTAACCACAGGGACCTACATAACCGGTGTGGAAACTTGACCATAAGGTTGAAAAACCAGTTTTTTTTTTTTCTTTCAACAAACAAACGGCGTCAACATACGATCTATAGAATTGCAGGAATGTCAATAGCCGAAACCCAGCAAAAAAAGCATTGCAAAGGTCCAGTGCGTTGCCTGGCTGCACGATATCGACCATCATCCCTTGTAGTTGTTTTTTTTATTACATGATAGGACCCATTGTATGCCTATTATAGAAAAAAAAGAGACAATGACCGCGGCTAGAAATAGATGCATTTTCCTCTAATTAAATCAAATCATGGAAGGATATATGAGTTTATACCATGCATGCACTTGGACTCTGCCAAGTGTACTTTCAAAGTCTGGATTTTTCAGAACTTAAACGCTTGAACAGCGTTTTCTGCTGCGTGGAAAGACCTGCATTATCTTCGCCAAGGAGATCCGCCAACCGCAAAACACGGGTGCTCACTATTATAACGCAGGTGGTTAGTTGGCCCACATAATACAATACCATATCATACAATACAATATAAAATTAAATTAAAATAATTGACCGTGATTTGTGAGACAAAAAAAAAAAAAAAAACCGGGCTTTTGAAAACCACAAAGTTTTTGGATGCACGTACCTGTTGCATTATCGCGTCGATTTTTGCCTTCTCGTCTAAATGTACCGATGCGTTCAACCAATTCCCACAAATGGCCCCTGGGGATGAGTACCCCGTTCATTCGCTCCGGAACGTAAGCGGGTTCCAACGATACTTCCGACCGCGGTTTAGGAGATCCATGGCGTCTCTTTACCAAGATGTGTTGCTCCTCGTATCGCACAAATGCATTGCTCAATGTCTCTTTATTGACAGCCTCTAAATAACTCTATTCCGTTGCAAGAATAGCGATCATCAGCCTTTTTGATCTCCAAATACAGCGATTGATGTCAGTGGACACTTACCAGATCTCCTTGATAATACAAGGTTTTTCCCAAGGCTTGGACTCGATTGGCAAACACCTTGCTTTCTACCCACACTGGCTCTTTCTGCGTTGTCACATTAGGCGGAGCTAAGGAGAACAGACTGACAGCAGCCAACCAATACGATTCAATGAATGGCCAAATCAAGAAACAAAGAAAATCTACCACCCAAGGAACAAAAATACATTACTTGTTAATTCATTGTCTGGTTTTTTTTTTCCTTGGCTTGACATTTTTTTCTCTATATGGTTCTTTTCTGATGTTGTCCTGCCCACTTACCATAATTTTCTCGTCCACATTGTCGCTCGTAATCTGAAAGACCGACGTAACCTTCTTCATCCACTTGAATCACTCGGTGTTCCGCTAGCCAGTCAATGGTTCGTTGGGTATTGTTTTCCACTCCTCCTGGCTTATAGATCATATCCAGCTTCAGGAGACTAGAAAGGAATGTGATTTCCTCCAAAAGTGCAGCGTACTGCATGCGTTGATGCGACTTGCCCCCTCCTTTCTTGACATTCGTATAAAGAGCTGCACAGACAATGGCTGCAGCACGAGGAAATTTTCCCCATAAACAAAGAAAACAAAAAAAAAAAAAGAAACAAGGAATTACAATTCAACCGCTGTCGTCTTGCCCTTCTTTTTTTATGCAGCACTTACCTTCTTCAACGAATAAATGAATGACCTGATTTCTGTAATAAGATAATTCGAATGGATCAATGCCATAAAAAGTAGGTTCCAAGATGTCTTTGCCTTTCCGTTCACCAATCAAATCTTTGTGGATTTGAACCGTTCTAAATCCAGGGCATTAGCTGAAATCTAATCAACCTGTTGGATCTGTTATTAGCCTCCTACCTATCGACGATAGCACCCGTTGACATGCCATGGAATTCCGACACTTGACCCCCTTTGGCCTCAATCGCTTTCCGCAGCCAATTGAATCGCCGGATTAACTCACTGCGACCCACACCACGGCCTCTCAGCGTCAAAATGACCGTCCCAACCAGAGCCGAAGGCATGACCACTGATACCGCATTCTAAAAAAAGGTATGATAATGAGATGGTATGATCTCACACAGTTGGCCAAAGAGATGGCTTACAATGTCAGCAAGAACTCTATGGAGCAATTCACGAGATTTAGTATCAGTGAAAATCGCCTTGATCGATGGGTTCACTTACCGATATCCTAGTGACTTTAATAAAATCGATTTCTGTTCGGTATTAGTGAGATCCATCGGGCTAATGTTGACGTTAATAAAAAAAAAAACCTTGTGGATAGTGAGATTCGATTCATTTGATGGTTACCCTCGCATTTTGATCTGATCATCCAGCCATCCTTTGAGTGAGTAGGGTTTTCCAAGACGCACTATGTGTCATACGTATCGTAGTAACATATATGACAACGATTAGATACTATTTCTTCGTTGTCGTCGCGTAGAAAGCAATGAATTTACCATCGACTCGGCCCCATTTAAGTTGCAATAATCGAGTGTTTGTAATAATGCCCCTAACAGCACCAACGCAATATTAGAGACAATCTGCTGTTTCACACTCATTCGCTCTACCTACCATAGACTTTCTTTCTCTTTGGGGTTACCCAAGAGTTCGTTGGCATAACTTTTTTTATCACCATCTCACGTCAGATTCTCATTTTGCACATGTCGGCGCGTCATTGTCACTCACCTTGAAGTCTCGATGATCTTGTCGTACCCCAGTGAAATAGGCACAATGTGACAGTCTGAAAAGCGGCCGTCAACAAAGGCGTCCAGGATAATTTTCAGGATACCCAGTTTTGGCTGCAGTAGTTTTCCTAATAAATGCCTCGTTTTCAGTATCATTGAGGAGCCCTAGTGAGATGTTTCTCTATTTTACCTAACCGTGAGCGGGTTCCTTCCACAAAACATTCAAAATTCACTAAACAGAGTGCAGATGTCAGTCATCAGCCTGTATCAGACACAGCCGTACAAGCAACTTACTGCCTTGGGATAATAAAGTGGCAACATATTCCTCCAAAATTGTTTTGTACAACACATCGTCACCCCACTCTCTTCGGATATAAAAGGCACCGCAGCCCTTGAGGATTTTGCCGACAATCGGCAGATTCAAGTTATCGCCCGCCACAATGTGAGGAATTTGTAGACCTAAGGTTGAACGATTAATAACATCATTGCGAGCATGCTGCCTGCTTTCAATCACATACCAAGACGGAACATGAGATAGGATACAACGAGATAGTCAATATGGGATTTGTGCGATGGTAACAAAATCAGCGATTGCTTCTTTTCCTGAGCAAGTAGAGCTACCCGTTTGAGCTTTATAAAAAGACATTCACTATGGTTAATCAACGACAGAAAAAGCGAAATTGAAATTGATTGTGGATACTACCTCTACCCATTCGCTTTCTTTAATATGTATGCCTTGGTGGTATAAACGAACAAGAATGTTGTTCACGGTAAATGCAAAAAATCTATTGAACGTCGAACAAAATAGTATACACCGTTAATTGCTGTTTACAGGTTAACAACGCTCATGTTTCGGTATTACCTGACAACACGCATGCTGTCCATGGTAGCGATGCTTTTGTCGGCAATGGCTTTGGCTACGGCTTGTAATTCTCGTTTCAGAGCTTTCTGCTGTTTGCGTCGTTGACGAACAATGTCTTGGGCTGATAATTTGGAGGATTTTGTCAGCGCTTGTGTACTTTGCAATCGTTGGGCTTGTCGCTCGGCGATTTCATTGATGACCTGTTGCACTGTGAACGTCCAACGATGTGTTTAAAATTAAAAAAAAAATTGTTTCGATCTAATAAATCAATTCATGCAATCTTACCCTGGGCACTGTTTAAAACTGCGTCCTTCATCCGCGAAGAAAATTCAGGATACAAGATACGGTTGCCGATGTATGACTTGTACCCACGCCAGCCCTAGTAAAAAAAAAAAAAAACGACCATTTATAAGTATCAAAAGAGAGACACCAAAGGATCGATCAAAAAAGTGTTAACTCACGGTCCCTTGTATATGAAGTCCCACGTTTAGCATGAATGCAATTGGATCTTCTCGGATATGTCTTGGCTCTTTCTCACTATTATTCCGTATTTAATTCCGTAATACTATACGCTTTGTCAGGTTTAAGTCCAACTTACACCACATTGCGATGTTCTCGTCCGTTGGAAGCCGTAGATCCATCATCGTCGGCAGAAGCAAGATTGCCTTTTACTGGCCCGTTGTCGGTTGTATTGCGTCCACTGAGATCCTCATTGTATTCCTTGACCAGTTCTCGTAGCTGCTTCTCCGTTTTATTGGCCATGGTGAAAGCCGTGGAGTGCAGGCAAAGAATGAAACGTACTAAATAGATCGGTGGTAGCCATCATTTTCTCACTGGGGTGCAGCCGAATTCGAGTTCCGCCCCGCATACCCTTATCCATCGAATTGGGGCTGACAAAGAACCAGCTGTAGGCGGAACACTGTTTTGTGTGTGTTCACTGTTGTGACACAAACTTTTACTCCCTCTCCGTCGTTATACATCTCTGACATTTTTTTTTCCTTTTCTGTGATTCTTTGCAACCGTCGTTTTTGAATATCTATTAAATGACAAATGGGATGCACATATGGATCTATCAAAAGTTCAAAAGATGTCTTTTTTTTTTATTTTGCATTGTTTACCACAAGTTCTCGATCTGATAATATCATGACAAGAAAAAGATTAAAATACAACTAGGTTCGCCGCCTTCTAGAAACCCTATGTAAGCATTCACTTTTAGTCCAACTAAGTCACCGTAGGAATTTGAGAATTACAAAAAAAGTGTGTCGAAATAAAAAATAAGACCATGCCTTTTTAAATTAGTGAACAGTATAATTCAGTTAAAACAGAGAGAAGAAATGAATGTCGTCTTGACATATCAATTATATTCTCTCCAATAACCTACCAACAAAGTGTATTTAGGACAAGGATGGCGATAACCCGCTCTGGATTAATCAAGATAACGTCGAATCCCCTGTTTCCATCAACGCAGAGACATCGTCAAACTGTAAACCAACACGGTGTTGAAAACCCCCCAGACAGTGTTCAGGAAGACCCAAAGTGTTCGCTGAGCGTACAAAAAAGTGCGATGGTGCGCGTTTTCCGTTTCTGCACTCTTCCCACCAATTACGCTCCAACATCAACGTTTCGTTGCCAGGGGAATGCAGATGTCAAGGCCCACATTCACCCGAAGAAGGAGGGAACTTGGGTTCGCGTCTTACTCTCCAGCCTGTAAGCCTGCTCTCACGGACAAGCAAATGGCAAACCTCCTGAAATGGTACAGAGAAAAGGTCGACTTGACCTTTGAGTAGTGGAGGTCTGTGATCTGGTCTGACGAATCGCGAGTCCGGCTGATCGGCAACGATGGCTGTATCCGTGTTACCAGAAAAGCCAACGAGAGGTACCTGGAGCAGCATACGTTCGACCTACAAGTATGCTAAAGGCTACATCATGGTTGGGGATGCTTCTAGGAAGGCGGAGTTGGTTTCCTTTGGTGACTCTCACTGACAATGTCGATCAAGACAAAGTAGGTCGCCTGCCTAGCCAACAGGTTTCTTCCCTGGTACCAGGAGCTCACCGAAAGGACTGGAAAGGAATTATTTTCCAAGACGATTGCGCTCCTGTGCCATACTGGTAATTATGTCACCTGGTACAAGAAAAAGAGATGCGATGTCAAGAGCTTCGATTTTTAGCCAGCACAGAGCTCAGATCTCAATCCAATCGAGCATCTTTGGGCTTATCTTGCGCATAATCTTCGTAGCAAACGTGGCGAACTGGCAGATGTGGCCCAACTCGAAGCGTTTGTCCACAAAACCTGGTTGGAGATCTCCCCTCTTCTTCTGGAAAAATTTAGTTTCCAGTAGGCCCGAAACAACGAGAGTTTCCGCTCCAGTCAGTCCAAGTTCTTGACGTCCTGGGCTATTCTCGTGAAATACGTCCACGAGAACATATACAAAGGTCATTATCGCATGCGTGGAGGTTACCGACAATGATGAAGTTCGAAAGTTCCTTGACGCCCCGTTATGTTTCCGCACCCGAGATTGCAGGAGAACTTTCGGCTATTCCGTGCACAAGGAATTCCCTGCTCATCAACCTAGCAATCCACCTACCAGATTCTGAAGTTATATACTTCAACGAAGGTGCAGATGCGGAAACTGTTTTTAACTCAACCAAATGCACTACCCTCACTGCATGGTTCGAGCTTAATCGTGAAGATCCAGCGATTCGCCAATACTTATACATTGAGATCCCTATTATATGGGGTGGGAATAAGCGAAATAGGCGATGGATCCACAGACAGAGGAGGGTTCAGTTCAAGTTCTTGACATCCAGGTCTATTCTCACCCCTAAAAATTGACGACGTCGCTGCGATAAATGACCCATTTATCAGATCCTTTCCTGGTGAAATCGGGTAGACCTTCTCAGCCGCGACGTTTTATATGACGAAGACGAAAGACCTGAACTGGTATATCAGTCTTAGCCACGATGAAAAGAGGGATTGGGTATGCTTGAAACGATTATTTCTGATATAAAACGGATGAGAGTCGATCTCTATACCCACCCGAATTCTTAAATGCCGAGGCCGACGAAGGATGTGGTTCCCGTTCCATGGTATAGAAGATTCTTCTAACTTAACCCACCCTTACGACCACAAAAAAACCTATAGATAAACAAAGAATAGCATAGACAGATATGAAGTTACCCAGATTAGAAAAACTTTTCATTATTTTTAGGTCTACGACCAATAAAGCGTAGCTCAGGAAGAGTTATACCACATCATTTTGTCCTCTCTTCGTCAACTTCGGCATTGTATTAGGTACGACATGCTATTCGATCAATCCTCGATCTATGCTACCACATAAATTGACACTCAAAGTTAGTTGTTCGATTATCACAGTTGAAAATTTTATGGGGTCATTCTATAGTCTGGAAGTAACTCGCGAAGAACTGTATCTTATAACACACATGAATATGATGGGTAACTTTGAGATCAAAGAAGCAATTTGTATTTGAATTTACAATTAGAGTTTTTTTTTGTTGCTGGTTCTGCAATAGAGACATCTGACTTGGGTAATTTTAATACGATGAATATATTCAAATCCATCGTGATCTGGTGAAGATAAGAAAAAATGACTTCCACAACCCGCAGTTCTAGGGTGCATCCTTCATGGGTTATGGTAGCACATACGATGCTGGTGGTGACAGTGTAGCCATGATATGACTGGGGAAGGCGTTGTTATGTCTCACGGACTCAATTTCTGGTTTCCTACTCTAGTGAAGCCTCCAAAGCGCGCTTACGGAATGTCACGGCACATGGCACTTCTACAAGCACCTTTTTTTTGCGTAAAAGGTGACAGTGTTGGTGAGTTTCGAGATTTACACTGCAGTCGCAAACACATGGGTGGGGTCCAGCTTGTTTGATAATGATAAATCATAGATTCAAGATTTCTCTTTTTCTTTTTTATTTCAGAAAACAAGGTCAACCGAGACGTCAAAAAGAAACGCTTGAAAGGATGATGTATTCGTGTCGTGTTATTTAGGCGGAAGCGGCAACGGCTTTCTTGGTGGCCTGGGAACCTGAAAAAACGAAATGCAGAATGTGAGAAGGTAATTCTTCTTTTTTTTAGATCCAAATCACGGAGAAGAGCGAATGTTACCTTCACGGAAACCGTTCTTGAAACGGCGGTGAACTTCCTTCAAGTAACGCATGCGACCGGTACCGGTGGTCTTTCTGCGCTGACCCTTTTCGGACCAGTTGAAAGATCTGATTTTAGCAGCAGGGTAACCGCACTGAGCGCAGGTCTTCTTCTGCTTGTGGAAGGAGCGACGACCGCAACGACGGCACAAAGTGTGCGACTTGGTGTGGCGCTTACCGAACGAGGAAGTACCCTTAGTCTACAGTCATATTGAAAACAAAACCCTAAAGTGAGTACAGCCATTCTCGATGAATTGCGTTTCCCCCATTGTTCGTTTCCAACCATGTTGGATTATCCATCATCTATTCCTTTTCCTGTCCCCCGTCAAATCGTGATGAAAAAATCGCTCCCCGCTATGGAAAATCTGCTCCCATCCATCCATCTATCCATCAATCCGTAACGCTCTATCGATACACCGCCTGATTGACGGTTTGACCATTATGCCATAGCCTCACATACCATCTTTTAAGACCGTGGAGAGAAAGGAGGATTTCTGCCAACTGCTTCCAGCAGTAATTTCTCAACACGGGCACAGAGGGAAAACAAGAAGACAGCCCGGACCGTTTATAACTCCGACAGTCCGGCATTGACATAGTCGCACTGTGATACTGCACGCCTGTGCCACATTGGCTCTCCTTTACACGGCTGCCATAGTTGTTTTGGCAAAGAAAATCAGTGACCGAGGTGTAAGATGCCAAAGAGATATAAAAATAAAGGATAAATGAGAGTGTACCACACGTGCGTTTTGAGTGAGGAAGGAATAGGTGCTGCAGTGTCACCGTGAAAAAAAGGACAGTGTTGAAAATAAAATGTAAGCAATACTGACAGGAGGTAAAGGGTATCAAAGGCCTTGTATGAAACAAAAGCGAGATGAGAGAGAGATAGGTTCCTACCGACAGCTGATAGCGGGTCCTTTTCGGGAATGTTATATTGCGTAGCCGAATCTGCAACCGCAAGGTCTTCTCCGTGGAGTAACACATGTGCCTTAATTGAAATACCTTGGCTGTTATGGTTGATGCAGTCACCTATTGATATTCGGTGAGAAACGATAGGGATAAATTCATTCGAGGTAATTCGATAAAGAAAGTTCCAAGTGAAGAGGATGCTACTGAATTTCGGTTACTGTAAAATTGTGGTAGAATGGCTTGTGTGATCAGGCCATATGTGAAGAAGATCTTCGTATCTTGGTGTTCTTCTGTCTCTTTTTCAATGAGACTTGAAAGATCAGAAAGTACCACATGCTCTCTCGATACGAAGCTATCAAGCATAGAGGCAAATTTTATGCCGCGCTAGCATTTATCATAGTTCCTGGTGTTCTGAGTATTGTTAAAGCTTGGTGTCATTCAGAGATTCCATTTCGAGAGACTACGCTGCCAACATACGATTACGGGTCATACATGTTTATTTAGCCTCATAGCAACAAAAAAAAAAAAGAACACTTTTATATATTGTACAATCGAGGAATTCATCATTTATTTATCAAGCCATATGATTCATCATCCAAGGATCGTTGGGTGAGCCACCAGCCTATGCAAATCATTCATTAGCCCACAACATGATTTGTTTTTTAATGAGTGAGTGATTGAGGTTTGGGACAGAGTGACCATGTCCGATAACGAAAAAGTAGGGGAATGACGCAAATAGCGAGAGCCCGTAGTTTGATACAATATCAGCCATAACATATAGCTTGTGTGCCATTTCCAGCATTTATGTTCAAAAACATCGGATCAACCTGTCTATAACATGCATGAACATCGATCAATAAAACCAAAAAACCATATACAGAACTTCTTTCTCTTCCAAAAATCGTTTTCACATGAAAGGGCTTGACATAAATAACCAGCTTAGGGGATATATTCGTGATCTTTCCGACGTCGTTTTGTATATTTATCCTTTCTTGAATCATCTAAAGAAGCAGCACGTTAACATTTCCAGTTCCCATATCCATGAACACAACCATAGACAAGAAAAAATCCCGCGCCGTTGCTTTTTCTTCATCTGCTTACTGTCATCAACATCGAGTGGATTAAGTAGATGTGATTGCTTGCCGAAACTCATCAAAGCGGTGCGGGTTCTTTTCGACGGATCTGCAAATGCATTGACAATTGTATATGAATCAAGTATTCGCGGTTTTGCATGAGATTCTTCAATTAATTTACCTGACTGCCCTACTCCAGGTGTCTGAGCTGATGTTGGGGTCATGGTCGGTGGAAATTCGGTTTGGCTAGGGTGAGGCAAGTGTAAGCGACCATCGTCGGTTCCGCGATAGCCTGATGGCGGCGTTAACGTCCGTGACACGACTCCGTCCATGTTATCGCGCCATCGCACTACATCCACGGAAGGCAGAGGAGGTTGCAATGGTGAATCAAATGACTTGGAAGTACAATTAGATGTTTGTGAAGTCTGGCCTTCATGACGAACACGCGACCAAATAGAACTGGTTCCGCTTAGTGAGGCCGTGGGGGACTGACATTGTACGGTTGACATCAGTTTGGCCTCGGACGTGGCTTGTGGATCAGTCTTCACCAAGGGATCTACTAACGTTCCATGTCAACAAGAGAAATATATAAAGGGCCTAAAACATTGATTTTACCACTTGAATTGGAAATATTGGCTGGTAATCTATCGGCTAGTGAAGGAACTTATTAAGTCGTTGTTCACGATCGATCACGACGGTTGGATCGGGCATACCTTCCGCGGGACGTTGGTGACTAAACAAATCGACAATCGTTTTCAACATCTACAATAGGGATGACCATTAAATTAAAAAATCGTCCATCAGAACGGAATACGCATGATCGAGGCAGAGCTTACCTGCTGTTGTTCTGACAAAGCTTGTTTCACGTTGATCATTTCGCTGTATAACAATTGACAAGCTTGAGAGATGCCAATAACGCGTTCTTCGACGTTGTTGAGTTGCTTTTGTAAAGGCATGTACATATCGTCCTCGGAATCGGTTCGATCGAGCACTCGTACTTGACGTGCTGGGGAGGAAGTAGGTGCTTTGGGACTTTTTCGTTTGATCTTTTGAAGGTCATCGACACGACCTCTCCGAAAATTAGGATGTCGAAATTCCCAGGTTTGGTTTTCGTTGGTCAGATTGGAATGGATCATATCGTTGACTTTATGAAAACCATACACTAAGCAGATTGAAACAAGTCGCCAAAAGGAAAACGAAAGAGGACGCGGAAGAAGCATCATTAGCACGGGATCGATGTGAGAAAAAATGGAGGAGGGAGATCAAGCCACTTACTGTTTAATTGGCGTACAAAACTTTGCCAATTATTATGCTTGAAATAACGAGGCAAGACTTTTTTTGAGAATGCTGTTGGATTAGATACACTGAACAGATCACCCATGCCTGACCATGTTATGAAATGTCGCATATCTGGATCTTCAAGCATCCTATCATAGGAATAGGTAAAAGAAAAAGAAGAGAGGCAAGCGAAAAGCGAGATGATGAGAACGGTTGCTTTTTAAAGGACGTTGACGTGAGAGGAAGAGGGTAGATGTTACTTGTATAATTTGTTGACGAAAGCGGCTTGAGTGGTGGACTGAGATGGCGAGTCAGAATTTAAGTTGTCATCGTCTTGCATTGATATTTGGTCGTGGGTCCTCGATCGTGATATTCTTTCGATGGGAGAAAAGAAAAGAAGCGAATCATTCATTAGTTATGTGTTATGACGTATTATCTGGTGAATCTTGGCTTTGTAATACTCTGTGGATCGTTGTCTGGATGGCTCTGGCTAGGTGCTTTCGTTTGTTATACATACCTTCTACTGCTGCCTTCATCAGGGTTATTACTATGATGGCTGTTTGGGGAGCCAGAGATACTACTTCCTGAAGCCATATCATGAAAACCTAATACATAACACGACGGATCGAGATGATCAAGACGATGATAAAGTCGTCCCGTTTTCGTAAAAAGTTGAATTAAGGTGGAAAGATAGCTGGAAAAAAAAAAGAAAGAAAAAAAAAATCGTGTTAGTTAACAGCGCTTTCCTTTTTCGTTCTGCCTTTTTTTTTTCAAAAGCCTCCATCCGCTCAATGATTCTCTTTCATAAATCTCCACAACTGTATTTTGGAACCTGTTTCAAATAAAGATGTTTGAGGCACTTACATAATAGAGGTAGTAGAATGATTGGTTCAAGCCGCGAGCAAAGGGAATAGGAACAAAATAAGCGGTCTTTGCTTAATAAGTAATAAAGGTCTTGTTTTTAAATGTTGGCTTATTTCAGAGATCTAAGAAATATTCGATGATTAGTTGCGTGCATTTTCTCGTTTGGTTCTGGAAGAAGAACAAAAAAAAAAAAAAAAGTGAAAATGGATAGAAGCGCATCAATGACAGCAAAAAAGTCAAACGAAAAATGAAAAAAGTATACATGTCAAAATAAAGCAAAAGACGGATAGGAAAGAAAAAGGTCTGAAAAACAAGAATAAAAAAAAAAAAAGTAGAAATATCCAAAAGTTTATATCGGGTATGGAAAAGGGAAAAAAAAAATGGGAAAAGTAAGAAAGAATAGAAGGACGTCTAGAAAAAAAAAGTGTCGGTGCCCATTCACGATTCTATCAAGAAACATGAACAAGGCAAGCCAGAATTTGCAAAAAGTAAATGGTCAAGTTGAAATTTACCGAATGAGACGAGTTGACAGAGTATGAACAATAAAAGAAAGGACAGGCACCAAGTTGTGCACGACCAACGATAACAAAGTCTAGTGTGATGTCACCCGGCTACAGCCAGTAGGGAACCAGTGAGCTGGGTACTTTCGATCGATTTGGCAAAGAACGAAATCGAGATTGAACAAGTCATTTTTCTAAGCGCCGATTAAACTAAAATATCGGTTCTTCCCATCATTTTTCTGCATGGAAATCCGATCCACCATCATCGATCAATCCAATATTTGGCGTTTCCGTCAAAATCGACATTTTGCTAACCCACCGGAGTTGCGCGCACTCTCTTTTTTTTATTTTTTTTTTCTTTTTGGTTTTCTTCTCTTTTTGGAAATTTTCACATGACAAATCCACAATTGTCTACCGAAAAGTGCCATTTTCCTTCTATTTCGCGTATTTTTTTTTGGTTGGCTCCATGACATACAGAATCGTGAGGATACAAAAAGGGGAAGTAGGCAGAAGAATTTGAAAAGAACACGCTTATTTTACTCTTTCGGAACGAATAGGACTCGCATCTAAATTTTTTTGGGGGGGAGGGGAACAGAGCCGCGACTAAGGAATAATACATTAGACTATAAATTTTTTGATCCCCGCCATCCCCGGAAACTGGAAACTTGTTTGGCCTTTGTCCCACTCGGATATCTATCACACATTCACATTCCCCACTTGGCATTTGCATGGTACGGGATCTGGCAAAAAAGATGGTTCTTGCGTATTCCATGGGCAAAAAATTTGATTAGGGAGTATAGCATGGCCGAAAACTGTGACGTTATTGCATTCCTACAAAACGGATAAAAATCCATCGATCAGGAAACATCGATCAGGAAACATCGTATGATGTAGATCTGCAATTCCTTAACATGACGATTATTTTCGTTCACGCAAAATACGTTCACATGGACTAAACGGAAAGTCCTAGATGGTATTTTCTATTTCTTTATACATTATATTTTGACTTGCCATCCATGTTAAGGCTGCTTAGTGAGATCCAATGATCCAAAATGACCACTTAGAAACGCATGTTTCGTTGTTGTTGACCATTACTACATTGAGTAAAGTGGGATAGTTGAACAAACAAACTTCCGATGGTGAATTACGCGCTAATCATTGAACTGAGCCTCGATTTCTCTCCACTGAAAATTTTTTTTTTCCAGCAATGAGCCCGATTTGTCATAAACTGTGTGGTCCAACCGAGTTGTCCATAAAACGTATACAATTAAAACTTACTTTGGTGAGCCTAATTATTGAAGTTCGCAAATCGATCGATCGAAGATCGTACACTATACCTCTTGGCTTTGGACTTGGACATCCATGGTCTAGTTCTCCTCTCCTCCTCGCTGAAGAGAAATTTTTTCTTATAGCGCGTTTAAAAAAAGATCACTCGATTACAACCTGGATCGATAATTGGTTCAAACCATCCATTCTTGACCGATAAAAAAATATATGTTCAGGTTCTTCTGATCGTATGCGGCTCATGGTTTCTTATCTCTGATTCATTATATGACCCGCCAACAAAAATCTCGTCTTACAAAAAATGTGTATATTTTTTTTCTCACCTCTTATCTAGTTCTGATTTCCGCAGCGCGGTTCCAAGTTGGATACCCTTTTTTATCATAAACGTCGTTTTTTATTGGTATCAAAGAAAAAAACTACGGCTACTAGCATGATTTGGAGTCATTATCAATAAGGTTAGGTTCATTTGTATTTGTTTTTTTTTCGGCATGGCAACACCAAAGGCGGACCGGAATGCCTATCGGATGTTTAACCGAGCTCCGGGAAAACTCAATATTCTTGATTTTTTTTTTCTGTTCTTTTTGATCGTGTAAGACTTATTGTGTAAATCTAACCGCCGAGGAAAAAGAATCATAAAATAAACGATGAAGCAGTAAGCTAAAAAAAAAACGGACCTGGAAAGACCGATTCCATTGTTTTGGATAAAATGTTTTTCATCGAATTTCAAAAATGGTTAAAGTGCCACTTCGGAAACAAAAAAATTGTTTGTTTTTTTTAAACCCCAAATGAATACCGATCGAGGAATGTTGTTAACACAGATTGAATGGGTCCGCCATCCTATTTCCTGATGCGATTTGTGGCCCAATTTTTTGGAGGTATATTCTGTGTACGATGTCAGGTACGAAATCATACATCCGTTTGGTATAGGCGTGGGTTTCCCTCGGGCACAGGGCCAGGCAACCGGTCATTCGCTGTTCCTAATTGCCAAGTCTCAGAACAAGTTTCATTTACAAAATGCCGCGAATAAGGTTTAACTGAAACCGGACACGAATAAGAATTTCATAGAAAAGACCTTTAGTTAAGCTTATTCTCACATCGCACGCACACCCTTTTCCAGCTCCAAGCAATACGATAAATTTCTTATCCACCCCGAACGAATCAACATTAACCAACTTACCCGCTTCGACTATCTCGTATCACACAACACAAAATCTAGGGCTTTTTTCTCCCCAATCTCTCCCACCTCTCCGCCCTCCGCCTTCTCCCCACTCCCCACCAGTTTTTTTTTTTTTTTTTTTTTTTTTTTTTTTTTTTTTTTTTTCATTTCAACGATAGGCTAGCTTCTGTTTTTCATCGTAAGCAATCGCCAATTTAAATAATTCTGAAAAAGCGACTACTTTATCTACAGAATCCGCACGCATGGTGCCTCCGCTCTCAACTTTGCTATCGCGGTACTAGAGCATAAACACGATATGCGGATACTAGTGCAATTACAAAGGTTGAGCATACTCGATAAGATTCATTACGAAATTTAATGCTACTAGAAGATTCGAGATTTTGATCTAATATATCTTTGGTGCACGAGATGTATTCATGTTGACGAGGGCAAAAGTCAAAAAGTGCCAGCACGAACCATAGTTCCCCGGATCATGTGCGTGCTGCATGACGACGAAACCCTTCTCCAGAGACCTCTGGTAATTTAAGATTCAACCCCCTAGTTCTTATCGCTTCCTCCTCTGTGGAATGTGTGATCCTGGCCTTGTCCTGAATCTACGGCATAATCATTCCAGCTTCTTGGCGGCATTTGAATATTTACTGCATTTATATTTTTTTCTTTGACATGTGAAGAGCATCTGCCAAAATGTGAAAGACGTGATCCATCGCAACGCATCGACTCGATGGCTTGATGACCTAATGCCTTCTGAGCAGTCAAGTTGGAGACATACTTGTGCCATGGTCTTGTACCTCGATGGGCAGTCAAATCTTTTTTTTCTAAATGATAAGCCCTACATTCTCGGTTTGGATAGTGTCACGGGAACTCAAGATGGCCAACTCTGAAAAGAGGAGGCATCCCAATCAACCATCTGGTCCTACTAGCAGAGCTTCTCGGCCCCATCAAGGCTCTACATCGCAATAGGTCAAAGTAGGCCAAAGGGCGCTGTAGACATTCATACATATAGGAGAATTCTGGAAATGAACTCACCATTCACCGGTCGCTCTGATCGCCTCTTGAACCTTGTGGCAGGAACTGCAGCGGCCTCATTAATCAATTGACAGATTTGATCACTGTTCTTTTATCATCTACGGTTTTCGTCCCCTATGACGTTAGCAAAACATTGACAGCACGCCGAAGGTATTGTCCAAAGCTCGTCTGCACATCCTTTCGTGTAGGCAACATCGATTTGGGCACCTTCATATAAACTGTTTCTTGGGCGTACAGTATTGAAACTGAGCCTCAAGTTACGCGTCCAAATGATGGCCAATTTCAGCTCGAAAACCTGAATTCCTTTGATCAACGTCTCTTCGTTTGTAATCGACCTTTACAGAATTCCGTTTTTCTCGATCATTCATTCATATGTATGTTGTTGCGGCTATAGCATACAATTACAATGCATCAAAGACTCAATATTGGGATTTTACCAGTGATGCAAATCGCGATTTTATAAGGAATATGCATGTGACTGACAATGAACAACGGGCTAAAGTCATTCCATTTAAATGTTCGACTACTTTTATATGCTTTAATCAAGTCTTATGGCCTTTTAGCGAGAGAGAGAGAGAGAGCTTCATTATTTGATACAAGCGAGCGAAGCGAAGCAAGGCTTGTTGCAGGATAATGACCATGGATCCAAGCCCATCGTAAGAGTTTCTTGCCTTTGTGTGTAAGATAGCGTAACTAAAGCGCGGCCAAAGATAGAATGCTCTCTGTGCTGTTGCGAGACGAAATAAAGAATAAAACATATTGGTCGGAACCGAAAAAAAGGTAAAAAGGGAATACTTCGAGACTCTTTTTATTTTGAGAACCAAAATAAATAAATAAAGGTAAAAAGCATTAGCTCTACGATCAATGCCTGCTTACGGAGTCAATGATGGATAGTTTTCTTATAAGTTGGAAAAAACAATCATGCAACATACTGATGTGCTCCGCATTGATTTTTCGACTAGCAACCAACCAGCTGCATAAACACCGGATCAAAATCAATGGAAGATTAAAGCAGTCTACAGGCATTTGCAGTACTTCAATTTTATGAGTAGTATAAATGAATATACTCATCGTCCAACCTATTCATGTTAGTATCCTATTACGCTCATAGTAGGTGTGTCGTATACAATGGTAGACTCGCTCACTCTTGCACTGTGTAAACGTTTAATAAACAATGCATGCTATTGTTGCTACGCTTCCAGAAAGGACCATTCCAGGGTACCCGTATTCTGTTGCTGTCCTACAGGAAGTTAGAGATGGTCTATCACGTATTTCTTCTCTGTATACAGTAGCAGTATAATGTAGAATAGTGGCAAAGAGCAGAAAGTACCACCAATGATCATGGTTATCAAGGAAGAAAAACAGTTATACTGTCGTTTGATATATGTACAAAAAGTTGATATACTGTTTAATAATCGTCTGTGTATTGTTTGAACCGATAGTTGTCTTCTTCGGCAGCACATTCGTCACAGAACCATTTTCCAGCGGGCGGTTCCACCAAGCCAACACAAGCGTAATGAAACCATTCTTTTTCACACTAGGCAAAAAGGTAAAAAGGTAAAAAATAAGACGAGTTGAATTCAACCATGGGGGCCCAAGGATGAGGCATAAAAAAAAAAGACAACTTACGTTTTCACCATCACATGCGACCATATCACCAAACGATACCTGGTTGCAATAACAGTATCTCGGTTCATTGGGGTCGATCTCCAATTCGGTCAAGGCGCGGTGACCATTAATAGCTGGATTGGGACGCGACGAGTGATGGGTTCTATAAAATACGAATACCAAAAAGTATAAATCAAAAAAAAATCCATGATCAATTATCACTTCATGATGATTTCATGGCAACCTCAGCAAATCCTGTTTTACCATGACACTTACCGTTTCCGGAACCCAGCAGGACCACCATTGGATATGGATCGTTTCCGAGAAGCTGCTGCTGCGTGATAGCAAAGTAAAAAAAAAAAAAAAAAAAAAAAGGTAAGATGACGAACTGTATTGACTATTCCCTTTTTGGGGAAACAGTGTAGACAAGTGCTTACCATCGTGACGCCAAGATTCATCCCAAGGCCCTCGTCTGTGATTATTGGATGCTATCCAATCGAGTTCGGCAATGCCGTTTTTCGCCATTTGGGAATCAATACGTTCAATGTGCCGAGAGACGAGATCATACATGCGCATGGCGAGTTCGATTTTCTGATCCTGTTTCTGAATAGCTGTCTTGTAGTCTTTTTCTAATTGTAGTCGTGCTGCTACTAGGTTGACGTGAGCGGTGGGTGTAGGTGGAGGTTGTGCAACGTTGGGTGTGGGGGGAGAGGATGGATTTCGCAGTAACTTGGCATAGGATCGCCTGTGCTTTGTGTAAATTTCTCTAAATCCTGGACATAAGATGAATTCATGCAACAATCAGTGGACATGGACAATGTGAAATGAATGATTTGCAGTGTGCAAGATAGCAAGAACATAAAATAAAAAAGGAGTCATCAAGGCCATTGATTTTTTTTTGCTTACGTTGAAATTCTTCATCCATGCTACGCAGTTCGTGCATGTTTTGATCAATCTCCGATGGTAAGTTCTGCAAACCTACGAATGAGGGTTCCCCTTTGTCAGCTGAGCCACTTTTTTTCACCCACCTTCTTTTTTTAAATCCTCTGCTCTCCCCACACCTCTTTTTTTTCCTCCAAAATGGATCTTTTATCTCCTCAACCCCCAAAACCATTCAACCAAGACCAACTTACTCTCTACATAGTCCTCAAAAATATCGGCAATCGATGTCGTCATATCACCAACAAGAACCATATAATAGATAAACAGAGAAATTCACAAATAATAAAGAAAGAGGTTTTATCTTTTTAAAGATACGCTTTTTTTCTTTGCCGTCCACAAACAAAAAAAAAAAAAAAAAGAGGAGAAGACTGGATTCATACCCCGACCTTTTTTTTGTAACTTGTCTGATGAGCAAAGAAGCAGTCACTGTGAGGACCGTCAGGGCCATTTTTTTTTGCTCCTGGTTTTTTTTGGGTTATCTCAGCCTTTAATTCTCTGACACCCCAGTTTTTTTCTCGATACTGAACGATATAAAAAAAAAAGATCTTTAACACAAATGAACAAGATATGATCCGTTTTTATTCTTCAGACAAATTTGGATTTCAAAATGATAAAACAATGGTTACAAAACTAATGGATTATGAACTCTTTAAACTACATGGTATAAATGACGTGGATAGAAAAAGGGGGTAAAAAGAGTGTAAAAAAAACAGGAAAAGGAACAAAGGTCACATCACAGTGATAATGGGTTAAAAAGAAAAACTTGGCCAAGGGAAGAAAAAATTGAACAATAGAAAAATCTGGAAAATGAAAGAAGGGAGTAGGAGAAAGAAAAAAAATAACTACGCATACACATGGATACAGATGAAGAATCGAGCAAAAGAACAGTGTGATATGATGGAAAATCAAAAAAAGACGCATGAGAACGAGATTGTGATTTTTTTTTTCTTCTCCTGTGCAGTTTCCCTTTTCTTCTTATTTTTTACAAAGTGTCGAGTGATGTCCGAACCAGCGGTGATGCCAAGTTTTCATTGTTCTTCCTTCGTCCAAGAAGTGTTGCGTTGTCCAAATTGAGATCAAACACGGCCTTGCTCTTGTGTGACTTTTGGCCACGTTTGTCACTAGGTGGTTTAATCACCCGCTGACGAGTTTGTTCTTCTTGTCGTATCTGTTGCAGTAATCGGTCGCGTTGCAATTGTTGCAGTCGTTTACCGGGTGTGTCCTGATCGACAGAGGTATCAGCTAACTTATTACGTAATACTTCGATCTGTCTTTCGTGTTCTTCTTCGTTGGCACTTTGCGAACTGGACGACGTCTCATCGCCTGTCAGATCGTCACTAACATCATCGTCATGATTCTCATCTGGGTCGTCGTGATCCTCGTCGTCATCCAACATTTGTGAGTGAATAGCTTGCTGAAAGCCATGTTGATTCTTTCCTTTCTTTTTGATCTCTTTTCGTCGTGCGCGTTCTTCGGCCATACGATGGACGGCGTACGAAACGTCAAAGATTTCTTTCATTGAGGTAAGTCCGGTTGAGAAGACATCACGACGACGTTCGGAACAAGGAATGGTTTGTGGCGGGGTAGCAACAATTGTTGGTGTGGCGACAGAGGTCGTGGTCGATGCGGGTACCAAAATTTCAGACGTTGCCAAGTCAGCGTGAGGTGATTTCTTTAAATGAGAAGAATAAAAATAAAATAAAGGTCCACAAAAATAAATATAACAGGTTAGTGATCTTCATGTGCAGATTTGTTGGATGGTTGGTGCTTCATGCATCGTTTTCTTTTTTTTTTGCGTTTACCTGTTTCATCTGCATCCACCGATGATTCAGGAACTGGTCAATGGTATAACGGCTTTTGGGGTTGATACATAGCAGATGCGAGACCAAATCTTTGGCATCAGCGGAAATGGCATCCCACCATGGACTCAAAAATGTGTAGTGACCTCGAGCCACCTTCTCTGTCAATACTTCAATACTTTCATCGTAAAACGGGGGAAAACCGCACAACATGGTATACAGGACACAGCCGAGAGCCCACATGTCCACTGACTTTGAGTACCGCTCATCGCGTACGATCTCGGGAGCAGTGTACCCCACCGTACCACAGGGTGTCATGGTATGTTGGTCCCAGACGACCTTGGATAAACCAAAATCGGCGATCTTTACCCGTCCGATTCCGCCACCACCTAAACCTTCAATGAACTCGCCTTCGTCCTCTTTCGGCTCATCTTCCTCTTCCGGTGGCGGTGGAGGCAAAGGTGTGGTCCGTTTCATGAAAGGAATAGGCTCAAACAGAAGATTCTCAGGTTTAATATCTCTAGAAAAAAAAGGGGGTGATGGGGGGGAATAAAATCACGGTTAGTCATTGTGGATGGTGGCATGATCATAATAAGCTTTTTTTTGTCTTTCTCGGTGATGTTGTTAAGATGATAATAATTGTTGTTGGGGCAAAACCTCATGTTGTTGATGGTTACCATCATCGGTTTGGGCCCGTCCTCTGACAAAAAGGCTATGGCTCAACGATGATTTCCCAGTACCTTTTTTTTTTTCCATCTGCATCCATCCCCACTTTTTTTTTGAATAAGAAAAAGAAATAGCTTTCTTCACTCTTTTTACCTGTGAACAACGCCTTTTTCTTCGTGGAGATATCGGATTCCTTCGGCGACCTGACGTATGCAGTGACGGGCGAGATCCTCGCTAAAGTAAGTTAAGCGGACAATTTGATGAAACAGTTCGCCACCTTCGCATAATTCCAAAACGAGAAAATAATACTTTTATGCATTGAATCAATACCGAATGTAATAAAAAAAAATTAGAGAAGGCCACAAGAAAAATACATGATATGACATACCTCTTTGGTCTCAATGAAGCGATGCAATTTGACGATGGAAGGATGATCGATTGTGCGCATGATTTGCACTTCTTTGAGAATGCTGGCTTTCTATTTGATGCATTTATATGTAGATGATTTGATTGTCAGCTTGTGTGAATCATGAAAAGTGTGATGGAAAACATTGAAGGTCTACAACCTATGCATAGGACTTACTTGTGTAGGGCTCAATTCAAATTTACGTACGGCTTTAAGGGCCACGGTTTGGTCCGTCTCCAAATCGATTGCTTCATACACGTTGGAGAAGGCGCCACTGCAAATAATTAAGCTCATCAGTAACCCCAAATAAAAAAAAAAATAAAAAAATCGCTCATCATCCTCATCTTGTCACGACCACCGATACAAATAATAAAGAGGTGGAAAAATATCACTTACTCTCCCAACTTTTTGATAAGCTTATAGCCTTCCAAGCCTTCATATTTCGGCATATGCTTTTTGGCTTCGTTCTCTTCGTTCACCACACAACGAGCGGCGTTTTCATACTTCTTTGCTTTCTTTTGTTCAGGACTTTGGAATTCGTTGGACGATGAGATGGATCTTCCGCCATTACGTAAAAAGTTTTTTAGTTGTAGGAAAACGGACATTCCAAAACTGGTTTTCTTTGCTGATAAAAAAAAACCACAAGAAGTTTTGTGTGTTTTTAGTTTTTCTTTAGGGTTTCAAAGGTATATGATTTTTGTTCTAGTGTCTTACCAAATTGCTATATGCGGGTAGGAATAGTGATAAACCAAAAAAAAAAAAAAAGTGAAAAAAAGAAAGAAAAAGAGCGAGTGAATAATAACAACAATGATAATGAAAGAAACAAAAGAAAAAAGAAACGCAAAAAAAAAAAATCGCAAAAAAAGGAAAAGAGGGGAAAGCCCTCATCAGGTTAGTCCTTTTTTGCAATAATATATGTAAAAACTCTAAAAGGGGAGAAGAGGGAAAAAAAAAGACCCTCTCCGATAATGATATCATGAATGGGACCCCGTGCTTGCATCCATTAAAAAACCAAAATCCGCCCAGCCAAATCCGTACTACACAGGCTTCTCACCACGCTTCAAGCGGTCCAATACTCGCTTAGCATCCGTATACCACGGAGTCACCGGATCGTACTTCCACCGCCGATATATATTTTTAAACGGTGCCGCAATAACATGCATGTGCAGATGGTCAACCGAATTGAAAGGTGGCACATGAAATCCAAGTCTGAAAATAAACACACGACAAAAAAAAATTCAGAAAATCCATTCGTGAGACATAAAACAAGGCCATCCCCCAGCCATATCATGGGGACACTATCACCCACTATCACCATCATCATCGTATTTTGCCACCATCACCATGGGTTGGCCCTGGAATAGAATAGGCAAGTTCCCACTCACCTCACTTGATGTCCACTGTCCGCATCAAACCCATGTTCCTTTAGCAGCAGCTCTCCCCGTTGTACCATTTTCTGCACTGGAGACCATTATTCTGTAAATTTTCTTTTCAAAAGTTTCGCCATTACTCGGTTGTCACAATGTTCACTTACACAGATCCACATCGCTTGAATCCAAATTCTTGACGGTGCCAATATGTCGCTTAGTAATGACCAAAAGATGAAGTTGAGCTGCAGGTGAACGATCGTGAAAAGCAATCAGATCCCCGTCCTGTGTCATGTTGTATTAGACCACCGATGCCACATGTCGAAACATACAGTAACCGTGCCAACTGACCTCGTAAACAACGAGGAATCCTCGCTCTTTCGAAACGTGACAAAAAATACAAGGAGGACGACCACCACAGCAGAACATGATCCAATGACGACGTAGATGATATGATTTTTAGATGCGATACAATAGGATCTAAAACGAATCCAGTGCCTTTTTTTTCGTGCTTTGAGAATGCGACTGCGCAAATCCAAAAAAAAAGAAACCAGAAGAAAAGGAATAAATATAGAAAACAGTGATGCACAATGTTCGTATACGGTACGATGCGGCTGCCCACGTCAAAATGGTCTGTATCACGAAGAAACAAGTGGCGCGCCCTGGGTTTTTTTTATCACCATCGCCACACCAAAAATAAATACTATATCACCAGAAATAAAACACAGGTCTATGATTGTAAATGTACGCCCTTTCCATAGAAAACGAGCGCATTAATATGCATTGTCATCTGGACATTCTATCGACATACAACTCATTCCCACCAGATGGTTTGATTTTTCTAACATGTACATTTTTCTAAGAGCTGAAACTGCTCTCTGGGGGAATAGCATCCTTGGGATGTTTGGCCTAAATTCCAAATATCCATTAAGACCACTACAATTGCTTTCCCATTCTCCCTCCCTCCCACACACTTACTTCCATATGCTGCACCAAGAGCTTGTAGTTGGCCATGGCAGCAAAGCACTTGGGACACTTGATCTGGGAATGAAGAGACAACGGCGATTACCATCACGACGGTGGTATTAACATCTCGTGACAATAAATTTTACCTGCAAACCCGCCGCACGAGCGGCCAACTGGGAGCCTGATTTTGCTTTCTTTTGAGCTTCCTTTTGGGCTTTTTGTCTGCGACCATGACATGAACGGAAACAGGTGACAATGAATATGCAAGCTCCGAACCCATTTTCTTCAGGACAAAAAGTTCTTCTTGTCCTAACTCACTCACCTGGCTTGTTCCTTCTGAGCACCACGAGCCATGGGCGGACAATCGAATAAAGACGAGATTACAACAAAGTAAAAAAAAAAAAAAAAAACCTGCAACCTCTTTAAATTTTTTTTTTCTGTGTGCAAGAGAAATTCAAACGCCGTCAAGAAGCCTAATGTTTAATCAGATCGTAAATATTTTATTCTATAAGCATCATGTATCTAACAAGAATGTAAACTTTTTTACTCCTTTAAATATTTTAAAGATAAAATAACACACACGTTCTACGGTAAGTCATCGCTGGTATATGTCTGCAAATGGGGACGTATTCTTTCGTCGATGACGATCGGAGTGTCGTTTGCTAACGCTTCTTGAGCTTCATCACCTAGCCAATAAACTTTTTCATTTTGTCCCACATCAGCCTCATCCGTTCTCAAGGGACGTTTGTTATTTAAGACGGCAGCAACCGCATATTGACCAATTCTTTCCACGCGTTTGTAATCCGCAAGCCACATATATAACCGATAAGGAATGTTGGTCCAGCCGATGATATTCTCATGAGGGATATACATGACAGGAGAGAGTCGGGAAGGTAACGAAAAATGATCTTTTTCTTCCACCATCGTTGTCACACCGCCTGGAGTCATTAAATCATCAATCAATTCTTCCTTGATCTCCTTTTCCGATGGCATCTCGTCCACATTTCGTTCCGGAGGCGCCATTGTATCGTTCATCGTCGTCTGGCTTTCTGCTGGCGTTAATGGAGCTTCGTCAGTGTCCGCGGATGTGGCGTCCGTCTGTTCCTCGGTTTTCGCTGGCTCGACTGTGGGAGGCTCCTCAATGGCCAACGGATCCGCTTCGCAGCCCTTGGTCATACCACTCAGCACCTCTCTCCATGCATTTCGGCCAATTGCCAACACACCGTCGATTTGGCTCGTTTGTTTGATTTTCTTTTGGACGTCTGCCATCATGGGTGCAAAAGGATTCTGACTCGTTTGCTCCGTCGTGGAAGATTCCGTTACGGCGTTGGCTTGGTCCTCTCGTCGAAGTTTCAAAATTTCATCACGCACAAAGGCTTCAATCTGTCCCGGCTTGCTCGCTTCCTTGACTTCATAATCCACCGCACCGGCGACAAGCACTGGCTATTTCCAAACATTGCATTAATCCCTCATTTGCTCCATTCTTTTGCCATTGGCCTTTTCTTGATGGCATACCTTTACATAGTCACGGAACCATGCTCGGCTCTTTTCGAGACTGTCACCTGGAGGTGCCGAAATATAAACAGATACTTTACGAGGCATTTCCTGTTGTAATTCGTATAAGCCTCTGTCGGCTATGTGTGCATTGGCTGCTTCATTAACCGAGATCCACTTACATGAACACCGCATGGCCGTTTAGCAAGGAATGACACCTGATCGGCCAATGCTCGTCTGGATTGATTATCATAATAGTAGCTTGTGTAGAGTGTACCTCCAAAAACGGACGCAACCGTACCAAAGATGATTTTACCTTTGGTCAGGCCAAAGGGAAGTGACATGATACTACTATGTTTAAGGGTAATTTCTCTGGATTTTTTTTGCCTTCTCGTTTTATTTTATTTTGTCGTCCGCAACCAGCCCCTCATGGATAGATTACCGTGACGGCCTTTTTTCATGATCTATGTGCTCATGAAAACTTTCTCAGCAGCGCTCCTACTTGATTTATAAACCCACACAGGCAGATAGATAGATACAATTATTTACATAAAGAACGGTACTTGTTCAGTTGAATAGCTGGCGAGTTTATTTGGTATTGGCTCTCCTATACTACACATGCTACAGTGTCAGGAATTTTGACAAGGCACTCGTGCAAGATACTGCTATTAAGGGAATTCTGCTTCAACAGATCAAGCCATATGTCGACGTTCAAGACAGATGCGACATACCGCCAATAGAGTATATAGTATTCTTATAGAGATGAATGCTTTGCGATCATTTTCGCCCGGCGGACAGCGATTGTGTTACCATCCCAAATTTTTATTTCAATAGTACAAGATTTAACAGCGCACTACAGAACATGACCGGACGCCTGAAGCAAGAGCCATGAAGCAATTGCCAATCGTTTTCTTGCTTCACCTGCCTGCAAGTGACACAAGTGCAGTCCATTGATTGCCACCGGTTCACGTTGTAACAATTTTGCCTTGACGGTACTTAACTGCAGCCCTCATATTTCTCGTAATCAACAAAAGGATGAAAAATGAGGAGAAATTACTATTTTTTCAGAAGCATGATGATAATTGGCGGGACAGCGACGCATATTCAACATCCTAATAGGCATCTAGTTATGTATCTCCTTCCCACAGACATATGGATCTTCTTTGTTGACGGAGCGTTCCTACAACAGATAATGAAGTCGATCTACAGATGATTCAGACAAAAGACAAGGATTCACACAGATCTCATTATCTCATCGCGATCAACATCTATCCAGGAACGTTCATCGTCGACAAAAATACTGTAACGATGTCAATTTCGATTGCCGTGGTAGCTGCCTTTTTTTAACTGATATGACATCTCGCTTGTTCATATACAGTTCATATACATCGCCGTTGCATTCTTTAGCTGTTGCACGGTCGACAATATGCCATATTTCCTTCTTTCCTTTTCCTCCGCTGCCTGCTCCTCAAACTTTTTGTTGCTTTAGTGACACTCTTGATGATTTACGGTAGATGTTAAAGTGCCTGATGCGTTAAAGCTTTCCAAGCCCCCCCCCCCTTTTATTTGATCGCGTTATTGATTTTCAAAATGGACCCACTTATTACAGTATACCAACTTCAACGCTAGAAATATCTGGACGACATAATCTGATATTCTATAAAATGCCCTACGGTTCATATACAGCACTCAACAATCGGGCGGAGAAGAGGGAAGCTCAGTTTTTTAACCGGAGATAGTGCACCAGTCCTGCAGGTCAAACACCTAATGTTACCAAGACAGCACCAACTCATAAAGGGAAACCAAGTTACAGTTGGTACTACTACGTTGGAGTGCCTCCTCTAGTCGTGGTTATTGACATAAGTCTCCTTCAATATAGCCACAAAGAGTTCTTTTAAAGTTATGCTCAAAACCGCTTGCCCTTGGGTCTCTGTGTTCCGTCAATCATTACAACATGATGCACTGAGAATAGCACCCTGATTTCGTGAAATAATATCTAAGCGCTTATTGTCATATCATAGCATTATTGCTCTGTTGTTTCAGATGAAACTGGCAAGGCAAGACACGCGAAAATCACTATTATATGGAAAGTAAAAAGAAGTACGCTAATTCGCAAATATGCCTTGTACACTCTCTTGCGCTCTCGGAAAAAGCGCGACGGCAAAGCAGATTTAAAGACTGATCATGGAAAACACACTAAATATTGAATAATAATAACAGTGCGCCACAATAGACTTTGATGTGGCCATGTCAGAAACGGGATGCAGACACGACTCAGTGTCTAATGAAAAAGTGACACTCAAGTATTGAGCCTACAACGTTTGAAAGCAGCGGTGACCGTGACAATAAACCGATCTTTTAGTTTTCTGCTACGCTTTTTGATGATGAAAAATTAAGCCCATCAGTTTCTTCGGCCTCGATGACCGCAAAAAAATATTTATGGTATATGCACTTTGCCTTTATATTTCCGGTTGGATTTTACCGGTTTACCGAGGAATACAAGATATGCTAGCCACGCGTTTAAATGGTAATCGCTGCGTGGTGACATGATCGTGTTTTTTATATCGCTTGTATTCAAATCACAATCGACTCTTTGAAGCAATCTCTGACAGTTATGATTTGTATGTGGCTTTGCTTTCAAGTAATATCACCGCGGGGGCCGTATAGAGTAGTTTCATCATACGAGAGAAGGCCGACGTCTGCATGGCAATCCCTTGCTCGGGCCGATGATCGCTTTTTTTTCTGTTCATTTTTCAAGTAGCGCAATAACCGTACGATTTTTTTTTTTTGACAATGCACCCTGGTCCGCAAAAGCCCGGAGACATTTTTTTTTTCCTTTTTTTTTTCTTCGTTCTTGTGCATATATTCCTGTTCGACAGTCATGTCTATGCAATTGTCCCCTATTGGTGCTATTGCTCGTCGTGCATTGACCACCGCTACGCGTCAGGCTACCACGGCCGCCAGTGCGATGCCTTCCCGTCCACTCACTGCTGAAGAAAAGGAAAAACTGGCTCCCATGATTCGCGTGGATCAATCGGGCGAAGTGGGCGCCTACTACATTTACAAAGGACAAATAGCGGTGTTGGGTCACGATCCCAATCTGAGGCCACTTTTGCAGGAAATGTGGGATCAGGAAAAGAAACATTTAAAGTATTTCAGCGACTTGGTCGGCCACCATCGCGTTCGTCCCAGTTTACTACGACCTATTTGGGAAGTCGCCGGGTTCGCTGTAGGTGCCGGAACCGCATTGCTTGGAAAAGAAGCCGCCATGGCTTGCACTGAAGCCGTGGAAACCGTCATTGGTCACCATTACAACGATCAGTTGCGTGAATTAGCTACCATCAAGGACGACAATGAAGACTTGGTGCATCTCAAAAAGGTTGGTCTTTTTGGAATCCGAAAATATTATTCTTGCCAGCTTCAGCGAGACTTAATTTCTTATTTCAATTGCTTGCATAGATTATTGCCGAATGCCGAGATGAAGAGTTGGAACACCACGATATTGCCGTTGCACACGATGCTCAGAGAGCGCCTTTCCATTCGGCCTTGAGCGCAGTCATCAAGCAAGGCTGCAAAACCGCCATCTGGATTGCAGAACGTGTATAAACGCCTTTCTACTGACAATCAACCCTCATTGTATTATTTTATCATCATTTCCCGCCGTATTCTCCCTACTCTAGATTCATTGTATTACCTCTCGCCAATTTATTCCAGTCTTATTCTTGGGAAATAGATACAAAATTATACGTGTATTATATCTTGAACGGATGATCAGGTATTGGGGGAGAGGGGGGAAAGGTTGAGAAATTTGGTATCGAATCATACAAGGATAAGAGAAAGTCTATTTTTGCATCATTGGGGCCGAGGCATCTCAGGTTACCTAAAGAACCAGTAATACAGAAGAATCACCATGACAATGACAAAAAACATGAGATAACACATGGTCGCTCCGGATTCTTTCTCGGCCATCACTTTGAAGTTTCGCATGGTTTTGCCCAGAATCCCTCCCGTATTTGAAAATTGATCATTCTGTGTAGACCGCCACGTCAATGGTGCATCATGTGAGTATCTCCGCCAGTCTGGAAGAAAGAAAAAAGAAGCGCATCCTCTTACCATAGTATCAATAATACTGTTGCCATGTTTGATCTCGTCTCCAATTTTCCCTGTGATCTGATAACCCCATCGTTGATACATAAGAATAAAGGCCAAGGAAAAGCATAGTAGGCTTTTGTTCGACTACTTTACCGTTTTCAACAGCTTGACTTTGGCAGATAATCCCGTTATACGTTCATCGCTCTGACTTTCCAAATGCTCGAGATCACCATCGTCCATTTTGACTTTATAGGATCGTTCGGGTGATGAACCAGGTGTGGATGCGCTGTTGAACATGTGTGATGAAGGACTCGGGGTCCATGTCCGTGATGTATCACCGAGCAATGCAGATCGGTTATGTAAATTCTGATACGATCTATTACCATGGTTAACGGAATGATGACAATGAACCTTGTTTTTCTCTCCTACCTTACACTTCTAGGTCCGAACTGTCGTGACATGTGTGATGAAGTGTGGTCCAAGCAGGCTGCTATACAGGAAAAAAAAAAAAAATTGAGATTCCATATTGGCCCCAACCAATTGCTTTAGATAAATCAACGTCACACAGAAATAAGACAGATCGGCTGAGGGTGAAAAAAAAGCGATGCGTTCAATTGACACTGCGCACGCATGATTTTTTTTTTCTTTTTTTCTTGTCTCGTGTGGGTCGCTACCTCTTTGAACTTTCTTTATGCGTCATCTCGTGTTGTTTGCAGGATCGTCCATTCCAGAACTTGGACAAAAGATTTCTGAACATTTAGGCTGCCAAATTGGCGGTTGTACATTGTCGAAATTCAGTAATCAAGAAACACGAGTGGAGATTTATCAATCCGTACGCGAAAAAGATGTGTATATCGTCCAGTCCGGTTGTGGTCACGTCAACGATAACCTTATGGAGCTTCTTGTTATGATTCAAGCTTGCAAAACAGCGTCGGCAAAAAGAGTCACGGCGGTTATTCCGTATTTTCCATATTCGAGACAAGCCGATATCCCTTACCGACCGTCGGGCGCTCCACTCACACAAGCGCCTCCGTTGACCGAGCCATCCACGCCACGGACTGTGCCTTCCACCCCACGTACTGTACCTTCGACGCCCAAAATGGATCGCGGGGCTCTCATCAACGCAGAATCCTTTACAAGGGAAGTCGAACGGATCGCCATGGCGCAAAAGTTGGAACGACCCATGGAGCGGCCACACACGTACACTCCCGCTGATAATGCTCCTTTACCATGTGCTTACAATGATAAGAACGGCAGCTACCGTGAATGGGTGGCTCGGTCAGGCACTCTGGTGGCAGACTTACTAACATGCGCAGGTAAATATGATTTTGGACACGGTATGGCGATGGGATAGGCTAACTATGTGTCGTCATTGTTTACAGGTGCAGACCATATTATCACCATGGATCTCCATGATCCACAGGTAAAGCCACGAATTTTTTTTTGGACATGCTCCTATGTTTCTGAATGCATGGTTGCTTGTGATAGTTTCAAGGCTTCTTTGATTGCCCCGTTGATAACTTGTCGTCCGAACCACCCATGGTCCGCTATATAAAACAGCAGATCCCCGATTATCAGAATGCCATCATCGTATCCCCAGATGCCGGTGGCGCAAAAAGGTGAGCGTGCACCTTTGATATTAAAAATAAGCTGAAATGGAATGATGCTTATGGTTGAGACTAACATGATCACTTGCTTAAAAGAGCCACGAGAATCGCGGAAAAATTGAACATGACCTTCGCGTTAATTCATAAAGAACGTCGGCGTCCCGATAAACCGAACCACTTGGACATGATGCTGGTGGGCGACGTTTCCGGCAAAGTGTGTATTTTGGTAGACGATATTGCTGACACGGCTTTCACCATCAGCAAAGCAGCCAAGGTGTTGCATAAGCAAGGAGCGAAAAAGATTTATGCGCTTATTACGCATGCCATCTTGAGTGGTGATGCATTGCAACGTATTCAACAAAGTTACTTGGATGTAGTGGTGGTCAGCAATTCGGTGCCGCAGGAAGAACACACGCGTAAATGCAGCAAGTTGTACACGTTCAATGTCGCCCCCATCTTTGCCGAGGCAATACGACGAACTCACAATGGTGAAAGTGTAAGCATGCTATTTAATTTAGACAATGAACTCATTTAAAAAAGACGTGTGACTATTCGGATATGATTTTTAAATGTGAATGATGTTGGGCTGCCAAATGGATGTAAATTACATGATGAACAATTGTGGGGATAAATGGAAATCAGTTGTGAACGTGGGTTTTATGCTTCAGCTGTTACTGTTTCTTCTTCCACGAATGTGTCTGTTTCATAAGGATACCATGCATACTGCCCCTGGACCTGCCAGATTTTCAACGTGTTATCAATCACCACGTCTTGTTGCATATCACTCATTTGTCCATCCTCATCATCGCTGTCGTCACTACTGCTTTCCTCCGGAACCGTAAATTTGCGTTGTCCGGATGTGGATGCAATGTAAGGATAAACGGGGTTAAAAGTAACGCATGACGTGATATCTAAAACGGTGGAATGGATGAGTGTCATGTTAACAAAATACATGCATACAGAATGATATACCTTGGTGACCGTCAAACGATCTCAATAGACGGGGCCTTGTCTCATCGTCTTCTTCTTCGCTTGCTCCGATTTCCAAGTCGTAGAATCGAATATGCCCATCCTTTACATCGAACAATGAATACAAGTCGTCGGTGAATTGGATGGCGGCGTTTCACGATCCGTTTCCGTCATCTTACCTGATCGCCAGTGACGAGTACTTTTCCACTGGCAGCAATGTCGAAAGTTATGCGTTGATTGGTTTTCCCTGGACGTGGCAGTTCATAAAGGATATTGGCAGTATTTCGGATATCCCAACATAATATAGCATCGGATTGACGAGAAGCGGAGAAGAGCAAGCTACCATCGGGCGAGAATTTGACCTAGATACACAAAGAGATTAATCACAGCAAAATCCGACCACTGTGCCCAATCGCACAAAAATAGTAAAAAAGTTGTACCTGAGTCACGCCGCCTTGCATACCGGTTAGCTTTAGGCACAGTTCATTGTTCGTTTCATCATAGATGCCAATAGATTGACTGTACGATCCACACGCATACAAACCACCATAATCCGGACTGAAATCAAGGCATGATATAATCCCTAAAATCGATAACTGTGAATGGACTGTGGCAAATTTTATATCGATCCGGAGAGTCTCTTTTTTGATATACCTTTTTGACCTTGTTTACTGCGACGGGAAGGGATGGTGGGTAACTTTGTAGATTCTTGGCCTTCACGCTGCACGTCAAACACTTCAATCATATTTTCATATCCGCAATAGATCCTTCACAGAAATAACTCAATGATCAGTTGGCGCGTAATAACAATAAAAGGAATTCTATCTTACTTTGAGCCATCCAGGTTGAAAGCAACAACATTTGGGCCGATAAAACGTTCCCGATGGTCAATGACGCAATAAGATGCACGGATCTATATGATGCACCTTCAATACCAGAGGGAACGGTCTAAACACCATGTTCGCGACGCTGTCTTACCTCTCCAGTGGTGACGTCCCACAGACGAACCGGATGATCACGTACAGAAGTAAGAAAACAGCAAGTGGCAGGATCTAGGTACGAAGAGATATTGTATTGAGTGTTATTTGGTTATAATACACATCGGTGCAGAAATAACAAGTGTGATTCGACCTACCGTGAATGGACATGGAAGGAAACCATGCGAAATCGTAAATTGTTTCTCCTCCACGAATTCCCAAAATAGGTTCCAATGGCTCTATGTCTGTCAAGGTACTAGTCTGAGCAAACTAATGAATCCAGCAACAATGACTACGTATAACAATACCTTCAGATGGACTACCGTACAAACCTGGGGGCCTAACAGAAGCGTATCAATGGGCGATTGGAAGCTTCAGGTGCATAACAAGGCAGCCTTACATATTAAATAACCGAACAACATCGTCTTCGGAATTCGTCAATAGGCAAGTGCCGTCCGGCGACCATTTCGCGTTTCGAAAAAAGTTGTTGGCTTCGTGTACATTGCTGGGAGATGCTCTCTGTTGGATAAGGTGAACTTCGTTTGACAGCGATTGCTGTACAGTTGTATTATAGCGATCGCCGGTTGAAGCGACCAGAGTGCATGGTTGCGCCACATCATGGATGAACATGCTGAACCCTGATGGCGCAGACGCTTCTGTTATTTCGACAGCTTCCGTCTCCATGGCCACACCAACGGTCATTGTTGGATCAGCCAGAGATTCGCCTACTTCGTCTGTCGCTGCAGCAGGATCGACTTGCTGCTCGATCAAAGCATCGGTCACAGTGGCGGTGACGGTTGTGGTTTGTGTATCAGAAAGAGCAGACATTGTCGTTTGAATCACTGTGGTCTGTTCAGTGATCACAGTTGAAGGATCGGCATCAGCGTGGCTGGCTGGATCGATGTCCATGGCAATGAGTGTGGCAAACAGAAAAAGCGACGATCTGTGACTTGGCTCTGCTCCACCCGCATTTTGCATTAAAAAGGCGCATTTTTAGATACCTGCATTAGGTTGCACCTGAATCATTCATACGACGCACTCTTACGTAATAAAATCGATCCATTACAGTGTTTACTATCAATTCATATGTGTACGTGTTTATACATTATTCGCAACGGACGATCCGTGACACTTGGACTTCTTGGAGTAGCATACGATATAGGCATGGATGAACCGAAAGCGAAACCTTGTGGAGGCAGATAAGGGTTACAGGGGCTGGTGTCCGGGTGAAAATAAAGGAATGTCGCTGAGACTGCAAGGAAATACAATGGTAAGGAGGGGAAAAATAATTACAAGTTATATACAGGATGAGAGAACCTAACCAAGCCAGGTTTCCCTAAAACCAGGGCCTCTTAATTTCCAGTCAATGTCCATATCCGAGGCGAGAGATGGAGAAAGACCACTTAGATTGGCAGGTGGCGTCAGTAATCGACGATGTTGTTTCATCTGCTGCAAAGGCGGCAGTTTGGGTCGAGGGCAATCAGTGCCTGTGCTTCGGGAGATCTTCATCAGCGGTGGGTAGGCCATACTTTGCTGATCGCTAAGTCTGGGAAAACTGGAAGGAGGACCGTGTCGGTCAACAGCGTCCGATGAAATCCGCTGCTGTACGTTAGTATCGTTCACATGAATAGCTATCGGCATTGATCCTACTGATGATGATCCTTGCTGATATCGATGAGGTCGTTGGAACATTCGCGAAATCGTCTTCTCGCCATGAAGCATCGAATAGGATGTATTGGCCGCCGTCGCAGTGGATCTGGTGGATTGAAATAATTGCGCGACCCATGATCGTCCCAGAAAGGGTGATTGGCTTCCATTGTCCCTTTGCTGCAACTTTTGCTCTTGCTGCTTACGCGCAATATCTTGCTCGATGCGTGCTCCCATTATCTCCACTTTTCTCACGTATTCCGCCTGTAAATCATTGACTGTCATTCGTAGCTGACCCACTTCTTGCAACAAGTCTTGTAAAACTCCCAGGAGGGGAAAGAAGTCTTGAAGACCGTCGACTATCTTTTGTCCTTCCACCCAAAGGAATCGACTCTTGAGTGCGCCAATGTCTGTCAGCAGATTATCAATGATCGAATTACTCATACTACTCAATTCATCAATATCAAATGTCCGTCGTAACCGTCGGTTCAATGCACGAATCTCCGTGGCGCGTAACCGTTGCAGAACATGCGTCACATAGCTGCACAGCTGATGGTACGGCCTTTGTTCATGCGTTGATGTATACGTTGCATGCGTCCACAAATCTCTTGCGTCGGAACTATTCGATTCTTCAGGAGTTGGAGGATTGGAAAGATGAGACAAGGAGGCCGCATTGCTCGACGGTCGTTTTGTTGGTTTGTTTTTGTGATGCTGTACGTAGTAGTGGTAGTGATGATGTACGATGGGATCTTTTGGTATCCCCGAAGGCGTAGAGGCGGAAACGACCGGCGTTGGTGGCGATCCACGGCATTTGGTAAACATGCTGTCCTGTTGTTTCTGAGGGGCGGATGATTTGCTTTCCTTGGCGGAAAGTGAACGGCGTAATTTCGGTTTGACAGAAGAATGTGGTACAATGTGCCGTTGCTTTGGTCGATCCACACCAAGATCATATACATCGTTTGGCCATTCCGCTAATTCATCTTGTTCCATGTGACTTTGCTGCTCACTTTGTAGCATGGATACTCGGTCTTTGCAGTTCAATAGCTCCATTTTCAGCTTTGCATTGGCTGCAGCTAAATCTTTTACAAACACAATAAGCTCTTTGGAATCCGTCTTTTCGGCATTAAGTTGGGACCATTGAGTCAAATCGAGCTTTGCCCGCCGAGCCCGTTGCTCCAGTGTGGATTGATTATTGTACTGCACCAACGTTCCCGCCGCACAGTTGAATGATTTTCGCTCGTCCTGTGATGACTGTCTCAACTTTTCATAAAGATTATCTATGGTGCGATGCGATGGGTAAGTGATAAAAACCACCGGATTCTGTTGAGAATGCTTACCATAACGGACCTTGAGCTTGCAGTATTTTCCTTCCCATGACAACTCGTTTTTTCGTGCCATGGCTAATTCCTGATTGGTATCGTCCAACTATATGTTATGAAATCAAAACTCACAGATCAGCATTGAATAAATAAATAAAAGTAGCACAGAAAAATACAATCACTAAAAAAAACTTGCTTTGTTTCGCAGGATTTCTTCACGTTCTTCGGAATGTCGAACGAGAAACCGGTAAGTGGATAATTCGGCACATTCACTGGTTTTGGCTTGCAATGCTTTAGATAGCTCGGCACATTTGGCGTTGGTCATGTCGAGATCCGCGGTTGTCTCGTCCAAAATCTGAAAAAGGGAAAAATGCTGTAATTAATTACCATTCCCGGCAATGTCGCCTTCTCTTGTGGACACACAAAGACGCGGTGAACAAGCACACCCAACACAGATCCACCCAATGCGTACCTTTTGTATTTTTTCGAATTCCCATGTCCGTCTCTGCAACTCCTGATTCATGTGATAGACTTCTTCCAATGCATCATCCAGCTGTCATTCCATTTGAAAGCAGATGGTTACACATGTGTCATCAATGCAAAACACTGGTCACCGACACCTTGGGCGTACCTGTTTTTTCAATTGAATAGATTCAAGCGAACAGTCTTTGTTATTCTGCAACAGAACCTGGCCAATTTCTATCATATCCAATGGGAATATGGTATATTCATGCGTGAGTCAGCCGTCGTCGTCGTCGTAAAGCCTGTTGCCATCGCCCACGTTACCTGCTGCCAGACGAGAACCTGAATCGAGGTCGGCAATCATCTTGGACAAGGACTTTAGGTTTTCGCAGTTGTTCTGACCGCAGCATTGACAAATGTCTGGCAACGGTGCATGTGAAGTGTTGAGAAGTGGGGATTCCAACCATTGCTTAATGGCATGCTCGACAGGGGAAGGTAAAGGACTTTTGTTGGCAGCGGCTGAGAGAGTAACATGGTGGTTACTAAACGCGTGCGGTGGTAATGTACGTGCTCTATTTTTGAATGACGATGTTTGTTGAGGCATGATGAGGCGAGGGAATGGAATCGATCGCACACAAAGGAAGAAAAAAAAACCAGCAGTGCTTCAAAGGCGTTTTTTTCCTCTTTCAATTTTTGCAGATTTGAAACCCGATTAGGCTTTGAAGAGCGGCACAATGAGCGGAGAAAAAAGGTCAGGAGTCATTTTTGGATGAAGCACTCTAACCCAAGACGAATGGTCATTCCCAAATACGGACAATGAGCGATGGGTTAGCGGGGTTTATCCAATCTATCTTATCAGCACAAGAGCCCGGATATCGAATCTTCAATAGTTATTCTTTGGTTACATTTTTCCTACTCTGCTTGGACCGAAATGATCTCATTCATTTTCATTTTATAGAGCCACGTGCTACACACACACACACACAACCCCAGCTCATGGCACTGTCTTTATGCAGTAACAAGACCAGCGCTCTCTCTTGCTTTTTCTCTTTCAACTTTTTCACTATACAATTGCTAAAAGAAGAACTGGATAGACATTGCTTATGTAGTTTGATGCAACTCTTCTGGGCCTCACTGAGGCATGAACGAGTCATGTGATATACAAACAATGCAGTAGATATAGAAAATGCCCCATTACCCGGAAGAAACGCATGAGGCCTTTGGCAGGAGTTTGATCGTTCTTGGGGAAGAGAAAGTGGACAAGAGGCGACTGCGATGTGCAATCTCCACCATTGGACGAGCCTTTTTCCCCGTTGCTGTGCTCGCTATTGTTTGGCTGCTCAAGCCCGACTTTATAAGTCCCAGAGAATCCGCACTACATGGAACGTTACTAAAGCATTGCTGCCTCCTTGTCTTGTTATCGCATAAAAAGTTTGCATCATCTTATACCTTTACCATGTCCATCAAGTAGCATCTTTGCTGTCTTTGTGAATCTTTAAAATCCGCTTCCAACATACACACTCAATCAATCTTGCTCAAAAATGCGAATTTTAGGCAATCATAAATAAGAGAAAAAAGTGTAAATTTTGTGTTTCAATCCTCACTTTTCATCTTCGTTAAACTTGATCAAGTCAAATATATGACAAGCCTTACTCGTTGTGAAAGAGCCTCTATTTGTGGATTGTATAGAGAAGCAATGGCTGTGGCACAAGCTCGCATTGGAACGAGGTAACACGGTAAGGAACGTGGTAAACAGTTCGGACCATAGCGAGAACAATGAACACCAAGTAAGACCTGGACAGCTGATTGGACGTCTGCGAAAATTGGTGAAAGAGTGAATATCGGCCACGCTCGACATGCGTTATGTAGTGCTGGACTACACAATAGGATGGCAGGATTCAAACCTCCTGGATAGGTACACTGTGTTGCCCGCTGTCAAATTTCACAGAGCTGCAGTAACAAAATATTCCGCTTCCATGCATCGTTCGCTTAAACGTCAAAATCTAAAAAAAAATGGTCCATTCTTCGTTGGTTTTAAAAACCTAAAAAAAAAAAGAAAAAAGATAAAGAGCTATGAAGATATTTTTAATTTGGTATTAACTGAAAGGATGCGAAAATGTACATCGTAATTTTTTTAAGGGAAAAAAAAAGAAAGGAATCTGAAAGGATATGCACAAAAGTAATGTTGGAAATAGTAAAAGAAAAGGGAGGGGTAACATTGATAACAATTGAAGATGAATTTGTCTTTTTACTTGCTGAACTGGGTGCTGCCGTAACGAGGTACGCGCGGCGATGAACTGGTGGAGGAGGAACCATAACTTGGCCGTGACCAAACGGTCGGTTGAGGGTGACGTGAGAAGTACGAATTGCTGCTTCCATGAGGGCTGAAACCTGGTCTTTCCGGGGACAGCCAAGTATGGTTATGATTGGAGCTCGAGAGTAGCGACATGTTCACTTCATCTTCCCTGGCTTCCCGTTCGATGATAATGGTTAATATTAGGACAGTCAATAGAACAACCAGCTAAATCACATCATCAAGACTCGGTAAGTCATACTTGTCCATGTTTTCCTTATGACGAAGAAATTCACCTGTAAGCCCAAAATCATGATCACTCCAATGACTATCCACTGATGCCATTGTTGTGCTACATTGATGAAAGCGTCTTTGCAACCAGTGACTGCGTAGCATGCCCCAGACAATGGTCTGTCTGATGACGAGTTGTAACCGCAGCATTGTAATCTAACCATCCATCGTTGCATGAGTCCACTTGAACTACGCGTCTATTGAAGAAACAACTTACGTTTCTTCAATTTGTAAAAGAAATCGCGGATCGTTTTCATGAAAAAAATCCCAGCCAGCACTACCATATTGGTCAAACTGTTTCATGTAAGCCTACCGATCACAGCATGGGCATATGCAATGGTATGCATCTCACCTGGCGTCGATGCGCATAAGCAAATCCCAAAATTGCTAGATGAAAAAAAATGGTTTGTAAAAATGTCCATCTTTCCTCATCTCGGTGTGACTCTGATCGACCCATGTCTAGTAAGACTTACTCAGTTGTGCAACGAGAAATGAGGCGGTGATGCTACTGTATACTTTGAGAAATCCGACATGTTCAACATGCGCTCCGAAACAACCGATAAAACTTGTGAATAAGATGATGCATCCAAAGATCATGAATCCCCATGAAATCGTTCGACTTGTATCTGAATTGAATAAATAAGCACCTAGGCCCCAGAAGAAAAAAGTAATGCATATCAGAATTTCTGTCACTTTGTGTTCTTTTTTTTTTTTTTTTTTTGCCAAGCAATGGTTTTTCCTTGGCATTCAACGTCACTGTACCCGCAGCAGCAATAGTCACTCCTAAAAACTAGAAAGTTGAGAAACAAAAAGGAACAACAACGACGACAGAGATAAAAAAAACAGAAAACGAGTGATAAGCGGAAAAGAACATGACATGCCAATGAGAGCGCCTTGCATTTTTCCTATTGAACATCATACCATGGCAACGAGATGGAAAGAGGCGACAGATTCCTGCAGCCCCTGGGAACGTCTGTATGGTTGCCTGTTTTCCATAACCGCAAAAAAAATTGGGTTTAAGCGATAGAAAAGCGAGAGAATGCGAGAAAAACGAAGAGTGAATAGGGAACAAGTGAAAAGCAAGAGAAAAACGGATAACCAATGGAACGGAAGAGGGAAAAAAATTAGGGAGCGAAAAAAAGTACCCTTTTTTGTGAAGCGGACTGCTGACCTTTTGCATAGTTTCCTTTTTTTTCCCTTTCCCTTTTCCTTTTCCTTTTTGTTTTATTTCTCTATGCTTTCTTTCTTTCTTCGCTGTATGCTTTTTGGCGGGATTTTTCTTAAACGAGTTAAAACACGAGGGTTTAAATGAAAGGTATGATGATCGCGTGCGTAATGTGGATGGTTAAAGTCCTTCTAGATGTATCCATTGACCTGCAGCGTTTTTCGACCATAAATGAAAGCATCCGTTGCCGCGAGAGTGACAAGAGCCAGAGGAACAGGCTTACATGATCGAATGGCCTTTCGTGCGTTTAAAAATGCCCATGAAAGACACCAAGCTGAAAAAAATAGGACAGCCTTGTATTAGTATACGTTTTATGTCAAATGAAGGTCACCCGAGTTTTGGTTCTGGTGATCTTCTTTTTCTTTTTTCTACACAAAATGAGAGCTAACCTGTTGCGATTCCTGCACCGTTTTCTGGATCCCCCACATTTGTCACGTACCTGATAAGCTGCCAACGTCAGCCACATACCTAACCTGACCATGGTCACTTATCGCTTACCCTGCTCCAGCAAATATACAACCAAAAGCCATTGATTGCAAAAGGGACGGCATGCCTGGCAGGTTTTTGACAGCCATAGGAACGGTAGCGAACGCTGATCAACGAAAAGGATAGGCATTATATAAAAGAGACAAACTCGTCGACGGGTAGGTGAGGCTTACATGCTGCTGAAAGAGCCCAAATCGGGAAGGGCGAATTCGCCTGCTTATCGATCCACGTCAATGGAGGTGTCTGTGCGTCTTTCGTTTTGGTATCCGACATATTGATTCCCCTTGAAAAGTTTTTTTGAGAAAAAGTTGAATACCAGGGGGATATTTTTTCAGGAAAAAAAAAAAAAAAAAAAACAAAAGAGAGAGGGAAAAAAGAAAGATGGAAGCACAAACCCAAAAAGGCCCCGTATTCCTCGTCAACACCAAAAGGAGTTTTAAAATTCCAAGTCAAGTTTTTCATTCACTCTGATTTATTCATTGTTTCCGCATTTCGTCGGACCTGGTTTGATAAATAACTATAGAGTTTCAACAAAGGTTCTGTTATGTAATTGGCATAAAACTTACTGCTGGTTAATAGAAATAAAGAACATTGAAGTGTGGCAGTGCACATTTTTTTCAGCTTTTTGGCATGTGAATCTGAGATTCAATGCAGCCGAAAAACTTTTTTTGACGCAAAAAGGGAAAGTTGGATTCCAATTGTTTTGAAACCGAGTTCATTTGACAGTTTGGATCATGCATATGAATAACCTGCTGTGCAGATTACGACAAAAAAAATTATGCATAATATGAATACATTACACATTCCAGTTTGAACTATCCACAAATGACTGTAAACAATAGGGTAATTGAGCATGATATGCCGGGTTTTTTGATGGCACTGACTTGCTGAAACTTGGGATGGTAAAATTGTAACGCGGTTGGATAGCCTTGCAATAATTCTCCTATGACTCGCTTCATACAAAAATTACCACGGTCCCTTCGCACTGAAAGCCACCGGCTGCGTAGGGTTGATGTGGGACTTTTTCTCTCTCTGGAGATTGAGACTCCGTTTTCATTGTCTTTCTCTCACCAGCCACATCATGCCTGAAAGGGCAACCACAGGAATGGCTGCAAGTCGTATGAACAAACCTAAAAACATATGAATGGTATTTGTAACAGCTATTATTTGGTGCAAATATGGGTATCATATCTATACTCCTCTTTACTTCTAGAAATTCCCTTTTTTCCCAAAGCGTGCTCATCCTGCCTACCGCGAAATACTGTATCATACATATATGTCATATTCGAACCAACCATTCCATGGTTGAGTATCATGGTCAGAGAAATGTTTTCGAGCAAAGGCGAGAACAAATGCATGTTGACAAAGAGAAGCTTCTGTCTAACTTTTTGTCTGGCACATACAGCACACATGGCTTTTTTCTTTTCATTTCAAAGTAATCGTGATATTTTTGGGGCTTTGGGTCTATAATCGAAGATTTCGTTCAACATATCTTTTTTTTTTTTCTCGGGCCGTGCATACCAGATGCGGAGATGAGTAATTGACTGCGTGTAAAAAATATATGAGCAGCAGTGCCAGTTAAAAGTACTGTAGTAAGGATGCTACAGTTTTTGCAGGACCAATGAAAGTCGACGTGAATTGCGATGTATTTCACTGAGGAAGCCGGCGGTGGTTGCAAGACAAGCGAGTAGGCAATGAAATCGCTGGCAATTGTCTAGTCATACAGAGCTTCTCTTTTATTTTCAAGTCCTCGAGTATTGTTTGTGTTTCCATGTGGGTATCGTGTGTGCATGAACAAATACCTCATTTATGCAATTGCACCGATATATTTTGTTTTGAAGACATCATATCCGCACTATGTCGCACATCAGCAAAGCACATGCTCCAAAATCCCGAGCCAGCCTATCCTTTTTGCTCAATCTAATTGATTAAAAGGAACTTGCATGGTTACAACCGAAGGATTACAAGCTTGCGTGCAGGACTATTTTCTACCTATGCTGTGAAACTGAAGCCATTGAGGGCGCTACGTTTGCTTTGACCAATGAAACCATGTCGGAGTTACAACGTGAAGTTTCAGAAACAAGGCCCGGTTCAGAAAGCCATGGAAAAGTCAGTCCGACCATTGACTGGTTTCACCATATGAGATAATTCATATCCGACCATGCTAGTCGTCGATTTGGGGACTTTATTTGTAAGATGGCACAGAAAAGCACCATTGGTGGGTTACATTATACCAATATGAAGGAGGGTGTATCTGAGATACAACTTGTCGAAAAAATTCGTCGTCCACTATGATCTGATTCCTTTAATTTTTTCTGCTTTTTGCCATTTCGTCAGATATCAAAGCTCCGGAGATGTGAACGGAGTCGGAAGGCCCGTAACAGGGCAAAAAAAAAAAAAAAAAAAAAAAAAAAAAACCACTTCTGCTGGAGTTTGTACGTCATACTCTCTCAAACAGTAGCCGACCATTTGCATTTTGAACAGCTTCAGGTCGAAGCTTACAGGGTTGTGGAAAAAAATACAAACATCTCTTGCGGTTGGACCCCTTCCATAAAAGAAGCTTGTTCAGGGCAAACCGGGAACATTATACAAGCATTACAATTTTTTGGGGTTTGCGACCCGATGGAACCGCTTTTTGTTTTCGAAAGTGAATCCAAATATAAAATTGCAACTGTGTGCAAGCGAGCTTCGTGCGCTGCAGTTTTTGAGTTGGCCTGCGTTGTCAGACGCTACGCAACAGATCCATGGATGGTGCAACCAGGAAAAAAAATGCAACAAAGCCCTATACCCGATGATACCCGGTTGATCTGGTAAAAAATCGTATGTCATCTGGATCGAATCGAATAAACTAGCGGCCGATGACTTTTTTAATCTTTCCAGTTAAAGGGCGACAACCGTGAGTCAAAGCACCAAGGCTAGGAGACCAGAGGGTGGCAAGCCAAGGCAAGTCAAGGCAAGCCAAGCCACTGTTTCTTTGTTAATGCCATGGTTCAAACTTGTGGCCATAATACTGGTGAGGGGAAAATAGCTCTTAGGACCGGAGCGAGGATCATTGATTATAGCCAACACCTATAATCAAATACGACGTCTGTCATTGAATTCATCTACCAATCACAGACCACACTAAAGTCAAGAAAATAAAGTTCAGCTCGGTTAATATAGCAACCCCATACTATTCTCCACTTCTTTTTCTTTTCTTTTTCCTTTTTACTTTCAAATCGAAAAACGTCTTTTATAACCATGACTGTCCAGCGTTATCTTCTCGTGAAAGCCCAAAAGGCCGTTTTATCTCCTGCCGATGAAGCCACTCCCGCTTCCGTGCTCATCGATCGCGAAACTGGCAAGATCGTCGAAGTCGCAAAGAATGGCGCTGCTTTGAACACGACTGTTGCTGAAAGTGATTTGGAAACCTTGACCTTGGCTGACGATCAAGTGCTCATGCCTGGTTTGGTGGATGCTCACGGTGAGTTTTTTTATAAATTACCAAGGCGGGGGGACAAATCTTTCTTGTTGACCTGGAAATTAAAAAAAAAAATTGTGGAGAAGAAACATGGGATGACTGATGTGAGATCTTTTTTTTCGGATCATGATACATATAGTTCACTTGAACGAACCTGGACGTACGGAATGGGAAGGTTTTGAGACTGGTACTCGTGCTGCCGCTGCTGGTGGTATCACCACCGTCATTGATATGCCCTTGAATGCTATTCCTCCTACCACCACTCCCGAGAACTTTGAAATCAAGTTGAATGCAGCTGAGGGTCAGTGCCACGTTGATGTCGGTTTCTGGGGTGGTGTTATTCCCGACAATGCTCAACACTTGCCTGCTTTGATGAAGCGTGGTGTGCGTGGTTTCAAGTGTTTCTTGATCGAAAGTGGTGTGGATGAGTTCCCCTGCGTCAACGAGGAACAAGTGCGTTTGGCCATGGACCAAATGATCAACAGCGACAAGGTGTTCCTTTTCCACGCTGAAATGGAAGGTCCCGAAGAGACTGAAGCTCCCAAGGAAGAATTGGATCCTCGTACCTATGCCAGCTTCTTGAACTCCCGCCCTCAAAAGTTGGAAACCAATGCCATCGAAATGATCATCCGTCTCACCCGCGAATACTACCAGGCTGGTAAGCCCGTCAAGACTCACATTGTCCACTTGTCGGCCGCCTCCGCTATTCCCTCTATCCGTCAGGCCAAGGCTGAAGGTCTGCCCTTGACCGTTGAAACCTGTTTCCACTACCTCAACTTCACCTCCGAGGCTATTCAGGATGGTGCTACTCACTTCAAGTGCTGTCCTCCTATCCGTGAAGCCATCAACCGTGAAGCTTTGTGGGAAGCCTTGCTCGATGGTACCATTGACTACGTCGTCAGCGATCACTCTCCCTGCACCGCTCAACTCAAGAAGCTCGAAGCTGGTGATTTTGGTCAGGCCTGGGGTGGTATTGCCAGTGTCCAATTCGGTCTTCCTGTCCTCTGGACTGAAGGTCGCAAGCGCGGTGTCACGTAAGTTTCTGATGATGATAAGCAAAAGCTCAGGTTGTTGTGTGACATCCTTCTGACTCGGGATCTTTATTCGATATAGTATTCAACAAATTATCAAGTGGCTCAGTGAAGTGCCTGCTCAGCGCACTCAGCTCGATCATAGAAAGGGCCATGTTCGTGCCGGTCACGATGGCGATTTGGTGATCTGGCGTCCCGAAGCTTCCTTTGAAATTCAAATCAAGGATATCCATTTCAAGAACAAGTTGTCTCCCTACGTCGGTTATAACCTCTTTGGTGCTGTTGACCGTACCATTGTTCGTGGCCAGACTGTGTTTGACCGCAACACCGAAGGTCTCTTCGCCGCGAAGCCTTTCGGTCAATCTATTCTCCAGTAAACCGAAAAAAAATACAAGCAAGCCAAAAATTAGATTACGTTTAATCGTGTAAGCGATCATCCTAGTAGCTGTATATCATTATTTGCCAAAATAAAAACGCATGTTAGATTTCCCCACTTCAACCTTTTTTCACATCAGGAACGATCCATGTTTTCAAGCGCTGACGCCATCAACAAAAAGTTGACGAATACAATATCTTGGAGAACCAATTAAACAACGTGTCATCATTGCAAACCAGCGGGATTGGGAGTTAGGGGTGGGGCATGGGTGTAGAAGAAATTTTAAGTGTCTTAGACGGGATGCTGTCGATAGTAGGCAATGCGGGATTGATAGTAACTGTAATGGGTATTCCAAGGTGATAAAAAAGCAAATTTTGGATCGCCCGTATGCCGTTGACGAATCCGGGTTTCAAGCTCAGGACCAGCCTTGGCTACAAAGCGAGCCGTTTTCTCAATGACATCGTTTTCGGCATCGGACAGCACAGGAGCTGAAGATTGGGATACAGGTGGTTGAGCGGTAGAGGATGATGATGTTGTTGGTTGAGATGATTCGTTTTGTTCGGTATCTGACTCTTCGCTACTGCTGTCACTGTCGCCGTAAACTCCCAGTCCTGTAGAGGAAAGGAAGATGATGTGTTTGTAAAATGGATACAAGGGATCGGATTTGTTCAAAAATGAGTACAAGCGATTATTGGCTTGTCGTGCCTGGATACGAATTTCCGCCAGATTGGCATGCTTTGACGCAGCGACGGTGCGTGCTACCTGGTCGATAATATCTGCTTGTTCTTGCGTCGAAGGCTAAAGTCCAAGCAAGTACTAAAAGGTTAACTACCATCGGTATTGCCATGTTCGTTCAATCTTCTTACCAGAACCATGGACGGAGGCACTTTGTATTTTTTGGCCAAGGAAGCCTGGACGGGCGTGATGGGATCGGGGGACGACTGGGTGTCGTCATCGTAACGGTATGCATGGAACTGCGTTTTTCTTTTGACGTTGGCATCGTTTGTATTGTTGTTGTGTTGATGTGAATCATTATTAGAAGATGCTGTTGTCAATCGCTTATTTACTAGAACGAACAAAAAAGATTCATCAAAGATTCATGAGCCATGTTGATCCGGGAAAGAATTCCCATTTTGGTGAGTGGTCGTACCCAGGTACTGTTCTCGTTCTGTGTCACTCGCATTGAATAGATATTCTTCGTCTGAATCCAGGTCTGCATATCTCTCTGAATCATATTGCTGTTCTTCCGCTACTAGAGTCGAATCCACGTCACTGTTTAAAGCGTCACGGAAGGTGTCCTCATCCAGCAAATGACGCACATCGAATCTATAGGCTCCATGTGAGCATCAAAAGGGAAATAAAAGCTCGTCTTTTGAGGTGACCGTACCTGTCCATTCGCAAAGTCTGGGCATTGTCACTTTGCCAAGGAATGAGACCGTGTCCTTCTTCGATTTTCTTGGCCGTGACATGGTCGTTGAATAAACGAGCTTCGTATCCAAAGACGAGTAGTTCTTCTTCGACGGCGTCTGGTTGGTGCTTGTGACGTTTGCGTTGAGATGGAGACGATGAATCACCGTGAGGGGTTTTACGGTTGGATGGAGTGAGGAGTTGCTCACTGAGAAAAGATGCAGAGTGCATAAGTAAGAAAACGAATGCGAGTCACTGTGGCAATGTAGTGGCGCCAATTCAAAGACGGAAAGGGGACAAAGCATGTCACTTTCCCTTTTTTTGCTCTCTCTGCAAGCGCGGGATTTATTTTTTCTGATTTGGTGGACTTTTTTTTTTTTTTTCCCTTGCCTTTTGCTTGTCATCATGGCATCTACCCTCAGAGGAAAAAAGCGATGGGTCATTGGAACGGTCGCATTTCTCTTTATTGTCCAGTTGCTATTCATCTACAGGAGAAGGACTCCTGCTGTACCTGCCCCACCGTTGCCTGTTCGGGATATACCGTCCTACTGGCCACCACCCGTTGAAAATGCAGTGTGCCGACCAAAGATCTACGTCTACGATGCGCCTGACTCGTTCCAAGTTCCGGAAACTGTACGCAATGAACGATGCCACGAATCCAACTACAACTCGGAAATCATTCTCTACAATCAGCTCAATGATCCCAGTAGTATGATTCACAAACTCTACGTCACCGACAATCCGGATGAAGCGGATTTCTTCTTTATACCCTTTTTTGGCAGTTGCTATCTCTACAACTGTTGGTCGAAAAATAATTGGAAGTGGGACGAACGATGTGAAGTGGATGCGCAATATGTCGATCCCATGATGAATTTCGTTATTCAGCAACATCCTTGGTGGAATCAGACCAATGGTCGAACCCACATCATGATCCATCCCATGGATCAGACTTTTACATACTACCAAAGTAACCCACGATTCCAGCCGGCCATCTTCATGAAAACGGTGGGTGATAAACGAAGTAAATGGATGCACCGTCATCGGTACCATCGCGATATTGTGATTCCTTCCGCGACCCGTATCATCCATCACTTACAATTGGACCCTTTGACGTACTTGACCGAAGACGGACATCCCAAAACAGGCAAGCGGGACATCTTTGCTCTTTTCCAAGGCTGCTGCCCTGACGTTACGGTTGATCAAGAGTATTCCAACGGCATTCGATCCCTTTTCTTCAACCACTTTAGCAAGTATCCCGGTTACGAAATTGGACAAACATTGGCCGATCTGGAATACGCGGAAAAACTGGCCCATGCCAAATATGGATTGAGCCCTATGGGATGGACTCTGGATACCACTCGCATCTGGGAATTTATGGCTTTTGGTGTTGTCCCTGTGGTGATCGCTGACGGTATTATCGAACCTTTTGAATTTGATGTCGACTGGGATTCGTTTATTGTTCGTGTGCGACGAGATGAAGTCCATCGACTGGATGAGATTCTGCGTGGTATCGATGACAAGACTTATGAATACAAGCGTCAGAAATTGTGGGAATATGGTCGACGCGTTGGCCTGGAGAAGGATGCTTGGCATTACATCGTGCGTGAGTTGTGCCGAATGGAGCATATTGACAAAGCAGAGAATCTCGAGTTGGGCTATTGATGATGTTGGAAAAGCTAAACATCGAAATCCATTTCTTTTGTGCGATTTCATTCCACATCTTTTTGTATGTAATATAGTAATGAAACTACGAAAACTGAAAAGAAACGAAAAAGAAAAATGTTATCTGTTGTAATATTGTATTTTAGTTTTTCTTTTTTGTTCGTCAACAAAACATGTAAAGCATTTCTTTTATTGCACTGCGCGGTTTGTCTTGTGTATGTGTGTGAAAATAATGTGTCTTTCTGTGGATGGTGGGTGGTTTTTTTATTTGATTCTATATTATTACATGCCTCTCTGCTTCATTTGCATAATAAGAGCGACCTTCTTCTTGATCATGGCACCAAACAGTTTTTGGTTACGTTCTCTTCTCTGTCGTCTCCGTGCGACCGCCGGTTTTTCGTAATACATATTAGCTCGCAATTCTCGTCGAACATTGTTTTGTGCGAGAATGGAGTTTAGTTTGCGGTAAGCGACGTTGGGATTAGCCACATTGCCGATGGAACGTCCTGCATATGGTTCAAGGGAAGTCGACAATTCTTTGGGGACCGAGAGATCAGCGTTGAAAAGGCTGGGCATGACATTGTCTGCGAGATCCGTTGGTGCGGAGGAATCCTTTGCATTGGTCGACATGGAACGGATCCATGGCATAGAAGGTGTGGAAAAGAATCGGCGCGAAAGGCCCAATACTGATGCTCGCAAGGCCATGGTGTACGATGTGTGTATCAAAAAAAATAAGAAAAAAAAAGTAAAGGGACCTGGATGATTTACATGGTCAGCGTTCGTCCGGCCAAACATGGTCACTGTGACTGCTCTCCCGCTTTGGTCCGGAAAACTTTTTTTTTCCAGCCCCACTGGGTGGAACAGAAAAGCTTTGATATCGTGTTGTGATAGACCTATCCGTTGGTTGCTTTTTTGACTGAAGCTGCAGTGAGCTTATTCTGAACTTGATCACTGCGACAAATTCGTTCTTCTTTGTCGGCGGCACGCTTTAAATAACAGCTCACTTTTTGTAAAGGTGGAGTCTGGATTCCGCTATACCGGCCGCGGTATTCGTTTGGCGCACCCTGCTTCTGATATTTTCTGATCAAAAAATGTTTAAAGCTTCAATTTGAACGGACAAATCAGACTATAAAATAATGATTTATCTGTAGAGGCACTATTCGTTTTGGCGGCGATGATTGGTCTGGGCAGCCTAGTGAACCATCAGACTCATAGATCGTATTCCTAGCGATGAGCCAGTTCAAGGGATGATGAAGAATTTGATGGGCTCTATTTTTAAACTGCAAGGATGAATCGGCGTTCTTGATGCACCTCAAAACAGACAGAGGGAACTCAGTAAAGGAAAAATGCGGCATTTTTTTTTCGCATGGTTTTTATCTTATCAAAACCAAAAGATTGGTTCCCAAGCAACGATTTGATACGTTTAAATGATAGCGGTCCGTTGTATTTCAATACGGATCGACGTAAAAAATAATGAATACAGGAAAGTTGATGAGTTAGAATTTCTTTTTTCTTTGCACTGTGGGCCGGTCGGTGGCGGGGTTCTTATCTATGCAAAAATAGACAAACCTCCCCAGAAAATGCCCCACGACCGCGAAAAGCTGCATGTCTTTTTGGAAGTTATCACAGATGGGGGCACTGGATGAACTCGAATAGGATTTGCCACGATGGTGAGCAGGACATTAGGCTTTCTCATGAATGGTCTGTCCGGTGATAGTACGTGTTGATATCTATTCCTTTTTTTTTTGTTTTTGGCTTCCCTGCAAGGTCATATGGAACGGATAGATTCTGCAAGTATAACATCACCTAGACAACTTTGGCTTTGCTTTGAGAGGTTCCTTGGAAACAGTAAAGATAAAGAAAGTTTGAAAATGCTGTGCCATGAACTTGGTGATGGTGCGATGGAAAGCGATGAAGGAGGCACAACAGGTTTAGAAACGGTGAAAGGATGATGTTACATGTTCAAACTGCGTGATATTTGCAGAATGACACAAGGACTCCCGTATAAGGGCTTATGTTTCAACTGTCAGCTGCCAAAACATGCTACGTAGTGCAAAATGTCATGACCTGAATATTAAATGACATTCGTTCATTCTATGCACCAGATCAACAAGAGAAAAAAAAATATTATATGTCACGTTATGTCCGGCAGGGTGTCTTTTTGGCTTGGCGGCAGTGTTACGACAACGACGATGTGCACTAACGTCCTTAATATTTTTATTTTTTATTTTTTTGGCACCGGCAGCTGACAGCTGACTTGTCTTTGTATTATATTTTACGGTGACACTGCAGACAGAATAAAAGAAGACAAAAAAGACAGCCTTCTTATAAAGATCTTCTTTTGTTTCTTTTCTTTTCCTTTTTTCTCTTTCTCACAGTTTTTTGGGGGGTTGCCTTGCTTTTTTTTTGCCTTATAAAATCATTACCGGTTTTAGCGAACAAGATGCTACGAGTGTATTCCGTGCTTTACCTTGAACACGTATGGTCCAGCCTTCGTGATTCACCCAGTGCCGCAACCCTTTCAACTACCACTTTTCCTTCCGGCAACACTGAACAACCACAGGAAATCGTTCCTTCGCCTACTCACTCTTCAGAGTCATCCGTATCCGTGCAGAATGCGTTATCGCATGCTCACCAACAATGTGAAGTACAGGAACCCGCCTCTGTTACGGACAAAACATCCCATGTAGTACCACGTAAGTACTTTGGGTCTTGGTCGATGCACCTTGCTGTAATATATGCCGTGTATTGAGATTTGTTTTGGTGTGGATGTATAGGAATCCAAGAGGGCGACAAAAACGAACTATCACCGTTGAAGATCTTGCATCATGCAGATCATAAGCATGCAACAGAAGCGGAGCAACAATCAATACCCGATTCACAAGATGCAGTAAACGACCACCACTCACCTTGGAATGAAACAACAACCGATGAAAATAAAGTCATCATTGTGGATGAAAGTCTGACAGAAAGTCCGGTAGAAACGAGCAGATTAGAGGAAGAAACGGCTTCATCTTCTGCGGTTGTAAATACGTACAGCCGAATCGATTCACAAAGAGTGTCATCGAGTGCCTCGTCCTCCGTCAACAGCATGCCTCCGACTCCGACCTCCGTTCAATCGCCGCTTAGCAAAGGCAAAAATCGACTCCGAAAGGAAACCGGTAAACTCAACGTGAAGCGCAAGACATTTACAAAGAAAATCAAACGTGCCTTCTCCGTCAAGCGCGATTCCATGTAGTATCTAAGAAGAAGAAAGAGAAAACCCCCTTTCCATTGTTATGTTTAAACATCTATATATCATTATTTTTTATTCTATTTTTTTCGGTCCAAAACCCTACTACTGTATAAAAGAGCCTTTTTCCCATTTTTTTCTCCTTGGTTTTTAGTGAACCTACCTTATCGTTATGGCCTGTAACCTGCTTCAACAGGAAAAAAAAAAATCACACCCTAAACAGTTGGAAAATGACATTCTGAGTTGGAAAGCGGATATCCAAACCTACAAAAGTGCCACGGTGTTAGCACTTGAAGCACAAGCAATGTGCAACCATGGCAAAAAATTGTGGCCAGTCTACGACATCAGGTGCCAAACGTTGTTTTAAACATTTTCATAATCATTAATGTTCTGATGTTTATTTTTACAAGGAAACAATGAGTGAGAGAGCATGGGAAAAAAACAAGGACAAAGAGTATCGAAAACGAATGACAAGAAAGCATCAGATGCGGAAATAACAAGAGAAGAAAAACGAAAAAGAATGGTGTCAGGCATGGCTTCTTTTACAAATTCAAATCTTTGCTGCAACTTTTCCAAAGGGCGCGTTCAATTTTTCTTTTCTTCTTTTTAACGATGGTGATGCGTGTGGTTTTTTTTTTTTTTTTTTGCTAACATGTTATCGAAATGAAGGCAAAAGAGGGAAGATGGAAATAAAAGACAGTTGCAAAAAAGAAGGACGAATAATCATTCTGCTGGAACTCGATCCTTGGCGGATGCAGCGGGAAGTGGAGTGGGGGCAGAGTTGGGTATTGTATGCGGTCGGTGAAACATCATGCCTGGTGGTGCACGTAGACTTTCCAGACCAACCACGCCATTGGCTTGTGCAACTGGGCATTCTTTGTGGGCCAGCAAAAGTGTCTTCAAGTTCAATATTTCTTCACGTAACATCGTCGCTTGTCGTTGCAAGTTCTCGTTGTCCGTCGTTAAAAATTCCACTTTGACTTGCAGGTTGGCCAACCATTGCTTTTTGCGCTGTCGACATTTCAGTGCAGCTACAGAAAAACGAAATAAATATAAGCCTCTGTTCTTTGTCAATCATCTGCATCATTCATTCTCTGCATATGCCATGAAATAATAACAATAACAATAATAAAAAAGCCTCGGCCCCTGTGGCTCCATATACTTCAATTCCTCCCTCTCCTCACCTCCCTTTCTTTATTCCATGACTTTTTTTTTTTTTTGTTTCCCGTTGCCCGTACCTTGTCTATTTCTTTCCAGGAAGGTTTTGCGTTTTTCTTCTTCGTCTTCCGTTTCTCGACTTTGTCGTCGCCTTGATACATTGGGCATTTGTAAGGAGCTTTCGGTATGACGTCGATACCGTGGAGGTGGCATCGGATGTTGTGGAGGGGAATATCCTTGATGAATATCAGGTAGGCTGCCACGGTGATGAGGTACGAACTCCGAACCATTCTCGTAGTAAGACCCGTCTAGAGCGGTATTTAAACATGGATTTAGTTACGTCGTGTTTCTTTTTTCGGAAGACGATCATTTGCTATATGCGTCTATCTTTTTTTATTTTTTTGGGTCTTGGGAAATATTTACCGGTGGCGGAGTTGTTCATTGACATGAACCGATAAGAATCATTTGCTGCGACAGGGTCAGATGGACGATGATACATCAAAGGAACTTGTCCTGGAGGAGGATAAGGTGATGCATACGAGTGCTTGGACATAGCAAACGCTCGATTGTCCGGGGCAACGTGATCCCCGTGTCGCATTTCCCACATTTCAGGTAACGTTGACGCTGAACTTGTCGAAGACGACGGTGTTACAAACATGCCTACCGACGAGTCATGACGTTGACGGAGCTGATCTTCGGTATTGGCAGAGGCGTCCATGATAGAAAAAGCCGAAGGGTCAAAAGGGTTATTGTTATCGAGATTCAGCTCGGTACATTGTTCAAGAAACTGTGATGGGGTCATGTCATCACCGTCTCGTGAACGATCGCCACTGGTTTCGTGTTGAGCAACTGTAATCCGAGAAGAGACCGAGAAAAAAATACGCAAATACACACAAAATAGAACAATGAATATCCCGTTGTATTGATATTTTTTTTCTCTTTTCGTTATGCAAAAAAAAAGACCACTTACTCATTGGTATATATGTATCAAAGCAGAAAAGTAATACCAGTATCCAATGCACAGATAGCTCAAAGAAAAAAGAAAATAGAAGGAAAAAAGAATGTTTGCCTGTTTCTTTAACGGAGGATCTTTTTTTTTTTTTTTTTGTGTGGCTCCTGTACGGATATTTATTGTTGTAGCCTAAATTTCAACCGACGCCTGTTTTTTTATTTCGACTTCCGGCACTCATGAGAAAACGCATGACACCATCCAATGAGGGACAATCTGACATCATCCTGATACATTTTGCAAAAAGCTTTGGCATATGGTTTAATGTAAAAATGGGTCTAACCATATTTTACGCTATGATGGTTCCTAATGGGCTCGAGCGCTCCTTTTACAAAAAAGAAAACCCCTTCTCAACATTAGGTCATGTTTCGATACTTCTAGAAGCCAACAAATATGGAAGAACCGCTGCATGGTTGCGACGCCAGAATAGCGTCGTCCAATTCCTCCTCGGATAATTTAGGAAAATGTGACTTGTAGTATGTTTGCTTGATGGCGCTGATGAAGTTTTCCACCTTGTTGCTCGGTACAAGTGAAACGGTGGCCCCTCCCCTACACGTTCTCGACCCGCATTAGCTATTGTTCTTTTACTGATACAAAAAAAAAAGAAAAAACGATTGCCCTTACCATCCAGCTCCGGATAATCGTGATCCAAGCGCACCGTGACTGAGAGCCAACTGCACCATTTCATCGATTTCAGGACAAGAACAATTGAATAGATCTCGGCACGATTTCTGGGATGCATTCATGAGGTCGGCTAGTTCGCGCATGACTTGTTCCGAGTCGGAAGGAGGACTGTTGCAAACAGCGTCAAATTCGACCACACGCAACGCTTCACCAAACACGTGCGTGGCTCGTTGATGCAGACGATAAATGTCGGTCTCAATAGGGAATCGCGTCATGTATCGCTTCACCAAATCGTCTTGGGTTGTGCCACTCAGAACGGCCAGTTCTTCCAACTCGTAACCTTTTCTATTCGAAAAAATCTCGTCCACCAACTTCAACATAGCCCTCAGTTGCGATCTTTCGTCCACGTTTTGACCTTTAAAATGTTTGTCCATGACTTCTTTGTAGTTTGCCACGTTGTCTTGGATACCGAGCTTTTTAGCCATGATCAGTGCGCCGATCGCCGTTTCCACAACACGGAGATTATAGTTTCTTGAGGCGGTGGTGAATTTATCTGCTGTGACCAACGTGTTTGCAATGACAAACACCATTTCAGGTTTTGTTTTTGGCAAAGGCACGGGCGTGCAATTCAACTTTGGGACGAACTCGACGTGAAGCGCGAAACCTTTTTGAGCAAACACTGAAGCGCTCTGATCCATGCCTCCGGAATTCACACCGACATTGCGTTCGGCGACAATGGCGACTTCGGTTAATTCCTGTTTCGACATTGGCAACTTGTTGGCCGTGATGACCGCCAAGGCCGATGCGCATACAAAAGCCGCGGAAGATGAAAGACCGGATCCCGGAGGTACGGTGCCGTCCACTAACAGAAACAGACCCTTGGGACGATCGATGTTTTCCGCACGTTCAAGCATACCCTAAATTTTTTTTTTACATCCGCAGAAAAAAAATAGACATGAAACACATGGTCTTTCAGTCTTATTGCCACGGTACGGAAAAGGGTTGAGGAGTCATGAAACAATCACGCTACCTTGTAACCGCATTTGAAATAATTGGACCATTCCAAGACGGTGGAATCAATTGTTACAATCCCGTCCTTGCCTTCGTAATTGAATTTACGTGCATGATATTTCGGATTCATATTGGCGATTTGGACTTCGGTCGTTTCGTCCGTGCAAGCAACAGCAATCGCGACGTCTCGTTCAATCGCCATGGGTAGCACACCAAAACCACAGTAATCGATGTGTTCGCCGATTAAATTCACACGACCAGGTGAGCGAGCAATAAATTCAGGCTGACGACCGTACAGTTCAGTAAACTTTTCGATAAGTTGGTTGTAACGAACCCTGAACAAAGTGTTAATGAAATGAACAAAGTTTTTAGTGCCATGGCGGGATTCTGGAAAAAAAAAAATAGCAGAGGGAAAAAGGGAAGAAAAAAATTGAGTAACTCACCCTTGTTTCCCAAGGGTCGTTTTGTCGTAAATCTCGTCCAACGATCCAAAAGTGGGAACATGCGACATGTTAGGATAAGAATGGAAGTACCAATAGAGTACAAACGAAAAAGAAAAAAGAGATAAAAAAAGGAAGGAAAAGGTTAATGAAAAGCCTCATATAGTGCGAAACCAAAAAAATGAATGCGTTGCATTGAAGTTCAGATCCAATCAGTGTTTGCCCGTTTCGATCACATAAGCAATTTTTCCTGTGTTACGGGGGGACATCGTCACGAGCCTTCTTCCGAGGAAGAGGTCAATCCTTGGAGCAGTGGACCCTTTTTTTTTTGGTTCGCTTACACTGCATGCTGCCTCTTTACTGCGTGGCCTTGACAGTAGTAGTTGCTCGTCCCATTTATTATGCCAGATTATAGACTTTTTTGTAGGGGTTTCGGCTCCCCAGTAATAGCGTTTCTCACTGATCCGAAAAAAAAATAAGGCCAATAATCATTGGAGATGGGATGACCGAGGCAAACCCTTTATTTTTTTCCACCTATTTTTGTTTTCTTTTTTTTTGGGGGGGTTATTTCTTATAGCCTTTTTTTTCTACTTTTTGTATACAACGAACCCTATTATAAAAAAAAAAAACTATTAGCAAAAGCAGAGTTCAGTACCTAGTTTGTCCATTCTTGCATGTATACATCTCCCTCCTTGTCTGCACCCATAAAACAAGAAATGGCCGTACCACGACATCAAGGAGGCATCACATCCGGTAAGTTCAATTCGGACTCTTTTTTCTTTTTATCAGGTCACCTCATGTTGACCAACCTTGATTCACTTATTTTCCCTTCCTGTGTAATATCGTTTCTTTTTTCTTTTTTGGCACAGACCATCGACACTCTCCCCCGAGACCATTAGATAATCCGCCGCCATGGAATCAAGGCGTGATATTAGGTAAGCTTTCACCCTGGAACACAAGGTTTTCGAATGGGGTATAGCAGCACGCAACTTTAGAAAACGTAACCTTGGTATTTACCCATTGTTAGGCAACCATTCCCCATCCCAGTTACCGCCCTCCCATTATATAATCACACGATCCGACTCTGACAATACAGGATCAAGGGAACAACTCATGCCGTCTTCTTCTTCGTCTTCATCCTTAGCCAACAAATCAGCGTATCCGTACCCGACTATTAGCCAACAGGAGGCAGCAAAAGCGGCACGAAACTCCAATCGAGCCGTTATTCCTTCCAAACGAGCGGCTCAAAATCGGGCTGCTCAAAAAGCATTTCGTCAGAGGCGAGAGCAATATGTACGGGACCTGGAACAGAAAGCGAAAGAAATGGATGAATGGAAAGATGAAATGGATCATTTGCGTATGGAGAACCAGGAGCTCCGAGATATCATTCGTTCGCTCGAGAAAAGGATTTCGAATCTCACGGGCGAACCGATCCCAACGTCTTCTTCGTCCTTTTCAGCCCAAGGAACGTATGCCTCCAGTGCAACCACGCATCATAATACATCACCATCTACGCGTGGCGCTTCTGCAAATGATGGGCTGAATCCTTCTACGCGTCGTCGAGCGATTTCCGTATCGGACACGAACACCACCAATGTGAAACAGTTACGGACAGACAATCGTGTACTAACGCCTATACCTCTGCACGCCCCAAAACGCTCGGCTACTCATCCTCAGTCTCACCCTGCTCCTTCGTCACAAGCTAATGGTGCAAGAAAACCCGATCATGCCTCCGGTTATGCGATACCTGTCGATGTCATGCGCACTTCTTCCACTTTATCCATTTCCTCTCCATCGGACCCTGCTCCATCTCTCCCTTCAGCCCCTAGAGATGATACGATTCTACCAAAGCACGCACCCGTTCTTTCCCCTTCCCCTTCCTCTTCCGGCCCCAGTGCACGGATGATGCCATCATTTGAACAACAACAACAACAGCAGCAGCAGGTCCACCATCCCCACCATCAGCAGCAGCAGCCGCCACAACAGGAACCGCCTTTATCGCCATCACGTGAAATCAAACAAATGATGGATCCGTCTCCGCGGAACGCATCCTTGACTCGATCTCTCTCCTTATCTGCCACACCGCACTATCTCCCATCATCTCGCCATACTCTTTTGCCGACGTCTCCCCCTTCGAGCGAACCCCCTTCTACTTCCGATTTGTTAGCTTTGCAACATCCTGGGCAGGAACTGGATATTGCATTTGAATTTGATCCTTTCTTTGACGATGAGTTTGGCCCTTCGCCAACTACCAATGACTTTGTGTCCAACGCTACCAGTGGTCAGGTGCTGGATGACTTGTTTGCTATGCTGCAGACACGTCAACGACCTCAGATACCCGTTCAGCCTACTACCACTATGCCCTCGGTCATTGATCACGGTAATCGTTCCGACAATAACTATATAAGCGGCAGAATGAGCAGCCCTCGCTGATCACATACTGTTGAAAACCTTTGGCGAATCGAAACATGACCGTATCTGTCTTTGTTGTATTGACTATCAGATGTACTTTTTTTTTCTTCTTTTCTATGCTTCCTGAATTTTTCTCCATAGTCTCTTTCTAGCGTCTGTGTGTGTATTATATTATCTTAGCTTCCATTTTTTTTTTGTTGTTTACAGACACGTTTATAGATGAACTACAAGAATAACATGCTGCATCTGCGTCTCTTACTGACTTCTAAATCTGTTACTTGGACTATGTTTTGCGAATCCATTGAGTATACCAAGGTAAAGAAGAAGATGACATTTGTTGTCAAAGGAGATCGACTTTATTCCGTCATTGGAAACAAAATCCAAAGCAGGAGCTGAACCTGTGATTGATAAAGTTGCCCTGTGTTGCAAAATTGACCTGCTATTAGCATTTGCTCACCGGTCTACTAATCCAATGATTATTGTCCTCAATCCTAGCCAGTAACATGAGTTCTTTTTCTTTTCCTGTTTCATGAGAATGCACTATATAGATTCCTAATATTGTAACTATTTTTTATTCGTCATCTATATAACACAATTCGTGGGTTATAAATGAAAATGTCAATTTTGAAAATATACAAGAAGTCAAGGGTTAAATGTGTGATTTTCTTTTTTAAACAGTGGAAATATCACGGCCCCACAAGGCACGTTTGGTCCAATCGAGACTCAAGTTCATACGCGTTCGTGTGCTGACTTGTTCACTCCAGTACACACTGCGCCAGAGATACATAGCCCAGAGACCGCCGATCATCTTGTATCCCCAATTAAACTCGCCGACCGCTGTATTACCGAGGTAGGCCAATGTACCCAAGTGGCGGTACTGGAATGGGCCGTACTGATGCTTCACTGTGTTTTCATCTTGACCCGCAATTTGGGACAGGTATTTGCCGAGGTAAGTACCTTGCTGATTGGCAACTTGGGCAGTCTACAAAGCATCATGATCATATATCAGCTGCTTCATTTCCCCCAAAAAAACATCGAATCAAGTCTTTCTCACCGCAGGCAGGTTTGTCATTTTACTGTCGATATCTTTCAACATCTTTCTCATTTCATCAATATCAAGAGTACCACTGTTATCCGCATCGTAAGTCTTAAACAGTTGCATCAACTTGCCAAGATGTTGTTGGGTCAAAGGGAATCGCGTACGCATATGATCGACCGCTTTGGCGAATTCTTCCAAACTCAATGTACCATCCTTGTTCTCGTCGGCGGCTTCAAAGATATCCATAATGTGGTCCAGCAATTTCGGATTTTCAATGGACGCACAGTCACCCAAAGCATAAATGGAACAATCTTCCACACCGCGTACATGGAGGAAAGCATCCGTCATTAACACACGCTTGTGAGCTTGTACAGGCAATTTCTCGGTAAGTCGACGAGTAAAATCAGTCATGGCTACTCGTTATCGTTAATAATCCATCATTCAACCATCCTTTTCTGTTTCTGATAGATTAAGATTCCATCAAATTTCTACGTACCGATACCAGTAGACCATAAGCAGAGACCGCAAGGAATCGAGTTATAAGTGGGGTTATCGGGATCGCTGTTCTTCAACTTGTACACGACCTTGTCCTCTTCGATTCTGGCAACACGTGCATTCGTGTATACATTGATACGTTCACGCTCAAAACGCTTCTCGGCATATTCACTGATCCTGCTGTCGAACGTGTTCAAAATATGGTCTCTTGACTGGATAATGGAGATGGCAACTTCCTCACGAATCAATTTGGGGAACTAATAATTTGCAACAGTCATCGGACCCATACCGTTAAATCATTTTTTCCCTAACCAAAATCCGTCGACTTACCCATTTCACCAAATCTTCATTGATCCAGTCAAACAATTCGGCGGCAAATTCAATACCAGTAGGACCGCCACCGCAAACAACGAAACTCAACAGACGTTTGCGTTCTTCGGGAGTGGTGGTGGGCAAGCATGCCTTTTCTACGTTACTGGTCACCTTGCGACGAATTTCCATGGCATCGTGAATGGTCTTTAGACGCATGGTGTGCTCGATGCCTTCGATACCGTGAGTGATGGAGGTAGCGCCCACAGCAATGACCAGTTTATCGTAGGGCACATAAAACTCTTCTCCATTGATGCCCGAAACTTGCACAAGTTTGTTGTTGATGTCAAGATCGACGGCGGTACCCTCCAAATAATGACCGCGAATTCGTCTCACAATCTTGCGAATAGGTTCAAGCAGGGATCTAAATGAAATACCCTATTGAATCAGCCCAACCGAAAAAAAACCCCCCCCACTAGAACATATGCATGACGCGAAGCAAAGTCATGACAATTTCATAATACCTCAATTCCAAGGTTCCGACGGTTGCACTGGGTAACAGCGGAGTGAAAAGGAAATAGTTATTCTCGCTAATAAGGGTAACGTCGTACTTATCGGTGTCCATACTCTTAACGACCGATACTGCTCCCCATCCGCTGCCAAGAATAACCAATCGAGGTTTCTGTTCCTTGTTGTCCTTGCATTGATCAAGGTGATCGGTGACGATAGGCAGGTTCTTTTCACCTCCGCGTGGTGGATGTAATGCCAACTCCGACACATGCTCGTGCGCACCTTGAGCGTCTTCGATGTATTCCTTATCCTGCAACAGGGTATAAACTAAAGCGCCCGTGGCGGCGGTGGCACCGGACCATACAAAGAATCGGCGAGCAAAGATTCTTTTTTTCGAAGCGGGCGCTTTGGTGGTGGCGGAGGCAAACTGACGAACAGAGGCACTGAGACGTGGTAAACGGGAAGAAAATCGTGTATACATATGAATAAATAGGGTCTAAGAAGAAAGGCTGACGCACCAAAAGAGGGGACGAAACTGTTTTTGTGCAGAGAAAAAAAGGCGAAAGGGTATCTTCCCCAAATGAACAGATAATATGAAATCTTCGGTGCTTAAATCTCATTGCATCACTGAAACCGCATTTCATAGATGGAAAACGTCATCCCTCTGGAACAGACTTTTTAGGTGAATTTTTCGGTGTAACTTTTACGCTACAACTGAAGCTTATAATTTGGTTTTGGATATGAATGGTACACTTTATCGCCTACGGTACACATCAAATGATAGCAGAATGAGGGAACAAAGAAATAAAAAAAAAAGTTCAAGGATGACTGTATGGGAAATCATTTCGCCCAACTATCAATTGTGGCGTGCAAACACTTGTGTTTATGTTTCAAATAATGTTTTGTATTTGACAGCCTTAAATTATTGTCCACATTCTTCTATCAAGATTAAATAATTGGAGACATTGTCGCACTCGCGAAAGACTTTTTTACCGGTTTCTGGGCCATAAAGTCAAAATGCCCCTGAGACCTAAATTATCCGGAAAAACTTGAAGACCCTTTGGGAATTGGCTCAAGGAATAAGTGCGTCCAAGTATAATCTGGCCAAAACTGAATGATCATAATATCATGTCGAAGCGATCCGGGAGAAACTACGACCATGGTCTGGGGTATTCATGGGGGAGTCAAAATTCATAGACATAGAAATCATTTATAACCCTAAAATACCACATTGCTCGGCAGTGCATGCTTTCTATGCTTTTCCCAAAATTAATGTATGCGACAACAGTTGAAATGAACATTTTCTGATGATGTGTGCAAGTGAACAGCCAGTAAGAAAATGAATGTAAATGTATGAGTAGTATGGCTTTACAGTTTATTCTATTGCATTACAGTGGGAAATGGAGGAGGAATGGCTTCTTTAGGAAATAGTTTGTCGCCCTTGAGTTTCACTGCATCCTTGATTTTCACAAATTGATCATCGAAACCAGGAACAGAGCCTTTGACATATACAAGATTCAAGGAAGGATCAACCTTCACAACCTAGAATAATTTGTACCCCAAATAAGTAAAGCATTTTAACCCATTTGGTCCCCTTTTTTTTTCCAAGAAAACTATACCTTCAAGTTTTGTGTGGTCACACTTTCACCACCAAGACGACCAGCCATTTTTTTGCCCTTGAACACCTTACTGGGCCACTAATAACAATACGAGTTTAAAAAACCTATCCACTTTGTTCTTCCACTGTGTCCCATAAACGTCACTATAACCAGGGAGATTCGTTACCTTGCGTTGACCAGTTGAACCACCGGAACGATGTGTTAATGAAACACCATGGGATGCAGGTAAACCAGCAAAGTTCCATCGCTTCATCACACCAGCGAAACCTTTACCGATCCTATAATGCAACTTTACGTCAGATACTCACTGCTATCTAAACCAAAAATAAAGTATATATAAACATACGATGGTGCTGTCACGTCCACATATTGTCCAACGACGAAATGATTTGCATTTAATTCAGTACCGATGGGGAGAGTGGCGTCTTCGCTAACACGGAATTCGGCCAGTTTCTGACGAAGACCGACACCGAGCTTTTTGAAATGTTCCAATACAGGTTTTGATACGTTTTTCTCTTTCTTGACCGAACAACCGATCTGCAGTGCTGTATAACCATGCTTTTCTTTTGTGCGAACGTCGGTGACAATAACGTCTTCGAGCTAATGCCAGGGGGGGGTAATCCGATGTCAGTGGATCCACTTGTTGCTAAAGGTCAAAACGAAAATAAAAAAAACAACGGTCCTCACCTGAAGAACAGTGACAGGTAATCGCACACCGGTCTCGGACCACAGCGATGTCATGCCCTTTTTGCGAGCAATAACACCGGTGCGAACCGACTGGGGATTCCATTCAGAAGTTGCAGCTGCCTGGCGCTGAGCAGCGGTTGTAGAGAATGTTGCAGCAGCCACCCATCGAGTGGTTAAGGGGGTTGTGAACGATTTTCCCACGAGGGTCGAAGCAAATGATCGAAGCGCCATGGTCGGAAAAAGGAACAAGGAGACGGAAGGCCAAACAAAATATCAAAAACGACAACGGGATACGACAGGCTTTTGGTAAGGCAACATAGGATAACGTGACTGCTGTTTGAAGGCAAGTAATTTTTTTTAGTGACGTTGAAAAATTTAGAAATCATTCTACACATGATTCTCGAAACTCGTTGTCTTTGATCATTCAATACGATGGCGGTGGATATTATCCTTTGTCTGCGATACCCTTCAATTGCATTTTTTATTTGTTTATTTGCTTATTTTCAATCCATCAATACGTGATGGGAAATGAATTCGGGATAGTTAAAAAATTGGGAATAAGGGGGGATGACCGTTTATCCATGCTTGGACAAAGTTTAGGTAGGTAGGCTGGAGACTAGGATACACTATGTCCAGAAAATGGAGTTGGAGTAGAGAGTGGAGGGGGGGATGGTGGATGGTGGACGGCCGAAGAACAGGTCAATAACATGGACCGTTGTCATCCATGCGCACGTTGTACTGAAAATCGCTCTCTCTTGGAGGCCTGTAGAGGACAACCTGCAGGTTGCTTCCCAGCTCTGGTTCGTTATGCGCACTACTCTGGACAAAATCTCTTTGGAGATATCGGATGTGGAATAGCGCTTCGCCTATCGCCGGGATCATGGATGTCATTTTCCCTAGGAGACCTGCCACCCACAATAATCGATCAAGACTTGGATCGGAAAATGACCGTCGAAGCTGCATAAGCGCTGTGGATCGTGCGGTCCCTGATCACGACTTCTGAGTCGTAAAGTCGAAATATTCACCTTTCGTTTCGTTACTTGCGTACTATCATCCGGATGTAAACGCATGCTACCGAGTAAAATGCAACAGTTGATTCTAGGATAAGATGTCGCATCACAAAAGCTTTCGGTATGCTTTCAAGTATTTTTCCCGGAACATATTAAGGGCATCAAATATCGTGTCACTTGAGAGACCAGTGCCTGATACGATGACATGAGCAACCGAGGTTGGTAAGCTCCGGCGTTATGTAAAAGAATCGTTTAAGTACTGCTGTGATTGACCGTAATAGAGGGGAAAGGCGCGTAATTCCACATTACAGGTTATGAGGTTGCACATAATGGGACTGCCGCTTCCATTAACGGCAAGAAGGCACAGAAATAATAAAAGTTGCGCCAAGAGAGATAATCAACTGCCTCTTTTTATGTGAAAAACTTTATTGCCATTTAGTAAATCCGATACTACATGCAGTATCATGTTTAAATGAAAAATATCAAGTGTTCAAGACAAAATGGTGTTCTTCTGTCGCAGCAAGTCTCGGATCCAAGAATGGCAACGCCCGACGGTCGTCTAAGCCACTTCCAACGCGCTCTCCCTTTTTCATCCTCCGTCCTTTGCATTGCAACCGATCTGACCGAGCGATATGGGAGTTGTCCTTTATCCATCTTTGTTGGTCAAAATAACCGAATATCTACTTAAGAGCTCTACGTACATGTATAGTAGTCCTTACCACTATAAGTAAAAAGAGGGACTTAAGAAGAATACTTGGAAATCTATCGATAAATGCAAATTTAAGCTATTCATTTTGCAGTGCAGAGGCTTTTCATTGGCCGCTCAAAATTTTTATTCGGCGGTCTTTTTTGTTTCTTCTTTTTCCTTGGTTTTGAGGTCTCGACAGTTGGATTTTATTGTTGCATCCATTGATCATGGCAGCATCTACCGCCCCCGTAAAACGAGAACGTGACGAATCAGATAATGAAGAACCATCCATGAAGAAACAAGTTATTCAAGGCAAATCCGTTTTGGACACCCTGTTACCGATTACCGCCATCACCAAGACATTGAGCGAAGAAGATTTTCGTATTATCGTCGGTACCTACGAGCGCATTCTTTACGGCATCAACGCTTATTGGGAAATGGAAGATTCGGTAAATGTCTGATAGGTCGGATCGGATTAGGGAATCGCTTGATTAACGTTGTGTATGATTTCTTTGATCTAGAAACGATGTCTGCGATTGGAACCTATTTTCATCGTGCCTGCACATACCGGGTTGATCCGTACGGTGGCTGTGGGTGGACACTTTTTGGCTTCCGGTAGCACGGACGAAATCATCCGTCTTTATGATGTGAAGAAGAGAAAAGAGTATGGCTCCCTGGGTGGTCATCATCAAGGCGATATTACCGATCTTCAATTTCATGGCAAATACATGTTTTCAGCCAGCGACGACAAGACTATTTGCTTGTGGCGTACCAAAGATTGGGAGTATCTCAAGACATTGAAAGGACACAAGTAAGTTTTTTTTTTCTCGGCACGGCATCACGCATTGCATCTGTTTGTACTAAGCCAAGATTTTCTGATACTTTACAGAGGACGAATCAACTCATTAGCCATTCATCCTTCGGGCAAAATCGCACTCTCTGTATCGAGCGATAAAACGGTCGTGTTATGGAATTTAATGACAGCTCACAAGGCCAGCACAACGAAACTTGGTCGAGGTATGTCGTGATCCAGATTTTTTTAATGCGCGGCAGTGAACAGGAGATTGACGCATATTCTTTTGTAGACGAAGGCCAGATCGTCCTATGGAATTCGGCGGGAAATCAGTATGCTATTATGTTTGATCGCAAGGTGTGCGTTTACAATGTTTCGGTAAGTTGATCGTATAAAGGAAGAGCTAAGCACAGCAATGAAATTCATGTTGTGTCATTAGGATGCTCAAGTGGCAACGACGATTGAACAACGATCGAGACTGTTATGTATGCGCTATTATCATTCTGCAACCAACGACAAGGATTATATAATCACAGGTAGCGAAGACAAGAAAATCCGCATTTGGGATGCTTCGTCGGGTACCTGCGTTGCTGAATTGAGCGGACATCAATGGCGGATCAAGACCATCGATGTTATTGTATCCAAGCCCGATGCGCAAGAAGATCAGGAAATTGGTGTCTTGATCTCCGTTTCATCTGATGGTGTGATTAAGACATGGGATATCGAAGGTGCAATCCAGGCAGAGGATAAAGACACCATTGAACCATTGGGAGAATACAATATCAAAGCTCGTGCAACATGCTCCACTGTTCACACAGGATTTGCAAAGAAAGTAGCCGAGAAATCAGCAAAACAGGAAAAGAAGAACAAGGAGAAGACTACAGAAGATTAGACAGCACAAAAAATAACATGCATGTATTAGAAAAAAAAAAAAGCAAAAAAGATAAAGAAAAACAAAGATAAAGCAAATCTGTAAATAAAATCGTTCATTCCCCCTCCCGCTTTTTATGCTTACCATCCACACTGTTGGTTGTCTGGCACACGTGATGATGTGTAGCTATCAAGAGACCTTATCCAAGTCAAAATGGCATGATCCTACAAAAAACAGCTCTTTACGGCTCGCTCGCAAAAGATGTCCTTATCGAAACTGGCCCAATACCAGGACCGCAGTTAGCATGACAAGAGGCATTCCATGACCTTTGCAGCAACAAAAAACAAGTTGCACTACGGATAAGAAAATCGGTCTATTGGCGGTGACTCATGTATCTTATCAGAAAAAGCATGAAAAAAAAGGAACACGGGACAGACGAATGAACTATAGAAGATGTGTAAAGTCATTGAGCGACGTGCGTCTGCTGAATCGTAAAACGATCAACATGTTTGACGATTAAAGCCGCTTCAAAGGAAGGCTTGAGTGGGCAACGTTAAATCTTTGCAAGTTGCGCGGCCCGAAATCGTTTTTGTTTTTTCTCTCATTTGCTTGAAATTTTTCGTCGCCATTTTAAGGTTGGGGCTGTAACGAAAGGGTTTAGTGGCTATTCAGTTTTCTTCTATTTCCTTTTTTTTTTCTTTCGCTTTTGTGCAGTATGCTAAAATGGAGTCATCTCAAACAACACCATTGAAGAAGGCGACATCCAGAGCTGCCTCCACACAAAAGAAAAGACGTTCCAGTACAAGTGACGCGCCCAAAAATAAGAAAACAAGTCTTGCCTGTGTAGCATGCCGAAGGAGAAAGGTAATGACACTTTTTTTTTTGAATGACTGAGTTTGGGAGCATGCAGGAAAGCGTCAGAAAAAGGAACGACAGTGCACGGTCAGAGTCCAGTAGAGCAGAAGGCGCACAGGACACTGTGTCCCTGGTCCCCGCATGATGGATAATTTTGCTTCAACTTACTATGACTCGTTAAGTTTCACTGGGTTTGACTTGTTGACAAGTGGAGTTTGGACATTGGGCTAAATTTGGGAGTGGCAAAAAAAAAGTGTATCCATGGCACACGAGAAAAAAAAAAAGAGCAGAAACCATATTTGAATTCTGTTTATTTGTTCTGATAAAAAAAAATCATGTCAATCTAGGTTAAATGTGATGGCACGCTTCCTTGTTTACGTTGTCGAAAGTCTACGCTTGAATGTGTTTTTGCCAAAGCGGCACCCAAACGCGATCCACCGAAACCGTATGTAGAGAACCATGAACCGAGGTTACGGGTACTCGAGGAAGTACTATCGGCGATAGAACTAAAAGAAGCACCTCTATCATCTATTTTATCGGGCAGTCAAACAAATGAAAGTACAGACAAAGATGCTTCAGTGGGATGGCGAACTCTGTCAACGCGTAAGTCGATCATCATAGTTTGTTATCCGATGACACGAGCATATTTTCCAAGCTACTGAAATGAGTTTCTTTTTCGGTCGTGCCGCCTTTTTCTTTTCGCTAGAGGAAAATATCGATCCTATCCCAACGCTTGCAGGGATGAATCATCTTGTTGACACGATTTCCGTGAATTCAATTGGACAGGGTTTGTATATCCAGGACTGGATGGCGAGAACCGATCGGATTCCTTCCATTTATGAAGAAGGTGCCCCGCCCATGACGGATCTTGACCGGGAAGTGCAAGAACCTGATCTGCATATGAATAATACCCCTTTGGATATGGATTTGATCCATCTTTATTTTGAGCATGTACATCCCTATTTTCCCATCGTTCATCGCACCACTTTTCAACAACAACTCCAGCGGCCAAAACCATGCATTCTTCTGTTGAACGCCATGTATGCTGTAGCATCCCGGTGGAAGTCAACACCACCCTCCTCAACCGATACTCCCGGTTGGCGTTATTACCAAACAGCGTTAGGCCTGATCGATATTTATACGGATGCACCCCGCTTAACCACCGTACAAGCGCTCCTGCTGCTCGTCAAGTACCATGAACACGTACGACGCCCAGGTTTTTTCTGGCGCACCCATTTTTATTTTCAAATCATAGTACGCATGTGCAAAGATCTTGGATTGCCGCGTGAAGTGCCTCGCACCGTACAAGCCAGCGCCGTTGAACTCGAACTACGAAAACGAACCTTTTGGGCAGTATATATTTATGATAACATGATGAGGTAATGTCATGATCTACTTTATTCTCTTTGCCCCCAACCCCGGGCCTTCCCCCGAGATTTTCCTCTTCAGATACCCATCGTACCACCATGAAAAAACAAGGTTCAAATTCTTATGAAACTGACAATATCGCGTATTTAGCACAGAGCAAGGATCTCAAGCAAGTTTTGATGTTGATACATGTACTGTTGACTATCCCAATCGATTGCCTGACGAGGAGCAAGATCTGATGATCCACTTTCACTGGCTGAGTAAAGTTACCCGTCTCCATGGAGCCGTGTTGCAATTTATGCGAGAAAAGTACGGCGGACAAGAGGAAGAAAGAATGGATCAAGCCATGAATGAAGAAAAGGAATTCTCATCACTCCAAACACATCTTGAAAGCCTGACAAACCACCTCACAAGAACCATTTCGGTCCCAGAAGCAACAGAGACTGGCCCACCTGCATCGCGATTTCTTTACCTCGCGTTTCATTTTGTCACCATCCTTTTGCATAGACCGTACGCTTTCAATGATGCACAGGACAAATACGATCCGACCACTCATCGGAATCACTGCGTGGAATCCGCGACAGTTATCACGGATATCGTACAGACATTGATCAGCGATGGCGTGGCATGTCTGTACTACGCTTTTCGAGGGATCCAGCAGATAATTCATTATTTGACAGCGGCGTTGACGATTCATCGTCTTTGCAACCACAGTAAATATGAGCAGACGGTCCGATTACTGAAACAGTTGTTAGATAAAACCCCGGCGACTGAGCTGGATGCTGACTATCGTCATGAGGATCAGTCGTTTACCGCCTCGTGGACTGGTTCTCGCAACATATCGAATTCGCCCTCGGCCAAATCCTCTCCCGTACTCGAAGGTAGAGAGGCATCGCCTACGCCAAGCGCAGTCAATAAACTACGAAGAACCCAGCCAAATGTGATGGCCAATGCGAACCGAAATTTTCACCCAAATTTACCTGGGTCAGGAACACCCGATATGTCCGTATGGATGCAATCGAGTGCGACCATCACGGATCCAGAAGCAATGCAGCGATTAGGATACATGATGAAGCCCTACGCACACCATCGGCTTTCTGCGCCTTTACAAAACCCATCCATGATGCCACCGCCTCAGACAATGCAACTATCATTGCAACAAATGGGCAGTTACTCACAGCCCGTATCACCCACCGTGGGCTATTTTCCTACATCGTCCTTTGAAACTGAAGAACTGCTCGGTCGGCCCCATCCTCTGCAACAACAGCAGTACTCTCGACTTCGGAGTACGCCGTCCTACGAAGCGTTGGCACAACAAGCATCGCCGCGTGATACGTACATGACGACTACACCAGCCCACCATCGACGACATACGGTATCCACCCCTTTTCATCAACAACAACAACACCACCTAGTCACGTCTCAACAAATTACCGCTACTTCTCCTTCACAAGATATGAACTCGATTCATCAACTGCATACCATGGACCTTTCCGGCCCTCAACCAACAAACTTTCACATGAGCAGTGCATATCCTTATATGATACCACCCAACGAAAATCCCATCATGTTGGATCCATCAGCCATGATGCTTACCGAACCATCATCGAATGCTCCTGGTCAATCAATGATGGGATTATTGATGGAACAAGACACACCATGGGATTTCGCACCCTCATCCACAGGATAAACTCTTTCAGTATACCAGCCATCATTTTGCTTCGTTTCCTTTTTTTTTGACATGCTGCTTTTTTGTCTTTTTTTTTCTGCCCCTCCTTATTTTACGATGCTCTAGAAAAGCTACTGTTTATCATTTGTGTTTGGATGTTTATACCTTGAACCACTTATATGTCTATTTTTCCGTTCTTCTTGTATCTTATATCAATTGTATACACTACCCATCATTACATGCGAGATACATAGTCAGGGGAAATCCCAAAAGATAAACAGCGACTGCAGATGCACATCAATGCCAGTCCAATTGATTAGCAAATTGATGCCGTTTGCAATGGTAATAAGCCGCTGGGTTGAGAGGAAATGATATGTTTCCATGTTATTGTCGGCACGGAGATGGTTCTAGATTTACGTTTTCGAAAGAGTCCTTGCAATCCAATGCTCGCATACGTTGGACTTTATCTTTGCAAAGATGAGGACGCTTGTTGATATGTGATATAATCTTGCCACAACTTGAAATCTTCCATATACGCTTGCACCAGTTGACGTTGCATCTAATGACAAATCCCTTGCTTAGTTTTGAAGATACTCATTTTCACGAATACGAGATCATATAAAACCCACATCGATGGCGCTGCGGTGCTTTACTTTTGCGCGATATTGCTTCCTCCGCCGCCGATAATCTCGTTCTTCCGCTTTCTGCTGATTTCCAAAGGACGAGGGACCGGGCGAGCCGTCTGATAGAATAATTAGTTTTTATGAACAATGGTTGAATGTTAATCTCGCCGTACCTTTTCGCATGTTCTTTGCTTTTTCCACAATTTCCGAGAACTGATTGTCAGTAACCGCGGGGACAGCCATATTTTTCTGGGCGCGCACTTGCTGGCTTGAACGTACAATAGCTTGGTATAGTTGTACCCGCTGATGTCGGTTATTGGGTGAATTATCATCATCGGAAGGTACGGTGCCAGTTGCCGGTAACGGCTGTATGATATTGTCATGCGCTTCCGGAATAGGCGAACCCTCAATAAAAGAAACAACAGAAGGAGCACGTTGATAATAAAAGAGAGAACTCGAAAGGGTCTATTGACACACACCATGAGAGGCAACGTTTTCTGATTGATCCCTTTTACAGCGCTTACTTTATCTTGACTCCGGTCGTAAAACCCACGCTGTTTGCTTAAACATGAGCGGCAATGGGATTCGAAACTGGGAGCAGGGACGCGATGACGAGGATTGATAGGACACACGCGTTTGGATGCTCGTTCCTATACATGCACGAGACTTAGTGCCTGCGCCGGATCAACAATGACAATGAGCTCGAACACCTCATATACCTGGTGCCACGCCTTGAGCGCTTTGCGATCAAGGTGTAATGAATTCAGAATGGCGTCTAAACGTTCATTGGCCGCTTTGAACCGACTATTGGCTTCTCGGAATGTTAACGTCTCCATGACATGCTGATACTTTATTGGTTTGAAAAGGCGAAAAAATCAACGGATATTTGCAGTGTTGCTAATTTTTCATGCCAGAACTGGCAGACTGCCGTCTGAGTTTACTTCGCCAACAATCAATAAGCTTTACAACAGGTAAACAAGCTTCGTTTGCCTATTTCCTTTGTCCAGCTTTTTATCATCATCCTGTTCTAGTTTTTGCCTAATATCACTCCTCTTGTTTCCCGCTCCCCAGTCTTTACATACTTTTCTTCTTCTTTTTATGTCGTCAGTGCAAAACCCACCCAGATTTTACGACACCAGTTCTAGCCGTGCAAACGCTGAATTGGAATCATTGGTGGGTCTGAAGCAACAGCATTCCATGTTACAACTGTTATTTACAAAGAACTGATAAATAGATGTCAGTATAGATGGATACTTCTGCGACTAGCCAACGTCGGGTTGATACTACAATCCAGGAGTTATCTCTTATGCCGGAGATCCAACGTAAAGATTTATTACTTTACGTAAAGCGGTTTTGGGAAACATGGCGAACAGTGACCAATGATCCGTCCAAATCGTTTGGAACCGAAGCCAAGCGTAAGCAATTCTACAAGATAGTCATACAGACACCTTATTCCTTACCTGAAATGACAGGTAATGCTTCCCCACACCCACTTTTCTGGGAACTCTCGAAAACCACACATCGAAAGAACCGTACATCGTTACTGTACATGAATGACGATCAATCTAAAAAAGGAAAAAAAACAGGTCAAAGATTTCGCGTAGGGGAGAGCTGTGTACAAATCTACAGCGGTCATTAGCAGCATCGCTTCACGTAATTGAATACTCACGGCGGGTATCGATATCTTAGAAGAATACGTTAATGGTAATATTAAGATTAGTGGCATTCCTTATCTGATAATAACGCGAAAATGTTTGTGAAATACTCACCATTATACCCATCTGTCATGATGAAGATATTGCATCGGAAGAAGCAAGTCGCAAATTCGTGATCCGCACCCTTCATTTAGATGGAAGATGCGCTCAACGACACCCACGCCGCCACCGCGATAGCAACGATCGGACAATTCATGTATGAATTATCGCGCGAATCGTCGAAATTCAACCAAAGAAATGCTACGATTTCATAGCACCATAGGCGGATACAAAAGAAGCCAAAGGCACCTCAAAAGGCTGATTCTGGTGCTGCAGCGACTCGAAACTCCACTTGTCACAGACATGGTTGCCGCTTGGAACCTTGCAAGACATGGGAAAAATCAAGATAATACCTTACGCGAAGGAGCCTGCCAGCAGTTCACTGGATGGCATCGAAACAACTTACAGCGCCGTACAGGGGACGGTTATTGGAGGAGCTGGTATTGCGGGCCAATTCGTGTTCCTCGCCGAGGCGCTCGCGGTAGAGGTGCTCGTGGCAGAGGTGCTCATTTTATTTCACTCCTTTGTCCACTTTGTCTTTCGGCACCTGCATCTGCTACTCATTTTCTTTATGCTTGTCCCAGGAAAGGATCTGTGTGGCAGTCGATATTTCTCACCAGTCCTTCCGGCACCGAAGTCGAAACCGCCATCTACTGTCTATCCTTTCCTCCAACTTCCTCCTCCGTTCCCTCCTATCTATCGTATTATCGCTTGTATTTTGCATATCTACGGTCGGCTCGCTGGAGTTTTGTTTTCAACGCCACTCCGTTCCACCAAGAATCCATTTGTAGGTCCATGCAGCTGATGATCGCACGAGAAATCTCGCTCTCCCAGAGTAGATAAATTTTGAGTCTAGCTTTGAATTTTCCTTTCTCCCTCGCCGATCTTGTCCGAGCCGCTTCTTTGACACTCGTGCTAATAAAACCTCGGACATCTGGTCCCCTACAAAAAAAATATTTCCATTTTGCTGCCAAGTCATCTTACTAAAGATGGTATTTCATGAAAGCATGGGCCAGCTGTGTCTTGTTATTTACTTGAAAACATCGTTTGAAACCGATGGGCCAGACCTGGCCGACCAAGTCGTTCGCTGGAACATAAGTTTTGGCACAGCATGTGTGTCTGTGACACAGTCCGTTGATGGTAAACACGGAACGCTGGAGTTCAATGGGTGCCAAGTAGTGGTTTCAACTGTCAGTGCGGCGATGGAACATTCACTAACCATAGAAACGAATGAACCAAGTCCATTACGTATTTCAAGTTACACAACATTGTCACCCGCAAATCGTAAACAAATATTCATGAAATCATATCCACATCCATATCCATGTTTGTCAATTTGGCTTTCAATGCACGTAATTCAGGTTACCAATGAAATCGTTTGGAGTAACCATTGGACACACCAATCGGTTTTGCTTCCAGAGTAAAGTTAAAGTAGCGATCGGTTTTTGTTGTTATGGACATGCATCGCCAATAAACTAGTCAACGTCAAAAAGAAAAAAAAAAGCAATAACTTTTGACTGTTCAGAAAGTAATAAAGTGTCTGGAGACTTTCTATATTCGGTAAAGCATTGTATTACCGTGATCCTTTGCTTTTACATTTCATTTTCGATGCATCATGTATTTATGCAGACATCTTCACGTAGAATTGACATCATTGAATTAGAAATGGATAGCTTATTTCATACTTATGATGTGGAATGCTTTTTTTTTCCAAAGGAATATAAATACAAGGCACAATCGCTTACCAAGGCTACAATATCATATCATCTTTCGTTTTTCTCGTTTTTCACTATGAAATTCACACTTACATCGCTTGCCTCTGGTATCCTAATGGGTGCTGTTGCCTTGACACAAGGCGCGGTCGTGCCTCGTGCTCCATCCGATCAACAGATGTCATATCCTAATGGTACCGATCTTGGCTCGTTAGCCGGTGTGTGGCACCTTGCTGGAATTTCACAACCTTTGGAAAATATATACAACAAGGTTCACCGCGCAACCAATATTAGTGTTGCCTGTAGTCAATTCGTAGCTACTAACACCTCTCGCACGACTTTCAATCTTGGAGGTTCTGCTTGGTTGACTCACGGTGATGGCACGCAGTCCGACTCTGGTATAAATAGTACTTCGGCTGGTTTACTATTGCTTGTTCCTCCCAACCGCAATGTCAATGTATCAAACCAGGAGTATGTCTTCCAACTTGTTCTTTCCAAGTGGTTTGTCAACGCAAAGTACTGGAACTATTTCAACAATGAAAACAACAACAATAATGGTCAGCAACAGCAAGACCAGCAGCAGCAAGATCAAAATGGGCAATCCGATCAACAGCAGCAAGATGATAACGCCGCAGTCGCCATTCCTGGTGTAACCGAGGTTCAATCAAACATCAACACAAAAATGATTTCGACGCAAAACGATAACAACTGGGATGCCATGTTCGTGTGGGTGGCTGAAGACGAACTTAAAGAAGCCAAGAACCACCGCATGCAAAAAAGATGCCATCACGGTGATAACCATAGCGGCGACCAAAGTGGTAACCAGAGTGGTAACCACGGTGATAATGATACGAACGATCATAATGGCCATGGTGGCGACAACGATCAACATGACAACACACCCAAGTACTTTGCTTTATTCAGCAAGAACCCATCGATGGATGACCAAACCTTTAATAACACCGTGCAGAATTTGCCATTCAATGGCACAGTTACATTGACCAAATTCCAAAACCATTGTAACAATAACTCTTAAATTTGTAACATATTGTAATTCGTTTTGACGCTCGCATTTTAATAAATATATCCGTTTCACATTATCAATAATACTTTTTCTTTTCGCTTGTGCCATTGAACCGAGTCCGGTATTATGGTACTGTAAGTTTTGAGAATTTACTCTAAAGCACGGATTAATGTTATAATTTGTCAGCATGAAGTACTCTTAAAGAGTACAGCTTATGTCAGTTAACTTGGTGTATTCATACCCATCTTTGTTTGCTTTCACAGAGTCTTGATTCAAAGGAATCGACGTCATAATTGTGCACGTTCACTGTGCTACAGAGCAACGGAGCCAAGCGCCAATTAATTGCAAAACGTATTACGGCCACCGCTTGATATATCACACGAATGCTTAATTTTGGAGTATAATCGATAATAATCACTTATTGGGACTCTTGATAAGGTAGGCTGTACAGCATTCCGAAATTCGATTTTGGCATCGGTTGTCACCTGGAGCAGGAATTAGCAAATCATTCCAAAAAGGCCAGCGTTAAAAGAGAACCGCCCTTATCCGCTGGAGGAAGTTTATCCCTAACAGCTAGCGAATCTGCCGCCTATCGCATGACAGAAAAAAATTGTTTGGCTCCCGGGATCAACCTTCGATTAATGGTTTACAGCTGCCTGCAAATTTAGGGGCCTTCTGAATTGCAGCATAAGGGCCTTCCTCGACCTGAACTCCCACCTCTCTACTTTCTTTTTTTATGGTTCTTTATGGATTTTATGATTAGCAAAAACACACCTAGAAAAAGTTAACGAAAAGTATAACGAAGGTTGAGTTTACTGAATTAGGAAACCGTGCCTGCCAACTGGAATGGGATATGGTGTTCACGTGTAACTTCGCTTTTGAGATATTTTGGGCACAGCCGCGCCATATTTTTGAGTATTCTATCCACTCTATCCACTCATCTCATTCATGTCGAAATTTACCTGTGTCGCTTTTGCCATGTGCCTTTCAATCACGCCGTCATCTCTCGAGTTAATCATAAAGAGTGCAGTGAAGAAATTGCCAGAAAGAGGCTGGCTCTGTTCGTTGATGGTGAATCCAGCTACGTAAGCTTATGTACACCGGGAGGTTTATTCTTTTATATGAACAAGAACAGAATTTGAACCCCAATCAGTCATCTGAGTACGAAGACAGAGTCATGGAGGATTTTGAATTCGGGACCGCTGCTGATATGACTCAGACTATCGAAAACGAAGACTGAACCTAGTGGAGTCAGATATCGAGGATTCAGCTGAAGTTGTCCAAGAATCGGAAGAAGAGGAGGAGCTGTATGTTCCGCAACAGCATGGGCGTTGCAGTCGGGGAGCTTCCAAGGTGGTGGGTTTCAGCAACTGTTCGCCGCCTATGCTCGAAAAGCAGGACAAACTGAGCATGGACTTGCCCCAGCTTGCTTTAGAGCACAAAGTCCCTTGGCGCTTCATGGAGTTCATGATCAAGCTGGTCAACCAATACGTTGACGGTCATTGCCATGGTTGTCAAGCAGCTATATGGCCAAGTCGAATCTGATGAGACAGCTTCCAGTGGCACCTGTTCGTTACGACATGTGCCCTCAGGGCTGCATGATGTACGGAGAAAACGGCAGCGATGATCGCAACGAGCAGTGCCGATCCTGTGGCCGAAAACGATTCAAGCCAACGGCCAACTCCACAGCGGATCTTGAACCACTGCAACAAATAATATACCTTCCCCTGATTGAGCAGCTTGCACTTTTGGTCAATAAGCGTTCAAGATATCCTGAACGCGATAGAACTGGAAGAAGACGATGATCAATGTGTTGAACCCGGGAGCTGACAAATATGGACAAAACAAATGGACATCGAATTCTCTTCTGGCAAAAGTTCATCTCCGTCTGGTTCGTGTTTGTCCCCTGGAAGTTCTATCGTAAATCCGATCCCCGACCGCTTTACATTCACATATCATATGGGTCTGAAGAACGATGATGTGATTGTTGGATATATACGGAAATCACCTGCATCAGAACCGGTTGAGATCAAGCAATCCAGCTGATGCATCTCTTCCTCATTATTATCTCAACATGACTCAATTTAAAATCGTAAGTAAAGCGATAGGGTCATTGCCATACGTTTGTACTAATGTCTCTTCTAGCAAAAGCGCGCAACTCACCATGCTGAACGACATGCAACCGCATGAACACCCTTAATTTGTAAGTTACTGATCCATTTCGGTTGGGGTTCACGGTTTTTGCTAACTATTGAGTAGGAACGATGAGTATGCCGATGAAGCCATGGTGGAAGCCGCTCCAATCTTTATGGAGACGATAGAGAATGTGATATCTTTTCGCAAGCGTAATGCTATGATTCAAATGGAAAGCCGAAAGTATGTTCGCAAGCTGACGCATCTTAAGATCACTGTTCAAGAAAAGGTTAACGCAGCCAATCTGAACGTTGACGCTCCGTTCGTGACTTTCCCCGTCCCTTCCTCTCCTTCCCTTTCCTTGGTCGCTATCCACTCGCGCTCCCTTTCTCTTGCTCTCTCTTCTGCCCCTTCGCCTGGTGCTCCGTTGGCCAGTGCTACTTCTTCCGTTCCCCTTCGTTGTGCCATGCTCCTTTGCCTTCGTCGGCGTTTCCTCTCCTCCTGTCCCTTCTACTGGTTTCTGCTCGGCTGGTGCGACGTCTTCTGTTCCTTCGTTGTGCCGCCCTCCTTTGCGCATCATTTCTCACAGTACTTGTATCTCGCTTATATGTTATGCTACCTTAATCCATCTTGCGAAAAATCCCTCAATGCCATCAATAAAAGCTGTATCCTCCTCGCTGTTCATCGATTGACGACTATTTAATTTATAAGTATTCGCTTCATGTTTGCCATGGCCCCGGGTACCGCTATCAATGGGCTACCATTGGTAGCGGAATAAATCAGTTGATAAAAAAGACAACTATCACATCGATAAGGCTGACACCCCTCCATAAAACACTCGTAAATAGTGGACCCAGTGAAGAAGAGGAACATGCGCCGCTTAACTGGTTCACAGTACTCGATAAAGCGTTGTAGTACAACCATTTGTATTTACAATTTGTTCATTTGCTTCTCGTCAGTGAATATGAATTTGCAATGTCGATATGCTATGTGCTAATGAGACCGAAAGACGAAAATACAATGAACGTTTAGACCAGCTTATTGAGGATGTATCGAAGTAGCGTAATTCTTGTGCGATGGAACCATTTCCCTATCCCATGGATAAGTAGCTTATTATGCAGAAAGCTGCAAAAAAGGAGATAGATAGACATTTTTACTTACGCATTTTAACCAAATTGCCTACGATGTCGTTGCCGATCCCTTGCGGTAGATCTTCTGCAGCATGTTGCAGCTCCGGATGAGCTTGCAGATAGTCGCGTCTTGCTTTTTCTCCAGCTCGTTTGGCTACTGCATCATCACGTTCTGTTTGCCATAAATCACATTTGTTACACTGATCGCAACCGAGAGAACCGGGATCGCGTGGATGTTGACAAAAGTGGGTATATTGTTCTAGATAAGCATGAGCGACCCCGAGCTTCCACAATCATGAATACAGTATGATGACTTACCTCGACGAACGTCCTTTCGGCATACATAACACATCATATGTCCTACATAAATCATTAGCGCCCTAGCCCGTGATTAAATGCTACTCAATACGTACCACAGTTACAAGTCATCTTATTACATCCAGCTTCCTTTTGAAACGATAAACCACACTCTGGACACTGATATACTGCATGTGAGTGATCGAGCCCATTAGGTAAAATTTTCTACCGCATGATTTCACTTACTGTTCGTTTGATAGCATTGTCCATGGCCTCATAAAAAAAAAGAATACTGAGTGTCACAGTACCACACAAGTCATCATGGTGTAAAAAACCTACCCTCTCCACATATAACCGCAAATTATCGACGTTGTTCTCTCTGCACTTGTGAATCCCTCGCATTTCACGGTGGCATTGCAAACAGGTCAGCTTCCGACATTCGGGATTGCCACAACGGAAAGCGGTGCCTCGTCGTTGGAACAAGATTTGTTCGTATGCTTCCTTCAAATCGTTGCTTGGATCCCACTGGCGTGCAATCATCCAACATGAAGCCGCCAGTAAACCTCCTGCAACAAGAATAGGCGGGGAATAGAATCCTAACGCAAGTACAGGAGCCACCATCGTCCATTGAACTTTTCTGAGAAGCCGCTGACCCCTTTGCACACCGACATGCAAAGGTGCGATCGTATCATCCAGTTCGCAGTAGTTGCAGCTCTTGCATTGGACTATGCGTAATCGCAGTTGCTGAAGATTTCTTTCAAACATGAATTTCTCGTAAGCACGCCATATATCGTCAGGCACGACACGTTCGAGGGTCTCTTGTGAAATCCAACCGGAGCAACCATCCATACAAATACAAGGAAGTCTCAACTCATTATTCAGGGCGCCTTGACCAAACATTTTTTCAGATACGAAACGGGTGATACAATCATGACAAAATGCATGATTGCCTTCACTGCAATATGCCATCTCTTCAAACGTATATTCATCAATGCAGCAAAGACAAGTAATCAGTTGTCCTTTCTTCTCGTATTGTTCGGTGTTCCACCGCAGCGCCAGCTGCTGATCCCTGGCTACTTGATCATTGATTCGCGGGACTTCTTCCTGCCGACGTACTTGCTCCATTTCATTCGCTAGCACGGGATTCAAAGCCTGACGCATGGTTGTTGACCCGGCCTGCGATTCGAAGAACGCACCAATCCAATGCTCACAGAGCGTGTGAATTGACTTTGTAAATCCGGGTCTTTGAAAATGCTTGAGCGCTTCTCGTGTCGATATGTAGTCCCAATGATGCTCTGTCAGCATAGCTCGAATAGATGATTTCCATATCTAAATCGTTGAAACGCAATAAATGATATTTAGTGGTCATTTCTTCGTTGATCCGCCATTGATATTTACGTGCGGAAACTCTTTTGATAACTGTTCCAAGGTTTGATGTTGGTAGTGCGGCTTCCGAATAGTGTAAATTCGATCAAACTCGCCGTAATTCAGTCTTTCCGGATAATTAGGTTGCGATATCACTTCCAAAGCGACTTGCTCCAAGTGACTGTGGTTATACTTTTCCACCAGATCGCGGAGGTATCCAATGTCGCAGTCGGGGAAGATCTCGGTGGCCAAAGTATGCAGAACGTCATTCAGATGTTCCATGCTGTTCATTTCCGCATGGGTTGTTCTCGGATAGTAATGGTTTGCCACCACTTTCTCAACCACGTGCGCCACCTGATCTTCACGATAGTATCGCAGACATTCTCGAAAGTAGATCGGATCTGAAATGGTATAAGGTTATTCTAAGGCTTATCTTTTACAATACACCATCTTGCTTTTTATTACCACCGCCAGGAAACAATTGTAGTAGTTGTCTAACTCTGTCGTCCTCGCTGGGCATTTATCCGTACGGCAAAAAGATTGAACCTCTTGACGCAATGGAAAAATGTCTTTTGACCACTATGGAACGAGAAAATGGCCCATGTGGTTGCCCGCCTTTTGCTAAGCCGACCCGGACTTTGACATTTACAGCAACATGGTTTCTGATTGGCTAAAACTGTGCATGCTCATTGGTACGAGCTCGCCTTTAGCGCATTTGCAGGGTCGAAGATGATAACGAATCGGAATGCACTATTTGCTTAGTTAAGCGAAATGACCAATGTTGGCAGCACAAATGACCACTAAATAAGGTGGAATCGCAGAAAAAAAATACGTCTTTTTTTTATATATAAAAAGACAGCCCCCATTCTATTTTCTCTTTTTGTATATCTAAATTTTTTCATCAGTCTCATCATGCCCCCGGATATTGAAGTTCTTTCTTCACTAGTTAATCAACGTCGTGCCAGCAGCAATGAGGTCTGCACATGGGATCAAGTATACTATTATGTCTGTATGTATATATGAGTCCTTCGAATATCTATTGTTTGGTTTATTGCACGACGATGGAATGAATCACTCACAGTTTGTTTTGTAGCTACCAACCAGATTAAAATGATCCACCGATCCCCCAAGGTGCAGGCTGAGTATGATCAATGGATGAAGGACACGCTTGCTACATACGGTACGATCGAGAAGTATCTGTTGACGAATAAGCTGCATTTTCCTCCCACAAAGGATGACGAACACCCAGCCGTCATCATTTTACCTAATGACTTCCCCTACTCTGTTGAATCCGGGATCGATCATATCCTCATCTGGTCACAAGTTCCGCTCGATCCAAATTATGTGGAGCAAATTCTTGAGCAGCGATATGGAAGCGAAAACTGGGAATGGGTATATTGGGTCAACCCTCCTGAGATCCAGAGCGTCCGTAAACTTCCTCACGTGCATGTCTTTATGCGTCGTCGTTCCTAAATTTTTTTTCTCCTTCCCCATGTATTTCATCATAGCCGACCTTATTTTTTTCATTTTACGTCATAGCATTTTTAGATTCCACTACAGCATCATTTCTTATTTTTTTTTTCCAAACAACAATAAACTCTGATATCCACCACAAGATTTATACACATTCGCCGATGTCGTTCTTATCAGAGTAATCAAACCTTATTGTATTCATAAGTGCCTGCAGAAAGAAGGGCGGTATTATTATTTGTCTCATCAGCCATCGATGATAAAAGAATCATCAACGACGTTACGAAACGTAGCAACCAGTGGTGTGGATGCAGTTGCTACTGGCTTCAACTCATGCAGAACGGAATTTGCAACAATAGAGATTTACAAAAGGATTCGTCAGTTGGCAATGATTCATTGTTGGCGGCCATTACCCGTTTCAAAAGTTTTTGGATCATGGGGTGCCGCGCATACCACTCCATTATTAAAGAATACTCTCAGCTATACTCTGCTCCAGCTAAAGTGAAAAAACCAATCCCTATTTACGATATATACAATATACACGATCGATTGACTCCAAGATTTGTACGTCAGCTTTTTATTTGAAAAAGTTTACATTGGATGCAACCACTGATAAAATCTTGAGCAAGGTGCTTAAGCCTGCTTGGCAGCAGCCTTCTGGGCACGGAGACCCTTGGCGGGACGGAGGGTCTTCTCCTTCTTGGCCTGCTTGCTGGAGATGATGGCAGAAGCACGGGCAAGGGCAGCCTAGAGAAAATAAATTAAAGCAATTGTTAGATCAATGTTTCATACGTAGGATAATATACACATTTTCGTATTCAACAATAACATACAGCACGGAGATCGGGTCTGTACTTGCTACGGGCGATCAAGTTGGCAACAGACTTGGCGGTCTGACGACGGGTCTTGGCGATGACGACAGAGTGGGTAGCCTTGGCGGGAGTCTGAGCGTTCTTGGCCTTGGTCAAAGTGACGCGAACACCACGAGCAGCGGGTTGGATAGCAGCAGTCTATACAAGATGAAAGAAAAACGCAAAAACAGATCAGCTGACATGTCCAATGGACGAAGGGGGAGGGGGCGCCACACGACGAGAATTTGGTGAAAGTGGCTTTTTTTTTTACTAATGACAATGGGTGCGATGATATACCTTGGCGTTGGCGAGACCAGAGTACTTGTAGGTGTTCAAGTTCAACAAGTTGTTCTTCTCAGCAGAGAATTGAACACCGGGACGCTTCACGAGGAAGGAGTTGTTGTTCTTGATAATAGCCCAAACCAAATCACCGCTCATATTCTATTGATATATGTCGTCAGCAAGTTCTCCTCTTTGTATTCGCCAAGCATTTCCAGCATTCTACGTTCCATGGACGCAATGAACTTGACATGCTAGGGACACTTACGATGATGTTATTCGATAAACGAAAAGAGGAAGAATTTCAATCCACTCGCACCGCTCACAGTAAAAAATTATTTTTTTTTTCTTTGGTTCGAGTCAATCTTGCATTTTGATTGGCCAAAAATTTTCTTTACGTCACGTTGAAGCTTGAGTGGCTTAGACCGACCCACCCCTATCCCGATGTGTGAATTTTTTGAATGAGGGTGAGCGCGGTCATTGCATGAATTCCTCCCCGTTGCCATTGATGGAATTATGCAAGGGATCTTTTTTTTTTCGTTGCCCCATGTTTATCCAGTTGCAGTAAAGAAGCCACCTTTTTATAATAAAGGTAGTAATGTAACAGACAGATAGGATTTATTGACTAAAGTGTAACAATTTTATATCATTGGTTTTTTAAGATTCGTATTTCCATTTAATGGGAACTGCGACGTGGCTATAATCACCAAGCTTTCCGAAAGCTAAAGAAGGAGAGAAAAAATCAGTATATCATAAATCATTGGAAGTCATTGGAAGTCCTTAGCATCTTCTTACCTGCAGGACTCAAATCAAGGCCGCCTATGTTGCACAAATACAAACAAAATGTTATTGTGAATGGGGAATCTGCATAAAAAAAAAAATAGACCCTTCAAAACTTACCGGGCTTGCAAGATTTGCAGATATCGACAACAGTTACGGTAATTTTATTGCCTTCGGAACCGGTCACTTCGATTTTTTTTCCACAGTTGGGGTTCTTCTTCGAGTGGGGTTCACCCATTTGTTCCGTATTCACACTGGCGACCAAATCTGTATTTTTGCAGTGCTTGCCACAAATGCCAACATGGCCTTCGGCATCGTAGAAAGTGGCTTCACCTTGTGTGTAGGCGGAATCAGCTTCATCGGGTTGAGCAGCAAGGCGGATACCACTGTATCCGGCGTAACCATCCTCGGCGGCATAAAGCTCGTATCCGGTAGAGCGCCGTTGCCATCCCTTGCCGTCACTGAAAACATAAGGTCGACCAGTATGCGAATCCTTGTCACTTTCATCGCCTTCCGATTTGGTTCCGACAGGCGACGATTGACGTTGCTCATCCTTGTAAGGTGAATCGGCGGGATCGCCAGCAGCGTAGGCGGCGGCTGGAGGAAATTTTTTGCCTTGAGGAAGCACAATACCGCCGTTGGCATTATAACTAACACCGTGAAGATCAGGTCGGGTAGGATGCTTGCTTTCGCGGTCAGATGAAGGTGGACCGCCTTGAGCGCCTTGAGGACTGCCTTCATCAGTAGGCTGAGCAGGATTTCCGCTTGGCTGAGCAATCGACTTCGACATGAAGGGTGCACCACCGCCAGGCTGGGAGCTAGGTTGAGCGGCCGCAGCACTCGATTTGGGTTTGCCTTTGGCGACCGATGTAGGCTTAGACGGAGGCTTTGAGCGACTTGCCTGTTTAGACTGCACGGGTTTCGCGCTGGGTTTAGCCTTCTGGGAGGCCTGGGGCTTCTTCTGCGTTGGTTTCGGTTTAGGTTTGTTGGAAGGTCGCTTCTTATCCGCCTGTTGCGATGGAGGTTTGTTTAATTGCTTGGAAGGTTTATGAGTCGGCTGCTTGGTGGGATTCTGGCCGGGTTTGTGGCCGGGGTTCTTACTCTTATCACCACCGGACTGGTCTGTGGATGCAGCGAATCCTTCGTGAATACCTTCCCAGTTTCCTTGTTGCTCAGTGTCAGCTCCAGCATAGTCGTTGGAAGCTTCGAATAAGTGTCGAGCAAAAGGATCTCCTAAACGTGTTCGTAAGGATCAGTGATCACATGGATTTCAGTTAGAATGCGGTGTATTATTTTACCCTCTTCCTCCATAGCAACAGCCATGGCATACGCCTTGCTGGGATGATGGTGGAAGAACATATCGTTGGGGAAGGTCGCCTCATCTTCAGCGCGGATCACTGAAAGCATGGCCATCGAAATGGCACAAAGAGTCAAAAGATGCTTCATTTGTAAAAATAAGAAGAAATCGATTTGCAGAAAACCTAGTCGGCCGGCCCTCAACCAAGCGACTTTTTCATTTATACTAGCATGGGTGCTCTGCACAAACAAGGGTTCCCACAATCGTATCCAACTACCTGCAAGTCATTCAAAGCGGTTAATAGCCTTGTATCATAGACCCTTGGCGCCACCATGACAATCTGGCACCAAATTTATGCTCTTGTCTTCAACTTTTGCAATCGTTATTTGATGACAAAAGCAAAATACGATAAGCTAAAGAGTCAGCGATTTAAAAACTCGATCGCTTACAGTACGGTGACATTGACTGTCTCCAGCATGTTGATGAAGGTGGCGAGGGATTATACAAGGGTTTACCTCTCAAGCGAAAGGGGGTTGCTCAACTTGCTATCCTGAATAAACCATTGGTTCACATCCAATTTATTTCGCAAGGATTATATTGGGTAATTGGTTTGTACGTTGCCGCCTCTGCTGTCAGCAAGTTGGATGGCCGCCTCAAAGATGATGTACTGTTTCTGTTTTAAAACTCTTAACATGCAAGGATGCACTCAAACATGCTAAATACATTATCAGTTTTACACATTCCCTTTTATGCGATAAAATTTCATGAATTCGTGCCAGATTACTTTTAAGGTATATTCTTAGACTGTTCAGTTGTGTTGCGATCGAAAAAGTGGACAAATCATGGACATACGAATTCGTCATCAAGCCCTCTTCCTTGAATTTCCGCCCAGCCAGGGAACAACGCTACATGCTAAATCCAGCATCTTTAAATTTAATCATAGCACAGCATTTGATACTGTTATATTTGTCCAACTGTTCAGCATATGCGTTTCTGTAACATATCTCGGGTTCAAAGCATGACGGGGTGCTGTTAGGCACGACTTGACCCAATTTGAGAGGTCAGTTAAGTAGAAAAACATACAAAAAAACAATCAAGGGTACTCAGACGTAGCATACACAATATGCAATTGTGTTATTTTTTATTGTATTTTTAAACACCATTGGATTGATGAATAGGTTGCAGCTACCGTGCGCATGTTAATTTAAGGCCGTGAATGATTATTTGACGGGGTTTTAAAAGTCGAATTTCCAAAGAACAACTCTTTAGTTCAATTGGCAGGACTTTCTGGGGCTCAAGCGCACATAGACTTCTTTTCGACCGACCAACAGATCTACTGACAGCATTTCATGAATCAGGTAATTTTATCCACCGTAACCTACTTATATGATATCATCCAGATACATAACTTTGTGCATCCGGATACTGATCCTCGTATTGCGTACAGTGGTTGTTCACAAAAGACGAGCTCTACCAGATGCCGTCCATCGTCAATGATGGCATGACTTTTGAGGAAGAACGATTATCGAGATTACGAGGTTGCTGCTTCATTCAAATTATAGGCTGTCGTCTGGAAGTGTAAGTGTTGAAGGAAACAACTCCCCCAAGACGAAACAGTGGGTCATTGGCATGGGTCTAACGCTAAAGGGTCGTTCGGCAGTCCCCAAGTGACTATAGCAACGGCAACGTCATATTTCCATCGATTTTATGCGCGGAATTCTTTCAAAAGTTATGATTATGAGGTTGGTGAATATTTAATTTGATGGACGGATATGTAAAAATGGCGGGCGTGTGTAACTTATCTTGTAAACAGTATGTTGCTGCTACGTGTGTTTACCTTGCGGGCAAGGTTGAAGAATCCTCGCGGCAACTGAAAGACGTGGTTACTGCGTGTATCATTAGTCGAAAAACTCACAGTGACGAGAAAGGCAAGGTAAGGAAGATTTAAATCCAAAACAGTAGTTGTGGCGATTGGTATCAATGCAGCTAAATTTTTTGGTGTAGATCTATGCACAATGGCAAGAAGCGATTCTCTGGTATGAACAGTTTTTGGTCGAAACGCTTTGCTTTGATCTGTCAGTCGATCATCCGCATCAGTTGATCCTGGAATTTGCTGAAGAAGTCGATGGTAAATTATTAAAAAAGATGCTTCTCTACTCGATCGTTACAACTTATTACCATCGTCCCTATATACAGCACCGGCGCTTGTTGCTCAGTACGCATGGGCGTTTGCCAATGATAGGTAAGGTGTTTTTGTTTCTGGGATGTGTGTATTTGATCCGCGGCCAGTATGCTTATGTTATGAATTCAAAGTTTACGACAACCGTTATGCCTGATTTACCATCCGCAAATGGTGGCAGCCGCATGTATCTTGTTAGGATATCAAACGGTGGGAGTGGATTTTCCTGAAAGCACCGATACCATTTGGGGACAGACATTGGAGCAAGAGTTTGAACTTTTGACAGGTACGCAATGTTGTGTCATGCTTTTTTATCTGGCCTAACCCAGTTCTTTTCTTTTTTGTTACTCTTTTGATATCCAGCTATTGTCAGTGACATTGCCGCAGTATACAGTATCTCCGACGCTGTTGTAAGTAACACACAGAATCAATTATTTTGCTTGGCATTCCAAAGTCGTGTTGCTGACGTACTTCTGCTTCAGGAAAAAGCCAGGAAATCCTCGTCTTCAGATCATCACAATTCTGGTTCATCACACCGAAACGGCCATGCTGTAGCACCAACCAGCAACGGGCATCGACGGGAAAAAGAAGCAGATTCACGATATGTCAGACATCACACATGATCTGATGTCCTGATTTTGTTCGTCGGTATTTGTCATCCGTCAGACATTCTTTACTTGCCCTGTTGGCTTGACATCATTCAACGGATTTACATATGTATCATATCTTTTTTTACTTGGCATAATTTTTTATTGTATGTAAAAAAAACCTTATTCATCGCCATGATAATCTTCGGATTGGATCTCCTTGATCTACCGGTTCAATTCTATCTTTTCTCTCTTTCTCTCTCTTTTCCTCGCATTGCACTGTACATACAAATTGATCCGTTGGTTTTTTTCCCATTTGTTCTTCACTTTTTATGTTACCATTTGATGATTTACTGATTAAAATTCACAGTTGATATATACTCTAAGCCCTTGTTCGTGACTCTGAATTTTCTTTCGATTTTTAATGTTGGCTACTGTTGAGTTGATGCACCCTTTTGCTAAAAGTGGTGAGTAAACCGCTCGGTTGAGCAACATTTAATCAACATTGCTCACCGTGGCGCAGTCATTGAAATTCTTTTGATCTAATATTTTTTTATTTATTTTTTTTGGCGCGATGTCTCAGTTTAATATGCATGTGATGAATTTATGGACTCCGTCGCACCTGCACCTTGGGATCCAGTCATCATTCTGCTGAAACCCACATCTTCCTTAGTTTTCCCGACTCGGGACAAACGAACGCACCGGAACAGATGATTCCCATATGACCATCCGTACTGTCAAAATAATAAGAAAAAATGGAATTCAGACCATTAAACTGAGTCGGCGCAAAGAAGTATACAGGTTTAAGGAGGAAGTAGACACTCGTACCCATGTCGAGTGCAGTTAAAGAGTTTGGTCCAAACTGCAGCATCCTACGCTGAAATTTCGGTCATTCAATTATTTCTGCATCTGCTTTATTCCCTTTGAGATCTAGTTTTCCGGGGAATCGAAAACGAAAAGAGTCTTACAAACGCAAAAATGCCACAAATTGAAGAGCCAACAAGAGGAAAATGTCATATGGACAAAAAGTTGAAAATGTCATAAACAGTCATATTATGTAGTCAAAATCTTTGAAAAATTAGCGATTTTGTAAATCACATGATCTACACTAAGTTATCAAGACCTGTTAAACCTTTTTTTCATCTTTCAACCATGCCTCGCTGCCCACTTTCACGATAATAGGCGAAACAATCAGCAGCAAGATGCCGTTTGCACCAGTTGTGGTCAAACAGAGTATCGTCGCCGTTCACATAAAATGTGAGTGGAGCTCTTTTTTGAAGAAAGGTGATTGACGATACGACGATCTGGTGTTTTGTAGCATCATTTAATTTGGGTTATCTGTCAGTTATACTGTATATGCCCTTTCATTCTCTTCAGTAATCGAATGATACATGGAACAGATATGCTTCGATCTGTGTAGCTCATCATTCATGCATCAGTGAGGTGACTATTGTTTCATCCATGGAAAATCACATATTTTTGTCCGAATTTTTTCTTCTTCTTTAGTTTTGCATCTCTTCTGTTTGCCTGGAAATCCCTCACTATCATTGCATCCATCATCCAGACTATGGCGTGTATCTGATCCGGTCGATTCGATTATTATGAAAAAAGGTACCTTTTGTGTGATACGACTATCCGTTTTTCGTCAAGAAAAAATTTACCTGTCCTTTTTCTCTATTCTGTCGTTAGCTTTTGGTTTTCTCTCCGGTTTTCTTTTGCCTGGCAAGCCATTCAAGCCATCCATCCCTCCAAAACCTTTCTACTTTGTTCGGGCACCAGATTGTGGCCAATCCGGTTTTTGTCGTCAAAGGACATCTTCGGTCGTGTGGCTCTCTTTCTTTCTCATCGGGAAACGCTGACGCGTCCTCCTCATGTTGCCCTCATTTGGATTCCTACTCTTGATATCGTCTTTCATGTAAGTATTCTTTTCGCAGTCTTCCCTCTTTTTTTCGCCACAGGGTTTTTTGTGAGATTTTTACTGACGCAAGTTTTATTTTCTTTTATTTTTACTCGGGAAAACTATCGATATCTGGCCTCCAGCTCCAAATTACCGGCACTTCTGACCACATCAATATCTTGGCCCTGCTCAAGCTGACACCACCGCCCCAAAAATATTCCGCCGCTTAACTGTTTCTGCAAGCAATTTTCTTTTCCGCATCGAAGAAGAAGCTTACGTGTGGTCCGTATACATATTTTCTTTCGGCACAATGTTTGATTTAAAGGTAAACCAACCGCAAATGTTCCACTTTTTGGCCCATGTGGTTGACCTGATCATCATTCTTGCATTGGCAGAGTGACTATTGTTTCATCCATGGGAACTCATTCATTTTGTCTTCAATTTTTTCTTTTTCCTTTGGTTTTCTCCCTCTTTCCGTTTACCTGAAAAGCCCTCACTATCATTGCATCCTCACCCGCATCCACATCCATCATCCATCATCCAGACTATGGTGTATCCGGCGTCTATCTGTAACCGGTCAAGTCGAGTATTATCAAAAAGGTACCTTTTGTGTGATGTGACTATTCGTTTTTCGACAAGAAAAAACTCACGTTCTTTTTTCTCTACCCCTTCTTTAGCTTTTGGTTTTCTCTCCGGTTTTCTTTTCGCTTGGCAAGTCATCCATCCCTCCAAATCTTTCTACTTTGTTCGCGCTCAAATGTGGCCAAACCGGTTTTTGTCGTCAAAGGCATCGTCGGTGGTGTGACTCTCTTTTTCATTGGGAAACGCTGACGCGTCCTCCCCAGGTTCCTCTCATATGGATTGCTGCCCGTGGTATCGCCTTCGATATTTCTTCCCGACCATTTTATTTTGTAGTTGTAGTATGTATTTTGTATTTTAGTGAATAGTCTTCTTGCAGTCTTTTCCTCCTTTTTTTTCCCACAGGGTTTTTAGGGGGTTTTTACAGACGCACCTATTGTATTTACTTTTTTTTTTATATTTGTATCCTTTCTTTATTTCGGTCGGGAAGCCCTCGGTATCTGCTGCATCAAACATCAAAGGTAAAATATCTCAACGAAATTTGAATCAACCAAAGAGCTTACTAACTCATTTTTTTTAAATACCCAACATTCCCACACATCTTTGTAGATCTATCATAACCTTGGGCGGGACAGAACGGAGGGGGTCAATAAGTGCTGCTTTGTTCATTAAAAGTGTTTCATGGTATGCCAGAGTATTGACATTAATATACCAAAGTTCCATCAAGAGTCTCGCCCAGGTTATGCCGTATTGCGTTAGGCTTTTTGTCTGACGAATGTCGCTCAAGGGAAGAGTGCGACATCCAGTAGCAGGTGGCATCCATTGCACAGCGGGTGTACGGCTTGTTATGTAGTCAAATGGAATAAAATTGAAGAGCAATATGTGAAGTATGGCAAAATGTGGATGTAGTTTTTGTGCCTGTAAACTTCTCACGGGTTTTTGTTACCCCGAGGAACGAGCTCTTTTTTTTTATCATAATTGCAGGACCGGTCTTCACTGCCCAATTTGTAACAACTATTTGCCATTAAAGCCGCGGGGTTGGTTGATATTTATCAAATGCATTAGATGTCCTAGCAACGTATTGTGCGTTTGTACGCTCTCATAAAATCCATTTGCCGTGATCGTACCTCTAACTCTCAGTCTACAATGATTTCATTGCACTCAGTATGGCGGGTCGTGTGATCGCATCATTTTATAGAGTCCATCCCACTGCAAGAAAATCAAGCAACGAAAATCAAAGTGTGTATTTTAATGCGGATTTTTTAGGGGGTTGCAAGATCGTCTGGACCTACAAGTTGTCATCTAAGCAGGACCCTTGTGCATCTTCTTTTCTTATTCATGCCTGCAGCATATGCTGTGATATTTGCTCGGGAGCAACTGATTTCACTTCTTCTACTGATTTTTCACCAGAATCTGCTGCCAAGCGACTACCTTCTGAGGATCCATTATTGTGTTCGTTTCCCTTATTGGCGTTTGCCTCGGCTTTGGCTTTCTGTTGCTGCTCTTGCAATTTCCTAGTAATGGTAGTAAAGCATGAATTTTTTACCTCACCTCCAGCCATAAATTGTTCCTGAGACTTACTTTCTCGCCTGTAGCACCATGAACTCTTTACGCTTCCTGAGCATTTCTTCTCGCTTTTCAGGGCTAGATTCCCACACTTTCGGAGGCTCGGCCAAAGCTTCACTATCAACATCCTTTGTATCCAACTTGTATCGTTGCATCAAGTTTAAATGGCTTGCTGACTTGGTAGATGCACCCGTTGATGATCCCGAATCACCACCATTCGCTCCCGGTGTCGATGAACCTGAAGAGCTAGGAACAGAAGGCTGTCGACGCATGTTAACCCACTGTAAAACATAATCGTTTTATCTGTAAACTAACCAAAGGCAATCCTCCATCACGCAACGCATTATCCACAGTCGTTTCGACGGATCCTGTTCGTTGTAAATCGGCCACGATGGCGGGTATAGGGATATCTGGAAACATGGCGCGCACCATTTCGACCTATAATAAATAATCGATAAGTGCTACAGCTCCAGATGCTTAAGTAGGTTTATCTGAACACACCATTTGAGGCGTCACACGGTGTTGCATACGTCTAGATGTTGGTCGACGCTGTCCTTGCTGCCCAATCGACGGCTGTGCACCACCTACGTTTGAAAAACCGATGTAGTTCAGTCACGGCTGTTGAATTCGAGTCGAGTCAAATTTCACCCACCAAGCATCCATCGCAGGGCAAAAAGAATCAGGAATACTGCGACAAGGATAGATACTCCGTCATTCATTAGATCTACACCAAAGAATACCAAAAGCAAGAAACCTAACCCCGAAGGCGACTACTGCTTTGCTGTGACTTCCTCACTGGTTCCAAACCACTATTCAATCCCCGCCACGTTGAGAGCTTCCAAGACACAGGTCGATAGTGATTGGTCAATTTTCCATCTACATCACTTGGCGATGGTGGACGGGATGAAGCGGGTTGAATCCATGGAATTATCCCGCGGACAGAATATAAAACTGCTCATTCCATCTCTCGACTCTCATTTTTTTCTTTTTTTTCTAATAATGTCTGGCGACTCCTATCCAAAGTTGTCGAATGGATCGACACCAAAGTTATCTTTGCTAAACAATGGATCAACAAACAATGAACCTGAACTAATAAAATGTCAAGCCTTTGTGCCTCCACCGCTGTATGTAAAACCCATCCATTGCGTGGCTCAGTCTCCTTGTATGATAAAAGCGAACAGACGATTAAAAAGGGCTTCTATATCTCAATCTTTAGTTCTCCTCCCGTCACCTATGCCTCATCTTCTCCCAGGAATATCACCTTTTCTGAACCAGAAGAATCCGATCAACTGTTCAGCGACAATTCGCAAGATGACGAATCCTTCAGGGCTGATACTCATAATACGGATACCTTATTAAACGCAATGTTTACTGTGGTGAAGACTCGAAATGGCAGTGTGTTGACTAGAAATACCATTCTCAAGATGGATCATTTTTCAAGCGGTGAGTGAGATGGCACAATATATACCAATTTGTTGTGTTACCATGGATCCAAATTTGTCTTTGCATCACCGTCATGCATATTCACCGTGGATTCCAGAGTGAGGACAAGCGATCTAATATGGTCCTTATGTTACAATAGCTACCAATACCAACCTTGACTTCCATCTTCAGGGCGCTCCCAATTTTAGAAAAGCGGAGCTCAATGTCTACGGTGTTGCACAGCCGACGGTAAGTATCGGTATGATCGATCGATCTCTCATTTCATGCAACTGAAATTTTCGGCAATTTTGATAGAGTATCGGTTTATCAACCATTCTCGCCATCATGAATTGTCACCCCAAAAGTGTAAAGTCGGCTTCATGCACATGGTACGGTCTCAACATATCTTGTGACTCTTTCAGACATGCATATCTCATATCCTTGATCCTGTTGTAGGTTTTCCACCCGTGAAGAGCCGCTCATTTACTTGAATGGTTGTCCTTATGTCCTGCGTGACGATGCCAATCCTTCACAAACAATGAGTACCTTTCTGGGTATAAATGCTGCACGTCTGGAAAAAGTCGAAGAGAGACTCAAGCACGATGTTCTCAATGAATCCAAAAAGATGGACGGACTACTATTAGTCCACGATGAACTCCGTAAGTCCCAAAGATGCGTGCCGCAATAATCGCCAATAAGCTAACAAAGGATCATTCATCTCATTGTATCATATAGCGGATGGTACAATTGTCCCTTGCTATATTGCCGCCGATGAAGTACAAACTCCCAAAGAAGGTGCACTATGAATCCATCGGCAACGCAAAATGTAAAAATTTTGCCATGAAATTAACTAATACCTTGACATAGTATTTCAGGCGTTTCAAGAAAAGGGATATCGTCTAAAGTATTTCCGTATTCCTATTTCTCCTGAACAAGCACCGGAAGACAATTATTTTGATGAATACGTCAATATCATCAAGAGCCTCGAACCAACCGACCCACTTATCTTTAACTGCGGCATGGGTGTCGTACGAAGTAAGTAAAAAGAAACAAGTCGTTGAATTCCCCCGGCATAGCCCGCTCATACAAGTTTACATAGCAACGGTTGGCATCATTATTGCCCAAATCTTGAGACGTACGCAGCTGATTGCGCGCGGATTACCGGACCCTTTTCCTATTGCGGGATGGAAATATCCTTCGTCAAAATCGTCCGAGATTGTTCGCGGACTGGAGGAAGCAGGCAAAAATCGTACTTTGCTACGTCTCGTTTATGTCCTCGAAAAAGGTAAGGTTAAAATGTACGACTTGAAACAGCCTCTCTGATCCAGTATCTTTTATAGCTCTGGGATCAAAAATGGCACCTCATTCAGCGATAGAGTGGGCTCTTGATAGAGGCGAAGTGGTCGAAAGCCTGAAAGAAGCTATTACGGGCAACTACCAATCGATTGTGTCTCTTACCTCCGTGCTTGATAGCGGTGCTTTTAGCAAGCGCATGCTCGATGAAATTATCGATCGATGTAAGTCCTATCTATATTGATTGGCTAGTGAATTGCCCATGATGCTTAATTGAATGTTTTCCATTGTCGTAGCCGACACGGTCATCAACTTGCGCGAAAGTATTTTAACCAATCGAATCCGTCAAACCACTTCCAACGACTTGAACGACATGTTTTTGGAAAAGGCATCGGGTGATTTGCAACGGTACTTCTTTTTACTGTGCTTCACTGCCTACATCAATGAATCAGCCGACACGCGGTTCAAAATTCGGTTTTCGTCTTGGGTCAAGACACGAACAGAGACATGGACCATGCTACAAAATATGAGACGAAAGGGTCCAAGACTTTATTACTTCCGACCCGTCGAAGACTTGTCGAGCTTGATCCATCATAAAAATAGCCGAAATATTAATCGATCGATTGCTGTTCAGAAGCGCACCCTGTCGACCTACCAAGACAGTGTTTCTCATCCTGTCGCCAACGAAACGCATGACTTGATTGTCAAGGTATATAGCCTCTTGACGTCTGGCTAGTACGGCGCGATCATTTTTTTTAACTGTTTCGCATCCGCTTTTGTTAGACACGAGGTGGCGTAGCTCTTCGATCACAAACCATCCTAAAGGTCGATTTTTGGCATCACAACTACCTTTGCGATGAACGAGATCCTTCGCAAGGTAAGCGAGCTTTGGTGCACGCTTCGCCTTACTACACACCTGGTATGACCCCGTCGGGGAACCCGCAACCTAATACCTATGCTATCGAGGGAGCTTCCAATTTCCGACGTATCCAAAACACCCACGTCTATGGCGTTGCTCAGCCAACCATTGAAGGACTGCGCCAGGTCATCCGCCGTCTTTTAACCGACCGACCTCGCAACGACAAAGTCTTATGGATTAACCTGAGAGAAGAACCGGTCATTTACATCAATGGCATTCCCTATGTACTTCGCGATCAGTATTATGCTTTCCGAAATATTCGTGCTTACAAGGGCATCACTGGCGCGCGCTTGGAGCAGCTGGAAGATCGACTAAAAGAAGACGTCATTCGAGAAGTATTGAATTACGATGGCCGCATCTTGTTGCACAACGAAAACGGTGAAGGCCACATGTGTGCTCGCTGGGAAAAGGTGGACGTCGAAAACGTTGTTACCATGCGTGACGTGATGAATCGCGTCGGTTCTGAACTGGCCGAAGAACTGGCTGAAGACGATGCATCCGAGGCCGTTTTGGTCGACTATCATCGCGTGCCCATCACGGCCGAGAAAGTGCCGGAATGGCGTAGCCTGGACGTGCTCCGAGATCTTATCACCAAGGTGGACCTTTCCAAGACAGCCATCATCTTGTAAGTGTGCAGACCACTTTTAAATCACCAACAAACCAATACTTTCTTTACTTTTTTTTTTTTTGGCTATTGGACTAACTCAACATTACAAATTACAGAAACTGTCAAGTAGGCTATGGTCGATCCACAACAGGTAATAATTGATTTTGGTTTGCTTTTCTATAATGATAAAGAACTTGCTATTCATCAAATTTACACAGGTACTGCCATTGCTACTTTACTGACCCGCTGGTTGCGACCCAACACGCTCGGTAACCCTCAGGAGGGAGTCATGAAATCGCAACGGTTGAACTATCAGATCATCAACAGTTTGTTGCGTGTCATCCATCGTGGTTTAGAGAACAAGCTTATCGTGGATTACACCCTTGACCAGTGTGCTTATACTGTCAACCTGCGTGATATCATTGAAGCCGCTCATCTGCAAGCAGAAAACGAAGTGCATGATCAAGACAACCGTAAACGCATTATCAAACGGGGCATCGTGGCGTTGGAACGCTATTTCCTCCTCATCTGCTTCCAGGCATATCTCGACAGTATGGCACCTGGCGAAACCGAAATGGCGGAAACGTTTGAACAATGGATGAATCGCCACGCTGAACTCGGTTCTATTTTGTGCGAACTACGATCGGAAGAAATGGAGCTCATTGTAGCGGTAGAAAAATCGTTGGAGGGTGACGGGGTGGCTCTTTCGAGTGAAGTGATGCGGGTCGTCAATGCTCGTTGCGGGCAGGTGCTTGCACAGCAAACGATTCTCAAACACGACGCTTTTCCCGGTTGCCAGAATACCAATCTCACGGAAAATATTCCAGGTGTATACAACTATCGCCGCATTGAAGTCCAAGAAATCAAGAACTGTATCAAGAACGGAGGATTAACCGCCCAGCTAAGTGGCCTTTTGGCTGACAAGCAGAGAAACGCCAATGATGACCGTGTGGCTCCGTTTATCTGTGGATGTGCCATGCCGAGCAAAGACGCCGTTCGAGCTGTACTGAATGCCATGGATGCAGGACCCGGTGGCAAACGTCGTGTTCAATGGACTTGCTTGAGAGAAGAACCGGTTCTATACGTGAACAAACGACCTTACGTACTTCGTTTGTTTTCCGATCCCATCAAGAATCTGGAAACAACAGGTATCGCTCGAGAACGTGTGGAAGATATGGAAGAACGTATGCGAAGAGACGCTCTTGAGGAAATCAAGTGTTACGATGGACGAATGTTGTTACACGATGAAGAATTAACGAATGACGGATACGTTCTTGTGGTAAATGATCCGGATCAATACATCGAATTGACGCTTTTGTACTAATCCTTGCTTTGAAATCTCAGCCTGTGTGGGAAACTGTACCCAGCGAATGTGTGGAAACACCAAGCCAAGTTTTCCAATCTATTGTTGATGAAGGATACCAGGTGGATTATTTACGTGTACCAATGTGAGTTAAGAAAAAAAAAGTGGAGATATTGGGAGTGGGTGAGAAAAATGGACAATGGAATGAACAGGATCATTTAATCTACATTTGGTTAGTACCGATGAACAAGCTCCGATCCCGGATGTGTTTGATCAGCTCATTCGTAGAATGCAAGAAGCCAACGCGGGCGTTGATGTCTTGTTCAACTGTCAAATGGGGTAAGTGCAACCTCAATCCAATGAAAGATCGCACGGTTCAGAAAAATTCACACGAGAATCTTTTTTCGATAATTTTTTCTTGCTTAGCCGCGGACGCACCAGTACGGGTATGGTGATGGCCTGCTTGATGTCCATGATTCTGAACAATGAAGCCGTTTCCAGAATGAAAGAATCCTTCACTGTAGAGTCATTGGATCTGACCGAGAAAGAGTCCAGCCAGCTGGATGAAAAGGATCGTTATTTGAGAGGCGATTACCGGGTAGTCCTGCAATTGGTGAGCGTTCTGACGTATGGCAAACTGGCTAAACGTCTCACGGATCAAGCCATCGATATGTGCGACCATATGCAGAATTTGCGGAAAGCCATCTACGAGTACAAGCTCCGCCTGGAAGCTATCCCAGATCAAAACTCCAAGCAGTGGGGCGCCATGCGCAAGGTCGCTCTCAGTTACCTTGTGCGTTATTTCTATCTCATTGTGTTTGCTAATTATCTATTGGAGGAGATGGGTCACACAGACACGATGTCTCGTTCTGATTCATCCGTGTCAGATTCAATTTCTTCAAATGCTCAACCACGAGATAATGCGATTGGGGATCAACAAGCCAGCAAGATGCCAACATTCAGGGTGTGGCTCAAGGGTCGTCGAGAAATTACCAATATTGTCAAGTTGCAAACATTGTATCTTTGTTAGATGCAGTGTAAAAATAAAAAATAAAAAAGCTTATCGTGTTTTCCCATAGTCAATTTCATCTTCCGGCAGATCATATGATGCCAAAATTTCGCTTGGTGTCATGTAACTCAAACAAAAAAAGAAAGAGAATGGATCCAACCCGTTGCAGGATGGAATAGAAATTGCCAGAATTGGCCATCTTGTATTCAGATCAAGTCTGTTTGCGATTGCTTGGGAAAAGTTAATCGTTGGCAAAGAAAAACTTGCAACACATACCGTTTAAATGCTTAATCGTATTTTTTTTTCTTCCTTTTCTATTTAATAGCGACTGATTTGTCCTTTGACCCTGTTTTTCCTTTCTTTTATTTTTACTTTTTTTGGTGCTTCGCTTTGCTTTCTTGGTCTTCATTTGTATATTTTACCATTACTGACGACACAACATGAACCTGATACCAAAGAAATTCAGACGATCAGAAGAAGAAAAAGCGGCCAATACCGAGATCGTGGTCGAAGAAGGAACCGCTAGTTATCCTGAATGGGTTAAAAAGTCGAGTGCTGCAGTTCAAAATGCATGTTATTTCGTGATTGGACCCTTTGCCAAGGTGTGGCGATACCTGGAGCGTCGAACCAATCTCACCTTCTGGATCATTTTCGGCATGGTGCTCGGTATTATAGTGGGTCGATTTGCTCCAGAATTTGGTAAAGAAATCAAACCTCTGGGCACTGCGTTTATCCGAATGATTACCATCATCGTCACGCCTCTTGTATTTTCCACCCTGGTGGTGGGTATTGCAGGTAATTTGGTTCTGCTTATCCAATCACGTTGCATCGTACATCTTTTTTGATCTCGAAACGTCCTTTTTCTGGGTTTTTTGGCCTTTGTGTAACCAGGTCACGGCGACGATGTGAGCAAAGTTGGCAAACTTGCTATCAAGACTATTATCGTAAGTTCTTTTTTTTTTCTGTTCTTTCTATGACTTTTTCCACACTGTACTTAGTACCTATGACATTGTCTTTCTTTTAGTATTTCGAGGTGGTCACTACATTTGCCCTTGCCGTTGGTCTGATCATGGCAAACCTTATCAAACCGGGTCATGGTGTGGTTTTAACAGGAGCTGATTCCCAGGAAGTCGATGCGATGGCTGAAAAAGAAAAAGAAATCACTTGGTATGGCGAAATGTTCATGATCATTCCCGAAAATTTCTTCAAAGCCGCCGTCGAAGGCAAAGTGTTGGCCATCGTATTCTGTGCCGCCATGTTTGCCTGTGCCATGATGAAAGCAGATAAGAAATCCAAGAAATTCATGCTCCAAATTAACGAATCACTTTCCATGGTAAGCGAGGGAATCGGTCAAGGAAAGAAAAGGAAAAATACGTTCATTTAAGGCAATGGATGGGATTGATTAATTTCCATTTTGGGCGATTCTGTTTTCAATAGATCATGTTCAAATTCGTGGGCTTGGTAATGAACTGTGAGTAATCATGCACAAAACATCAGAGTCGGGAAATAACAGCTCATCGTGATTTGAAACAGATGCTCCTATCGGTATTGGTGCTTCTCTAGCCGCGACGGTGGGTGAGAACGGGATTGATGTGCTTGCCAATCTCGGCAAATTGATTGGAGCCTTGTACGCATCGCTGGCGATTTTCGTTGTACTGATCCTGCTTCCTATCCTTCTCGTCTGTCGAATTCCCCTGTTGGGTTTTATCAAAAGTGTGGGTCAACCTTGGCTTATTGCTTTCAGCTCGGCTTCCAGTGAATCCGCCCTACCTAAAGCATTTGAAAATATGCGCGCTTTTGGTTGCACAAATGCTCTGACCGCTTTTGTCATTCCCTGGTATGTGCCCTTTATTATCCGTGTCACCCACATGAAACGCTGAACTTTTTTTTTTTTTTTTTGTATAGTGGTTACTCTTTTAATCTTGATGGCACTACCTTGTATCTTTCGTTGGCGAGCATTTTCGCCGCTCAGGCTGGAGGCATGAATCTGCCTATTGCCACGCAGCTCTCCATTATGGGAACACTGATGTTATCCTCTAAGGGTGTGGCTGCTATCCCACGTGCTTCTCTTGTAGTACTAGCCGGTACTTTGATGCAGTACGACCTTCCCAAGGAAGCCGTTTCCATGATCATGGGTGTGGATGCCATCATGGATATGGCCCGAACTTCGATCAATGTCCTTGGCAACTGCCTCGGTTGCTGTGTGATGTCGCGCATCGAAGGATCGTTCCGCGGACAAGAATGGAAGGAAGAAGAAGAAGAACGTCGCCGACAAAGACTGGAAGATGATGAAGATAATTTACGTGTTGATAATGACCATGATGGCGACGCAAACAGTTTGCCAGAGAAGCGTATGCCTACCGATATGGGGCACGGAGCAGCCATGGGACAACCACTTGAAGTCGTTGTTCATCAAGACGATAAAATATCCTCCGTCGATTATGATTATCCTTCTCACCGCTAGCAAGACTGATTAGGACAAAACTCTTCTTTTTACATGCTCCGTTTTCTATCCACTAGGCGCGTGCTGGTTTTCCTTTTATTTTTATTTTGTAATATAACATACGGTACAACGCAGTAGCATTTGTTTTATATTCCCATTAAAAGTTCAATCGCTTGATTGTGGCTTCTTTCGTCTTGTACAGCATGAAAGACTATTTACAAGTAATAATATTCAAGGACCTGTAACCATCAAACTTTGCAACTGAAAAGAAATCGACATGACATTACAGCATGTGTCTTATGTCATCAGTAACAGCCAGATGCAGTGCTTATGCATTATTCCTTCCGTTTTCCCGCAGCAACGCGCGACTCTGTCGACGAGCAACGTTTTTCCAATAGAGGCTCCAAGTGAGATGGTATGGCCGTAACGCTATTATCACGGCTGCATCGTTGGAAGCGTATGCCATTATCAACCGATGAGCCATCGATAGTGACTATCCACGATTTTGGCACCCATTTTTTCTCTATACTTCATTCCTCTTTTACTAGAGTTGCCCCTCATGTTGATTTTCGTAATATGATATAGATTCTTTGCCAATTATTTTTTGCTTCTCTGTTACGGTAAATAATGAATTAACTCGGGCGTCAAGGATAACTAGGGAAGATTAACCAACGACCTGTGACTCTCTTCAACAGGTGACCTTAGGATATTTAAAACGGTAGACTATCTTTTAACTCGACAAATACCAAATCGATTGCAATCACTGGTCATAATGATTGGCGATGCAGACAACCTCTCTGTAAATGAAAACAGAGCTTGCATTATTTCGTCATCCATCGATGATGAACGCTTGACTTGCGCGTTAAGAATTTAGCAGAGACAACTACCTGTATGCACGTATCGCTGTCGAACGCGTCAAAGGGTCCGCATATGACGAAGTTGCTTTGTTTTTTATTCTCGGTTGGTTATATTCAGCAAGCTGGAAATATATGCAATTGAGTGGAAAAAAGCTGACGCGCTTGATTTTGGGATTCAACGTCTATCCAACGCACAGAAACATGTCATCGGTCGGTTGCTTATCATGAACAATCCAGGTTGCATAAAGTACAAATAGTGCAAATTACAGTGACAAAAATTTTCACGAGATCATACCGGTAGCTAAATGTTTGGAACGGTTAATTTATCAAGTGATAGCTTGATTTTACCAAGTTGAAAAAGAGTAAACATTAATGATATGTTGGCTTTTTCAAGTAATCCAACTGATACGATTGTACAGTGCAAAGCTTTTGACGTATCGAATTAGTGAAATCGATCATCACAGAAAGCGGACGATTCCATGTGAAAAGATTTTGTGGGGTTCCGTCTCTTCAGCTGCAAACGCGCGGTCTCTAATTCCGGACCCTATCATTGTCCGTGCATCATGTGCTTGTCCTTGAGTCCTTTTGTAAGTGTCTGTCTGATGTTCCGATGAAATTCTTTTGAGGACCCGGTGGGTAAACTTTCAGACATTAAGACTGTAAACGCACTGCAAGGTATCATGTTCTTGCATATCTGCAACATGTTCCTGCATTCGCCTTATGAGACAAATGTCATTGAAAAAAGTGGCGGACAACTTGCGGTCTTTCCTAATTTGTGGAAATCCATGCATACAGTTGTTTCGTTTTGCGGCTTGGAACCTTATGAAACCTGACCGAAAAATCTTTGCAGTCAAAATTTCTTAAATTGGCAATTTTTGGGGAATACAAAGCCCGGTTGCGTCTTATTGCGCCATATCGGATGTGTAACCTGAGCATTACAAAAAGAAAAAGAAAAAAAAACGTAAGGGATAAAATTTGCTCCGACAGCTCAATTAAACAGCATGGCTATATTTCAGAAAAAAGGCAGCACTGGTCTTCCGTATATTATTTTCGCTCCAACGCCATCCACTCCGCTCTCACTTTTTTGGACGATGGATACCATTGACGAGAATATAAACGGCGTGACGCCTAGACGGCATCCAGCAAACAAAGAATATAACAAAAGTGATACCTACTTCTCAAGATCGCCCTCTCCTCGAACGGAATCGCCTACACTTACCGATAAAAAACTGTCGTCTTTATTTTCTCGATATAAACCATGGCTTATGTGGTGGAATTCCGACGAATGGTGGCCTTGTTGGATTGGCTTCATCTTTTTCGGTTGCGTTGTCAGCGCCGTGCACCACGGAATACCCGAGCCAACGTTTCTTTTGTGGGATCATAATCCTTTTCTTACCTTCGCCTCCACGGGAAACTACGGTCTTATTGTGATTTTCTTTGCCATGGGGATTCTGCTTTGGATAGCCATGGCCTCCATTCGAGCAAAAGGTTGGCAAGGTTACCCTTTGGGATACCTTGTTGTTTTCCTCTTGAGCCTCATCAGCAAAATGCTGGCAGCCAATGGTAACTTTTATTTTTTATTTACGCATTCAGCGCATCGTATCGTATCGTGAAAGGACGCATTCACTCAACGGCTTGTATAGTACAACTGAAAAAAGCCAGTCTCGGTGATTCTATTTGGGCTATTATTCTCGGCTGTGTGTTGCGCAATTTGATTGCACTGAAGCGGTCAGCTCAACAATTGCCACCATGGTTGAAGGTGGCTCAACAGACGGAACTTTACATTGCCGTGAGTTTGGTACTATTGTGCATCGATATCAGCGTACTACGACCCTTGGCTCCGCGTGCTTTGTTTGTGAGCTGGCTCGATACTCCCACGCTTTTCATGGTGGTTGCCTTTTTCGGTTGGCGTCTACTCCGCATCGACATGCAAACAGCTATTATCATGTCCGGTGCCACCTTCATTTGCGGTTCCTCAGCAGCCATCGCTTTAGGTGCCAGTATGGGCGTGCCTCACAAGACCGAGATGCCTATTGCTATCATCTCTATCTTTACCATTCCCAGTATCATTGCTTTGCCCTATGTTGCCCGGTCCATGAACTTCAATCCCGATGTCAGTGGCGCTTGGTTTGGTGGTTGCGTCGATTCGACAGGAGCGGTCATTGCCGCAGCCAGTATTTACGGCGACAAAGAAGCTGTCAACACCTCCGCCGTTGTGAAGATGATGCAAAATATTCTTATTGGTCCTATCAGTGTGATGATGGCTTGGGGCTGGACTCGATACGAACTTCGCACTGCCGATAAATATGAACAAGAACCCCTGCGGCGTGACGACCATCTGGTTGCCGAATTGAACGAGACAACCGATGTTTCTCTTGAAGAGATAGGCGCCACAAAAACACCTATCTCGAAATTGCGAAAAGCAGAGAAGCCGTATATCCTGCTGTGGAAGCGCTTCCCAAAGTTCGTTTTGGGCTTTATCATCACAGCAGTGATGTTCAACACAGCTGTGTCCGGCGACCCTGAAGTGAGAACCACTGTGAACAACTTTTGTTTCTACATTTCCGAATGGTTCTCCACGCTCTCGTTTGTGAGCATCGGACTTGGTCTGCATTTAAATGACATGAAAAAGAATTTGCGTGATCTAGGAAAACTGTGTACCTTATATGTAGTCGCGCAATTAGTAGATATCATCATCACCGCCGTTTTAGCCTTTGTTGCCTTCACATACATGTAAATATATCCATTTTCTATCGAGATTCCAATCACGAAATATAAAAAAAAATTCATTTATGCCTCGATCTTGATTTTTGTTCTTTTCTATCTTTGAATATAACCCTTACATTAGACCGACGCCACAAATACTGTAAGCAAGAGCTAGCTGGATTCCACGTAAATGCCTTCCGGGCAGGTGTATCATCAAACAATCTACGCAGAATCCACGTCCTATGCAATCCAATCAGTGATTATCTATATAATTAAAATCTTTGAAAAATTAGCAATTTGTAAATCCCATGACTTCCACACTAAGCTATCGGAACCTTTTTTTGTGCCTTCTCTCTTCAGAACCTCTTATTATTCTTTTTTTTTTTTGTGCCTTTTCTTCTTCAACTACACTAAGCTATCAGAACTTCTTAATATCTTTTTGCAATACACCAAGTCATTAGAATCTCAACTTCTTTCGATTGGTGCCTTTTTTTTTTGTTCATCTTTGAACCATGCCTCGCTGCCCATCTTGCAACGGCAACGATCACCAGCGTTCTACCAATCGTCGTTGCCCAAATTTCTCTCCACGAAACACTACTATAAATAATGGGCGAAACAATGAGCAGCAAAATGCGGTTTGCACCAGTTGTGGTCAAACAGAGCATCGTCGCCGTTCACATAAAATGTGAGTGGAGCTCTTTTTTGAAGAAAGGTGATTGACGATACGACGATCTGGTGTTTTGTAGCATCATTTAATTTGGGTTATCTGTCAGTTATACTGTATATGCCCTTTCATTCTCTTCAGTAATCGAATGATACATGGAGCAGATATGCTTCGATCTGTGTAGCTCATCATTCATGCATCAGTGAGGTGACTATTGTTTCATCCATGGAAAATCACATATTTTTGTCCGAATTTTTTCTTCTTCTTTAGTTTTGCATCTCTTCTGTTTGCCTGGAAATCCCTCACTATCATTGCATCCATCATCCATCATCCAGACTATGGCGTGTATCTGATCCGGTCGATTCGATTATTATGAAAAAAGGTACCTTTTGTGTGATACGACTATCCGTTTTTCGACAAGAAAAAATTTACCTGTCCTTTTTCTCTATTCTGTCTTTAGCTTTTGGTTTTCTCTCCGGTTTTCTTTTGCCTGGCAAGCCATTCAAGCCATCCATCCCTCCAAAACCTTTCTACTTTGTTCGGGCACCAGATTGTGGCCAATCCGGTTTTTGTCGTCAAAGGCATCGTCGGTGGTGTGACTCTCTTTTTCATCGGGAAACGCTGACGCGTCCTCCCCAGGTTCCTCTCATATGGATTGCTGCCCGTGGTATCGCCTTCGATATTTCTTCCCGACCATTTTATTTTGTAGTTGTAGTATGTATTTTGTATTTTAGTGAATAGTCTTCTTGCAGTCTTTTCCTCCTTTTTTTTCCCACAGGGTTTTTAGGGGGTTTTTACAGACGCACCTATTGTATTTAACTTTTTTTTTATATTTGTATCCTTTCTTTATTTCGGTCGGGAAGCCCTCGGTATCTGCTGCATCAAACATCAAAGGTAAAATATCTCAACGAAATTTGAATCAACCAAAGAGCTTACTAACTCATTTTTTTTAAATACCCAACATTCCCACACATCTTTGTAGATCTATCATAACCTTGGGCGGGACAGAACGGAGGGGGTCAATAAGTGCTGCTTTGTTCATTAAAAGTGTTTCATGGTATGCCAGAGTATTGACATTAATATACCAAAGTTCCATCAAGAGTCTCGCCCAGGTTATGCCGTATTGCGTTAGGCTTTTGTCTGACGAATGTCGCTCAATGTAAGAGTGCGGCATCCAGTAGCAGGTGGCATCCATTGCACAGCGGGTGTACGCCTTGTTATTCATGAAATATAGGCTTATAAAGGGCCATCGTTACCAAATATGATATTCCCAACTTCGCGCCTGTCTCTTGCACCACTACTATGCCACACCTTTCTTTTTTTTTTCTCTAGCTATTCACTTACTTTCCTTCAGATTGCTGTAAAACATTAGGTGCAATAAGGTGATTAGGACCACATAATTTATTGATTTTTGGTCCTAGAAAGTAATGATCATTGCATGTAAACAAGCATATCGTCCACAGATAAAAACAAGACATACAGTCAAGCGATTATCACAGCTGTGACTTTATTGAGGCCTAGAAAGTCTCTATATACCTTATGCTGGTTGTAACAAAATTTAAAGCTTTACCGGAACTATGTAGTTTTATGTAGCTTTATCTTCATTCGTACAGTGTTGACACATTTATTTGCGCTTCTTTGTACTGTAGAGTATGCAAGATTGAAGTGCTGCAGAAGGACGGCAATATGGCAATTGTTCTCCTCGTAAAGTGCAAGACGCGTTTTTAACAGAGTTTTTTTTTTTGCGCATGTGCCTCTATTCCAGTCGTTTCTCGTATCCATTCTGGTATGCCCATTCTTTGTAAAAACATTAAAAATTAAACCAAATTGTTGTTGTTGTCCCCTTTTTCTTTACTGTCGATTTTTTTTTTTTTGTGTCTCGCTCTGAATCATGCATACATCATGTAGTACTGTGCTTTTGATTGCGTTGTGTTATGCTGTTGGCTCATCTTCAAGCCAACCTCTTCCGCTGTCATTGACGAAAAAGGCGCTTTCCAGCGCTTCGGAGTATTATTCTTCAGCGACGGACCGTTTGCCATTTTATGCTGGCCGCGTAGAACGATGGGCCAGCACAGCCCCTAAGCGAGAATATCGCCAATGGAATATGGATCCTGTTTTGCCACTGCTCGGACCCATAGCGCCTTCTGTTAAAACAGCCTCATGGACCGTAGATGTGGCTCCACGTCGATCCACAAATCCAATCTACCAAACTGAGCAGTTGGACCCTATTTTAGTGGCACCTCTACCACCCGTGATGAATGAACTGCCGTTGCGAACTCCAGCAAGTGACTCCACTGCACCAAAGAAGAAAGTGCCAACTGTCATGATTGATCGCATAGTAGCAGACCATTCAGTATCTGTTTCCGGTACGGTCGCCAAACATCGAGCCCACCATTTTCGTCAATTCGTGGGGATGGATGACCAGGGTCATATATTTACTATCGACTTACCAAGCCCCAAGACAGGACCAAGCTACTAAAAAATAAATGCTCCTGCTATACAGCCCAACCATCGGATCAACTACTGCATTCATCAAATCCGCTTATACTTGGGGAGCATGAAGAATCTAAAATTTCTACATCATTATCATGAATGCTCCAATTTATACACAAGAAGACATGTATCGCAAAATAATATGTGAGTCGAGGATACGGGCTAAAAAAAAACACTATGGAAACACATCCGTGCAATAAAAGTAAGCCTTGCTTCTATGGAGTAAACTATGTATCCATGGGAATCTATGCGAAAAAAGGCATCATGAGAACTTTGTACGTTGTTAGGGTTTATTTGATCAATCCATATGCTTACCTTTTCATCGTACCACCATACTTTTACAGTTTGGTCATCACTGCAGCTGGCAAGAATGCCTTGTTTGGCATTAGACGCAACTTCATATACCACGCCAGTGTGGCCACGTAATTTCTGCAGCACTTCGCCGGTATCTTGATCCCAGATATACACGACACCATCCTAGAAACTGTGATCAGTTTTTCTGCAACTCGTGTGCTAATGTTCTCGTCTGTTACCTCGGAGCCACCAACAATCAAGTTATTATTGGCGAAACCTGCGCGCACAAAATTCTTGGACGTATTTTGGTGACCTTTCAATTTGCGAATCGGCCGTACCATACGCACATCCCACAATCGATTTGAATTGTCCTTACTGCTACTCAATAGCAGAGTTCCGCTGGAATTCATCTCCACCGATGTCACTTCACCCAAGTGCGAAGATATAGTACGGATACATAAGCCAGATACAATATCCCAAAACTTGATAGTGTTATCTTTGGATCCACTGATGACCAGGTTGCCTAAAGGATTGAATATCGTTTTTGTCACGGCCAACTGATGACCAGGAAAAGTCTTTACAATAGCGCCGGTATTGACGTCAAATAATCGAACCGTCTTATCATAACCTCCCGTGACAACATGTTCCTAAATGATTCGAGTAAGAAGCATGAAAGAAATTCAATAGAACTACTTATTACCTGATTTGGATGATACTTGACGGAATATACATCACCTGCATGTCCATTTAATGTGTTTGCACAGCTTGCTTTTGTCGAAGATAGATTCCATATCTAGAGAGGCTGCCGTTAAGTTTCTGCTAAAAGGTGGACAAAAGGTAAATGAGGTATAGTTGAGTGGGCTGTGTTTACCTTGACCGTTCCATCACCACTTGCACTGGCGACGAAATCGCCTTGCACTGTACTTGACAAATCCCAGATCCTCGATCGATGACCTTCCAGTATATCGAGACATTCCGCGGTTTCCGTATCCCAAATCCGAAGCGTGTTATCACTTTTTCAAAAATATTGATATAAAGGTTCAGTAGTGTTGCTTGATTGAACAACGAGGGACACACAGGCTCACCTAGAACCAGACACAATCTCTCGACCGTCATCGCCAATAAACTCGACACATTTCACATTGCCTCGATGTCCTGTCAACGTAGCTCCAACAGCATTGGGAATGACGAAACTCGTATAATCTTCCACCAGTCTATGATGATGTTTAGCATAGCATTTTGACAGTCATCTTTTGCAGATGCATACGAGTTGACTGCTGGAGCGATTTTTGGATGGTATCTTGAGAATTCAATTTGATAGGCAACGGATTGTCGCAGCAAGGTGAGCAAACGATCGGGCGGTATATAACGGTTGCCTGCGCGGGCGGGGGAGGGAGACAAGTAATACATGAGAATATAAAGTTTGCAAATCAAATCTCCAGACGTACGTACCATTTCTATCAGCAGTTTCAAAATCTAGCATACTTTGCAGCTGATCCACCAGATTTTCTCTAAATACAGCAGCACCTTTAGTAAATGCATCCAGCAGCTTCTCCAATGGGCCAATTTACCTTGCAGACATGACCCCTTCCCAGTTGCGAAAACTAGGTGCTTCATGTATTGATTTAGCTGTTAAAAGATAACACAGATCCTTGAACTCGGTTGGTTTCGTTTGTAGATGTTCCAAGGGTTTTAAGCGTTTGTTGAGAAATGTAAATGCCTGTTTGAGTTAGATCATTTGTTAACAAGAAGACGACTAGCTGAATGATTTTCCAGTATTACCTTTTGAATTTCACGACGTTCGATGTATTCCAAATATTGTTGTCTGTAAACTGAATAAAGGAACGACCGATGGTTCTTTACCAGTGGCTTTGTACACAGTTTTTCCACTTCCTGCCAGTCACCATCTATGCAACAGATGATTGATGATTGATCAATGTGAGTGCCCTTGAACAGTATGTAACTAAAGTAACTAAAGTAGTCAGCTTATCCACCAACCTAAGATTGCCTTTTTCAGTCGTTTGACCTCCACTATTCTTTCTTCGCGCTCTTTCCATTTCACGTTCGTTTCGTCATATAGTACAGATTGTGAGGCATGATATCCTTCGTCGGCCAGATATTGCATGATAATGCCAATGATATCCTTTGAAAAATATGTGAGATAACAATGCCTAAAAAACACTTTAAGCACTCATCACTTTACTTCTTTAATACGAGGATCGTTTGCGTTAAAGATATCTTCCGTCGGTCGTATATAGGAGCTGTGGACCCCCATATGTTGGGTATGTGTGGCGAGGCTGTTACAGAAAGCTTGTGAATTTACTCTTTCAGTTCCAAAAAGAAATGTCAACACGCTAACCTCCGACGTCGACGTGCAGCGGAAGTTGATGATATGCCGCTTCGATTCCAAAAGAAAGATGGTGATTCAGCGTGCCCGGACATCATGTCGTGAGCTCGAAAATCAACCGACCGACTCTCGGACGCCACAAGAGAGTTATCTTTTGGTTCTTCTGTTCGATTGCTTTCTTGGAGGTTCAGTTGCTCCATTGGCTCTCTTATATCGTTGTCAACAGCGGGATCGGTCATTGGCTCAAGAATGCGGTATCGGCGGTAGGTGAACTTTTTTTTTTCTTTTGACCTTTTGCTCTATTGTCCAAGCTACCTTTGGCCACCGTCGCGGAGATTGAATCTCAAAGTTCGATGCTTCTGCAGCACAGACGAAAAATTGACAGTCTTAAGTGCACATTGGACGCCTAATGGCTCTCTTTTGAAAAGGAAAACAGAGAATAAAACGACGAGAAATAAAGGAGCAGCCATAAAATTACAGATCAACATAACAGAGAAAGTAGATGCAAAGTGTGATACTTTGATATTGTATTTGAGGATTTTGGGGGGGGGGGAGAACCCAATGCACGATGGACAGAAAGAAATAAAAATATATAAAAAATGATAGTAGTACAATGACTTTTTCCAAAAAAAAAATTCCGTCGACAGTGTTATGCACTGTCAAGGAGCTCCAAATGGCCTTTGATAGCTCCTCCCACGCTGACGCGATCGATTAAAAAGGTATCGTGACCAAACATCGCATCTAATTCGTAGTAGGTGACATGTTTGTTGCCTGCAGCGCGAAGACATTCGGCAATCTCTTTTTGCTGCCAAACAGGGAATAAAATATCGGATTGTACACCGAGGACCAAGGTAGGCATGTTGATCCCACGCATGCCGTTGACAAGGTCTTGTGTTTCAGGGTCCGGAGATAAGGTGGTGAGCGTACCATGCGGCACGGGCGACGATGCGGTGTCCTGTTGTTCAAGAGCGGAACGCGTGCCAATGACCGACCGACATACTTCGGCGGTAATTTTAGCATCATCAATATTGGCGCCTCTGCGTTTGAGAACTTGTTCTAATTTCGGGAGATTGCGCTCACGTTGGTGGTATAAAGCATCGGTCACTGTCTTTGACATATCAAACATATCCATTGCCTTGGAAATGTACAGCAGACTGTTGGGATCATACTGTAAACAGAATCGTTCACCTTGATGATCCAAATATGTTTCAATCAAAAAATCAGGACACAAAGCGGGCGATGCATTTTCCTGCGCTCGTTTACGACCAAACCGCTGTTCCCATTCAGGTCCTGATCGATAACTGAGAGTTTGGGACAATCATGTCAGAAAGATCTTTCCTCTTGCATATCCTCATTTCATCGTCTCTTGTTGATTACCTGATGGTAGCAATCTCACGGGCCAACTATTGCAGAAAAATGAAATAGTCATAAATGTCTTGTTGACCTTTTTTCCCAACGACGCTTTCTTTTCATTTCTCACCTTCATACCGACATGGGGAGGAATTCCTTTATAGTAAAACCCCTTGTTCCAATTGGGATCCGCCATTAACACTGCATTGCATGATTAGCTCAAATGGCTTTTGGTTCATTTTTTTTGAGGAAGCTCACCTTGTCTTTGAGTGTGGCGCAGCGCAATGGAATATGGGTGTGAGCGGGCACAAGCTGAAATGGTGATCAATCGCTTGACTCGATCAGGAAACAGTTTGGCAGCTGCAATTGACTAGCCTACCCTGTTAGCCCGTGCAAACATATTGTATCCGAAAACACGCTTCAGTTTCTTTACCTGCATGCCACCCATGCTGCTGCCAACACTAGCATGCAATTTATCGATGCCAAGGCTGTCTAGCAGTTTGAACTGAGCGCGGACCATATCGAAAATGGTCAAGATAGGAAACCGCGTGGCATAACGTTCACCATCCGCCGGATCAATTGAGCTGGGCCCCGTCGATCCATAGCAACCGCCAATCACGTTTGTGCAAATTACAAAGAACTTGTTGGTGTCAATATGCGATCCCGGTCCAATAAATTCTTCCCACCATCCCGGCTTTGTATTTTTCGCGTGTGATTTTGCATGAGACGATGCCGATAAACCGGTGTGAATCAGAATTGCATTATCCCCCTTCTCATTTAGGGTACCCCACGTCTCGTAAGCAATTTGAATATTCGGTAAAATACCGCCGTGATCCAGTAAAAACGGATGTTGATATTCAAACATCTCATACCCTGTCACTACATTGTCGTAGCTTGGCTCGGGACCATTATCCAACTCCATGGTGCGCGAATTCATCTTGTCAATGCAAGGAAATGAAAGTGGAGGATTTGAAGAAGTGCAACCACTGTTGTCGTCCGTGTTACATGAAGAACTAGCCGACGCATTCTGATGAAGAGCTGTCACGGATGGTTAAAAAGATCAAATAATGGGAACCTACGGGCCAATCCGCCGAGTACCTACTTCGTCTAGATTGATAAACAGTTCGTGACGCAATTGACGTCAAGGATCTTTTATGACTCGCAATCAAAGTCGACCTTACGCCACGAAGGACCGAGAAACGTAGACTTGACATTACTAGACAGAGCTAAAGACCAAAGTGGTTTGAAAGCTTAATCAGATCGAATATGACAAATCCATCTGGAAATCACGCCATTTGAACTCAGTTGCTATTGGCCAGAACCTGTGCGGCTGGAGAACAAATCGTCCAATGGGACATACGATTTTCGGTTTCTTTTCTCACACAGAGTGGGTCACTCGGTTCTGACAGAAGGATTGCACACGTAAATCAAGTGTTTCTTTCATTTGAATCCATATACTATCTATGATTCGACGATTTGTTATTATATATGATGGCCACAGATTTATTAAAAATCATCCAACAAACAGGAGTATTTCTCTTCTAACCTCGCGGAGACATTCACTCAACTTCGTTATCGAGGTCGAATTTTTCAAATACTTCTTTCTTAGTCATACAAGTTTCACCAGCATACTTTATGTATGTTTAGTAAGCATACGTCCTATTTTGGTTGGGAGCTGTGTTTACCTTGTCCAAAAGCATGAGAGCAATATCTTTCAGCCCGTTATATTCATGCAAGAGTCCAATGCGTCTGCGAAAACTTTGGTCCACGGCTTCATCTGTCACACTATGAAACAACAGCTGAGTGTACACATCAGCTATTTACATATTTTTGCAAAAAGTACCCAAGTTTATCGGCCAGCGATGCATGCTCTTGTCGCAATTGTTCAATACGCTACACTCGAAACTTAAGCTAAACGCTCACCTACAGAAGCCTCAAACCAATTTACCTCCTTTAACGCTGAGACTTCTTCCATTGGTATGGATCGGTAAAAAAAATTGATTCCTATGGAAGAAAATAGTTGGTCAAAAGATTTTCGTTTTATTGTGACTTGTGTTTGATAGCTAATGATGATTTAACCATGTGTCATACAAATGCGAGTCGAATGAGAAGCGATCAGTGGAAAACGTATAAAATTTTGATGCGAGAAAGTTTTTATATGAAACAAGGTTTGATCATTGTGATAATGGCACACCAAGTTATTTAGATGAAATAGACCCAACGCTTTTACTGCCTGTGAAGTAGTCAGACTTGGATTATCTTTTGCTTTTGTTGCTGAATCATGTCTGTCATTTGGTCCAAACTTTGGCCAGCCTGTTTTAACATTCTTTCTAATTCAGCCATGCGATGATATATTTTATCGGCGGTATAATGTGGTTTGTGGTCGTCTTTGGTGTCAGAACCACGTAATTTTTCGTGATGATGACTGTTTACAACAGACCAGTGCGATGATTTTGGTGCGTCCGCTGCTTGAGGATCCAGACGACCGAGCCATTGCCACAAGTCTTCAGCATTTTGATTGTATTTGCTGTATGGGAGGTCGATGGGCGATAAAAAAGAGGCAGATAATGGCGATCGTATGGATGGTCGTCTTGAGTGATGTGCATGCAGTGTATCCAACCGATCATGGACGCGGGACATTTTGGTCGCAATGTACAAGTTGATAAACACCATTGAAACCATGCACAGCATAGTCAACTGTGATGGATTGGGAAGCAGTATCATATTAATGATCCATTTCAGCCCTGACGTAGCAAAAGAAACCACGGAACTTGGGTCTGTAGCTTCGTGAGCTAGGTTACGAGAATGATTGTTTGATCCAGTGGCATCATGATGTACTTTGGCAGATGGCTTGTTATGCTTGTTTCTCGTCCTTGATTTCTGTCGTTTAAAGGATCCATTGGGTTTACATGAGAGCGATCCGGTGTATTTGCGAACGGCTGCATCCAGATTCTTGTAATAATTGAGTTGACCATCAATCGACGCTTTTTCAATCGTTGCTATACGAGAAAAAACAGGTGAGAAGGATAATAATCAATCTTCTCTTATATGTGCCTACATTTCAGCCAAGATGATTTGGAAAATTCAACAAGCACGGTAACCAGCACTCGCACTTGTTCATGTCCAGCCCAAGAGATACAGACGCGTGTCTTGACACAGAATGCGCTTCCGGAAGGAACATCGGGTGTTTGCGTCGTCGTAAGCTGAGTAATGTAATCGTTCAGATCCAAATGTAGAACTTCTTCCTTCAAAAGACATTTGGTCGATTTGGGGCCTTTTTTGTGACACAGTATTTGTTAGCTTCACATTCCATTCGGTCCAAAGGACCTAAAGCCAAGCGTGTCATATTTACCAATGGATCCACCCAGGTATTTAACGTACGACAGATCGCGTACATACTTGATATTTCCTTCGCCCTTGCGCCATTGGCCAATAGTAATGTCTGTCGCAACATGAACATTTTTTTTTTTTTTTTTTTTTTTTTTTTTTTTTTTTTTTTTTAGCAAATGGGATCTCTGCAATCATTGCTGGGTTTACCTGTATTTTTCTCCACATCCGTCAAAAATTTTTTCATGAATCCACTGTTATACAGCAAATTATAAATGGTCTCCAGACTGCCCTGATAGGTCTGATCCATGACCGTGTGCGGGAAATGCTGATTGCCGGTTAGACATTGGCATTCGGTCTTGATGTGCTTTCTCGGCATGAAATCGTCCTTTGCGTTGTCGGTACGAGTTCGACTCAATGGATGCGGTTTATCGCCATCTTTGTTGTTTTCAGGGACAAATGACTTGATGTTTGGCCGGCTACCAGCTTCGGAAAATGCACGGCGACGAGCAGCCTCCGCTTCTTCCGTCGACAGATGCTTGGGAATAGGTAATGATGCCATGGAACTTTGACGCTCTTCGAATGGTTTATGATTTTCTTTGTTGACTGTGCATGATCGTCTTAATTCCCACACTTTATCCCGGCAACTATTTCACCCTCTTCTGTGTCTTTTTTGTTTTCTTACCAGTATCATTGTGAATGAGGTCGTCGATGGAAGATGTATCATCGGACAGAAACTCGGGTTCGCCAGACATGGTGGATGACGATAGGTTACTGTCGCTGGGACTACTGTCTTCGTCAATATCAAGGGTATCATTATCGATGGCATTAATTAAGGGACGGCTACTTTGCCGGGCCGCTCGCCAGAGTTCGACAATCTGATCAAAGGCTTGGTCACGCGATAAGAACGATGCAAAGAAATGCTGTTGGTTGTGTAGACGATGAGGTTAGTTTTCCGGGAATCGGAATTACATCTTCGTAGTTTGGAGCATTTACCTTGGACTGCAGTGTTGAGATCTGAATAGCATTAGGAATAATGATAGCTGTGGTGCGTTTTTCAATATCGATGATGTCGGCGTAAGCAATGACCAACTGTATATACAGACAGTGAACTTGTGCTCAATACAAGTCGGTGTTTCATGATGCATGGGACTAGGATCACTTACATTGGTAACCCAACCAAAAATATTTGCATTGAAACAGACATGTGTTTCGGAAATATACATTCGGCCTTGGAGAAGGATCTCCTTTTGCAGAGCACAGCCATAATCTAAAGAAGAATCGATAAATTAAGAATTGCATAGATAAATTCAACCCTCAAGACCCTGAAAGTGATACCATACCTTCAATGAGCAAATCATCTTCCGGGACACTGCGGAATAACGCATGAAATTCTTGGTTGCGCTTGGCATTGGCGATATCCATGCCACAGGCACCGGCAATGCTTCCTGCCACTGAAGTTGCTCCGTCCGAAAAATGAAGACTGTCTTCTTTTTCGTCGGATCCAGAACGAGCGCGGTTTTTACGATTTTTGAAGTGTCCCATTTTCGTATTTAGCTGAGGCTGAGAACGTTGCGGCATGATGAATCGGTTTGGCGGGGGACCCAAAGCGCCATCGGCAGAATAAGTAGATGAAATGCTGGAACGACGGGAATTCACAGAGTGATGAGACGACATGAGGAAAGTTGGGTTGCTGGATGGGTTTAACGGGATGGATCCATGGTGCGGTGCTGCACGAGCGGATGGCACCGGTGACGGTGCTCGGGATCCGTGAGGATGAGAAGGTATAGGAACGGTATCTGACTGCACCGCAATCATATATGTTGGTTGTGAAAAAAGTTAAGTAAAGTGATGAACAAAGTAAGAAGGTGACAAGATGCTTGAAATGAGAGTCAATAAGCAAAAGAAAAAAGGATAAAAAAAGGAAAAAGGATAGTGGAAAGATGAAAGGTTTGAAATATACGGTAAGAAAGAATACAATGATGCGCGTGACAATGAGCAGTGATATTATCCCGTTCAATCCAACCCCTCTTTCTATCGGTTTATCCTCAATCTATCACTGGTATTTATACACCAAAACGTTTACCCATTACACAAATAGAAAAGCTACCAGCAACAAAAAATTCGTATGTATATGAACAAATGAAGATGTAAATATAGATAGAGGATGTAGGGAGGTGGGTTTATCAGCAAGGTCAAAGAAATACCGGACCACGAAAATGAACGAAAAAGGTAAAACGAAGGGAGAAATAAAAAGGGTAAAAAGAGGGGAAGACCAAGAAAATACTGCTGAACAGGAATCAATGAAAAGGATGGCTTTTTTATCTTTCTTCAATGCAGAAATAGCCACGTAATGATCGCCCATCCTTTTCGATCCCTGATTTGGCCACTGTCCATTCCAACCTCTTCCGTAACGGGGATTGAAAACAGTGTCATTTGATTGGATAAAGCAAAAACACCAGCTGCCACAGGTGTGGCAACAGCTTTCCCTTCCCAGTCAGCTGTTCGCCGTGACACTTTCTTCATTATCCACAACCCATTGGCATTCCCATGGCAGCCAACTACTGGGCCTCTTCACAAAAGTAAAGCAGAAAACAACGGACTAATCATCTTGTGACAAAAGTTGTATACTTAAACTGGGTACTCCCTCGTTCCATTATCTAGAAAGTATTGGTTGCTCGATCGATGGACACTATCTCGAAGTCGAGAAGAGGATTTGAAATACCTGTCAGACAATGACTATATAAAACTGAAAATCTGGTTTTGTCACTGTAATATTTGAATGATAAATTTCGTCAATGTTTCCATGGTGGTATTCACTCCTTTTCTCTATCCAGTGATTCAGAAACTGGCCAAGCGACTGCAGTTACGACAGCAGGTCGTCGCCACCGCCTTTGTTTATTTCAAACGATTTTATACCAAGTAAGTCATGCGAACTTGTTTACGCGAAGTTTTTCCACTCTTTATTCATTTATTCTTGTTACAGAAATAGCTTACGTTCAACCGATCCGACCTTGGTCCTTGTCACCTGTGTTTATCTTGCCACCAAAATCGAAGAGTGTCCTATCCACATCAAAATTGTCACCCAGGAAGCCAAACATATTTTTCAAGGTAAAAGGGTTTGCTGGGAGATATGCTACAAATACAATCCATGCTGATCATGTTTTTGCGCGTCATCCTGCATAGTGGACTTTGGAGGTTTTACCTACGACAGCTCCAAAGTCGCCGAGTTTGAGTTTTATCTATTGGAGGAACTGGAATTCTATCTGATCGTGTGGCACCCTTATCGATCATTAACGCAAATATGCAACGAGTTGGGTATGCGTGAATCTGGAATCCAGTATGCATGGTTTATCTTGAACGACTCGTACCGGACGGATGTGTGCCTTTTATACCCACCTCATATGATTGCGCTGGCGGCCCTTTATCTCACCGTGGTGTTAAACCATGCTGATTTTGCTCCAGGATCAGTGGGAGATCGTACGGACATGAGGCAATGGTTCGCGGATTTAAACGTCGATATCGAAAGCATTGTGGAAATTAGCCAGGAGATCTTGGCTATCTATGAAATTTGGGCGAACTGGAAAGAGGACAAAATGCTCTTACTTTGGAAAGATTTTAGAAATCGGTGATGGGTGATGCAAGCTTTATGACTTGAAGTGGTAGTCCTGCTGGCCAGCTACCTTGAAGACGACAGACAAACGCAACCATTCACCAGATGGACATTCATAATCATGTCGAAAAAATTGCATAGCATAGTTGTGTACGTGCTGGACTTCCAATGACTCTAGTAATTGTCCTGAGGAAATATCATTTTTTTCTGCAAACTACTAAATTTGTGCAATAAATTCTTCCATTTCAAGATCTACATTTCATGGATCGTTCTCATTGACAGATGAAACAAACCGTCAAACCTCAAATTAAGTATACATGGGACACCAGGAACGGAAGACTGAATGAAGTGGTTTCAATGAAGCAACTCCAATAAGCCAGCTGCACTGGGTCGCTGTTTGAACAATCGATTTCACTCAGCCGGCATTTGCCGTGGCACCCAAAAAAAAGTGCTTCAACTTGTTCTAGAAGTGTAAGCCCCAAGGAAGATGGTTGATGTAAACTAGAAGAATCAATGTCATTAGAATGAACATCTATAAAGAGAATATCATTTTAAGATGGCATTGAAGGTATTTGCAGGGCCGCTGTTCCCAAGCTGATGAAGATGCTGATAAAAAGTTATTGGTTGCACTTTTTTTTTTCATATCCGGCATTTTGCGAGGGAGGGTGCAGCGGATCTAGAAAATGGACGGACGCGATTGGATAATGGATGGTCAAATTGACTCACCAATTCGGCCCTAATTTTTTCTTTATTTATTGGCTTGTCATTTAAATTTTTCTTATCACTTTTTATTATCAATTATCAGATCATGGCGGTATCCACCACCCTTCAATACAATAATGCCTCCAATTTACCGTGGGTTGTCCAAAAATTTGGTGGTACCAGTGTCGGCAAATTCCTGGATAACATTGCCAATCACGTCGTCAAGTAAGTGAGGCTCATGTCCTTACTCATGCAATGGTTCAGGCCCCATGACTTTGCGTCTGACAGTGGACACCCATGGTGGGTTCTTGTAGGGAGTATGTGAAGCAAAACCGTCTTGTTGTCGTGTGTTCTGCGAGAAGTGGTGAAAGCAAACAGACCGGCACCACCAATCGCCTTATTCGAGCAGCCAATGATGCATTGAAGCCTGGGTCCAAGGAATACCTCACCATTCTCGACGATTTATTGCAGGACCACTTGAAAGCAGCAGCCGATATGGTGCAAGATCCTGTTATTCGCAGCAATCTTGAAGACGATATCAAGCACGACTGTTCAAAGCTTAAATCTTTCTTGGAAGCAGCTCAGATCATCAATGAGATCTCACCACGATCAAGAGATATCATTATCGGCGTGGGCGAAAAACTTGCATGCAGAATTGTGGCGGCTGTACTACAAGATAGAGTAAGATTGTCGGATGGTGACATGTGCGATCAGTCCCATCTTTGCTAACTGTCATGTGATCACCACCATCACCACCTTAGGATATCGATGCACAATTTGTATCGCTGGAAAATATCATTGATCAAGAATTCGAAGTATTAGATCAGAAATTCTACGACTACCTTGCCAAAAAGATGGCTCAGGCTGTTGAACAATGTGGAAGCAAAGTTCCCGTCGTCACAGGTAAATTTTCACTGGATTTTTATCGATTATCATCGTGAGGGGACCTTGTGACTCACAAAAATACTGTTATCTCAGGCTTTTTCGGTATTGTGCCTGGTAGTTTACTTAGCTCGGTTGGTCGTGGTTACACCGATCTTTGTGCTGCTCTGACGGCTGTGGGTCTGGGCGCAGAAGAACTCCAAATCTGGAAGGAGGTGGATGGTATTTTCACCGCTGATCCTCGTAAAGTCAAAACTGCCCGATTATTACCCATCATCACTCCTGAAGAAGCTTCCGAATTAACCTACTATGGCTCCGAGGTCATTCATCCCTTTACCATGGAACAGGTTATTCGATCACACATCCCTATCCGCATCAAGAACGTTGAAAATCCTCGTGGTCAGGGCACCATCATTTTCCCTACCGATATCCTCAACAAAGATGGCACTGCCACTCCTCCTCACTCACCCAAAGTTTTGGCCGAAAACGGCTATTCTCTCGATCTCTCTCGCAAATATCCTACCGCCGTGACCATCAAGGACGGTGTCATTGTACTCAATATTCATTCCAACAGAAAGAGTGTCAGTCACGGTTTCTTTGCTAAAATCTTTTCCACATTGGATCGCTATGGTGTGGTCGTCGATCTTATTTCGACATCCGAAGTTCACGTATCTATGGCTTTGGGAGTGGACAGTGCCGAGAAGGATCTGGAACGCGTCATTGCAGATCTTCGTTCTGTTGGTAGAGTAAGTGTTGTACCCCTGGGGAATTAGTCTGTGTGACAATGATCACCGGAAACGGCGAAGCCTGGATACCTTTGAACTAACGTGGCTCTTTGAAAATTGATAGGTGGATGTCCTGAAAAATATGGCCATTCTATCACTTGTGGGTAAACAGATGAAGAACATGGTTGGTATCTCCGGAATGATGTTCACCACCTTGGCGTCGGCTGGTGTCAATATTGAAATGATCTCCCAAGGTGCTTCGGAGATCAATATTTCATGCGTCATCGACGAAGTCAGTGCCGTTACTGCCATTAATGCCATTCATGACCAACTATTGAGCAAGAAGAACAAGCTGGTCTTGCCTGCTGTAAAAGTAGCCCTTGATTAGAATTGTAAAGAAAAAAAGTTTGCAAAAAGCAGCATTTGATTATTTTCATTCATTTCCCCCTACCCACCCAATGATTTCCTCTCTTTGTTCTACATTTAATAGACGGTTTATTGATTTCATCTTTTTTCCATCTTTTTTTTCTTCCCAAACGTGCATATTTGATACAATTAAAAAAAATTTTGGTCATTATTTACTAAGACATTACACTGACGAATGGGCTGTGCAGTGGCTTCCGTGCTCAACAATATCCCTGACCTGGGATCTTACTGATTTGACACAATCCGGCACAAATTTCACTGATGGTGTCATCTTTTGTTTCGCGGGGATTCAGATGCTGCATTCATACACACAAAATGGCGGACATTGTTGCTCCGGCACTTCCCGCTTTTGGAACCGATGTAAAACCATTGAAAGAGCTCAAATGTTGCAGTCACTTTTTGATGCAGCTTGTTGAGCACGGTTTGAAGTGTAAACATATTTAATCATATGAACCAGGAAGCTCCGTTGAATCATGACCAGCAAGATCCCATACGATCTCGTCATCATAACACCATGCCCGATATTTTGCCCACGCCGTATCCCATTCCGCCTTATCGCACGGTGGATATTCCTCGTACAAAACGGACCCGCAGCAGTCGAAGCTGTGATTTCTGCAGGAAGAGAAAAATTCGATGCGACGGCAACAGCACTAAACCATGCAGCTCTTGTCTGAATGCCAACATAAAATGCGTATTTTCAACTGAACAGAAAAAGCGAGGACCGAATACCAGGTAACTTGAACTTGCTCCAGAAGTAAAACTGTCAAATGTCGTGTACCACTGTTATCTGACATTTACTACCTTTATATCATGACAGTTATATTGACGTTCTCGAGACCCGTCTAAAGCGACTCGAAAATTATATTGAGAAGTTGAACCAGAACCAGGATTCAAAACTACCTGATACGACATCGGCACTCACATCTGCGGAAGTGGGAACATCGCGAAGCTCTTCTTCCCCCGATCCAGATCCGAGTTCCGTCGCCACTACCGCCACCACCACCGCCACCGCTCCACCAGAAAGAGATATTACTGATGAAGTTGAAGGCATGACCGAGAATATGGAGTCCTTGAATATTATTGACTATGACCGGTCACGATACATTGGAATCAGTGCTGGCATCCACCTTCTCGACGAAGCATTACTTCAGTATTCGGGAGCCAACCACGGAATGGAACCTTGGTCCATTAATAAAGTGAACGAAGACAAGGACGAACACATTATGATGAAACCGCAGGAAATTGAAGTTTCGTCTCCAAAGCACCCAGAGAATAATTCGCAAAACCGATTCGAGCCGTTCAAAGATATCGAACTGATGACACCGGAGCTTGCAGACAGGCTTGTCCAACAGTAAGTGCATTCTTTTACCTCCTATCCTGTCAAGAATGTGATAGTTAATACAGCGTTACAGGTATTTTACGTGGATCCACCCATACGTTCCCATGATTAACAAAATCGCTTTTCTTGAGCAATATTACCATCAGAATCCTGTGCCTGCTGATCGATATTTACTTTACGCAGTGTGTGCGGTAGGAGCACGTGTTGTCAACCATCATGAAGGGGATAGTAAGGCGAACGATGGCGCGGTCCATGTTAGCACGGAAACTACCGTCAAACTTCGGAAGATATTCCGTGCTAGAGCAGACAAAGTGATGGAAGTGGCGCATAAACGGTCAGGCATCAGTACCATACAGACATTGCTGCTACTCAGTGTGTTTAGAGAGTTTTCTGGTGACGATGCAGAAGATACAAGTCATTGGTAAGGTGTCCATGCCATGCACCTTGGTTGTATTGTAATTGATTTGTACTAATCCCGGTCCTATAGGTTCACAGGAAGCATGGTAAGAGGACGCACATTTCTGCGTTATAAAAAATGGTCATCGTGTTCGACATTAACCCCGCCCTTTTTTCCGCGATAATTGAAAAAAAAGGCAATACGCATGGTAGGTTAACGACAAAAAAATAATAATAATATTGTTCGTACAACATGCTAAATGCTTCATAGGCGCAAGATTTAGGATTGCATAGAAATACTTCACGATGGCGTATTCCAGAGGATGAAAGAGAACTGAGACGCCGAATATGGTATATTGCATATACAGTGGATCGTTGGGTATGTTGATCACCTTGAATTGTCAAATCAATGCACGGCATCCCGGTGCGAGGCAATTTTGTCCTTTGATCTCATCGAGTAATATGTTATTCTTCCAGGTCGCGGCCGAGCTTGGACGACCAATGAGTATTTTGGACCACGAATTCGATGTTGATCTACCTTCGCCATATGAGCTTGGTGCCCCCGTTCAATCTACTTGCGACGATGCCAGTGAACAAGGCATCATCCCAACCATGATTCGGGAAGCACAAGAGGCGTATACAAGCAGAGTGCCGGTATATACTGACTATATTCATTTCATCACGCTTGGTCATATACTTGGTCAAGTGCTGTTGGGATTGCATTCTCCAAGAACCAAAGACGCAGGTCGTCAAAACTCTGAAGTGGTGCGTCATCTGGAATGCAGTCTCGCACAGTGGGCAATGGATCTGCCCGAAAATATGCAATACGAATATCCCAATGGGAAAGGGACGCTGAAAGCTGGTACGTATCAACTTTGGTTCATCATTTTTTTAACACTCGGGCTTTATAACTGAATACCATTCTTCAGCCCTTGCGTGTCTGTGCTACAGCTGTGTTTCATTGTTGTTATTCCGACCATTCATCACCGGCAGTTCCGAAAGTGAGGTTTTCACCACGGAGCAAGCCAACGAACAGTGTATTCGTGCTGCGAACAATATCTTGAAATTGGGGGACGACTTGGGAATCGATCTATTGCTATGGTCACCTTGGAGTGTAGCTGCAACGTAAGTGGGGTGTGCTGAAAATCGTGTTCATGCAAGCAACAGTGAAATCTTACCTGGACGTTTGTCATCTTCAGAGCTCATTTCCAAGCTGCCATTATATTTCTGTACAACACAAGAACAAAGAACCCATCCATAAGCGAGCAAGGTCGAGCCAATTTCCTCCAATGCGCTGCGATCTACCAGCAAGATGCTTCTCTTGGCGCGAGTAAAATTGCAAGGTTGCTTTTAGCTGCTTCCGAATGTTTTAGAACACCGAGCCATCAGAAGCAACCTATGGAAACAAACGTCACCGCCATGTCTTCAAACGGAGGCGACCCCATTCACTGGGTCCATGATCCGGTCAACCATCGTGATCAGGCCAATATCCCTCTACAAGGCTCAACAGAAGATGCTAAACTTGAGCAAGAGATCGGAAATCACAGCACTCAGTATCTATCGACAATGGATACTATGGGCGAAAGTTCCCGTGGGAATACATATGCAATGTCGTTGGATGAACAGCAAAAATTGCACAACCGCTCGCTGCTTTTGGCAGCGTCGATTAGCACCCGACCCGAAGATATATTTTTGTTTCCCATGCCTCGTGGGTCGGCCAATACCAACCCACTGAATGCTCCTTTACCAAATGCCCCGGCATTGGATATGGCCGACACTTCCATGCTGTTGGCGGAACACAACACACTTCAAGATCCTGCACTGCATATTCCTGCGACTATGAGCAATCCACCAGCGTCGGTTGCGTTTGATCAGCATCCACCATCCACCGATAATTTCTTCCCCACGTCTTACCACGAATCAGCACCGTCCAACTTTATGCCTATTTTTGGAAGCGATCTGTTTGGTACTGACATGTCATCTGGTCATCCCTCTTCCGAGTTGCCATTGTGGGATATTCCTATGGATGCTCGATGGCATACATAAGTTAACGTAGCATGAAGAACGGACGCGAACGTTGAATTTAACGTCAACTGCATCATACCGTGTAAATGCTCTGATCTCGTTTATTCTTTGTTTCAATTATCATTCAACTACCTTCACTCTCAGAAAATTACTATTTATACTTGTAGAACACTTTAAATATATTCAACTCTTTGCACTCATTTTTATCCAATTATCCATTGATACATCCGTGAGCATCCTCTGGTTTCGCCGGCATATACAGTACGAAGTAGCGGGTTTCAGATTAGGGCTTTTTTGTTAATATTTGGTCACTATACTCTTTGGCTTCTGTATTTGAGCCATAGGCCAGATGAAAGTATGTGTAATATATATGATATTGTATTGTAATTGGCGCATATCGGCAAGAAAAAAGTATATCTATACCATATGATAGCAAAAGGATCTGGTTGAGCTGGAAGCGTTCTTTTCATGAATTCTTATTTTTCGTTCCCCGCCGACGCCAGTGTAGGATTTGAAACTGCGTCATTTTTTTCCAAAGCGGCAATGCTTCCAACCAGCCTGCTGTTTGTTCTGCCAGCAACCCAAAACTATACTACCTCCATCGCCCATCGTACCGATAACGAATACCTTTGTAGCGAAAAAAGTCTCACCAGGCAGTATTCGACACAATGGAGATTGGGTTTTCTACCGATACCGATACCGAGAACAAAGTTAATGGTGTATATAAGCGCCCATTCACTCTTTCGTTACCACCTGAACTGCTGCTGGAAATTTTAAGCTACCTGACCGATTCGCAAGCGACTCTTTATGCAGTAACTTTAGTGTCTCGGCAATGGTTCCAATGTGCAATACCATTGCTCTACCAGTGCCCAAGAATTCACGATACTTACCGCTGGGCTACGTTTATTCTGACCTTGACTCGACGGAAAAGAACGTTATGCTACGGATCGATGGTCACTGCTATTGACTTGTCAGCTGGATCCTCCCTTGGTAACTTGTCAACCATATGAATTAAAAGTTAATGAACTACTGACTGACCGGTTCCATCTTTTTTTTTCTTTACCTTTGTGGACTATTTATTTCCATAGATCGTTTTAAAAAGCACGAATTCTATGATCGTTTGTCGGATGGACGCATTGCTTCTCCTGGTAGCGATGCCGTACCAATGAACCAAACAAGAGTACTGAGAGAACCTATGACGATGATGCACGCACACCATCCTTCCAGCATGGATATGGTGTCACACAATCAGCAAGATGTATCCACCGTGTTAAAAGGATATCCATCGATTGTCGTTTCCACCTCTTCGCTCATTCAATTATCTCGATCGTGCCATACATTAACGTCAATTGACTTGTCATTCTCCAGTCTACTGTATGACAGTGTGATTGAAGAAACGGGCGAGTATCTCTCTACATTACAGCATTATGCCGTGCAACCGGGTTTAACCCAGGTACAAATTCCTATTGAAGCAGCCATTGAAGTCATTGGCAAAGAATGCAAACAACTGGAGGAGGTAAAAATGCAGAGTTGCGAATGGGTTACTGCGTATGTTATATGGATGTGGGTTTGTCACTGCCCAAATCTTACTCGCCTGGATGCACGAAAGACCGCCAAATGCAGTGTCAAACGTTTGACGGCCACCGTTCTTGAAGTGCAAGACAGCAAAAACGAATCAACAAGTGATACGGAAAGTCGTTCATCCCGCAGCACACAAACCGATCGGACCACCATGATCGATCTCAATGAAGACGTTGATGAGGACGAAGAGGAAGACACCGATATGCGCCCTACACGATTAATACTGGATCACGGTAAATGCCTAGAAAACAAGTAGTGTCCTTCCTGTGATTGTCTCAATGAATAACGTGCATTTTTTTTTCTGTGTTTAGAGCATGAAATGCGTCCAGTGTATGAAACCATCCCTCCTCGATTTCCTATTCAGCATACCACTACTTCACGATCCGTCTTCAATCACAGAATCCCAGCGCCGTTATCCTCCTCCAATGTTGTATGGATGACTTTGTATGATGAAAATGTACATCGAGAAAGACGACCACCATCACCGCAAACCCTACCAATGACCATCGCACCTATTGCAAATTCTCCCATTTCTACTGCAGGGAACCCAACAGCTACCGGCCATCAAACACTTCGTGAATTCGTATATGCTATCCTCAAAGATGCCAAAGATCTTGGTGCCATGGACCTTGCTTGGCTTCAGGATTGACCAAGTGAAAGGCCCACATGCTCACCCACACCAAAAATCATTTTCTCTCTTTCTTGATATGATTGATACCCGCATTTGTCCCGATATTATTTTCTCTGCTTTCAATTTGTTTCTCTATTATCTCATTAGTTGTTATTTTTACCTTTTCTGTCGTTTTGTGTACTAGTCGCTTCTCAGATCGTTGCGTGCTTTTCACGTGTTGACATTGTCCATATGATTTGAGATTTATTCATTCTCTCATTCCTTTGTTAGCTTGCTGCAGCGAGCTTGTTTCTCTGTATTTTATCACGCTAACTATAAATAGTTGGAAATTAGCAATTGCTTTGGAAGGCCTTTTTTTGAAGTACTATCGCCTATTGAACGCATTGATACTGTATGGTAAAAATAATGCCTCCATGGATGATGAATGCACTTAGAGATTTGCACATAATGGGACTGCTAAATTGACGTCGTCTCCGTTTTTTCTCTCAACTACAATATCCACACTAAGCTATCAGAACCTTTTTTTGTGCCTTCTCTCTTCAGAACCTCTTATTATTCTTTTTTTTTGTGCCTTCTTTTCTTCTTCAACTACACTAAGCTATCAGAACTTCTTAATATCTTTTTGCAATACACCAAGTCATTAGAATCTCAATTCTTTCGATTGATGCCTTTTTCTTCTTTGAACCATGCCTCGCTGCCCATCTTGCAACGGCAACGATCACCAGCGTTCTACCAATCGTCGTTGCCCAAATTTCTCTCCACGAAACACTACTATAAATAATGGGCGAAATAATGAGCAGCAAAATGCGGTTTGCACCAGTTGTGGTCAAACAGGACATCGTCGTTACTCAAACCACCATTGTCCCCTTCATAATCAAGACGGAAATACAGAAAATTTCAATTCTAGGCCCAATGTGGCTCGCGATCCCAATGTCTCGATGCCAAATCTTCATAATGTAGGAGCCATGAATGTCATCTGCAGCCACTGTCAGACACGAATGTGGAGTAGAGAAAAAATTGCTGGAAGTACTATGAATGATCCTAAGTTTCAGCTCTGTTGTGGAAATGGTCAATTTGTACTTTCTCCTTTCAAACCCACCCCTCCTTTGATTGCCTCGCTTTTGACAGGGACTGGGGCGCAAGCAAAAGATTTCCGGCTCAAGATCAGAGCTTATTGTAGTGCTCTCAGTTTTACTTCTCTTGGTGTAAATTTAGACGAAAGTGTAATGAATGGCAGACGGGGCGCTTACTGCTTCCGTATTCATAGAAGTGTTTACCACTTGATGGGATTGCTACTTCCTGCTAATGGCCAACGACCTGCATTTGCACAAATATACGTCCATGATACTGACAACGAAATATCAAATTGACATGCAATTGCAAGCCATCTCGCGCGAGACATCTTGGAAGTACTTCAGCAATTAATGCATGAAATCAATCCTTTCGTCCATCTTTTCAAGACAATGGCCCAATACATACAGGATAATGGTGGTGCTTCCAACATCAGAATGATTATTCGAGCAGACGATGCCCCAGATCCACGACGCTATAATGCACCAAATGCTTCTGAAATTGGTGTCATTATCGGTGAAAACGCAGAGTCCTCTGGAAGGGATATTGTGATCTGTACGCGTAGTAACCAACTGACATCAATCAGTGAGATGCATCGCCTGTATGACCCACTCCATTACGTGCTGATGTTTCCTGAAGGCGACCCTGGGTGGAACATTGAAACTCGATCGACCAGAAACGACAGAGTCACCGTGATGAACTACTACAGTTTCAGATTGATGTATCGAAATGATGGACACCACTTGCACCTCTTTGGCCGACTCTTTCAGCAGTATATCGTAGATATGTATGCCAAGATGGAACAAAACCGCCTCAATTACCTTCGCCTCAACCAGTCCCGACTGCGTGCTGATGTGTATTCAGGCGTACAAGATGCTCTCCAACTTGACGACAACAATATAAATATGAATTCCATCGGTCAGCCTGTCATCCTTCCGTCGTTATTCATTGGCAGCCCTCGAAACATGCAACAGCTGTACCAAGATGCAATGAGTATCGTCAGATGTTTCGGAAAGCCTGACCTCTTCATTACATTCACGTGTAATCCAAAATGGCCAGAAATTCGGAATGAGCTTCTTGCTTCACAGACAGTATCTGATCGGCCAGATTTGACAGCACGAGTTTTCAACCTCAAGCTCAGAGCTCTTTTGAAGGATCTAACAAAAAACCATACACTTGGAAAAGTAATTGGCTACGTTTATACCGTCGAGTTCCAGAAAAGAGGATTGCCTCATGCGCATATTCTACTCATTTGAAAAGAAGCTGATAAACCTGTGACGCCAGAGCACTACGATTCTATCGTATCGGCGAAGATACCTGATCCACAGCAGTTCAAATGAACATTTCACCAAAAATATAGTATACCCTGAGTTTACCAATAAATATCCCCAATTGTGATCTTGAAGATCACGGGCTCCACCTGCGCCCTCTACCTCATACGTTAGAACTGGCACACCTTCATGCCATTCTAACCACACCCATGGTAGCATACCCTGAGTCTACCAATAAATATCCCCAATTGTGATCTTGAAGATCACGGGCTCCACCTAGTCTATATAATTAAAATCTTTGAAAAATTAGCGATTTTGTAAATCACATGATCTACACTAAGTTATCAAGACCTGTTAAACCTTTTTTTCATCTTTCAACCATGCCTCGCTGCCCACTTTCACGATAATAGGCGAAGCAATCAGCAGCAAGATGCCGTTTGCGCCAGTTGTGGTCAAAAAGAGCATCGTCGCCGTTCACATAAAATGTGAGTGGAGCTCTTTTTTGAAGAAAGGTGATTGACGATACGACGATCTGGTGTTTTGTAGCATCATTTAATTTGGGTTATCTGTCAGTTATACTGTATATGCCCTTTCATTCTCTTCAGTAATCGAATGATACATGGAGCAGATATGCTTCGATCTGTGTAGCTCATCATTCATGCATCAGTGAGGTGACTATTGTTTCATCCATGGAAAATCACATATTTTTGTCCGAATTTTTTCTTCTTCTTTAGTTTTGCATCTCTTCTGTTTGCCTGGAAATCCCTCACTATCATTGCATCCATCATCCATCATCCAGACTATGGCGTGTATCTGATCCGGTCAAGTCGAGTATTATCAAAAAGGTACCTTTTGTGTGATGTGACTATTCGTTTTTCGACAAGAAAAAACTCACGTTCTTTTTTCTCTACCCCTTCTTTAGCTTTTGGTTTTCTCTCCGGTTTTCTTTTCGCTTGGCAAGTCATCCATCCCTCCAAATCTTTCTACTTTGTTCGCGCTCAAATGTGGCCAAACCGGTTTTTGTCGTCAAAGGCATCGTCGGTGGTGTGACTCTCTTTTTCATCGGGAAACGCTGACGCGTCCTCCCCAGGTTCCTCTCATATGGATTGCTGCCCGTGGTATCGCCTTCGATATTTCTTCCCGACCATTTTATTTTGTAGTTGTAGTATGTATTTTGTATTTTAGTGAATAGTCTTCTTGCAGTCTTTTCCTCCTTTTTTTTCCCACAGGGTTTTTAGGGGGTTTTTACAGACGCACCTATTGTATTTACTTTTTTTTTATATTTGTATCCTTTCTTTATTTCGGTCGGGAAGCCCTCGGTATCTGCTGCATCAAACATCAAAGGTAAAATATCTCAACGAAATTTGAATCAACCAAAGAGCTTACTAACTCATTTTTTTTAAATACCCAACATTCCCACACATCTTTGTAGATCTATCATAACCTTGGGCGGGACAGAACGGAGGGGGTCAATAAGTGCTGCTTTGTTCATTAAAAGTGTTTCATGGTATGCCAGAGTATTGACATTAATATAAATATACCAAAGTTCCATCAAGAGTCTCGCCCAGGTTATGCCGTATTGCGTTAGGCTTTTGTCTGACGAATGTCGCTCAATGTAAGAGTGCGGCATCCAGTAGCAGGTGGCATCCATTGCACAGCGGGTGTACGGCTTGTTAACAATGGAATTTTCAGATAAAAGATTAGCCATAATTGTTCATACAGCATACCGTCGACACCTAATTTCTTTGGAGAGGGATTAGGCTTCTCCACGTCGATCATTTTGGTAGCAATTGTGATATATGAGAAAACCTGTAGAACAAAAAAGACAATGAGAATCCTTTGAGACTACTGGATTTCTTTATTTCGATTAATGTGATCTGCCTATTGATACTTTAGTCTTAAGTCGGAATAGATAATTATCAGTGAGTAGTCCTAGGTTAAAAGGTGTATTTGGAAAGATCCGCATGCTTACTGTGACAGCGTTACCCGCATGAACTGATGTCGGCGATAGATCCAAGTTATGGATGAAGAGGACTCAATCGGTGTTCTAATGGAGAAGTTCACTCAGAAATGGAAACACCGGTCAAGGATGGATAATATGACAAGTAGTGGATATACCACACTCAGAAACTCATGTTGCAACGTATGCCATAAGGTTGTCATTAATATACCAAAGTTCCATCAAGCGTTCTCGCCCAGGGTATGCCGTATATGCGTTAGGCTTTTTTCTGACGAAAGTCGCTCAATGTAAGGGGGCGGCCTCCGGTGGCAGGTGGCAGGCGGCATCCATTGCACAGCGGGTATACGGCTTGTTAAGCGGTAATTCGCATTTCACAGCCAAAAAAAAAGTATTCCTTTGTTATTTTTCGTTACCCTCGTGGCCTTTCCTCCTCCCTCTTTCGCTCCTCTACTCTTCTAAGGTGTGTATTTGCTGTCGCTACACTGTCGTTGGAAGAGTTGATGTATATTGCCACATGCAACACGAGCATACCGCAAAGCTGCTTTACTTTTAACGGCTTCACTGAATGTCGCATCGAAATTGTATTTCTGGAGACGACATTGCCGATGGAATGGTTGCGACGAGGTGGCGGACAGTTACGAGGATGTCGTTGTAGGACGCTGCGCTGGATAGCTCGTGGTGAGGACTGGAAGACCGGTGGACAATTGTCGAGATTTGAGATCACCCGTTGAGATCGGCATGAAGGGATGCCGGAGATCTGCTTGCAGTGGTTGCGAACGGGCAACACGACGAGTGGGGGATATGACGAAGGGTCTCCATACAGGCAGGAAATATGGGTTGATTACGCGTAAGTAAGGCATGATGGTTCGAGGTGTTGTGTGGGGTGGGGAGGCTTATGACGACTGTGAGGTTACAATCGCCGTTGTGTATTGATGGGCATTATTGCCTTGTATTATACGATGGCACTGCGAAATGATTGAAGGCATAGTATTCGTTTACGTTTCAAATAAAACAAAAGAAGTCATTCCCCTTCTGATTATCCCATTCGCCCAATTATTGTAGCTCTAGTGGAAACATTGAACCGTCTAGTTGTTGCTGCACTATCGATGATCGATAGTTAACATATCATTATCAGGTCCCGTACATCATGTTGTTGGTTGCTGTATTTACCAAGGGAATGAAAGGTTTAGTGCTATCATATGCACGGAAATAGAGAGAAGCTGCTTGCACTTTAGCATAATTTAGTTCTTTCTCTGCTTTGTCAACCCTGTGATTTTCCCAATCTAAGCTAGCCTTAAGATGGATGGATCGTTGAGGCTTGAATAAAGCTCGATCTCAAGTGTATACATAAAGCCATGATGACAAGCTAATGGAGCCATAGCAAGAACATATTTCAGTCATCGGCAGCACGGTTTTGGCCAGCTTGCAATCAATTGGGTGCATGGTGAATAATGACAAAAAAAAAAATGGTCAGCTGTGTTTGTGTGACTGACCTGTCATCGAGCATAACAAACACGTCCTTTTTTTTTCAATCCGCATCTCTTCTTGCCTCCATCATTCGACTCCACACCCGTACTCACACCTCGACCTTACCATGAATGCCGCTATGGGACGCTGTTTCATCCCTGTAAAGAAGAGATTTTAAATACTTGCAAACTCGCAAAGTCAAACTTAGTACCCTGTTAAAACCCGAATATGCCACTTACCGCGTAAGGCATCTGTACACATAACCTGTAGCAAGAATTTGTATTTTGATGATTTTTCCAAAATAGCAACTTTTGCGAAGACTGGCGGAAGAATATACTATACTCAAACGTGATGCCAGCAATCTTGCCCTTATTCACGTACTCTGTTGGGTGGAGAACAGCCGCCGATCAATACCGAAGTTTTTTGGCGCAGGTGTTTCACATCAGTCTCTTCATCTTGTAGAGGGGCTAGAGAGCTTGTAAGTTGTCGTTAACAATGATATCTTTTTATACTTTACGCAGTCGTATGAAATTGTCCTGACAGCTCCCGCCCAAGTCTTCTTGGGAAGACGAACTAAAGACCACTTTTGACAATCATTTCAAGCCTTCCACACGTGGTATGATACTGACAACGAACTCTATATATTTATAAGCACTCATTATATGGCAGGCTATGTTTACCCGAAATGGTCGCCCTTGTTTACTGACCTCGCTGGCCAGTACGTATCATCCTCGCTCATGAGTAAATATATGTCATATTTTATCTGCTTGGCTATGAGGATATAGCAACCAGATATTTATACAGACGTAATCGAGCACCTCAAATTAAATATTCCTTGCTATTTGTCACGTTTGTGGAAAGCATGTTTTCTTGATTATGCTAAGCGTCACGACGTTACGCTTTCTGAAAGCCCAAAAAAGCTGGGTAAGTTAAAAAGTAGTTATGATGGGTAATCGAGATTCTAAAAAATCGATATAGGGATAAGGCTATTGCCAAGTTATGCGCTTACAAGCCATATGATGCCAATGATTGGAACCGCGTTGTCGGTAACACTGCCGATATTCAGTTATTTTATCAGTAAGTTTGAAAGCTGAATATTGAATACATGATCGTAACTACCAAAAATGCTTATAGGGAAAACCTGGATGAACACAACCGCGAGTTTGCGGGCTTAAGCGCGGCCAGCCTAGAAGAACAAACGGCCACAAGGATGCCAGCCAACTTAATTCGGTACTCAGCATGGCTTTTACAGAAAGCGCACAAGTTTGGGGCTAATCAGTGGTCTCTCTTTCCCTTCTCATCGCACCAAGTCGGTAAGATATGGTATGTATTGAATATATTTCGTTTGGGACTTAATCATACATTTCACAGCCTACGTTCAATTAATGGGTGATGGCTTATTTAATTTTCTTAACGAAGCTTGGATGCCCGGACATCCTGTTCCTCCCGCTTAACGGTTCGCGAAGATCGTGTGGAAAAACTCTGTGAATTACGCTAAGCAAATGTCTATAGTACAAAAAGCGATTAAAATCCGGAACGGTGTCACGTGTACAGTTTATTACCAGAGCCTTGTTCCTCAGATCCTACCGAGACCAAGAATTCAAGCAAGACCTGTGGGAAGCAATTTTTAACATTGACAAAATTTGCCCAAAACGGCTGCGCTACTTGCAGGTGGAACCAGGTAAAAGATTGCGATTGATACAGCAATACGTTGAAAAGAGACCAACTTGCGACTTTTTTTTCTGACAATAAACAGTTGATTCAACAAAGCATACACAGTTTGCCAACACCATAGAGACAGGTGGTGTTATGACGAGGGTGAAGTTCGTTAAACGGTGGGACCGGAGTAAGTTCTTGCAATTGAAGGTGTATTTCCCATTATTCAGATGATTTTCCCCCTCTATCATTAGCGCCGTACCCCTCCTCCAAAAAGGAGTTTGATTTTCTTCCTAAACGACCCACCATGACCAATTGGACAAGAGGTCTGTATCCTTTGAAAAAAAAAAAAAAACGGACTGGCTTGAACCCTGCCGCGCGTGTGATTGGCATTGACCCGGTAAGTCTATTGATACTCGTGATATCAACTCGCATATAACTGATTGGTGATACGATAGGCCAGCGCTCAGTCATAACAAGCTGTAAAACGGACATCAACCTGCATTTGGAGGAGGAACGAAGCAAACATGTTTTCCATATCACCAATGGTGAATACCAGTAAGTACCGCCATTGGATATATACGAAAATAATTGCAAATATGTAACCGATCATTCGATACATTTAGGCAGCGCAGTATGCTCCGCTGGACAACCTAGATAGAATTGAAAAATAGAAAGCAAGCAAACATACAGCCATGCTATGACGAAATCAAGGAAGCGCCACCCTCTGTCTTCACGATGGATGCACTTAAGAATTATATCGAGGCTATCGCTCGTAATCATCAGAAGTAAGTGGGAAGCAAAGCGCGAAAAGAAGTGTCCTGTATGTTAAACGATTAATTTCATCCTTTAGGTTGCATACATACATTCAATTGCGCATTCCGCCTCCGGGAAAACGTGCCCTGGTTTACTCGCAAAGGCAAATGGTGCTAGATAAAATGACCGACACCTTGCTCGGGGATCCTGCCGAGCCAAAAATTGTAAGTTGATGATATTTCGCATCTTCTCAACATGTAGTAATGAACGATGTGATTCAATAGCCTTGTCAATGGGCTTATGAAAACTTTCGAGAGTCAAAAACGCCCGAAGAAATGAGCGGAGGCCAGAGGGTGCAGTCATACTCGCATTTGGGGATGCAGACCTGAAGCCCATGAAAACACATGCCCCAGCTCCAATCAAGATACGACACGATGATGAAATGGTATACTCCAGAATACATTGTCATGGAAAAGTTACCAGGATTTTCGCAAGGTTCTTGCCCGCAAGGCACTCGTATTTGCGTCGATGAGTTTCGTACGAACAAGGTATGCAGCCGTCGCGACTCTAAGACACTTGAAGTACGAGAGGAACAGATTCAAGTATGCAACCACAAGCAAGTATAGCGAACTAGGGCACGGGTTGCATCGACAACTCATATCGTTGCAATAACAGGAAAAAGCATTGTCGACTCAAGAACATAGACAAAAGGCGGAGAAGACAATGTCTTGATGATGACGGGAACACTCTCTGTTATTCGTCAGGATGCCGTCAGCAAAGGGCAGCAGGTAAGTTCAAGACTTAATTGTTGTTATGGTGTAGGATGATACTGATAAATCAAGTAGGCCCATCTTGGAAAAACGTCATTTATCCGATTAGACTGTGCCAACAGTGCCAGTCGGCCAATGACGATAGCAATCCACTGATAAGCAAGGAGGTCCGGATTACTTTGACAATATAATGACTCATCCTTGGTTATTCTAGATTTGAAACAGAGATATCAATGCTGCCGTGAACATGCGTCGCATTCTTATGGCATATATCAACTCAGGTTACCAGATCAATTCCAGACCGGTTTCCCTGCAACGAAGCGCACAAGCTGCGCTTGACGGTGAAAGCATCGTCAACTAGCCTCCTGGTCCAAACCAGGTCAGGTCTGGGTGGTGACTCAATTCGAGTTGGTTTTAAATTGAATGCCATCAGCAAAGATTAACCAATTATTATTTCTTATGTGCAAACTCTATGTGCATTTAGCAAAACCCAAATATGAGGTTTTTTGGCGGATTTCCTTATTCGGTCAGAGCTGTTTTCCCAAAAAGGAAGTTGCGGCATGATGAAGGTCTTTTTTTCTCGCCTGTTCGTCCTCAAAGATTCGTCGCCAAGTGAGGGTCAAGAGAGGGGAGACACTTGGGGCGACAGCAGCTTTGTTGAATGACCGGAACCAAAGCCAAACAAAATGCTGCCATTTACCGAGCCAATGTACACAAAACGCAATTGTCATCGTAAAGGTTACGCGCTAATGTGTACCTCTCACAATTTACGCTTTCACTCCAGTGATTAAGCGGCAGTGCGTAAGTTTTTTTCTTCATCGCATAAATATTTGTCTGGGCTCATAAGAAAATCAAGCGGTTGCTTTCTCTTTAAATGTAGATTGTTAAGAGCTGAGAACGGGGCAAAAAAGATTACCAGAGGGAACAGGATGTGCGATACGTATGATTTCTATTAAAGCATTGGCAATAAGAAGGAGGTCCATAGCTCTAGCTAAAGAGTATTAAATGGTATATGATGAAATTAAAACTTCCTATTTGGTAGCATGGAGGAGGGCAATTTCTCGGGCAGATGACCGCCATTTTGGACGGCTTTGATCATATGCATAGCGATACAGAACTCGTCAAGATCCATGTAACCGTCTGCGTCAAAATCAGCCAATCGCCAAATTTGGGCAAGGCTCTCGTTCGGCAGCCCACTTTCCATCAAAATCGGTTTGACTTGAGCACCGCTCACTTTGCCTTCCCTGGGATTCAGACTCTGGAACATGGGTGCGTAGGAGGCTTTATCTACCGACGAAAAATGCCAGTAGGAGGGTGGTACTTCGCCAGGTTGAGCTGAGAATGCCTCAAAAGGATTCTTTTGAGCTTCTTCCAATTCAGGGTTCATCATAGGAAACATGGACATCAATCGAGGCAGATCAGTTGCCAAAGCCTATTATATATCATGATGGTATCAATTTTTCCCGAATGCGTCAACCGTTGTTCTGAAATTTTCTCGGTTACTTACATCATCCACTCGCTCAAGCAGGTCCTCTTTAAGCGATTTGAACTTGTCCATATCATACAATGCTAGGTTTTGTCTGAATCGATCAGGATTGGGAAAGTCGCCTGGAGGAAGATGATGACGTTGCTGAATCTTTAGGAACTCTTGATCCAAATTTTTGAGTAACGCTTCCTGTTTCTTTTTCTTGCCAAACATCGAAGGCATTTCTTTTTTGAGATGACTGATGATCAAGGCATGTACCTGGAATTGATAACGCAAATATGAATGCAATGCCCAGTGACAAATGTTTTCTATCGATATTTACCCTGGCCATGCGTGCCCGTTTTATGATTTCGTTGATCTTTCGTATGGCTGCATTACGCCGTAACTCCTTCAGATCACGAAGTAGATCTTTCGATTCAGCTTCAATCAGTTCACGACAATCTTCAAAGCTATTCACGGGCTTCTCGATCCAGAAAGAACTCAGGTACACGCGCATTACTTCAGGTGTCTGCACCACTTTTCCTAAAGACCACATCATGGCGCCATATCTATAGTTGGAATATATGAGTCACTTTTTCCCAAATGTCGAATGGAAAAAAAGGAAAAGGTCTGTACAACTTACACACGCATGAGTTGTTGCTGGTTCACCATATCACTCTTATTGAGGAGGACGCGAACTTTTTCCTCTTGACCTCGAAGACAATGAATAGCCATTTTAAATTCGTTCGAGATGTCAAGCTTATGAGAATCAAACATAAGCAAGATGAGATCGGCCCGCTGAGCAAACCATTCAATCACTTGGGTAAAATCATAACCACGTTCGACGGATTGCTTATCACCGGCTAAAATACCAGGGGTATCGATGATCGTCATGTTCTCTAGCACAGGAGAATTGGTTTGTGATACCTACAAATCACAAGCACCGTCCACGCATGATTGGTTAATCTTCCCTACGAAAGCGTTTTGTCCCAATACTTACCTGAAAGCGCGAAAGGAAAGCCTGGCCGAACCGATTGAGTCCTCGAAAAGGCAGTTCCTGGTTAACGGCGGCCGCATTACCGGGAATAACGCGATCCTCGGAACCTTGCATAACAGCGACAAAACGATCCGTGGTTGGCTCCACACCAATATGTTCACCAGGATAAGATTTATCCAGTAAATAACGAATGAAGGTTGTTTTGCCCTAACGTAGCAGAAACCAATGAACGGCTAGTTTTTCAACTGCTGTGCTGTAACAATCAGACTGTACCGTGGAATATTGGCCAATGAGCAACACAATAGGTTTCGCTTCAATATCGGAATCAGTCAACGGAGCCGAGTGGAAACCTTTTTTTTACAATAAGAAAACTTGCTTTTAGTGATCGTCGAACGATATTACGATTGTTTTTGGTTTATTAGATAATCACCCTCGAAATTATAAGTGGTTTCTAAAGGACGAATCTTGGTGCTGTAAATGCGTTTGACACCTTCAATCACTTGAGCGTATTCGTCTTCGCCAAGTTTCAACGAGTCGGAAGAACCTTGTTTTCCCTTTCCATTCTTTTTGAATTTCATCGACATGATGTTAACACTACCGTTGGCAAACAAAGAAGAGGGAAAAAAAAACAGGGTGCACAAGCAAAGCAAAAGGAGACCAAACTGACATCAGGGTTTCCATATATGGCAGGATCGCGCCTGTCGATCGAATAAAAACAGAAAATTGTAATACTCTCACTAACACAATGCTTCATCTCGCGTATATAAAAAACCAAATTACAGGTGCCCTGAATGTATCATAGAAAGCTCAAGCTCTGTCATTTTTTGTTTTGTTTTGGCTTCAGCCGAACAAAAAATTATTCCTAGGGTGTCGACCGCTCCCTGGTCGGATGGCTAGAGTCTCTTACTCTCACTCTCATGATACAGCACACTAAAACCAATTTTAAAAGATATTGAGACATCTATTAAGCATTATACACAAAAGCAAGTGCCCTATAATACAGAATGATACAGTTGCAGTGATATATCAATGCCATCACCGGTTAATGGCCTTGATGGTATAGGTGGGTGGCTAATTCGAGATAGAATTCCACTGTGTTGAAACCGGAATCGGAAGGTTTGGAAGATCGCCATCGGTATCTATGGCAATTGCAACGATATGAGCCGTCTGAACTGACAGGAAACAAACGAATCATTACACTCGTACCTTTGGCCATTGAGATCCCAATGATCCGCCTTGACAGTTTTGATGTATTTGCCCCATTTGGCACTTTCTACACTGACCAAACCATCGTTTTCGCCTTCTTTTTCCTTGACGAGTTGGTTGGGGAGGCCAAGAAAGGACCAGACAGGTAATTCGGTGGAAGCGCCATAAGAATAGTAGGCTACATTAGGATCATCGGGTGTATTAGGGTTGAAATGGTGCTTGCAGTAATCGGTAGTGAGGTTCGCATAGGCCGGTGTATCCAGCAATTGCACCACTTTGGATACTACAGGATCCAGTAAGTTGCTAGGCATTTTCGCAATGTCCGCCAGAGTCCAGCTCAACAGCGGTAACCGTGCTGACACAATGGATCCTTCATCATAAGCAGTTTTTTTCGCCGCTGTGTTGTTCGTTTCCATTTTTCTCGTGGCTGCATCGACAAGAGCATCCGTCATCCCGACTCCCACATGGTCCCTAAACCAATCCATGACAGGTGATCCACGGTGAGGCGTTGAGATGGTTGTGAGCGATTGAACATGATACGGTCGATTTTTGATATGCGACACCAAATAACGGCAATCGAGACCTCCCTGTGACACCAGCCAAAAAAAAACCCCCATCTGATCAATAACTTGGTGATATCTCTCAGGAACACATCTTCATACTCCTTGGTTCTCCCCCACTTGCCCCCACCCTATTGTCTCTTTGTTTATGCATATATTCCAAATATTTACCATTGAATGAGCAATAAAATTGACTGCTTCACCCTCCAGTACCATTTTCAAGATGGCATGTAGCTCTTGTGCGCGTTCCCATATGCTGCCGGTGCGAGGGACTCTTGTTACAATCACTTTGGCACCCAGCTTGGCAAGTGCCTCTTCAATTCCGCCCCAATAATGGACTTGAAGGAGCGGGAATAATTCCGGTCCACGTTTGTCAAAACCGTACAACCCATGACATAACGCAATGGGAGCTCGAGGAGCAATGTAATTCGGGGTCACGGGCATGTCCAACCCTGAAACGGGCTTTTTGACTACCGCTGTGGCTCCCTGAGAAGTAGCACTCGATATTGTTGTAGTTGAACAAGAAGAAGTAGAAGAGGAGGAGGAGGAGGAAGACGGGGAGGAAGAGGACGTACTCGATGGTTGCACGGTTTTACCGGCAGCAAAGATAGGCGTTTCGGCTTTTAGTCTTTTTAATCGTCGAGGGTAAAGAATCTGGAGTTTGGCATTGGTCGTCTGACGACGTTTTCGAAGTACAAGACGTTTGTTGAAAGCTTCGACAGCCCACCGAGAGTGAAGAGTGTTGCGAATGTGAGCGGTCAACTCGGTTAGGGAAAGCGAAGGAATCATACGGATTCAAGCAGGAAACAATAGACCAAATTTAATCATAGAACGCCTTTCAGAGGGTGGCAGAGGAGCAAGAGCAGCATACAATACAGCAAGTTGGTGGGAAAGCGTTAGTGTGGCAGGGACCCATGTTCGGCCCTTCAAAAAAGCGCAATTTTAAGGACATTGTGAGTTTCTTGCAGCTTCCAAGGCTTTCCTTTTCTGATCTATGCTGGGGCGCTGAGTATGCGTAGTGTGGATCCTGAGTGCGGGCTTTCAATATTTCCCCGTCTCTGTTCCACGTTCATTCACTTTTTCTATAATTTTATCACTTTACAGGAACGCGGACTACTTGCCATATGCGAGCCGGAATATGTGCTATTACATTGCATGTGCATGACCTATGGTGCCTTGATAATACTACAAATGGGATGTATGAGGACATCCGTTAATGAAACAAAATTAATTTCGGGCTGAACCATCTGTGAAAGTTGTTTTTGAGAATAAAAAATTTACTCCGTTCATCAGGAATATCGGACGATATTTCCCGCACAGATTGAACGGTTCTCTCTGTGGAACAGCCATTCAGAGTCGAATATCCAGCCCCAAAATCAAAAAAGTTGGGACATTTGGAAGACGCACGACCAATACAGTAAAATAAAATAAAATAAAAATTTACATCCACCCAACCGACTAAGACATATCATTTTTGATTCCATTACATTGAGACGGTTTCCAGTAGAATATTCCCAAAGCTTTGTATACATTGACTTGTTAGAGAATGAGTCCACCATCTAGGGAAACATAGCAAAAGAATAGCAATGGATTTTTGGCAAGGAAGAACCAGTAGTATTTTTATTTTTACAAAAAGAAAAGCATTTCTTTTTAAATCTCATTATATCATGACCGTAATCAATTCCTTTTTTTCGTTAATTTAAGGTCATCCACAAAGTAATAGTGTCAGGGAAACATAATATCAACAGACGCTAACAAGTTTATTTCTTGCTAGCCTTGGCAGCGGCCTTGGTGACCTTGCCAGTCTTGTCAACCTTCTCAACGGCCTTGATGACACCGACAGCGACAGTTTGACGCATGTCACGGACAGCGAAACGACCAAGAGGAGGATATTCGGTGTAAGCTTCAACACACATGGGCTTGGAGGGAACCATCTTGACGATGGCGGAGTCACCAGACTTGACGAACTTGGGAGCAGCTTCGAGGGACTTGCCGGAACGACGGTCAATCTTCTCGAGGAGCTCAGCGAACTTACAAGCAATGTGAGCAGTGTGGCAATCCAAGACGGGAGCGTAACCAGCACCAATCTGACCAGGGTGGTTCAAGACAATAACCTGGGCGGTGAAGGAACCGGCTTCCTTGGCGGGGTCGTTCTTGGAGTCGGAGCAGACGTTACCACGACGGATATCCTTGACGGAAACGTTCTTCACGTTGAAACCAACGTTGTCACCGGGAACACCTTCAACGAGCTGTTCGTGATGCATTTCGACGGACTTGACTTCAGTGGTGACGTTGGCAGGGGCGAAAGTGACGACCATACCAGCCTTGATAACACCAGTTTCAACACGACCAACGGGCACAGTACCGATACCACCAATCTTGTAGACATCCTGGAGGGGAAGACGGAGGGGCTTGTCGGAGGGACGCACCGGGGGTTCGATGTTGTCGATGGCTTCAAGAAGGGTCTTACCAGTCTTGGAACCAGCCTTGGTTTCCTTGGTCCATCCCTTGAACCAGGGCATGTTGGTGGATTCTTCCAACATGTTGTCACCGTGCCAGCCAGAGATGGGGACGAAGGGAACGGCCTTGGGGTTGAAACCGATCTTCTTGATGAAAGCGGAAACTTCCTTGACGATTTCGTTGTAACGGGCTTCGGACCACTTGGTGGAATCCATCTTGTTGATGGCAACGATAAGCTGACGGACACCGAGGGTGAAAGCCAACAAAGCGTGCTCACGGGTCTGACCATCCTTGGAGATACCAGCTTCGAATTCACCAGTACCGGCAGCAATAATCAAGATACCGCAATCAGCCTGGGAGGTACCGGTAATCATGTTCTTGATGAAATCACGATGGCCAGGGGCATCAATGACAGTAACGTGGTACTTGGGGGTTTCGAACTTCCACAAGGCGATATCGATAGTGATACCACGCTCACGTTCGGCCTTGAGCTTGTCAAGAACCCAAGCGTACTTGAAGGAACCCTTACCGAGTTCGGCGGCTTCCTTCTCGAACTTTTCAATGGTACGCTTGTCAATACCACCGCACTTGTAGATCAAGTGACCAGTAGTGGTGGACTTGCCGGAATCGACGTGACCAATAACGACGACGTTAACGTGAGTCTTCTCCTTACCCATGGCGACTATAACAAACAAAAGAAAGAAATGTAAGTATACAGATTCATGATACATAATGGACTTCCATCCCATGCCATCCTCCACAGTGGGTGCATCCAAGGTAATGATGGATGATGAATGATGGATGGCGGATGGATGGATGAGTGCACGGGCATGAATGGGGACAAGTATACATACCTAGTTGTGGATGAGATAATAGGGAAGGAAACCTGTGCTCCAACCGATCAAATTTCTTTTATACCGGTGGCGGTCCGAAAAAATTTTATAACCCCGGGTCAAATTTTTTTTGGAAATTTCCCCATTCAAGTTTGGCTTCATGCATCTTGGTTGGTCAACCTGCTCAGCCAAAATGAAATAGAGACAATTCTTCCAACCATTTTCTATTCCACTTCGTTCCAATTGGTGATGTATTTCGGTCCTTTTGCCCCAAGTTGTCCAATAAATTTCCCCAGGATATCTGAAAAACAATCATCTGTTTTCTAGAAACTAGCTTTGTCCATACAACCCTCCATGGCACAAAATTGGCTGCTTTGCCTACAGTGCTATCATTGTGCACATAGATAGTCGCATAGAATATTTGTAATGGGGGACAAGTTCTGACTGCAAATGCGTGGTTGTTCATGTTTATTTGCTGTTCTCTGTGTGCAAAGAAAAATGATGCTCTTGTTTGACAGGGGGGATGACGACTGCTTTGTTCATCATGAGTATATTATATTACAATTGTATTTGATGATATTGCAAAAGAAAAGGGAAAAAATTGAAACAATCACCAAATTAATGCCGTTGGAAAGGTCGGCCTCTTCCGTTCCCTCTGCCTGATCCTCGAGCCGCTCCACGTCCTCCTCCTCTGGGTGCACCTCGACCTCGCATGTTGGGACCTGAACCGCGTTTCCGCCGTTTCAATTGGGAAGTAATATCTGTGATAATGGCACACGGCGTTCGATGACCTGGCCAGCCAGGCCATCCGCCGGGTGTTGCTGGATTTCTCATGGCCGGTTTAAGTTTGATTCTTCCTTCACGCACCGCCTTCTCAAAATCCCGGCACTTTTTGCTTTTACGTTTCTTCTTTTCTTTCGTTCCGGCGGCGGGCGATTCCTCCTGAGAAATATGCAGCACACGATGAGGCAGTCGCATTGCGGGATAAGCCCAACCGGATTGGTCGAGGATATCATTGTAACTGATGGCAGAAGCCTGTATTAAGGCCACAAATTCAGGATCGTCTTCATCATGATCCACCTTTTGCTGATCGGCTACTGATTTCGCGAGCATGTCTGTTGTGTCTTCTGGTTCACGAATACTAATACTTGATACCGGTTTGCTAGAGAATAATCGAAAAGCGAAAGCAGCAGCATCTGCACCGTCATCTTCGTCTTTATGTTCACTGTCCGTTGCCATCGGTTCAGCTTCTATGTATTCGTATTTTTATTAAATAGATCATTTTTCGTTTCTTTGATAATGCTTTACCTGTCTCTTCTTCCACTAAGCCTCCCATGAGACTCTTCATGAGTGCATCCATTTTCTCTGCATCTTGTTCCACGATATTTGACTCAATGACCTCCTCACTTTCAAAAATCTCTGTTCGACTTGATATTCTGGTGTGCTCGGATAAGCTTGGTCGTGCAATAGCCATGATTGTGTATACTGATTGCTATTCGGCCGTCGAAAATTCTTTTAGTGTTTGTTACTGAAAGCCCAACGGTGCACAGCGGACACAAGAAGCTGTCACAACGTTGTAAAAGAAAAAAAAAATTTCGGGCTGCCAAACCGCAAACAGTCAGGTCTCATCATGTCCAAGAGCGCACTTTTTATTGCCAACATGGTTTCATCTTAAGAGCATCCCTGCTTAAAATATGCATACTGATGAAGGCGAAACCATTCGAAAAAATATCTTGGGCATTGAACTGTCGAAAATCCAAAAAGCTCGCTTGGTGCAAGAATTAGGTTTAATTTTTTTGTATGGCCTTCTAGACAAGTTGGTTTAAAAGACATTGGAGGACGAAAGTTCTTGTACGAATGAACTTTTCCCCTATATCATGTGTAAGTAAAGGGTTATACAAAATGCTGTAAAGGCAGATAGACGTGGTACTTACGGATGTTAACCTGAAAGTTTTCGACGTCTTCTGGTTGATCATCTTGGGCGTATTGCAGCTCTGGATGAGCTTCCAAATACTGCCGCCTTGCTTTTTCTTCAGCGCTTTTCGCTATCGCTTCTTCAGCTCCTGCTTCCCATACGTGACATTTGTTGCAATGATTGCAATAGGCTATGTTAGGATCTCGTGGATGTTGACAAAAATGGTCATATCCCTCTAAAATAAGCATAATGTTCAAACTCTTTTTCTCATGTATACGATCCATACTTTTTAGCTTACCTTGAGCAATATTCTTTCGGCAGATATAACACATGATATAGCCTGAGCAAAAACCTTTCGCAAAGTAGCCGGTTATTCCTATGGAATGAAAGCTTACCACAGTTGCATGTCATTTTATTGCAACCATCTGCTTTTTGAAACGATGAATCGCATTGTGGGCACTGGGGTACGTGAGTGGTTCAAGCAAAGGAAAACTTGTTTTCCTTCATAAATTTTCCTTACTGTTCTTTTGACAGCATTCATCGCCTGCCCAAAGTAAAACAAATGAGTGCACCAATTCTAAAAGGAAGCACCATGTACCAACGTGCTCTTTCTACGTATAATCGCAGTTTATCAGCATTGTTGCCCCTGATTTATGGATACCGCGCATCTCATGGTGGCATCGTAAACAGGTTATTTTCTGACACGTTGGATTGCGACAACGGAAGGCGGTGCCTCGTCGCTGGAACAGAATTTGTTCGTATGCTTCCTCCAAATCAAAGCTTGGATTCCGATGACTTGTCAGCATCCAGCATGCGATGATTTATACACTGCCTAATACAAAAAGTAGTATGGAAAGGAAGATTGTCCCAAGCGCAATAATCACCATTGTCCATTCAGCTTTTTTAAGAAGGTTCCTTGCCCTTTGTATACCCACATGTAAAGGCGCCACCGATTCACCCAGTTGGCAATATTCACAAAACTTGCAATAGACTGCTTGCGATTGAAATTGCCGGAGAGTGGAATCAAACAGAAATTTCTCGTAAGCTCGCCATATATTGTCAGGAACGACGCGTGCGAGGGTTGCTTGAGAAATCTAACCGGTACAGTCGTCCGTGCAAACACAAGGAAGTTTAGACGCACTATTCAAAATACCTTGACCGAATAATTGCTCGGATAGGAAACGGGTAATACATTCGTGACAAATTGGGTGATCCGCCTTCACTGCAATATTCTACCTCTTCAAAAGGATATTCATCAAAGCAGCAGACACATGTAATCAACTGTCCATTTCTCGTATATTCCTCCATGTTCCACTGCAACGCCAGTTCATGATCGGTGATCAATCGGGCGGCTATTTCCTCGGCCTCTTCCTGACGACGCGTTTGTTCCATCTCTCTCAATAGTACAGAAAATGCCTCTATTCGGTGCTCACTGACCGTTCGAACCGATTTTTTGATCTGTTCGTGCCCAAAAGCTTCAACTCTTCGCGTGCCGATATATAATCCCAGTGATGCTCCAGCAGCACAGCGCGAATGGAAGACTTTAGTATCTAAATAAGAAATATGACATGACGTATTTAGTAAATGTTTCTCCTGTCACTGTATTTCCACCGGAACTTACATGCGGATACTCTCGTGATAACTGTTCCAATGCTTGATGCTGGTAATACTTATGTCGAATAGAATAAATCCGGTCGAATTCGCCATAATTCAATCTTTCTGGGTAACTAGGGTGTAATATCACTTCCAACGCGACTTGTTCCAAATGACTGTGATTATATTTCTGCACAAGGTCTCGTAGGTATCCAATGTCGTAGTCGGGGAAGATCTCGGTTGCCAAAGTGTTTAGCTGATGATCCAAGTGCTCCATCTGAAAAAATAGTATTGAGATTTGCTTTGTATCCGGACATCTGCCTTCAGCATTGTTATATTTATAGGTGTAGGTATGATATTGAATGATAAAACTAAAGGCAGACGTTGACTAATGGCATAATTGAAAATAGCACGAACCGCCAAAACTTTAGAGAACCGAGAGGAACTGATGGCAGCTGCAAGTGAATGAGAATACGTAGTAACGGAATAATGAAGTAGTTCATTTGAAGAACAAGCCTTCGACTGTTCCATGATAATCTCCAAACAATACAAGTACAAGGAAAAAGTATTTTTGCCGAAAACTCCTACCTTGTATTTCGTTTCTATGATAAAAAGGTGCAATTCGACGCCCATCTATCAGGAAAATCGTACCCACTCAGTATCGGTATGTGGATTCAATTGTTCTACACGAATCCGTCTATTGTAGAACTGTGAAGTAGTGATTTGTGAGTGCGCCAATGTAATTATTGTCTGTGCTACCGCTATAAATGCCGTTGATTATTTTATCACTAATGCCAATTTAGCCGATTTGGAAATGTCAACATTCAACGCGAGTGATGGGAGCAGTATATCCTATTTCCAACGGTTCACTTCTAGGAGAGGTCAGACAAGGTTTAAGTGACTCATGAATAGAAAAAGCGGACTTGCCGCTGAAAAAGTCAGGACAGATCCGTGGGCTAGGTAATGAGCAGTTTTATTTTCTTTATATGATATTACTCAGAAATTGTTAATGTATAGTTGGAAGGCAGTCGTTTTGCGTAGGATAGAAAATGATGCCTTATTACAGTGCGTTCTTTTGATCTTGAAACAAAACAGTAAAATGGTTTTCGCGCTCCGATCAACTATCGGCCATTGGGGTACGTTGCTGCTCACCCGGTGAGTGGCGGCGGGCTGCATCAAAAATTCGTGTCATGCTCTTCAAACTTTGTTTTTCTGTTTTTCTCTTAGTTCCTTTTTCTCGTAGCTCATAACTGGTACGCTTTCTCTTCTACATTACTTGAACCTGTAGCATTGACATTTTTGCTCTAGTCACACTATATAAACCACATCATGGCTGATTATTGGTAAGACAGTTTGCAGCCCTTGGGGATGGTTATGAAACTTTTGACACAACCTGCATCTTCCGGTTTTAACCCATCTGAATTATAGTCCTGTCTACGCCCCATTCTTTGGTTCCATGGGCTGCACTGCCGCCATTGTTTTTAGCTGTAAGTGTTAGAGCATGAGAGAAATGGCATTTGACATTGCCACTATTATGAATCGTCCACTTGGAAAGCCCCAGTATACGGGATGGAAAGGCGTTTCATATCTTTATGTTATCGGTTGAACTCAGACGCGTGTGGTAGGTCTTGGTGCGGCTTATGGCACAGCTAAATCTGGTGTTGGTCTTTCTGCTATGGGTGTTCTGCGCCCTGACCTCGTCTTGAAGTGTATCGTCCCCGTTGTCATGGCCGGTATCTTGGGTATTTACGGTGTCGTCGTTTCCGTACTTTTATCGGGTGGATGTAAGTGGACGAATCTTAACAACTCTAAAAAATTGACTATTCATCTTTCCGCTGCAGTGGCCATCAAGCAAACGCTTTTCAGCGGTTTCATTCAACTTGGTGCTGGATTGTCGGTTGGTCTTGCCTGTCTTGCCGCTGGTATTGCTATTGGTATCACGGGCGACGCCGGTGTACGTGCTACTGCTCAACAGCCACGCATGTTTGTAGGCATGGTAAGTATCAACACGGAGTAAATCAGCAACATGTCAACTAACGCTAGTCTGCAGATTTTGATTCTTATTTTCGCCGAAGTCTTGGGTCTTTACGGTTTGATTGTTGCGCTGATCTTGAATACCAAAGCCTCTGGCGGAGAAAGCCTCTGTAACTAATTGACAGAACAAACAAGCTATCAAATAGCAAAAATAAAACGGTCTGCCTGTATCGCACTGCAATGGTTCCTTTTTGATCAGAACTTGCGCCTGACGAATTTTTTTTTTTTTTGCTCGAATCACTGAATTCAAATTCACGACAGCGGAGGGTCTAATATCTTTCCAATTTCCCTTTTTGTAGAGTAACAGATGCAAAAGGATTGCACATAATAAGTCTCGATGAATGGGCTTCTCCTGATAAACGCACAACTGACACAGTCTTGCAACTGGTGCTAAGAGGAAAAAGAATCATCTGAGTTATAGTATTATATAACCGATGATCGCCTACATTCAAGCAAAAAGCTAAACGGTGTATTGTTTCCGAGATCAGCGTTTGACTTTCTAAAGTTAGGCATCTTGTTGCTAGTTTCAGTGGTCAATTATTACAATCATTAGTTCTGAACCCGATAAAGCGATGCTGAAGGCCCTCAAAATCATCTTGAACGAAGGATCCTCACAATATGGTTCTTTTTATTACGATGGCGTAACAGAATACGCTCATAATGGTAATGGTTCAGAATGCAAGTTAGGATAATTTTGGGACATATTTATGAGTTGGATATTGGCCTTCCAAAAGGTGGAAGATCCCGAATTTGAAACCCGTACTTTTTGATATGTAGATATTCGTATCATAATGAGGAACACAGCTTTGGAAGAAAGCCCCTTCCGCAATAAAAATCAAGCTTGCCTTGAATGGATAATGTAACGCCGATTAATGGACATCAACGAAGCCGAATTTTCGCTAACAGGAAAGTAAAGAACAGACGCCATAATGCGATGGTCTCTTACATCTATAGGTTCAAAAGCCTGCCTTGCTGCATAAATTTGCTGCGTACTAATTTTCAAAGCAAAGTGTAAGTCTAATGGTACATTGAGATGTTGTTTTGCGCATCTCGGAACTGTCGCGTACAGACTAAATGGACCCTGTTGAACTATTCGAGCGCAGATTTAATCGGATATTGCAGATCAACAGCAGTCGTCTAAAAAGTCAAACTGGAAGAACAAGTTATTTTATGTTTCATTCAACAAGATTATATTCAATTTCATGGCATGGATACATCTTCGCTCTGAACTGGAAACTTGCTGAGATCGCCTGCTGTTATATAAATAATGACAAGGGAAGTAGTTGTAAGCGATCCGATCTTCATAGAGACATGACGAACACATTGTAAGGCAAGTCACTGAAAAAGCATACGGTTCTTCGTTAGTCAGCATTGTTCCATTATAATGAAATGATTTGCTCAAAGGGTACATGCTTTTCTAAATCAAGAAGTTTACTGATGTACTCTGCTTGATAAAAATCCAGATTACAAGAGGAAACCCAGCAAAAATACTTAGGAACGTGGATGTTGGTTTGTGCAACCTCCGTGGCAGTTGAATCATAATAATGGTTGCATGCAAGGTTCTAGGTCAGTTGAACGCGAGGATCGGTTGGTCTATTCATCGAGAATTGGCGGGGAGCGTGTTTCTTGATTTGATTTTTTTTTTTTTTTTTTTTTTTTTTTTTGCAAGAAAAAAACTGTAATGTTTCTATTTTTACGTTCGAAAGCCCGGTTCAGGGGTGAAAGGATATCCCGCTTTTCCCTCTTTTTGGATGTTCACGTCAAAAATTGCTTTAAACGGTTCACTGCCGAATGCTATTTTAGACGTTTGCTTGTTTTTTTCGGCTTTGCCTTTTCTTTTCCTTTCTTCATTATTTCTTTCCTTTTTTTTCTAATTGGAACCGCCAGGCAATCCTCAGTCTAAATAAGCAAAAACCATGTCTGCCGATAGTGTGACTGTAGGTTTAGCACACCTCTCCTTCGATAGACCCGAATCCAACTATCTATTGTCCCAAACTCTGTTGACGGATCATGCTACTGGAGACACTATTTCACCAACTATCAAAGTCACAAGAGGTAAGAACGAATGTCAAAATTGAAGGATATTTATATCGTCAAATGCGACAGGGGGAAAAGAAGTGGAAGAGGAACAAAAAAAAAGGTGGACCAAGGGGTTCTTGTATTCGATAGGGTCAGTCCGGATCCTGTATGCAATCATGCCAACCCTGATTCTCATAGAAAAATCACCACGTAACAATTGGAGCCGAAACCGTCAATGTGTACCGAGCGATGACGAAGAAGACGATGAAGAGGAAGACATTGAATCCGATGAAGAGGAAGAATGCGATAAACAGACCAATTCCATGACAAAGCGTCCTGTAGTGTCTACGCCTACAAAACCTACCAGGAAAACCACGCCATTGCCCAGCGATGATGAAGATAGCGAGGATGATGATCAGGGTAAGGTTAAAATTACTTGATAATTAACCGTGTTGATAAAAAAAAAAAGAAAGTAGATGAGTTAAATTGGTGATAGATGATAAAAGTGATACACAAACCGGGACACCGATGTATCGCATGGTCTCTGGATCGGCACCTAATTTGGTCAGTAACGACTATGCTCAAGATCGGCCTGGATTCCACCCACGTTATTCCGACAGCAGCACCAATAGTAATGGGTCCCTTGTACCACCTAATCACTCGGACGAAATACCTGTTGATTATACCCAATTCAATTACGAAGTACATCAAGACGATGATGATGACAACGAAGTTTTAGGGGTTCGTAATGGCCCACTATTAACCGAAGGCAGTCATCTACAGCAGTTACAACAATATCAGCAATATCATCAAGCGCAACTTGCTCAGTTCCAACTTCAAGCACAACCTCATCCATCCAAAAGTTCGTCGACATCTCATCTACGACCCAACCATCATCCACAGCAGCGCGTTAGCATGTCAGGCATGGATTTGTTAAAGCAACTGGAGCAAGAAAAGGCTGAAGCCAAGCGACAAAAGCCGAAATCACAAATCAAAATTGAAGGATTATTGGCTAAATTACCTGAGCCGGGCTCTCACAATATCAGCTTTCAGCAAATGCAAATGAAGAAACCGAGCAAAAATCAACGTCTTTCGGGCAATATGGGATACCACCATCATTATCCTCACCATCCTCATCATAATTCACCGGGCAATTCTTCCAGTGACCGACGGTCATTTATTTCCGCGCAACAGCAGCAACATGCCGTATACCCATTTGGTTACCCCACGCCGTATGATATGGCTTCTCAGAATGCGATGTATATGTCGCGCAGTAATGCACCTAGCATTGTCCAGCCAAGCTATGCCGGGTACCCGCAATATGTGGGAAACATTGCCACTCTAGGTATGGTTAACAATGGCAACCCTGCTCTTAACATGTCGATGCCCAAATCGGGAGAAGCCCATTTTTCACGGCCAGCGAGTGCTCTAAGCATGCATGAAGGTTCCGGACGAGGAGAAGGACGGTCAGATCATTCATAACTGTCTATCTTAAACCATCCGCATTTGCTTTTGCGTTATGATTCTTATCGCTTTGATCCATCCTAAATTCTTTCAACATATACAGCAATAATAAAAATGCAAAAGAATAATCAATAGCTGTACCTAGAGCCAGAAATGATTAATGAGCTCATATGATGTGATTTTGTTTTTGGAGATTTCAACCAATTTTTGTTTACCATTTTTGGAACCAGGCACCCAAAGCAGTAAAACGGCACATATTTCAGTGATGCAAATTGGCAGTCTACCTTTCTTCATCATCAATGGGATTATCTGTGTGTAACGTGCGCCTTATTGTCACTTTTTGCCATATCCCATAATAATCACAAATACGAATTCATAGGACTTCCTGGATAGACTGTAAAAGACAATCTTGGCGGGAATACCATCCCAACGATGAAACAAGCACTCCATCGACGATGTCTCTTCTGGTCACCACGCCTGATGTTGCCACTACCATCCTCAGTTTACACTGATTCATACGGTTTTTGTTGTAGTTTCTGTAAAAGGATGTAGCGTCTCTCTCATGAAACTTTAGGAAAACAAACAAGATGAGGAGCAGACGAGCCAAGCTTACATCATGGATTCTATTTACAAGATTTCGGCACAAAAAAAAAATATTAATACAATATGGGAGGAATTTCTAGCGACTGAGACTCATCAAGGAATCAGCATAATAATCTGTGAGAAAAGAAAAAGAAGAAAGAAATCAGTCAGAGAAATACTAGAACACGATCCAAGCTGGCAACGTTTGCAGGGGTAACGAAAGCAAAAAAAAAAAAAAAAAAAAAAAAAAAACATACCGTCACAAAGCTGTGTAAAACAATTGGAGCACGCATCAAAAGACTGAGAACACCCACATCCACACAGTAATGAACCATCCTCTGCCAAAAGGGAGGTCGGACGGCCTTCTCCTGGAGCCAGTTTCGGAGTTGGCGCATCGGACGGTGCACAAATTGCTGCAATAGACAATCGCCGGCGTGGGTTATATTCTTCAATGGCAAATCCGGCATATGGATCGACTTTGGATTTCATTGCCCGCGATGGATGCGCATCGCAACCGACACACGTACATGAGTCGCCACAGCGACAAGTGACAACCCGGATTCGTTCACCAGATGAGGTGACTTTCTCCGTGGAACAACAAGACGCTCCTTGCGCTACTCGTTCCACCGTCGGACTTTCGCAAGGGGTTGATGCATCAAAGGATTCCGGCGTGGGATGGTGATGAGCTCCCGCGTTTTGTCTAACAGGAATGGTTGTTGCTGCTGCACTGACGATCGAGGTGGGCGTAACAGGCGTTGACAGCGTCTCGGTGGACGGTTGTTTTGAACAGCAAGTGGAGACTGGTGAGATGCTTGGTTGTAAATTCATAATGGGTGGCGACTGTATAGATGTAAAAGGTTCGGAGCAAGGAGAAGAAGTTTCTGAAAAATGCAATGATGATGAGTTGGCTGTGGATGCATTGGATGGACAGCACGATAATGACGACGGTATCTGAATATGCGTATTGAGTGGAATAAATGATGGGTCCCGTAGTGGAACTTTGGGTTTAGGCGCAATACTGCGTAAAAGCTCCTTGGAATTGAATGGCTCGGTCGTTGACTTCTTCGAGGATTTGGTTTCGCGATCTATATGTTGAATCAGAAACATGAAAGGAATAAAAAAAACGCGCATTCAAGGCTTGCCATTACGAGCTTTCTTCCGTGATCGTAAATTACTACTACGTTCTATAGGAGCAAAATGGATTAGGTGAATGAATGCACGGAAAACATCGCTGCAACACAATGGCTGTTACGGACCTGTTTCGTTGTTACAATCGCAACGCACATGAAGTTGGCGTACTGTCCTTAATTCCCGGCAACGTTTGCATTGTGTTGCTGGCCGCCCTTTCTTTTTCACTTCGATCAAGGGTCGATCTTCGTGATTGCAATGGGAGGCACGGTGACCCTAGGTTGGACTTGTATAAGTTTTTCAAACAACAAATAACAATAAACTCGGCTGGCAAAAATACCTTGATACAGGTAGCTTTGCAAGAAAAAACAAATAAAAACATTAGATTCTCCCGCTGAATAATATTAGAATGTTGAATCCCTTGTCCCTTACCACATGCCCACTTGATACCATTGACGATCATTGGCAATCATACAAAACCGGGTCAAGCAATTCCAGGCAAACAAGGTTTGTGGAGATTTAAAACTCAGGACCGGCTTCTGATGAAAATGTTCCTCTGAAAATGTTCCATTTTTTTTTCTCAAATACGATTCGCCCAGAGTTTTTTTTGTTTCCGGAAATGTTAAAAGTTTTGATCGAGCATTCATGGTGCAAAATTTTATTTTCAAAAGAAATAATGCAACGCAAGAGGTCAGTTCCATTGATTCTTCCATTTTCGGTCATTTTCTGCAAAGTAAACTGCACGCGAAGGAGCACTTGCCCCGGAAAAACCGGAGTTTGTGCTCTTCCATTTATTGTGTGGGGAATACATATGGTTGCTAATTGGATCGCCCAATCTTTTCTGGAATGCCGGACTGCCACTTGACGCAACTTTGGTGTATTTAATGTCGATACCCCGGGCATCATGGGATCCCGATTGGTCTCTTAACATGCGCAAAGCAGCACTTGTTTGGGCTCCCTCTTTCCCTTCATACCCGGACTATGTTGGATCTAGACCGGTTTGTTCTAATGCACATTAATTCACAAACTCATTCAAGATACTTTACCTTTGATATTCGAGTTTGCGATAATATTTGATAGTCAACATGCTTTGACCATATGGCATTGGATCGAACCAGAATACGACTTTTGCAGCACCCAAAATCTTGGAAGATAGACGAGCACTTGACCTGATTTATCCACTCTTTTGCAAAGTGTCCACGAACAGTCAGATATTTTGAATAGAGGACCAACATTGGATGCAGTTTCGAAATTGCTTGGATTGCAGAAAATTTGGAATGGAGGCTTTTTGGCCAGCAAGATCATTCGCGCTGTTTTCATAAACAATGGCTGCTGCAATGGCTCATGTCATGTCCATTAACCCTCCAATATCAGGATTGTATAGTATAGATTCATTTGTTGTACAAGCGGGTTTATTTATTTATTTGCTTATTTACATATCATCATGAGCATAATATATCATATATCTCAAGTCAATGTGTTTTCATCAGTTCGCCGACAAATATGCAAATCGGTTGATATTTGGTGAAGCAAAGTATTTACTCTGTGGATGTAATATTTTATAGTTGGCAGGGTCGTTGATCTAAAAAATTATCTGCTGAAGTGTATTTCACATGGGATGATGGCATGCACATGGCATCAACGTACTCAGCACGAACCTTTTTTATTGAAACAGCATGTTGTTCCGAAAGCGAATTTTATACTGTTGGCCAAAAGATTTATTTGCAATTCTCCAGGGAATCTGACTGTGCATTATTGTTGATACGAGCGCCGGCAACACCTTTGCAATGAAGAATGGCTCGATCTCATTATGAGCCCTCAGATTAGGATTAGTATATCGTCCATGTTACCAACGTGACAGCCGGTATAACAGAAATCTAAACGGCGATTGACACGTCCTATGGATTCGATCCACTATGATTGCAATGGCACAAATCGCAGCCATCGCTCCTCATACATATATAATGCATTCAAACAGAAGAAGAGAAAAACATGCATATTCAGCTAGACCTAATTTACTCATAACCGTAAATTGGGAATCGCCATAGGGTCAACAACTTTTAAGAAAAGTCTTACCCTATGGAACTCTGTCATGCTCTCCATCCCAACTTTTTTTCGAACAACCAACGTCAGTTCGGGTAAGCTGCAAATCAAAACTCCAAAAACAGACGAATAGGGAAAGACGTCCCGACCTATTTTCTTTTTACATTCATTTTAATATGTTTTACGTCTTTTGTTTGAAAGCTCTGGCCACTAATCTCATAGGGAACTGTTATCGTGGGAAAAAATGAAATATGAGAACCAACTTGTAATTTAATCGAGCATGCGGAAATGCATCGGATATTGTAACTCGGGTGCCGTATAGTAGTTCTCCACTTGCTGTGGGAAAAAAAAGAGATTAAAGTTTAGATGTGAACACATTTCTAGGCTAATCGCCATTCCAGCAAGCCAACATCTTTGAATTCCAGTATTAATTTGCGATGAACCTTCAAAGCACTTGATCTACCGCCAAAAAGCAGAATATCTAAATCAAATCCTGTCAAGAACAAATTTCTACTAAATCAATGGTTCACAAAGTAGTTATTGTTTTCAAATCATGAGATGGTGACAAGACGAGTGCCCGGGCGAATCTTCCTGCATATGACAATGACGATGGACACATCAGTTTTTTTAATTGCACGGATTAAAGTTACCCAAGGATCGCAGTGTAACGGTGACAGCATAGTCCATTTTTAGGATGAAATCCGATCAATCCAAGTCTCGATAGTCGAACTACCTGCTTAATGACTCTAGCATAACTGTCATAACATAGCCAGTATCGTTTGATTATCGTCTTGTTACGAAAGCAAATACTGATTCAGTCAGTCTACCAATTGGTGCTTGATGGAATCGCTTTTTTCATCATCTTTGTTATTATTTTCGCTTCTCTTTGTTCAATTGGCTGCGCAGCAGTCAATAAAAAAAAGGCACGCAAAAACCATGCTGCAAAATAGGGTGGGGGATGGCAGGACTTTACGACATACTATAAACTTTGAAAAGCACTCCTTTAAATCAATTTGATATTTCATTCGTGAAGACTTTGAACATTTGCCATGTTCAAGGAATATTACCAAGTTCGCTTACAAGGCAACTAACACGACCTTTATATATTACAGTCGATGATACAATTTATTTATCATAAACAATAGTATGCAAGATGATCACAATACTTCTTTTTCAAATCACGTAGTCAACAGGCGCATTCCCAAATGATGCACTTTTCTGGCCGTTTGGGTGTCATAGGCGCCATACTCCGCCACCTGGACCCGCACCCATGCTTTACAAAAAAAGCGAGTCTGACAGCAAAGCTAAAAAAAGGAAACTAAGGAATATCATTGCTTTCCATATCCTCGTAAACCGTGGGATTATTTTGGACTAATCAAAAAAGATCTGCGACTATGGAAAACACACAACAAGTAAAAACCCTGCAAAAAAGGAAACGAACAATGTAACGTGATCTGAGCCACAAAATCGATCCACAATGACTAACTTATCAGTTCCATGCTTTACCAAAAAAGGTAAATGAAGTGATTCCTTTTTCATGTTTCAGTATGATGGTCCTTATTTGACATTGTCTATTTTTTTCCATTCTTATTTCCACAGACGATCAGCCATAATTTTGAATTGACAAAATTACGGCCTCAAAATAAGTAAGAGAAACCTTAGCTTATGGGTTGGTTATTATCAGTTTTTCCAATAGCTGGTAAAAAATTGACGACGATTTCAATTCATTGCAATTGAACAACGATCGCTGATTGGTTTGCCTTACAATCGAAAGCCAATCATTATCCAATCACTCATCAGCGGTGGAAAAAAAAAGTTCCAAAAAGCTTTTGAGCGCCCGCTATATATAACGAAAACACACAATTTCCCCAGCTGTATTTTTATTTAGCTTCTTTCTCTTCTCTTTATAACTCGGCACGAGTTTTTATGCGATAACTTCCACACTTATGGATGAAAAAGATATACATCCTGGAAAGCCTTCCGAGGCAAAGTCGATCGAATCTTTAGAATATAATCTAAACGGTATGAAACCAACAAAACTTGGAAGGAACAATCCATCGAAAACCGGTTTCCTTATTTGTACGAACTTTATCTCTAGAGGATACCCATTCCATCAAATTTAGTCACGGTGTTGAACGAGAAGCCCAAGGATCCAGTTTCCTTGCCTACTTTAATATTGTCTGCGTTGTCGCTGGTACAGGCGCACTTGGTCTTCCTTATGCGTTAAAACAGGGAGGCTGGATTGGTAAGCTTTGTTGTTTCCGGGTTCCACGAAAACGAACCTATTAACACAATAACTTTTTATTTCCGCAGGCTTACTCATTTTGGGTCTCTCTTGGTTGTTTTCCTCCTGTAAGTTTGCTATTTGCATCACCGTGTTTCTAATGCTGTTTCCTAACGATTGGCGTTTTACTTCTATAGATTCTGGTGTAATTCTCGTCCGTTGTTTGTATTATAATGGTCGCACTCGTCTGTCTTCGTACCAAGAAGTTGCTGAAGCAGCTTTTGGTGCTATTGGTGGCTGGCTCGCCTTTTTCTTTACAGCAATATCACTCATTGGTGTTCCTGCTCTCTACGTCATGCTGGCTGGCCAGAATATCAGCTCCATGTGTCAAGGTACTGCAGCTGAATTGACACCTCCTATTTGGGTGATTATCTGCGCAGCGATCGTCGCGATACCCTTTGTGCTTTTCAAGTCTATGAAAGAAGTTGGTTTTCTCAGCGCTTTCGGTATGCTGGCCACAGTGATTGTCGTCTTTATCGTATTGGTGGAATCCGTCAAAGATATCCCCAATCAAACGAACATTATTCATGATCCTGTCATTTGGGACCAATTTCCAATCGCTCTTAGCTCTATCGCCTTCAGTTTCGGTATGTGAATCATACATAATTCATGACAGAATCTAGTACGGATCGCTCACCATGCTTTTGCTTGTACTCTAGGCGGTAACCCAGTATACGCCAACGTCGAAGCCGGTATGCGACGACCGCAAGATTGGGCCAAAGCAGTGACGGGTGGTTTGTCGACATGTGCCGCTCTTTATTTTTTGACGGCCGTTCCTGGTTATTACGTTTATGGACAATCCGTTCAGTCGCCCGTATACAACAGTATCCCTACAGGACCCGCGAAAATCGCATGTGCAGCAATTATCACCGCTCACGTTATTCTTGCCATGCCGATTTTACTGACATCGTTCGCGCTCGATTTGGAGAAGCTTTGTCGGATATCAACGTTCAATCATTCAAAAATTGTGGAAGCCTTATTACGTTTTGCTCTTCGTACGACTCTGATCGTCGTTGTTGTCGTTATCGCTATTTTCGTTCCGTTTTTCGGTGATTTCATGTCCCTCCTTGGTGCTTTCTCCAATTGTGCGCTTATTTTTATATTCCCTGTTTTGTTTTATTACAAGCTTACCGGGCTCCGCAACAAGTCTTGGTATGAACTTATCCTTGGCTTCTTCGTGGTGTTATTAGGTGTTGTCGGTTTGATTTTTGGTACCATTTCATCCGTGAAAGCTCTTAATGCCGATATCAACGGTCATTAGGCCGTTTTGATTCCCCATTATTACGCTCCCTATCATTACTATTAAATTTCATGCATTTACTCAATTCATTATTCTCTTTTCTGCCTTTCTATTTAAGAAATACAAATTCGTGCCATTTTTATGTCATTCTATTATTGCCAATTTTTGAACAAATATGACTTGTGTAAATGTCAAAGACCTTGTAAATACATCACTAATTTGCGGTTATTCTGAAGCACTGCGATATTATCACAGATTATGGCTTCCATTTCATGATCTATTTTTTTTCCATTTTATTTTGAGAAAAGAGCATACTGCGGAAACGAAGCAAAGCTCATGGCTGTCAAATTCTCGGTGATTGCTGCTCCGCTAATTTCACCAATTTTTTTTTTTTTTTTTTTTTTTTTTTTTCCTTTTGGACCAAAAAAAAAAAATTCGCAGGAGAAACTGTTACTTTGGTGTAGACTTATTCTTTAAAATATGGGAGCTCAAGCCTCGAAACAAGCAGTTCGCCGTTTGCCGAAAACTGCTAAAGCAGAAACATTGGAATCAGCACCTCTTGAATCACCGTCAACCATACGAGCGCAAGTAGAAGCCGAGGCTGAAGCACTTGCTGCAGGTGAGGAAACTATTTCCGTGATATTTTCAGCAACATGAAGATGATCACCACTGAATCAAGCCGGTTTGATCTGTCATTAGAGCGTAAAACGGAGGCTATTCAAGAGGAAAGCCGTGATCCACAACTGCACAAACTCTTGACCGAACTGGGTCCAGTCAAGATTGAGCCTACTATGACCAAAATGCGCATGGTACCATTAAACGACAAAACCGAAGGGGGGGGGGGTTCCAAGCGCACTGCTAATTAACACACGATCTATTTAGTCTGACGCAATGCTGGGTATCATTCACGAACGAAAACGATTAGAAGAAGCGGAATCAGTGCCGAGTAGTGCATTGGAAAATCGCGTGTCTATTGATGAGTTATTCACTATTTTGGAACACCGTAAACGACTGGACCCTGGAACATTGGATCAACCTGGCGCGCTAGAAGCACTGGGTAAAAAATACAAGATGGATACGCCAACATTAGAAACGCTGTACAAGTATTATAATACCATGGCTGTAATGCCAGCTGCTACCGACGACAAGGACGAGCGACGACTGGGTGTTTGGGTAAACAGTAAGGCGGAATGGAAACAGGCAGTCAATGATACCCTCTCTCGACAAAAAGAAGCTGCACGTAAAGCGAAAGAAGCTGCCCTCAAAGAAGAAATGATGGCACCGCCCACCACGAATGCAATCACTGAAGAGAAGAAAGATGAAACAGAGCAGCAAAAGAAGGAACGTGAACTTAAAGAACTATTTAGCGACTAATCAAAAATGATCATTATAAAACTACCTGTTAACCAAGTATAAAAAAATGGAAATAGCCTTCTTTTAGACACCCCTCCCCCCCCGATACTGTTCTGTCAATTCACATTTTTTAATGAAATTGTCACGGGACTTTTTTACTCAAGCTCTTTGGACCGGGTTCGAAGCTTAAATCCTTATTAATTCGAACTTCACCAATGACAAACGGTCAAGTTAATCATAGTCAATCAGATGAAGCAGTCTGGTACAAAGGCAAAACCATGTGAAGATTAAAGAGATATGATTCGATTTGACTTTATACAATTTGGGGGCAAGCTCGGATAATCTCTTCCATCTCCGAACCGATGAATAAGCATTCATAACAGAAAAGTCATTTTTAATGAACTTTACCCCCGAATGCTATGAGCAGCTGGAACAGATATGAAAAAACTTCAACCACCGGTATTTTTCTGATACCATGCCGGAATATCAAACCAAAAGTAATTGGAAAAGATTCATGTGGAGACAGCTGTTAAATCATTTTAACCGTAAACGTTATGATTATGATTGGAAGTAGTTTCCCAAATTTTTTAATGGCCCGCATAAGCCGAGCGCATAGAGGATTACAAATCAAATAGGGGGGTGGGGTACTCTGTTTTGATCTCCCAATATCGACAGTGGTGGTCGTAGTAGTATATTCATCTGAAAAAAACGGCGCGAACCGGGGGTTTGGATCATTTGTGTTACGTGTATCTGCGCAATCCCTTGGAACCCTGTTTTACATAAAAGAATAAAATGTTCGTAGTTGAGACGACGCAAATGGAGCACAAGGATCTTTTTCCAAACGCACGCCCTCATATTTAAAACGCCGCCATCGAAATTTTCTTCCTTTTTTGAAACGGCGCCACTGCCGAAAGAGCTAGAGAAAGCATCCAAGGGTTACAAAATTTTGACAGAAACATTCTACAATATTCCTTCTCGCTCTTCCCACCTATTTCTCCTCCATGCTGAAAACAAAACACAAGCATAAGGATAAGGGAAAAGTAGAACCTGCGCCTTTAAGCATCGATACGTGTTTGACGTATGGGTGCGGTGCCGGTGCTTCCTATGAACACCAAACGCATTTGTCCGACAGGATTGCTCCTCCGTCTCCAGCACTTTCCGATACGTCCAAACCTTTCGACGAGAGCAGTAGCTTAACGACGTCCACGATGAATTCTATTCAAAGTTCTGGCGAATCAGCCGCACGAGATCGTAGCAGCAAATCGTCATGGAGCTCTCTTTTACAGCCCTGTGATAAACCCAAGCAAAAGAAACCGTCGTCATCCGCCGAATCAAAAAGTCACCAGTTGATCAGCCCCACATCCATCCATGATTCCGATCGTTCTGATGACTCCTCATTTGCCTCTACTACATCTGATGGACCTCAGGTTCCGTCTTCACATAGCAAGAAGACGCAATCTTCTTTCTTTCGACGACGTTGGCCTGTGCATATTAAGCGACAATCGACATCATCACCTCTGGAAGGTCTTGGATCCGACACTCTCACTTACATGGCCACACTTCCCCCTCATTTTACTAGCAATGTTCCGTACGATGGCAACCTTTTGTATGGACCCAGACTTCCTACGAAAACCAGCGAAGCTTCGTCTGAGACAGATACATCTCAGATCAATGCAGGGGAAGTTTCTCCCACTAGCACTGATGAAACCCCACCTTCGTCATCCGCCAGCCGATCGTCATCCACCAGCCGGTCGTCCTCAATTGATCACGTAACCTCGATTTTCAATGAGGCTTCTTCCGAATCCCATGTACAGGTTGCTACTACCGATGATATCCCATCAAAGAAGAACTTGGCTCCGTTGTCGCGTCCTGGTTTGATTCGACGACGGTCAAGCTGTCCCGGCGGTATCTGTCGCAAAACCTCCTCTCCAGCACGTTTGTCTCCTGGTGAGACATTGGATGCTGCTCATGCTCAGAAACGCAATCAGTCTCGGCCGTGTAGCCTATTGCAGAAGAAGCATTCACGACGTAGTTTTGCTGACCGAATGAAGACTCGATCTATCACTGGCGAGTCGGATCTCTCCTTCACCCTTACGAGTGCCACGTCGAATGAGGACAAAAAACTGGGGATCAGCGATGTCGTGGATCCCATATCCAGACGTCCTCTCTTGAGATTTTCGTCAATGAAGCCCCGATCTGGTCACCAGCGACGTCGTACTTCTACGAAACGCGAAATCAAGGCTCTCAAAGTCTGGCATGAGGCTCTTGAAGATTCTCTCAAGCAACAGCACCCACCATCGTCCGGTTTGGATTACGAAACTATGGTAAGCAAACATCGATTCTTTCCTGGATTTAAGCGTTCTGTACCTAACCTTTTAAAAATAGGCTCCCGAGAAAAGAGACAAGGTTGCCTTGACACGCAAATTCATTCTTCGTGAGCTCTACACTACAGAAGTGACGTTCTGGAATCAGTTATACTATGCCAAAGTCGTAAGTCGATGATTTTAATGCTCGAACACTCTTGCATTATGCTTATTCCATGTACCGTTTTAGATCTTCCACGATCTTTTGATACGTGCGATCGAACAAAATAGCCCGTTTGCAAGGCCAGAGGATGTGGAGTATTTTTCCAACTTGTGGGACTTGATGGAATTTTCCTCCAGCTTCATACAACGGCTACGTTTAAACGTTCAATATGAACCAAAGCTCCTGAATCCAACGACATCCCCCTTTGAACCGCCCGAGATCGATATCAAGTCTGTAAAGTGTCCGTCCGATGTCCTTGTCGGTCAAGCTCTATGCGACTTAGCTGAAGATCTTGTCGTCTTCCTACGATGCGCTATTGATTACAAGACGAATCGCAAGATGCTGGACACCAAAACAAGTGGTAATAAACTGTACATGGCATGGCGCGATGTAAGTATCCCAAGTTTTATAGACTATCAAAACCTGTTTTGCTGATTTGAATATCTAGAAATTAATGTCGCGTAAAGAAACCCGACAATTCACCATGTCCGACTACCTCATTATTCCCATTCAACGTGTTGCCCGCTATGGTCTGCTGTTAGCAGGTATGTTATGCTTTCTATTTTGGGATCATGGTTACAGTTTTTAACTCTTGCTTTCTTAGATCTCCTAAAGCATACAGAGCCTACCCATCCAGATTATTACGAAATTTACAAAGCCCATAAGCTGGTCACCAGTCTGGCCACGGCCATGAACTACGCCCAAAAATAATCATTTCATTTGACCTTAATTCCCCATCTATCATAAGTAATTTAATGTATTTTACCTACCAATATCAAATATCTAGATAATTTTTACAACCTACATTTAGTCGTAATAAAAGGTCTTCGCAATCCAATTTCTTCCTAAAGAAAAAAAACCGTGTTCGATATGACATGATGAACCCCCCCCCCAAAAAAAAACGATCCCGACTAAGGACGACAGAGCTTCCCTCGCCATACAGGACGCTGTATGCGATATTGTAAAATGTTCTTTGCTGCGTTCGCGTGTCTGTTCCACATCATTCCGCAACTTTCATAATCGAGAATGCCGGGGAACCGATCATGCTATAAATGCAAAGAAAAAGTCATCCCACCAGCCGGGCATTACGGAATACTTTGTGTAATGGAGCACACCCTGTAATACAGTGGCACAATTGCTGGTATGACAAACAAAATTTGACAGCAACCAATTTTCACGTGAACGATGAGGTGTTTATGCCACTTATCAACCCAAAGACCGTGTTTTTTTTGGATGATCCTCTCCGTACTCCGACAGACACAAATTTGAAAGAACCTTTTTTGAATGGTATAAAACCTTCATTGTATTGATCATGTGATATTGATACGTCTATATTTACAATAAATTCTAAAGTGAAAATGAAAAAAATAAATAAAAAGAGGTGGTTCCGGAAAATTAGGCAGCAACAAAGCTAAAGTATTGTCGTAAGGCATCAGATAGAGCTTCCGGCAATGAATTGATATCGCGCAAGACCATAAAGTAATTGAACGGGAAAGTTTCCAAGTAAGAGGTCATTTGCAATGAAAGCTTGCCGTTCACCGTGGTGTACTTCACGTTTGTCATGTTGAGAATTGAGTCCTTTTCCGGCTTGTTATCCACCACGATAAAGATGATCATAATTTGATTTTCCATCGCTCGTCGAACCAAAGCTTTCAATGTATCATGATCTTCGCAAATACCGTCGGAAATAATCAATTGAAGTTGCCATAGTTCGGCGTTTCCGGGTCCACTGGATCGTTTAGAGTTCTCAAACAGGGAAATGGAGGTTTCCACCAGATTCTTGACGTACGTCTTCTGTTGAGCAAATGTAAATTGTCGCAGGACTTGAGCACCAGATTCAGATGTGAAAGGTTGATCAAATGGATGCAATAAACGGATACGTTCACCAAACGAAACAATCGAGATATCACCGACTTCCAGTTGAGAAAGCGCCTTGGAAATAAGAGATAGAGTTTCATACGCAAGCTGAACAGAGTGAGATTCGGACATGGACTTTGAATCATCGACAGAAATCATCACTTGGTATTGACGTTTGCTAGGCTTGGTGCGTCGTAACCAAATCTTGTCCTTCTTAAACTGACTTGCAATATATGGAATAATCTTCTTCATGTTCAACCGCTTGCCGGTACGGTAGTCACCCTTCAACTTGGTCGCCAACGTGGGTTCAAGAATTAACCGAAGTTGTTCACAAAGTCCCATGGCCAGATCGTGCGTCAAGTTCTCGTAACCTTGCCATAGTTCTCTAGCTTTGTTGATGTCACGTCCTTCGCCACGCCATTCGGACACCTTCGTCTCCAATTCGTCTCTCATACGTTCGATATCTTCTTCTTCCAGCGGTTGATGGGCAACCACCGACTCGTCCACAGTCAAGACATCCGGTTCTTCAAGGCTTCGTTCGTTCGGCAATTGTTTGCTAAGAATCGCTCCACCCATATCGCGTTCACCGGACATTTCTAATGTGTCACGCGCCAACGGCATGGTGTCGACTTCGGGATCTGTAGGTTGAACGTCTTCGGATTCACCTGCATGTTGCTCAGTGTCTTCCATTTCTTCGTCCATCGCTCCCATCTTCAGATCTTGGACTTGATCAGCAGCTGCGTTGCTCATGGTCTGCATATCATGCGCTTCTTCATCGTTTTTGACATATTCGAAAGCATGATCTTCATTCACTTGAGCTTCATCGGCCTTGGTCTCGTCCTGTTTCTGCTGATCATCCGTAGCTTCTTCTTCATCTTCGTCTTCAGCGTCTGCCACATCAGCTAGTCGTCGACGCCAGCTTTCCAACGCATCACCAAGACTTCGTTGAGGATTGGCTTTGGATGGTTCTGCTTTTTCTTCTTCATTATCGCCGGTTTCATCTTCTTGCTGAGCCTGATTGGCACCCCGTTGAGCGGCGCCCTTCTCTTCACTACGTTCATCTTGCTTCATATCGGCTTCAGCGGTTTCGGATGCTTCATTTTCTCCTTCTTTTTGACCAGTCGAACTCATACTTGCTTTGCCCTGTTCGCCTTGAACACCAAACTGATTATCCGCTGTAGCATCACTGTTAGGTTGTTCGCGATTCTGGGCCTTGTTATCGAGCGCCGATTCTTCGTCTTCTTCTTCTTCAATAGTACCGCCTCCTTGCTCAGCGTCTCCGACCGGCTGCTGTTCTTCGTTCTCAACTTCTTCTTTTTCTTCTTCACCTTCCGTCTTCATCTCATCTTCTCCCGTTTCGTCTTTCTCCATTTGCGCGGTCGTGTCAGCCATTTCCTCATCCTCGGCTTGGGCATCATCCGCTTCGCCTTCTTGGATATGATCCAAGGGATCGTCATACTTTTCGTTTTCGTCTTCTTCATCTTCTTCCATTTGATCGCCTTCGCCGCCTTGCTCGGTATCCATTGCATCAAAGAAATCTTCTTCCTGTTCGTTATCTCCACCTTCTTGGTCTTCGTCGCCATCGAGATTCATATCATCAGGAAGGTCTAAGGTCTCCGCTTCGGGTACTTCGGCATTGAATTGATCGCCTGGTCGGTTTTCGGGGCCTTCTTCATCTTCTTCTTCCATATCTTCGCCCTCACCTTCACCTTGCTCATCTTCATTCTGCTGATCCCGCTGTTCTTCGCGTTGCGGTTCTTCAGACTTCTCTGGTTGTTCGCCCTGCTTACTGGGATCCTGCTGTTCTTCCTCCTCCTTTGCAACGATGTCCGCTTCCTTGGGACCTTGAGGCTGAGCCTGATCGACCGTTTTATCGCTTTCGTTCAGATTTTCTTCACCTTCTTCACCCCACATTTTGTCGTCGACAGCATCAGGATCCATATCGTCTACGTCACCAATCTCATCATCCAATTCTTCTTCTTCGTCTTCTGAATCTTCTTCCTGATCTTGATCTTCGTTCTCATCGGGCTCCACATCCTCCAGCGTACCATCGAAATCGTTCTCCATCTCCATGCCGTTCTTTTCTTCCTTCGTGTCTTGCTTTTCATCTTTGCGTTGCTCTTCATTTTGCGTACCGAGCACTTGTTCTTCATCTTCGATTTCTTCAGTGACGTCTTTGGTACCTTCGCCTTCACCAATACCAGTACCAGTAGCGGTGCCATCGGCATCACCTTCTTCTTCATCGGCCGCTCCTTCAGGCATGCAGAATCCCTTGCTGATAATCACACTGAACGAATTGATCAAGGCGTAGGTAAGTTTGGCCATGGATTTGTGATGTAAAACGATTTCGCCCAATGTATGCTGTACGACAAGCATGTATTGCTGAACAAATGGATACACTTGCTGAAGCAATCGTGAGATTTCGCGAGATACACTGGATGCATCCGCTTCGTTTGCCTTGTTCATGATTGGCGAAATAAGGTTCAAAATCTCCACACACCGTCTAGCGATCAAATCCGTATGCAGGGCTGTGGCCAATGCATGCTGCTTTTGATGTTGCAAGCGGATATAGTTTTCGGGCATATCATCCGCGTCGTTCTCCTCTTCTTCTTCTTCCTTCGATGGTTCTTTTGAAGCAGCAGGTGCATCGTTTTCGGACTTTGACTTTTTCAAATCCTGTACCGCAACCAAAATGGCATCAATCACTGAATGGACCTTTTGTTGCAGTTGCAAGACAGAAATGTCATCGCTTGCATTCTGGACAGTGCTGTTGGGCTCGTCCGTACGGATGGATTCAATGGACTGAATGATCGGGTAGATGATGTGACTTGATTGTTGAGCTTGGTCCACGATTTCGATCAAGGACGATTCGATTTCTCGGACGGTCTGACATTGCATGTCCATCATTTCAACGACATCTTCTGACAGCAACGCCACATCAACATCGGTACTAGCGCGAGGGAACAGATAGCGTTGGACGTAACAGTTATCGGTGGCTTTCTGGATCTTTTGGACAGTGGTACAGATGGCTTGCATACGAACCACCATGGAGCGAATCACTTCATCATATTCGGCCTGCACCGTAAAGGTGGCGAGCGCTTCGGTCAACATCGATACAAGATCATCAATGGCCATCTTGTGCGCGGTCAAACGACAACCAAGAGAAGTGTTGGCCGAGATCGACTTGTTGTTCGTCGTTGCATCATAAACGGCAGCCATTTGAACCGAGAAACCTTGCAAGACGAGTATACGCTCTTCCATACGCGATAAAATGGTACGTTCCTTGAGAACCAGCGAGAACATATGTTCCGTAGCACTCATACTACGCTCCACTTCCAAGAGGGAGAGATCCTTGCTAACTTGTGTAGTGCTGATGGTGCGCAGGTGAGTCAATCGTGCAATGCAACGGTAGTAGTAATCGTTGGCTTTGTTCCACAAATCAATCATATCTTGCGAAACAACGCTGTATGTCGACAATGGCTCTTTCTGCAAACCTCGGCTTTGCGTTATAGCATCCAACGAAGCCACATGTTGACGGAACAGGGCCGACGTATCCGCATTTTGTTCAACAAGAGTACCGGCGCGCCATTTGAGACCCAATCGGCGCAATTCTTTCAGAAAGTCCACGAGCGCCTTCTTCTTTAACAACTTTTGGTTCTTGACAAGCGACTTGTTCTCATCCGTCATAATAGCAGGAGTTTCCTTCTGGAACTCCTTGATTTGCTGAATGATGTTCGTCATGAACGTTTCAAGAGGCAATTCTTTCTGTTGCTCGGCGGTCACGAACAGGTCAGATCCACAATACGATCGCATTCTGTTCAGTGTCGCGGGCAGGTTGGCCAAGTGCTTCTTCAACGCAACCGATTCATCCAAATTCATCACAGATTCAGTCACAGGAATAGATGTTTTCGTGAGCCATAAGTTGGATCGACCCAATTGATCCGCAAAACCGTGTTTGATATCAGCATTGTAGCGCTTTTCATCGCCATATTGGAACATGGCGTGCTCTTGATTGTAGTTGGCAATCACCGTCAACATGGAATTGTTTAGCACTTCGCGGTATTTTCGAATGCACTTGTGGAGTTGACGATGCGTCTTTTGAGCACTCTGTCGAAGGGCATAAATATTGACATCTTTCCAGCTTGCAATCTTGACAAACTCCTTCAGCTCCTTTTCAATGGGTTTGCGCAACTGTGCCAACATTGTGCGAGCATGATCCTTGAACTGAGAATAGTACAGATACACATTGCGCAGGATCGTGGCGGCAGTACTGTGGTTCGCCTTTTCTTCGGCGGAACAAGCGAGCTGGGCTTGAACCTTGGACTGACGGTAGAAACTGTTGATCATCGTGAGACGGGGTTCGAATTCGATCAAAGAGGCAGACTGAATAAAGTGATCGAGGGCTTGCAAAAGTTCCTGCGTCTTCTTCTTATCATCTTCTTCAGCACCACTTTGGAATGACGTGTTGTTGACCGCATCATACAGATGGAACCACCATTGGAAGGCCGCATTTTGGCTGTACTGTTCTTGAGCAGCCAACAACTTTGGCCAGCAATTCAGTTCGAGTTGGCGCCAACGAACAATCAACGCAATCAACTCTTCGCGCTGTTCCTTCAAGGACACGTGCTTCGCAGCATAGGCTTCCCAATCTTCTGATTTTTGCAGCAATAATTCAACACCGATGAGGAACTTCGCCACAGGCGATACAATCGAGAAACCAAGCAGACGATCAGAAATGTTGATCAATTGTTCAAGAATAGCATGTTCAGGCCATTCGGAAGCAATTTGTTGCACACGCGCTTTGAATCGATAGATGATCGGCTGCACACGCTTAGCTTCGGCGATATTTTCACTTGTATAGAAATCATAGATATCGTCACTCGTCATGGCGAATGAATCTTCGGTTTCAAGGCGTCGAAGTGCGAGCGACGCCATACGAAGATGACCGGCGTTGCAAACGAAATCAGTAGCGAGGTCAAACGCAGAGGTGGACATGGAACGCAATTGGCCCGCGATATTGTACGACTGCCATGCTTCACGATCCCAGGTATTATCAGTTCGCAAACAGGCATCTTGATGGTAAGTACTGAAGATCACTTCGTGGAGACGACCAATTCGTTGGATATCGATATCATCCAGGACAGATTCTTCTTCCACATCGCCCGGGGCTGCCGAAACAGGCTCGGTTCCCTGCTGTTGATCATCGATCGTCAAATCGGCAAAGTCATCATTGAAGTTGGCAAACATCTTCTTCATATCGGCTTCATCCAATTCTTCCTCGGTCAAAGGTTCGTACTTCTTTGCGCGGGTCTTGTACATCGATTCCTTTTCAGCTTCTTGCTGACGCTTGTATTCTTGAGCTTCCTTCCATACACGAACAACTTCGGAACAAAGGCCGTTGATTGCTGTGAGATCCTGAGCTTGAATATATCCGTGCGAATTGATCGTGATCGTTAGGCGCTGCAGAACAACAATAAGGAATCGCAAGTAAAACATCCACTTGCGGCTGGTGGACGATCGGTTGAAAATGATGGTCTTCACTTGCTCCAGAGAAGCAGGTTCTGCCACCGTATGCCATCTTAGATCACGGGCGCGACGACCGACATCGGGATTGCGTACAAGAAGTTCCGTAATGCAAGCCAGGTTTTCGTTCAGTTTATCACTGCGGCGGGCAGAGGTCATGATTCTCAAACCGTACTTGATGTCACCAACAGCAACAATCAATGGCTGCAAGACATCTCTGTAGAGCGGGAACTTTGAGTGGACACGTTCAATGAACTGGAGAGCATTGCCTTGCACCAAATTTTCGCGTTGCAACACCGAATCCGCGCCATGTTCTTGCAAATCCTTGAGAAGCTGTTCGACGTTATGATCCAACATGCTCTTTTGTAGGTAGCGCAAGTCCACAAAGATATCTTCCAGTTGCGATTTCTCGGGTCGAAGCGAAAAGGTGGTCGAACTTTGGGCAAGCTCCTCGTTGACGGCGGCAAGCTTGACTTCGGATGAGCGAATAGCAGCATTTGTGTGGTTACCCGTGGCAATATCTTCAATTTTGGTCCGCACATCGATCGAATCCGAATATTCCTGTTGTTTCTTCAATAGTAAATTGACGCGAAGACGAGGTTCCGAAGTAGGATCCACAGGATAGTCAGGGATATACGACGTCAAAAATGTCAATCCGAGCAACACTCTGGATTTGCCAGCGGTAGTATAGAACATGGCATCATCACCGTTTCGGTAATGCTGGATGGCTTGCAGAATATTCGAAATAGCGTCTACAAAAAGTGCACTGAACTTGACTTGCTGAAGCACGGTGATCATCTGATCGAGAACAACAAGCGCTTGACCGTAAAGAGCACCTAAGCGAGCTACAGTATACATGTTGGACTCGTACAAGCCTTGCAGCAGCGGCAACAGCTGATCCAATCGTTCGCAGACAGTTTGGTAAACGTTGGTATCCATCAATTCAGCTCCAGCATTGAGTAGCTACAACACATCGGTATTAGAATAAGGAGGATTCACACAGGTATAGCGTTACGTAGAATTTGATTCATAATATCATACCTGACGAGACATAGAAACCAGCATAATTATCTCCAGGCATCGTTTGTCTTTTGCATTGACGTTGACGGCCAAGTATTCTTTCAACGATTTGAGCTGTTGCAACGCGCTTCCGTAAGCATCGACAGAGATCTTATCAACCGAGCTCCTATTATTTGTCACGTTAACCACCTGATGTTATAGAAAAATGATTGCTGGTGATTGCTCTTACAGTATATTAAGACAGGCCATCGTTTCCACGCTTTGGAATAAACTCAGCGGGCCTTCGGAAATACCGAGATCCTATTGGCCAGATATGTAAGGGTTAAAAAAGACAATGAATGAGAAAACTGGATGTAACAACTTACGACTTCAGCGGTTCCAAGTTGATACAAGTTTTGCTGGAAAATGCTAGCGCGCCACATACGCTGATACCACGTACGAGTGGCATCTTGCAGTAAGCTTGGTAAAGCGAAAGCCAACTTGTCACAGTCTTTTCAAGAAAGGATGATGAGAATGTGGCAAACAATGAAACATGCCTGCAACTACTTACCAGGCGAATCCAAGAGCCAAATTAATCGCTGATATGCAACGGCATCCTGCGGTGGACGTGAAGTTTTCTCTAAGCAGTTATGATGGAATTGACGCATGACTTGCAACGTCTCGGGAGACATCTTCTAATAAAACCAACGGATTAGCGTTCAGCTATCGCTTCTCCATAAACTCGTTTTGAAAAAAAAAAAAAAAACTTACATTAAACGAAGGATTAAAAGCCAACATGTGAAGAGCTGTGAGAAGTTCCATTTCATGAGCGATGCTGCTGTAATCAAGCAAAGGAATAAGTGCAGAATCCCACACGTTCGTCTTGGCAGAAGCGTCATCAGTGGTTGCTTCTAATTGCCGACGAATATACTATGACCATATATAGTGAGCATAAAGGACATGCAGTAGATTAAAAGAGTTGCTTACTTCAGGTAAATGCTTCAAAGACTTGGCAATTTTCAGAGCATCGTTATCTTTGCTGTTATCGATAGCGTACAAGGTGGCGAGACCTTCTGTCAAAGCTTCCTTGACCTCCAATGGAGTAGTAAACACCAAGCTTCGGCTCGTCAATCCTTGTTCTGAAGGCGATATATATCAGTGAGCTGTATTAAATTGCGTAAACCGCAGCGCAACCACTTACCGTTGTTCGGTTGATAGGCATCCATCATCTTATTGGTCTTCAATAATTCCGCTTCCAACTGATGCAAAGATTCAGACGCGAGAGTTGCAGGAGAAAAGTATTTCCAGAGCGCTTTCATGGACTTGCAAGTCTCAAAGTCGAAACCAGCCATGATACCATCAATCACAGTGACTGTTGTAGCAAGCAGCGGCGCCAAGGCAGCTTCCGAAGCAATACTCTGCTTCATCCATCGCAATATAATCAACAGGTTGTCGAGATTGAGATTATGGGACTGAGTCAGTGTCCAGGCATAGTCACGAGCATCCAGAATTGCTTCAACCGTGTTAAAGCACTATGGTAGTAGCATCTTTAGTTTTCCAGTTCGCGAATGCTGTCACCTAACGTTTTATGTTAACCTACCTCTACTGGCGATGCGCGGTAAGCAGCTTGATCAATCCACTGCATAATTCCGGTATGAATCGACTGATACAATGGATACAGCTTGGTAACGACCGGATGCAATAACTGACTATCGCTTAATCGACCTTCGTGGTAACAGTAGGATTGCTGGAACACAGATAAGTTTCCAAGCTTCAACTTTTGGGAGGCATTTCGCGCGTTCAATTCGGCATATTCCTGCTTGGTAAGGCGAATCAAGAGAGCGTAAGCTTTTTCAACGACGGCCAGGGTCTGGATCATATACAACACGGACAAAGAAGAAAATTCATTAGACTATCTCATCAACTCGGCGCCAGTGTACTTGTATTTCTCTTACCTGTTGCTGCGTGGCATCGAGTTCATTCATCGATTGAAGCTGCATCCATTCTACGGTGACAGGATTGGATCTTAGAGATTTCATCGTATACGTCAAACGCTCCAAGACACCGGTGTGAACAACAGAAGCATGCTGCGCCAAATATGCAACCCAACGCAGACGAAGACCAAACTCCTTTAACGACATGGCTTCCACAAAATAATCGGCTGCTACTTCAATCTGACGAACAATCGCATTGTCATCATCGGTAACAGCGGTCTGTAAGAGAGACAGCAGATAGGCGCCTTGCAGAGTAATCGTTGCCAAAGCAGAGTCTTCTTGGAATAATGAACCACCAACGAAATAAGGACAGTTGGCGGGAGACACCATGACTTGCAATAAATCGGCTTCACTGTCTGCTTGCATGAATGCCTGTAATCCTTCAGGAGCTTCTTTGATGTCGACAAAAACTTGATGAAATGCTTCGCTTACAGCAGCCTTGAGGGTTTGGCCTCGTTGCAGACGTTCGATCGTGTAAGTGGCAAAAAGCAGGTAATCACGCACGTTCTTATGCTTGCCAAACTGTTTGCGGGCAGCAATGGCTTCGCCTTGCAATTGGTTCAACAGTAACGGCAACTGAGGTCCACGCAAACCAAGACCGTTGGCTAAAGTGGTAGCATCCTGAACATTCTCATTCCAGTTGGAGTCGACAAGCGCAATTTCGATACCGCGATTTCTCATTGCACGAGAAAGTTCACCATTTTGAGGATCCACGGTCATGAACATGCGGAAATTAGGATGCGGTTTGATCACCTTGACGGCCCCATCGACAAGACCTCGTTCGTTCACCATAAGGACTCCATCGTTTTCGAAAAGCGGATTCAAGCGATCGAGAACGGAAGGATTGCACATATTGGCATTGTCAATCAACAGCCAGTGACCTTTTTCCAAAGCATTGATCAGTAAGCCATCAATCCATTCGAATTTACCAGCGACAGAATCCTTTTGTAACAGTTGGAGCTTTTTCACAGAGGTAACAATTTCTTCAATCCTCTTGCGAGCCACTTCATCCGCACCGACGGCTGCATTAAGACAGTTGAGCACATTGGATACCAAAGCGTAGTCCAGCTGTTCGTTGTTCTGATCGGCGAGGTTCTGCTGCATGGATTGCTTATTTTCCAAAACGAACCAGGTGTCGCTCAGCTGGCGGATCTGTCGCAGGGTTTGGGCACGTTGTTCCTGATCAGGCAGGGTAGTTAATCGCATCAGCAAGGTCTTTGTCGCATCATCTGTCAATTGGTGAAGCATATCCATCAATAGCTGAGAATGTCGGTTCAGATCCACCTGTTCGAAACCACCTAGCAATTCCATCGTATCCACGCTGTTGTTCATCGCGAATTCCTCCAGCTTATTTCCAGTGAATTTGCTCAATAAACGAATAAGCGACGTTTTGCCCGAAGCACTGGGTCCGGTCAAAATGGCCATCCAGCTGGATTCCACACACTTGATAAGCGCCTCCATGGAAGGCAGGAACGATTGCAATAAGTGAGATTCATGTTCAAAAAGATCGTTGGAGTTTTCAATAGACCCTCGAGTGAGTCGCGAATGGCCAACGGTAAGTTCAGTAGGTGTCACCTTGTAGGGCGGATAGTTTGGCCGTTCGTAAGACTTCTGGAACACGGACTCGTATACTTGGACAATCTTGAGACGATCTTCATGAGTGCGCATACGTTGCATATAGATAATATCCAAATACTCGGCAGGATCTTTGACCCCATCTTTGCGCATCAACTCCAACCAGCGGAAGACATCACGAAGATTGAATTCCCAAGGACTACCTTTACGACCAAAGCTGCACTTGATCATGGTCTCTTCATACATACGCGTGTTGAACTCGATCATTTGTTGAAGGGTTTCGGTATCGTATTCGGGGAATAGATGGGCACAGATAAAAAGCAGATCGTCTGCACTCAGATGTTCAACGTACACCTGGGTAAAACGGTTGACAAAGGATTTCGGAAGACCTTTACGACCACCACCTTGTTGCAGAGGATTCTGGGCACCAAAGACTCGGAATTCCTTAGCGCAGAAAAACTCGCGATCCAGTTCAGGAATGTAAACGGCACCACGATGATCAAGACATGAGTTGAGACCTTCCAAGACGGACTGCGAAGCCAAATTCAATTCGTCCAATAATACCCAATCACCGGCTTTCATGGCTTGCAGGAAGGGAGCATCCCGCCAGGCAAATTCACCGCTGTTGCCTCCCTCCACAGGCAGATCGGAACCGAAAAGATCCATGAGATCCGTTTGTTCCGAAAGGTTGATACGCACCAAGTTATGACCAGAGGCTGCAGCAAGGGCGGAGATAAGACTGGTTTTGCCTACACCAGGACTACCTTCCAATAATATCGGCTTCTTTAACTGCATAGCACGAATCACACGCATGGCATTATCCGCGGTAGTGGGCGCCAGAAGTGTAAACTTGATATTGGCGTTAGGAAGGGTACCACGATCGATCGCAAATGGACCAATAGCAAATTGCTGGTCTGACATTTCCACTGTCCCTTTCGCTTCACCAAGAATCTCCTTTTCTGTAGCATTGGGAGCGTTGGCCAAGTTTTGCAAGCATTTCAGACGGAATTCTTTGAGTGCTTTGCCAGCGAGGAACGAACCAGAAGAGCCATGCGATCCAAGACCGTCCAACAAAACAAGACATCCACCATGTGTAAAGCTAACAGGAGCGGACAATCCTCGTTCAGCCGCAGCATTCATGAATTTAACCCAGGACAAGATATCTCTCAAACTGACAACGACGCGAGCTTGACCGAGAGCCTGGGTATACCAAGTGATAAAATCGAGCATCTTCTCCGCATAACCTTTGAGATCAGCATGGACCATCTGTTCAGTAATGATCGCCAGTAAATCTTCACGATCGTCCACGGCAGGCACCCAAATTTCAGTGAAACGGTTACGGAGAGCGGGCGATAATTCCTTCTTGCCGTAATCACCACCAGGATTCATGGTTGCCAAGAATTGGAAGCCTTCTTGACCGTAAAGTTCTTCGACATGCTTACCGCCTTTTTCAGCAAGCACCAACAAACGACTCGGTTCGAGCACCGAGTTCAATCTCTCCAGGACAGAATCGTCTGCCAGCGAGATTTCATCCAGCAAAAACAAGTGTCCTTCACGCAAAGATTGCACCAGAGGACCGTCATGCCATTCAAACAATTGCTGCTTTTCGTCCGAGGGATCGTGATTGCGCACGGGGCGTTGACCACCAAGAAGATCGCCGGTTTCCGTGTTTTGGTGACAATTAACAATATGGAGTTCTCTACCAAAAGTTTCTGCCAGCATTTGGCAAACCGTCGTTTTGCCGCACCCCGTTTCGCCGACTAACAGTACGGGTTCTTTGTATCGCAAGCAACGGGCAACCAAACTGAACAGACGTCTCATTGCTTTCGTCCAAACCAGTTTCGTATCTGCACCTGTGGCATCCGCGTTTCGTTTCAAAATCTCATCGTAGATGGCAAATTCTTCCAACCGTGTGCAATCGTACATTTCGTTTTCGTTGAGCTTCACCTTCATTACAGTCTCCAAAACTTGCTTTACGACCTGTTTTTCTTCATCCTTACGGCAGCGTTCAGCAAGTAGCATATAGCCATGCTCTGCCAGTTCCTGATAACCATTTGGATCACGACCAGCCCAACGGAAGAGATCACGAAGCGTGATAAAGCCATGCTTCTGTTCAAAAATACGAGTGCTCTGACGACGTTCCATCAACGACTTGTAAACCTGAACAAGCTTCTTACAGTACGAAGGCGCAATGCTGCATCGTTTGGACAGGATCGTCTCTAATTCTTCTTGTGGTATATCGTCGAAATGCAATTCCAGGAAACGATTACGGAAAGCTCGGGATAACGCTTTACGACCACCATAAAGACCGGCAGGATTCTGTGTCGCAAAGAGCATGAAATGCGGATGAGGTTTGACAATTTCTTGAGTCTCGGGTATCAGCAATTCTCGGTTATCATCCAACAGACGATTCAACGCTTCGAGAACGTCCGAAGGGGCTAAATTCAGTTCGTCCAATACGATCCAGTAACCATTGCGCAAGGCTTCAACAAGTACACCTTCTTGGAAGACCAATTTGCCTTCGGCATTCGAAACGTAAGTACCCAAGTACTCCTGAAGATCGGTATGTTCATGGTTGTTGATACGAACAAAGCGATGGCCAGTCTCTTTCGCCATGTATTCGATCATACTTGTTTTACCGGCAGAGGTCGGGCCCTGAATCAGCACGGGAAATTTGCGAGACATAATGACTCTGGCGAGGTTGTAAAGCTTCGTTTCGACGGACGGCGTCAAGATATAATGCTGATCATGCTGCGGTTCAAACTGACCTTGCTCGAGCCAGAAGTAACCGAACTGGATAAAATTGCCGGCAGGTTGACGAGGAATCTGGGTCACCAATTGAGTAGGATTTTGCACACCGCGCAGAATCGTTTTATGGATTAGTTGCTTCATCAACGCCTCGCTTTCCTTGCTGAGTTGGGTTAAAAATGTCATGCAGAAACCTTCAAAAAGCGATCGACGGAGCCCATAGGTGGGGTAAATTTGAACGACATAGGTGAGTGCTCGTGCCAACGTACGCATGCTGAAATGAGGTCGTTGATTTGCACCATCCACGAGTTTATGCTGACCCGCCAATTTCTTGGCTTCCATGTAAAATTCAGCAACATCGGGACACGCGCGCTCATCACCGGTGGTAATATTAGCAAGGTATTGTCGAACAATTTGCAAAAGATCTTCATAGCGCGCATCCGGGGGGTGAACGTAAAACTCGGTAAAGCGGTTGCGGAGCCCTGGGGGTAAATCTCGCTTGCCGACATCAGTCGCAGGATTCATACATGCGAAAAGACGGAAGTTTGGATGACGTTGGATAGGTTCAACATCGCCCTTTTCCGTCAGCAAAAGCGAGCCATGAGCATCTTGCAATAAACCAGAAAGACATTCAAGAGTTTCGGTGGTTGCCAAGTTGATTTCATCCAGTAAGATCCAGTCGCCCCGTCGGACCGCCTTCACCAAAGAACCTTCCATGAAATTGAATACAAACTTGTTCTCAGATTGAGCTTGTTGCACTTCGAACTCTTCCAGGCGTTTGGAAAACAATTTCCATGCACTTCGTAACTCTGGCGTGGAGCTCTTTTTGCTCTTTTCGTCTTGTTCGGCTTCAAACTTTTGCTGCGACATCTTTACGGCTTGCTTCAAAAGGGCGATGAAGTTGACCCATTTGGTATGGACGAACATTTTGTGCACCATTGCCAAGAATTTCGCATTCTTCTTCATTGAAAACGTTCTTTCAAACAAGCGCTCGAAATCTTCCTTCATGGGAATGGCCAGGACTTTGCCATCCACGGGTTTGAATCCACCCAAAAGATCCGAGCTATCTGACTGCTGTGACAAGTTGACGACAATCAGGTTCTGATGCATCATATCCGCCAGATGTTGTACGACGGTCGTTTTGCCGGTACCCGTTTCACCGACAAGCAGGACAGGTTCATTCAGATGGACGCTCACTGCAATCTTTTCTAACAATCGTAAAGCGTGACCCGTCTTGGCGAAGGGGCGTTTTCTCTCTCGTTTGATCAAGGCTTCCTTCTGCTTTTGCTTTCCACGGGCGACAATGGAGGACAAGTTGACGCGACCCACGCGCACAGTGGTATCGGTTATTTCGAATAACGGTTTGTACTGATCGACGTAAAGGCGCACCATTTCTTGCGAAATCTGGAGTGGTTCTCCTACTTTCTCCAGCACCACTACCCACGTTGTGTAATCGGGAATCATACCACAGAAGCAATCGATGGCTTCACTGAAGAGGTCCTGACGAACAGTTTCATCGAGTCCAGCGTCCACGCCATCTTGTTCGTTCAGACGTGATCCCAAAAGCGTATCGATACGATGACACCATTTCATCAAATCACGAGTGGATATATAACGTCCCATAGTGGATGATGCTAAGGACGAGAAGTTGGGATCTTGATAAATATTGATAACGGTTTCGAAAAGGCGCATAACATGTGTCGAAAAGCCACCAATGTGAGAGAATTTCTGGCGAACCACGAGTTCTAGTTCCTCCATGGAAAGAGGATCAACATGAATGCGAGTCCACAGGTTGGCACCTGTGACAAGATCGCCACCTCGGGAACTGAAACCTTTACCGGAGCGTGAAGGAACGAACGAGCGGGTACCGAAAAGCTGGAAACCTTCTTTAGCCTTGATCTTTTCGCCGCGGGAAGGAATGAATAACTGTCTAGTTTCCAGCAAGGGAAGTAAGACCGAGATGACTTCAGCTGGAGCAAGGTCGATATCTTCAATCAACACCCAACGACCTTCCTGGACTGCCGTTGTTAGAACACCTTCTTGCCAACGGAAAGAACCCGGGGTTGAGGTGGATACGTAAGTACCCAAAAGTACTTTTGGATCGGTTTGATCTCCCAAATGAATCTTCACCAATTCTATCAAAGACACGAATGAGTCAACAGCGGGACAAAACCATCGTGACATGCACTTACGATCTCCACGACCGGTTCGAATCGCAAGCTCTTCCACAAGAGCGGTTTTACCGGCACCCGTAACGCCTTCAAGAAGTGTTGGTGCTCCAATGGAAAGAGCAAGACTAAGTCCGTAGAGATTGCGAGTCGTTGTTTTGGTGAGGACCATCTGAGGCTTGTAAGTATCTTGTTTAAATCCGTCCACTTTGGTTTTTGGAAGTAACACACCGCACAAATTGACGGTAAGCGGCGATAAATCTTCATCATGGAGAACGTCCACAGAGTCGGAAATGAATGCATTGTGGGTAAGGGCAATCTGCGCATCTGCGAGTCGTTGCTGCTCCCATAATCTATTCCAAAAATTGTCAGACAAGATTCTCTTCCAATTGTAATGATATAGCAGTGTACCTAATGAATCGAATATCAATATGTTGGCCATCAATGATTGTCATGAGAGGCTCATCCGATTCGTCCGAACAGCCAGTGACAGATTGCAGCAATCCCTTTGTTTGTGCATCGCTCAAGCCGTATACTTTGGCCAAGCATAAAATGCTGAGATATCGAATACATCCACTGCGATGATTGAGCAATTCTACGATGGGACCCCAGTTCCATAATGATGAGAAAGTAACGGTTGAAAATGAAAGAAGTCGGTATGCTGTTAAAAGTAGATCTTGTAGTTCGTGCGTAATGGAAGAAGCGTCCTAAAAAAACGTTATGTTGTTAGTCAACTTGATCGGTTCCAATAGGCACTGATCCCTCGTACCTCATCATTCTGATCGTGTGATGACTGATTGAGGCGTTCAAAAAGCGATGGTGAATGGGTAAAATATGTTACAGTGAAGCTAATTTAAAGGCACGTTAGTACCTCGAGTGGAAGGTTAATTAATCTCACATACCTTTTCACTTGTGGCAAGATAGGTAGCACAATACTGAAAGCTTTAGCGACCAATTCTATTTTATGTACAGTGGCACTCGTACGGTTCAATGTAGGAGTATCGTCTAAAAAAGCGGTGAAGCCTGGCGTCACCCAGCGTGCAACAAGATCGATGGCAATCGGTCGAAATAATTTCACAATATGGAGTGTCCATGAAGGGTTAAGCATGCATTTCGATAAGGTGTCGAGAACAGTGGATCGAGATACCGATGCGGGATTGTCAAGGAACGTCTGAAGAACGTGAAGATCGGTCGCGAGAAATTCCTGCTTTCCTTCAAGGCACAAAGACTGGAAAGCCTTGACAGAAGCCTTGAGATCGAGGTCGAGAGGATTATACAAAGGATCGTGATCGTATACACATTCGGCTGTAGGTGTCATGTCATTATCCACATCCATCATGCTTATCAATGAAAAAAGCAAAATCTGAGTGACAGCACGATCTGGAATACGAGATCAACCTCGGACTACAATTATGAAGAAAAAAAAAATGCCCAATTTTTGTGACAGCCCTTTGCTTCATTTTTTCTGAACCTGAAATCGTGAAATGAACAAAAAAAAAAAAAAAAAAAAAAAAAAAATAAGAGTTTCACCAAAAGCTTATAGGCTATGGTCATGCAAAGAAAAAGGATGGTTATGGGACTATATACAGACACCGGTTTATCATCAATATCATAGCCCCACAACTTTATGGTAATACTCTTTCTCGACCATGCGACTTTGATTTGCTAAGATACGACTTTGAATATATATAAAAACACTTTTATTGATTCTCAAATCAGAAATGTCAAAATGAAGGAGCACAAGAAATCAATGAAAACAACCAGATTAACCAATTTCTAAGCTGGTGACTACGAAAACGCCAGCAGCATCAGTCTTAGGTTCTTGCCCTCTCCACATGCGCATGCTAGAGAATATGCTTCCCCATTCAAGACCGTCAAACAAGGCTACGGCATCTTTGTTCTTCATGCAAATGTCAAGATGAAGAGTACGGGACACTGAATCAGGCACACGATTGCTTGGTGATGAAAGTCCTTCCAGCACCAGTTCAGCAAGACGCTTAAGTAAAGTTTCGGCGATTTCTCTGTTTTCCGCGTACAAGGGCCCAACTCGATAAGATTCCGTAGCAGGTCGCACGCAAGCGTATCCAATCACTTGGTCTCCTTTCACGGCAGCGATCGCGAAACGGCCGTCATCAGAGCGGTCTTTGTGGAACTTTAACCAGCGAGAAACAAACAGCGGGCGTTTAAATCCGCCATACCGATGTTCAAGCGCCACAATCTCATCCAGTGCTACTTCGGATGCATCCACCGTTCGGATCGAAGGATCCGCCGTAAGTTTCGTTACTGCTTCTTCAACAGGTCCAACGCGACGCTGATTCTCCCAACTGATAGTCTTGAAACCGGACTTTTTGTAGTTTTCCACTTGAGGAATCAGACCATCCAAGCCAACCGACGGAGCATCGGCGACGCGTTCCAGAGCACGCTTGAAGACTGACAAACCGTAGCCTTTACCGCGATACTCTGGCAATGCGACATAGTAGCCAAGCCAAGCGATGTCCTCCGAGTGTCTGACCCCGGAGATAATGGAAACAGGCTTCTTATTTGAACTTGCTTCCTCTACCTTTCCCACGAAAAAACCTTGGGGATCCATGTCATAATATACTTGGAGGATATCTTGCCCATCTAAACCGGGATTCCATCGTTCTGTCTTTGACCAGCCGTAAAAACAGTGCTCTACTTCCTCGGCGGAGCATTTATGGACAGAAAAAATTGGAGCCATACTTGGAAGAAAAGGAAATGGTAACAAGAAAAACCTGCAGGACATTTTCGTCTCTTTATATGTTGCGCGTATGACGGCAAAAATAGCAAATCTTGTTCAGTCCGCAGCTCGGCTTGTCAGCTGAAAGTCAAATTTGTTTGTGTAACGATTTGATAGTATTTTTCGAATAAATGGCTTCCAAATAGGGTGCATGATTCACACAGCAAAGATGATCGACGAATCTTTGGATATAGAAGTCAGAGTATAGGTATCTGGCTGCGCCACTAAAGGGCTGAATTTTTAGACAGTTCAAATGAAATTATATAGATGATGCACGCATATTATTACACGATCTGTTGAAATTTTGACTCAATTCGGCATTGTACAAGATAACATGCGTTCTGTAACTGCCTTGGCGGCAATATCTGGGCTGCGTATCGCGTTACTTTGGTTTTTTACCTAGTCTTCGGAAAATCGGTTCAGTAATTGTTACTTGATTATCAAATAGAATAAATCCATTACCGCTTCTAAACAACATAAAACAGTAAAAATATTTTTCTTTCGATCTGTGTGGAAGAGTAAATAGATCGGGCAATGTGCCAAAGTTTACTGTCTTCCAACAATTAAATTATGTACAGTTTGGTATTCTTGCACCGGAAGACCTTTATTGCATTTGGTGTAAACACGTAAAAAGTCGCTTGTTGTACACCATTAACAGCAATTATGCCATCAACCGTACCACCATGAGAAAGAAATAACAAAAAATGTCAAACTGCTCTGTCAGCAACAATCACGAAGACCTATTATGTTGCCTCAAAGCTACATAGTAGGGCATAGAGCTTCCGTAATGTAGGGTTGCTGCAATTAGCTCTAACATAGTCGGTAAGTGATTGGTTTTGTATGCTATGGTTCTGCACATCGCGCCCCGGCCCCCCAACTCTTCCCCCGCAGCAGAAAAATGCATCGAAAGTCGGACACTTAACTTTCGAAATTTGAGTGGATGTCATTTGAATTCCCGAGGACGGTCACACCATGTGCTCCATGTGCTTGGACCCGAAAAAGGACGGGCACTTGTTCAAGTAAGTCCACCGTTTCGAAAACGTAGCTCCCGACAAAATGGCGGGGCCGTCAGCTGGTAATGTCCAGAATAAGACATGCTAAAATATTTTGCCTCTATTAGTCTTTAGTATACTCATCCTCGTTGCACTGCTAGGAGTTCGGCTCAGTTTTATCACTCAAGTAGACCAATCAAAGTACGAATCTTTGTTCACCCAAGCATCCGTCGACAATAAAGTTTTATCAGGTAAACGCTCCTCTGGCTATTTTCGATATCTCTGTGGAAACTAATGATAAGATATCTACAGCTGTTGCCGCCAAGGATGTTCTTTCCCGGTCCAATCTCGGTGATGATGTACTTGCACAGATATGGTATAATAATAGCTGTCAATGTTAATGACGATGTAGTTATCTAACTGTTTCATTCAAGGGATCTATCCAATGTCACGAGTGAGCCACAGCTCACTTTTCCTGAATTTGCCGTTGCGATGTACCTTACTTCCATGAAAATGACAGGCAAAGATATTCCCAATACTTTACCACCTACTGTTCGGGAAGAAATTGAAACAGCGGTCGCTATGATCAAATCGAGCAGTAACCAATCCAACATCTCAATATCACATGGAGCAGGTTCTGGGAATACGGGAACCTCTTTTCCGGGGCCTTCTTCATCCATGCTCAGTTCATTGGCTGGTATTCATCAAAATAACTATCAGACATCTATGATGACAGGGCAAACGGGTTTCCAACCGCAACCGACCGGATATCAGCAATCTATGCCTACGGGATTGCAGGTACCAATGATCACGGGAGTCACTCCAATGATGGCAAGCAATCCGCAAGTCGCGATGCCGACGGGGATGCTAGGTAACAATCTTGCTTTTGCCAACCGGATGATGCCTCATGAGACAGGCGGTCGATCCATTGCTCGTTTCCAAAGTCTTTCGGAAAACGTAAAGATTCCTTGGGCGGTGACTATCGAAGAGAAGAAACAATATGCCAAGATCTTCAAAGCTTGGGATACGGAAAACAAGGGTACATTAAGTGGTGACAAGGCCAAGGAGATCTTCTCGCAATCCGGGTTACCGCAAAATGTGCTGATGCAGATATGGTAAGGAAGATGCGCTTGACTGCTATCAATGTCGATATTTTCGTGGACACTTGTGCAAACAAACACTGATAAAACGCGACAGGAATCTTTCGGATCCAAATAATCAAGGGAAATTGAATCTGGACGAATTTGCCGTTGCCATGCATCTCATTTATCGTAAATTGAATGGTTATCCTGTACCAGAAACGTTACCTACCGAACTTGTTCCACCCTCTACTCGAGATCTCAAAGAAAGTGTAAATACGTTGAAGCAGTCGATACTTGAGAACATTTCTCGAAAGAAAAACCTGCAGAGCTTTGGATCATCTTCCTCTCTGTCGCCTCCTAGTCAGTCACCTCAACGATCACGATCAACTAGTCCTTCACGTCATACGAAACCAAAGTATACAGATGATGATGAAAGCGAAACTGCGTACGTGTCCAGTGCGCGCAGAATGGGACCTGACAGAAGTCGATGGGCGCAATCTCGCGATGGATCACCTAATCCTTCAGCATCACGATCGGCTACCACCTCATCTTACACATACCGCAGCAAAGCAACTAGAGTTTCAGCATTACGCAAAGAATTGAACGACAACAAGAACAAGCTGAAAATGTTGGAGGAAGAGATTGCTAATCGTGCTCCGAAACCGTTCAGTGAACTGTCGTACACTGAACAAAAAGATATTGAGGATATAAAAAAGCGTATTAGCGAACTACAAGACGAAATTACCAAATCAGGAAGCGACAATGCTGGTCATCTATGGGATGTATATGCGCAGAAGACGGCCGAGTTTTCAGAGCTTGCAAACCAGGAAAAGTCTTTGCAATCAGAAGTTGACTATCTCATCCACGACGTGCTGAAGAACTTGGTGGCGCAAGTGCGTGAAACGGAAGAAGATCTCGCCGAACGAAAGAAGCAACTGATAAAACAAAAAGAAGCAAAAGCAAAAGCAGACAATGGTGCGATGCCGTTGGATATTGTTGGAACCGGGCCGAACGGGGAAGTTACTGAAAGTGATAGAATTCGTGCCAAAGCCAAAGCAATGATCGCGGCGAAAATGGGCAAAATTACGGGCAAAACGTCATCACCAGTGGACTTTTCGGAAGATTACAGAAAAATCGAAGAGGAACGCGCCGAATTTTGCCTTTATGCTGATTCTATCAGTGATGCCTTACAGAAAGCTGAGGATGACGTTAGCGCAATACGTATGGAGACGAGCCTCATCGGTCTAGACATTGGTAAACATCATCAAAACCAAAAGAAGATTGAAGAACGAACACGATTCGAAACCGGCAAAGACGTCAGTGCGGATCTGAAGGCATTCATTCTTGAATTATCTTTTGCAGCGGCCACAGCTTCTGCGCCAGATGTGGATCCAACATTTGAATCGCGATTTCCAGAATTTTAATCATTCTTTTTTTCGACCGATGCACCATCCTGTCCTGTTATTACCCTACTACACTCGCTTTTGCCCAATTGATGTTTTTAGATCGTCATTTTATAGCCCTTAGAAATAGCTTATTTATTGTTTTATGCACGAGTGACTAAGGAAGTAACAATGATGTATTTAACCTCCAACTACACTCCTTGGTTCAGCAATCAAGCGGAACAGCTTCTTTGCTGTTTCGCGGCGGCCGAACCGCACATTCAAGGTTTGGAATTCCATTGAAAGTTGATCAACGAACAATGTGTCGAATAACGCCGCAATCGCCAGCAGATCTGTTATTGCAGTAGACACAGTTAATCGTATGGGATGAGGAATCTTGGTCAGCCGACATCTTATAGAAGCTGTCAATCGCACTCTTCAAGACGTAATGAAGATGGTAAATCTGGCTCTTCAGCATGTGCCTTTTGGTGGTAAATTGATTGTTTTTGGCGGCGATTTCCGTCAAGTTCTTCCAGTGATCCCCAAAGCAACCAGGCCCTAAATTGCTGAACAGTGTCTAAACAGGGCCTCTTTCTGGCCACCTGTAAGGGTTCTTCGATTAACGACAAACATGCGTGTAGAACAAGCTCGCTTAAGCAGTGGTGTGGATGCTAACATATTGGATCAATTCGCCTCTTATCTTTTGCGCATTGGTGGTGGAAGGGAACCGTACACAAATGGGATCTTGGTGTTACTTCCACCAGAGATGCTGGTGCCTTCTTCCAATGTCAAAGATCTGATATATGCAGTATATGGCCAATCTTTATCAGAAATGCTCTCGAGAGAATTCTTAATAAGCCGTGCCATCTTGGCTCCAAAAAACAGACATGTGGCCTTTTTCAATGAGAAGGTACTGAACAGTTTCCCTGGAGATGTCTGCGAATACAAAAGTGCTGACAGCATGGACACAGAGGAAAATCAGCTGGAGCAAACTAATAAAATCTTGAACTCTAGAAATTTCAGCCAATTCAAGTGCGGAGTTTGACTATAACCTACCACAAAATGAGCAATCGATCCAACCTCCTCTTTAATCAAGTTTTGTCTCGCTTTCCTCAGAGCAACATCCCAACTACACATCCAAAGAACCAAACTTTGTGATCTTCAAGATCACACGCGCAACTAGTCTAAACAATTAAATCTTTAGGAAACTAGCGATTTGTAAATCTCATGATCTACACTAAGTTATCAGGACCTGTTAAACCTTTTTTTTTATCTTCAACCATGCCTCGCTGCCCACTTTCACGATAATAGGCGAAACAATAAGCAGCAAATGCCGTTTGCGCCAGTTGTGGTCAAACAGAGCATCGTCGTCTTTCGAATAAAAATGTGAGTAGAGCTCTTTTTGAAGAAAAGGGGTTGATGATACGACTGGCGTTCTTCTGTAGCATCATTCAATTTGTTTTTTTTGTCAGTTATACTATATATGTCCTTTCACTCTCTTTCAATTTTCAATGAATCGAATAATACATAAGCAGACGTGCTTCGATCTATGAATTCATGCATCAGTGGGGTGACTATTGTTTCATCCATGGAGAATCATATATTTTTGTCTTCAATTTTATCTTTTCTCTTTTGATTTTCTCTCTCTCTTTCTGTTTACCTGGAAAACTCTCGGTATCATTATATCAAGATCCCATCCGCATCCATCATCCAGGCCATTCTTATTCCGTGTATCTAACTTGGTTAAATCGACTACCATCCTCAAAAAGGTAAGCCCTCGAGTGGTCTACCATCGATTTTGCTCCGGCAAAACAGACTTACCTCTCCTTTTTTTCCATCCTTCTTCCAGCTCCCGGTTTTCTCCGTTTTCTTTTCACCTAACAAGTTCTGTATGCTACCACTTGACTTTCTCTCGCCATCCATCCATCCATCTGGCGATACCGGATGACGTCAAAGCCATCGTCGATTGTGAGACTCTCTTTTTCATCGGAGAAACCTTACGTGTCCCCTTCATGTTCCTCTACTTTGGATTGCTTCTCATGATATGGTATTGGAGATATCTTCCCGATTATTGTATTTTGTATTTTATATTTCATGTACATATTCTTTTCGCAGTCTTTTCCTCTTTTTTCCCACAGGGTTTTTTAGGAGGTTTTTACTGACGCGACCATTGGTTTTTTTTATCATCATGTACTTTTTTTATTTTTCTTTCTTTTTATTCGGGAAACTCTTGATATCTGGAATCCACCTCGAAATTACCGTCACTTCTGGCCACGTCAATATTTTTTGCCTGCTCAAGCTGACGCCACCGATCCATCGCTTAACTGTCCCTGGAATCAATCTTATTCTCCGCATCGAAAAGAAGCTTACCTGGCGGTCCGTATTCATCGTTTTTTTTTTCGGTACACCATTTGATTCAAAGGCAAGTCCAATTTCTTTTCCTTTGCTATTATGTAATGAAAGTATACTAATTCAAAATTTTTCAATGTCATATAATCCAAGCCATGTCAAGCGATCAATGACTATTGAAAACTCAAATAACATAGGTAGATTATCTTGAGGAAATTTGAATCAAATCAAAGAGCTTTATAACTCTTTTTTCAAATACCCAACATACCCACACATCTTTCTATATCGATCATAGCCTGGGCGGGATGGAACTGAGGGGGTCAATCAGTGCTGCTTTGCGCGTGTTCAGAAACAAATCACCACGTAAGGGATGCCATAAGGTTGTCATTAATATACCAAAGTCCGTCAAGAGTTTCTCGCCCAGGTTATGCCGTATATGCGTTAGGCTTTTTGTCTGACGAAAGTTGCTCAACGTAAGGGGCGGCCTCCGGTGGCAGGCGGCATTCATTGCACAGCGGGTACGGCTTGTTAGAAATGAACTGTTCTTCGTCGATGATAATAATAAAAAAAATAAGACGCCAATTGCCTATCCTCACCATTGGGCGTCGAATTTTGAGAGCGGTCTGGGGTAGCAAAGTTATTTATAATTGGTTGACATTTCACACAGCGCTTTGCCTTGAATTCTATCAAGCTGAAAAAAATCCAAGCTCTGTTGTTCCGATGATCAAGCGACAAATATGCCCATTGGCGAAATCCCAGGCTTTTATTACGATGAGGAGAAGAACAAATACTTTAAAATAATGCCTACTGGACCTTATAGTCTAGCAGCCATTAAGAAAGCCCGCGAAAGTAAAGCTGCTGTACGCCAAGATATCGTCTCAACATCCCAGTCGTCGAAATTGCCAAAGAAACGGTCATGCGCTTACGATCTGAATCTTGCATTGTTTTGTCGACAACGGGAGACGCAGATACGACAATTACCATTACGGTCGATTGGTCAAGGTTCGAAAACTTTATACCGACAATTGAAGCCAAACACCGAAGTACAGATTAGATCCTTATCTGATGCCAATATGGAGTGTCGATCCAGCTGTCTCGATGCGACTTCATACCCAGACCATGGCGAAGTTATTGTATCTGTATCCGGAAATGTAGTCGGTCATTATGGTTTCCAAACTGATCCTTTCTTTCACATGTGGAAACTTCAGTCTTGGGAGATGTCATCTTTGGTCACGTCGCTCAAGTTTAGTCAAACTTTTGAACTGTATGGAAACCAGCGAAGGACCTTGATCAGCACCACCTTGGGTAATAGTAGCAATGTACCGGCCCAGCTTTCACGTCATTCGTATCCAATTCCTCAATCGCTAAGCAACGAAGAGGCAGAAGAGCTGGCAGAACAACTGGACGACGATCATCCTGCTACTGTGAAACATCTCACTGCGGCTTTCTTCCGCCGACAATCGTATATGCCCGATTTGCAGTTAGACTGTCTATTCCACAGCGACCGGGACTCTTTTTGGACAAGTTCTTCGAGTATCGAAAATAACATCATCATTGCGGGAGGTGATAAAGGCGTCTACCATTTGACGAGTCAATTTGATAACATCACTCAAATCAAAGTCAGATCCAGTGTTCTCGCCACACACATCGTGAAGTCTCAACCATCATGTGTCTGGTTGGGTAGTCGAAATGGCAACATACATCAATTTGACGTCCGTTATGCGAGAGCACTTCGAAAACCTCTCTTTCAGCAATCGTCAAGCGTTACGAACGTGGTATCCTTGGATCATTTTTCTTCTGGACATCGAATACTCGCCGCTTCAATGGATGGATCACTGAATATCTGGGATGTTCGTAATGGGAAAACACCAATACGTGAACTGCGAGGTCATATCAACCATTATTGTCAGGAGCTGGCCTTTGATTTGGACGTTTCATCCAATATAGTCACTGTTGCTGGTTCCGATCATCGGTTGCGCTTGTGGTCACTCTGCGATGACGAAAATAGCGTGTTACCCTTTTGGGAATCTCCATCATCCATGAAGGACGGACCTGTTTCAGCTGCTAAATTTATCACATCTTCGCCTTCCGCACAGCCGGTCTGGTCGAATGGACCATTTAATGCATGTTGTTACCGTCGCTCTCCGGGACTAATGGTATGCGCTCCCGATCGTTATAATCATCCTGCTATACACTGGATGTCTCCTTCGTTTGAGGATAGTTCCCATAGAACATAGTACTACAATTCCTATCCATATTTCGCATCTGTATATATATATTCCATATTCCCCTATCTGGACTTTTCGATATCCATTTTGTTTATTGTTTCCATCAATGTCATGAGCAGCAATAACAATTATTTATCAGAACCGCGAACTTTCTTCTTTTCCTCACAATAAAGCATCCATTTTTTAATGTGTAACAAAAAAAACCAGAGTTTCAATACTGTAGATTAGCTGTATAATGCAACAAACATAGTCATCAAAAGCCTAAAGCTAATGATAGCTTCCTTGGCGCACCTTATCAAGCTATGCCAAGCTTTTGTGCGAGAAGGAGAAAGCGAAGAAACTGGTACCGCACTATAATTGAAGTCCCAAAAAGGAAACATCCGATTGGATATAAATAAAACACTAGTGCACTCTTTTTTTTTTGTGGTTTTGGACCACGACGGATTTGTCGCCATTTCTTTTCGTCTCTCTTTTTCTGTATCCTATTTCATCTTTAGCACATTGGCTTTGCAAGCAAAAAGGAGAATGGAGCAAACAAATAACTCTCGGAGAAAGTTAGACCTGCCTACTCTTGTTCCGGAAAATATGCCTTATCTGGGGGTTGTCAAATCCTGGTTACATGTGTCACAAATTATCGTGACCGTTCTGACAATCGCTGTAATTGCCCCTGTCATTGCCATCGAACGTCGTTTTTATGCAAGTGTCTAGGATCGCGCATTTTGAACTCACGAACAGTTACTTATATTCTTGCTCTACAGGATGCAAGTCAAGGCGCCCCGAATTATACGATTTTTGTTTGCATCTTCAGCTTTTTTATACCCATTTTCCTTTTGTTCTTTCCTTGGATGTATGATCGAAAAAGCAAATGCAAACGCACTGGAAAATTCTTCCTAAAACCACGTACAAACCTTATTCTCACTGGCATTTGTTCCTTACTGTGGGCATTGAGCGGCATTGGTATGACCGTGCATGCCACTGATAATTCAAATTGCGTACATGACGGGTCGCTGGAACAAGACGACGGCAGCTATTCTGGAGCTTGGAACGCACAAGTAAGCCTTCATCAGTCACTCGAATGTGGATAAAATAATTAATCGGCGTTCCAAAAGTGCGGCTGTAGCAAAGCAGCGGCAGTTTTCTGCTGGACTGGATGTCTCGCATGGCTGGCCACATTAATTTGCAGTGTTATCATTTCTTGGAACGAGAGGCAACTTGCACGGCAAAGCTTGAAACAATACAACGAAAACAAGCAAGATGTGATTTGCTTGGAAGAAGAAAAAGCGCTGGATGAAGCAGCAGAACCTCAAGTACCCTTTGCTTCATCACTGGATCAAAGAAATCCATGGCCATTGCCCTCAACCCAGGATTTCACTTCCTCGACTATCCCTGTGCCCTCTACCATGCATCATCCACATATGCATCATCACCCTAATGGGGTAACATACGAGGCCGCTTATAACTATCCTTCTTCACAAGCAACAACCAATTTTCCGCAATACACCTCAGTGCCTATGGTTGCACGGTACCAATCACCCGCGCCTAATATCCATTACGAACAGCATCATATGTGAAACAATCGTTAATATGAACAAATAAAACCATTTTTATCTTGGCTTAATAGTATCATCACTACTACAAAAGGAAGAAAACAATACAAGTAAATACAATAATTCTGTTCGAAGCACTCATTGTCGTAAAATATGTCGTTGGAGCTGCTGAGTCTGTGGACGATGGTATTGGAGCATCTGTCGTATTGCTCATTTCGGGAATAAGCATTCCTCCGTCAATCAGATGCATCACGCCATTATTAACCAAGATATTCGGTCGAACAACAGTAAGATTGTTCACTAAGAAACTTATGTAAAACCTCTCATAGTTGCTTCACATTGTACTTTCCACCTACCTTTCAACGTTCTTTCATTATCAGCATGCAATTCGATTGGCAAGCCTGACAAGGCCGTCACGGATCCATTGACACCGTCACTGGTGAGATTTGTCGTATAGTACACCCCTTGAATCATATGGTTTTTCACAAGATTTTGCTTTGTATTGTTGTCCATATGCTCGAAATCGGTGTTTTCCACCGCATTGTTCACAGGCGCAAATATAGTGACATTGGTAGCCTGTCCAACCATATTAGCTTGCTCCGGAGCATGAGGCAGATATGCTGCGATGGCAGATAATTCTGGAAGCTCTTGAGCAACAACAGTAGGTGTGTCGGGTGGCAAAAGCACTATTCAAAAGACAGTATTCGTAACCTGTAAAGCTTAAAATACGCTGGCTTTGACGCAAGTTACCTTGGTCCACCACATGAATTACTCCATTTCCGGTAACAATATCGGCTTTTGTCACATTGGCTAGATTTTGTCCATTGCCTACGGTATAACCCGTGGTTTGCGATTCCGCCTTTATAGAGCCTGCTGTTGAAGCATTTTGCATTGTCTGGTCATTATTGTTGTTCCGATCGCTGTATATCAAGAGTGGCACATTCCCCGCCAATTTTTCCACGGTTTGGTTACTCATCATGGTATTAACGACAACGAGCCAATGTGCCATGTTTTGAAGGGTCACCGTTTCGTTAAGAAAATGATACTGCAAAATATCGTGGGTTGAGAAATGAGCGACATTCTTCATAGGAGAAGAATCATTTGATTGATCTTGCGCTTCCGTAACATGTTGCGATGGCTTCTCCGGCGAAGTATTCGACATCTTATATTTATCGTTAAAGGTGTTGTCCTTAGGACGTGGCTCTGTTCCTTGCTGCGTACCAGCCGAACTCGACCTTGTGGAGCCATTTGAATTCGCGATGCTATGAGCCCCGGTGGCCGTACGTTGAATTTGGATTGCCGCTGACAGATTGGGACCTTGCTTGAGGAAAGCGTCAATAGCACTATCCGAGGGTACAAATAAAGTTCGATTTCCTGGCTGCGATAATAGATCCATAATCGGCCGGTAGTCTTCAGAAGATGCCAGTAGTTGCATGAATTTGTATGCGGGTGACAATTGACTGGAGGTCAATATGTCCAGCATTGTGACATTGTTTAATTCGGCTGCAATGTTGGTCACGCAGAGGGAGACTAGAAGACTCAATAAAACAACTTTCATCGCAAAGGCAATTGCTGTTACGCATCGTGCCCATCAATCAACTAATTCATTTTATATCGCCTACTGATGGAAGGGGTCTGAATAGTTTCACAGCTAAATCCCATCCTTTCCGACAAAAATTCTACGATCTGCCCAGGTTATACTTGAAACAAGTAATTTTCCTCAAATCCCTGACAATGTCTGATGCTAGCAAAAAAGCCTGTTCGTCCATCATATACAGTGAATATATCCTACTTAGACACAGTGGTTCATTTAATGACTGACGGCTTTTCTTCAATCCCTTTATCGTTATTCTTGCTACTAAGAAAGAAGACGAAATAAATTGCAATGAAGCATATGAGATTTCACAAATAACAAGCCGTACACCCATGTCTGATGCCGCTTGCTACTGGGAGACCACGCTCTTACATTGAGTGACGTTCGCAGACAAAGTCTAATGCAATAAGGGATAACCTGGGCGAGACTCTTGATGGAACTTTGGTTTATTAATGTCAATACTCTGGCATACCCGAAAAACACTTGTCAATGAACACAAAGCAGCACTTATTGACCCCCTCCGTTCCGTCTCGCCCACGTTATGGTGGATCTAGAGTGGTTTGATGGATTGTTGGATATTTCAATGCGGCGTTAGTATAGTAAGTTCTTTAGATTGATTCAATTCCAATGTCATTCAAATATTTTACCTTCGGCATTTGAGTTTTCGATAGTTGTTGGTTGCGGCATAACATGAATTGGATGTATGGTATCGAATCGTTTTTATTGAGTATATGCTCAAAATATCCACAGCAAAAATAAATTAGGCTTGCCTGAACCAAGTAACGTGTAGAGAAAAAAAGAAGTCGAAGAGGGCAGACGCGCGAGGATCTCTTTTGGTGTCGAAAGTAAGAGTCTCTATGGGAACAGCCGATCGCACGGGAACATTGTGTGGCAGCGGTGTCAGCTTGAGCAGGTGATCATTACAGTTTATTCAACTTTTGAAGTCAAAAAAAAAAAAAAATCAATAAAAAAATGGAGAAGCAACTAATGAGAAATCAGATTGAACGAAACAAATTGGGAAAAAGGTCATAAGTCAAAAAATGTGGTCAGACAGACGAAAAATAGAAAAAGAGCAAGTCAGTATGACTATATACCAAAAAATGTTGAATGCCGCTGGCTTACCTGTAAACATCTACAGGCCTTCGTTGCCCGGAAAAACCAACCAAGTGGGCCAGGACGGACTACGCAGTACTGTTCAACGCTTGTCGAACGTGGAGAGCACGCGCCGGAACCGTCGATGGTCGGCCAGTTGAATAAACTATTATAGGAAAATCATATTTAGAATTACAGATTTCTATTCTTAAAGGATCAACAGCCTTTAACTTACCTTCAGTTCAATGCAAAATAAAAAAAAAGACAACCTCGGAGAAAAAGATGACCTTGAAAGGTAGAATGGAGGTTCGGGGAAAAGGAAAGAACTTTGGCAGACGCGGTGGGATGTCCATTTTATAGACTTTTTTGATGGACTGCTGTTGAGCCAGTCACTGTTGGGAAATCTCGTGAGAAGTATCATCGCATCAGCTGCGATGTACAAAAAAAAAGGGGTGGGGTGGTAATAGAGCAGAACTCAAAGAAGCAAACAAAAAACTTTTCATGTCTTCAAATAAAATGTGAAAGGACCGTAAACCTAGACGCGGCACTACAAGAAGCTTTTGTGGTCTCTTGCATCCGAATAAGGAGGCCTCAAAACATCAGCTGCAATGCACAGTAGACAAAAAAAGAGAGAAAGAGAACAGTGTTCCACGGAATGACAGGAAGCAATCAAGAGCCGTGATACCATTCTTTAGGATAAGTCGAAGTACAGGAAAAATAGGGACCGGATGATATGAAAGGTGGCATCATCCATGTTCGAGAACTTCTGTTCACTTGCCTTTATTATTTGAGTGAAGAGTTGTATTGTTCATTTACGGTACATGCAGTTATGAATGAAAAATATTTTACAGGCGGTGACGACGACGAAATTCGTAGTATGTGAACACTTGCCACTACATCTGCTCACCGCTATGTATCAACTCAATTCTAAAAACAACGATGTAAATACGGACGAGTCCACAAAAGTTGCCACTTTTCAACATGTGCGTAACACTATAACAAGACATTCTCCGGTCGTATGCAACGCCGACATCAAAATGGTCAGCCTTTATCGGCTTAGGTGTCATTTTATCCTAAAATAGAAGAAAAATAAACGGATACTTCTAAAGATCGAAAAGAGGCAGCAAGATAAGCGACTATCCACAAATAAGAATACACTAAATGAGATGCCTTACCGGACAGCGTGACGAAGCGATGCAAATACTGAACCGATAAAAGTGTGAGACGCGACAAAGGCGAGCAAATGACGTGTTACAAAGAAATAAAATAATGCATCGGATTTGGGAGTTGTGTCCTTTCACTGTCAGGGTTCCGCTGTGAACCCGAGTGCTTTGAAAGACAATCGAAAAGCAGAACGGTAAAACTATGATGCCTAGTGTGATTCGTTCACGGAAAATATAAGAAACAAAAACTAGGAAATCTACAGTATCGCCAAAACTGTACATTGACCTAGATTACAAGAAGATCAATACCTGTATCAGTAGGTTTATCCACTTTTTTGAAAAGTTAGTGATGGTGTACTTGATTTTCGTGAGAAATCTTTTTCTTGTATGCGATGTGCAACTATTATTCATCCGTTGAAGATTCCATCAAGAGACGATGGATCGGCAAGGGGTACATCACCGAAGTACCCCGAATCGAATCGATCAAATGGCTTCAAAATGTGGACAGACGGAGAAGTGAGAAAGAGGATTTGAGTGATTCTGGTGGATCTATTTGGCGCGCTTACATGGAGACGTCGGCGAGTGGCCTTCTGACGGTATGCTGGAAGATGTATTCATCCACTTTCAGATCCAATTTTACGTGGCGAGAGGTTAGTCTTGTGAGGAGCGGGTAATGGGAAAGGATCCGGAACAGGTATGGCGAAGAATCCGATCGAGTATTGGATCCGATACAGTGATGCTTGTGGTATATCCACTACTTGTCTTATTATCCATCCTAGACTGGGATTCCCAAACAGGAAAAGATCGGGATTTAGACGTGTTTCCATTGTGAGTGAGCTTCTCCATTAGAACACCGATTGAACCTCTTCATCCATAACTTGGATCTATCGCCGAGATCAATTCATACGTGTAATGCTGTCACATCACACCATGTGGATCCTTCCAAATACACCTTATAACCGAGAATTTGCTCACTGATAATGAATGATTGATTCCGACTCAAGACATAATTGTTAAATAGGCATATCACATTAATCGAAATAAACATATCCAACCTGTCTCAAAAGGGCTCTCATTGTCTCTTTTGCTCTAAATTCTCTCATTTATCACAAGGGTAACCACAATAGCAAGTGGCCTAACCTGACATCGAATTTCAGTAATGCGTTTTGATGCGTAATCATATGGAATATGTTTTATTTCTATTGCATTAGTATTTTCTATGTCTATTGATGGACTACATTCTTATGATCAAGTACTGGATAACATGCTTAATTACACTTACTACAGATTGAAGCATTAGCAGTGATTGATTCAGTATAGAAAATAAACTGCACCACCTTTGTTAACAGGTTCACCACAACCCACATCGTCTTGGACCCCTGAGTAAGAGGTAGCCCGGTGATAAAATCCATGCTGATAGAAGACCAGGCTCGAGCAGGTATTTTGGAGAGGACAAAGGTAGCCGTGTGGTTCCTGGCGGGAAGGCTAAGGTCATCCGATCAAGTCACCAGCATCTCTAGGTGACAACCATCATCGATATGGTAAATTCCCACACCAACGACCCTGATCACATAATACTCTCGTTTTCAATCATCTTTCCGTGAGGAACCAGCTCAATGAAGAATAGACAAAAGCCACGATCGATTACCTGGATAACCGGTAAAAAATGCCACTGAGGGGAAAAATAACAAGCAACTTCAATTTAGGATCCCAATTAAATTGTCAATCACATTTTATTGATATCAACAAAGCTATTCATCTACACTATTGATTACCAACTCCACGTCGTATCAATCTTGTACCCAAGCGATTCCACGTCGCACTGCTGATACCTTGCTTTTCTAAAATGACCTGGCGCTCGACGTCGCATGCTAGTCCGCGCCATACATTGTTGCTCGTTCGTTAATATACGAAGTACATTATGCAGTCGATCTAAAGCATTTTTGCCCTTGTCGGGCCAGTGCTCCGTACTTGTCAAATTGAATTCGGCAATACTTGTCAAGTTCCTCAGGTGTCATATTCTTGGTTGGATCATTGCTCGTTATGGTCGCCGCTCGCTGCATGTCCTTTTCTGCCTTGGCACCGAGAAGCCATGCGTCAGAGTCGTCGGAGAGGGGCGTCATGGACGGTGGAGAGGGTACATATGAAATGCCAAACCTCGGTGAACCCGTTCCTCATGTTGCGACTTCAGATCCCAAAGCTGCTGTCGACGTTGATCAGAGTTGGGTTCACCAAGATTTTCGTTCCGAGGTCGAGACGATCGGCCTTCGGCGCGCAATGCTCCTTCCTCTTCTTCCTCGTCCTCATCCTCCCCCTCGTGGGTAATGGCAGAACCCTCCTCGCTACGAGCAACATCCTCCGATCTGGCAGCCCGTTTTCCAGCAGCGGCTGCTGCAAATCTGCTCGACAATATGGACCTGTTGTACCCCACCAAGGCCCTTTTTGTTGTATCTAGCTGCTGATACAGTGTGTGCCTCACTAATTCCTCGAGATACTCGGCTCGAAGCATCTGGTACCACGCCAGCATGTCCTCCGCTGAGGAAGGTCGGACGTCCCCCCGAGACAATCGTTTGCATACAATGGCCTTGAGTAGCTCGTAGAAACAGAGCGACAGGTAAAGTTCCTGGCACTCGATAGCGGCTTTTCCTGCATCATAGCTGATCGCACCAGCATGTCGAATGGCGAGATATAGGCATCTATCGTTGGCATCCGGACCGTACTGGACGATCGCCAATTCGCCAATATGTGGCGTATAGGAACGTCCGTATGTTGCTATGGATCTTTTGCCGTCGTATATCTGGGTCAGTGCACTGAGCGGCGTATCATCCGATTCGGGTTCTTCTTGAGGTGATTCGACCTGATCAAAAAAGTTGATGTAGGCCAGTGAAGCAGGATACCAGGAAGTTGCCAACATGTCAGTGTGAAAAGTGCTGAACAAGAGTTTTGACATTCCACACAAGAAGACGGGACGGACAATACGCAGGTACCGCTAAAGGTACGGTAATCCGATCGTCATGATTTGGGGGATATGCCAAACATATCTACAAGGGCGAGCAGCCGTAGGGAGCGATTCAGCTGGTTTGCAAGACCATGCATTTGCTCGAAAAGACCTCGGATGAAGACCGCCGAACGACCGCTTCCTCGGTCCCAAAACGAAGCGGCTTCCCTGTAATTTGCCAGGGTCACGTCTTTTCCCATCAGTACGGACACCACATGGCCTTTGTAGGTCTCCGGCGTCGCTTGCTGAATGACCGACTCGATAAACCGATCGGTCGGTGGCGGAATATTAAGGGTGGTTGAAACCTTGGAGAGAAAATTTGCAAAGTCCTGCAAATGGTGGCCAACCTATCAATATGATACGTAGGGTAAAAAAAAAAAAAAATTAATATCACTTCAATGATCATCAATGACAATATGCTTGTATCAAGAATAGCAGATGTATATAAAAGAAGAAAAGAGGAGAAAATCAAAATGGAAAAATATCAGTACCTTCCTCCAAAGTTCTTGAAGACTCTGGTTCGGCAACCCAATCTGTATAGAAACCACATTGGCCGAGTTCAGGGAACATGCTCCAATTGCTTTGATGAATATATCCTCGATATATCCAATTTGGGTATAAAAGTGTTCACGGTCAGTGACAGGCGGCATCCGGAGTTTTTGAATCGTGAATACGCTGGGATGTCTTCCAGTCGTCAGTGAGAACCAGTTGAGCAAGCGAGTTCCACCACTCTTGCTTTGTAAATTGTCCGCTTCTGCACGTCTTTGGGCAGTTGTAGAAGTCGTAACGCCAGCGTCAAGCAGTGATACGGAGATAGAGTCCGGCTTTTGTTTGAGTTGTCCGATAACTTCAGTAACCCAATCTTTGTCCGATGGAAAGTTCTTGGAATATAGTGGTAATGTATCCAAAAGTTCGTTTCTGTCCCATTCTTGCACACGAATATAGAACTGAGTAAGGTCATTTTCAGTATTGTGTTCCCTTGACAAGACACCTTGGTGATTGTTGACGACAAGTGAAAGAGGCGATTCAATCAGTTCTGCCAACAGGTTGTAATGAGCGGTGGTAAACGCATCCCAGATTGGATCATTTAGCTCCAGTGGTCTTTGACTCCGAAGAAATCGACGCAATGCAATTGTGGCTTTAACGTTGTCAATATAAGTGGCCATCGTCAATCAGATCGATAGAAACAGTGAGGTACAGGTATATAATACTGACAAGGAGACAACAAAAAGTTAGCTGTGATGACCAAAAAGCTTCCTCGGTCAAGTGCACGAAAACAATACCTTTGATAAGCAAGAGCTACTTTTTTATTTACACTTGACGGAGAGCGTTTGTTACAAAGGTGAATATGGTTTGAGGTAAAAAGAAGACTGAAAAGGAGAAAGGCAGGAAAAGATAGAGATGAGAACCAAGATGTGAGAACGCCATCTTTATATATCTTTGGTTTTTTCTCCAAAAAAGAAACAGTAAATGGCATTTCAATGACGATGCCATCACTCGAAAGTCCGTGCAGCAACCATGTCAACCACCCAGAATATAAAGGATGAATCATGGGATCGATCTTCACTAAAATCTAGAGGTTCTTTGAAAACCAAACAATGACTTTATATCTGCGGCAGCCTGGGTTTTTTTTTTTTTTGGCTGAGCTCTTCAGGACATAGAATCTGACGCAAATCAGGGGGAAATATAGTATAACTGCCCACAGCAAGGTTGCTACATTGTTTGTCTCAAGATCTTAGTTCGGTCGTTGCGTTACAGTATATGTCTCTTTTTAATCCAGATACGCGTCAGATTTGAACAGAGAAAAAAGGAACCTGGATTGTTAACGCTAATTCCAGCTAGATAAGACGATATTGTTGTATATGAGAGAATCGGAAAAGAAAAGACTGCAAGAAGGATTTGAGATCGTTGAATCTCGCTATTTCACTAGAATGTGTCTGTTTATCTATACTTCCAGCCTTATTCGGCAAGCAATAATCAGTGAACAGTCCTCTCGGTTAAAAGATGTTTTCTTTGGAATGGACCCTATACCGTACCATAGTAATCTTACCTCTATTTAGATCTCAACAATAATTCCATGTCGTGGGAGTGGAAATTCGATCAGTATCCTAATATATGAAAAATTTACTCGAAAGGAAATATATTTTTTTTTTTGCTGCGGGACAACATTTCAAGGATGGATGATCGACAAAGTCAGTAGTACAGTATACCACATACATCCTCGGTGATAGCAGCGATAATAACCTAGTTAATCCGCACGCACATCGATCATCTACAAAGAGTGATTACACAAAATAATAACAAGCTTCAATGTGGAAGTGAAGGAAAAAGGAAAAAAAAGAAGTCAAGTGCTGCACTTCCTCCGATTTTTCGAGAATCTTTGAAGAAGGCCCACAGTCTCATTTCTTGCCAACGTCTTTCCAACATTTTATATAAACAATGGAGCTCCTGAAATATGCATATACAAATACAACAAGATGAAGTAGAGTGTAGGTTCGTGGATGTAGTGGGTATTGGCTGGATCGCTCGGAACCATAGCCTTGCGTACTATGACAATTTTAAACGAATATATGAACATCTTTCAATCGGAATAAAGGGCTGTCAGGCGCGAAAGTACATCTTTGGTGATTTTTTGGTTGCATGCCGACAAACTTTGTCCAGCCAAGTCCGCCATGGGCCCAAAGTTGATAAGATTTGCAAGTACCAACGGTGGAATATGCTGATGCTCTCGCAAGCTTGTTGTAAACTTCTCAAGAGCGCTCCAATTCGAACTCTGTTGCTGTTTTTTATAGCTGCGGACAGTTGACGCAGTATCATATGCCGTGATTGCTGAACTGAAATTTCCCGCTTTCTTAAACATGACGGCGACAGCTAGACTGCAGAAATCGTGATGCCAGTTTGCTGGCTGATGTGAGTGGGGGAAAAAATGGTCCAAACCTATGCCCTTTTTTTACGTTTTTATTCATACGGCGGCTTTCACTATATGTACCGTCCGAATTTTTTTTTATGAAAAGTACATTCTCTTCTCTACATTGTCGCGAAATCCCGGTGATCGCATTGCAATTCATCCCATTGCATTCACCATTTCAAGATGAGCGGTCGGTTTGGACCATTTTTTCAATAAAACCAAAAATAAGAAAAAGCGCGTTTATCTTCCTTGTCGATATAATAAACGCCGGCGAAATAAAAATATCTTTATGGCAATGTCCTCTAAAAAATATACACGAAGCATTCCGCGTGAAATCGTGAAATTCATTAGCTCCATTAGCTCCATGTTGCATCCCATGCATAATGGGCAGGTCTGGAGACCGCCATCACGTTGCATCATTTTTTTGAACACATTTTTCATAGCACCGCGACTTTTTTTTTATTCATGGAAAAAGAGAATATTTTTCTCTACGCTGTGCCGAAATCCTGAGCATTTTACTCCAATTCATCCTAATGCCACTGCCAATTCCGCATGGTGATCTACATTAAGAATGGTGCTCAAATGACATGAAAAAAAGCAGCCGAAAAAGCCTGGGAAATAATGTTGCGGTGATCAAAAACCGTGCTGGTGTGCATTTTACAGCCTTTCGGATCATATTCAAGCTGACGAAAATGCTGGAAGAATAAATCTGCTTACGCCATGTGGTCAGATTAACCTCATGCTTTTCATAAGCGCATCCTCCGCATTTCACTCATTATAGCAGACAACGTACTCCTGATAAGCTTAACAACCTCCGGGTGCCAATTTTTTGCATAGTGAGAGCCTTAAGAAAGTCGTTACTGCTGCCTTGAGGCTATTTCCCGATAAATGATCTGCTATAATGAGTGAAATGCAGAGGATGCACTTATGACAAGCATGAGGTTAATCTGACCACATGGTGTAAGCAGATTTTATTCTTCCAGTATTTTCGTCAGCTTGAATATGATCCGAAAGGCTGTAAAATGCACGCCAGCACAGTTTTTGATCACCGCAACATTATTTCTCAGGCTTTTTCAGCTGCTTTTTTTCAGGTCATTTGAGCACCATTCTTAACGTAGATCACATGCGGAATGGGCAATGGCATTACAGTAGGATGAATTGGAGTAAAATGCTCAGGATTTCGGCACAGCATAGAGAAAAAAATTCTCTTTTTCCATGAATAAAAAAAAAGTCGCGGTGCTATGAAAAATGTGTTCAAAAAAAATGATGCACGTGATGGCGGTCTCCAGACCTGCCCATTATGCGTCGGATGCAACATGGAGCTAATGGAGCTCATGAATTGCACGATTCCGGCCGGAATGCTTCGCGTATATTTTTTAGAGGACGTTGCCATAAAGATATTTTTATTTCGCCAGCGTTTTTCATACCGGCAAGGAAGAAAAACGGGTAAGAAAACGCTTTTTCTTATTTTTGCATTGATTGAAAAAATTGTCCAAACCGACCGCTCATCTTGAAATGGTGAATGCAATGGGATGAATTGCAATGCGATCACCGGGATTTCGCGACAATGTAGAGAAGAGAATGTACTTTTCATAAAAAAAAATTCGGACGGTACATATAGTGAAAGCCGCCGTATGAATAAAAACGTAAAAAAAGGGCATAGGTTTGGACCATTTTTTCCCCCACTGTATGTTACTGGTGATAACGACATCGTTCATTTCGTACTCCATTTCGAAGTCATCGTTTGTCACCGGTTCAGGTTCACTGTCTGTTTTCGACGAGGTAAATAAAATAAAACTATATGTTTTTTGCAGCACTATGATCTTTTTACCTTGACTGGCGAGCAAAGGAGAAATGCCTCTGTTAGCGATATGTTCACGCACAGTGCGAGGTTGCTGCTTCACAAAAAACAATTTGCTCTTGACAAGCTTAGTGCACTTTGCGCAATGGCAAGGACCGTATTGGCTAGCGATTGAGCCGGACATCTTAACTGAAGCGATAATTAAGTAAAGACTTTCAAAATAAAGGGAAAAAAGTTAAGCTTTTTTTATTTATTTTTTGACAACAAAAATAAACACCGAAAAAAGAGATGGTGATATGACTTTGATAAACCATTAAGATGGTATGAGTGACAAGTGCATGATATGATTGATTTATCATTGAGTAAGCATTTGAATTAAGAAGCAAGCCAATATTCAAAAATAAGTTCAAGTATCCATGACGATGACACCATATTGAAAAAAAAAACGCATACTAAAAAAAGGGAGCGAAAATAGGTGGGGCAAACATTGATCAATCACAATCGCAGCTCCAGAACATTGCAATGCAAAGCGATTTTTACCGGTAAAAACGCCGGTAAATTTTTGTTAAATTTTACCAGTAAAACAGTAAAAACAGCTAATTACTGTATGTGTAGTGCCGTTTGCCCTTCGGCTCGCGACTCAACATACCACTTCGAATTTATCACAATGATATGTGCAATCGGCTGTATTGTGTAGTAAATAATTTACAATAAAAACAAGAGCGAATATCAAATGGTACAGTAAGACTGTAAAGAACCCAAGTAATATACTACAATAAAAAGGGAATACACAATTATAGTAAAAGCTAGCTCTGCTAAAGGCTATAGCAAGAATATCTCTTCGATCAGATAGGTTTATCAGAAATAAATCCCAAGTAAGAATCAAGGATTCGTCTCCAAGAATCAAAGATTAAGGTCATCCTCAGAATCAAAGATTCATTCCCCTTCTAAAGGAATTGATGAAGCGACCTTATATAAGATTCTACTTCCTATATAAGATCTTTCCATACAAAATATCACAAAACTCAAACTAAACTGTTTTCTATTGTTTCATCGATTCTACTTCTTTTCCATCGTTCACCGATTGTGTGATCTAACAATGATTTCCAAGATCTTCAGGTCGCGCCTCGAAAATTTGGTCATTCTTCTTCACCAAATTTCCCAAGACCTTCGCAAAGGCAGGAACAAACAACAACGATGTCATGGCTGTAATATTCATTTATCAGGTTTCAGTGTCGGTACACATTCACCCTAGAATATTTCACGCTCTCCCCCCCCGAGACACTGAAATGGCAGGATAAGCGGAAACCACCAGCTCATCGACAACTTGTCGCCTTTCTTGTACCCACGACCTGAATTGCTGTTCAGCAGCTGTCACCATTACGTCCGGGACCATGGTCTTGACTGCTTGCTCATACGACTTCAACTTGTCGCCATTCACCGCGTGTTTAAGCCTTCGGTTGTTCTTCCCGTTCAGATGGTAAGTACCATTTGCATTCACCTTGATCACCGTAAAGGGGCCAAGCCAACGGTCAGAAAACTTTGTAGCAGAGACTTCGTCTTTCAATAATACTCGCTCGCCAACTTCGAACCTTCTCTGCGGATACAGTATACGAACTTATCGTACCGTACCTTCACCAGTGCCTTCTTCTCGTCGGACTTTCGTCGAGCTTCTTCTCTTACCGCCACGATAGCTTCTTCGATGAGTTCTACCCGCTCGCGCAGAGCTTCTTCTTCCTCACCAAGCACATAATCCAATTGAGGGGCCTTCCAGACAGCAGGACTTCTCATTTCATAACCGAACAACAGGTAACTAGGCGTAAAACCAGTATCCGCATTTT